CCTTTGTTGTTATGACTTCCTATTTTGGCACCGACGAGGCCATACGCGCTTACAAAGGGCTGTAGCGAGCTCACACACAGATTCTTCCTTTCTCCTTCTTTTTCTGTATGCTTAGTTTCTTGAAGATGAGCTACCCTAGAGTTTAGGTCTGAGCAAATGTCACACCACAGAGCGGCACTACAAAGGACCGAGCTCACACAACAGCGATTCTTGCAGCCGTCACATGAGCTGAGTTCCAGAACTGGATACTGGCTAGCGGACCTTCCCTTCCTCTTTTCCTCTCTTCCCAAGCTTAGGATTTTCATTAGTTAGGATCTAATAACATTCAGTTCGAAGTCTTTTAGTGTTATAACAACAACACGTAACGCAGTATTGCTTTTCACCGGGAATCCTCGTCTTTGTCATCGGTTCCCAAAACACCACCGCTCTCTCCGTATGTTGGAATAAGCTCATGGCCATGTGATGTTGCTCGATACGCGGAAACGAATAAGCTTATCGAGACGTCACACTTGAAGTCAGGGAGGCTACTCCCCCCAACCCGGCCTAGGTTCGTCAAGCAGCGGCACTTGGAGCCCAAAAACGCCTTATAATCCTCGTACGCTGGAAAGGAAAGCCAGATCTATCAAAAATATGCTTAATATTGGAGATTTAGATAGGAATTCGCCCGGTAGTCAAGCTCTTAATCAGTTGATCAAAGGGTCACTTACAACTGTGCACCCACCCTTTTAGCTAAGGAAAATCATGATCTACGTGATGCAGTTGACCAACTACAAAAACGTCGAACTCGCCGTACAAGGCCCCTACAAGCTGAGGGTATTTTGACCGTTTCCGAGGGCCGAGAGCTGGCACAAGAGGCTGAAGAAGCTGTCAACCCCCCCTGTAGCCAATGAGGATGGAACTTTGCAGCGCGCTCAACGCGCGCCACCTAGGTGTAGTTATTGTTGGCAACTAGGGCATAAGCGTAACCATTGTGAAAATCTAGCTACATAGGTTTTAATATATTTTGTGGTTTACATATAATTTCTATGGGTTCAATAAACTAGGTGTTGTTTTGGTGCGTCACTTACCCGTTAAATACGTTAACGTAATCAACAAGCGAACCGGCACTTTTTCCCGAACGCGTACACAATATTAATTCCATATTATTCAACACGCCAACATGCCACCAATTCGCAATAAAAATAAGAAAGATTTAGCTGAGCAAGAGGAACGAATCTTATTAGCTATTTCCGATTTATAAAATGGACGAATTTTACGCGTAGCTCAAGCTGCAAGGATTTATAGTATACCCCGGGTGACTCTACAAGACAGATTAAACGGCACTAAACAAAGATCTCAAGTACGCGCCAACAGTCATAAATTAACTCAGTGTGAGGAGGAATCGCTTATCAATGGATACTCGATCTAGATAAACGTGGATTACCCCTTCGACACTCTCTTGTACGAGAGATGGCTGATTATCTTCTTTCACAACGCGGAAACCAACAGGTTGGAGAAAACTGGGTATATAATCTTGTCAAACGTCGCCCAGAGATTGAATCAAAGTTCTCACGGAAATATAACTATGAACGTGCTAAGTGCGAAGATCCGAAGATAATCCAAGAATATTTTGATCGCGTACGAGAGGTTATATCAGACTATGGGATCTTGCCAGAAGACATCTACAATTTTGATGAGACTGGCTTTGCTATGGGACTCTGTGCGACTGCCAAGGTTATCACTAGAAGTGATCGATATGCTCGGCCAAAGCTATTATAGCCTGGTAATCGAGAATGGGTAACTGCAATTGAAACAGTTAATTCGATTGGATGGGCATTGCCTTCGTACATTATTTTCAAGGCAAAGAAATACACTCGATTAGGCTGGTTTGAGGATCTTCCAGACGACTGGAAAATTAATATTAGCGATAATAGATGGACGACAGATAAGATTGGATTAGAATGGCTTAAAACTCATTTTATTCCTCTTACCGATGGCCGTACATTGGGGAAATATCGGATGTTGATTCTTGATGATCATGGAAGCCATTTAACTGCTGAATTTGACCGTACATGCACTAAGAATAATATTATTCCAGTCTGTATGCCTCCTCATTCTTCACATCTTTTACAGCCTCTTGATGTTGGCTATTTTGTTGTTTTAAAGTGACATTATAGACAGCTTGTTGAGCAGCGAATGAGGCTTGGATTCAATCACATTGACAAAATCGACTTCCTCACTGCATTCCCAAAGGCTCGTACAATGGCATATAAAGCTCAAACTGTTTGGAATAGCTTTATAGCAACTGGATTAGTACCATTCAATCCAGATCGAGTTTATCAACAGCTTACTGTTCGATTAAGACTCCAACACCACCCCCTCTAAGTCGATCAAGTGATACACAATCATCCTACTTATATACCCCTTAAAATCCACGTTAATTTAAGCGCCAAATAACTACAATTAAGAAGCGAATAAGCTGGCATACGAGAAGTTCATCTGAGGCTATTGATGAAGTGTTTACACGGGCGTCAAAGGCTTATGAGATGAGTATAATAAACTTACAATCGCACAGAAGGAACTCCATGATCTACGGGGTGCACATGAGAAGGAGAAGCAAAAATGTCAAAGATCCAAGCAGCAAATATCTCATGAGCAAGGAATTACCAGAGAGGAAGCTCAAGCACTCGTACAAGGTCAGATTGAAGCATCTCAAGCTGTTACTACTGCTCTGGCCGAGCCTGAACTCCCAGTCTCTCATCCACCTATACGACGTCAATTTCGCTGCAGTGGTTGTGATGTTGCAGGACATAAAATAACTGGAAGTCCTAATCGTATTAGGAATTAATTTTTTGTATATAATTAGTATGTGGGTTAGAAATTGAGATTTGAGATCAATATTTTGTACGCGTTCGGGAAAAAGTGCCGGTTCGCTTGTTGATTACGTTATCGCTCATTGATAACTAACAATTATTCATCGGCACCTTATCGATTAATCGATGACAAGCCTGCTGTGGATAATATGAGAGACCCCTGGGGAAGAGTAAATCAATGCATACAGTGTTGCGTTACAGAAAACACCCATGTAAAGTTTCTGAAAAGCCTTATGGGAAGCCCAGCGTTGGGCGTCAGTAAAACAGCAGTTGGCTCGTTCATAAAACAAGATTATCCATGATCGTTGATAATCCTTGGGTCACCGTAACGAATTATGGGATCACTCTGCGGACGACAGGACGGATAAAAGGAAACGAGACAGATTGAATGGTAAGGCAGTTCCATCCCATTGATGATCTCAAATGACCCATAAGGTTTACCTAGGTAATTACCGACGCAGCCGGTCAGGAAACTCTCATCGTTCTGAATCCCAGATCAAACTTCAGTGAATGTTACTGAAATAGGATTATACACTCGTATTTACATGAATTATACAAAGAGGTAGATCCGCAGCCCCGAGTAAGGAGCACTTGGGAGTAGAAAAATAATCTGGCTTCCTTTATAAGTCAACGATTATGATGAAACGGTGCTAAACTCCCATGGGTATTCGATATTCTTATTCACCAGGACCATACGCCTTCGCCATCACCCATTAACGCATTAACGGCCTCATGCCTTTATTACACTGGGTATATCATCCATCGTCAAACCATCATCACGCAAAGCGATAAAACAATATTATAATGCTAGATCCGCTGCTCATTTGTGCCGAAGGACTTATGCACCACTATTCCCTGGCCATCGAAATGGTCCATATCGATATCCGAACCCGCAGTGACAGCTGCATTGGCCGGAAGTGATAAGCCAACCTCTGAGACCTGAGAGCCATCAATATCGTGTATACGTTGCGACTGGGCACGTGATTGCGTGAGGGATATGCCTCTGCTGTTATTGCTGCTGCCCCGGGAGCCCAGAGATGTGAGGCTGTGTACGCTGTGAATTATGCTCTGGACTTTTTCCGATTTTAAAAGGCCGTACTGAACGGGAAGACAGGCGGCGATGACACCGAGGCCGGCTTCAAGCATCGAGAAATAGGTGGTGAGGGTGGTGAGGTCTGAGAAGTTAGTATAACAAGGAAAACTAAAAATTGTGAACAAAACCTACACTCTTCATCAGAATCCGGGTCGAATTGAACGGCTAGCGCTCGTTGATATATGACCATACGGACAATGGACATGGCGATAGTTCTGTAGGTATTAGCACAAGAACTTTTTTGGTAATGAGGCACTATGGAGACGTACATGGCACCTAGACCAAATACACACATGATGGCAAACTTGCGACGGGTGGGCAAATGAAGTTTCCAGATCTATCATATTAGCATGTTTCTCATCTCACGTGTTTCAGTACATACCTCGCCGATAGGTAGCAAGATCGTCAAGAAGTCCATGATCACATCCGAGATGGCATAACCCATATGCACTGGCCCAGTTGGTAAACAGTATTTGGCTTCGGTTTCTCCGCTAGTCCAGTAGGCCGCAAAGTCGGTGCCACAGAGGAAGAGGAGGAGGAAGAAGAAACAGATCGTCCAAGCTATCACCGAAGCGATCATGAAGTAGTTGACCCAGGTGAACTCCCAAGCCACGTACTTGGTGAAGACGCGACGGTAGAAGAGGAGGAAGCTGAGTTTTATGCAGCCCAGGGCAGGGACCTGGAGGAGTTCGGTAGGCCAGCCAGCCTGTGAGGGTTACTCATGTATCACGATTTTGAGAGAAAGAGAGCATATACGCACCACATTAGCATCTGGGTGATTTGGACCCGCGTCTCCCTCTGAAGCAGCGTAGCCAAATCCTTTTATGCCTGTTTCTGTAGGGGGTAAGTATATTCCAATTAAACATTCGCAAAGATTCAACTAACGTACCGACGAGAATGGTGACAGCCATGCCAATGACGAAGAGCTGAACATATGTTAATACTATGCAAACACAGTAATCGTCCATTATTTCTCACCAACGCCAGGCTAATTGCCAAGTCATCCAGCCCAAGCCTGGAGTTCTTGACACGACGCGCATAGAATCGCAAACCCACCATCAATGAGCAGAAGACAATCAAACAGACGGCCTCTGCAATTACAACGGGGGCGTGGATACGGATGTCCTGGATGGCTGTCATGGTGTTGACGCATACGTTGTCGATGGGTATGGTGTTGATAGTGTCTGGTCGCGATGGAGATACATACTCTGTATATGATAAAAGGCCCACTGGTGGCGCCCCCCATAAAAGTATATCTTCATCAACGCCTTTCTAATTCGGGGCGGGACTCCGGGAGGACGGACCGGGGCGTAGCGGAACTAGAATTAGCGCACGTCAAGTGTCAAGGGCCCCTCGCTGGTGGCTGCATACCATATATCCATGACCAATTAGAACATCCTAAACATGTAATAATTGCCCTTCGGTTAGCCAGGATGATCAGCTAATACCCTGGTCGGCGAGTATTTATCCTACCAGAAACAACATAGAGACGGGAAGACGTCGCAGCAGTGTGTTGTGTTGTAAGGACGATCAGGGATTAGAAATGAGCATACCTCGACCAGGGCAGGGACTGGGGTCAGCCGTAGCTAGACTGATCAGAAGGAGGGCCAAACTTTTCAGAGCCGAATTATTTACACTTTTACCAGGGTACACCAGATTTATCTAGAGCATTAATTTCCACTAGACCAGAAGGTCTGGTAGACAATACATATACACTGCTTATACGCGGGACAAAGGTTAGTTACTTATAGCAAGAAAAGAATGGCCGCAAACAAGAGGCTCTGGTCTAGTCGTGGTAGGCGTGCTCATCCTTGTAATCATCCTTATAGTCGTCCTTATAATCGTCCGAAAGATCCTCCCCGTGTCCCTTGAGGATGTCTCCTGGATCATACCTTCGCTTTCGCATGAAGGCCTCCAGCCGATCCCAATTTACGCACTCCCGGGTAACGTCCGGGCGGACGCTGAGGTCGTGCCACGGTCTGTGTGACCAGTAGAACCGGTTGGTGGTGAGGTCAGGATGGCACATCATCGAGGTGCGCATAGCTTCGAGGCAGTGGGCTAGGCAAATTCGATCAGTAGCTGGCCGACGAAGGGAATAATAATAGATGTAGGAGAGCATACTGGTATGTTCCAGATCATTTTTTCTCTGCTCTGCCGTCATGTTGGGATAGTAATGATCTGCCTGGAGAGTCTGACGGATCCGTCGCTGTGGGATGTTAGTTTGAGCTCTAAAAAAAGAAAAGTGAATACCTACCAGACAATGCAGATTGTGATATACACCCAGCATATACAGGCTATTTCCATTCTTCATTACCACGGTACGTGACCCATCCAGATGTTTAACTTCGTCAGGGAATACTTGCAAACCATGTGCTGGAATAATCAGTTCTGCGAACTTTTGAAATTCACGACAATATACATACGATGAATTAGACGGTTCCATGCGCGCTCCGAGTCATCGCTAGGCTCCCCGAAGTAGAGATGGTTGCTCCAGTAGTTCCACGGTGGTGTATCAATGATGTACTCAATGGCCGGAGTGAGAGGAGCTGGGCTCAATGCTGTTAGTAGAAAGTAGATTAGATTTATATAACCTTAGACGTTATTCACATACAATACAGCTTCGGTTGAGGGGACTCAGTGAAGAGCAAAACGGTGCGAGTGAGCGGGATCAAGTTGATGACAATGATGACCAAGACGACCGCTAGGGTATGTGTCAACACCGAAGTCAACCACGGCCACCGAGGGCTTCGCCGTGAGAGGCGAACATCCTCCAATCCCGCAGACTGCTCGTGATCCTCCAAGAGTGGCTCTGCTTCGATTCCCATAGCGTATATATTGTGTAAAAATCTGTGTATAACGCCAAGGGACAGGAAATAATGGAGTACCCAGAGCGAAATTGAGGCGATTCCCAGTTAAAAAGAGAAAATGAAAGAAGCAGCCCCCAATTTCTCATATCAGTTAGCCCTCCAGCTAATCAGTAATCTCCGCCGCTGAGCAATGGTGGGATAACTAATGGACGGACGGCCATCCATAGACATCTATGGATGTGATGGGCGCGCATCTGCAGTGTGCAGTATGGAACGGACCTACCACGATACTTTACCAGCAACAATAGTTTGGACTAACTAACTAAACCAGGAAGTTGCGCACATAATATGTTCTAGTATAGCGGTATACGGCTGAGAGAGCTGAATACATTGCATGTACAAAGCTGTAGTGTGAGGAGGGGGTACTTCAAATGCCGACAGGGAATTCGCAATCCGGAGAAAAGTGACATATAAGAAGGTTGAAGTCAATTCTAAGGTCTGGTAACAGATACCACAAAATATCAATAAAGATATTTTTCGGCGTTGAAGTACCCAAAATCTCTCTATATTTATACCATTCTACGTGAAGGGCAGTCCAATATGCGTACACAGCTTATTTTACTCCTCACCCTTTTCTGTACTGCTATGGCTCTCCCAATGCCACATGCAGAAGGTAGAAATTTCTTTGGAGATGCTTTTAAAAAGACTCTAATTGACAATCCACAGAGACAGATGACTATCCCGTCGGCACCGAATACGAACTTGCCATTGACTGAGCTCCCTGAGACAAAAATGAACACTGAATGACAGGGTGATGGGAATTGAGGGGGAAGGGCACAATTTGCCTTATCAGTCAGCAACCTGCACTGTGATTGGCGAACGGCGTCAGCGAAGAAGGGAGGACTTAATGGACAAATGGGCAATTGTGGAAAATATAGGAGAATGGAAATGTATTGAGCCTTACTTGTTCTAGTAAATGATAGCCTTCATAACTCTATTCCAAAGTCCAATCGCTATGTATAGGTCTAAGTCATCTTCGTATAACCGTGATCATACAATCAAGCTTGATTAGCATATCTAATTGTAGCTATTAGGAAGTCTACTTTATTCCGTCTACCTTCGCCTAACAGTATTTCTTCCGATACTCCTCTGTACAACCTCGAAAATCACTCGCCAGACACGGCTCTTCAGGATCATTCCACCAGCCCTTGCGGTGAGAAGAAAGTCCAGCCTCACAAGCAAGCTTATCCGTGTAATAGACCAGATCTGCATGGAAGTTGACACCGTCAGCACCTCTAGTCGGATAACGTCTTCGTGATAAGGCGTTCATATATGCCACTTGGCGCTTTGCCTCACCTAATGGCGGTAGAGTTACATGGCCATCCCAGTATGCGGTAGCCCAAATAGCCTGAGCATCAGCGGCGCGGAAGTTGTTGGACATTCGAGCTCTCCCTAAAAAGAGAATGGAAGGATCAGATAGGGAAGCCATGCCGTTGTAGAGCCTGGCTGGTGTGAGGTTATCACCCCCGACAAATTTGGCGTCGGTCGGCGGCGAGCCCAGAATGGGATACGTTCTTAGAATCTCTGCATCTGCTTGTTTTATCAAATCTTTCCAGGTTTGGTCTTCGGTCGAGGCGCTAGGTTGATGTGGGAGACCCAATTGAGAGGCTTGTTCATTCGTGAAGAAAGGGTACGAGGAGTTCCAACCTGTGCCACATAAAGCGACATCAGTAGGCACTTCTCTTCCGTCCATCAATATTATGGCGTCGGATGTAGTACCACATGGATCACCCCGGTAGACGTGTACGTTCTTACTGACTAAATCCCAAAAATCGTCCTGCTGAATGACTCCAATAGGACCGCTGCTCCAAAAGAATCTGTTTAAGTTAGCTTTGATATAATGTAGAGTATGCATATAGAATTTATAAAGAGACAACTCACGATGCTTTTGGTTCCAAGTCACGAAAGCCTGGAAGAGCCCCTTCACGCCCACGATAGTTCGCCCAGGCCTTGAATCGATGATCGGCGGCATACAGTTTCTCCTCGAGACTAGCTCTCGCTGACTCGTTTTGATGAAGTGAGAGAGCCGTACCAGAAAGCTCATGGAAAAAAGAAGGGCTGAGCGTCGCAGCTTTCTGGGTTGCCCCGGCTTCTGCCGCATGTTTGTATCTCCCACTAGCTGCTGGATCCATGAATATGCCTGGGCCTTCTCCTGAAGTTCGAATGATCCAGTTAACATTTTTCCCTTTTTTGAGAGCACCGTACACCATGTCGGCTGCTGATTTTCCTCCCCCAATAACGGTGATGTTTCTGTAAGCTGAATCGGGCTCCAAGATCTTCTCATGAGCTCCAAGGTCCCGATGATGAAGCATGGGAAATTTACAATCGGAACTGAGAGGGAAGGTTGGCATATTTGGCAATGATGTGAGTCCTGATGCGACAGCCAATTTCTTACAGTACCAAGACTGAGGCTCGGTACCTTTGATATGCAAGAGCCACCCATCACCGTGCTTTTCCACTGATCGCACATCTGCATTGACCCTGATTCGTGATCGTAAAGATTCCCCATTGTAGACATGGCTGTCGACATATTCTTTCAGATATTTGGTTACATACTTGGCCTCAAATGTTCCGTACGCCCTGGGAGCATCGTCCGGGATGTCGAGAGCTACGTCTGCCAACGACGTCATACGTAGAGGACTTTGCGCCCAGAACGCCTCAAACACCCTTTCTGAGTACCAAGTTAGAACACATTCCGATGGAAGATACAGCTACAAACCTGCACTCCAAACCCCGCCAATGTCGGCATCCTTCTCGAAGATCACGAGGCGCGCTTCAGGGTGGATGTCGAGATAGAATCGCGCAAAGGCGATGCCGGTTAGACCTAGTCACAGTGAGCGTGGCTTCTGGGATATTTGCATTTATGTAACTCACCAGCACCTATGACTGCTACATCAACCTCCATGGCCGACATACACATAGCAAAAGGAGCCGCTGAATCGAGAGAGCACACGTTTTGTAGCTCGGAGTCGCAATATGAGCCGATAATCAGCGTGCTGAGATTATTATAGGCTATTAGCTGCATGTAAATAGTTAAAGAAGAGTGTGGTCGTGTTACAGCCCCCGCAGTGTTGAGTACACGGCTTCAGTCTTAACTTTCTCGGATATTTACAGTAGCCACAACCCCCGTCGGACGCAATATATGTAGGAAGGAGCATGTTTGGACATGATCGACACATCCATCTGTTTGATAGGTCCTATTGGGAGGAATACATATCTCGCTATATGCAGGGTTCTCTATATTGACCGGGGTAGGATTTTTTCCTTTGTTTTTCCCGGCATTCACGGTTCCGAGTCATCAGCCGAAAGGTTGCTTGTCTGCCCCATCATTCATTTTTATACGCTGGTGGTTCGAATGAGCGTTCGAATCGTGAAGGTTTATAGCTTTAATGCTCACTTGGCACGTCGGGCAGCCTTTAACCCTATTATACGTGTGCTATGGAGAAAGACCTTTCCGACATTCCTGCACCAGACGCCGCTGGGCCAGCCACGATACTTGCAGGCATAAATAGCCAGAAGGAGACAGAACCATCGACGTCCCTTGAGTGGGCGAGTAATCCTAGGAATCCTGTCAACTGGTCTCCCACACGGCAATGGGGCATCATCGTCCTCCTCTGGGGTGCCAACACTGTGGCGTATGTTCTCCATGTCGTCTATCGTTGTCTTCATTTTTACCACAGACCTGCAATCGTTGTACATGTTAATTTAAAGTCGTTATCTGATCATAATCTAGCTCTATCTGTTCTACTGCTTTCGAACCTGCCCTGCCGTTCGTCCTGGATGATTTCGGTACTCATAGTGATACTCTATCCTCGTTCACCATTTCAATATATCTCATAGGGTTTTGCTTTGGTCCACTGTTAATCGCCCCTGTGAGTGAGCTTTATGGACGCGTTATTGTGCTGTACCCCAGCTTCGTAGTCTACCTCGGTGCCCTAGCCATCTGTGGGAGCAGCAACAATATCGCTGTGTTCATCGTCTTCCGTGCCCTGATGGGGTTTGCAGGCATTACGTTTCTGATTTGTGGACGGGCTGTTGTCGCAGATATAATTGCACCCAAGCGGCGTGGTCTGGCGGTGACGTTTATAACTAGCGGTGCTACATTTGTAAGTCACTGGAATGATATCGTATATCTCTGTGCTGACTAGGTAGGGTCCGACTTTAGGTATATCACTATAATAGCTTCAAGCCGAAATGATGAGACAGCTGACAGCCCAGGACCAATTGTCGGCGGCTATATCGCCGAGACCATTGGATGGCGATGGATTTTCTGGATTTCAATGACATTTGTAAGTGATTCTATTCTTGTCTACGCATGACATATTTAAACAATTTTGGGGCGCAAAAAGAGCCTTATTACTGGCATATCGAAACTCATACAAACCTCAATGCTACAATGTCAGCTTACAATATACAGTTGGGAGCATGCATGCTCGGATGTCTACTCACTCTCCGAGAGACATATCCTCCAATTGTCCTCGCTCGTCACCTCAAGCAGCAAGCAGACAGCACCAAAGCAGCAGAAAAGCCAGCGTCACAGTTATTGATCACAGCATGCACCCGTCCCCTTCGGTTCATATTTCGCACACGCTTAATACCCCTTTTTACTCTCTACACCTCCATTCTCAACTCCTATCTCTTCATCCTACTTTCGACCCTCGGGACCACTTTCCAAAGCAGCTATAGATTCTCACCCGGTGCTAGCGGCCTTGCATATCTTGGAATGATGGCAGGCTTTGTGCTCAGCCAAGCTACTTTGGGTGTATTCTCTGACTTCTATGCCAATCGGCAAAGTCAAAGACGCCCGGATAAGACCATCAAACCGGAAGATCGACTTCCACCTCTCATTCTTGGAGCCGTAATTCTTCCTGGTGCTCTTCTTTTTTACGGGTGGACCTTGGAAAGGCACACGATGTGGATTGCCCCCATAATCGGGAGTGGCCTTGTGGCTTTTGCAGCCATGTACTCTTACATTCCTGTGCAGATATATGTGATCGATGTGTATACTCTCCACACAGCCAGTGCTACCGGTGCCATGTCTATTATCCGCAGCGCCATATCGGCGGCAGTACCTCTCGGCGCAGATCCGTTGTATGCGCGCTTGGGATATGGATGGGGATATACATTGCTTGCGGGCTTGGCTTTACCATTTATTATACTTGGTGTTGTACTTGTGAGATGGGGAGAAAGGATTCGGCAAAGGGAATCCGCACTTGATTAGTGTAGGAGTGTCTTTTACGCGCTCATAAAGTAAGTTATGTTTATTATCAAATATTACTGGATGGAATACATATATCTAACAATGTAATATACAACAAGAATGGAAACACATAATACGAGCAAACAATACCAAATGACTCCCGCCCATCCCTTATTTTTTTCTTGTTATATCCAAGTCTTGAACAAACCTAAATATAGAAACCCTGTTTCTTCACCAATACTTCATTTTTCCCAATCAAAAGATCCAGCCGCAAGCTCTGCATCATCAACTGCATCATCGGTACGACAGCCTTATCCTTCAAAAGTTGCTCCTTCTTAATCCAAAAATGTTGGTAATTCAACGAGCCAATGCAGTCGGAACCAGATTCCGGGTACTCATTAGCTTCGCTACACCGTATAACCAGCAGATCATCCGGATCGTTATATGCGTGACGAATTATAGAGGAATATGCACCTTGCTCAGCTGGCCAGTTATCCCTGAACTTCTCACAACCAGGAAAACGGACATGGTCATCCACACAAGATTTCCAACCCTCCCATATCTCGAAAGTTCGAGGCGTGTTTTGCGCGAGGATGAACCCTGTATTTAAGTTCACTTTCCCTTCCCAGTCTAGGTTGAAGTCCTCGTTCGGGTCGGAAGGGATTGCGACTTTGGTGTTTTTGGTGAAGTTCCAATAGTTCATTTGCCATTCCATGGGTAATGTGAGCTCTTTGAAGATGGCATCTGCTTCGACATTTAGGAGATATTTGCATTCTTTTAGGTGCTCGATGACGGCGGGTACTTTGGCCCAAGACATATAGCGATCTGATGGCTTTTGTGCAAGATGGACGAAGGCATATCTATATCCGTGGATCATTGCTATATCAAGTCAGCCCCGATATTCCAATGTTTATTGTAAGATACTCGTACCATAAAGATAATGATTTAAAAGACCAGCTGAAAACTTGTCGAATGAGTCCCAATTGAGGGGTTGTTCATTGAAAAGCTCATGTTTCTTCGAGAACGGCCGATTGTCAATGTCCACGACACACAGATCCTTGCCCAATGGTTTTGTCCATATGGGGTCATTCTTCAAGGTGAAATTGTATCCCTCATATGTCGAAAAGTACGGGGCAGTTATTGGATGAATGAAAGGGGCATTCATTTTTCGTATCGCCTCGGCATATGGATGACTAGTTCCTGGCTTTAATCTGAATATAAATGCCGACGATTCACTATTGTAGTATTTTAGCACATGCAGGATCACAAAAGCATCCAGGATCAGGTTTACCTGAAGTATAAGCGGAAGTAAATTGGAATTGACAAGCCGCAAACGACGAGGACGGCTAGATGAAGAAATCTCGGGTATTTCATGGATGTGGTTTTAATGACCATGAGTATGGAATATGAGAAATTCGGAGGCAACTCGCTCAAGAAGTAGTCAGTAGCCCTTCTTAGCTATGTCTTATGAAAGGCTTGGAATGCTCAATGTTCCAGTTAAGTATTCGATTAACAGATGGGATGAATTAAGAGACGTTCCTTGATATTAAATATAGCAGAAGACCACCGGTTCTATAAAAAGGATTTGATGTATACCCACATAAGCTGAAATACCAAATAATTTGAAACATAGAGTAACTTAAAATATGAATATCTAGTACAATAGTCAAAATATAAGAGCCAAGCCACTGAGGTAGCGAGCTTTAGAATCCCGAGTATGGATCAGCCCACCTGCAAGCTCCTAAGATCATACGCATAATTTCCTAGCAGAGTTCTATAGCGAGCTTAGATATGAGCTATTTTGTATATTCTTACGAGCAATTGAGTATGGCGATCTAGGAGATGCTTATAAGGCAGCACGTGTACAAGGAATCCAGATCTTTATAAGGAATCCCACATATGAGCAACCCAGGTTCTTATCAGGAAGCTTACGTACAAGTAATTTTGTTGACTTCCATAAGCTGAAAGCTGAATCGCGTATGAGTAATCTAATTTTTTATGAGAAAGTCATATAGGTATAATTAAATTCTCATGGGCAAGTTTCCGTACAAGTAGGCTTCAGTTAATTATATGAAGGATCCATAAAATGTAGCCCATCAGAATATACTGTCCCTACCTTAGTCCACTGTGAGAAAGTATCTAGCATTTGAAATCTATGTAGATAGTGCATACAGCATGGCAGCGCCGGGACGGCGCTACTTAGGTGAGCAATGGACCACGCTAATTCGAAAACGGTTAGCGCTATGTGGAAAACTCAGCTACACTCCGAGTCGTATTCTAGGAGAGAGTTGAATGATGTACGAAGTACATAGTACAGTCGCTAGCTGGTTGTTAGAAAATTTACTTGTTGAAGCACAGCTTGGCATCCGCTAGTCACTTCCGACTAAGGTGCTTGACCTAGTGGTTTATAACCGACCCTATTTCTAACATTTTTGGCGCTTAACCCGCTATCGTACATGGTATATGATATAGGTTACCAAAGGCAAACTTGACCTTCAACGAACCGAGCGCCAAGGTTTCAGGTACTGGACGCCTTATTAATCGGCCAATACCATAGAACATGTGTTGAAAGGAGATTTTGATGGCGTGGCGTGGTGCATTCTCAGCCTTATGAGCCGCTATGAATCTTTGCCAATCAAGCATTAGGTTTAGTAAAACAAACATCGTCAACGACTCCGAAGATGGACCCGTCATATATAGGAGAACTAGGCAGGAAAGCCACTGGGAACATATATGTGTCTAACCATGAAATCTGACTTATCAAAAGCATCATCAAGGCATAGCAATGTTAAGATTCGCTGGCGCTTTGAATCAGTAAGTTCTGGCTATCACCAGGGCTCCAGATACTTCACTTGACTATGTTTTCATCCCAGTTTTGTCCAATTAGGACCTTCGTTATCTAGCTACGAAGTATACACTCAAGATATTCCATGACTCAAGTGAGTCTGGGTATGGCCTTCATTACCCTGATCGCCGATACGAACAAAGATAGAGTATGATCATAGGTTTTGGGCGATGGTCTTGCCGCGGACCGAGTGAGACATCGATACAGGCCTCATCAAATAGAAGAGAATAGCAATATATTTTCAAAGCTTAATTGTACTGACACCACCACAATTTCTACGCTGTACCTAGCGTGCTCTAGTTTGATAGCGTGTAGAGTTTGTGATGATTCATAGAGTCTCAAGGTGTGATGATAAGCTGCTTGCTCTGAAACCAATACCGGATACCTCTTCGATTGTCTCTTCATTTTAATAGAGACTCTTTTGAGTGGAATATTTCTAAGATAGAGAACGTAACTGTTTATTGATATAATTATTGCTTTATAGTGCGTCGAATGTATGTCACTGCGGTTTTGTTATAAACGAGCAGTCTTAGCCCTATCCTCAGAATTGACTCCGATTCCGAACCAGATCCTCGTATTTGTCACTAAGTATGCGGGGAAACTCAGGGTCTCACCCACTACTTAGCGTTCAACAATGTCATTGCTTAATCGACCTAAGACTGAACCACTAAATTAGGGCCGAAACTACCAATTTGTATAGTAGCGAAATTGGCTCTCATTGGCGCTATTCGAAGGATTGGAAACCCTTTTCTGCTTCAGAAGTAGACTCCTGGCTCTCCGCAAACCTTCTGGAACTACCCCCACGCTACGCAAAGAGTAGAATTGAAGTGAAGCACCGATTCAATCACGATAGGTATCATCCAGAACAAAAGCACACAAATATGCGTAGTCTTTGGGCCTAGACAGTAGAGTCAAAATGAGGAGGAACCCGCAAGTGTCGATTTAACCCATCATCGCTGTAACAGTTCCACTCCGAGGCCGACAAGCACAGAGATATGATGTAGAATTAGCAGTATATTGGATATAGTTTTTGTATAGCCCTACGCCCTGCACCTCTATCCAGATCCTATCTTTAGTAGATCTTAGGGCAATGCGAGAGAAGCCCTAATCTACTCACCTAGAGGATTAGGGCTCTAGAGATCACGTTTGCACGGACATCGGAAATAAGGGTTAGGGTTAATATGAAACTAACGGGGAAACTGGCCAATGACGTCAAATCTCGAACCAGCCGAGGTTCAGAGTGATACGTACAGAGTACCTGAGCACTGAGTCTATGATGAATAAATAGTTCAACTTAAAAGGCACATTTGAGTCCCAAATTGGCGAATTGACATATTGACGAAAATGTCTTTGTGCATGAGAAACTCTTATATGAACTTCCATTCAACCGATGGTGTCGTCCAAGCACAATGAAGAGTCAAAAATAACAGCTGTTACCGTACCATACCAACCTGGAGCGTAATAAAACGCGCTCCCCTCAGCCGAGGCTACGGCTCTTTCTCGTTGCGCTTCACCCCGGCTAACTCCAGCTTTCGTTTCCGCTGGCCTTCCCCATGATCTCACCATATAACCAATCCTTATCACAGAGATTATTTTAGTTCGACACGTCTTGCTTGTGATTTTACCTTTCTTTTAATCACCTATCAAAATTTTTTTTCTCCTGTTCAATACCATTTTTGCGCCGTGATTTATTCAGTCGAGGGGATGTTTCTGACTTCCGCTCGAAGTCGTCTCTCACCCTCTCTCGGACGTGCTCCCGCTTTGCGACTATCTAACAGGACTTCTCCTGTAGGTTGTCTCAAGTATTCAGACATAGAGTATTTGCTGATATTCTTCTACTTACAGATATTAGCTATGGCGCCCCAACGGCGAAAGCAATCTTCTGTTCCGGAGGGTAAGTCGACCCGCTAAAGTTACCTTGATGCATGTGACTGACTTCAACAGGTTATGTCGAGGATCTTTCCAAAGGCAAAATGCTTCGTTTCGAAAACTCCCTTCCCAAACTCCCCGTCCCGACACTTGAAGAAACCGCAAAGCGCTACCTAAAATCCGTTCATCCGCTACTTTCGGCTTCCGAGTACGAACGGACGACCAAGGCCGTGGAAGAATTCATTAAGCCAGGCGGCCAAGGAGAGACACTCCAAAAGAGACTTATCGCTCGTCGCGACGACCCAAAGATCAATAACTGGCTCACCGAATGGTGGAACTTTGCCGCTTACTTGGGCTACAGAGACCCTGTGGTCCCTTATGTTTCTTACTTTTACTCTTACCGGGATGACCGCCTACGTCGCAGCAACCCTGCCGCGCGTGCTGCCACCGTGACCCTTTCCGCTCTCGACTTCAAGCGCCAGGTTGACGATGGATCTTTAGAGCCAGAGTACTTGAGGAAACTGCCCATGGCAATGAGCTCATACCAATACATGTTTAACTGTACCCGTATCCCTGCTCTGCCCGCTGACTACCCTCAAAAGTACTCGCCCGAGGAGAACAAGCACTTTACTGTTGTCCGCAAAAACCAATTCTTCAAGGTCCCCTACGTCGTCGATGGCCAACAGCTCACATCCGGAGAATTGCAAAAGCAATTTGAGCACATCTATGAACGTGCTGAGCATCCCGTCAACCCTGTCGGTGTCTTGACCGCTGCAAATCGTGACCACTGGACCGCGTCACGAGCAAAATTGCTCGAAGCTAGCCCCGCTAATGCCAAAGCATTGAAAGACATTGAGTCCTCTGCTTTCTTGGTCTGCTTGGATGACGCTGCTCCTGTGACTCTTGAGGAGCGAGCACACCAGTACTGGCACGGTGATGGATGTAATCGTTGGTTCGACAAGCCACTCCAGTTTATCATCAACGATAACGGGACTGCTGGATTCATGGGTGAACATAGTATGATGGATGGTACTCCCACGCATCGTTTGAACGACTACGTCAACAGTTTGATCTTTGGCAACAAGCTTGACTTTGACAACACACCGGTCCGATCTACACTTCCCCCACCAGCTCCCATCAACTTCGAGCTCAACCTTGAGACCGAGAAGGCCATCAATGAAGCGCTCCAAGAACACAAATCTCAAATTGCTGCCCATGAGTTGCGCGTACAAGCATTCCAGGCTTACGGCAAAGGATTGATCAAGAAATTCAAATGCAGTCCCGATGCATACGTCCAGATGGTGATCCAACTCGCCTACTACAAGATGTACGGCATCAACCGACCCACATATGAATCTGCGTCGACCCGTAAGTTCCAAGAAGGCCGTACCGAGACCACCCGAACCGTATCCGACGAGAGTGTCGCCTTCTGTCGCGCCCACCAGGACCCCAAGGTCCCTCGCGAGGAAGTCGTCAAGCTGTTTCGCGAAGCTCTTAAACAACACACAAAGTATACTTTGGAAGCCAGTGATGGCAAGGGTGTTGATCGCCACTTGTTCGGCTTGAAGAAACTATTACAAGAAGGCGAGAAGCTGCCTGAAATTTACCAAGATCCTGCATATACCTACAGCAGCTCGTGGTATCTGTCAACCTCCCAACTCAGTTCCGAGTATTTCAATGGTTACGGTTGGAGTCAAGTGATTGACGACGGATTTGGTATTGCTTATATGATCAACGAAGACAGGTTAGTTTTCTCTACCATGCCCGTGTAAACCACATACTAATATAGTTTCTAGTCTCCAATTCAACATCGTCTCCAAAAGACTCGGCTCAGAGCGCATGAGTTTCTATCTCAATGAAGCCGCGCTCGAAATCCGTGATGTATTAATGCCTGACCTTTTGGCTGAGAAGGAGAAGGCCAAGTTGTAAACTTGTATATATTTTTTTCTTTCCTTCATCTTCTAAAGAGCTTCGTCGTCCGCGTGAAGTGGACTATATAGATTTGATACAGTATCCTGTCAAGTGTTGACCAATGAATGATATGAGTTGATCGGATGAACGGAATGATCGACCTGACTAACTTAGTGGTAAATAATTCTATCTGTACCTGGTTCGTCGTATCACATAACTGGCCAGATGTACTAAGCTAGGTAAAGATATCTGAGCAGTGAGAACCGGAAATATACCGCTCATCGAAAAACAAGGCCCGGTTTGGTTTTGTAGGTATATTTTCCGCTGTCAATATCCAATCAACGTACTCACCCACCACTTAGTTACTCACTCTTGAGTTAAGTTTCGTAGCTATGTAGTAGAAGGTGGCCCGATATCATGCCCAGTGCGATGTTGTAACCCTCCGACACCCTTTTGTATTATAGCGACCAACACACTCAGGCTCTCGCAAACGGTCGTATAAGACTCATAGAAGGATCTGTGGATGACTCTTTGAATAACATAAATTGGCGTGATACAAGGGCTGCTGGAAGAAGGGTTCTGAATCCTGAATGTAAGTATGCTATGTGAAAAAAAAAAAAAAAAAACGAATTAGGGAGCCAGATTCGAATCACAGATTACTCCTACCTTCCAAATAACATAAGGACGGTCCAACTGCTTTTAACGAGACAGGATTGCGATCTATAGCTCAAACCTAAATACCCCATGGTGACGCTGTCCAAGCTTCCTCTCCACGTCTAGCTCGTCTGTATAGTCCTGATCAAATGCGTCGCGCACAACATTTTCCATGGCCTCATCATTAATTATCTCATACATTGCTTTTGTGAACTCCCAATACACAGGAAAATATTCAGCACATTCGCAATTTACTAATGTAGTCAGCCTTCCTTGGTCAGTGAGAATGTCGGTCGAGTTAATGTCCGCATGGATGAAGAATGAAGAATGATGCCGTGATTGGATTAGAGTAACTGCTTGTCTAGTTTCGTTGGCATGTGTTCTGGGATAAGGTGTTTATGGAAATCCGATGCTTGAATGAATGACCCAAATTCACCAACACGGTAATCGAAAAGGGCGCTGCCTAAGGTGCTTGCGAAACAATAGGGTGTTTGATTTGGAATATTCCGAAGTTTAGAGATGATTATTTTGAAATCTTGGAAAGCTGCTCGCACTCTTGAAATGAGAGCCGGTGAAAAAACACTCTGATGGTCTTCGGCACAGAATGCCAAACTCTTCGCATTTTTTGTTGAACAGGTTTACTCCATATAACTATGCAAACATCCACAAGAAGGATGCATTGAAAAAGATTGCTCTTGCGGCAATCTCGGAATTTACGTTGGCTGCGTGAACTCTTTGGCAAGACCATCTCGTTTCTCGAAAGTTGAAAGCCACGACTCTACCAATCTGCAATGCTTCCTATGTTTCCGATACCATATCAATCTAACCTACAGACAAGTATAGGAGTCGCTCTCTTGGCTGGCTACAATGTCTACTCGTTCAGAAATTCTTCCGGATTTTCCGGACGACATTCACAGCAAACATGAAATAGCCACCCCTTTCTGCGATGTCCATCCACTCTTCAATTTGCAGGGCCGATTACATCGTAGCCGGAGGAAGCCAAGGTGTTAGCTCTACTGTCGTCCATGCCATCTCTGTATATGACGGGAACATTATAGTGCTGGACATCAGAGATACTCGAAGAGTTCGGAATGCTCACAAAGAGATATGGTATAAAGATCATATATATCACAACGGCGTAGCCGACGAGAAGAGCCTTACGTCTTCATTTGATCAGGCCGTACAATTCCTTGGCTCCTTGAATGGGTTGTTTACCTCTGCAGGCAGGGGCCGCAACTGAGAAGCCTTTCGTTGAACATACCTGGACAGACATGCAAAGAGTTCAAGAGATATGTTTCCCAAGCCAGAATGCCTTTACGCAGGACGGAGGACTGAAAACACACCGAAGGTCCTCGGGACATTTTTTCGCAAGTCAACTAGCTGCCAAGCAGTTTCTTAAGAAGGGAAGTCCTGGAAGTATCGTCCGTGTCGCATCAATCATCTCGTACACAGTCCTTCCTAAATACCGCATGTCCACCTGCAGTTCCTCTAAGGGCACCGTAGTAATTCTCAGGGAGTTGTTATTGTCGAACTCGCGCCACTCTGAATCTGCGTGAATTCCATATCCCCTGGGTTTATCGACTCCGAGCATACGCGAGTTGTTGAAAAGGGAGCCCCTGTATCACCACCTATATATGCCTTCGACTAAGCAAGAATTGTGCTAGAAGGTATGCTTTGCTTTCCTGTTCTAAACTTTGTGATAAATACCAGTACTTATCTCGCTTTACCAGGAGAAGTAACCATCACCGATGAGACTGGGCAGACGACGACCTCCAAGTTGCGCACCAGGGAGATACTTTTCTTTTCTGTCGAGGGACTGGATTGACCATCTCATCCTCATGGTACGGATTAATCTTCAGAATTGAGGGTGCCTTTATGTGCGCAGATATTCTAATCAGTCAACTGATGCATAGAAAACTAAACTGGAGGTTTAAAACTTGGCTGTTTTCACCGATCCATCCCTTCTGAAATACTCTTGGTAACTGTGGATTTCAAGTAATGTGATGTGAAATCAATCCCAAATTGGATGTATGGTAGGCTAAGTATACCTAAGCAAAGTAGCATAATGCTAACCGTTGTGTCAAGGTACTGTGTGCCGGCACATACCAATCACTTATGTAGATAGTAGCAGTGCACTCCCAGCTGTAACTAGAGTTATATATCTACGTCATTGTAATATGTATATCAGAATGAATGGAATTTCATTTGTATGGGGCCAAAAGTGGTTTCACTACTCAAGAGTACAACATTATTTGCTTGTTTTGTGAAGCTTCTTGTCGAATGCCCTCGACCCTGAATGTATTAAAACTATGCTTCCTGATTTATTTTCAGTTCATTTCGCTCTTTGCGTTCCGTGTTGATGAGAGTAATAAAAATACATGATGTCGTGAATTGATGTTGGACTGATGAAGGCATGAATTAGTGAGTTTTTGTAGACTGATAGTTGAGTGCAATAGTGGACTTACTCCTGAGTTCATGTCCCTTGCATAGAAAATGTGTTGAATTAATGGTCTGTCAAGGTAGAGTCCCTAGATAGAATACCGGTTCTATCCTTCTCGTGCAGAGATCAGTCAATAAATCTAGATTCAGCCTGTGGCGTCTTTCTCTGTTGCCCGGGGCTCTTCCTGGGTAGCTGCAGAACCCGTATCCGCATCAACCTGAGTCGCAGTCGCAGTAGTAGTAGTAACACTGGGCCCATCAGAAGAATCAGTGTTCCCTGCGGCTGCTGCACCTGTAGAGGAAGCAGAAGAGGACAATTCAGCAATCTGACGCTCGAGAACTCGGATACGAGCACGAAGCATGCGATTGTCACGATTCAAACTAGCAATTTCAGCCTGGTAGTACGCATTGTCGTCCAGACTTCCTCGACGCGCTGCAATAGAGGAGTCATGTTGCTGTCTGTCCAACACATCGCTCAAGTCAAAGACCGAGTCGGAGGGTGGAGCGTTGGGAAGCGGGTAGAATGGTTGATAGGCTGTCGCTGCTGTCTCTGAGCCACGTGAACCACGACGAGTGGAGAATGGGGAGTGGGAATGCGAATGGACTGTTGACGAGCGAGAGACGCCTGGAGTCGGGAGTGGTGGGATGGTGGGGAACTGGTGGGAGCGCTCAGAGTTTGGAGTGAGATTGTTGTTGTCATCGACCACTGCAGTCCCAGAAGTGGATGATGAGCCCTGTTGTTGCTGGAGTTGGAGTTGCTGGAGCTGAAGTTGTTGTTGACGGATCATCTGGAGAAGACGGTTCTGTGGATCTATTAGCTTCAAGTCTTGATATTTCACTTTGTATGCTGTTCAGAAGGGGATATACCACTTGGGCTTCTTGCTCCTGTTCAAGTTCTTGATGCAACTCTCCCAAGGATGGTGCACGCTGATGATGCGGGTCCCCAGTTGCGATGATAGGACTCCCTCCCAAGCTCGATGGGCTGGCAGTACGAAAATAGTTGCTGAAAGAAGGTGAGCGGTGTTCATGATGATCAGTACCTGCAATAGCAGCAGCAGAGGGCGAATCATTCAAGTTGAGGTGAGAGCGTCGACGACCCTCTGAGATCGAAGGCCTAGTGCTCTGAGGAGAGCTGCGATGTCCACCACCGAGGGGTGAACCGTGTGACAGGTCTGCTGAGCTAAGAGGATTCATGGCTGCTGCTGGTGGAATGCTTGACGATCGTGAAGATGAGTGATTTCTGTCATTACTGCTTTGTCCTTCTGTGCTAGGAGCTGGCCAGTTGTTGCGTGCATGGAGCGGGGAAGAAGTTGATGATCTGGAGGGAGGGAGGGAGTTGAGGTCCGGAGCCATTTGGGCAGATTTTCAGAAAGTAAAGGGTCCTCAGCTTGTGTTTTTTTTTTTAGATTTTGTTTGCACTGCACCCCAGAGCATCAGAGAGTGAAAGAATGTTGTTTGATGGATTGGTTGATAGTGCCTGTCTGACATCAATGCGGGGTATCATGTGACAGCTCCAAAATTGTGACTGCAGCGCAGCGGCGATTGGGGTTAGGGTTAGGACTGAACATTCACAGAATTCTTTGTATTTATTCTTGGTTAATCTTCAAGAAGGTAGATATTGAGTATATGAATATTCGAGTAAGCGTCACGACAGGCACCAGAACTTAGAATACAGTATAATTACAGACAATTGAACATTGAGGATCATGAAGGTACACCCTCATAGTCCCAGCCTTGATTGACTCTCTTCCTCCGAGAAATTCTCCGATTGGAGTTGCACTTGACGAAAAGAGTCGCAGCTGTGATAACCAGAATTATAATCGCAGCAATGGTGGGCACAAGAACCGTTTTTCTGCCGACATTGTCTGCATCCGCTATATAGATACAAGTCGCGTTTGCGCCTCCCAATACCCAGCAGTATTGAACATCAATCGAGTTCAGATTGATCCAGACCGGCTCGTTTGGTGTATCGCTGGCCGATAGGACTGTATGGTACAAATATGTATTCTCCAGGCCGGTACGCGGTACGTCGAAGGATGACCCGTTTGAGCATATTTTGTTAGAATCGGCGAATGATTGTCTGCTGTCCGAGAGAACCCATGAATAAGGCCTACTGTCCACGCGACAGGCTGCGCGATAGGTGTCTGAGCAATTTCCGGCTCGCCAGTGCCCGTTGGAGGTAGGATCCATCATTGCACAGCGAAGTATGTCACTGCTGGGAGCGATTTCCTCGTAGCCGGGAAGACTACTTGCGTTTCGAGGCTCTCCCACAGCCCATGACCACATTGTCGATAGAGATAGGTTTCGATAGGGATCAACTCCAATATCCGCCGACTGGCCACCCAAGGTATGGTTGATAACAGGCGTGATACCACAGCCCGTATAATTCTTCAACAAAAGCGAAGTAGAGTGTGAGATGTTTGGGCCGATCTCATTAAGAGTCGACAATGCCCAAGAGTTGTTCAGATTCTTGGGATCCGTACTCTGCGGGTTGTAGAAACATCCAAACTGTAATCCTTGTCCAGCGGATGTCGCCGATACATTGATAGCGTCTTCTATATAATTCGTAGAAAAAATGTACGGCTCATCACCAGAGACATTGTACCCTTGTAGCTGAGGGTCAATGCTGCCTCGGCCAAGTATCAATCGCTTTGCCCGTTTGTTGATCAAGTAAGCCAGACAAGGCCATCCATCCGGCGTGCTTAGGATATGATTGTCTTGACGTATCGTGGTAAAGTACTCCTGTAACACCGTTGTTCTTGATCTGGTACCATGGTACCACGAATCATTGAGGTTGCTTCGTTCTTCTGCGAGTTCTGGGGGTGTGTATATAAATGAATCAAGAGCATTATTCGATATTTCTCCCAGCAGAAGAGATCCTGAGGGGAGATCTGCACTCGATACTATAGAAGCAGGTTGATCAGGATTGTTCGAGTCCGCCGCCACATGTATGTTGAACACGATGTAGAGAAACGTGGAGTCTATATCTGCGCTGCTAGACCTAATATAGCTGCGTAAATCCTCCATAATCGTTGTTAGATTGAAGGTGCCTGAGCAAGTATAGTTTCCTAGCCTGTAAGGGGAATCATCCGATGTCGAGTTGGAGGGAATTGAAACAGGACAGAGTAGCCATTGTCGATTTGAGGGAGACCAGTAAACATCGATAATGAAACGGCGGTATCCAACTGTCAAAAGATCCGATAAACAGAATGATCCTGCGTCTCCAAGATATCGATTATCGCCGAAGCATGCTGCGGTAAGCGCGATCGAAGGCTCCGTCACGTAGTTGATGGGGACTTGAGCTGAGACATCTCGTTGGCTCTGTGATTTCAGTTAGCTCAAATTATTGTTTACCGGGATGTCGGTATTACCAGTAAATCGACCCAGAACGTGCTGTTTAGCAGAGCAAAGTCCGACGTATAGCTCCCAGACATGCCGACCAGAGAAGCTGTGTTCAGGGTTCGCAGCGCGCAGTCATCTCAGAAAGTCTGGCATGCAGAGCCACAAAAGGAACAATAATTGCAACGTATTATAATCAACGGCAGGCATATTTCATGCCATTGTGATAGATGATGGGAATCAACAATCAAGAGGATAAGTTCAAGGGAAATGCGCGGGAGAATCCTATGTCATCGCCGGCGCTTTACCCCTTTGAGACACGCATCTGATAATGTGGCCTCTTCGGGCTAAATGTCATCCTCAACTTTCAAACCCCAACTCGACTTCACGCTTCGAATTTTTTTTTTTTTTTTTGAATTTACCTTACGGATAATATTCAACTGTACTGTCCACAAATTTCTATAATTGATTGCGACAAGTCAACACGCCCAAGATGGCTGCTCCTCCCGGAATGACACCGCAGCAAATGGCGGCATTTCAACAACACATGCAACAGCAAGTCGCCACTGAAGCCGCAAAAAGAGGAATGACACCAGAGGCCTTTGTGAAAATGCAGCGAGAACAGGTTGCCGCCGAAGCAGCCAAACATGGATTGACTCCGGAACAATATGTGCAAGGGTTGAGGATGAGGGCTTTACAACAACGTGCCGCCGCTCAACAAGCCGCGCAGCAAGGCCAACCAGGGCAGGCGCAAGCACAACAAGGAGCACCTGGACAACCTCCTCAAGGAGCGGTTCCACAGCAACAGATTCAAAAGCAGGTTAACGTTAATCCCAACAACCCTCCAGACCCGAAAGCTATCGCGTTAGCAAAATGGTTGCGGACACAGGATTTGAAGACTCGCACATGTATCTTGGATGGGCAACGAAAGGACATGTTCAAAGGTATTTATCAGTTACTATTCTGTGGAGGCAATCTCGTTGATAGAGTCATTACCTAGTCAAACGTGCAATCCGAGCCATCGAGTCTCCAGCATATGCAAAAGCCGCAGCCAAGAGCAAAGGGCTCTTACCTCCCGTCACAGATCGAGCATCGGCAGAAAACGTGTTCAAGCTCCTCCCTCTATCATTATTAGCATTACGGGTTACCAAAATAGATCCACATGCCGGCCACAACCACGGCAAAACAAAGCGAGTAAAGGGATTATGGACCGTTAAGATCGAGCAACACCAAGAGACAGATCCAATGATGCACTACGTGTTTTTATACGAAGGGTCTCAATGGAAGCAGAAAGCGATGGCTATTGGTGTGGTTCTTGCCATCTTTGCCGTTGTCTTGTTCCCACTATGGCCTATCGTGTTGCGTCAGGGTGTTTGGTATCTTAGTGTTGGTATGATGGGTTTGTTAGCTGCGTTCTTCGCCATGGCGATATTCCGACTTGTCCTATTCTGTGTCACTGTGTTTGTTGTTCCACCTGGGTTGTGGCTTTTCCCGAACCTGTTCGAGGATGTCGGATTCTTTGACAGTTTCAAGCCTCTGTGGGGTTGGCAAGAGGTATGTGGCTCGCCTCTAACTGTACAACATCTTATAACTGACCATCATTCCTACAGAAGAAGAAAAAGAAAGTGAAATTATCCAAGAAGGCAAAATCTGCCCCTTCAGCTGACGCTCAAGGCACATCTGAGAAAGCCAAAGATACCGCTGCTCCAGCTCCAGCTCCTGCTACTGCTCCGAGCAGGACTGCCCCTGCAGCGACGGACCACTCATCTAAACGTAGCCTTGCAGCAAGCGTTGAGGACGCCGAGGAGTAGTAAAGACCAGTTCAAAGCTTTTCATATATTTTGTATTCCTTCGCGAAACGTGTATGTCATTCCCCAAAAAAGCCATGGTTCCCATTATAAACTGGTACTTTCTCTCATGTGTTTTGCTTGTTTTGTATTCACATTTTCCCGCTTCGGTATGAGCGGCAGGGTATGATCAGCGCGTTTCTTGATTTCTGGTTGCACTATATCAGTTATATTCAGATAATGGTATGTTACTCCAATTTTTCCGTATGCTCGCCTGTATACAGCAACGCATCTATGATCCATGATCACGCCTCGATAATCTATAACGTCTGGATAAGAAGGGTAGTTCGAAGGGGTGTTTGGTGTCTATATGCCTAGATGTGGAACCATTTCAGGTGTTTGGCTAGCGATTCACGCAGAATCTCAGACAAAGTAGCGTGTGGAATAGGTAGTTTATACTATGGTAGCTCATTATGACTTAGAGTAGATATTCTGTGGCTGGTGGCTGGCGATCCATTTTGGCCACCACCATGATGGTATATAAGAGTGTTGAGTCAGGCTGGGGGTCTCGATTGCTCATGGAAGTATACAATTCTGCCTCTAAGGATTAATTGAATCTTGAATAAACATGACAACCCAAAACTACAAGCCAAAGTCTATAGTCGCCCACGACCTCGCAGATTTCATCTGTCGAACCAAAGAGAGAACCACTCAATTCGAGGACGCGGTATCTTCCCCCATCGATCCCAAAAATGGTGGCGACAAGGAAATGAAACAAGAAAATATCCACTCGTTATCAGACTATATCAAGTTCGTCGACGAGTTGGTCAGATGGGTTCCCAAAGTCTCTAGCACCGGTGACGAGCTCATGAACAAACTACTCGTTTTTTACTGGGTTCTTGACCAACTAATTCTAGAACCATATCAGACCAAGATTGCTCCCACAACTGCGAATACTGATTTGACTTGGTTTTCGTATTGGCTTGTTACGTTTGCTTGTGAGCAGGGGAAATGGCTTGACAGTCCTGAATCCGCTGGGTCCGTGTACTCGTTCTATCGAAATGAGAACTACAGTAAGACGGCAGATGAGTGGGAAGAGCCCGAGAATGGCAGAAAATCCTTTAATCACTGGTTTGCGAGACGTTGGAAGGATATCAATAAATCTCGGCCAGTTGCTTCCCCCGGTGAAGATGATGTGATAGTCCATGTTGCCGACTCCATGTTTGATGGTCACTGGGACATTATAGACGGGAACATTAATTTCAAGGAAACACTAGACGTCAAAGGAGTGGAATGGCCAGTGGAGACACTTCTCCGGGGTCAGGTATTGATTACAAGAATGGTAGCTTCATGCACGCCTTTTTGGGGCCGACTGATTATCACCGGCAGCATGCACCTGTTAGTGGGAAGGTAATCGAAGTGAGAAGCATTCAAGATCAGGTCTATCTTCAGGTTTCTAAAAAGTTGGAGAAATCTGGGATCAAAGGGTCAAGAGGCCTTGTGCGTGCACCAGCGGATAAGAATCATCGTCAGGGGCAACGTAAAAACGACTTCTACAGTCTTACGGCCCCGGACGACCCAGGGTATCAATGGTGTCAGACTCGTGGCTTGATTGTCATCCAGAGAAATATGGAAAAGTGGCGGTTCTTCCCATAGGAATGGCCCAGGTATCCTCCGTGAAGATGACAGTAGAAGTTGGGGACAAAGTGAAAAAAGGAGATAATATTTCATGCTTCCAATTCGGTGGCTCAGATGTTTGTATTGTGTTTGAGAGACGGGTTAAGTGGCGTTTAGACCTCAAACCTGGCGAGACAAAGCTAAATGTGAGAGAGAAACTGACGACATTCAAGTAACCATTGCCCTTAGGAATAAGGACAGCCCGCTATGGAATGACCCGATAGGGAGTCGAGGATAAGGGAAGATTCTCCATCCCTATGCAAAGCTGAACTTAGGGCTACGACAACTGCCTAGGTAACCTGGAAGGAATCAAAAATATGGCGTAAAGAGGTAAACACAATCGGGGTCTTATTTTTAATCTTCAGTTCCCTGCCAAAAGACTGTCGACCGTCTTGCAGATATATTATTAGATTGTCAATCAACCAAGAGCATTATCTCTTACTGTCTGCAAGGCCGCAACGACGCTGAGGACAGGTCAGCCTGTTGTAGTGACCAATCTAGTTATTTCACTGATTAAGACCTTGAATCTTTTATTGCTAGCAAAAAGATCTAGTCATACAAAAGGATCTCAAAATACGCTTCTATTTACCCCAGTACCCTAGGATCCGACTTTGAAGCTGACTATAGGCCATGGTAGAAAATTTTGGAATTGCAGTCAGTGCCCTTAGCGCCTTCTCCTTGAACGCTAGAGCTCCTGAAAAATTGTGAAATCGACGCATCGGTCTGTGAAGCTGGTGTAGAATGTCTTGACAAACAGGTCAGACCTATAGGTCAAACTATCGATCATGGAGAACCTGCTAACCGAGATTGGATATCTATGTACAGACGCAACAAATGACTGTGGCGTTTCTATGTGTCTCGAGAGAGCTCGTCCTCCTCTCAAGATGTTAGATGATATTATCCAGGATATTAGAGCGGCAAAGTTAACGCATCGGGAAAAGGTCAAGAACGTTTTCAAGGCCCTATCTTATGACTGGAAGCTGTCTGACGCTTCCGACCTCCTAAGAGGGAACATAGATCGTTTATCTCTGGGATTACTTGTACTGCAGCTGTGAGTTTCGCTATTTTATTTCCTTTTCACTGGCCTTGACGTCTAATAATGCGTCTGAAGTCATGAGACTCGCCGACATGGTATCATGGGGAATGAAAATGAAATTTAGCCCTTCCTGGTATTCTGGTAAGGACCTGTGGGCCAGATTATGGACAAATGGGCTTGGTGACAGTAGTGTGCAGCAGAGTTTGACAGTGATGCATACTGTGCCATCATCAGAGGGAATATGGGATCTTGTTACACGGAGGGATATTGTGGGTATCAGAAATGAATTTATCAAGAGAAAGTATTCTGTGAATACCGTGGACGAGTACGACCGGAGTCTTGGGCTGGTAAGTGACCTCATTTTTCTTCTCCGAAATAAACAGGGTAAAACGATATATCAACCAGGCCTGCCGAAGTGGTCAAAGTGACTTTGTCCGTTTTCTTCTTGATACGGGGGCCGTCAGTCAGTGCGTTAATGATAACGGCAGGTATGCATCCAGAATTGAACATCTTAGATAGCTGTATCTAACTAATTTGTGGAGCTAGAAATGTTCTACTGTATGGTTTGGACGTAGGCGGCCAACTCTTTCTTGGAGTAGACTATTGGGCCATCTATAATCTTCTAGTGGAAAGGTGCTAAATTGAACCCTGCAGAACCTGACTGAAAGGGCCGGAACTTCTGGCATCTCTTTTGCAACCACATCCTGCGTGAAAAGCAGTTTTCCTGGCGATCAATAAGCGATCACTTTCGTCCAATTATAAAGGACGTTAACGAACATGGGCGCACATTAATCTTTATCATGAGCTCGAATCCAAAAAGACAATATCGACTTATTCCGTTGACATTTGAGGAACAAAGCAAACATATCGATCCCACAGGAAGATGGACTAACTTGCCTCCATGCTGCTATAGCCTCTCTGCAGCCACGACGTGAAACACGGTGTCACGTAAGTATTGGAGATTTCATAGGGCATATAGGATCGGTATTCTCAATCTCGGATAGATATAGGACTCCAACGGATATTGCAAGATTATCTGGAAATTTTTCCTTCTGGGTTGACGCTCTGCGGAACAGTGGCCTCGATCCTAAGAGGACTTTAGCGGCAGACAAACAGATATCGAGACATCGGCGATTCTTGTCAACACTGCAGCTTGCAGGGAACCAGAGACGTAAAAGTAAAGTCCCCTGGCAGAGCTACCAGGATATTTTTTTGGGGGGGGGAGGGTTGGATTGATTTGAAAAGAACAAAGGATTGTTACACGAGATGATTTCAGAGTGGAAATACCTACCCCCTTGCCATGCGTATGGGAACATATCAGGGGATATTTTCACATCCAAATAGCGTACTCAGAAGCGCGATAGCAAAAAATTCTCTTGCCGAAGGAAAATCCTGGTCATCCGTGAATTGTGACGTTTCCGGTGGAACGTATCAAGACTGCTTTTTCGATGGACGCAGCAGGTTTTAACGCAGTTCACCCTTCATATCGAGAGGTATATAACAACCAAGAACAATCTTTGGATATTCTAGCCAAGGTTGCCTCTGGAGATCATCACATGGTTGATGGTAATACGGTTGACTGGGAAATCCATCGAAAGTATGTTAACATGATCAAAGCAGCGGCTACATTGGAGTGGAATTGCAGCAGTCGGCTTTTACCCCTGAGAATGCGTTCAACGTATGTATCCGAGAGGACAGACTCCACGACGAAAATGCCAGGGTCGTGGCCTGGTCAATAAATCGTCTTTACTTACTTTACAAGTTGGGCGAGAGGTCAACTCTCATAATGTACAATCTTCGGAAGTTACCTAAGTCCCTAGACAGTAGAATATACTGCTTTAAGGAAATCATTTTAAAAGTAATCAATCCATCTTATATTCATGCTAGCTAGGTAAAAATAGCGAGGCTTCCAAACTGAATATAAATAAATCCTGCCTACAAAACTCTCACTTCTGTTAACATATAAAATATTCATATCGTGACAACCTCCTGGTTTTATAAGAAAATCTTTATAAGATCTCTATAAAAGATCTTTATGTTAGTTTATTACGTTTGCATGTACTGGCAGCAGGATCCCAAGCATAAATAGCTAAGAAATCCTTCCAGAGATACATCCTGTTCGAAGCAAGCAACCATTCCAATATTTCATCTTCCTCTTCTTCCATTTTCGTATTCTACACTTTCGAAAGCTGTTCCCCTCATTCAGATATCCCATTTTGTAAGTATAAACTAAATAGAAACCAGCAGTGTCAGATGCAGCTAGGGGTATGTACTTTATGTAGTTACTACCTAGTTCTATTCCTCCCAATTACCTAGGTAACAACATCAAAATGGATTATGCCACTTTTTCTCTCTTTGCACAGGTTCGTCTTGTTGGGTGCTTTTGTTTGACCTTATAAAATGTATTTATAAAGACCTGCGAGTAGATATCTCTGACTCTAGGTGACTCATATCTTGCAAGGTAGGTCCCCATCAGATCCAGTACAGGTAGCTTAATACTACTCACTAATGATTACCAAGTTCTTTCTGGGCTAAAAGTCTACGGGTCATAATGGATTTATAAAATTTGTACATATCCAATTTTTCAATATTCTACAATCATTGTACACAAAGGGGGAACAAGTCATCATCGTCGGTAACATATCGTGAGGACGGCCATGGTATATGATATAATCAAGCAGAGAGACCAACAATGTAAAAAAAGGCAAATATAAAATACAATTTTCAACAAGAAGCGAAATCAATGAATCAGGTGCCCGTTATTACCGTGATGATGACGTCCCCCTTAAAAGCCAGTGAAGGATCGTTATACTGGTCATTTTTCATCTTTTTGCGGTGGTTGACCCCGTGGTTGTTGTTGTTGCTGTTGAGTACTCACTGGTGGCGGAAACTCAGATGTAGGCGTTGCATCAGCCGTGGTAGTCGGGGCCCCCGTAGCAGAAATATCAGATTGTTTCCTGTGCATGATACTATCGTTCAACATATTCGCCATTTGAAGATGTAAACTCCGCAATTCGGAGCTTCGGCGGCGGGAGTGTTGTTGGTTCGCTGTAGCAGCAGTAGGAGGTGAGGAAGATGCTAATGATGAGGTTGATATAGATGGTCGAGGTAGATGTTTTTGTTGTTGTGGCTGTCGTTGTAACGGAGGTGGCTGCGGTAATTGTGACTGTGGTGGTTGTGTAGATGGTTGTTGGAGATGTCTCCTTTGCCATAAGGGGATATGCCGAAACGCTATGTTTGGTGTTGGGACTGCGGGGAGGGGGACGTTTGGTGGTGGTGCTGGTGGTAAGAATGATAGGTTTGGATTTCGTCGCGTCGTAGCGCGAGGTGAGGTTTGTTGTGATTGTGGTTGTGGCATTATGTATGAGTTGCGCCGACTGGAGTCCTCTCTAGGCGTTTGTGGAGTTCGTGGGGATGATGTGGGTGTTGAGGCTTTGCTTTGGAGGCTAGATGGGTCCTCGGAAGTAGGAGGGTGCGTGCTCCGGTGTGGTAGTTGTATTCGATCTTTCGCTGCAGTAGCTGACGCCTTGGTTGCGCGGTCTTTGGACAAGGCAGATTGAGCGAGATTGCTTGATGGGACTGTCGTGGTTTCCGAAGATTCACCGCTGATCTTTGGTAGCCGGGGTAAAGGACGCCCTCTTTCAGTGACAGATGGAAGTCGAGATTGAGTCAGCTGTGAGGATCTTTGTTGTTGGGGTAGGCGAGGGGTATGGTTTATATCAGGTAACTTATGCTGTTGATAGTATCTTCGCGTGGTAGATGCAGGTGTAGCCGGCTCGGAACTTTCCGTTTTCGTTAAAGAATATTTCCGAGGGATAGTTGGAATAGTTCGGGCAGTAGCGATGGCCGAGCTACTAGTGGTAGTTGTTATTCGACCTGAGATCAATGAATGCCTTTTTTGTGTTGAAGGAATTGAATCTTCTTTTACACCGGCTGGGCCCTGTTCCGAAGCTTTGTCGGCCGCTTTTGATGTAGGCTCTGTCGTAGCCGTCTTCCGCGAAGTGGCATCATGCGACAACGCTGACCGCGAGCTCTCACCGTGGAGTAGAGAAAGTCGTACATTTGGACCAGGAATGCTTGGGTGCTGCGGAGCAGCAGATGTACCCTTCGGAGCAGAAGTATTGGCACTTCCGACAAACGACAGAGGACGGCTAGCTCTAGCTATCTCTCCTTGGCGCTCCAACTGAGTCGCAGTATACGAGGTCAGGGAACGTCGATTCATACTCGCAGTAGTAGGAGTTGAATGTTTGCGCAATCTTCCTGGAGTCGTCGCAGGCGTCTGGACAAGAGTCTCGGCCGGAGGCACAGACGGTGGAGAGGTGGGCGTTGTTCTGCTTCCTTGTGTCGGTTGAGGAGCATCTCGAGGATTTTCAAAAATTATATCAGAATCCCCAAAGCCAGTAGGGATTGTGACTATATCCAAAGGACTTGAGATTGAAAGTCGATTGGTCGCCTTGACTAAACTGGGAACACGGGGTTGCTGCTGCTGGTCTCCCTCTTGATATGAATCCCTCTTAGAAGCTGCCGGGGACTGTCCTTGAAATGTATCGGACGAAGGAGACGGCGGATTAGATTCTATCAGAGTCGATTTGCGACTAGCCAAAAGTCGGGAGCCTCGATGAGCTAGTAACGTATTGCTGGGCACGTCGGAAGCTTCGCTGTCATCTCCTGGAGCGGTTTCCGGGACATGTTTCTTCCCACCTAGTGACTCAATTGTTTTCCTCAACGCGACGAGCCAGCTATTCATCTCCTGGGCACTAGACATAACGACCAGAAACGTCCGTACGGCTCGCCGGGATTCGGCAGTCTGCAAGCCAAACCTGGATAAAAACGTGCGTCCAGATGTGGCAGCAGCGGGCGCGCCATCGTCCGTAGATTTCTGTGATATTTGCAGCACATGATGTTTCCCTGGAATAGAGTCACTCGCAAATGCAGCTGAAGTTGGCCCGAGGCGCATAATCTTTTCCGGTAGTCTGTCATAGTTTCCTTCCCCAGAGTATTGTAGCAAATAACCCGTCGTTACCAACACAAAGATCTTTTTGAGAAATACGATCTGATCAAGCGTGGTGGATCCAGCTCGTCTGACGGGTTTCTTGTCCCTTGCAGCTTTCCCATTCTTTTTCGTAGTATCAGCATCTGCGCCTTCTGCCTCGCCCTGTTGAGAAGGGTTACGGAGATTGGCTGCTTGAGTCGCGTGGATGCGCAAGATAGAATCTGGAGATATATTAGGAACCGCAAGCCGTGCGTGCTTTGACGCCTGAGGGTATGCTTGGAACAACGGCGGGGGTGTCCACGACGAAGATACCTTCGATTTCAGTTCCGGTCTCACCCTCGTACTCTTATTCGGCGTTTCCACATTGAACGTTGACTCTGTCGGGGTAGCTACCTGCGACGACGCATGCAATGTCGAACCTGAAGCTATTGTATGTGCGACAGAGCGAGGGGTGTCCGGAACCGTGGTTGACGGGGTGGTTGACCCACGTCTCTCCCCAACCGCGGGGAGACTGTTTTCCGTCTTCCTTTCTTCACGCAAAGCTTTGTTTCGCGCAAACAGACCCCGAAGACTAGTTTTTGACGCCACTCTCTTCGTCGGCTCTGGTTGCTGTGGTACGCTTTGCGGTTCATTTGCGACGGCTTCTGGGGGTCGGAGGCGTTGAACGCGGGGTTTTTGGAGGACCGGACGTGTGCGCTGTTGCGGCTGTGATTGCGCTTGCAATTGAGGTTGCTGATGCTGCTGTTGAGCAATATCTGTCCGAAGGGCCGCCAGAGGAGGCCCGCGTCGAGGGATCGCTGACTTGGGCGGCGGTGGTGGCGGAGGAGGAGAATTCTGATCCATGACGCCTATGCTACCTGCCCGCAGATGGACATTGGCCGGATGTATTGAAGGAGTATAAGTAGATGTTGAAATGCATGTCCCATTTTCTGTCGTATCAACGAGCTATTCCATACGCCGTAACGGCAACTGTCGCGTGTTAATGAGAGTCAATTGATTCAAGCCATGAAGAGACTGTTCGTTCGCAGTTGGTTTAACGAATGAAGGATTGCGATTGAAGGTGGAATTGGACCTGATCAATAACAATTGCCAATTCAATCTCGACAAAAACTGGAATTGAGTTTCGTCTCTCTCTCCAGTAAAGCTGTTCCACATAAGAAAGCCGGTCGCAGTCAGTACTGTCAGAAATGAACTCCGTATCACAATAATTAATATACAAATAAGCGACAAGACTATGGCAGATGTTGGAAGGAAGACATGAACGAAAACTTTTAGGCCAACTAGAGACGAACACGCAGTTTGGGTAAGGCATCATCGCGTTACCCAATCGGGCCAATCGGTCGTCGAAATTGCTTTCTCGGCCCTCAGCTTCTACATCCTGACCAGTAGTTAGTTACTGTAGGTTTGGTCTGGGCCTTGTTGGGATGTAATTTTGTCTGCGAACGTGGAGGAAACACGGGAACGAAGCACGGGCGGATTCTGCCGCCCGACGACCCGGTACCTGACTAGCCCATCTTACAGATATACAAATACACAGATAGCTACGAAGTCAATTGAGATATAGAACAGGATCGAGTTGGCTTGCGCAGGAGCCACAACTACCCACTATAAGAAGATCTTAATAATCTCCATCTATTGGAACCAGCGCAATGGTAACAATCGACAATGCATACTTAGACCAGACTGGGGACAGATCAGATGTTCCAACTGCTAGTAGGTAAATAAATTACGTGGCGTGCCATAGTTACGCAGTGTCAGAGTGAGACAGTCTGATACAAAAGTCAGCGAGAAATAGAGTATTATGTACAAGCTCGGTATTTCGCTTAACTCGATCTCTTTGTCTACACGAAGCTGGAGTTACTGGGGTACCGAGGACATAACCCTATCAACCTATGGATATATAGAGTAAAGAAATTCAAAAGATCGACTGTGAAATACGGAAAGGCTTCCTCAGTAAGAAGTAGGCAGTAATAATACGTAGTGTATGGGGCTCGTTAGGGCTTGTCTATATACGGAGTAGACTGTCAGCCAGCAGCATTAAGGGCACACTAAACTGTAGAGCTTTTCCGCTTGGATTTTTTTTTTCCCTTTTCGTTTCTTTTTCTGCCTTTTTTCACTCGAATTAGTGAAAATCAACTTCTTAGCGCCAGGGGTAAAGCAAAAGAACTAAGACCCAAAAAGTAGAACGAGAACCTAGGATTTAGATCCGGGCTTGCAGGTGGATCAAGAGTTTCACGTTTCAGCAAGTTTCAAGATGGCTCAGGAAAACTTTCAATCTCGTATTGATTCCATAAACACCATTCAAAGAAGATGCGCTGCTTTTGTGTCGCTCGGACGAACATCTATAAGCAGTGGTGTTATTACTGTGGATAACAGCTAAAATTGTTGAAAATGCATTTTAAGAGTGAAGAGGTGGGTATCTATATCATCATCTAGTATCAAAAATACAACATGCGGGGTCTAACTATATGCCTAGATAATAGACTAGCAGTAGATCTATCGTACAACACTCAACATCTCCTCTACACGGCCGAACTTCTCCCGAGGTTTGCCCTTTGCTTTTCCTCTCTCCTTTTCAGCAGAGTCGATTCTCTGCCAGTCTCCCCATGAAGTCGGCGATAATCCTCTCTGTATGGCCTCTGCTCGTACAGCGTCCCATCCAAGACCCGTGCTGCTTCCAGAGGTCGAATTCAAGAATGAGATTTTGGCATCACTGCTTGATTTATGCGCTTCCCAGTCTGCTGCGATAGAGTCGGCCGTGCCAAAGGCATCCATCATTGTAGATGCAATCACTCCGGTTGGCCCACGCTTGACCCAGCCCGCACAATAAAGTCCAGGCAAATGGGAAATATGTCTATGATCTAGCGGTGTCGTAGTATCTTCCGCGGTGGGAGTAGAACTTGTAACACGGCCGAACCCGTCGTTTGGAATGATACCGCGTCGTCCATCAAATTCAATTCCTAGATGGTCGAACCCCGGCAGCGGTAAAGATTTGTAGCCTATACTGCGAAAAAATATATTACACGGAATATTGACCTGCGCTTGCTGGCCACTCGACAGAAAATGTTGTTTGACCTTGGCATCTGGTACGAATGGGTCGGAGGATGCGAATTCGTTTCGAGTAAACTTTGCATGAGACAACCGGTATGGAAACATTGGTGACCAATGCAAAGAATGGGGAGAAAGCAAGAAGTCAAGAGACCAGCTCTTCTTTGCAGTGCTACGATTGGTCTCAGATCCCTTGGCCAAAAGCTGTATCAGCCGTTTCTGTGCTCGAGGAAGTTTCGCGACTACGTCTTCTGGAGGAAGAAAGTCCTTTGGAATAGCGTCGAATGCGACTGAGGGAAGTTGAAGAAGTTCCCGTATTTCTTTTATAGTAAAGGCGGCCTTTATCCATCAGTACGCAACGGATTGTTATGTCTTGTGGTTGATTCTCACCTGCATTGGCCCGCGCCTTCCAACAACCCGCACGCGCTTGATTTTACTCCTGGATAATTCCTCCAATGCATGCTCCGAAATATCTGTCTTGCGCAAAGCATCCACATCCGACAAAAGTAACCTAGCCACGTCTAGAGCGACATTACCCTGGCCGACAACCACAGCGTGCTCGCCGGCAGTCAAATCGGGAGCGAGGTCGCGGTATTCTGGAAGCCCATTATACCAACCCACAAACGCTCTTGCTGAAAGAACATTCTTTTTGGCGTCCTCTCCAGGAATACCCAATTCGCGATCCTTTGCCGCACCGTAAGCGAATAGAATAGCATCATAATGTGGCTTGAGTGTCTGAAAGGGCAACTGAGAGCCCACAGCGACGTTTCCGATGAAATTGAATCGAGGAGAAGTTGCGACTTCTGTAAACTTTTCTTCGCAGTTCTGTCGTCAAAACTACATTAGCATCACTTCTCTCTCAATAAACGGTACGAGTTAGTCGGAAAGAATACCTTAACCTCTGGATGATCCGGCGCAACACCATACCGCACTAGACCGAATGGCACGGGTAATTGCTCGTACATATCAACTACCACATCACTGACTTTGGAGAGAAGTCGATATGCAGCATAGAAGCCCGCCGGACCGGACCCAATGACAGCTACTCGGAACGGATGATCATGAAGTGTGGCGGTAGATGTGCTGTATCGACTTAGTGGGTATCTAGTCCGTATTTGAGGGACCTGTGATCTCCGTCGTGCGCATCGTGTGCACAGGGAGAGCGTAAGCGATGAATTCATCTTCAGCAAGATTGAGTTGGTTGACAACTGAGCAAGGAGGAAAGTGACGGAAGGGCACGTGTGGTTATCGGCTTATCGTTTATCTTATCGGGTTGCCGCGCCAACGCGCCGAACCAAACAACAATCCGTCATCAGCCCTACTCGCACCTCATCTTCTTGTCTGTCTTTCTCCTCATCTTTCTGCTCTCTGCTGCTGTATCGCTAGAGAATACCATTGCATTTATTCACTCTTTTGTTGAGAATGCAGCCTTCATTCGTTTGATGTTCGACTTGCTGATCACAGAAGTATAGCTTATCGATTAGCTACATTCCTTAACCCCGGATTCTCGCACGCGCATTCTTCATATCATCGCCCATCATGGGTGGATCGTCATCCCCTCCATTCTTGTATGATCCCGTCTCGCAATGGTCTTTTAACGATTATCATAGAGGAAAGCCCTTCAACCCCAAAGCAGTTACTCAAGCGAGCAGAGCCCCTCGGCCTCAGAGGGCCCCTCAGGAGGGTCCGCTGGTGAGTTTCAATCGCCATCCCGACTCGGTATGTGTAATTAAGCACTCCAAAAATTGTGACTTGGCTATGCTAATATGCAATTGTAGTGGGTTGTCCCACGCCAAAACAAGCCTATACATCCTATGAGCCGTCATACCAAAGCTCGGGTGACGCACACAAGAAGAGTCCAACTTCTTCTCCGAATCTTGTCTGTACTCGGAGCAATTGGTATTCTGTTCTGTGTCATTTGCATTAGCCATACAGATGTCGCTTTAGGATGGATAATTCGCGTTGCAGTACGTTGACTCAATATTGATATACATTATAGAATGCTAACATATAACAGCCAAGCGTTGCTATTCTGCATAACATCTATGCCATCTATCATCTTGCTCGGTCTGCCGCTAGCCGACCTGCAGGATCTTCCACCAGTTACCATCTGTTTGCATCCATTATGGATGCTGGTTTAGTTCCCTTTTACGCTTTTACTAGCTTTGTCTCGTACAAGTCATTTCACGATGGTTACTACAACTGGCAGACTCTTTTCAATGATGCAAACATTCAACACTACATTGTCAAATCACTGTTTTATGCTAGTGCAGGCGTCGGTGGTTTGCATCTCATATCACTTATGATTTCCGTCTACTTGGCTATTGTTTTCAGACAGATCACAAAACTACCACCTGACATGAACCCTCTAGAGGACAATTTGACCGCTCGCCCGTCATCGAGGCGAAGCAAGGCCACCAAATCTGATCTCACAGAGAAGAAGCACATGAGCACGAGTACAGTGGATTCGGCATATTTCAGTGTCAAGTCGCATCTAGATGATGTCCCAAACGAAATCCCACAGCCTATCCCATTCATGCACACAAGACAGCAATCATCTACCTCGTTAACATACCAAAAGAGAGTATCTCGCACTTCTGTTCTTCCACATCAACAATCAGGACAAGCTCGTCACAATGGAGACAGTCAACCATGTCGTGCAGCGGCTCGAGGACCGCAAGAGAGCGTGTCCCGGCCCAGATCAATACTTGAAGATGCACCAGTACTTCGTCCAACATCCAGTGGTTATAACCCCAATAGCATTCGATGGAGCAGTCCAGTGCCATCAGAAGCGTCAGCCAACTGGATAGCCTACGAATCACCAACAGATGACGACGATATTGTTCATGAATCTAAACTACCTAGCAGATCTAAGAATGGCACACCGTTCCCAGTGGCGAACGACTGGCTGGGCCCTGTGCCGAAATTCGGCCGTGTTGAAAGTGGTATATCACAGGACGAAGCTCGCGGCGAATATGCCGCTTTGGACACAAATGAGGATTACGACAACGACGCGCACTATGATACTAATAAGGAGAATCTTGAGGAAGACATCACCGAGTATCTCAATAGAGCCCTTGATCCTTTAAGAATGAACCCTCCAACCCCTGCGCCCAAAGAGGAGCCAGGTAATACTAAAACAGGAAGCAGACAGTCAAGTCTTCGACGCGCTGTGCTGGGCGATATTTCAGATGTCTCGGCCGTTCGAAACAGCAACAATGTGACCGACTCCGCTATTGCAGAAAACGCAGACTCTCCTCCTTCAAAGCCATCCAAGTTACGGACTTTTGGTAGTCTAAGGCTCTGGGGAAGCAAATCCAACAAGCCTACTTACGCATCTGTAAAAGAGGATGAGGCTCTATCCAGCGACAATGAAAGCGACAACGAGCCAAATCAACCAGCGAAATTGAGAACACCAAAGCGACGAACCACTCTAACAAAATTGAATACCGAGGATGCCGACCGAAAGGGACGAATTGTCAGTAACTCCGGCATTGACCTGGGCACCTCATTCCACACGGGCATGGACTCGGAACAATACAGCGATTACATATCTGCGCTAGGAGTCGGTCGCAGACGTGATGTCAGTGGGAAAATCGCTGAGGAAGGTCGTGGTGGATTAGTGGAAGTTAAGGAAACACCTGAGATTCCAAAGACGCCGGAGAAGAAGCAGAATACCCCTCGAGCTGCGGGTTGGGCTCGTTTTGCTGGGTTGTGATGATCAACTCGAACGGGTATATGTTATGATCCACCAGATGAAAGGGTGTGGGACAACGATGACATTGGACATATTGAATTTGATGCTATTTGCTATTCTACGCTTGTGGCGTATCGGGAGTTGATTTTTTTTTTTTTTTTTTTTTTTTTTTTGAAAATTGCTTTGGATTTCATCAATCAGTTTCGGATTTGGGTGTATGTTGAGCGATTCGTGTATCTTTCCCTTGTTTGATTTTTCTCTAAACGAAATCATGGATGTGTGACGGAATGGGACTTTCTTTAGGCAGTTTCGTGTAGGTAGTTATCATATTTTAGGTAGTCTGTACAAATATCCAATCATGGTACATTCATCATTCATGGATTGAACGGTTTGTATACTAACACAGTCAAATTCCCCATGGACCTATGTCCTTTCTTTTTCTATATAAGCATATATAGTTAGTGATTCACTCATCCCGACCAACACGCATCTGCCTCGTCTTCCAAGTGATCATTTCTTCTCGTGTCCGTTGCTCAATTTCTTGTTGGAGACGTTCCTCCTCCTCTTCGTCTATCATTGTTATGTAATTGAGTTCATCTTCATTGCTTTCATCTTCGCTGTCCTTGTTGTTGTTCGCCGTAGTAGTAGTAGGAGGTACCTCTTTCCTGCGTATGGATTTATTGACTGCTCCCGTATCATCTTTTGTCTGATCGGTAGTACCAGCATCCTTCACCGCTTCAGAATCAGTCTGCGCTTGCGGCCGAGGCGGAAGCACAGGTTTCCTTCTTACTTGCGCCGTCGCCGATGTTGTTATTGTTGCACCCACTGGCTTCCGTCGCTCATTCTCCTCCTGTTCTCGCTCAATCTGTTCATCCTGCTTGGACAAAGCGGCTTTCTCCTTCTCGAGCTCGGATGCATCTACCTCCTCAAAGCCGATATCTGTTAATACCTGGCCGACTAGGAATTGATAGCGTAAATGACCTGATACGGTATCGCTGGCGTCCATGTTTTCGAGATTGGGAACGCCCCTGACGGGTTGGAGACCGGAGATGTCGACCTCGAGGTGTGTGGCGCGGTAGAGGAGGGCGAGGACAGAGTCGTTTTTGGAATAGATGTTAACGAGACGACCGGCCACGACGGCGCGCATGGAATGCCATTCTGCTGCATCGGCGGGGATGGGTGAGCCCATAAAGATGGCTGAGTCGATGAGACCGTAGGCCCGTCTTTGGGCCAGATTTCGTAGACAGGAGTATATCACACGAGAGCCGAGTGAGTATCCGACTAGAGTCACGGGACGTTTCCCTTGTGCGCCATTGATGAGTGCGTCTGCCAAAACTTCCCCGGCTTTATCGGCTCGGGAGATGGCGACGTTAAACGGGTTTGCAGCTATCTTGGCGAGTCGCATGAGACCGAAAGGAAGTAAAACTGCGCTCATGAGGCCTGCAAACACGGTCCGGATGAGAACTTGATGACTTGCAAACTTCCATGCTGCTGTGGTGACCAATGCGCGCATTGAGTTTCCTAAATTTAGTAAGGCCTCATACTCCCATCGGAGAGCAAAGACTTCCGATTCGGGACCAATGACTCGCCATGGTACAACGATGTTATCCTCTTCAGTCACCCACCCAGTGATACCGATCGTTACCCTCAAGCGATGATCTTCCTTTGCGGCTTCTTTTTCATCATTCAATTTCTTTGCTAATTTCCCTCGTATAGGAACGAAGGCAAAGTCTTCGACTTCACGGGCATATCTATCCATCATCTTGCCAGTCATCTTTCCGCCGTACGCTCCAAACAGACCACCCACCACCACTCCACTACTGGCGAGTGCTCCCAGATAAGAAGCAGCAATGGTTCCACCGAGTCCTAGTCCACCCATTACAGTACCAAGTCCAGCTGCCACCAAAGGCGCAGCAAGACCGCCGGTAATCCCTATAAGGGCCGCCCCAGCTACTGTCGCAATTCCGACTTTCCATTTTCGAAGATTCTGGTTTTCTGCTGCTTTCTTCTTAGCTTCTTCGTCTGCTGTCATTGCTACTGCAGCGTCGAGGAGTCCGCGTGCTATCTTCGCTTCATTTTCGTTTAGATCACTGAGCTGTAGGTCTAATGAGGATGTAATGTGCAATAAAAGTACGCGCGAGTATGCATTGTAATGCTCTAGCCCCAATAGTAGAAGTAATAGAGACCGAAGGATAAGTAATCTTTGTGCCCTGGGTGAGTCTCGAAGCGGAGTATCAAGTGGTCGATATACTTGCTGTAACCGATTTGGATTCTTTTGTTCCGGTTCTGCGGGGTCTTTAGGGAATTTGTCGACTTGAACCTGACCATCTTTGGACTCGCGCTCATTTACAACCTGCCCTACCCGCAGTAATACCGAGTTCTGCCATTCGTCAAAGTACGCAAGGGCTTCTGATCTCGACTTGGGATCCAAACCAACCGCATTTTGTATGGTTTCTTCGGTTTTATCTGATATGGCACCATCACCGCATTTGTTCGAGCCTGGTGTATCTCGATTTTCTGGCACTGGTGACCATTCCTTGGAGACAGGGAGCCCTTCGAAGCTTTCCAATATTGTTTTTCGCATATGCTCCAAGACAACGGAGATAAGTACCATCAAGTCCCCACGTTGGGAGTCAGACAGAAAATCAGACAAGCCATGTTCTTCGTTTTTATTCTTTTCCTTGCCACGATCGGTAGCGTTTGAAAATCGGTCAAGGAATCGATGCGCCATGACAGTGTAAATATTGATGGATTGTTGGAAGAGTCAAGAGAGATAGAGTCGCGAGGTTCAGGCAACATTTGGTCGACGTCACGGGCGGGCCGGATAGCTGTGTGCCAAGACCCGGAAACAACATCATCACAATCAGCTACGACTTTGAACGACGAAAAATCTCCCAGCTGTCCTTGAAGCAGATCCCAAAGCATTCCCATCCCATTGATCGCTCTCGGCGTGACTAGGATATTCGTTCTCGAGAGTTGTCGTTTGGCGCTGTATTTTCTTTCTGCGACCAACCACTTCCTCCTTGGCTAGTGCTTCCTTCAACGCCTCCATGCTTATCGTAGATTCCTTAATTGCCTCGCGACTCTCATCTCGAATGGCCCGAAGAGGTGACACATTCTTCGTATCCACATCTTGTATCGACTTGACGAAGTGAATTTGAGCTTCGAGTGTTCTGAGCATAGAGGTTTCCTCCGCTTTATCGGCCGGTTGTGGAAGCGCCGACAGACGAAGCAGATGGTGAAGTTTATGAGGAGTTATTGATAAAGGGATCGTCGGATCGTGGGTATTGGGGAGGAGACTTCGGACAGACCATGTTGGTTTCGCGAGAAGAGCAGCTATATCTTTGCTTGTGTGCTTTGGAGGTTGTGACGAGTACTGCCGTCCAGGAGTAAACAGTCGCCTGGTCGAGCGCAAATGGCCCAATCGTAGTTGTATTCGAGGCATTGAAATGGGATTGTGATAGAAGAGAATATATGATCTCAACGAAACGAATTGAAGCGCCACGACGAGAATAGAGCAAACTTCTTTACAGTTTCGGCAAGAAACAAGCTGTTGCTCCGGACTTTTTATTTGGACTAGATCCCGAGGAAGTTGGCCAATCATCTTCCACCGGGATTTAGGGGTTGGGGTTAGGGTAGTCATATCTTGAAGTGCTTTGGTGCAAGTGCAATGCTCTTCACTCTCATACCTAGATATAAGAACATTTTAGGAAAGCTATTTGGACACATACCATTATCTCAATAGAATGAACGCCGGCTATACACTTTTTGGATTTGTAGCAACGCAGCATGAAAATGGTTGGTTCCCTATATGACCTGCTAAGAGAGATACTCATCCACCTTGAGAACAGCATATCCAAGCATGGCTCGGTTGCAATCACTCCATACTCCAGAATCCATGATTTGTATTGTATACATTGTAGTAATCAGAAGAGAATCTCGGGTGATATTACCGCCCGAGAAGCGCAAGAATGGGCAACATATTCTCAGCTTGGTACTTGTGATATTTCCAGCCAGGATGCAAGTTATTCCACCAGACACAACTAGACCCATCAGTATTAATGCATGTGGCATCTTGGTAACCATATATGACAGGATTGTTAAGAACGCGAGTCATATACTGGAACGAGTCGTAAAACACGACGGTTGCCTACACGGAGCCAGATTGACATTATCACTGGAATCAGAAGTGTTGACGTACTTACATCTTTATATTCATCGCTTAACCGAAGCAACATGCTGTTCAGACTGTATGTTAGGATTAAAGTAGTGTTATATTGTGTGGTCAAGTATCCGATCCAATTTTGCCGCCGCTCTGCGTGCCTGGATCTACATGAAGTGTTAGAAATCATCTCTGTCGACTCTCGATAGGGCACGCTAAGGATTATGATTTATGAGATTTCAAAATAGCTATAATCATAACATTTGTGATAATAATAAATGACTAATGATTAATGATTTAATCATGATTAATTCTCGCGTGGTAATGAAAATCCCAAGTCCAGCAATTCTGGCAGCGGCGTCTATGATAAGGATCTCGGTGTCCATCTTCCTTGTGTATTTGTATAATGCCCTTCGGCCTGCCTTGAATACCTTTAGCTACCAAATTCAGAGCATGTGCCGGGCAACGGATAAAGCTTATTAACTTACTTGTAACGGAGCTAGGAAATCCGAGTAAAATGAATGGCATAGAAAACTAACAAGATGTGAGCTGAGAGCTAGAAACTATCTACAGGGGAGCTGGCCTGTATTACGCCTGAGCAGGGCTTGCTCCATGGCATGCTCCATCCGGAGTATGCCGACAAAATCCTTTTAGAGTCTTGGATAAAGCCTGCAACAAAGCCTCAAAGATGAAGCTATTCCCACGTTGTGAAACCCATAGAACAAAGCTTCCCAGGAATATCTTTAGTGTTGTGAAATCTCGCTGCCTTTACCCGCTTCATCACCTGGGTGCAAGAATAGCTGCCCAATGCAACCTCTGACGGTAGAACCGTGACATTACTCCGGTTGTAAATAATCATGATTTAGAGGTAAAACTAATGATTATGATTATGAGAATAGGTAAAATAATCATAATCATAATAATTGGCGTGCTCTAACTCTCGAATAAAAGTAGTGACATACGGGGAGTAGTATTCCCCATCAGGTTTGATGCCGAATGTTGTATAGAGCTGATATTGAAACCTGTCGCGGACCAGGAATTACCACTAAGTAGTCAATGTCATCAATGAGGCCGTTATTGACTGAATGTTATGTATAAGCTGAGAATTACAAGGCAAACCAATATATTGGTGAGTGTACGGGCTTTGGTATTGATATTGTAGGTAACGAGTGGTAGCTGCGAAGTCATACCAAAACGGATGTGACGAACACCGCCAGGGCAATGTAGAAAATTAAGGATCGGTAATTCATTGTCAATGGTAATCTATCGAATGAATACATCTTCTACCAAAACCCCAGGCAAAACTATTGTTGTGCTTGATAACAGCTCATGGAATCAGCAATAAGATGTAGAGTCTTGAAGAAAGAAAATTTTTATCTCATTATAATCACTATGGGGTCAAGTCAAGCGCTCCTAGCATAAAATGATGAGGCTCTAGAAAGATGTCATATGTGCTCTAGCTAATGTGACGGCTGGGCATGGCTCTGCGTTCCCGTCTCAGTTCACGGATAGGGCTAGGAGCCGTGTAACCCTATCCGCGCCGTATTGGGAAGTGATATCAACATCAGACGTCGGAACTGGATAGGGAAAGGCGCCTTGCACAGAGATTTACATGAGAAGCGAGAACCAGACCTTTACTTCATTTCTTCCTTTTTCCCCTTTATGCTTAATGTTTACCTGTCGACAAGCACCTCTTGTACGAGATAGTTAGCTAGAATAGCATACTCAAACCAAGCAGATTGGCACCGTCACAGCTAAGTGGTGAGGTCGAGTGTTGACATTAACACCTCGACTCAAACAGGCTAGTCCCAATATTGCACCGAGGCAGGTGCCTCATGTTGGAACCAAAATTACGTGACTAGCAGAATACAGAAGTCGAACTACGGAAACCTCCAAAAAGCCCTAATATTTCGTATACCAGCCATCCGCCTCTATAACTGCACGTACCCTATTTGGCATGGTGTTGCTCAAACTCCTCAATACACGTGCTTCAATTGACTCCCATGCTTCTTTCGCAGCCTGTATAAGTGAATATAACGTCTGATCGTTATCCGGCGCATTTTGTAGCTCAGGATGATCATTAACTATAATCGTTTTCATGATCGCCCAAATGTTCTCAATAGGATAAAGATCTGGGGAATATGGAGGCCATTCCATAATATTGAGCCCTAGTTCTTGTAAAAGATTCCGTATAATATGCGCTCGGTGCACAGGTGCATTATCCTGCATAAAGATATCACCATCGCCAAGTAACTCGGGAAGCTGTTCCATATAAAGTTGCCTTATAACGGTTACAGTGATACCTCCGCCAGCTGATGAGCCATCTGAGGTTAATGACACCAATGGACTCCGTTGATCAAATTTGAATGCCCCCCAGAACATCTTTTTAATGCTCTTCCCAGTGCGTATCTCACGTATGTCATGCTCCTGGAGTTGTTCACTTAAGGAATGCCACGTCCATATTAATTGATCCCCTTTACCGCGCTCAACCGTACATTCATCGCTCCAAAGGATACGCTGCCATTCATGCGGTGTATAAGTCTCATATCTTAGAGCTCAGGCTAATCTCTTTTGCGCATTAAGAGGGAGAATCTCAGGTCGCTTACGCTGCTTCCATTTCCTTTTATGGATTTGTTGAAACATGTTTTGTATAGTGCGAATAGTAACTTTGTTATCAACCGCATTCCGAAGCTCCTCATATTTTATATGGGGATTTTGAATTGTCAAATCAATAAGCTTCTGTTTATCCTCGTCCGTTAACTTCGCTGGGGCTCCGGAACGAGTTTTTGAACGTTGATTTATACGCTCTTGCTCCTTCTTGATTGTATTCCGAATAGTTGTCATAGGGATTTCTAGGTGCGCCCTGTGTATCCGTTTATAACCCCAATGTACCTCTATATGAAGCTCGCATATTCGAGCCCTCATACAAGGATCAAGTTCCCTACGCGCTGTGCGGCGTCTTGGTGGAGGCATTTTATTCGAAAATAAGATGATGATGATGATGATGATGATGATGATTTATTACGCCCGGAGGGACTAACCCTATAGGGCACTAGTGCTCTAGATATATACAATTCATGTGTTTCCGACCTCTCCTCCTACTATTCGAAAATATAGATTTATAGGTGTTATATACAAATTTTTATGCGACGCGATGTGTACGCGTTTCTGTCGGCAGAATGAATGGCGGTGTGGGAATTTCGGATATGGTGCCAACACATTTTTCATCCCACTGTAAGTTAAATTAACGTACTACACGGGTCATTCGGCCACACGGGTCATTCGGTCACCCGCAAGTCCCATACAAAATGACCTTCTTTAACAGCTTGATTTCTCAACAGATTTATATATAAACCGTATCTAAAAGTTGAATATGTCTTATAATATAGCTATCATAATATATATCTGGATTTAAAAACTCTAAAAATATTAAGAACCCTCTGTCATTGAATTTACATTAATAACTTGGCTAGTTTCTAGTATCTCAAGACTTATAGAAGAGGCGCACTTCCAAATTGATATTTCTGATAAGGATTCATATAGCGAATCATGCGTAAAGTCTAAGATATGGTTTATATATGAATCCGTTGAGAAATCAAGATGTTAAAGAAGGTCATTTTGTATGGGACTTGCGGGTGACCGAATGACCCGTGTAGTACGTTAGTTAGGGTTAAGATGCTGACTCAGCCTGACTCAAATTCCTGACCGCCTGCGAAACAGGCTTAGTAAGACCTTCTTTAGTCATCATCTGGGAAATTTGGCAGTCTATTAATCACCACAGCCTTCACAACAGCTAGTGTCTCCAGTTCTGAGATTCTCAGCCAAGTAGATTTGGTATTATGAGTAAGCTCAATAATCTGTAGGTGATGATTATTGTGTTTTGGAAGCGTAATGAGGCTTTATTCTGCCTGTCGAAATGGTGGCAGTTTCATACATGTAGCAAATGTATGTATATAATTGGCTGAGAGAAAGGCGGTAAGAGAGCTGATTATTACATAGCTGAGGGCCCCACTGGTTGTCTGTCCCGCAATGGATGCAGTCAGTCACTTTACTATCTATTTCTCACTTGCATTGCATCTCGAATACCATTGATTCTATATTTCGGCAAGGTAGCCAAAGATACTATTTTCGTCATGGGTGACCCTCGCGCTCTATTACAAAAGGTTGTTTGAATGCTCTCCCAATGCAACACGCATGTTGTAGCTAATGTTGGTGCGCGGAACCAGGCCGACAAAGCGCTCTCAAGCGCCTCGACTGGTTTCAGTTTCTTTGGAGGTCGAACCGAAAAACTTGAAAATGCTGCAGATCTATATGTCCAAGCCGCGAACGCATTCCGCGTGCAAAGACTGAGTAAGTCACCTGCGCCGAGCGACTGGGAGTCGAAACCATGCGATCGGTGAACAAGAGGAAATGAAGCTAAATATCCTGGTCGTTATTATCAACAGATAAAGAAGCCGGCATGGCGTTTGAAAAAGCTGCCGCTGTTCAGAAAAATAATCTCAACGAGCCCGACGATGCTGCGAATAGCTTATCGGAAGCGTTTAAAGTATACCGCAAGACAGACCCGGAGGACGCAGTGCGAGTCCTCGCAGGCGCAATTCAACATTATATCTCAAAGGGGAACTTCAGACGAGCGGCCACTCATCAACAGAACCTAGCTGAATGCTATGAAGTGGAAATCGGCAATCCGAAGAAGGCTTTAGAGGAGTATGAGAAAGCTGCCGAGTGGTACGAAAGTGATAATGCGGAGGCGTGAGTTACTCTAGTAGAATTCATTCTAGGGTCTATGAGGAGATACTGACCCTTAGGATACTAGACTGGCCAACAAATACTTTTTGAAAGTCGCCGATCTTGCAGCTATAGAGGCCGACTACTACAAGGCAATTGCACACTACGAAAAAGTAGGAAAGGCGTCTATCGACAATAATTTGATGAAGTGGTCTGTAAAAGATTACTTTTTCAAGGCCGGCATATGCCATCTTGCATCTGGGGTATGTCTATCATATTTATGAATCAAAAATATATACTAGCTAACATTATCTCTCTAGGACCTCGTTGCAACCAACCGTGCATTGGAAAGCTATAGAGACATTGACCCTTCGTTTGCCTCAACCAGAGAGCATACTTTATTAGTTGATCTTCTCCAAGCGGTTGAGCAAGGCGAGCCAGATACTTTCGCCGACAAACTCTTCCAATTCGATCAATTGAGCAAGTTGGACAAATGGAAAACGACATTGTTCCTGCGCATCAAGGAAAATATTGAAGAGAAGGGCGAGGACTTCTCGTAATCTATGTGTTCAGTTTCTATCTTCCGTTATTTGGGTGAAGCTGTTTGTTATGGTGGCGCATTTCTAATTCCTGTTTCCTTGGCTTTGCTCTTTGATAGTACGCCGGTAGACTATCGTGCTTGATTATATTGTAACCTCTTCGAATGGTAACGTTCCAAGTCAGAAAATCGAGTTTTCCGCAAATCTAGATACACCTTAAGTCTTTCTGTGGGCACGCCGTAATGGGGTGGAGGGCTTTGACAAGACTCCTGTTGAGTCTCATCATCATTTGGTGAGACGTTGTTCTGCGCAGCATACCGGAAGTCGAAAACTTACGGGTTAAAGAATGATGCCTGGGATTACCTAGTCTTTCGAAGTACTTTTCAGGTTAGCAATTACCATTTCTTTCAAGAAATGAGTCTCCGATGGTGGGCTATCTATGCAGTGTAACTGTGATGGGATGACCACAAAGCACACTGAGTCATTGACACTAGGACTTGAGAATCTGTCTCAGCAAGACCGCTGAGTTTGTCATGTACACTTTTAGAGCAGGAACTGTAGTCTTGACTTGCAGGGGCTTGCAAAACCGTCTGCTACGGACAGAAGGGGTTACGTGATTCTATTTAACCTTGGCCGATACCTCCTTCGATTGTACAGACAATGGATCTTTCCAATTGAGATATGACTCATGTCATCACAAAGGCCACCGCTTGACTTTGCTCTGACTCAGCTAGAGCGAGGAGTCCAAGGTCAGTTGCAGTACATGCTCTCACAATTTGGCCTGGCCTACCACGGGGACTAGATATCACAGCAAACATATCACAGCGTACTAAGAACCACTCATACTACCAAATATGGTGGAAAGGGCAATTCTTTCCGGTCTGAACGAGGAGTTTACCCTCGCTCTTGGGGATAAGACGCTTCTACTGGTTGATAGTGTATGTTGCAGCAAAGAATGGAAGAGGCTAATGGAGTCACAGGATATCATAAACCCTGCCAGCTTCGATGAATTAAATGACTATGCATTGCCATTCATCGTCTTTCCTATCCATCACGGAGACAAAATCATACAGTCGGTCCCGCATACTAGAGTAGGACGATATTTTTACTCACCAATTCCTTGAGCGCATCCTTTTTATGGCAGTGAAGAAGCCGATGTTAATCTACAATCATCGGCTATTTCGCTATTTCAAGCTCGAAATACGCGTAAGTTGAAGTTTGCGCCTATCCGGGAATACCATTCTTCTATATTGAACCATGGGCCGCCGCATGTTTCTTAGCGACGGAAGTTCTGGGAGCCATGGAGGGCGTACATCGATGGTCATCTTACTATGACTACAACATTCAAGCCCACGAAAGGAGGAGTGGAAATGTGAGTAGTTAACAACATAAGCCACTACTTTTTACCTCAAAACGCCGTACCGCTCTCACTTTTCGCATCTCATGGAGTCGATCATCTCTAGATCACCACTAAGGGAACTGGATAACACTGGCACAGCAAACCAGTTGAGAGTTGTTGTTCCACTCCGGTCATGTTCATTAGCTCAAAAGATATCTGACAAGCCGCTTCTGGGAGTACCAGTTGCTGTTAAAGACTCTTTTGAACTAGGAGGATTCCCGACTTCGCTTTGCAATCGTGCTTGGTCCGAATATGTTGGGAATATCACCTCACATCACATATCACCTTTGCCAGCTATTTACATCCATACTAGATCATCTAGTATGCGCGCAGCTTTTTGGTCTAGTTGGTCAAAAGCCCAACAGAATATCACGGAACCAAATCCGCCAATGCTCCTGCAATCGAGACTCTACAAATGATTGGTGCGGTGATTGTGGGGAAGACTAAGCTGAATGCTATGCTGGTACGTGAGGAGACGATGGAATGCGTGTAATTCCTGGCTCCATATAATCTTCGAGGAGACGGTTATCAGACTTCTTCTGGAAGTAGTAATGGCAGCTGCGCTGCACTGGCCGGATATCCATGGCTTGATTATAGCATCGGATCAGACAGCTCGTGCTCTAAGTATCCTGTCATATGTTACGAGTACGAGGACGACATTCTGACTGAATGGTTTTGATAATACTGGGAAGGTCATTCGGGTTGCTAAGTGGTTACTCTCCCCTACGCGTCTCTCCTATTGCAGGAGCGCCGGAAGTCACTGCACCTAGTCAGCCTTCTCAAATGATACTGCCAAGTATATCCCTTTTATGGCAGGGAAGCTATTGCTAACATTTCTGGATATCCTCTAGTTGGAGAGCTACTCTACCACTCCGAAATATCACAACGGGAATTGCCTTTACCGATTAGCGTGTCGATTGTAACACCTCCTGTACTTTGTGCCTGATGAATACTGACTAAGCTGCTGCAAGGGACGGACCTTGACCTGGTTAATCTGGTGCATAAGACTTTTGACAGTAGTAAGAGGCCTTTGAAGGTAGCTACGGGGCGGTCTATATACCTTTAGATCTCTGCCTCGTCATCTATGGATTTGGTGAAGGTTACCAAGTCTTAGGACAGATCAGGAAAGGTGGTTGGAAGAAGTTGAATAGTAAGGGTAGCAAAGAGCATGGGAGATTGTTATTCTAAGACTTTCTAGGTGAGATTAGCCCAGAATGCCTTCGATCGAGCTGTGAGGTACTCCTTCAAGCAGGTCATAGCCATCCATGGGTTCAATCAATTTACCACAAAGCGGAGTATACAGTTAGATGAATTCTCAGTGACATTACTATTCTCATTAGGCTATGCAATGATCAATATATAAGAACGCCATGTTGTACAGAACCATTTGGGTATCATCGAAGCGACGAGAACTAGACATGCTTTTTTATACATCCTTCTTGGAAGCAAATCTCGCAAGTGCAGGCCCAAGCTCCTCTCGCTGGTTCTGCAATGACTCATTTTGTTGAGAATTGCGTTCTCTTTGCAAAGCCTCGGCCTTGAGCCGCTTCTCGTCAATAACATTTGTCTTTCCTCTCTTTCGAAGGTATTTCCTGAGTGCGCTGTTGCGTCCTCGCCCACGGTTCTTCAGTTTCTCTATCGGGTCTTTCGGCTTGTTGTCTTGCTCACGCTCTTCTCGGCGTTTCTTATCACTGATTAGATCGAGTTTTCCGACGAAGTTTGGATCTAGAGAGATCATTTCAGGTTGTAGTTTGTTCAACAATGCCTTGACTTCAGCTTCTTGGCGTTGTTTGGTAGTCTCATAGGGGTTCACTTCGGTAGCGTCAAAGTTGGGTTCTCCGGCGCCAGGAACAATTATACTAGCGAAGCCCTTGTCGTGGGAGACACCTAGAATATCCTCATACGGACACCATCTGACGGTTTCGATGCGTTGTCCATCACCACCCCATGCCATATATGGGCTTTGCACTTTTCCTGCGTCGGCAGCTGCGGCATCGAAAAGTCCCTTCCAAACACTGACTTGTGTGCCCCATCCCACCGCCGTAAGGCCGCGGTCACTGATTGCAACACTCGATCCAGGCTGGTAACAAGAGTATGAATGTACTGGCTTAAACATTCGTATATCCCACACATTCATTCTCATGTCTTGACCGGTAGAAACCATGTACCGACCTTGTCGATCGATAGCCATTGATCGTACTGGACCGCGGTGTACAAGAGCTTTTACAAGAGCAGTTTGTGAATTTGGTGACCACAGAGTAACCGTACCGTTTTGATGGCCCACGTGAAGAATCGCATTCCAGGGGTTCTGACATAGTGCTGTTGGAGAGCCTAATCGAGTAGGGAGTTCGGCAACTAGCTGGCCTGTGGAGGTGTCTGTGTATTTGAGGAAACCGCTGTTGGCCTAAAAGTGCTTATTAGTGTCATTGCCAAGGAGTCATTGTTGAAGAGGAAAACTCACAGCGCTAGCTAAGAGAAAGTGATATGGAAGGAATTCGAGGTATTTGGCCTCGACATGTTTGTTGAGGCAATGAAGTTCAACACCGGCGTGATCGTAAATATAAACGTTTTTCTTCTGGGCCACAGCAAAGAATTGATTATTGTGCAACCACTTCACATCTCGAACTGTCTCTCCAAGTTGTAGCTCGCATCCCAATTTTCCAGCTTGCCAGTCCATTGTTGCGACATGACCTTTCCTTCCGGCCAACAGCAAATGTCTGCCGTTTCGCGTATAATCTGCACGATATGGCCCAAGTTCATCCAATTTCAATTCAAAGCCTTTCTTAGCCACTTCAATTCCAACACTTTCCCTAATTTCATCCTGTCTGACTTTGTACGTTCGTTCAAGCTCTGCCTCGGGCTCTAGGAATCCGGACTCGTTCTCGAGCAGAATTTCCGCGTCTTTGGCGCGCAGTGCAGCTGTTTTGTATCGGTCTTCAACCCTTTTCAAATTTCCTCGGAGTTTTTTGTCTTTAATTTTCTTCATTTGTACTGCCTTTCCGTGTCCATATTTTTCTATTGCTTCTGTGATGCGTCTCTTGGCTTCGCGGTCTTCGACGAGACCTTGCGGCGAGCGTTTCGCAACCGGTTTGGCGACTGCTGCCATGTTGCTATAGCAGTTATTAATCAACCATAAATAGGATATCAAGAAAACTAATCCGAATTGATGTCGCAGAATGTTCGATATGAGCTGTGCTACTAATTTTTTTGTCTTCAACAGAGTATGGAGTAGATCTTACATGTAACGGGACTGGCGAGATTAAAAATTTCCACGCCAAGAGTTCTCACTCGCTTGTCCGCCACAACTTTTTTCCTTATCGATTAGCCCGGTCCCCGCCTTGAATACTTTTTTTTACAAATTGTTTTGACGAAAGGAAAAATATTGATTGAGCTTCAAGATAGTTTTGTATTGAAAATATCCATTCTGGCGACTCTTCCCTTTCGTTTCAGAAGGCCAGAAGGTGCCAATATGGCACCAATCACTTCGTCGGTGCATCACCATCGGAGCACAACAAAAACAAGCCACAAGCCATTCAAGAGCAAGCACGCTACGAAGAGTGCTCTCAAGGAGAGGACAAGAGGTATCCCTTCATTAAAGAAATAGTGTTATTCTAGGAAATTGCCATTAACTGTCTGGATGCAGGAAAAATTGAGACCAAAGAACGAGGAGTCCGGAAAACACCCCACCAACAACTCATGTCCAAACTCGATCGCAAAAACCAAGCTCGTCAGAAACAACAAGTGAAACGTCAGGAAAAGTCTCAGGCCGCTAGTATATTTGCTGGACAAAATGGGGCTCCCCGTCAAGTGGCCATCGTCCCCCTCTCCGAGAATATTGATGTCGCTGCCGTGATTCGCGCTTTGAATGAAAGTGTGGATGTTGCCAACGATGTCTCCATTGATCGCCTGACTCGTATTCGCGTTGATCGGTTCAAGCAAAATATTATGTATACCCCGGCAAAATACGACTTGATACATGCTTTGGATGTCTGCCGTGTAGCTGATTTTGTGGTTTTGGTTCTGCCAACCGATGTTGAGGTGACAGAGGAAGGAGAAACGCTTCTACGATCCATTGAAAGTCAGGGTATTTCCAATGTCCTTGTGGTAGCTCAAGGTCTGGATCAGGTGAACCCACAGAAGAAACGCCCGCAAGTGATATCGTCACTCGTCTCGTTCATGAACCACTTTTTCCCCACCATTGACAAAGTCCTTTCTCTCGATTCCCGGCAAGAGTGCTCGAACGTGGTTCGAAGTCTATGCACAGCTACTCCAAAGGGTATCCGGTGGAGGAACGATAGAAGTTGGATGACAGTTGAAGATGTCAAATGGCCGGATGCACAAGGAAGTTTGGTTGATGATGTCGTGGTCACTGGTGTTGTTCGGGGTAAAGGATTGAAGGCAGATCGAATCGTACATATTCCAGGATGGGGCGACTTCCAGATTGAATCTATAACTGCCGCGCCACTTCCAACCACTAAGGCCAAGAAGGAGGATACAATGAACATTGACGATTCAGAGACATCTCAAGTTTTGGACCAGCCGACCGATGATCGTGATGATATGGCGGTCATCGCACCTGAGGAAATTGAGATGGACGACGACATGTTATCGAACCCTGACGTAGAAAGACGTGGAGTGCTGCTTGATGACCATCATTACTTTTCCGACGACGACCTGCATATTCCTGCACGGCCAAAGCGACTACCCAAGGGTACTTCAGATTACCAAGCTGCCTGGTTTCTCGAGGACGATTCTGATTCTGCATCCGATATGGTTGACAATGAAGATGAAGATATGGAGATGGAAGTTGATGAAACCGAAGGTCGTCCTGAGGATGGTGTCTTCCCGGACCACGGTGATGCAATGACCGAGGGTGGCCCGTCAGAGTATCCTCAATCAGAGATGTTCTTAGACCCGTCACCAGAAGACGAAGCCGATCAACTTGAAAATTACCGTGCTAGCCGACGGACTGAAGCAGAAGATGACCTGGAGTTTCCTGATGAGATCGAGTTACACCCCAATGTCCTCGCTCGAGAGCGACTACAGAAGTACCGTGGCCTGAAAAGCCTCAAGACTAGTCGCTGGGAGACATCGGAAGATCGACCATTTGAACCGGAAGATTGGCGAAGATTACTTCAATTTAATGACTACAAAGGTATCAAGAACAAAATGATCAGGGAGGCTCTTATAGGTGGTGTTACACCCGGCACACGAGTGAATGTGCACTTGAAGGCCGTACCGTCAGCACTGCGCAATAATCCTTTGCCAGTAGCATTATACTCCCTGCTTCGACATGAGCATAAACACACTGTCATTAATATCAATATGACATTGAACTCTTCCGTCGAGAGGCCCATCAAGTCCAAGGAGGAAGTCATCATTCAATGCGGGCCTCGCCGTCTTGTCGTGAATCCAATCTATTCCGGTGCAGGAAATACACCAAACAATGTGCACAAATTTGATCGATACCTTCATCCTGGCCGCAGCGCCATTGCTACCTTTATCGGCCCTGTAACATGGGGCGCTGTTCCAGTTTTAGTATTCAAAAAGCAGGCTGTCGACGATCCTGAAGTCCTCGCCTCCGCCGATGGCAGCACCATCGCTGGAAAGACATCCAACCGTCTGGAGCTCATCGCAACAGGCACAGTCGTTGCACCCGATCCTTCACGAGTGGTCGCCAAACGAGCCATCCTTACTGGCCACCCTTACAAGATCCACAAGAAGGTTGTCACAGTGCGTTATATGTTCTTTAATGCTGAAGATGTCCATTGGTTCAAGGCTCTGCAACTCTGGACCAAGCGTGGCCGCAGTGGTTTCGTCAAGGAGAGCCTGGGAACTCACGGTTACTTCAAAGCGATGTTTGACGCAAAGATTAATCCTCAAGACTCTGTGGGAATTAGTTTATATAAGAGAGTCTTCCCGAGAAGAGCGCGAGCTATTGAAGAGGTTGAAAATGCTGCATAATGATTTTGCATTAGTCTGCTATTATTGTTTTTCTTTTCGCTGTGGTAATGGCTTATGACAAACTGCATACCCTATTGACATGATGGTTACGTGTCATGACTATATAAATGAGATATTGGCTAGTGGAAGTCAATTTGAATAAAAGTTACACATACCCAGTAGTTCATTTCCATTAAATGTAATCATGGTAGTCCTTGATGAAAGGCAACTTTAGCCTCCCTCAATCAGACTTTAAATCAGACACCCCCCGAATTCTTAGGAGCACCATTCTTCCACCTCTCCAAACTCGTCTCATACGCACCACTAGCCTTCCATGAACTAATAATCAAATTCACAATATGATCCACACCATTCCCATGCTTTACAGACCCAAACACCGTCGGACCCCCTTCCCTAATCTTTCCCGCATCACGCTCCATAACACTCAAATCCGCGCCCACAGCCTCCGCCAAATCAATCTTGTTAATGACCAACAAATCGCTTCCCGTGATCCCCGGTCCACCTTTACGAGGGACTTTATCACCGCCCGCGACGTCGATGACATAGATGATAAAATCAGCTAGTTCGCGTGAGTAGTTTGCGGCCAGGTTATCACCGCCGGATTCGATAAGGAGTAGATCAGTGTTGAATTTGCGTTGGAGGGTTTGCAGGGCGAGGAGGTTTGCGCTGATATCTTCGCGGACGGCGGCGTGGGGGCATCCACCTGTTTCGATGGCGGAGATTCTTTCGGGGGGGAGGGCTTTGTTGCGGGTTAGGAATTCTGCGTCTTCTCTGTTTGGGTGTTAGTTTCGCTAATGTGGTCAGGGAAGAAAGGGGGAAGTACTTTGTGAAAATGTCATTTGTAACAGCTGCGATGTTGTATTGGTCTCTCAATGTCAGACATAGTTGTAACATCAGCGCTGTTTTTCCGGATCCAACTGGTCTTTTCAAATAATTAGTCAGCACTAATAACGAGACCGGGTTGAGAAAGCAGACGTACCCTCCAATACCAATTGTAAAAGCTCTATCCTTCCAATCCCTTCCTTCATGCTGAGAAAGTGGTTGTTCGCGATTCAGATACGAGCCTGGGCCATCGTAGATTTCATGCGAGTGACCATGACCACCAAAAGCATCGGTATCATCATGGGAGTGAGACAATCCGTGGTCATGTGAATGAGTGTGACCTAAAGTCGACATGTTGAGGTCTGTATTCAAGCGCAGGGGTTGGTAGATAGGTTACTCAAGATAGTCGCACGCGGTTATGGTTGGTTCGAACCTCTGCCACAATACTTCTTGTTGAAAACGTCAGGTAAGCGTATATACAGGACTTTTCAATCCTTTAGGTCCCCAAGTATCTCCAATGACCGTAGTGTGGTGCAGTAGAGAGTAGAGATGGTTTCGTCTCTTATCAGGAAGATATCCCACCAGCCCACCTTGCTTATCTAATCAGATGAGATCGCTAACGTAATCGGACAGCCACCCGATCACGACACCAACCCGCCAGTCTGCATATCGCATATAAAATAGCCCTTACTACCCCACTAGTTAACTAGTGGTTAAAGTTAACTAACCCTAGTTTGCTCGTTATCAGATGGACATCTACATAAGAAAGACCACGAGTATTGATATAGAAACAATATATGAATGTGTTCAAGCTTGACAGGAGTCAGCTCCTACAACCGAAAGCCCCTAGCACGATACAGTACAGAATACATACTGCCACGGTACACTCCAAAAATCGACTCTAATGCTGTCTCCTACTAATTATAATGACTAAACATCCTTTCATGGCTTGTGGTCTCTTTTTTCTTCGCTTGTATATTGGCAGAAGATTGAGGAATCAGTTGAAGTTGAATTAAGATACGAGATCTGGTCCAATAAGCTGTCAAATTCTACGAACTGTGGGGTATGATGTTGTTGCCTGGCGAAGGTGGAGACAACTTGAGCTGATATCAATCTCTTCTCTGTACATATTTACATAGCAAGACAATCTCAAGACGCTGATACTGACTATGACGAGCCTACAGTGCTAGAGGGTTTGCGTGAAAACACTGCCTGCAGTATCAATAGCAGCTTGTGAGGTTTAACGTCAACATGCTCCTCTCCCTCCCCATTAAGCTATAACAAAATATAGTAGACTTTATCGATCCCGCAGACATAATCGCATTCTCAACCACCTGCAAGCAACTCTACACCCTAGCCCAACCAGGTATCAAGAAGCACAAGAAACTCTCTAAAATTATCAGAGGGGAGAACATGAAAGTGACTTTATTCCTTGCAAACGTCCAGCTTCCCGTAAACAAGCAAACTTTTGCACTAACATTGGGCATCTCTGGAATATTGTATGCTATTGCCCAATCCCCTCGCTTGGAATGGTATTTCAAGGAGTTTGAGTGGTATGTATTCAATGAAAAAAATGTCGGAAACCGTGGATCCAAAGCCCGCTTGGGAATTGTTGGAACAACTCGTCAAGGCTTCATCGTTCCATAACAATGAATACGAAGTGCGTGACTGGCTGGAAGCCCTGGTAAGGGGGCGAGGTGGTGCTGCTTGGGTCTTCTTCAGTCGACTCACACAGCTGAACAAGATCCAATTAGACATGGAAAAAAGGAACCCAATGACCCCGTACGTCGCGAGGACTATTAGCAAATTAGCAGCAAGATCACACAGCGGATATCTGGATCAGGGGTTATCGGCACTTGAAGATGTGAGACCGGAATTTAAGGATCGTCTTGAGCGCGGAACCTTCGCGGAGATTCCTCGTTTGATGGCTGCTTTCTCAAGACTACCTAACTTGCGAAATATGTCTATCATGGGCTATTATGCCAGGTATCCGGCCGGTCCTGATTATCAGGCAGTCATTGATTAGGATGATGCTGAGGATTCGGATTATCCTCTACCGAAGATACCATCGCAGTTAAAGTCCTTGTCAGCTAACCGTGGGAATATATCAGCACAAAATGTATACCAAATCATCGAGCACTGTATCAATTTTGAGTCGTTCAGATATATAATCTTCCACACATCCCAGGTATTCGGCCAAGCACGCAGCTAGAATATATGTCGTAACCCTACAACTCCACCAACCACAAACTGGGACTTGAATAAATTTACTGCTCTGGAACGATTAACTCTCGATATAGACTTGTTCAGTAATCAGGATGGTGATAGTTGGCTTCCCTCTGCAGAGACACTGCCTAAATCAATCAGAGAAGTGACTATCCTTGCCCATCGCTGTCCTCCAGGCGCTAACAGACTCGACTTTGAGAGCGTGTTTCGCGGTTTCAGGCCACAATCGTATCCGAATCTGTGCTCTATCAGCGCATATCATCGTAACATGAAAGATTTCCACAAAATTGGACATAATGGAGCCGATCACATTCTCAAAATACACAACCATGCCCTTTCCGAAGCGGGTATATCCACCGATGATATCACGCATTACAAATTAAGGAATGAGTACTTTGAGAAAAAACGGAAACAGTATCGGAAACCACCCGGACAACGAGGAGGTGACAGGTGGATGGACGAGTTTGGGTTCAAGGACAATGTGTTGTATGCGTTGCCGGCAAAGGATACCGAGGGTCGGTGATCTTTGAAGAATGGAATGAGGAAGGTCCGTCCAAAGCGAGTATAAATCCTTGTTGGTCCAGGTACACGAGAACGTAATAAACTGTTGGGATTCTCCCTTAGATAGTCAGCAGCGCCTACCTCTTGTAGTTAGCACGCCAGTAGCTAGATATCTTCGTCCTAGGGTCCTACGTTCCCTAGGACACACACAACAGAGTCAGTTTTCCTGCTTCCAGCACAAGATAAACTAAGATAAAGATCTTTCATAGATATCTTACAAAAACAGGTTGTCACGTGGCGAAGATTCCATATTGTCAACATTTACTTAGGCAGTTAGATAATAACTTCAGTCAATTTTATAATAAGTACCAATATGCAAAATAGTCATCCATAGAACCATGACAGATACCAAAATTTCTATTAGGTCAACAATCAAATTTACAATGACAGGCGAGCTGTATTGATGATACAGCACGGATGAAAGTCATAAGAACGTGATGAATGGGAAAGGTGAAGGGAAAAAAAAAACCCTAGCAGCAAAAACGCAGAATCATCACACCTGCGAACACCCCAATAAAACAAATAAAAAAAGTACAGCACCAAGTAGAGAGGAAAAAAAGATACATGAAATATGCAGAAACCCAGAATATCTAAATCGCTGAATCACCTGCGCGTTTAAAATAAAAGCCATGTATGACCTCGTAATGGAGACCAAGGCAGGCTTCGATGAAAAACCATGGTATCATGTCCCTGGAGCAGAACCCAGAAACGTATCAATAAAATGCGTATCGGAACAAAAACTCAAACAGGCCACGAATGACGACCGAAGCGGAGACCAGTGCTAGACGCCATGCGTAATATGGATCGGAAAAGTATCCAAGAAAAAAGCCAACAAGTCATAGTCAGTAACAGGAAAATAGGGAATCATATGCCCGGAGGCAAGGATGAATGGGCACTCGAAAAAGGAAACAACAAAAACTCCCCTGGAAGTAAAAATGAGACATGACAAGAACCGTAATACGCCAATTACCGAGTTCCCCGTTTTTTTGTGAGAAAGAAACGAAAGCGGCAAAATGCGGAAGTAATAGCAAGAAGTCCCTATGAAGCGCCTTTATGTCTTTTCCCACCAACCTTGGGGCTTGCCCTCACTTTCGCTGCACCAGTGGGACCAGTTCCGTTCACTTCCACGCCATCATCACCCTCTGTTTTCACGGTGCTCGCCCGTCGACGCTTATTGGAGACGTTAGGACTGGTATTCGCACTCGCACCTTGGCTACCATTCGCTCCCATAGCACCTTGGCTTTGGTGGGGAATCATTCCAGGCCCCATGGGATGGTTTTGAGCCGGACTCGGATGGGCGGACACCCCTAAATGGGGTGACGCTTGTGCCCCGGGCAAGCCCATATTCCCAACGGATGGAGAAGCGAATTGAGAAGGTCCGTTAATACCAGGAGTCCGTTGACCTTGAGCCTGAAGATTATGAGGACTATTTATTATTGCAGTAACATCTCGAAGTAGCTCGCTAGCACCCTTATGGGGGTTGTGAGCACTGTGGTTGATTAGAGTCGTCATATAAGACAAGGGCTCTGCGATCTAAATCACAAATAAGAATGTTAGTTATTGGCTTTCCCTGTTGAAGTAACCAAGTCATACCTCAAGGAAGCACTGAACGCTATGCGGAAGACCGTTCTCATTGACCATTGACTCCGGGGGTGAAATAGTGGGAGGCGGCTGTTGTTGCTTCTGCATCCTTTTACTGGCATTCTTGGATACGCGCGGACTGGGCTTTTGATCGATTGGTTCCGGTTGTTGAAGAAGATTGCGAGGGATGTATTCCCGGAACCCAGAGACGGATATATCGACCAAATCAAACTTGAACTCCGGATTCACAAGTACCTTGAGTGATCCATTCACGACAAGCTAAGAAGAAATCAGAATATAAATCCCCGCGATGCTTTCTGGTTTCACAAACCTGACAATCATTGGCGAACCAATAAATGAAGCTAGTCCTGGGGCTATACACCACACGATAACCATTCGTGGGGGTAAACTCTTGCGTAGCTTCCATATGCGTTTGTATCCGTGTGATGCCATTATTGAAAAGTGTGACATAATAACGAGGTAAAATGGTCGCGTTAACTTCGAATGACTTCGAACCAGTACCTGGCGTCAAGACGCCCTGGCGCAAAACGCCCCAGGGTTGGCCAGTCGCTATATGATGATTGGTGTTGTAATATGTGTTTACGACGTTCTGCCAGTGAAGAAGATCGACATCTTCGCCTTGGCTCTGGAAGAAGAAAAAAATTAGTAATCTCGTAGTAATTAACCACAGTGTATTGAACTCACCTCAAAATTACTTAACATCTCGAAGTAGCTGTTCACCCAGTGTGTCACACCTGTTTTATTTTGCAGCAAGTTGTTTATATTGTTCATATTCATGCGTCTTTGCTGATCCATCAACGCTTGTTGCTGCATTTTCATCTGCTCTGCACCGGGTAATACTTGCTGTTGCTGCGGCTGGGTCACTTGTGGTGCATTTGGCGGCTGTGCTTGAGGTAGTTGCACCTGCTGTTGCGGATGATTTGCTTGCGCTTGTTGCTGAGACTGTTGCTGAGCCATTGCCTGCTGAGCTTGAGGAATCTGCTGGTGCTGGGGATTCGGCGTTGATTGTGGTGGTTGCGAACCCTGATGGGAGGGAGGTTGGGGAGTTGAGTGCTGTGGAGGGTTAGACTGCTGTGATGGCGTTGCGCTTCCAGGAGGCACTGGGGGACCTTGTTGAGGCTGGGGAGTGACGCTTTGAGGTGGTACAGCAGGTCGCGGCTGCGGTGTATGTTGGCCCTGTTGGCTGTTTGCCTGAGCTACCGCTTGGGCTTGTGCAGCTTGGGCTTGGGCTTGGGCTTGTGCTTGGGCTTGAGCCTGGGCTTGCATGGCAAATAATTGTTGCTGCTGTTGTTGCAAATTCTGAGGCATGTGTTGCATTTGCGGGAAATGCATCATACCGACCGGGCCGCGCATATTTGGATTTTGCATAGCAGATAACTGAGCTTGACTGAGGCCCTGTGTCCCTGCTGGCATCGAGACGGGGATGCCACCTCCATGATGCTGTTGCTGTTGAGCGAGATGCTGCTGGTGGAGCATTCGCTGTTGTCGGGCCACTGCCTGCTGTTGCAGTAGCTGCTGGTTGTTCGTGACATCTATAATAAGATAGGTTAAAAAGAGCATCGCGGTATATTGAAAGATAAAATAAGGTTGACTTACTCATTGCATACGGCTGCTGTTGAAGCAATTGTGCATGGGCAGCCGGGTTCAAGTGTTGCAGAGCATGCGCATTTGGCACCGGGCCACCGGGGCCTGTGGTTGCGCCTGGAGGCATACCGGCCATCATGGGCCCAGGTTGACTCACCTGTGGCCCAGCAGCAGCGGAGACGCCAGGATGCATCTGCTGAAGCATCCCGGGTCCCTGAACCATATTCGGATGCTGAGCTTGGGCCATTGGATGGCCAGGAGGGAATCCGGAATGTTGAGGCATGCCTTGATGGGCAGGAAATGGCTGGGTCATCATCATCGCTATACCAAAGAGCCCTCAGCCACGTGAAGGCTTATGAGGACCAATTCAATCAAACCCAACGATCACGTTTGCGACAGGACAAGACTTTTTCCAATTTGTGGATGCGACGTGCTTCCCTATCAAACAACACCAATAACTGACGCGATCAGCCCGACAGCCAACGTTATCCACTTCCGATTGAATGCCAGGACACTGCAGGCTGGCGATAGAGCCTGAGTCAAAGCCGGCTAAGAACAGGAAAGCTCAAGAGCATCGATCACGACCGGATAGTCAGTCGCGTCTTGTGAGTAGTTGATCAGGCGTGGGCCTAAGGTGGACACAAGCTTTTCCGAGCCTGGACGGAACGAACGACGGCGGGAGGAGATTGGTAACAACGGGCGAAGGAAACAAGCCGACAGCCAGAAAGAAGAGGCGTATTTTCTCTCTCAATTATGCTGAGGCCAAAGAGCCACTTCGCGTCGAATAAAACGGCTGACAAACTGGGAAAGATTGAGGGTTTCGAGGAGGGGCTGGGCTGGCTGGCAAATTGGCAGTAGTAACGTTAGGTGGTCCAAGAACGGCGAACGACGGACACCGGGGACGTCAGATCACCTTATGTAAAGGCGATCGCACGCTCCAACAGAGGAAAGGTCTGCTGCGTGGCGTGACCAACAAAGGGTCAGGTAATATCTTTCTCTTGCCGAACCACCCACTGAATGAGAGAAAAGCTAAAACTGAATGGGATTTTGAGGACTTTAAGGAGAATCATGGAGAGAGGGAAATCCGCTCTTCCTGGACGAAGGCGCTGCAGATCCCATCCTGCGCGTTGCCCAAAGCACGCCAGCCTGTATGGGAACGTCACGTGATAAGATCCTAGCTTTTTTGCGCGCCTTCCCGCCCGGCACTTTATTTTATTTTTCTTGTTTCTCTTGTTGATTTTTTTTCTCTTTCTATTATTCAACCATCGTCAATTGATCTCTGTCAGACAGTCAAGCAAACAACAATAAGTGAAAGCAGCTATTCAGACAATAGATCTATTGTCTGGACAGCATTCCATTGCACCAGGTTAGTCCAATCCTCTTCTTCGACTCACTGCATCCCACCTTCATCTATCTACAAGATGACAAACCACTTTTTACTTCTTTACTCTCTGAGTCGCCCTTGAAGAGATATTCGGGCCTTCCTTTCCCGGTTGGCCTGCTACTTGCCAGTATACCTTGTCTGACCTTTCCATCTGGATGACAACCTCGTTCTTTTAATTTGATTGTTTCAACGGCACCCAGCTGACATCAATCGCTTGTTAGATCTAGATTATTTAGCCGTTCCGTATCTCAAATAAGATAGTCTGTCCGTCGGTGAGCGTACTGAGTTTGTGCAACCACACGTTTCGGTGTCGACGCAGTATACTGGGCATGGCGTGTGATCGGTTTGGTCGGAGAGAGATAAGAGACAGAGACTAGTAGTTAGTGTATTTTGAATCAATGGAGATTTATTTATCTAGTGATCTGGAGTCAATTCTGTTAATAACGTAGAAGACTTTCCATGGGCAAGCATCGTAGCGAAAATCTTTGACAATTGGTCTTGAATTTTTTGTGTAAGGTCAGCCTTAGGCCTTCCATCGATGATACGTCAAAATTCCTGCAGATCAAATTCTTGGCATACATTATACGCTAGTCTTGAAACAGTTAGCGCATTATATGTTTAATCCGATTAGGAATTCATCAATCTCAGAAAACTGTCCATTCGACACTTCTCCGTTCCAATATCACTGCATCTCCGGATGCCCCGTTGCGTACTTTGCACTTGGTAGCAGAAGCAATACTCCCTGTCAATCGCATTGTTTCTGCCAATTACTTCGCCCGGTCTGCCTAGGTTGGACCGTCGTTGCCATGCAAAGTACGCTACTCCTACCCTCCCATGTCGTTCGGTCCTGTCGCTTAATTGCCGGTCGCCGATACGCTCCCTCGTTGACAGCCTCCTCTCGCCATTTCCATCAATCTGTTCTCCGCTATTCTGAGTCGTCTCCCGATCCCAATGGCTCGTCGGATCCAAACTCCGATACTCGAAACGGCGTCAAGCCCGTCGGCGTGAACACGCAGGCTCCCGAACATGTCAAAGATTCGACAGAATCGAAAGAATCGAATCAGTCATCCGCCGGGCGAAAAAGCTATATATCAGGTCTTCGTCGTACATGGAAGGATAGGAAATCTTTGTCGGACGATGTGCCGATCACAGCTACAATTCCGCAATGGTTTGTAGATACGAACGTTGTCACGTACGCGCAGGCGGTCGATAGTACATTGCCTCTTCAGGTCCATATCAACCAAAAACAGGCTTCCTCGAAGCAATCAATACCGACTCCGTCATCTTCATTACCGTCTGATGATGTTACAAACGCTACACAACAAAGTACATCGGAAGTATTGAACAAAGAAAGCGAGAATGAAAATTCCAGCGGAGAGGCGCCTGAGTCAACTACCATCGACAGCCGTTATACGATAAGTCATGATGTATGGGTCAGACTAAAATTGTCGGTCAGAGCAGGATTTGCAACTCCGTCAGCGAAGTATGCCAATGACCCAGCAACGGAAAAATCGCACCTTCTTCTACAGTATCCCCATAGGAGAAAAGAGGCCAATGTGGATGTCATTGGAGGGAGCCTGTTCTTACATGCCGTGGTCCAAAGATTAGCAAAGGAGGAAAAGGCAGATCTGGTGACGCTGAACGCGCAAGATATCGCGAGGCTGTGCAGTGAGCAAGCAAGGGCCGAAGGAAAATCATCGTCGTCAATTCGGAACCTAGGTTATGAGATCTACAATACTTGGAATAAGAAGCGCAGACTGGATATGGAACCTGTGTCTGATAAAGACGATGGCCCCGGTGACGGCAGTGATACCTCGATTTCGCTTTCCGACTCCGGTGTACGTCCGCATATAGTACCTATTGAGGTCAGTCTTCCAGATACACAACTTCCCAATTGGTTATTATCATCCTTTGGTGCCAGTACGGACGGCACAGGACCTCGCGTATCCCGTACCGAAATTGGTGCATGGATGCGCGTCATTGACCAATTGACCTCTTTATCTTTCCAAGCCAAACCTGCTGCCACTGATAGCACTTCTACACCGCCTACCGAAACTGTTGAGAAGTCTGACGCGCCCCCAAAAACGATCATTCATATACAAGATTATGTAGAGTTAATGCACACTCGAGAAGGCTCAAAGTTTTTGAAACTGTTACTGGACGCGATCCATAGCCGCCGACGCCATGGATACAAAATATTACTGGTTGGAACATCCTCGGGATATCGAGATCTATACTTTGACAGGGAGATGTCTCCGCTACCAATCGTTGAGCAAACGAGGCTTTACCTCGATAGCTCAGCTAGACCATTCGCTTCCCCCATCGCTGTCTTTCCCTCGATGGATCCGAAGGAATTAAATCTCAAATTTGCAGAGGATCGCAGCTCTCGAATACGGAATATCAACATACGGCATCTTCAGGATATGCTCCGTCTGCGGGTGGATGCAGATACAACTGTCATAGATGACAGCGTATTTGATACCACTTCTTGGCCTAGCGACATAGACTCCTGCACCCCACTCTATGCGCTAAATGTCGACTACTTGGGATATACTCGAGTACATAATCTTAGTTCAATGATCATGGGTGCCGTGCAACCCAATGAAAAATTGAGTTTCAAGCACATTCGGCTGGCATTTATGACCGAAACCATGCATAGAAGATCTTGTGAAAATTGGTACTCGCCTTCGAGATCGGCACGACCTGCGGTGTCGGGTATTGATGAGAAATCAGAACTTGAGGAAGTGTTTCGACCTTCAAAATTGGATACGATCTCACAACTTGAGTGTAACAAATATGAGAAAAAGCTTTTGGGTGGCGTTGTCGATGCGGACAATATCCGAACGACTTTTTCCGATGTCCACGTGCCGTCTGAGACGGTGGAGGCTCTCAAGACACTGACTTCTCTGTCCTTGAAGAGGCCAGATGCCTTCACCTATGGTGTGCTTGCATCTGATAAGATACCGGGAATGTTGCTATACGGGCCGCCTGGGACTGGAAAGACATTACTCGCGAAGGCGGTAGCTCGAGAGAGCGGTGCAACAGTCCTGGAGGTCAGTGGATCTGACATATACGACATGTATGTTGGTGAAGGTGAAAAGAACGTTAAGGCCATCTTCACCCTTGCGAAAAAGCTCAGTCCATGCGTCGTTTTCATTGATGAAGCAGACGCCATCTTTGGATCTCGGAATCAAAGCCGAAATCGGTTTTCGTCTCACCGGGAGCTTATCAACCAGTTCCTCCGGGAATGGGATGGTATGAATGACATGTCGGCCTTTATCATGGTGGCAACGAACAGACCTTTCGATCTCGACGACGCTGTCCTTCGACGACTTCCACGGAGACTCCTGGTCGATCTACCTGTAGAACAAGACCGAGAAGCGATTCTCAAAATACACTTGAAGAATGAGCAACTAGACCCTTCTGTCGATCTCGCGGATCTGGCACGAAGAACTCCCTTTTATTCCGGATCTGATCTCAAAAATGTCTGTGTAGCCGCTGCCTTGACTTGTGTCCGCGAGGAATACGAGAAGAAAACTCAGCATACAGGTGATACACCATACCAATACCCGGAACGACGCACCCTTACACAAGCACACTTTGAGCGTGCCATGGAAGAGATCAGCGCATCGATCAGCGAGGATATGTCATCTCTCGATGAGATTCGCAAATTTGACGAAAAATTTGGTGATAGCAAAGGCAGGCGCAGTAAAAAGGCATCTTGGGGTTTTATGCCTCTTAGCGATACCCAAGCACCGATGGATACGCCCCGTGTGCGTACTTGATAGATATATGGACTCGAATGCTGTAATGTAACCAACTTATAGATGTGTATTTTTACTTTGTATATTATATTGTCATATAAAAGTATTTATATGAGCTTAGTTACTTCATACTTCTTGTAATACCGATGATACATACAAATTTGGCTTCATACGAGTATCGTATGCATACTGTACAGTAAACTTCTTATTTCACGTAAAAATGTATTGTCTATACCCAATGCGGCATGGCAAACGGCGCTTTGGTCCGAGCGGGAGCGATCCAGAACAAAATCTCTCGTCATGGAAAGATCGAGCTTTGACTTTTGACATCAACTGATTCCTTTTTATAATATCATCGAACGCCTCTCTTCTCACTTTCGCTCACAACATACATCATGAAGAGACTATCATACGATCATTAAGGCCCCTTCACGGCGGGAACGATACCATTCTTATATATTCGTCATACACTACATAAAAAGCCATTCCTCAGTGTTTCATCTGATCGGTGCACACGACCGCCTGCCTTTTTTTCTTCCCCGCTTCTTGTGATCAAACACAAGCGAAACAGCCCATAACCCCAGCCTGCGCAGAATCGCCAATAATGACTACCATGCCTTCCTCACCGACATCTGTATTTCCATCACTTCGTCGAAAATCAACAAGTAAATCCGCAGTGACTGCGGAGGTGAAGCAGAAACGAGAAGCCGCTGTGCGGGAGGCAAAACAATACGTTCGGGATGTGGTTCGTGTGGACTGGTCCTACGACCCGCCTTCGACACTTTGGACGACAGGAGCGACTTCAAATTCACTAACCGCAGAAACATCATCAACCAGTGCAGGTACACACATCCGCACAGAGTTGCGACAACCAAATATTGCCCAATGGCGGATACGAGAACCTGCGAGTTCTGAGTCAGATTCCGATCTTGACCCGGCTTTACGCAAAGCTATTGAAACTCATAATCGTCGAAAAGAAGATCCCTACAGGTTCGAAAGTCCCGATGCTATCAAGACCTCGGTGCTGGATCGTGGTCGAAGACGTAGGGCAGATTTGGAGCAGGAGATGAAGTGGAACCCAGGGCTAAGATTTTATATAGAAAGGCGGGATGCGTGGACTGGAGCTAGAAAACGACGGGATGTTGAACAGCGATCGACAAGCAAGCAGCAGGCAGTGATCGATATTTTGTCAAAAGAGATGAAGAACGCGAAAGCCGTGGAGTCGGACGGTGATACCAGTGCGAAGGTCGAGTCGTTAGACGAGGCAGCTTCGTCAGCACAGCAATCGAGAGATCTGCTCGAGGATTTGAGCTTGTCCGAGAACAAGTCAAGAGATACGACTACAACAACTGTCGACAGCAACATTACTCCGAACGATAGCTCTGGACTGGATGGGAGTACCGGCGATGATGGAGATATTGACGGTTACGATGCGGACCGCAGCTACGACTCGGACGAGTCCATGATTCCAGTAATGGAATCCTTTATCGACAATTCCAACTGCGTTAGGTCCTCTATAACACCAGCTTTATATGCCTCGTTATATACCAAAGTGGTTGTCCAGGGTCTCACCCCAACAATCCCCATCAATTTATCAGACGTCACAAAAGCGCTAGTCGCAGGATGGAAGGCAGATGGTCAATGGCCCCCGAAACCCACTATTCCTCCACCAGGATCCGACGTCCCAGCTCGGAAGAAGGGTACAAAAGCACAATCATCTACAAAAAATGACGACGCCACTGCCACTGGAGTCGTCGGACGACCACCACCTACTGCTACCACTGCTGGGCGAAGGACAAGTTTCAGTAATCAAGCGACCAGCGCAGTGAAAAAGGTTTTGGGGTTATCGGGTCACTCGTTTCATCTTCGTCGATCGAGTCGTAGTTCAGTGAATGCCGATTCCAATGTTCCGGATCGGTTGTCGTCCGTGGCTGATGCTGTTCCGACTGATGTCCTCATGGTAGAAGAGGAGCAGGATCAGGATATGAAACGTGCATTTGGCTGTTGAGCTGAGGTGTATGTTCTCTGACAAGACTTGACACAAACCTGGAAGAAGACAGAAAGATATAGCTTATGATTGAACGGGTTATGAGTATTCTTATGATGATTCTTGTGCATTGTAGGGATTATCCTTGTATAATAACAATCGATTAGCTGCTTGGTGCCTATTGAAGTACCCAGATGAGAAATATATCAATACACTCGAACAGGAATACGAAAAAAACAATTGTCCCATGCTGCTAAATAACATAGTGTTCCGAGATGTGGTTACGCAAGCTATCAAATATATCCAATTTTTCGTACATATCTGATACAGTATTTTCATCAAAACCTATGTCACACAGGTTGAGTACAAATCCAAAGTAAATTCACTTATGCAGCTACCTAGTTATTCATATGGGTATCAATATAAAACTAGAACTCCCGAACTGAAACAAAACGCTAACTAGTAGAATTGCTTAATCTGGTAATAACTCTGAGCAGCAGCAGAAGAAGAGAGCGAGAACATGAGACCAAAAATAAAGGAAAGAACCGGCCCAAAGACTGGTGAAAAGGGCGATGGGCGTCATCAATGTAAAATATGAAAGGAGTATTAGGTATTATGACTTGGAATTCTTCCAATTCTTAGGTACCACCGACTCCTGTTTGAAGTGTGGCTACTTTGGCTTGCTCGGCTGTTTCGCCGCTCCCAGTTTTCTAGGGTTTGCGTAGTCACGGGACTATCACCACGAGTCTCGTTACTCTCGTAGCCAAGTTCCCGTAGGTAATCGCGAATGCCGCGAGGAATACCGGGCCAATCGAAGTCTGCTTTATTGTGGATCAAGAGTTGTAGTATGTCTCTATTGGGGATGCTGCTTTGATCGATGGCCAGCTTCGCAGGTGTTTGATTCGTCTTATTCACACAGTCGATGGCTGCCTTTCCCTTGCTGAGGAGTATTTGCGCCCCGTGATAGTTGCTTCTCCGAACGCAGTAGTGTAGCGGAGTGTCGCCATGATTATCCTTCGCGTTGACGTCTATATCGTTGTCTATCAGGAGCTTGACGACATCCTCGCGTCCTAATCTGGTCAAAGCGTGATGCAGAGCGTTCATTCCCGCGCTATCTTTGGCGTTGATGTACGGTCCAAACTCATTAATTCTATTCTTCAATGCCTCGAAATTCTGCATCTTCGCAGCACCGAGTAACTGACTCGCCCCGGTACTCATACTGTCTTCTGATAGTCGCGTAACGTCTGTTCTGTGGGATACTGGTGAGGTTCCACACCCATCGGATGACCCGCTTGTTGATGCAGGTCCGGGGGACCTCAGCTTTGGGGGTTGGGGTCTATCTAACACAGGATGAGGGATAGGTGGTTCCGACTCGGTCCCACGGGTAGGTTGCATGATGGGCTCAAGTACAGGCAGCGTCTCGAGTAGAAGGGGATACTCTACACGAAGTGACCGCTGGCCAACGGGGTCCGCTAGAATACCAAACACTTTGTCCAGAGTTGCCGCACTGTCAACCAGGAGCTGCCGCAATGTAGACATAACGGACGCAGACTCTTCCTCAGGATCCGCTGCTTCACGAAATGCCGTAATTGCAGCACCGAACGCTGACAATGCTTCGTGTTTCAATTTATCCGGCGACGTGTTATGAGGTTCTCGCTCATACTCAAGTAAAAAAAGACGTGCTGTTGCGCAGCGTAGTTGTACCTCTTGAAGATTGGACATCTGCTGATAGTCGACAGTGTGTGTCTCTGAAAGTTGCCATAGAAACGAGATATAGCTCCGTGCATCTTGAAAGCTCCCTTCCTTTTCGTAGACCTCTGCGAGCAGGAGTTGCAAGTCAAACCATTGATGGAAATCCACATTGTGTTCAAAGTACCTGCACTCACCCCATTCAAGTGCTTCGTGTATGTACTTCTTACACTTTTCGTAGCCACAGTTTTCAAATTCCGTTTTTGTTTCGTGGATATAGCCGTCAAGAAATACGGTCATGGTCGACAAGGGTACCGAAGTACTAGTATTGGGTTCAAGTTGAGGCACAGATGAACCATAGGCACTGTCGTCACCGTCTGACTTCCTGTCTGAGGGTGAAGAATTCTGCACGGATCCATCACGAGAAAGTCTATCATATATCGACTTGGCAGTTTTGAAAGTACCCTCTGTAATTTTGATACAAGTGCCCGCATCCCGGCTGAGAACAATCTCGTCGCATATTTGGTGGATTAACCCTGACCCATCATCTATCCTGTTAACCTCTTCTCGGTTGTTGAGATTGTTCAAAGCAGCCATGATCTCAGCTCGGGATTCTTGTAGGGAAATGAGCTTTTCTTGTATTTCCCGTAGATAGTCCTTCACCTGTTCTGTTTGATGATTGTTGGCGATTCTACAGACAAAGAAGTCAGCCATCTGGGCCTGTGCAATCATCTTAGTAGTATACCCGGGTATGTGCTTACACTTGTAAAACAGAGATTAGGGCCTGGATGTTCCCAACGTTGCTCCGAAGTCGTGCATTCACGGTTTCTATCTGGGGCCGGCGTAATACTCGCCTGGCCTCTGCCGTCACCCTGCCCGTAAGCGTGTTGCTGAAAGTTCCATAAAGCCGATGCAGACTGTCATTGCATTTTTTACAGTCCTTGGCAATTTCGTGTACCAGCTTACTAATTTCTCTCCTCTCCTGAACAGCTTTATCATAGCAATCCGCCACATCTCTATCTTCCACCTGTGCTGTCATCCTTTCGACAGCCCTGAAGGAGTAGTCGAGGCCCCTGATAAAGTCATCCTGGAATTCCTCCGCATTTTTCACGTTTTTCACAAATATTGCTGTATTTAGAGCAATCTTTATCGCGTTTCCAAGAAGCTGGAGGATCGCGGCTGCACTAGAGACCGGTTCCATCGCGCAGATGCTCGTCTCGATGAGCAGAAGTGAGGTATGCACACAGGCGTAATCTGTGGTTGATGGACGATAAATTTGAACTAGAACCCTAGTCCAAAGGTGGAGACCGTGTCCAAAAAGAAAGTGCCTAGATGGATGGTCAAAAAACCATGTAATTCTGATCAATTCACGACCGCAGTGAGGGATATACTCCAGAAATCTAGCGGTTGGTGGCTGTGGAAAACAACAGAAACCGGTCTAGGCATGTTCAACATGGTCTTGTGACGTCTTAGCCCTTCATTTCAGCCGTGATTTAGACTATCATTAATGCCCCAATATGACATGGCGTTTACTCCCTTGTTTTCCGGCAGGCTATCTTCACAATGTCACTTCTAGCCCCGCGTTAGCCGCATACATACCCTTACGTACTAGCAGTTCATAATCTAGTTAGCTACCCCAATGAACAAGCTTCCCCGTACCCCGGAGAATAAAAGCCAAGCACTAAGTTGAAAGTCCACATTTGCAAATGTACTAGATGGGGGCCTGAGCTACGTAATATGACTCAGTCTTCGTTACGTGTAACTTAGTATTTACAGACAGCCTTATTTACTTCCAAAGTTCAGGACGTAAGTGTCGTATATTGTTAGTTGCGTTTGTAATTCATCGTTTACTGGTATGCCTAGGTCGGAGCGAAATACTTTTCTTTTTTCATTTTACATGACGAACTCAAGACATCACTTCGTCTTACTACTGCCTAATGCTATTCCGGGTACTTCGCGACACTCTCCGCCTGATTTGTTCCTCAGTTGTCAAGATGTCAAGCTAAGTGGCAAGTTAGGGCGCTAGAGTATATCAAGTCTTGGGTAGTGGAAATACTCCCGAGGCCAGGCTGGGGAACTTAAGTAATTTTAGGTCGTTCAGCCTCGTTGACGAGGAAATAGAACACCTAGTTATGGAGTGTTCGTCTAGAGAGATTCGTCATAGAGACTAGGGATATGCTGAAAGATTCCTTCGACGCCGTGACATCTGCTCTATATAGTTTTGAGGCGAACTAAATGATAAGGACTGGAGATTCGGGGCATAGGAAAACAGTTCAAACTCGTAAACCTAGTGCACTGCCATCAATGGATGTTGCGCATTGCAACCCATCCTCGCGGAGCTAAACACTGGGATGCAGGCACTCTCGTTTGTTTCTGTAAACATCATGCTGAGTTATGCTTTTGTTTCTAAAAGGCTCAAGCCTGGGCGCACCTGTGGCAACCACCCTCGGGCTCTCGGTGAGACTCAGTCTAACTGGACTTGCAGGTGAGTACGGAGTATACAAAATCATTCGTTTGTCTAGTGTGCTAACTTATAATTGCAAGCACGATTTTGAGCGCACTATGAGGCTTGGTCTGATAATAGAATAGCGCAGCCTTGCGTACTCTTCCTTTTAAACAACGTTGGTGCGTCCCGAGGTTTTGTTCTCATAGTTTCTCTCTCCATGGTCATACCTTTTCCATCAATGCTGTAATTCAAATCATGACGGAACTGGACGCAGTTGACAGCAACGCCACCCTTCGGCGTAGGGTAATCCTGCACCTTTCAGCCATTTCCTTACACATTCCTATTAACTGTCATAGAAGGAACCTCTCAATAGGCGCAGACAAAACTTCAATAACCTGCTAAGGAACAATCAACTAGGAATGTAAGTGATTCTAATGAGATCGTTTAAGAATTTTAGAAACATACCCTAATATTCGAGATCACTAGTATCGATAACCCTTTGAACTACGTGACCCCCGATGAACTAGACAATGATGTGCACCAATTTTATAAATACCATCACCTGGAACATGTGGTCGAAGAAGAACTCCTTCTTAGAGGTGCTCGCTTGGCTCGTGATGGGGTGAATTATCAAAATTATACCGAAGTTGAGAGAAAAGCATTAGAAGATGAAGACAGACCAACTCTTCCTTCCCAACCGAGGGCGTTGCAGACGATTCTTCTGGCGTGTTCGATTGGTGCTATAGTGCAGTAATAAACCATGCTCAAATGTCTGAATTAGATTTAGCTGACTTTGTCAGGGGATGGACGCAAGCAAACTTGACTGGGGCAGATCTAAGCTGGCCAGGAGAATTGTTCGGAGCTAGAAATCGCCCATTTACAAACGCTGAGACTTGGAAATTCGGAGCTGTGAATTCGATCACGTATTTCTCTTGCGCCTTATTGTGAGCGAGTCTTGTATTTAATATCATTGCGGAGGTTGTATGCTAACATGAAAGACAGGGGTGGATGGCTGTCGGACCCCCTGAGCGAGCACGCGTACGGTAGGCGTGGCGCTCTTTTCATCGCCGGGCTCTTCTCCCTTGCGTCCTGCATCGGCTCGGGTTATGTCAACAGCTGGTATGTATGCACGGTTTCTGTCTTCCAACCATTCTGACTGTGGGGGCCGGATCTCTGCAGGCAGGGGTTGTTCGCATGTAGAGTTACTCAAGGTATTGGCATGGGAGCCAAAGCATCCATTGGTAAGTCATGGATTTTGAGACGAACGACAGATTTATGAACTTCGAGTTTGCTGAGCACTAGATACGCCAGTTCCTATTTTTGAAAGCGAGGTCAGTCCGGCAAAAATCAGAGGTACGTCGTGCCCTTCCAAAGTGATAGTTGAGATAAAGTTCTGATGTTACACCGCGTCCAGGGCGCTTCCTTGTCTCGTGGCAAACATTCGTTGGTAAGTAATCTCGGAAGCCTCGTGGGAACTATATTTAGCTCTTCATTTCTGACATATTGTTCCCCATAAGCTTTCGGAATCTTTTTGGGCTCTTGTTCGAACATCATTTTCCACGATTCCTGGAGATGGCAACTTGCATCGGGTTTCATTCCGGCAGTGCCTCTTCTCTTCTTAGTTTTAGTTTGCAGCGAGTATGTTACCCCTGAACTGGATGGCTTAAACCGATTCATTAATGCAAAGCAGATCTCCCCACTGGCTTATGAAACATGGTCGTTATGTCGACGCATGGAGGGCTTATCGCGGTCTGCGAGAGACTCCATTGCAAGCTGCTAGTACGTTTCTATGTGAAATCCTCGTTAGGTATAGAAAGTACGTGCTGAAATCTACCAGGAGATTTCTATCAACTTCATTGTCAACTTCAGGTCGAAAGCATTCTCCTTGGTTCAGAAAACGAACCAGACGAAGAAAATCGTGGGCCTCTATCCAAACAAACAAATTTCTTCCAGCGATTTGGGCAACTCTTCACCATTCCTCGTAATCGAAGAGCTTCGTTGGCCGCTTGTGTTGTTATGGCTTCGCAGTAAGCTGTTCCGAATACCCTGCATTAACTTTGGCCCATTCTCTTATTGATCATGGCTAGACAACTCTCTGGAATAAACATTTTTGCATTCCTGTCCAATACTTTTATCAGCAATTCCACCTCTTTTAGCACCCCCAACATATCACATATCAGAATTCTTTCTCTCAGTTTGGGTTTTGCTCTAGCAAACGCCGTGTAAGCGATATTGCTTCGTTACTATATACATACGGACCAACTAACAAGATGCAGTTTCTCCTCACTAGCATATTTCACCATCGACAGCAAAGGTCGTCGCTTCCTTCTGCTCCTCTCATTGATACTCATGGTACCCTTACTCATTGCAGCAGGCCTTAGTCTAAAAATTAGCCACGCCCACCCAAACAACTCAGTTCGTGTGGGAGTCTTCGAGACGTTCCTTATTTTATACACGGCAGCCTATTCGCCAGGTGCAGGAGTGGTCCCGTTTCTGTACTCGAGCGAGATATTTCCTATGGTCCATCGCGGTACGTAAGACTGTTCCCAATATTCACAGAGCTTATCACTGACTTTGTTTGTTCAAAGAGGTCGGTATGTCTCTTAGCTGCTCGGTAAATTTTGTTCTTGCCGGGATCCTCGCTTTGACAGTCCCGCAACTTCAATTCCATCTGGGGCAAACTCGTCTACTTTGTCTTTTTGCGTAAGTTTTCTCTATATAAATAAAGATGGGTTAATCTCATAAGAAATATTGCTGACTGAAATCCAAAACAAAGAGGACTTGACGCACTCGCTGTCATACTAGTGTGGCTCTTCGTACCCGGCACACGCAAAGCAGTCTCGTTAACTATTTTCAACTATATATTTGGTGTTCCCACTCGTGTCCACGTCAGATACCAGGTTTCCACAGTCTTTCCTTGGGTGCTGACGTCGTGTATTCCCTGGTTGATCAAAGACTACATACCATGGATCTTAAGGTGGTATTTCTGTTGCGGTGCTGGAAGCTACGAATGGTCCTACGTAAGGGAACGACTACCTCATTTGCACGAGTTATATGTTTGGAGAGATCTGAGAATGATTAGCCGTCGTGAACAAGGTCATCAGGACGCATCTGATTCCGATAATACAGCTGATGGGTAACTTGCACACAATGGTCTAGCATCATAAAGGTGCTTTTCTGAAATTGAGCAATTCTCAGCTATTTCGTGGTATGTTTAGCTACGGTTAAAATGTGGTATTGCTTTTGTTGCATACAATGCGCAGTGATCAATTTATTGATTTTTTTGGTGGTCGAAACGCTTATGGTGACATTCCGCATGTCCAGGAAGCCCTAATGTTCGTTTTGTGTGTGAGAGCGCAACATCTTGACATTACACAGAAATAGGAGGAATATACATATATATAACACTCAAATTTAAATTAAAATGTACCAAAAATTCGGTTCACAAAATCACAATTCAAGTAGATGCGTCGACAGTAAAGTTGTCTAATCGGTAATATGTCTAACCCTACATAGCCACCGTACGTGAGTTCGCTTACCCAGGCCCCAGATGTCACCGACTGGATTGCTGAGTAGGTTGCTCACTAATAGTGAAATTCGGAAAGTCTCAGACTGATCGCAAGTATGTAATAAGTAGACACAAACTGTGATCCTTTTTTCGGTAATCCTTTCGTATCATGGTACATAGGTAGCAAGATCTAACAGCGGATTTCATGAAGTGAAGAGCACCCAGACCTACTTATCCCACAAAACGCCATAGTATATAGTCGGCAATATTGTAGATAGGTGTCTCTCAGAACTAGGTGTCTGAATTCTGCAACTTGTGTTGCGCAACCCAGCGGACTGTTATGGATTGTAAGGCTCGTACGTTAGGGCATTTTGCTGCAGGTATCTCGAATATCATTCGTAGACATGCTCATTCAGGTTTACGATCAACTATTTAAAGACTATTCCGGTCGAAGTCAGTCTATGCAGCCTCGATTATTTCTATAAAAGGGAGAGGAGCATCCCCACCCCCACCTCGGTCAGTCAGTCCCTCTCTATGCTCTATGCTTTCCAGGCAGGCAGGGACTTCGTCCCCTTATTGCCTTTTCATTCCGGACGCCTTTCACGAAGATGGCAAAAGAACTTGTGGACCACATCAAATCGAACGTGGGAGAAAAACTATTTGGACTACCAACGTCTGTACCCACAAAAAATCTAACGGTACTAAATAAAAGGCTATAATTCGGTCCAAAATACGAGCAAGCCTATGCACCGCAGAGGTCTTATCATTTCTCTACTAGGGCCCTTCATGGGATGTCAAAATTAAGGCACTCCGATGATGGCTGAAGAACAGACCACGGGTCAATGGCCGGAATTGATCGATGACATGGAACTGGTCATGATCATGGACCCTGGTTGCCACCGGGAGTGGTCGACTATCGAACGGACTCAAAACGTTGGTTACATGCATCTGTCCTTGTATTTGGCGCTGCCATATTTCTTTTGCGGGCGGGCGTATCAATGATATCAGACGCGCGAGCTCGCGCATTCCAACTTAGAGACGGAACCTACACAGGCGGTTTGAGAGATTCAAATTTTGTCAAGTGGTTGTGTTCCATACCTATAGTGATGTAAATTTGCCCTGTTGACGTCGAATATTGCAGCTGCTGCGATAATCGCTTGCCAGGACAGAGTTTATACTGCACAGGTTGATCGTGATGCCCACGGCTCTAGAAGCCTATTTTTGCCTTCGCTCTTGTCTTGTCGTAAAACTACTTAGGTATAATTGTGTTTCTTTTATGTTGATATAGTAGCGAGTTTCATATTAGTCGTTAAATCTTGATCCAACAGATTTCGAGTTCTAGAGATCGTCCTCTATCCTGTCTTCTTTTGCTTTCATTGTCTTCGCGCTCCTCAAAACTATCTTCTTCATTACCTTCTTCCTCTGATTGATGGGACTTTTGCTCAGTCTCTTCCCCTTCATCCCGGAAGAAATGGGATGGGTGGTGTAAACCCTTCGCCATACGGTAGCACTTGAAACAAAAAGCATAGTAGCGACATTGTAGACACAGAAAGAAGATTCCTCAGAATCCCTAAGTTGTATGTCAGATATCACTTTCGGCGGCATGTCGAAGTCGGGACTTATTGAGGGAGAAAAGGGCAGAGTTGAATCAGACCATTAGACGCGCACTACAAAGAAGCTTTTGGAAGGTTTCAAACAAGTGCGGAGAGTCAAATGAAGTTCATGGAGGTCTGGAATACGCTGGGGAAGGAGTTTGTAACGGAAAGGGGATGGAGGAATTTCCTAGAGGAGCGACTGCCATTTATTGCCAGTGTGGCTGGCGAGCTGGGTCCTGGCGCGTGCCTAAGGTAAGCATGCTTTTATTTCCCGCTAAATACAGTCCAATTACGATGTACAGGTTGTTTTAATTAACTGTGAAATTTGTAGTCAGCCGTAAACTGTTTCGCTGTACCTGATACGAGCGATGGGATCGTAACTATGTATTCGTAATAATAACATGATAGGTTTAAACATGGACATAACTTACAAGTCAAAACTTTTACCCATACATGTAGGCCAATGCGAAGATCATAGTTACATACAATATAAAATACAGATGGTACATAGTTTCGTGACTTATTTAGGGATGGGATATAAAATTAAATACATGCTTAAGTATATACTACTGTAGGACTATTGCAGGGATAAATGTGACTCTGGCTAGAGCCTATACGTAACCATGCAGTTATGCCGTATTCCTTACAAGTAAAAATTACAGTGATGCCTCCACATCATCGTAATTGAAAATAATTGGAAATAACTGGAATACCATATAGATCGAATACCATATAGATCAAATATCAGAATCAAACTTCCAAGAAAGAAGGCAGTAAAAGAAGGGAAAGAACAATTCATAATTCCATTGACTACCCCTTTATCATCTTCCACAATGGTTCATAACTCGAGAAAGTGAGAAGAGCCTGCAACGCAACCATCAAACAAGAAAGAGAAGAGAAGTGAAATTGAGGAAGCATGAAAACCCAAATCCACTTATACCATTTCTCCGTATTGCACCGTTAAAAGTAGAAATAAAAGAATCCATCGTAAGGCATACACTGTATCTGAATGATCGAAGCTAAAAGTTCAGAAGAGAATCAAGAAGAGAATCAAGAAGAGAATATCAGAACTGGAAGCGACTGCATTAAAGCATCGAAACTGTTGTGGCAATTTGATAACGTCTTAATTCAGACGGAACGCGTCAAGGATGACTAGTTTTGCATTAGTTTCATTTCAGACACAAAATGGTTAGGAGGGGCCTACCTTCATGACCGCGACGGCAACCGGAACCAACCCACATTACAGTGTTGACAAAGGCATATCGCTCGTCACCACTTTCCATGGACAGATTAAGACGGTACTTATAAGAGCTAGGGTTAATGGTATCGGCGTGATTGGGGTCATTGAGTTTCTCGAGAATATCCTTGGCGCCGGTTAACCAGCCCTGAGCCTTGACAATGATGTATGCTGGTGGTTCATCGGATGACTGAAGGACATAATTTGCGCTTAATGATGTAGCCATCTCTTTAACTGTGACTTGAGAATCTTGTCCACCGGGCTGTATAAGAGGGTTAACAGATGGTTTGAGCTGAGAGACGTGACGTATACGTACCAGGATAATACCCTTACCCCATCGACCAGCCCACTGACCACCGAGGAACGAAACCCAGTCGCGTCCACCCCACAGGCTACTGCCAATGCTGACTTTAGGGTTCAACTTGATACTCATACGGAAGTCAAGCTCAATACTGGGGACAGGAATCTGCAAGGATCGAGCTATGTCGCCTTCAGGGAAAGTATGCAGCAAATTATTGGCAGGAATAGAATCTTTCATAACATTCAAGTACGTTGGGCACTCGAGTAAATGTTGGCGTTGACGACTTGTATTCTTCGCGCGCACTTGTTGGCAATAGATACATTGCACAGACAAGCACTATACTTGTGAGTATAGATACTCTCAAAAAAAAAATAAAATAAAATAAAAATAAAGCTACGAGGGAGAACTCACTTTGTCTTCTTCTTTGGCACGGAACTCCACAAAGGCAGCGTGGACATCGTCGAGTGGGGGAGCAGGGAGATTGGAGGTACTTTGACGATTCTGCTTAGGTTTAGGGGTAGAATGACTGCGTTGCTGATGCGAAAGGGGAGTAGAAGAGGGACCACCACCTTGCGAAGTTCCAGGCGCGGGCAATGAGGGACGATTTGTCAGGTTCTGCAATGGTGTTTGAATTGGGGTAGCATGAGGATTGACTCCATTTGGCATCATAGCTCCATTGGGAGTACCGAGTTGAGCACCTGAAGGGCCAGGCCCGGCACCTCCGGCACCCGCAGAAGGGCCATTGGGAGTAGAAGAGTAACCATTGGCACCGCCGATGCCATTGGGGCCAGCAGCAGTTGCCTGGGGTTGCGGAGCAGAGGGGTGGCCTCTCAGACCAGGACACTCAAGCAGATGTTGTTTTTGACGCGAGGTATTTTTCGCGCGGATCTGCTGGCAATAGATACATTGTACAGACAGACACTGTTTGTGTAACAAGTCAGTAAGTTAAGTATTGACGGTGTTTAATTACCAAGATACAGGATCACGTGCCTTGTCGTCTTCCTTAGCGCGAAACTCAACGAAGGCTGCATGCACCTCCTGATCGACTGTACGACCCATTGTTTTTGTGCGGTTATTTTGCGTGTCGCACTGAAAAGAATCGAAATACTCGTGTTTCAGACCAGTATACGTCGTGTAGTTGTATCAGATGCGAGAGCAGACTCAGAAATATGATCTGAAATCACAAAGAAGAGAGAAAACCTGGTAAGAAAGCGTGTGTATGTGGTGTGTAAGAGAGTGAGGAAAGAAAACGGGAAAGAAAACGCGAAAAAAAGAGGCGAGGAAAATACTGGAACAAAACCGGGCGCGGTCGGCGTATTTGTGACCCGTGACTGTGCGCTGTTGTCCACCCCTTGGCGTTATTACTGATCCGTAATAACCGTGTTGGTATGTATTTTCGGGGCCGGGTCTTCGTGGGGCCCAACCGCAGGCTATGATTGGTGGTCAAGTGACTTACTGTCACGTCCGTCTTACGGTCCGCCCAGTTGATTACGAATACGTGGTTACAATGGGCGAATCCGGTGTATCGCACGTATCATATGTTTTGTCTCACATTGTCGATCCTGCCCTCGGGTCAGCTTTGTAAATTAGCACTTTCGTCAAGACATCATGATCTGAGTTAATTTGTGGGAGTATTTAATCATATTTCAAATCAATTTCAAAGTACTCCGTGGCTAACTCTTGGTAAGTTGGTGGTATTATCTGCCCGACCGGATCTTTCAGATCCCGCAAAACCAATGACTCAGTGACTGCCTACACCGCAGCGGCCGCGCTCGGCAAGGGTCATACCGATCGCTCGGCGATTTGATGCTTTGCTTTTGCTATTGTCGCTTCTATGAGCACTGAGCAGCGGAAGGCTGTGCTATGAACGAGTCTTCTGATTTGTTGGTTGTAGCGCCCGTATGTATTTCTGTCAGCAAACGAGGGATCATGATCTTGTTGGCCCGTTGACTACAAAAATCATGAGATCGAACTTCAACTGATGTAGTAACTAGTCCCTGACAGTTGGATCTGCAACTGTCGTTGAAATAAGAATGTGGTCTATTTAAACTCGCATGTTGCTTTTAGCGGTATTGCTAGACTTCTTCGATTTCGTACTGTTGTTTTGTTATATACACCATACAGGGATACCTAACTAACGTGGGACCGTTTGACGAATAACCGTGACGAGAATGTGGTATTACGTACATACATAACTGAAATAAATAGCAACTAGTTCCATCTCGAAATACCATCGCAGAACAGAAAATCACAGGATAAGATAGATATCAGAAAAATAAAGTCTCTGCTAAACGCGTTCATAGTTGAAATAAATGTTGAATGGGAACATAACGCATAGCGCTCATCTGCAGTCATATACCGGCACGATATGTCGAAGCTCTCGCCAGTATTAATAGTAGCTTGTCAAGTAACCTCGGTAAATATATCTTCAGTCGTATATTTCGACTAAAAAACAATCTGCAACGCCCATTAATCTCTGATACTCAGGCGTATTTCGTGAAGGTCATCAATGGCGTATGGGGCTCCTCGACAACGTTTGCCTTGCGAAACTTGAATAACGTTCTTGGTCGCAAGGGTCAGCACATGTAGCAGTGCTTGCGTCGCCACGGCGCGAGAAGTAGAGGTCGGTGGAAGCAATTCGGAGAAAGATATTTTCTGGATACCAGGCGAATCTCGTCCGACTTTTGTGCCCTGCACGCGTGTCTGCAAATAGTCAAGAAAGTTCCTGTCGTTATTATCCAGACTGGCTAATGTGACTTGACTTTCGAATGCATTGTTGTTCGAAGATTCAGCGAAACCATCAGAGCCAGTCGCATGAGGGAAATCACCAAGGTCATCATCATCATGGAATTCTCCAAAGTCTCTGAGCGACAGGCTACTGAGGCTGTCGCGGCCAAACAAATCCCGAGGAAGACCTCGCCTGGCCAGCGGACTCGCGCTTGAAAAGCGACTACCTGGTCTGCCAAAGCCACGGTATCGTCGAGACGAACTGTCGTAACCGTTAAAGGGACGGGGTACACTTGAGGATCCCGCGACAGACCCTTGGAGAGAAGCAGTGATATTCCATGGCATTTGAGATGACGCATCGTCAGGAAGAGATGGAGGAGCATCAAGACCGAGTTCAACATCCTATAGGACGGTATTAGAGCTATGCTGACCAAGGGGTACTTGTTACACACCTCTTGCATGGCAAGCTGATCAGGGTGACTCAGGCCAACTTCAACGCCTGCATCTGAGATCCTCCGTCGTACGCTTCTATCGTGGCCTTCTTCATCTTCGGAGACAGCCTCTCTTGAACTACGCTTGCGTGCGTCATTTGTTGGCGGCTCGCTCGAGAGAGCCGCGAGAAGTGAGTCTCCACAAAATGACTCCAGGGGATGCGTCAGACCATTCACACCTATACCTAATCCTACAGAGCCGATTCCGCGTCCTGTTATCCAGGCTGCTGCATTCTTCCTAGCCCGAGCAAGCCCTTTTGCATTTGCCCGCTGTGCATCGAGTCGTGACATGTGTTGCAGATATTCTTGATCCCACTGCAGAAGCTCGTCACGGCTGATCTGAGTTAGCACATCATTTTGTAGCATGTTTTGGGCTCTGCGCTTTCGACTGGATGACGCATTCTGATTCCTAGATCGGTCAACGTAGTCAGGATCAGGAAGACGACCCCAGGTCGGTGATGGTCGTCCGCGCTCTTCGGCGTCGATTTGAACGTCATCAAGAGCATTTATCGCAGGAGTGGTGGCCGCCATCTCGATTTCCTGGATTTATGATATGTTAGCAATGTTTTAAGATTTGGTCTCCACGGTAGTTCTTACCTGTGGACCCTGTAAGACATCTCCAGCCTCTTCGTGGATCACCCTGTCCCTCACAGGCGTTGCAGGTGGCATGGCCGGAGCGTCTGCCATGACCAGATCGACTATATTACCCTCCTCATCAAAGTCAAAGTCAGGTTGTAGAAGGATACCTTCCTCTTCTCCACCAATGTCGAGAAGGTTTTGACCACCTGGAGAATGAGAACTACCACTAGCGAAAGAGAATCCACCAAATCCAGCAACAGTAGTGCCAGACGTGTCAACGTCTAGTTGAGGAATGGTAATGAGTTCGAGCTGAGAATGAGACGAATCACTCATCTTGGATGAAAGCAAGCTGGAGTCAAGCTTCGCTGCAGGAACAGTTGGACCCAGCGGATTGAGCAATTCAAGGTCGACAACAGGAAATGCAAAGTCCGGAATGAAAGCTGGATCGTAGGGCACGATAAGTTCTTCAGGTCTGCACCTCATCAGCTTCCAATTCCAGAAATAAATCGAGAGCTGAATCGCATACCGTGCTTTACCAGCATCTGCCTGCAAGCCTCTATCGTGAACAACTTTGAGTGCAGTTTTCATCTTGTCAAGCATGGCTTGTACATCAGCGAGCGTATAAACGCACTGGCGACTGTACACCTTGGTGACACCATAACTGGGTGAAATGTTGGTTAAATAACGGGTTTCTCATTGTCAGACATGAAACTTACAGAAGGTTGCCTTGAAGACGCAAGGCCATGGGAGCTTCGGGACTCATGATGGTGTCACACGCTCGAGGGACATCCACACCCAAGATGGCTCTTCTGTTAATCTTTTTGGACGTACTTTTCTGGCCCAGCGTAGCGACCAGCCTGTTGAGAGAGATGAGTGAAATGGAAATCGAGTACAAGAAGAAAAGGGGGGGCAGAATCCTTCTTGATGGTGGTAGAGACAGAGAGGACTACTAGGAAGGAGCATGTCTGCAGAAAAACTTACCATACTGTAGCAACACCATGCCTCTGGGAGGTGAGAACTGCAGTTGTTGGTAGGAAGGTGAGAACCGGAGGTTAGCTCTTGCTGAAGTGCGTGAACTTCGAGGAAGAGGATCAATGTATAGACCGTAAAAAGCTTACTTTCATGACTATAAAACATCTTGATGGACGTAACACGCGGTCTCGTGGAGTCTATCCACGACGGACTGCAACAGATCAGAAATGTGTCAAAGATATCATATACCGCAGGACGTAGATTTTCAGAGGTTTGTAGATAGTTGAGAGACGGTTTATAGACACGATGGAAGTCTACACCGTGAGTCTCGTGGGATGGACAATAGATAAACAGAGAGGTGGAGAAAAAGAAAGAGTAAGAAGGAAGAGAAGAAAAGGAAGAGAAGAGAAGGAAGAAAAGGAAGAAAAGGAGCAAGGAGGTCACCTGGTCTGGAAGCACATCAAAGATCGAGAGGAAGGTGCGCCCGGCCTGGATGGATGAAGGAAGGTGCGATGAAGCAGGTGATTGGAAGCCAACACACCATATCAAACGGAAAGAGAATCTCTATCGACGACACATGTTGAACATTTCACAAGCTCCATTCGATAACAATATGACACACTATATACCCGGGTATGTTGACAACGAAAATAAGTCCAAACGAACATAAAACTAATTTGCAGGCACTTTTTTCTTCCATGGAAAAGATCTCTCGCGAAACCAAAACAGCTCTATTGCACATATCTCCTACCTCATACGCGACGCGCCTATTCAAGTGGGATACCCTCGTACTCGGAGTAGCCAAGTGCGAGGTTCATGTTTTCTGTTTTGACGCGTTAGTTCTGCTGAGTTTATCGTGGGTTGATAAGAAACTTACGAAGACATTGTGTAGCAGCTCCCTTGAGAAGGTTGTCAATGGTTGCACAAATGACAACACGTTTACCGCTTGAATGCACAGCAAATCCACCAATCTCAACACCGTGGCGACCAGCGATGTCCTTGACGAGAGGTGGCTCGCCCACAATCTTGACCAGTTTCTCACCAGCGTAACGGTCTTGGTAGAGGTTACGGATGTCGCGGGACGACATCTCTTCTTTCAGAGGAAGGCTGATGGTATGCTTTGGAAGCGTTAGCTGATATCATAATGAAGCCCTGGCATTTGGAGACTTACATGAATGCCTTGGAACCAAACAGCAACATGAGGAATAAAAGCAACGCTGGTTCCGAGTTGAGAGCTAATTTCACGCTCATGAATATGGTCAGTCAAGCTGTATGGAACAATGTTGTTGGTTAAGATCTTGACATCGTTCTTAGGGCTAGGCTTGGTGCCGGCTCCTGAATAGCCCGAGACACCAAAGACAGTCGGCTGTCCAGCCAAATAAGGTACCAACGGCGCAATACCGATTTGAGCGGCAGTTGCGTAGCATCCAGGGTTGGCAATACGGGTTGCGCGGGCAATAGTAGATCGATTAACGAGTTCAGGGAGTCCGTAGGTCCAGGATGAGTCGAAGCGGTAATCGGCGCTGAGATCGACAATCAAACCACCCTTCTGAGCCCCCTGGTCAACAGCATCAACGAAAGGTTTGCAGACACCATTAGGAAGAGCCATGACCCAGCAGTCGATGTCGCCGTTTGAAGCCATTCGGCGTACATCATCGGGACTGAGATTCTCATAGATAATCTCGCGCTTGTCGTAGCCTTCGAGCTTCTTACCAGCGAGTTCACGAGAAGAAACGTGGCGCAAGTCCATGTTGGGGTGAGCGTTGATAAGGTTGATAAGTGCTTGACCAGTATATCCTCGAGCACCGATCAAAGCAACTTTGGAGGGACGGGTGTTGGAAATGTTCTTCTCGCCAAGAGGAGGGTTAGGGTTGGTAGTGCTGTATGATCGTCGACCACTGGCGCCCTGATTTCCCATACGATACGATTGCAAAGCGTTCGTACGGTAAGTGGAGTAGGAGCGCTTCTGTTGACCACCTTTGCCAATGTTCAAGGCAGCCTGGGCAGCACGATGCAACCTAGCTTCTAGATTGTAGTCGCCAAACATCTGGCGGCCGTTCTTAGTGAATTCGAGAACCAACTGCTTAACTTCATCGCCATCTTCCAAACCGTACCAAAAGAGGACGTCACCGTCCCGTGATAGACTACCATCGGCCTTGTCGAAGAACCAGGTGAGGTTCTCGTCGTCGGCTTTCACGGTCCATACGAGCTTGGGGAAGTCTTTCTTGATGCTAGTAAACACATTGTCCGCAACGTTTGTCAGCCAACCAGCCTTTGTGATGGTGAAGGTGGCCAAATGAGCAAAGGTAGAATCCTGCTGGGGAAGGACAACAGCGAGAGCATCCATGGGCTCATCAAAGTAAGCTTTGAAAGGGCGGTCTTTGAGACCTTCAACATAACGATCGACAGTAGCCTTGGCATCAAGGCCTTCACGGTCACGGATCAGCACTTCTTTGAGAGCAGCGAGATCCTCGAATTCGGAGAGTGATGACTTGATGTGTACTTTGTTACCCCGTCGGATCATGGTACCAGCTCCAGAATCAGTAAACAATTCCTTTTGAAGATCTGCTGGATGGATGATGGCGACACTGGATGTGCGCGGAAGATCGGAGAGGAGCTCCTTCATTTCCTTGATCTTCAGGCGAGTGCCGTGTCGAACCCACCACTGGGTCATGAGATGGTCGTACTCTTCATCCAAGTTGATGACAGAGATCTTCTCTCCAGTGTCACCATTGAACAAACCACCCTTCTCAGCAAGGTAGACGATCTTGAGAGGTTGCAAAGCGCGGGCGAGTTCACCGGCTGCAACATCAGCGTTGACGTTAAGAACCTGGCCTTCGGGTGTCTCGGCCATTGAGGTCAGAATGGGCAGACATCCCGCCTCGATCGCAGCCTCAATTGGTTTCTTGTCCACGCTGTTAATCTTGCCGACGAGGTTATATTTCTCCTTATCAAGATAATCCGCCGAGAAAACGCCAGTGGTGATAGGCCGAGCACGAACGCCCATGTTCTCCAGTTCCTCCACCAACTTCAAATTCTCCTCCAAAAACAGCTTTCTTGCCAGAGCTAAAGTCTTGCCATCAGTGACACGGATACCATCTTCAAAATGAGGCTCAACACCGGCATCCTCCAACATCTTATTCAACTGCGGACCAGCACCATGCACAACAACTGGATAAAGACCGACATGATTCAAAAATGCGAGAGCCGAGGACAAAGTCTGCAAATGCTCCGTGATAATAGCGCCACCGACTTTGATAACAGCAAATTGCTGGGAAGACACAGAAGTGAAATGGGAAAGGTATTGCTGAACTTCGCGCTTGGAACCGATATTGCTCAACAGCTGCACCACGGTCGAACGGGTCGAGAATTGAGGATCAGCGGGACGAGAGTAGGAACGGAATTGCGAAGACGATGTATATGTAGTAGTAGCTGTAAGTCGAGCAGGACAACGAGCAAGTGCCTGCGGTGCGGAGATAGCACGGCGCGATTGAGTCACAATGGCCCTCCGCACAGCAGGACGGATAGCAAGCATCTTGTTAGCAAGCATGCGGCAGCTTCAAACACAGAATGTTGGAAATAGATGGGCTTGCTGATCGAGTTAAATACTTCTTTTTTGCTTGCTCGAGAGAATCAATTGGGTATGGAAAACGGCGCACAGAGGGATTTTTCTTGAGTGGTTTGCCCTCTTGTGGTTGATTTCAGGAAAAAGAGTGAAAAATGCCTCTATGCGGTTAAAGTGTTAGGGTGGGCGGTGTCGGAGCCCAGAACTGTTGACTTTTGCTTGTGGAGTGTGGAGTCAATTTTTCCCTTGTTGATTTTTTTCTTCGTCTTTGTACTGAAACATTAAAACGTTTAATGTCTAGTCTGGTCTTTTAGTCAAAGATCTTATCTGATTGTGTCTGTCTTTTGGTACAAGTTCTTTTTTATGTATTTATAACTTGATTACAGAGCCCAGACTGTACCTGGATACATTAACCCATACCATCTGTTTGTCCTTAGGAGTCTGGACACATCGCATACTCTAGATACATTCGCCACATCCCCACCAGCTGTACTTTGCACTTTGCACTCTGTATAATGAATAATAAGTCGATAGGTAGATATCCCTTCCGGGATCTGAGTACGTGTGTAGGACATATATCTTGATAGTGGATTCTATATGCTCCGACATTCGGAGGTGTCGTTGCACTAAGTAAACAGGATGGATTCTGACGTAGCTAGCTATGAGACTAGAAATTCTAGATATGAAGTTATTTAGTACGATCATAGTCATGGCTGAATTTTGATTCTTGAAAGCTAAGTATTCACTGCTGACTTATGTAGTACCTTCCTATGGAACAAGAGAGAAAGATCTGTTTCGCTTAGTCTATGTCGTGGTCTGATCGTCTGGTCGAACGAGTTCGTGTCTAATACGAACCATAATTGCATTTTAAAATTTGAGTTATTATATGCCAATTACCAATGGAAATGTATCAAATCGAACGAAATCATAGCGCGAAATTTTGCATCCGCCAGGTTATCTCATTAGAACTTGCATAGGGCCAAAAGCGCAAAAAGAAGCACAGACAACAGGAAAAAATACAAACACAGCATTCGCCAAAAAGTATCATGTACAAGGGTTGTAGGAGGTTGGGAGGTGTGAGCCGCGATTCTTCCGGCGACAAGTTGCTGCGGACTGTGATTAAATCCGGGATATATAGCGACTTGCGACAAGGTTTGATTATCGGCAGGAATCGTGGAGCTAACAATAGAACGCGGTGTAGGATGAGGAGAGGAGCATCATGACGGTATGCACTTGATACTGGATACAACAATCCAAAGAGTACTCCGGGCCGTAATTATTTGCAAGATCGAGTTCGTGCACTCTGTGCAGCGCGCTCTCAAAACGACCCGATACCCTATTCTGGCCCCAAGAAAACAACATAAACAATGCTCGTAAAATCAAGGCTGGGATGAGGAAAACGAGAAAGCGCATCGTCAGAACATTCGTGGAGTTTTAAGGACTTAATGTTTGGTTGCGACAACTGTTACCGTAGAGTTAGCAGAGATTCAATTCATGGCGCAGATTGGCCACTCACCAGCAGGAACGACAATGACTATGATCAAAATGATGACCACAATAACCAAGCATACGCGCATTTTCATGTCCTTCCACCACATTTGTTTTCGCACTCTGTTGGCGCCTCGGCGGAATCCTTGAGCGGATACGGCGAGGTTGTCCGTTTTGTCTTGGAGAGAGTCGAGACGTTCACCACGCTGTGAGACTTTGTTGATGTTTTCGCGCATCACGCCAACAGTGTCGTCGATTTGCTAGTCATGAATTAGTACATCGGTTAAACTTGAATTTGACCAAAATGAACACGGGATTTCGAAACAAAATTTGAGTTGACTTATAAAAGAAGAGGGACCTCAAATTTATGAAACTGGTAGGTTGAGATATACTTACAGCTTGCAGAGCTGCAGTCCTTTGGTTTCCGCTGGGTGCAGCACTACCCCCGGCAGCAGCACCACCGGCGGGAATATAGGGATCATAGGGAGGTTCGCGGTCGGCCATTATGATAGATTTAGCAAAAACTGAGGATGGAAAAAGAGGGAGGAAGCGAAGAGTTCGATGACCCGGTCGATAATAGCGCGAGGTTTCTCCTGACTTTCAGCGCAGCTGAATATTAGGTAAGAGGTCGAGCGGTCGTAGTTTTGATCGTATAGCGAGAAACACACAGAGAACAAAATGTTCAAGAGAGTTTCTTTTTCGAATGCAGGGAAGCGTCGTGAGTTGTGGTCGTGATAGTAGTAGTATGTAGGTCTAAAATGACTGAGCAGAAGGAAAAGGTACAGGTTGCGTTTCGGCCTCTACGGGCCCGGTCGGTCACGTGAGTCCACCGCGACTCCCGAATAAAATGTGGCTGCCTCAGGAATATTCGCTTCTATTGTTTGGGGTTTTGCCTCAGCTTTCAACTTTGTCTTGGATGTCTAGAAGAAAGAATGGCGATTCATATAGAATTGAAAAATCTCTGCTACTTGTCGTTTCATTAATTTTATTCCTGACTTTTCATCACATCGAATCTCACACTGCCTGTTACTTATAACAGCTATCCGAAGCAAGAAGTAAGACGAGAGACGTCTCAGACAGCACAATTCCAAATAGAATCTTTGCCATACCACAAGTTGACCAGTCAGGACTCACCAGTGACAAAGTCACAACTTCTGAACCGCTCATTTCTGATCCAAACAGCCACCACGTCTTTGCCACTTTTGCCGCTTTTCCAGCCAATTTGTACAGTCATCATGCTCAGGGTCTAGTCTAATAGGGTTAGGGTCAACAACACTGTTTGAAGAACGTGGTATGTACCTATAAGTATAGTCGGTCATTGTCATTGCCGACGACAGATTTGCTGTTCTTTTGCTTCATTCTCAGACTGCTTCTGCCAACTGTCACTGGGCTATTTGTCTGGTAGACAGCAATGGCAAGCACTAAATCTATATAGAATACAACGTGAATTCGAATCTAGTTCCTAGCATAAATAATTTTTACCCCAACTTCATATTCCTACATAGTGAATACTTCAAATATTCCGCCCAATCGGCGTTATTATCTTAAGAAATTCCCCCTATCAGAACGCTCATATCTCTCCAAAACCCTATCCGCTATTCCACAAAAGGTAACTCTGTCTCCAATTTCCCCGGACTTAGGGCTGTATCTTTCAGCGCCGACTATCCGGTTGGACAGTCCGGTGCAATGGGATCCTAGAAAAGAGAAATAGCTTCTCCGCATTCTGGAGTTGTTCTTTTTGTGGGTGAGCTACGATGGACGATAGAAAGTAAATCTGGGGAACTGTGTCTCCTATTAGAGTATAGTATGAAGCTCCGCATACCACTTACTGGCTAGTGCGTTAATGAAGCTTGGAATACGTATTCTAACGGCATAATTCTCCGTAATATGGGGCATAGGCCTAGATGTACGTCTTTAGGCCCGCAGAGACAAATGTATAAAGGGATGCATCCATCCTCAGAAAAGAGGAACTTCAGAGAATCGCAAATCAAGCGCAGCGAGCATGCGAGATACGCCATAATATGAAGTTCAATTTTTCTCTCAAGCTGCTCCTTGTAGCTAGCACTGCTTTAGCAGCACCATCAATCGAGGAAAGAACTACAGCTGTATCACGCAACGATATCATTGGACCTAAAAATTCATTCAAACCGTTACCGGAGACATGCAAACGCCACAAGGTGTGCCATGTCAGGTCTCACGGAGATGGCAAAGACGATTCTGATAATATCCTGGATGCGTTGAGAACATGCAATAATGGCGGGCGAGTCATCTTTGATCAGGAGTATACCATTGGGAGGGCACTGGATCTCCAGTTTTTAAAGCATATTGATCTTGGTGAGCCTTTTCCCATCTTGAATAACTCATTTATCCGGGAAATACAATTCTAAGTACAACGCAGACATAACCGGCACAATGAAATTCACCAACGATACAAACTACTGGATCAACAACGCCTTCCAAATCACCTTCCAAAACTCAACCACATTCTTCAAACTCGGCGGCCAAGACGTGAACATCTACGGTGGCGGCACAATCGACGGTAACGGACAAGTCTGGTACGATCTATTCACTCAAAATGCTACGCTCCAAAGGCCGATCTTGATGGGTATCATCGGACTTGAAGGTGGGAGTATTGGCCCGCTGAAGCTACGATATTCGCCGTCTTGGTATCATATTGTGGCTAATTCGTCGGGTGTTGTGTTTGATGGTATTGATATTTCGGGGTATAGTTCGAGTGGGAATGTGGCAAAGAATACGGATGGGTGGTGAGTTATCTATTCCATATTCAGCAAGTTGGATGAAGATACTGGGTATTGACTTGAGCGAAGGGATACCTATCGCTCGGATAACATTGTTATTCAAAACTCCGTTATCAACAATGGTGATGGTTTGTACTTATCTCTCTATTCACTATGCTGCTGATATTGACTAGAAAATGCAGACTGCGTCGCATTCAAACCAAACAGCACCAACATCCTGGTCCAGAACCTTCATTGCAACGGCTCACATGGAATCTCAGTTGGTTCCTTGGGACAATACGCAGGTGAAACAGACATTGTCGAGAATGTTCTTGTCTACAACATCTCCATGTTCAACGCTTCTGTTCGTATCCCTCCTCTCTCTCATTACCATATCCAGTTATTTCTAATCTTCTGATATACAGGATGGAGCCCGCATCAAAGTCTGGCCCGGAATTGTCTCAGAACTAGAAGCCAGTCTCCAAGGAGGCGGTGGATCAGGAAGCGTCAAGAACGTCGTTTACGACACCATGTCTGTGCACAACGTCGACTGGGCAATTGAACTAACTCAATGCTACGGTCAGAGTAATCAGGCTTTGTGTGACGAGTATCCCAGCAATTTGACCATTTCCGATATCTGGTTCAAAAATTTCAGTGGTGTGACAAGTACAAAGGAGAAGAATAAGATTGCGACGCTGGTTTGTTCGAGTCCGAATGCATGTTCCATTCCTCACGTTCCTTTTTCTGAGACTGTTGCTGATGGGATTTCTGGGGAATTAGGTGTGTTCCAATATCTTCGCGGAAGATATCAATGTCGTCAGTCCGAGTGGATATAACCAAGCAGTATGCACAAACGTACGTTTCTCTCCTTTGATTATTTACAATGTCTACATCAATTTCTAACAAACACAGGTCGATGACTCATTACTTCAATTGAACTGCACTAAATAACTTATACACCCCACTTTACAACAGTATCATCAAGCATATCCCAAATTCCAAAACATTTCAATATTCTTTCCCGTATTCTCGTCAACATATGCCGGCTGTTCGGCAAACGTAACATTCCCTTCATGGCATTCTGCGATTTTACCTGTCAATATAGTTGTTTCGGGGAGTGGCTTTGTCGATGTCGGGTTAGGGCTAGGGCTTGTTGTTAATAGTATTTCCACTGCTTTTGTCACTGTTGACATGGGTGTTATGATCATGTTTTTGAATAGGTCGAGGCTTGAGGCGATGTTTGTTTCTGCCGAAGATAGGTTTAGCATTTAGTCATATGCGTATGTATCTTGTGGAGATGGACATATTTACCAATAACAGCAGGCGCTAATGCATTAATTTGAATACCCTCGAGAGCCAACGGCCGTGCAAGAGAACGCACAAATCCGACTACGCCGTGTTTTGTCGTAGCATAGATTGGTGCCATGGGAAACGCATAGAGTCCTGCATTTGACGCCGTGCAAATTATTCCTCCCTTTGTTGGTCCTGCGTTTTTGCGAATGTAATGAAGTGCGAGTTTGACAGCTATTTTATCACAAATGTTAGCCAGCTTTCTTCCCTCCTCTGGAGTATCGAGGAACGGACAATATATAACACCAACCAAATTAACATCCAAAGTCGCCAAACTCGGCTTCACCGGCTCCCGCTCGTCAACCTGCAACAAATTCCCCTTTTCCGTAATCCCAGCATTTGCAACCACATAATCCACTCTCCCTTGTTGTTGAAACACCTCCTTGAATGCCGCGGCTTGACTTTCCCATGACGAAACGTCGCATTGATGGAATGAAATAGTTGTGTTGGGAGAGGCGGATTTGTATTCTTCGCGTAAGGAGGAGAGGATTGTTGTGCCTGTTGAGGTATTGATGTCCAAGATGGCTATATGTGCTGGGGTGAGGGTTGGGTGTTGGGTGAGGAGATAGCGTGTTATACCGAGGCCGATGCCTGAGGCGCCTCCTAATGGGGTTTTGTAAAAATTGATTCCTGGATGGAGAGGTGCATGCTTACCTGTCACAATAAAGACTTTTCTCGGCGATTGAGAGGCCATCTTTGTTCTTTCCGTAATCGATGTGCGTGCAACAGCTGCACTTTCAATTAATTGCGAATATAATATTTCCCAAGTATAAAGGTCTCCTAAGCAGCTGACACGAATGCTATTTATTCTTTCTATGGAACGAAAACTTCTCGTCGCATTCAAGCAGTTGTCTCCGTAAGGTGTAGAGGCACTGTGGGGATCATCTCAACCACTTCACATCTGGGATCCAATATTAAGATAACTACATATCCGGTTGATCGGATACGTACATCTCATACTCACTGTATCCAGACTGTAAAGTTGATTCCCCCGCAGTTCTTCTCCACGGGGTTATCCCGATGAGCGGAGAACATCGGGGAGACGCAGTCACATGCATCAAGTATCCACCGTCTTATTTAGTATATCTTGGGAATAGATTACAAATATCAGAAACTGAATTCAACGTGGCAACTTTTTAAATTCCTATTCACTAACGCCGTCAAAGTCAACTAGACAGTGGTATTATCCATGCACCAACTCCTCCGTGCCACAACCCAGAACAAATACACAGTATTAAGTCACAGCAAGAAAATGTCATCAATCGTTATCATCCTGCAACAACACCTTCAGCTTCTCCAGCTTATCCTCGCATTTCACCTCCATCTGCATGATGACATCCACGCTATGCTTCTTCGTAATCAGTAATTGGGCCACTTGCCAGAAATTGTAAGCCGTCTTCATGAATCCCATCGCGGCCCATTCGTCTGCCGGTATTCGCGATTTCAGGTCAAGCCACAACGTACGCCACCGACTTAGTGCAGCTCGAATGCTGATGAGAACTGGGTCGTCTGATGTGATCGATCGACACGTAAATGTCAAACTCCCTTTATGATTCTCTGAATTGGCAGTCGACTGCTCCTTTCGTTTCTTCAGCTGTCGCATGCGCATGATGGGTGCCAAGACAGTCATGTGAGAATTAATGTACGAGTAAAGCACTACAAGTATGATTAGTTTATATTCAATGACTGTTGAGAAGAGGACCAACATACTATGTATCATAAGAAACATGTCAGTAACAGTCAAGGTTGTGCCGATAGAGGGAGAATGCGCGCAATGATTTGTGTGGTGTTGATCATGATGGCAAGCCGACGCTCCCTGCTCATCTTGGAATAAATGTTGAAAAGCGTCATAAACCGTCGTTTCTCTCGTAAAACGGAATTTCAGTTGAGCAAAAGGATGCTCGCAATTGAAAACTGATTCTTCACATGGTAGATCACATTCCAACTCTGGAGGTGTCAAACGACAAGGGAAATTTGAATAGAAAGAAAACGCGCAGTCGAGTAGAGAAATAACATTGATAGTCCTATGATAGTCAATAGAAATTTCAAAAGATCTGTGGTTTGCACACCCACCTGATGCGACACTCCTTTTGAATCCATAATGTCTCGTGGATTCGATCTTCGGGAAGATGCTTGCAGCGGGTGAGCTCCATTCTGCGGGCAGCCTAATAAGACATTAGCTTTGATTTATTTATTTATTTCACAAACAAATGGGCACTCACTGCAACGACCTCGTTGAAACGAGCCTCCATCGCCCTATTCCGCGATACTTTGGAGCCCGCCCAGTACTGCGTGACGACCATCAGATACCCCGCCTGGAGATTCTGGAAATGCACCCAATCTTTGCGCTCTGCATCCGTGGCTGGACGTCCAATGAACGTGCAGCTAACTTCGTGCTCATAAGAAAAGACGTCGGTTGAGAACACATATAACTCGGCAAAGTCCAGCATCCGCCTAGCCACATATGCCTCACGCTCTTCGTTTGAATACATGGCGCCCATGAAGACCACGGCAGCGAGTAAGGGCATTGTAACCTGTTCCATGTTGAATGACGGCGGATGAAGGAGCTGGCAATTGTTATGCCAGTACAAAAAGTACAGTGACACGAACTTTTGGATACGGCGTGTTGTAAGCAAGAAATGAAGGTTCGATGATATTTCTTGCTGGGACTTGGCGTCCATATTCACTGTCCATGTCTTTGCCAGTATGGCTTGGACGAGGGCACTGGAGAATGCACTCTCCGGTTCGTAGAATGAAGAATCGCTAGCCATACCCAATTGCGGCTCCTGGTTTGGAAATTGTAAGAGTGCGTGTGCAGCGAACGTCCCAGAATAGGGATCCACCATCGATTTCTGAGATTCAGCAAACGGGCCAGTCATGAATGACATGAAGCTTTCTTCAAATGTCGACAGGTCATCAAACTCCGAAAAGAATCCCGTATTGATATTAGGAGGGGTTGTATCTAGTGCATAAGTATTTGCGGGGCTTGTAGCTTCTTCCAGTTCCTTTTGGGTATGATACTGCATACCACGGGCGCGATCACTACGTGGTGGAAGCCGGAACCTCTCGGTGAAGCTGTCTGTGCCGCCATTCAAAAGGAAATTGATTGAGCCTCGATCTGAGGACTCAAGTTCTTCGTTTTTGAGAAGCGAGCTTTCCGTGGCTGTACCAGTCAGTAATCATTCATTCTCGCACTTTCATATGCATAGCCATACATGGAGGCAACTCAATGTTGGGATTCTTCGGTCTGCCAGTATTATTGCACTTGAGGTTTCGCTTGACACATGAACTGCAGGGACTTTGTCCGTCACAGCGAAGCTTCATAGAAGTGCACTGTAGATAGTTAGGCTTGCTCATTAGTCTTCTTTCTAGGGTAAGAACATACCGATTCACAAGCATGTCGACGTCTTCCTCGTTGACCAGTCTCCGGAATTGGATTTTCTCCTCGTTGCACACAATCTGGATAATGATCTCGCAGATTGTCGCTGAAGTCATCAGCCGAGAAGTGATATTACCATAGAACGGACTTACCATCGAGCAAATGCTTCGCTACAGAATATGCATGAATAAGGCTTCACACCGGAGTCTGCAATTGGTCAGGCTCTAGTCTGATGCGCCCAGCATGGGTGAGAAGAAAAAGAAAGGCTTACGGCGCAGATGATGTCGCTTCAAATGATCAATTCGAGTGAAACCTCGCTGACAGATATTGCATCGGAAATTTTTGTCTGCGGTCTGTTTCGTCATGACTGCGGATGTTGATGAGGGGGTAACATTTGGAGGAGGCCCCAGCGAGGCGCAAGCAGTAGCTAGAGGCGCGGAAAATCGACAAGAAGAGACGTCAATATTGGAATAAAGATTAATTGACACACTGCTGAGTAACAACAGCTGCAAGACTATGCCCTAGACAGATCTTAGTGCTGCAAATCTGTGAGAGGCGAAGAAGAAGCAAAAGGAAGACAAGGAAGGTCCTGCCACAATGGATCTTCGCTGCAATACGTTTCACTCTAACCGTGTCCAGCCTAGTGGGTTACAGGGTCTGTATTATCAGCGAAACCATGGTATTGTACCACGTAAAGTTTGGTAAATTTCGACTTTTACAAATAATATTGCAGTTAAGGCCTCCTATTAACTATTATCGTACCTACTATGTAATTATATCTTATGCAACAAGTCCATGCTAAGGAGCAATCATGCACAGTCATCTATTTATGTACAAAGCCGTATGCGGTAACTGTATCAAATACAGTCTCAAGTAGCATTCCGCAAACACAACAACTGGACTCACTCGGAAGTAGTTATCCACACCACGGTTTCAATACATTGAAGATGGTACTGAATTGCAAGACGTAAATTTCCCCATGGGTCAATCTCACTTAAGAAGTGCGGGGGAAGTCACTAGTGGGGCCAAATGCTCGATATTGACCAATCACTGTCAGCTATTACACATCAATACCGTATTTGGTATTGGTTATGGCTGATACATACTTGGTGCACCGTATGTGTGGCTCAAAGGAAGGAGCGACAGTGTCCAAGCGCTCAGCTCTTGAAAGTCATCCTAAACGTCCCGTTGTCGCTTTATATCACTATTCATCTCTGGCAGATGGCACTACGAACATCCGAATATCCACTAGTTAAATAGTCCCCGCAATCTGAGCGCACTCCACTTTGCAATGCTGGGGAAGCTCAGGGGAGAAAAGTCGATGATGAGCCGGGGGTTTTCCGACGAACGATTTGTATGCTTTCATATATGGGACTGAACGACAAATATAGAGCCGGACAACTCTCCATCAACCGAGGGATCAAGAAAGCGAGATGACATTCACGGGGAGGAAGTACCATTCAAAGCTAATCTTGAGTCGCACAAGCAATTAAGATGCAACCCGGCTCAACCCCTCACGCTTATGTCACATCTTATAGGCTTGCTAGACATGCAGGCCCTGTTCGAAAGATGAGAAAGCGAGTTGTCACTGGCTGAAGCGGCGGGATTATGTTCTAAATGGAGTTTGGTGTGCCGTTTAAACGACAAGGGTGTTGATCAAGACTGCTAAAAGAAGGCTGTGAACTGCCGTAAAATCTCCCCGAACGAAGCATACTGATCACACCACCTGATTCGGCAGGATTCTAGCTTGCGTCTCGTTTTTCGATTGTGAGATAAAAGAATCAGATATTCCTCGGTCATCTGTCTTTCGTGCTCTACTCAAAAACGCATCTCCGCTCCTCCACATACTTCGAGAGCTTTGTCGGATTTGGTTCAATATTCGAGCGGAATCATGGCTGCCGAATCTCTCTCAAAAGGCGTTCAAAATGACCCGTGTATTATCGAGAACAGAGCAGTGGATGATGCACGACCCATCAAGGTGAGGGTGATGGGAGCTGGTATTTCCGGAATTATAACCTGCATTCGTTTGATGCAGAGAATCACGAACCTTGACCTGAGCGTATGGGAGAAGAATGATGATATTGGTGGTACTTGGTACGAGAATCGGTATCCGGGCTGTGCATGTGGTAAGTGTGTACTCTCATCTCATGACACACTTATACTGATCCAATGATTTTTTGCAATAGATATCCCCTCGCACACCTACCAAGCTACTTTTGAGCCGAACCTTGAATGGTCACACTTCTACGCCACCTCAAAGGAGATTCACCAGTACTGGAAAAAAGTCGCCCAAAAATATGGTGCAATGAAACATATTCATGTCAACCACAAAGTCCTGGCAGCCCACTGGAACGATAAGGCGGCCAAATGGGATTTGAAAGTTCAAGTGGCGGATGGCTCAGTACAGGAGGAATCGTGCGATGTTTTCATCTCTTGTGCGGGGTCATTGAATAATTGGAAGTGGCCTGCTATTCCAGGGTTGCATGACTTCGAAGGCAAGCTATTGCACACAGCTGCATGGGATGAAAGCTATGATTACAAGGTAAGTATACCACCCGCTCCACGATGAACTGCTATAATCTGACCCTCTATCAAGAATAAAAGAATTGCTGTGATTGGAAACGGGTCAAGTGGTATCCAGGTAGTGCCGGCCATGCTTCCAGATGTCACTCACATTGACCATTACGCTCGTGGCCGGACGTGGCTATCCCCGACCTTTGCTCGGCATAAGCTCGACGAAATAGGAGGAAAAAACTTGGACAACAGTCAGTCTACCCTTAGTCTGGTGACGTGAATGGTTGCTGACTGTAAACAGTTGCGTTTAGCCCCGAGACAATTGCAGGATTCAAAGCCAACCGCGCAGCATACCATAAATTCAGAAAAGGTCTATTGCTCAAACCACGATACAATTGCACCTTCACTGACAGAGTATAGATATCGAGCATGACCTCCAGAATGGTTTCTGGGTTACCATCAAAGATACACCGGAACAACTTGCTGGCTCAGAGTTCTTCAAAGAGAATATGAAACGTCGTCTAACCAAGAAGCCCGAATTGTTGGATCAAATTGTTCCAGATTTTCCACCTGGTTGCCGTCGCCTAACACCTGGTCCTGGTTATCTGGAAGCCTTGACGGATGAAAAGGTGGAGGTAATCAAAACCGAGATCAGCAGCGTCGATGCAACGGGTATCCGTACAGCAGATGGTGTACACAGAGAAGTCGACGTTATTGTATGCGCGACCGGGTTTGACACTTCTTACCTGCCCCGTTTCCCCATGACAGGACGCAACGGTCTCTCCCTCGCGGAAAAATGGAAAGAAATTCCAGAGACATACATTTCTCTTGCCACAAACGAGTTCCCCAATTACTTCATCTGTCTAGGACCCAACGCCGCTCTGGGACACGGAAGTTTGACCCTTTTGATCGAAAAAGAAATTGACTACATCACTCAATGCGTCGCCAAGATCCAGCGTGATAACATTCGCTCAATGGCACCTCGCAAGGAAGCCGTGGAACGGTTCACGAAACACTGCGAGCAACATTTTAGTAAAACCGTGTTTAGCACAAAGTGTCGCAGTTGGTATAAAGGTGGCAAAGAGGATGGGAGAGTCATTGCAGTTTGGCCTGGTAAGTCATCCTTTTCAACTGCCATGGAAGCATCTGGTGCTGACATGAACGTAAATAGGATCCTCCCTCCATGCCCTCAAAACATTCAGTAACCCGCGCTGGGAAGATTTTGAGTATGAATACATCAACGATAATCCCAACGGGTGGATTGGAGATGGCTGGACCACCGCTGAGAAATTACGGGATTTTAATGTTGATTACTTGGACGATAATCAAATTGACTTTCCGACTCCATTTGAGGTCGAGATTGAGATTGCGGTTGAGGCTGCAATTAAGCGAAACGAAGAAGAGGTACAGCGTGGAAAAGAAGTTGGGACTGAAGCAGCAGAATTCAAGGAGGAAGATGGACAGGCAATGAAGAATAGTGTTGTTGGGGATGGGTCGAAGAACTCGAGTGCAGTGCATATTGAGACGGTTGCTACTGAAGTGCCTGTTTAGATGTTGATGTTTCATTCGACGTGTTTGATGTGTAAGGCTTGGAAGTCAGTATATGTGCCTAGAAGCCACTGCTCTTTACAAATTCAGGATGTGTAAGGTAGATCTCTAGGGATAAGGTCATAGAATCAGTTCTCATTAGTTTGTTACCCTAACTGAGCGCTATCATTAAAACAAGTGGCCTCCCTTCCATAGTAAGGCCGTCAACACCATGACCAAGCCGTATCATGCATGAAAAAGGGCAAAAAGAAAATTCGGGGATAGCTTTTGACAGTCTCATACACCTTGCATGGAGCAAACTACCCTTGAGATGCAATTTTCTCTTACACCTCGACTAGGGATTCCTTGGCCAGTTTGCTGGTGCTGCGCAAGTACAAATGCACGTCTTCCGTACGCATGGCCCAGGCACAGACGACTTTCATTTCCTGTTTGGGATCGACGAGCTCAATCTGTAATAAAATTAGCTTAAGGTCACGCAAATTATCGAAATCAGGAAGAAGAGGAAGCGTACATCAAAGTTCGCAAAGAAGCTTGCTGCAGTCTTGTATAATTCAATAAGTGCAAGATGTTGACCCAAACATACGCGTGTTCCAGTACCAAACGAGAGCACAGTATTAAACATTTTCCGACGTCTAGCAGCAAAATGATCTTCCGATTCTCCAGGGCATCGCAACCAACGTTCAGGTTTGAAGGAATCGGGCTCGGGACCAAAGACTTTCTCATTACGATTGATCACCCATGCATCCATACCAACAACTGTTCCGGGAGCAATGACTCTACCATCGGGGAGGCTCAGGCCCTCTGCGGGGACTTCACGTTCCAAGGCGAGAGCGAAACCAGGATGGATTCGAATGGCTTCACGGACTATGGCTTCGAGGTAAGGTAGGTCTTTGGCGATTGCGTAGCTGATCGGACCGTTGCGACCATACAATGAGGCGGACTTGAGCTCTTTATGGATCTTGGATAACACGCCATCAGTCTTGAGGACGTAGTACACCATAGCAGTCAGAGTGTATGCAGTTGGATGGCTGCCAGCAACGGTGTTGGTCAAGAGATAGCTGATCATCTGGTAGTCGTCGATGAGATCAGGATACTTTTGCTGGGCTTCGAGGTATTTGTCAAGGAAGTCTTGATCTTGTCCAGAGGCAGGCTTCTTTGCGTCCGATGCGTTGCGCATCTGAAGACGCTTGGTGTAATGCTCAATACTGAGCTTGACGGCCCATTCCAATTGCGGTGCATTAAACGCTCGTGCAATTCGGTTTGTCTTCAGGTAGTAGTGAAGCCAAGGCATTTGACAAGTCTGATTGATTGTTGTTAGTAAATTCGACGCGTTGTTGTTCTAGGACTAGAAATTTACCCTAGCAAAATACTCAAAATCCCGGTCTGAATCTTGGAGGAGCTTCTCTGAGTCTTTGAGAGAGCCATCGAGGAATCCAAGAGAAGAGCCGAAAGTGGTGTAACCCATGGCATCCCATGAGACTAAATAGAAAATCTCATTAGTGACTGCTCTAAGACAGCATATATGACCTACTCACAGCGTGTGAAGACATCGGCAATATCACAAGGCAAAGCTGCGTTTGAAAATTTCTCCTTCAAAACGTTAATCAACAAGCTGATCGAATCGTCCAGGAACTTTTCAGTTTTAAGGATGCTTGTGTTTGATGCAAGGTATTGACCAATTGGCCTAATCATTGTCGCATGCCATTGGTCATCTGAAGTAGAGAACAGATTTGGTTGAGGAGTACCATCTGGACGAACTGATTCTTGCACAGCGTACATGCGACTCTGTAGACTCAATTAGTTGATACTACTTTAGTCTCATGACTGAAAGGTGTAAGCTCACCTTCTTCCATGGATTCTTGGTGTTGTAGACGACCCTCAGCAACGAAGGATCGGAAAGACTCAGAGTGTTTGGCCCAATCCTAACAACAGAACCATACTTGCGATGGAGATCAGCATGCACCAAATGAGCTTGACCGCTAGCAGTCTTGATGTAGCGCCAGAGATCCGTGAAGTTGGTGACGAAGGGTCCAGGGAACGACTTGACTCTCGAGGAAAAGTAGCTCTGAGCAAGCATTAAGAACAAAGTAAGGACTGTCAAGAGCGCCAGACAGGGGATGATTTCGAGGGACCCTGGCCAGGGAGACTGGACACGATCAACAATGGTGCTGTTCTTGAAAAAGTGGTAGACGCGTGGAGGGACTACGCCCAACCCATTGGTTGGTACAGCAACCATTTTTGATTGAGATTGGTTCTCGAAGACGGAGATAGACACGAATTGCTGATCTAGATTACAAGGGGAGGTATGAAGACTTGAACACGAAGAAGAGGACTTCAGAGATAAGTGAAGAAGGCAAAATAAAAAACAGAAACAAAATATTTATGAGGAAAAGTGCGCGTTAGGCGGTTGATGTGATTGCTACTTCCTTTTTTGGACAGGGCGCAGGGTTATAGAGCCTTAGGTGTCAAGACTATACTATAAGAGTGCCCTGAATGTTGGGCCCTTCTGTTAGAGCACTGTGAGGTGGTATCGCCCGGTGCCTAGATGCTTACTGTGTCAAAGAGTAATTTTGTCTGGTCTCATTTAGGCCAGTGTGTGAGGCAAACGAAACAGGCTAGAAAGTAAGATTGCCAGTACCTGCCCTGTAACACATCAACTATTAGCTAGCCTGCTGTCTAGATACAGCACATTAATCAGTACCCCTGAGATTGAGGGACCTCCCTATTTATATACTGATGAGCATCCAGTGCCTAGACTATATACTATACTAAGGGCCTCTTCAAAACTGCACTGACTATGCATATAATGTGCTCTACCAACAGGGTGTATTCTAGTAGTTAGTCTGAGTAGTTCGCCTGGAGCTTATTTTGGTACTGACATACGTGTGCATGTTTCTTTGTCTGAAATCATTAACAACTTCTGCGGTGTGCCTGGAGAAAACTCCGACACCTACAAAGGCTTCATTATGTTCTTTGACTCAGCTATTCGCTCACAGAGGGACTGCTGATGCCATATTCGTCTCGATCAGTAATCCCCCAAAGATTTCTCCGGAGTATCCTTTCGAAAGTCAAAAACAGAATACCCACCGACTCCAACAAAGTCAGTCATTGTTGTTTTAATTGCTCGGCCCCCGTTTAGACAAGTCTTTGGTCTTCTAAGAATTGTTATTTCTAATTATTATTTATTCTCTTTTGCATCTGGGGCATTCTGTACTTCAATTGGACGATCATGTCGGTTTTCGACGCTTTTCTTACCCGTTTGAGAAGTCACATGTCGCTCGCTTGCCCTAAAAATACATTTAAAGAGTCATGCATCTTCGAATCTGCCCTACGCAGGCACATTATCATTAAAATAAGAAAATAAAATCAGATGACCACGACTAACGGAGTTACTCGGTCAACACCCTGATTATGGACTATTCCAACATTCTATTTGTATATACGATAATAAGCGAAATGTAAATCACGAGTGGCTTGCGTGCCGAAAACCTGTAAGTAGTATTCAATCAAACCTTATCACCAACACGAATACCCAAGTCATGATCTGATGGGCCTATTAAAAGTCCTGTCATGTTTAGTTCATGTGGTTGATGCTAGTATTCTACGAGCCTCGACTTCAAGTAGCGCTCATATGCGAGGTATTAGGTACATTCGCTAGTTCGTAAATCGAACAAGGCCCTTGTTAAAACGCGAGCTAGCCTCGTAGATCCACGCATGCAAAGATGATTTAGCGGGTATAGATTCGCCACAACTTGGCTCTTAGTGTGGTATTGTTCTTCTCACACCCAGCACCGGTTTCGCCTCGCAAATTGTATACATGTTGCACTGCGGTTACTGCTTCTCATCTTTGCCCACGTTTTTATGGATAGACATGATAGGTGGTTTCCTTCTACTTCCAAGTAAGGACGTGGCCAAGATAAGAAAGGATCTAATAACGTGATTCACCATTCTTCGCCTTTTGGGGATGTGTTAAGCGAGACTAGGGTTTCGTCAACTGCTGGCCATGCAGGATCTCGCACATGACTGACCTTAGATGTCCCGATGACCAATGATGTACTCGTATCATATCGATAATATAGATGCTATACATGAACATTGAACAGTGATACGTAAGTCTTTTTCTCAAGTGCAGTACTCATCGAGTACTATCACCGCAGAATCCATATAGTTAGCTACCCGGTGAGCAAAGAGGAAAGGCATCTAAGACGTCATAACCAGAATTTGAGGAACAAGATTTCATTTGATGTTACAGAAGGTAATTTCCGGCCTGATTTCTTCAGATAAATTTTGATTTGAGCCGAGCACTCGTGACGCGGTTAAACGTATCGAATGATTGGACTGAACTGTGATTTGGTCGGACACTATATCAAGAATAGGTAAGCTGTGAAAATATCCTCCACTCGTATTTATCTTTGCCATAGGTACCTAACAGAATGAAAAGCCTTGTTCACTTTGCTAGGACAGCCATATGCCTTGGCCCTGGTTCTGGGTTTCTCCGACTAATTCTGGGAAATCTAGGAGAAGCGAGACTCACCGCCCAAGTTGGAAAGCTTGATGAATGATGGTGGCGATGTATGTATAAACACATAGTTAGATGTCTGAGAAGCGCTGTCCAAAGGTGAGCACTCTGGCTCCGTTTATGTCTCATTGTTCATGGAACCGTCATGACAGCCACCCCGTATCGTTATATTAACCCGCGAACCTCGACACATTAACCTTGCTAATGTTCATTCACCTTTCATGATTGGGTGGCGTCTGAGGCATAGCCTGCTATCCGATGTGATGCTGCGACCGTGGTTAGCCTCGTGTAGTCTATCCCGTGTGAGCCATCTGGGGTTTATTTCGGACCGTCAAAAATAGCATCCTGTCATCTTGGACAAACACATCTGAGAATAAAGTAAACTTCCCATTTGTACGGAGGTGGGTAATTCGTCTACGGGTGGTGTTGGTCTTATGAATTCGGAGCTTAGCAACCTCCCCGTCCTATAGGTAAACTGCCACTTTTCCTTCGCGATTGTATTTGCCTGGTTAATTATACATGGGTACCAAAATATTTTGTCTCATCCCTCATTTGCCCTAGCACACCAGTGGCTCCAATATAAGCTGCTCGATCTTGAAAGTCAACCAGCTACCCATCTGGTGCCAAATATCTGGACACCTAGTAGTCGGATAATCAGGATCCAGGATGTCGAGTCAATCAGAAGCCAGCAGACCATCTATTTGGTATATAGCCCCCATGCTAGCTGACAAATAATGTAGTACAACCTGGAAATCAGCTCGCTAAGAATGTCTATATCAACCACGCTCTGAAACATAGATGGACGAAGAACTCACTACGCCTAATCTTGCTGGTGGATTGTGCTTTCACCATCTCGTAGACCACCGTACGAAATACGAATTCTTCTCTAGTCAATAGTCAACAACCAATGTAGCAATAATTTTACTAAATACAACATCGCTCGACGCTGGAAAAGGTTGAACAGGCTTTCACTTTGTAAACAATGTCGCAAAATGCTTTGCTTCAAGCTCCCCATGACGGGGATGAAACACAAGTGCGATTTCTGTTGCAAAACGGCGGTGATGTTCACGTAAATAACGAGGATCGTCAGACACCCCTTCTCCTTGCGGCAAAACGAGGACACTCGGATTTAGTACGATTGTTACTAAAGCACGGCGCCGATATCGACTCAGCAGACAAAGATGGATGTACAGCATTGCTGTTGGCAGCCAAGTCTTAACAGAGAAGAGTGGCACGTGTTTTGATCAAGGAAACGGGCTGATATTGAAGCATTTGACAATAATGGATGGAAAGCACTTCACCACGCAGCAAAAGCTGGAGATGTGTTGATAGTCCAGTTGCTTTTGGAAGGAGATGTCAACATTGATGCAATAGATGATGGTGGGAACACAGTTTTTGTTCTTGCGGAGATGGCAGGCCATCAGAAAGTGATGGATCTACTTGAACAAAGTGACGAAGACGAAAATGAAGAGAGTACTGACCAAGGTAGTACAGAAGATAAGGTAGTGTGATCAGTGGATGAAAGCAACGACAGGACAAGAAGACTGTTCCTGAGAAGCAAATCAGAAATGAGTCACAATTCAACAAAGGAAACGATCGCAGGCAGCCCAGGCCGACGACGATCTCGACTCAATTACAGTGTGGAAACCCGAAGCTGGACTCTGATGAAGACCCCCCGAAGAGGTCATACAAAGCAGAGTCCACAAAGTGCTATTTTCTCCAGACGGCCAGCTGCTAGCAACTGAATCACAAGACAAGGAGATAAGTCTTTGGAACGTACAAACTGGGAATTTGGTAAAGACGTTCAAGGGCTACGGCTTGGTCTTTTCCGCAAATGGACAGCTGGCGGCCTTTGCAGAAGACGACAAAGTGGTGGAAATCTGGAATACCATGACGGGGGCTCTGGTGAAAGCATTCAAGGGCCACCAAGACTATGTCAGCAAAGTGATTTTCTCCCCTGACGGGCAATTTCTAGCCTCTGCATCACGCGACGGTACGGTCAGGCTCTGGAAGGCAGATACATTGTGGAGGTCTTCCTTGGCCAAGCACTGGTCTTCTCCCCAGACGGACAGATGGTAGCCTTTATACAAGATTCTCCGTCTGTCGGGCTCTGGAGTGCTGACACTAGGGATCTAGTGGCTACATCTGTCGGCCATGTCAGCCGAGGGAGGTTCCTCTCGGACGGACAAGTGATAGTTTGGGGGAAGAGGTTCTCATTGAGAATGTGCAGTTTGGAATGGACGGACCGGAGAGTTAGCAGCGCAACGATGGCCATCCAATATTTTCCTCGGATGGACAGTTGGTTGCCCGCCAAATATCTATCAATCGTGAAAAAGCTCTCCACGTTTGGAACATAAAGACAGGAGACTTGGCAAGGAGATTTCGTGGCTCTGGACCCGATCCAGAAAACCTTTTCTCCAGATGGGGAGATACTGGCCGCTGGTTATTATATCTGAGAATGTAAAAACCAAAGAAACCTCGCGGATCCTCGACGGCATTCCGCTTGGAACGATAACATCCTCCCCGGATGGACAAGTAATAGCCGGGCAGCATCAAAATATCCATTGAAGGAGTTGAAACAAGCTCTAGAAATGTTGTAGAGACCTTGTCAGGCCATTCAAAGAACGTCAGGTCCATTTCATTTCCCCTAAATGGAAAGATTCTCGCATCAGGATATGAAGACAAGACAATCAGGCAGGCTACACAGACGCAGACGTAGCTTTTAGAAATTCAGCTCTAATACAAGGTCGAGACTAACCTGTGAAAAGCCCATGGGAATGTCGAAACGTCCTACCCAATCCAACAGAGCAACTATACCTACAGCTTCTTGGATCAAAATCCGGATAGCTGGGCAATTGGGGATAACCCTTGGAACGTGAGCAAGGAAAGATTCAACGATGTGGGCAATTCAATTCCTTTGTGCACACTCTACAACACCATGGCCATGGGAGAGTGTAAAGAATTCAGAGGAAGATCTGGTTGCCAAGGATTAGGAGCAGTAGTAAATATATCAGTTGTACACTTCCCATTGGGGAATGATAGATTCTCGATAGAGCGTTCTCAACGTTCTTACCCTCTCTGTCTGCTTGTCTAAGTTATCTCTTGAGGGAAAATTATCTAAGGAAGTGAGGTCTTCTATCCCGTACGGATAAATATCGGCCCGAAGGTCATGTGATCTTTACAAAGAGAGGGCTTGATACTACAGAGTACCTATACTCAAATCTCCCCAAAAGCATCAACCAATCACCTCGGCTATACGCCGCCGAAGATGGCGATTTGAAGCTTGAACTTGACACCGAATTGCATCCTTATTCCGTCAACCAAATCGATCACTTTAGCTGCGAGACACATAACTACGCGGATAATAATCGAGGACACGACTTCATTGGCTGTAAAGCATAGTTTGAACGTTCTTCCCTCAAGTAAAGAATCCATTGTTACCTATATTCGTCGATCCATTCTACGTGCTATCAATAACTCCAAGAAAAAGCCACACACCAAAACATAAACTGCCGTACAGAACACCGTACGAATTCTTGGAGACAATCTCACCACGTATTCGCGGAGTTAACACATTAAATGCAACACTTCCTAACCGGAAACAACCGGCGAAAAGGCGAACTCAGCCCCGGAAAATATATGATATATTCAATCTATTTTTCCAACACTCGGTACCGTTACGATCATGTGATTTGAATCTCGTTGGTTGATGTAGCAATCCAAAGACTAAGAGAACCTGGGGGATATTTCATGGGATAACCGGGTCCAAGGGATCAAAGAACCGAGGAGAAAGTCGCCCCGGAAAAATCCAGACCCTTGCCCTTAATGCTGTCTGGAGACTATCCGTCGTGCCCGATAATAATACGTACTGTTCTTTAACTATGCTGTGACTTTGGTAGTCTGTATCCTGATCCACGTAAGAAAGAGCCACATACTGGCGCCGGCATTTTGCCGAGCTGATCACCGGTGATCCTCGGCCAAAGTGGGGAGAGAGCCGTTGATAATGATTTATCACGGACGCATTGTCAAACAAAGATTGTGATACGATAACTTTTAGATGTATGTGCATGCATAGACGAGAGTATTCGTTTACCCGGCGATACGAAGTGTGATGTGTGACATTGCGTGCCAGATTAGGGCGTCCGAGTCTAACGGCCAATCTAACTTCAGGTTCGATTGACAGGTAGAAATGTGTGCTCAGACGCTCAAAGAAAGTTTAGGGTATACGTACATCATTCTAACCACGCCAAACGGCGAAAACGCTCAGACGGTAACGTACTGCGGGAAGAAAAAGAAAAAAAGAGACACTCTGGTTGGCCGTCAAAACTTTGTTCTTCTTCCGGCAGGTATTCGCGATAGTCCATGGATTAGAAAGCTCGAGAGTACCACAAACTTTGTGTTTGGCTGTGCCGTGCGAGATGAAGTGACATTCATTCATGTAGAATGCGAATGGATATAGAGTATCGACCCCACATGAAGGATCATTATGCTCGAGTGCTACGGAGTACCTACAGGGTATGAAAATGAACAGCAAGGTAGATCATTTGTGTGTGTACGGAGTGATGGCTAGGCGACGACTTTGCAGGGGGTTTGCCTCGGCATGATCATGCCCGTCAATCAGATGCAATCTGTAGGTAACGGAGGGAGTGACTTTGGGGGCTCTTTGCTTCGACAATACCGAGTATAATCGTCATCATCATCATCATCATCATCTGACTGAAATCAACTCGTCTATTTCGGTGAGTTATTTCAGGATCAGAGTTGAAGAGCCTTGCATCTTGAGTGACGGGCATCGACGATCATTGACTTGGTTGCATCTGAGTAAGCATTGGCATAGCATGGTGGTGGAGGTGTGAGATAAGTCATTGGGACAAAGTCTAAATAAAGATAGCTACGAAGCAGAATAGTCCGAGTCACCCGCTGCAACGGATGACACGAGTACATCGCACAGAACGGTTCATCCGAGGATCTCTACGGAGTACGTAGGTATGATATCCAATGTAAAAACATGCCTGTAGCGGCAATGTGATAAGTCTGTCCTCCTAACCCTAATCACGGGGGCAATTGGATCATTTATTTATCCACGCCAATCGAAAAAGGAAAAGGGAGAGAAAAAGGAAGAGAAAATAGAAAAAGGAAAAAAAGGCCAATGAGACTATTGTTTCAAATGGAAGCTGATCTGTAAGCGGGTTTCATGCCAAAAGCGGGAAGATCTCCAGATTAAAAAACGTCGCTAACTAAAAATTAAAATAAGCGAGACGGAGCACAGTCCTCTTTCCGGATTAGTTTTGCCACGTGAGGACGATCTTTGGATCTCCGATTGGGTTATTTATTACATGTATTCGTACCGTAATACGATCAGCTGTATCTCGCGACCTCACGAGAATGATTGAGATTGTATCGGACATGGTCTGTGCAATGTTACATCCGACATGCCACAATGATCAGCAAAAGCGGATCTGCCCGCGTGGTAAATAGTACAGATTCTGTATTGGTATTGTAATTCAATTGCTGGTCGCCAGCTGTTACGAGTCTTGACTATTCTATTTCCTCGCCCAATACCACACCACGGTCGAGAACCTCGTACGTGGGTTGCATACATCTGCAGTTGACTCGGGAAATAACCCCATGAACTGCAATACACGGAGATTTTCGGTACCTGGCTCATACTCGCTAGTCTACTAGCGCAAAAGCAATCAATTCGTTGTACTCGGTCCAGGTAGTAGTAAATGAATACTCATCGACCACGCAATGTGACATTTCTAGATCAAATCTACTCCGTACGAGCATCTGTAACGTAAATAGTCGTTGATGATCATCATAACGTGTCAGCCATTTCAGGTTAGACGCCGATCTTGGATCCCAGTCCCGATAATACGGAGCGTATGTTAAAACGAGGTTTACGTCAACACAGAATCGATGTTTAGTCGGTTTTTACGTATGCTTTGGTTGACTTGTCACAAGTGAGATATGAGATGCCGATAGAAGACACGGATAGGAGACACAGATAGAAGATATATATATATATGCCAGTACTCTCCCACACATAAATATGATTCAACACGTATTTGCGCTGTAAATGTAATACAGTATGATCGACAACTGACCCGTTCGTCGGCGGTGTAAGCGTGAGAATTACCGTAAATGGGAAAGAATGGCCAGCTGAGCTTCTCGGGATGTTCCCGACAATTTCCCCCCTTTACGGAGTAGGTAGAGTACGGAGTAGACGGGACTAAGTGATTAGTAAAATTACATATTAGAAGTGGCCTGCGGAGTAGAATCAGAAAACGAAGCCTTGCCCTCCCAAACGAGTCAATCACGTACTCGACTCGAGGATGATTGGAGAATTATCAAAATTACGTATAATACGCAAAATACCAGCCTATGGAAAAGAAAAAGGATGTACAGAGCGTATCGTAGCGAAGAAACTCCGGTGATTTACATTCAGATCATTCGACAGACGTTCCGGATTCAGATCATTTGAAAGACGTTCCGGGCTTGCTTGGCATCAGCCTCGCGCCGTGTGCTGTGACATGTAGTTGGACTTGGTTGGCATCTTCATTGCGTTGTTGCTTCTGATGACCATGCATCGGCAGCTTTCTGGCCACGTTAGTACCGAGGGCCAACACGTCACGATATGTGTTCCATATTCGGGATGCTCGACAATCGAGAGTTAAGCTTTCGTACCTAGCAGGTTGTGTTGCACGAATTTAGCAAAGAATCACAGCATCCAAACCTGCAGAATACGCGTTTACTCTACGCTGTTATCAGCTTGCCATGTATTTTGCATTTGGATGATATGCGCAAATAGTAGAGCATTATCACATCTTGTCATTGCCAACCAATAAATATGAGACGACAAGCCTGACATGACCAGTAGGACTGCTTGTTCGTGTGTTGACTCGTCGACAAGACGCATGCATACCCGCATATACGAATTTGTGGGGCGGCAAAGCTGCGCCGAGCATGTGGAGGAGATTACTGCTCACACGCAGTCAGTGCAACGGGCATGAAATTCGGGGAATTTTCTTTTTTTGTTCTTTTCCCTACTCTCTTCTTCTGTTTTTCGTCAACTGATTGAGTCGTTGCCGATCTTTTTATGATCGTCCGTGTTCATGCATTCGACACGTCTCGTTGCTGTTTTCGTGCTGCATCAGATCGAGATAGAAACTTGTATGGAAATAATCACGCGGATAAGTTAAACTCGTTTCTGCTCTTGTAATACGCCCCGTAGCCAAGAGACCCTCTCAGATCAGTGGGTGAGGTCTCGAGCCAACCCGGAACAACCCTGTCTGAGACAATCCATGAAAGGTGGATTTTATGATCATCCCTTGGATCACCACCCACTCCCCCTTCAAAGTACCACGTCTGTATTATTCGTCGTGTCTCATGCAGTGGTCTATCTATCATATGTAAATCTTCAGCCAATGCGCATTATCAAAGCCAACTCAGCACTCAGCTCACACGATCTGCTACTCCATAATCCGTACGTAGATCCTCGCGGGAATAGTTGCCAGAATTACCACTTTGAGCAATTAACCAGCTGACTTCCCGGGCACGTCAAACACGAACCCGCCAAGGGGTTATTGACCCATGAATGATCTGTGACGACTACGTGGTTAGCAATACTATGTAAAACCTATAATAACATCTTGATCAATTAATCACAAACATCCGTGATCCTCATGATCAAGGATCCGAGTACCAAGCACGGAGTCAGTCAACAGAGGATCGACCTTTAGCTTAGGAATGGATTATGTGAGTCTCGAGCAAATCCCGTTAGCCTGTACTAACATTTTACCGTATGATAATACTACGTAGTATATATTACAAGTAAATAAAACCGGCTTCTTTACAGCCGCGGCGAGATCGGCGCTAAATTGTATCATTGACTCTCTGGCCTGGGACCAGGCTAGACACTGAATCCTTCGCTTACGGGTATTACCGTATGGAAATGGATTTCTGATAGGGGCGTTTGTTTTCCATGTCTGTGACAGTATTCTGGGAGAGGATTGGATCGGTCTTGACTCGCTACGAATCCCTAAGACAGCTCTATAAATACTGCATATTCTTGAGACGCATGCTGTCCCAAACTACTTTCGGTAATGGAAATCCGGGACTATTGACCGTTGAGTAGCTCGCGTGTACGTACAGCCCCTGTAAAAAAAAGAACCAAAAAAACGCCACGAGATTTATCTCGGGTCCATCGCAATCTAAGTGTGGGACGAAAGCACGTTCCAACCCATACCGAACCATATTTATTGTATCGCACTGTTCGCGTGGTGTATTTCCCTCGAACTACGTAACTACGTACTAGCCGTAATAGACTAAGCTATGAAACTCAGGAGTTCTCTCTAATGCATGTTCGGATCACAGACTATCATGATCTGCCTTGTCGTCGGTTGACACGTTCTTTGTATCCAGTATCCTATGGCCCTGTATCATCGTCAAACTCTTTGTATTGCAGGCACTCGAGGCAACATATGACAAAAGCAGAACAGATCCACGGCTCTTTACTGGGATCCGTACCAACGGACTGGGATAAATTACATACAATTAATAAATTAATAGGTAGCAGGAAACTCAGTTAGATTCGCACGGCCAATCATAATACATACGAGTAATACTAAGCTAAAATTATTGTTGGGTTGGGCGCCTCCGGCCCCAAGTTTTCGCATGCTAACTTTAGTACGGCTCTGTTCGAGTCGTAGAGTTAAATTTGGTGGATATTTTACATTTTACGGGGTTTTTCCAACTCTATGAACAAAAAAAAGCCTAACTAGTCATGCTGGGTGCGGATCCGGCGTATGCTCTCTGTATACTCTACCATACATTAAAACGCCGGGTTCCCGCTCTGTTCTTCGAATTCTACCCATACCTTCCCTTTGTATATCTCAATACGTCTCTTACTGGTTTGACTACAACATCTATCAATCGGACCTACTTCTCTCGTCACTCAGTAGATACCAGGAAAAGACATGATGAAGGTCTCCAACCTAGTCTCCACAGAATGGAGCGAACAATCCGGCACCTCGTCTCAACCTCATCTCAGTCCTGCACCGAGCCTGTCAGGTTCAGTTCGCAAATATGACGAATACTGCGAGAAACCAAGTCCCATCACAACTGCTGCGAACACATCCTACTTCTCTGTAGTGAACAGTAACAAAACGACAACGCCGCAGTTACCACTGTCACCTCCAGCAGATGATCAGCGCAAATGCTCTCTTCCTTCGATATCGAGTCTGTTGGAAGGAATGGATAGTATGCCTGCAAACAGTATGCACCTCAATTCTGACGGCTTGACTTGATGACTGACATGTCTTTAGAACGTGCTCGCCATGACTCTGGCGATTACAGCCGCAACTTCTTCCCTCCAACACCTCCAATGCGCCCCTGCTCCGGTTTTACAGAAGGTAACTCGCCTGCATCTCTTCCCTCGGGACGATCACATTCCGCATCAGTCAGCAGCACAGTCTCGCATCAACCTCCACAGCGCACATCTTTACCATCTATCTCTGCGTCACTCCAGAACACACCAGTCCACCCACCAGAACGCCTATCCATCTCGTCACTCGCCTCTCCCGACTCTGCTCGCCTTCCACACGCCATTCCCAGTCCTTCATCTACCACAACCTCGATAACAACGGCCACACAACCAACACCATACTATACCACTTTGGAAGAAAAGCCATATCCCCGAGCACACAGCGCATCCGCTCCAGTGACTCCATCATCACTTGTTCCTCCCCCACCACCGCCACCAGCCATGCTCTCACCCGTGAATCACCAAGGCTGGCAACATCATCACTACTTTCCACTTTCGACCACTACACCATTTCCCCCAAACCACGAGCGGTACATTTGCCGTACATGTCACAAGGCATTTTCTCGCCCATCCAGTCTCCGAATCCACTCCCACAGCCACACTGGCGAAAAACCATTCCGATGCACACATGCAGGTTGCGGAAAAGCGTTTAGCGTACGCAGCAATATGAAGCGTCATGAGCGTGGGTGTCATAGTGGACGACCTATGACGGCGACTGTCGTATGATCAAAGATAGAAAAAAAAAAAGGAAAAAAAAAGAAAAGAAAGGGCCCTTATCTCGGGTCCATGGTGGTTTTACGTCTTCATGTGTTTTATTAGATTTCGTCCCTTTTTTCCTTTTATTGGGATTGTGTTTTACTAGGTGTTTTTGAGGTGGTCTTTTTTTGTGTATAAAAGTGTGCGGATTTATACCCCATGGATTTTGGCTTGCTTGCATGGTGTTATTGGAGAATAGCACATTATTTTTGATATTGAATTCCTCATAACAATGAGATCGATTTACTTCATTATTGAACTTGAATATCTACCTGCGTAATCAGATTTAGATGTGTAGTACGAAGCTCAAGGGTGACGCTGGCGTGGTAGTCTGGATGATTCATCCATCGGACTTCGGCGAACTAACAATGGCGTTATCCTGGCACAATCAACTTCCCCTTAATCTGTGACCAGGTAAAGTATCCACATGGATGAGATTCCGGTCTATCCAGATAGGTTTCAGCAAGCCACTGGGATAGACTAGTTTGTGGGCCAGGAGTTGAAACAAACCATTCGTCCTTATCTGGTTATCATGCGGCGGATTCTACGCAAGTTTCGTGTATATAAGTACGTAACTACAGCAAGTAGATAGTCAGATCGTCGTGGGCTCGAGTGTCTCGGCGAACCGATTCAGGTATCAGTTTGATCACTTGGGGTGTGATGAGATGGAACTAGTAGGATAGTTGATACTTGTTGGCATTTCCATAGGTTGGATACTGTAGTTAGATGTAGCCCTAGCCCTACCAGAGGATCTTTGCTGCCGTATACAGACCTAATCAGACTATCAGAAAATCAAAAGGAGTAGGAAAGCGAGATCTGTGATCTACAAGAGAAGATTTTGACCCTTCTATGGCGAACTGCAACCCCCATTAATTATGCTGAACAGATGGACAACGTTACTCCGTACGTATTACCAGGACCAGCCAGAGACACGGAACAGCAGGCTTCCTGACCACAGAGAATTAAGGATCTACGCACACGACGACACACAATACACTAATTCAGAATCAAAGTGTATGAGGCTTCCGACTAGAGATCCTGGAAAATCCTAATTGCCTTAACTTGCCTTCAGAATGGGAGTAGATTTAGATTCCGGAGCACCCATACTGCATCAGGTATGGATACTGACGGATTCAGCCGCCTTTCTCTTACTATGTAGTAGAAAGATGATGAGCAAGTTAGTAAGTAAACCTTGCAATTTCACTAGCGGTATACTATTAGCACGACGGTGAAAGACGATAGTAACGCATAAGCTACTCGAATGGGATTAGATCTGTTGGTAAATTGACGCCGTCGCCACATGGGAAATGGATGCGCTAAGATTACTCCGTACGGAGTAGTGTCGCCTGTGCTTACTCTAGATATGAGTTTTGTAGATAAAGTTGCGGAATTTACGCAAACACCTGGTGTACGTAAATGTGCTTACTGTCTTACTGTCAATGCATTCGGGAATCGGATATGGATGAGGAAAATGATGCTTTGACTCTTCATGTACGAGTCTGCTGTTGCATGATCTTGGCCACGCGTTTCTCTGATGACCCTAAACCCCCAAAATAGGCTACTTAAAAGCACGGACTGATCCTTCGATGCTGTGTAATAGAATCATCAGCTATTGATTTTACTTCGGGGTCTATACGAGATCAGTTAGTCCGGTTACTCAGCCATGTGGTTGCGAGGGATGTGCAGACTTGGCGCGGTGATCGCGATCTTCTAGAACCTAGACTAGACTACTTGACGAATGATACGTATGTTAAATTGAGGGGTGTACGGACCTCGTACTCCGTACTCCGATCATTATACACTCTGAAAATTCCGGGTTATCCGCTTGTGGTAATTCAGCTGACAGCTGGGTGGCACAGATCAATGGGTCGGTGGCGCTTCAATTCGTTGGAAAAATGATTTATTAAGGTTTTTGGCAGTACTCATGTATTCAGCGTTACTTACGGACTATTTACGTAGAGTACGAAGTAAGTATTGGGTGATGATTGATCCACTGATCCTTCTGGAAAAGAGGGGCTAAATGATTTACCTGACCCAGCCATACATTTCTCTGGATCTACTCCGTAAAGCCTTTTTGGTGATAATCCGCGCATAATTGTTTGATTGGTCTGTTAGGGCTTACGCGCTCACGTGGGTTTCGTCTTGTTATCCGCCAACACGAGATTTCTCCGAGAAAGAGTTCACTGGATAGAGCATCTACGCAGGTGACAGAACTTATTTAGCGAGACAGTGGTCTGAGGATATTCCAAATCATGTTCATTTCACAATTAGCGCGTAGCTGCATGATAAGCCACTTTCAAGTGGTGGTCTGACTCATGGTCAATCAACAACTGACTAATAGTTGAAGTACCTAAGAAATCCAACATATTCAGCTACAACTTACTATGTAGTACCGGAATTGTTTAAAGTATGTATGGTCAATTATTACTTCTAGGCAGTGGATGGTCCTGACTGATGCTCTCCACGCAATCACCTAAAGTGTAAAGTGTAAACTTACGTACGTACCAATACGTGGTCTCGAGGTTATTTCAAACTCTACGTACGTACTCCATACGAGATTACTAGTCAAAAGCCTCAAACCCCAACCAGGTCCCTGGAAACGTCAACCGCTGAATGGCCCAGTATGTAGTTACATCTTGGCTGATACAGACCATCACTGTGCGGAGAATACGGTATTTCGTACTCGTTATCACAAAGTCAAAAAAGTGGGAAACCACATGGCAACATGGGTTTTGGGATTTGGGCTTATCCCGATCGTTTTCTTCGTTCTTGTTGGTCGATAACACGGTTATGGAGTAACGTCGAGTGCATTGATTTGACGCGAATCGAACATGGCATCTTCATGCAGCGATCATCCGGTTATCTCACCTGAATAGCAACTTATCCATTGGCAATCTCGTTATCAATCCTTCGTCTAGCGGCGGTGTCCATCAGCCTCGCAGTGCGGAATTACGGCAATGCTCCCTTCCAAAAGATTGATTCATGTTTCGAACCTGCGCATCTCCTTCCCATAAAGTCAATCCGCTCTGGATAGACTCGGCCAAGTGGACTCAGCGCGTGGCAGTGCACAGACATAGAGATGCATTCGATTCATGAATGCGTACAACTAAAGTTCAGCAAAATCTTATCCCTATTAAACACCTAGAGCATTCCTTACAGTGCAATTTACGGGCAGTCTGAATGGAGAACTCAGAACTGTATCCGAAAGATAAAAAGACTCGGCTATTCGTCACCAGTTTGCCGAGTTCCGTCGATTTTTCGCTATGATAGCTAAGTTAAGTTAGCAACTATCTATGTATAACCGATTCGGTGTATTCTGCTCCGTGGCTTCATCAACGATGCAAGGAACAGCTACGATCTCAAGTCTTTGGGGGTCCTGTTGTCATGCAACGTACCGTTCTCTCGTACCCCTTTGAACTTATGTCCGAATGAGTAGAAATGTAGAACTGGAGAGGTCTCGTCTCACAGGGTCGCTAAATTACATCCATATTCTCCGGACCTTTAGTCCAAAAGTATCAACCCCCACGACGCATGTACTGCCCCTTCCGTAAAATTAACACAGCATAATGTAATTCTCGTATTATTTGTCAACCGACCCTCTCATGACGCCCAAAGTTTATACACATATAGGCAGGTCTTCGCGGAACAAGAGGACGATCCAGTTCGTACGGCTCTCTGTTAGCCGGAGACCTTGACAAATGGTACTAGGCAGCTTACGACACCGAAGTCTAACCAAGGAATAGGCGCGGTCTAGCCAAAATTTTTTGAAGTTATGTGATTTTCGAATAACTAGATAAATCCCGAAGGGTCTCCGGTATCGGCTATTCGAATATCATACTTCAATGTTTGCTAAATAGAAGGAGGATAGGTATCAGAGATGTATGGGTTATGAATCGTGAAAAGGAGTTCCTAAGTAGTACAGTACCGGTCATGTCCCTTTTAAATTGAATTTTTGATACTGTTTGACCCTTATACGTCGTACTGCATAGTGCCTGGCCATCATATTCATACCTGATATGTCTTACATCTACGGAAGCACTCACCACCGTCGTCATATGAATCCCCGTAGAAAGGTAGCACGGAACTGATGCAAAATTGGATGAGAAACCAAACGAGAACTAGGTACATCGAATCTAATACTACATGAACTTTATGAAACATGTCATCTTAAAGTCCCTGATTTTCCCTTCACCTCGGAGTATGCAAAGAAGCCCAGACACCTTCTGAAGCTGCGACAAGGGCACCGAAGAATATCCAGAGAGATGTATGGCCGTGATCATTGAGGACAACACCGCCAACGGGAGTACCTAAATCACAATTGTTAGCATATGCATATCACGGATAGATGAAGTTATATACCAATCAACATTCCAAACGAGATCACTCCATACATTTGGCCCAATCCGAGAAAGTGTTAGAAAAGAAGCGATAGAACGCCATGAGGATGATTAGACTGGCAGACTTTTTCATGGCAATGGTGCACAAACATAGAAGTGCTGATATAAATGCGGAGAAATGATGACGTTCATAGGACCGACTATATAAAGAAAACACCTCAATTGTAGATGGGTTCAGAAATGTTACTTACTCTTATCAAATAATATCCCCAGAATAATTCGACCAAAAATACTCGTAACGTTCATGATGGCTAGGATATAAAACCCCAAGTTTGGGTTCGTAATATCTTTCAATGGCGGATGTTTGAACATAAAAGAAAGGATGATACAGTCCCATAAAACCTACAAAAGCGCTGAAAATTAAGATAATGTATACCAGTTCCCTGAAAGCTGCGAATATATGACGGCGCGCTTGTTCTCCGGTAGAACTCGGACTTTGTATACGGTGACGGCAATGAGTTGTGTCGCGAGGATCACGAAGCCGATTACTCGAGTGGCCCAGGGCAAACCGATGCTGGGTTGGGATTTGTGGAAGACGATTGCATAGATGATACCGCCTGAAATAATCATTATTCAAATGCCAACTGAGAAATATGTAAGTAGCTCACCAAAACTGCTGCCGGCGCTTGTAAATCCAACAGCAGTTGCGATCTTGGTGCTGAGATACTGAGAGAGAATAGCAGTACTAAGGACACACGTTAATCGGCATCCGATTCCGACACAGAATCCCTGAGCAAGTAGTACCTGTCAAAACTCCTTGCAGAGACTCAGCATCATTTGACCAAAGATAAGAAAGAAGGAGCCACTGATGGTTAGTTAAGTGGCGAGCGTATCCTGCAACATACAAGGGTCCCGTGAGAGCGCCCAAACACTAACAGAAATGCCTGTATGGATCCTATCCATCACATGGAAGATGATGATGAAGTTGAGAGTAGATTGAAAGAGTAATAGATTTCATAAGATCCGAAAGTATTCACAATTCCCCTGACATCAATCAGTTGGTAACCATGGCGCTAGAGTACGAACATATAGCTGACCATGAATTGAAAAATAGGATATGCATCGCAAGAACCTGTAACCAAACTTGTGTACCTCCATTTAGTACTGACGATACGCTATGGGTTGATTCCTTCGGAGTGGAAGCTCCATTCTTATCGTTGTTCTCTTCATCTGTAGTTTGTAATACGCCATCCAAAGCTTTGGTTTCGGCCGGCTTCTCATCAAATGCTACCAGATCGTTGAGACTCATCGCGCTTGTCATCGAGAATTCGCGCTAAAATTATGTTCTGCGCATGTCTTAATGGTTATCCATGCTGTTTGTAAATTAGCATGATCCATAGTTGTGGTGTGAGTTGTTATTTTCCATGGACTAAGCTGAGGTCTCGAGACAATTTGTTTCTTCGAAGCTTGTAGATTTATGGTCGGTTAAAGTGTTTATTCATCTTTAAGGACAAGACTATCGTCTTTTCCTTTTGTTCGATGACCGAGATATAGAAAAAAAAGGATCTTCGAGGTAAGAATAAAGGGTCGATCCAAGATCACGCCAGATGGAGCAATAGAATTCCTACTGACTTGTCTTACTGACTAGCCAGTAACGATTGCCTGGCGTCCCTCATAATCCATGCTATTAAAGTGGATTAAGAGTGATAAAATGATGAAAAGAGCTACAATATTGCCTAAACTGGCAAGATGGCGGTAGGGGAAACAAAGGTCAGAAGCAGTGACTAGTTTAGGGAGTGCTTATATAGAGTAGTATCTATAAGCATTAAGCAAATAATTCGCTCATCCGCTCCCTCCTCCTGCGTACGTAGATGTTTGGTGAAAATTCCGATCTTTTAAGCCCTAGCACGTTGGCAGTGACCTAAACACCTCGAGATCAGTACCCTGATTTAGCGTCCTGCAAAATTACCCCAGGGTTGAGCCTCTTTGCTGTCAGTTGAGTATTACGTACTATGCATCTGCAGTCTGCCCTTTTTTTTTTTTTTTTTCAAACAAGCATTTCGCGGATGACAGGGTACTGAGGGTAGGCTACATGCTCAGCATATTTCAATTGGACGCGGTCACTTATGGAGAAGACAAGAATGTTGGACCCTGCGAGGCTGTCGTATAGCATCGGGACTACCCAACTAGACCAAAAGCTGCACACATACTAGATGATCCCTTTGATGATCTTCATGATAGAAAATTGCAGGCAAAGGGCACCACGTGGTGCGAGATGACGTTTCAACATCTTGCCTGACGACGGTCTTCTTGGAAAGCTGAAAAAGCAGTTCTCGAGTAAACGGTACGTGCCAACTCCATGATTCAAAATAAATTCCTGCTGACAGCTGATGAGACTGATCGTATGATCTTTATTCCATTCGGGTCTTTTTGAAAACGGCATATTTCGGGTATTTGTATTCTGGGCGCTGATTGGCTAGAGTTCCAAGGTTAGGGCTATCCAGTTTATATACAAGCATAAAATGAGATTGAAAATGAAGATCCAAACGAGGAGAATAAAGAATATCTATTTTATTAGATTCTTGTTTATTAAGGAGAACCTTGGGATAGCAAGTCAAAATGCCGCACTCCAACTACGAAACTCCAGAAGTCATCCTTCAATACTTTGCACCGAACCAAGACGGCACTCCTCCAGATGCCAACGATCTTGAGATCCAATATGGAACCAAGAACCTTCATCTTGCCGCGGTCACTCTGAATGACCTTCGCCCTGATAAGGACAAGATCACGCTGACTGATCATGGACTCCAACTCATCAACCATGACACTGCGATGTCATATGAAGATTTCAATGACCCGGAGAAGATCAAAAGTCAATATTATCTTGAAGTTGCGGAAGCAATCAAGAAGGCGTAAATACACCCGTATTGCCCTGTTAGTTATGAATAGTGTTGACTAACGAGAAAGCAGCACCGGTGCCCAAAAAGTAATCTGCTTCAACCACAATGTCCGCTCCGAAGCGGCACCAAGGCTTGACATCTCCAAACACAAGGTAGACCACATCGGTCCCATGCGTCGCGTGCACGTCGATGTTGCTCCCCGCGGCACCTACGAGGCTGTCGAAAAACGTGCCGGGGAGGCCTTGATGTCCTCCATCCGTGGACGCTGGAAGATTATCAATTCTTGGAAACCCTTGAAGACGGTGCAGCGTGATCCGCTTGCAATCGCAACTGGACCCTCATGCCCGGATGAGGATCTCGTAGAACTGACCCGTTATCGTCCGGATGGCTCCTTGAGTGAGTCAAGGTACTCCGTCCTCTATGATCAGAGACATAAGTGGTATTGGGTTCCGATGCAGAAGCCCAACGAGATGTTGCTTTTCAACCAGTATAGTGATGATCCGAATCGTACCCTCGCGGACCGCGTGGCTCACTGCGGCTTTACCTTACCTGGTGCGGAAGATAAGGAGATTCGGGAGAGCGTTGAGGTGCGCGCTTTGGTCATCTACTGATCTTGAGTGAAGGTCTACCTAGCGGAAACAGGGCAAGTATTGCCAGAGATTATACTTAGGTAGCGGTTCGTATTCATCGCGTTATAATTAACGCGTTCAGGTTGATTTTGACAGTTGTACATTCGTTTGTAAATCTGATAATTGAATTGATTCTTTCATTTTCTAAGATATATCTATATATGTCGGGGACGTGCTTACAGTTCAGATTATTTGCTCTTGGAACTAACTACTCACTACTTTTGCTCCACGCAACGAGTATAATCAGAGGACTCAATACAATCCAAACCCCTGAAATCATGATAAATGTCCACCCCATTCCGACAGCGTTGATGATAGGCATAATAACCATTGCCCCCAATGCACCTAACATGCAACGTATCAAGTTATTCGCTGCGGTAGCGGTGGCCGGAGACTTGAGATTCAAATCAACAATCAACACGTTCATGCCGGAATAAGCAGCTGTACCGAGCCATCCAAAGAGAAACAGCAACACAAGAGGAACAGCAGGTGTAAGCACAAGATACACGGACCAGCCGTAAGCAACCATGGCCAGCATGGCAAGCACGACAGCCGGTATGACGATCTGTAAGCGGGTCCGCTCGATGTGGAAGCCGAGAGCGACACCTGTATCATGATCGAAATGCTCGCCGCGAGCAAGAGGCCGACCGAGAACTTTCTTGACCGCACGTCGATAGTTCCAGTCGAGAAGGAATCCGTTGGTGAAAGCTGCAATCATGCTACCAACGCCGATGGGTATGTAGGAAAGTCCGATTTCGACCTCGTTGAAGTGGTAGGTACTAGAAAAGCACCAGGTGAGACTGGTCGTAACGGCGTAGTATGTAGCAAATGTGAATCCATTGAAAAGAATGACGCATCCAGTTGGGTATGTGAAGAGTAGAGTTAGTGATTTCCATGGCTTTGGCTTACCACCCTTTTTACGGGCGGCTTCGATAGCCTGTTGTGCCTCGAGAGTTTCATCAAGGTCCTCATTTTCTTTCTTCTTACAAAGAAAGGAACTCAGAGGCTTATTCCATACAGAAAGTGGTTCGAGAGATCCATTTCCGACAATATTTCGACATGTTTCAGGTAAGAAGACAATAATAAAAATGAGCATGATAAGTGCCATTCCCGTCAAAACAACGAAGATGAATCGCCATCCGTAGTACTGGCTAATGATACCTCCGAGTACTGGGCCCAAAGTAGGTCCAATGATTGGGCCAACAGATGCCAGTCCTACATATCGGCCTCGCTCAGCGGACGTCACGACATCCGCAGTTACACCATAGGCGAGGTTTACTGTCGAGCTACTACCAGAACTTTGGAGGCATCGAAGTAGGAGGAGTCCAATAAACGTGGTTTGAAATGTTAATCCGACATTGGCGGCAATATATATAAGGAAGCAAATGATGTAGACTGGGCGTCTTCCGATTGTGTCTGATAGAGATCCGATAAAGGTTGGTGAAAGACCCTGGAATATCTGGACTAATTGTTACGTCCAATTCTTCTTATGCTCCATTTTGCATTCGTGAGGTGAAACCTACCATATAAGAGGTAATTGTCATATTAAGTATCTCCTCGCTCACATTCAGCTCCTTTTGAATACTTTTCAACGCCGGATAGTAGATATTTGCGGAAAGAGGAGAAAAAACAGATGCTAAAGTCGCAGTAAGAATAATAAGGAGCTTCTGACTATTGGAAAAGATTGTGTAGGCGGGCTTCCTAGGCGAACCCAGCAATGCTGTCTGCTCTGAAGCTGTCATTTTGCTGAAACTGATATGAGCCAGGTCGCGTGATAATTCTTTCGGAAAACTACATGAAAATAGACGTAAAAGAGGTAAAATGGAGAGAGAGAAAAATCGTGCATCAGTAACGAATGATGATACCTTACTACTTATCTGGCTTTAGGGCTAGAGATCGGTAGTAACTTTGGTTGGGCTCGGTTCTTTATTAATAGATATTAATCAGTAATGCCCCGATGCCCACTCATGACTACCAGATGCATGAAGATAGACGTAACATGCTAATTTCGCTATTTTAATTTATACCCTTTTGATCGATGTCCAGAGCTCACCCCAAGCAGCCCGTCACTGGAAGAAATATTCCCATATTGGCTATCACGATGCCCGCACTCAAGTTGCTTTGCTTACATGGCGCTGGCATGAATTCTGAGGTATTGATAAAACTAAGTGACTTAGTCTTATCCAAATTCTAATACGGAACTATAGATTATGAAATCTCATCTGTCATCCTTGGCCAAAACCCTGGAATACCGCAACATCGCCCAATTCGCATACGCAGAGGGATCCGTCGAGACAGAGCCCGGCCCTGGAATTACCCCAGGCTTATACGAGGGCCCATATTACTCCTTTCACATCTGGCCTCCAAAAGCGGGAAACCTACAAGACGAAGAATCCATCCAAAATGCATATGAAGAGCTCCTCGAGATAATCGACGACGAGGGTCCATTTGACGGACTATTGGGTTTTTCTCACGGCGGTTCATTCCTTGCTGAATTATTAGCCAGATACGCTCGTGATAATCCTGCAACAGATGTTGAACGGCTAGCTCGCTGTGCGGTCTTTATTAATTCGTTCCCACCTTTTCGTAACGATCCGGACCAGAACCCGATTATTGATTATGAGCTGTTGAAGCACTTCCCAAAAATCCCGACTTTGCATGTCGTCGGTACGTCGGATTTTGTGCATGAGTATTCGACTATCTTGTATGAAAAGTTGCACCAAAAGGCGCCAACATCGACGGGATTGGTCACTCATTCTAAAGGTCATGAGATTCCGAGAGATCCAAAGGTTCTGGATAAGGTTGTCGCTGGCTTTGAGAAGTTGAATTTTGCTGTTTCTTTCAGCCATTGATCGTAGAAAACGTCGCATTTATAAATCAGGCGGTAATAAATTCGTTTTGATAATCTATCAATGGCGTGGATATCTGTTAAAGTTTGTATTGTATTTGAGTCTATATCTAGTGTATGCCAGCACATTACCATTAATACAGGATGCGTTCTTTTCAGCTCGTTGCTGTCAAAAACCAGTTCCCAGCAACTGGTTCACTCAGCCCGGCTTCTTTCACAAATTGCTCGATATCAAACCCCAACCTCGCCGCAATCGTGTTCTCTAAAAACTTCTCGAAATCTGCTGGCAGCTCATATCTTTCTGGTTGTTTGAATATCACTTCAACATAACGATGAGCGGGTCCCGGTGGAGGCGCTGGACCAGCATACATTGCCTTTGGCATGTTGCTATCACTTTCAATCGATAGTCTGCCGGTTCGACCGCTGAGGATGAGGTCCGGTTGGTACCAATGTAGAAGAGGATACTTGGTGCCGTTACGTTCAACGTCTATGTCGATCATGAAAACCATGAATTTCCAAGTCGAATGGTAGAAGGGTGTTTGGGTATGGTGAATAGCTAGGAGCGAGTGCAAATCGAGTTGAGGAGCGGATTTGGCTTCTTGTGAATTTTGTTAGAATCGCTTAGAGTGAAAGCGCTGGACTGAGTAGATTTACCATTTGCCAATAATTCATGGCCAGCTTGGACTGAAACTCCATCTTGAAATGTCACGCCGAGGTGTAGCTCAGTAGAGGGCTTAAACCCAGGAGGTGTCTGAGATTGCGCTCTAGTAGCGGCAAGAAGAGCTACAAAAATAGAAAATAGAATCATTGTAATAAGGGAAATTGCTTCTCAGAACGTCGATAATGCTCAACAGCGAAAATAAAGAAATAAGATGAGAAGAACGTGTATAAAAGTTGGAACGAATACAACTGACTCTAAGATACACTAATTATACCCCGAAAAGACCCGATTCCATGTTGGGACTACTTTCATCTAAGCATAGATTTACATTTTTTAGAATACTGTTCAAGTAGATATAGTGCTTTTATACATTCATTGTTCATGGAGGTTAGGTAGGTACCTATGAGGATAAACCCTAATCTGACATGTATCAATATCATAGTTTTGCCATTCCCTTTGAATCCCTCGTAAACAAATCCACAAATGACGAAATAGGCATCTCATCATCCTCAATACACTTCACAATATTTGCAATTTCGGCATCGGTAAATGCCAACCTCATGTTTTTCTCGAATTTCCTCTGGTGTAGTTCCTTCGTCCTCGGATTCTTCAAATGTCCAGCCGGATATTCAACCAGAACCTCGTCTAGTACAGTTCCATTGTTCAAATAAACCGTCATTCCAGTTCCGCAACTTTTCCTCTCCGGATCAAGATATCCCTGTGTTAGGTCTTGATCCACCTTCATCATAATTTTTTCCCGTAAGTCATCCATCTCCTTGCTATTTGCATACGGGCTGTCATCCATATAATCTTCTGCATCTGGAAAGCGGCCTTTCAAGAATGCCAGCGCAATCACATATTGAATGCAATGGTCCCGATCAGCTGCGTTGTATAATCGACCTATTTTGCTAATTATTAGGTTCGCGGCAGCCGTGACACGTAGATCAATGTGCTTTATATCGCTCACTGTATGACCGCAAGATTTGAGTTTCCGGCCTTGTACTAGTGCCGCTTCGACAGCCGATATCCCGTGTCCTTCGCAAGGCATTAGCTTGGTAAAGATATTCTGAATTGCCCAGTCACCAAAAGCCCTGGGTAACGCGAATCCAGCCTCGAGACCAAATGTATGCACCAAGAACCCGTAACGCTTATCATTCAATGGCTGTTTAGATCCCAATTGACCAGCATGCGTAAGCAAGCAGAGATGAACAGCTCTCATCGCGGCATCAGCAGCTGCCCAGCCCTTGCGCGAAGTAGTGTTGGCTCCCGATCTGTAGACGCGAGACGGGTGACCATCCATCCACACGTGAGAAATGACTGACATCGTTTGTGTTTCAGTCATGCCCATCAGCCATGAACATACAGACGCAGCTGCAAGTTTGACCAGGATCACGTGGTCAATACCATATGCATTGAAGGCATTCTGGAGTTGATAACATCCTTGGATTTCGTAGGCTTTTATCGCTGCTTCTAGTAATGTTTTGATTGTCAACGGCGGGTATCTTATGGAAGTGGTTGAGCTTCTCTGCTCAGCTCGACATAACCAATCCATTACCGCAATAATGGCAGACAGTGTATCTGATGGATGGCCCCATTCCGCTCCGCCAAAAGCGTCATTATGATCCAGGTATCTAATCAAAACTCCAAGATCAAATGTTCCCTTCACTGGATCCAGAACGTATGATGTTCCTGGAAGATGAAAGCCATACGGAAAAGTTGTTCCGGGAATGACGGGACCAAGTAATGTACATGCTTCTGAAGATCTATGCAATGTTTCTATTGCGCAACCAAGTGAATCGAGAATCACGCCACGCGCGTGCTTAAAGGATGTTGGAGATGAAGGAATTGTGTAATTGTGTACATAAGATGCGATATCGCGGATCGGTTTATCAAAGGGTATCTCGTCAGTCATTGTGTATATATTTTCCAAATTAGGAAGTTTAGGAAGTATACTATTCATATGCTGATTTCGAACCTCTAAGCAATATACAGATTATCTATTAGGTAGGGTAAATCACTTCTTACAATACCTTGCGGTGTCCTAACTACATGGGGGCGAATCCTTCTGCCTCGTCTTACACCTAACCGCCATGCTATTGTATTATCTTCCTGGGCCAGTGGAGGAGCTAGGGTTACGCTACTGCGTTTCGGGTGTTTATTTAGTTGGTTCTCGCGACTTAATCTCCCGGCACATTATTTATATTAATGCATTAATTCTCGACCTTGTCCAATACGTTCTTGTAATGCATGGGACCGAATCCAAAGTGACGCACCCTGGCATTTTTTTCATTCGCGATCGGGTCATATCCATAGTAGTTTCGAGTACGTATGTTATGCCTATGGATATTGCAATGGTAAATTCCATCTTTCAAGCTGCACGTGAGATTGAAAAAATTTCGATCCATTCCTGGAAAATTTTCAACATTCAATCCCATCACGTGGGCATGACATGTTGAGGTGCTTTCAAAACAGTAGATAGTAATAAGGCACCAATCCTCAAGATCTACCCTTAAAAGAATGGAGAAAACGTAATGAAGCTCAAGCGAAAATGAATGATCAAGCTTAGTATTTCAGGTAAATATACAGCACCTCAAAGGAATAGATCTCATACTCCCAATCTAAGGATATTCACAATCTGGATTGAATTTTCGGCTCTTCGAGAACTGTACGATTGTCTTCTTGAATCACCACTGGTCCAACATAGAGATCCGTAGCCCTGAAAATTTTGATCGGTTGATCTGTAGGAAGTCAGTTTCTATCTCAAAAGAGGACTATGGGAGGACAACACTTACCCATAGCTTCGCGCCAGTGAGCCATTAAACCAATGATTCTGTGGAACATGTTTGCAGCACACAGCATATCCCAATCGAAACCCCTGCATTCCATATTAAACCCTTGAATAAAAGATGGAAAGAACATCAAATACGAACCATGCTTTAAACAAGAAATGGGTGTAGAAATCTGCATTCGCCCTCAAATTCCTCTTGATAAAATACTCATCCGACGACGCAAGCCTGTCGATCTCTTGCGCCAATTCCAACAACGGTTCCTGATCCGGCGTGTAATCCATCATCTTTAACCATCTCTTCACCGATGCTAATCGCGGATCCTCACGCTTGTGTAGTCGGTGTCCAAACCCGAACAATCTTCTCTCACGTCGTTTGACCTGTTCCAAGAATTCTGGCACCTTATCCAACGATCCTATTGATTTCAGTGTTGTGGAACCGGCTTCTTGCGCACCGTAGTGTAAAGGTCCATACGCGGCAGTAATTGCACTTATGAGGCATGAGATTGGGTCTGGAAGTGAAGATGCCGTTGAAAGTAAGACGACGCTCGACTGAGTCATCCCATTGTCACTATTCAATACCATGCCTTCACGGAACGTAACCAAATAGTTGTGGTGAACGGGACAGCGCATCATGGCGAAGACGTTTTCGTAGAATGACTTTTGGGGGTCCGCTGGGACGTAAGGGAGTTGCTTCCTGTGAGAATTGATCAGGCCCATGACAACTGCGTAAGCGGCTGTTGCTCGAATGACGCCCTCATCGCAGAGAGCGCGGTTGCCGTGATAGATATTGCCACCACGGATTGCCGGTAGAGAGGACGGATCTGCGGAAATGAATGCGGCCAGACCGGCGATGATCATGGGAAGGGGATGTGATGTACGTCTTCGAGCCGGGTATATCAGCTTTGATGCCAGATATTTGCAGGAAGGGAAGTACCTACGGAAAAGCCTGCACCGCCTTGATAACGGTCTCAGGAACAACTGTCATTTGCACAGCAAGGCGCCGGCGAAGCGCCTCGCTCTCTTCTGGTGAGGGATACTTCCCAAAAACTAGAAGATGGAAATGATCTTCAAAATCAGCATGGCGGTTCCAGATCTCTTTTGCTGAAAGGCCCCTGAAAAGTGTTATTCCAGTTACAGGGTCACTAGAAAAATGGCGTTTAGTATTATTCAAAATGCGTGCAGTAGAGCCAGCTACATACCGCCCGGTAATTTGAGTCTTCTTAATAATTGTATTCTGCAGGCCTGGGTCATATAAGGCAAGCTTTCCCGTCGGCGAGGTGATCTTCTGGAAGTCCACAGCAGTTATTGTATCAGATGTCACGGAGATGGTATACTGTTTGGATGTACGAGAGTCTTGGATGAAAAGGGTGCCGTCTGACATCTTGAGATACTTTTGTCTTTGTGTTCATAATGTTGTTCGTATCATCTTGATCAATGTGGTGTTCCAGACGACCTCCGTGTATATAAGAGCAGCTGGGGATAAGTCCCCGAACCGAGGTTACACTTGCAACTTGGAACTGATAGATAATATCATACGTACTTAAAATATTCCAATGAGATCATATATGGGAATTCTATCTGCCCTATGTATTATCTAGAACAGACAAAGGACAATGACTAGTCTCGACTGAAAGAGCATCTACAATCTCCTCACGCAAAACTGCAACCTCCTTGTAGTCTCCGAATCCCAGTCCCCATACTGCTTCCCATCCTTAAAATACTCATCATCAGCCAACTCATTTACTTTAACCTCCCACTTAGTGTCCGTTTCCTCTCCAATCTGCTCCCACATCTTCTTCCACGTCTCTCCATTATGCCTGTATCTGCTTCCAAGACGTCCTGGTCTACTCTTGTGACCCGGGTTGGTGTCTCCAGCATGTTTACCAACTAGCATACTGCCTGATTGTGGTTTGAGAAAGTTAATGATTTGCTTAGCAACCTTGACTTGATCGTCCCAGCTGAAGAGGTGGAAGAAAGATCCCGCATGGATGATATCTATCGTACCCGCAATTTTCGCAAAAGCCGGATTAGAAGAGTCAAAAATGTCGGCTGCGATAAAGGTCGACTTAAGTTTTTGCTTGTCGCAGAATAGGTCGTAGCCAATATCCATGAAGCCTTGGTGTAGGTCCATGCCGTACAGATTCTGGGATGGAACGCCATCAAAAACCTGTTATTTGTTCGTCAAAATTGCCATTCCTCATATTCCATATTAAAAAAAAAAAAAAAATCTCTTGGAAATGTGATATGTCTTACCAATTTACGAATCTCCTGTCCAAAACAACATCCAACGTCGATAAATTTCTGATCCCCAGTTCGCAGGCGATCAAGGATTTCCACATATTCCGGCATATACGGCATATTGAGGGTCAAAAACCCAAACATACCAACGCTTCCATAAGGGTACTTCATATCAACTATTCGTCAGCTATTGTGCGTAATCTCTTCGTCTGGCTTTTGATTACATACCACCTCCCAAGCCTTATCCCTCACTTTTTTGATATGGTCAATTACTCTCTCGGGTGGGATCTTGCTGTACTGCTGGAGAATAGCACGGGTTTCCCCAATGGTATCTTCACTGAGATCTTTGCGATACCAGGCGACGTCTTTTTTGTACGCCCAGGCATTTTCGCCTTTATCGCGGGACTGAGATGCTGTTTCCGTGGTGGTTACTGCTGCCATTTTTCTTCCTTTGGGTACTTCAGTTCAGGAACAGTAAGGATTTCAGAATGAACAGGATTTAGTTGCATAGATAATACTTATTCATGGTGAAGCTGGGTAGAAGTACTTGTATATCGTAAGTTGTAATTAGTACTGATAATTACTGTATCGGGTGTTTTTTTTTTTTTTTGAGAACTAAATGAGCCGTATTTATGGCCGTATCCAGATACGCTATAGTTGAGTACCTACCTGTATCAACAAAACACGAGTTGTCTGAAACAATGAAGTAACGCTAAGATCAACATCAGTATTGTCCTTGAATGTGATGGATGCATTTAGCATAATGATCAGTGAGCCGGCTATGTTGAGGTCGCTTCCAATTTTATATTGTTAACAATAGTAAGAAGATACCTATGTAGGTAGTTTAATTTGTTGAACTAGATGGATCACTTGGTACCTAGCTAGTAGCTACCTAAGCATGCCATAGATAGTCTTCCTTTTACCCTCGAATACTTGGCTGGGTATACTTTAGAATCAGAATTCGGATCTTAATAGGCTTCCTCTCGTTATCCTCGGGGGAGAAACTAAGCATCATATTGAAGTTGTAGAATGCACTGTAAGAATAGATGAATGTGAAAATCGCATGTACTCACAATCATGAAACTAACGTTGAAATATAAAAGCGCTTTACTGAACAGATGAAAGAATGAACGCATTTGTATTCTTCCAAGGATGAGCACCCTCTAAACCTCCTGTCTTTGCTGCGCCTCCTGCATTCTACTCTTCTTCTCTTCTGCTTTTGCTGCACTCTCTTGTCTCCATTTCATCCCATACTTCATCGTTAGCAGCAACGGACTAGTGGCAGCAACCCCAATCAAGGCAATAATCGTATACGACCACCCAGAACCAGTAGCGCTGGTCAACGGACTGATCATTGCCGCCATACCAGCACCAATCTCACATCTAAGCAGGTTTACGACTGCAGTCACCATCGCTCCTCGGCCGGGATAGGTGTCGACTAATAAGACGTTGAGAACTTGGTAAAATGCGGCAAAGGACCAACTCATAACGAAGAGTAGAATGATTGGGCCAGATACGTTCACATCTTGAGTCATCAACCAGCCATAGAGCACAGTGCAGACGCACCCAAGACAAAACACTGGAAGGGCAATCTCTAGCCTGGCTCGCTCGATGGGGAAATTGAGTAGTTCCTGTCTCCGGTTTCGAGCAACCATGATACCACGTTTGCGCGCGTGACGGTGGAAATTCCAATTCACCAGTTTACCTGTAGATAAAGCTGAAATCAATCCGCCGACACCCATGGGTAGAAATATGAGAGCTACTTTGATCTCGCTGAAGTGGTAAACCCTTGTGAATTCACCCGAGGCGCCTGTCAAAACAGCATAGTAGCTTCCGAATGCCACACCGGCAGGGCAGAGCGTCATGACGGTTTGAAGGTTGGTGAAAACGACGAAGACTTTCAAGGGGTTTGGAATGGATAGACGGGAACGTTGCCGATTAGCATTTTCTTCTTCATTCTCGGCGCGTTGTTGCCTTTGCTTCTCCTTTCGTGCGCGCAATATATCTGGTAGATTGCGATTCCAGAATGGCGGTACCCCTTTCCCATTACCCACAATCTTACGACAAGTTTCCGGGAAGAAGAGAAAGAAGGGAACACAGAATGCACCGCTAAAGATCAACAGGAACCAGAAAATCCAATGCCAATCCGTATACTCGGCAAACAGACCTCCAATGATGGGTGATAGGGAAGGTCCCAGGATGGATCCAACGGAGGCAAACGCAATATAACTACCACGTTCTTGCGGTGTGATAATGTCACTGACGACACCGTTCGCGATGGCTATGGCTCCGCTACTCCCAGCTGATTGTAGTGCTCGTAATACCATTAATGCGGCATAGCTATTTTGCAACGCGAGGCCCAGATTCGCAGCGAGGTAGACTATAAAACATATTGCGTAACCAGGCCGACGTCCAGCACTGTCGCTGAAACTGGCAGTTACCATCGGTGCTAAGCCTTGTAGAATCTGTATCAGGTCAGGAAATTGAATGGGCTGGGACACTTTCCGAGCAACGAACATACCAAATACGTGGTGACTGTCAAATTGACCTGTGTACTGGATACATTCAAGGCCTTCTCAATCGCCGGCAATGCAGGATAGTATATACTGGCCGACAAAGGCGAGAAAAACCCAGCAAGTGACGCAGCTAAGACCATTAGTTTTTTGGCGCTGGAGCTATGAACAGAGTACGGCTCATTGTTTTCTGACTCGGTTGGACGCAAATTCTGCTGCGATTGCCGGTTTTCATTTTCAGGATGTTTCTTCTCTGAGGACGCTGACATTTCCGGTGGTTGGTTGGAGTCTTGAAGCCCAACCTTTTCATCTTTGGGTTGTGCGTTAGGAGGAGAAGGGAGAGGCATGGTGGAGTTGAACGGTTCCGGCATTGTTGCTTGCCATCGAGAGAGAGGTTGAGGGGAGATTCGGGTGGACTTTATATAACTAGTGGATAACTTATGCATTAAACTTGGAAGATTATAGCTTATGCATGTGCCCAACCTTTACGCTATGCCAGAAACGAACAGAGAATAGTTGAACTAAATAAAGAGGTTATTGGCCTGCGCCGCAGGATGCAGATGGAGCTCCTGGAACTACTATGAGAGTAAACCCGATAGAAAATTAATTGCTCTTCCGCACTACAAATTCGTTGCATTTCTGGACAATTCTATTTACCAAAAAATTCCAAAGATATTGACGTCGAGTGATACACTCCCAGACTGTGAACAAAACACCAATGACTTTGATATCAACCACCATGTTTGGATTATAGTTCACCCCCTAATTCAGTTTTATTAGCAATAGGCGGAAGGCCACCAGGACCGGGAATGAAATCGTAGTGATGGACGCGGTCGCTCGAGTTGAACCAAATTTCATTATCCCAGAGAGTACGCATGATTTGGCCAGCATCGACCCAGGTGCGGACTTCTCTAATGAGTCCATCCTCGTCCCAGCGGGAGACCCAGAGACTCGTCAATTCCCATGGTTGTCCTGTCCTTGTCAGCATTGCTCTTCCAATAAAAGTGAAAGATGGTTTCCTCACCTTTGTTGGTAGTCGCATTGAAGTAGAATTCTTGCACGCTCCACGCCTGATCACATCCACCGTGAATAGCCCAAAGTTTTGCATCGACCTTGGCATCCTTCAAGCAATTATTCAACCGCCAAAGCGAGTTGACAAATGCCATCTTAGGATTGTGGTAGTATCCAGCAAACGGATGATGGCCCATGATTCTAACATGCAAGTCAGGATGAGCGTATTTGAAGACAGCTTCCATATCCTCGCTGACGCTGTTGAAGGCATTGTAGATCCATGGCTGCGAGACGTATTTGCAGTTTGTCTCGGGATTCTCGAATTCGAAGTGGGAAGGGAAGTCGGGATCGTCGAGGAAGTAGGATGTCGATTTGATGGGCTCTTGGTTATCGACGGTAGGTGGGACTCGTGCAAAGACAATACTGCTGCTTCCTAGAAGGAGAGAGGAGAGAGTTGATAGACGCATTGTGATGGTTTCAATGGACACACACGGCACAACGTACAGGGGAGAAAAATGGATATCATCGAACCTTTGATTAATGTTTCTTGCATCCCTTTTTCTTTTCCCAATTCTAGTCTTTTCTTACTGCATTTGCTAGCACAATCCATCAGAGCTGCAGCTTCTCATTAAATGCCCGAGCTAGTTTCCCGAATAGGAAATAGTGCGGAAAGAAGCACTCAAGTCGCAAGAAATGCCCGACGGGATAGTTGCTTCCGAGGCTAAGGACAACACCAACAACAACTTGGGTATTGAAGATGGCCCCCTTGATTTCCTGCTACGCTTATTCCTCACACAATTTTCTATCTGTCTATCTGTCTGTGTGGGAAACAGTACATTCATTCCTCGGACCCAAATTCCCTGCCGCTAGTGAATCATCGATAATGTGGTTCATCCTGCGCTGCCTCGAGTGGACACTTGCTAAACTCCTCTACCGTCGACGAGGCTACGACCACGACCTCTTCTACAAAGGTCTCGCATTCGGGAAATATCCCAACCCAACGTTCACTGTCACATCGCCGGACTGCGGACCAACCGGTGCGAAGCTCGGCGTTGAGTACTCCCAATGGGGATCAGGAAAAGTGCCACAATTGACATGGCCAGTGAGTGGTATAGAAGTCAAGGAATACCTTATCATTAGTGAAGATCCTGATGCACCCCTGGGTCATTCAAATGTCCATGGTATTTACTGTTTCGTCCCCGGAAACAAAACTGGCTTTGGTCCCGACGACCTCGAGCTTCTGGGAGAGGATAAAAATGGTTTGAAGCAGATTAGCAGTGGATATCTTGTTGGAAAGAACAGGCGCAATACTGTGTATATTGCACCAAGGCCACCGCTGGGTCATGGGCCGCATCGATACTTTTTTGAGATTGTCGCCCTTAGCCAGCCATTGGATCCTGAGAAGTTGAGCCCCGTGCCTACTAAGCAGGAGTTGTCAGATATGATCATTGGGAAAGTATGTGGATGGGGACTATGGACGGCGACCTTTGAGCAAAAGTGGTCGATGTAATCAGTTATACTTCTGGTTTTAGGCGTTGATACAATCAATACTCTCTTTGTTTTGTGGATTAGAAGTAAACAAAGATCTCTGGTTGTGATATCCTTCTAATCTGCATTTTTAGGGGTAATAATGTCTTTCGAATTCTATTATCAATCGTTGCTGTACTGCCGTAGGGCGCAAAATGACTGAAGCCAACCGGGATGCATGTAAGACGTCTACCCCGACTTTACGTATATGAAGGTAATAAAAAACGAGAGCGCTACTCCTCCTCAAAGACTAACTGACTACAAGAATCAGTCCCCAAAATATCAACAAGACAAACACCAAAAATTGAAGCATTTTGCCGTCCTGTGAGCAATTCTCATGATAAGCACTTAAACAGCAGTCTCACTTCATACGTGTTTACCATTTGCAGAGATAAAATCAAACTCCCTTCATTGAAATTGAAGAAGCTCAACGCTAATAGTAGACAGAAAAATCTGGACAATACAATGTGTCATCTATTGCATCAGAATGATCGTCATGCATTGCCGACATGCTTGACTCTGCAAATCGCCACCATCGCACATGTATGGATACAAGGTTGCTCTCCTCGAAGCCGACGACTCTTTTGGAACGCAGTGAACTCCACTAGAAGAATTCCCTGCTATGCTCGCCCATCGATCGCCCTTCTGGGAATCGTAAAGGTGTACTATAAATATTGTGAGAACAGTGTTCTTTCAGGAGTGATGAGCAACTATGAATCAGTCGAAGGGTGTTTCGAAACACCGATGATGAATGGAGGATATGAAATTAAAAATTCGGGGTGAGATTGGTATCAAGTTCCTCTTTTCTTTGGGCGTGGTGCTAAGATGGGTTGGTTTGGATGTAGGAGATGTGGGAACATGATGATGCATGCTGGATTTTAGAGTCATGAGATAACGCACAAATATACCCCGAGATCACTGATCTAACGTCTTAACTATAGCTTGTACGTGTCGATAAATTTCACCGAGCATCAGTGTGCCCACTTTAAAAGCTGGTCGATGGCGATAGCGATTCATCGTTTCATGTAGTTGATGTATCGTAGCTGCAATATCGCGCAGTCTAGCAGTGAGCAGATGCTTCAAGAATTCTTGCTTTTCTGGACCGGAAATTTCGTAGTCTCCTAGCCAGAGGGAACAAATGTCGACGGTTTTTCCTGGTCTGTTAGCTGTAGAAATGCTACTGGTAGTGGTGGTAGTAGAAGTATTATTATTGTCGAAGATTGATGGTGGTGGTGAAGCCAACTCCATGCCGGCTGGACCTGAAGGAATCCACGATGACGAGGATAAAGATGAGGATAATGAAGAGGAAGTCGTGTTGGACGTGGTGGTCGCTGTTGAATATCCGAGCAGTTGATGTTGATGTAGGATTTCCTCTAACAGTTCAACAACAGCTTCCAGCACCAATCCCGAGAGTATAAGTATACGCGGCCGAAATGTCTGCGAACACAAATCGCAATGGAGGATTGCAACTGTCTGGGCTCTGGTTTCTTTCTCTAGTTTAATTATCAAGTCGAGACTGATTGCTGATCGATCAGCGATATGTCGGTCGAGCTCGGCCAATATCTGCAGCATGGAGTCACAGCAGGTACATTCCGTTCGTCGACGGGATAATGACAGCACTCCTCCCCCGCCCCCTCGGAACCTCCTAGAAAAGCCGGTAGTGCTACTGCCCGTTAGACCAACAGACGAGGCGGAAGAAGAGGTAGTAGTAGTATTAGGAGTTCTTGAACCAAGGGTAGATAAGGATCGATGATGATTGAAGCTCTTATCGCGAGAGCTTGTTCTACTATCAATTGAGTGAGGGTTCGGAGAGATCTTCTGTGAGCCGCGAGTATGAGTGAAATCCATTCCATCTTTACTCAATGATGACGTCGGTATATCACCTGGATGGGCGCCGGCACTACTGGGTTCAAGAGATAATGATTCCGAAGATGAGTGTTGGTCAAACGGGAATCCTAGATCCCATTCTGTTGCTGCACTCGGGTCTGCTATCAAACTGTGGGGGTCGTTATGATGCTGATGCTGATTCTGATAGCCTTCTTGTCCATCCTCTTCTTCTGGTGGCGGTAGAGGATGGTGATCAGTCACTGTGGATGGCCCCGACAAGCTACCCAGTAGCCTGACAGACATGAACATATCCATATCTATGTCCATGTCTGCACTTGTCAATGTTATCGGATCATTTTCCGTGTTCACGTGATTGCTTCTGCCAAACGTAGACGACGGACAATTCTCATCGCTATCATCTAGCAAGATATCTGGAATTCTTGGTCCAGCGCTCGGTAATGGAGGGATACCGGGCCAGTCATTGTTCATGTTCATGTTCATGCCATGATCGTTATTAACACGTGAGATAGACCTGAATCTCGTGGGAGACCCATATTCCGAGTCTCCATTTACACTGCCGGCAATTATCATGGCGTCATCACGTAGATCATTCATGTTCACCGTAGTAGTGGTCATCGTCGTCGTTGACGATGCACTGCCGGACTTCCGTGGCCGTCCCAATGGTCGAGCATGGCTGTATACGCAAGTCTTTCCCTGATTCTGGCATCGTCGACAAGTGGGTTTCTCTCGACCACATCGAACTTTGGCACTTTGACAAGCATCACATGCCGAGCGGACTTTCTGCTGGACTTTATTGTTGCCGTTATTGTTGATGGTGCTTTGGTTGTCCATGTCGATTATGCATTGATAACAGCACCGTAAGTAGTTTGCGGCGAAAGGTAATTAGTTGTGGCCAGGAGGTAACTATCCTGTATTATCCATTCCAATTGACCATATAGATATCCGCATCTCCTGTCGATCTCAATTGACTGAGGTTTCTCTCGCTGAAGAAATCATTCAAAATGGGACGGGAAGCTACGAGTACCCATTTTAATTGAGCTTACAGACACAAAAACAAGATAATCCCTGTCCGCCAACATTAAACTACTGCGCCTAGCTCGATCCTTATTGACGAGTCAAGGAAACTTGGATTTGGCCCCCCGTCGTACACTAAAGACCACAACTGGAGAGATGCTTAGGGCCAATTGACTAGTGTATGGACCATGAACTAGAAGCAACCCAATCAATGTCTTCCCACGTGTACAGCGAGTCGGAACGATAAGGACGACTAATCAGCGGCCCCAGCATTCTACTAATATAGGGGACCGAGCTGGCGTAATCTATTCGCCAGAGAATGCAAGCAAACCCGGCTCAATATAGTTAACTTTGAAAGATAATGATAATTGGCTCTCCTTGCTCATTTCCACCAATCAAATGTCTTTTACTTAAAGATTAGGTGCGGAAACTTCCTCGATATTTACGCCTTTGGTTTTGGTTGCGAAGGATACGAGCATCTGAGATCTCCTGTAGGTCTTCGGTCAGCCAGATTCCACGGCCAAGGCTGTCATTCTATGAACGTTTTAAGAAAATGAAGTGATAAGCATTATGATGTCTAATGGGCCAGTTTTTATAGTTAAGCCAATATTTATAAGCTTTCTTTTATACCGCACCAAAAGCGGGCGATGATCCTGACCCAGCTTGACCTTAATCCAGTTGAATACTACTAAACATTAAAGTACAGATCTCTATACAGTACCTACTACTTTAAGTTCGAATTGATATGTGCGTACTGTACTAGCTAGCCAGGCCTCAGATCGTTTGTTTAGGATCAGAGCTAGGATCCGAATCCTTTCGCATATCGTATGTTACCGGTAGTAGATTTCCGTGGGTACCAGTATGATAAGCAGAGAAAAGGCTGGTTTTACCAAGGATTCGCGACAATTCTTACATGAAATCCTAATATAGTTGTAAGCTACATTAACATTGATCTCGTAATAATAGGATACCTGATACAATACAAGGTTGAATAGGGATTAACAGACATTCGACACTATATACACAGGATGGAGATGGTGGAGACCGCTTCAGGCTAAGTAACATCCTTGATTAAATCATTTCTAGCTCTGAGCCATGGCCTCTTGTTGTTTGTAGCTTGTAAGAACTGAAATCAAGTGGAGTTATGCTTAAATGTGCCGATTGAACGACGGATCAGCTTCGGGTCATTGTTCTACGTAGTCACATAGGTGTTGTACAAAACTTGAATGGGAAGCTGAGACAAAAGACACCGATTACTTGTTCGGTCCCGTCTTCACCCCGTCTACTTGTATAGAATCCTGCAGGAAGAAGGAAAAAGTACCCGCGTTGGAAGGACCTAGATGGTTGATTGAAGAAATGGTGGAGCTGATCGACTAACTTTATGATCAGAGATAGTTAGTCAGTTGCGAAGTAGGAAATCCGTATAAAAAGAAGGTTTCGCCCCCATATTCCAGCTCCTTGGCAGATGGATTTCATAGAGAGTTATCCGGGAAGTTCAGCATTCCCCGACAAGACTGGATTGCAACGTTTATGGTTAGAGGTTGGTGGTGACTTTGCAGAATGACCCGTCGGATGAACGGGAAAAGTAATTTGTGACCAATGCTACTGACTCGAAATACTCGTGTTCGGACGCATGCAATCATGAAGCACCGTACGAAAGGAATAGTACCAGGCTATACAATGACCAAATCTAGACAGGGAATCATAACGGTACTCAGTAACCAGTCAACAATTACTGGTTGCTTTGGCTTATGTCTGGGGTTTAGACTTGTTCTACTACCTATATATGAAGCTAGAACTGTGTGTGAATTATGTTCTTTCTCATTTGTAGAAAACATTTGTTGCCGGATTCCACATTTGAAGTCCTCGACATCATCTTACATTTACTAACTAACCTTCATCTCAAAGTGCCGTAATATGGAGATACACTCTTTCTACATCATGACCCACATACGTAACAAGGAAATACTAGAAGATTCTCTTATTGTAGCTTTCAAAAGGATAGATTCATCACGTTACATCCGACGAAACCCTGATAATCACCTCAAGCTCTAAAGCTTCGACTGCCTGATCCCACTTCCAACACCGAAAATTTGATCCAGATCAGCCGCAATTGATGCCTCCTCGTACGCACCGTATGATGTGGGGGCTGAAGTAAAACTACTAGCAGTAGAAGAAGTAGTAGTGGCACGATCATAGACGTTTTTGAGACGAAGATCCGAAGCTTCTAGAGCCTGTGTTGGAGTGATGACACAAGGACTTGACCGGATGCTTCTTCTTTCACGGGAAAAAAGGACTGGTCCCGGTCTGGAAGATACTTGGCGGCATAGGTTCAATGCTTGAGATATAGTCTCGAATTTGGAGTGCCGGACGTCCCAGACTATGTTGAGACCCGAGAGAATTTGTTTGGCGTTGAGTTCTGATGTGATTAACTGGGGCGGAGTAAGAACGTTCTTTGCCTGCTCTTCAAAAGTAGGGTTTACTGTAGTAACAGTGGACGACAGTTGGAGATCAGCAGTACAGTTTCGCACGTGGCAGACATGTGCAACTTGCAACTCGAAGGTAGAACAGAAACCTTGCAAAATGCATACGCAGACTGCGGGTTATCCAAACAGTCAGTCAATAAGTTGGTTCTTTGCATTGCAGATGGGCTTTGTCTTATTCCAAGGTTGAAACACATACATTTGGACAGCCTCTGAATACTATCAAGCCATTTCTGAATTGATTCACTTGAGCATTCCTCTCTAGAGTCCCCCTTGCCTGATGTGTTCGATAATGCGGCCAGTCCCTCTAATACAATTTTTTCCTGATGAGAACTCTGTAAATCGGAGTTTCCCACAATGATGATCACGGTTCGAATGATAGAAGACTCTGCGAGAGTATCGAAAAGATCACGCTTCCATGATAACACGGCCGCAGATAAGTCATTCTCTGGTCCGTATGAGAATTCGATCTGTATACAGTGTATATCTGGGAAGGTTATATGCACGTTTGTGGGTAAATAATTCAATCTATCAGCCATTATGGAGTGGGTTTTTGAAGAAAAGACAATATGAAAGGTCAGAAGGGTTAAGCAAAATGAATTAAATACTGGCTACGTTCAATCTACACAGGATATACTTTTCGAGGTTAGAGCAGCCGTCGGAAGCAACACATGGAAATAACCTCTGCTATGTGGTATTTCTGCCTACATACTTTGACTAGATGCCAGGCTCAACCAAAGAATCGGGCTTTTATCTCCCTTCTCAAGAAAATTGTCTGGGCATGGAGCGTAGTATATTGTGAGACCGTCAGCTTCGGGCATTTCTGTATCTAGTCTGACTTCTATATCGACGGCTGGGGTCAGGATCCACAACCACGTTGGGGAGTTCGTAATATGCTATCGGAATATTTTCTAGTCAGTTCAGCAAGGTATGCAGCAATGGGTGGGTAGCTGTGAAATTTTGATTGGAGTTTCAATAGAAGCTCCGATCCCATTAGTAGTCATAAGGCAAACGATATTCCTGGCAGTTAATGGCTGTACTTTGTCTCCTATCTCAAGGACATACTTGGCCACCTGTGATATTGGCCTTGAGATACCCCCAATTCCTTTACTCCTTTCTTTCTTTGAAGATACTTGGCACGTTATACTCTCGCTCCATCTCCTATCTCCCCCCATCCCTCATTACAGAACATCTAGAGGGCTAACATGTCACCTCTTATTCACGATGACCAACCCTACTCATGGAACGCGGCTATGCCAATTGCCGTTGTGGGTATTGGCTTCCGCGGTCCTGGAGACGCAACGAATGTTGAGAATCTCTTCAGAATGATTGCCGAAGGCAGGGAAAGTCGAATTGATATACCTAAGGAGAAATGGAACCATGAAGCCTTTTATCATCCTGACCCCAGTCGGTTTGGAACTGTAAGTTGATCACATTCAACATAACCAATTGATATGAGAAAGCGAGGTTAATTGAAACAGCACAATGTCACCGGAGGACATTACTTCCAACAAGATGTCTCGCGTTTTGACGCTCCATTCTTTAATATGACAGCAGCCGAGGCTGCCGCCCTTGATCCTCAGCAGAGAATGCTTCTAGAATGCACATACGAAGCCATGGAGAACTCAGGCACCAAGATGCATGACTTCGTTGGCAGCAATACATCCGTCTTTGTCGGCTCGTTCTGCGCAGATTATGCTGATGTCCTCTGGCGAGACCCTGAAACGGTGCCCATGTATCAATGCACCAATGCTGGTCATTCTCGCGCAAATACGGCGAACCGTGTCTCATATATTTATGATCTGAAAGGGCCAAGTGTGACTGTGGATACTGCCTGTTCGGCAAGTTTGGTGGCTCTGCACTTAGGATGTCAGAGTTTGAGGACCGGTGATGCTAAGCAGGCTCTCGTTGCCGGTTGCAGTGCCATTCTAAGCCATGAAGGAATGGTTACAATGAGTATGATGAGGTATGCTATCCTTTGTGTAACATCTAACTTTCGATGTGAGACCCCTTGAACTTTGTGGAAATTAACCTAATATACCTCCAGACTTCTCTCTCCCGAAGGGCGCTGTTACACATTCGACGAGCGCGCAGGAGGTTATGCCCGAGGCGATGGTGTCGGTGCGATCCTTTTGAAACCTCTACAAGACGCCCTGGATGCGGGAGACACAATTCGGGCAGTCATTCGCGGCACTGGATCAAATCAAGATGGCAAAACGCCCGGAATCACCATGCCGAGTGGCACAGCCCAAGAAGCTCTTGTTCGTAGTGTTTATGAGAAGATTGGTCTCGATCCTCTTGACACAAGCTACGTTGAGTGTCACGGAACTGGGACTCAAGCTGGTGAGGTCAATATCTCTTGTCACGGTGGAAGTATGCTAAATTCGTTTAAATAGGCGATGTCACTGAGACTAGCGCCCTTGCTCGTGTCTTTGAACCCGGTCGACCGAAGGATGAGCCACTGGTAATTGGCTCTGTGAAGACCAATATCGGCCATTTGGAGGGTGCAAGTGGTGTTGCTGGAGTCATAAAGACCATTCTCATGTTAGAGAACGGCCTTATTCTTCCCAACAGGAATTTCCAGAAAGGAAATCCAAAGATCTTGTTTGACGAATGGAAATTACGAGTATGACTTGACTCCATCTTGCTGTTTTTAGACATATACTGAATTCCTTGCAGGTTCCCTTGGGAGTCGAGAATTGGGAAATATCCAAGCCTCGCCGAGCCTCTGTGAACAGTTTTGGATACGGAGGTGCCAATGCGCATGTCGTCCTTGAGAATGCACAAGACTACTTGCGAAACCACAACTGGGAATTCCGATCCCATACGAGGAAATCTGCCACTGGTGCTGTTTTATCCAACAGCAAGCTGACCAGTGCTGTAGCTGCTCTTGAGACCGGATCTACGACTACCGAAATCATAAATACTCCTAGCGAAGAGTCATCCGGGACCAGCACTCCTTCAAACCCTGGTCCTCACGGCCGCCTCTTCGTTTTCTCTTCATTCGACGAGGCCACTGGAAAGAAGTACCTCCAGAGTTTCGAGAAGTATATAGAAGATAGATTGCAAATCGCGGACTCAGAAGAGTTCCTCGATGACCTCGCATATACTCTGGGAGAGCGAAGGACAAATCATACTTGGCGTACAGCCGTTCCAGCGCAGTCAGCAGAGGAGCTTTTGAGCAATTTGCGTGAAGGTATAAACTTGGGCAATGCTAGCCAGACTAAGAATCGCAAGATTGGCTTCGTGTTCACTGGCCAGGGTGCGCAGTGGTGTGGAATGGGTAAAGAGTTAATTGATCAGTATCCTGTCTTTAAGGAGACCATCGAGAAGGCTGGAATTGCGTGTCAAAAAGCCGGCGCAACATTTGATCTTGAAAGTAAGATGCTACTCTGCAAATTTTGGTTTCGATTTATACTGATGGTATGACAGCCGAGCTTCGCAAGGACCCCAAAGAGTCCGCAATCAACCGTGCAATCTATTCTCAACCACTTTCAACGGCTGTTCAGCTGGGTCTGATTGATCTGCTGGCTTCGTGGGGCGTGAAGCCTACCTCTGTTACTGGTCACTCCAGTGGCGAAATTGCTTCTGCCTATGCTGCTGGGGCTCTCAGCCTTGAGGACGCCATGTTGGTATCCTATTCTCGTGGTGTTGTTTCCAGCAAGATGGCCGAGCGTGCCACCGTCCCTGGATGCATGATGGCAATTGGTATGTCGAAGGAGGAAGTGCTTCCTATTGTTTCAACCCTCACGAAGGGCAAAGTTGTCGTAGCATGCTCCAACAGTCCTTCCAGCGTGACCGCCTCTGGTGACCTACCGGCCATTGATGAGTTGCATACTGTCCTTGATGAAAAGGGTGTCTTTAACCGCAAGCTGGTTGTGGAGGTTGCCTATCATTCTCACCACATGGAGCTCGTTAAAGAAGAGTACAGGAACGCCATTTCCTCTATTAAGGTCCAACCCGGCAATGACGTTGAGTTCTTCTCTTCTGTTACTGGAGAACGTGCTTCAATCTCGGGTCTTGGTCCCGATTACTGGGTATCCAACATGATTGGAGAAGTCAAGTTCAATGATTCACTTGGTCGCCTGTGCTTAGAGACCGAAGGTCCATCAGCAACCACCAAGAAGAGTGCTCAACGTCGCAAAGCGAAGGTCTCTCCGGTCAGCACTCTGATTGAGATTGGCCCTCATTCGGCACTTGCTGGGCCCATCAAACAGATCATCCAAGCAAATGAGACCCTCAACAAGGCGTCTATCAAGTACTACTCTGCTCTGGTCAGAAACAAGAACGCCGCCACTACTGTCCTTAATCTAGTCGGTCAGCTCTTCGTTGCTGGACACGAGCCAAGCCTTGAAAAGGTCAACAGACCTACAGGTCTTGAAAGTCACTCTGTTCTTATTGACCTGCCTCCATATGCTTGGAATCACGCAAACTCATACTGGGCAGAGTCGCGCATTAGCAAGTTCTACCGTGAGCGACGCTTCCCACGAACTGACCTCCTTGGTGTTCTGGAGAGGAACTCCAGCTCTATAGAACCTCGCTGGCGCAACCATATCCGACTGTCAGAAATCCCCTGGGTTCGCGATCACAAGATTCAAGGTAACATTGTTTACCCGGCAGCTGGATATCTCGCCATGGCTATTGAAGCAGCTTGTCAGCATGCTATTACCGTTAAGTCCATTCCCACAATTACGGGTTATAAGCTTCGCGAGGTTGTAATTGACTCTGCTCTCATTATTCCGGAGAATCCCGGTGAGGTCGAAGTTGCCATCACATTGAAGTCATTCACGGACAGTATCCGCAATCCTTCAGATATGTGGGACGAATTTGTCATTTCATCAGTCAACGCCGACAGTCGCTGGACTGAACATTGTCGTGGTCTTGTCTCTGTTGTGGCTCCACAAAAGGTCGTCAATGTCATTGATGGACAGGCCCAGAGTATTGCTGAAAAGCAAGGGTATGCCGAACTCGTTGCCAGCTATGAAACCAAATGCCGCCGAAACATCAATGTTCCTCAATTCTATGAGCAGCTTATCGAGCTTGGTCTTGAGTATGGACCAACATTTGCCAACCTCAAGCGAGCAAAGGCAGCTCCCAATGCGTGCATTGGTGATTTAGAGATTCCGGATACCGCCGCTGTTATGCCATATAACTTCCAGTTCCCATTTGTCATTCACCCAGCTACGTTGGATGCCTTGTTCCATACTATCTTTGCAGCCCTAGCTACTGCCAACGGCGGCACCCTCAAGGATCCTGCCGTTCCTGTCTCGGCCAGCGAAATCTTTGTTTCGGCCAATATTACCTCTAAGCCCGGTGACAAGCTCGCCACTTACACATCAACTGAGCAGAAGGACTACCGTTTCATGTCTGCTTCTATGACTGTGTTCCATGAGAGCCAAAAGCAACAGGGCGCTTTTGAGCCCGTTATTGAGATCAAGGACTTGACATGTGCCACACTTGCTCGTGAAGGGGCTGATCCTTCGACGGACGGCCAGGTAACCAAAGCCTATAACCTAGCGTGGAAGCCAAGCATTGACTTGCTGTCCCAATCTGAAATCTTGGAACTATGCGCTAAGACAAGTTCTCCAGAAGGCAACACCAATGCCACAAATGCGAGAGAGTTGCTCGAACGTGCTGCCTACTACATGCTCAAGAGGGCCGTTGCAGGCTATGCGCCTCCTGAGACTAATTCCGCTTATGCGCAACAACTGTGGTCATTCCTCAAGTCACAGAGTAGAGTTGCTTCGTGGAAACATGCTTACGACGGCTGGGACCAGCTATTCAAAGCTGATGTTGACGCATTCATTGACAAGGTCGTGTCTTCATCAAGCGTCGGCAAGTTTCTGGTTGAAGTTGGCGACAAACTACCTAACCTTGTAAAAGGAGAGAATTCTTCTGCTGAATTTATCAAGGAACTAGACCTCAAGGTGTTCGTGGACAATACTCAGTTATTCCAAAATACCCAGTCAGCAGCGCGGTACTTTGACCTACTTCAACACAAAACGCCGAGTTTGTCTGTCCTTGCTGTTGGGCCAGGATCAGGAGTTGCATCTCTGGGATTCCTCGCTTTGCTTAATAAAAAGTCATCCGCTCCATTTGAGCGGTATGAGCACAACGACGTCGAGTTTGACATCAGGGACGTCGTCAAAGAGAAGTTCCCACAGTGGGCTCAACTCATCGGAACGAAGCAAGTTGACATCAGCCGCGAAATTCAAGGTCAGGAAGATATTGAGCCCAATTCGTACGATGTCCTAGTTGCCTTCCATGTCCTCGGGGACGCAACTGGAATGAATAATGTGCTTGCTCAATCCAAGCAGCTTCTCAAGCCAGATGGCAAGGTGTTGTTTATTGGGCGGCCCCTGAAATCGCTTGTCGCATCCGTGCTTTTCGGATACGTGCCCTCTGTTTTGGCAGAGACTGGATCCACGTCTGACCGTAGCAATCTGTCGCCAGCGGAAATTGACGACATGGTCTCCGCAAGCGGGTACTCAAAGGTTACGGCCATTGCTACTTCCATTAACAGCAATAACTACAGCATGATGGTTGTTTCCGCAAGTGCTTCCCAGGATACAAGTGCAAAACCTCAGAAGGTCCATGTCATCGCCGAGGATGAGAGTACTAGTCAGCCGTCTCTCCTGGCTGGTCTAAAAGAGGAAGGCATTGAGGTAACAGTCTCTTCGCTTTCGGAAGCTAGTCCAACTCCAGACCACATGTGCATAGTGCTCAGCGATCTGTCGAACAAGACGGTCTTGTCGGACCCATCTGTTCAAGAATGGGAAGCACTGAAGAAGATCATGCTCGAAGCCAAGGGTGTACTATGGGTAACGCGTGGTAGTGCCGTTACCACATCAAACCCTAATGGTAGCATGGCTACTGGTCTGAGCCGTACAATTCGCTCTGAAAGAGGAGACGTCCCTGTTGTCACCCTTGATCTTGATGCTGAAAGAACACTCGATGACGCAGTGTCGACCGATATTATTTTGAAAGTCTTCCGCAAGAGTTTCTATCCCGCTTTCACTGCTTCCGAAGTCGAGCAAGAGTACGCAGAGCGAAAAGGTCGACTTTTGGTGCCCCGTTTGATCGAGGACGAAGAATTGACCAAGACCCTCGCTATCGCAACAGAGGGTGCTAAGGGTCAACTCGAGCCCCTTCATCAACCCGGACGTCCTCTGCGCATGTTTGTCGGCACACCAGGTCTCCTCGACAGCATTTTCTGGACGGATGATGATCGCGTCGAGACTCCTTTGCCGGATGACTGGGTTGAGATGGAAGTCAAGGCATCCGGCTTCAACTTCAAGGACGTCATGATGGCCATGGGCCAGATCAAAGTCGAGAACCTAGGCTGGGAATGCAGTGGTATACTAACTAAGGTTGGTCCAGCAGTCACCGGACTTGCTGTAGGTGATCGAGTGGTATGCCATGCCTCCGGAACTTTCTGTACCAATGCCCGAGTGCATGTGGACAATGTACGAAAGATCCCCGACACTATGTCCTTTGAGATTGCAGCATCGCTTCCAGTCACTTACGTGACTGCATACCACTCCATCTACAATATCGCTCGCCTCCAAAAGGGTGAGACAATCCTAGTCCACGCTGCAACCGGTGGTCTCGGCCAAGCCATTATCGAATTGTGCCAACTCATAGGCGCCGAAATCTTCGCTACAGTGGGCACCTTAGACAAGAAGAAATTCCTCATAGACCACTTCCACATTCCGGAAGATCATATCTTCTTCAGTCGTGATCAGAGCTTCGCCGCGGGTATAAAGCGCATGACTAGGGGTAAGGGTGTTGATGCAGTCATGAACTCTCTTGCCGGTGAAGGACTTCGTCTTTCTTGGGAATGTATTGCACCCTATGGCCGATTTGTTGAGCTTGGCCAGCGCGATATTGGCATTAATTCGCGACTTGAAATGGGTCAATTTATCAAGAACACTTCATTCACGGCATTCAACTTGGCTTACATGGTTCAATATAATCCCAAGGTGGCCAATGAAGTGTTTACGAGCGTTTTAAATCTGTTCTGGAAAGATGCTATCAAGGGTCCTTCGCCAGTTGAGGTGTACAGTTTCTCGGACGTTGAAAAGGCATTTAGAAGAATGCAGACAGGTGGCCATATGGGTAAGCTAGTTGGAACGGCTGACACAGATGCGATGGTGAAGGTGAATTGTCTCTTCTTGGTTGTTGCACTATATCATGGTCTAATGCTATTTTTAGGTTATTCCACTTGACAGAAGCAAGTCCCTGCTCCGGTCAGATGCCTCTTACGTTCTTATTGGTGGTCTCGGTGGTATTGGACGAGCCACTGCTCTCTGGATGGTTGAACACGGTGCTCGGAATGTTATCTTCGTTAACCGCAGTGGTGTCAAGGTCGATGAGGCTCGAGAGACCATTCGTGTATTGGAGGAGATGGAGTGCAAGACTGCAATATTCCCCTGCGATATCACTAATGAAAACCAAGTTGAAACATTTGTTGGGGATGCTGCTAAAGCTATGCCACCTATTAAAGGTGTCATCCAGGGTGCTATGCTACTCAGGGTATGTTGTCGACCCCTATCCATTAATAGGTGTATTGAACTCTAACGAGACATAAAAACAGGACACACTATTTGAGAAGATGTCTCTTGAAGACTACATTACGGTCCTCCGTCCCAAGGTTCAAGGAACATTTAATCTGCACAAGTACCTGCCAAAAGATATGGATTTCTTCATCATGGAATCTTCCGTCAGTGGCATCGTAGGCAATGCCTCTCAAGCTGCCTACGCCGCCGGAAACACATTCCTCGATGCATTTGCAAGCTACCGCGTATCTCAGGGTCTGCCTGCCACTACCATCGACCTGGGCGCTATCTCCGGAGTGGGATATCTCTCCACTAACTCAGAACTCAAACAAGCCATGGAACGTCAGGGATTCGAATTCACCAACCCTAAGCGTCTAATGGCGCTCATCGAGTCAGCAATTCGTAATCCTGCACGTCCTGGTCAACAAGCTCACATCATTACTGGGCTTGGAACCTGGAACGAAGACAGTTCGCTCGGAGCATTAACTCTACCAATGTTCTCGCACTTTCGGCACTTAAGTGCCGGTAACGCAGACTGGGGCAAATCAGGTAGTGGTAACAATCTCAAATCGGCACTCAAAGCCGCAAAGACTCTTGACGATGCAAGCGAGTTAATCCTCGGTGCATTGATCGATAAGATTGCTTCTAGATCCGGCATTGGTCCAGAAAATATTAACACTTCCAAGTCGATGCCTGACTATGGTATTGACTCGCTCGTTGCGGTAGAGATGAGGAACTGGATCACCAAGGATATGGATAGTACGTTGCCAGTGCTGGAATTATTAGCTAGTGACCCCTTGACGCACTTGGCCACCAAGATCGCGCAGAGATCACGCTCAGTGCAGGTTGCAGAGCAAACGCATGAGTAGTCTATTTTTGGGTTTATTTCTCAGAATCTCCTGTCTCTGTTTCTAGGTTGTCTATATAGATTGAATCTGGTTCTTGTATCATCAGGATCATCGTAATCCCTGCAACGACTAACATGAATGGACTTTGTTCAGTGATGATGTATAAAGTAGTGTTATATAATAGACTATTCGGCAACGCAGAATCTACGTCAAATGGTTAAGTATTCATGCTCCGACCATTCATCTTCCTCTGGCTCCCATAAAAGCTCACTTTCGTCTGGATACCGGACCGTGTCGGCCCTCTCAATTGCTTCTTCAATACCATTGACGTCCTTTAAATGAGGTAACTTTCCATCTCTGTCTGCCATAAATTGTTCGATAATTTTGTCAAAGTCTTTACGGACCCCTTTCTCGTATCCTATGATGGTAAAGGATTCCAGTGCGGGTGGTAATGATTCCGCCAGCACAACCTCGCCAAACGGTTTGACCAAGTCCGGATCCTTGACATCCATGCTCTCGGTACCCAGCGCGAGATACATAAGAATGCCAATACCAATATGCAGTTCAGTCAACGCCAAGAAGTCGCGTAGAGAACCGGTTCGCTCCCAGAACCCCTGTGGAGGAACAAGATCTGGCTCACTCTCATCCTCGTCGTGGTCAATAAGACCGTTGTCATATCCATCCATATCAAGAAAGAAACTGTTCAGGAGGTTGGAATCGGCATCAATATGCAAGATCTCTAAGGTCGTTTTGTGGCCTAGTATAGATTTGAGAAAAGTTCGAGGGTTGAAAGGTGCAAATGAACCGTCAAGGCTGGCACGCCCACCGATAGTATAATGGAATTCTCTCAGGACCTTACAGGAGTAGATTATCGGCATAAGGAACCATGTTCTCAAGTTCGAGTGCTCGATTCGGATCCGACTCAGATTTGACGAAGAGGGTTCTAGATCGAAAGGCCCGTCCTCCTCCTCCATCACAGCATCGACACATATATACTCCATGGATGGGAGTCGGGTAAATAACAAAAGCATGCTAAGAAGCTCAAATCTCATGTAGAATCGCTCGTCATCCCAACCGCTACCCTCATGAGGGATAATTTCCACTGAGTGCAGATATTGTAGGTACGGCTTTTCCGGTTGCTCCGAGTTGGCTTCTATAAGTAATTTCTCAAGTGGAAATCGCATTATTTCCTGTGGCATGCCCAGGCTGGCACCGGTTTCTGTACTAAAACCGTATACGTACATAGGAACACTTGTCGCCATGGACTCCAGGTAAGGAGATGCGGAGACCAGCAGCGCCGCCAGTGCCTGCGCAATCCAGACAGTCCTCAATTCTTCCTTCAGATCCCTAAGTCGCCATTAAACACTATTTCCTGCGATGTATGACAAGAGGATAGGGAATGTATCGAAGCAATTTAGACTAACCCAAAGTGATACGGTGGGGGTGATTGTAAGATCATGTTGATCACCTTCTCGGCATACTCACCAGTAAAGCTGGCTTTTGTGACAGCCATCTGCAGAATCCTAGAATCTTCATTGCTAAGCACTTTCAGATCCTTAGTTCTGATTTCGTAATTATGATACGATTTCGGCGGTTGATCATATTCGATATGCCGAACATAACCGCCAAGCTGGGGGCGACGCAAGATAGATAACAGGATGACAAAAGCTTTGTCGATGTCTTTCTGTGACTTGATCCGAATGCGACGATATTTTCGACGCAGAGGCAATTCCTTTATTGTGAGATTGTGGATAGAGCGACAAGTGAGCGACAAAGCCAAGAAGTCTCGGTTAGATCGGAGCTCGCTGATGATGAGAAACAGAACTTCTGTCGGCAATTGATGGAGCTGGGCCATCGCAACAGATTAAATATGGACAGCGGAAGTCGGATTATGTTGGCAGTTTCTGTCAGTTGCTTTTCCAAGAAATGTATGTAGAGCTTAGTTTGTTCCTGAGAGAATGTAATGTTATTTACAGTACGTAGTACGTAAATACCAAGAGTTACAGGATTTTTGTATTATGAGCCCATAGGATATTTATAATCTATGTATCATACGCAGTGTTAAGGAATCATTAGATCTGGACGCCAGAGGTTATAAGCAGTAGTTGAGATATCAGTTGTACGCTTCCTTTGCGGAATGATGGATTCTGGATGGAGTGTTCTCACTCTCTCTTCCTATTCTCTGACTAGGGGAACACTCTCTTAAGGGGTGATGGATATATATCGGCCCGATTGTCATAATATTCACACTACGTACCGCACTAGTAATCCGTATTACGCTAAAATTTACGACGACCATGAACAATCATCTCCATCCAGTACAGTGAGTGGGACGCACATAGATTTCAGCTTTTACGCGGCCATACCGGTCCCAAAAGTATCGAGCATTCGATCATTGTCGCAAGAATAAATCGCGCTGTACAGTTGATATTCCAGGACAGCCATGCCTTCTTTGCAGGCTGCGAGGAGCTCCATGTCAATACCAGAACAAGCCCTCTTGAACAACAACAACAACAACAACAACAACAACAACAACAACCAGAGCAATCCATTCAACCGCAGCAGTTGACGAAGCTACCGCTCTTCCGAGATCAAGCATTCCATCTCGCAAAAAGAGGCGCCGCGCAGATGAGCATCCGCCGCCACCGGCCGCCAGTTCCTACAATCCGAGCGCAAATACTGAGGAGCTCTCTTCTGTTGCTTTGGATGAAGATGACAGTCTGATGGAATCAGCGCAGATTCTTGGACCCGCAGGAGCACATGATGCCTACTTTCTTGAGCGCGCCTTAAACTTCTCCGGGGATCAGATGTCGAAGGTCTCGACTCCCTTTAGGGTATATTCAAGTGATCCACGCAATCCTGTGGTTCACTCACCGATGGCGAGGCATCACGATATTTATCAAGTTGCGGCTGATACCAGTAGAGACCCGGCAAACATCAGTGAGAAGCTTGTCGGCCATTGCTCTACCGAGCTTTTGCAGTTGTATGTAGGCGATTTTTTCAATCTTAAATGTGACAAGTTTCAGGTCTAATAAACGAACACAGATACATCTCCAAGATAAATTCGGCCTTCCCCATACTTGATCAAACCATATGCGCTCGCTTGGTGAGAGAAGGGAGAAAACCGAGGGCAGGTCAAACTCCCAGTGCACTTGAATGCAGTATATATTTTTGTACGCTGCCTTATTGGCACTGCTCGGAAACACTTTATCAAAATGGTGCGCACTGTCCAGACGTTGCCTATGTACGCAGCCTGGCAGTATCCGCATGGCAAGATGAGCTTTTGTCGCCCAAGATGCATCACGTAATAGCCTGTTTGGATCTTCTCAACGCTCTCCCTATTTTGTCCGTTCTTGAGAACGCCATGAACCTTGCTAGAGCCGTGACTTTGGCGCTTAACTTGGGATTGAACCGGGATCCAACGAACTGGGCCATCTCGGCGGAACTACGGAGTTTAAGGATACGGTTGTGGTGGGGGATTCTGATACTGACGACTTTAATCTTCAGAATTCTAGGCGAATATGTCTCTCTTAACAGGAAGATGTTGAGCAGAAGCGCTGTGGCGGCCATGATGCCCGTGATGTATTGAGTCCAGCGCCATCCGAGGGATTTATTGGCCACAACAAACCCACCCACAACGGGTGAGAGAAGGGGGCTCGTTGATACACTCAAAGAGTACGCGGTCATGGCAAGGCCACGCGTGGTATTGGAAAAGAGATCTGCAAACACGGCCGGCACAACTGAGACTGGACACGCGCCGAAGAAGCCGCACCAGAATCGACAGATGAGCACTGTTTGAATATCCTTCCCCGTGGCAACGGCGAACTCAAATATCGTGTACCCCAGCATTGAAATAATGATAGGAGCTCGCCGCCCGTACAGCTCGGAGGCCGGTGCCCAAAGGACAGGACCTGTTGCGAACCCAAATATGAAAAGCGACACTCCTAATGTGCCCACTTCAGACGAAACGCCATACTGGCTGCTCACGATACTCACTGCAGGAGAGAATATGCTGCTACTCCATCCTGTAGTGTAAGTGGTATATCCAAGAATAGCCGCTACGAGAAGTCTATTTTTGCATTGTCAGTTAGACACTACACCAACAAGGGTACTAGGGAAACAACTCACTTTCTTTTCAAAGGCCAGTTTTGTGAACGAAGTGGATCGGTGTCACTCTCAAAATCAACTATGTAGTCCTCAGGAGCATGCAGAGGTGCAGGGTATGCCTTTCCAGCTCCGAAAGGAGGTAGTTGATCTCTTGTAGCATATTTGTTGTCCATTTGCGACTCAATTCTTTAGCGTTTTCTTTATATATAAACCAGACCGTGCTGATATTGTAGCCTGGGAATGTGGACAATGGAGGAAATAAATAACCACGCATCCTTGCTAACTTTAATTTCTTTGTTACTTTGTAGATTTTTTTCCCTGGCGGGAAACTTGTTTGCCAGCGGCCAACGGTATTACCTATACTGTATGACCGAAATAGTGTGCTCCCTGGGTTTAGGTACAGGAATTGATACAATAAATTTCAATGTAGTCCATCTTCTGAAACATCAAGTCCAAGTGCCACCAAGAACGTATCTGTAGATGCTTACAGTTAAATGTAGTTACCGATTTCCGGCTATCACTATGTAGCTCTAAGCCCTACTTTCTCCCTATGACTTTTTGCCTCATCCATATCACCAACACAGCATTCTCAAGAGTCAATCTGTAAGCAAACTATCTGACTGGAAAATCATGATGAGCATATTCAGTCGCAATGGATAATTATTAACATCACACATGTCGGTCCATCCATACATAGTAGACTAAAACATTGTCCGGCGGCATTTGAGTACCTCAGCGTTGCCCGCCGGAATGCACGGATGTCTACAGGTTTTTTTGTGGCAGACAAGGGACATCCATTCATGGACTGAACCTATCAACTAATCCATCCATAGGTGTACAAAGGCGACAGTTCTTTCATTCTCAGTATTTAGGCTGATACAATTGGCAACAGTGAACATAAAGAGACAGAATAAGATCTTAACCAAAGAAAAAAAAACAATGGCGACCGCTATCCATATTGAACGCGTGCCACCACCAGACCTCCATCTACCTCTCTCACCAAACACTGTCAATGTGCGAATAATCGACACAACAACATCGATGCTTTGCAAAGCAGACTATTTCTTATCTCCTACTATCGGCAACTTACACGAGCTCTATTGCAATGCATTCGCCTTTCTAGTTGAAAACCCACGCACTGGGCAGAAGCTAGTATTTGACTTGGGCGTTAGAAAGGATTGGGAAAATCTGGCGACGCCCATGGTGGAAAGATTGCTTGCGCAGGGCTTCCGGATTAATGTTGAAAAGGGTGTTTCGGAGATTTTGCAGGAGGAGCATGTTGCACTAGAGGATATAGATGCGATAATTTGGAGGTTAGTCTGCTGTTCTCCCTACTGTTACAGTGCTTCTTCCTTTTGATACTGATATATCATTTCAAGCCATTGGCACTTTGACCACATCGGTGATCCTTCCACATTCCCAGAAACCACCAGCTTGGTCGTTGGCCCAGGGACATTGGCAGCAAAGCTGCCTCCATGGCCTGAGAATCTAGCTAGTACTTTGACTGCGAGTGACATTCGAGGAAGAGAGGTTCGCGAGATATCATCAGCCGAATTCACACTGAAAATTGGTCGTTTCCGAGCACTAGACTATTTCAATGACGGCTCGTTTTACCTCCTGGACGTACCAGGTCACGCTATCGGCCATATCTGTGGGCTAGCCCGCACTACAGAGAATTCCTTCATCCTCATGGGCGCAGACACTTGCCATCATGGTGGCCAGTATCGGCCCTCCCCGTATGTACCGCTGCCAGAGAGCATTAAGCCTCATCCTCGCGGTGATAGTGTGACGGCAGGTCCTAACGAAACATGCCCCTGCTCTATTTTTGAGGAGCTTCATCCAAATCCAGCAGAGTATCGAACGCAGCAGTTCTATAGTATCCGAGTGAGAGAGGATGGAGGTAGTGTTGCATTTAACGTGCAAGATGCAAAAGACAGCATAGCAGGTCTACAGGAATTTGATGCCGCAGATAATGTTCTTGTTGTATGTGCACACGATGCTTCTCTGAAGGGTATCATTGATGTTTTCCCGCAGTATGCGAATGCATGGAAAGATGGCGAGTGGAAGGAAAAGGGGCGATGGAGGTTCCTAGGGGATTGGGAGATCCCAGACCATAAAGTATAAAATCTTCCATATAGAGGAACATGTCTTGTTATAAAAATATAACATTATAATGTATAGTAGTTATAATCGTTGTGCTAGTTATCTCCAATAATGAATGTTAGGGCTAGGGCTACGGTATCTATTTTGTAGTAAACCCTCGCTCAGGGAATATGTTGAGGCCCAAAAGAAAGCATAATATTTCATACATATTTGATCTTAGTGAAAGTAAAGTCTCCCTGGGAGATGTGTTGAGGTTTATGAGAGCTTTAGGGTTAGGGCTCGCCATACATAGCCCTAATTTGAAATTTCCTTCCTATTTCGGAAGTTTTTCAAATATACGCATGCGATTCTATACCAGGATTACCTCCGGAGCAGGAATCGTGAGCCTCCCGAGGTCAGGCACTCGGCCTTTGAGATCATTGCTACCTGAAGATTATTTCGTAAAGAATTATCTAGGTAGAAATCATAGGGTAACGATAGATCCATCCGCTTCAAGTTTCTGATGCACGTATAACACATTCATGATTCTATGTACTCTTGTATCGTTCTTGTATATGTGCAAATAGTCGTTTATCCTCAGTAATCCTCCTTCCCATAAATCATAAGTCTATATTTTCATGAAAATGAGGACAATTTTGTCTATAACAAAGCATTTTTATATGTCCATATATATGCCAATAATGCATGTCTATTACCGACTAGGCCTCCAAGTTGAGTCGTTCCAACAGTCGATCCAATTTATCCAACAGGATATTATAATTCATCGCATCTTGATCAAACTCATCTTCGACAACGGCGCCGTCCAGAGTCCTTATAATCGCAACATGATCGTCAGCTTGATTAGGGTGATCACCTGGCACAACCTCCTCCGGTTTGGCATGTCGTTCCGGAGAGATATTCAATTTGGCCATATCATCTGTCACAGTGGTCGAATCGCTGGTCTGCTGTGCGTCGGGAGGGAACCAATTCTGAGGTTGATTCTCCTCTATCATCTCCGCCAGACCTGCGTCGTCAAACCGAAGGCGGAAACGCTCGCTCAGATAAAACCGGATGTCATCGAGTAACTCAATCGAATCTGTTTCCTGACGTTTTTGGATTCGTCCTGCAGACTCCTTTATTAGTTCTGCAAATTCTTCGGTGTCAATATGCTCCTCTAATCGATAAGCGAGGTATCTGGCTCCAAATTCTTCGAGTCTCTGTACCCGAGTGAGCCAGCCGGCTCGAATGATTTCGTATATATCAATTTCATCTTCGTCGCATTTTTCATCGAATCTATGTCCGTTCTGGCGGGCCGGACGAGTTTTGGATGCTTGTGCTTGTGACATGTTGGCGCTACCAAGACTGCTGATGACCACGGCAGCTTTGGTCTTGAGTTTCTCAATAAATAGCAAATCGGCAGCGAAGCACGTCTACCGCTATATCTAGCGGGAAATCGGCCTTTTCGGTATAGAAGAACCTCAGGACTATTTCAAGCACTTCTGGTGAACAGTCGACGCTTATTATGTTGAGATGTTCTGTGACTTGAGCTTCTTTGAATATCGATGAAAACATAGCACCGAAGAATTCGGATCGTAAGAGCATCGCCCGATGAACGGGATATAAAACAGACATTCGCTTAGAAGCAGTATAGTTGTTCTGTTCTGTTGAATCTCCCCCTCCAGGGCCCACAGGGATATAACTAGAGCGATTTTCTTCTTGCGCATCCACGGCTGGATCAGCACCATCAGAAAGCTCATCGGCTCGAAGAAGGACGTCTGCAAATATTCCATTGCTACGATCCCACTTGACATCGTTGGCTTTTGCTGTTTCGACCACAACCTTATGGCCAAGGACGTTGCTTTCAAACCAAGATTCGAACTGATCTCTTCCCCGAGCTAATTCGTCTGCTCGTCTCTGCCGAGCCAGCCGTCTGTCGCCACTCTCCAGCACAATAACTAGTAGATTAGGAATCTCGAGGTGTCTTCCAATTCGATCAACGCCAGCCACGACCTCAGACTCTGTGAAACCGGTCCCCGGGCCGGCGCGTAACTCTCTCGGGGAGTCGCCGAGGTAAATATATCGGATGGCAGAAGCAAAAGCTGCTGGTGGAAGAGTATTAGGAATTTTCCAAGACGTGGAATCCGGAGATGCGGCAAGCTTTTTCTGAAAGTATGGCGAACGCGCCGAAAGAATAAACTTGTGGAGGAATAACGATTCCTCTCCATCGGTAACGATAATGTCCGAGGTTACCGGATGATCTCGCGTCAAAAGAGACGATATATGTGCAGCAAATGGCTGGAGAGGGTCAGTGGACTTCGAGTAGTCATATTTGAGAAGCAGGTTTCGTATACGGTCGTTCAGGGCATTATAGAGACAACTATAAATCTTGAATCAGACTTGTTTCCACGTAACATTGTTTGGTTGCAGAGATTGGAAGTACCGTTCACCTTGAAATGTGTCACGCTCACACAATGCGCCGGATTCTAAAAGAAGCTGTACGACTTCGAAATGCCCGCATAGACTTGCCTTGGATCCCATTAGCTACCGATCTGAAGTATTTCTTTGATGTACGTAACATACCAGAATAAGAGGTGTATAGTCATAGCTATCCCGCGCATTGATATTAACTCCCTCCGAAATCTTCTCCTGGCAGACCTTCAAATCGCCTTTTCGACAAGCATCACAGAGTTGCCGGAACCCTTCACTGAAATCGAGTGGGTTCTCATCCTTGAGAGCACCCTCATGGATCAATTTTTTCTCATTATGTAGACGGATTTCGAGTTGATCTTTCCGTAGAACCTCTGAATCTGTCATATCGGGTGAGGGGCGAATATTCTGAAAGAACGAAGTTTGGAGACGAGTGGCTTGGGAAGAATGGACAATTTATGGAGTGCTTGACGTATTTGTATGGCTGATGCTGACCCCACCAAGCCGCTTCGGACTTAAGTCGATCTTCGTAAACGGCACGAGGTAAGATATGCTCTTTTTGATGTATCAATTTTTGATTGCACGGGATTATATTGGTCGGAACGTCAGGTATTTGTAGCCTGCGGGTGTATATGTACATTAAGTATGCGGTGGAAGTTAGACATTTTGGCATTGTTGCATGAGGGTAAACTCCGAGGATACGTACAATGTTCAAGATAATGACCTGAGTTACATAGAAAATGCGACAACAAGGATAATGGGTTGCCAAATGATGGTTTCCTGAGATTCTGACTCTACTATAGAGGAGATTTGGACATATACTAAGCAAAGATGGTTGTAAACAGCTCAATTTCTATGCACTGTATTGGCAAAGACAGATAAGCTTATCATCACGTGATGCATCTCTCTCTTTTGGGGACGACGCTTTCTGAGTGTAGATTCCTCTTGGTGATAGCTTCACAAGATGTATATACAAATGAAATCAATCAAAATACCACAAGAAAAAGAAGTGTATACAACTATAGACTACTGTGAACTTCATGGGATGGCCCTGGCCAACTGATCAGATTGAATGCCTGCTCTCACCGCCTTCGGAATGCAAGATGGTTGCTACGCAACAGAAGGAACCAAAACACATGGTGGGCAAGCTCTCTCTCTAGTTCTAGCTTTGTCTATCATTCATTACTCAATCCTGAGACTGATTACAATTTCTCCTTCTTCTTCTTCTTCTTCTTCTTCTTCTTCTGTTATACCTCCTTATAAGGAATGCGCTTGCGTCTACTAACAACATCTAGGGCTCACATCTACACAAGCATTTCTCTTTACTCATTCATGAGCTTGTCACCTCATTGAGCTGCTTTGCACCAGCACCGCCTTGGATCGCCAATTGTCAATCAGTGAATCCAACTTTTAGACAAACAATTATCAACATGGCAAGCATTGCCCTGTCAGAAGCTGACAAGTATGAAGTCTTGGAGAAGATTGGTTAGCTTCATATACTATTTGTTCCTCACGTACATCTGTGCTGACATTGAACAGGAGCCGGCTCCTTTGGCATCATTCGAAAAGTTCGACGGAAATCAGATGGCTTTGTAAGTACCCCATATTTTTCTGCTAATATGTCATGGCTAATATAATGTGCCATAGATTCTCTGCCGCAAGGAAATAAACTACATTAAGATGTCCCAGAAGGAACGAGAACAATTAACCGCAGAGTTCAACATTCTAAGCTCGCTTCGTCACCCCAACATCGTCGCCTACTATCATCGCGAACATCTCAAGGCCTCGCAAGACTTGTACCTGTACATGGAATACTGTGGTGGAGGTGACCTGGGAATGGTGATCAAGAACCTGAAGAATAGCAACAAATATGCCGAAGAGGAATTTGTTTGGCGCGTATTGGCTCAACTAGCAACAGCTTTGTATCGCTGCCACTATGGTACAGATGCGCCCCCTGTGGGATCAAATCTTCTAGGGCCGCCACAGCCTAGACAAGGCTTGAAGGGCAAGCAGGCACAGGTCATGATCCTCCACCGTGATTTGAAGCCCGAAAATAGTAGGTGCATGCTAGCCATCCATATTCTTCTTTTTGCTAATTCTTCGAACAGTTTTCCTTGGCAGTGACAACAGCGTCAAGCTAGGTGATTTTGGCCTGTCAAAGCTCATGGAATCCCACGACTTCGCGTCCACCTATGTCGGCACGCCCTTTTACATGTCGCCTGAGATTTGTGCCGCCGAGAAATACACCCTGCACTCAGACATTTGGTCATTAGGATGTATCATGTACGAGCTATGCCAAAAGGCACCTCCATTCAATGCGAAAACACACATGCAACTGGTTCAGCGCATTCGAGAGGGCAAATTTCCTCCACTCCCCGATATCTACTCTGATGAGCTACAGGCCGTCATTGCAAGCTGCCTCCGTGTAAATCCTGATCAGCGCCCTGACACAGCCGCTATACTCAATTTGCCTGTGGTACGCTTAGTGAGAAAAGAACGGGAGGCCCTAGACTTGACGAACAGAGTCAAGAGGCGCGAGGAGGCGGCTCTACAGAAGATGAAGGAGCTTGAGATTAAGATGGCCAACTTTGAGAAGGATATGGCCCTCACGCGAGAAGAAATTGACGCAACTGTTCGTCGCGAGTGGGAGGTCAAGGCACGCTTGGAGATTGAGCGCCAGGTTCAGATGCGATATGAAGAACTCTCTAAACAATTCGAGACCGAGGTTCGCGCTCGTGTGGCCGCAGAGATGGAAAGAGTGAACAAGATGAAAGTGCAGGCACAAGAGTTTATCCAACCACGTGAACCATCCACTTCTTCTGTCAGCTGCAGTGAAGACTCGGACTTCCCATCAACAACCGATATCAGTGACCTTTCCTTGGAATCACCTCGCTCAAGTCGCAACAAATCTCTTCAAAAAGTGTCGCGGACTCCTTTCAACCGAGCAAAGACTACTGTTGAGTCCCCTATGGACATTCAGATGGGTGAACCATCTCCGATTACTATCGCGTCTTTATCCCTATCTCCTCGACGCACCGCACCGATTTCCAAGAACCTGTTTACTGAGCCTGCACAACAAAAATCCAAGTGGGAGCCTAGCCTCGTGACATCGGACGATGAAGACGACATTCCCGAGCTCCCCTCGCCAACTCGTCCTAAGGTGAAGCCAGATCCTTTCAAGACAGCTCGGCGTCCCATGCTTCGCCACCAAACTACTGCTATGGTATCAAAGATGGGCAACCAGCCTTCTATTTTCCCTGCAGGAGCATCTCGATTGCCTCCACCACCAACAATGGCAAGCCCACTCTCTTCTCAGCAAACACAGGAGACTTCTCGCCCGACATCAACTGAACTGCGATCCAAGTCTCCTACCCGGCGCCTATCCAAGATCCCATCTACTTCCAATTTGATCGGCGATGCAACTTCTCCTACTCGTAAAGGTGCAGCTGGAAAAGCGGCTACATTCCACGCTACCAAGGCCAACCCATCTGGTAATAGCGGTAGCAGTAGTGATGACAACAGCATGTACAAAGCCGTTATGCAGCGTAACATGGGTGGCCGCACTCTCGTCGAACTAGCACAAGCACGCGCTGGCGGCCGTGCATTTGTGGATGATTTGAAGCGTGTTTCGAGCGATTCGCGCGCTTATACTACCGGCTCATCTTCTGGTTCGACAGTATCTTCATTCGGCAAATCGACTGAATGTCCAGCAACCTGGGATCCCAATAGCGAGCAGATGCCCAGCCCATTCGTTTCGCGCAGAGTGTTTCACAGTTTCCGGTGATTTGCTGCATAGATTCAGCGTGCGTGGTCATCTATCAACGTTGAAACGATTCTCCTTTGTTCTTACATCGCTTACTGCTCCTAATTTCGAGCGAAGACGACGAATGCTTCCACGACATTTCATTTGTTCCATCTCCTATCTTTCTGCAAAACGACATTCATTCATTTCATTACGTGTCGGTCTCTTTCTATCAAGGACTATACAAACAAAATCCGGCGTTTTGGTAACAACGGCTATGTCGCATTTACAAGGCGTATATTGGTTCAACGGTGTTTTGGATTTTTCTTTATCGCTCTCTTGTCGAGTTGTGTGCAAATTTTCTTCTTTTTTGACTCCTTTTTTGGGTACTGCTATTAACTCCTTCTTGGTCTTCGATTCTGATGAAATGAATTCTGATGAAATGAGTTTTGCGTCCAAAGCTGACTCTATGTTTTGCTGTGGAGTATACCATGCAATACTTTTACGCGACTTCTTCTCTTGTACGTATATCTTGGACATTGGGTTAGGTGCTTTTTGAATTTCGTTTGATTCATTTATAATTCTTTGCATATAATACACATTATATAAGCAGCCAGATAGTCGGTGGCCCTGTTTACTCAGGAGAGATGATCACATGTTATCCTCATCACTAACCTCCTCAATATCCACATTATGAGCCCTCTGCTGATTCGGCGATGACTGAGCCCTCGTCTCCTCCTCAATTCTTCTTAGAATCTCTTCCGGATCTTCCTCCTCTTGTTCCTTCCCTTCATTACCCTTGCTCGGATTTCTGGCCGTCTGTACATAACCCGCCTTCTCTAACCTATCCATCTCTTCCGGCTCCACTAATCTCCCCTGCCCTCTTATAGCTTCTTGCTGTTTCCGAACTGCAGCCGGCACAAATTTGCTTACTGCTTCTTTTCTAAGGTCTCGAATCACAGGCGCTGATTCATAGACTGTTCGTGGTTGTGCGCTTATCTCTGGCTTTGCGGGTAATGCATGTGGTTGACGAGGGCCTTCTTCGCCTTGTGCAGTCGTAGGAACCCGCCTTCGAAATTCGGGGGGTATGGGAGGTGGTGTATCTCTCGGCATGGGGATGTTACGAACACTCTCGTCTGTTTCGCTGCCATCGTCACTCTCTTGTCTCCATTGTTGTTGGCGCTCATCTCTCCGCCTCTTGCCTAAGACGCTGTTTTTTCTACCAGTATTGTCATATTGTGGACGATGTTGTGCAAACTGTGGCGCTTTATCACCCAAAGCCTCTCTCGCCTTCTGCACTGCCCGCAAATCCCGCTCCAATTCCTCTAATATCTGCTTCTCGCGCGGCCGTAACGGCTGCCCGGACTCCTCTATAGCTTTCAAATCATTGATCTGCCGCTGTATCCGCTCGGGATTACGACGCGCAAGCTTTTCGTTTCGTCGTGCGACTGCTTCCGCTTTGCCCTTTTTCAGCGCTTTTTGTTTTTCTAGTTTGCGCTGGGCTTGGGCGGGATTGATGGATCGTTCTTTATCTTTGGGCATGATGGAAGCCTGAAGGAGTGATTGATGGGTCAGAAAAGAGGCGTAATATTGCTCAGTGGTCGGGGATTCCGGCCGTTGGAAGGAGATTGCGGAAGTGGTTGTTTCCCTGGGGAGAGTGATGGATCAATTGATAGGGTGATAGATCGTGGGGTACGTCAGGCGTAAATGCATAGATTATCGATCTGCTTTCTCAGTACTTTTCTCGCACTCTATCAGACCAAACACCGGTAATAACGATAGCCAAGCTCCTTCTTTGGAGAGGAAAAAAGAATGTGCTTGAGCTCCCGCAGCAGATACCAGACTAGAGCCTCAGCGGGTAAATTGCGACAAATATCACAGGTCAATACCGTCTCTTAGGCTGTCGTAGGTGCATAAGCCAGCATAAGTCAATAATGTCTCTGGGCCAGTCGCAAGCTTCAATGCCGTCGGTACCACACCGGTCCTATAGCAAGGTCGCAGTGCTTCAGCCTCACGCGTTGGGCAGCCGGGAAGATATTTCCCGGAAGGCTGGATTGATGGTGGAGTTGGAAGAAGCGACGTAATATTGAGTCCACGAATGGTCCAGATGCAGAGAGAGGTCGATTGTACGTTTTGTTTTTTTGTAGTTTGTTGCTTGGGAGGAGTCGTAATTTGGAGAGGAAAGAGGAAGATCCACTTCACCGCCCGTGGTGGATTCTGCCGACCTTCAGTTCGGTCTCTGCGCGGGGAAACCTGTGGACTGGACAGTGGAGCATGTGCCATTAAGGTAGCTTTGGCCTCGCCTCGATTGAAATGCGGCTTGATACTATGGATAGATAGCATATAATTGATTGAAACCAGCCTGCTAACCTGGTCTTGTCGGCCTGAGCAGTGAGCGCATCTGCTGTTCAGTGCTATATCAGCTTCAAGTATACTCCTTCCTATCAGGTCACTGGCTGGTATACGCAGTGTGTGTATGCAGCCTTATATATCTACCTGAATGCCGCTCAAGTACGACTAGTTACAATCATAATCAATAAATTAATTAATTGAAAGGAACTAGGAAAATTAAGCCATTGGCCGTCCCATCCCCGGCGAGTTCAGGTTGAATTCATAAATTTCTCCTCTCCGAATACACCAACCACCACCACACCACCTCCGAATCTTCCTCTCACCCTCTTCCACCCGTCCGTCCGGCGCCCGGTACAACTTTTTATGACTCTCAGTCTCATTAATACTCTCCTCCCTCAAAGACAAAGAAGCTCCGTTCGCAGTTCCTGCATAGTGTCTCGCTCTCAAACCGCGGCCTCCCCACACCCTTTTTGGTCGGTGTAACGCGACAAGCGGCCGCGGTTACGTCTAGACATCCCATTGCCGCCCATACGGTTATCCTACTCCCATCGAAATAGACGGAACGTGTGAATCGGCGCTTCGGTTTATTTTCCTTCGTCTTCTTTTGCTCTCATGTCGGCCGATCTTCTGGGTCGGTAGTCATTTACTCGACCTTCGGCATCTGGGGAACTCTCTGGTCTGTGAAAGGAAGTCTATAGACGTACAGTGCAGCAGACGAAAGAGCACCGACGCTACAATTTATATACTTATCAATCTACTCTGTTACATCTATCTACAAACAACTCCTCATACCTACGTACCATCAGCTTCCCTTGCCGCGGCTTCGTACGACAAGTAGTTTCGCTTCGCTCCGACGCCCATCCCTCTTACTCCCGACTATCAATCACCATGCACTGCCGTCCGTATCGTGCCTCCGCATCCAATCTGATCGGCACTATACCTTCCGTCCCATCCTCGTCGTCAGTGTAAAAAAGCGATACACTACAGGGGCATGTCCCTATAGGGACCCCAAATGTCCGTCGCAACCTCGATTCCCGATACTTCTCTAGGCCTCACTTCTTCTGAAATCCAAATTCTTCGACAACAACAGCAGATCGCGTTGCAAGGAGGAGGAGGCCATGCCGGTAGCGTCTCGAGAGGGCGTGGCTCTGGCCGGAATAGCAATTCTAGTTCGCGCGCCACAAGTGCGGCCAGTAGTCAGGGCCGACTCTTGCTTGATCCTATGAGCTTGAGGGCGTTGTCGCATCAGTTGGAATATCTGCAGGAGCAGATCCATCATCGCATTGAACATGTATGTTTATTTTTCCTCGCTGAGGTGTAGCGATATTGGTGTTGATGGGTGCTAACATGCGTACAGTTAGAAGATCAGATGCAAGCGTCAATACAAAACAGTCGAGACCGAGCCGGTAATGTCATTCGCAATGCCGATGCAGAGATTGCGCGCACCCGTGCCATCCTGGCATCAATCGATGAGTTGGAGAACGAACTCGCCAAAATCGGCCACATCCGAGACATTGTCAAATCATTTCGTGCTCGTATTGAAAGCTATGATCACCGCCTTGATCAGGCTGCTCGTCGTCGATGATTCTTCTTTAGTTCCGACTATTGGCATTAATTATTGCATGGCTTTGTTGACGATGTACTATTTCAACCCGATGGCTGACATTATCGGTCGTATGTGCCCTGGCGGTACCCAATCTCTGCTCTGCCATGCACAGACGCAATACTTCTTGATCTCTGTGAGGTCATTCTATTCGCAGGCGGCAAGCTGCTGCATACCCTTCTACGCAATTCAGCCGGCGGCTGAGGCTTCCTTTCAGTTTACGACATCATACAATACTAGTCCTCGCGGACAAAACGACTTGCGACTGAGGCGCCTATAAAACACAAGACGTGATGCTCTGGATGTTTATCATCGTATCTCTTCAGCCTTTCTCATAGGCATATCTTATCTGTCGACTATTTTTTTTTGGTCTTTTCTTTTATCTATTTCGGCATAGGGAATGGCATAAAGAGTTGGTTCTCGGCCTCGCGGCCATCTCAAATTCTCAGAGTCCATTCAAACGTTGGATCTCATGATGAAACAAGAGGGGATCGGTGTATTGGAGTTTTAGTGGTTGTTTCTTTGTTTTGCCCGTTTCTACTTGAGCTCGTTTATATCCCTCTTGGCGATTGCTTATTCCTCTCATCTTCACCCTATGTCAAGCGATACCTGTTCTTTGGGCAAGTGATTTCCATTCCTAGCAAGTGTTTTATATATCCCTATCTGTTCGGCGTTTATATTGATATTGAGATAATTTGATCAAATCTTCATTCTACCAGGTACAGTGGACATACAGCTGACGAATTCGCGGTCCCCCTATGGTGATTCCAAGACTTCGATTGATCCACAGCACTGTTGGTGGACATGAGAAGCCTGGAAAGAAGCATGTGTAAGCTTGCGAGTCTGAAAATAGGTGCAGTATCTCTGGCCGATGCAGGTGACGACAGTTGGCCTGGGTAGCCCAGTTGTCCTAGCAGTAAATAGCAATATTGGCACTGAAACCATATCACGACGCCGGAATCGCCGGGAGACGGAGTATTTCGAAGGCCATATTGGACCTGATGGGCGCAGTGCATGTCACCAACATATTGTCCGACAAGCTCGGCTCATCGCGCCTGATAGGCTCTCAGTAGAATACCAATACACAAGAGAAGACGTATCACATCTCATGATCCTTCCACTCCCTCCTTCACTGCAACAGCACCCTCCTTCCTCCGTACAGCCAATTTCATACTCCGCTTCCGATTCTGCGGAAACCGTTTCACCGTCTCACAAGCCTTGCAACGAACCACCAATACATCCGCCCAGGGCTTGCGACGACCTTTACTCTCATTCTGGATTTCTTCCGTGCATGTTTCGCCGGGAATCAAGAGTAGATCACATCGCTTGCAGAAACCTCGCTTTGTCTCTTGGGAGAGACGTTGTTGGGTTTTTAGTGCGACTCCGCGCATTTGGTTGATGTAGTGTCGGGGTAGAGATGTTTGGATGATGGATTTGGTTTTATTCTCTTTGAGATTGTTGTTGTTGTCTGGACTTTGTGGCTCGTTTATCTCGGATTGTTTCGAGTGAGTCTGTAGATATATTGTGGCTTTGTGCAGATATGCCATACGAGCTCGACTATGGCTGTGTACTCCCCCCGAGACACCCTTGTCTCCTTTTTTTGCCTTTGACGCAGCCATACTGCTAGTTAAGAAGCGTTAATACAAAAAAGCACTGAACATAAAGGACTCCTCATCGCATGTTTCTGTTTGTATGGATCATTGAGAGACAAAAATCGTCCACTCAGAGCGTGGCAACATTACTGCAAGCTAATCCCCTTCCGGCAACAGCCCATCCCGTAAACGGCTAGTCTGCTGACTAAAGCAGGGACGCCCTCTCCGCCTCTCCAAGGCAGAACTTCCTCCCTTCGTCTTCGCTCAACTTCGCGCGCGACATCAGTCGATCCATCATCAATCTATCCCCATTCTCGCGACATCTCTGCCTGGAACGACATATCATCGCGTAATCCATCAAAGTCTCGTGTTCTCCTCCATTTTCAATATTCAATCCTTTATTGCCCCACTCTTCCCTACACAAAATCAACAACATGGCCACTGAAGAAGATCTCATCGACTACTCCGACGAGGAGCTCCAGACCACAGAGCCCGCTGCCGTCGCTCCCGCCGCGACTGAAGCTGGAAATGGCGCCGCTGCGACCAAGAAAGGCGACCTGACTGTCTCTGGTGGTCGTCCTGATAAAAAGGGTAGTTACGTCGGTATTCACTCAACTGGTTTCCGCGATTTCCTGCTCAAAACTGAGCTGCTTCGTGCCATTACCGATTGCGGTTTCGAACATCCATCGGAGGGTTAGTCTAACTACAAACACACACACACACTTATGCTTTTTCTCTTTTCCTTTTGCCAGCCTTCCTTATTTTCTATTGCTACGTCCGTCCATCTCTGCGGGAAGGAAGAAAGTGTCATCGTGATTTATCTCCAAGCAAGAGGAATACTTGTCGCTACGCGCTTCAGGATTCGTTATTGCATTGGTTCTTTATACAGAACCGGCCTGTGCTGTATTTCGCCTGCAGCGCATGGTTATCCTATCGGAGACCGGTGGAAGAAAAGCCATACGCGGGTTTCGACAGAGTGCTCTGCGCAAGTCGTAGCATCTGATCTTTGATATTGAATCGAAGGAGGAACGAAACTTGGAAAATGACCTATCGTGGAAGGAAAAATGATGTGTTTGGATTCTACCTATACATGCGTTGACACTTGCCTGTCTTCTGCATTGGTATCCAACGAGCGGCACGAGGAGTTAATACCTCAAGCTTTATCATCATACGGAGTGGTTTTGGTTCAATCATCGTCGAAAAATTTTGTTGGTTTGATGGCTTGACTTCCTTGCAACTTCGACGACCCAAAGAGATGGCGGACGAGCAATTCAATTTCCGATCCGGTTCAACTTTGGAATTTTTTATCGAACGATATCTAACATTTTTGCCGCCTTGCCACAGTCCAGCAAGTTTGCATCCCCCAAGGAATGCTCCACAGTGATCTTCTTTGCCAGGCCAAGTCCGGTTTGGGTAAGACAGCCGTATTCGTCCTCACAACCCTGCACGGACTGGATCCTGTAGAGGGAGAAGTTCAAGTCTTGGTTATGTGCCACACCCGTGAGTTGGCGTACCAGATCAAGAACGAATATGCTCGATTTAGCAAGTATCTTCCTCAAGTAAAGACGGCCGTTTTCTACGGAGGTACTCCCATGCAAAAGGACATCGAAATCCTCAGCAACAAAGAGACCCGACCTAACATTGTCGTCGGCACTCCTGGTCGTTTGAACGCCCTCGTCCGTGATAAGAAGTTGTCTCTTCGCAACGTCAAGGCTTTTGTCCTTGACGAATGTGACAAGATGCTTGACCAGATTGGTAAGTGATCCTGTTAGTGGTCGATTGATCAGTCGCTGATATTTTGCAGACATGCGTCGTGATGTTCAGGAAATCTTTCGCAACACCCCGGCAGAGAAGCAAGTTATGATGTTCAGCGCCACTCTTTCGCAGGAAGTCCGCCCTATCTGCAAGAAGTTCATGCGTAACCCTCTCGAGGTGTACGTTGACGACGACACAAAGCTCACACTCCACGGCCTTCAACAGTACTACATCAAGTTGAGCGAACAAGAGAAGAACCGTAAACTCAGTGACCTCCTCGACAACTTGGAGTTCAACCAGGTTATCATTTTCGTCAAGAGCACTCTCCGTGCCAATGAGTTGGATAAGCTTTTGCGAGAGTGCAACTTCCCCAGTATTGCTGTCCACTCTGGAGTCAGCCAAGAGGAGCGGTATGTACATCAGTTCTACTATATTAAGCGTATTCTAACACATCATAGTATCAAACGTTACAAGGAATTCAAGGAATTCAACAAGCGTATCTGTGTCGCAACTGACGTTTTTGGTCGTGGTATCGATATTGAGCGTATCAACCTGGCCATCAACTACGATCTTCCTGGTGACGCTGATTCATACTTGCACCGTGTCGGTCGTGCAGGTCGTTTCGGTACCAAGGGTCTCTCCATTTCCTTCGTCAGCAGCGAGGAGGATGAGAAGGTTCTCAAGGAGATTGAGAAGCGTTTCGAAGTTGCCCTTCCGTAAGTTCCTCTCAGCGCTCTCCTCTAGCATCTGTTATACTGATACTTGAATAGTGAATATCCCGAAGGCGGTGTTGATGCAAGCACCTACATGGCTTAAACATATTCTCTGGCCCATGTTCTGATCAGTAACATTGGGTACATTTTGTAATTTCAAATGGGTTTAGCTGGGTTTTCTTCTGTTAACTAAAACATGAAAATTGTTTTCTATTCTTCTGGGATGGCTTTATTAGTATTTAGGGTCTGAAAATTGACGGTTGACATAGCTGTAACTGTGTTTGAGTCTTCTTCATAGATATATGGTAGATATCTACAGACTCTCTTTCAAACAGCGTATTATCTTTGACATCAACTAGGGTTGTCTTAATGAAATGACTATCCTGGTTTGCAAAGTTCTTAATCCAACTTGCTAGACTATGTACTGACTTCCCTTCAACGTACTATTCTCGCTCTACAGCATAGAGGAATCATTGTATGCGCATCGATAAGAATTTGAGCAGATACACCAAGACAAAGTGCTACAACAACATGTGCAATGATTCTCATCCAACAGGGCCCATGCTTAGCACGGTTTTGTAGGCCCTCTCTTCGCAACTTCACGATTCCCTTCGTTTCTTTTCCGCCAGAAGTTTCAACCTCTCGACTTCGCCAGGCCATAGCGTGTTATGATGCTCATTCACAACTTGAGCCCAATGATTGATACAGTCATACACGGCCTTCAGTTCCTTTTCAGGCGTAACTTCGAAGAATTCCTTATGTTCACTGTTGCATGGACACCGCTTCGCAGATCGATACCTCCAATTGCTTAGTTGTGCGTGAACCAAGTCCTCAGCCTTATATTTTAGTTCTATGTCCCCTATTCCGTTCGGGTAGAGCTCAAGACGCTCGTATCTAAAAAATTTGCATTTCGCGCCGCGGAGGCCGCGTAGTCGTGCTTGGACGTCCTTGGAATTCCCGACTTTGATGATCATCATTTTATTTCCTTCTTCCCTTTCACTCGAAGGCTCCGGTGGATATGGCGTTACTCGCAACATATAGACGAAGCCTTTTTCGTCGCCATTACGCGGTGGCTTTCGCAGGACTTGCATGATTTTTCCAGCTACGGACCATGAGACACTTTCCGGGATGTATTCCATCAGTTTTCTCTCTGTTGGGTCGCGGGGGCCGTGACTAACGGCACTATCAGCTGTGTTTGTTCGCTTTGGCATCTTTGGCCCGTCTGCTAGCGGCAGCAGGGTATCAGACTCCGTATTTTTTCCTGAATCGAGATCATTGTTGACTTCGTCTCGGACGGTCAAGCCATTGAGCCGGGTAGTGGGTACTTCGATATTATCGCTGCTATTCCCGGTTGAACGGGGGGGTGTTGAGATTGGTTCTAGAGATGAGCTGTGCTGACTATATGCGGAAGCCGATTCGAGTGTAGCAGTCGAAGTAGAACTGCCTTTATTGAGCCTCGGAGTACCTCTTCGCGGTGTATTAGTGCGCGGTGGTGTGTCAGTTGCTGCTGAGATAGAGCTGCGTATGGGAGTATTACGGCGTGAAGTCTTTGGTGAATCTTCTACTGATGTAGAATTGCGTAGCTTGCGTCCTGAATTGGCGCTGCGTTCAGTACTCGGACGCGACGGCGACTCTTCCGCTGGGGTAGAAGTGCGCCTACTACGTGGCGGAGGAGTAGCCACTGGAGTACTTTGTCGTGTTGTCCGGCTTGCCAGAGGCGAAGAGATTTCAGACTCAAAAGTGTCTTCTTCCTCATCGCCGTCGTCAAAACGTTTTGCTGTCTTCCGCGGCGTGCCCATTTTGGAATGCTTAGAACATAGTGGCCCATCACACGTGTCACCGCAAACTCTTTCCTTGTCTTTTTTGCCCCGGTTAATAATGTAGGTACATGTTGACAAAGTAGTGGACATTGTTAGCAGTGTAGATGGTATAGACGACGTAAATTGTTGGTTTATGTGCTTGATATAGATCCCACTCTGCCGGGCTGGAGATACTTCCAAGTTCCTGGTTATTTCTCTCAGCCTGAGCGAGGTACAACTGCAAGGCTCTTAAGAACAAGCGGATAAATTATGGCAATGCGGCGCAGTGAGCATACCCAGGTAAAAGAGAGAGGGGTCGGCTGAATCTAGTACAATTGAGGCTTAAGCTGTCGACAAACCCTTGAACAGCAATATAAAATAACCAATTGCAAAATAAAACTAGTTCTGAAATAAATAAAAAACCTGCCTTGTACGTGCTTAGTTTGCGAGCCATCGTATTGAAAATGGCAGGGGTGCATACGACACTATGCAGGGATTCAAGCTACTAAACCTCAGAAAGATACTGCATTATTTCCTTTTTGGGTAAGAGTTTGCACTTTCATTGCTTTTCTTCTCTCTCTATGGAGAAGTTCGGTATCTATCTGACTTTTAGTGTCAAACTATTTAGATCACTATGCTTTGAGACGATCAGTTACTGGCTTAGAAGACCAAGGGTGTGATAGTACATACATACAGAGTAGTTGGTCTCATGGTTGCGTCGTAGTGCTATCATTACAATGAGGTTGAAGTTAAAAATCTAAAAATAAGTTGGCTGGAAGATTCCCTAGGCGCTGAAACGAGGGACTTCCAACATTGGAAGTACCTCCAGGAAATAGGGTTGTTGAGAAGTTATTGGGACATTCATATGTAGACATTAACAAGATCTAACTCTCTAAAAAACTTCAGGAAGTAATAGCCATTAAAATTCTGGACCATGGATGAGATAACCACACAACACACAAATTTACTAGAACAATCATTTATTATCAATAATCATGAAATAGCTAATAACCCAGTGTCTTCAATTTAGCTCCCTTCCCTTAACAATAGAAACGTTGAAAGCTCTACCATTCCTGGCTTTCCAATAATGCTTCAAATTCGACGCAGATTGCTAAGAATAAGTCAAATTCGGGCATATACCAGACTGTTCTTTCGCTGATGTAGTCGGTCGATACGGAAAGGATATAGAAGTTTGCGTTGTTTCACATCCATTGATGTCTATTCATATTTCCCAGGTGGCGGGCTGTTCCGACTGTTATATTCCGCATATTCTGAGCGTTGTTCTGTTACAAGTACTCTTTGTTTTATATATTATTTAGTGGGAAGTCTGTTTTTGATCGCGATGGACAGTATCGAGTCAATTGCTACATATAAGCTGCCAACGGTCTTTTCTTTCACACTGTATAGAATAAATGGACATCTTACAAAACCCTAGTTTTCATTCCTCGATGCCAGCGCTGGGAGTAATTTAACTCAACCGCAAATAACCAATCCTTCCTACTGCAAAATGACCCGGTTTCCTACAAACATTATACTAGCCAGCGGTATGCATCCCATACGACATATGTCAACTATAGTAGTGTAGCCTGGAACTACCTAGGTATCTAATCAGCTGGAGCTGTACCCATTTAGCATTATCTTTTCCGTCTCTCCCACTGCGCTCGAGCAGACAACTTATGAAGAAGTAAAACTTAATCGAGATTCAATTGGCAACTTCTCAAAAGACGATATGAGTTAATCCGGCAATTGGAGACTCTGAGGCCGGGGATCACCGGGTTTATCTACTCCTAGCCAATAAGTTGAAGTCAAAAACCCCGGCTATCAGGGTCCGATTCAAATCTGTGACCGAAATAACCGGGTTTATCTCTATCAAGTGGATATATACTAACACAAACAAGCACTGGTATCCCCGCAAAGTTTGTTTCCCCGTACTTGTATATTCCTTGATTTGATGCCGGAAGAATTGATGGTTTCTATTAAGGAGGAATCTCAAAGATATGCTGTCAGTTCTTAATATATTTTAATATTTTCAATCTAAATTAAGTTTATTCGAGCCTGTTGGCACAGAGCATTCCAATCGTGGGAAATTTCTTCCAAAGCTTCTTGTTATTATAATACCTACATATGTACCTAGATACGTATTAACCCGCCCTTCGGCTCCTCGAACTCTTATGATTTCAAGACTAGGTTACAGCAAGCAAGACTGTCAAGGATTTGCTCTTTCCATTCACAATGGGCTTCTTTCGAAGGCTAGCCAGTGGGACGAGCCTGGTGTACTTGACTCAGTCTGCCCTGGCAATCCAGCTACCACCTGGCTATGACACAGTATGGACTACACAAAGCAACAACTCTGCTGGCTCAATGCCGGTAGGAGGCGGAGATGTAGGACTAAACGTCTGGGCTGAAGCTGGTACCATTTACCTCTCTATTTCTGGAATTAGAGACTGAAGGAATTCATGACCAATCTAACATAAACAGGCGATATCCTTTTCTACATTGCAAAGAGTGGCGCTTTTGATGAGAATAATTCCCTCCTGAAGCTTGGCCGTGTACGATTGTCTATGGATCCGAACCCATTCGAAATGAATGCGAATTCATTCGAACAGCACCTGAACATCAATGATGGCTATATCACGTTTACTGGTGACAATAACACGCTCATTAAGCTCTGGGTCGATACGGTTACCTCCGGAATTCACACTGAGATTACAAGCGACAATCATCTTAACTTGACTGCCTATTTTGAAGCCTGGCGTCTAACGGAACGTCCTATGGGAAGCGGAGAAGAAGGTTCGCAGTGGACTATTTGGCTTTTTCCAGTCCTAACAGTAGAAATACAGTGCAAACCTCATGGGGCGTCAATTCAGTTAGCGAAATACCCCTGCCTACTCAGTATCCTGACAAAATTGATTATCGTCACAATGGCGTTCTGAGCTATCATCACAATCACGATACGCCTCTTACTACGTTCCAAATCTCGGAGCAGGGGCTCGGAGATGCTGACCCAAGCTCATTTTTTAATCCAATGAAGAACAACACGGTACGGCGTTCCTATTTCCGTCCTAAGTTTTCAGACTTGAAATATGTTGACTGAATCCACACAGTTTGGAGCGTTCATGTGGTCTCGTCAACTCCATCCTGGGGCGATCACATCAGGAGCATACAATGGTACTAATTTCACCGCTTACAACCTCGTCTCGGATCGTCTCAGCAAGTCGTTCAAGCTTTATATTGGCACAGAGCAATCCGCATCCACAAATATTGACCAGTGGGCAGAGTCGTTCATCAAAGATGCGTTAAAGATGGAGATGGCTAGCCAGCACAACACGATCGAGTGGTGGAATGCGTTCTGGGACCGATCATACATCATCATCAATCCGGATGCAGGCCCAGACGACTCTGGATTCCAAGTTGGCAAGAACTATCAATACTTTCGATATATGATGGCATGTAACGCAAAAGGTGAATATCCCACTAGGTTCAATGGCGGGCTTTTCACATTCGACCCTTCTTATGTGAATCCGATCTGGTACCCATACACCCCGGATTTCAGGAAGTGGTCTGGAGGCACCTTTACCGCACAGAATCAGAGGCTGCTGTACTGGCCCTTGCTAAAAACCGGCGATTACGATATTATGCAGCGTAAGTTTCCGTCAAGCAGTCATTCTACGAACTGTAGAACCTAATGGGGATGTTTATTATAGAAGCTTTCAACTTCTACCAGAACATTTTACCCACCAGCAGAGCCTTAGGAAAGCTCTATTTTGGATTAGACGTGGCTCTCACATCAGAACAGATTGACAATACTGGCCTTCCAAATGTCTACGAATATAATGCGAACGTCTTCAGCAACAGCCAGACGAGAGACCCCGTTCTCTACCCAGCTGGCATTGACTTCAACGACTGGCTATCTTGGTACCAAGATACAGCAAATGAATTCGTGGATATGATCCTACAGGCGAAGATGTATAACGGGCTCGACATTACGCCTTGGAAACCCTTTGTGGAATACCAGTTGGCGTGGTTTGACGAATACTACCAACAGCGGAACGGTCTTGAATCTAACGGTACACTGATAATCTACCCAGGCTCCGGAGCAGAAACTTACAAACTCGCATTCAATTCAGCTTCGACAGTTTCTGGCTTGAGGAAGACCTTGTCTGATCTTTTGTCGCTGAATCAGAACTGGTCAAAGGGGAACGCGACGTACTACGCCCAATACCTCTCTCGGGTGCCAGCTACCCCTTTACATTCCTGTCCAGGTTATTCTAGTAAGTATCGTTCGTACGCGTGAATTAACATAAATGAACTGACATGTGTACGAATTAGCCTTGACATGTGTTGCCCCTGCCCTCAATTACTCGTTTACGGAAAATAACGAGCCTACAGCTCTCTATACTGTTTTTCGTAGGTTTCTTTCCGACTCAGATTACTTTCTGCAATGTCTACTAACCAAAATTTGATGAACAAATAGCATGGGGAGAATATGGTCTTGGACAACCAACGAATTTGAGCTATGCTATCAACGCGTACTTCAATGACACCCAGTCCGCAACCTACCATGGAACATAGTAAGTTTGCGGCACCGTATTCTTCCCAAAGATATGCTAAGTATCAAAACAGTGGCTGGCGTCAAGATCAAATCTGGTTCGCGCGTTTGGGATTAACCGAGGAAGCTACCGCCAACATCATCAGCCGACTCACAGATAGCACTACATACCGATTCTCAGCATTCAAGGGCCCAAACTACGATTGGTCTCCGGACATCAACCATTACGGATCTGGCGCTATTGGGCTTCAAGAGATGTTGATGCAGACATTTGCCCTGAACAATACGCAGATTCGCTTGCTTCCAGCCTGGCCGTCTGAATGGACTGGTTACTTCAAGTTGCAGGCTCCGTTCTCAACAGTTGTGACTGCTAATATTACGGGGCCGTCCGTTAGCAACTTGGTTGTTGTTCCTGCGTCTAGGTTGAGTGATGTCGTGTACGGTACTGAGTAGCGATCCCGATATCATTAAGTCTTGCAAATGCCACTCTGATGAGGATCTCTGGGTTGTATGAAAATCGAGTAAACACGAAAATCTAGATACCTGCTTGTCTTCCAAGGTTCGCCTCTTTACTATTCATGGATATATCCAAGAACTTATTCGTGGTTTGAACAAAGCCCAAATCAACACGCTCCAGCAGGAGAACTAGTGGACGAGCAAGGGGATGTAGAGTGTATATGCAGATAAGGGATCTACTTCCGATAGTATAAATTCTATATATAGAGCATCTAACTAAATCCAGGTGCTATGATTGGTCAAATCAGGTATTTTGATTACATAATCTTGATCTCATAACACTCAAAATGACAGTCATCATAAAACCACCGTTTTAAACCTCGTGTTATCCAACATGTCTCATCATGTCTCAACAATGTGCCACATTGGCGGCGCCAAAAGTCACTATAGTGGACTCAATGACGTTTGTCGCTGGCGTAGTCAGATCCACTGATCTGATTCAGGGACGTACATAGTAGGTCCGTGATGGTTCGCTCGGGGTTTGCTTTTTTGCTTCCACCTACGTCCTTGATTTTATATTTGTATGGAGTCCGTAACTTAACGTACAAGACAGCTCACTCAATACACTGAGTGACCAATGAAAAGCCGAAATAAAATGAAGTAACGACGGGATCTCTGCCAACTTTTCTTATTTAGGGTTTGGCCAATCACATGTTCTACTGCTGGACAGGATATCGTCCGACTCGAAGCAGAAATGTGTCTCGGTCAGGCAAATCTCTAATCAAGCTTACTTGGCTAGCTTGACTGTGTCCGATTGGGTTGCAACTGACTGATCGGGAGGTAGACCCTCGAGCTTTCAAATCGGACCTTTAAATCTGTGAATCGTATCTCCAGTCTCTCCGGCTTGAATGGCTAGACTATCTAGCTCTGTACTCCGTAGGCCCATGAAACAATTGAATGATCGGCCGACACATGCAGATCGCAATGAAATACCTGCTCGTCTAAATCCTAACAAAACTCGGGAAAAAAAGTATTATGATTACCTACTTGCAGGGTGCGAATACATTGTACACAAGCTCAATGTATCAATGACAGCAGTATTGTCGATCTAGTGGCTGTGCCCGATGTCGATCACCGGGCATAGATAAGTTTATCTTATTGCATTAAACCGACATTAAAACGCGAATGCGAGCATCTCATTTGTTGGATTGATAGCTGATGTATCCGAAAACGGTTATATGTTTTGCTCCCCCCTTTTCTTGTCTCTGTGCTCAGATCGATGGAGTGGCGGGATCGAGCTCTGAGTCCACGTAGATTTTCATGCATGATTGCGTTGCTCGTGGGCGGAGGGGAGGGCTGGGTTAGGAGCAGAGACAGTAGACAGAAACGCGTCGGGTCAATTTTCACGATGGCATACATACTTGTTCACCGACAGAAAACCAATCATCGCAGTGACATGACATTCCATGCGATACGCCCTCCGCAACGGGAATTCCTCAACTAAATCAAGGAATGAGAAAAAAAGGTCAGTGATAGTCAAAGTTTATTCTTCTTTTCTTTTCTTTTTTTTTTTATTATATTTTCTTTCTCGGGCCGGATTGAGTGGTGTGGTTGACGTCGATTTATGAAGACTCAATTCAGTATGCAAGAGAATTAATTAGTCTGGTCGTACCACTTCTCTTTGCCGAGAGAGGTACAGAGTAAAACCGTCGAATTTATCTTCGTATCCTGACAGCTCGTATGTTATGTTTAAACGTCCGCCGCGTTGGCGCGCTACAGGGACTAAACACACTAAAACTATCCTGCCAGGGCAAGTGTGTGGATCAGAGAAGCCAACGGTAAGAGTCACCACCGTCTCCATCCATTGAGCCACGGCGAGAAATAACCTGGATAGTGGGTAAAAACGGAGTTAGGACGATGAGCGGACCGGACGGTTTCTGCTTCGCCGATCCGAAAAGTACGCATTGGCATAAAAGACCGATAACGATGTGAAATTGGCAGTCTCAGAGCTGCAAATACTTAGTCAGTGGTTAGTGCTGACTCTTCTGTAGGCTGTAGCCATGCCCATGCCCCATGCCGCGCTAGCTATGATTCACGGAAACCATTATCGAGATATCTTGTTTGGTGGCTGGACTAACTGGTCCATTGATCACAGAGTGACTGGACGTCGGGATTATCATTTGTTGGCACACGCTGCCGTAGTACGTATGCCGGTCGTACCACGTACCACGTACCGCTTAGCACTTTCTTTCTTGGATATGTTGAGAATAGAGTAGTTGGACAGTTGTTGTACGCAGAATGAAATTGTCAAGCCGACTGTCAACGTTGAGACATCTCGGATGATGTGAGATACGTACCACCGGTTGGCTGCTGATGCCGCTTACCGGATTTGGTCATGCTGTGCTAGTAGAAAGAATCAAAATAGTCTGTACGACTTGGACAGGGGTGCTCGGAATTGGATGGATTTAGAACTGGTGAAAAGCATCAAAAATCGAAGTGAAAGTATAGGAAGCGAAAATAAGGAAGTGAAAATAGAGAAGTAAACGAGAGAGCAGACAGCAAGAAAAGAAGACGAAAAAAAAAAGAAGAAAAGAATAATGATAATGATAATAGTAGTAATAGTAGTAATAATAATAATAATAATAATAATCAATCCGAGGGAGTAAAAATAGACAAAACCTGAAAGTGCAAAATGAATTATGGAGCCTCATCGACTTTGCCCGTTCCGGCGGCAGCATCCAGCCTGGGTCGAGAAGGCCCAGAGTCGCCAATGACCCACCGGAGATGAAAGATGAAGAAAAGAGGAGAACAGGAGAAGAGGAAAAGAGGAAAAGAGGAAAAGAGGAAAAGAAGAAAAGAAGAAAAGAGAAAAGAGGAAAGGAGAAGACGAGAAGAGGAAAGAAGAATCAGACAGTGTGTATACCGCCGTGTTTGTTTTCTATCAAGCTGTGTCTGTTGAGAAGTGCGTTGTTGGTTATACACGAGATCAAAGTAACTTAACGATGTACTACCGCGTAGAAACTGCATGGAGAGATACATACATAGTAGAGTTGGCTGCCTAAGGGACCAACCAATGCCGCCCTGGCCTTCCTCCATTCTTGCTCCTTCCTCCTTCCTCCTTCCCATTTCCATCCCCGTCAGTCGCTCTTTGCCCTGAGACTCCCGCCCCAAACTCTTCCTCTCTTCAATTTTTCTCCCTTCCTTCTTCCCATCCCCGACATAGAATTGTGATCCTTCGTTTTCACCATTGTTTCGTTTCTTTTTCCTTGTTTTCCCTCGCTGTCGTTGCATCTGAGAAAGAAAGAAAAAAAAAAACTCCCCCCTCCCCCAGTCTAATAATTTGCGTCCCTACTATCCGGCGCTCCCGGTAGCTTCTTACCCCGAACTTGCATTCGACCCTCGTTTGACCGACTATCATCGCGCGTTCTTCAATTACGAGATTTACGCCTATATCGATCGCACTTGCCTTCCATTAGGAAGTGCATGCGTCACGACCACGGCAGCGACCATTAGCTTGTCAGATTAAAAGTGAGCTGTTCGGGTCAGTCGGCGTGTGCTGAAAGCGACTCTTGCCAGCTACGTCCCGTCCCGGTTTTCTCGTTCTGCCCAGTCGTCGCGACCCCCGTTGTCGAGTCGACTACTTCTTTCTCAGGTTGTCGTCCAACGCCGCTCGTTCCTGCTTTTTCCAACTATTTAGAGCGACTTCGTCAACGTCGCCTGCCTCCGCAGTTCTGCCACAATGGCTCCTTCGCCGCCGCGCCTTCGCATATTGTCAGGTACTTATCCCACGTCCATTCTACTGCCCCGACATACCACTCTCTTTTCCTCTCTCAAACACATATTCACTCTCTTTTTTGAACAAATTTACGCTCGTTGCTGCTGCTGCTGCTGTTGTTGTTGTCATCATCGTCACATTTACATGAATTACTGTTCCACAATTTATTCATTTTACCTCTACTCGTTAATTATGCGACAATGGGGAAACGACGGCTAACGCTCAAGTTCTGTGTAGTCGGTGGTAACGCAGTGTCGGCTTTTCTATCATGGAGGCTTCAATCAACCAACTCATGTGATGTCACGCTCGTATGGAAATCTGGGTTCGAATCGGTCGCTCAATATGGGGTTTCATTTCGGTATTTTCTCTCCTCGCAAGGCTTCGCCCTGTGTTCGGCGCCCCTAACGTGTCTGTGAATAGATCGAAGAAATTCGGGAACGAACGATTCAAGCCGCGGCATGGTGAGTTCCTGACACGATCCAACACGCGAGACTATGACTGACGAGACTGACCCTGGACTAGTCGTGCGAACGCCTGAAGAGGCCGCTTCACGAGAGGCTGCTTACGACTACGTCGTTCTTTCCGTCAAAGCTCTACCTGATATATATGATCTTGGATCGGTCATCGAATCCGTCGTCACGCCGCAACATACATGCATCCTCGTTAATACTACTAATACGCTAGGTGTCGAGTCACATTTGGAACAACGGTTTCCGACAAACGTTGTCTTGTCGCTAGTCTCAAATGCCGTCATCAATCAGACCGGTATAAGCGACTTTGAGCACGAAGGGTCTACGGAGATGTGGGTTGGACCTGCCAGCAAAAACCCGTCTATTCCTGCCTCTATTCAGAACGATATGGCGTCTGCCCTGGCGATGACTTTGAGTTCTGGCCAAGTCGATTGCAAGGTCTCATCAAATATCAGGCAGGAACAGTTCGACCGAATGATTGGGTAAGCTCATTGGCTAATTTTTTTTTTTTTTTTTTTTTTTGTGGATTTTGTTGAGTATCGTGCTGACGGCCGCTGCAGTCCTGTCGCTTTCCACCCAACAAGCGTACTGTTCAACACACCCAACCATTCCCAATTATTAGAGAAAGTTGGCGTGCGACAGTTGGTAAACGACGTGATTGATGAGCTTCTGAAATTAGCATCGACACAGGGATGTTCATTCGACTCGGGTTACAGAAAAAAGGTCATTGAGAGAATGACTGCTGCACCAGCCGAAACGCAGACGACTACCATGTACCAGGACTTTCTCGCGCGTCGACCTATGGAGGTCGAGACCTATTTGGGTTCTCCAGTACGTCTTGCAATGGAAAGCAACATCAGCCTACCTCGTATAGAAACGCTCTACGCCATGCTTCATCATGTCAATATCGTCAACCAGACCAAACCCTATTCTGAATCGCCGCCACCAGGAATTACAACTCAATTTCCCCCTAGAATAGCATCTGTGCCTCCCACTCAGCAGCAGAAGCCGCCCATCGCCAACGGCATGCGGGCAAGCCGGACTTCATCAAACATGGGAATGCCCATGCCGCCACCTCAACAACGAAGGGGACCGCCTCCTGGTGGGCCAATGCTGAGACCACCAAGCGCACAAGCCGGGCCATCTCGCATGCCTCCCCGAGATGCGTCATTCGATGACAACGGATTGGAAGAGTTTAGCCACCTCGTTGTTTACGATGATATTATTCCTTCTGACGGCCCGCCAAATGGAAATATGGATATGCCTAATGGAGGAGCTAACGGTAATCTTGCCTTGCGGGAACGGGAACTCGCTCTTCGCCAGCGAGAACTTCAGCTTCGTGAACGGGAAATGAACATGCGACAGCGTCCTCCTGGTCCTCGTAGTGGTGGCCCTAGAGCCCCGCCTCCGCCAAGATCTGTTTTCGACGAAGAAGACGAAGATGATTACTTTGATCCTCAAGACTTCCGTCCGCCACCTGGACTAGATCCTGATAACATTGACATGATGAGCGTCACTTCCCGCCGAACGAGAAAAGCACCAAGCGCTGGACAATTGCGACGTAACCCCGAAATGAATGGTCCTCCTTCGCGACCTTCATCGTCCTTCCGATTTTTCAGTGGACAAGGCGGCCGGAAGAGTACAACAAGCTCGCGGTTGATCAATGATATACCCATGACTCATTCGTCGCTGATGGACGATCCGTTGATGGCCTACTCGTCAAATAGATATGGTGCCGTAGATCGCAAAGAGCTACACATGGATTCGAGAGCGAATTCGTTAAGCACCGTTAGCCGTATGGGTGATTTTGGTCCCGCGGGACAATCAGGTCCCTATCCACCTGGTCCTGTCCGACGAACAAGCGGATCGCCGGCTGCCTTTGGTCCTCCTAATGGACGAGGTATGCCAAGGCCAGCAACTGGAGATCATCAGCAGTCATGGGGTCCACCACAACAACGTCCTTCTCCACCAAACATGCGACAACCAGTTCCTAGATACCCTCCCGTTAATGGAAATAATACAGCAGCGGAGCAAGTTGAGCAACATCTTGGGGTGAGCAATCCGTACCCGCCAAAAATTTCTCCAAACGCGCGAAGTCTGACTGGTAGTGCGAGTGCCAGCGCGGAGAGTGGTGATAGCGGAGCGAGTGCGAATATAGATTCGGAGAACTCTGCTCACAGCAGCCAGATTAGCCTTGGACAGCCTATACCTATGCCGGTTCGCTAATTGACATCCTGATTACATTTATTTTCCCGAGTGTCCAAATTTGTTTTGGATTGTGGTTACAATATGACCAGAAGGGAATTTGATATACCTTTCCATTCTCTGCCCTTTTTGATTTTCCATTCCGGCTGCTTCAGTCGACGATACGCACGTTCTATTGTCTCGGTTTGTTGGAAGCCCATTTTTCATTATCATTATTTGGTCAGCCGACACGGGAGCTGACCCTAATCATCATCTTATCACGTTATATTGCCTACTCTACATTATCATCACCACGACCGTCTTTCCATTTTCCTTGTTTTCTTTGTATGACAGTTTGTATACTGCATCCCCGGCGCATCCATCATCATTTTCTTTTTTTGTCTTCTCAGTATACGACGACTCCCCTGTTTTGTTTGTCAGATATATGCTTAGGGGGGGGGCGGTGTTTTATTTTATTGATACATCAAATTCATGTTATATTCTTGATGGCTAGCTCGTGACAGTCGGCTAGCTCCTATTTCTATATTGGCTCAAAATCATGGAGTTGAACATGATTTTTCAATTAATATGATACGTTCTCTCGTAATGTATTAATTGGTCTTGATACTTCAGCGGAGTAGACCACGTGACTTAACTAGTCCATTCAACATTGTAAACAATGCAAACAAGTTTAACCTTTCGAAACAAACAAACCCACATCAATACACGCAGTTTTACACCCAACCTCTCTCTGTCTGTCTATGATCACCTAGCATCATCGTCACTTCTGGCACTTTATCAATTTTCAATTCAAGCTGCCAACAACATGAATAACAACGCAAATATGTCCACCACCAAATCCAGACAATACGCACACCTCCACTCGCAACTCGCGCAACTCAACGCCCATTTAGCCGATACCGAGAACCTGGTGCGAATGACGGCCGTGCAGGCGGGCGATATGCGGTTTTTGGGTGGTTATGTAGGTGGTTTGTTTATGGGGGCTGCTAAGGTTTTGGGGGAGGAAGGGGTGCAGCAGACTCAGAATCAGAGTCAGGGCCAAGGGCAGGGGCAGGGGCAGGGGCAGGGGCAGGGGCAGGGATTGAAAAGGGAGGAGGGGGATAAGAAGGATTAATTTCGTTGCATCTACGAAGGGAAAGAATCTGAGAAGGAGTTATGTATTGGCATTGTGACAAGGAGGCTATGCTTGAGGAAGCTAACGACGCGCGCCAGTCGGTCAGTCTTAATCTTCTACAACGAACGCACCACCAAGGATAATGGCTGGTTCTTCGATGTTGTGATGCTCATAACTATTATCGTCAGTCGCCTTCTCGATATCGGGGTTAGGGAAAGGGTTACCTCAATGTTCCAACACCACCAGCTTCAAGAATGAGTGCGGTCTCAGTTAAGGGTTTCCCAACCCAACGAATCGCAAGGGCGCGCAAGATGTGACCATGCGCCACGACCAAGACATCACCTTTCTCGTGATTGTCGGGAGATCCGAAACAGTGTTTATGATTTTTTTCGCGGAGATTGGCGATGAAGGCGTCTAGACGGCGACAGATGTCTTCGGGGGATCTATCCACATATTCCATTCAGCTTATTTCCTCGTCTCGCGTCTTCTTCGGAGTGTAGGGAATGAGACATACTCTCCTCCGGGACACCCATCTCTCCAAATATCCCATTTCCCCAATCCTTGCTTGGCTCTAAGCTCCCTGATCTCGGGACTTGTCAATCCTTCATAGTCACCATAATCCCATTCGCGAATGGCGTCCGTGATCTCAATATTGGCTTCCGTTGCGATTGGTTGTTCGAAACTACAACTACTCTCCGATTCAATCCAGGGTAGTCGTTCCTTGCATCCGATTTGGAGTAATTCGAATGTTCGCTGAGCTCGTTTTCGGGGTGATACATAGCTTCAATCACATTCAATCAATTTCTTTTTCATGCAAGAGGGGAATGGGATGGAGGCGTACACATGATTCAATCGCTTAGGCGCTATTAATCGATCATCGCCAACAAGCGCTTTGCCTGTAGCTTTCACTCGCTTTTCTCCGTTGGCTGTGAGCGGGATGTCCGTTGTGCCCGTGTGTCGGCCATTGAGAGACCATTCTGTTTCGCCGTGGCGGACTATGAAGCACCTGGGGACGGGCATTTCTGTTTTCTATACCCTGAATAGTATCTTCAATTTTCTTGTATCAAAAAAGAGAGGGATGGTGTAGGATTGAATGCGATAGTTATGTAGAACACGGTGGGGTACTACTACGTAATCCGGACTGCAACGGAGTTTCGTGGGGTAAGTTATGTTTACTTAGTGTTTAGTAAGGAATACTAAGGTGCTGATGAGATCGGTTCATTCTTACGTGATCTTCTTGCTTAACCTACTGGTAAGGCACGCGTTTCGCTAGCCCGCCTGAATGGAACTCTGATTTGAACCATACTCAGCTTACAGTCCAGCTTACAGGGGGTTCGTGTGTTTAGGATTAATGCGAAGCCCTAACCCTAACAATTAGGGAGAGAGCTAAGTAGGTTTTTACATAAATAAGCAGCCAATCAGAGCGTAGAAGAGGTATATGGAACTTTCCCCTGCTTGTACATGGCAGATTCTTTAGAGCTATTGACGATACAATATCGATATCGTTTTTCCATATCGTCAATATCGTCAAAATCATCACCGATACTCAAAGTGACCTGTGTGAATTGACAGTGGCTCACCTAACTAGCCATAAGCCTTATTAATAATCAGGGCCCTGTTAGAACGGTGGCAATCTTTGTCTTTGAGGAGTAAATACTAGCATCTCCCGCCGCTACATGCGTCGAGTCTCTTTGTCGGAACCTAAATGTAATACCGTTTCACCAAAAATGATGCCCTTCTAAGGATTCTGGTATTTTTGTGGTATTTGCGAACCGTTTTGTAGTTCGACTTCTGTAATCTGCTAGTCACATGATTTTGGTTCCAACACATCACGCCCGATGTTATTTCGAGTAGATAGATCCCTCTTACTTTGCTTCTTATACCTCCGTACTTAGTATCTTTTTTGAGCAGATTTGAGCAGATACCTGTAAAGAATATGATCATAAGGTCACGTGATGACTAGTGATTCCGAGGCTAATTATAGTCTCAACCCCTGAGTTGTATGTAACTAGAAGAGAGAAGAAGACAAGTAATACACAGAGATTCAACGCATCGAATCATCTCCTTATCAATACTTACAAGCAACTGATCATTGATCACTATTACTGAACGATATCAATTCTCTGAGTCTATACGATCCATTCACCGATTTCTTACAATACCAGTACTATTCTATATGTTACCTGATCCCTCACTTTAAGTGCTTAGCGACGTTGAGCATTATTCCACTCTATTACAGCAGTCTTTGGGAGAACTGGGTATGTGGAATCAAGAATGCTGAAGAAGTTGCAGCCACAAGATCAATATCTAGTCTCCGATATTGATAAGTACTTCGGAACTCCTCCAGTCGGTGTTACAGATACCGCGGGTGAAAATTGGCTATGTAATTGGTGGCGAATACACAAGAATGAGTATCGGCAGATGACAGCAGTAGCCAGGGATTACCTGGCAATACCTGCCTCTGAAGTCGCTGCTGAGAGGGTGTTTAGCGCAGCAAGGAATCTCTTAGGCATCCGGAGGCATAGCCGAAGGAGGATACTATAAGAATGCTTATGTTGATTTGTGATGGGTTTGAGCGGTAGCGGTCAAGGGCAGCGTGGCTACTTCAGCATATTGCTCTCCATACAGATAAACTTCGTTTTAGCCTGGTTGTACATGATGTGCGGGTATAGGTATAGTAACTGTCGGAACCTACGCGTTTCGGCACCGGATTAGTTAGTCTGACGTGGCACGTGCGTGCCGCGTATTGTCGAGGATTAGGTAAGCTAAACCTAATCAAGGAAAGCCTACAACATTGATACCAGGAAAATTCGAGAATTGAAGTCACAAGATTGAATCTACGAATCAATTTTACAGCTCTGTGTCGAGAATCATCTATTGAGATTGTCTGGATATCTTCTATATGGGATTCTCAAGCATAAATAGTGTCCAATAATCCCCTCAAAATGTAGATAGAAGAGAGTGCGCAGAATTAGGTCAATATCAATATTTCCCACTATAAAGACATCTTTGAGCATTGAGCTTAACTGAGTTTGTGCTAGTGCATAGCAAGTTCCAATACGTATATATCTAACTAGCTATCCCCCGTCCCCCTCGCACTTGGGGACTAGTCACAATATTAGGAATCAAGATAGCTTCATATTGTCAGGCTCGTTAGGCTGCTTCGTGTTCGCGCCTTACTACCGTCTATGCTTCGTGATACGGACCGTAGTAAAACCAACAGTAACTTATGAACATCTTAACATTGTATTAGCAAGGCAATGGTACTGATAGAGATGCTAATTAAAGAGTCGTATATTCGCCAGAAGATAACTGAAGAATTTAAAGTAAGAGTAATTGTTGCGGATTGACGATTTTTATCGTCAACTGCCCTAAATTTCTTTTCTCTGAATGGAGAGACCATTCAGGCACAAGCCTAGTAAAGTGGTAAGTGAGGCGGTGGAGGATCTTGAGAAAGTTCAATTTAGAAGATTTCCTAATATACGTACTACTACTAGTGCCTAAGATTTCCAAGCATGGTTGCTCCAGGTATCATCCTCAGCCTCAAATGTCCACGATGATATTGACTTTCTAGAGTTTCTTTTCGTCGGCCTTATTGCTCCACTTGTCGTCCTCATCCTCCTCATCCACGATATTGGACCTCTTCTCGTCGGCCTTATTGCTCCACTTATCGTCCTCATCTCCCAGATCCACGATATTGGATCTCTTCTCGTCGGCCTTATTGCTCCACTTATCGTCCTCATCCCCCAGATCCACGATATTGGATCTCTTCTCGTCGGCCTTATTGCTCCACTTGTCGTCCTCATCTCCCAGATCCACGATATTGGATCTCTTCTCGTCGGCCTTATTGCTCCACTTGTCGTCCTCATCCCCCAGATCCACGATGTTGGATCTTTTCTCGTTACCCGAGAAAACACTCAGACTTCGACTAGTTTGAGTCCCTATAACCATATTAACATATAATGTACATCCGTCATACAAATCAATTGGTATTACCGGTTGGAAGGGCATTGGTGGTAACAACCAGTGAGACTAAAATGAGACTCAAGACTTTCATAATGAATAAAATTGATTAATATAAAACCAATATAGATTTTTTGTTTATTTAGTTGTTGGTTTGAGAGTAGTGGGATGCTATATGGACCAGAAGTATGCTTTATATACCTAGATACAACAGGAGGATATAAGAAATCCTGGAATTAACTGTACCATACCACCAAAAATGGTAACCTCACGGGGCTTTGGTAATTGAAGAACCGGGTACTTTGTACGTAAACGTGGATATGTTCACGAAGGAATATATTTACGTACTTGTAAGGGCCATGTTACCATGTAGTGTTTTATGTGCAGATATCCCGTTTTACCAAAAATAGGATTTGATGGCCAAGTCGATGACTCGATGTACGTACGTACGTATGTATATGGTCAAAATTAGCGTATTTTCCAGTTGATCGCCACGGTCTCAATTAGGTTAAGGTTATCGTGGTGGGTCCGATAAGGAACCAACGATATGATGCTAATAGAGTAGTAACATTTGGGGGCTGGTAATTTTGTTACATACGGATTACGAAGTATGATTTTCCTACAGGGTTTGAAATCCAATGGCTTCTGCTGGTTATATCTGATTACTGATCTAATATCTTATAAATGTAACCATCTTAAACATTAATTACAGCTTAGCATCTAGCTTGCATAGCATTAATAAACTCATTCAAAAACTGCTCAAGCACATCCTAAGTACGGAGTAGCTCATACCACCTTACCTAAACAAATTACCTTTTACATACTTTATTCAAGCCATCTCAACCATATTTGATTGTTTCTCTAATAGTATAATCCTATTCCTCCTAGTTTAATATTAGCCATATAGTGTCAACTTGAAGTTAATGACTGTCGCCTTTTTCCACCACTACTCTGTAACAAACTTGCGAGAGATACGTATGGCTAAGTTTGAGAGAAGTCAAACCAAGTTGAGCATATAAGCATTAAGATAGGATACGGATCATCATTAAACTAATCCCTGTTCTCCTCCTATCTTGCTGTATCTCTCTTTTTATATACATACAGTTTAAACTAGAGCTAGGACGCCACCACCCAACATATTGAAATCTGTCTCAAGGCCAGGTGACCACTCTAAAGCGCCCTCGTTTGCAACTGCGCGGCTTTTAGCCCAATCGTGTACAGCGTCAAAATTACGACAAGTGTGTGCTACTTCTAGCTTGGGAGTTGGATATTCTTTTGCTGGATCAAACTGCCAGGGGATTATCGATATATCGGCGTGACACATCATTGCTAGGCGGATTGAATCAATACAATGATCTATACTAAATGTCAGCATACAGTAGTAAATGTGGAATAGCAACTATAAACCCTTACCATAGTGCCTTGCATCGTGCCCAGAATAGTTTCTTTTTCCTTCTGTATCATATGCATCGCGGAATTCATGCATATATCGATCAGGATAGAGAGCTTTCCTGATGTAATTGAGACAATGCAGTTGATGAAAGACATCAATCTCTATTACATAAAATCCTGACTCGTGAGGCAGCTCTGCTGTGCTATTTGGGAGATTGGATGCTTCTTCTGCGTTAACTTTGACAATCCCATCTGTGGAGCTAATTTATTAGCAACCACGAAGCAAAAACCATATTTTTGAATTTTGGCTTACATTTATAAAGATCATCCCACAAGCCATCGGTTTCGTTCGAGGGAAGGCCATTGCCTCCAGTCATATATGGGCTTTTGGTCCAGATATTTTCTGGAAACACTTTGGTTTCATATTCAAGGGTACTTTCGGCAGGTGCTGGTAAATGCTAATATTAGCGTGATGATAGTGTAAATAACTTACAACTACTTACAGTAGAGTATCTGACTTGGGTCAGTTGGCCTTGCCACAGTCCATATAAAGTTATTATAGACTAAAAGTGTGAGAATCGCAATATACAGCACTGAGATGTGAATGATGCTCCGATTATCTCGAAGGCAGCCCCATAAGTGCTTTTGCCATGTGGCATTCCGATTGCTAGCTTCAGCAGCATTCGTCATCGGTAAGAGAGTATATTCAGGCAGGTTCAACCGCATTTTGAACATTTCCCACGGAAGCTTTCGTGCTTAGATGAGAGCTGACTGCGTTATTGCCATGGACTGTCCTGAGAGTTGGTTTTATGCCGTTTCTTGCATGTCTACCTCGTGAGGGATTTAACAGGAGCAAGTAGTGATGAAACCAAAGCGTACCCACACTAGTAATTATGTACGTAATTCATCGCACTTGCCTAACTCCGTTACCTTAGTGTTCGGGGAACTCGAGGCTCGTTAATGGGGGCCTGAGGCCCTGGAGAGCACGACAAAGGGGTCTTGCAGGAAAGAGGGGAAAGGGCATTTGTCCACCTTCCATGGCGATTCCTTCATGGTACCTTGAGTGAACCTGGCCCAAGATTCCGGCGAGCCTGGATACTCTGATGGAATATATGCACAGCTGCTTAGCAGCACACAAAGGCGAGGGATGTTAGGTATTGACTGACCTCATATTAGGAAGGTTCGGGCCAATATCCTCAGATACTAAGATGTATTAATTGATGTTTAAGGTGGTTATATAAAATATAGATTTATAATCGAATATAACTAATAGAATGCATTAGATTTCAACCTCTGTAGGAAGATGAAGATCGTACTAACAAAACTACTGGTCCCATCTGTATTAAAGTTACATATGTAGGCTGAATACCAAGCTGTAATGAATGTTTAAGACAGTTAACTAACGGTAACTATAAACTTATAAATATTAGATTAGTAAACAGATAACTAAATAACCTAGGTTTCATGGCTTCCAGCCCCTGTAGGAAAATCGGACGAACAAAATTACCAGCCCTAACCATAGTATTTACTAAAGGTCCACAACCCCAGTATCAAGAATTACGTACTACATAGTTAGGTATTGTATGATGCTTTTTAATGCGGACTTCGTACTAAAGTTCGTTGTGGATCCTCAGAGACAGAATTTATTGAGGATGAAGAGAGTTGATGTGGGGATATAAGTATTACAGGCAGCAGATGTTTAGTGATAAAAACTGAAGACAATTCAATGCACACCAAGTTTTACGAAGAAGTCAAGGACATATGAAGATGCAATATCTTTATAAGTTTTATCTTGTTACCATCTATCTTCTTATTAATTAAAATTAATTATTCCAATCACTCATACAGTGAGAAATATGGCCCCTCAATTTTCAACGCAAGATGAAGAAAACGCGATGTCTCGTGAACCATTTTTAAAGGCCTCTATGCAGGAAGATTCATCGAAGAATGCAGAAAATCTCTTACGTCCCACTCGACAATATTTTCTAGGGCTACTAGGGGTGACTTTATTGATTGCTGTCACGATTCTTTTATCACAACTATTCCTCCGAAATCGCGAAGCTGCCTATTTATTGCATTGTGGACACTCAGTTGAAGAAGCAAGAGCTTTGGGTTGCGAATTTGATATATTATCCTACACATGGACACCGAAGGAATGCTACGATAAGGAAACTGCAGATGAATTCCGGCAATGGCTCACGAGACCAGAGAGATTCCCAAGACCATGGCCATTCTTTGCCGATAAAAACCGAACTGAATGGATTCCAAGCGAGGAAGCACTGTCCAAGAGAGCCCATATGATGACGTATGCTCCTCAGGAAGAACATATTGGCCATTGTATTTTCATGATGAGAAGGTTGCATAGAATCAATGATGGTAGCGCCAAAATGAACTCACGATTTGGAAAATATTCTCACACAGAGCATTGCACGAATGAGACTTTGGATGCAGTCTCATCACGGAGTGACATGAGGGCAGGAGCACACTTTGGAGTTACATTTGCAAGATGCTGAATGGAGTTCAGAATATTGATATGATACATCTCTCATTCGGCGAGGTACCTAGGCGATCGACCGGCTATGCAATCCACTGGCAGAGAAGTGTCTCTATACCCCTGCAATATCTGCTCAGCTGTTTCTTGTGGTGTATCGCCATCTCTGCATTCAGCTGAATAACTTACCTTTGAAACTTGAAAGTACAGTACAATTGACAGAATTAGATTTTTAGTAATTAGAGATGAAGATGCAAACCTCGGACCCAAGAATGTTTTGATCCACATATCAGCGGTGGGAGAATCGAGCTTTGTAGGTAAGTTTACAAGCTGTAGATTTCCTGTAAGGAGGTAAACCCAGGCGCTAAACATTACACTCTAGAATAAAGAAGTCACTTAGCACCATAAACCTTGATGTGTAACGAAAGAGGACTGCCACCGAACCTGGGTGGACAGTTTCGAAGATTTGTTGCTCATGGGACCATGGGTATATCCACTAGATATCATCAATGTGAGGAACTGACTTAGGAACGAAGCTAAATGGCAAAACTGACTAAGTAACTGCGTAGTAGTTAAGTTAAGTATATGTGTATGTGTGTGTTTGTGTGTTTCTATTTAACGGCCGTGGTTCGTGACTCGCACGTTTCCCACCGATTCCTATTGGGACATAGGCCGCCGAGGGGTAAACCTCGGGCTTCAAGATATATATCAATCAGATTTATACACAGATAAGAGACTCTTTGGCGCATTTCCGTAGCTGCCGTGGTCTTACAAGAAGGTCCACTTCTGAGTGGGCTTTAGGTATTTACCAGCTGCCATGGTCCACCTACACTCCATGACCCGTTATTCCACCACCACCACCACCACCATATTTGAACAGTAAGTTTTGCAAAGAGAGAAAGAGGAAATAGAGAATAAAGGAAAGAAAAGAGAAATATAAAGGAAGAGTAGGACTGTCTTAGTTAGGTGCTAAAGAGAGATTGGCGAGGGCAAATGTGCTCAAAGAAGTGGGTCTCTGCTAGCTATGTGGCTAACCTTTAGGCTCCTTTCGCAGTGGCCAAAAGAAAAGAGATGACCTCAGAAGGAGACCCATGAGGACGATGGGCACGTCTCTTAGCTATATAACAGAAGAAGAAGAAGTGTAGGGGTGCTTTCCGTGCTCCACATCAGCAGAGAAGATAAACACTATTATGATTAAATCATTCGTGGTAGTCCGCGAAGTCTCCATGTCCAGTGCGGGCCGCGATGATACGGCCGAGGTCACGTTAAGTGAGTGAAGGCTCATCTAAGCACTTAGAAGATGTAGTGACTCCTAGATCTTAGTATGTCTACGCTGCCACGCTCTGCCATAGTGTCTGGGCAGCGGAACGAGCTCGAGCCTTGGCATATCTCTTTAGCGAGGCGTATGAGGACCGGTGTGGAGGAGGGAAGATAGAGGCAACACCTTCTTTGGCAGTGAGATCAGCCACCTCATTCTCAGAGATTTCTCGCGTGTCCAGGGACCCATCGAATTCGGATAGAGCCACTTTTAGTGTAAGGAAGTCTTTAGCGGAGTGGCTAGGCGGCTACAAGTGTGCAGAAGATTTCAAAAACTCCCTGAGAAGATCCTATAGAAGGAGATAGAAGACATGTTGCAACTTCCAGGTTATCAAGAGATCCATAGATTAGTGGCCAAATGACTCTCCATACGGCGGTGATGGAAAATAATATGGATATGGTGCTTCAGATGTTCGACAACGGTGCCGATGTCAACATGGAGAGTCTAGACAAAAGAATTCCTCTTCACGTCGCCATTGAACATGAACACTTAAATATGATAGCGGTTTGGCCTGTTCCGAATATAGGATAATCCGAAACGACCTCAGGGATAGTCTCTCTTAACAGTGCTCCTGCTTGCAGAAATTTCTCAGCCAAACCATGCAGCCGTTTCTGTAGCGCCATCATCAAAGTTGTCACTCCAAAGTCTCCAGGAAGATTGACATTAGCTCCTCTTTCGAGTAATGTGAATATTGAAGTGAATTGGGATGTTTCCGGATTCGTACAGAGAGAACTTCCTCGAATCAAAGATCTCCGGAAAGCGGTGACATTGACAGGCTCTATGAAAAATGCACAGATGATGTCGTGTGAAGACTATGTGGCTCAAACCTGGCATGACAGAAGGCTCAAAGTTCTTGATACATTGATTGAAGCATTGAGAACTAAATATGCCGTATTAGATATCTCTCATGGTCGAGGGGTAAGCTTCCAAACTAATAGAAGAGATGACATGAGAATCACCATCAGGGGGGCATCTCAGGGGGAAATTGTTGACATTATGGAACAAATAGCCTGGCTAGGTTCTGTTTTTACATGTAAGCAGACAGAGTCCAGCCATGGTCCCTTTCTAGCGACGGCACATTACTGGATCTCCCCTACGTCTCGGTGTTTCTGTCTGTCAATTTAGCACTATTCGCTGGACGGTTATCTAGGTGAGTCATGCTGGACAAGCATTTTACGAAGCAGCACGCTTGCAGTTGGCTTCCCAGTGCTCTACCGCCACCATGGGATAGGATTGGAAATTCCCTTTCCACTTCTCCTACGCTTTGCGGATATTTCCGTATCGATGAATTACGACGGCGGCACTGTCTTGGTGGGTACATCAACCATACTATTTCCTTCCCGAGGATTTGAAGATGGCGTTCAGTGGCACATCGCAGATGCGAGCTCGGCTCAAGAAGCCGTCCAAGTTATTGCTCAATCGCCTCACTGGATTCGGACCTATAACATTGGCCAGCTCGCTCGGCTCAGGGCGTATCTGGGATATTGCGATCATGCCCTGGTACTACTAGGAACTCGTGATTCAATAACGTCCCAACATATCATTGAGCTTTCGTGTCTGCTACCCGAGACAAAGTCGCGGATCGAAATGGCACACGAAGGTACGATGAGCGCCGGGTTTCCATCCGAGGGATTTTTAACACAACAGTAAGCGGTAAATGGGTTGTGCCGGCGCGGATTAATGTGCCTTTGGAGGATCACCGCGATCTTGAAGACCGTCTCACGAATGCTCGTCGGCGTCCCGTTTTGGTCTACGATCGTACCAAAGATTGCGGATGGCTTGTTCCTGAATTTAGCTTGGTCGTTCACATGGCCTTGACGTATTTGAATTAGCCCGATGTTCGTCAGCGTTGCTTCCCAGGCGTTCAGGAGGCTCTTCCCTACCTAACTGCGGTGGCTGACGGTGGGTCAGCGGCGTACGATGTCGTCAAGACCCATTGAAATACGGAACTTTATAAGAATATTGAGGATGGGCAGATGAAGACGTTTGGTATGGTAATCCATGACTTCATGAAAGATTTTCAGAAGCTACGAAATGCAGAAAATATCCGGCGAGAGAGCAAAGAATGGCGGTTCACGTTGTTTTCTGGTAGATCACTATACGGCTGGGACTTTACCTAGCTCTCCCTGAAAGCAGAAAACATGTCCCAAAGAGAGATGAAATGGAAAAATGGCAGCGGTCCCTCGTAGGCTATGTTAGGCGATACTCAAGATATGCTAGTTATCCTAGCCAGTTCCCTTGGGAACTTGATCAGCCCGGACCTCCAGAAGACGAAGGTCATGAGTGGATGGGAAACTCTTCCTAAACGGGCCGGATTGTTGACAGCGACCAACTCATGTATTTTGCAGTTCACTCAGAAACAAGTCCTACTTTCTGTCGGTGAGATGGCGGCGGCCAAGCAATGGAGCGGAAAGCTGTATTGGTACCGGCCTATTACTTTCCATCCGGACTGTAATCAGTTCTGCAACCAGTCTTGTTTAGTCATCCACGAGATCGCTCGGCGTGGTGCTCAAACATGCACAGATGTACGTGATCCTCAAAGACTGCAAAAGGATGGTGCGGTTGTGTTTGGCTGTGCGAGTTCATACCATAAGTCTGGGGTGGGATCCCGCCCCCTAGCTATAACGAACAGAAGGCCTCTCCAGATTTACATCAATCATATCTAGAATTGATCTATTTACTTCTGAAGGATGCTCTTACTCATTCAGGACTAGATAAATTAGTATATCAGAGTGCTCCTTACTCCTAGATCAGTATAATTCCCAGATACGTATAAGATTTACAGCTCGGGAGAGCTTTCTGTTATGCCGGAAAATGACCAAAAACATGCTTTTTATTACCCCTTCCAAAAACCCCCTTCTAATGGGGCCCTGATTTTGGTGCAGTACCTAGGTTAGGGTTCTACTATACATGAAATATTTTGCCTACATGATTATCTACTCGGAACACGCCATTCCAAGGCAGTAGGCGCGAGGGAGAAAACTCTACAAACCTCTATAGTAATATTTCAGGAGTTTGCACAATGTAATGAGAGATACAATTGTTGACTAGTTGTTAAAAATCCTACTTGTTGGAAGTTGGAACATCCCTCGGCCTCTGCGAGCACACTTCCATTCCTGGCTAACGTGCTCATTTAGTGACCCCATTCTCTAACACAACAGAGAGAAACAAATCAACTCCTTTGTCTTTCTTGTATAAGAACCATTCATTCATGATCAGGCTTAGTTCAACTCATTGGAATAAAACTGAGCTTCATTCAGCTTTTAGAGAGTCTTTGAATTCTGTATCTTATATTCTTTTCTCTATGGCTAAAGGGTTTTAAGGAACCAGGTTCCGAACGTAGACAAAACTTGACTGAAAGGAGACAGGAAATAATCTGGAAGATGGGAGCCTCTATATAGACCGCCGCACAGGATAACGGCTCGACTATTTCACCTGCTCTCGCCACCCCACAACCTGACCATGATTCTGATGATTCGTTCCTCACCACTCTGGGAAGCACGCCAAGCTACGATTTGTCAGCCAAGAAGCAATTCGTCAAAAAGGTCAATCTTTACCTTCCACACATGACTCCATACAGGAATTCAGCTGGTTATCACGGGCCATACAGTTGGCTTACCCACATCCCGGATCAGGAAGCACTGGGATACGTAGAAAGGCTATATGATATAAAGCAAGCTTACGAGCCTGATCAATACGGTGCGAAATCGTAATATTGATGACTGCCCTCCAAGATGGAGGGGATACAAGATTGCCAGATACAGATATTCTTTGTGCGCGCTAGGCGCCAGGGTAAGATGATATTCCAGTTCCGACAGTCAGGATCCCTGTAGGTGATGTAATGCTGAAGGATTAGCGATCACATATATACAAAACAAATATCTACAGGCGAGATCCTTCATGTATTGTCAAAGTAGAATCTGGGATTGTGCCTAGCACTGATAGTAGAGGAATATGGATCAATGTTGGTGAGGTTGGCATACTGACCAGAACAGTCTAGACCTCTGGTGTAGGTAAAAGATGAGCCTTGGTTACAACCGGCTTATCTGAGATCTTCATGCCCAACTATTTATATTTTTGAATCAATATTTAGGTCAACAAACTAATCCTTGATCATTTCGGCAGTTTGCTTATCACTCAGCTTGACAGCTGAGTCACTGACTCTCCTAATTCTGAGGTGTGAATATCGGCGACTTTCTTTCTCTTCTCATGAAAAGTCCTTCCTTTTGGGCATGATCAGAAGCAGCTCATATTCTTTCTTCAAGATCGTAATTTACCAGAACCAGTGTCAGCGCTTCATTCCTCGGATAACTGTAACATACGACCAGTCCAAATAAAGTGACATTCACTACCTAGGGTGCCAGCGTTGACGATAAACTGAGTATGAAGAGGGAAACTATCTATCGAGGGGAAACAGTCCGTATTTAGACCTCCATCCATATTCACTCATTGACGGTAGTGTCCGCCTCATACAAGCCTCTATTGCCGTGTCGGCATCTCAAATAGGGAATCAGTGCGTATCAATAACAAATGCCAACGCCAGTCGATATCACAATTATTGATGGAGACCTTTATTCAAAGGATTCCCAATCAATAAATGACATCAAGCCGGAAGCTAGGGCTGAGCCATCACAATAACTGGCTGTCCTAAGACTGTGCTACTGTGACTAGTATATTGTTTGATGAATAATTCAGAAAACCCTATGTCTTTTGTAAAATCAGAGAATTTCGGCTCTAATTGAAGATATTAATATCCTAAGATTTTATAGGGATCTTGTATTGGTCTTAAAGAGCTTCTTGTTATGTAAATTCTAATAATCTTAAGTTAGTGAATTGTATTTGCTGTCAATACTTCCATATCGATCACCTTTTGCAGACAGAAACTTGAGACTTCAATTTATGCTTTTGGGCTGTTCCTTTCCTTACCCATTGAGCAGTTCCATCCCTCTTTCATCCAAACTAGGATACTTGGATAAAGCATAAAAGTCCAACCAGAACTCGCAGGCGTCTGTGTAATCAGGCATATATTTCTGTAACAAAGTCTTCCACTCCTTATCCTCTTGACTCAACCCAATTCCGGCACAGGTGAACTCCCACCACGCTGGAAAATATCCTGAAGCTTCCCAATCGATTATACAAGACGCATATCCAGGCGACTGTATAGCTGTTGTGTGTCAAAGACATCCTTATGGGTCAAAGCAGGGAACTGGATAAACAGGTCAAGTGCCGATATCCATTATCGATGTCTCGATCGTACAAGATTAACTGTGAAACCTTTTCTATGATGTCAGGAGAATGCAAAGCCCTCGTGCAGTTCGCTTCACTACCCCTCAACCACAAAACCAGCTTGCTTCTCTACTTGAACAGCAACTATGATCCAACACTACCCGACTCAAAAAGCACCCCTAAGAGTGCTTCAAATAAATGTAGGCCGCATGCCAGCTGCACATGAGATAGCTCTCGCACTGGCATACTCTAGTGGCATCGACATTATCCTGGTACAAGAACCATATATATTCAAAGATCTCAGCCGACAGATCACAAAAAGCATTCATCATTTGAATGCTTCTCTCCAACAGATAGCTGGGCGATAAACGGCCGGCCCCAGGTTTTCACCTATGTTCGAAAGAAGATGGGTATCCGGACCTCCCAGCTGCGCCCGCATATAACTAATCCTGAAGTGCTTTCTGATCTTCTCTTCCTTCAGGTTCTCTCCCCTCAGGAAAGACTACTCTGATAGTCAATATCTATAATGTTCCAACCGGCTCTATTAGAGCCGGCGAAGCCATAAAAGCCCTTACATCCCTGCCTGAGACGTATTTCTCTCAAGCAACGATACTTGCGGGCGATTTCAACCTGCTAAATAGGTGGCAGCCCCACAACTTTCGCGGAGCCTTTTGTTGACTGGCTGGACCATCAAGGGTTGGTACTTATCTCTGAAATAGACTGCCCTACACACGATAGAGGTAATGTATTGGACCTCAGCTTTGTCTCAAGCCCCGAAAGCCAGGATAGCAAACCATCTAGACGCAACGTCAGATCATCGGCCACTAATAACTACTGTGCTGTGGGACCAGAGATTAACGGAAACAGCCCAAAAACTGAGATTTGATACATTAGATCACGCCCGCTTCCTCTCACTTCACGCCTCTAATCTCGCTGGAGTCAAGAGCTCAGTCACAACAGAAGAAGACCTGAATACTCTTGCTAAAGAGTTAACATCCTCAATTCAGAGCGCATATAGAGGCTCTGCTAAGAAGACTCTATCACAAGGAATAAAACAGCCATGGTGGAACAATGACTGCAAGAAAGCTTTACACAACTATCGCTCAGGCCTTTGCTCAAAGACAGACTTCCGCCGGATAACTAGGCGGTCCCAACGACAATTCTGGCGAGATAAGCTCTCTACGGCGTCACAAATGAAGGATGTTTTGGTATGAGTAAATGGCACAAGTCTACAGGCTCCTTCCGAAGCCCTCCGCTGAAGGATCCCCTGAGACCTGACAGCTTCCCAGCAATTACAATGAGTTTACATGTATTTTTTTTTTTTTTCAAGAACTCAAACCAAAAAGAAGTGAGGATTTCTATATAGATGCATACTAAGTAAGAGACAACAATATTCCTCCTCAAAAAGCCACCTGGGCATACCTCGCTCCTTCATATACAAACATGCGGTTCTATTTAACCCACGCCTCGCACTTGTGATTGCCTTCTCAAAACAAGTAACACACATCCTCATGCACACCTCATTTGTACCAAATCATGGGAAAGGATTGTGCTAGAAACCACTAGCGGTAACGACCGCGGTAATTGTACTGAGATATCATCTCAGCGATCTCTCTTGGAATAGGAATCCTGTCGGTGGTGGGTTGTTAGTCAGTCGGGGCTGGATAAATTCGATGTTGGTGTTAATTAGGTGGCGTAATCATACCTCGACAATACCATCATCTCTTCATAATAGCGCAATTCTTCTTGGAGACGTTTTTCTTGCCTGTGCAAGACACTCTTTAAACGATGGCAAACCCGCTCCTCAACTGCTAAGGTTTCCTCGTACTGCTCGATTTCACGCCTTAATTGATCACCTTATCTAACGGTAAGTTAAGAATCCAAGCATCACGCTTGTGTCGGAACTTACGTATACGAGCCCTAGCTCTTGAGTGTCCAATAGCTTCTTCCTGTTGGAGCTTGTGCCGAGCAACCTGTAGTTTATTCGCCTTGCTTTGAACTATCGCGGCTTGCCGACGATAGTCCTCATCCGCTGAGGCATCGGTAAGGTCAGATAGCAGGCGGCAGGTCCATCAATGTACACCGTTCGTTTGGGGTCCGTGTAGGCCCACCACAATGCTGAACTGACCACCAGCTGCGGCCGATACAAGCATTTTGCCAGACACATGTTTGTTTTTAAGTTGTGTGGGCTGCTCGACTTCATCCTTTTCCTCATTCCCGTGACCGACCTGATGTTGAGCGTTAAAGCCCCAGCTGTATGCTCTGCGATCCTGAGTAATGGCGAAAGAATGATCTGTCCCCGCGGCGGCAAAGACAACCTTTCCGACAACACCACTTATAGGTGTAGGCACTTTGAGAATTCGAGGCTTCTGATATGTGTCGAATATTACATCAGAGGTTGGGATGTCCTTAGCAATAATACCAAGGGCTTTATTATCGATGCGACCCCAGGCAAGACATTGGCCCTGCTCATTCACGGCCAAGCTGTGATCCTTTCCACCAGTTACGCTGACAATCCCTGATCCTTTTCCTAGACTTGGGACTGGAGTAGGATACGGTATTACGGCATCACTCTGACCCGCGCTCTGGAAGATTCCGGTCTGTCCGAAGTTGTTGGATCCCCAAGCGTACAGTTGGCCAGTCTTATGAATGGCGAATGAATGATAAATTCCTGCACCGATATCAATAATTCCACGCGGGAGTGAGCATTGTCCAGGAACAAGCCATGGGAATTCATGAAGGCGGCTGATCATGCGCCTTCCGAGTTGATTCTGTTCGTTGTTGCCCCAAGAAAAGACAGTGCCATTTGAAATTAGGGCTAAGACGTGTTGTGCTCCTGGGACAAGTTTTAGGACGTCCTTCACGTCAGGTATCAAGGCAGGTGCTCGTTGGATTGTGGACTTGGGTGAGAAGCGAGTTGTACCGTTGTTGTCCTATCCCGTCTCCTTTTAGCGCAAACAGAGAAAAAGAAAAAGGGCAACATACTCTGAATGTACCCCAACTGTATACCAAACCCTTGCTCGTAAGGGCAAATGTTGCACTGTCGGTTGCGACCAACTGAGTGAAAACAGTGCCATCTGGAAAATGCGAAGAGTCCACAGGCAGCGGAGTAGCTTCTTTAAGATTAAGTTCCACTTCATCGTCATCTTCGTCGTCTTCCTCTCCGTTATCGCTGGTAGCATCTACGGGGGTCTTTTTACTTTCAACGGTTGTGTCTCTGCCCAGCGTCCATTCGTCATTAACGCCCCATGTGAGGATTTGATTGTCGTGGGTTAAAGCAGCAGAATGGATTCCCCCAACTGCAAGTTGGACAACTCCAACGGTTTCAGCGGACAATTTTGGGTTTAGGACTGGGCCTGGTATCTCTGGTTTTTTGGTCGCGTCACCCAAACCAAGTTCACCGCCGCAGTTTGTTCCAAACACGAAAACATCGAGTCGTCGGTTTGGCGCGCTGGTGAGAACAACCTTGGGAGATTCTGCAAAGTTACTGGAAGGTTATAGCTTCATTTTCGAATTAATTTGATTGATTTTTACTCGCCTTTCTGTCGCTTGCGTATGGTTGTGTCCGGTTTGGACGAGTCACTCAGAAGTGCCGAGACTTTTCTTTTCTGATTCTCAATCATGGTGATTTTCTGATCTTTTTTTGTGTCAATTTGAATTGTGAGGCACCTGTCCTGTGACGGACACTAGGCTGTCTTTTGGGAGGCATGGTTGTCTTGTTACAAAACAAGTGGTCCGTCACGTTGCGTGAACACAACTAGTGCAGCTGCCGACAAGAAGTGATTAGTAATCTGGGTCGTTACTCTGGCAACGTCTGAACAACAGTGTCTCTCCGACTAGCTTTTTTGGTTAAAGTATTACGATCAGATTTCTTAGTAAATTCTTAGCATTCAGGGTGGAATAATTTTGGAATTTGAAAATTTTGAAACTTACTAAGCAGGTAAAAGCACCCAGAAATCAATCCCCCTCCAATCTCTGGAGCCAATCTCTGCCCAGGTGTTAGGGTTTGCTCTCGCTCAAACCCTACAAGTCTTAGCGCTCTAGATATCCCCGCTTTGAGAATGTCTCAACGTTCTTTGTTGCTGCTTCATTGTCGATGTTTCTTTGTTGCATCTTTGTACGAGCAATGCCTCACTGTTTCTTTATGTTCTACGGTATCTTCCTTTCTTGTTTCTTGTCTAGTTCTAGTTTCTAGTCAGTTCTCGCAAATCTATCTACATTCCTGAGTCAGTTCCTTACGCCAGCTGTGGATCTCTGCCCTGGAGCCAATTTCTGTCTGGGAGTCTGGGTAAATCTACTGAAGGAAATTACGAAGCAGTGATTCTTGATCTATATGAGTCCTGACTCAATAAAAAAAAGACGTAAATAAATCAAAAACATACAACAGCTGGGATTCGCTGGTGGTCACCCACCCAACTACTAACCAGCCGGCGTGTGGCTTAAGTACGGCTGAGCGGACGGGAAGCCCTGTTTTCCACACCCTATGGTCGTATGTGCTAGAAGAATAGAAAATGGGTATCATAAGTCAACCTCATATATCCCCTAAGTAGCGATGGCACTGGTGTTTAGGGTTAGATGGGTTACTGCTTAGCCCTATAACATCAATTACAATGCACCCATGGCTCTTGTCAAAAACCAGCCAAAGCATTGCTCGATTAGGTGCATAAAATATTGGGTTTAAAAAAGTTTTAGTCTGTTTGGTGGTCCTTATTCAACACTGCTCAGTGATCGCGCACTCCGTTCTCTTTCTTCCTTTCCTTATGTTTTGTATTCTCGTCGAATAGCACCTAGATTAGGCATAGCAATGGATTGTTATGAGATCTGGCTTGGCACCCTCACAGTTCTAGAAGGGTTCTACCCTTTGTCGGATTGGTGGGTTTATTCTAGGCCAATCCTGAATAGTGGTTTACTAGGATAAGAAAAGAAGAAGAGACTAGCAAGATTGTATGTATTGAGTTCTCTCCCTGTGTGTCTCTTCCGAATGCATCAGGTTCCAATGCCGGTTTTTATAGACATTTTTTGACGGGGTGATTTGTGAGCTATCATGAGGGGTAAACATTGAGGGCTATATTGAGCTCTGATAAGAAGATGGCTTCTCCTGAGGTGTCTGGCTGACCTTCGAGATCGAATAGCCTATCTTCTCCCTCGCGGGATATCCGGGTTATCTGACACCATTCGGTGATGTTAAAATAAGGTTTGGTGCAGGTTCGGGATGCTGCTTGTTTTTGGGATAAGACAGCCGCTACAACTATTGCTCAGTCTGGTCGTCCAGTTGGAAGCTTTTCCAATGCAAAGTTCAATCCTCCATTTCGAAGTCGAACAATTTCCACAGAGATTTGATAATTGGCTGTAGTCGTTTAGGGGCATGTCGACCCTCAGGTTCGAGGTTAATACTGGCTCCTCTTTTCACGTGAAGCAATCTCTCTCCTCTACCAATTTCACAAATCTCTGGATTCGACTTGCCAAACTCACGGTTGGAAATGAGAAAAGGGCGAGACAGCTGGAACATCACATTCTGCTCAGCGAAATTATCAAATAAATCCCCACCGATTGGAACAAGGAGCAGGTTTCGAAATTTAGGCAGGCTTTCCTTTTGTCTCTTGGCGTATATCGCATTCCAAATCTGGAGAGACAAATCCTCATCCATGGCAGTATTCATAAAAGCATCTACAAGCGCTGATCGATAAGTTTCTGAAGTGTGAGTTGAGCGAGGTTCAGGACCTGTAGGCCATAAAGCTTCACTTGACCGAGGCCTATAGTGAAGATCGACGATAAGACTCTGAAGATGAGGGAACAGCTCCAATGCTTCATAGAGCAGCCTTTCCGCAAAGTTGCCTGTGTATCGCTCAATCGTAAGACGAAGTTCCCGGAGTTGAGGAGCCATCTTCGCAAAGATAACGATATCGTTGTTCTCAAACACTGGGTATGAATAATACATATCACGATAGTGAGATCTATTCCAAAATCGTGTTGGCTCAATGATCAAACCTTCCAATGTTTCGCCATTGTATTCGAAAATGCTGTGTTGATGTATCATGTAACCCACGAATACGGAGCATTTTAACATTTTTCAGGCGCCAAAAATCGGCATATAGTCCGCTTCACGAAAGTCTCCGGTTGGGCGTAGTCCAGATAATCGCTCATTGTCCAGACTAATAAACAGTCGCTCGAGCCTTTCTAGGCCGAGGAAAAGGTTAGTTATCCTAGACACTCTTTCAGCAAGCAGCATATCCAGGGCACAAATATGAGAAAGCGGGAAGTCCCCCCATTTCGCCAAGACAGGATCACTTGGAAAAGCCGCCAGTCATCAAAGTTAGTGAAACGGGTTGTGGCGGCGCTGGTAAAGGTTCTTCAAATGAAGATAAGAGGTCTTCCCAAGACTCGTTGCTTTTGGCATAGTCCTTTGCCATATTGCGTCTAATGTTGGGAATCCCGCCTCATTCTGCCTGATCTCTGTTCCATACTATATCTTACCATACTAGATCATCTAGTATGCGCGCAGCTTTTTGGTGTAGGTGGTTCCAACATCTAATTTCCAATCTCTCAAATTTGGGGCCATGGCAACTCGTGGGATTATTGCCTCTTGCTCCGCACGACTGCGACCTTCGCGATCAAATCAGTCAGCATACCATAAACTAATAGCGCCAAGGCATGGAGAGCGAAACAGATTGATTTCAAACGGATCTAGAGTCTTGGGAAGCGGAAACTGGCATGTTTCCCAAGCCAGGAAGGTCAAGAACGATATTTTGCGTGCTCCATATATTGAGCTGACAAGTTGAGTAGTATTGATGAATAGCTTTTAGAAGGCAGCTTGGAAAATTGTTTGCCACGGCATAGTTGATGACTTCCGACCGTTTGACGGCCTTTAGAAGCTTTACTAGCGGTTCCCAGTTGTTCTCTGCATAGTACGAGGGTTGCAAGGGTTGCAGAGTTGCATTGTCAAATGCTGGAAGACGGGTTAGTAACCGAAGACATATCGTGATATAAGAACCCCCGAGTCCGTAACATGTACATATTCACATATCAGGTGTATGAACTCCAATGGCAAGATTTCCATTCTGAGATTTCAAGTTTTGGATCGAAATGGTCCCAAGAATCATCATATTAGTAGTGGTAGAAGAATGCAGAGGCGAAGAAATAAACTAGTTAAAGTGCACACCAAAGCCGGGACCCTTATGAAGCTATGTTCTAACATGGATCCCTTTGTTTGCCTATTATTTTCTACTTTCCAGGTTCTTATGGCACAGATGATAAATGGAATAATGTCCAAGTCTCTTTTCCGCTTAGGTGAATTACCTTCAAGGGAAAATAGGCAACTATAGAATAACTCAATAGGCTTCCGACTTCGTTTATTTTGTAGTGTATGTCCTATTTGGCCTTCCGTTATCCTAACACGATGTTAATTAACGTTCAGCAGCAACCAAAATCAAGACCAGGTAGGTGTCAAAAGTGTTCAAGGGAATTGGCGCCTCCATAACGAGCGGGATATCCTGAAGCGCTTCCAGCCGCGTACCTCGAATCTACACCGTCTCCTAGACGACGTTGAATCTCCACTCGAAGCCCCAGCCATTATCCATGCGTATCTTGATGATGACTGGACAAGAGCATCTAGAAAACAAAGACTGACCAGGAAAGAAATCAAGTCAGTGACTAGGAATTTCCTCGAAGTCTGGCCGTGCTGCATGAAGATGGTGGCTATGTACGCAATTTTGGTCAGTATATCTCACTGTTTTAGTGGCTGCTAAGAGAAAGTCTACAGATATCAAGCCAACCAACATTCTAGTAAACCATGGAAGTGGGGAGAATCCGATTTTCAGAGTTAAAGTTAGCTGACTGCGGAGGACTACTGATTCTGTGTATGCACAATGTGGCATACCCACTGGGACAAGTCTGTTTCGTGCACCTGAGGTTCATCTTGAGATTGCATGGAATACTGCTGCCGATATTTGGAGTTTAGGGGTAACTGTAAGTGATTCCCGTCTCTCTATCTCACCCCTATATGTCTAACGGTACGACAGCTCATTAATCTTATATGGGGTTTTAAATTTCACATCTTCGATCCTCAAGAGCCAGAAGGTCACGAAATGTACAATACTAAGATTGTCGTTCGCCAACATCAGTGGTTCGGACCATTCCCCATTTCTTACAGGGAGATTGCTGAAGAGGATACACAAGAAGCGATTATCGGACAAAAGATTTATGCTCAAGATGATGAATTTAGGTCTACGGGACCGGCCCACTGCGAGAGAGCTTTTGAGGGATGAGTGACTGGTTCACGGAGAGCTCAGAGAGGACAGTGGGCTGGTACTCGAAGGAGGAGTGAGAGATGATGGGCCTGTAGAGAGGTGATAGTGAGCTCATGTACGTCAAATATCACCAAAGAGTCAAGCCCTTGACACATAAATTCTCGAGACTTCGTTCATCGTTGGCGAGAATTCCCGAATTGGGAAACTTGAAGAGGAACTTTGGTCATGGTGATGCTGTCTATTCTACCTCGGTACAATTGACATAGCAAATTCAGCGCCAATTTGTAATCCAACAAGAGTAAATCCTAGCGAGTCACCAATTATATTTCGTCAAATATCAAGACATGGTGTTTAGTGAACGAGTTGGTGGTTGAGTAATCATGATTACAAGGCACGAAAGTTTCCGATAGGTAAATACCGTGTAATCCAAGTAATTCAAGTAGGGAAAACCAAAGTTACCAATACACTAATTCAGGACACGGCGCCACGGCATCCGTCATGAATCTCCACACCTTTAGATTTTGATTGATCATCCACAAAACACTACGAAGTGCACAGTACGTACAGCCTCAGAAAGCATATCGATTATAAAACACCCAGCAGATCTTCGGAAAAAGAAATCCTAAGATAATGCCTCGTGCACGAACAAAATACATATGGCCGCCACCGATCCTCGCTAACGACACCGCTATACTTCCTCCTCAGCGCGCAGATGCGACTACTACTCCGACGATTACTAACGCCACCAACAGTGAACCTCGAGGGAAGAAACCGAGATTAGCAGCATCGAAACGCAGAACAACTAGTCAGCGGAATACGCCTGCTTCAGAAGACCGTGGAGTATCTCGCGCTGGGGACAACCAAGACAAGGCAGACAAAGCTGGAGAGGAAGCAGTTGAATGGGATCCTGATTCAGATACAGCACCACCGTCTGTGGAAGTTGCCATCGCAGCGTATGCGCGCATACCCATGGAGACACAAATACAGCGATATCGTGAATGGAGGCGTAAGACATTCCTTACCCTGTCTCTAGTCTTCGCGCTTGCAACCCTGTGAGACTCATCGGCTAACATCGCTGGTATAGGCTTCGGCTCAATTCACGAGGACTTTTGTATGGCGTGCCGCAAGTCCGGACCCGAAAATCTGGTTCCTTGTTTCACATGCAGTAAATCCTTCCATGATCGTTGTATACCGCGCGGTTCACTATACAACGAGAGGAGACAGTGGTTTTGCGCGGTCTGTGTCCATCGCAACTGGCATGAACAACCGCCGACCTTAACACCCCCTGCGTCGCCGTCCCCCGAACCCTTGGCGGATAATAATCAGCAGACACAAGGGAACCCGAGGAAAAGAGGCAACGCGCATCTAGCCGATCAGGAGGAAAATGCGACGTCTACAGGAAATAATTCGCAGGCCTTGTCTATACTCGCTGAAATATCGCGCTCAATGTCTCGAGGGGAGACGCGACGTGCAAATGTGCCTTCGCATCGGTTTCCAGAAGTATCTGCGCCGTATTCGCCCAATCCTTCTTCTATTACCCTACCATCTATATCCACTAGACCCGAGTTTGGTTTAACAGCACCATCTCCTTCTGCGTACGTCGGCGGTGGTGGTTCAATATTGGACTCGCATGCTCGCAAATCCAAATTCGCGACTTTATCTTCCGAGGTCGATTCCGCGCTATGGGTACTCTACCGCGAACTAGAAAGCGTAACATCGCTACGACAAAGGATCGGAGAACTTGAATCCGAAATTGTCAAACTCCGCCAGGATGTCAGTATCCGAGATAATCAACTTATCCTTTCGCGGAGGTCGATGTCGGTGCATGGTAGCCTACCCAATGGCATCTCGCAAACTGAGATTGATCGATTACGCGTTCAGGCTGCTAAGGTAGAGGAGGTCACGAGACAGACAGAGTCTTTGCGTGCCAAAAATGAGGCCTTGGAAAAAGCCTTGGAAGAGGCAAAAGCCGAATCAGCAAGTAAAGATAAGACTTTGAATGAATGGAAAGGTCGGTTAGTGAGCTTGATTGGGAATTAGGATAGCTGTTCTTCTTTCGATATTTCAGTCCCATTTGTTATGCACCTTCTGGAGTTTATGTCCCATTTTTGAATGTGTTATGGAAGATACCATTTTGTTTGAGTGCTTTGTTTGTTTCCCTTGTTGGCATTTAGCATGTTTGGACATTTCTATAAAAATCGTCGTGCTTTTTTTGGTACTCATTTATTCGTCTAGACCTTTACCTGTATATGTAGGTATAGAAAACCAGCTCAAATTTAAACTTCAAGCCCTAAGTCTATAGGAAAGAGTAATAGTCGTCAAGCAACACTAATATCGCTAAGCCTAGCAAAGTGTCAACAGAGAAGAAGCAGTTGGAAATCATGTTGAGAGCCAATAAAGCCTTGGAACACCAAAATTCTCTTAATCGAAAACTCAGCGGGTAGGGTTGGCTGTACCGTACCTTTTCTAGAAATTTTTTGAAGCCGCAGACTTTGAACCGCACCATCTAATCACACCAAAACAGTTGAAGACAACTACCACAGAATATGCGTCGAAAACGAGCTTCAATCGCAAATACCGAAAAACCGCTCAAGGAAACTATTATACCATCCGTGAATATCCTTTACAGGACTCATGATAGCAACAGTGACACTCTCGAAGGCAATAATTATGCAGAAAAAGCGGATAAGCCCACGTTACCATCAGCGTCACCTCCCGAAAACCAGGATGATGGAGGAGGGTTTTCACATTGGGTAACATCTCTAGATCTTATTCGAGAGAAGCTCTCATTTACCCCAGATGTCATGTATAATCTGAACAATTTCTTGTTGGGGAATCCGAATATGAATTCCCCGCATTTGTTCCGTGCGGATATTTTATATGACAGTGCCGGGGAACTGAAGACGCCTCGGGAGAAGGAGAGGATGATTTTGGGCAATGAGTCTTCTAGTTATAGCTCGGAATCACACCTTCCATATACAGAGGCAAAGGCAGAAGCACCGAATATTCCCGGGTTTGAGTTGAAACGCACAGTGGTCAGCGAGTTGATCCCTAGAAAACCGAAACTGGATAGATCGTTGAAACAGACTAGTCTTTATTACGAGGGTGTTTCCTCCTGCTCTTTGAGGCAAGCCGAGGATGTCGATGCTGTTGCAGTGCAGAGGGTACTGTATCTGTTTCTATCGGATCTGAAGGGTCTCAAGGATGTACCGTTCTACCATCCGCTTATCCGCGGATGGGGATACTTGTATGATTATGAAGACCATTCCTTTGCTTCGTCGTCCCGTTATGAAGAAGGAGAGACAGCTGAAGCCTCTGGTAATGGAACGCTGTCTCTTCATATTCTCCCGTTCCCGCCAGCAGAAGGCTACGATCCATATTCAGTTCAACTTGAGCGAATACTACAAAATATGTTATCGACACATATACGTCTTGCACGAAACACGCGTCCTACGGTGTTATCGACAGATACAACTCCATCTACTTCACAACACAATTCTTCCAATACAACAGGCACAAAATTCCAAGACGAAGGCTATAATCCCGATAAAGACAACATAATTCCCCGCCACATGACCCAAAACACATACTCAAGACTCAAAACCACCTATTCCCACGACCTATGTAAACGATGGGTCGAAACAACAGAACCATCGAAACATGTCTTTGAAGATCTAGCCATCACAGCATTTCTAATCGAGCTTTGGCGAAATATGTATGGAGTTATCCCAAAGGCTGAAAGGGGTGAACAAGCAGGAGAAGGAGATGCAAGTAATGGTGGTGATAGTTTTCCAGGGTTCGTCGATATAGCTTGTGGGAATGGAGTGCTTGTTTATGTGCTTCTTATGGAAGGGTATGAAGGATGGGGGTTTGATGCAAGGCAACGAAAGACGTGGTCAATTTTTCCGGAGCGGGTTCAGGATAAGCTTAGAGAGGCTGTTTATATTCCTGAGCCTTTTGTGGGGGAGTTTGTTTCGACTAGCTCGATAACGACAACGACGGCAAATAGTCAACAGCAAGAAACTGAAAATTGCGTGGACAATATTCGAATACATAATGGCATTCATTACACCACTGGAGACTTCTCAAAGGGAACGTTTGTCATATCCAACCATGCCGATGAGTTGACTGTCTGGACACCACTGCTAGCTGCACTCGCCTGCCCCGAGGACCCCTTACCATTCCTATCAATCCCATGCTGTTCACATGCCCTGTCTGGCACGAGATATCGCTATTCCCCACCAAAGAACGAGAAGAGTAGCAACATCAAGAGCAATCCTCACCAAAGCGAAGAAAATCCACAAACAGGAGACCTCAAAGCTCTCCGTACAGAGAAACAAGCAGCTAGTACATCACTACTAGGCTCCTATCCCAATTCAGTCGCCGTCCTGAATTCGATGTATGGCTCACTGACAGTGAAGACGATGAACGTCGCTAAAGAGGTTGGGTATGATGTTGAGAAGACTTTGCTTCGGATACCGAGTACTAGAAATATAGGCGTTATTGGGGGTCGAAAGAAGGGCCTTGTTCATAAAAAGCTGGGGAAAGAAGAATATAAGGAGACCGTTCGGCGGTCGATTCATGAAGTTGTTGAGAGGGAGTGTGTGATGGATGGTGGTGTTAGGGCTGCTGCTAGGATTTGGATCGAGAGGGCTTTGGGGTTGCAGAAACCGGGTAAGCGGTCGACTTAGATCGAATTTGCAAGTTATGTGTTCATAGTTAGGAGATTAAAAAAAGAAATCTAACATGTGCAAAGATCATGTCAGACGCAGTTATGCTAGCTATTCTAAATATGTACATGTCAACGATTAGCTTGGGTATAATTCATGTCACCTAAAGAGAAACAACCTCCTATTGAACTCGCACTGACTGAGCCCTGCCATTCGTAAGTGAGTGTCCGGCTTTAGCAGCTTTGATTTTTTTCATGCTCTCAATGGCATGCCGGAAATCAGTACTGTGAAAGTCCGCTGGTACATGTTCACCACTGGCAATGCATTGCACTGTAATTCCCGGTCTGTAGTGCAATCCGCTGAGCAGCTTTGGGGTGACGAGGAAATATTGACTTCCACCTCCTCCGGTAACGTCGTCGGCACCGTTGGCACTGGATGAGGTATTTCGTGGAGCGCATGCAATGTCCACCATACGTCCGTGGACCATTCTCTCGTTTCTTGGGTCCATACCCTGGTTGATCTCATCCACTACACGGAATGGTGATGCCGAAAGGGATTGCAGTGCTATCAGATAGAAAATAGTACTAACGGCACGTTCGCCTCCAGATTGTCGATGAGAGTCAAGCACTGAAAGATTCTCGGTTTCGCGAAACTTGACCTGAATCTGAATTGACCATTGATCAAAGTTGCTTCCACCGGGTTCGCCGTTTGGTCCGGGTTCGTCTTCAACCTTGTCAACCGTGACTTGTCCAGCGCATCCGATACGAGCAAAAGAATCAGAAAATGCATCTGAGATCGTCTTAACGAGAGCATCCAGCCGTGGCTCCCATTTGCCGCGAATCTCTTGGATAGCGCTCTCCAGATCATTGAGCTTCGCTTGATAGTTAGACATTTTGTCTTGTAGTTTGTCAATTGCTCTTTGACGATCTTCAAACTCTTTGACCATGCCTTCGCTAACTTCATGTGTTAGCTCGAGACGTGCTTTCTCTGAGTCAATGTCCGCCTCCAACTTGTCCATAGTCAACTCTCTGATGCTCTCGGATTCAAGAACTTCTAACATATCTGGCTCCGTACTAGCCAACTGACGGATTTTCGCTACTTCATCGCGAAGTCTGCGGCCTTCTGCCGCGGCCTCCCTCTGCTTCAAATGAGCTTCTTTGAGTTCATCCTGTTTCTGATCCAACCTCTGTCTGGTTTCCTCGTTTCGCATCCTCAGATTTTCAAAATCTGATAAGGCTTCGATGTTTCTGATTTCCGCCTGTATCAAATCATGATGTAATACTCGCAGATTCTCTACGGCATCCTGTAGGACAGTCAGTGAAGTCAGTGCCTTAAAAAAGGTGAAGTGGACGTACAGCGCAAGCAATGGCAGTCTCTGCTTTGTCAAGGGCAACCTGATCCTGTTTTGCACGAATCGCCTGAACTCTACCTCGCAAGCCCTCAAAACCTTTCTCTAAATCTCGTTTCTTGATTTGTTGTTGCCCTGGGACGTTGTTAGTAATTATTACTTGAGCTGCATTCAAGGTGTAGTCATACTGAGCTTCTCAGGAAGTGATCGATAGTTGACTAGAGCCGTCTGCTTGTCCGATTTCTCTTTTTCTAGAGCACTCTAACCAGACACAGGATCGTGTCAGTAGGAAATGTTGATGTTATGCTTTGGGAACATACCTTTTCTTTGACTTTTTCTTTGTGATCAGCACCCAGAGTAGTAAGCTCTAACTTGAAGGATTGAATGGCTTTCTCAATCTCAGCCTTTTCGGCGTCAAGCTGCGCCCTCGTGTCCAGAAGCTCCTGTTTCAATGAAACATTTATTGGTTGGTCGGTCCAAAATCTTGCTGGTCGCACTTGTCGGACCTGCGTTGACGTTGCACCCGGACCATACTCTTTTCTCCTGTTCACCTTGTAGGTTTGTTTGCCAGCAACCCAACTATTGATTGCATTGTGGCTTTCCATTCGAGAGTATTCTCGATCATTGATCTCTCGAAGAACAACTGGTGTCCTGAAAAGGAATTGCTCGTTGCAGAGCATTGCTATGACAGGTTCCGGTCCCTCAAGGTAGTCCTTGGCCCAACCATCAAACCCGAGATCACGCATCTCTTCCTCTGATATTGAAGGTTTCAAGTCACTCAATGAAGTCGTACAGTTCCTGATGCTGACATCGTGCAACTTTAACTCCACGTTCAATACCTTTTGCAACGTTCTGAAATCCTTAATACTTTGGGTGGTAAATGCGAGAAAATCGTTTTTTTGGAGCAGAGATTCGATTACGTCGGCGTATCTCGGGTCCTTAATTGAACACTCGATGAGCGCAGGTCCGTAAACTGTGTGTTCGAATTTATCTTGGTTGTCTAGAACCCATCGGTAGGCTCGGTGTGTGTCTGGCGAAAATTTTCTGAGCATGGCTTCTCGTTGACCATTTTGAGTCTCGAGATTTTGTAGCTCATTCTCCGTCTCTTGGATCCGAGTCTCTTTCTCATTCAGGCGCTCGTATATAGCTGCACGACCTTCTTTGATCTCTTCGGCTCGATGCTGGAAATCTTTGATGGCTCTTTGGCAAGCCCGCTGATGAAGAGTTAGCTAAAGTGCACAACACACTTGCACAATGCTACTTACAATTTTCTCATTATAGGCATCAATGTCAAAACCTTCCGGCTTTTCTTCAATCTGTCGGGTTATCCTGTTAATAGCTTGCTGAATCGTACTCAACTGTTGTTTGTAAGTTGCGCCTTCTTTTTTCTCTGACTCAATCTGCATCGTAAGATTTTTCATTGATTCTTCGTGTTTATCCATCCTCGTCGCAATTTGCTTTGCAGAGCTTTCTGCCTCCACGAGTCCGCGACGCTTGAACTTGACCAACTCGTCCGTCCGGGTGAAGTATTCTTGTTTTGCATTGAGTGATCTTAAAATTGGTTCTACCTCCGCTTTCAATGCCTGGAGTTCAGCTTCCACCTCCTGCTTTCTGTTTTTGATCTCTTGGTACTGCGGCACAAAAGTTTTGTATGCAGCAAGCGGACGAGCGAGCTCAAGGATCTCAATTCGTCGTTTAATCTTTGCTCTCTCCCGTACCCGCTCAACATCCGCTCTTTGCAACTCTTGTCGATTCTGGAGGTTAGAAAGGAGGTCCCGGTCGCCTTTGTTGTCAGCAAGCAATCTCTTTTGCTCTGCTCTAATGCGTTTGAGATCATCGTGCCATTCTATCATCTGTGGTCCTGCTGCAGCTCTCTGAGTGGAGTAGAGTAGCTCAACAGGAGTAAGTGCTGCGAATTCGCTAACCTTGTCTTGAGGAAGAAATTGGCATAGGTTGTCAATCTGAATAGAGAACTTTTGGGCGAGTTTCATGACTTGCTTCCTACTTGCGTCTCTGCCATCAATAGAGAAAGTGCTCTTGTTGCCTTCAAATTTGATGACCCGGCGTACGACGGGATTCTTTTTGAATGGTGGGCCCCGTGCAAGTTCTATCTCAATGATTGCCTCCTTACAGCCGTGCTTGACAAATTCGGACGCATCTTTTGCTCGTCCGAGATGCTGGGAAAACAGAAGTCAGCCTGGATACATAGCATATCTAAACGCTGCTAGCTCATACCTGCGGCCCCCAACCCAAGCCTAAACATATGGCACACACCAACGTACTCTTTCCAGTACCGTTCGGTCCAATAATCATATTCAACTGCGAACCGAAGTGGTACTCTACGTTGGTGTACGTGACAAAATCCTTCAACTTCATTCTCACGATTGCGCCAGGCTGGAAATCTTTGTAGGTAGTATAACCAGGCGGTAACGCAGATTTTGTCAGGGGAACTTTAGCAACGGATTGCTCTGTATCGTTTCCATCATCACCGTCCGCATCATCATCGACATCATTCTTTATATCAGGATCGTCAAGTCGAATACGCTTGCTGCTAGTAGAAGATTGGGATAGCGGGGTTGTTGCTCTGGTTGATCGTTCATCCTCGTACTCCTCGTCAACAACGCGTCTTCGTCGGCGCCCTTGGGGCGGCACTTGTAGTGAAGTCATCGTTTTCAGATCCTCACTCCAAGCACACAGTTTATCGAGGAGCTGATGCGTTATCTTGCGTGCATATTGAGGTAGCGGCTGAGTTCTTCGCAGATTGAGATTTGGGTCCCCACGCGACAGTAACGCGACATGCGCGACATCCATTAAAAAGGCGGTATGCGATGGCAGAACTAAGCTCCAGCTAAAGTTCAAATAAAAGTGGGTATCTCCAGACAACTTTGTTTCTTCTCCGTTTCCTGAAGACACATCAGCATTGTTTTATCTCTACTCATATAACCGCCAATATGAGAAGACCAATAGCAGCCTCAAATCGGAAGGTCTTGATGTACGTGTACACTGCTGCTGCAGTGACAATTACCATCGGCGGTTCGTTGTATGGAGCAGAGCTAGCGACAAAGCAAGAGAAGAAAAAGGTACTTTTATAACAGCAGTTTCAATCTGCGCTACTATGGAAGATTGCAAATACTTACAAGTTTTATAGTTAACTCAGAGAGACTACGAAGCTACGTTTGAGGAGAAAATTGAAGCACTGCAGACTGCACGGGGAATTCTAGTGTCGAAGAAGGCCACTGTCGAAAAGCAATTACATGAACTTGAGGAAAGAATTGAGGAAAGGGCGAGGAAGGGTATGCCCTCGACATCGAATGAATCATCGCGAGAACAGACGCCAAAATGAAAAGCATGGACTTATCGTCAAGACTGGACGAAATTTGGGAAATATCTAAGCAATGCTAGAAAGGCTCTTGCGGCCTTACGGCGGAACAGTCGGAATTTTACCTCTCTACGACAGGCTATCTCGAGGGCACTCATCAGGCACCTGACGTCACCGAGACCAGACGGATTCAGCGAATAAACAAGATCATCAATTTGAGTGTGGATCGCAGCTGTATCCCACCCGTAGCGAAAGCACTACATCGCTCGAAGCAGTACCGGGACTGCTCACATTGAAACCCAGGGATATATATCGGCACCGCTTACAGCTTCCCGATCTGCGCACAGGCTGACTCCAGCTGGAATCCCATGCAGGATCAAACCAGACAGTATATTCACAATCTATCTCTGTCTAAATAATATGCCTCTGTACACAATACGGAAGAATAAGGTTTCTCCCAAAACCAGAAGACGCTGCAAGAACAAAAAGGAAACAAAATGAAGTTACATATGTGTTTTCCAACCCGTGTGAAAATTCAGAGATATTGCCTTCCATCCATTATACCCAACCATCTAGATTTACCATATCATCTTCCAACTCCGTAGTATCCTTCTAAATCACCCTGAAAACACCCTGAAACCATTGCAGACTGAAACGCAAAAAGAAAGAAAACCGAAGGAAAAGGATGGGAATCAGTCATCAATAGTTCCCCTCGCTAAAGCGGCCAGACTAGCCTCATACCGCACCGGATTATGATCCCCCAACATCCCAGAACTAAACTTCATCTCACCAAAATACGTCTCTACATTTCGAATAAACTTCAACTGAACTCTGGTTGCAGGCCTACCCAATTGAGGGTGGCTACTTTCTCCTTCCCGAAGACCGGCTGACGACATGAACGCATTACGTTGCAACACCCGCATTGTGTCAACGATAAAAACTTCACCGGGTGGCACGAGTTTTGGCGCGATCATTTCATCACGTAGGCTCTGTAAGGTGGACCATGCCCAAGTATCTTCGCCCAGACCTTCGCCGGCGTTTATGGGGATGGGTGGTTGGTTCACGTAGAATTTGTTGAGGATGCTTTGGCGGAGACCATCCCAGACACGGGACCGAATGTGTGATTTTGAGTCGGTGGTATCCTTTTTGAATGATAGAGCCACGGCGCGGAGATCATGCAATATCCCAAGTGAGAGGCATGGGACGACGTCTTTGCCGTTAACGACTGTTGTGACGAGACCGCGAGTCGCACGGCGGAGGAACGGTGACATACACGCTGGCGGACCAAAAGCGTAGACATGTATGGGTCGGTCAGGTGGTAGCGAGAACGCCTTCGTAGCTTCTTGCTGATGACTAGCTGTCAGTAGCAGCGGTTCTGTTGCTTGTAAAGCTGAGGCTGTTACAAAGGACGGTCCAGAGGTATCTGCATTTGGTTGAGATATCATCGTCGCAAGAAGAGCGGCTACACCACCACCCAGAGAATGACCGCAAAATATTACTCCATAATCTGGAAACTCTTCAAGAGCAGCTTTGATTGTTGCCATGACTCTTTTACCACCACCCTCTAGGAGCCTTTTGGCGGATGCGTGCATGCCTTTGTGGACTTTCCAGTTCTTCCCTTGCCATTCAAGATCATCATAGTCGCATGTCATGTCTGTAAGAATATCTTCGAAGCCCCACGTTCCACGGAGAGCAAGCACAACTGCCTTTGATTCGTGGTCCAGAAAGAGATAGTGTACAAGAGGAAAACCACTCTCAGTCTCTCCCGCAGAGTTGGTGCCGCCGGCGGGATCAACGTATGAGGATAGAAGGATAGTGGATTGTGGAAGTCCAGTCATATTTGAGAAGGAACTATGCTCTATGTTTTCAGGGTCATGATATTGGATTCTCTTCTGATCATGTTGTACTCCCATCACCTTGAGCGCATTGGAACCATAGGAAGCTGATGAGAATCGACAAAACCGACGTATATTCTTGACCAAGTGGTTATGCGGGAATATGCCTGGAACTAAGCCATTCCGGTTCAAACCAATGATTGTTGATTCATCTTCATATACACTTTTTCGGGGTCGAGGTGCGAGTATCAGAGATGTCTCGGAACCAGTGGCCATAGAGTATATGCTAGGTACAAACGAACGTGACCGTCGATGAGTTTGGGGAGATCCCGGAGGTTGTAAATCGCGCTTCGAAGACTTTTGGGCATCTTCTGGGCGAGTTCGAGACATCGAGCTGCTACTGCGGATATGAGTTCGAGTATAAGCCGCAGAACCGGGACGGCTGTCGATCGAATGAATTGAATAGGAGTCGGTATGCGTAACAAAAGATTCGGTGTCCTCATCAGGGTGGAATAGTCCCGCTCTTGAGGGAGCTCGATTGGGTTGAGGCATTCTGCTCGCCGTGGGAGACGGCGTAGAACGGTACCTGGGGTATTCGCCCACCGGAATAGGTGGAAGAGATCGATTGAGACTCGCCAACGTCGGGTTGTAGAGGCCGCCCTTGCTCGACCGTGGGTGCTGGTTTTCTGATATACCAGCTGGATATTTTCTCTGAGGTCCATTTCTTGGGACTTTATTTGCCTTCGACAAAACTGAGGAACCTTTTCCTTGTGTTTTCTTCGTCGTATCCTTGCTCTTAAGAGCCGACTTTTCGCCCTGACCAACCCTCACCTTTTGCGTGATCTTCGAGAGTGATGCCTTTCCGAAAGTATTGCGAGGGGTCTCCGAGCCACTCAACGATGACGAACTCGTGATACGGCGAGGTCTTCGCCGTCCTTCATTTGCATGGTTCTCAGAGAAAATTGGCCGTGAGGCATCTTGGGATGACTCCTCTCCAGGGTTTGTTTTATCTGCATCAGTTATATCGGTGATCCTATAAGCAACGTTTTCAGTCTTCTGATTTTCATTTGCAATAGCTTCTGTCCGTAGATCTGTACTTTGCGATTTATTGAAAGTTGTCTGAAAGACAACAGTGTGCTTGGGTAGGCGCTTGGCCGCGTCTTGCGACTCCTGGTCGTGATGGAACCTCTCTTCAATCATCATTGTTCCTGGAGGTGCAGCAATTTCAGCTACGTCATCATCGAATATGTCCACTGTGATAGTACGAGCTGTTACCAACTCGGTTCTAACGGAAGCACGACTGCCTTGAGGTAGCTGACTCATGATATAGTTGCGGATGTCTTCATCTGAGAGTTGGTTGTGGACGTCCGTTGATGGATTCCATGGGTGAGCATCTTGACAATTATGAACACGCTCTAATGCATCGATTGATTGCTGGTGTACTCCAGGATCCATGAATGACGCTGGCCTCGACCTATCGCCAACAGCGTCGTTCAACATATTCTGAGCATATCCGGTTGTTTGTGTCCCGATGACATCGGCCCTCAGCCCGTTATCCAGAATGACAACATCCCATATAGTGACCTCGCCCTCTGTCTCCCGCAGGTGCCTTTCTGAATTTAATCGGCCCCAACGCTGCAACAGCGCGAAGCCTACGGATCCCACAAGCAAGTCTCCAACACCGACAACGGCATTGTCCTCGCCTTCTTCTTTCTTCGAGAATTCCCTTCGAATCAATGTGATAATCGCCGCAATCGCTCGCGAAGATTCTGTCGATCCCAATATCGAATCTAATGTATATAGCAGATTCTGAGACAAATTCGACAACGACGAAAGCGCTACTTCGGACAGGTGGAAGCCCGCTGCGGCAAAGAATGAAGTTGAAGTCACGGTTGAATGTAAAGCTGCTAACTGAAATTTGAACCATCAGCAAATGAAATATTCCAGTAGTTGAGGGCATAACTCACACTGCGCTCGAGTAAAGATTCAGCCTCCAACCTTCCGTACTCTCCGTGGCTATGTCCCGCAACATCACGCCCAGCCCTCGTCAAGATAGCCTCTACAACCACTCTACTCAATTCTAACCCCGTCAGAGTTGTCACTCTCGCACTCCCCAAAGCAGCGCCCCCAAAAAACGTCCCAATGCGCAGAGAAAGGGAAGTTGACTGCGTAATGAACGAAACGGCCGAAGCAATTGACTGAGGTAGTAGAGTAGAGGCGCTTTTGGCAGCGGAAGTAATCAGCGAATTGCTTGAGGTTTTGTCCTCCTCATGTTGTTTTTCTGAGATATTTAGTTCATCGGAAGTGTCTCGGTCCCTAGGCATGACTCAAAAGAAATCGTGCTGAAATACTATATATATGCTCATCGCGAGACCCATCCAGCACAGGTCGTCTTTGCTGTTATGTATATATGTCTGTGATGATCGAAATAAGTATTGTAAGATGTATGGCCAATTTGCCAGTGAAGTCTAGAACGAAGCCATTATCATTCTGGTTACGTCAGGCGCGTTCTCTCCTTGACATGTGATTGACCCGCAGTCGTTCAACCCGATTGATCAGTCCGTCTTCTCTCCCAACACTTTCTTTCGAGTTGAGACTTTGTGCATCTGAAACGAGGATTGAACACGCTATCGAATCATGATTGGAATTGCTCAAAACATGCGACACGTTTAAGCAAGGCCCCGATAAACATTGGATTTCACGCCCCTGACTAGCGGACAACCGCGCCATGGAAAAAGAAACTCAGACCCTTGGAAATAATCACAGTTTAGCACCAAAATCTGCTTATGCATCTTGGTATTATAAACTCATGGTACAAATACGATGTATGAACTACAGAGAAGCCTTCAGATCACCACCATACTGAACCTTCCGGAGTACTTCCCGATGACAATCGGCAATCGATGGAATCCCCGCAATAGCCATACTCAAATAAAAATCGGCCAGTAAGCCTTGCAGGACTTCTTTCGCGCCTTCCTTTCCATTGATACCATATCCATACATCACCGGCCTACCAACAAACACTGCTTTTGCGCCGAGTGCAATGGCTTTGACGATATCAGAGCCTGTGCGGATTCCGGAATCGAATAGAACAGTCATATCTTTGCCAACTGCATCGACAATTTCGGGTAAGACTTCGAGCGAGCCGATTGCTCCGTCCAGCTGTCGGCCTTTTCACTTCGCTGTGAGTATCTTGATCAATCGAGGTCTGTTACTGACTCACCTCCATGATTTGATACCACGATACCGTCACAACCATATTTCAAAGCAGTTCTCGCATCGTCCACATGTTGTATACCCTTGAGGATAAGCGGCCCATCCCAATTCTTTCGCAGAAAGGCCACATCTTCCCAGGTATGATTGACACCGAAGATACTCTGCAACCATGCCCTGGCGGCTCCAAGTGGTTCATCTTCGACTTTTGATCCGGTGTCTGCTTCAAACTTTGCACGGAATACAGGGTCTGTTAGACCAAATTCTGTCCCAATGCCTGCCAGGAAAGGTAGATATCCGGTGTCGAGATCCGCCGGACGCCTGTAGTGATATGATTAACAACGATTTCAATTTTCGGGCATAGCTCACTTACCACGCTAGAGTCCAAGTATCTAAAGTCACTACAAGTGCCTTGTATCCATTTTCCTTCGCCCTTTTCAACAGCGAAATCGTGATATCATTGTCATTCGGCCAGTACAGCTGATACCATTTTGGGACATCTCCACAACTGGCGGCTATGTCCTCGAATGATGATCCAGAAGCGGTACTCAAAATATATGGGACATCAACTTCAGAGCAGGCCTCGGCAAGGCCTGTTTCCTTATCTCGATGGGCCAGAGCTTGAACACCGATGGGCGCCATGAGGACTGGATGGGAGTATTTCTCTCCAAAGAGTTCGATTGAGGTATCAACCTCTGTCTGTTTATATATGTTGGTTTTGGCATTGAAAGTCGCTTGGCTAATAGCTTACCGTTCTCAACATCTTCGGTATTCTGTCTGCCTGTGAGCACAATCACGCCTGTCTGACTACTATAGCAGCTTTACTTACAACTTCCACTGGCGAAACGCTAAACGGTTACTATCCATAGTCGCCTTCTCTCCAGCTCCACCGGCTATGTAGCCAAAGGACTGTAAGCTCATGGTTTTGCGTGCTTGTTCCTCCAGTAGACGTGGATCGGTTGTGATGACTGGACGACCGCTGGAAAACATTCCATTGGAGTAGATGGTTTGTTGGTATTGACCGTAGTTTTCAGGCATTTTCAAAAGACTTAGTAAAAGCCAATGGATAAGTCAAAATTATAGAGCGTATATACTTGTTCTTAAAAGAGAATGTTGATCAATCTCGAACTGCGATGAGGTTCTAGAAATCGTTGCTTCACAGGGTAAAATGTATTCACATAACTCAGAATGTGTATAACTACCATAGAATATCATAAGAGCACAAAATATTGAATACGAACAGGGCAGCCCCAGCCTGGCCCCCATGTCTAACGAAAGAACCAAACCGTGATAGGAAAGTGGAGGAATGCTTAGCCTCGGCTGATCGCAGCGTTGACACCTGAAACATCAGGCATAAATTTTAGGGCCACAACGAAACAATAACTATCAGAAATAGCAAATCTTGAGATGTCACTTGAACATTTTTAAAGCTCTGTCACTGGCTTCTCTCGGTCATTTGGTGTCATGCTTGCAAACTACATGCTGCAATGCGCTACTTCCCCTTTATTAGTATCTTCTGGACCGTGCTTCTCTCAATAGTAATATACCAGAAGATATCAAACGACGCATTCTTCTACCAGAGATGCGAAGATGTATGGGTCAAAGTTTATTCTTCGCCATGGTATCCGCGAATAGAGTTTACGGACTCTCCGTACTTCCCTGGTTGGGGTACTTGGCTCCATCCTGATCGACTGGAGATACGGTTGACCATACCGGAGAGATTGAGAACAGTGCTAAAACCATCAAGACACCTGACGAAGCGCGAACTTCTGTATAAGTTAGGAGGGAATGGGCCTTGGGTACAGAAGACCACTCAGGGATCACCAGATAATCGCCCGCCGCAGTCTTGCAAAGTAGAGCAGGTGCATATGGTACGTTGAAATCATCATGACTTCGAATGAGGACATGAGATCCAACAAGCTCTCCCTGTTACTTGTTTGCTTTCTTGTTTCCTCATGTTCCTTCTTCTTTAGCTCTCTCGACACAGTGAAAGATATCCAACATATACCGCTGGAAGTCGACATCTGGACCTTGTCAAACGATTAAAAGCATTAAACACTCCCCTGAACGGGTCATTATCATTCTTTAACGAATGGAACTACTTCACAAACAATTCAGAGAATGACTTTGAGCAACTCACTTCCACGGGTCCTTATGCGGGTACATTGGGATCTTTTACAACTGGAATACGTTTTCGCACACGATATGGTCATATGTTACCAAAGTCGGGAACAAAGAAGACGACGAGACTATGGGCTAGTGATTCGAAACGTGTTATCGATACTGCAAGGTATTTTGCGGCTGGTCTGTTTGGAATCGACTGGGAGAAAGACGACAAAGCCGAGGTGGAGGTTATTCCCGAAACAATGGATCGATATACTGACACACTGACGCCGGGAGATACTTGTCTTCAATACATTGAAGATACTGTATTAGGTCACGATTGCGGCAGGAATATGTTAGAGAAATTCCAAAACGCATACATCCCGCCTATTGCGCGACGTCTGATTGATGAAGAAGGGAATGAGGCGGTTGGGGAATTTACTAATCTCGAAATCTACAGTATGCAAGAGACGTGTGGCTTTGAGACTCTAGTAAGAGGGACAAGTCCCTGGTGCGATGTCTTTACGAGCCGAGATTGGGATCATTTCGAGTATGCTAGAGATTTGATTCATTTCTATCGAGCTGGGCCTGGAAATCCGTATGCAGGGGCCATGGGGTGGTTGTGGTTGAATGCGACGTCTACATTGTTAGAAATTGGCCCTAAAGTGGGAAAAATGTTCTTCAGTTTGTATGTTATATGTCCTACCTCTACAATCACTCATTCTTTGTTCTTCATTGCTGATGTCCATACAGTGTACACGACGGCGACATCGCGCCCATGCTAACTGCACTCAACATCTTTGACGACCCCAAATATGGAAAGTATCTCCCAGTGACACGTATTGCCGAAGATCGAGTATGGCGAATGTCAACGGTCTTGCCCATGGGTGGCAGGATCAGCTTCGAACGACTCCATTGTAAAGCCAATAACGAGGGAGAAGAGTTCTTTGTAAGGATAAACATCAACGATGACATTGTACAATTACCAAACTGTCATACCGGGCCTGGATCAAGCTGTCCGCTCGACCACTTTGTGAAAATAGTGCATGAAAGAAGAGATCAGGTTGGGAAGTTTGGCGAGACTTGTGGGACAGAGGAGAAAGAAGAGACGGGGTTGACCTTCTTGAGACAGCCGGTCTATGATTCCTTGGAAGATGATGTTAGAAGTTCTTCATCAAATTTGTACTCAGTCATAAAGAGCACGGATCAAAACCGTCAAAATTGCTAGACATAGATAAATAGCCAACAAACGACTCGGGTAACGATCTAGGAGCTCCCCGCCCAATGTGTTATCTCACCCAGGCGTAGACATCAGATTGGAGATAGCTGGGAATCCCTCCACAATGTCAAACGGCCATCGAAAAACGTCATGGCGGTCCCCCAAAGAGGGGAAAGGGGAATTTGTGTAATTCAGCCACGTCGATAATCAGCCTAATGGGAAAAGAGGCTCATACAATCCCATTATCCTCGACTTCTGTACACAAAGAAGCTGCCTGTCAAATTGCCGCATGAGACCGTGCCTGGAGTGGTGGAGCTAAGCAAATGAAGGAGGAAATTGTCCATGATATGCCCGTATAAAAACTTCCCTGGGCTCAGCTGCCTAGTTCGACCAGTCAAAGGCTCGACGGATATCTTGCCTGTTTCACGAGTCAGATTCTCAAGCGGCCATCGCTACAAGCACACCAATATCAGGGTGTTGGAGCTTCGAGGTTTTTTCAGAAGATATCGTGTAGCACGTCTTCTATCAACGACAAGATGGCGGGTATTTTCGTTGCACAAAACGTGTCTCTCGATATGCATGAGCGTACGCCAGCCTCGACTCTATTGTCATGTCCTTATATATATAGAAGATCCTGCTCTATGCAAAGCAATTACTAACAACATGCTATCCGATCTCCAGACCCGAGCTCCTCGACTCAGCCGAAGAGGGCGAGATGCCAGTCCGGACTGGCTCAGTATGCATCAAGTCTGAGCCCCTGAGTGAAATCGAGATAGCAGAAGCAATCGCCGCCCGGACTGACTCGACTCCGATCAAGAGTGAGCCTGTGAGCGAGAACGGCGAGGATTCCGAGGAAATCGACAACGCTGAGTGGGAGGATGTCATGGTGCCGGAAATTCCCTCAGTGTCAATGACCAGAGACAACGACTATCAGCAGAGCACGGTCCCCGTTATCAAGAATGAGACTGATATCTTTGACCAGTCCGGTCAGTCATTACATCCGATCTGCTGTACGAACAGAACACACTGCTCAGGCGCCATGTGAGGGAGCATTCATATAGCGATATCCAAGCCCCCCTCCCACCGAGTCCTTAGTCGAAGAAGATACGGTATTCGGCCAATGTTGCCAATAGCCTCCTCTACGCCATTTTATTGACTTAGACTTTCCCGCGGTCGAGGACGTCGTCCTTCCGGTCTCTTTCTCCTCCGATGACATAGAGATGTCGGAGGGGGATGAAATCGACAAGATCCGGTATTCCGAGAACGTGGAGAGTTCTAGAGGAGGTTCAGGACATCGATTTCGATTCGATGGACAGTTCCGAAGATTTTGGACCTCCATGCCCGCCATCGAATCCAATCTACATGCCATCCCAGGTGAATTTAGAAGCTGCGAAGCTCAAGGCTGCGCAATGTGGGCGTTCTTCCGGTGCCAGAGGAGGCGTTCTTCAAACGGCCGGTCGTCACCCGGCTGCCAGTTAAAGCATGCTCAGAGAGCAGAGAGGCCTAAGGCGTGCAAGAACGTATTTGAGGTTAGCCCGAATAGGAAAGTTGGACCTTTCCTTTGACATGCGGGCGATGAGTCAGCAGCTAACCAATCAAATCAGCCGTTCCCCCAGCAGCAAATCGCCAAAACCTAACCACACCTCTCCATATCCTTCATCCTCAACACAAACACACCAAACCATCGAGCGTCGCCATAAAAAGCACAAAAATCGTTGGTTATCAAACATCAAGTCCCTTTCGAAAGCCGTGGCAACTGCATCTGCTTCCCTTCTTTCTTGTTGTACAAGTGTGGAGCTGTCTTCATCACAACTTATTTTTCTCCGCGCCCAGCCTTTTTGCTGTGTTTATTTTATTTTACCAGCTCCTCTTTTTTTTTTTTTTTTTTTTTTTCTCTCTCTCTTTACCTTTATCTGCGTCGCTCGTTTGTCTCAATTTACTTTTACTTCCACCATGGAGTACCATTTTGTTCCACAAGAAGAGCGCGCGCGCGACGATAAGGGTAATCTTTTACCATGGGGTTATGTTTACAAGGAGTAAGTGCTACTTCTCCCCACCAGACTACAGCTATAGCTAACGTCATCAGTGAGAGTCGCAATCCCCGCCGTCCTCCTGAAGAGTCTGGGCCATTTGGCCGCCGACGAAACGCTCGTTACGATCACGCCCGGTCTCGCACTCGCACGGGTACGCCAGCAAAGAAGGAGAACCCCAGCGTTGCTGAATTCAGCAGACTTTTTTCAAAACAACAAGAAGACGAGCGGACAAACAATACTTTACCCAAATCATCGTCTTCGTCGACTTTGGAAGGATCGCGGAAGGTCATTGAAAAAGTGGCAACTGAGTGCATTCTCTATGGGTACAAGAACAAGGAAACAGAGTGGAAGGTCATTGATAAGTACGAACGTATCTCACAAGGCATGATATGTGAGGATTACCCACGCAATGACCCTGCTGTTTCCAACAAGTACTCCCAGCTACTCAGTGGTGGTGATGTCGTCATACGTGCAAACCTCTCTGCAGACGCCAATCGCAAGTCGAAGCGATATGCTGGCGGTCTTCACTGGATCAAAGTCACGTTCGACTCTACAATTGCCGCCGACCGTGCTTGCTTCTTCTCCCCGCAGGAAATTGATGGACACCTTGTATTTTGCGAGCTTTATCATGGGCAAGGTCCCGCCGAGGATATTCCTATCCCCAAAGAGTCGGCTGAAGCCACTTGTACTCGCTCCAAGGCCCATCGCACCCTTACCTCTTCCCGTTCCACGGCATTTCTTTCAGATATTGAACCTGAGTGCTCGACGCTCCCTCGGTCGTTTGGTATGGGAAATCTTGCGGCGATTAAGGATATCGACGAAGGCAACTCTCAGTTGTCGACTCCCACTGCCAGCTCAGCTACAGCAACTGCTGTAGCAGCTGATCCTCCTTCCTCTCTGCGTCAACGCACCATCCAAGATACCCAATTGGAACAGAAACCAGAGTCAGAATTCATGACTCACATGCCCAACGTTCGCCGAGCTGTACTACGTCCCATCAGCGAAGCCCTTCCCCCTCAACCCACAGTGACTGAACGTTTTTTGCGTTCTATTCCGATCTTGAGTTGGTTTACGGGTGATATCGTAGGCGATGGGCCTCAACTTGGTGACGACGGGAAATTTGACTACAGCAAGTCGTCGTTCTATTGGCGTTTCTGGTTCATGATGGACCAAGTGTTGGGCACCGATATTTGCGGATTGAAGGAGGACTCTTGAATTGGCATGCATCTAGCCTGTGGTGATTTCCGCGGCTTCAGTCTTGACATTCGACATCATATGCCCACCGTTCGTAGAACAGAGTTGGCTATGCCGTGTGGCATTGAATATCCTCAATGGATACAATATTTGTGCAGCATCTTTGCTACATCCTTTTGAGAACCGGTCTATCTATACTGTCGACTCCTGTGGTGCACTTCCATGGACATTGGTAAAGATGGATATACTATCTAATCCCGTGGTGCACTTCCACGGATCTTGATCGAGATGGATATCTATACTATTTACTTCTGTGGTGTCGATCCATGGATATTGATAGAGATAGAATTACCAGTCTCGCTACCAATACCGCTTGGTGATGCAGTGATGGACTATCGCACGATCATGTCTTCAGTTGCGAGTCGCGATACCAACTGCACACTTTTCCTCATCCTTGTATGACTTGATTTATCTTCAGATTGCTTGTCACGATTTCTTGGCGTACTTTTTTTGCATGATATGGCGTTGAATGTTGTTTCTTTCTATTACAGGTTGTATCCTAAACTGGTTGAGAGCAACAATACATACTTCATTTAGATTGACAAGTTACTTCATTGCCCATTGCTTAGCCGTGACATGAAGCGTAGGAACACCAAATTTGTCATGTCAGTTAGGGCTTAGCCGAGAGGAGCCGCAATCACTCGTAAGCCAACAACATTTCAATAATTCGATTCACAAATATTGACAGAGTATACTCAATACCCAAAGATTTATAGTAAAAATCAAATAGAGTAATACATTTATATTAACCATGCCTCCATAAACCAGTTGTAATAACACAAGAAACCGTCTCGGCTCTCTCCCTCCAATTTTTTTCCCAATTTCGCACTCCACACAAACTGCTGATTGGACGCACCAATAATATCGACCAAAACTTTCGGCCAGCCGAACGGCCAAGCTCTCACCAACAACGACTCGAACCTCACCTCTACATACACGCCTATTCATATCACCTGCCTCTTCTCGTCGAGAATTCTATCGCTGTGTGAAATCGCACACAGAGTCAGACAAATTACGAATTCCCGCCAAACGATTAAACTCGGCGATTTTTACACCACGCCGGTTTTCGCACCCCGCGCACCACCTTCTCTCGATTTACGAACGGGATAGCTATCCTTTGATTCAGAGACAAAATGGATGCTGCTAAGTTGGCTAAGTTGCAGCAGAGCGTGCGCATTGGTATGTTTCTTGATATTTTCTATATATGTTTCTATGGGGGTTTGGTTGCGTAGATTGAATATCCAGACTACACGCACGTCACATGACAAATCAATGAATTGATGTCTGCTTTTTTTTTGAGACAGGATGATGGTCGGACTCGGATGGAGTGTTCATGGGTCGTTAACACATATAGTTGCGCTTGAATGCTAACCTCTGATAATAGGGTATGTCCATCTCCCTCGGAATACATCAACATTCGCCCACCGAAATTATCTCGAACAGCAAAAACAGTACTAACAATATATGAATAGAGGAAAGGGTACCCCCCGCCGCAAGACCAAGCGTGTCCACAAGACCTCCACCACGGATGACAAAAAGCTCCAAACCACACTCAAGAAGATGAACGTTCAACCCATCCAGGCCATTGAGGAAGTCAACATGTTCAAGGAGGATGGAAACGTTATTCACTTTTCCAACCCTAAGGGTAACTCCCTTCCCAATTCTCAATTTATAAGTTTTCATACTAATTTTTAAAAGTCCACGCCGCCGTCCCCTCCAACACCTTCGCCATCTACGGCAACGGCGAAGAAAAGGAACTCACCGAACTCGTCCCCGGTATTCTGAACCAACTCGGTCCCGATAGCTTGGCGTCTCTCCGTAAATTGGCTGAGAGTTATCAGAGTCTGCAGAAGAAGGAGGCTGGTGAGGGTAAGGAGGATGATGATGAGGATGATATTCCGGATTTGGTGGAGGGGGAAAACTTCGAGGGTACTGTTGAGTAAATCATCGATCCAGGGTTCAAGGATTTAGGGATTCAAAAGGGAAAAGAGAATTGTTTTCTAGGTCCTAGCGGATTATAGGATCATGTGAAGGGAAATTTTTATTTTGAAGGAAATAAAAACGAATTCTTGGGCATTCGTCATGAATGCAAGTGTGTCTAGTCTGTTGAGGCGAATGATATACATAACCGTTCAATTATCCTCCTCCATGCACTTATTTACATGCTCATAATCCAAATCTCTGAACCTCCCTCTCCGTCCACTCCCACAACCTTCCCGCCAATTCCTTATCAACTACAAACCTATTCCCCTCAATCCTATTTCCCACAGGCGTATAATACCCCCCATTAACCAAATCCTCCTTCTTCCCCCCCGCCGCAGCCCACAACTGATTCAATGTCCCCGATCTCACAGACCGAAAGAGCAGTAACTTCCCCAAAGGCAGTATAGATCCTGCAAGCGCATTCGTAGCTTCCGTTCCATTGTACAAATCACTTGCTACAACACCGGGATGAACGGAAACAGAGGTTAGAGAAGGATAGCGACGAGCAAGTTCAGCGGCAAAGAGGATGTTTGCCGCTTTACTGATTGCGTAGCGTTGCCAGGTTGTTAGATCCAGTAATCTTCGAGGCGTAGAGATGAGGTCCATGAATTCCGGGGTATGTGGTGTATGGGCACTTGCGAGGCTTGAGAGGGTTATTACGCGCACATCTCGTTTTTCGTTCTTGGGCGAGAAAGATGGCGAAGCAGTCTCCAATAAAACCGGGAGTAGCAACTTTGTAAGCAAGAAATGACCAATATGATTCGTGCCGAATTGAATTTCGTGTCCCTGGGGAGTTGTGATGGCTGCTTCAGCCATGATGCCCGCATTCAAGACCAGGATATCGAGGCGCGTATTATCCCGGATGAATGTTTCTGCAGCTCGTTCTATGGATGGGAATGATGTTAGATCTAGTTGAATGAATCGTATATCCACTTCACCAGCACTACCGGCAGCAGATAATCCCGCTTTGATAGAGCGAATAGCATTTTCTGCTTTCTGCACATTTCTAGCTGCGAGATAGATTCGCGCTGGATTGTGGCGTGCTAATTGTAGGATTGTCTCCTTTCCAAGGCCAGTGTTTCCTACCCGTCCAGTTAACACGTATTCGTCTTTTCAGAGTTAGAGACATACCACCAGTAATGAAAATAACCTTCCCAGATAAATCAGGAATATCTTGCTCTGGGCGAAATCCGTATCCCATCAGACCCCATGTGAGTTCGTTCATGGTCGGCCCGACTGCAGTCCATACTTCGGCTGGGTTGCGAAGGCCATGGGCTGTGATGCCCAGCACGGCTTGGAGGTCTTGAGATAATGTTGAGCGAGGTTGGTTTGGGTCACTGGGGGTTGTGGATGTCATTCTATACACGTGTTGTATGTTTCAAGGCCGCAAAAGTGCTACGGGCTCTGCGAGGGGTGAGAATCTGTTCTTTGGATATTCTTTTGGACTAATGGTGCTTACCTTGATCTAGACAAAAATACACATATTATACGTTATACATATCAAAAAAAAATATTTGAAAATCGTGGTGGTCCAATTGATGTGATAAGTACTGAAAGTTGCAAAGAAAGATAGCGCACGCCATTGCCGCGGCAAGTTTCATTTCATTTTATCAACATCATTTCCGGAAAGAGATCAATAATCATGAAACAAGGACTTATTCGTGTATATAGTATGTCTATCGAATTATTGAAACATTTGTATAGCCTCGTATTCTACTTATTTCTGGTGTCTCCTGAAGGTATCACAGATCGAAGTCTCGAGGACGATGATCACATGCAAAATTTATCACGTAGTGTTCATGACATTTCATTATGAAATTCAGAATGCGCAATGTACTAGAGAGAGACGTTTCAAAATGTACAGTAATGAGTTCTAGGCGACTTTTATATGTTTTCTGCGCCTGAATCTGTCCAGAATTAACGCCACTAAGAGTAAAGTCAAACCGAAAATCGTTATCGTTGTGGGAAGAGAGACAGGACTCCTCGACTGTAGTCACAGTCCAGCAGATTCATCACTCGCCGTAGGTGGCAGAACCTTGGCCATAAACGTTTCCAAATCTTCAATTTCCTGCGGATCCGCAGAATGCCCAAGACCACTATACAAGTCAGCAAGACCCGACACAAACTCCACGAGCTAAAACATACCGATAACTATGAAACTCAACATCAAACCCCATCCCCTTAAGACGTTTCTGTGTCATATCACCAAACTCATACTTAACTACCGGGTCCTCATATCCATGAGCCACGAAGAACGGTGTTTTGGCATTTGGCAATTCCCCGCCTGGAGGCGAAAATTCCTTGAGTTTCGTAGAAAGTAACAAATAGCATGACAACCCAAATATTCCGCCTAGTTTATATGGCGATGTGATACCGGTAAACAAAGACATGGCACCACCTTGAGAAAAGCCACCCAGTATAATGCGAGAGGGCTCGATGCCCTTGTCGATTTCTTCTTTGATGAGGGTGTTGAAGTAGTCGCGAGATTTCAGGATTCCGGGTTCGTCTTGGTTTCGTTGGGCTTCTTCGAAGTCCATCTGTGAGAATTAGTATGTATGGCGTATAAGTGTTTGGGGAGACGTACGTCTTGGCCTAAATGAGCAATGTCGTACCAACCTGGCATTGTCATTCCCATGTTCTTCCGCGCGTCAGTTTTGTTTCGACCTAATCGATGGAAAGGGGTTGATACGTACGACTGTAATCGGAATCATAGGCGCATTAGGGAAGATAAACGAGACTTCTTCGAATTTGTTTCGGCGACGCCAGTTCTGTGCAAGTCCGACCCTGTGTGGTATGTCAGATTGTTTGGAAGTTGAAGACGACTCGAGGTTCATACCAGCCTGCTCCACTATAATCATACAAGTCAGTATCTCTCTAGGAAATGTAGTAAAGAGAAGAATGACAAACCTGTCGCCCAAACCATGCGCCATGATGACAGTCGCAGTATGCTTCTTGATAGCGGGGACAACGAAGGGAGCGCGGTACGACATTTTGTATCAAGTTCATTGACCAGAAGTAAGAGCAGTCGCAAAATGAGGAGAGGCGTCAAAGTGAATATGATAAATAGGTAAATAAGTTTGTTGATATTCAGCTCGATGACATCTTGCCGCTCTGAAGAATCGATTTCATTGGCCAATTCGGTAGAAACATATCGTAGGCGGTGAATCGACGACTTTCTCGGTCTCAATGAGCTTTACACATCCATGAAACTTCTTTCTATCTCTTTGTAAACATCCTGTGATTTCCAACAGATTTCTTTTGCCGCTATTCACCCTGTATTGCAATAATGATGCTCTTTGGACACCTCTGCCTATTCAGGCTGTTTCTGTCCGCAATCACTTATATCCTGGTTGCTGCCTCCATATGATAGTCAAGTAGATTCGGTTTAAATAGGCACCAGTGTCCATTACTTCAAATGATCTCATCCTTCTTTTTTCATATCATCCATATCAAATGATTCAAATCCCGAATTCTCGTTTTGCATGAAGCAAAATGCCGGACCCAATGCAGTTACCGCATGAACTCCGTCTCATGATAATGAACCATGCAACTGACGAAGTGGACAGGTACGAAGAGAAAAAAACCAACTACAGGATGCTCTGTAATATGTCTCTTGTTTCCAAGCGGTGGCACGCGATTCTGATTGAACAGATCTACTCATGCTGGCAGCAGTACGCTTACAATCGTAATCCCATTTCATCAATGTGGAAGTTTCTTCGCACCATATTGTCCAACAGGCAAATTGCGGATACTGTTCGAGAAATTCGATATTCGTCATTTGAGCTTAGTGGTGGGCGATATTCTCATTCATCTAAACGTCCTACTCTTTCTCGGGGTGATTATGACATGATCCAAAAAGCAATTTGCAGGGCCGGACTTGATCATCTCAAGCCCTATGTCATAGAAGCCATCAATAATGCAGACCCAAGACCTCTGCTGGCACTCCTCCTGGCAAATCTACGAAATCTACAGACCCTTCATGCATGTCTCCCAGATTCGGATGTAATTCTTGCCGAAGTCTTCCGAGAAGCAGTCAAATGCAAGCAAAACCTACGCAATGGCTTCTCTCCCCTACACAATCTTCGAGAGGTCTATCTTGACGGCATGCCTTGGGTGTGTAACGAATGTAAACGTTCTCATCATATTCATGTCACTCTTTTGTGGCCAATCTTTCAATTGCCAGCCATTCACCGGGTGTCTGTTTCTAATTTTAAACCGCACGAGGGAGCTTCACGAGCTAAATATTCAAAAGATTTTGGGTACGTTTTTGAAGCGTCCACCGTGACGGATTTGAATCTGGCCGTCGACACCAGCTCCAACCCTTGCCTTGGAACTCCGGACTCTTTTATTCTGTTTGCTTTGCCGAAGAGATTGGCCCGACTGTCAGTCTATTTGAAAGGATACAACTCTACTATCTCTAATACCGACATATGGAACGCCATACAGCCATACGAAGGGTCTATCGAGTATTTGGATATCGATCGACATGATCACTGTAGAGAAACAGATAATTCGAAACTTGGTTCTATGCGAGGATTCAAGCGCCTGGAGCGCCTTTATATTCAACCCAGACTTCTCAATGACAAAGATAGCTTGGGCGACACTCTACCTCCGAATTGTCAGTCACTGAATTTCTACTTTGATGGCAGGTTCAGCTTCAGCAAAACTTTCATTCAGCAATTGCAGGATTTCATACCGAGTACACATCTACATGTTCCAAATCTATGGCATATTGTTCTGGATAGATCTGGCTACCTGATTTCTCGAGACTTCCTGCTCTATGATCAAATGGAGGATTCATGTACGAAGTATGGCATCAAATTTGAGGCCAAGCTTTTATCCAAGTACGGCAAAGGTCCACGACATTGGTAAAAGACTGGCTCTGTGAACGCTGATAATCACCAAGATCCAGCTTCCGCTTGACGTTTAGTTACTGAAGATTATTCATATGATAATATGATCTAATAATAACATATAAACTTCTAGATTTTAATTTTCTAACTAAATAAGCGTTTGATTATTAATTATAAGATTATTCAAGGAATATCACCATTGACATATGGAATCTTGACAGCGTGCCGACTTTTTTTTTGTGAGAAATATCTTTGTAGGATCTCGATGAAAGATCTTTATCTTAGTGTATTACCTTTGCGTGTATTGACAGCAGGATCCCAAGCATAAATAGCTTGGGAATTCCTAGAGATACATCCTGTTCTAGTAAGCAACCATTTCAATATTTCATCTCCTTCCTCTCTCCATTTTTTAGTATTCTACATAAGTAAGGGGAGGTGATACCTAGGTACAGACACTCACGTCTTTTTTCATTTTACCGAGGCCTTACAGAACATGCAATTTCTTGGCATACTAGTTCTATCAACATTCCATTTGTAAAAGCAATCCTAACGCCTAATATACCTCCATTCAAAAGCTCTAGAGTATCTATATACTTACTCATACACTAGCTTATAGCTAAGAATCTCAGCAAAAGTGATACCTAAGACTAGATATTAATAATTCGCCAAGACTTCCTCAAGAGCTTCCTTCCAAGGTTAAAGGCTTGCTTGAAGCCAGGCTCTCAGTCTTGCTCAAGAGCTTACCCAGGGCCTTCGATTCGGGGCCTAGCACATCAACTGACATATACAAGGGCTTGATTTGGCACCTCAATTCAGGTCTTAGTTTGCCAATTGGCTTGTAATCTTGCACGCACGGGGGCCTTGTAAGCTATCACGTCAGCTAGCTGATAAGCCGGCTTGAGAAGGCCGCACAGGAAAAAATTGATTTAGCTAATACGCAAGTAAGAGAGCGCCAAATCTCATATTGAATTTAAAGCGATCTGAACACCAATAAATGTGGGTTTATGGAGATTTTACGCGAGGATGAGCCTTCAATCAAGATACTTATATTGACCCGTTAGTGCTGGGTTAGGGCTTGAGTTTGGTGTTAGAAGAAGTCAAGCTTGAAGTTAGCATACCTACCCCATCTCAGCGCATAGAGATCGAAGGAATTGTCGGCTTTGGCAGCCATAATTGATTCTTTTCATACTATGTTTGCCGGAGCGCTGTATCTATTTAGTGGACCTTATACGGAAACGTTCCATATAGTTATTCTAAAGTGATCTGGGGTATGGGCTCCAAGACGGGGGAGACGGGGACTACGATTAGTGAGAATACTCGCCCCAAAAAAATCTCATCACTCCCCTACCTAGCTAATTAAGAGTCTAAACTTATTAGATAAGTTTTGTAGGCTTCTTTTATCCTCTAATACGTACTTAGGAATTTTGGACTTTGAGAGCCTTGCAAGCTTAGAGAATTGCTTCGAATTCTTTAAACCCATTGATTTCATTCATACACGCATCGACTCATCATCTAACCAACTTTTCGCCTCACGTCAAACTCTATCTATAGAAGCGCAAGACAAGCAACAAAGGCAGAACCCAAAACACCCCAGCCGGCCGTTTCCAAAGTCACAGCGGCACCAGTGTGAGTGCTGGATGCTGCGCTGGCAGTAGCGCTGGTTGAGCTAGAGCCAGAAGAAGTTGAGCTCGAAGGGGAGGCACTCCTAGGGCTACCGTCGGGATTGGAGAAGTTGGCCGTTCGTGCACCGTCAGCGCCGGAGAGAGCGGTTGCAGTGACGCCGGTGTTGTTAGCGCATTTGCTGGGGCTGTTCTTGGCGACAGATGATGAGAAGGTGATATCGGCGCACTATACCAATAAATTAGCAATGAATTATATATATCGAAACTGAAAAAGAAAGAAGAAAAGAAGAAGAGAAGAAGAAGAAGAGAAAGAAAAAAGAAAAAAGAAAAACTTACAGCGAACAAACCGCCACCGCTATCACCGTCAGTAATCACTTGTAAAGTCGCGTTCTGGCCATCTGTGAGATTGAGGGAAGAAAGCGAAATATCTGGCAAGCAGAATTCGCCGAGTCCCGTGGCAGCCAGAGTTGGGCCGAGAGTGATGTTGAAGCTTGATCCGGGATCGTTACCCAGAGCAAGGAGATAGGACACGGCTGTTTGCGTGTGGTGGAAAGTGATGTCGACGGGGATGGAGTGCGCGTCTAGGGCAATGACGGTCCGGTTGGAGACTGGAGTGTTGAAGCCTCCGCAGGGGAAGGTGGGCATGGTATCTTCATTGAAGCCGCGGGATACAGGCCAGTCGAGAGTGAAGTGGGCAGTGGCCACGGAGGCCAGGGCCAGACTGAAAAAGGGACGCATGGTGGATATATGCAATACGGTATGATGATTCAAATAGAAGGATAGAGGAGAAAAGAGTTGATGATTCCGGGACAGCCTCGAGGAAGGGCAGTTCTACTTATGAAAGGTCTCGGAGTCTATAGAAACCCACCGCCCCTCTTTTGGAAGTTACCGTCCTTCTCAGTAATGTGCTCAAGCGTTTCGGAATTATTTATTATTATTATTTATTATCATCAAGTCTTTGACTGGTCTGGCCGAAAAATAGAGCGTCTATCTCTCCGCTTTATGCCTTTATCTATCCTGCAAGGCACGTCCCATTCCGTGTGTCAAGCATGGTTAGATATCAAACTCACGTGGTTTAAAGACCGCCTCGTCATACGATTTACTCAACTCGGAATCTATACTTCTGAACTCTCTCCTCCGTTTTGCCTCTTTTCGGAGATAATAATCTGCTCATTCGTGCTCACGCTAGTCCCGAACAGGAAAACTAGGGCTATAGAACATCAGCCCGCTAGGCCCGGTGCGGCGTAGAATGCGCCGAATGTAGAGCTTAAACCTTAAACTGAACGCGATGTATCTTTTGGCTGGGGATGCACACAAAAGGTACTTTATGTATTGCTATAGCTTATAATTAAGCTAGATGTATCATATCTAATGCTCGCTCCAATGCACAATATACCGGCCCACCGCCAATTCTCCGATAAACGTGCCCGCCAATACCGACATGAAATATCCCACATTCATCGTCATGACGGCCAACATCCTGCCGCCAATTAGTACGAGTCTATACCACAAAAAGGAAAAAGGAGACTCACAGTAGATAGCTCACGCCGGCCACCACAAATGCCAAAGCCGCGCGGGGAAGATCAACACTGAATCGCCACGGCTGCGTCTCTGTCGCAACCTGACGGACCACTCGCACCGTCTCGTCCACGCCCTGGCAGGTCAAAGTCCCCGTCTTGATGGTATCTGGATCAGCTTTGTCCAAGATAGAGTCTGGTTTCTTTCCGGCCACCACCACGTATCGTCTATCGAGCGCAATGGCCAGCCATCTGCGCTCCATGGCAGCTTTGAAAGCCATCAGGCATCGTCCGATGATGGCTAGGATTATGAGAAAGATGCATGTGCCCGCGTATTGCCCGGATGTAGTCGGTGTCCAGGTTGAGGACCAGAGAGGTGTGGAGTGGCTGTTGGTAAAGACCATGGCCATGGCCATGGTCATACCAGAACTGGAGGAAGAAGTCGAACTCGCGGACATGCCTGACATGTCCATGTTGGCGGTTGTAGATATGCGATGCGATTGTATGATTCCGAGTAATCGTGTTGCAAGTATGAGCGGATTATATAGGGTTTCGTAGCCGTCGTCAGCATGAAAGAAGGTCTCACATAGAGGAAGCAAGTATACAGAAGAATAATAAAAAGAAGAAAAACGAGCATGAACAAGGTGACATGGTCTGGTGGAGCGCATTCGGCGTTTTGGGCCAGGCGGGGCACGATAGAAGATTTGAGCAGATTATTATCAACCATCCCGGCCGAAGGTCACCACCCCCCCTTCCTCCCGGGAAAGAGTGCCGCTTCTTTCTTCTTTCTCTACACTCTTTTCACTTCTTTAACGGTTGACGTTTTGTGACTCTTGAGAGTCATAACGAGTTTTTTTTGTATATATCAGAGAGTCCCTGTCTAATGAGTTGACCAGATCTCGTCAGTCGTCACCATGGACATGTCAGGCATGGATATGGGCGGTATGTCTGCCGGTGCGGGCATACCGACCTACTTCGAGTTCCAACAGTATTACTGGGCTGTTGTTGGGACAGTCATTGCTACTGCGACAGTAGCCAATGTGTTGAATAGATTTCTTGCCAAGCAACGGTCAGTCTGCAGAGACCCTATTCTCGGTCTATACTAACAAAAACCATCAGTCTCCTCGATAAATCCAAAACACCATCACAGCCAAAATCATCATTCTTCCAGGCATATGCTACCGTTACAGCCATCACCAGAGAAGTCGCCAATGCGACATTGCAGCCCGTGAAACTAGGGGGTTATACACTACACCTTGCGCCCATCGGGCCTGTGTCGCTGGTCTTGGCCAACCTCTTGACCATCCTGGTCATGATGTTTTACGGGTTCGATACCGCGAACTGGTTAAATTGGGAAAATATCGGTTACAGAGCCGGATTCATGACCATCTGCCAATTACCCTTGATTATCCTGCTGGCCGGGAAACAGAACATTATTGGACTCTTGACCGGAAGTAGTCATGAGCAACTGAACTGGTACCATAGATGGGTCTCACGGACGCTGTGGCTGTCGGCTACAATCCATATGGGCTTTTGGTTTCGGGATTACGGCAGATTTCACTATATTCTGACCATGATCAAGACCGACTACTACACGAAACATGGATTTGCAGCATGGATCATTTTGACTTTTATTTTCTTAACCTCCTTTGCACCAGTGCGTCGCTGGAATTACGAGTTTTTCGTCATTCAACATATCGTGACTATGGCTGGTTTTCTTGCTGCGACCTACCTGCATGCTCCGCAGGAAGTCAAAGTCTGGGTCTGGATACCAATCGGCTTTGTATGTTTTGATCGATTCGCCAGGATTCTCATTCTGGCTTTTGCCAATTTGTCCGCTATTCACTTTTGGTCGAAGAAGCAACGACCATTCTTTGCCAATCAGGCTACATTTACTCCGCTCGCTGGGAATGTCACCCGCATTACCGTTCGGGACCCGCTTATTACTTGGAGACCCGGACAGCATGTGTTTTTGAGTTGTCATTCAGTGGTGCCTCTACAGAGTCATCCATTCACCATCATGTCACTACCTTCCGACGATAAAATTGAGTTCCTCGTGCGTGCCGAGAAAGGTGGTACTCGACGATTCTTCCGATTTGCGACGAAACACAGCGCCTTACTAGGAGAGACGCAGTCATCAGAGAACAGCAAACGAACCGTGTTTATAGAAGGTCCGTACGGGACAGTTCGACCTCTGCGTCAGTTCGACAGTGTCGTCCTGTTTGCCGGTGGGATGGGATGTACCTACACCTTGCCGCTGATGCGTGATATTGTGCATGCATGGAAGCGAGAATCACAAAGTACTTTGCGGTTAGCTGTGACGAAGAGAGTCAAATTCGTCTGGGTGATCAAATCACGCAGTCAATTGACCTGGCTGGAACCAGAGTTGCAGTCTGTGCTGCAAGATCTAAAGAACCTCGGACTGCAAAATCCGCAGATGGACAGAGAGATCGAGATTAGCATCTACTTAACATGCGATGAAGCGTTAGAAAAGTCTACACGGACCGCAGCCCCGACACAGCAACGCGGTTATACCGAGATCTCAAGAAATGACGACATCGACGAGAAGAAAGCCCTCGAAGCAGAAAACGTCGTCGTTAGATCCATCTCATCAACATCAGAGTCTTCACAAGCAAACCAGACGACAGGCTGCGGCGTCACGAGGAAGTGCTGCTGCACCATGACCATTGAAAACGAAGATGATGTCGCATTCGTACAGAAATGCACATGTTCCGGCAAAGCAGCCACCACAACACCCTCTTCGTCGGCAACTCCATTAGTAGACATGAAAGGATTTAAGAGTATGACTGGACGACCACATCCCCGGTCTATTATCCATCATGTCCTGGAGCACGCTGAAGGTGAGAGTGCGGTGGTGGTCTGTGGACCGCGAGGACTAGCTGCTGATGTGCGACATAGTGTGGTGTCGTTGAGTGATGAGCGAGCTGTGCATAAGGGTACGGGTGCACAGGGGATATATCTTCATGTTGAGAATTTTGGATGGTAGCTGTATATAATAATGAGTCATGCCAATACTATATAAGATATAAAAATTAAAATATGAAAAATGAAAGATGCGAAACAAATTGTAGCTGTAGTGTTGATGATGATTTATTACGCCCGGAGGGACTAACCCTATAGGGCACTAGTGCTCTAGATATATACAATTCATGCGTTAGACCTCTCCTCCTACAAGCCCCTGCTTTTCCTGCTTCAACATAATTATCTTGGTATCTAGAGTTAAGACTTCCTTGGCCTATGGTTCCTAACATCTTATATGTTAAAAAGAATTAATAGACCAGCTTAAAGGCTGTCTTCTTTAAGTGTGCAGCGTCCTATCCTTAGCGGCTGCAGCGGTGTCTATCATATGTGAGGGTAGGAATAGTTAGTTAGTGCTGGCTTTGCTATGATTAACTTAGTTCCTATTCCTGCTCTGTGCCAAGTCTTCCTATTGATATTGCATATCTAATTGTCGTTCATACCACTCTAATATCTAGTTGCCATCGCTCGGGATCAGATTGTGCCTTTCCTCCAAGATAGAAAGATAGACTCCCTCTTCTCATTTCTGTACACTGTAGCATGCCTTCTCTTATTCCTGCCCACTTTGTGCAGTAAAATAGAAAGTGCTTTATAGTCTTGCTTGCCTGGCCACAAGCACAGAGATCTGACTCTATGGCTCCTATCCTATTCAGGTAGTTGTTGAGCCTAGTCATTCCTGTCCAGAGTTACACTAGAACTGCAGCTTCTTTCTGCTTCAGCCCATTATATAAACTATTGGTATACTTTCCTGGCAACGCTGAGTAAATGGTCTTTGAGTATTTATCTACTCCATCTGGAAGGGCTCTCTTATATTGTTGTTTGGCAATAGCAAGTCTCACTACAGTAGATTTAGCCTAGTACAATTACTTTTCTGATTCACATCCTTCTCTTGTTAATCTTAAGTGGCCATTTTCACCTTCAATCTTAATACAGAATTATTATATGCTGGGATCCAAAGTAGACTAATCACATTTTCCCTTCCCCGAAGAAGCTGGGCCATCGTATATATCTGTTAAATCACGCTTTGGCCAGACTATTAATATAGTTATCTAATAGCAGCTAATGCTAATTAATTGCTGCTGAGGATGGTCACTTGCCTATTGAAGACTCATAGCAGAATATATGTTAATCCTGCAGCTATTGCTTCTAGCTCAGCTATATATAGGTTCTGCTCTATTTGACTTAATAGTGTTCAATCATTCTCATGCTGCGTGATTACAAACCCAAAAGTGTATAACCGGCGTTCGTCCCATTGAGATAATGGTATGTGCCCGAATAACTTTCATAAAATGTTCTTATATGAGAGGTGAAGAGCATTGTACTTTCACCAAAGCGCTTCAAGATATGTTGACGACCCTAACCCCAACCTTGTATTTGTTCGGCATCATGATTTGCCAAATACTTCGTCGGGACCTAGTCCAAATATAAAAATCCCGAGCAACAGCTTTGTTTCTGACCGAAACTGTAAAGAGGTTTTCTCTATTCTCGTGGTGGCTCTTCAATTCATTTCGTGGAGATCAGATATTCTCTTCTATCGCAGTCCTATTCTAATGCCTCGATTACAACTACGACTGGGCTCTTTGAGCTCCGCCAGACGACTGTTTACCGAAGCTCAAATTCACTTCGTCAAGTCGATACAGGATGTGGATACGAGAGAACCTTCTCGCCTCTTCGGGCCATTAGAGATGAGAGTCGCGAGGCAATTAAGGAATCTACGATAAGCTTGGAGACGTTGAACGGAGCACTAACTAAGGAGGAAGTGGTCGGTCGCAGAAAGAGAATACAGCGCTGGACTAGACCTCTCGAAGATAGAGATGATGGCCATGTCGAGAGCAACCAATGGGATGAAAACGCTTGGGATCTGCTTCAAGGACAGCTGGGAGACTTTTCGTCGTTCAAAGTTGTAGCTGATTGCGATGATGTTGGTTTCCCGTTTTGGCGCACAGCTATCCGGCCCTGAACGATGTATTTACCCAACAGTGAAAACTTTTCATTAGGGTCATGGATGGGCTCTAAATTGCTCACCACCAAGCATTTTCATGTTCGTTGGTGAAATTGTTGCTCTCAGTTGTTCGCTATCACGACGCCACGGGCAGACATTTCAGCCGATCATCATCATGGTTGATCTGCCATATGCCCACCCTTCCCCATTGGTGCATAATGGCAGTGAATCTCACTGTCTCAACAGCTACTATGATATGATGCCCTCTTTATCATTACATCCACCTTCTCAATGCTCCCAGTTCTCCTACTTCCTTCCTCGTTGCTCTTGGATACTATATTCTCAGATGTCCGACGCGCATCGTTCATTTCACCCCCTGAATTGACAATGGATGGCTAAGTTCGCGCCAACTTTGTGGTTCATGTCTCGTTTACTTTCAGACGGCTGGCCAAACGAACTGAACAAGACATCAGGGTGGGTATGAATATTTGCAAAACCAAAGTTCTAACCAGAACTCCTCTGAACTTCGCTTACCTGGGAATTTGGGTGTCTGGTCCACAACCCATAAACCTTAACAACAGCATGATCAACCAACAGGTTCCCAAGAGGGGAAATGATCTTAACGGTCTCACGCAGCACGCACACATTCATGAGACAGACGGCTTGATTTTGAGCCAGTTGCTGAAGAAAGGCCAAAGCCTGGTCAAATCCATTTAAGGTTAAGTAGCTTGAAACCCCGTTCCCCAGGATTACTGGGGCCATACTAACCTTTGATACGTCTGAGTCTGGCTGAGAGATGGCGGTATCGTGGAACACTCCGTGGACGACTTCTGCCCCTGCTGAGAGAGCACTGGTGATTATTTCAGTCGCCCGCGCCTTTGAAGCCATGCTGACCAAGGCCCAGAGTTGTGCAAAGGAATTCTCGGTGAGCAGCCTTTTTACTGTGCTCTTGAAGTTGTCCGCAATAGCTGAGTGTGAGATGATGCGATCAGTCGCCATGCAAGTTTGTCCTGACTGTAGGAAAAGTTAGCTCAATAGATTCCCGCTAAAATTTCAACTTACATTAAGAAATGCACCCATCAGGACAACCCAGGCAGCAATCTCCATATTGGCATCCTCGCAGACAATCGCACTGTTCTTGCCTCCTAATTCCATCAGACACGGCTTAAGATGCTGTCCACAAAAGGAAGCAACTTTTCGACCAACAGCTGTACTGCCAGTGAAATTGACCTTCCGAATTGCCGGATGCTCTATCATGCTCGGGACCACAGCAGCTGCATCTTCGGCCCGAGTCGAGATCAAGTTAAAGCAACCCAGCAGAAAGCCCTGCATCAAAAAAGGCACGTGGTATAACGTGGTAGCAGCGAGGCGTATATTCAGATGACCTGATTACAGTTGTGTTTCCTCCTGCCAGAGCAGACGCTGAAGCACGGACACCGAATACATATGGCGCATTCCCAGATCTGGTTACTATTATCACGAATCGACCCCCTTTTTTTTTTCCTGGCGTTCTTACCAAGGAACTATACCCAAGATCGCTCCCATGGGTTCTCGATGTACGATCGCGCTCTGCCCTTCTGTTTCAACAATTGGAACGCTACCACAGATAGAAGTAACCCTAGAAGCAATATCACGCAACATGCGAATTGCCAGCGGAACGATAATCCAGTCGAAGAAGGGACATCGGATTCCATCTCTGTCCGCATGAATTCACCATTCTCCTCGAGTCGTGATTCTAGTATATCAGCAGCTTTGAACAGTATATCTCTCCTAAAAATTGGCTTTGTGTTAGACCACGCTGGAAATGCTTTCTGAACGGTTTCCACAGCGCGAACGGCATCAGCGGGGGTCGCGGATGCAACTGTCCAGCAGACTTTGTTCGTGTAAGGACTGACAACCTTGAAGGACTTTTGACCAGGCTCTTCGCGGCTATCGATGATTAGGGGCACATGAAGGGGAGCGGTGCCGGTCGTTTGGTAGACATGATAGTCGTGATTGGAAGATTTGATGAAGATAATGAAAAATGAGGGCGGTTTCGAGTTATATACCTCAAAGTGCACGTACCGTCTTACATCATATAACAATAAGAGAGTTATCTCAGCAATTCTCAGGTTTTCCTGAATCAGGACCATACCTGCAGAAAGACTCCGTGGGTGACTGAGATAGAGAGGTAGGTAGATTTACCAAAGACAAAGAACGGATTGTAAGTTACTGCGTACAGAATGGTATGAGCTTTACACATGCGTAGTTTTATATAAGTGATGAATACCATATACTCCATTGCCCTCTACTGTCTACTCTTCATTCTCAATCTTGAATAAGCCTAACGAGATGATTTATCAACAGGTGAATTGATACAGTGTCATAGATGCATAGCATGCTATCTGTAATATTCTGAACACCTTCCGAGGTTTTACCATATACTGGATATAGCTAAATAATCCCCGTATCAGAGGAATTAGCCCACTGCTCTGTGCCATCATCCTACCGATGGTGTGAGATCTTTGCTAATTGGCATGCATTATATTCCCTTCAATTGTTGCGTCTCTAGACTCAACTTTCCGTTTGGGTTGGCATAGCTGTATGGCTCAGTGTGGTGGGTATATAAACCATCGCAAAGAACTCATCATTCTTCTCCAAGAGTACAACTTTGATTTCAGACCTCAGACTTGATATTTATTTCTTTTCTACGTTACCCCAAGTCGACCTATCTGAAGACAAGAGGGAAAATGTTCTACTCAAAATACTTTGCTTCCATTGTCCTCCTCCTGGGAACAAGCCTCGCTGCACCACTCCGTATAGTATCTCTTTAGCTAAACTTTGAAGGCAGCAAAACTGACGTGACTATTAGCAGAGCCAGACCGCAGGACTACTGTTATAACCATAGGAACGGGTGACTGGATAGCATTGGCGTCTCTCATATTAATCTCTGCCATGCTCATCGAGCTGATTATCTGTACCCTCATCTCATCTCCTCCTACATCATAATTCAGTTTATCTGATGCGATATATAGGGGCAGCAATCGGAAACAGTGGAAAGCACCTCAAGGATCTGGATATTGAAGAAATCATAAAGTTCTACGAGGTTTGTTATGGATATAACAACAACTGATGCCTCATTAAACTCATTTGGATCACATATCTTTCCTCGTTAACGAGTCCACTTATGCAGTGGCAAGCCCGCTTGTCAAGCTGGCCATTATATGTTTCTATCCCTGCTTGTTCATCAACTCTGGGTTCCGCACTGTTGTCAATACATTATTCATCTTGTGCATAATATGGGCAGCTGTGACTATACTGGGTTTCGCCCTTCGGTGTCGGCCACTTACCCAACAGTGGGATATGACGGTTTTCGGTACATGTGATGGTCAAATTGCATTTATTGAATCCATTCAAGGGATTGATATCTCCCTCGACGCTTCCATTTTCGCCATGCCTTGGCCCATGATTTGGAAGCTGCACCGCTCTTGGCAAGATAAGATTGGGCTTTCCGGTATATTCCTGCTCGGTGAATTGTAAGGTTTCCTGTTTTTGTTTCAATTACTCAATATATCTGGACTGATCATCAATGGTAGAACAGCGTTGTTGGTGCCAGTATCTACCCACGATTCGGGGTCTTTCCATCTTCAACGCCAAAGAAAGAAGCTCCGAGCCCTATCCTAAACCGAAAACGTTCGGCAGTTGGCGAGAAGCACTGTTTGAAGGTGACAGATCTCAATTAAACACTATTGGGCAATACCATGAGATGAATAGTTCTTGTGCATACAGCGTTAAGTCGGCTAGGGGTCCGCATGGAATCATAGGCAATCGCCATATACAAGTCAGCACTTCCATCGGAGTAGTTTAAGTGCATTTAGGCGAGAAGAAGGAAGAATATGATATTGTATATGCCAGCGAGTCACTAAGCTGTTGATGATGCACGTGAGCCAGCTCGGAGCTCCACCATGACGTACTCCGGCTTATCCTCGTCGTCCTCAAAAAACTCATCAAAACACTCAAACCTCAAACAACCACCAAACAACCGCCAAAATGTTCAGAATCGTACGTCCCTTCCACCCCAATTGACTCCTCAATCCGCCCAATGAAACTAATAAATACAGCACAAAACCCTCGATATAATAACCCTCTTCCACAAACCCTCCCTCCCCTCCTCAACACGCGTTCTCAACGTCCTCCGCACCGCAAGCGCAAACGCCTCCGAAGCCTCAAACGCAACCTTGGACCAAGCCAGCGACCCGTCTTCCTCTCCAACACCATCCGGCAGCTCATCCTCATCAGTGGCAGATGGCCCGCTAAGAGACGACTTCGAAATCGAAGTAACCGAATCCCTACCTACGAAGGATCAATTAAGTACGATTATTGATTATTTAGCAGCAAAGGGAGTGAAGCCGGGGGCTGCTGTGCAGGGGGCTGTGGGGAAGGAGGATGCGTTGAGGAAGTTGAGTGAGAGTGGGTTTAGGAGGCCTATTGTATGTTCCCTTCCTTTCCGTTTAGGTGTTCGGATGGGATTGACTGATTGACTGACTGGGATAGGTGGTTGACTGGAGCAACGGGAAAGCTGTGATAGGGGACAACGAATCGGAGATTTTACGTCTTTTGAGAAAGGGGGATGAATCGATTTAGTCTCTTCTGTATATCTGCGAGGTTGGATTACTCTAACAAGACAGTGGACGTTGTTTATTGGATATGATGCGTGTATACTACTTCAATCCCATTCCATTCTCTCATTATCTAGTCATCAGCTGAATTCATAGCATACTACGAACATGTATTTTCCCCTTCGATTTCTTAGGTTTGTTGTTGTTAGTCAGAACGAAGTCGAGTTTCCGCGCGAAGTTTTGTAGTGCTTCCTGCAATTCTTGTCTTGCGCCGTCCTCGTCGAACTCGACTGTCATACGTCTCGAGTCGGGCTTCAGCATATCATGTCTATGCTGGTCATGCTGGACGTGCGTAACGTCTCCGGGTATAAAGTGCAATTCCCCGCTGGACGGGTCACTGATGACGACGGGTTTGTTGGTGATGATAGTTGTATTAGTGTCTTTATCGAATAGACGGCCATGGTTCTTTTCGGTGGATGGATGCGAGAGGATATTTCCTGGCATTTGTTGATGATGTTCTCCCGGATGAGCCATGTCGGATTCTGAGCTCTAACGGACAGGTTATGTCTTGATGTAAGATGAACTGGCTTGATTGCTCGACGTATATGCAAAAGAATAATCGAAGATCAGGAACAGGTAAATACGTGTAATAGATGAGAATTAGGTTTATCGTTCCTGGCTGACGTAGACGATCGGATTTGATGTCCGCCAAAAACATCTCAGAAATCCATAATGAATCAGAAGTATCATATCATTGATTGTACTCTAAAATCATACTCATACAGTGGAATAAGAAACGCATCCCAGTATCAAACACAATTATCGAAGTAAAAGAAAGGCCCGCAAAACAGTGTGGTCAATAACAAAAACGGTTCATGCCGAACGATTAAGATAATGCCGAAGAATAAAACAGCGTTAATCAAGCCTGCTCAATCAACATACTAAAAGATCGTCCCAAATGTGCCCTCTGTCAGAATAGACTTCCGAGGACTGCCTCGACCGTCTTCCACGGCTGGTTTGCGATGTCTACTCAAGTTAGTATGGACCTCACTCGTACAGTCAAGATGCATACCTAAAAGTAAATCCAACAAACAACCCTTTGCCCATTTGCTCCTCTCGGTCTGCCATCTCCTCCAACTGCCGCTGCTTGTCATGCACTTCCTTGTACTTCGCCATGTCGGCCTCATTGCTAAAGTCATCGAAATAGCCTGCATCGGTTTCCGAGTCCAGCTCCGGAACAAACGGCGCGTTGCGCTCTCGCAACTTGTTGAAATCAACCTCGGCAAAGTATTCATGGTCGTGAATCTGTTGAATGTTCTTGAATCGCGTCTCCTTCGCTGCCACCAAGCGTGTGATCAAGTCCCAAGTTCGACGAGATAGGAAATAGTTCGGATCCTCATACTGCGGTTTCCGTAACACCTTCTGCCAGCGCTTCAGATTCTGCCATGTCTCGTCCACAGTAGCACCAGCAAACGGCGGATATCCGGCCAACGCTTCAAACAGCATGCATCCCAAACTCCAGTAATCAACAGTGAAATCATAGTCCTCGCCTTTCAACACCTCAGGCGCCATGTAGTCGGGAGATCCAACTATGGAGTTGGCATAGTTGACCTCGCGTTCTCGAAGAGACCGATATCCTTCACGTCGCTCCGCTGCCGTTCGCTGTTCCATTGGTCGTCCAAACGGAACTGGTGTATTGCCGACTTCCTCTAATTTGATGCGCATTGATTCAATCTTTCCAGGGTTCAGCATACCCGCAGCTAGACCAAAATCAGTCAACTTGACATGACCAGTGCTGTCGATCAAGAAATTCTCCGGCTTCAAGTCCCGATGGATATAGCCCAGGTTGTGCAATGCATCGACGCAGCTAAACATCTCCGCAATGTAAAAACGGGCGTGACGGTTGTGTAAGACGCCGGTGTTGTTGAGTAGGGTCCGGAAATCACCACCTGGGACGTATTCCATGGCGAGATAGATCTGTTGGTCGTCTTGGAAAGCGTACAAAAGCTTCACCAGCCAATCGCTCTTGGCGGCGGTCAAGATATCACGCTCGGTCAAAATATGTCGAATCTCATCGAGCTTAAAGAGCAGCTTCTTGCTCATTATCTTCAAAGCGCACACTTCACGGGTATCTTTCTTCTGTGCCAGATACACCTGTCCATATCCACCTTGACCGACTTGAGTAAGAATATGAAAGTCACCCTGTCGCAGACGGGTGCGTCGTTTACGCAAATTGGCTCGTTCGCGACCGAGGTATTTCTGAAGTGCAGGCTCGTATTCTTCGACCGGAGTCTCTGGAGGTGCAGGGTAGGCGGCCTTGAATTGGTTGTATCGGGTTTGGCGATTGTGTACGTAGCTGAGTATGTCAAAGTAGTGGTCCAGGAAATCTATACTGTTATTAGTCACAGTCAAATGAAGGATGAGGGTCAACATACAAAGCTGGGTCACATTAGCCAGCCGCTTGACCTTTGGCAACTGAAGCTTCTCAAGTTCCTCCGCTGTCAAACCAATGCGTGTCTGATTTTGGGCCCTCCGTACACTCTCCATATTATCGCGCTGTTGGTATTGCTCAAGTCTAGAGACAGCAGCTGAATTGACATTGAGTCCCAGCTCTTTCCCCAAACGGGGCACGCTTGGGGGGGCATTTTCCTTATTCGATCGGCGTGTCGGGCTGCCTGGAGTCTGTTGGTAGGCATCTTGATGAATAACACTTCCATTGAAGTCTTCCAGTACAGACAACCCCTTGGCAGGAGAGCTAGGGGTGCCGAACCCCGATTTTGTTGGAGAAGATGGGGCTAATTTCATTGCTTTCTCGAAAACTCCAGGCAGATTCAAGGCACCAGGGGGCATTCTATTCTTGCTGGGGCTTCCGGTCGGCGTTTGCACTGGGCTTGTAAATTCATTTTGGCTGTGGGTGGGCGTGGAGGGTCGGTCGTAGTTCTCCTGACTAGCGCGTGTATGGAGAAGCGGCGGGGGGATAGGGAGGTTAAGAGGATTTGGTCGTGTAGGGGAGCCTGAAGTGAAGTTCGAACCGGCCATATTGTAAGAATGTTTTATCGTGGTGGTGAATTGTTTTGTCGCGCAAATGGCGACTGTGGAGTGTATCAGATCAAATGGCGGGGGGCGAGGAGCATGTGTTTACCGTTGATCAACACAATACTTTCATAAGACTCTCAATCAACAGTCAATTTGGACGAAGCGTTGCAAGGAAGAGAGAGGATGAAGAGGGACAGACTTCAGCTGATGATTGTGTAGAAGTAGGAGAAAAGTAGACAAGGGGGAAGAAGAGAGGGATGTATGAAGGGAGTGAAACTGACTGATCTCATCGGGTGGGGATCTCCATCTGGCAGGAGCAGCCCTCGACCAAGGAACGGCCAGCGGGAAGCCGCCCAGCTGTGCCTGAGTGCCTGAGGCGCCCGATCCAGATATCTGGTTGCCGGGGAAACAATCGGAGCATCACCGAACAATTCAGCCAGCCCTGTGCCTTGTGGATATTATTTCTTGCTGATTTGCATATATTAATTTAGGGATTGATGAGCTGAGATCTATTCAGCTGTCTTAGATTCATTGACAAGTACAAATGCAGTCATACATCTACTATGTACGAAGGAATACACAATTGTGTACCAAACATGGCTTACAGCACTCTAAACAACCCACACACCAGGATTACGATCGCTTATTCTGACGCACATCATTGCTCTGAAAGTTGAGAAATGCAGACTAGCAAAAGTTAAATATTGATTTCATACTCCATAAACATCACCTGCAGAAAACCCACCCCATAGCGCCAGCTGGACTCGGGGTCACCGTATAGTGGAGCTATCAACAAAAGCTATTGTGCAGGATCTGAAGGATCTCATAATCGGGAAATAATTCCTCTATCAGCACCAGACCCCAAGGATTAGACAAAGCTTCGATATCCATTCCTTTGTCATTCGCCATGACATGAATGGAAACAATGCATCATTATTCATAAGCTCATCCCACCACTTAAGCAGCACCTTCCTTTCTCTGGCCGGTCTATATCAATGAATTATCAGCATCTTTATCCCTTTAAGAAAACCAGGTTAAGGAGAACTTACGTAAAAAGCCAAGCCATAAGACGGAGTGGTAAAAGTAATCTTCGATCCCTTAGGGAAATAAAAAACATCACCGGGCTTAGCAGTGACTTTCTGTCCCGTCTCGTCCGAGATCTCAAATTCGCCTTCGAGAATAATCTTCATTTCATGGTAGGTGTACTCGTAGACGAGGGGGGTTCCCTTTTCCAGGCGGTAGAAACCGCAGGAGACCGGATGTTCGGCATCGTTCTTTTCACTGTAGACGAAGACATGTTAGTAAGAGACAAAGAGATGTATTGGATCCAATGCTTCTATTCGTACCTGCTGGAAATATCGCCCAAGAAAGCATTGTCATTTGCAATCAAGGGAGGCTTAAAGGTGCTCTGAGCCTTTTCATAATAAGTCATTCCAACCGGAGCCATTTTTGCGTCTTTTGCGGTTGTTGTAATGCTCTTCTTGCTGCCAGACACACGACTCAAAATGCTTCCCATTATATCTTTAAAAACGATTCTGATGAGGAACTTATATCTATATATTCGTTTTACTGCTGAAGATTCGATTAAAGAACAGAGGAACAGCCTTGGTATTATGGGGACATTCTCCACGCAATCGAAATAGGAAACCTGATCCTTTTAGATTTTTACCATATTCTTGACAGAGTACCAGTAGTTGAGTAATACAGAAGCTATCAATTGGAAGAGAATGCACATATCCCGACATGTGTCAACCAAGGGGTGGGTTCCTTTACTCCAAATCGTGTAGCTCTTGTCGAAATCGAATAGATTTGGATGACCAATCAGTTCTATTGGATTGGAAGATAAGAGATTCGATAATAGATGAGCATGTTCCTCTACCCCAATCCTCTTTCTGTGCGTACGTACATGCGGAGAAACTTGCGTGTATGAGGAGATATCTACTCAGCTGTGTCACATTATTCTCAGCTTTGATTTTACGTATTGCAGTTTTATATCCTCATCCCATCCTCTATCAAGGAAGTAATCATATAATAAATGACCTTAATAGATAGTTTTCAAACCGCTTATTATCTATGTAAGCAATATACCTGATTACATATCATTAATCAAATAACCAAATCTACATCTAGAGCGCGAAGAATAACCCATCCCCTCTTCCCCTCACCAGATAATTCAACAAACCACAAACCCCATTATAACGACAATCTCAGATAACCATACTACACTCAGGTATCCCTTTCGATACTTAAAACTGACTGATTCGTGCCCACACGTCCTTGGACACTGAAAAGGGAACTTATGGGAACATTTTTCCTATTTAGGAAAGAAAATGGTTCTCACAGTGAACTTTGTCCCGATTCGGTCTAGTGTGGTCCGTTTGCCCTAATCTCTGGGTCTTCGAGTTTGATTCAACTGTGGTACAACTGGCCGTTGATATCGATCCATGGTTTTCGCTTATCGGTGAGATTTGGCTATAATTGTTTGAGGGAATGTGGTTGTATGTTCTAGAAATGATTGTCAATTGCTCTGATAACTGGACAGCTACCTATAAATTCTGTTTCCAGATTCTGAGACATAAGAATGATTCATGGAAGTTGTGAGGCAGTTATATCAAGCATGTATCATTTCTAGAGGCTCCGCATTCATCATACATAGAAAATGAAGTAATAATATTTCCCTTAACGGAAGACTACTATGTCGCCAACAGTATCCTCGAACGTGTTTGACATCTTTTTCCAAGGTTCTAAGATGTAGTCATAACGTCGACCTGCCTCAGAATATCTCCACGGATGCAATAGTACATTTCGAGTAGAGTATGTTTTCCCAATATCGCACTGTATTCCACATGTCTGGTACCTATTTATACTATTTCAGTAGTATTATAGCTACCTTTACTACCAAATACTGCTACGTCGAGTCTAGAATCAAATCACATTCTCCCAAGGTAACCTGGCCTTTCCCCAATAGCGCAGCTCACCCAACAATAGGTAACCCGTAACCAGTAAACTTAATCACTCACCCACGCACCTCATGCCATCCTTCATAGGCAAAAATGTATTGACGCAAACCTTCTCTTTGACCACAGAAATTCCCCGTCTAGCGCGGCTAAGCGTAGAAAAGTAAGTACAGGCGAATTGCGTGATATCATTTTCGACTGTTGAGGATCTATCTTTATGACCCCGCCTTCAGTCTTTGTCGACTTTCAATCTCGTTGTCTTATTTAGTTGACAGGTATCAAGGATTGGTACGTTTATATACGCTCATGTATTTTCTCTGGTCAGTTTTTGAAATGCTAACGTGTCTCACTTGACAGCCAGATTTCGTCCCCTCCACCGCCGAGGCGGTCTCCAGGTATTTCCATTCTTAAATCCTACAATACTCCCGAAAACAGGAACGTGTGTATTTACGATCATCAAAGATATCCAATTTATATAACAACAAAAACACACAAAGGATATTTCTGAACCATAGCCGAAAGCCAAGGAAACATCAGACCCATGCGATCACACCCAATGCAGAAAAGAACAATCGTCACTACTTTACCCGTCTGTTTTGCAGCAGAGCGACCCAGGAATTTCCAAGGTGGTACCGATATCGATTGTCTTTGACGACAGGATTTGCTTTTTCGTATAAACAAACCACGAAAGCGAAAAAAGACAACCCGAAAGGAAAAGCGACATTTCAATCTGTTTATATTTCCCTCACTAATATCGGAAGACTCGAGAAGTACAGAATCGTTCGCGACAAGCAAATCACACCAGAAAAGAGAGAAGAAAAGAAGCCCGGATTGTAAATCCTCTTTTGTCTCCATCCAAAGCGCCAGAAAGGGAGGGAAAAAAAAAAAAAAAAAAAAAAAAAAAGGAAGCGAACGGCCCAAACGCGATTCCATCTTCATCCTTCGAAATCAGTAAGCCTTGCCTTTTCTCTTCCATTCGCCTCGCGACAAGATACAAAAAAGTAGACGGAAACAAACGCCTGACTGGATCGCATCGCCATACGGAAACGAGAAAATCGAAAAGTTGTCGCTGTCTTTGGTCGCATAACATCGTAATTGAATAAGAACGAAACATACAACATCAAGCAAGAAAAAGCGAAGCCAAAAGCACCTCGAACAAAAGTCAAATTACCTATACAAGACAGCCAAGATGCCAACCGTTACCATGACGAGAGAGCTCGAGCACTATGTTGACTCGCTCCGCTTGTTTCTTGATCGGAATCCTAATTTCCAACCAGCCAGTCCCAAAAGCGATCATCAAATGGACCTGTGCGCGACTGACTCTGGATCTGGAAACACTCAAAATCAAGACAGGAAGTTGACGCCTGATACTGCGGTGGAACAGAATGGGCAATATCGGCGTGAACAATGGAAGTCCCTGCCATCAACCCAAAAGAACTATGGAGGTTTTCGTTAGCTGTTTCCCTTATTTTTTTAGTCAAGGATGGTTTGTGTATTTACCTTCCCAGTTCCAATCTCTCATTACTCCCACCCAGTGGTGACTCCCTCTGACCGTCTGCTCAAAGTCAAGTTCTTCTACAATTGGTACTATCGATCCCTGTCTTCTCTGTGTAGGGCTTGTAGAGTACAGTCCTCCCAATGTTTGGGTGTTATCAATTGAAGACCCATACACCTTGCCTAACTTTGACGGATGATGATCTTCGTGTACCACCATAGATCCCTTTCGGCTTGCAGGACATGATCGCTGCTGCCGTAGTCGTTCTGCTTTTGCTGTATCTCTTCGTCTCCAGACCTCGCGAATCACTTCTACACATCGATCGATATTGCCGATGCGTAGTCGGTTCTGCATCGCAACCCAGCGTTGCATGATCCACTCCCGATCTTCTTCATCTTCAAACTCACAACTAGCGACAAACAAAGGAAATATATGTAGAATATTTGTCCTTGAAGAAAGGGGCACAGTAGCCAGTAACTTCAAGGTGTTATTTGCAAGAACAGAAGATGAAGGTGAAGGGATTTCGGGGACTGCTTGGTGTAGATAGAGAAGGATTGCCCATCGGTATGCGTACGCTGTCTGAATACTATCTTGAAGCTCAGATTGAGGGTCTTCCGGCGGATTGAAATTATCTGGGAGTACCCATCGATCAATCGCATTTTTGAGTTCCCGCGCTTGGGAGATGATTGCAAAGGAATTCCTTTCGGTCTTTCGTATCCGCTGCACAAGATTCGCTACATGGCCCATGAGCGGAAACAGAGTAGTTGCACATCCCATCAAAGGATCGACGTCGTGAACTCCATCTTCTGATATTGCAAAACGCGGGTCGCCTAGTTCCTCTGTGTCTGCCTCATCCATAGACGTAATTCGAGCAATCACATCCATGTATAGCCAAGTATTGTACAAGAATCGAATTCGTCCTAGCTCTTCTGAAGGTGGGTGACGCCGGACTCTATTCCTCAAAGCCTGCCGCATAAGAGCTCTGGCTCCTTTGAGATGTTGGATGCCAGTCGAAGTCTGTTGGTCCCATGTCTCCGCAAAAGCTAATGATAAAGTTGTCGCTAGCGCAGCATCGGTCTGCATTTGGCCCATACCCTGGACCATAAAGTTGATACTTCGGCGCATGTGCTCCATTCCAAATACTCGCAAGGCAGGATTATCCTTGGAAGAATGAAAAGCCGCCATTGATATAACAGCGTGATATAGAGCTGACGACTCCCTTGCCATGGGCCAGATTAAATTTCGCCACGGATTCTCACTTAATCCATCCTTTACCGACAGAATACCACAAGTCAATCGGTCAAATCGAACAATCAGTGACTCTTCGCTGCCGGGAGCAGGTTCAGGTTCTTGGAAGAGAATGGTCGCCATGGAGAGGTCAGGTGCAACATCGACCTGCGTAGTGGGCGGAGGGGTATCCCTGACAGGCCAAAGTTGAAAGCCGGGTTCTGATTGTCGAATTATATTCTCGGCATCTTCACTGTCCTCTTCCAACATTGATGTGAAGCTAGGTTGACTTGGTATATTCATTACCGCTTGATCGAGGTCAGTCGGTAAGGAATGTGATATTGAATCTAGCTCGGCACTTGAGAGTATGAAGCTAGACAATTCGGTCTCAGGAGTGTTCATGATTGTCGGCAGGTTGAATTCTTCCAAAGATGGGACTCCAAAATTGAGTCCATGTGCATTGTTGATGAGTGGTGTAGGGTCAGAGAGCATGGGAGTCTCAGGGAGTGATAAGTCATCTGGAAGAGAGCTGCTAATCGGTGAAAAGAAGTTCGGCTCTTTTGAGCCCAATAACTGTCCTGACGATGCCGAACTTCTTCTAGCTGCCTTGCGCGGCTGTGAATCGTTGCCGTCTGGATCAGGTGGTGGTGATGCTTTTGATGTTAGTCAGAATGATGTAAGTAGAAGCATGTCGAAAGAGCATCACCTTTCTTTTTTGGAGCAGCCTTGGGAACGGCCTGAGTCTCTTCGAAAGGCCTCCATTTGAAGTCTTTTTTGTACCCACCGCAGGTCACATTGCGTTTGTGACATTGTTGACAACTATCGGCAAGAAGAAAGAAAATTTTAGGAACGATTCATAATACGTTAAATAAAAGCTTACCTCGGCTTTGTTTCGTCACACTTTAGACGTTTTGCTTTACAGGTAATACAGCCTGTACTGTCAGCACGGCTCAGAATACTAAGTTCGGCCTGGAAAACTACCTACCGTTTCGACTTTTCGACTGCTTAGGGCGTGGAGTGCCGCTTGTAGGAATCAAAATAGGAGCAGATTTCTTCTTTGGACTTGTTGCAACGTTTCGAGTGTTCGAAACAGGCCTCTTGGATACGGGTGGCGGGATGGGAGAATCTAGAATGGCGGAAGGCGAAGGGATCCTTATTGTATCCATAACCATACAATGATTTCTCGCATCGAGCTGAAAACGCACCGGGTGTTGGTAAACATAACCAAAGAAAGATAAGAACTCGGATGGAGGGAATACACAAGCGTGGGAGTAGTGGAATGACGGTATAGACTCTATAGATAAGACGGACAAAGTGGAGTAATGTCCGTGAGGTATCTATATCAAGAGAAGTCTCTCTACTCTTGCCCCCTTTGCAAATGATGCACGATAAGCAATTTATTGATGTCAAGCAGAGTCTGAAATACAATAGACTTGTATGCAGGTCAATGACTGCACCGGGTATGTGAGTGGACGTCAATGTGTATAAGTAGATAGCCCTTCCAGGCCTTATCTTTTGCAGATGGGGAATGTTGTGTTAGTCGGTCAGGCCGGATCCAGATGGTGTGCGGAGATCAAAACAAGGAGCTTACAATTGGCAGATAAGTCGTCTTATGCGGGGAGCAACTGCGAATCACCATGGAGGCAGTTGGGCGGATTATCATCCATTGGGCATTGGCACTGCCAGCGATCAGCCGATAGGAAGAAAACGTTTTAATGGTCATAATAACTGTACAGTACCATGTTGCTAGTAAGAGCTGTTAGAAACTTGAATCCACTCTTGCGGACATGAAGAAATTGGCAGGCTCTTGTTCTAGCTTTGGCAAGTGAACGAACGTGAGATAAAGTTTGCAGCGCCCGTGACCGACTTGAGAGCAATCCGAAGTCTAGATGCACTGACATCGTAACATCGGATCTGAGAGCCAGTAGATATTGTCGAATGATTCTATCGAGATCAGGGTTCAAGGACACAAACACAGCCAAATAAGGAACGCATGTGGGGTAGTAGTACATACAGAAGATTTCGGCATGGCGAACAAGTCATGTCACATATAACTAGCTCGTACAAGACTCTTGTAGCATACTTGCCTGCGTTTCATGAGTTGTTCCAGCGCTTCCTGAGTCCATAGTAGACACGTCCAGAAACAGCGGGTCAGATTGTCAGCCACCAAACATCAACCTACCACAAAAGAGCGAGACGAGCGTTGCTGACGTGGATGAGCTCCAACTGAAACACGAATTTTGAGAAAGCTCATTATATGATGGCCCTGAATCAGAAGTATAAGGATCCCTGAGTGGCGATGCTGAAGTAATCTTGACATGAAGAGATGTTGAGGTGAGGTTCTCTCTCCGTGCGGCGGGCTCACATGATTTTCTCCGGAAACAGGCCGGCCCTGTTTACAATCGGCAGGTGCGCACTTGCCACTTTTGCGCCCTCTCGTCAGGAGGAAGACTCCTTCCTCTCGGATACGGATATCTGCTCCTCTTCTTCCAACTGGACAACCTTCTCGTTACACGGATTATCTGATATGACGGGACTGGCTACGACTCGCGACGAGGATGGTATCATATCACATGGCTGGCGTGGATATTTCAGCTCATAGCACTCTCGGGAGAATACGGCTGGGGAGGAATCATTCAGAACAAATGCGGTGATGTATGACATTATACTTTTATTGAACACTAAAAGAGATATGAATCAATTGGCTAACACACCACAGCTGAAGAACAGAAGGTAGCAGAGGACAAGCCCAGGCCCCAAGGCAGTCACATTAAGACGGGATGAAACCATGAGAAGAATCAACACACAGTCTTGTGTACCCCCTCGCCCATTCTCGCCATTCCGCTATGTGGCCGATCGATGGTCTGTTGTCCGAGCTCTTTGAAGTGATGACGTTTCCGCTCGAGGCGAGTTCGATCGGGATGAGTCTGGAGTCTGGAGAGGTCGACTGGGTCTGAATCAACCAACTTCTCGGTTACAGCAACGATGTCAGCAATCAGGCGTTCAAGAAGATCGGCAGTCATGCTCTCTCGAACCACCACACGCAAGATCTCGATCTTGTTGGCTGTCGGGGGAAGTGGATAATCTAGTGGAGGTCAGCAGATATGCAGAAAGGTGGGAGAGATGAGAATCCATACTAGGGATAATGTACTGCTTTGCTCGCAGTAAGATACTGACGCTCTCCTGCTTCACGTGAGGGTAATCTTTCTGGAACTGATCCGAGAATCGAAAAGCTACGACAGGTAGTCCGGGTACGTAGTCGGCAGAGGTTTCGCCTCCTTCACCAAGCACCGTGTCCTTGGCCGACTTTAGAGTTCTCTTGTGATGGATGCTGCTGACGCACGTGAACCAGCCTGTCTTTTCCAAAGCTTTGCTGAGCAGACGTGCGTTTGCGAGACAGTTTTCCATAATGTCGCGATATCCGTTGAACCCGAGATGAATGAGATTATAGTACTGCCCGATAACCTGTGCTCCGGGTCTGGAGAAGTTGAGGGTATAAGACTCTTCGGTGCCCCCCAGATAGTGCAACTCAAAGATAAGGTCCTTGGGAAGGTATGACTGATCGCGCCAGATGATCCAACCTAGGCCAGCGTACACAAGCCCAAACTTGTGACCAGAAGTATTGATAGACTTGACTCGAGGGAGTTCGAAGTTCCTGCAACCCAATAAGATTTGACTGATACTAGAGAAAACCGAAAAAAAAAAAAAAAAAAAAAAAAGACTCACCATTTTTGACCACCACCTGCGTACGTGAAGGGTGCAATGAACCCGCCACTCGCTCCATCGACGTGAATTGGAATGTCATGACCAGTTTTCGCTTCATACTCGTCCAACACCTTCGAAATCTCTTCCACAGGCTCATAGTGACCAGTGTAAGTGGATCCAAGGATCACAAAGACACCGATAGTATTCTCATCAATATTTTTGCGAACCTCTTCCGGATCAAGAGCAAAGTTGCTCTTCTCCGAAACGTTCAAAATACGTGCCTCCACATCGAAGTAGCGAGCAAATTTTTCCAAGGCTACCTGTGCATTGGCACCCATGAGAATGTTGGGCTTAGAGATATCCTTGCCGGCGGCCTTTCGCTTTTCTTGCCATCGACGCTGCATAGCTTTACCACCAAGCATGATCGCTTCAGAGGACCCCACGGTAGCAGACCCAATTGCTTTTTCGTTGGATTTCGCTCCCCAGAGATTGGCGATTATAGAAACGCATCGCGCATGCATGAGCATGAGCGCAGGATATTCATCAGCGTCTGCCAGGTTTTTGGCGAGGTTTTCGGCCATTAGTGCGTTTGCCTGTCGTTCCATATACGTTCCAACGAAGCTTCTACCGTCAACCTCCTTCGAGCTCTTCGTGTCAAGAAGGGCGTACATACCTAGCCAGATTCAAATTAGGACGCCCATCTAAATCCAATTCATCGCGAAGTAATTGCGCTGCAACTTCTGCAGGCGCGCCTTCTGTAGGTATACGAAATTTGGGGATAGGTTCCTTGCTAGAGTAGCGCGTCGTATAAGGTGTCGAACTCGCAACGGCATTTTCAGTGTGAATGTTCGTCTTGAGACTGTTATTCGAGCCATCTCGCAGAGCTTTGATGAGCTCATCGGGATCGACCTGCATTTTTTTTGGTCTTGTCAACTACGGCAGCTGCTGTATGAATGGGATTAAGACGTCGACTTACGTGGCGAGATAGCGTCATTGTGAACGAGCAAGGTTTGTACAATCAGAGAGTTCAAAAGTCAAAAAGGTCGACAGGTTTGAAAAAGAGAAGACAAGCAGAAGAAATACTTCTCAGACCCCGAGGCACGTCATAGTTTATAAATCCAACGGTTGAACGTGTCACAACTAAAGAACCAAGCTTTTCTAACGACAACAATTAATGCTCCGCGCTAAACTTCACTTGGACACGATTTTCACGCGGGGTCAATCTGGATCTTGTCCAATGATTTATTTGTCGACGTACATCATACGATGGTGGCTATCATATCATGTCTTCCAAGCTTTTAGTTAACTTAGATGTGCAGATATTAGTCAACAGACCCTTGTTGTTGACAGTTGGTTACTTCAGTGGGAATATCATTACCAATGCTATATTCTTTTACGAGGATAAATGACGTTCAAATTGAGTGAATGATTGATCCGATTAGTTTGCCTGAATTTCGTGGAGCTCCCAAGGTTACGATCATGACGTCACGGATATTCGCTCCGCATGTCACAGCTTCCAGACGTACCCAGAGTAAGTAAGTAAGCAAGCAATTATATACAGAGCAAATAGGGGGCGAAGTAGATTTGGACCTTAGTAAACTTGCATTATAAAGACCATGTATCGCTTGAGTTTCATAATGCGACTTTTTAAGCTTTCATCTGAGGGGAGTTGTCAAGTGAGGCAAGAGAATAGGGAGAAAACGGGGCATTAGGGCATAGGGTTAGGGTTTAGTGTATAGCTTCTTCGAGATAGAACCGCAGCAACACCCGCGCCATTGCTGAACTGCTCAATTCTAGTTCTCAGATCTAATAGATATTATGGTACTACTTATTCGACGTGGGAAAGAGAAGTATGTAGCAGGTAAAAAACACATCGAAACCGAACTCGCAATGTGAGATCGAACAAAATCTGTGTAATGGATCAGGCCATCTCTTCTAGTAGCTTCTTGCGGCGTGTATGGCTGTAGAGGAGCGTTTCCTTCTCAACTATTAAATTAAGATTACGCTGGAGGGGGGCATGAGTTGACTGATCTAGGTCAGCAAAAGGGTGGTTTGACTGCAGATTGCATACTTGAGAATTCGACTACCTCGGCCAAGGATGGAAGGACACGAGTCGCCGCAATATTTCAGTCAAAAGAGAATAATGACAATGTAGCTAGACATGATTGGTATGAATTGAATAATGCTGGAGAGATAGACATTCAGATATGCTAGTTAACTTTAGTCGGTCCTGGTAGATCTAGAGATAACTACCGAGGTAATCGTGATCTGTAGTCGGTCCCGCATCCATAAGAGCTTGAGCAAGAATACAATCCCATACTGGCGTACGTACTTAGATCTTACACGACAAGTCGCCAACCACCAGATCTTAAAAGGCTGAAGCCACGGCTTATTCTCCGATACCACGTACCGCGCCTGTGGAGTTACACACACACAAGTGGCACACCTAATCTGGCAATCTTCAGGGTAGGACGAATTATCTAGACAAATTCGGAATCAGAGTACGATCGTATGTTCTATATGGCTTGAACGACGCAGAATAGTCGCACGTACCAGGGTAACACACTTTGAACATCTCGGTAGGCGACCGAGACGGCTGATATCTGAGATGGTCAAACGCGAGCATCGACTGATACAAACAGGGGGACTCACATGACCCTTGCCCCATCGCATGAAGATACAAGTTACAACCTGACAGATAACTAGCAATGAGCCACATTCTCTGTTTTTTTTTTTTTCCCCTTTTCTCTTCGCCATAAGATTTCTTATTTCTTACACGCTTGACCCCACGGCCAGGAGTCGACAACGAAATAGAACGAGCCAGCTATCCGATTGGACCGGAAAAAAGTACTCTTTTTCGATGGTTTTTGAACTTGTTTACCGGAGAAAACAAAACCAATACGTAGCATGAATTCTAACTCTGAAAACAGCCTTTCGAGAAGATTAACGAGTGGGGAGTGGTTCCTGCCGGGACCACCATATTCCAAACGTAACCCTGAGAAGGAACGTGCCACTTTCTTTTTCATCAACTATCAAAAAGCCTATGCAAGAGATTTTCAGCCAGTGGCCATGTGAGTGGCAGGGTTCCATACTCATAGTGTTATATACCAGGTACGGAATACTCCGGTCCTATTTCGAATGAAACTCAGCCGTTAATGGACGGTTAAAGTTCGTCCTCTTAAGAGGCGAAGCGAGGAACATTACCATTCTGAAAGGAGAAATGCTACTGTAGGAATAACGTTATCAAGCTAAGGATCTTTTACATTCGATAGTTTGGCTGCTAGTTTCATAGCCATCACTTTTATATCTAGGATAATGCGAACTGGTTTGCTATTCTGAAAGCGTCCTGCGAATACGGAGCATGTAGTTGCTCCGTCCTCGGTATTTGGTCTTTGAATATCGGAAAATACTCTGTTTGTCTTGCATACGGTGGGTCTCCATCTCTTACACTTACACTGCTGTAAATACATAAGTACAGGCGCGTTCTTGGGTGCAATCATGTGACATTCTGCTATGCAGGAGCATCTGCAATTGAGGCTAAACGCAACCAGAGTTGAGATGCAGTCAGCAAAGGGACAGATGAAAGAATCAGAATAGAACGGTAACGCGCCCAATCCCCACTTTTATCGATATATCGATAAAATGATTGGCCAATGGATGATTGTTTATCTGGTACAGACATCGCGGAGAACGGAGTGATCGAAGGAATATCGGAACTTTCAAGGGGTTCAGACTTCAGACTGCAGAAAGTAATCCACATGTCATAGCACTCAATACTATTAATATGTATGCCACCTTTTTGGAGAGGCGGGTAAACTATTCAGAGTCACGAAGACCCGAGTCAGAAACATACAGTGCGTGTATTTTACTCTAGATTATTTCCAGTATAGTCAGGGTCTTGGCTTGTACCGACTTTAGCAGCGTACATATCTGACTAACCATCCACAGTTAGATTGGTGAGATACGTGGTCAACTGACCACTCGCAGAGCTTGCCAGGTTACCTGCAGTCTAACGCTGTTCGGCCTAGACTCGGGCCCTGGTCAAATCGATAGATTCGATGCCTAAATGCTTAGTGTACAGTGCAAGTGGGACTAGAATCGAGATGTAACGGTAATCAAATGTGTATATCCTATTCAATCATGAGATGACTCCTCATTCAAGAGAGTCATCCTGTGCAGTCATGATTCGGATTCTGTAATCAATACAAGCAACCATAAAGAGAACAATACTCTCTGTATGTAGTGCCGTCTATTGAGAATGGTTGAATACAATGAGTGGGGCCGATATTAGCGTGTTCTCGTCCCATTCCTCACCACTCAATCGGGCTTTCGCTGCCGAGTCTAGATGAGGCTCTATGCTTGTTTGGTGCTAGTTTAATACACATACTGCAATACAATTACATACGGTCTACAAACAATCTTCTCTGCGAGCAGTGTACGGGAAGACAATTATCAATGCGATGGTAAATAAAACACATGTTTATTATTCGATTTAATTGAATCTAATATGCTTGGCCTTAGTGGAATGATGCTGTCAGGCCTGCTTATATTCGCTTAGTTATCCCCAGGCTGAATACATCCGCTACAATTCGCGTACGGAACATGACCTGTAAAGTGGGATCGAATCGAACCATGTGATTTATTTTTCGAAAGTGGAGTCTATTCATATTTTTATTTCTTTCAGAGTCTTTACAGTGTAGGTGAATCTACAGTCAGTACGTTACAGATTCCTACCTCGTTATCGTCATTCGAAACATACGATACGTATTTCTGGGTGAATGGCTCGGTAATTCCTCGGGATTCGCCTTTGGATTTTTGTCTTTCCGAGGTTGATTTTCGTTTTTTTTTATGTATCGATAAAACCACGATTTTGACAATTTATCTTATGTTGAGAGATAGCCCTCCTCAACAACATTCACAGGACCAGAAAGAGAACTTATCCCTGCATGTAGTATGTACGCTGCATGTACGCGGCATTGTAGGGTTAGGGCGGAGGGCATATTCCCTGGAGGCAAGGGAGTCGACAGGGCAAAGTACCGACGCCACGCGATGTGTTCAGATTGTCTATTTATTTGTACGGCTGTATATAACAACGCTATTATGGTTCCGTACTGAAGTAACGTATGGTATGGTATGTTGTACTCGTTCTTTGTTTAATTCTCTGAATCTACCCGATATTGCAGAGGGCTCTTTGTCTATCTGAATAGCATCCTGTCAATATTGAAGATAGCAAAAATAGCAAACGTTCTAGATCAAATGAGCTTAATCAATTACCCCTACATCGAATGGATCAACTATGTTGATCTTCGCTGCGCCGCACCGCTGTGATCGTCAGGTTTCACTTCTTGGTTTTTCTCCACAAACCGTCAAGCTTGCACAGATACATCAGCACTACTCGGTACTTCGCGCCTATCGTTTTGTTCGTCTTTTCTTTTTTTCCCTTCTTACTCGCCTACTGTATGGGTCCAGCAAGACTGCTAATTGTGTATGTTAGCCACATTGAATGCCAGCTTTTTAGCATTCCTTCAGGTCCGATCTGTAATTGGTACATACATATTGGATATGCCTGGTATGGATTGGATCGGTTCCTAGATTCTGTGTTTATGCTATTCAATTCGCAGTACGTATTCTCCTCTTTATATTCATCTTGCATCCACATAGAACAAGGTACAGATCGCTCGATCAGACGAAAGCCCAATCGGGAAGTGATGGCTGAGCGGCGCCCGCGCGACGGAGGGACCGCCAGCCCTGTCAACCACGTTGTCGCTGATCCTGATCCATAATTCATGTAGGAGTTCAACTAACTGACACACACTGAAATGCATCCAACAGCAGACTCTGACTACGTACCGAGATGCTACTTATCCTGCCAACCCCATCCCGCGCTAGTCGTATTTCCATGAATTACCTATTAACCAGTCCACCTATTGAGATTTGGGTGAATCAGCACTATTACTCAGCTTGATAACAACTGATGGTATTGTCTCATCGCATCATAGCTGGTTAACTATTGGTCAGACGATAGAAGCGAACTGATGAACTTGTCGTGATCCAAGTCTCTCGGCGAATTCATACCTCGCCGTACTCCGGACAGTGGTAAGATACGTACCAAACCCATACCGCCGTACACGGACCGCTGGCTGGACCCGTGGCCATTCTTTTTGTTTTTTTTTTTTTTTTCTTTTCCCTTTTTTGTCCCTTTCTTTTGCATGCATGATAAGTATGTTTGTTGTTCGTATCGACTAACCAGGTACAGCTGCTGCACCGTACTATTAATTACATTATCTCGATGCCCCCCTTTTTCCTGCTATTTTCTTATTTTGTCTTTTCCTTCTTCCAGCATTCCATAATGCATTAAATATTGGATTGCTGTATCAGCGCTACGGTGATTGCTTGACTGTTGGGTCCATTCGGTACCAAACAGTTAATACGCGCCGTACCGTATTTCGGCCGAACTAGTCGTATTGCTTGTATTGCACGTATTGGCTGTATTATTGATATTTTCTTCTCAATTTTATTGCCTCTCATGTCTCATCTCGCTTGCTCAGATAGTGAAAACTCGATACAAGCTGAACGAATCTTTGTTTATTGTGTATATCGCTACATCTTACAATATCAACTGAGTCCATACTAGAAATAAAAATAAGACTGTGGCAATAGCCCGAGCACGGGATTCCCCGCGCTGGGCGACACTGGTCCAGACCCGACAGAACGAAGAGCCACAGCCGACCGACTAATTCCACTTGGGCCTGCACGATCGTGGAGCCACACACCCACCTCGCCGGATACCTCCTTCTCCATCTCTTTCTCTCTCCCTCTCTCTCTTCTTTTCCTCTTCTTATTCTCTTCTCTTACTCGCTGTCGTCTCTTCGTCCGCTAGTTTAGTGTCGAGTCTCCTATCACTCTCTTCTTGCTCCATCGCCTGTTCTCTCTCTATCGCGGTCTCTGACAATCCTCTCTTGCCTAATTGTCTGGCCTCGTATCGTCTCACCCTCGTATTTTGTGCGTGTCTTTGCGATCAGAGGAGCCTCGGTGCACAGACATTTGAAGGGGGAAGAGAGTCTTGGACGTGGGTGAATTGAATTGATTGTCGCGTACTCGGTCGGCTAGCGTGAGGGAAAGGAAACCAACCCATTTCTATCCTCCCGCGCAAACGAGTCGAATCCATCGGCGCTGCGAAGGGACTAGATCAGCTATCAGTATTACAGAGCAACTTTCATGAAGACATACTACTGGTGATGCGACGACGACTGACTGCCGCCCATCGCTAGCACCGGGTCAGCGCTTCTGCTTCCCAACCCGCATACTAATCCCGACTGAGATTGTTGGTTTACGCGATTCACTACATTGGGCGCTCGCAAGGAAAAGAGGTGGGAAAAAAGGAGATATTCTTAAAGTTCAGCATAACTTCAGCATTTTCGGGTACTTCCCAGACTTGACTTTACCATGCAATCTGGTGTACGTTATTTTGGATAAACTCCCGCCTGGACCCACGGTCCTCATTAAATCTACTCCAACTCGCCGCTCCTCCTGTTTAAATATTTGGTCGGTTCACCCCGGGAAACTGGTATTGAAAACTTCCCTACTGGAAGATACCATCGGCGGTCCTTTCGTTGTACAGCTTCATCGGTTAGGGACTTTCCATCCCTGAGAAATCAGTCCTACTGGATCCATCAGGCGACTTCAGTGGCCGACTCTGGTCCTTGGGTTCGAATACGGTCACCCCGGTTGTAAACCTTGCAGGTACCGTTCCTTCAGCGGCAACGCTCTCAACACCGCCCAATCTCGACGCTGAATATCTTCGTTCCGCGCAAGGCTACAATCATCAACACCCAACTAATATGGCGGCTCTTGCAGTTCCTCCCCCCGGCATGGGTCCCACGCTTGATATGGATCCTGCGTCGCAGCCGCTCACGGCGCGTCGGCCAGCAGCTTCGAATCTACCTGTATTCGAGCTACCACCGCCAGCGAACTTTGGCCTTGTCAATTCTTCCACCAAATTTCCGTCACCTTCGGCCGGCAACCCCGTGTCGAACGTAAGCAGTCTCCTCACTCCGCCGTCAAATCATTCTGGTGAAGGCGCGAATAATTCGCTACCCCCCGGCCCGAGCATTTCTACTACAATTTCTGCATCTCAGGAGGTCCCCTCATATCCGCCATCGTGGCAAAATCAGAGCTCGTATACTTACGGTTCTCCGTCCCAGGCTTCCTGGGGCCCCAGTTCCACTAGTATCTTTCCGCCACCACGGAGTGTGCTCTCCCCCACGTCAGCATCGCTTGGTCGAAATAGCGGCAGTCTGCCGCCTACGACGAGCGATGGCATGGCGTCGCAGTATGAACTAAACCATCATCTACCCCCTTTCCAGCAACAGTCTATACCCACTTCATCACCTGCCTCTGCCACTTCCGTTATATCCCATGGCCAACATCCACAGCAGCAAGCTATGGCTCACCTTCCCACGACTTCAGGGGCTTCATCGCATTATCAGACGGCTACGGTTGATATGTATTCACGGCCACTTGTGAGCCCGTTATTCGGTCCTTCATCTTCAGTCGGCGCCGGTCAATATCCTCCTTCGTATGGAGCGTCGCCAGTGGGACAGAGTGGATACGCACCTCGATTACAGTCTGGGCCTAGTCAGTCTCCGCCTATGCAACCTCCTCATTTGGGTTACAGTCGGCCACCTTGGCCATCATATTCGTTACCTGCGATGTCAGGACCGATCATGACGAACGTACATAATCCTCATGGACAGATGTCGCTTGTGGGTAATATGGCTACTGGTATGATACCGGGGTTCACCAGCGGTCATCTAGCGAGTATGCAGCATATGTACGGCAGTCATCCTTCGCATCATCAAGGCCATGGCCAGTCTGCACCGCCAAATGATCGTCCTTTTAAGTGTGATCAGTGTCCGCAATCGTTCAACCGAAATCACGATCTCAAGAGACATAAGCGTATTCACTTGTCCGTGAAACCGTTTCCCTGTAATCATTGCGAAAAGAGTTTTTCACGCAAGGATGCTTTAAAGGTATTTCCTACTTCGTACTTCTTTTTAACCAGCATATACTAATACATTTTCTAGCGACATCTCCTTGTCAAGGGATGCGGGAAAAACACGGATACGAGCTCTAATTCCGGTACCAAGGATGACGATACCCTGACCAAAGTCGAGTCACAAAGTGATAAAGCGAGCCCCGTTTCCAACAGTATCTGAACGAGCTGTTACACCCATACATGTAAACTTTTCCAACTTTTCTGTTTGTTTCTACTTTTCTCTGCAAAATTCCTTCATCGTCGTCTAAATGTTTGTCATTCTGAGCAAGGTGTCAGGAGGGTTGTTTGAGATTTTTTTTTTTCTTGGGCGCATTTTTCATTGTTATCTCATCATTATCATGTATTTATGTTTACGATCATGTTTCTTTTTTTTCCGTCTCTTCTCACGTCTCCAATATCGGCAGAACAGTACGCTTTTTTCCCCCCTTCATTCTTCGATTCTTGTTACCAAATCATTCTATATCCTGCCTTATTTGTTTCTCTTTTCTAATCGTATCCGAATATGATTGAATGGTTTGGCTTTTGCAGTGGCAAGGAGAAATAGCCCCTCAGACGGTTTGATGTTTTTTTGTGTCTATGATTATACATATTTGCACATATACATACATACTTCTCATTCATCCATTTGTCTCAAGGAGTAGCTACAGTTTGACAGTATGTAGTTGAGTAGTTAATGCTGACAAGCCCAGGAACCATAACCATCGACATAGTCCAAACTGATGCCTAAACTGATACAGAGAGAAAATTGCTCAACTAGGAAACTCGAAAGAGAAACATAGGGCACGATAGATCCTGTGACCTTGCCTTCGTTTGGAACTGGGCCTTTCATTGCTGGGGTGGGTAACGATCGACATGAGACGGACTTCTACTTAAGTTGATGGAGATGTATGCGTATTACGTGGTAAGACATGGATACAATACAATATTATTGCTTCAAGCATAGATTTTTTATTAGATGCGATGAATTTTAGACATTGACTCTATGAACTAAACCATGGAATATTCTTCTATGGAGAAGTCGAGCTTGAGATGAACAGTGATACAATTGCAATTGCGGACCCTGATTGGCTGGAGACGCATATAAACAGCACCAAGTGACATGACCTCATCGTGAACATTTTCAGGCGGGGTTGACTTTCGACTCAATTGGTACCTTATACAGCTCTATGCCCCAGTTTAAGTACTTAATCATTCAATTGCTGATTTCTCTCGAGCACTAAGCAGGTATACATTCATTTGACACCTACACACCTACCGTCCTCAACGCTGACCTTTTACCGACGGTAGCAGGATCGTTACCCGACTCACTGCAAGACTGACACGGGAAAAAGACCCCACTTACATCCCCTCAATGCGATTGTTCATAAATCCCAGCTCAAGGACCGCAAGCAAGACAACTTTCGATCGTATTCTACAGAAACCTAGTTTGGCTATCTACCAGCAGTATCAGTTGAAGAATCCTTCTTTTTCTGCTACCACTCCTACGACATCTACAAGTTCAATCTTTAAGAGACATATTCATTGCTCCTCTGTCACCATGGCTGGTGTTAGTAAAGCTTGTTGCTCGTAAGTGTCAACTGGTCTCCCCGGGTTGGGATGGTGCTGGGTCTTGGCTAATAGTGATGACAGTATTCCGCCCGTTATTTCAAAGGGATATGAGGCCAAGGGTGAATACAAGACCATTGGTGGATTGAAGACTTGTATGTTTTGTTTTTCTGTCTGTTCGGTTTGAAGGTACTAATTGATGTACAGATGTCACCGGTCCCGCCGATGCTACTCGTGCCATTTTGATTGTATACGGTAAGTACCTCTGCTTCATACCTTGTTTCATACCCTAGCTCAGACTAAGTAATATAGACATCTTCGGCTTCTTCCCCCAAACCCTCCAAGGCGCCGACATCCTCGCCACAGCTGACAAGGACAAGAAATACCGCGTCTACATGCCCGATCTCTTCGAAGGCGAACCAGCCAATATCTCCTGGTACCCTCCTCAAACCGACGAACACAAGAAAAAACTAGGACATTTCTTCCAAACCAAGGCCCCTCCCCCAAAACATCTAGCCAAATTCCCCGGTATCCTAGCTGATGCGAACAAAGAAGCCGCCGGCGGTAACGGATACACCTCTTGGGGTATTCTAGGATTTTGCTGGGGTGGTAAAGTCGCCAATCTCGCTCTGGCCAAGGACAGCGCATTCAAAGCCGGCGCACAGGCTCATCCAGCCATGTTGGATCCCGAAGATGCGAAGAATGTGACTGTCCCCGTTGCATTGTTGGCGTCAAAGGATGAGGATCCCGCTGCCGTTAAGGGATATAAAGAGAATTTGAAGGTTGCGAATCATGTTGATACTTATTCTACACAGATTCATGGATGGATGGCTGCCAGGGCTGATTTGGAGGATCCCGAGGTTAAGAAGGAGTATGAAAGAGGATATCATGCTGTATTGGATTTTTTCCATCAGCATTTGTAATAAGGTAGCTATATCTAGTCTTTCTTAATTCAAATTAGTACTACGTACATAGCTCAAAGTCTAGAAAAGTGAAGATTCAACAAGTGGTTGTTCTGCGCCGTGCTACGGGCGGCGCGGTCTATATATAAAGTGAAAAGAAGGGCGACTCTCGCTTAAGTGTGGTCACAACCGATACTTCTTCTTTGGGTGCTTTAAATTGTCTTCCGCCTCTAAGTGCACTGTCCTCGGAAGGAAAAATGTGTATAGATTGATATAAAAAAAATATACACAAAAATAGACCTAGGCCAATAGCCGGGAAAAAATAAAGGCCTCTCAGGGAATCGAACCCTGACCCCCGGAACATTCTGGTCACAGAAGACCTAATCAGAATCCGATGTCATAACCATTAGACTAAGAAGCCTGTCTTGTTGTTACTGAGGCGATAAATTCAATCCATAAGGACTTCCTATCCCGATTATAAAATAAACAATTTCTCACCTCAATCAGACGAGGTCTTTTTGAGCGCTAGATCAGATTGATTATGATTGGTGAAGATACTCTTGCCACTGACTCAATGAGTCAATAAGAATCTTAAATGCTAGTGTATCATAACCAACCAATCAAGAGCATTCATCCATTCTGAGCAGCAATTTTCACCCATATGAAAGCTTATATAAAGAGGGCAAAATAATACGGAGTACTTCGTACAGGGCTCTCCTTAAGGAGAGAAAAAAAACAAAGGTCCCAAGGGGAATCGAACCCCTGTCTTCCGAGTCAAAGTCGAACATCATCACCACTAGACCATGGAACCGGCCAAGGTTGGAAACGGTGGTGAAGTTATACGAATAATATAACACTTAAAATCGTCTGTCGGTATGCTAATCTGTTTCGGCTTTAAAGCCGCGATACGCAATGCCGATTGCCGAAGATCATGACGTGACTAAGCGTCCATTTGCGGTCAGCTCATCCTCAATCTATCAGCCGAGTCTAATCCGGATATTTCTTTATAATCCAAGGTTTTTCACGGTCTGCTTTTTATATTTTGTTCTAGCACTGGATGCGAACAATGTACATGCTTAATCTTAATCGATCGCGGGGTTGATTTACTGAGTGCCAAGCTGCCAAAGCAGCGATACATCTCGAAATGGATCACAACACTTTAAAAACCCCAGAAATACATCCTCTCGAGCGCACTCGCTCCTGCGACGTGGAACCGAAACAACCAGCCAATATACCAAATGTCCTTGAGCATGCATTACAAAATATCGATACAACCACGACGACAGCCGCTACAATCACGACAACAGCAAAAGTAACAAGAGTCTTGACCAAAGATGATGTGAAATATCTGTTTTCTGGAGCGCCGCATTTCATTCTCGAGAAAGGGAGACATAATCACTGGTATCCTCATGTATTGTTCCCCTGGGATACGAGTTTACCGATTCAAGATTTGTGGGATAGAGAGCAACTGCGTCATGAATCCTTTACCTTGTCGACGCTACATGCCCATCTCCCGGTGCCGACGACTGTGCATTCGGACGCATCAAAAAGACAAAAGGGATGGGAATACGAAGAAGGCGTCAAACGATCCACCTACGATCTCGGCATCTTCGAAGTCCCCAACATGCTCTCCATAAACGGCAAGGAACCCGGCGCAGTCGGATTTCGCCATTTCCTCGAACTAGCAACTGCCGATGCGGTGCGATACAAACCCGCTGTTCCAACCAAGGGCAGCGACACTATAAATCCGCATCTTTTGTCGAGTATGCCCTTGACAGAAGCGTTTGATACGTTGAGTCATTTGAAGGATCCTTATTCGTTGTGTAATCACCAAGCGGTCGTATTGGATCGACATAAACTGTTATGTGAGGGACCGCCGGCTTGGAAACGGCTTGGTGTGCGCGATGCGAATGTTAGGGATATTGTGGAGAGGCTGGAGTATCTTGCTAATTTTCGACTTAATGCGATCAAGCAACCACCCGTGGACGAATCGTCGGGAAGGAAGAAGATAATCACAATCCTAGACAAGGAATCGCCGGAGATGTTACACAAGGGGCTTTTTACGAAATTCTTATTTCCGCCCCCTCATGGCTGGACGCATCACGAACATGACGAGCTCAAAGCTCAGATTGAAGTGCTTACCCGAGTTCTCGCTGTCAAGGGTGCTTGGATTGATATGAGTCTTCCGGAATGGCGGTTACGTGTAGGACAATTACTTTGGGAGAAGCCTCCGCACGCAGATGGAGATTGTATGGACTGTTTGAAGGATGCGAACACAAGACCTGAAGAAAATAAAAAGGGGAAAGCACCTCCTTTGTGTTTGAATCAGGGTCTCGAAAGAAAGTGGCTGTTGATACAGCTTCTTCTAGCCGGAGAACTTCTCATGCGTCTCGATGCTATTGTCCAACTGGCTGTTTTGCAACACTCAAGAACTATAACCGTCACAGCGCAGGATATGCGTGAACTCGACAGTTTACGACATGGCAAGGTCAACTGGGATATTCTCTTCTTTCAGCGGGCGTCTGATAATCTGACTTTTAAATATCTGCCTTCGAATATCGTACCGGCTTCGGCTAGTTCGTCTGCGCAGCCACCACAAAAGAGTGGGACATCATCCCCACCTCCAGAGACGAAACCACTTGGTGGCTTGCGGTCGAAATTCGGTAGTATATCTCAGCACTTACCCCTACGACGTACCAATTCCACACGAATAGGACTAGAGAATACATCCCATGAACAGTCTTCTTGCGAATCTATCTGGGACAGCGTCGTCGTTCTTCCACGCCGTCCAGAGAGTCAACTCAAGGGTCTCGCCATGTTTGCGGAAAAGATTGGCTGGCCCGGTCACGAGACACTCGAAGCAAGAATCAGATCAAGCTTTTCACATACTAACGGAGAAACAGTACATGCTCTTACCTCTGAGTCAGTGAGCTCAGTGTACAGCTTACCAGTCAAAAGCGCTATAGCGTCAAGGACGTTTCCGAAGAAGGAGGCTTATTGCAGAAGTCCATCGCATCGATACGTGGTCCTTAATAAATCGGAAAGCACGGCCGAGAATCACAACACAAATACCGGAGGATGGCTTACTCGCTCATGGCTCTCAGGCCTCATAATGCCGGGCGAAAGCATCCACCAATTCCTAATGTCTACAATCCTTGAGAACGATCCTACGGCACTCCAGGCAGTAGGAACAGTAGCCAATCTATACGGCGGATTAAGCTATGGCGATGAATGGACATGGTGGAGCACGAAATGCATCGTTGGTAGAGTATTAGCTGCTCTACCCGGCTCAAAAATATGCATGGGATGGGTTAGAGTGAGCACGACTCCGGACGTTGAGCAAGCCAAACTCAAGAATACCTGGATCTCCGTGGAGGGGATCCAGGAGCCTCTTCAGAAGAATATGCGGATTCGGCAGGGGATGAAAATAGCGAGTGAATCCAATCCACTGGGCAAAGGGCGGGTGGCTAGTGATACATTCACCATTCCGATTGACGAAGGAGATAACGATTTGATTTCGGGGTTTGATGTGAAAATGGATAAACTCATACTCGTTCGACAGAGCTTGCCGGTGGAATGTTGTACAGCAGAAGCTATCAAAGATGTGTTCACTGCAGGCCGAACTTCGATCTCATTTCAGGTAGCAACCACGCCTGAGCCATCTACGATCACTTTCCAGCTAAAGTATAACGTCGCGTTCATCTCGTCGTATACGTGTCGAACACCGCGCGGATCGGTCACGCATCATATGCTGCACGGCGACAGCGAGGAGATACATGAACATGACATGCAATCGCTACATGGACATCCACATCTACCAGGCCATCCGTTACACAATTCATACAAATACAAATACGTGCCTCTCAGGGATCTGCATTCGGATACAGTCCCGCCTATCATCAGTTTTCCGGCATCTAAAGAATCATCTCCCTCACGCAGTAATGTTCGCTACCTTATGAATCACGATACGAAACCGGCACAAAATAATACTAATAAAAAAGATGAAAAATCTGCCACGTTGGACGAAAAAGAAATGGAACCAATATGGATCCTGGATGCGCGCTCTTCGACACACGATAAGGAGGTGTTTGCGCGTTCTTGGTGTGCGGCTGTGGGTGTGCATGCACTCATTGGAAGGGTTGGGAGGACTTGTCTGGCATGTTGCATAAGAGAGGCGAGGGCGATTGGGGTTGGGGTTGTGATTCGAGTTTAAACTCAATGTTCCTGCGTGATGGTGGTTTATGATCTGAGATATCCTTGTTGGAAGCTACCTATAGTTTTTACGATGAAATGACCTTAATTAATTGTAATAGTATCTAATAAATAAAGAGTTGTATTTGCAGGGCTTCAATCTTAAGATCAATTGCAAGATCAATCACCTGAAATACTGTAAGTCTTTATAACCCTAACCCTATATAGCCCCGCTCAGTAATCTCACCGCCTGTGTATATGAACGGTTTGCATTGTTTGCTCTCGACAAATAAACAACTCGGCATTGACAATAGTCAGATTATAGAACTTGACCTTGGTCAACAGGTGAACAAAATTATTTCATGTGACTCTCCTATATCTACCGCACTGATAGTGAGCAGCGCACTAATTGCTGACTGAAGAATGGCTCAACCGGTGAGTTGAGCATCTCGACTCCGAAACCGATAACTACTGGAGATACTGACCGTCTCGATGTTTAATAGAATCCCCAAGTCCCTCAACACGTCTCAGCGCTACTATCACATCTCACATCCCGACCGGGAGTTCAATCGACTCTAATATTATCTCGTAAGGACGGCTCAATTATTCAGAGTACCGGTCTCTTAGCCGCAACATCGCCCTCATCACTTAGGACGAGTAACAACACGACGACGAGCAATACGGACAACAACAGCAACGGCAGTAGTAACAACATAGAGAGTTCATCGCCAACCAGGACTGGAACGAGTTCGTCGACTACAGATCTTGCCTCGCCCACGCTCCCGCCTTCTTCGTCGTCGCTTCAGGACTCTACTGCGTCAGGAGGTCAGACTTCAACAACTTCAATTCAGAACAATAACCCGCAACAACAACAACAACAACAACAACAACAACAACAACAACCATATAAACCAAGTCCAGCGGAGACACTGGCTGCACACATATTCGCTTTTATGACTAGTGCTTCCGGGTTAGCGTTGTCATTATCAGGTTCTGGATCAACGACAGGAAATGATCTTGACTCATCGCGGTCGAGGGGGGTTATTACCAATGGCACAATAGAAAACGGTATCCGTACACCAGACGATACCGATAGGACGCATGAGCGCGAGGAAGACGACGAGATTAAGCTTTTGAGGTTGCGCACGAAGAAGAATGAGATTGTTGTTGTTCCTGATCGGAAGTATTTGTTGTGTGTGGTACATGACGCCTCTGGGGCTGGTGCAGCTTCTGGTGGTGGGACTTCAAGATGAAAAAAAGTTGGGGTTTGCTTCTATTCCAAATAGGACGAGTCTATTTATTGAATTGGTGATTTCTTAATTTTTGTACATGGGATGGTGAAGTTTTGTGCTTGGTTATTATTAATGCGATGATACCACTTCGAGGGAATTTAATGATTGTTGTACAGATGAGACCTAGAGCTGCGATATAGATCTAAATGCGTCGAATTCAAGATCTCGATACAGTCATTGAGTAATCTCAGTTACTAGCCCTAGTGCTGCACCGGCTGCCAGTCGCGGACTAATGTCCAACGACGGAGGATATGCAGCTTCACGAGCATATACAAACTTGAATAACGCAGAATCATAGTTTGCAAAAGAGAACCATAAGCAATAGTGAATCAATTAGAATCACGATCCAGGAAGCGGCAGATAAATATTTTTCTGCCTGATTATTCGGGCATGAAAATATTTGGATAGATAGTCACGTGCTGATAAGAAATTTGTTCTCGGCATCGAAAAAAAGTTGAGAAGCAAATACAACAACGACGACTTCTAAATTAATACAATCTGATAATTTTTAAGCTTGCCGAGACAATTCTAGTCTTCGGGGATTATTTGAGACCCGGTTTCTATTCGACAAACATAAAATCTGATAATAGATAAAACCGCCTTGTTCCACTCCAACAAGTCAAGATGGGCTCAAGTCAGAAGAGGAAGAAGGAGAAGCAGAAAGATTTCCAGGTTGGTTTTTGTCAATTATTTACTTATGTGCTCCATTGATATGTGATCCTCTAGAAACCAAAGCTGAAAGTTGGCAAGGCGAAGGCCAAACCTGCAAATTTTACGGATACCAGTTTCAGGTCGAAAGGTATGTATATCTACGAATGTTGAATGCTTAATTGAGCTTCTTGTTAACAAAACGCAGCAATCGTCTTGAACCAACAATCACTTTCTACAAGTGCACCAACATCATCCGCTCAGTTTTCACATCATCTATCCCTTCTATCATCCAAATCCGACATACAGCGCAAAGAATCCCTTGCGCATCTCACAACATCGGTATCATCTCGCCCTGTGGATTCACCATTACCGCAGCCCGTGAGTGTAATGATACCAAAATTAGTTCCCTTACTGCTAGACGCCAGCAACAGCGTACGAGCACAACTCTTGAAATTCCTCAAAACCCTCCCAACAGGTGATATAGAGGCCCATGCTGCTCAATTATTACCCTATATACGAGCGGGTATGACACATTTAGCTGCCGATATTCGTTCATCAGCCGTTGAAGTTTTGGGTTGGCTGGTGGAGACTGCGGGAGGGGAAGTTGTATCTTGTCCTGGAGGGTGGATCAAGACGTTGAATTGTTTCTTGTCTCTTCTCGGATGGCATACCGAGGAGTCGGCGAAGTGGTCTTCTAATCGGAGTTCGTTTGGGAAAGCGGGGAGCGAAGGTCGGCCTATGGTCAAAGCGCTTCATGCTCTTGCTGAGTTTCTGCGCGCTGGAATCAGTAGTGACGACGGGGAAGCGATCATAGGAAATGAACATCTCCCTGCAGATCATGACACGGGAGTGGAATTCTTCCCAGTCGATCTCACTGTTCGCCAGAACATGATTCCGGATCGTTCTGCGCCGTACGCTTATCTGAACCTTTTCGGTCAGCCGCGTGATGCAGAGGGCGAAATGTACGAGAGTCGAGAAGATAGACTACGAGTCTTTGGCGATATGTTTCGCAAAGCTATTGAGCGTGGAGTGGAGAATGCTCGCAAGGAAGGGGGTGAAGTTGGACGGGCTTCGGCGGCGGTGTTCAAAGTGCTTCGAGAGACTCGATCTGAGAGGTGATCCGTGCGGATATGCATGTATTTCGACGCCGAGATCAGCATATTGACACGACCCATTTTCGAAAGAGACAGGATCAGCAAGTCTGTTAAGAATGGCACCCACACTTGACCATATCTAAACATTCAATTGACCGCCAGGTCAGCAATACCTCGACTGCACTGGATCGGTGATCTCCAGTCGTGCTCATACGACCTTTCAAAGCGCGATCTACATATAGATCAGCCCAGCTATAACACATTGATCCAAGCGCATTCGTTGCATTGGTGACCATGTCAGGCTATAATTGACTATGCGGCTAGATCGACCGGTCTGCCTGTCGCCAAATCGATCTATGAGACATAGTCATTGACTGACGGATATCAACGCGGCATTCAGGGTCCTGTTATGAGTTACGATGAACTATTGGGGTATTTTATACGTATTAGGCACCAACATCCCTCTACCGAGCATTAATGCATCCCTATCTGAGTTATCCCACCGAATTTGATTGACATATCACACTTTCGCGCAATCTTCAGGTTCATGGAGTTACTTTTCGGCAGGGAGGGTTGAGTCTATCATGTTTATCAATAGGGACTCTTCCATCTTTTTTCATGTAGGAACTATCTACCGTTAGATATAACTTTGGAATTTCAGACAGGATTTCGCACTTCCTGAAATACCGAGGAGCATCATTTGTGATGTCAACGAAAGAACCCTCTTCTACGTCGCTATGTATATCCATGTAAGTACTCGAGATTTTAAGTACCCAAGAAAGATAAAGCCAGCCAATCATTTCTACACGAATATAGCGGTCAACAAACTCGTATGGCTACTAGTTAGGTAGGGCTACCTTAAAGATGCAAGCTATTCGCCGTTCCTTCTTGCATAAGACTGTTTGATGTACGTATCATGCATACCGTTTTTTGTGCGACTTGTATAGCATGTACAATGCTAATTGTAGAAGTCTTGTACGTACATAGTTGGCAGCTTAATGGCCATAACCGGATGAGATGGCCATGCATTGCATTGCATTGCATTATGCAACAAGAGACGAGATATTTGTTTCACAATGCACTGTGTACGTGGACATTAAAGTTCAAAGGAAGTATCATAACTAGGCGATATTCCATGATACGGATCTACTTCATACATCTATCTGCATCGCGCCTTCGCTTACAAATGCTTCAGTCTGGCCTAAACCAGAGTATATATGTATATCATGCTAAGATTAGTCCGAACCATGCGCGTACGTAAACAGCATAGACACTGATACGTGCTGTGCGTCGAACTCAATATTTTTTTTTCGTTCTCTCGGTGAGCGATACTCCGTACAGTATACTTTCTGGACAACATTTCCGATGCTAGAGTTTCCGGCTCGGTTACGAGCGAACATAGCCCTAATCCTGCTAACTAGCTGACTTGGCATAGGTTACCACTCTTGTGACTCGCCACAAGGAGCCTCGACTTCTAAATCAACTGCCGAGGGTTAGGGCATAGACACCACTAAGGTAACTACACATGTAACTAAGTTATAAGTTAGCAATGAAATTATAGCTGGTTTAGACTAGGTATGGCTAAATCATTTTTTAACAAATATCTCTTGGTTAAACTTAAATATGTAATTCTAAATTTGAGAGCAATGAATCAGCGATTCGGTAGGATTAGTTATGTGTCTTACATCACGTCTGGGTAGTCGAAGTATACTCTCTGGTTACGGTAGCAGTTTTTCCGATATCCCTACCTAGCACCCTCAACCTTGGAATGTCATCAATAGTAAAAGAAGATAAGTTGATGAGAATCTGACATTTACCTCTCAAAATAGGTGGGATTGACGGCGTCCTCCGTAAGCGCAGTATGTATGCAACAGCACGCCGTAACACGAGTTTCAGCCCTTTCAGGGCTTCAAGCCAGCATGGAATGAGAAGGCGCGTATGAACGGACCGGAGCCTCATTATTGAACGCATATGTACGTAGTATGTAGATTTGTGTGCCTTTCAACGCAATTGGACGGTTAAGGATATAACAGGTATCTATTATTATATTAATATGTGGACCAGTTAAGTATGATAACCACTGTGTAGGGAAATTTGGGCTCGGAGTCGTTCCGCTTACGGATACTGTATGTTATTGAGTATTCCAACGTGCCCTGAATGCCCCGTTGTTCTTTGGTGATTGACTGTGGTCACTGCACTACGATGGAGGTAGTTACGTACGCACTCCATAGTTCTAACCGTGGGTATCACAGTGGACAGCTTGGGATCTTCAGGGTTGTTCTCGGATACAAAATACATACGTGGTTCTATTGCTCGCCTAGTTACAACACTCTGTCATCATCGGCCAACGTACTATGTACATACGAAGTATCTAACGCCCAATTGAAATCGCGTTTTGAGAGATCCCTGTCCGTGTCTTTAGATCGGAAAGGGGCAATATGAAAGAGCGACGACCGCCTCACGCCCGCCGTCTACGATGACAATAGGTATTTAATTAGGTAGCTTACTGTCCAGCATGCGTCTAGCGTAGCTAGGTGAGGGTACCATGGGACGAACCAACAGAGAAACATATATCATCTATGTGTCCCACCCATCCAACCCTGGAAGCTACATGCCCGTAAGGTTTCCTTTGCACTGCCACGATGATGGACTACCCTTCAATTTGAAATCTGGATCCCTGCAGCGCATGCGTGACTTTCCAGAAGTAGGAAGATTTTGTTCTATGGAGAAGCCCTGGATACAAGATTGGCGGATACCACCAGTCCTTGCAGATGACCCATCACCAAGCACGAGGTTCGTAAGTCAAGAGACCGAAAATGATACTCCGGTTCCGTACATTCCATTTGCGAATGTTCTTCGTCTCCGGAGTCACCGTATGAAAAGTATTAAGTATACAGTCTGTGTCGACAAGGTTTAATTAAGGATCAAGGCCTGCTCCACATCGTGTCAGCCCAGTTAGCCTGCTTCACCATGTCCACAGGCATGTTTGAAATTTCTTTTTCTTTCGCGCGCTAGTCTGGAGGCAGATAGTGGAGAGTGGACTAAGAGTTTGATCGGCAGTTTCGTGAGTGTACACGTGATATATGGTCTCCTGGTCCTTCCTTCTACAGATCGAGATATCAATCTACTCCAGATGGAGTGCTGTGGTAAGCATTGATAATCCAATACTACTGGTAAACTATAGGCGATGAGGAGTGATATTACTTCATACGGTATGATTTCGGGATTGAGCGGTTATTTGATTCGATCAATGATCACTCCACGAGTCCACAGAACCCCCCCCCTCCTCCGGCCGTTGGAAGCAATCGTTCTCGGCAGTTTGTTCAAGGGTAAAACCACATCGGACTGATCAGATAACGTGAAGATGCTCTTATCGAGCAGCCAATCCATGCCCTAAGGGCCTTGGTTCCCAGCTGCCGTAAAAGGGATAGTTCGACCATGAAACAGCTGATTTGTAGCCGTCAGTACGGAGTACAACCAACGAGACGAGATTCCTGCCGGGTGAACTGGTGGTAGTGGCTTTCGCCATCTGATAGCCGGTTATTCTACTTCAGTCTTTGAGTATGCTGCATTGGCTGGAATATAGGTTAACAATTCAATTGACAGTGACTCCGTTCCAAAGCATCCGCATCAATAGCCATGACACAGAACAATAGGAGGGCTTGACAATAGAAAACTGCTGCGTTCTGATTGGCTGAAGCGGCCAAATTTCTGAAACACGCTTCTATCTTGGCACCTTCCACTCTAACTCCATCGGGCTAGTCTGGCTCGTGGGTAACGATTTAGGGCTTTCGTCCCGATTAGGACTAGCGGGATGCACCTCATATGAGATTCCTCTTCTTTCGACTTGAGCTTCGAGGAGGATTTAGATCTTCTCGAATCATGGAATCATTGGATGGCCTGTAAATGCTCCGAGCATGGATACCGGCGTCTTTTCTCGAGTCGGTAATCATGCTCCGGCTATTCTTCCTGACGCTTATCCCCCTTTTCCTCTCTTCAACTTCGCAGTGACCATTAGACACTCCCAATAGCCATGTCACCTCACATGTAGTGTGTGATCACGCCGGAGAACTACGGATTGGGCAACTCAATGATGGATGAGGTATATAATTTGACTTGCAGGGCGCCATGAGATAAATCGACGCAGTCTAACTGGATCAAGTAGATAGTGAGGTATGGGCGTGGCTGTGAACCGGGGTAGATTTTTACTCCATATGTGGTACTCCCGGTGCACCAGCGGTTTTAACGTCCTTCGGTTGCGTGTTCGCGGCGAGGTTAGGAAATTAAATGCGAGATTATTTTTTTTTTTTTTTCCAATCCTTGGAGATTCTCGAATTTCTGGAATTTTCTGGAGAATTTGTACTACGCACGTAGTCGAACAAGCGAGTTCTCGTAATGCTTACACCTGTAAAACAATTGGGTACCGTTCTTTGGTCAACAAGATCTGTGCGGCTGGAAAGGCTGCCTTTTCCGGATTCTTTTCTTTCAATCTCAAAGTCTCAACTGTAGGCTCACGAATCACGATCAAGTATAAAACCTTAATAAAGGATGACAAGACTTATATGGCACCGGAGCATAATCACCAAATGGCAACACGACGTGGGTGGCTACACTTAATAAGCCTTGCAGGCAGTTGGGCACGAGTCACTCGTTGGACACCTGCTCTACGACCTAGCTACAGGTCTATTCAGGTCTCAGGCAAAGTTTCTGTAAGCTATTCTTAACTCTTTAACGAATCCGAAATATAATCTCCTTAAGCTCCGAGAGTAACTGCCATTGTCAAAGGCTGATAAATCTTGACTATTCATAGTACGTACGTGTGTATTCTACCATCATCTACACAATGCCGTCATTGAAAGAGCCCAACTCGACTTATCTTAGTAACTAAATTGACCCACTGTCTACTACCGAGCAAGGACAGATGCTACAACGCATTCTCCGGAGTCTGTAACATACGCTAACCCTATCCAAGAGGTGATTCACTCTCCCAGAAACGGAGACAGCAGATGATACTCATGGCATCTGATTGGTCTTTTCAGCCCCTGAAGCTTATTTGATGATGCCAAAGGAACCAATCAATCCCCATACTCTTTGAAACCGAAATCCATCTCTCCTATGAGGTTTAGTTGGGAGTAAAATAGGGGAAGAATTAGCTCGACGCTCCATCTGGAACACACTGAAAACAGTCGAAGCCCAGTGTTTCACCCCACGATTAGCTTCCACTTTTCTTTTTCCTTGTCTCTTTTCTTTTTCTGCTTTTCTCGACGCCTTCTTCAGAATTTCTACTTTGCGACGTGCATGCTTTAGATTGAATCCAACATGTTGTCAGCCTCGTCAAAGTAGCCGGTCTAACTTAATGTACCCTAATTATGTAGTTAGCACCACATTGAAGTATCAAGTAGAAAGAGCCAACTTTATCTAAACTGTGACAAGCACTGGCCTGACTAAACGTTTAGCTAGGCCAGTCAAGTCATCTCCAATCTAACCATAATCTGCCCTTACACTGCTACTACGGAGGTACATACATAGCGGACCTCTACCTATCGCGAGAAGAAAAAAGGAAATTAATCCTGAATTAAAAAAAGGAAACCACATGGCCTATCTATTTTGCCCTGGCATTTTTTATTTTCTTCACAAGACACACTCCTTCACCATTGTCTTCTTCTTCTTCTTCTTCTACTCGAGGTATCTGTGCTTTCCTCATCTGTTTCATCTTCTCCTTCCTTTTTCTCTTCTCTTTACTCTCCACTATTCCTCTTCTTCTTTTATTCTACCCTGAACAAACATATTTTAAAATAAATTCTTTGTTGTTCCTTTTTATTTTGCGCCTGAAGGAAAATTAATGGAAGATTTCGGAAAAGAAGACCATCAATAATCGCTCTGGATTAAGATTAGCGCCATCATTTATCGGATTTTGATTTTCATTTTTCTCCTCGGATAATAGAAAACGAACCGATCTGCTGCTACTATTCGAGTACATAATTTACAGACTGGGGCTCCAGGCTAGCGTCAATTTCGCTGCGAAGGAGAGAGAGGACCAAGGAGAGATATCCGGCTGGGTTTCTATCAATTCGACATCAACTTGAACCGGTTCAGATGACGTCGGTGCTGCGATTTTACTGTTCTTCACTATATATAATTTTTAATATTGTCTGATATTCAGACGGACAGAAAAAGAAAACGACTGGGGCCTTCCGGAAGGTTTGCGATTAAAGGGCAATACGTTACGTTACGTACTGGGCGACGAGGAAAACAATCCCACCAAATTACCTTACTTAATAGCATATGTTTATGAGGTCTGGAAGCAGTCACAAGACGGAATTAAGGATTTGAAATATCTATCGAAATTGGAAGAGGCATGCATTCGGTTCTGGTCGAAACAGTATCTCCATTACCGAACCCTACGAACCTACTCATCATGGAACCTTTAGGCGCATCTGGCGCAGGCGCAGACAAGAAGCGCAACAAACTTGGATATCATCGGACGTCAGTGGCATGTGGTTAGTTTCTCCTAGAAGTTTCTTTGGGGAAGATAAGACAGCTGTATTGAATTGGATTGGGTTGGGTTCTAATGTGACTCTTGCATAGTGCACTGCCGTCGACGCAAGATCCGATGTCTAGTAGCAGCAGACGACAGTCAGGGACGTTGCGAGAACTGTATCCGACTCAGAAAGGAATGCCAATTCTACCCCGTAGACCAACAGCCGCAACCAGATCGCAAGTCTTCTAGACCGGGAGGAATAACACTGGAGACCCCTTCATCATCTGCGGACCCTTCAATAGCTTCATCTTCTCCACCACCATTAGGAGGCGCCATGGATCCTACCGATATTTACCAGTACCAGCAGCTCTCTTTGCATTCGACGGCGACGACACCGGAAATGACGGCGTCCGGTTTTCATCCTTCAGCTGGGTTTTCTTCCGTTGCTTCAATGGGTGGGTTTGCGACTGGTCCTACTTCACCAGGTTGGCACTTCAACCTCTTGCGCTGCAGAACTGCATTACGGAATATAGCTGACTAAAGATGCAGTAGACGGAGTTGCTCATCCAGAACTTGTACCTGGCCAAACAATCGATCCGAATGCCACATATAACATGGGACACGCATCACCTGTAATGTGGACACAAGGCCAAATGTTAACAGCATTACCACCAGGAGTAGCACCTCATCCTCAACACATCTCCACCGGAATACCCTCTCACCCACAAATGCTAAGTCCTGCTGCCGCTGCACCGTATACAGTCCGACCCGACGGATCGATATGGCCAACACCACCTCCACGCGCCATAACCACAATCCCCTCTCAACCAGAAATGTATCACCCTCACCCTCACCACCACACCATCTTTGCTAGTTCACCGGTTCCACAACCAGAACTAAAACGAAGCATGACCAGTCCCGCTCCTGGTCGAAGTCACCATCAACCTTCTCCGTTACATAGTCCCCCATCCACACAGATACAGATTAATTACTCGGGTCAACCAATTCCATACCAACATCATCATCCTCCTCCTCCTCCGCCTGCTGGTGGTGGACAGTCTCAACCTTATCCTCCGCAATGGAATCCGGGTATGAATGCTATACCAATGGGAGACGGTACTTATACGACCCTATATGCAACTCCTGAACATTTCCAGATGTCTGGTCAACAACATCCACCCACAGGGCCATGATCAATGCATATCTTTTTCCAACTTTTAGATCCATGTCTGTTTTTATGCAGCCCTATTTCCCTTTGTTGCGGGTGGGGAGGGGGAAGGGTTTCCGGGAATATATCATCAATCATCACTATAGAAATCTTGCTTTTAACGTCTTGTTAGCTATCCATGATATTTGCATGTCCATTTTTGTCGACCCCCAGTCTCATTTACTCAGTTATCATGTCATATTTCATACCCAACATCCATTTGTTTTGGTGAATGGTGAGTTCTTTTTGGAAACTTGGCGGGTTATAGTCATCATCCCATTATCATCATCATCATCATCATCATACCATATATACTTTGTGATAACATTTTCAGCGAGGAGTGGCGTTTTTAGCGGGCTTTTTGAAATGTGGATTGTTTCTTTTTTTTAATTATCATGGTTCTGAGACGAGTTTACATATTTACAGGACCTCACTTACATATAATATCCCTTTGAGAGCTTTTCATGCTAGCGTTTTGATATGAGTGGATGGATGTTTCGGGTTATGTCTACTTCAATGTTAGGTAGGCATCCTGGCATTGGCTTGGACTGTATCCCCTGAGGTCTACTGTCTCTCCGCAATAGGGAATCAACGGCGCATTCATGAACATCAGCAGATTGCTGATACGTTGAATGAAGGACTCTGCCCGTCACAACGCAAAATCGCGCAATCGGCATGTTCAGACAACGTCGTGGGAAGTGGAATTAATTAATGAAAAAGAGGAGATCCCTGTTATCGAGGATACGAAGAATCGACTTGTACCCTGCACACAAATACTGTTTCTCAGTAACTAAACCTGACTCTACTACTTCCCATTCATCCATCAATTCTCACCGGTACAGTAAATCTGACTATACCCCCGAAGAGACAATTCCCTCAACTCTTCAAAATCTCTTCCCCGAAACCTGGCCGGATCCAAATGTCGAACAACATCACCATCCAGCCCTTTTCCATAATCATCATTATGCCGCTCAATCAACCCAGCAACAAACCTAGCCACACCAGCCGCATGCGTAACCCAAACAGCCGCACACAAAACCAACCCTTTCCTTCCATCCACTTTGCCCGCAATCGGTAAATTATCAGGTGTCATCGCAAAGATACCATTGAATTTGGTCTCTGGCATCGAGTACTCAACACTCTCGTTGTCGCAGATTCGAAGAACAGGTAAAAGCGCCTTTGCCTGTTCCAGGGCAGAGCTGAAGATCTCCTCGTACCATGGGCCGATGGCGACGTGGTCTGTTGGTTGGCATTGGATGGCTGGGCCGTGGTTGTATGTTCCGACGCCGTAAAAGGGGCCGTGATCGCGGGCGTAGACGTGGTGTTCTGGGTAGCGGATCCAGGGGCTTGGTTTGTTGTGCAGTCTCGGGGAGAGGTGAGATTTTGTACTGCTTTTTGGTGAGGAGGGTGACGTTGTTGTTGTTGTTGTTGTTGTATTTCCGGATGCAGCGTCGTCGTCATTTTGAAGACGGTCGTGTTTGATGTACATGTATGGATGTGCGACGGGGATGATGGGGATGGGAATGTCGAGATCTGAGCAGAGGTCTTGGGTCCATATTCCGGTTGCCAGGATAAGGGTATCTGATGCAATAAACCTCTTGACTTTTCTCTTATCGCTCTCGTCCTCGTCTTGCTCATTGTCGTCCACATCAACCTCCACACCAACCACATCCCCATCTTCATTATACTTTATCCTCGTCACAACACCCTCCACAAACTCAACGCCTTTCTTCCTAGCTTCATGCTGATAAAACTCCGTAATAACAGTGGCATTCGCAACCCCATCCGTCGCAAAATACAACGCCCCTTTCAGAGCTTCCTTCCTCACAAAGTCCGGCGCCAAACCCGCCGCCTGTGTGGCCGTAATCATACTCGCCGGTAATCCTCTATTAACAGCCGTATCACACCTAACCTGCAATCTCGATAATCCCTCTTCAGTGCCAACGGCTTCAATGCCACCGAGAACGTTAAACCCGTTTGGGATTTTGGCGTATTCGATCACGGTGTCGATGGCGAGACGAGTTAGGGTTGCGGATTCGTTGAATTGGCCTATGTAACCTGGCGCATGGGCGGTTGAGCCTTGGAGAGGCTTAAAGGAGTGATCGATTAGGATTATTTTTCCTTTGGGTTTGGATGATGAGGAAGAGAGGAAGTGGGCGAGGGCAGAGCCGACGATGCCGGCGCCAACTATGATTGTTGTAGACATGTTAGCAGTAATGCCGATATGTTCGAAAGATCTTCTGTGAATGCCGTAATGTCAAGGAGCCCCTATCCATAATCCCACCTGGGCAGCCACGGCGACATTTGTATCAAGACGGTGAGTGCACACCCTAATATCTCGACTCAACTGAGACCGCGATATTCTCGCCATCAATGATTCTCAATGGAACCCGCTTGGCATGTATATCGACATCATCAACCACATCACCAGACCAATCCGATATTCACTGTGGGGTAGGTTTTAGCTGTATATCCGAAAGGGCGCAAGCCATATCATGTAGCAGGGCGTACGTAAGTAGTGCAGATTTGGGTCGGACAACGTATGCTCTTGTCCCATCGCGCTGATTTATTGTTTGAATATATGAGGGAATAAATAGGCCGTTTAGGAGTATATTAGGCGATCTCTTTCACCGCCCACTCGGGCATGCCGTGTAGTAAGGCGTGAATGGAGAAGGTTAGACTTTATGGAGGCATGATCTGGTGGTTGGCGATAAAAGACTGTTGATCGAATAGAGTATTCCAAGTCATTTCTGCCGATCCTTTTAATGCTGGAAAAGAGTTCCGAGAACCTGGAAAGAGAAAATGGGAGTCACTACAACTCAAGAGTATTTATGTTGTCTGCATCTGGAAACTAGCCGGGCCGCTGATCTGTGCTGAGATATTGTTTCCGCTGAGTCTACTCAATAAAAGTTCTTAATTTGAACGCAATGAGTCCGAAGATAAGAAGACCCTTGATGGACTTGAAGCATTTTCTGCAAAACCCCACACAAAATCATTAGCCCTAATTAGTGATCGCTATCCGCCTTACTACGTATCTACAGTGAGGCGATCAATCGAATCATTAATCTTATCTTCCTTTTCCCTTGTTCGTTGATAGTGTTCCAATGCGTTATAGGATTGGTCATCATTAGTAAAGCCGATAAGTTAACAGGCTACGAATCTCCGTCCCAAGTTCGGAGTACGAGCTCAACGATAATCAGTGCTACATAAGATACATACGATACGTAGGATGTGCAACAACCTTCCTATTTGACCGTCTATGCAGATATGTTATCTCGTCGATCAAAACAAGGCCTATTTACCTATCTATCTCTCTATCTCCGGAGGAGCCAGAACACGACACCCTGCGTGATAATGATTTATCTGACGTGCTCGATTTCGTGATACAATGATAAGTTTTGCTGTTTTCAGATAAAACTATCGTTGCTATCAAAGATTTCTGCTGAATAGAGCACTCTGATTTGTCCTTCAGCTTATCTAAACGCGCACATTATTATTAGACTTTTTGCTTTTTCTTTTGCTTTATCTTGGTCGTACAGAGAGATATGGCTGCTTTATATAAAATGCAGGGATTTCTTGTTCTTTTCTTACCCTTTTCCTTTTCACGTTTCGCTTTTTTTTCCCGAGAACTCATACTTCGCGGATGACAAATATGTACGGCCGTAACCCTAACCACTAACACCGGATCACGTGATATTAGACTTTACCCTAACCCTACTCAGAGAGATCAGATTGATCATACAGCATATGAAGGCCAGTTTCACACACATCAAAGTATAATGGATGGACGGGAAAAACGGCCGGCGTACCCAGTCATCAACAGCAATCAAAGAGGATAAATCAGCGCTTTCATCATCCCACGCACTTATGGAGCGGCGGTGACGGGACTTTATTCCTTTCGCTTGTTGGATGTTTCTAACTCGTTGAGAGGGAATTACTAGTATGCACTAACTTACGTCGATCCGTTCTTGGTGTCTGCTGGTTGTTGGGTTCGATGGCATACGACATACGATCTACAACGACAAAGGCGAGGAGGGGAAAGACGCCGTTGCCGATTGATTATTGTCGAATTTACCCGATGCATAAGCCTATATCGATGTGGAAGTGTACCGACCGAAACGACGAAAAAAGTCAAAAACGCCTTATGTACGTACGTCGTCGTATGGGGACAGAAGACAGGGTGGCGAACAACGGCCGGGAGAGGGGGCTTACTCCCCACACACACGAGCATTCCCTTATGCGGTATCTGGCGTCGTGATCAATATGAAGCAACTCGAACAAGAGGCAGAGTTATCGAGAGCGAAGACGAGGATCAGACAACAACGAGAAGAAACAACGTCGTCAGCTTGGAGTGAGACAAATTCGGCAATTTGCGATAGTTCAAGATCAAAGGTGATATGCGACTTGTGATTGGCGGACTTTTCGGGATACGATTCGAAGAAGGCTAGTCCGGGCGGGATAGTATTACCGTGTTACATCTCGCAGATTCTCGACTTCACACCACAAAATATTTGGAATAAGGTTGGAGTAAGGTGGGTTTTCTATCATTGGCAATATTCTCATACAGCATCGAATTTCGAATCTAGAAGGAACAGAGAGGCAAAACGCATGCGAAAAAAAAAGAGAGAAAAGTGAGGCAAAAATCGATGGGTTGTACGGTATTCGTATCCGTATCGATACACTACCGTATCTATATTACCACTAATATATAGACGTGCGTATTCGTACTGTACGTACGATACGTAGCACAGATACACAGCGTACCGCGGGGTTGGTTGGATCTGTCACGTTCCCATTTCATTTCCTTCAACACCATGATATCTATATCTCGAGACATCATGAGATATATTTCAATATGTTCGCTGTTCTGCACGCACATGGCGTATATGAAGGGAAACGTCTCTGCATTTATTTGTCGGGGGTGCATCCACGAACCAACCTCTACATACGTCGATAGACCCGTCCCATACTCCAGACGTATTCACTCCGTGCTCCCCCGTCCTAATAATTAAATTATGCAAGACGCTTCTTCTAAACCGGGGTCTGGGGGGAAACCAGCGAAAAAATATCCCTTATTTCTTTTCTTTTTCTTTCTTTCTTTCTTTTTTTTTTTTTTTTCTCTCTACGTATAATTGTTATGGAAAATAGGGAAAATATGAGGGAGAAGCTTAAAGAAGAAATTATTTAGTTGCGGCTACCGCGCTCGATCGGAGTGCGCCGAGCTTCGTGCATGGATTAATTTTCTTGGGTACATGCTAAGTATAGTTCTACATATGCATACTATTGTTTAGCTATGCCAGGGTATAGTCCGTACTAACAGATAGAGTGGGTATAAAATAGTTATGATATTGTTAGGGATGAGGATGGGACGATCTTGGTGTAGCAAACTTTGTAAAGCATGGCCATGTACGTAAATTGTTTGGAATACGTATGAGCAGAACACGACCAAAGCCGACTTCCAATTGAATAGCTATCGGATAAAGTCGGAAAGCATTTTGTATGATAGACTTTAAGAGTACAGAGTCTAAAGACAGCTGTAAGCTGACTTTCGCACAGTCTGATTGGTCTGCTTTGTTCAGGTGTTTTACAATCGGAGGACCTCCGAAACGCTAGTCCTAAAGAGGAATGGGGTATGTGTATTGTTGTGGGGCAACTATATTTGTTCCTCTCCTCTCTTCCATGCGCTTACAGTCACCGAGGAAGGCTGTCAGTGGACTGGATGGATATCAAATAACCTGAAAGTGTAGAGAGCTGTCAATTCCTGCGCTGTCCCGACTCGCTGGCGAGAACGACCTACAGAGGAAGGGTCTAGGCTACGTCAAGACATGGGTTCGTGAATTAGCAGGTAGATTGACTGTCCAGTCAGGTTTCACATGCTTGATCTCAACGGATGCAGCTAGAGTCAAGGTACATGAAAATTTCCGGTATATTTTCTACTGTTATTGTATTCTTCAACTGTGTTTCGCATACATCCGATTCTTATGGTTTTGATCAACAGAATGTACTCTGTACTTCCTATACGAATGACAGACTCGATCGAATACACACACACACACACACGCTGTACAGTCAAAGCAATATCAATGGAAAGTGGACACGACGTTCATGATTCATCTAACACCGGAGTAAGAGCCAATCAAGTGTCGATAACCCAGATTTTGACCCCGTACGCTAGATCTGAATAGAGTAATTATCCACAACGCGGTGATATGCATGGACTGCTTCCATGCGTCTGGATCCACAGAGTACGAAGCTGTTTCCATATTTGAGTTCTTACGCCGTGAGCCAACCATATTTCTACTATAGTAGTCTGACAGATTGAACACTCGACTCGTTTCCGATATTGCTATCCTGGCTATTTTAACATTCACCGGCTGAAAACATGAGCCGATCATCATCAAAAAAAAAGCTACTATGTAAAAGTAGTTTGTACTAGCGATATCCCCACATCGCCACATACCACACACCACACCACGCCCAAAGCCCAAGGTGGGTGGCAAGACCCATTTAAGCCATGGCTTATTGTCAGCCACGAGGTCGACCGTCGGACCGATGACTTGAGAGGTTGGAGATGCCGAACCGTTATGGAGACGACCGTCGGCATCAGTTACATACACTCCAGCCGGATATTTCAGGCATATCAGAAATGCTTCAAAAGGATATGGTTATCCTGACCATATTCAACCCATTAAAGTCCTCTTCGGACATTGTATCTTCATCTGTATGATGTAGCCGGTGATCATTATGGTCTGAATTATCTCATATCCATGCGAGAAATTAGGGACAAGGTCAGTGCTTCAAGCCAACACTAAACTGATTTTATCTAGATTGCGCCGTGCATTACCGTTTCAGGCCGGAAATCTGTCTCTTTCACATACGGTATTTTAAATACGTATGTAGACTGGGCTTAGCATTCGGTCGACTTTCTATTTCCGTCGCCAGAGTCAAGGCGACTTGTCGAGTTGTCATGCAAATAAAACTAACTATGGCAACTAGTGGTTTGGGTTGATGTACTCTTTACTTACTTAAATTCTATGCGCAGCTAGACGCCAGTGAAATAATAAAGCCGATATGTACGACGATGAAAGAATGAGATCATACTCATAGTAGACGGGGTCCTTTGACATCCATGAGGATGCTGACCTGGATTGGATACTCGTGTGATGCTGCTCGTCTGAGCTCTTACTCTTAATAGATTCGCTTTGATTATGGATTACTTCTCCCCGCGGGACTACGTATTGATCCCCACGTATCTAATCATTTGTAACTATACAACATTGAAACGTGTACATATCCGAACTGAGACTATAAAAAATAAGCTATCAAATATCAATAAATATATAGAATGTAGGGAGTGTGCATGCAAGTCAAGACCCTGGAATTGTGACTGCCGCACTAAGCGATGAGTTCATCATCAGTGTGATGCTTGCATATATTAATACCTGGTGACATGCGATTCGTGCAGGGATTCAATAGCACAGTGTATGTAGCACTACATACATACCGTGGTACACCACATTCGAGATTCAAACACACTCTCCTAGAATGCAAATCCAGTATCCTTCCAGAAGCATCAAACCGCCAATAAGAATGAAGAACATGTGAAGACGGTCCAAAGTTCCAAATAACCCTTCAAATCCCTAATTCCGTATATCTCCGTCATCGAATTCCAACACAAAAAAAAAAGTAGAATTCATCCCAAGATGAAAGAGGGGGGCTGACTCAGAAGATCCCCTCTAACAAGACTCCAGACTTGAGCAATGGCCAGTTTAGTAAGCTTGATCATCCAGCGGAAGAAGCGAATCTGTTCCGGACTGAAAGTCGACACCAATCACAGGTCATATATTCCAAATATGTGAGATATATCAAAAGCAACATTGTGAAGCCATGAATAATAACGTTGTGTCAACGTTGATGTTCTAAACACTACGGAAGGGTTTAGTTTACTTACATACCATACGTATCCGTTCATACTCGGTAAATCGGTAATAATAATGGTACCGGGTATATTACGCTACCAGTAACAGACTTATCTATAATCATACTAGGGGAATACTAAGTGTACGGCTGGTCTCCACTATCAACTCCGTAGAGCCAATAAGACACCGCTTATATGCGAGGACCATGAATTAAATTACCCAGAAATGCGGCACGTCCATAAATACGACAATACAGACGGTTCGCCGTAATATTACCGCCGTCCCAAGCTTTTCAGTTCCTTCCTGTCGTTCCCTTCTTCCCAGTCCGCAAATTCCCAGGTCCGTAGTCGGTCGGGCGATTCAAGACTCACTCTTTCCTTTCCACCTTCAACATCGTCAACTCTTCTTGTTCCCTAATCCAAACTCTCCCCTCATACACCTCTTGTGTGTGGTGGGCTGTTTGAACGGGGTTCTCTTCTATCGGCTTTTTTCGTTGGGGTTTATTTCCTATGTTCGTGTCGTTTTTCGCAGTTTTCTTTTGGCCTGCCTCGGATTCGCGAATACCGCTCCGGAACGTTTCCCCTCGTATATAGTTGACTCCTCGCCAGTAGACCGTTCCACATTCCCCTTCATCGCCTCAACCCGCGCGGGGCTGGACACTCGAAAACCAAAGGCCCTGGAACGATCGCAATAAATATCGTTTTGTTTGAAAATAGACGAAATCACCGGCAAACTGGATTTCCCAATCGAAGACAGCATCGCCAAAGGGGCGTTGCTGGGCGACTCTGTCTTCCCCGACTGGCAAGATGGCGCTCCTCACAGTAATGCGGGCGAGAGTCCCGACGAGATGCAACGAAAAGACCCTCTGGCAACTCAGATCTGGAAATTGTACTCGCGGACAAAATCTCAATTGCCCAATCAGGAACGTATGGAGAATTTGACTTGGCGCATGATGGCGATGAGTCTGAAGCGGCAGGAAAGAGAGCGAGCCGAACAGGCACGGTAAGTGACAGCGAAATGCATCTTTTTTATTGTGTATATATATATACATATATACTTCGATTTAACTATCAAGATGAAACTATGCTGGTTCAGTCATCTGAACCAGTGGCAGCTGCAGCTTGCAGGACGCTAGCTCTGTACTGTTATCATCATCGAATCCTGCCTTATCTCTCCTCCCCTCGATTGCTGAAGACTACCTCCTTACCCACTCTTCTTTTTTTCACACTTTCTCTTTTGCTGTCATCATCATCCACTGTCGTCATTCTGCCAAAAATCAACCATCTTAGCTCATACTAATCTATCGTCAATTCAGTCGTGCTGCTCAACAAGCTGCTCAGAAGCCTTCTACTACTCCTAGTGGGATTGCTCAACTTCGTCAAGCCAGTCAGAGTAACAACGCCGCTTCTACTTCTGCCTCGGCTGATTTTATGAATTTGGACGAATTCATTGTGCCTTCTTCCATTGGCTCACCGTCTGGCATTGAAACTTTACCTGCGACTACCGATCACAACACTGCCACTCAACCCCATTCGGTCGCTCCATCCGGTATTCCTATCAAAGGTCGCAAGGATCAGAATTTGTCGCATGGTCCTCTCATCCCAGCATCCTTGCCTCAACCTTCGCAGGATTTGCGTCGTAACGACGAGTTCGGTTACGTCCAGCGCCGTGTTCGGAAGACCAGTGTAGACGAACGCAAGGTTAGTCTATCTTTCAAAGAGGATAGGAGGAAGATGCTAATTTGTCACAGGCGCCTCGAAAGCGACCTGCTGAATTCTCCCCTCAAGTCGTCCCTACTTCGAACCTAATGGTTCAACATAATGATCACGAATTGGACACTGCCATGATGCCAGATTACAGCTTGGACCAACCCGCCTTCCATCATCATCATCACCATCATCATCATAACAATCATACCTCTCCCAACGTGCCTTTCAATCTCGACACCTTTCAAATCAATGACGATCCCATCTTGACATCCGCAGGACCTTTCCAGCAGAACTTCACTTTTTCTCCTACCGAGTCGCCATTGGTGACTTCAGGGCCTTTCAGTCACGTCTATGCTCAGACCCCTATGGGATCATCACTGAACTCCACCGACTTTTATTCTCCTCCTCCGTCCGGCTACCAGTCCACTGCCTCAACACCGCAGCCTGTCTATGACGGAGAACATTCAATGTACTTTGAGCAGAATTCCATGGATGCCCGTGTCCAGCGTCGAGTTCCCGCCTACGCTGCTCCTAGCCATCGCACATCTAATCTCACTGCCTCTCTGCAGCCTCGATACATGTATGGCTCTAAGAATGATCAAAATTCTGCTACTACCGCCGCCGCCGCTGCCTACAACTCCATGAGCGGACCGCCTTCTAGCATCCCTTCTCCTGGATTTGCGTCGGGTCAGCAACATATTGATCCGTCGTCGGTCATTAGTCATAATGATTTCTCGGCTCCTCCCTCACAGCACAATTTGAACCTCACAAGCAGCGAGAACATGTTCACCTTTGGCGCTGACTCTGACAACGAAGACGATGAGACAAGCGCCTTCCCGGACCAGAACATGGCCATGCAGACCGACTTTCACGGTATCGATGACATCTCCGGTGACATGGCCTCGAGCTTGCAATGGGATGCTCAGCTTGCTGGTCACTATGGTTCTATGCCGAACTTTTCAGGCTTGCATCATGGACGAATGGGAGATATCATGGATCAATCGCATGATTGGGAAAGTACAAGTCTACCCCGCGGACATGCTTCAGCGACCAACATGAGCAGACCAAAACTTGGTCGTGCACATACCGATCATATGGGCATGCAAATGCAGTCACATACGTCCCCCAACACACCTCCTGAATCTGGATTCAGCAGCGCTGTACCATCCCGGCCTGCCAGCCCTGGTGGCACTAAGCCCGGTGATCAAGGTGCTCCAACTACTTGTACTAATTGCTTCACTCAAACGACACCGCTGTGGCGTCGTAATCCTGAGGGGCAACCTCTTTGCAATGCCTGTGGTCTTTTCTTGAAACTCCATGGAGTGGTTCGGCCTCTTTCTCTCAAGACAGATGTTATCAAGAAGCGAAATCGTGGCGGAGGAAACAATCTTGCAATTGGAGTTTCCGCGGCGCGGTCCAAGAAAGGCTCGCGAAAGAACTCTGTGCAACAGATTCCCGTTGTTACACCTCCGAGTTCAAGCAAACTCCAAAGTGCTAATGCTTCAGAATCACCTCCATCGATATCAGGTTCGACCACATCTGGTACTGGGTCTAATGGCGTCGCGGTGTCGGTCAAGAGCGGCGTTGTCCCCATCGCAGCAGCTCCACCAAAGACCACGCCATCTGCTGGTGCTCAAGCAAGGGCAATTCAAGTCGCACCCAAGCGTCAGCGGCGGCTTGACAAAGACTCCATTGGCTCCTTGGCCAGCATTCAGGCTAGCTTGTCTCAGGACAGCCCAGAAGCAGTCAATGATGATATGAATGGAGACAATAAAGCTAGTGCAGGGTCATCAGGGGCTAGGTCTAAAAATGTACCATTGGCACCAGCCATGCCACCGGCAGCGACGAACCCTGCTCATCACAGTCTGGCTGCAGGATCCGGCCAGACAGCTAGTCAAGAATGGGAGTGGTTGACAATGAGTTTGTAAGCGAAACTTGTTGTGTGGGCAGAAAACTATCCACAGCATTCCTGGTGATTCTTTCACTATCTTCAACTTTTAATTATGGCTGATGAACTTTCTCATTTTTTCTCATGGTGTCTTCATTTACTACATGGAGTCGGTTATAGACATGACATGACATTGATTGCACAGGTGTGGATGGTAAACAAGACCCTCACTATGTGGGTCAATCAATACCACCATCTCTAGTCTGGTCTGTGGAGTTGGGATTGTGAGCGTCTGATGGACGAGAACGAATAACGATTTCTAAGCTTTTCTTACATACAATTCTTCGGGGTGGGCTAGCTTGAGATTTCTCGTTTTTCGCAACGCGTTTTCATTTGTTCGAATGGTGGATTTCATCCACTATAGAGACGAAATCCAACTGTTGATTTCTTTATCCAGAATGAGCGATAGAGGATCAACCTTGCGAACACGATGTGTGTGTGGATGACTGTTGATGTTGTGTTTTCTTTATTGTTTGATTTTTACTGCTTGATACAATCGCGTCTGCACCGGTTCGCTCAGCCTCAGTTTTGTTTTTATGTTATTGTTTTAGTTTTTCATTTTTGGTTTATGTTGTCTCATTTGGGCTGAGCACCGGGCAGAAGTGCGCACTGCTTGATTTTACTTTTCATGAGGTGTTTACAGATTCTAATACCAGAATGTGGATGAATAATAGGCTTGGTCTGGTATCCCAGTCCTTACATACAATATCGCTTTCTCTTAAATCCCATTATTTAGTATCTGATTTGTACGTAGTTGATAGTATGGAAGACCCGGAATCAATTCCAAGGCTGCTTTAGGGTTTGTCTTGCCACATTCGGAAATACGATATTCTGACATCACGAAGACGAACATCGATATCTCTGAATTTCTTCCTAAATAAATGATCTCTATTTCTCCTACAATTCTTTATTTCGTGTACAGTTGACTCAGAAACTGAGATCGTGATACAAGACTGGATACCTGATCATCATGGCTGATAAGGTACATCTCCATCCAAGATTCTCAAGATAGATATCATACATCGGTAGACAAACTAACTACAAAAAAAAAAAAAAAGAAAGCAATGCTCAACGCAGACCCTCAACGCGAAACACCCTTTGAGCGTATGAAATCCTCCATCGCCGAGGCAATGCAACCCGGTCCGTCCTCCTCTCCCTTTCCCAATCGCAAAGTTCAAACTAACCATGCTCGATGGATGATGAATAGGAGACACAAAATCAACCCTCCACCGTCTCCCACCAGACGAGCAGGAATCAATCCTCCCACTGAAAGAGGATGAGAAACCGCTTTACGGGCAGAGACAGAGTACTGAGTTTTCTGGTATTGGATCTAGTAGTTCTGCGGGAGCGACGACTAGTAAGAAGGATCAGGGGATGATGGCTTCGGCGGGTGAAATGGTTGGGAAGGCTTTGGGGAGGAAGTAATTCTTTTTCTTTTCCTCCTCTCTCAAGGATGTATGTAGGAGAGTATGTACCTATGATGGTGTTATGTATGGGATTAGAGAATAGGGATGGTTTATTCTATGGTATAAGAATTTGTATAGTCATAAGCACGAGCCTAAAACTCGACTGAGGTAAGCTATTCTCCAGGTAATCTAATATCCTCCCAACCCCTACCACTCCCATCCCCAATACTCGAAGCGCTCTCATACCGACCAACCCCGCGCCAATCAGTCATATTAATCCAACCAATCTGCTGCAAATCTCCAAATCCACCTATCCAATAAACCCTTGTCACAACCATGCGAGCCCAAAACCCCGAATGAGGACTATCCGGATTTCCGGGAGCCCACACTTTGGCATCCGGATGAATCGCGAAGAAGCATTCCTCCAGACCATCCTTTATTTTCTCTGTTGACGACAGGTCAAGTCGTTCGACATACCCAATCAACGAGATACGCGGTAATCCAGCTTCGCTTAGCGGAAATCCAGGATAAACTGGTTTTGTATCGTTTAAATGATTCCACCAGTCAATCGAGAGACTGATATTTGATCCCTTGGCGATGTTGCGGAATGTTGTTGACACGTATAATCCGAGTAGGATTGGGTTGCCGTTGTTATTATTGCTGTCAATGATTTCGGAGCAGTCTGCTATGTATTCCGGTAGACTGATGGGTACGCCTTCTAGGCCTGTTAGGTGTGCTGACGAGGATGAGTCTGTGTGTTGATAGACGGTGGATGCGATTCCGATGGAGGATTTTGCTAGGAGTCGGCGCGCCAGGAGGACGGAGTCAAACCATGAGGGACGTCGTAGAGTCGATAATTCTTCCTCATCATCTGCGGCTGTTTCTTCGTCACCGTCAAGCTCTTCACCGTCGGCAATCCTGTGCAAGCCAATGGTTATATTATCCAGTCCGTCAACATTCCCCGCATACCTCAACGACGACATCATCGGCGGCGACGGCAATGGTATCGACGCCGGAGGTGCAACAGGCACCACTGCGCCCCCACCATCATTTCTATTCTTGTTATCCTTATCAATCATCGAACCCGAATCATGCACAACATCCGAAATAAAATCCTTCAATGGATCATCCCTCCCCGCATTGTTGCTATTACCCTGATATCCGACATGTTGTAGTAAAGCAGTTTGATCTTTCTGTTGGTGCAATCCATCTTCTCGTCTGGGCGTTACGATAAACGGTGTTCCCAGGACAGACGGTAAGTATAGACAAAGTATTGCTGCTGATAACAGCGTGAGGATGTTCAAATGGCCTTGCGCCATGGCTGATGATGATAGGAACAGAATCGCTGGGAACAGAATATGGAGAGCTGATTTGAAGTAGAGACGGGCGAGAGTGAGATTGAGAGGGAAGAGGCTGAGGAGAAAGAGCGGGGAGTACTTGAACATGACATGTTAAGAGCGGAGACGGAAGGTCATCTGACTGGCTCGTTGGCTCGTCTCAACTTCATCGATATATCTTATCTGATCGTTCTAGTCCTAAATTAGCTAGCCACACTCAAACTGACTTTGAGGGCCCGATCGATATAATATCGATGATTCCACTACATCGGAAGAAGTCCAGTATATGTATTCAGCAATTCGAGTTAGCGGATTACTGTTTATATCTACATTCGAATATTTTACATCCATTCCTTCCAATTCAGAATGCATGCACGAGCTGACTCCAATAACCAGACCACTTTTTGTCCAAGAGTGCGGGACACACAGCTCCAAGAAAGACAAAAGAAAGTAAGAATCGCAGTGATTGATGATTATGATGATAGATACCCACGATCGAAACTCCAACCTCAATGTAGTAATTAAGGTAAAAAGCCCAGAAAATGGATTAACGAGGTTTGACTCCGAGAAATGCCTGTTCGCCCTTCCGAACCTTATATTTCCCACACGCACACACCTTTGATGAGCAAGAGAATTATGAAAAGATAGCCAGTATCATGGTGAGGTTACACCAAGGAATGGAACGAAACAGGACAAAACAAACCCAGACCAGGTCGCCGCACTCCATGGTAGGTAAATAAGATAAAAAAAACAACAACAAAAAGATTCAAAGTATTTGCAAACGAAATGCGTACTTCATACAGAGGGGCCAAGGCCCAGATGCTAGCAACTGGCCAAGTGCATCATATTCATGATTGTGTAAGGAATGCGCCAAATAAATGCCCGTACCATCTCAAACCGCTGGATCATATATATACAAACGCTGTTATGAGATATACAAGCACAACATATCAAGGCTCATCCTTTCGCATACGTGAATGTCTATGTCATGCATTCATCGCATAGGCGTCGGAGTGGTTGGTAGAATGTTGTGTCTGCGAACTTCGGCGCTGCAGCACGCCCGCTTGATGCCACCCTTGGGGGCAGGGATAGGAATAGGCAGTTGAATGGAGCTCAAACAATGATCTGACGGATCCTTGGGGAGCAGAAATGATTTCGCGAGTTTTTCGTCTGTAAGAACCTCGTTCCCATAGATTGGCGATATCAGTTCGCGTACATTGCTTTGCAGGATCTGGTCATCGGATGAAGTTCGTCCTCGCTTCCGGCAAGGTCGGCTCTCGTTGACTTTACTGACAGGAGACTGGGATCGCAGCATAGCACCAGACAATTCACATAGTCCCTGTGCAGCTTCATGAGCGGTCATGTCGACTGGTGTGTTTAGAGAAAAGTTTGACAAGTCAGGCACCGTTCCACATAGGCCGCTTTCAGGCGAGCTGTAGACACCAATCAAAGAGGACTCGTCAATAGGAGAGTGTATGGCCAAGTTCTTTCGACATTCTTTCAAAGTCATCGCGGCGCAACGACGAGTCGCCGTGACAGCCAGCCGAGGCTGACTAGGCGCGCAAGTCGCAGAGGCGCACGATGAGATGGAAGAAGATCGAGAAGAACGAGAAGAAATTGTCGAGACATCCGAGACCATCGAGTCTGGTGATGAGGCAGAAGAAGTGGAACGCGCAAGAGAAGAACGACGCGTCAGAGGAGGCATTACTTCAAAGTTAACGGGTTTGCTTGTAGGGAAAGGGCGGGATTCCAGAGCCAGACGTGACATGCACATGTTTTGAGCTTGGGACATGGCAGATGCAAACGAAGGACGCCTCGAACATGTACCACGAACACTCACTGCAGGAGTGGACGCAGCGCAAGATTGTGGCGTCAATTGCGGCGTGGGGAGAAGCCCAAGCTTGTGCAAGGCAGGAAGGGTGGGGTTTGAAGACTCAACACGAGTGGAGGGTTCCAAGACAGGAATGGATCTGGGACAGGTTGGGGACTGTTGCTCACTCGGCGAACACATCGAAACGATGTTGTTGACGCGAAATGGGGAACGTCGAGGCGACGGAGCATCAGAGAAATCCAACCCAAACATTTCCGGAGGGCTGGAGGGCTCCACGTCGACCGTGACCAGATCGGGCGTCAATCTCGGAATTAATGTCTTCCAGCAGTCGTCAGGATTAGGCGAGGAAGCTGGGCCGGGTGTGTACTTGAGGACAATGTCTGTCCAGCGGTGATAGATGGACTCTGGGACGTGGAGTTTCCAATCCACAGCTTGCAAGAACATCATTTCATTTTGGTTGATTTCCTGAGTATGCAGACCCGAGATCTTGCTCCAAGCACGGGCAGAGTAATTCCGATCCTGCAGATATTTCGATGCAAGAATCAACGCGGCGAGGAACATACGTCGACCGCATTGCATCGCACGAGCGCATGGGCTATCGCGAGGTTGTTCCATTGTGAAGTCATGGTTTGGAACATGTGGTCGGATCTTGATGAGGTAGTAAAGAGCAACCTGTAAAGTACTAAAGCTAGTACGTGACCTTCGCAGAGTTTCTTGAATGAAAGTGCGAAGGGGTAAGACACCCTTACAGCCGAGTGGAGATTCACTCCGAACAGCAACTACAGATAGGGGCCATATAGTTTCAACAATCTGGGATGCGGAGTCTTCCGAAACAGAACTCAGCATGACAAGATCCGCAAAGCGGTCGAGGAGGGTTCCTCTCTGGAGAGAAGAGACTTACCGACTAAACTGTCGACAAAATTAACCTTGCGATCACACTGCCGTACTAGCGAGGGGGGTAGTCGAGGGCACGAAGCGGATGCACCGTTTGCAGTTGCTGTGGGGCAAGCGGTACGTCTGGGGTTCTTCCGAAGCTCTGGAGGCACTGGGCATTCCGTGACTTTAGATGGAAGGCCTCTCAAACTATTTCGCAAACAATGAGATGCATTTTCAGAATGGGGCAAACCTCGGCCTGATGATTCTCCTGACTCATCATTTTCCCAAATGACATCGACAGCAGTTGTTGAAGATGACGAAATTGAGCTCTGGGTCGACACGCAATCGAGTGAGAAAACCGAGGACGAGGATGAAGAGGCCGAGGAGCCTACAGATGAAGAGTACGGGTACGAGGTAACCGTCTTCCTCTGATGACTGGGGTCGGAAAGACTCGCAGCCAAGACGTCTGAGCCTGACATATTCGATAACATGGAGTTAAAGATCGCTTGCTGTCCTCCTTCGCAACTAAACACGCGCTAATAGTCGCACGTGCCACAAGAAGTTTCAAAGTATGCAAGACTCGAGTGCCAGGTAAAAAGACGATTTTGTAAAACCGTGATATCAATTGAACCGTTTCGAAGATGACCAGGAAGAAAACCGATAGACAACCGTCTTTCGATAATTAGGCGACGGTGGGCCTTTAGATGTGATAATGGTGCTCCAGCGTATCAGGTGTAGTGATCACTGGGTAGAACTCAATACCTGAGGGTAGGTATTGAAAGTATCAGAGTACCAAATCGGGAAGAAGGGAGAAGGGAAAAACAACGGGCGAATATGAACAAAAGTAGTTGTTGGGGTTCGGCAAACCGATCACCGTATATACACGCTCCGAATAGTCGACGTCGATCAAGCCAGGTAGGGTAATACTGGAGTGAAACTGCTAGCAGTCGCCAATCCCGATGCAATAGACACGATAGTGAGTATTGGTCGCTTATTGGCGGGTAACGTTCTTGCTGGACTTGGTGAGATCTGACGAGTAAGATGCGGTAATACTGGTGATCGGTGCGATGAGGCCTTCAACAATAAGGTACATTTTGATGATGATGATAAATAAAAGCGAGCACAAGGTGGAGTATTAATAGAGTCGTAGTAGCATAGGCCGGCGACCTTCTAGCAAACAGGCAACTTTCGTCACAGTAGACGCTTGCTTGTTCAAGGTGAGTCAATAGTCTAGAGTAACTGAACTGATCTCTTCGCGTAAATCATCGAGGCAACGACGGAGCTAGTGGCAGGTAGCGAGACACACAAGCGCGCGTTGAGTGGTGCCAACGAAAGTGGAAGTTCTTCACAACAAGTCAGCAGGAAGTAAATTTGCCTTGAGGTCTGACGGGGCTGGTGGACGATAGAAATAAACACGGGCGCTGGAGCCTGCAAGTTGGCCACTCTATCCTGACTGGGGGGTTGGTATGCAAAGGGACATCGATTGGGTGGGCGAATCTGCTGTCAGGTACCAGACAGAAAGAGACGGGCGGCAAAAAAAAATAAAAATAAGTCCCAAGTGATCAACAGGGTTTTTAGTCACCTGAATTACAGGTAGACCAAGAGTGACATTTTCAGAAGGGAGTGTGTCATAGTAGGCAACGGTGACTCAAAGGGTTTCAGTTAGGACGGTTGGACTGATTTACCTTAGCTGTCTGAGCACGCTGGGCTGGGGTGGCGAGTAATTAGCGCGGCGGTGCCTAGATTCGGTCGGGCGGGCTCGGAGAGAGAGAGAGCACAACAGCCGGAATCTGGTTGACTAAAGGAGGCGAAGATGAAGAGTTAGAAGAGACGAAAGGAGAGACGGATACTATTTAAAATTCTGTTGTTCAAGGTAGAGAGGAGAGGAGAGGAGAGAGAGTGTGTGTGTCGGGAGGATTGAGTAGGAGACGGAGGAGGAGGCATAATAATAATATGAGGGCAAGAGGGCGGGTCAGGATGACTCTTTCCTTCAGGGCCAAAGATAGAATCGACCGATTAGGGAAGGGGGCAGTGGGCAGTGGGCAGTGGGCAGTGAGCAGTGAGGCAGGAGGTTGGGTGGCAGGACACGCTCCCGGTAACGGCGGTAACGATACCGTATCAAAACAGCGTCGGAGCGGGAAAATATTTGCCCGCTAGTAGCAGAACGGCGGGTAAAAGACCACTCACGAGACAACAGAATACAGGCTCTGTACCAGCCGTCACGAAAAGAATGACGAGTTGACAATGGAAGGGAAAAAAAGGAAGACCAAAAAAGAAAATTTGCAACGGCAGGGAAGTGAGCTTGTTGATGGGAGAAGAAATCGGCAGCCTCACGAGGTCACAAGGGGTGTGTGGTTGAATTTCCACTAGACACGAAGTTCCATCCAACCAAAGGAGATCGATCGAGTGAGTGGTTGGAATGGCTTTGCTTGGTTCGACGATGAATGAAAAATTCGCCGCCGAGCAACAGGCAGCAGCAAAGGGGGCAAAAACGCAAAAACGAAGAAAAGCTGTGACCCTTATCCAAGTACACATACGTTTGGACTATTATAATACCGTGAACATCAAAAGACCAGATGATGGCGGGGCACTCTGACTGGAACCGGAGGCAACAGAAATAGATAAACAACGATAAGAAATGGGGTAAAAAAAATAATGGAGATGGAAATAAGCAAAAATAAGAATTATCTATACAATTGTGGAGGATATGGGTTCGAGAATCAGATCTGATGCTGCTCTCGCAGACACACTGTCATGGCCGGGTTCATTGCGAACGGTTTGGCTGAAAGAGGGAAGAGAAGGAGAAGAACTGCAAGTCGCGGGTTGGAAGGTTGGGGGGGGGGGTTCTCTTAAGGCTCTACTCCGTACATACAACGACAGCATGGCTACGGTAAACTCTGAACATGAACTGCTTTGCAATCTGCATGTCCTAGTCAGACAGGCAGCAACTAAGCCTAAGTAGAGAGTGTATTCGTACTGTCATCAGAGGGTATGTATTGTAGACTATGTAGGCGAGTCAGTCGTATCGGTATTGTACGAAGATTACCAGGCAGACCGTGGATTTCTCTCGATCTCTTTGAATTCCTTCCAATCGTCGGTCCGGCCCCACACCCCAATTCAATGGCAGCTGATCTCATTGGATATTGCAGGCCCGGTCTCCACAGCTCATCTTCGGTGGATCAACCAACCACGTCACTGTTCACTTTCTGCATTAGCGCCACTCACCAGCCAATCTAAAGACAGCCAATCACCAAGCGTTAATGACACACCGACAGCTTCCGCCAATCAGAGCAGGCATAATGGTAATATGGGCAAAACTAGCTATTTTGGGTTAGAGTGGTTGACTTGTTAATGCGCAATGTCAAGTCGTGCTGGCAGGACTAACCTTACCACTGTAGCCGTAATTCGGTGTCTACTCCGTAAACGTGATTAATTTGCTTCATTTTGGGTGTGTGTATCCTACGAAAGCAGTTTTGATTGAGCTTCTTACGGGCGACATGTTGGCAAAACCCACCGTTTTCGGCCAGTACGTACGTACACACACACACTCTCTCTCTCTCTCTCTAGCACATTCCATCGCTTTCGATAGTATTTCCACTTCCAGCAACCCATGTGACTCATGTACGTACTACAGGTGAATATATCATACATCCGAGAATCGTGAGACTATCCCAGGCTGTACCTCTTAAATTGAACTAATAAAGTATACTCTATATCCGAGGCCGTCAACAATGGTCACGCTGAGAACTGAGTCACCAATGTGGGGCCACCTTTCACCATTAATCAGCCTGATCAGTTCTAGTGCTATTTTTCTGGGCAAACGACGGAGTGCAGAATATACTCCGAAAGAGAATAATTGGTAAGGCTGATTCTGAATCGTTGTTGGTACTAGATATAGATCGTAATGGCTGCGATATGGAGATGTAGAGCCGCAACGAGACGGGACACTCCCAGGCGCCGCGATCTGGGATGGGATTGGCTCAGCCCGAGGTGTTAGTGTGATGCAACCAATGAGAGCCAAGAATTGGCTCAGGTGGGCCATCCCGAGATGGGCCATTAACAGAGCATCATTTTACTTTCTAGATATCATGACATAGCATGATGTGAAAGCATCCGATCTATCATGTGTAGATACTTCAATGTACTTCTTAGTTACCATTACTGTTCTCAGTCAACCTTGGGAGCTATATTCAAATAGATAAGTCAGGAGACCAGTTCGGCATATCCCATGGCCGAGATAGAGTAGCAGAAGATAGGTTCCCAAGGCTGACTCAAACCAATTTTGGAAGCAATATTGTACTGGCTTAATTGGGCCAGTGAGGTAGTCTCAAGGTAGAATCCATGGTAAAGACTACATATCATTTCTATGGACATTCTGATTGTTTGGTCCCTGTCGTTGGATAGTATATATAAAAATATATATGTATATATATTCAATATACAACTATAACCTCTTGGTTTCTGAGTCCATTTGGATATACATCTGAATCCAACAATCACATTACCTGCATGTGGGTGCCTACTTGGATATCCCAAGGATATTAGCTGTGAGATCACGTCGCAGTATGAGTGAGCTTGATGGATAAACTAGATTCATGGACTGGTTGGCCCGGGTCTGTTGCCTCGACGCCTCACCTCCAGCAGATATGTGCGCCCAGGCAGTACCTAGATAAAACAACGGGCATACCCGTCTAAAAAAAAATCAGTCCTAATAGGCATAGCATTCATCAGACTTCTTTGTCTGCTAAATACGAATGGCTTTGCGCCCGCTTGTTTGGTGGCATTTGTAATTTTATACGCCGTGCTTTGTTTGCAATCATGTGATTTTAATAACGACTGGGAACCACTATCCTGCAGAGACCCCGACAGTAACAGCCATCTTTAAATTTTCAACTTCTTCAATACTTTCAAAATATACAGTTCTTGTGGCTTCTCAGTTCGGTTACCCCTGATAGACGCTAAATCTTCAATCACCGTTTACTGCCTCGCACGGTTGACAGTCGAGTAAACAGAGCAGATACTCGGGGAAGCTTGACAATCTTATCGTTGGCGGTTTTGTCCACTGCTGAGCTCAAAATCCTCGCTTACAACTACAGTGGCAGAAGTCGAACGACAGATATGCCTAGACTTGACCAACGCTCTTAGCTTGAAGTTCTGCTTCCAGAACTCTCAACAGACAACACTCAACCTCCCCTCTCTTCGATACAAAAACAGAAACAGAATCATTCCAAGATGGAAGTATTCTGTCGAAATGTACCAGGCCAGCTCAAAAAGAGACACCTGGAACAAGAGCTGAGACCCATCCTGGCTGAGCTCGACATTGTCTCTTTCGAGTGTCGAGTACACTCCAACGGCCATGCAACCATCACCATTGCAGATGTCTTCAAGGCACGCAGATTACTCGACCGATATCCTCGCGTAAGGAAAGATCCACGCCAACAGCTTAAAATACGCGGCACAAACATCTTCATCGAAGAAGGCAGGAACCAACCCGACCCGTTTCTGCTCCAGTCGCTTCAGGAAGAAGATAAAGAACGTCGCAGTCGACCTCGTCGATCAAATTCTATCAGCAACGATGCCGACTCTCGAGGGCCCAGGAAGTTCTCCATCTTTAACCTGTCTTGTGGTACTTTTGATTTTCGAGGAACCAGTCCGGTTTTCATTGAACAATTTGAAATCCACGCAGCATCAGGGACGATTCACTTTGGATCAAATAAGCTGACTATCACATTGCCCAACCCCGAAGATGTCTCAAAGAACTTCAAGATTGAGTCTGAATACTGGTCCATTTACGATGCAATCTATGTGAGCGATCAGGGGCATCCGACAATAACCTTTGGCTGTAACTATGCCCCCCGTTTATTCGAAGCTCCCATCAACAACCAGATGCAGACAACACTGGCTACCTTTATGAGAGATCGACGTGCTCCTCCTCCACGCGAAGAAAAGAAGACAAGGATCGGCTTTCTCAATCTATCACACAAATGCATCGTCTCCTCTTGCTTCGTGTACCGTGTGACCCTAATCAACCAGCAGGATTTTTCCAGTATCTTGCGTCTTTCACACAATCCTAATCTGCCTGAATTGGTCAGATGGCGTGAACTGCGAGTGGCTACTCATCTTTCTTTTACCACTCAGCTGACCAATTTCTTCTCTGCACTACGTCAGGGGGTCTTTCCGTTTGCTGTACAGTTTCAGCTTCGGATGTTAGTGTCAAATGGAGAACTTCCACCGGAGAAAGTGATAAGTCTTTTCCCTTATGTGAGAACACTTCTTGCGAGGAAGAGACCTCTGGTGGTAGCCAAGATTCTTAAAGGCCTTCCGAGAAGACTTCATCACCCGGACCCTCATGCTGATAGTGCCGATGTGAGTTTGGAAGCTATCATTGAAACTCTCAAAGAGATTGAGGAAATGCAAGCACTCGAGTACGTGCAGCCTGGACAGCCGGGTTATCTGCACCACAATCAGATGGAGATACATAGACTCAGTGTTACACCTACAGGTATCTACCTTGATGGTCCAAATGTTGAAGCTGAGAACCGTGTCCTGCGAAAGTACCGACACCAGAGTGATTACTTCATACGAGTTAGATTCATTGAAGAATCCGGGGATCCCATGATGTATGATATCAGTTCGAACCTAGACCGTATCTTCAAGGACCGATTTGGTGAGGTACTGAGAGACGGAGTCATTATCGCTGACCGCCACTATCGGTTCCTGGGTTTCTCTCATTCATCCCTGAGGTCACGCAGTTGTTGGTTCATGGCGGAGTTCCACGACTCCGAGGGGCAACTGATCACCGTGAATAGTCTTATTTCGAAACTGGGCGATTTTAGTCATATACGGTCTCCCGCGAAATTTGCCGCACGACTTGGTCAGACATTTTCTGATACACTGACGTCTATTTCGGTTGACAGGGACATGGTCAAGAGGATCGATGATGTGGAAAGGAATGGGAGAGTGTTCAGTGATGGATGTGGCACGATCTCGAAGGAAGTTTTGTGGAGGATTTATCGTGATTATCCACGCAATGCTGCAGTTCGTCCTACGGTGTTTCAAGTGAGGATTTCAGGTATGTATTTTGAGATGTGAAATTCACCGCTCCGCAGGATGTTTGCTAACAGTAACCGATTTCAGGAGCCAAAGGAATGCTCTCCCTGGACCCCAGACTCAAAGGCCCGACGATTTGTCTGCGAGATTCAATGATCAAATTCCGCGCAGAAGCAGACCACAACATCGAGATTTGTGGCTCCGGCATCCACAGCTTGCCCTGTTACTTGAATGCACCGCTAATCAAGATCCTCGAAGATCTTGGTGTAGCCCGTGATCTATTCCTTGAGCTGCAAAGAGAGGAAGTACAAAATCTCCGGCTGGCAATACGTTCGCCCCGGCAGGCGGCTAGCTTCCTCGACCAGGCTCATATCACGAAGTCCACTCGTTTATCCTGGTTGATTACAGTGCTGCAATCGATGGGACTGAACTATAATCAAGACAAGTTTCTCAAGAGAGCTGTGGAGCTCGTGATTCTCATGAAACTGAGAGATTTGAAATACAGAGCCAGAATTCTCGTCCCTGAGGCTGTTACACTGTACGGTATCATGGACGAGACTGGTTATTTGCAAGAAGGTGAAATATTTGTCCCGATTCTGAATGAAGTGACGAAACGACGAAACATCCTCGTTCAAAACAAGGTACTCATCACGAGATCTCCCGCCTTCCATCCCGGTGACGTCCAAATGGTCAATGCCGTCAATGTCCCAGAAGCCTCTCCACTACGCAAATTGCACAATTGCGTCGTGTTTAGTCAGAAAGGTGAAAGAGATCTTCCCAGCCAACTCAGTGGTGGTGATTTGGATGGTGATATTTTCAATATCATCTACGATCCACGATTCCGTCTTCAACGGCTGGCTAGACCGGCTGATTACCCCCGCGCTCCCGGCACGGTCTTGGATAGACCGGTGCAAATGGAGGATATTCAGAAATTTTTCATTGAATTCATGCAGCAGGATCAATTGGGTCGTATAGCGACTACGCACAAGATTCTTGCGGATCAGCAAGCAGCTGGGACCTTCGATCCGAATTGCTTGACGCTTGCGCATTTGCATTCGACGGCTGTGGATTTTTCCAAGACCGGGACTCCAGTGAGTTGCTTTGTTTGTCAAAGCCAAAAATGTTGATGAGAGCTGACATTCATATGTATAGGTCGACATCAAACAAATCCCCAAATACCCTCCCTACCGACCCGATTTCATGGCCCCAGGGCCTCGCGTCCGAGTAGCCGAAAGTATCGAAGTCCTCGACGACGGCAGAGAACACATCTGGGACGACGGCGGAAGTATCATTGATGACGACGACGACGTCCGCCCACCACTCCGTTACTACAAAAGTCAGCGTGTATTAGGTGCCCTGTATCGAACAATAAATGAGCGAGACTTCATACGCGAACTGGAATGGGATTCACCAAATCACCAACAACAGAAGCAGTCCTCAAAATCGGTGAATGTCTTAGCTGCTGTGTGGGAGTATGTTAAGTGTGAGACGGCTGGGTTTTTGTGGGACCATTGTGTGAAGGATGCTTATTATATCCGAGATGTGTACGATTGCTCACCTGCTACCAATTTTCCTTGGCATGTGCTGACAATACGTGTAGCTATGAAGACAGTATCCAAGACCTCATGTACCAATACTCCGACGCACCATGGAAAACTTGCCTGACCGAAGTAGAAGTCTTCATTGGCAATATCATGGGTCAAAATCACAAACAAACCGCATATCAGAAAGAGTCTTCCAGGGCAATGCGCGATGGTAAGCTCTCACATCCACTACTTGCAAACTGAGTTCTAATTTCATGATCATCTAGCATACGATGACCTCGTCAAATGGACCATATCCTTGATTACAGGCCGTGGAACTGAGAATGAAGGCGAATCTCTCGAGCGTTCCGTGGCATGTTTCTGGGTCGCTCTGGAGGATACGCGGCAAAAGAAGTCTTCGGTACTGCCAGGGCAGAAGAAACTGGATAGTTATGCGTGGGTTGCGGCGGTGACTTGTTTGCATGAGATTGATAAGTTGCAGAGGAGTATGCCTTTTTGAGAGAGGATACATAGGGGTAGACCAGGTGCTTTGCAATACTGTGCGCGGAGGTGGATGACTGTATGATTATTTTATTATTAGTGGGCAAAGGCGTACCTAAATAGGAGGCTGCCTTGTTACTCCCCATCTTCAGTTGCATGGTCGGAGACACATGCTCTTCTCGTTAACAATTCATGGTCATGTGCGAACATTTTTAAGACGATGAAGCTTTTAGGGCTTCCCCGGATGATCGCCGATTTTAGTGTTCCAGTCGTAGTACGTATCTATGGTGCTTTTAAAGACCCACCTAGTAGTCACTTGGATGCGAATATTCAAAATAAATAAAAGCTGGCGTAGCCACCAGCAATTTGAAGTTATTGCCAGACCGCTAATTGTGATGATTCAATAGGAGGGAGATCCGGAGAAGCCGACGAGCAGAGCATCGCATCGCATCGCATTGCATTGCATTGCATGTCATTTACTACGAATGCCTGGATTCCACGTGACAAATAATCGAAAAGAAAAGAGGGATCATCTGATCTTTTTTATACGTGGCACGAAGTGTACTACTTACGAAGAAGAAGAAGAAGAAGTTAATAACCCACGACTGACTCAGTTCCGAGATTGGGTATATATTAGTGTCTTATCCATGGGTTGGGAAAGTTTATAAGCTTGGAAGGACGTTGGAATTGCTGTTATGCCTGGGATTACTGGATTGAGCAATATGAATACTACAATTGGAATTGATAGGGTGCAGACAGTCGTCGAGCGACTTGTTGCGGTCGTGAGAGCGAATGCTGTTGTCTCCGGCGTTGCTGTTGCTGCTGTTTTGGGCACTGCTTGGTACGGACTCGGATTACATGGATAGAAATTAGGGTTATGTATGACTGACTGCTCAAGGATGATTCACGACTACAAAGAATGGAGAGCCCTCGGGACCGGCGGGACGCCGCCTAATGTCTTGTAAGCATTCTTCATATGGGCATCAAGGTGTTCTTCATACTTATTGATCTAGTGGCTACTGTCGAATGACTATATCTCGCATCGTGTTCGCTTACCATATACCGCGCCAGACCGACCCTAACACCCTGAGCAATAATGGACCTTCATACATCAAAGCATCCATCCCACTACGATCCGGCGGACGTCCAAAAATCATGCCACGCATTCTCCCTCAACGACAAGTCCCCGAGCCCATTGACCCTTTGGTTAAAGAAAAACTCATGTCACTCATGCGCCGTTTAGCCAGTAAACATCCCGACATCCTTGAAACAAGACCTTCGCATACCGAAGGCGGGACTGCCGATGGATTATACGCGCGCAAAGACAACGGCAAAATAAATCCCATTGTTGTCTCGGATCGTGCTCTGGATTATGAGATTGCTCATGCACATCCCAGAGATAATAGTTTACATCTGTGGTTAAGTGAAGCCGATGCGAGAAAAGTGATTGAGGCGCGTTGGGGCCAGAGGTTTTGTGTGCCGACGGTGCAGAAAGGGTGGACGATGGTTTACGCGCCGAGGAATGAGGAGGAGTTGGAGTTGATTGAGGAGTTTGTCAAGGCGGGTGTGAGATGGGTTACCGGTGTTGCTATTTGAAGACCTAGTTCTGGTTGATGTTGTTTGCTTTTGTTAGTTAGCATTGTCTATCTCATGGCGTGCATTTTTGTCTACCATGCTGATTATTGTGCTTTCAATGAAGATATTTCCTTGAATAAGATCGACGACGTCAGTGATAAGCGGGGATGCCCGCCACTAGGCTAGATATGGCTAGCGCAATACTTATTGACGCGTTAATTCGATTCGCGACGCGTCTCGTCAATCAATTAACTATGTACCTTTAACTTCAACAGTATCTACCACGATCAATGCCATTAGAGATACGAATTCATCACAGTACTCTAAATTGCAGAAAAACAACATGAGAAGTCATGGCAACAACAACAACCACCACCACGTTGAGCACTTCTGAAGCAAATCAACTCAATTCTCTACGCGCCGAACTCAAACAATGGGAAAAGGCATTTGCAGATGCAAATGGAGGAAGAAAAGCGGGGAGACATGATATCAAGCAGGATCCGAGTATAGGTGTGTTTTCTCCAGTCCTCACGATATAAGCAAGGAAAAGTCTGACGAATGGATAGCTGCGAAATACAAAACCTATGGTCGACTGCGTGCTCTCGAGGAATCATCAGCATCCACACAAAATGTCGGTGGTCAGGAGAAAACCCCATCAGAGTCGAACCATCGAACAAAACGTAAAATTACCGAGGTAAACGACACGGCGGACAATAAATTCACGCCTAGAAAAGCGCCGCGAGGAACCTTTACTCCTTCCAGAAATACTGCAAACCCGCATCATCCAGCGACCATAGACCCTTATGATTCCCCGTCTACCTTCCGCCGACTGTTCAGTCCCTCAACTCATCGTCAATTGCAACAGCCGTCTCCACTTCCACTCAAAACCGCCATTGGACCGACACCGCAACGCAACGGTAAAATTCTGGGGTTATTTGATATGCTCTCCGCTTCGGGGGGTAGTACAGCAACACCGTCAGCTAACCGGATTGCGACGCTTGATCATGCGATTGCGCAAACTCCATCGAGACGAAAGCCCGCGCCGAAATTGGATGATATTCCCGAGTCAGCGGATAATGAGAAAGAGGAAGATGAATATGAGCTTAAAAATCTCATGGGACGAACACCAGCCTCGTCAAGTAAGAAAATGTATCTTGAACGACTGTTTGCGACTCCGACTACACTTCGATTCGCAACCATGATGGAGGAAGAGGATAATCAACCACAGCGGATACTTTACCAGAAAGCTGAAACAGGAACACAGACAGATGTCAAGCATCCTCTAGGTTCAGAAACGCCTAGCTTTCTGCGACGGTGGAATTCCGGGAGGTACGTATCTAGTAGCAATGACAACGACCCAGCCAATCCGTTCAGTCCGGTTGGTGTTCGGAAATTTCAGCGGTATAATGGGAAACGGCTTACTGCCCTGGTGCAGGGGTTGCGAGATATGGAGAATGAGCGGATGGAGGATGATTGGGATATTCTGAATGAAATAGAAGCGGAGCGGAATGGTCCTGCACTAGGGATCGCAGGCGAAGGAGAGAACGTCCAAGTGGGCGACAGTCAAATGCCTCAGGTCGATGCTGGAGATGAAAACCTGAATGGTGGGAAGGTGTGGAAGAAGAAAGGGCAGAAGAGGACGACACGGCTTGTCAAGATGAAGCCAGTGATGCAGGTCAAGAACAAACCAATGAAGCAATCGAAGCGCACTCAGGAAAAGGAGGTTGAAGATGAAATTGAGGACGACCTTCAACCGATCGTAGACCCTGAATCGGTAGATATCGATGACAATCTCCGACGAACCCGAAATCTTAGAGAGAGAAAGCAAAGCACAGAAACCGACCAACAAAACGCAGACGAAGAAGATGAATACTCAGACGACAACTCCTCCGATTCAGACTTCACCGAAACTGCTCCCTCAAAACAACCAATTCCTTCCACCACAATCCCAAAGCCAACATCTAGCTTCTCCGAGAAGCTAAAAGCCGCTTTCTCAACCATTCCCGTACTTAAAAAGAACACGAAAAAGCCAGTCACAAAAAAGGACGAGGATGATAAACAAAAGGCATCACCGAAGAAGAGAAAGGTCAATCCTGACGCACATGCCAATTACCGATCACTTAAGATTCGGTCAAAGGGTCAAGGAAGATTCGGGAGGGGAAGGTTTGGACGACGATAAACTTGTATCTTTGCAGTTTTGTTTGTTTTCAAGGCATGGGTTTGCTTGCTATCCAGGAGTTAGCTTTTGTTTATATGCAAGCGTTACGATTCATGACTGTATGAATGTGTACCTGTCAGATATTCTCTTTATTTATGTATAGTTATCACAGTCATCCGGAGGTTTTAAATGTTGGTGCATTGATTTGGCAATTTGATATCTACATATTAGGGTTACTGCAGCAAACGAAGGAGTACTAATATCACGATAGGCACGTCCGGCCGATTCAAAAACCAAATACCGTATCTCCTCAGTAACAATCATATCAACATCCACCTCCGGCCAGCTTATAACCAGCACCCTTCCATCCCCATCAACATTGCAGAAGGAAGTCATAGAAAATCGACTCAATTATTCACACCCCCTCCTTCACCTTGTCACTTCCAAGGTTTTCAGTTCTTTGGAGGACGACCATAGTAAATAATAAGATTGCCATGATGATCCTGTGTACTATCGCCAGTCTCGAGGGAAGGAGCTATATACTCAAAATCAACAGCTCACTTAAATATCACAAAAGGTTGTAGGATCTCTACCATCAGCAATAGGAGCAGCTGCGGTGGTAACAGCAAGATAGGCCGTGAAGAGGGCGACGATTGAGAGACGCATGCTGACTTTATTCCTTTCGTCTGGACAACGACTTCTTGGTTGAGATCAGATTTCACGTTTGAATTGAAATATTAATAAAACAGCAGAGGAATGACTCTCAATTTATACGCCTCCCAAGGTCATACAAATGGTAACTCTCCATCTCCTCATCTTTGCTTTGGTCTATGAGGTCTTTTCTTGTGCTACATATGTATGTTTCACGTTACGCTAATGCCGATCATCTTATATACCAGATTTGATAGGTACTTTTGTCCGTACCATGTCTCGTTTTTAGAGAAAGGTACATGTAAACTGCATATACCCCTGCTGTTGATGTATGGCTTGACCGCAGGTAGCGGTCTGGTCTTTGATTCAATAATTGTTATATATTGCTGATCAAGTATATATACACAAAACTTGCAAAATGATTTACAGAAAAATGTAACCTCAAATCAAGGAAGGAAACCTTGGAAAGCAACCCCCGGAATCAAACTAGGATTCCGGGGCAGGGATCCATACGCGAGACGCTCAACGTGGTAGTTGTAACGTTTATGTACTCCATTTCTTTGCAGGTTGAGTAACATTCAGCGACATGGGAGATAGGTCAATGGATGTTATTAATGCATCGTAATCCGTTCGAAGAAGTCTCGTTCAAAGTCCTATAGAAGTGGAGTGGCCTGATTTTACTTAAATTTGTATGAATTGCATGTTCTGCATGTTTCCAACTCTTTCCTGTTCTTATATATGTTTTCTGCTTTGAAATAATCTTATAGTAACGTTCAAGAAGTGGGACAGCTATAAATAAACAGCCACGAGAGGGACTCACCATTGCAATAGGAATGGATCGACTCTACCAGATGGTGTCGGAAAGCACACAGAGGTTAACTGGCACAGTACTTCCAGGAGGGCATACTAGAAGCATATGTGACGGACTGAGTCGGAAAGACGTAGAATTTCTAGCCCAACTTCGGATAGGGAGTATAAGGTTCGAAGCAATCAGTTATGTGATGGCAACAGGAAGAGTATTAAGAACCTACTGAAAGAAATTCTCCATTCCCTCTTCAAGGGGACGTTGCTCCAGCTGTCGAAAATAGAATTCGTACACTAGAGAACATAACTTCTAAGGGGATCTAACCTACAGGTCAATACTTTCAACGAGGGTTCTACCCCTCCATGCCACCACTGAGAACAGAAGTCTTAAAACACCATCTATAGGGTCAGTCCCTCTAGGGATAGAAAGTCATTGTTTCATCATTTCTATGGGAAGCTGGTTTCGTAAAGCGTTCCTCTATCTGGCTTCGGAGTCTCGTTTGTTTCATCATATTGCGGCTGATATCCCTCGTAAGTTATGATCCAGTCAGACTTGTCCACTACCCATGGGGCCAAAATCATATTCCGTACTTCGTGGAGTGATCAAGATTAATCGTGGCTATACCTCCCAATTACTGACGATTCTTTATACTCGTGGCTGTCAAGACGGTAGTCAGTGTCCCCAGAAGGCTTAATTTTCAGCCCCAATAAGTCTGTAAATCAACCTTGACTCTTTAAATACAACTGATTACTGATGTATAAAGGTTTAAACCGCTATTTAAGCTTTCCTTGCTGCTCGGACATAAAATTAAGGTTCTCTTATAACTTATGATCTGATATCGTGGCGTTAACACCATCTTCCCAGGGGCCCTTCAATTCGAAAAGATGCTTGACTGCTCTGCAATAATATACAACGTGTGCAATGCGTGTGAAGCTATTGGCCATAGGATCAGTTGACGTCTCTGAAAATTCCTCTTTGCCTTGTCACGATGCTTCGTAAAGGAAGTATAATCGTGCTTCTGGGATCGGCGTAGTTGATGCCAGTCTCTACTTGCCTAGTTCTACGACCATACGAGGCGGACACCATCATTTTATTCTCATACCTAGCAGAGACTGATGTCTAGCATGTTATCGAATTCCGTCAATGGAGGCTTTACTTGGATGTTTACTGCCAGGTCGATATATAAATATTCCGGAAATCCGCTGTAGGTAGACGATTCGTCCATGTTTCCATTTGTTTATCATATACATACACCTCTACTAGTTAGATACACCGCAGTTGCTTGATAACTATGGTTCGACTTGGTTTCATAACAGCTGCCCTGGCAGCAACAGCCTTTGCAGTACCTTCTCCAGCTCTCAAACGGGCAACATGCACTGCAGGAGATACCTCTACCACCGACGGCGTCCAAGCAATCCTAGATTCTACCGGCGCAATTGACTGGCTAGACCTCATGTTGGGCTCTTTCACAGACGGCGAGAATAACTGGGTTACTGCCCTCTGGCAAGAATCCTTCCCCGGCCAGGGAGCATCCCCGCTAACTGGCTGCGGTGATATCGGCGGTGACTGTGCCCCTGATTCTCTATGCTCCAATTACCCCAGCGAAATGGCGTATTGGGTGTTTCGATCTGTGGGCAACCTGCACAGTAAGATCAACTCTGTGCGTCAGCAGTTGCTCTGGACGGGTTGGCTGAATGGTCTGTCGATTGATCAGATTCATGATGATTTCACGGCTGTTAATCCTGAGCCGTCGTGGTTACAATGGGTGTCGGCTGCGTTTACCATGGCTGGAGGTGTTGCAACTGGGATTGACCTGAGCAAACCTCTCCGAGGGATGATTGGGTTTGCGTCGGGGGCTTTTAATGAGATATACAACCAAGGTTCCTCGAATGTTCAGGTGGATGTAACGTCGGTAGAAAATACGCTCAGGAACATTGTGGGCGCTGCAGGAAACTATGTTGCAACCGTCTTGACAAACGCGACAGGAAATGGTGACCCTGAGACTCTCCCTATTTACACCTACACCGCTCTTCAGCATGCAACGGCTAGATTCTTTGACGATAATACCATTCTGCTTGACGAGAAAAAGGATAATTCATCTTTTATCTCGGCTTATAGCCATTTTGCTAACACCGTCGTGAGTCCGTCCGTCTCCTATCATCTCCTTAAGTCTGAGATACCTAGGTGCTAAGTCAAGTCCACAGGAAAAAAAGCTCGTCGACGTGTCCATGAAAACGGCATACCACATCCTTTTCGCCGACCAGAATCTTGCCCAAAGCGACTGCAATATGAAAGGTGCCTACTGGCTTCAAGCTAAACCCGGGGAATATTTCTGCTTCTACTTGATAAGAGCAACAGCTGGTGCACAGTGTTCCAATAATGATTCAACATCCGTATGCTTATCTCGATAACCCATTTGAATGGGGAAAGTTTGCTGATGTTTCACAGTGCAAATTCTACGACAGCCCATACGGCCCTCGTTGGGATACCGGGGTTTACGACAAGTTAACGAATACATACGGCTTTGACTTGCAAGTAGGGTTTCACTTATACCTAGCTGCTGTACACGCACTGATATTATCCAGGTTTACTACACTTCTTTGATTGACTGCTACTTGAATGGTAAGGATCAAGTTGACTTGACGGCCACCACGAATGACGGCCAGATTCCTCGGTGCTTCTATAGTCTGTACGTCAGGAGCGGTGTGTGGGATCAGAATGATAACTCGGATTGGATCATTGACTTAACTAGAAAAATGTACATACTGTTTTCGTTCAGAAAATTGACCAATTTGCAACGTAATCTCCATCTGCCTTAATAGCAAAGCTCTCGTCTCACTATAAAGCTGGCTTGACTACATGCCTGATCGGATGACTCAAGAAACGGTAAAAGATAAAAAATTTACAAGAATACATAGAAATATGACTAGGATATGAGCTTGTATTAACAGCATGTAGCAGGGAAGGTTGGAGTATCGTACACTGTTTCCTTTCTCTTTCAGTCAAATCGGGTCTAATTTCAGGATTACAGAGATTAGGGCTAGACTATAAATTGTGTATGTGCGCAATCTACCAGGCTTGATAGAAAATGAGAACAAGCTCCAGTAAGACATAATGTAACATTGAGTTGCTCTATATATAATTTTCACCTTCCGAAATATGAGATTTCCAAGACAATGGGGGTATACAAATACGAAAAATCTGGTGTCTATACACAAGTCAAAAGGATGTGGTTACAAAATGAAAGTAGTTTGTTAAATGGAAAATGGGAAAGTTGAAAAATCTTCCCAGTCGAAGACTTGTAGAAGGCTGTTGAAATCGTCGGGCGGCTAGGAATTGAAATGTTAGCTTGAAATGATCACTTTTTGTGGGGTAAAGACTTACCGTTAGCATGAGATCCGATAAATTGTTACTGTCAAATGATCCCGGTAAGCTTTCGAGTGGAGTGTTGTGCTCATTTCCTGATGCAAGACTGGGAACTTGGGAGATGGATGGCTGTTTGATCGTTAGTATCGGTATCAGAAAATTGAAAGAGAAAGATGCAACATACCAGATCAATCCCGTCAAGGCTAACGGTCCCATCAGAACCACGCAAAATGCGATATGTAACCGTCAAAATACGGTCCACAATAAGTCGCTTAATCTCCTCGGCCTGATCAGGATACAGCTCCGCCTTGACAAGAGCAAAGATCATATATAAGAAGAAAAACTGCTTGGCGCCTTTGATCACCAATAACAGTCTGGCTTCCATGCATGAGATTGTCTTCTCGACAAGATCGAGCAGTGACTCGGTGAATGCTGGAAGCACCTGGCGCAAAAGGTTGGATGTATACCCAGTTCTTCTGGCGAATAAGTGCTGGAGAACGGAGAAACTTGCTTGAACTGTGCTGTCTGCCGAATGGCCAAAGGAAAGTCGTGCGGACGTTTCGTGGAGTTTCAGATGTCTTGATAATATCACCGTGGCGACTTCCAAGCGAGCTCTTGACGAGGGCTCGAATAAAGGGTCTTCGTTGGCTTCAATGGCGAAAGGAGTGTGTATCGCTAAAAGTGCCTGGCCGAGTTTGGTTTCGAGTACTGCACTCCACAACGTCAGTTTGTGGCTTATCTCTGTGTCTGTGGTAGCCTGCCAAGTTGGAAGACTGGCCTGGAAACGGCCAAGTTCCCATTCGATTTTCTGAATATCTTCATACGAACACGAGACAACCGGGGAGTTCATCAGACTAAAGATTTTGAGTCGTAGAGAGAGCGATCGGCTGAGTACAACTTGAAAGGTGCAATCAGTGACTTCAGTGACGGGTCGAGATTGTGGTTCTTCTGTCGTGTTTTCGTGGATCTCATCGTCGTTGATGTTCAGAGGTGGTGCAGTATCAAAATCCGAGGCCTGCAGAGTCGGTGGCATACCTCGATCTATTGCAATCTGAGCGTCTAGCTCTATGATAGTCGCCCACATGCGCCTCCGCATTTCTTTGTTGAAAAGGGTGATCTTCGGGATGTTGCCAGGATCTCGATGATAACCAGCTAGCATGGCCATCTTGACCAAATTTCCCGTAGCAAGCCATGCCTGACTTCGATTCAGACCTTGATTGTTCTTTGCGATGATAAGCAAGCATTGTATCCTCAAGATAGTCAAGTCCGGCCGCTTGACATATGTCGTGTTGATCCATTTTTCCGCATATCGAATCCATTCCACGACCTGGAAAGTCTTGCTAATAGTCGAATCGTGTAGGAAGTCTGGTGACGGTTCTGCTTCATAAAACCCCACTGCGGCGGCAAGCATGAGCAAAAGCTGCGCAACGAAGGCCGCTGATATCATGTCGGGATTATGAATGTTAGTTTGCAGCTCGGAAAGTTCTCGTCGAAAAGAGGGGACGTGAATTACGCGGTGCATGGACTCTACATAGAGCATGTACAAGCGCAGTAACATATCCACGACAGGTTTTGGCGGGAGAAGAGACAGCAAGGTAGCCGTGTCGATAGTTGGCAATCTCTCTTTTAGTTTGTGCTTGAGACTGGAGAATTTGAGTGCATCTTTTGCCATGCGTATCCGAGCAAAGTTCGGATTGCCGGTTTTGACTTCGTGGAGGAAAGCCTTTAGTTCTGGGAACTGTCAAATATCAGCATCGATCATATGCATACGTCAGTTTTGATCGTACTTGAAGCATCAAATTAGACATAATTCCTCCGCCATTGAAACGAGTTCTCGTTTCTTTCCCTCTTATCATAACCTTATTAGGTAGCTCAAGTCTCTGTGAAGGCGTCGCCAACGAATGTTGATAGCCCCCGGCATGACTATAGTGAGCTGTACTTCCATCGGGCCGAGACCAGCTGCTGGTAGGCGGATTAGGACCATCCAAAACAGTATCCAAAAATCGAGCTCGAGATGTTCCAGATTGTCCCAAATGATAAGCAGAATTACTATGACTTCTAGCCGATGGCAGCGACTGAGAAGATACTGGCAACGGTAACGGCGCCGGAAGACCAGTTACTGACGCCGACTTCGGGTATGCCGGTAACACAGTAGCAAACCTGGGCGAAGCTCCAGTCGCAACACGATTTGGAGGAGGGAGCGTAATATGCCCACCATTCAGCCGGTCAATTCCGGCCACTCCTCCGTTTGGTGGTGATGTGGTTGTTGTGGCTGAAGCTGTTGATGCTGCAGCAGCATTGACGGTGTTCGGCTGCTGCCAAACAAAGCTATCCTCATATTTACATCTGTCTGGGATGCCGCTTTTGAGACAGCGACCGCATGCCGGATATTCGCGGTCGCATTTTAGTTTTCTGGTGCGGCATTGAGTACATGCGACTGTTCTTCTGCGACGCTTGCGCGGGCGCGTCTCGGATGGAGAGTTGTTGATGCTATTGTTGGTGGGTTCCGGATCTAGAAGATCAATCTCCGCGGCCATGATGACAGACCGATTTCCAATCTCTTGTTGATCCTTCAAATAGTACGACTGCATGAACCACTCCAGATGGTTTCACTGACACTGTCTGACAGAGTGAAGAGTTGAAGATGATTAATTTCGGACAGTTTGAGGATGAAATTGGCTGATGTTTCTCTACCCGATTCCCAATGGGGAACACAAACCCGAGCCCGATGGGGCTCAGCAAGAGGCTGGCCAATTAGAATACAGGAACAACACGTGATTCGGAAGTCAATTTTAGTTCCGTTTTCTTCTTCGTTTCTTCTTCTCCATAGACTCTATAGCTAAGTTAGCTAGCTTGCTTTACTTTCTTATATCAACAGATTCATCAGTTGCTGAACGACGCGGTGTCTTGTCTATAGTAATGCCGTAACAGATCAGCTCAGCCATCAAGCATGCCGCCTACCGAAGCCGAGCCACACTGCCATGCCCAAGTCGGAACCACTGGCACATACCAATGCCACGCCACACGTCTTTGCTCTCCGCATTACTAGCCCAATCTCACCATATCTAGGATCATAATTATACTACGTATGCACACTGACTCGAGCACTAATTACGTATCCACAGTCTAGGCAGACGGTTTTCTCTGCAGGCTATTACCAGGTCGGTTAACCTTCTCGGGAATAACAAGTGCTGTCTCGGGAGCTCGGATTTACGAGGGGCCTTGCTGTAGCTACCTCATATAAAGCAGAAGCAACATTCTTTTTCGTTGCTCATGATAATGGCCTTAAATTTTCTTCTCTTTAGAGATTCAAATCAAATCAAATAAGAGACTTGCGACAGTACTATCTGCCTAAGTGGGAACATGTTCAAATCGCTCCTCTCCTCCATCACCGGAGGTACCAACAAAGACTACATATTCCCCGCAGTCAACACCCAGGAAGATGGACCGGATTGTCTAAAGGACTGCTCTGATTGCACAGTTCATTTACCGGATAAATTCCATATCGATAGCGAACGAAAGATATACGGTAAAGTCAAGCCGTTTACCACGCACGTGCTCGTCGGAACGGGCAAGTCGGATTGGGTATCGAAGCCCGAGGGGGAGAGAGGGAGTTTGGTTCATGCGCTGTGCGAGGTGTCTTCGAAGGAGGTACTTTTCTATTTTTGGTCTTCTAAAGTTGAATAGGACCATTGGCAACTGACTCGCGCAGCGTCTCATGGTAAACGCATCAAACATCACTGCACACAAGGACGACTCTTCCACGGATCGAGACAGTGCAACGACAGTGTTGTTATTACCTTCATTCCAATTAATTGACAATGTGACCATATCATCGGTCCCAGAACTAGTCGCACGGTTCATCGACAAGACATCGACTTCGTCAGCGGAAACGTCAGCACTAAAACCCCGGCCTTGTCCGCACGACTACGTCGTTCTTCTCTGTTCACACAAACGCCGCGATGCTCGGTGCGGAACTTCAGCACCCTTAATCAAAAAGGAGTTAGAGCGTCACTTGCGCCCCGCGGGACTATATCGGGATGCCACTGACGAGCGACCTGGTGGCGTGGGGATATTCTATGTATCTCATGTTGGAGGACACAAGTTCTCAGCGAATGTGTTGGTGTATCGCAAGGAGGAAGGACAGTTGATCTGGCTGGCGCGTATACGACCGGAGCATTGTGAGGGAATTGTGAAGTACACGATTCTGCAGGGTAAAGTTGTGCATCCCGAGTTTCAGTTGAGGGGAGGATTTGATAAAGAGCGGGGGGTGACTAGTTGGTGATTTAGCCATAGCAGCCTTGCTTTTTATAACGGATTTATATTAGATATCAACATCAAGTCAACATAATACATAAACCATAACATGAGTGAAATAATCATACATCATCCAAGAGATTATTAATATATATAAATCATCAACCAATGGTATTACGTCCAATCATTCTCCGAAGCGAGGTGGCTATTAGGAGTAAATAATGTCGTCACAGACGTACTATGACTCTAGACGAGTCGTGGTTGCTTTTTAGTGAGAGTTGGTTTCGATGCCAGACCGAGAGTGACTGAGTGGTTGTCAAATTGACCATTGGTTTGACCGTTGGCAGATTGAAAGATCGAGCTAGACTTGAGACATGGGTCGTCGTACAGACGGGGTAGCTCGGAGGTTGGCGCTTGATCGTCCACCAAGAACGGAGCTGATGAGACTCCCCACGTAGCAAGCCCAAAGGAACCAGAAGAAAGCGCAGGCTGCCTGAGCCTCGCGGCAACGGTTCTCGGATCCCATGGCAATTGAGTTGGTATCGAGGAAAATCTACGCCAGATGAGTCACATATCTTGAGGGGAAAAAAAAAAGGAGAGAGAGAGAGGGAGAAAAACGTACATGATTAGAGCAGCTCTTAGCCTTGGTCCTAGCAGCCAAAGTAACGGCCGCACAGAAAGTGAAGACAACGTTCAACGTATCCAGGACAATCGGAATGATGGGATGGAAGGTAAACGACTCGGTCCACGTAGCCGGGATCAAATATAGCAAAAACAGTGCAGACCAGGCGGCTGTGAACATGGAAAAGTGCACGCTTTCCGGGTTACTGTCGCTCTGAGCTTCGAGAGAACCGACCAGTCCGAGTAGGATGACGGTGAAGATGAATTCGAGAGCCCGGAGGCCCAATCCAATGACGCGAGGCATTGCGTGTGTTGTTTAGTGCTGGATATGAGGTGAGAAGGATGTACTTGTCGAGAAAGAAGAGAAGTACCGGGTGGAATGGAATATAAAAGCAAGGGAGAAATGTCTGCCCATCTTTTTCCTTCCTGCGACGACGAAATGACGATGGTTACGTCATCCCGGCCTGTCCGATTCTCTCTGTCTATGCCATCGCTGATTGGTGGATGGGTACCCACTCTCTGCAGCGATCGCGACCAGCTCCATCACCTTAAACTTGCGAGATGGCTTCGATCCCAATCACTCCTTCACCAAGATCTGCGTATGAGGTTCGGAAAAGACGCGGAGCGTTTCAAGATATTTCAGGACGTTTTTTTGAAACTCATACCGTGTTGTTTCGCGATGCGCGCTGTCGTGAGATGCGGTGCAATTGGCTCTCGTGGTAGAGAGAGCCGCTGGGTTCCAGCCAATGAGAACTCACAATTGAATATTCTACAAGAGTCTTGAGATCATTCATCATGTCGTCGAACGCATCAGCCTGAGAATTGCCTATTTATCCAGGAGATTCCGAAATAAGGCTGACCACATGTCATGACCAGCCAGGACCGGGCTATGTGGGAACTAATATGGATTCAGGCATACAGTACCAAAAGATTCTGAGCCACAGTCTTGGAAGAACCGGATTGAAATCACCTCTCAGAAATAAAGCCGTTGAAGCAACTACCTAGCAGGCTAGCACTTAACATGAGAAGCTGACCTCTCAGTTGCCTAGGTATCAGAGCTCAGCTGCAAAACAACAAAAAATACTGAATTTGCAAGGCATCATCTAACCCAACTTACTCGAGAGTGGTCTCGAGATTGAAGAAAAGAAGGAAAAGAAAGGCACGCAGAATTTAGACATGAGCTTTGGCCCATTCAGCTTCGTCCCACATATGATTCCGATCTGATTGTTGATATGAACAGTCTTTGTACGGGCGTTTTATATCGAAAGAGATATATCAAAGACATCTCATCATCCATGCTTCAGACATGTAATGAGGCCTTTGTTGTCGGTCTCTTGTGTTTTAGAGACATGGAAGTACCGGTTGGATGCTTTACAGGCATAAATAGGCGAGGGTTTCTTCTGGAGATACCTAGGTACCTAGCTTCTAGTCCTCGGTTCAGAATTCCCGAGGTCACACTCATCGTTTAGGTACATCTCTCGTTCGACATCATTGCCGATCTACTAATAAGCACTAACTTAACCTACTTCTAAGTTCAAGAACGAAGCTTGTTCCATGACAAGTACACTATTCAGCTCTCTACTGCCTCCACCAAGGTACTCCAACGGCTACATCTATCCGCCATGCACTCTATACTTTTTTTTTTGGCTTCTCCTCGGCTCTCAGCTCGCTGCCGGAGTCGTTGTGAACGCCACCGTGTGGGAGAAACCCCATTGTTCAGGCACTCCAACCATAATCTACATGGATGTCTCTCCCGACTACTGTTTCAATGTCCCAGGCGCCTCTTTCAATCACTTCATAGAAAACCCTTCGTGTGCATCGAAGCACAATGTTGGATGCGACGTGATCAGTTATTCTAACGAGGACTGTTTTTTTTGAGGGCTTAAAGGGTCCCGCGAGTTGTGCCTATTATGGACTCAAGGGACTAGTTGTCAACAAGATTTCCCGCTCCCTGCTGTTGGAGAGCGTGTCTAGATTCAATTTGCTTCGATTAGATTGATTAATCTCCGGTATACTGTGCCTGCTTGAGGCAGCACTTTCAAACAGTTTAGAGTTAATATGAATCGTGGCGCATTTTCCTTCAGACAACTAATATGAATGTAGAGCAGAGACACCGCATGAGCTGTTCGAAAGTGCAACAGGAACTGTAAGGATGGCATAAATAGTCTTCCAACAGCGCTGAATCATGAACCTACAGATCAAACCGCTTTGTCAGAGTCTCATCAGCCCTACCCCTGATGGCATAAGTTAATTGGCGTATGCATTTTCTGTTGCTGGACGGAAAGAGTTTATATTTATTAAACGGTGATCCAGACACATCGACGGCAGATCTTAGGGCTTAGGGCTAGATTTAAGCGCAACCCTGATTGGCCGAAACGAGGGCAGAGTCGGCGTCCAGAAAGGGTTAGCGTGACCGAGGCTTAGGCAGGTGCGGGGTCCCAAAAAGGGAAAGTGCTAAGCCTGAAGGCTGTGAGCTCCTGCATCTCTGATTGGCCATTTCATTAGGAGCCTGAGGCTGACTCACCCCCATAGCGACATCAAGACTTCGCATCTCCCGTCTTCCCCAAACTGTTGGTTTCTTTTAACTATTGTAGACATCTGGACTCTTCTTCTTTTCCTGAAATTTCTTACTCATCACTCTGGCACTTTACGAGCCTTACTTCTCGTGAAGCAGTTGCCTGATTTTTCAGTCAATTGCACTCACTACTGCCAATCCACAGCCATTGACCAGTTTTGAGACGAAGAGAAAAGGAGAAAAGAAAAAAAAAGAATCATGGATAACTACAACAATTTCGACGGAACCTTCGACTTCGGTTCTTTTATCAACTTCCCTGAAGATAACACCATGGAGTCCAACAACAATGCGGACTTCCGATTCCCTACCCTGGAAGGCTTCTCCGCCGACCCATTGAGCTTCTCGGACGTGCAGCTCCTTCCAGGCTGGGACTTATCTCAGTACGATGCCAATGCCAACACCTTCGATAGTTTTGGATACTCCGCCTCTTCGGTCAGTGAAAGTCCCGTCACGACCAACCCGGACTCGTTTGCACCTCAAGCGGAAGATTTCCGTTATCTCGTAGATTCACGAGCATCTGCAGACCACAGCGCACGTTCTATGAAGCAAAAGCGAAGGGATGCAGCCATTGATCTACATCTTGAGCGGTTTATGGCCTCTCATTCTGATTCTCAATTGTTTCCCATTGGCTCGGAATTTTCTTATTCTGATACACCTTCAGTCACATACTCTCATGAGTCATCACGACAGAGCCCGGTTGCGAATACACCGGCCTCGTCAACGTCGAGTAGTGACCAATCAACGGTCCCTCAGACAGGTGGCCGTGAACTTGTCTTTGATATCAATCTGAATACCGCTACGAATCTTCCAAAGAAACAGAAAAAGCGCACAAAAGCGCAGATAGAAGATTACATTAACGCTCGCCGCAACGGCGCTTGTTTGAAGCATAAGAAGCAACACAAGAAGGTTAGCCTCGGTGTTTATTGCTGTTTAACAAAGCTAACTGATGGTAGTGCAACTGCCACGAAAAACAATCTGCAAAGAGTCATGTGGATGCCAAAGCAAGGAAGCAAAGGGCGACATTGTCCAAAATTCCTGTGCCTGCTCCAGGAGTCAAGCCCACTATTGTCGAGGCTCCAGCTCTTTCCTGGTCGTCTTTCATGCCTTCAGTCTACTCTCATATGGATGATCAACCATTCAACGAGGAAACCGACCGTGACTGGGCACTCTTGGCCGACTGGGAGCGGTGGGACGATCTGGAACACACATCCATGGTAAAGATGTCACAACAACAAAACTCTCAGACAGTGTCTCACGGGTCGTTACTACCTGGTCGTCCCCGTGCCCCTAATACGCCAGGCCTGTCGGTATCCGCAAATCTACAACCCAATGTTGGATACTCGGCAGGCGGAGACGGATCATTCAATCACTTGCTAGGGCTGCGCAACGATACTAGCGATCGCCATCCACTCAATGCTGGCCAACTAGTCACTACAGCAGGAACACTTTCGGTCCCACTGCGTCGCACCGAACGCACATCTGTCTGGGGCCAAAATATTTCATCTGTACGGTCAAGTGTATCGATATCCAGCCAATTCGTACGACAAAACGGCACAGTACGGCTATCCACCCCGATCCAGCAAGGATTACCAACGGCAAGCGTACTGGTTCAATTGGAAACATCTCGCCGTCCGGGAGACACATCTGGTCTCATGTGGAACAATTCACCTCTACGGCCAGGTGTACTGGTATCGAGCGCAATAACCATGTTAAACGCACAACAGCAGCCATCGGCCCCAGCTCCGCGGGTCCTACCAGCAGTGCCACGGGCCCACACCGCCTCACAAGGACTGCCGATGGAATCTTCCGTGTCAGTAGCAAGCGCAGCAGGCTGGGAGCAACAAACCGGGCCAATTTCAACTATCCCGCAACGGCCGCCTGTTGCGTCAGTACAACAGGTCACCCAGCCCCGGTCCGCGATGGATGTACTGGCGACAGTGCTCGCTCCATCTTTCCAGAATACCTTCAGCGAACTCCAGGCAACAAACTTTGTCGATGCAATGTTCAAAGACGTCTCCCAGGCAGCCTTTGTGGTTGTCCAGCAATACTACAGTATTTTCGCAGCCGTCTTATCCTCGGCATGCTGGATGTCAGGACTTTGTGTTGTGGCTTTACAAGGCATTGGCCAACTTGCGATGCTGTTCCGTTCAAGCTTTTATCACCTCGCTGGGGAAGATTTCCGCTATCACAAGTCGCTAACAACTACTTGTGCTGCAGAACTCTCTACTTCGCTGTCTTTTGGTCACCCGCTTGTCCTGAATGTTTAATCACGTTGGCATGATTACTTCAGGCTTAGCACCATCGATCAACCGTCGCAAGTGAACAAGAGAGGATTATGACATGAAGAGATCCAACAAGCCGTTAGTGAAACCTAGTCGAGATACCTAGCAATAGCAAAATGATATTGATTCTTCATTTCACAACTCACGTATATTCTAGCCTATTCAACTGTAGAATGAGTCCGGGTGTGCTGTTAGAGTAAGTAAACCACCGCCCAATCATATCTTTAGAATTGCGACCCACTCGGACGCTTTATTCATTCTGATTGGCTACAAAAGCATTCCATAGAACCTTCTGCTTATCAACACGTGGAATGGTAAACAAGGGGCTAAATTGCTTAACTTCTTCCTGTCGTGTTTTGCTTTACTAGTCCTTGACAATGATCCTATCACCTCACCAACCAGGTAACCGGAAGATTAAAGCTCGCTGTCACTGCCAATTTTGATTCTTCATGTGGGAAATGGGTTCAGTGCCATGACAATGAGTAATCTTGGTCCGACCCGCTTGGATGGAAGTCTAGTAGATTAAACTAGATCCCACGTTCCACCTCCATCTACACTATGTCGTACGTATGTTATGAGCTGCATGACTAACTAGTAGACTACTAACTAGTCGACTGCGTATTCACGTTTAATTTAGGACGTAGCTCCATACTAGCCGAGACGGGATAAATGGTCTAATTCCCACTTCTTTCTTTTCTTCTTCTCTCGCACTTCGACGCATGCAAATTGGTGATTAGGAGGTGTGTAGGTCACCATGCAGATCTTTTATTTCTTGTCCAGTTTCCTGGCAATCTCCAGCACGGTGGTAGCTTCTTGCACACAGCCGTCGGCGTCAGGTATTGAAGCGCTCCTGCAACGACGTCTCCCACAACATGCGGACAAGTTTGAGTTTGGTATTGTGAATGCGACTTCTCTGGGGGAGAATGATGTGTATGTTGTTTTGAGTGCGGAGAATGGGAGTATTAGGATTGAGGGTAGTTCGTTGAGTGCGTTGGCTACGGGGTATGTCAATTCTGTTTTTTTTTTCGTGCGTGTATAGTAACCTGAGACACTAATTGGATGATGGGTAGATTGCATCGATATCTTTCTGATGTTGCGCATGTCGATATCTATTGGTTCATAGGTAGTCGACTGGATCAGATTGATGGACAATTTCCAAAGCTTAACGAGCCTTTGACGGGGTCTAGCGTTGTGCCGTATCGGTATCACTTCAACACTGGTATTCCCTCGCCACCCACCATATTAAGAACTCTTGACTAATATGAGATGTAGTAACAACATCCTACACCAGCGCATTCTGGTCCTGGGAAGACTGGGAACTCCAACTAGACTGGATGGCTCTCCGGGGCATCAATCTCCCCCTCGCCTGGATTGGAATCGAAAGGATTTTTATCGAGGTATTCCAAGACCTCGGATTAACCGACACCGAAATCGCAGATTTCCTTAGTGGACCTGCTTTTCTTGCATGGAACCATTTCGGGAATATTCAGGGGTCATGGAGCGGATCTTTACCTTATGACTGGGTTGATAGTCAGTTTGATCTGCAGAAGAAGATTGTTAAACGGATGACGGAGTTGGGTATGACGCCTATATTGCCTGCGTTTCCGGGGTTTGTGCCTAGAGCTATTACACGTGTGTTGCCTGATGCGGATGTTATCAATGGTTCTGCGTGGGAGGCGTTCCCGACCATGTATACTAATGATACGTTCATGGAACCTACTGATCCTCATTTTACGGAAATCCAGAAAAGTTTTATCGCCAAACAGATTGAGGCGTATGGGAATGTGACTACATTCTATACCTTGGATCAATTCAACGAAAACAATCCTTCGTCTGGGGATCTCAGTTACTTGCGCAACGTCAGCCAGGGAACTTGGAAAACACTCAAAGCCGCCGACTCCAATGCTGTGTGGGTGATGCAAGGATGGCTGTTTACGAGTAACTCTGCATTCTGGACCAACGATCGCATTGAAGCGTATCTTGGCGGTGTGGCTGTTGATTCGGATTTGCTAATCCTAGATCTTGCGTCCGAGTCGTCGCCGCAGTGGCAGCGCACGAATTCCTATTACGGCAAGCCGTGGATATGGTGCGAGATCCATGATTACGGTGGTAATATGGGGTTTTACGGCCAAGTTATGAATATCACCAACAACCCTATTGCTGCGCTGCACAATTCTAGTTCGCTCGTTGGATTCGGTCTGTCCATGGAGGGACAGGAGGGAAATGAGATTGTCTATGATCTTCTGCTCGATCAGGCTTGGAACGCTGCGCCTATCGATACGGAGAGTTATTTCCATGATTGGGTTACCGCGAGATATGCAGGCAGCAGATCGATCCCGTCCTCAGTTTATAGTGCATGGGACATTCTACGAACCACGGTGTACAACAACACCAATCTTGCAGCAAATGCAGTCCCCAAGGCGATCTTCGAATTGATCCCTAGCACAACCGGCCTATTGAATAGAACAGGTCATCATCCAACCAAACTAAACTACAACACGGCCGATATGGTGCAGGCATGGAATTTATTCTATACCTCCGCTTTCAAGGAGCCATCACTCTGGCTGAATCCAGCCTTTGAATTCGATCTGGTCGACATGTCTCGGCAGGTTTTGGCAAATGCGTTCATCCCTGTTTATGAGAATCTAATCTCTACTTACAACACAAGCAATCCATCTTCAACAAAATTACAAACCATCGGAGCAGAATTGATCGGTATCCTACAAGCCCTGGACACCGTCCTGGCCACAAACAAGAACTTCAAACTCTCCACCTGGCTCTCTGCCGCTCGCGCATCTGCAGGATCACAGCACAATATTGAAGATTTCCTGGAATACAACGCTCGTAACCAAATCACCCTATGGGGTCCAACGGGGCAAATCAGTGATTACGCATCCAAGTCCTGGGCTGGATTGGTGTCGTCGTACTACATCCCGCGCTGGAAGATGTTTGTTGAGTATCTGATTGATACGCCGGTGGCAAAGTATAATCAGTCAGCGTTTAATAGGGGATTGTTGATATGGGAGTTGCAGTGGCAGAATGAGACTATTGCGGCGGCTGTGGGGGAGGAGAAGGTTGGGGGAAGTGTTGAGTCGGTGTTGGAGGGTGTGGTTGGGCAGTGGAAGGATGTTTTTTCTTCTTGATGTTGAATAGACAATAATAATATAATAATAATAATAATAATAATAGCACGATATATGGTGTATGAAGTTCTCATAGTAAGAAGCGCACGTGGTTATCCCTTGTCAGGTACCCGTCCAACTCTCCTCAACCACAACAACCTTGAACAACAATGCCCACCATTTCAGCATCAAAATGTATACAGATGCGGATAGACAGACACGACACCAACAAGATGGATCAAATCATCCGCGATACCCTCGCCGACAAAAATCGAGTCCGATCTGCCGCGTCGTGCTGATCATGTACGTTACCTTCACTACTCAATTTATCCGATCCAGCCACCGCAATCTGAAATGCTCTAGTGTTCCCCGCCTATTCTCTTCGTTTTCTGCCTCACTAGTTTTATTTATACTAAATACTTATCCTATTTATACTACGTATTACTGATATATAGCCAGACCAGTTCTACTCTTTCTCACAATCGTGCTTGCATGGATCATGGCCATAACCGAATCAATGACAACGGCGAAACGAAACGAGGAGTCGTATTTGACGTATTCTGCAGTCAAGGGGTATTTCCTTCAGGATGAAGAAGATACAGATGCTAGTAGATTCGACTACGTATGCTTCTACAAACTCTTTTAATAAAATTTTGGATATTAACTGTATTCCTAGGTCGCGAAGAATTTTGGCCTCATTAACCGGAAATACGATTATGAAGAGGGGCTATCTGCAAGGCATAAAGGGCATGAAGATGCAGCTGAAGAAACAAAGCCGATGACGCAATGGGCCGGGTTTGAGCAACAAGTTCGTACATTGAACGGCGAAGCAGGACCTAATGTTCAATACAAGGTTCTCTACCTCGGTAGACACGGCGAGGGCTTCCACAACGTTGCTCAAAACTGGTATGGAGATGAGGCCTGGGATGTACGTACCCCCCTTTCCCTCGCCCACGTAAAAATTTAAAAGGTAAGCTCACAGGAGAAAGTGCTACTGGTCCATGCAAGATGGAAACGAAACATCAACCTGGTCCGACGCAAAACTCACCGAAGTCGGCAAAGCTCAAGCTCAGACAGCACATGACGCCTGGTGGAAACAGATTGAAAATGAGATCCCATTCCCAGAAATTTTTTATGTTAGTCCGTTGAATAGGTGTTTGCAGACGGCTTTTATTACGTTTTATGGGTTGGAGAAGGATATTGTTAAGCCTTTTACGCCGACTGTTAAAGAGGTCAGTGTTATCTCTTTCGTCGTGGGAAACCAAAGTATCTAACTGTTAAAAGCGGATTCGTGAAACTATAGGAATACACACCTGCGACCGTCGCTCGAGCAAATCAGATATTCAAAGAGAATACCCAGACTACATTATCGAAGAGGGCTTTACTGAAGAAGACGTCTTATGGAAGCCTAAACACCGCGAATCAGACTCTATGCGTAACGCACGCATCAAGGGTTTCCTTGATGATATATTCACCGCTAATAGCAACAATGACAAACACTTTATTTCTGTAACCGCGCATTCAGGCGCCATAACGGCGGTTCTACAGGTCATCGGACACAGACACTTTCCCTTGCAGACTGGTGGAGTTATTCCGGTTCTTATAAAGGCTGAAAGAGTCGCTGGTAGAGAGCCAGAGACGATTATTGATCCTCCTACTGGTGTGCCAGAATGTAAAAGTGACCCGTTAGCGAAGGGGCCGTTGCAGGTTAGGGAAGTGGTTGATTTATGATTTTTGGGATCTGCTATTTATTGGTTTGATAGATTTTCTCATCATCATAATCACTATCATTCCAATGGCATTATTCGAGATTAGCCTAGTGCTGACAACATGAAGATGATACTGAAAACCTTCCCTAACCACAACTCCTAGTGTAGACCCCCAAGCAAAAAGTCCACAACCTGAATTCAGCAAATCATTCATTCCCAGAACTACCACTGCCACAATCAAACGGCAACTCCATATCCCCCACAATCTTAACCAGAGCATCTTCATATCGCTGGTGTTCAGGTCGTGTGAACATGAACATGTACCCATCTCGCATACTGGTCTCAGCAAACTTGTTGTAGCTTTCATTACTGCCATACCCCATCTGATCGTTAAAAAGGGATGGTGAGGATGTAGTTTGTCGTGAGAATGCAGATCCACCGTAACTCGATGCTGTGATGGTTGTATTCGACATGAGAGGTGGTGGGGAGGTAGATTGTGTCGTATCATTCAGAATAGAGGTTATGCGCATAATGTCACTGTCTTGTGTGCGTTGGGTCTGGTTGATAGGAGAGCCTGTGTCATGTCCCTCTGTTGCTGACACTTGAGACCTCCTGTACTTCAATGTGACAAGGAGCTGATTCGTGGTGTCATTTATCGGTAGAGTGGTGGCACCACCGCCAACAGAAATCTCTCCTGACTCCATCTCATCTGCCATAGCAGCAAATGTGCCTGAGCGTTGATGATAATGTCTGAACTGGATATGCTTCTTTGGCTTCCTGCTGACTCGTTTCCTGGTTCCTCTCTCAGATCTTGGTCCTGAGGTTACAGACGAGAGAGTGCGAGAACTACGTGGCCTGCGTAGACCACGGGGTGTTGGTGTTCCTGATTCCTCGTTATCTGGGCGTTGTAAGCAAGATTCTGTAAAAGGTAGTGGGTTGTGTTGTAGTTGGTTTGGTTTGGGGATTAGGATTATGTAGGACTGATGGGTATTTGTTTAAGTGGGTCGATGGACGAGAAGAGGAAGATTTCTTACAGCAGTTTGACTTGCTCCTGTTGCGTGCCAGGTACCCAGGGGAGTTGACAGCCACCCACCTGTTCTCTCGAGGTGGGGAGGGATCATTTTCTTCAAACATTCCGTTTGTCAATGGCGTAGAGTATGTTTGTTGTGTAGAAGTATTGTCTTCATCGTTCGACTCGGTCAGACCTACGATTTCTCGCCATGCTGAGGACATGGTGCCCAAGTCCGCAGGTACGTCACCTCTCAAGGCGCTCTATCTCTTTGAAATGCTTCAGTCAAGCTTGTATCAGCCTTCACAGGTAATCCATGGCAGATAGAACAGAATGATGTGTAAGTGGTGGTTAGAAGTCATTGATAAACAAATATAGGGTCAGAAAAGATGCAAAACAATGATGGAAATATACTCCAAGCTAACAGGAGTTGGATGGATCTTCCCTTGTGGTTGATCAACATAGAATTCACGGCCTCATCATTCACATGCAAGGTGTGCCTATACAATGACAGTGAATTGTTACTACAGCGATGGTATGCTCTGTCAACATCAGACGACTGTGGCCACCGTCGTGCAATGATCCGGATCTATATCACCATGTTCTTTGGAGGTGTTCTGAAAGTTGCCATAAATAATGATTTGATTTCTATAGTACAGTCGGCCTAAATCGAGGAATTATTATAAAGACAAAGAGAAAAGAGAAGCTCGTGAATATGCGACATGCTCAAGAGTATTGAAAGGTAGGTTACCAGCTGTAGTACTGGTTCTGTTGCGAGACAGGTCGATCTGGCAATTGCACCCACAACTGGGATTTACGTTGACGGAGAGCTCTCGTCTCTCTGTCGTTCCACTCGCGAATTCGGGTCTTTTCTTCTTTGAGCAAAACTGACAATCCGGTATATGGTAGGCGTAAAAGGTTGATCTTTCCTCTAGCTCGGTGATCCCAGTCGCTGCCAAAGGGACCTCTGTTGACCCATGCCTGTGCAATATAAATCGATGTTGGGTCTGTGATAGTGTGTCTTTCGCCATCTTTCAGAATCACAGTGATCGGTACCATTTTACGGCCCGATTCGCCCGCCTTTGTGAGTCCCATTCCATGACGAACGATAGCCGTGTTTTTCGCGAGCTGTAGATGTTCCAGGACATCCTTGGCGGCCTTCTTTTTGCTGAATCGCATTTGCAAGATAGCTTCGTCGATGTTCTTGCCTGCGATTTGTCGTGCCAGTGGAGTCAATTTCTTGACCGAAGTCTTGAACCAATGAGACTTGACAAGCGACTCACGCTCTGTCGCCATGATAATCTCCTGTTTTGTCAAACGGCCGCGTTTCCGAACTTCTCGAATAATCATCTTTCGCTCCCATCGTTTGCGTGCTTCCGGTTTAGGATCGACCACCCTCAGCATGTTACCCCACAATCTATCTTCCAATTTGGCTGATCCCTTTGGCTTCGTTGATTCTTCTTCCTCAATTTCGCCAGCAGCCTCATCAGCGAAGATAGAATCCTGACTTAGTGAACCTGTTCGCTGTATTTGTGGAGGAGGTTGAGGTTTTCGGGCTGGTTTGTCTCCAGGTTGTGGTGCTCTGCTGAACATAAAGCCCTTCATCGATTCAAAGAGAGATGGCTTCTTTTTATCTTTGCTGTCCTTTTCATTCTTGTCTTGCTCGACCTCGGCGCGTAATGGGTGAGTGTAGCTGATTGCTCGTCGGTATGCTAATGTCGTTGAGCGCGCTGCAAACTGTCAATTTCTATACATCACGGATGGTATCGATCAAAATACATACAGCTCTGTATAAGCTGCCTAAAGGGCAGACCGGCGCCCCTTGAGGCCATGATGAATCAATTCCAGGGTGAGCTGTCAGATGCCATGTCGTTGATTGAAGCAAAAAATGTCAGCTGGGGAAGGGCAGGGCCGGTCTTGGCAGACAAACAAAACAAACAGAGACTTCCGGCCCGGCGTTCGGCGCTTGCATTTTTTCCCTCCCCCTTCGATCTAGAAGACTCCGGCAGATGTCGTTCCTTATTATGGTCACTGTCGCAACGTTATATATCACCTTTATTCTGCTATTTAATGTTCGCTTGAGCGTCTATATCTCAGAATGGCGCCCTCGAAACAAATGACCGTCACGCCTCGATATTTACTTCCCCGGTTGACTTGGAATGGTACACCCCGCATCACCATCACAGCCATCCAAGGCGCGCCCCTCTCGACTGTGCGACCCCAGGGCAATAGAGCGGAAGAACATCGTTTAAACAGTCAAAAATATCATACATCGTCACCTGCCGTGCGGAGACCCTCTGTTTCTTCCTCTCCCTTCTCATCTTTGACGCCCTCTACATCACCTACGAAAGCTTCTACGAATTCCGATAGTTCGCCCATTCGACATAATGGCGTTTATGTCGCCGCCTTCAAGCCTGCGCGACGCGCATTTCATGCATCGGCCATTATGAGCCGTGATCATCATTTTGATACTTTGAAATTCGTGCAACGACTCAAAGCGGAGGGTTTCAGCGAAGATCAGGCCGTTGCTATGATGAAAGTGCTTAATGATGTGATTCAAGAGTCAATTCAGAATCTGACGAGGACTATGGTTTTGAAAGAAGGTATGGATGGTTCCCATCACAGCTCGGAGCTTGGACTTGATCTAACATGACGTTACACGACAGACTCCGAGCGAGCAACATATACACAAAAAGTAGACTTTGCAAAACTGCGATCCGAATTATTAAACTCCGACTCGACAGAAGCACAATTAACGCGATCCTCTCACGAACGGATAGCAGCAGATATAGCCAAACTGAACTCCCGATTACGAGACGAAATCAGCCGTACACAAGCCTCTGTGCGATTAGACTTGAACCTGGAAAAAGGCCGCATTCGCGAAGAGGCTAATAGCCAGGAGATGCGAATAAAGGAGACGGAGACGAGGATTGAGCAGGAAGTCGCGGGATTAAGGGAACGAGTGCAAGCTGTTAAGCAGTCGACGTTGCAATGGCTGGTGTAAGTCTTGTCTCCGCTAATGTTAATTCTTTGGATACTAACCTGTCTTTAGCGGTGTTTGCACTGGTACCGCTGCCCTCATTATCGGTGCTTGGCGGTTGTTGATGTGAAAACTATTCGTTTGGATAAGATGCAGACAGAAGATCAGCACCACTCTTTCTGTTCTTTCTTTTGTACCATAGTCATATCTTGAAGCTATAGCGCATAGACTTCAACATCAATCCAACTATTCGGTGTCGTGACATTTGAGTCATGTAAACATTCATAATCTACCTGGATATTAGAATTCTAATGTAAAATACTTCTTTCATAATATCTTCCCATGAAATATACTATACACTTTTGAATCCATCACTGCACCGTTAATTCATCACTTTTTCTGACCTCGCTTGCCACGCTTCCTCGTTGCAGCATTAGCAGCAGAACTCCTGGTGGAAGTCGACTTGGTCACCTCGGCGTCGAGAGCATCCCCCTCGTTGACATCTACATCATCCGCGCCTTCAACAGCCTCACTAGACTCCCCCGCATCCTTTCTGCCGAGCGCTCTGCGATACAACCAACGCGGAAGACGGAATACAAACGTATCCCGCAGCACCGGTTGTGGAATTTCTTCAACATCCAGTAAGAACTGCTGTTTCTCTCCGTCTTCAGTCTCCTCTTCCAAGAACACATTGCCAGCCGAGTCGACAACCAAGATCTTTCCATTTTCGGCGTATACACGCTTCTTAGTGCCAGAAGCACCAGCAACATTCTCGCTGATCGGGGTAGCTGTACCAGACCCTGGTGCTGAATCAGCATTCTTACTCCCTTTCTTGCTCTCCTTGCGATTTTCGCGCTCCATCATCCGTTTCTGTCGGCGGTTCAAAGCCATAGCGGCAGGTGATTCTTCGACTTCAGCTTGAGGCGCGGAAACAGGAGAGGTAGTTGCAGTAGCATCAAGACCCGGTATACCACCCAGAGCTCTTTCATCCCCCCAGGCAGCTTTCCTCGCATGACGAATATATCTCTCCATAAATTCCCGCTGTCGTCTATAGGAAAGCACAAGAGCAACGTAGTGACCAATTCCGCCAAAGGCGACGAAAAGGCCTATAAGCACAGTCCCTAGACCGGGACGGAAGCGAGAGTAATAATATCCCGTACCTTTCCATGTCGGGAAACCGTGTTTCATGAAATGATCGTATCGTTCGCGTGAGGGACCTCGAAGGATATTTGCAACGGTGTTGAGTCGAGCGGAGCGCTCGGTGGCTTCTTTGACGGCGTTTGCGATTTGACGTTCCGATGGACCTTTGGATACGTGGACACCTGGCTTTGTACCCTTTTTCTTGCCGTCGCCTTTCCTCGCGCTGTTTGCTATAAATGAGCGCTTAACTTTATCGGGATGGAGCTGCCTCGACATTTTGCGGTAGGCTTTGTTGATATCATCTTGGTTTGCGTTGGGTTTGACGCCGAGGAAATCTACCATTGTCGTCAATGTTAGCATGTATCGTTGGATAACTAGCGATAAAGGGAAACGGCTACCATAAAATGTCACATTGGGTCCTTCTTTGGCAATTAATTCATCTCGAATTTGGAAAATCTCGTGGTCTATCGAGAGCTTCAAGTCAGTTTCATATCCGCAAAGTTCAAGATGTTATAGGGGTTGTACCTTCTTTCGTCCATGCTGTGACGAATGCCAGCAGAATGGCAACGACCAAGAACTGAAAAGCTGTATGTCGCATAGTGAACACTTAAATTCTCCTATCACCATACACATACATTTGGACACATGCCAAGGCTGTCTCATCGTTTTAAATTTGGTCACGACAGATATGAGCTTTACCATATTGGGCTAGATAGATTAATTGAGGTTCTGAGCCAATCACAGCCCCTTTGTAGATCTATTTTCTCTCCTGAAACGCCGAGTTCATTCTCTCCATTCAAGATATAAGTAGGATATTTCGCCCGTGTTGTTTTTATAATCGATAACAAAATGACAACTTCGATATGATACATGTCATTTTACTCGCTTCCAGATCATCGATCCGGCAACTAGACGACTATCTAAGGGATTTTAAGCACCTCCAGCAGACGCCTCCATAAGAAGCTTCTCACGCTTCATAGGAAGGCTCAGCAAAACCACCAATGCACCGGCGGTCATTATAAAATTTATGAATTGTTTTGAGCATCCACATCCACAATGATTGCCAACACCTTATCCTTGACGGATGGAGACAAGCTCTTCAAAAGAGTAGACCGTGCTCCTGCAATCGTCTGCTCAATCTCTGAAGCAAGAATATCAGGCAGGATGGTCTTGATGCCCTCCCTACTTTTGTCCAGAAATACTGCGTTGGCAATAGCGAGAGATAGTGTAATCCCAGTTATCTGAGCGCATGATATGAATCCAACGGCTGCAGAGATCAAGTGAGGTCTCACCAGAGCTTGGGCGACTGAGAAGGATGCCTGAGAAAACATGCCCAACGCCGAATCCGATCAAGACGGTATATCCGTAAATCTGAGAGACGGACGTTGAAAGATAGATCGTATACATCAATGCGGCACCAATCACAATCAAGATTCCTCCTGCAAGATACCAAGACATGGACAGATCGAATTTCGAGAGGATGGCACCGTTGGCAATAATCGCCACAATCATTACGAAGATAAACGGCAATATACGGACGCCAGATTCAAGAGCAGAGTCATCTCGTGTAAATTGGAAGAATAAAGGCGCCATATATACAGGAACGAAGATAGTGGTACCGCCTGCCGCCGTTGCTGCAAAAAGAATCAGGATAGTGGGCATCGTGAAGAATTCGATAGGTATAATACGACATGCGACAGCAGTGAAAATTGTATATGTCTGTTGGATGCCGAGGAGGATGAAGAGGACTCCGGAGCAGATGAATAGGCCGACGATCCTGCTCGAGTTCCATGGAAATATCACTCCGCCATGACTCCAGAGACGAATGCGCTAGTCAATAGGGCACCGCCTATGTAGTCTAACTCACGAGCACGATCAAGAAAGCTAACACCAGGATGAGGATCCTTATCTGACGGGAACATGAACAAATAGATAGGAGGCACACGGTGCCAATAAGGAGATTGATATAGAACGACCAACGCCATCCAGCTGAGGAGTCAGTGAAAGCTCCCCCGATAATTAGACCAAGGACTGTCCCAAGACCCCAAGTGAACCTAGCACCACTCACGTACTCGGGACGCTCTTGAATGGTAATCGTAATAGAAAGTAGAGTCATGAGCTCGATATACATACCAGCCCCTGAAACACCACATATAGCGCGAGCAATAATAAAAGCATTAATAGACAGCGCAGCTCCACAGACGGCAGACCCAACTTCGAAAACAGCTACACAGACAATATAAGTCCACTTGGCATTTAATTGAGCATAGAATTTTCCCCAGATCAAGTCTGTTCCCGCGGAACCAATTAGGAATGAAACGCTGATCCATGAGAGTTTTGCGACGGTGATGTTATCGAGGGCGAAGAGGAACTGGGAGCTGTAAATGGCTGCGATAACGAGTAACCATTTGAAGCCTGGTATTTCATGCGGAAAATTCTCTGGTGCTGCGTTGGGTTCGATGGGTTGCCTTTTCGTGTCGGTTCTTGTGGCTGTCATGTTCTGGTAGGCATCGTTTGCGTCGCCTTTGGAGGGAGAGTGGAAGTGTTAATTTTTGCCGCTACTGCTGTCACAGGTATTTGTAACCATGATTTTATTTTCTAGTCTTGTGACTCTAAGCAGGAAATGCAATGATTTGTTATGATGAGAAGCGAACATTAAGGGTTGAATACTTCATCACCAACACTTATAGCAGAGGAGTCTCCCCGAACTACGAAAGGAACAAATCGCCGTAATTCCGTAACAAGTCACTATTACCTGACGCAAAAATTAATACGCGCCACACAACAAATTGTCAATACGCACCATACTGACACAATCTGGTAAGCATAACCAACAGTCATTGTAAGGCGATCCACATTCTAAGCGTCAAAAAGCCTCATTCCACCACCAATATCAAGGACCCCTAGCGCGCGGTAAGAATATTCTTCTTTTATTATCAAGCAATTTGTCAGCTTCAGGGTATGATATCAGTTCCCAAAGAAGTATGCACTGATGAGCATAAAATTTAGATATTTATCAACCAATCAGAAGAGACGACGCAGGCTCTATGCTATAAGAGGCTTAGCGTTGACGTTCAATTAGAGTTTAAGGTCTAGGTTCCCGCCGCTGCCAAGATCACCCACATGCGAGAGTCTTCCATGGCCTGCATCCTTGTTTCTACATACGTACTTGCATCGTTTTCATGAGTAAAAGACATACACGGAGCCTTTTACCGTAGATTTGCTAGGCTTACAGATATTTAACAAATTCTTACATGAATGACTCTTGTTAGTGGGAGGCCGCTGCTAACCCATACGGACGCACGGCGAGGGGTACCTGTATTTCAGACATGTGTGCCTGGATAGTTAGGTATTTTTGGAGTCTCTAGATAGGAGCTGTTTATTACCGATGAATGGCACATACAATCCATCGTCTAGGCATGTCTCATCTAAGCAAAACATAACAACCATTCTGGTCCATAACCGAAGCCCAATCATATCAAAAGGAAGAGTTGCCCTACCATTCCAACATTGCTCCATTATCTTCATTGCCTCAAAAAAATAGTAGTTGACAGGAGCGACTCGCCACTGGTCCTCTGAGCCAACGACGCTGCCAAAAGCCGGAAAAAGCTTCTTTGGCTCTCCAGCGCCATACAGCCACAAACGCAAAGGGGCCAGATGATATTCAACAAAAGCTTTGGATTACTCTATACGTTTCGGAAGAGAGATATTGCGTCTGAGACGGGTCCTGAAATTTCTGACAAGTTAGGATAGGGGCCGGATATAACGACATGCAGGTATACAATGGCAGAGAGCGCATATGCTTTTGTAGCTGTTATGCGAGATGGAATATTGTGAATTGCCGAGGACCCCTTTGATTGGATTGGTCCCTGTTTATTGCTAAGGTTTGCTAATTCTTGCTGGAGATGACGCTCAATATCAAGACCGCATTTCGCCAAATCGACCATGCTTAGCTTGTGGGTTGCCTTCGACTCTACTTTCCATTTATCCAGCATGGATATCTCGAATATAAGCGACATGACGGAATTTCAGCAAGACATGAGACGCTCCGTTGCGAATCACAGTTCATTCAATGCCTGTATATGGTCAATCTGCAGAAAGGGGCAGCTTCAGGTAGATGCACATACTAGAATGTCCAATGATATAAGGACCCTAGCAAGACACAAGTGGCACCATCCTGTTCTGGAGAAAGGGAACACTTATGTGATTGTTGAGTTATAGAATGGGTACTTGTTTGGTCGGGTATTCGCGCTTTAATAAGGGGAGATATCAAACTAGACGCTGAATGGAGAAGGCTCTGACAATTTCTGGTCCCACCGGCGAAAATCTAATGTTATAAATTTTGTTAGCACTGGATCAAGCATTCTTGTAAAGCAGGGTAACATACTTCCCAGCACAGAACTTGAAGGATTGATGTTAAACCTTCCAGACGACGTCCCAAGTCGCTATCACCCTGCAAGATTTGGTCATCTTCTAAGAAAGACTTTAGACCTTGGACAGCAAGATCATAATATCCATCTTTGACCGTTGAACTGTTCTGTCAAAGTTCCCATGTTAATACCTTGAGATGGGGGGAAGATGAGGAGGCCACTTTCACTCGAAGCGAGCGTCGCGTAGTATGCCTGTTTGAATTTCTTTATGATTAAAGATAGCCAAGGCTTTTGTACTTGTCGGCTGGATTGTAGAAAGGGTTCTGGATATAGAACACGTCATCCAAGTAGTGCATAAAAAGAGCGTCCTCTTTTTGATTTTCTGATGTAGTGGCTTTGGGAGTCACTGATTCTGATGGAAATTGTCCTGTATCGTGAGGTACCTGAGAATGTCCGTTCTAGACTGTATTATTTAACTCATCCCATGAATCTGGAGCTGTAACTGTCGAGAGAGAAGTTTACGTTGTGGTATACTCCATATCATAGCATTAAAATCTAAATTGCTCCCGCCATTAATGGCGAGATTAAATATCTCGGGAGGCATAACATCGATTAATTCCATATCGCCAACTTGCGGAACAGGAAGGTCACGCATGGGCATCTGTGGTCCATGCAATGGTGAGGCGTCTTCTGTATATAGCGTGAAAAGGTTGTGGTTCCCCGAGTTGCGAAGACAACCAGAACCAGTGTTCTGAGATGGTGCACTCCATTCTTGCTCAAGACAGGCAGTAAGCTCCAGCTCATGTAATTCATCATTGCCTTGATCTTCGTTGTGTGGCAGTTAGGTTGATCCGAGTGTGAGTTTGTTGAATTGGATCCAGTACCAGGCGGAGCCTTATGAGTTTTCAACAGACTCGCTGGCACTTGGTCGCAGCGCACATTCTAGACGTACGACGATCGTGTCGTATGGAGCGAAGCCTGCCTTTCCTTTTTCCACTTTCTCTGGCCGACAATACTTTTGAACTCGAAAGCTTTCTGTTTTGGAATACCCCATTGTCCATCCACTCCGGTGTCGGTCCGTAACTGTAGCATTCTAGTCTCAGTGAATTACAAATGTTGCATATCGGGTGGCATTCGTCATATATTTTTCTACGAACTCTGCGTATCCAACAGCCAGAGAGACTTCGTGCGGTTGATTGAGTCAAGTATTAGATTGATGAAGAAAGACTCTTATTGACACGCAAAGGCCACAAATTTCAGCAAGGTATAGAACTAGGACTTACGGATTCCAGTGTTGCCAGTTGGTAGACATCTCGTTGTGACCCGCTCTTATATTCCGGTAACTGCGCCGAGGTTCCTGTGAGCTAGAAGCTCATAGTTGGTCAAAAATTCGACCGTGAAAATAAGGACATTTTAATAATTACCCGATTGAATGCTGAAAACAAACAAAGAAATTGGGGGTCTAAGAAGGGAGGTACACGCACCAAACAATAATAGGCCTCTCTGGGAGCCATACAAGCCCCCGGAAGCAATTTCCCGGACCCTGTAATACTATCGGGCTGCGTTCTATGGGCGAAAATCCAAAATTAGTAATGGCTTATCTACCCTGTACCATTGAATCAAGTGAGATGAAGATTACAACTTCATCTTCTGTTCAACTCCAGCGGATAATGAGCTGCAAAGTAGAGCAATTAACGGGCAGCTAAATGCATGCGGACAAACCAACGTAGTGGACTACAGGAGGAATAGTCTTATCGCATATGCCGCACTGACATGACATGCATTCATCTCTAAATGCTGGTAGAAGGACTGTGCTGATACCTGATAGATATTTACTGGAGTCATCGTAAGCAAATGAGGAAGAAAGTAGGTCTCAAATGCGCACGTGATGCAATTTTATGCCTCAGGCATCAAGTTTTGGGCCGTGTACATATTCACTGAGTGAGGCTGCCGGGCATCAAAATGGACTATTGTTATCTGCTCGTTAATGACGAGCATTAAGAGGGGTATCATATATGAGATACGACCTTGTTGAAGAAAACCGCACTGGATTGTAACTTTCTGGGGCATGGTCTCCTTTAGCCTACTTTATTTCGTCAGAGATCATGGCAATAAAGCCCACACAGAAGGCGCTTTTAACTTCGAAAAGCAGTTCACTTATAATTAGTTGTTCCTTTTCAAATATAAATTGCAAATATTGTCCGAGGGTATTAGAGGATTCCCTCCGATATGACACGTCAGCTTCCTCTAGCCGGCTTACCACATAAGTCAAATTAGTCAAGACAGGGCATAAGTAAAACGTAAAGCCAGTTGCAGGGTAAAAATTGGCGGTGGATCTGGATATTGACATGTCCTGATTCTGCTTGGACTGTGATTTGCTTGATAATCGTGGGCCTAATGGACGTTCGCCTTGGTCGTTGAATGCAGGATGTATGCGGGGTTGGGTAGTTGAATGCGGCCAAGCGAAAGCTAAAAGCAGTCAAAGAGGAAATTTTCGCTGGTCGCTCGTATTTAAGGAAAATTTTTCCCATTGTATTTTCTCATCTGTTCGCATCGTGTCCGAGAGACATGAAGTACAGTTATTGTACGAAGTGTTTGTCTCTGCAATCGATAAATCGATATTAAACCGCGCTAGTCCTCTTCGGGCCCCGTTCTCCCATAGGGGGGATTTGGCAGGAGCGGATTGGCTTGCGGCTGCCCCTGGCTGAAGCCAATCCTTCACGCCTTCGTCTTAGGCTTCACTTTTTTCTGTCTCAATTCTATCTCTTCCATCGCAATCATCGCAACGTTTTTTGTCAATCATTCTCCTACTATCAGCGGTTCCCTCATTCAGGCCTTCTGTCCTTTATTGACTTCATAATCAATCTATACTTTTCCTTCTTACCGTCTGACTATTTCGGTCGTTATCATCAACCAAAATGTCTCAATTCAAGATCCCAGTCGACCTCATCACCTCTCGCTTCGGCGACCGCTTCCAGAGCATGCGCAATACATCGATCAGCTCGCGCTTTGCCAACCTCAAACCTATTTCCGAGTTCCTCGACATTAAGCGTATCTCCAAGCCAGCAGACTTTAGTGAAGTGCAGAGCCGCGTCAACTACAATCTCTCCTACTTCTCCAGCAACTATTTTGTCGTCTTCCTCATGCTGAGCATCTACGGTTTACTTACCAACCCCGTTCTTTTGTTCGTGATTATCTTGGTCGCTGGTGGAATGTACGGTATTGGCAAACTAGACGGCCGCGATCTTGACGTCGGATTCTTTCGCGCAAGTACCTCTCAGCTGTACACCACTTTGCTTATCATTGCTGTTCCTCTCGGTCTCTGGGCATCGCCTATTGCGTTCGCCCTTTGGTTGATTGGTGCTACTGGCGTGACCACTCTCGGTCACGCCGCTTTTATGGAAAAACCTATCGAGAATGCTTTTTCCGAGGAGGCGGTCTAGGTGGTCGGCCGCGAACTCCTTACGATATGCCCCGATGGGGAAGACCACCAGGGGTATGGCAGGGGAATCAGACGCGAAGGAGAGCTACACAGTGGGAGGATTTCAATGGTGTACGTTTCGAGGAGATTTACAGTGACGTGGATGATGGTTATAATGAATTGAAGTTTGGGGATGGATCGTGGCGGCGCATCGAGAAGGGAGGCAAGGCAAGCACGCGCGAGTTACGGCTGGGGAGTAATGGGTATGACTACGAGAGTGAGGTATCGGACGGCGCTGAATATGATTTGGATGACGACGCGGACAGTACTGTGGCGTATGCAGTACAACTCGCGATGCGGGATAAGGAAGAGATGCTGGTCGAAAAGGCTTTGGAGAGGATAAGGCGTGCTCAAATGCTTGGGAAAAAGAACGTTCGGCTTTCTCAAGAAGAGTTAGATGCATTGGAACGAAGACGAAAGGGAACGACAAACAGGAAATCGACAGCCACAGTCGCTGTTAGTTCCACTGGCCGTGTACCTTCAGTCAACGATAGGCGACCGAAGAGCAGAGATTCCGTTTATTCGGTTTCAAAGGGTTCACCCAGGACAAGTGGTGCATCTGAACGGCGACGAAGCTCACAAAGCCAATATTCACCAATTGAGTTCTCTGGGGTATCTCTACGTTCTAGTGGCATCCATGCATCCTTGAACAATAGTCCGACAAGCTCGTCATCTCGGCCAAGGACCCCAACTATGCAATCTTTACGCCCGCAGCCTTCTGGCAACTCGCCCATGATGCATCAAGCTACTTATATGCAGCGATACCCGTCAGAGCGCGGACCTACTTCCTCTCGTGCCCTACCTGATGATCCGCAATGGGCGCCTCGACAACGCTCTCAGTCTAATGTATTGCCGTATCCGTATGACCATCCCGCTTATGTACAACAGCCGTACGGTGCTATCCCTATTGACCCGCGATACGCCAACTTGCCGAACCGTCGACCGGTTACTTCAGACCCTTCATTTTCGAATGCTAACTATGCATCTACAAGTCAAAACATTCCTCGTCGAGAACCAGCTAATCCTACTGGTCGTCGTATTCCCGATGAAGTTTCCGAAGACGAACCCAGTGAGGATGAGGACAGTGAAGAAGAAGATGACGACGACGATGATGATGATGACGACAAAGATGAGGGAGTCAAAGTTACACAGCCACCCGCTGTTCGTGCATACGGAGGGCGAACAGCAGTGGCTGGCGGCGGTTCGAGAGGAAACCGCGAAACTCGTCGCCGGCGTGGTCGGTAATAATAGAAGTTGAGAAGTTGTGTGGGACTCCTTTGCATTATGATTTCTTTCGAGCCATACCCTTTGCTTGATATTTTTGATCTTCGCCATTTGTTTATTACAGGCTGTTGCCAGGGCTTATTCGTCAATGGAGTTCTTAGAGGCGGTTATTATGCAGTATCGTTATTATGAATTATAGATATTCTTTTCCTTTTCGTTCTGTTTTCTGTACAATGTACATAGATTAACTAGGGAAAGATCTAGCAAACCGGACGCGGTCAGAAAAAAGGTGAACCAACCTAGCAGTCAGTACGTTGAGTGGATTTGCCGTCTCTTGCCGATATCGTCTGATCTAGAGGTAGTCTAGTGTGCAGAAAGCGAGAAATAGAAGTATCATTCATGCTGAGTAGTAGACTTCATCGGCCTTACCCTTGCTCTGGCAAAAGTTCTAGTAGAACTCTTATTCCCAACTTCAAACACCTTTCCTCGTCAATATTCCTTTTACTAGTTTTGAATGCAGTGATGCCTAAACTATATTACAACCTCGCCATTTATATTTTTCCTAGTGACGGATGCAACATCATCCTCTCTCTGACCTGATCATGTGAGATGATTTTCTTGAAACATATTATTGAGTCCCTTTGGCACTGCAAGTCTGCAACTGCCAACAAGGTGCCGTGCCATGTCACATGATGCGGATATATAAGCGAGATTCCAGCATTGCTGGGATATGTTATCCTTTAGAAACAGGATATACTTCGTACAGAGTAGATAGGATGGATGGATGTTTTATTACGCCCGGAGGTGCTAACCTAGAGGGCACTAGTGCGCTAATTACATAATCAATTCCCACAGATCCAGCATGGTCTCTTTAACACAACCACCACCTGTCGAAGCCTAATTTTTGAAATTACTCCACAACCACCGATTTATCTGGCTCGGACTGTGTGTCAGGTTATTCGCCAGCTCTCGAGGTATCGCCCAATACCAAGAAAGCATGGCGGGCAGCCCAAATGCACCACAGCTGGGCCTCCAGCCATCAACCATACGCGACCACGCGATCCAACTTGAAGCAGACATACGCGCCTTGAAGGAATACCGAGTCAATCCAGTAGGCAAAAATCGCACACCAAACTGGAATATGATTGAACCACTACTCGAAAGCTTTATCAGCTATCTGCAGAAGACACAGGACCTTCCAACCACAAGCGAACTGACCGCTGTAGTCCACGCGACGGCACGCGCTCAGCAAATTCTCAGCAAAGACGTCACGGAAATCAAGAACTTCCTCGCAGCTCTGGCCAGGAAATCGACCATCCCTAGCTATGCACAAGTACTGAAGGACCCCTATGTAGTAAAGCCCACCATGCAGACACGCCCATCGATGGGTCACCGGGAAATCCTAGTCAAACTGAATCCCACGGACGTAGAAAGACAGGCTCAACGCGCAACAGCAGAAGAAATCAAGCAAAAGATAAATAACGCATTAGCGAATCACGAGGACCCCAATTTAAAGAAAACACAAATTTTAGCGGTAAAACAACATCCTAGTGGGGACCTGACGCTCTTCACATCCGACAGAGGGAGCACAGAGCTAATAATAGCACATAGGGAGGACTGGCAAAAGATACTAGGAGAAAAAGCCAAGGTTAAGGTTCCATCATATGGAATTATTATACATGAAGTTAGTACACAAGTGGAAGCTCACAACAAAGCAGAAATTGAAGAAAAGATTTATTGGAATAATCCATTATTAGAACAAGCAAATGTACTGTACTCTGGATAGTTAAAACGCAATCTTGGGGAGAAACGAGCCTCTACCATGGTTGTGGAGTTCGACCGAGAAGAAGACGCGGACCATGCGATTAAGAATAGCATTATGTTTGGAGCATAGATTTTTAACTGCGAGTACTATGACTGGACCTGCAAGGCTAGACAATGCTTCAGATGCTAAAAGTATAGATACATAGGGACTTATTGCAAAGCCCAGGAAACATGCGGGTATTGTGCGGGACTATATAGCACTAAGGCGTGTCTAGAGAGAGACAAACCTGGCTCGCAGCCAATATGTCCAAACTGCTCTAAGAATCACCCATCATGGAGCATTCAATGCGAAGACCGGAAAGAGGAACTGGCTAGAATCGAGGAAAGAAGGATGAATATGCCATGTACACATAAGGAGGCCGCACTTCGACGAGGGAATTTCACAGGAAAACCCAAACAATCTAGGGAGACACACCGCGGAGTAAAGGAGAATAGCCGAGCTACAGGAGTAGCAGCTACTCTTAATGCTCCAGGAAACTAGAAGAGAGGACAATCATCTAGGAAGATTACAAGGATAGATGGAAACCAGGGAACAGGCAATACTACAAGAAGAGTGCTCCAGGAACTGGATCGCAACGCTCTCCCCATGCCAGGAACAAGCAAGAAACAGGCACTGCCAGCTACAACAGAAAACAGAATTATAACATCTCAGGAATCTATTATGTTAACTGGACCTCTCGATGATTAGAAAGATACTGACAGTCCTACAATATAATGTCAACAAATCGCGCAAAAGGGTAATGGCTCCATTACTGGCCGATGAGAATATATGGAAATACAATATCATTGCTATTCAGGAACTATGGAGGAACCAGTTCCAGACCACCACATATCACCTGGTTAAAGACCGCTTTGATCTAGTCTACAATGAACAACCAAACACACGAGTCTGCTTCTTCATTAACAGTCAGTTAAGAGGAGCATGGACACACACCCACCATACACTAGACCTAGATACACTACATCTGCAATTCAAAAACGGGAAAGAGGCCAGGATAGTTCATATCCACAACATATATAATCTAGTTGAAAGTCAAAATGAGAACCAACCAAGCACGCTACCGGATCTCCGAAAGGCACTAGAGAGCGATCGAGAAGAGGAACATCTACTCATAGGCGATTTTAATCTCCACTATCCGATGTGGGGGGGAGTACAGAGCCGTAAGACATCAGAAGAAGCAACAGATCTGTTAGAATTAATCACAGACTACCACTTGGAACTTTTACTGCCGGTAGGCACAAAGACAAGGCAAGACAATGGAGAACCAAGTACGATTGATTTAGTCTTTGGAACCTGGTTGCTCTCAGAGAGCATCATTAGCTGTGGTCTTACAGGCAATGACCTTGACCATAATTCTGACCATCTTCTGATCACAACTCTCCTAAGCTTGACCACCACCAGACATCCAGAGAGAAAAAGGAGACTATGGAATCAATTAAGGGAGAAGGACTTCCAAGAAGAGGTGCGAAAGAACCTTCAAACTGATAAGAGATTAGACGGGAGCAAGAATATCGATGAATAAGTCAATCACATTGTACAGACTATTAATAAGGCCATTGAACACCACTGCCCAGAGTCCCAAGTATGCCCCAGATCAGTACCCGGGTGGACACCAGAGATTAAAGCGGCCCAGATGCATGCAAGAAGACTTCATCGGCAGTTCCAGCTACTTCGCACTAAGGAGGCATGGGAGGAATATCGAGCGGCTCGCAATCTTAAAGGGCGCCTAATTAAGAAATTGCTACGAAAGAATCACTGGGAACAAATTCAAGAAGCTACAGAAACGCAGTCAGGACTCTGGAGACTAGCTAAATGGGCCAGGAACCGTCAGCCACGCCAATCATTCACTCCTCCATTACGGGTAGATCTAGGACCGATGAAGACGCAGACCGAGGACAAGATCGCACTCCTGAAAGAGAACTTCTTCCCACAGATGAAGGAAGCAGACCTTTCAGATTTGTAAGATTATATCTACCCTGATCCAGTAGACTGGCCCCTATTTACGCCGAGAGAAGTGTAAGTGGCCCTATCCTCAGTGGCAACACACAAGGCCCCTGACCCAGATAGAATCCCTAACCTGGTACTAAAAATCCTTAAGGATATCTTATGGCCAATCCTTATACCACTCTTCAATGCATGTATTATATTTGGATATTGCCCAGGACACTTCAAAATGGCAGAGACAGTTGCTCTCCGCAAACCAGAGCAAGAAGACTATACACAAGTGAAATCCTACCGACCTATGGCACTCCTCAACACGTTAGGTAAGACCCTAGAGAAAATCATTGCAAGGTGTCTCTCAGCACTGGCGGAATGGTACTCTTTACTGCCTCCGACTCATATAGGTGGAAGAAAGGGGATTTCTATAGACCATGCACTGCACTGGTTAATAGAGAAGATAAACATAGAACTGAATGGGAAGGTATATAGAGGGGTTATATCAATTCTCTCATTAGATGTGTCAGGAGCGTTTGACAATGTCTCTCACCCTCAGCTTCTACACAATCTTAGAAAACGAAGAATTGATCCATGGGTAGTCAGTTAGATAGCCAGCTTCCTTACGGAGAGACAAACCACAATCAAACTTCGAGAGGCAACTTCAGGAATCCTAAATGTTGAAACGGGCATCCCACAAGGATCACCATTATCGCCCATTCTCTATCTGTTCTTTAATGCAGACCTAATTGAAAAGTGCTATAACCCAAGCAACAACACTGGCACAGTGGGTTGGATAGATGACGTGAATATTATCATATAGGGAAGCTCAACTGAAGAAAACTGCAGAAAGCTAGAAATCATCTACGAACAGTACAAGAAATGGGAAGAGAAACACGTGTTAAAATTCAATCCCAAAAAATTCAAGCTAATCCATCTGCCCAGCAAGTACAGCAAAACAACCGACAAGGAACGCCCAATCTGGCTGGACGGCTGAGAAGTGAAGCCAGTTCCTAAGTGCTGTATTCTTGGACTTATTATAGATAATAAGCTCAACTGGAACGGCCATATCGAACACATTGAAACCAAGATGACCAAATCTCTGGGAGCCCTCAGTAGCCTCGCAGGATCCACCTGGGGTACAGGATATAAAGGACTACGACAAGTTTACCAGGCCACAATCCTACCACAAATAATATACGCAGCATCGATCTGGTACGCCCCATTGAACTTAGAGGATAACCATCGGGAGAAGGCAGTAGGCAAGCTGGAAGCAATACAAAAGAAAGTAGCTAGGATTATCACAGAGGCATTCAAGACCGTCTCAGGAGCAGCACTCGACATAGAGGCTTTTCTCCTTCCGATTTGAATCTATTTAAACAAGATTACGGCGGAAACATATCTCCGGATTTGCTCTACACCATCCTATAAGACTCTAGAGCAGAGTTGGAGAGAGAGAATCTAGGATGGCTACCTCAAAGGCTGGCACAATCTCCCAAGCAGATAGGGGCCACTAGAGAGACACAAGCACCGGTGTAAAACATTATTAGGACCTGAAAGAGTCAGGAATGTGGAACAGAGATATCCCTTCCTAACCCTTCCCTAGTGGGAACCACCTCAGACACATATAGCTACCAACGCGGAGGCAGCAAGGTCCATCCATAACCAGATTCTCCAACAAAACCCAAGTCTTATTACCTATACTGACGGCAGTGCTATTAATGGGAAAGTTAGGGCATCTACCATCCAATATAGCCTCTCAGTTACAAGATAAACATTCATAGGAAGAACACCAGAGGCAAATGTATTCTTGGCGGAACTGGTTGGAATACATATGGCCCTAGAGATGATATAGCAAAGGATAGTAAGAAAGATGATAATCTTCTGTGACAGTCAGGCTACGATTCAGGCAATCAATGGTGCTCAAAAGACAGGCCAACAGATCTTAGGAAGCATTGCGGAAAAATGGGACGAGCTCAGGAGCCAGGGTGTCCAGGTAACTATCCACTGGATCCTGGCCCACCAGGGAATTAAGGGTAATGAGCGAGCGGACATAGCAGCAAAGGAGGCAACTAGATGGAGATTGGTGCGGAATAATAGAGGAAGACAGGTTCCATTAGATATAGATAGCACAGCTCCAAGACTAGTTGGGCTCCAGCAACCTTTGTCAGCGCTCAAGAGAGACTTAAAGACCCTAGCTTATAAACAGTGAGAACAGAACTGGCAACAGAATCAACGAGGCCGTACTCTCTTCTGGGTCATAGATAAACCATCAAAGAAGAATATAGAGCTTCACACCAGACTTAGCAGGCCTCTATCATCTATCCTAACACAGATGCGGACAGGTAATATCAGCCTGCGGCATTTCCTATACAAAAGAAAGATTCCGGGAATCGACAACGGAGAATGCCAGTGTCAACGTAGAGCACAAACAGTCACACATATCTTACTGAGCTGTCCTAGGTTCAAGGAGGAGCGTAACGCGTGGAAGAATGAGGGGACATGGTCGTCCGATGCAAGGAAGATTCTCTCTAAGGGAAAATACACTGTTAGGGCAGCAAAATTCATGTTGAAAACCAAGCTCCTTGGGCAATTTGGGAGCATAGATTTAGACATCTAGTGGAGCGGTGAGTCCTCAAGGGTACAACAGTCACTATACCAGCTGGAGCAGCAGCAATGTGCTCTAGCAAGCATACACCAGCTTGTTGTTTCATTCTAAATTATTTAGATACATAGTTAGTTCTTGTATATAGGACCGGAGCTGGCGGTCAGGATTAGGACACATGCCGCATAGCTGCCTGCGGGGCGGCTGGGACGGCTTAATGAATCAATCAATCAATCAATCAATCCGGCATGGTCTCGCGATAGCCCATAAGTTGCTTTCTTAACATGTGTGTGCTTGGTGATTGGCTTCTTTGGTTGGCTTATGAGAGGCTCCCTTGTTAAAGGTGTTGGCTAGTAGATGATCTTAAAGGTTATCTTCTCCAAGTGTGCAGTGTCCTAACTTCGACGACTGTAGTGGGATCTACCCTGGAAGGGAGGAGGGGAGGAAGAAAGGAAGAGTTAGGAGAGAAAGGAGGGTGAAGGAGAGAGGAATAGTTTTACTTTTTACTGCATTAATTGAGATTCAGATTTAGATTTATATTCTAATCTTCCTGTAGCGATTACAAACTTAATTGCTGCGTGGACGGCCTTCATATCTGGTTACCATTGATCTGGATCTGAACATGATTTACTGCCCAGGAAAAAGGACAGATTTCCTTGTCTTAATTCTGTGCACTAATTTATGTCTTCTCTCATCACTATCCATTATGTGCAGCAGAATAAGAAGTGTTCTATTGTCTTGCTTGCTTGGCCATAGGCACAGAGATCCAAATCTGCTGTGCCTATCCAATTAAGGTAGCTGTTAAGCCTTATCATTCCTGTCCGAAGTTGGGCTAGGATCTTTGCCTCTTTCTAATTCAGTCTATTATATAAGCTTCTTATGTGTTTTCCTGGAAGAGCTATATCCACCATTCTGGAGTATCTTCCGATATGTTCTGGGAGAGTCTATTTATGTTGCCTTTCCATAAGAGCAAGCCTAATGGTGGTTGATTTTGCTTAGTATAGCTATTTTTCTAGTAGCAATTTAATTCTTGTTACTTTCTATGTCTCTACTTTTACTTGCTATTTCACGGTTATGTCTGAATAGGTTGGAATCCAAATTGTGATCACTGCATTTCCTTGTTACTGTAAGTTTTAAATCTATTTATATATCTGTTAGATTAATTTTTGGCCTAATTGTTGATGGGGTTAGCTGATTACAGACAGTGCCGATCTATTACTACTAAGGATGAATATGCATCTCTGATATGTCTGGCGTGGGATACATTCCAGGGAGGTTGCTATTGCTTCTAGCTCTACTATGTAAGGATTCTATTGTGTTCTTTTACCCAAGAGGATTAAGTGACTAGATATACTATTCCTATTTGCTTGGGTATCTCTTATGCAGCCTCCTATGCCCACCTTATCCGATTTAATAGATATGCTTATCGCAATTAGAATGCCTACTGCGTTGTTGGCATTGCTAATGGCTTTATCCTTATCTATTTCACAGATTGCTGGTATCCAGTTGGTCCACGGTAACACTGTGAATGCCTGTATAGTCTTGATCCGTTCCCTTATTGTTGCCTTGAAAGGTTAAGTGATCTTCTGTAGCGGAGATTAGAATCTCTAGGTGGCGATGGTTCTCAGTCTGCCTAGTAGGTTTGATCTAGGTAGAGTCTAGATGTCAACTTATAGTTTTATTGCTTTCTCCATATAATAAATATAACATAGTTGAATATCTACTTCTACCTTGGCCACTGCTGTTACCACTATCTGGAAAGAACCTGTAACTGCAATAGCTCTATGTTTCTGCATTCTATTTATATACTATATCCCTTTAATCCCACAGGCATGCATCTAGACGTTCGAGGCATCATCTGCCACTAGTGCCACTATTGCTTTGAATAATTATCTCGCGGTCTAAGGGGATACCATTTTTAGTTGTATCAGCGCTATGGCTGCTACTAATCCTTTTATAGTGGCATTAGCAATATGTTTCTCAAAGCGTAGTTATAAATCTATTACTACTCCTAGGATCTTTGCACTGTCTTTTGGCTTGACTGTTTTATCTTTAATGGTGAATGGTATGCTGCTTGCGCGGCTCGCAGTCCGGGTGAAGTGTACTATGGCTGTTTTATCACATTTAAATGTAGCTCTACTGCGTCTTTCCCAATCTAGGGCTCTATTGATTACTGCTTGAATACTGGTACGGTTTGCTTCTGCTGATGGGCCTGTTACCTAGGCTGTGTAGTTATCCATAAATGCGATTAATCCTCCTAAGGCGCTAATCCTGTGTTGTACTAGATCTACGTTAAAGAAGAGAAATAATATTAGGGATAGTAGTGATCCTTAGGGTAAGTCTGCTTAAGATAGCTTCTTTTGTTCACTTGTCAGCCCATTAACTACAATGGTTGCGGTGCATCTCAAACAAAAGGTGTTAATCCATTGAACTATCTTATCAGGTATTCCTCTTACCTTTAATCTCTGTAGCAGTCTTTCTTTAAAGACCCTATTATATACCCCTTGGACATTGAAACTGACCAAGCTAAGTACCTTCCTATTTCTCTAGGCTTTGTAGATTTCTTCCTGAAGTAGTAGCAGTGCTTGTTCTGCTAAGCACCTTTTTCTTGCTCCGAAGTAGTTTGTAGGCAATAGACTAAATATTTCAATAGCATATAATATCCTTTCTGCAATAACCGCTTCTAGGATCTTACCTAGTGTAGAGAGCAGTAATATAGGTCTCTATGACTTAGCAAGTAAGTAGCTATCCTTTGCTGGCTTCTTTAGCGGTATAATCTTAGCATTTCTCCATTAGGAGGGGAGATCGCTATCTTAAAGTGATCTCTAAAAGATAGAGAATACTCTTTATTTAACTACTAGCCAGAGCTGCTTCCACACTATTGCTAGGAGGCTATCCTCTCTGGGTGCTTTCCATGGCTTAGCTTTAAAGATTTTCCGTTCAATCTCCTCCATAGTAAGATCGGGCATGTGTACCAGCTCTCTTTGTGGTTGGATTCCCTCTTCTTTAATTCTTGTTGGTAATGGTAGAAAGAATGTTGCTAACAGCTCTTCTGCCTATTCTACTTTATCTTTAGTAGTAGATCTGTCCCCCTTCACCAATGGTGGAATTTTATCACTAAATAAAACTCCTACCAGGTTTCAGATATTTAGTTGCCTGCTATATATTAGCATCATTAGCAAGGAAATCCTCCCAGTGTGCCTTCTTCTGTTTCCTGATTACATCATGATATTCTTTTGCTGCTTCACATGCCTATTGTTTGAGCTTGGGGATTGCACGTCCTACCCTACGCCGCGACCTAGCCTGATTTCTCTAGTAGGTATATATGTGGCGAAGCTATGTCAGATCTGTCGTCCACCATCATTTAGCATATTGTGAGGGTTTTGCCTTTGGTGTAAGTTTCGAGACTGCTTCCGTGATTGCTGTTATGAGGTGGTCCGTCTACTACTGGACTGAGCCATTCACAGGAACTGCCTATAAGCTAGAGGTGACTCTTGCTCTGATTTCTGCCCACAGTGCGTTCTTCCAGAGTGGTCTCTTGGTGGCCGGTTAATCTAGAACTAATATATTAAACTCAGTTTTAATTACTTGATAATCTAATCTATGGTTTGTATAGTGTATGCTACATCTAACTATCTCTTCTACTAGTTCTATTGATGCTAATACTAAGTCAATTGTTGTTTCCATATCCCCTGATTGCCATGTCTTTGTGCCTCTCAGTAGAAGACTATGAAGAGAGTGCTTGGTCATATAGTCAATTAAAGCATCAGCCTCCCCCTATCTCACAGGAGATATTTGATCTCTGCCCTAGAGTTAATCATACCAGTTGAAGTCTCTCATTATTAGAATATCTGTCTGTATTCCTCCTCTTTCCCAGAAGTCTACCACTAAGCTGCATAGCAGCTTAATTGTAGATGTCAGTGTCTTCTTATTATTTCCCTCCACATAAACTGAGACCACTAGTACCTCCCGGTCTGGGAGACAAACCATCGCAGCTATCAGATCTAATGATTCCACTAGGATCTGTTCCACTTCAATATCGCTCTGGACCTATAGCATGCTCCGAATTAGCCATCTTCCTTTCTGTCTTTCTATAGGTATCATCTTTGTCCAGTAACTATATCCCATTAGGCTTGTAACAATCATGCCCTCAATCATCCGTACATATAGCTCGGATATCGCTATCACACTGTGGTCTCTGATCTCGTTATCATTCATCAAGCTTTGTTGTACCATGTCCCTTTTGCCTATATTGAGTTGTAGTGTGCAGAGTGATTTATATATAGGGATGCATGAGGCATACTCAACAGGTTTTACTAAATGATTCATGTGGTCCTCCACATAGAATGTATTTTAAGATTGTAACCTGGCAGGTGCTATAGTGATGTCCCTTATTTACGCATTTAGCAAAGGTCCAAGTCTTTTTGCAGGAAAAGGCTTTATACCCTATCTCCTAGCAGTTAAAGCATTGAGCTGGTCCCATCTGTGGTTTAAAGATTTGAGTGTACGCGGATTCTCCTACTATATCAAAGTAGTTGCTATCTATCAAACGTTTAGCATTGGTCCCTTTTGTGATATACACCACTATCGATCTGTACGCTTTGTTGGAGTCCTTCTTGCTGAGCTAGGAGATCTTAGCAATACTGACATTGTTCTCTTTTCCTAGTACCTCAGCTGCCCCTGGTAGGATATTTCCACCCGCATCCAGGACTGCTGTCCGGTTGGCATTGTCAATTTTGACCAGATATAGCTGGTCTCATAGGGTTCTTATTCCTGGTATCTCAATCTTTTAGGCCGCTTCCTTAACCTGCTGGATCTCATCTTCGTTTCTGCAAATAACTCTGATTTGGGCTGTATTTTTAGGATCCTTGACCACTGCTGCGCAGCGCCAGTTCTTTGTTTCCTCGTTCTCTTGCATCACTTTCTTAATCATCTATCTAATCCCAGCTATTTAGGTCTTGCCCTTATCCTCTTCCATGACTTGGGATGTGTTGATTGTGCAAAATAATGTATTGGCAGACGTAGGCGGCACTAGAGGGCCTAATAGCGCATCCTGCTAATGACCAGGTTGGCTGCCTAATGCAGCTATATATGTTGCCTTAGCTGAGGTACTTGCGACAGTATCCAGCTGCTCCCAGAGTTGCTTGTATTCCTCCGCAGATTGGCTTCGGCTCATTTCTAGCTGGGCCTGCAGCGCCTTAATTATGCTGCTCTGCTCCTATATTAATTAGCTCTGTTCCTTGATCATTTTTCCCTGCTTGCTGAGAGCTTCTTTTAGAGTTTTGACTTCCAGATAGGTATCCTCCATATATTGACATATCTTTCTAAGCATGTCTTGGCTTCCGTCCTTAGCGCTCTATTTTTAATCAATAAGGCTAGCTGCCTTCTTCACTGCTGTCAGTTCCACTTCTGTCATCGATTTTCTAGGCACTTTGGTAGTGCTGGTGCTGCCCGTGGCTTCTCGGGCCCTTGTCGAGGGTGTTATAACGCGTCCCGAACGCGTTGTTGTCGCCGGCTCCTCCACCATCGCGTCCGCCATCGCCAGCTTAGCTCCTAGAGCTGAGTCAAGTGCCTGCTATCGCGTATTCCGAGAGAATCACTTCTTCCTATCTCTCCCCAGCGACCTGCGTTATCCAGAGTAGATAGTTACAATATGCGACTCATATAACTAGGCAAGCCCCTACTAGTGGGATATAATTATTCCATACCGAGTACTCTAGCTCTCCGACGGAGACGGAGTCCACTTTAAGTCCGTCGGACCTCTTATTATTCTGCGATGTCCGCCCGTACCGACGTGCGCGATCTTTTCCTATGATTTGTGATCTGCTTACGCTTTCATACCATTATGGCCGACTATGTCAATCCGCGAGCACATGCCTGCCAGAACTGTGTTAAGGCAAAGGCTAAATGCTATGATCAAACAAACGGACGCTGTGAGAGGTACGAGTTCGGCCAATCCCCGACGCCACAGCGTCAACGCTGAAAGGCTCTGTATAGGTGTAAACGCCTCGACAAGCACTGCATAATGCAGGATCGTAGCACACCACGACCATCAAAGCCTTCCAAGTCAAGGTAAACTTCTGCAAAAGGCCTTTCTCGTACCGCATGCCTGCCCGGCCGCTATTAACACAAGATGTAGGCGAAATGACCAAGCAAGGCAAATTGCACAGCTGGAGCAGAAAGTCAACAGCCTAGTCTCACTTCTTGGTGCTTCTCAGCAATCTCTGGATAACGGGATGTTAAATGTTATTACGCCTGAGTCCACTGGACCGACCTCCAGCGCGTCAGTTTCCATGAGCGCTCCGCTCAACCCGAGACAAGCTATTTCGCAAGATTTGCCAACTACACAACAATATGAGCTTGAACCGACATCGTTTGCGCCGCCAGAGGGCAGACCTAACAAGAGCCCCGACGATTTGCTGGACAACTTCCGTCGCGATATGGCTCATCAGGCGCCGTTTATATCAGTTCCCTTGCAGATGTCGGCTCAGGCCCTCTCAAGAGAACGCCCCTTTCTTTATCGCGCAATTATGACAGTAGCGTCGTATCATGACTCTGTGCATCAATTACAGATGGGCCAGGAACTTGTAAAGTACATGATGGAGCATCTTATCGTACTGAGCGAGAAAAGCCTGGACCTCCTTCAAGGGCTTCTGGTCTATATCAACTGGTACAACAGCCTATTTCATGCCAATTCGCAGACAAACACCTTACTTGGACTCGCATTCTCTCTGCTTGTTGATTTGAACTTGTACATCCCATTCAAGAGCAGCGAAAGCCACGAAAAATTTGTTGGCGAAATGAAAATTACCGTCACTTGTAACCCGAATTGGGCTCGGAGTTCAGAGCCATCAATGGAAGAAAGAAGAGCTGTTCTCGGATGCTTCTATCTCTTCTCATGTGTAAGTGGTTCTAATATCTGTCAGCGGTTACTCTTGGGCTCACTCGTTGTTAGGTATCTTCTAAATTTCGTAGTTTGAACCCACTACACTGGACAACCAATATCCAGCAATGCTACGAGGAAATATTGAAAGCCCCAGAACACGAGAATGATATACGACTAGTTCATCTTATAGATTTGCAACGAATTGCAGAGAATACCAAATATATCATCATCCGTGAATTCCCATCATCGAATGCGTCTGTTCCAAATAGTTCCATTGGTCTACACCTCAAATTACTGGTGTCCGACTTAGAGAAGTTCAAAGTCACGCTACCTGAGAGATTTCAACAAGATTGTAAGAGTTGCATCCATGATGTTCGCAACGCAATGAATGCTGACTAGAAATGTCTCGTGTAGCGACGATGCTGATGCATTATCATGCGGTTGAAATACTTGTTTTCGAATTGTGCTTCTTCATGTCACCTACGGCTCCAGCTCAGGACCCGTCCCTCAATAGAGCAGACGCCTTATGGATGTGTCTAACAGCAACTCGCGCACTTGTAAATATCTATTTATCACTAAATTTGCAGCCCCACATCAGCTTTTCCGCGATATCGTTGCAACAACTCTACCTCGCCCTGGCGACATTGTCTAAGTTAGTATTATTCAAGGCCGACGACTGGGACGTGAATTATGCTCAACCATCAGTGGACTTGTCTACTTTGTTAGATAGTCTAGTTACCAGAACGGAAGAGCATAGCTCACGGTACGATTTGATGGAGAACAACAAGCCCTGGCTACAGACTAGTCGGAGACTGAGGCAGGCGAGGACTCGATTTGATGACCTGTTGTCAAATGAGGATGTCTCTTCTGTCACTCTTTCCACCGCACAGCCATCAAATGGTTTATTGGCAACATCGTTTCATGATTTTCGTCTCGATCATTTTGGTTTATTGGACGATAGATTTTGGGAAACCATGCAAGATGACTCGGCACCATGCAATTAACTAAACCCTCTTGTAACTTACATTATAACACCATACTATTAGAGGATTTCGCTTTTACGTGATACAAAGGCACAGTGTTTATCTACTTAGAGTGTGCTATTTTGACACCTGGCTATACAGTGTAGGGGTGCTACCGTGGTAAGCCGTCGGAGACATACTTATTATACTACTCCGGCTCCAACGGAGACATTGCTGCACCACAGGGGTGGATAGTTATAAATAAATACATATCGGGGATGCGTCGGTATTTGCTTCGAGAACGTTCACCATAGAAACTATTGTTCACACATTGATCATAGTAGTCGGCGTATAGACTGCTAGACCTGGTGAAATACGCACATTATCCTACGCAGCGCCGAAATGCCAAATTCCAACACGTCTGATTTCAGCGGCTCTCTGAGTAATGAACCCAAACGGACCGAAGGAACAGTAGACGGCAACGACGATAGTGATAATAGTATGAATAGGCCAGCTGCTGCGAATACCCCGCGATCTCTCCCTGCGATCCAGCTGTATACAATCGTCGCTGCAGTTTCACTAGCCGGGTTCCTCTATAGCCTGGACGTTACAATTATTACGGCTGTGAGTTACTTCTATAGTGATTTGTTGAAGCCAAAGACATAAGTCTCAACATGCGACTAACTTGCTCGAAAAGGCCATTCCCGCCATCACCACTCATTTCCACACCATCAAAGATATCGGCTGGTACGGAAGCGCATACCTTATCACCTTGTAAGAACCGATATTCAAACATCACATTAGATATGCATTTCGGCAAGCTAACAGGTGCTCGCCAGGTGTGCTTGTGCACCCGTCATGGGCAAGATCTACCAATACTACTATTCGAAGGTAACCTAACCCTAAAGTTATTACGCTAAATAGGATTCAACTCATCCGTACTGTCAGGTCGCCTTCTTCATATTTGTTGTTATTTTTGAGATCGGCTCCCTGATCTGTGGAGTGGCACCATCGTCAACTGCGTTTATAGTTGGCCGAGCAGTCGCTGGAATCGGGGGCGCTGGCGTCTTCAACGGGGGATTGGCGATCGTCGCAGCCTCCTCCACGAAAGAGCAGCGTCCGAGTAAGAAACCTCTGCAGATGAACAATTTACGGCGTGAGTAGTCTACTAATTTATTGCAATACGAACAGGTCTCGTTGCTCTGCTATACGCATTTTCCCTGCTAGGATCAGTGATCGGTCCCATAATTGGAGGAGTGTTCACGGAGAGTGTTTCTTGGAGATGGTGTATGCCCAACTGACATGTTATTGAGAGTTACAACTAAAATACAATGCAGGCTTCTATATCAATCTCCCAGTTGGTGGAGTTACGTTAGGCGCGATCGCTCTCGTCCGCATTCCAGACATCAGGGACAAATCCAAGACAGCTGTTACCTTGTACGAAGCCATTAAACGGCTTGATCCTATAGGATTCTGCCTCTTTGCACCAACCTGCATTATGCTTTTGTTGGCCATCCAGTGGGGTGGCTCGACGTATGCCTGGGGTTCATCCACTATAATTGGCCTTTTCATCGGCTTCGGAGCCCTCCTGACTGTCTTCTGCGCGTGGGAATCACGACGCGGGGATTCTGCAATGATACCAGGATCTATTCTACGCCAGAAGATAGTTTACTCCTCATGCCTTATCAACATGTCACAGTTCGCCTCCCTCTGGATATTTGCATACTACTTACCTGTCTGGTTCCAAACAGTCAAGGGCGTGTCTCCAATCATAAGCGGCGCCTACTTCATGGCCACTGCCGGACCGCTAATAGCAGCGACAATGCTCACGGGGTTTATAGGTAAGCATTTAATGTTAAGCCTGACAGCTTCAAGTCCTAACCTGTCCTGTTTAAAGCATAAACGTTCGCTAATACGCATGCTCTGTTTTAGCCAAGAAAGGAAACACCTCCTTATACTGTTTAATCGGAAACTCCATCGCGACTATTGGTTCAGGCTTGATGACCCTCTTTACCCCGTTCTCTCCGACAGGAGCTTGGGTTGGCTACCAGGTCTTAGCTGGCGTCGGCCGTGGTATTACCCAACAGCAACCTGTCCTCGCAGTGCAGCAGAACCTTGAGCCATCAAAGATCCCAATCGGTATCTCAATGGTTCTTCTCGGACAATTCTTCGGAGGAGGATTATTCCTAGCACTTGCAGAAACAGATCTCAGTAGTTCCCTACGGTCAACACTCCCAGAGTATGCTCCGGACATCAATGCCACCTTGATTTTTGACGCGGGTGCTGAGGGGGTAAGAGCTGTTGTTAGTATCGACCAGTTACCTGGAGTGCTATTGTCTTATAATAAAGCTATTATCAACACGTTTGTAAGTATATGATTTTCCCTTGCAGAATACGTTTGACCGAAGTCTTGAGCTACTAACAATCCGAAGTATTTAGGTACCGCTGCGTCTGCATTTGCTGCAATAGTATCTCTATACGTATGTTTTGAGCATGTTAGGGTTACGAAACCTAGTAAACAGGCTGGGAATACATAGGCGCGTTCAGGTTCGAATATGATTCTACTATGTATTAGGAGGTAGTTCAACTCTTGTTATTTTGGAATATATTTAACTATATTATTTATCCAGAACTCTTCGCACAAGAGATTTTTTTGCATAGGAGCCGTTAATCAAAAGATAGAAAAGAAAGTCTCACGCAAGATATCTTGTCTAGTTGTATAAATGGGGTGGTAATACAGCCACACCCCTTTCTGTTCGAGCTACGCCCCCCTCGGCTCGATCAGGCTACACCCCTCTAAAAGCGGTTTACAACAACCCTAATTGGACCGTCGCTGCAAAATCTGTTTTGATTTATGATTCACCTTATTTTGTTACTCTAATGACTTAATAATACAGTATTCCACCAATCCAGAGCCGTTACTTAGCATCTTTCTAACCCCTAATATTCTGGCAATTCGTTCTCATCGCCAAGCCACCGCGCTGGCTGGCCACATCCACGTCGCTGGCTTCGTCTTACTGGCTCCTCTGGGGCAATTTGCAAAGCTGTTGCAGTTGCATTCTGAAACCATTCCTCTACTAGAAGTCTGACTGTTGTGTACATTGGTCTCTGCCCTATGATGACTTGAATTTCCTCCTCGATCTCCACGAACCCTTCCCCTGCGGCGTCGGCTCCCAGTATTAAGATTACCCTGCGCAGTGGCATGCCCAGATGCTGATAGCTATTGCCGTGTTGAGGAACCCTGTGTTGATATAACCTGAGAGGCTGTTGGATGGTTGATTGAGCCACTGGGGTAACCACAGCCTTGGACCACTGCCGGGTTAAGGACTATTATTCGGGGATGAATTGGAGGCAACTATTCGAGAGATTATAACCGCTAGTGCTCTTGTAAATGGTGTAACTGTAGTGGCTCCTCATTATCAATACAATGCTGATCATATAAATGCAAGGAACGCCAATGGTTCGTTTTGTGATTCCAGAACACTCTGGGTCAAATGGCTTTTTCGTCGGTCCAAGAGACCATGACGGAATCGAAATTGATACCGTACTTATCATCTTCGTGAACGTGCTTGATTTTAACATGTTGCCGGGACACAGTACGGTTAAATGATTCAAGTGTCTCAAGGAGATCATTTGTAGAGACTTGAAGATCGCGTTTCAGGGTCCAATGAGCTGATTCGTTTCGGGATGTGATTAGCTGACCAAAATGCTTGACATCTGATAAACAGGACTGAAGGAATCACTGAACGATACCATCATTAAGCCACTCTGAATTGATGTAGCTCATGACTTCCTGCCAGATATCACTGCTTCATTCTTCTCCTCAGTCTTCGCGTATACAGTCTTGTTGAATGACCCGAGAAATCCCTCCACTGTGACTCAATATGAGTCTTATACTGTTTGATATCCTTCTTCGCGGCGGCTGGATCTCCAGCGTAGATTGTATGGAGCACTTAATTTGTAAGAATGGGGTGGACATGTGTAAGCATATTCTTTTCAATATGCCAAAGACAGATGATATTGTTCGCCATTGGAAAAACTGTGGGATTGCATTCATTAAGGCCATATCTTTATCGGTCAGGATACAGTTTGGCAATGGGAGATCCGCTTGATTATAGACCTCAGCCAAGCATTCCAAGATGAACTTGTAACTCTTTTCCTTTTCATCTGAGATAAAGCCAAATCCTGCATAGAATGTCTTAGTGCATGCTGTACAGCCCACAATATCCAAGAGACGCATTTTATATCGGTTTGCTTTGTAGGAACAATCCATAAAAAGAACGCTAGGGTTTTAGCGGAGCATCTCAAGTGAGGCTAACTGCAAGTAGTGTATTTGTATCAGTTGTTTCATAGTTGATTATCCCATCACCATTATCTGGAAGTGGAACGACACTAATAAGGGCCTGTACTGGTGTCTTGCCATCAGGGAAATCATCTCGCAGCTTCCTTTTCTTATTATAGATATCTCTTGGCTTGATAATCGATTCTGGATTATCTTTGTAGAGGATTGGTAAGATTTGGTTTGTTGACATGTAAGAATCTAAATAAGACTTAACTTGAGTCTCCTTAGATTCTATCTCTTCATGGCGTAACGAAGCAAGTGTTAATCCAGCTGCTGAATAATGATCATGCCTCGGATCTGTAAGATCAAGACGCCAGCAAACCTGTATGCTTATCATGGCGCAAGGCAAGCCTAAATGGGCATACTATACACTGTATGCTTGTATCTCTAACACGTGTCTCTTTGTTGGTACACTTACGATATACTTCTCCGCGGCTGCACTGAAGGTAAACTCGGCGAATTGAGCCACCTTCTTTCGGTGTTTTGGATCTCTTCGTGACCGACGCATATCCATAAGTCTTGGTAAAACTATTAAGGAATTTTATAGCAGCATCACGGGTTTCGAAGGTCTGGTCAGTTGAAGGAGCAGGGATTTGAGTATGTGGTTCGCAGGGTTCTCCGGGAGGTGACGGCTCAGGTAATTGCTCAGCGCCATTCTCTGAGCTCTCGTAATTGACGAGGCGCGATGCCATGGCGAATAGCTATATTGATATAGCTTAATGCCTCTACTCAGTAATAGAAGAGAAAAATGAAGCCACTTCTATATATATGCGCTCAAGCAAGTCCCAATACAGCACCGCCGTCCCAAAAGGTAATTGCATGTTACCGGGAAATTCTGTGAAGCTAGTTTTGTTGATAAGCCCTAGCCCTACACCATTAACAATGGACATACAGGAATCAGGATTGCTAGTGAACGTAGCAGCAACCTACTGTTTTGTCACGGTTCCTTTGATATGCCACCTTGACAGTTGATCTCCCGTTATCCCGTTGTCCCGTTGTCCCATTGTCTCCTATTGTTAGGCATGTTGTTGGAGATTCCTGGCACTGTAGTTAGATTTAGTAGGCCTCATCTGGTGAGACTCACCAATCCAAGTGCCGGAGTAAACCCTTGTCAAACATAAATAGAGGATCCGCTACCTTGTAGCTAATTCCGGAACTCAGCTCACGTCCTTGTTATAAATCCATGACATACATTTCCTAGTTCTCCATCTCTCCGTCCCAGCTCTGTAACAGTTACGATTCAAATACAGGGAATCAAATTCAGTTGGGCGAAGGTTTAATTCACTCTAACAAGACGACCTATGGGAGAAGAAAAGAAAAGCAAGATCAACATGGGCCTTATAATGAACTGAAAGACAAATTCTGCATAGAAACAATGAAAATTTCTAACAAAAGCTTCATTATTCTGAATTGGAAAGATAAGGTAACAAATCAACAGAGGAAAGCAAACGATGACTGGCTTTACGCAATAATGTGTCTTTTGTTGGAATCCTCATCTATATGCCCTGACCCTCAACCCTCAACCCTAAGACCACTGGTCCATTCTCCATTCTAAAACGTCAGATCTCGCAAGAGGGCGTTTTGAATCACATAATCATTACTCTAAACCGCTTGCTGAGGGGGGTGTGGCTGTATCACCCACCACCCATACATATTACATGCGATTACGAGAGCTTGACCAAGCACACGCCGCCAACAAATCGGAATCGAAAGTGGAAACAGACAAAAAAAAATCTCAGCTTATAAAGTGAAGATAGACTACCTTGAGAAAAAACTGAAAAATCTTCAGTCACTTCTTGACGAATAAGTAGCAGGATGGGAAATCGTCTTTCTACAGACTCAAAATGATCACGATGAGGATGCTGGATTAGCTAAGCTGATCCGTACGATCTAGCCAATCAGATAGCTAAGATCTTTCGGCCAATCAGAGCGAGCCACACACCTAAGAGAGGGATCCACCGAATAGGGGGTGAGAGATATCTCCCACTTTTATTTTGTGCTTAGGAAACACCAACAAGGATCAAGGGCTCCAGATATTTTTTTTGCATACATAATTTGATACGTTGAGATATACCGCTAAAGGTTGTTGCGTACAATCCAATACGAAGTGTGGAAGCATGCGAACCCCGGACCACACCTCACAAAGATACTACCTGAGCCTCTCCATCTAAGTAACTTAATTTAACTGCCTATCTGAATATGATTACCTAGAGATACTAGTCTGTGATTCAACATGGATAGATTTTATGATCCATGATACCGACCGAGCCAACTCTGTTTTAGGGATAAGTCACATGTTATATCAGGTTCAGACTACGTTATTGAGATATCAAGAACTTGAAGCGATCACCAAACGTGTTCTAGATGCCTCATACCTTTCGGTGGCCTTTTACTGAGTAACATTTAGATTAGAGGATTAGATTCCTATATTTAAGAGACTGACACAGAGTCGTGATTGGCTCAAAACACACAAGATCTCCTTAGCCAATCGCAGTCCGTTACGGAGACGTTTATGGTAGTTAAGCATAATAATGCATAAAAATCTATCTTCAGGGTTAGGGTAACATCTAGCAGGCACGTAGATTCTAAATTACTCATTAACTAATTAACTAAGCTTCTTATCTAAGATTATATAATAGTCTATCATCTAGTTAACTTAGGTTAGTTAGTTAACTTAGTTAACATTAACTAAGTTAGTTAATAGTCTTTTTCATAAACTTCATAGCGATTCAGGTGAATTAGATGTGCCTTGAATAAAAGATCGATCGATTGTTGTGTTTCTGGCCCGATGACGTAACCCGACTCATCCTTCCGATGAAGTCATGGGAGCTTCGTCAGCATTCTTATACCCCCTTAGATTTTCTCTTTATTGCTATGTTTCTCTTTTCTCTTTATTATGATTATGCCGGCCGGATTTTTGCAGCCTTCTCTCGCTCCGGAGAAGTAGTATATACCTTGCTGCCTCGTTCGAGCGCGTTTCTCTCTTCGTCTCGCTCCGATTGCGTGATACCCTCGCTAGAAGTTGTATAGCGTTCACCTCGATAAGAGTCCGATTCGATAATTTACGTACTTTTTCAAGATACTCGCCCAGCCGCCATGTGGATCATTTCTTTCTGGGTCTTCCCCGTCATCTCGGCCTGTATGTGGTTGGCTATGCTGGTTGCGATGATATCGACGTGGGCAGCAAAAGGGAAACCGCATTATAGTAACATGCCGGCGACTCGCACAATTCCGTAAGTTTGTCGGGTTTCTGTCGCGCAAGACTCATCACTAACTTTGACTTTGTTAGATACATCTCAGATATCGGCGCAACGGGAATACAACCTTTGTTTATCGCAGGTAGCGCGGTCACAGTCGTTTTCTTGGATCTTTCATTTCTATCGGAGCGATGGTTGAGGCACACGGGGAAGCTCGTGAGGAATAAAGGACGTTTCGACAAAGCTTGCTCGATACTTTCCATTTTGTTCTCTATTGCCGGGGCAGCGGGGTTAATTCTACTTTCTATTTTTGACGACGTTCATCACCGGAGTCTTCATGATGCGTTCTTGGGGCTGTTCATGTAAGTTCCGTCCCATCTTTGGTCAATGCTTCATTCGTGGAGAGGTCTAACGGCTTGAATAGTGGTGCATACTTGATCAGTGCTGTGTTCATTTGCATGGAGTACCTGCGTCTTGGTGTCACTTATCGCAGACAACACCGCATCCTCTTTATTAGCTTCTGGATCAAGTTCATTTTTATTGTCGTCGAGCTCGCTCTAGCGATTGCTTTTGGAGTCTTGAACCAGCACGATCGGGGCGCGAGAAATGCCGCCGCTGTTATTGAATGGGGTATGTCATCTTATCATCTTTTGACAGGGAACACAGACTGACCGGTATAGTGATTGCATTGGTCTTCACATTCTACGTCCTATCCTTTATCATCGACCTATTACCATCTGTACGCACTCGCCACCATATCCCTCAGGGCGAGAAGGCGTTCGCACGGCCAAGTACCAGTTCTGGACATCCCGAGATCACATACGAAGAGCCAGTCACCACGGACTCTATGGGTGATCGAGCAAATACCTACCGTGGGCCGGTTGCTAGTGGGTATCAGACGAATGGAGCGAATCTGCCTCGGGACTTCTAATAAACTGTCTCATGCCTTGCATAGAAGGGCAGTTAATGACACGATAATCGACGACTGTAATTTACTTTCTTTTTTTCTTGTTGACCTGTTGGTGTTATGAAGTGGAGTCGTGAATTATGACGACAGTCATGATTTATTTACTATTCTGAATATACCTAATTTGTTAATTCGACATAATCCAACATAGTTGGGAATTTAACCTACTTTAATAGTGCTCAACGGTGAGATTGTATAAGGCACCCATATTTCCAGGCGTCAAGGCGTTAAGGCGCCAACACATCAGTCAGCGGTCTTAGACTCATTTCCCGCAGTGACCGACTCTCTTGACTAACACTCTAAACTCCTAAACTCTCACCGACTATTCAATGTCATTGTTTATACTCCTTCAAACTATACTCAATTCATAACCAAGTGTCTAGATCCTGATCCTCTATTTTTTTTATTACCCCCTTTCCCAGCCTCGTTTATTCAACTTTATTTTCTCTCCACCGAATCTTCGTGAACTGTATATCTTCTACCTCAGCAAGGAGGAACTGCTGTGCAACGATATCATTTTGCTTATCGCAACATATACAAAAGGGAAAATCGATTATCGGAATTGTTTTTTCCAGAATCTAAATGTTTACAATTATCATCTATGTTGGACTTGAATTGTCGAATCCGATTTTTTGCGCCAAAGATATTTTACTCCAGATACGTACCACGGATCACTTCTTGAATTCATAATTTTATATCCGAACAACGATTATCAACCAAATCAAATTTTTCTATTTAAGAAGAAAAGGGGGGAAAATGGGACAGAAGAGATCAAAAAGACCAACCAGACTCACACCATCACCGAGCCCATCGGCAAGTTCATCGAGTTTTGATCTGGCGTCTCCGGATCGACCGTTTGATAATATTTTGAATTTCCGGGATGTTGGGAGGTCGATTAATGAGTTTAGTGGTGATAAGTATGTATCCTATTCTTTGAAAAATTTCTAGAAAAGTGGATAGGTGCTAATGACGGTATAGGATACTGAAAGAAGGCATTCTTTTTCGAAGCGCGAGGGTATGTCTACTCATTAGTCCATGGACAAACTTCAGCGCTGACTGCTCTATACAGCTAGACGATGCGTCGGAGAGAGATAGACATCGTCTTATAGACGACATTAATCTGTCGACAATTATTGATTTACGGTCAAAGTATGTTCCCCAACCTTGATCTTATAAATTATTCAATCACACTAATAAAGAACAGTACGGAACATGAATTGGCGACACGACGACGTCAAAATTCTATATCCTTACATTCTTCGGAGGATTCCAGAATTTCACAGACAGGCGAACGACGGCATCTCCTGGATTTATTAGGAGTTCAACGACACTTTATCAGTCTCACAGGACGCGCCTTTGAGAGGCTACTCTTGTGGCGTTTGGATTGGTATAATTTTATGTATGTCCTACACCCTTTTCTATACATACAGTCAAAAGATCACTGACTAAGGAGATAACAGAAAAGTTCTAAGCCTTCTAGCATCCGGCTATCGCAAAGACGCCATCAAACTCATCGCAGCTCAAGTCATGAAACCCTGCGGTCTCATCGGCCTAGCTCAAGACACACTCGACAGCTCTAGGTCCGAGATTCGCGACATATTCAGCGTCCTCACCAAGGACGGCTCATACCCAATCCTGATCCATTGCACACAGGGCAAAGATCGGACTGGGCTGATTATCATGTTATTATTATTGCTTGTCAGCGAAGCAACAACACCCAGCATACCGCTTACAGCTATAGCGTCGGACTATACAAAATCCGAAGCGGAGTTACGGCCTGATTTGGACTCTTTGATGAAAGAGATTACGGATATAGGGCTGGATGAGGAATTTGCAAAGACTCCCTCGGGGTTTACAGAAGCGATTAAATCGTATCTAGATATGAAATATGGTGGTGCGAGGGGGTATTTGTTGTCGATTGGATGTGAGGAGGGGAATATTGAGAAGGTGAGGAAAAGGTTGTTGTTTAATTGATACTGATACCCCTTTTTTTTTTCTTCTCCTGTATGAACAGTTCCACAGCCTTGAATATATCACTTTCAATGAAGATACATCTAAATCATGAACTTTATCAGAAATAATTAAGCATATTCACTCCTATCCTTCCACCCAGGCTGCAAATACCTCCAATCCCTCCCAAAATTAAACGAAGATACATACTTTCCATACACCACGAGTTCTACCACATCCAACGCGACAGACTGACCCGTCATAGCCCATATACAGATTGCAAGTGTATTCGTTCTCTCACGGCCATCACTACCCTGGATATTGAGTATACCAGGCTGAAACGGGAAGACTGTCTGAGGACCGATATGTGGGAGGTAATGAGCGAACTTGTATCCGTTTAACCAGACATAGACCACCGCTGGACCGGAGGTTGAGGATGCGTTTAGTCGGATGCCGATTGGTACGTCGAGCGTGTGACTATTTGCGCCAAGATCGAAAGTGAATTCTGTAAGGTAGAATCGTCCCGAAGCACCGTGTACACCGTCTGATGGAGACTTATCATCCCACCCGGACTCTGTACTCGGTTTGAATCCAGGGAGATGCCAGCCCAACCGCTCGCCATACAACCCGCCTTCATTCATGGGTCCCCGGAGAGGATCAATGTTTTTCTCTCCACCGGCATTTCCCTGGATTTTCCAGGATGTGAAATCCGTCGAAGTTGGGCCTTGAAAAACTGCGCCTAACAGACCCCGCGGGTTCTGAGCACCGGTTGGTCTGACGTTATCTTCATCATGGCCCGTGTAGTCGACGAGAACGGTGAGGACGTTCTCGGTATCGTCTTGTTTGAGGTTACTACTGTCAAATTTGAGGACGGCGCTGGTTGCTTCCATGCTCGGGTCTCCGGGTTCTCCTCCAACATATTTACCGTTTAACCATGCAGACCACCCAGCTGCATAGCCATTTTGGGCTGTTATATTGACGCCAGTTGCATTAGTATTGCCGAATCTTCCGCGGTAGATTTTGGGTCCGGCGTGGTAACCGTAATCACCAGAGTACAAAACAGGAAAAGACATAGGCGGGATAGAGTTGAAAGTAGTCTTCTTATCGCAGACAACCCAGTTGGAGTCGTCGTAGTTTGGATCAATTTCGGGGATTGTGTTGTGGGATTTCCACGAGGTAAGTTTAGGGAGGGAGATACTGATGTGTTCAGTTCCGGGGATTGTGCCTATCAGACTACCGTAGGCTGTACGTGTAGTGGGAAGGGGTTTGTTGTTCCATGTTATGGTGGATATGGATGGGTTGCCATGGTATATTCTGATGCAAATTAGTCATTGTGATCAATGAGCAAAGTACCCAAAGCAGATAAGACTTACTCGATAGAAGTAGTATTCTCATTGTCACCCCTGAGCTCCAGCGTATGATCCTTAATGGAAGCCTCTCGCACAAGATAGGGCCCTATCACAAAGAGGTGTTCATCTGGCTTCACAATCGGGCTTGATACAAGAGACGGAGCAAAGAAGTTCCATGCAGTGTACTTGTCCAGGAGGTAGACGAGGTATCCATTCGAGAACTTGATGGCCGATACTCCTTTTCCTTGTGTATATGTATAGACTGTTCCATGGCTGGATTGGGAGGTGGTTACGGTTGAGTTGCCATAGACAATGTATTTCAGGCCGGAAGAGCTGCGTGCAAGAACAAAAGTACCGGTTTGACCTTCATTGAGATATAGTACAAGGACGTCAACGTCGAGGGTGGCATAGGTCAGGATATCTGTAGAGCAGTAAAGGAGCGTAGTGTCTCCAACTTTGTAGTCTGTAGCGATAATCTTGCTCTGACGACCGCTGAGTTCAATATTTGAAATCTTGACAGGCCCTATCATGATTAGTACGCATAAATCACCTTCGAGTGGGAGAAGTACCTGTAGAAGTCTCAACTTCAAGATCAAAAACAACATCCGTCACCGAAGAACTATCCTCCTGCGCAACAACATAGAACCCAGCGTTCGTCTCTGGATTCCTCAACGCCCACGTAAAGATATCCGCACCAGTCGTATACCCAGTACCGTTCCCCATCATATCAGTCTGCAGCAGATCCGATGAAACGCGCGTAAACAAGCCCAAAAGTTTCGTCTGTTTCAATTTGTCGCGAATTTCACGAGTCTCTCTCAACGGCGCATTGTAGTCGTACGATGTATATACCACTGGTGCAGCAATATGCCCCCAATTCGTGCCTCCATAAGTCATATACAAACTCTGTAGAGTTATCCGAGATCCAATGTTATTCTTGTAAAAGACATCAGCATACTCAGGGAGAAGCATTGATGAACAGTCATCATAGAATACGTCTCCCCAGGGAGTGAAATAACCGCCTTCAAACTCCGGGAGGAATTCGGGTTGAGTATATGAATAATTCTGGAACCATTGGTAATATGTCCTGATGAGATCGAAGCCCGCGTTGGGGTTTGTGCAGGACAAGCCACCGGGATAACTGTCGAGACCGTAGATGTTGACTGCACCACCGACATTTTCGTAATCCGTGGACCAACTCACGGAACGCATCCCCTTTTCATTATGGGTGCTTGGAACAACAATACCGGCGTCAGCAAGAACTTTTAAGATCTGCTCCATGTACAGCACTAAAGTGTTATTCGCACTATGAGTCGTCTCCTGAAGCTCATTCTCATGCTGAACCAGAATGACGGGTCCTCCTTCAGTTATTTGATTAGCTGCTATTATCTTGCCTATCTCCGTCATCCAGGGTGACCATAAATTATAGTATTGCGAATCACTGGTACGCTCTCTACCCAGTAGACCATTGGCTGCCCACAGAGCGAATCCACCTGCAGACAGTTCGCCGTTGGCGTACGGTCCCGGTCTGGCGATGATATAGATTCCTGTTTCTTTTGCATAGTCAAATAGGCGCTGGATGTTGTGAGCTCCGCTCTCAAAGTCGTATATGCCTTCTGAAGCGCTGTGGTAGTTCCAGAAGAAGTATACTAGTTTAGTTAGGAGAGCGCTGAATATCGAACACAGTGGGTATGGTACCTGAGATGGCATTAAAGCCATTTGCTTTTAGTTTCTGAAACACATCAAGCCAAAGTTCCGGAACAGGAAGACGTAAGTAATGGAATTCTCCTGCAAAGACAAATAGTCTCTCGCCGTTGATTGAAAGACTGTATTTGTCCCATGTTACGGGCGAAGATGAACTCGATGCTGCCATAACCGGGTCGATATCAAACAGTAGCAATACTGTAGTCACAAAACGAAATAACAACATCTCTCCTTCAGGAATAAGCCAGAACTAAGTCCTCCTGGCCCCCTGACAAATGTCTATAATCTCCGAGAGAAGTTCTAGGATATTATACGGATCATTTTCTAACTATCTACCCCTCATATACATGACTCTATCTGGATTACCCCAAATTGTGCGAGTCGCGACAATGATACCCCGTTTCCCTCATGATTGGTGGAACATTTCGTGGAGTTAACATTGGATTTTGCCTATTCGGGAAAGTTGGCTTTGTAGATCAAGGCTGGAATGATCAGGGTTAGGGTTTTAATTTTATACTTCTTATGGGGACCAGAACGCCAGTCCGGTCTTCATGAATAGCTGGATTTCATGAAGCAAAAGTATATAATACGCACAGAGGCCCGAGGATCATACGGCTAGCAAAGTCGGGAATTCCACTGTTGATTAGGAGTTTGCCTCGCAATCCAGGCGACCAAGCGACACGGTCAACCCGGTCTACTTTGTGGGCACGGGAGAACGGTGAATCGCCGGAAGACCGGCCTTCGTGTCCCAGTGTCGAATCCAACTCTCAATGAACCATTAGGAGTGCACCCCCGCAGTTTTTAAAGATGTAAGTGTCAATTGTTGGATAAGAAGTATGGGGAAACCTGGGTACCTCTTGACAAGGAGTTTCAAATAGATTTCGTCTAGTGGGAGTCACACCCTCCTTCATCTATGAACTTTAAAACATGTGGAGAGATATAGCTATACCTATATAAACACAAGAAAAGGCGCCGGATTCTGCCTTTCCAGCTCAAACTTCAAAGAAGCGCGTTTGTGTAACCTTTCGAGGTTATCAACACAGAATCTGTCTTCCATGGCTTCACAACCTGCCATTGTGTCCTCATCGCCAGAGGAACCTATGTCCCGTATAAACTCAAAGACCTTCATCTGTCTCGTGGTTAGTCTAACCTCTATCTCCATGACAAGCTCCCACATTAACCATAACTGAATCCAGGCCGTCAATCTCATCTACCTGGCACAGCTCACCTCTGTCATCGGGACAGGCTTCTTGGCACAGTCGATGGCCCAAGCTGTCGGTGGTACAGACAAGACAGTCTGGTACTCGTCTTGTATCACTATTATGACAGTCGCCTTGAACCCGCCCATCAGTCAGGCTGCCGACTACTGGGGCCGGAAACCTATCCTCATCGCGTCGTCTCTGATCGGCGTGGCCGGATCCATTATTGTATCTAGGGCCCAGAACTCTGGCACGATCATTGCCGGATTTGCCGTTCTCGGTCTCAACTTCGGATGCCAGTCGGTTATCCTGGCTGTCCTGTCGGAAGTTCTGCCCCGACATTGGAGGCCCATAGGCCAAGCGTCTTCCAGCATAGCATCCAGCGTGGGTGCAAGCATTGGACTCCTAATAGGCGGGGGACTTCTCCAACATGGTAATCTCACCAACTACCGTATTTACTGGTATATTCTGGCTGGTTTCTATGTAGTCGCGACTTTGGGATGTTTCATCGGGTACAATCCTCCGCCCCGTGCAGTTCAAGCATCTCTCAGCACGTCAGAGAAGCTCTACCGTCTTGACTGGGTTGGATACCTGCTTTTTGCCCCGGGCCTTGCCTTGTTTTCCATGGCGCTTGCGTGGTCCAAAAACCCATATTCCTGGAACAGTGCCAACATCCTTGCTCCATTCATCATCGGCATCGTCGCAATGATTCTCTTCGTGGTTTACGAGTGGCGCTTCAAGAAAGACGGCATTCTTCACCATGACCTCTGGACTAATAGAAACTTAGCCATCTCCCTGCTCATTATGTTCGTTGAAGGTCTGGCCTTCTTTGCGGCCAACTCCTACTTTGTTTTTGAGATTATCGTTCTATACGATGCGAGCATTCTCTCAGCTGGTACAAACTTTTCCATCATGTTCTTCACAGGCCTGGCTTTCTCCCCAATTTTCGGGCTGTGGTCTTCGAAGCTCAAGACAATGCGGCCGCAGTTAATTCTTGGCTGTGTTTTTCTTTTATTATTCTTCATTCTACTTGCAACAGTCAAGATAGACACTCCTCGTTATGCCTTTTGGATATTCCCAATTACGTCTGGCATTGCCCTCGTTTCAATTCTGCCTATCTCAATGGTCTCTGCTCAATTAACAACATCCTCAGAGTTGATCTCATTGGCATCGGCGTTGATGATTACAGTCAGGAGTTTGGGAGGTGCAATTGGCCTGGCCATCAATAACGCCGTTTTAAACGACACCTTGGATACGGAACTGCCTAAGAAAGTCGGTGCGGCGGTGTTGGCACTGGGCCTCCCTCCTTCATCTTTGCCTGAACTTATTAGAGCTTTGGCCACGCAAAGCAAGGCAGCTGTTGCTGCGGTGCCTGGGATCACCCCTGAGATTGCCCAAGCCGCAGTGGTAGCAATGAAAAGGGCATATTTGATGGCCTTCAGGAACGCCTGGATTGTTTCAGCCGCTTTTTGTGCCGTTCTAGTGCTGGGTAGGTCTTTTCTATTTAACTGTATCGAAATAGACGCTTATCATGCCACAGCTTCCATTTTCATAAAGGAACAAAGAGCTGACTTTGACGCTCGCATCGATGCCCCCATGGATGTTGTATCATACGATTTGAAAGCAAAGGATATGGAGATGACAGTCGAGAATAATGGGCAGAAAGAGACGAGCGTGCAGCACAACGAAAATGCTGCATTAGCTGATGACAATAACTGAGGTTGATTAAGTTTCGGTAAATGCAGACTTGAAGTTGACGATACATATGTTTGTTCCAGATAGGTAACTGGTCGTGTGGCTCTCTTTTGGATTCGCATGTGCCCAGGTGACATATCTAAGAACAGTCAAATGGAAGAGAGGTATTGACTTACATGTTTACTGTCGAAATTTGAGGATATAGTTTTGAAAATCCAAAGGAGATGATATATACAAGATCGATCCAGCCTAAAGATATTGTACAAGTCTGCCACGTTAGGCTTCAAATGTTGGTCGCCATGCCCACCCAGATCTTATCCTTGTAACTAGGCACACGTCAACGGCTAATTGTTCTCAAAGACAAAATCGAGCAAGTCCCGCGAATTGAAAGCATTCCGGCTAGCAAAGGGCAAGAACTTGGGGAATTCTCCACTAGATATACTGCTGATATCAACCATTCCGGGCTCTATATACTGTAGATCTCCCGGCAGTTGGGGGAATTGTTGTAGTCCTGAAATGGACACAGGGCAGTTATTCTCATTATCTTTCCCCATTTCCTCGTCGGCTACCCCTAGCAATAAGCCAGGTTGGTTGGATTCAATGTCATTGGAGCAGCTACGGTGGACACGAGGAAAGTATAGCGCAAAACGCTTCTCGAATGAGATGTTTGCTGAATTATGCGCGCCACGGATCAACATCTCTCTTAGATCTATCAAGTTTATGCTTTAGTAAACACCCTCGCTAGTCTGCAGGAAGCGAACATACCTAATAAGACAGAAGCAAGCTTCCAGACTGAGGCATAGTGTGATAGTACCAGCTTTGCCATATCTGTACTTTGGGACGGCAAACCTTGCACTGTCTCCTCTAAAGGGTATGCTAGATCTGACAGCAAGCAGCATGCAAGAAACGGGTGGCTTAATCTAATGTACTCTGGTTGCCACTGGTAAAATATTCGAGACATGTACCGTGAACAGTCCACTATCCCAGGGCGTTGGCGTTTGGTTTCGAAACTGGTCCGTATTGTAGTACGGCTACACAGTACCATCAGGTGCATGGCTATAACCCAATTGAACTTTGTAGCATCTTCAGAGGGCCCAGAGAACTCGAGGCTTTCTAGGTTGAATCTCTGAGAAATGACCAGAGAAAAGCATGTGATGGCATCAACGAGCTCGTCCTTATCGCGCCTACATGTGTATCGACCGCCGGCAAATTCGCCCGCAGTTGCCATGAGGAAGGTGGCAAGGAGGAACCATGCTCGTGCGTCTTGATTCTGCGAATCGAGCAGTATCCCCCAAACTACACACGGCCTCGGGTCAATAATGGGAGACTTAACGGGGGTGTCAGCGAACCAGTTCGCATCACTGACAGGAAGCCGTACAGCTATCATTGAGCGGTTGAGAGAGCTCGGACGTCTCGAAATAGCGGAACCAAACGCTTCGACCTCCCAAACCAGCCAAAAAGCTCGTCGTTGTTCCTCTAAAAAAGACCATTCTCTCGGGATCATGCAGTCGTATTGCTGCTCGTCCATATTGCACAAGTTCAAATCATAGGCCAGACGAACGCAGTCTCCCGCAAGGATCCAGGCACGATGGGAAGGCCCGGAGGCGTATTGGTAGAATGTGAGCAAGATGTAGCCTTGGAGGTGCATAAGTGTCGGGCCTTTTTCAGACATTCGAGTCATCTCGTAATACTTATTCGCGTTGTTTATGAATTGTTGTCCCCGGTCTGATGCCGGAACGTCCTGAAAAAATGGGTCTTGCGAGTGCCGAGCAGCCAGGGCAAATAAGCCACAAAACAAGAGTGACTCAGTATTTGAAAAGGACGAAGGGCTTCGTTTAGAGAAGACTCCGTTCTTCATATAGCGATCGAAGAATCGTGGTCGATGTAGAAGTGGAAGCCAGCATTGGATCTTGTCAAAAAACAAATGAATGAGCTCAGTAAGGACTTGTTCTGGAACTGTCAACCACCACCGGTAGCCTGCATGTTCGTCTCGGTAGTCATCTGTCAAGTCGTGAGCTGATGAGGATGGTGTGAGCGAATCGTCGATGATATGAGGATCCAATGTACTAGTCGGCGTTCTCGTTGAAGAAACAGCTTCGGAAGCGTTTTCATCTCCTGTTTGTAGATCTCGCTCCGTATTATCGGCCGAGGTCAATGTACGCAATCCACTGTCACTGGAACAAATGGTTGAATGATTCGTCCCAGACAGCTGCCACGCCAGCAGATCAACATCCCCTTCATTGCCAAGGCGTGACTCGAGCAAACCAAGGAGGCGTTCTGGTACAAGCATTAATGTTGAAGATTCTTAAGCATGTGTTAGCAGCGCGAAGACTTTACCAAGCTTCCGTGGATCAACTCTGGGTTCATTCCGGTGGGCGACTGATGGCCGACGCACATCTGGCTTCTTTCTTTTGACGGGAAAGGAACAGGACCCGCCAGTTCTCTCGCAAAGTCCACAAGTGGGTTGTCTCATATCGCCTAATAAGAACAGATTAGTTATTAGGGAAGTGGTTGTGACATACAGGTCATGGATACTTACATTTTGTCTTCTTCCTGTAGGAAGAAAGAGGCTTTACATTAGTATTCGGCTCATGAAACGATAAAACGGGATATACATGCCGTCTACATTCGAAACAGGCGCGATGACCCTTCCATGTCTTGCGGGCCAGGTCATCCTGTGCAGTGTGCATTTGTTGGGAGAAGGTCGTATCCATGGCAACTTGGACGTATCTCATCAATTGGAAAAACAAGATTGGACGTGCTTAACTGGAGGGATGACTTCCTTTTTCCAACCTCCGCATAGAGCATTGTCGGGACCCGCAACCCCAGACTTGCGGGGTTGATTTGAGCCACTTCATCGCTCTATTCTGGGTAGACGAAAAGCAATCAAACTCTGTATTGCTTCCGAATATTCCGAGCGGTGGAATCGGAACACAATATATTTTCAGATGACTTCTCCGCACTTCTGACTGGGCGCTGAGGCGAGGAAGAAAGTTATACACACCCGCGTATTGGATGCTGTCTTTGAGACTCGGTACAGTGGGCACGGCGAACCACGGCATTCGTGTAATACCGCGATGGAGCTATGTTTAACTTGCCATCGTACACGGCACTGTATCTCGGCTCCTCAAAGACAGACGCACTGGACCGGACCACGATTAGTTAGCTGCCCATGGCGATAGGGCATCAATGACAGTCTGCAGTGTTACTTCCTACACACAATGGTCTGGCACCCATCGGGTTTAAGGCTCATGTTTTGGGACAGTCTCGCTGTTGTCTCTGAGAAACGAATTCAAACTGTACCTACGAGTACGGTCACACCCTCTCATCTGTCCAAATACCAGGTTTTTATTCACTCTTAAGTGCCGGACACGATTGCCGGATAACGGACGCCGTGCTACCCCGGTTCAACCACGGGATACCGATGTAGTTGGGGAATCTTTTGCTTGGTGAAAGTGTCCACAACAGCAGGAAGATGCCGCTTATATATACCTGGGTATCGCAGATCTCATCCTCTCTCCTACAAGCACCCGTGGACATTCAGGAGTTAGATCAATTCCAAGAATATGGTAAGACTTACTTCTATATTCAGCTTTTGTACGGTATGTCTTACGAACCTTGGGCTCATTCACTCGTGATTGTAGGATGGCAAGTTAGATCCCGTCGTCGTCGTCGTCGGCGCAGGCCCAGTTGGCCTATTTACAGCACTACTCCTTGCACAGAAAGGTATAAAGGTAATTGTGTATGAGACGGGATCCGGCATCGATCAATCCCCTAGGGCCGTGGTGTAAGTTCCGCGTTAACATCCTGGTTGGACCATCCGTTAAGTTAACCCTCTCTGCAGGTATTTTCCCGCGGTGCTTGAGGAATTCTCAAAAGCTGGAATTCTAGAGGCTGTCATCGCTGCGGGAGAAAAACGCTGTGAAGGAGTCGACTGGAGGGATAGAGATGGAAAGGTCATCGCGGGAATTGACCCACCTCTGGAAGATCCTCACTACGTTGTTGTGTTGGCTCAACCAGAATTTTGCGAGGTTATCCTAGATGCCCTTGTTAAGACTGGCAACGCTGAGGTCCATTTCAACCACAGATTGCAAACCCTTCAGCAGGGTGACGGATTCGTTGAATACCACGTCGAGAGCAGGGAGAGCACATTGACAGGAAAGTGTCAGTATCTCGTCGGAGCAGATGGCGGTCGAAGCACTGTCAGGCGTAATCTGGGCATTGAGCTTGAGGGCTACACCTGGAAAGACTTGCTATTTGTTGCCGTTAACTTCAAGTACGGGTTGAGCGAGCTCGGTTGGAAAGCCGGGAACTTCATCGTTGACCCTGAAGATTGGGGCGTCATTGTCAAGCGAGGCAAGGGTAGGAGCTGGCGAATAGCCACGGGAATTCGGCGTGCTGGTGCATCTACAGATAGGATAAATGCGCTTGATGAAGCCACAATCAGCGTTATCAAAAAAAGGTTGTGTCATATGCTTCCGGGGGATACAAGTCAGATTGAATATGAAGCGTTTGCCCCTTACGTCGTTCACCAGCGATGTGCCTCTAGCTATATACAAGGCCATGTCATATTAGCCGGGGATGCTGCTCATGTAAGTTTTCCTTCATGGGTTTGTTTGTTACGCCATACTAATGTAGATGGCAGCTCAATAATCCGACAGGTGGGCTTGGACTGACGACTGGTCTCCTCGACGCTGCGCACCTCGGTCGGAGCTTACTTCAAATACTGAACGAAGGAGCCAGTCCTGAGCTGCTACAATCCTACGCTGAGACAAGACGACGTATCTTCCGTGAAATCACCGATCCCATGTCGACTGCAAATCTACTTAGATTACATTCCCAGAAGCCGGAAGATATCAAGAAAAGAGAGGAGTTCTTCAAAAACCTTCGTGACCGGAAGGACATGGCTACTATTCTCATGGCCGGTCTTCCAGATTTTGCACTGACCTCAACGTCAGAAACCAAGTTTGATACTTATCATGAGGTGACTTGGTTCATCTCAGTCACTAAACCCGACGGATGGCCCACGGAAAAGTTCATTCACGAGTACAAATCCGTTCATGCTGGCATGACTAGACAAGCGAAAGAGGGCGGCTCGCCGCTTAGGGCATATATCCAAATATCCAACAGCAAGCAGACGATGAAAGGAGGAGTACGACCGGAGTGGGATTATGTTACACGCCTCACATTTCCCAACTTATTCATCGTCCACTCGTCATTTCAGGATCCTGGCTACCGAGCAACTGCGGGTGCACACATTTTTTGCCGGCTGGGTCAGGAAGGCTGCTTGGCCAGGCAAGTGGCAAAGTTCTCAAGAAGCGAGAAAACCAGCAATACTAGTGTCTTGATGTTCCACAACCGAAACGAAGCGAACGACGAATACTCCCAGGAATGGTTTGAGAAACGAGCTGACGGCATGACCAGCATTGCCGATGGGGATGAGAACGTTGTAGAATACGTCCTATGGCGAGATATCGCCCCCAAAAATTCGGACTATTTTTTCCGGGATACCCAGTTCTCTGGCGGCTCATGGCACAACTATAAAGCCGTTGAGGGATTTGACTTTGTCGATGAAGATGCTGCTGCTGCTTTTCTAGATTGTCACAGGGACGAGATCACGGAGAGGAGTACATTACAGATCACTGTCGTTATAGGAGAGCCGGATCACATTATCCGGAGTGATGTGTCGTGACAGATCTATAATTCATTGCGTGACATGATATTGAATAAATCCCTCTAGAAACTCCACACAACTCGATGGATTTTCTCGGTCACGCCACTTACTCCTGAAGGATTTATAGTATTGTGTAGGTATTATTGAATAGGAACTATATGTAGGTATTTCAGCTACCTAAGTAGGTATTCCCATGTAGTTAAGCAATGTAGGTATTCTCCCAACCTGTATAAAACCCTCTGATGTCTTCTCCAAAAAATCATCTAACAATTCAATGTTCACATTCCATCCCATTGCAACACCTGTCTTGCACAATGGACGTCCTACTCGATATCTGCGACACCTTCGTCTTTGACCGGCTATATGCCACCGTCTTACCAGTAAAAGCCTTCATCAGCAATGACACTCTACACGATGTAGGCAATCAAGCATACAACAAACAGGTCCAACTATACTATCCTCTACAACCATCTCAATGGGCTTCATCCAGCTCCTGGAGCCGAGACTACCTCCCTCGACAGGCTTTGTCCTTGTTCCTCATAACATGGTACAAAGTGCTCCCCAACCTTTTCATACTCCATACTAACAGAGCTTAAAAAGGCTCTTCGGCATATCCATGTACCTCCTCGGCAGTACCCTCCTCTACTACACAATCTACAACAAACAACTACTCAAACACCCCAAATTCCTGCGCCAGCAAATCCGTCAAGAAATCCGACAAAGTCTCCTCGCAATGCCCATAATGGCCATCCTAACCGTACCGTTTTTTCTCGCTGAAATCCACGGTTACACAAAACTATACGACTTCAGCCCTGACCCTGCCCTCCAGATACCATTTGGCATCTCCGGCAACGTATACAAATACATCCAATACCCATTCTTTATCCTCTTCACAGATACGGGTATATACTGGATTCATCGAGCCATACATCATCCTTTAATCTATCGGTTTGTCCACAAAAGACATCATAAATGGATCGTGCCTACCCCCTATGCAAGTTATGCTTTCAACCCTGTTGATGGATGGCTGCAGAGTTTGCCCTATCATATTTTCCCGTTTGTGTTTCCGTTGCAGAAGGGTGCTTATTTGGGATTGTTTGTGTTTGTGACTGTTTGGACGGTTTTGATTCGTAAGTTTTTCCTCTTTACTTCCAATATTTTAGAGGGTTTGTTGCTGATGGTGGTGGTAGATGATGCGGAATATCTGTCGTATTCAAAGCTCATCAATGGTGCAGCGTGTCATACCATGCATCACCTCTATTTTAATTATAATTATGGACAGTTTACGACGTTTTGGGATCGGGTTTGTTGGACTTATCAGACGCCGAGTGAGAAGGGTATGATCGTCGATGAGGTCGAAAAGGAGAAGAAGAAGAAGACTAGGTAGAGGTCGGAAATCGCGCCCGAGAGCTATGTACTTTCTTTCCTGGCTGAGCTTGTACATTACTTTCATATTGAAGATTTCCTTCCCCTAGCAGATAGAATAAACTCATTCAACTTCCCCAAATCATCCGTAGCAGCACTATCCAAATACTGAAACCTTTTCCCTTTGTTCTGCGTCTGATTAGTAGTAGCATCAAGTGTAGTCATCAACAACCACCATAATTCCTCTGCATGTTTCGGATATCCTAGATGCAAGTTTTCTGTCGTTGTCACGCCATTGATATGATGGAGATGACTTAGGACGGATTTCCATAATTTGTGCCAGTTCATGGCGGCGTGTTTGATGATGTCTATTGATATAAACCCGAGTAGACCGGATCGGGCTTGAAAGGCGAGAGAGTTCATCGCTATTTCTGATCAGTAGATATATACGGAAAGAAGTAAGGTACATACCGTATATCAGCATAAGGAGGTGCTCTACAGATAAAGATCGACCCCAGGATATGTGTTGATTAGAAGAAGGCATCTGGAGCAAACCCTCCGCAACTTTGCGGAGCGTAGGAAGTGACGGCACAGTCGTATGAATAGTGACGGTATCGTTGAATGTAGACACATTCTCAGACTCAAACAGTTCAGTACTCCACGGAAAATCACAATCCATCTCAAATATTGATAATGATGGATGGTTCTTGAAGCATACAGTCAAAAAGCCATCTGCAAGGAATGCCCAGCAAGCAACCCTTCAATAAACAGAACATTAGAAGACTATACCCAAGAGGGTGTGGAGACTCACCGAATACAAACCTCCTCCGCCGCAAGATCCCTCCATTTATTCTCACCATCACAAACCACCGGAGCCTCCCTCCGCTTATAATGAAACAACCCCATAGACCGTATCGTAGACACCAAGCACGGATGTCTAATAATTCGAATCCGTCGCCTGGTTTGCGGATCTCCCTGAGAGAATTGAAGCATCTCAAGTATAAGTGCTGCCTGAACTATTTCTATCGTTGAGCCTTTGATCGGGTGGTCGTTTAATGTCGTTGCTGCTGTGGCAACCCTGCGGAAAACATACTCCTCAGCAACGCTGAGCAGGGATGGTAGTAATAGATCAGAGCCACTGCACGGGATAGTATACACTGCCCCAGCTAAGAAAATAGCTAAAAGAAGACAATTCGATACATTGGCCGGATCGAATGTTGGACAGTGCACGACGGGCATATGCCAATGCAGGGAATGGAAGAAAGCTGTGACAAACACGGTAAGATTCTGAACGGTGAACAATGTATGCAGCTCCGTGAGGTCGAGAATATCCGCTCCATCCCCAGAATCAAGACGCAGCGATCGTGATGTTTCGACTAACTCTCTCGCTATCTCATATAACTGCCTCGGCAGCTTGGCTGCGTCATCGGGGATGAATGCATAAAATTGATCGTAATATCCGTCCCCAATCCCCGAACCAGTGTCAAAACCCAATAACCTCGGATCCACAACGTCACCAATAAAAGACTCCATCGAGTGAGTATTTGTGCCAGAGACACCAAGCAACGAAAACGCACTCGCAAGATTCCTCCTGATCGAATACCCCGCCGTCTCCGAAATGGCTAATCGATCATATTTCACCTCTGGATCGGTGAATCGTAACAAGAAATAGAACGGCTCATTACCCATAAAATTTCTGCTGCCGCCGCTGGTCGTCGGAATGATAGACCTCGAAATATTGATAGAAGACTCTGCCAAAGAACATGCATACCCCAATCCCCTACACCGCACGCACGGAATCAAGGATCTATCACACGCCGTCCTAGCAGCAAAACATTCATCGCAAGACGATTTCTTTCGTCCTGCTCTTGCTGGCGGGGGGATGGGTTGGTTATGTTTTTTGGCGCATGTTTTGCTGTGTCGTCTTGCTACCTCCCTATCCAAATCAGCTTTTTTTTTGATAGCGTTAAGGATACTGGGGAAGGATGTACGGTTTTTGGAATTCCTTTTTGCAGATTGGACAGCTTGCTGAGAGGTGAGTTGTATCTGGTGAATTATTAGTTGTCGACGGGAAAGAGGAGAGGACTTGGTTAGGGTCGTATACATACGTGTTAATTCATGACGGAGTAAATGGCTCTTTCGGGAGTATGATTTGTCGCATTGAGAGCATTGGAACATCTTGATATTAGTGCCATTCAGAGACTGTTATTTGACGTCTTACTATGTCAACTGGTATATCGTATAGGTTGAGAAGTACTTGGTTGCCTGAGGACGGAACGAAAGGGTGTAGTTCCGGATTGGAGCCTCAGGCAGAAATTCACCCATCAGTAAGATAATTGAAAGTACAGTTGATTAGTTATACAGTACATATTGCCTATAGGTACACATCACATCTGTAAAAAGTATAAACCTCAAGTCATCATAATGAAAGCGAGCGTATACACTAACTAAATGGTTTGGGGATATTGCCATCATAAACAAGAAACAAGAAACAAGAAACAATAATCAAGTGGCAGAAATCAAAATCAGAGATCCTCAGAAAACTTCGAATCCCTCGCAGAACCACTCAAACTCCTCCGTTCAGCCTGCACCAAACTCGGAGGCAGCGGTAACGACTCCTCCGTAAAACTATCATGTAATTCATTCCGTTCCATCGTATTCAACCTCGGGACTTGTGCTGGTCGCGTAGACATTGCGGTTGTACCAACTGTTCTACTAGCACCAGTAGCAGACGGACTGGCCTCTGTAGGAGAAGCCAAGGGTGATCCTGCATCAGAGGTCGATTTTCTGGATATTATTCCGCGAAGACTCATTCGTAGACCCTTTTTACGTTTGTCTTCTCCTGAGCTGGATCGGTTTCTGTCGGTTGAATTTTCGGTTGAACTACTCCACTGCCGGGAGACTTCTTCGTTTACTGCGTCTTCTTCAGCTTGTGGTCGTTGGGGCGCAAGATCGGAGACCAAATCTGTATCTAAGACGGGATTGGATGTTAGAGCCGCCGCACGATGAGTAGCTTCTGCTGTTGAGACGCCGGTTGAAAGTTCACTTTCTTGTCTGGTGGGTTCTTCAGGTGGTTGGGGTTTGCTGAAGCGTCGACTGAGTTTTCCTTTGAACCAGGATTTGATCTTGGATTCTGATTTTGGGGATGTCGGCGAACTTGTTTGTGGTTCTGCATCTGCGGTATCGGACACGATCTGCTGGTGGGATGGCTGTGTATTGTCTTCGGTTGTTCCCACGGTGGTAGACTCAACAGGTCCTGTTGGGGCAGTATCGCTCGTAGGTCCTTGTTCGACCTGCTCATTCACACCACCGCTAGGAAGCGCCTCTTCACGACTGCCATTTGTCTCCGGCTTCTTCCAAGAAGACTTCCTAGAAGTACGAGAGAAGAGCTTTCCACCACCCATCAAAGATCGTCTCCTACCAAGAAGGGATCCTTTACTTTTCTCTTTCTCCTGCACCGCTGCTATTTTACATGTTAGCTATGATGATATGATGAAATAAATCCAGCAAAACGTACCCTCTTGCCTCCTCTCCTCCGCTTTAATATCCGCCTCTCTCTCACGATCCGTCTCTTGCCTCCTTTGCTGTCTCTCCTGCTCCAACCTCTGCTCAACCTCTCTGGCACGCTGCTCCTCAACCCGATTATCAATTTCATCCAGGGTAGGCTGAATACGAGATCGTGCAATAGCCTCAACCTCCGTCTGATCCATATACCTCTCACCACCAACATCAACCCTACCCCAATTCATTAGACGGGCCTCACTCTCTTGCTTTGCGCGTAGTTGTGCTTTTTCTTCCCATTCACGCTGCATACTCGGCGAGGGTTTTCCAGTATGCGCGTATACTTGCTCATCCATATCATGAATAGCGGCGTGAACATTCTTTCGTGCGATTTCCATCAAATCCGCTCTATCCTTGGATTTCTTTTCATCAATCGCATTTACGCGACTCTGTAGAGAGGTCATTTGGTGTCTGATCCGCTCAGATCTCTGCCAATCAATTGCAGATACGTCTCCCTCACTTGACGTCCTCCTCCTCAAACGACGAGTAAACGTCTGACGTGACTTGGAGCTTGCAGCAGTGCCGTAATATTCCTGCTTATTATACAAATCATCCCTTTGCATCTTTGCAAGTTTCTCTGCCGCAATCTTCTGTGCGGCTTCATGCAGATTTGGCGTCGGCCGCTGTGTCGCATTGTACTCATCTCCAGGCGCCCATGAAAATTGAGACTGCGAGTACCGATGCGATAACCGCTTTTGTGCAGCCGCACTTGCGAAGTCAGTTTCATCGGAGGGCTCCTCTTTCGTTGCAGCAGCCGAGGCATACATATCCCTTGCCATGGAAACGGCGGCCGCTCGAAGAGTATCTTTGTACCTCTGCTCTTCAAGCTCAATCTCTACTGGAGGTGTGGACGTATATAACTGCACATTCGTCCGCGCAATATGGTGTATCCGGGCAGCTTCCATTCCCGGCTCAAGATCACTCAAGACATCATTCCGAGCATCCTGACTGGCTCGATGCGAGATAGTCGCTGCAGTAAGCGCAGCAGCAGTATCGAGATGAAACATTGGCTTTGTAGGCGCAGACTCGGTCCTTCGTCGGTTAGATACAGCTCCTGTAGCAGCCATCAAGGCCCCTGGACTGAACTGAGCACTCTCTCGTTGTGATGCACGCCTTTTCTCAAATGCAGCTTTATCAGATTTCAGCTCCGGAGGACTAGTGGCTGGTGGAGAAGTAGTGTACACCCGTTCTTGAGCAGCTAACAAAGCAGCCTTGTAGACATCCGGATTGGGCTGCTTGGGAGGAGCTGGTTCGGGGGATTGGTAGCTTCGTACAAAGGCAGCCGCTTTTTCAGCGTAAGGCTGTCTCTCGGGATGCCAGGCTGTGGTAGTCTTTTGATTTGCATGAGCAAGACTTGCAGCGGCACTAGCATTGGCGAGAGTGAGACCTGCAGGAAGCGATGCTATACCAGACCAATTAGTCATGTGACTTTAGAGTTTTCTGTGGCAGGGCATACTCTGATTCTGCGATCCTTGCGAGAGTGCCTCGCTTCCGGCACGTTTCCGCTTGGGATTCGTCGCATACAGCGCGGCCGTAGCAGCTGTCGCATGTCAATTGAACGTCGGGCTTCTTAAGCCGGAGGTACAGTAACATACCGTGATCAGCTAATTGAGCAGAGCCCACATTGCTGCTCCGTACAGCAGCCATATCTGTGTATGCACCTCGGTACTTGTCTCGGTTGCACGTTGTATCAGGCTGACACGAGCATAGCCTCTTAAGCAAATAAGAAAAAAGATAATCAACCAGATCAGATCATAAACATAACCCACGAAGACAGTACACGTAGTACAAATATACAGACAAAAATCCGCAACACCACACTTAAACAGTGGTGAAGAAAGAATAAAAAGTCATCTCATCATATATACAACGTAGTGGTGATGGGGAACCGAAAGCTCCGATGAAAGAGAGCTTAGTGGATTATGACGAGTGACGTAGTTGGGGCTGAACTACTAATCCTAGATGGGGATAGTGGCGATGCGATGGAGTTCTTGTGATCAGATGGCTATGTGGCCAATCAGAGTACTTGAAATTGTTAAGGGAACTCGTGGCTTCCTTTTTGGGATAGACTTCTTTCCAAATGCGGCTTGGTCTATGTTTGTTTAGGCTTAGTGGTATAGATCGTCCTTTCTTAGAATCTTAAGTCAGCACTGGTGGTGTCTAATTGGTCGATCTCCGCGCATTCTTGGTCAGTGTGGCTTAAACTTCAAGTTCGGGGTTTGGGTTTTTATACTGCGTCATGTTGATGATACTGCCATATACAGGCATTACACTGGGAAAAAAGAAATAGGAGCTAGTTAATGGTATATCTAATATAATGCTATTACAGATGAAGCGCCTTCAAAATATTATGCCGCGCAAAGAAGGATCGGTTTCGCTTGCCAAAGACATCTGCAGGATGGATCAGTATGGGGTATCTCGAATTGGGAAATAACTTACACATAGGAATGGCCAGCAAGCAGATACCAATTTGAATCGTGCCAATGGCAATAAACGGTGCACGGGATCCTGCCTTGACAACGAGCCAGTCGTACGCAAAGAAGGTGAGAATGAAACTAAAGATGTTCTTGAAAAATAGCATGCATGTAAATGCTTCGACGGCGATTTGACCTGTAATGTCGAGTCAGTAAACAATCAAACTTGAGCCGATGGAGGACTTACGATGTGCATCCACGATATATAGTGCACTCGAAACAGCACCCATCACCATGCCCATGACGACAAAAGCAAAAAATACATCCGGAATGAGCCAGCCGTATCGTCTGACATTCTCTGCAGTAATTCCAAATCCATAAAGCCCAATACCGCTGAAAAGTAACTGGAAAAACACAAGAACAATTCGAAATTCGGGCTCGTAGGTGCCCTTATTGAGTTTGATCATGCGCTTGTTGATCCAGTCAGACAGCAGACCGGAAAATATCAGACCCAGTATTGATCCGATGAAAGCTCCTGTGTATAGATAGCCAGTCTTGACTTGGTCGAACCAGAGTGGAGGCCCGAGAAAGACAGCTGCCAGGACAACACCGATGAATACCGTCCATCCTATAAGTACGCCTTGCGTGAGGCAGGCCTATCATCTGTCAGTATTGAGTGACAAGGATATAGTTTCTAGACATACCCAAAGAATTCCAGGGTGGAAGAAGAGAGGGAACGGCCGGAGAAACAATTTGATAAAGTTCTCGTCCGTCTTCCTCCCGTTGAACAGTTTGAGTGTCTGCCAGTAAGAGTATTGCGTGTTCCGCGTCTTTGGTGTAATCTCGTTTGTCGGCCCCGATAGATGTTGTTTCTCTTGCACATTTTGATTACGAGCATCGGCAGACAATTGTGAAGCCGGGTCGACGATGTCCGTTTGGGAGTTTGTTACATCAGCATCACCAGAGAAATCCGGATTCAGATAGTCAGCCCTGCGATACGCAGTTTCCGGGACAAAGAAGAAAATAAGGGGCAAGCCCGCTGCCGTAAATATCGCAACAAAGTAAAAGGACCACTGCCATCCCAACGTTTCCGTCATCTTACCAACAACCACCGGCGTCAAAAAGGCGCCACCAAAGAGAGCAACGTTTGAGAATGCCATCCGTTTCCCGCGTTCCTACAACATCTCAATAACCTGTCATAGAACAATCCAACCGGTTGGGGGTGGGGGGCGAACTCACATGCATAAAGTATAAATCGCCCACACAAGCATTCACTAAAGCTTCAAACGGCGCCAAAGCAAACCCCTGAAAGACTCGAGCAGCCACCAAGCTTCGCCAGTTCCCTGTACTTCCTCCCGCCCAGGCAGCACTGATGATCATCAATATATTACCGAATATAAATAGATGCCGTTTGCCCCATATTCTCGCCGTCGGCACACATAGTATACCCGCCAAACCGACTCCGAGAAGATGATAACCCGTCAACAAAGCGACCTGCGTAAAGTCTCTTCTATAAGCGAGAGCGATGGTGACGGTGTTTGCGGCCATGATGGGACTCATGGTAGTACAGATGACGGCGACGAGAGAAAGGATAGCTAGGATTAGATCGCGGCGCCATAGCGGCCAGTTCTTCGCCGCTTGTTAGTTTGCTTAATTGGATTGTTTTGCGAGACATACCAATGGATCATAAGGGTCATCGCTTGGTTGCGGAATGAGAAGTATAGGGACTGGACCGGAGCGATCGTATTTTAGCCATGGCTGTTGCTGGTCCGGTTGTCTGTGAGTGACGTCTGTGCTTTCATTTACGTAGGATGTTCCTGTTGAAACTCATGTTGGTTAGCATCCTTGGGAAGTGAGTGTCATGGGGCAGTCAGAATATACCCGGAACATGATCCAACTTGGAGTCTTCCAACACACCCAGGCCCATTGCAAAGCGTATATAGAGCTAGCATCAGATAGATGATGAATGCAAAAGTCAAGTTCAGGTTGCAATAACCATAAACCTAAGGAGGATGAGTACTGGAGAGCTAAGAGGAAGTATGCATCCAGGCTGATGGATTTAGGTCTCGGCAGACTGTACCCGCGAGTAAGTGTAAAATACTGTACACATACACCCAGGCCAATCGAACATTACGGCAAACCTCGTGACTTTTTGGCTTCTCCTGTTTGGTGGTCGCCCGGTCAGACCTGGCTTCATGTGTGTTACGGCTTCTGATTGGCTGTACCCCGGATTTCTTCAGAGGATGTACGGTGGGTGGGGCCAGTGATGGATTTATCGATTGGTCAATGCTCTATTGATACTCCTGCATTTACCGTATCGAGGTAATAGTACGTACATTGATACAATATTACGTACGATGTCACGTACAATGTCACGTACATACAGCCATAATATCATGACATACTACAGATTCAGTGACAATGACCCGCACCGTATGACTGTACCGTACGACACGGTATCGGGCTGCTCCGAAGTTTAAGCTTAAGCCAAGGTTCATCCTTGACTCTGACCCCAGGCCAATGACTCTTTCCCCCTGTGTCACTACAGCTGGAATTTTCTTTTAACCTGCGTCTGTGTCACTCTCAGTTCCATCTTTCTACTCTCTACCAAAAGTACCTCTCAATTCTCTAATTGACCATTCCAATCTTCATAATCATCATGAAGCTCACAACCGGCATCATCTCTGGACTCGCTCTGTGCGTTGTCAATGCCGCTGCGCAGGACCTTAGTTCTCTGCCCCCTTGTGCTGTAAGCTACTGCTCTTTTCATCGGTTTCAAACCAGGTCAACTAACCCATACATAGAAAAGCTGCGCTACCAATGCTATGCCTGCCTCTTGCGGTCTAGACGTCAAGTGTATCTGCAGTGCTGAATCCTTTATTACCTCTGTCTCCTGCTGTGTTGCCAAAGTCTGTGACCAAGCCGACCAACAAAGTAAGCCTAACTCCCCCGACTGAAATCGGTACCAGTGACTGATTCTCCGCAACAGCAACCCTCCAGTTCGCAGAACAACTCTGTGCCGGCGCCGGAGTCACAAATCTTCCCAGCGCCGCCGGTTGTTCCAGCACTGCTTCGGCTACCTCCACTGCTGATGCTGCATCTGCCACCTCGTCCAAGACTACCGCTGCATCCTCTGCCGTGACTTCTGCACCCACTTCGGCTTCTGTGGCGAGCTCCGCGACTTCCTCCAAGACTACTACTGGTTCGGCATCCGCTGCGTCGACAACCCATACTGGAGCTGCTAGTGCCGTGGCAAAGGGTAATGGTGTTGCAGCTGCGGGTGCTGGTGCTGCGGCTATTTTGGCAATGTGTTTTGTCTAGGTCCTGTTGTACACTTGCGTCATGTACAACATTCTGGCTTTGTCGTGTAGTCTCAACTGTCATAATTAGCTAATCGTGAATTGAGGTGTTGAAAGTTTCGAGCGTATATTTTATATGTCGCGTCTAGGTTAGCATGCATAGCTCTATTGTACATTAACCAAAATCTGTTTACTGGAGATTCCGTTCGTTCTCGGCAGCTTGTTGCTGTGCTAGGCGGGTAACCACCTCCCGTCGCTCCTCGCGCACATTGGATAATGCCTATATCCATCGATCAGTCTCATCATTTTCAAACCAACGGTAACAGGAGCAGGACAAACCCATAACCAAAACATCATCTCCACAAACGCAAAAGTAAACACAATCCGATTCCTAACCTGATCCAACCCGTTCCTCACTTGCCCCTGACCCACCCACGACTTCTTACCAGTAGCACCAGACGAATCACCCGTATATATGAACAACGAAACCGCAAAAAAGAAAACAAACCGAGCACCAGCAATAAAAGTCCAAATTTCATTATATATCGTCGCCAATTGTATCGTCCATGAATTTATGGTTTGTTTCGGTTTTTGTAAAGTGATTCGCGAGAATCCTCTATCCTCGGTTTGGCGTTGTTCGCGTTGGAGGTTGGTGAGGATGGAGTCGAGTTGGGGTAGTTTGCCGACGACGATGAGGTCGATTAGGGCTTCGCTTACTAGGAGGATTGCGCAGATTGAAAAGGGGAATTGGGAGGTTGACATTGCTGGGTCGAGGTCCTGTATCGACTTAGTTTGATTCTCGTAAGGGTAGAAGGAAGGGGATGTACGATTTGCATTGCTTCGCCGATTATGAAGATGAGATCTGACTCTGTGATGGAGCTGGGGGACGTGATTAAATAAACAGCAAGGATGAACATGAATAGCGCATGCAATTGGATGAGAGTTTTGGAGGATAAAAATGTCATTTTGTAGTTTGTCAGGCCAATGAGCCTGTACTTTGACTGATGCTGTGTTGTGTTGGAGAAATGGTGCCAAGGGAGAAGGCTGAAAAGCTCTAGCAGAACTGTCTCCACAGTGCGGGTCAATCCCGATGTTCGTACGGAGTAGTCTAGATTCGATCAGAACAAAGAATGCACTTTCAGAAAGAAGATAAACGAAATTGAGAACAATAGGGTCGCCTCTTTGTGCGCTGTGATGCAGATAAATGGTCCTCGCTTACCATTTAATCTGCTCATCTGCTGATATCTTGGAGAAAAAAAGATATCAAATATCTTAATATCTACAATACCGCAAACTACAACACAGGAAATCAGGAAAAGAGAAAACCATGTCGTCAACAACATTCAATAAAGAAAGACACATCAAATACTTCCTCCGTTGTCTCAAAACCCTCTTACCTTATCAATACACCACCGGTGACGGAGGCCGCGTTCTTCTTGGCTTCTTCACAATCGCAGGCCTCGACTTGCTCGGCGTCCTGCACGAACAAACCACCCCCGAAGAACGTCAGGGATACATAAACTGGATCTATCACTGCCAACACCCGCGGGGGGGGTTTCGAGGATTCACAGGTACAAAATTCGGAGATGCACAACACGATCGCGATAATGCGGGGTGGGATCCTGCGAATATTCCATCTACTTTTCTAGCGCTTGAGACTTTACTCATTTTGGGGGATGATTTGTCGAGAGTGAAGAGAAAGGAGTGCTTGAAGTGGTTGCCCAAGTTGCAGAGGCAGGATGGTAGTTTTGGGGATATGCTTGGTGCTGATGAGAGGATTGTGGGCGGGAATGATTTGAGATTTTGTTATTGTGCGGCTGGGATTAGGTATTTTTTGCGTGGTCCGTACGGCGCGGGGGTGGAGGATGTGAGGGATATTGACGTTGCAAAGCTGGTTTCCTTCGTGCAGTCGTGTCAGGTTCGTTGCTTTCCCTTTCTGTCTACTTCAATATATATGCTGACATGTATAAAGTCATATGATGGTGGTATGGGAGAGACACCATTTCGAGAGGCTCACGGTATATCCTACGCCCGTCTGTTTGAGGAGACCTAGCTGACATGCTCCGTTAGCTGGCTTGACATACTGTGCAGTGGGAGCCCTCGCTCTATTACAGAGGACAGGCTCTTTAGGCGCCCAACTAGCAGTTCTCTCTCCAAAGACTGAAAATTATCAGTCCTTACTTAGATGGCTAGTTTCGAGACAGACCTCCGATCTGGGGGCCGAAGACGAAGAAGACGACGAAGCAGACACTAAAGGCGATTCGGCATCGACAGTGGAAACACAGGACGAAAGCACCACGAATTTGAGTGAACAGATTGACAAATTACCAGAATGTTTGCCGATCCATGAAGAGTCGTTGAAATGGGCAGGATTTAACGGGCGTCTGAACAAAATTGCAGACACATGTTACTGCTTCTGGGTGACTGGGACATTGGGTGTAAGTATCTTTCAAGCATCCTGCCGTTATATGTTCCTGTACTAATGAATCTAGACAATGAATCAGTTATCACTCATTGATGCCCCCGGTGTACGACACTACCTCCTCGACAAGACACAGCATATCGTCGGCGGTTTTGGCAAATCAGTAGGAGAAGTACCAGGTAAACACGGCCCAAATCCAAATTCTGCCTGATTCCTTGCTGATTGACCGGATCGTAGATATTTATCATTCGTATCTGGGCATGATCAGCCTAGCGTTAATAAACGAGCCCGGTCTTGAGCCGGCGGATCCGACGCTGTGCACAGGAGTCAGTGTGATGCAGAATCTCAAGAGTTTGCTTTGGTGGAAGGAAGGTTGATCTATCGAAAGCAAATCAGGAATTGTACGCAGAGAAAACATTGAAGTTGAAGAAAATAATGCCAATATTCAATGCAAAAGCAAAGGAATAGCCAATCACAGCCCCGTAAATGCATTATGTCATGGGTTCTAATCCACCCAGCCAATCACAGAATTGTGCCAGCATTCTCTCATTTCTTCTTGTTTTCTTCTTTCTTCTTCTTCTTCTTCTTCTTCTTCTCTCAGTACTATATTGCGATATCTTCATTCTCTATACATCTGCTAGGCCATTAATCAAGCAACTCGAATTGCGGCTGATTACCAGACTGTCCCTCCTTCAATGATCTGACCCCGGCCTGTTAAACGTTTCGGAACATGCGACCAACAGTCATTTAATCTACAACTCACCGAGCTTTTTGTTGACTCGTCCTACCTCTTTCGAAACTATATACTTGCATCTCGAAGCGCTCACTATTGTTCGACGTTCTGCTCGTGGTTACTCTCTTTCCAAAAATCCCTATCATTCCGCCGGAATACAACGCAACTTCATCTCAAGACTCGCTCGGCCCCATAAAGTTATCGTCGCTTGATCTCACCTTCCAGCGTACTACGCACCGGCAATATTCGTTCAATAGAAGGAACATTCTGTCGATATCATTGATTCTCGGAACGACATCTTATCCTTCTGAGGCAGGGGCTCATCGAGACGTTTTCCGGATGGCATTAGAGGCACTCATCTGATCTTTTCTTGTTTCCGAATTGCACAACTCCGGCAAGCAATAAAGGGGAAACACTTGACAGAGCAATTGATGTACACACAGCTTTCTATTCCCCATAACAACACATGCAGGCAGTTCGGACAAAAGCAGAGGTCCTGTCCCAGAAGGAAAAGCTTGTCAACTCCTACAATGAGTTACTTCAGTAAGATTGGTCGTACCGAGGCTACATATGTGTCTTACTGATGTCGTAATTGCAGGGAGTTTTCCTCGCCGGACCTCCGAAGTGTGGGCAATTATACACTGGGACGACTGATTGGCAAAGGCTCCTTCGGCAAGGTCTATCTCGCGACTCATAAGCTGACAAATAACTCCAAGGTATGTTTCGGCTATGTGAGCCCCGGCGCAACTCATCTCATGTAGCATATTTAGGTCGTCCTGAAATCCTCGAATAAACAAGATTCAAATCTTGCGCGCGAAATACATCACCATCGCCAATTCCTACATCCTCATATCGCGCGACTTTACGAGGTCATAATCACGGAGAATCTGGTTTGGCTGGTATTAGAATATTGCCCGGGTATGTGGTCACGGTGCGGGCTGCGAATAATAATGCTAATATGCTTTGCGCAGGTGACGAACTATACAATCACATTTTAAACAATGGTCCTCTAGTCGTTGACAAGGCCCGACGGATTTTCGCGCAATTGGTGGGAGCCGTTGCATATGTCCACAGCAAATCGTGCGTGCATAGAGACTTGAAGCTTGAAAACATCCTACTCGATAAACACGGAAACGTCAAACTCTGCGACTTTGGATTTACTCGCGAATATGAAGGCAAGGCCAGCTATCTGCAAACGTTTTGCGGCACAATATGTTACAGTGCGCCAGAAATGCTCAAAGGAGAAAAGTATGCGGGAGAAAAAGTCGACGTGTGGAGTCTAGGTATTATACTATACGCTCTCTTGGCAGGGGAGCTTCCATACGACGAAGATGACGATCAAGAAACGAAAGCGAAAATTCTCAAAGAAGACCCTGTTTTTAATGACAAGTTTCCAGATGATTCGCAGGCACTGATTAAGATCTTATTATCCAAGCGGCCACTTTTACGTCCAACGTTGGCTGATATCTTGGCACATCCCTTTCTGGCAGAACATGGAGTGGAGCAGCAAATCATTTTACAAGCACCTCGGCCGTCTCCCTTTACAACCCCGCTCGAAAAGGCAACTTTACTACGTATGAAAAGTGCCGGCGTGAACATCGATCAGGTCATAGAGCATGTTTTGGCGCAGAGGTGTGATGCCTTGGCCGGTTGGTGGGCTTTATTGATTGAAAAAGAGGAACGAAAAGAAAAGAGACGCGAACGAAGGAGAAAGGAAAAGGAGGCCGAGGCTCGTAGCTTACGCCGCTTAAGCGCCGCTAGCAGCCGACTGGAAAAGATCTCTGCTCTGGTGGAAGTTGATGAGGAAGCTCATTCTGCAGATACTCTGCAGACTAGAGGAAGAAGAGATCGTCGCAGTCTACCGAACCGTAAGTTACCATATTCGATTCTTTCTTATGCGAGACTAACATTTTACCAGCCGAGCTTTCAATTCCAGAGGTACCAAAAGTTCCAGAAGCCTTTGCGAACCTCCCGGCTTTGGATATTGCATTGCCACCACAACCGATTGACAAAGACTCGATACGATCATTAAGCTCGACCAGGCGACGACCAGTACCTCCACCAAAAGAGAATCGTCGACCTAGCATGCTGCATGTTAGTGCGTCTCAACCAGAATTAGCATCTCATTCTAGCGGTCTCTTCAGACGCCGTACAGGCCGACGTAATCAACATTCTCTAATGAGCCAACTGGCCTCGCTCAAACACTGGATAGTCGAGTCTGCAAAACGGGCCAAATCACCCCATCCCCGAACACCAAAGAGCACTGGTGGCCAATCATCAAAAGCCCGATCTGAGAAATCGAGTCCAGGGAAGAACTCGGATACCCGGCGCAAACAAGTCGCAATAACTTCGACAAGTACAGAGCCACCGCTCATGACGCCAACGCAAGTCAAGCGTTCTTCAAATGCCAGCAGTCTCGCGCCTAACAGTGCCTCATACGCTCATCATCGAAACTCATATGGACGAGCACCTCGTAGCTCGAACAGTCATCGCAATTCCTTATCACCTGCTCCCCTTACCCCGCGGGGCTCCTATCGACGTTCATCTGCTGGTCTGCGCGGGCGTAAATCAACCTCATCATCTGTATCTTCTGTGAGGAGTATTTATCATGCCCATACCCATTCGAAAGCGTCTTCAATATCGTCAAACAGTATTGACACAATGTCTACACCAACTGCATCTTCCAGAATGAGTCGATCTCCACATACGTCTGTTAAAGTACTTCCTGCTATTCCCAACGCTGGAGCTCGTTTTCCTAGCAACATCAGGCTAGTACGCAATCCACCGAATGCGCTACGAGACGTGAATGATCCAAATAATCATGGCATCTACTCTGTCTTCAATGAAGCTGTATCTGGTCCGTCAACGGCTCCTCCGCAATCACCTGGATTCATTTTTGCTCGGCGTAAGAGAACGCCGTTTAGAGGGCCAATGCTTCATACTAATACCTTGATGTTCACTAACGGGCCGGGGACACCTAATCTATCTCCTCCACTGCAGAGAGATGTCGCTTCAACTGAAACGGTCAAGCCGCACACGCGCAAAAGCCAGATCATAGAGGAAGAGGACGATGATATGGAGGAAGACATTGAGGAGGTTGACACATTCAGTGATCCTGGTATTACGGATACTAGTTTCACGGCGATGAATGAGCCTCTGGTTGAAACTGAGACGGATGCCGATCTAACAATAGTCGTTGCACCAAGTGAGGAGACTTTGGAAGAGATATCTCACGAACCAAGTCTCGAACCAGCAATGGATCCGTCGTCTCCTATCCCACCACGGATATCATCGTTGAACGACCCTGAAGTTCAACTTCAGACAAATGAGGCTACGGAAGAGGACCCTTCCGCCAGAACCCCTGAGCTAGAGCCAGCACCAGATGCAACCGAAGATATCAAAACACCCACAACCGAAGACGCAGAACACTCAACACAACACGAAAAACCGGACCCAACCTCGAACGACGAATTAAAACAAGATACTCCTATCACATCCTAAACATCCTTCACTAATCCCGCTCCCTACCCCCTATCACATCGTCCTACCATACCCTCGATTTCGTATATATATATCCCATCATTGCGCCCCACGTTATTATAAAACATCATGTATTATTCCATGTCCCCCTTTTCTCTTTTCTGTGTATTACCTCTTCTTCTTTATACCCCCAACACAACGCATTGAGCATTGAATTTGGATTCAGCCTGTTTGTTGCCTCTTTCCTTTTCATTTTTTAACTTTTTTTATTTTCATAATTTGTGTGTATGTTGTGTTAGTTGGATGTATAGAATATATTTGGCATTTTTTAATTCTTTCATGAAATAGTGGACTTGAGAAGCTTGGAAATGGGAGAGGAATGGAAAAAATCGAGAGCGTAGAGGTTTTCCCATGGCATATGGGAGTTGTTAGAAGGTAGGACTGGACTTCGACTGCAGGAGGCCTCTCCCAAGGTCGGGAACCAAGTCAATATCTCCAGAGGACAGTTCGAGTAGAAAGGCATGAAGGCGCGTTGAAAGAGATCAGGATCCAACACTTTCACATCCTCCATTACCTCACTATCTTTCTGCATATCTTCCTTGATTTGTGTGATCTCCTCAAGTAAGTCGGCTTTTCCATCAATGCGGGTTTGCTTCAGATGGCGACTGAGTGATGATACCCTTATACAATTGGCGCGGTAAAAGATGTTTCTTCGCGGCCTGTTATTTCAATGTCAGCAAACTTCAATGGCTTTGTAGTCTAGAGAAGAATTGTGCTCTACATCTGGTAGTACTTGATACTTGTTTTACGATTTTTTCTACCTAAAAACCGAGAATGGAAGGATGTCTACCCTAGGAGTTCTTTCGCAAAACAGGCAGATGGAACAAAGATGCGGATATCACTCATTCTGGGGGTACGTCTTCCATTTTGTTAGCAGAAAATAGTGCCCAGAAGTTGGTAGCCAAGAAGGCCTGGTTATAGAAGTTACAGTATAGCTAGGATGCCTGCCTGAGGTGAATATAGTTACCCGCACCCCAATATCTTTCCTCATCCTCAATAACATGCCCCGTATGCGCGCTCTTCTCAAACATCTCCATCTCTACAATTCCAAGTCCCTTTTCTCTCGCCTCCGCAGCATGTTGCTCAACAAACCCACTAAGCACAATCCCATCCCGCTTCGAATAGAAATAGCATCTTCTCGAATCCTTGCCCACAATGCCTGCATCGTTAAAACTCTCCGCGGCAAACTGTAACGGATCCGGCCACGCAAGTGTCTTATTTAACCCTAGATATAAGGCTAGTACCACCGCCAGAATCGTATATAGCGGCCATTTGATTAACGGTTGGTTGCGCGGAAGAGCTGAGTTGACGGCACGCATTGTTTCCTTGAAGGTGAGTCTTCCGGGAGCGCTATCAATGACTATGCGGCTACATAGACGTCTTTTCGGGGATGCTGTACTGCCGTACGAGCGGGCGAGGTTCGCGAAGACGCGGACACCGCCATTAGAGAAGATGTGAAAGAGAATGCTCGAGGGTTCATATGCCGCCAGAGTAGTGATGGCCGGCTGAAGTCTTCGATCGTTTCCCTGCGTTGGGGACAAGAAGTCTGTTATTCCGCTGTAGATGACTAGGAAGTTTGGTTGAGATGGGGAAAAGAGTTTGATGTGACCTCGGATGTATGTTTCTGTTTGGCGTTTGGTTGCCCCCATCCAGGGGAGGAGGGCGATTAGAGAGGGTGGGTTTGGGGATTGGTCTTTGGTGCCTGTGTCTTCGGAGGTGGTTTTGTTTGCTGTGTAGAGTGAGACGCTAGGGTTTGCTTGAACGTATGTATAGTTTTCCATGGTGAAGGTATATCCACGGAGGGCATGAGATCTTTAGAAAGAGAAAAGCTACGGCAATGCCAGGAATTATTTCCTTATGATTCAAAGCTATATAGACTATTACACGTCAAACTTCGCTAAAGCAACACTCAAACCCTAGAAGGATTATGATGATTTACGTTTAAGCTAATCTAGGCACGCTATTCTGTCTTAACGAAACCTAAGAATATTTGGATGCGTAATCTTTAAATTAGAGGTAGGATGTATTATTAATAACCAGTTAGAGTTTTCTCGAGTCATGTTCAGCTGTGCACTGGTCTCCATATTCTTCAGAGGATACTCTGCTGAGATGAATAATCACGTAAAATCGCAATGCACTAGGCACAGACAGTTTAGGGCTCTCCATGGATAAGATCCATGAAAATTTAGCATATCCATATCCATATCCGTTAAATTTTAAGAGCACGGATATATCCGCGGATATTATCCATGGATATGTGTATAGTTTTATTTACAAAGAGAATCTTTCAGTATAAGAAGCTTCCTCATGGCTCCACTGCTCAAAGACCACCTCCTAATCCAAGAAGATCCCGTTCAGTGTTGAATAGTCTCTCAACATCAACCTCTGCTGCTGGAACAGCTAAGTAATCCCGTGCAGCCGCTGCCATGCGTGGATATTCATCTATATGACCTCTCTACCATGTGTAAATCCAATCTCTCTTCTTCTCGTCAAATTCCACAACATCAGAGTTAAGATATCGTGTAATGTCGGAGGGCTTTTCTGCAGATTTTTATGACTTTGCCTTGATCTTACTCATCATCTCTGATACTATGGTCTTATGCGGATTTTGCAACGTGGCTAATGGTCCTGGTTCTTCTGAAGCTGTAAAAAGTTCGGGCTTATGAGTTATAGGATACTGGGTCTCAAGCTGCTCTTGCATAGCAGTAATAATATCCTGAGCTCTATCCTATAACTCATGCTCAAGAACAAGTTTCTTAAACCGAGGATCCAAGAGCATTGTAATATAGAGAATATCGCATGAATCATCCATAAGAGTATAGTACTTGTTGTATTTCCTCATGGAGCTCTTAGCTGCATTAGCGATATCTGTGTCAAAGTCCTTGAACTTTCCCTCCCTATCCTGAACTTCTTGAAGAAGATTGAAGAGTTGATAGTAGATAGCCAAAGATTGACTGATTTGTGGAATATCAGTAGAGAGCTCCAGTGTATATCTATCAAACTCTGCAAGGACTATCCGGATTTGTCCAAGCTGATTCCAGTCTTGGTTAGTAAAAGGAGGTAAGATATGATTCATCTTAAGATATTCCTGAATCTGAGGAGCGGCCTATTCAACGTTAGATGTATTCTTTTGTTCAAGGATTATTAAGACTTATACATTCCAAGTATCATTAAGCATGCGATAAGAGGAATTCCAGTGAGTAGTAACATCATACTAAATAAGTTTTAAATCCATCCCTTTTATCCGGCATAGATTCTGCCACTCTTTCTTTCGCTCTATGCTTGAAGTAATATATGAACTCAGAATGTGTATGCGAGAGAAAGCACTTTGTGATTGTGCAAGAGATAGATTATTCTTCAAATCTTCAATAATCTGAAAGTCTCCTGCAATATCACTAGCTTTCAAAACAGTAAGAAATTCCTTAACAATCAGATTTAGAATATGTGCAAGACAATGAATAAAGCTATCTTCTCCTTGATATCTCATTGTTTGCTGAGTATTGCCTTGTTCATAATTGGCTTTGAGCAAATCATGTAGAATTTCAGCCATTACTAAATTATTGCTTGCGTTATCACCAGTAATGGAAATAAGCTTAGCTTTAATGTCTAGTTCGCATAGAACCTTATAGATAATAGACGCTAGATTCTCACTAGTATCAGGGCCTTCTATCTCTTGGAAGTCAAGAATTCTATGCTGAGGCTGAAAGTCTGCTATAATCCAATGACTAATAATTGGAAAGATCTTGTAGCCATTTGCACTCTTCCATCCATCAAGAGAGAGTGCAATAGTACTGCAATTCTCTATTTTTCCAAGCTCATTCTTTAGTTGTATCTAAGCCTTAGCAAGTTCTTCGTTAACATGACGGGAAAATGAATTCGAAGATCCATATTTGCAAGAAAATCCTGGGAGATTACTCCAAATTTGCCTGAAAAGAGGGTCATCAAATGTTGAAAATGGCTGCATTGTTCCGATAGCCCAGTTGAAAATATTTTGATCGAGAAGTTCTTGAGGAGATTGTAAAGGTCGAGCTCTAATATAGGAAAGCATTGAACTTTGAGACGATGTGATGGCTATATATCTTAGCACATATATATATAATAAATACCAGTAAAAATAGTCACCTAAAGAAGTGTCACTATCTTTATAGATACCATGCTTCTGCCCTAAATGCTTCTGCAAGTTGCTAGTTGAACCATTAGTAACTGATTTAACAGTAGTCCATTCCTCTAGAGCTGTACAATGTAGACAAGAATACTGTATGTCTGCTTTTATCTTTCCAGTCTGTTTATCAAAGAAAGTCTTTCCTTGTAGTAATGTTTGTTGAAAATGGGTACCATGAAGTTTCTTTTCGCTGTCTCTTTGGCTTTGGAGGCTCGAGAAAAGGATTAATTAGAGTGGATGACTGAATTTGTGAAGCTGAATCATTCGGAGTAAGTGAACTACTTTGTGATGTAGCATATTCAAGAGTACCAAGGCTTTCGACAGACTGACTTTCAATCTGATCTTCAAGACCAGCTTTGTCATCGCTACCACCATTTGCAAGCTTCCAAAAGCCTGACTGGCGCGCGTATTCTCTCGATGGGGGCGAATAAATCTGTCCATTATGCCGGTAGGTTTTGAAGCTGAAGAAGCAGCCTAGAAGTTTTTTCATGAAATCATGTCTCGGAGCGGAATAATAATAATTTTCCTGTTACACGTGACTCTATCCATGAATATCATGTTTTAGCTAAGAAGTAAAAGGGAACTTGGATATATTCCTTCGTTAAGGCCCAACTCCGTGTTGGTCTTTACGTAAGACACAACGTCTGCAAAGCATAGACTGTATGATACGATGTCTTGGAAGATGTTATAAAGAACTTCCCTGGTCAAGAACGATATTTCAATATGCACAGCTCTGAAATGAAGACTGGGCCTTTTAATGATAGAGATTCGCGTGGCTTCAGTGCTTGCAGCTGCTACCATATGGGGTGACACCACGAGAGGGCACATCGAACACTGATCATGGATGCCTTTCGACGTATAATGTATTTCAATCAGGCTACTCCCCTAGAATAATTGCAGGACTTTCACGAAGATCATTAGCTAAACCAAGTGAACCGAAGAACTCTATATTTATAATCTTAAGCTTAGTAGTGGGACCTCCATATGATAGAGGGTATATACGACATCTCTACGGACTACTAGCAAATTGTTACTGTCCTCAAGCTAGCCAGAATTCTCCATGCGCCATCGCAGGGGCTCTGTCTCAACGAATCTGTATTGTAAATGGGCTTGCCCTGGTCTTCGTTCCGATGATACTCAGACCGGAAATCAGAAGCTGATTAAAGGCTATCTCGAGCGCATAAGGGGATAATGAAAAAGTAAAATACTGATAAAGTTTAAAACAAATACTTCAGAAGCAGCCACAGGAGACCGACTCAGGCGCATCGACCCTGTGCATCGCAGAATATCTTCCCATGCCTCGGGATTAGGGCTGACATGAGGGCATATTCGTCCTCCATATAACGATCTATATGATATGCAAAATCCGCAAGCGTATCTGCGGAGCGAAAAGATGAGTAATCCTCAGCATATTATTACTGAAATTTATCCAATCAAATTCCATTGATATAGATCTTGCTACAAATCAGATGCCTCATGCTCCCTAGGTATGTGTGCAGAAGTAGAAATGGATTTCTATAAACACGTGGAAACAAGGATTACTTGAGGACACTCAAGGCACTATATCTCTCTTTCAGCACACCCATTGTTCCAGAATATCTCTCTTTATATCTATAAGAGACAACAAGAAGAAATGGGGGTTCTTGGTACAACTCCCATACCACTACGTGGTTCCAGCTCGACGGAGGGCTTTTTTCAGCGTCCACCCAAACTGGTCAATCAATTTATTGAAGACGTCGCCTTCCGAAGGGCATTTGAAGGTGTGTTATACCACTTTTAAGTCATAGAATATTGTTTATATCAATAGCTTTCCTCCCGGTCGATATACGAACCTCCGTCGAAGACGAATTCGAGAAGTTTGCTGATGAGGTCTTGACTCCAAAGGTTTTTGGCAATATTGCGGACGCAGAGAGAAATCTCTCTTATGTGAAGACTTGGGATATGTGGGGGAATAGGGTAGATGAGGTTGTTTTGAGTAATGGTTGGAATAATCTTGTTGCTCTGGTATATAGAGCAGGGCTCGCTTTCCTCTTACCAACCACTTCTGAGAAAGTACTGACGCTCTTAGGTTCGTTTCGATTGCGCATGAAAAGCCTTATGGCAGGTTTAGTCGTCCTGTGCAATTTTTGAAGTAAATACCCCCTAGTCCATCTATGGATGATGCTGATTTATACTATTACAACCAAAAGAATGAACCTGTGGAGCGGTTCATGTGCACCAACAGGATATAATATCACCTTCGCGGATGGAGCATGTGTCCTCTTGTCCAAGTATATCAACAAGTCCGAGGAACCCCTTTCCTCTATCCTAAAAGCATCATATGAGCATCTCGTGTCGACCGATCCAGAGACAGCTTGGACTTCGGCTTATTCATGACAGAACGCACTGGTGGCAGCGACGTATCCGGAACTGAAACAGTAGCCTATCTAAGCCCTGAGAATGAACGGCAAGAAGGCAAAGACGCTAGTGGTTTCGAACTTGGGCTCTGGGAGATAGACGGATTTAAATGGTTCTCCTCTGGTACGGAGTCGATGATGACAATGCTTCTTGCCAGGACAACAAAAGGCATCAGTCTCTTCTATGCGCCGATGCGTCGAAAGACTATGGACCAGTTCGGGAATACTACCACTCAATTGAACTGCATTCGTATCCAGCGACTGAAGAATAAACTCGGAACAAGGGCCAATACCACTGCAGAGCTGGAATTGAAAGGAATGAGAGCTTGGCTCATTGAGGAAGAAGGAAATGGAATCAAACAGGTCACTCAAGTCTTGAGTGTTACACGTTTGCATATAGCTATCAATTGCCTGGGGAACTGGGCTAGGGGTCTAGCGGCTAGTCGTGCTTACTCCAAAGTTCGAAGTGTTGCCAGGAGTACTCTGCTCAAGGATGTTCCATTGCACATGGCAGTCCGTCCTTGCTAAGGAGCATGTAAAGTATAGAGGGATCTGGATGTTGTTGAACTTTGCATCACCATTTCTCGGAGCCTCGGAGAACTTGCCTTCTGAAAAGGAGACTTCCAAGGAGCCGTTTGAGCTCCTGCCGGAACGTCCAGAGGATGTTCTACTTCTTCTCCGGGTTTTGACGTCCCCGATTAAAGGAGTATCTGCGAGAGCATCTATTCACGGTCTTCTAGAGTGTATCGAGTTCCTGGGAGGAGTCGGTTATCTCGAGAATGAGAGATGGATTTCAACATTGCGCGAATGTACCGTGATGTTAGTATGGGAAGTATCATCGACGGCACAACGAATATGCAGTCTTCCGATCTTATCAACGTGGTTTCTGGGCAGCTAGGGAGCGCAGTAATGGATTGTCTCAATAGATGGATCCACCGGATCCTCCAAGACACTTTCGATGCTTTGCAGTCAGTGATTGAAAATCTGGAAACCCAATGGTCCAGCCTTCAACAAACTATCAAAGAATCCGACAAGGTCACACTAATGGTTAACGCAAATGAGATTATGGAGGATCTTACTGCTATTGTGTCTGGGGTCATACTTGTGGCAGACGCAGCTCGTGACCATGACGAGACAGCCATCGCTGTTGCAAGAAGCTGGATGGATATTTCTTTTACTGCAAAGGCTCAGCGAAGGGAGCCTGGTAGTTTAGAGCAGCTCAAAATCAACCAGGAGATTGTATTTGGGAAAATCTAGCAATATTTTCGATCTCTAGTGACTGTGATGTGTTTATGAGATTGAGGGAGAGCTACATTTACTACCGAGAAGTTAATGGCAGAAGATATGATGCCGTGACGGTCTCAAGCTGTCCATCTTAAACATTTAAGGGGAACTTCCAATGCAGATTACATGGACAAGATCCATCAGCGTCAAAGCAGATGTTAATCCCATTCATCTTCAAATCAACGCTTTCGAAAAGCAAATAAGAACGTAACTGCTACAGCCATCATAGCCCCCGCTAGCCCAGCATACAATAGGTATAAAGTAACTCAGGACCCTTAGGACTCAAAGCAAGACTAATCCCATACCAAAGCGCAGCATTCAAAACATAAACACCCTGGACGACACTCTTCAAATTCTGCGGCGAAGTATTAATTGCATGATCATATACCATAGGAACGGCAAATGATTCGCCTATCACTTCAAGAACATAAAGGGGGATTTGAAAAGCGACGTTCACGGTATTCGGGGGAGTGCCGTTGTTGGATGACAAAAGAAAACTTACATATTGTGCAAAGCTTCCTATCCGGCCTAGTTGCATTAGGACATTGCTAGATTTACATACTGTATGAGTTAGTGCCCTAAATCTAAGACTATTCATAGCATTGGATCAAGGCATCTTGATGTATCCCATTATTAATGGCAAATGTTGTGGAATAGTTAACGCCGTTATGGGGTGCATAATAGGAATAAAAACATACAGAACAGTGAAGACTGAAGACATTAAAGATACCCAATCAATTTTCTCTTATCAAATTCCTACTTATTTGTCTTTTACAGAGCATTATATAACCCTAATTACTCATCACTCAACAAATTACAGTACATAGTTACAGCTCGCCCGGAAACCCTCCAACAACCCCTGAAAGAACGCAAGACCCCGAAGGATCGACTCTTGAGTTACCACACCAACAAGTGACTGCATTGCTTATATACTTCCTCTACCAAAGGTCGTCAAGTTTCCCCGGGTGCTGGCATCGAGATAACGGGCAGTAACTCAAGAATACGAACAGTACCTACCTAGTAAGAAATTGCTAATGAAAAAAGAACCACCTGGACATGACTGTAGCGTATTGTATATATGTATATAGTACCTAGCTATCAGCACAAATGTCTATAATCTATATCATTTTCTTGCCGGAACGGTACAAGGAAGTCGTAACAAAAACGTAAGCTCTGATTCGTCTTCATAATCGTCATCTTTTATCTCTTGTTGTTTCTTCTTTCTATATCTCAGATAAGCAAGAACAGTACATTCTTGTTTTCCGCTATTTGTCTATCGAGTGTAGAATAATATAGCGGTCGTCCAGATCAAACAAATCAAGCGGCTTTGATTTTTTCATTCTGCTTAACGTCAGAGGGATGCTCGACGCGTTGGTCGTAGAGGCGTCTTTCGAAGTATTTGAGGACTTCGTCGATGATACTATTGCCATATGATCAGGATTATGCCGTAGACAGTGCGGAAAAAGGGAGGTGACTCACATAACAGGCAAACTAATCCCCAACACAGCCTTCCACTCATTCCAATCCAAGGGCAAAATAGCAAACAACCCTTGCAAAAACGGAATGTACAAAATCGCGAAATGGAGCGACATTGACAAGACAATGGCGTACACGAGCATGGGATTGTGCCACAAGGGGAAAGTGAGCAGTGATTCACTGGACGAAAGAGCGTTCATTGCGTTCAACATTTCGATTACGACCAGAATGGAGAGGGACACTGTTGAGGCGGATTTGGACATGTCGTTGTGGAAAATGGAGCAGCCGATTTCGGGGAAATCACTGGTGCATTTGTGGAAGTGGGACTGTATTACAGGTCAGTACTATTTTAATAATAAGCGAGTAAGAACATACCAATTGCCAGTAAGAGATCTGGGGTCCGGCAGGGTTAAACATGAACCACCATACATAGCCAAACACAGTGGCTGCGCCAACGTATGTTCCAATAACCATGTAGCGGAAAAAGAGCCATCCGCCAACAAGTGCCTCATCACGCTTGCGAGGAGGTCGGCGCATGACATCATGATCAGGGGGATTGAATGAGAGTGCAGTAGCCGGTAGACCGTCAGTAACAAGGTTCACCCATAACAATTGCACGGGAATAAGAGCTTCCGGTAGTCCCAAAGCAGCAGTCAAGAAGATGGATACCACTTCACCAATGTTTGAGGAGATCAAGTAGCGAATAAACTGTTGGGTGTTGCTATAGATAGAACGACCTTCTTCTACTGCAACTTCAATAGTAGCAAAGTTGTCATCGGCGAGGACCATATCGGCGGCAAGCTTGGCGACGTCTGTACCCGTACCCATGGCAACACCAATATCTGCTTTTTTCAAGGCCGGTGCATCGTTGACACCGTCACCAGTCATGGCGACAACGTGGCCAATTGATTGAAGTAGATCGACGAGCTTGGACTTGTGAGCAGGTTCCGTACGAGAAAATAGAGATGCGTTCTTGACAGCTTCCAACTTCTGACTGTCCGTCAAGTCGTCAAACTCTCTACCGGTAAAACTCTTGCCCTCGAGATTTTCGTCTGCGCCAAAAACACCGATTTGGCGGCAAATGGATTCGGCAGTGTTGCGGTTATCTCCAGTAATGACAATAATTCGGATACCCGCTTCACGGCATTTTTGGATTGAATTGGCAACCTCTGGACGAGGGGGATCAAGCATGCCAACAAGCCCGATCAGGGTCATGTTGCGTTCCAACTGGGCATACTCTTCTGAAGTCTTTGCTGTGTGCAAGAGGGGATTGGTCGAGACGTCGCTCACGGTAGCTAGTGCGATGACACGAAGACCCCGGTTACCGCATTCAACTACCTGCTCAGAGATCAAACTGATGTGGCTCTGGGTCAAGGGTACGCGGGGACCATCGGACCCAAGAAGGACATGAGAGCATCGCTCGAGAATAGATTCAGGAGCACCTTTGACCAGAAGCTTCTGTTCTTTACCCTCCCCAACCAATACAGACATACTCTTGCGGTCTCGAGAAAACTCATATGTCGCCTTTAGCGGTAGCTTAGTTTCGTAGTATTTACTAGTGGCGTGCAAAGCAGCAGATGGAGGCAAAGATCGTATGCTCTCGTTGAAGCCAGCGTTGTCCGTTCCGATCTTCTCGGCTAGAACGCGCAGGGCTCCCTCTGTAGGCTCACCAATGCAAGTAAATCCGGTTTTCGGGTCATAGGCCAAGGTAGCTTCGTTGTTCAGGGAAAGAACTTCGGTCATTTGACGGATTGTCGAGGACGAAACAGCCAAATCTGTCAAGGGTTTTCCGTGTTTCTTCAATGCGCCGACAGGAGCAAAGGTGGTACCCTCGACGTCAATTTCCTCAAATCCTTGTCCGGTAGGATCTAGATAAAGAACCCGCTCTACACTCATCTGGTTGGTGGTCAAGGTTCCGGTCTTATCGGAGCAGATAACGCTGCAGCTTCCCAATGTCTCAACAGAAGGTAATGATCGTACCACCGCATTTTTGGCTGCCATCTTACGAGTCCCCAACGCCAAACATGTGGTGATAACGACGGCAAGACCTTCCGGAATAGCGGCAACACCCAGAGACACGGCAATCTTGAGATAGTAGATGGCACCCTTTGCCCAGCCACCATGAGAAGGATCATTGAAGTGTTCAATATTAATCAACCAGACGACAACACAGATCACTGTGATCACTTTTGCAAGCATATCGCCGAAATCGTTCAGTTTCTGCTTCAAGGGCGTGGGTTCGGAAATCTGAGAAGTGATACTCTCATGGATGCCCCCGATAGCGGTCGATGCTCCAGTGAGAACGACAATAGCAGTTGCATGGCCAGCCACGACGGTAGTTCCAGAAAACAGCATATTTGTTTGGTCCTGCTTGACAGCCTGCTTATCCGAGACGACCTTGGTATCCTTGCTGACACTTTCACTTTCACCGGTCAAGATTGCTTGATCAACTCGGAAGCTGTTGCTTTGGATCGACAGTAGCCGGCAGTCGGCGGGAACGCGGTCACCCACTGCAATATGGATGATGTCTCCGGGGACCAGCTCCTCAGCTTTGAGCTTTTGTAAGGTACCATTTCGAACAACCTTGGTGACGTTGGCGGAATATTCTTGCAAAGCTGCAATCGCTTTCTCCGCGCTGCTTTCTTGGGAAACGCCGACGATAGCATTGAGGATAAGGATGGTCAGAATCTGTTATTAACGAGCGCTTTAGTGTATGTTGGTTTATAATCGCGGCGACACAGCGAGGCAGCTTACCACAGCCGGGTCAACGAAAGCAGTCCAGTCATCGCCTTCTTCAAAAAGAGCCAAAACGAACGAGATCGCGGCAGAGCCAAGGAGGATGAGGACAAGTTGGTCTTGGAACTGTTCCAGAACTAGTTTCCAGAGAGGGGTAGCTTCCTCTTCCTCGAGCGCTATAGTGAATATCAATGATTAGCAAACGTACTGAATATTGCGCCTGTCTATCCAACGTAACTGATCCTCAATCAAGAAAGATAACTTACCATTGGAGCCATACTTCTCCCGCAAGCGCAATACCTGTTCTTGCGTCAACCCTGCCTCCTCCGTAACACCAAAGTCACGAAGTAACTCTGCAGGCGAGCGAGTAAAAGAGTGATCCATCACTTGCAGACAAACCCAATGTCGTGATCGAAGACGACGACCAAAACGAAAGTATCGAGTTTGTATTGAGGAAGGAAGGGAGGAAAGAAGGTTTACGAAAAGGACAGCAAGCAGTATAATTTATTACCAATAAATGGTACTGGCATTACAGGATACGTGTAATTAACGACGTCAGTATCGTAGATTAACTGGTTGGTTATCAACCTGAGTCAGGTTTAGGGTTGAGATAGCCCTGCGGACTTGCAGGCCGCTAACTTGTTAGGGTCACATAGAGGCCTGTCATAGGCGCCGCTTAAAACCGCCTATCGCGACTCGATATCAACACAACAACCGCGTATCAACACATTTCCTAGTTCTGCGTCTATTCGAGATTTGTAAGTTGGCTCATTAATGTTATTCAGTTTATACGAAGACAAGCTCTTGATTGATATAAACTAGTATAATAATAGGACAAATGAGTAGGTATTAATGTTGTGTAATGTATACTGTATCATACCGTACAAATACAGGGCATCCACATAGGCCGGGCCATACAAGCATTGGACGTCATGTGACCTAATCTCGAGAATTCTTTTTGTTTCTAGCCAAGTCTCAAGCAATGACTGGTCATATGCCTCAGTTTACTCGACCATCTCGGACTATTATTGTGAGACTCTAGAGAGGCGTCATTTGAGCCCTATTCTTCTGGTTTGCCCTAGGTACTATATTCAGCCAGGCAGAGTAGTCCCTGCTCTGTACCAGTAATCGTCGACACCACTTACCAATATTTATGTAGTGATCTGTAAGCACCGAGACTTGGAGAGATACTTGGCAACCCAGTCGTTCAGCTGATATAGTAACAAAAGCAATGAGATCAAGATAAGCCTCACAGTACGAAATTTGACCCTCACATGATCTGCAGAGATATCGACTCGCAGACTGTCCACCAGACTCGAGTTCACCATAGGAGAAGTGTTCCCTCTGAATAGAGTATGAAGGAGATATAGATATAAAATCAAATGATAATTAATAGATTGTAGAAGTAAGGCAGAAATGCTGCTAGATCACGAGCAAAATTGACTCGCTGGCTCGCTAAGCCTAATCGGGCCCTCCACGACTGTGCCCATTTCTCAACCGTCTCTGCCAACAACATCTATCAGTATATTTTTTTTTCTTCTTCTCTATCTACCAATTTCTACTTTCTCTGCCTCTTATCGCTAGAAACCCTCCTCTAACCAATTTAACAAATCCATCTCTCGACCTTCCAGTCTTTAGCCTTATCCAATTTCTCGTCCCTATTGCTGTTGACACCCATCCACCATGACTGCTGACGTTTCTGAGGTTGGTACACATCATAACCCCTCATTTATCCACAACATCGGGCTATACAGCCACCAACACATTTGGATGCTGTTTTTTACTGTGTTCTGATGTGCAATTTTCTCTAAATTTGATCATGATTTGACTAACTTGTTTTTGGCTATAGCGTGAAAGGTAAAGCATCTACAATCATACTTCCAAGTTGTTGAATCGTCGAGTCGCTGATATCCTCAAAAGCAAGACTTTCCTTGCCCGCCTCTGCGAGCAGGCTGAGCGTTACGATGGTGAGTCCAAGACTGCTCTAGAACTATGCAATTTGCGCACTAACGATTGTCTGTAATTAGAGATGGTCACATACATGAAGGTAAACAACTCATCTATCAAACCCTATCAAACCATGATCAAAGAACAATCATCTAATTGCATCTTATAATCTGATACAGGAAGTTGCCAATGTACGATGCCCCTACTTCGAACTAATTCCTCTATTTCAAATCGGAGATACGATTCAGTCAATTAACACATAACAGCTGAACGGTGAACTCTCCGTCGACGAGCGCAATCTCCTCTCCGTAGCCTACAAGAACGTTGTCGGTACACGCCGTGCTTCTTGGCGCATCATCTCCTCTATTGAGCAAAAGGAAGAATCCAAGGGATCCTCCGAGCACGTCTCCATTATCCGTGACTACCGCCAGAAGATTGAGACTGAGCTCGAGAAAGTGTGCCAAGATGTCTTGAACGTCCTTGACGAGTCTCTCATCCCCAAGGCCGAGTCTGGCGAGTCAAAGGTTTTTTATCACAAGATGTATGCAATCGATCTTCTTTCTCTGCGGGGAATAGAGCGTGGGTATTGATTCAATCGCAGGAAGGGTGATTACCACCGTTATCTCGCCGAGTTTGCATCCGGCAACAAGCGCAAGGTCGCAGCCACTGCCGCTCACGAGGCTTACAAGGTGGGTTCAATATTGCATTCTGTTGATAATTGTCTTGCTGACAGATTCAGAACGCCACCGATGTCGCACAGACAGAGCTCACTCCTACCCACCCCATCCGTCTTGGTCTCGCCCTCAACTTTTCAGTCTTCTACTACGAAATCTTGAACTCGCCCGACCGTGCTTGCCACTTGGCTAAGCAGGCCTTTGATGACGCTATTGCCGAACTTGACTCCCTCTCCGAGGAGTCCTACCGCGACAGCACTCTCATTATGCAGTTGCTCCGTGACAACCTCACTCTCTGGACTTCATCCGATGGCGGTGAGCCCGAAGCTGTCGAGGCCAAGGAAGACAAGCCTGTTGAGGGTGAAGCCGCTGCTCCTGCCGAGGAAAAGCCTGCTGAGGAGGAGGCTCCTGCTGCCGCCCCGGCTCCAGCAGAGTAAGAAATCTGTTGCTTATTACGAAAACGCAGTAAGAGAGTGGCATTTTAATGTCTCCAATGACTTTCTAAAACTTTGCTACTATATCTGAATGCGTGTTTCGAATTGGAGTCTTGAGCGCCTTTGCTTTTTTTTATTTCCCTGTTACCCCCAAAGTCCAAAGTCGATGCGGCACATTTCACCCTTTTTACCCCTTCCCCCCCCTTCCCCCGCCGTACGTCAGTCCAAGAATTGACGCTAGTCGCTCCTATGTTGTTTGTTCCCTGATCAGGCCTGTAGTTGGATGCGGAGTTTGATATTTGGAGAATTGCCAGGTTGGAGCTGGATATCTGTTTGCGAAATGTCGTGCTATTTCATCTCTCCAATAATCTTTTCTTCCTTGTCTTATCTGCCCTGTTGGTTGTCTGTTAAACATTCCTGGACTCTTCCAACTGGAACAGTCTGGAGTGGACGTGCTAGAGGTTTCATTCTGGGATGCTTTCTCCTGATTAACTCTGGCTACTCATCCCTTGAGACTCACCAGACACCAGCAATCTTATCTCGTGTTCTTATTCTCTTTCCGAACTTGGTTGTTTAAACAAGTCCTCACAGGCAAACTACAATGAATGCAAACCAAACCAATCATTACAACTATTACATCTCTTCCAGGCTTGACTACAGAATGCAAGTAGTATTCCTGTCATATGGCGTGGAATCGGGTGTTCTTGACAAGCAGTTATATTAATCTATTCTTACGCACTTGATAAGTACATATCATCAAGATGTAAAAGACATGTAATGTATAAACAAAGCTGAACACATACACTTTTGTCTGGAAAGAAGGCTTCATCTCACAAGAAAAGAAGGGTGAAAGACAAGAAACGAAGAAATCAAGATTGAGACACCGAGCAATAGCTATGCATATAGAAGGTATACTTTTCTGTAACAGAAGACGACCCGACAAAAATTACATGAAATCGTCATCACCCAAGTCATCATCATCATAAGCATTAGTATCAACCTTGGCAAAATCCCTCGCAGTATTGAGTGAAGTCTTCGTCTTCGCCGCTTTTGACTTCTTACTCCCCTTATCCGCCGCTCGCTCCTCGCGCATCTTCTCATTGCTTAGGGTTGTCAACGCACTAGCCACTTTCTTCACTTGATCACTCGGCAAATCCTTAACAAGCTGCTTCGCAAACTCGGGTGCCCAGAGCGCGTATTGCGGCTTTTTCGAATTTGCCGTCAACAGCGGAATAAGTACGTTTGTCAAGTTCGCGAATTGATCCTTTGTGGTGGGTTTGAATAACGGCATGGCTGAAAGATCAATCGCTTTCGTAGGATCAGACGCATCCCCAACCACAATAGCCTTTGATTTCCCCCGGTTACGATTCAAATCGATATCACCGAATAAATCCTCGGCGTGTTTTAGGTCGGAATCCTTTTCGGTTTTGCGTAAACGGGCTCTGCGCTCGGCTTCATCTTCGCTGCTGTCATCGTCTGAGTCTTCTTCTTCTTCTTCGAGTTTTTTCCGTTCTTGTTGGTGTTCTTGTATGCGTTGGGCTTTGCTTTTCTTTTTTGCGGCCGCTTCGGCTTCGGCTTTGGCTTTTGCGGCCGCGGCCGCGGCGGCTTTTTCGCGTTCGACTTCGGAGTCTTCTGCTGCGTCCCACGAGTCTAGGACCTGTGTTTGTCAGTTCTATCTTCGAGACGATACAAGTGTATGTCCAATGGATCTTACTTCGTCATCTTCCTCGTCGTCGAATTTGCGACGACCGGCGACTGGAGGCGGGGATGAGGGAGGGGTGCTTTCCTCTTCGTCGTCTGTTGGATCACTATCAGTCAATACTCTTCTTGAAATCCAATATTGTACCGCTTCGTAGACTGATAGTCAGGGAATCCATCAATCTGACTCACCCCACTTCGAAGGCGCCATGGCGAAAATTCTTTGCTCAAATCTCTGTTGAGAAGAAATTTGTAACAAGTCGTAGAAAGATTCTTTTTTCTTATCCTCTCCCAAAACAAGAGACAGTCAAGAAAGAGTCGAGCACGTCGCCCAAATTGTGTGACGGAAAACTGGCAGGGAAACTTGGAAAAAAAAGGCCCTATCACAAAGCAAAGAGAGGGGTCGATCACGTGAATATATTGGGCTGCAAGGCGGGACAATCGGAATGGACCGACTTTCTTCGAACAGCTCTCAGATTTGTCTTTTCAAATAGTATTCAGAATTCAGGATGGACAAATATATATTGACAGCTGTAGATTCTATATTCTCGATAGACAGAACAACTACAAGGATAGTGACTGCATGCTTAAGGCCTTAAGTGAACTGCATATGCTACGTCATCCTGGCTTGATACTTAGGAATCGATACTAAAACGATATATCTATCATTTATATCAAATCAAGTCCTATAATCAGGTCAATAAGTAACTACTTTTTCCTAGGTGAGTCATAAAATAGGCATCAATCGGAATAAATAACCCTAACCCTATTACTAACACCCTCCAACATTCTTAAGTTACCATGAGCTAGGATGATTAACATCTGAAAGTCCTCCAATATCCTTAAAGATATCCTCTAGTTAATTATCACTCGAAGGCCTCCCGAAGAGCACTTGATACATATTAGGGTTATAAAACTCTCAGTCTTGGCACTGTCACATGATAACCCCCACAGATAAGGCTTAGCGCGCTTTTTTTTTCTTTTTATCAAAGTGCTTCGGCGCGTCTCAAAATTCCCTTTACGCACCATAGCTATTATAGCTGTGGTCGATCAACGTCAAAATGAAGTACGTTCTTGTATCAGGAGGTTAGTTTTATTGTCTCAAAATGAAATACGAAAGATTTTCTTTGTGCAAGAAAGCTGACTTATGCCTATATAGGTGTCATATCCGGCGTTGGAAAGGGCATTATTGCCTCCAGCACTGGTTTGCTTCTGAAGACGATTGGTCTTACGGTTACGAGTATAGTATGTTCTCTGACTGATTCTCGTATTATAAGAGCTTGTATTTGTGCTCTTATTTAGTCTTGAGTATTGGAGACAGTCGTATCAAGCATTGCTGACTTAGAATAGAAAATTGATCCATACATTAACATTGATGTGAGTAGACCTAGTTTTCGATTTGCACTGTGACGTATAAGAAATGGCTAATGTATAAATAGGCCGGCACAATGTCACCTATAGAGTTCGTATGCGATCTGCTGCTCACCAACTCGTATACTAATTTTGCTGTAGGCATGGTGAGGTCTACGTGACAGATGGTATGCCCCGGATAAATCTGTCCCTAGCAATGATACGGCTAATTCTTAAATAGATGGAGGTGTATGTCTTTTCTAATTAATCTTTTATTCCATGGTTCTTATGTGCATCAGGAAATGGACCTCGATCTCGGTAATTACGAACGATATCTTCTCACCACGCTTACCCGAGACCACAATATCACCACCGGCAAGATCTATCAACAAGTCATTGAGAGAGAACGTGTTGGACAGTATCTCGGTAAAACCGTTCAAGTGTACGTCCCACAAGCCCGTATGAGATCGAAACCGCTCTGACAGCATGCAGCGTGCCACATATTACCAATGCTATTCAGGATTGGATCGAACGGGTCGCCAAGGTGCCCGTTGATGAGTCTGGGGCCGAGCCTGATGTTTGCATCATCGAGTTAGGTATGTCGATTTGTCGAAATGATGGATGCGTGGTGGCTGATGCGGAACAGGTGGTACTGTCGGAGATATTGAGAGTGCTCCTTTCATTCATGCTGTCAGTCAGCTGCAGAGACGCGCTGGCAAGGGGAATTATGCACAGATTCACGTGTCATATGTTCCAGTTATACCGTAAGTGTTTATATATCTATCTATATAGATATCAGACTAATAAGCCTAGACCCGGACCTGGTGGTGAGCAAAAGACAAAGCCAACACAGCGAGCCGTCAGCGATGTGCGAAGTGCCGGTCTAAACCCAGACTTGGTAATCATCATCTCTCCTATCTGGAGTGACTCAACTAACAATATCAGATCGCCTGTCGTTGCGAACAGCCACTAGAAGACACAACCATCGACAAGATCGCAAACATGTGCCAAATGGAGCGAAAACAAGTCGTTGCCGTCCACAACGTATCCACCACGTACCACGTCCCGTTACTTCTCGAAAAGCAAAAACTACTAAAAACGCTCAGTGAACTCCTCAACCTCTCCTCCATCCAACAACCACCTGCACGGATTGAGCAAGGTAAGCGTATGTGGAGAGACTGGGTTGACTTGGCCCACAGCCAGGACAATCCTCACGATACAGTCTCGATTGCCCTAGTGGGTAAGTATACTACACTTCACGACGCATATATCAGTCTCAGCAAGTCATTTGAGCATGCTGCGATGTACTGCCGCAAGAAACTCAAGGTTATCTGGGTCGATGCTTCGCACCTCGAAGACGAGACCATGGAAGTATCTCCAGCCGAGTTCCATAAAGCGTGGCACAATGTGTGCACGGCTGATGGATTGTGTGTTCCGGGCGGATTTGGAACTCGCGCGACCCTCGGAATGATGAAGGCGATTACTTGGGCGCGTACCAAGAACGTGCCGTTTTTGGGTATTTGTCTCGGTATGCAGCTTGCTGTTATCGAGTATGCGCGCAACGTTGTCGGGATTGAGGATGCGGGTAGTGAAGAGTTGCATCCTGATGCCAAGAATCATGTCATTGTCTACATGCCCGAAGTTCGTTCCCTTGTACACATTTTCTAAACATCACTAACGGAAAAATAGGTCGACAAATCCAAGCTCGGCGGCACAATGCGACTAGGCAAACATCCCTGCATCTTCCAATCGGGCAGCGAATGGTCCCGTCTCCGCGCTCTATACGGTTCCGCGCCTCAAATCCAAGAACGACACCGTCACCGCTACGAAGTCAATCCCGAGATGGTTGACAGGCTCGAAAAGGCCGGACTCACTTTCGTGGGGAAGGATGTTAAAGGTGAACGGATGGAGATTATTGAGTTGCGGGATCATCCTTGGTTTGTGGGTGTACAGTTTCATCCGGAGTATCTTTCAAGGGTTTTGTCGCCTAGTTTTGTATGTCCTCCTTCCCCAATCTCATGCTCGTGCTTTTTTTACTGATTGAGATATCTCTAGACTGTTCTTGGCTTCTTTGCAGCTGCAGCTGGGTGTCTGGACGAGATTACGGCGAAACTTAATAGTGATGGTGACAATTCTGTTAGGTTGCCATTCCATGAAAGATCTGGCGCTCATTAAGAAAAATAGAGGGTCGGTGTAAAACAAATAAAAGAATCAGATAGACTAGTTGCATTTGTTCGATATGATGTTGATCTCTTGAGTTTCGTATTGTCAAGATTAATTATAGCACCAACAACATTCTCAGGTACTTGTCGCGTCGCCTCCCCCCACCCTAGACCGGGTGGTGGTCGGCCCGGACTCAAGGGCCAAAATCTTCAAAATCTCAACTTGGCATTTACAAACGTCAAAACCAGAGCCAAAATGACCCCTAAATTATATAAAGAAGAGGAGGAATTGATTGCGAAGGCCCTCAGTGCGTGCCAACACGAAAAAAAAACCGAATTTTAGCAAATTATCGCGTGAATATGGGGTGTCTCGCAAAAAACTGTCCCGTCGGTGGCGTGGCTTACCCTCTCGCTCAACACGCCCACCTACGAGGCGCCTATTATCTCTAGATCAAGAAAAGGCACTTATTCTATGGATTGAGTATCTAGATAATATAGGTGCGCCTCCTACGAATCAGCAAATTGAGGAAAGTGCGAATTATTTGCTCGGCAAAGATTTCAGTGGTCCAGGAGAGCCCCCTCGTGCCAGAAAAAATTAAGTACACGATTTTATCAAGCGCCTGCCAAAACAATATGTACGAATCGTTCAAAAACCTCAAGAAAAGGAACGTACCGTTGCAGAGCATTATGGTGAGGTTGAGCGCTGGTTTATTGACCTCGAGCTCGCTATACAACAATACAAAATTCGCCCTCAAAATCTGTGGAACTTCGACGAGACCGGATTCATTGTTGGACAAGGAAAAGATGAAGCGGTGGTAACAGCATATCCAAAAACATCAAAAAGGGTATCTAGCCTGTCCTCTCGAGAATCAATTACTGTCATTGAGGGTATAAATGCCGAAGGAAAGATTATACCACCTTTATTGATTCCAAAAGGCAAGGTCCATTTGGAGGAATGGTACCGGCATATAAAAGATGACGACTGGCTAGTTGCACCTGCTTCGAATGGATTTATCACAGATAAGATCGCATTCGAATGGCTTCAACACTTTGACCACTTCTCTAGGCCCGGGGCCTTCCCGGATTGGCGGTCTAGGGTGGGGGAAGGCGACGCGACAAGTATCTATCAGATAACCCGGATATCCGGCGAGGCCGAAGATGGGCTGTTCGCTCTCGAAGGTCAACCGGTCACCTCAGGGCATGTATTTGGCAACCTACATTTCAGCAAAATCAGAAGCCACCTTCTTATCAGGGCTCAATATAGCCCCTCAAGCTCACAAATCACCACGCCAAAAAATGTCTATGAAGACCCGGCTTTGGAACCCTGATGTATTTGAACACATGGAGAGAACTAAATACATACCGTCTTGCTAGTCACTTCTTCTTTTTCCATCCTATTAAACTACTATTCAGGACTGGCCTAGAGTAAACCCACCAATCCGACAGTATCTGTATAAGCGCTTCGTGATTGCACAGCCCTTGTCTATGCAGATGTCCGCTAGCTCAGCAGGCATTAGCCTCCATCATCATCCTTAATTTAGAAGTCTTTTCAGATAAGTCTTTCTTTGTTTGACAGGCTTCCCCCGCTCCAATGTAACCTTCATCTCGTCGTATGTTAGCTGCCCGACTGAGATATCAGACAGTCTCCCGTCAGTGCGAATGTATTTTCTCTTGTTCTCCAAATGTCATACGAAGTTGGCCTTTATAGGGTGGTAAGTTATGATCAATTTCTATCATATTGTGAATAGCTGGTCTAGATGGGTTCTCTCGAGGGCATTTATTCACGATCTAGGTACCTACATAACTTCTTGCCGAAACGACTGACCACGAAGCGCTCAACAGGTTATGAAAGAAACAGACATAGAGACATGAAGCACACCTCATACACAGTGCTCCCTGCACTATTGATCACTACTCTCCTTCTAAACCCAGCCCAAGCCATCCAGTGTTCATCTTGCGAGGGCCCGCCAACCTTCCAAGAAGAATATCGAACCAACTACATGCCCAAAGTCATCAAAACATGGTACGGCCTCCAAGTCCTAGCACCAGATACTCCCTACGTCGCTGTCGCAGGCTCAGATAAGCTCTACTTCATCGACACCCGCCTCGACACCGAAACCGCAAAACACGTAAAGCAGAACATTGAGATGGCCACTATCCCAAGGGAAGATGGGTACATTTCCATAGACGAGATTGAGGTTACGGCAGAAGTTAAGAATACTGCTGGCGAAACGATGTTTGTGTTTGATCCGGAATATGCTAGGGTATTTTTTGCGGAGCCGATGAATAGGCGGAATCCAGACCTCAAGTTGCCTGAGCCTGAGCCTGCAGGGGACTGGTTGGTGACTTATGATCTTGAGAGCATAGTGGAAACGGAATCTTGATATAGCACTATGTGTCGACACGGCTGTATCCGTTGCATATGCCAGATCCAAGGTTCTATCCTGACAACGAGTATGGGGCATTGACTAATGTCCTCATCATATGCCTATATTCCATGAATGAATCTTTAGCATATGTCAAGTGACCCTACATTTCAATATCATCTAACAAATCAACATAACACTCTTCGCCCCGTTCCCAAGATAAAACTGCCCATCCTGCTTATTCGCCGTCGCAATACACCTATAATCCCCCTTAAAATCCCCCTTTACATATAACTCACTCATAAAAGTCGGCCAAGTAGTCGCATGTCCATGACAGTTATCCCCCTCCCAGAACTTCAAAATACACTCCTTCCATTTCTTCTTGTTATGTCCTAGTCTTGCGCCGTAGGTGTTTTGTTCGAGGGTCTTACATTGACCGGACCATACCCAGCCCGAGGTTGGTTGTTGTTCCCAGCCGCTGTCACAGGAGCCGGAGTGGTAGACGTCGAGCCACACGCCGTCTGAGGAGCGGGTCGAGAGGAACTCGGTGTCTGTTGAGGTGGTGATGTTGGTTTCTGGGGATGAAGACTCGGTTATGGGGGATGATTGGCCTAGGTAGGCTAGGCAGGTGAAGAGGAGGAGGTTTTTGAAGATCATTTTGGATCTAAAGTTGTGTTAGTGATGGTTTAGAGTGGAAGGATTCACGACATACATAGATCTTTCTCGACGGATGTACAACTAGCAGGCAGAAAAACTCTTGATACTATGATTTCTAGACCGATAGAAGATTATACACGTATTTGTACCTGGAGGGATCTCGAAATGTTTATGATACTCAAAACATCAATTGATCAGTCAAGCCCTAGAGCTCGGACATATCACCGCCTCCTCAGTATACAAACATATACGTAAATAGTTTATCCTGATTACTGATCCGTTTTATCCTTAAGAGAAAAAAGCTCCACAGAAACTCCAGATAAAACATTTCATCAAATAGACAGTACCAAGAAGTTCAATTTGACCTCAGCTGGACACTGATTTGCAGTCTTTCTTGTGTTTTCTTAGTGCTAGTTGATCATAAAGGTTTTATGAAGCGCTATACGTACGTACGTCTATCAATTCCAAATCAAGGAAATGATAATGGCACATTCTACTTGTACGTACAAGCAAAGGTCAATTCTGGACGATCGTCTTGACATGGTGAGTGATTAGTACCTAACAGGGAGTTGATATGATTCGGGCTGAGCACCCCCCTGTCACTAGGATCAATAACATCTCAATAATAATAAGACTATGCAAGATCTGCTCGGCTGTTTTCAGCTTGTACGTAAACAGCGTTTTAATCATGCTAGAGAGGTAATCTATCAACTTCTGGGGAAATTGAAGGTATCGGCGGCTTGGTATCGAGTGGATTAGGGCTTTGGCTCTTATTAACATAGGTTAGAGCCAATTGTAGACTCCACTAGATATGTAGTTCAGTAATCAGGACATGATATTCGAGCTGAGCATTGATATTCCTTTCAGCTCTCAGCACGGAGTAATCTGGATGCATTAATAGGGGGCGTCTGCGGCGGCCATGACTTATCTACCATTCCAGCTTTCTGGTTACCTAAGTATAGAGTCAAAGACTCCATTTACCTCTCGTGATAGACACCATCCATCTCTAAGCCAGCCAAAACCTCAATGTATGCTACCAAATCATCCACATGTACCCCCTTATACTAACTTGATAATCCAGACCTCAAAATGATCCTCAAAAACTTCCTCCTCCTCACCTCCCTAGCCTACCTAGGCCACTCCACCCCTCTATCCAACGCCAGCCCAGAACCTAATGAAGAAGCGTCATCATCCCTCGAAGCCCGCTCAAGCGGCGTCTGGCTCGACATCTTCCACTCCGGCTCCTGCGACGGCGGCGCTGAATCCCAACCAACATCCGGCTGGGTCTGGGCCGGCCAATGCAAAAATATCGAACCAAACTCTTACGGCGCAAAACTGGGGTATAACGTAAATGAATGGCCGTACTGGTGTATATTGAAGTTTTGGGAAGGGGAGAATTGTCATGGGCATGCGACAACGACAAAGATTGGGGATACGGAGAAAAAAGAGCATGTTACGAAGGATTTTGAGGGGAATTATAATTGTATTGCGACTGCGAATAAGGGTGGGCAGTTTTATTTGGGCGGGGGTGCTTCGAGTGTTATGTTGATTTGTTGATGGTAGACTTGTCAGCAGGTGGTACAGGCTGAAAAGTCATTTATAACATGTATTTTACCAGTATCCACAGACTAGCTGGATAGGTATATAATTTTGAAGAATTCTATTAGCTATGGCAACATCCTATCATTACTCAAGAGAGATTACTTTTCTTCCCATCTCGAAAAATGTCGCCCAAGATCGTAGCTTCGTAGCATTTATTTTCACCATCATCATCAATGTCTCTAGGACAAATTAAAGGTTGACAGCATCGCGGAACTTCTCGCCAGCGTAGATGGCATTCTCGCCCAATTCCTCCTCAATACGAAGGATTTGGTTGAGCTTAGCAAGACGCTCAGATCGGGCGGGAGCACCAGTCTTGATCTGACCAGAGCGAAGACCAACGACGATATCGGCAATGGTGACGTCCTCGGTCTCGCCGGAACGGTGAGAGACCATGACACCCCATCCACCGGCATAGGAGTCCTTGGCGGCCTGGATGGACTCGGTAAGAGTACCGATCTGGTTGACCTTGAGCAAAAGGGCGTTGCAGGACTTGAGCTCAATGGCCTTCTTAATACGGAGAGGGTTGGTGACGGTCAAGTCATCACTAGCATCGATTAGCTCCTGTATATACAAGTCTCTTGGAAAAGTTACTTACCCAACAATCTGGAAGTCAGAGGTCTTGAAGAAGTAGCTCCAAGCCTCCCAGTCGTCCTCAGCGAAAGGATCCTCAATGCTGACAATGGGGTACTTCTTGGCAAGGTTCTTGTACAGGTCGGCGAGCTGTTCATAGGTGAGCCACTTGGAGGGGTCACTGTCGGGGTTCTTGAAGTCAAGGTCGTATTTCTTGACATCAGCCTTGTAAAACTCGCTAGAGGCGACGTCCATGGCAATCTTGATCTTGCCGGTGTATCCGGCTTGCTCAATGGCCTCTGTGATGAGGTCGAGAGCCTCCTCGGCAGTCTGAATATCGGGAGCGACACCACCCTCGTCACCGACGTTACCGGCAGATTGGCCGTACTTCTTCTTGGCCAAAGCCTTGAGCTTCTGGTAAACTTCGGCACCTTGGCGGAGACCTTCGCTGAATGTGGGAGCAGTGCTATAGAATGTCAGCTAGATCCTGACACCATCAGCCAGAGCAGCCTACCTTGGGACAATCATGAATTCCTGGAAGGCGAGACGTCCACCAGCGTGGGAACCACCGTTCAAGACGTTCTGGAAAGGAACAGGGAGAACATATGGCTTCTTGGTTCCGGCAAGGTCGGAAATATGAGCATAGAGAGGGACGCCCTTCTCAGCAGCACCAGCCTTGGCAATGGCCAGGGAGACACCGAGGATAGCGTTGGCACCGAGGTTGGTCTTGTTGGCTGTGCCGTCGAGCTTGATGAGGAACTCGTCAACCTTGCTCTGGTCCTTGACGTCGATGTTCTCCTTGATGATGGCGGGTCCGATAGTCTCGTTGACGTTGGCGACGGCCTTTAGGACACCTATGAGATTAAACATTAGTACAATACTCTTCCTGCCAACATGTATCTCACTCACCCTTGCCACCCCACTTGGTCTTGTCACCATCACGGAGTTCGCAAGCCTCGTGTTGACCTAGGAATCATCAAGTCAGCCCAGCTATCCCGGATACTCAGAGCATGTAGACAAACCGGTGGAAGCTCCAGAAGGAACAATGGCACGGTGCAAGCCGGTCTCGGTGACGACATCGACCTCAACGGTAGGGTTACCGCGAGAGTCGTAGACGGAACGAGCGTGGATCTTGGAGATAGGCATGTTTTAGTCTGGATAGTGTTTGGTTAGAGACTGGTGATATGCTAGAAGAGAGAGAGAAGAAGAAGAAGAAGAAGAAGGAATGAGGAGGGAGACAGATGGGTTTTCTAAGGGCCACCTCGTGAGCTGCTAAGGTAACAAAATGTTTCACCGAGGACCCCAATCGAGAGATGATGAATCTCTGCTCTGCTCACTCACAACGTGACGCGATGGATAGCGTCAATTGATTCAAACTCACCGAGAATGAGTCACGTTATTCGAATGCCAGTGTCAATTAATGTGCAAATATTTGAGGTGGGATGTTGTAGAGGATCACAGGCTGAGTGAGAGCAGTTGATGTGTTTTGGTGGGATGGTGGGGTAGAGCTCCAAGCAATCATATGTTTCCAAGACAGAGACTTACCAGGTAGAGAAGATGTAGACAGAGTAAAAAGTAAATAGAACCAGGATTCAATGGCCTGATAGTGGTGTGTTCAACGTAGTATCAAAACTCGCAGTGTTGGTCTATGGGTCAGTCGAGATCTCCTTTCTGCCACTTTTTGGAGGGGCAACCCGCCACTATATACTGTCTCGTACATATCGGATAGAATGAGAATAGCTGCACCTTGATCCGAGGATAGAGACCCTTGTGGGGCATAGAACATGCTTTTCGGGATCTATCACGATCAATTGTTTACCTTTATTTACAAAAGAATGTCTGCTCCAGGCGATTTCTCCCGTTTTCTCAGTCGGAGAGATGCGGAGGGCATCGTCATCGCTGCCTTTATTCTCAGGCATCAAGGCATCAACAAGGCACATGTTTGCACTGTTTGTACGTGGTCCATGCGTGCTGTTGGATGCGGTCACGTGAGGCTACGTATCGGAAGGAGCAGCTGGAGCTTGTGGAAGGAAGCTCACCAAACCATCAGAACACTACATCGTCCCTCTTCTCGGCAACTTTTATTTCGATTTCCTGTGCTTCTGCAGTAGACAGCTAGTTATTTGATAATATTCTAGGTCTTTTACCAAGCGTTACAGAACCACTGGTTCTCCGTCACGATGAGCGGCGCTGGCGACCCCGAGAGGAACCAGGCCATCGAAGATTACAAAAAGACACTTTTGGATCTCCGAGAATGGGAGGCGAAGCTCAAGTCCTTGCGCATGGAGATCAAGGACTCCCAGAAAGAGTACGATATAACAGAAGAAAACATCAAGGCACTGCAAAGTGTTGGTCAGATCATCGGCGAAGTTCTCAAACAGCTAGATGAAGAACGATGTAAACATCTCCCCTGTTTCTTTTTTAGGTGTTGAATAACGCAGGCTTACTTGAATAGTCATCGTCAAAGCATCGTCTGGTCCGAGGTACGTCGTTGGGTGTCGTTCTAAAGTCGACAAGTCGAAGCTCAAACAAGGCACGCGTGTTGCTCTTGATATGACAACGCTTACGATCATGCGAATGTTACCCCGTGAAGTCGATCCTTTGGTTTACAACATGTCACTGGAAGACCCAGGACAGGTCAATTTTGCTGGAATCGGTGGTTTGAACGACCAGATTCGAGAACTGCGAGAAGTCATTGAGCTACCCTTGAAGAACCCAGAACTTTTTATGCGAGTCGGTATCAAGCCGCCAAAGGGTGTCTTATTGTATGGCCCTCCAGGCACAGGAAAGACGCTGCTTGCAAGGGCTGTGGCAAGTTCTTTGGAAACTAACTTTTTGAAAGGTGTGTCTATGCTAACGCTGCTTTTGATGTTATGCTAATGAGTTCAGTGGTGTCATCTGCCATCGTCGACAAATACATCGGTGAATCGGCACGATTAATTCGAGAAATGTTCGGATACGCAAAGGAGCACGAACCCTGTATTATTTTCATGGACGAAATCGATGCTATCGGCGGTCGGCGTTTCTCCGAAGGAACTTCAGCGGATCGTGAAATTCAACGAACCTTAATGGAACTACTCAATCAACTCGATGGTTTCGACTATCTTGGAAAGACAAAGATTATCATGGCTACGAATCGACCTGATACCCTTGACCCCGCTCTTCTGCGTGCTGGTCGTCTGGACCGGAAGATCGAAATTCCTCTTCCTAACGAGGTTGGCCGCTTGGAGATTCTCAAGATTCATGCCAGTACAGTGGTGACAGAGGGCGAAATTGATTTTGAGAGTATAGTGAAGATGAGTGATGGCCTCAACGGAGCCGACTTGCGTAACGTTGTGACTGAAGCGTATGTATTTCTTCCGTTGAACTTCAGAATTACTGTTAACAGTTATTACAGTGGTTTCTTTGCAATCAAAGATGAACGTGACTCTATCAACCAAGACGATTTCAACAAGGCGGTTCGCAAGGTGGCCGAGGCAAAGAAACTCGAGGGCAAATTGGAGTACCAGAAACTATAAGAGACGGAGCCAATCCCTACGTATATGTTTCTTCTTCGTGTATAATGGCGATGCATGTAAATTAGATAGATGCTATTGCAATTTACCTACTGCATTCCATGACAAGATCCTGTATCAAAGTAGTGACCCCGAAATGGTCTAGCTAGGCTCGGCACCTTTACCGGGCTCCTGCCCTCAATGCGGAGTATGAAATCTATCCAAAAGCCACTCTTCATTCTTTCTATGGATATTTTCATTAACTGCAGACTGTACGTTCAGTATATACGCCAAGCATTGATTATTTGCAGATATTTTTTTGCGCATTCATATCTACCCCTAAATGAGGTGAGTATATCGTTCATCTAATCATAGAGCTCCGTTGCGGCCACGGTGGAGCTTTAAATATCCAGTTCATCGACCACTTGTTTAGGATTATTCCACGTTACATTCCCAAACACGTCTCAGAATTCTGTCTTGTGAGTTTATTGAATACTAATGATCAATGATCGCTCGCACGTCTAGTATCTCTGCCGCTCTTTCTCCACGTGTGTCTGCGTGGGCTCGTCTTCAAAGTCGATAATCGAGAATCCGTACCCATTCGGAGATAACCCTTCGTTTTCGCGAGCCTATGGTTCGCTATCTAGGACGGATATTCTTTGCGAAGGGTCTATCGAGAAGCTAGGGACAACCTGGCGTTGGGCAAAATGGTGACCTTCGTTCACTCATCTCAAAACGACCGTTCCCAACAGGGCCTCGACTGGAGAGCATCATCGGCACGAAGCAGCAGTAATCTAGGCGGATACGGCTTCTCCTCGAAAGATACCAGCGGAAACAGCAACGACAGCAGTGCGGGGCTAAGCAAAATGAATAGCTTCTTTGGTGGGAAGAAAAATCGTGATCTACCAGTGTACAAGGACAAGCCGTACTTCAAACCACGTCGCACAGGATCGAATCGAACCGCGTCTCGCGTCGTATATACGGTGGTGTCCTTTTTTATGATGGTGCTGTTGTATGTGTTTTGGGGTAGTTGGGGGAGTCCTGTTGCGGTTGGTCCTGCGGGTGAAGCTGGAGAGAATTTATGGAAATGGGTTCAGACTTTTGATACGGAAGATGATGGCGTTTTAGCGAAAAAGATCACCTGGGAGGAGAGGAGGCAGAAAGTGAAGGATGTGTTTACTATAAGCTGGGACTCATATGAGAAGTATGGTTGGGGTGAGTTCGGCAGATTTTCATATTCTGGTGTGGCATACTAACCGCTTCGTCAATAGGATACGACGAGTACAAACCTGTATCCAAGAAAGGCAGAAATATGGTTGAAGGTGGCATGGGATGGACTATCGTTGATGCTCTTGACACTATGATTCTTATGAATCTTACTTCCAGAGTGCAGCATGCTCGGCATTGGATCCATAACTCGTTACGGTACGATCAGAATCATGACGTGAATACGTTTGAGACGACGATTCGTATGCTTGGTGGCCTGTTATCGGCGCATTATCTATCGACAACCTATCCCAACCTGGCACCAATAACTGACGATGACGTTGGAGCCCCCGGTGAAGATCTTTATATCGAGAAAGCTACAGACTTGGCAGATCGATTGTTAGGCGCCTTTGAATCTCCTTCCGGTGTTCCTTATGCCAGTATAAATCTAAACACGTCTCACGGAATCCCGTCACATGCCGACGGTGGTGCATCTTCTACGGCAGAAGCGACAACCGTGCAGCTGGAATTCAAGTATCTGGCTAAACTGACTGGCGAGGCAGAGTACTGGCAAACAGTGGAGCATGTTATGCAGGTTGTTGATAACCAACAAGCAGAGGACGGACTCTTACCAATCTTCATCTATGCGGATAGCGGACAGTTCCGTGGTAAGAACATTCGGCTGGGAAGCAGGGGTGACTCTTATTACGGTAAGCGGTCTTATTCTTGGTCTGGGAAGTTTCTGCGCTGACTATATTCAGAATATCTCATTAAACAATACCTGCAGACATCCGAAGGAGAGCCCATCTACAAGGAAATGTGGGATGAAGCCCTTACTGGGATCAGTAAACATTTGATTACATATACCAAAAACGGGAAGTTTGCAGTTCTGGCTGAGAGACCAGACGGTCTTGATCGAGCTCTGACACCAAAGATGGATCACCTCGTGTGCTTCATGCCTGGCACGATAGCTCTCGGAGCGACGCACGGTCAGTCGTTATCCAGTGCAAGGCAATCCTCAACATGGAGTCAACGACAAGATGAGGAAATACTTCTTGCAAGGGAACTGATGAAGACATGTTGGGCTACATATCTGGCAACAGCAACTGGACTTGCGCCTGAAATCACATATTTCAAAACCGATACTCCGCCTCTGATGTTGCCAGACGTATACCCCGATTCAGCTTTGCTGTCTACCCCCGGGAGCAACAAAGACAGTTCATACACACCCAAAGAACTTGATATCAAATCTGCTCCTTTGGAAGATAGAGATGCATGGATATCCGATATTAATATCCATGCCCAGGACACGCATAACCTCCAACGACCAGAAACAGTCGAATCTCTGCTATACATGTACCGCATCACGGGTGACGAACAATATCGTGAATGGGGCTGGCAAATGTTCAAATCCTTCGTCAAGCATACAGCAGTTGTCGAAAAGGTGTTCCCGAGTGATCACGAAGGAGAAAATAGCCACCAACACGCCCTTAATGAAAACAATGACGATGATAACCACGCCTCCTACCGAATAGTGGGATTCACATCCCTCTCCAATGCCAACATTGATCCGCCCCTGAAACGAGATAATATGGAAAGCTTCTGGATGGCCGAGACATTGAAGTATTTCTATCTCTTGTTCTCGGATCGAGATTTTATCCCTTTGGAAGATGTGGTGTTTAACACAGAGGCTCATATATTCCCTCGATTCAAGGTCGGCGGTGATTTGAAGACTGGATGGTCGAGGAACACTCGTGTGCAGTCATCTACCTAGCTGACTTTTCATCTGGAATTTTGTAAATAGCATTGTACAATGGTTCATCTGTGTTTTGTTTGCAATATACCATCTATTCGTCCTATCATTTGATGGCATGGTTCCAACCTCCTATTTCACGTGTGAAATATCTTTGTAAGATCTCTATGAAAGATCTTTGTGTTGGGTGGTTACATTTGCATGTACTGCAGCAGGATCCCAAGCATGAATAGCTAGCATTTCCTCCATCTTCACCATTTCCATCTTCTACATTATTGACATGGGCTCATTTCGGTAATATCAGCACGGAATGCTCTATATATGACTTGCTGATGTGCCTGAATAGTCACGTTTTCATCTCACTTCTGTGTTATATTACTTCGTTCTTTATCCCTTGACACATCCCAGTCATACCCCTTCTATCAGTTCATTTCTCACCCTTGGTTATAATCGTACATCTTTCCTCTGTCATCTTCTACAATGTCGGCATACTGTTGCATACCCATCAACATCAAACACAGAGGCAAGAAAAACTCCAAATCTACCAAAGATACTACTTCCGAAAAGCCAAAGATGGCCATCTGGAACTTTTTCTTGGGCTCCACCCCTAATCGCCAACAGAGAAAACAACCTCCTCGTCGATCTCAAGCACAGCAACGTGCAGCAGCACGTGAGAGGGAGGGTTCTCCACCAAGTTATGGCTCTGCACGCCATGAAGTCAGGTCTGGAGACATCCAGACCAAAAATTCAACCACTCCGGGTCCTCCTCGAAATGGTGGGGCTGTATCTACGCCGATTGTTACTGAGGGAGAAGATGCCCGCATTAATAGCCGTTACCAGCCGTATGTTGAATCGGCGCCTGGGTCGTCTGTTTCTATGGAGTTCCAATATGATACCCCGAGTACGCCATCCTCCGAGAGCAAGGGAACTCTCGCTGATGCTTTCGCGTCCGAGGAGGAAGAGCAAGAAAAAAATATGCAGAACAAGGAAGCGTTTGCAGCTCCTTTGACAATCCATCGATCCATCATCAATGGACGCAAGGTGGCCGATTACACCGGCACTGAAGATAGCTTCATCAATGTTTCATCTGCGGGTCGTGTCTATATGCATGGCAGGGACGGTGATATTATCGTTGATGATTCTGGTGTTCGCCTCAATTCTTATGGAAACAAGGCCAAGGGCAAGCAGAGCAAAGACAAGGAACTAGGATCTAATGAATCTAATGGTCCTTACGGTGCAACTCGCAACATCAACATGGGCACCATCATAGACAACGTCGAAGAGAGCGGTTTACTCTTTAGAGGGAGAACCTTCCAAGCACATCCCGACGGCACAAGGGAAGAAATTGAGGACAATCTCCACAACTGCGGCACAACAAATTTCAACAGTGGAACCATCTACCATAACGTCGCAAGGGATGCTGTGGTGCTTACAGGAAGTACTATCTATGGCGACATGGATTTTAGTCGTGGTGGTGGGACTTTCAGTGCTGGATTCTAGGCGCAGAACCAATGACTCTGAATCTAGCTACGGCGGCTCTAGAACATCCAACTTTGGAAGCAGTAATTTTGTCACAAACAGCGACGCGCATATGTGTGGAAGTATCTTCAATGGCAATGGGCGCTTTGGCTAAGTCTTGACTTTTGAAATAGCATCAATACAGGAACTAGGGATGTAGTTAACGACGCTGTGTTCCATGGGCATGTCAGATTTCGATGATGTGAAGCGATCGAGCTCCTGGGTGAGGGGTTTTTGAATGCGACATTGTTTGTAAGTATATCTCAATCCTTCTTCGATGTCATTCCTGGGCTGTATTTATCCTGATTGTGATGTTATACACAGTTCATGAGTTCAAGAATGTTGTTTTCCTCAATTCAAATCACGCCTCGAACGATTCATGGCTGATTCCGTGGCTGCGGAGGTAAGTGTGCCATGATACCATGTTTTTATAGACTACCTACTTATGTGGTTTAGTTGCGAGGAAACAAGTGCTGTCTGAGGAATTAGGGGGCCGGCGCTATTGGATTGATTTTGTGCTTTTCAGATGGAGTTCGGAGTAGGCAATACATTACTTTTTCGATACATAGTTAGGCAAAAGCGTGAATATCAGAATCTTTGATGACTGCAAGTATCACTTTCCATGGACTAGGTACAAACCCTAATATCTGCAAGATTGATCATGTGAACTCTATATACCAACTCCATATACAGATATATGTTCTGACTCACTATTGATTCCTCTCAAAAGCAGCATCAATCAGCCTCTTATAACCCTCCACAGCAGCCTCCAAATCCCCAACGGTAATCGCCTCATCTGCTCCATGGGCCACAAATATACTTCCAGGTCCATACAAATACCTATGCACGTGTCCCTCAGGACTACCTCCAGCACCTTCATGAATCTTCAAGTACCACGCATCAGTCGCATAATTAACGGTCGTAACATTAAACCCATCAATATCTGCATCAAAATCAATCGGTGCATGACCTTTACCATTATTACCCCATTCAATGGTAACATTCTCATCTCCATTGGTAGCTTCATCAACGGCTCTTGTGACAATTTCCTTCACTTTCTCAACATCATGATACGCTAGACGAATATTGACAGATGCCTCTGCTGCTTCGGGGACGACATTACTCGCAATCCCAGCCTCGATACGACCAATATTAATAGTCGATTTCCCCAACTTCTCACTCCCCGGAATCCCACCGTCTTCCGCAGGGACATCAGCGAGGGTATCAAGTTTAACCAGCGCAGGTAACAAAGATGACACAGCACTGCGGCCCAACCACGGATACCCCGAATGCGCCGCTTTCCCCTTTGCACTTATTTTGAAAAACAGTGAACCCTTGTGACCGGAGACAAGGTTTAATTCGGTCGGTTCACCGAATATGACGGTATGGAAAGTCGGTGGTGAGGTGTTGAGGTCTGATTGCGAGAAGTATTGCATACCGATACCGTCGACTTCTTCGCCGACGACGAAGAGGAGGCCCAAAGGTGCGAAGGGGTGGAGTTGGAGGTATTCTAGTACGGCGAGGATTTGGGATGCGACGCTTGCTTTTGCGTCGACAGAGCCGCGGCCGGAAATCAGGATGTTGTCGCGCCAGTTGAGTGTGGAAATGTCTGATCCATTGGATGAGGAAGGTAGATCGAGACTGTAAGGGATATATGGAGGTACAGTGTCGATATGACTCGACAAAAGCACTTTAGGTGCTGTGGGGCTTGAGTTCGGATATGCGTATATATTGAATCGCTCATGTTGATCTTTGCTCAACGACTTCCTTGGGACAACAATTTGTTTCTCAACTTTGAAATCGCGAGATTGGAGATATTGAATCACAAAGTCGCCCACATCGGCCTCATTTCCAGAGATCGACTCAAATTTGACCAGGTCGCGGTGTAATGATAGTAGCGGAGATATGTCAATTACATGCTCAAGGTCATGCTTATTGGGTTGTGTGTTTGCTTCTGCAATGATGTTGCTCAATGGCTGCTGTTGTTGTTGCGGAGATGGTGCGGGGTGCGGAGATGCTCGAGTTGCTCCGACAAGGAGTAAAACTGAGCTGAAGAGGGATGAGGTTTTCATTTTTCCCTTCTCTTATATATGAAAAGGTCCTGAATGGAATTGACAAGAGAGGAAGGTCAATTGGGTCTTGTCGTGGTTCAAGGACCTACCCTGATATGTGAGAGTCGCGGGAAGAAAACAATTGGGACGTTTATCTTCGCACGTCATCGTCGGCTGTCACATGACCTGCACATATCGATATTTGCGATTGATGAATAGTCCATAGAAGTCTCGATTACATACTATGTAGTAGTAACATATCTATCGTCACTGCTACTAGCGCAGTTCTTAAATGAAGGTGTCTGCCAATATCATACATATATGAGGTGAAGTCATAACAAAACATCCATCAATTCATAGTTGAGAAAAGCAGCAATCCACAATCAAGCGTTCCAGATCAGCCAATTTGTACGGCTTGGTCATATAACCCTGAATACCAACCTGCGAAGCTCGGTTCAATGCTTCATCCGTCACATCTGCGCTCACAGCCAGAACTTTTGGCGAAATGTCAAATATAGACGGGCATTCCGATCCACTTCTTTGGTCCCAATTCTCCACAGGACTACTCTGCGGATTGTGCATAGGTGCCAGACGGTTGCAATGCTCATCTACCATCTCGAAAATCTTCGATGTAGCTTCATAACCATCCATTTCCGGCATCCACAGATCCATCAGAACTACATCAATCGGTTTTGCCTTCTTTCGGTTGCCTGGATTCGCCATATCGGGAGAAAGTGAATTCTCGATACCACTATCGCTTCCTTGAATAGACGGTGATGACATCGGCGAAGGTAGCGGATAGGAAGACAACAATGTCTCTTGCATAATACGGACTGCCTCTCGTCCGTCGTAGGCTTCATAAACATCACGATACCCGAGTTTGCGTAGCATGTTTACTAATATTTTTCGATTGATTTGGTTATCCTCTGCCACTAGGAAAGTCAGAGGATGCGCTTTTCCAAGACCAGCGCCATGTAAAGCGCCAGTTGGTGGAACTTTGGGAGTTGAAGAAGGGACAGGCTGGTCGAGAGGAACAAATGTCTCCGGAGGAGGTAACATTTCTAAGCTCTCAGGATGGCTAGTCGTGGTGATTGTTGCGGCATCAGTAGGAAAGGTTGTAGGTGTACCGACTTCGACAGGTAGTGGAGGGGTAGCCAACGGTGCGGAGACGTTGTGTGAAGTAGTTGGTCGGCTGAGCATACCACCAGGGTTAAGAGGAATACGAATCTCAAACTCGGATCCTCGCTCAGGACCAGAAGTAGAAGAATGAACACAAAGTAAATCACCACCCATTTTCCTTGCTAGTCCTTTAGCCACTAAAAGGCCCAACCCAAGTCCATCTCTCGTTCGGGTCGTCGAGTCATCCTCTCGCGCAAAGGGTTTGAAAAGGCTGGGAAAGAATTCCTCTGGAATTCCCGTACCGGTATCGCGGATGTTGATTCGAATATACTGAGGAGACTTGTTGCTCGATGTGGCCAATACCTTGATTTCGCCACTTTCCGTGAATTTGACGGCATTCAGAAACACGCATGATATCAATTTTGCGAGGTCACGTTCATCAACATAGAGGTTGTCCGGAACTGTTGGTTCAACGGACCATTCTATACTTTTGATGCAGGTGTTTCCATTTGATGCCAGGGCATGAACATTGATACGCTCACCCAGCAACGTTCTTTGACTCAATGTTGACTCTGGCCGCTTACCGACATGTAATGATTCATTGATGACAAGATGTAGAAGCTCACGGATCTTAGTCTGGCGTACAGCAGTAGGGGGTACGCCTTCAACAACCATCTGCGGCGCCATTCGCCTTGCAGTTAGCGACGGTCTCTGAGCGACTGCATTACCAACCACTTCTTCAATGTGACCTTTTGCAGACGAATACACAATCTTGTCGCTCTCCTGAACGGCATTTTTAACTTCGCTTCGTGGTGACAAATCACCATGGGAGGTGTTCCTCGTTGAAGAGCGTTTCGGTGGCCGTCCATGTCCAGTCCAGTCAATGGAGATACTGCGACGGCGTTTGTATGAATTAGATGGAAGTTTATTGTCTTTGAAGGAAAACCGGTCACCAGACGCGGTTACCCGAGGTAGTACGTCTCCCATAATATCGGCGTAGATTTCTTTCTGTGGGGTTTCCGGAACCTCCATATTAAGATCATACGCATGAACGACGTTATCTGCTGCTTCGACTGCGCGTCGAGCGCTATCTTGAACCAATTCGATATTTTCTTTCAAATCTTGCAAGAGGCGGAATGATTTTGTAGCAACTCTGGCATCGATTGCCTCCTCCACATTTGCATGCATGACATCTAGCATGCCAACGACTCCTTGCATGGGAGTTCGTAATTCGTGCGATAAGCTAGGGGCGAAAGGTTTCAGGGGATGTGCAAAGATGGGTGACGGGGGAGCTGATGCGGGTTGAGGACGAGTGTCAGCATCATGTGATAGAGACTCTGAAGGAAGTGAGAATGCTGGTGCGCTAAGTTGACGAGGAGAGGATGCATCGTCCACGACACGTTGAGTAACCAAATCCTCCAAAGAATGTAAAAGCATTTCTATATATGACCATGATAATGATTGTTTTTGGAGGCCTTGAACAGTCCACATTATTCCGAAATGACCGATGTTACGCTCCCCAGACCACAGAGGTGCGGCAATCAATGCCTCAGCTGCGAATGGAACATCGTCAGGCAGGGCTGAAGAACGCAATCCGTCCGGAATAAGAAACACCTTTCCATGTTTCATATGTTGACGAGATGCATTTATAGCAGGGTGATTGCGATCACTAAGCAAACCCTGACTTCCAGACCCATTGGTGTAATAGCATTTTGCCATGGATTCCCGTCTTCCTTCGCTGTTTGTGTTGTCCAGTTCGTAGCTAATGAATGCACATTGAGCTTGCGTGAGCGTTGCCAATTCTTCGAGAACCCTGTCCCAAGGTAATTTTGTGTTGGACGACTTCAAAGCCTTTTTGAGGGTGACCAAACGTTCTGCAGCATCGCTCTCGCGGTTGTCGAAATGTTTGTTCAAGAGTGTAGTGAAGCCCGCGTCGCCGTGATGCAGTGAATCGCTGAATCCTTCGCTAGCCAGACACAGAGACGTTCGGGGGAGCGGCGTGTCAAGTGCCATGCCGCTTTTGCGACTCTCCGAGGCAGCATCCATATTGTTTTGCTCGGTAACGGGGTTATAAGGGAAAAGGTACGAAAGAAAACGGATCAACCATTACAATGGGACGGATCTAGCCCGACAGAGTCGAGACAATCTACTCAACTAGAGTATATTAGTATTGCTCCTTCCAGTCCAGACACGAGAACTTACGATACCACAGATAGATATATATGATTTAAGAAATCTGCAGGGAGAGAGATGTGTTCCCCCAGGGATCCAACCGTTACTGTTCAAATGCTGGCTGGGGTAGTAGTTGTTCAGACTGTCGAGATCACCATCTCACCAGGGTTGAGTGTCCGACCGTATACGCTGCCGGATTGTCGATTCGAGTCGAGTACTGTAGTTGTTCAAATCAAGCGCCAGGGTTTAAGAAGAAGAAGAAGAAGCAACGTCAGAGCGAAAGGCTCTCAGGCCTCTTTTGGCTTCAATTAGCAATTCAGCGGGCGGGAAGAACCCAGATTCCAGCCAGGGCCCAGACCGATCCACAAAACGCGGTATGCGTACGGTAAGACCAGCGCCACTTGCGAATCGTTGTAGATCAATCATCTGAATAATTCGTTTATAACTTGATATAACTGAATGTTCTTCACTATGCAGGAATTACGTAGTATTTATATTCCAGTATATAATTAACGGGATTATCTACGAAATAGAGACTGAACGATAAATACATGTTTCGTATGATACGGTACGGTACATATCGTGTCATCCCAAGCAGGCCTAGTGATCGCCCGCTGGCGAAGGCCAGTGCGGTGGATCTCGAATCACGATCCGCCGTCAGCCAAGGATGGAGCCAATCTAGACCAGATTGACCATACTTTCTTCCAATAAGACTGTGCGAATATCTTTCAATATGATGTATCGTATTGGTATTCGGATATATGCCTTGCATGACACAACGGATGTGACTGAAGATCGATGTACTATGTACACCCTTCTAGGGTTAAGTACCCATGAGACCTGCCGATTTTACCGCGCAAGCCCTAATTAAATCCCTTGTCTTGCAATTCCAGGTACACAACATCCATTTTGTCGCGTCTCCATCGTTCCCTGGGAGCTGTCCACGATTTCTCCACAATATTCCTTGACATCGATCGGGCAGGCCTGGTTCAAAGGGCAATACTCCACCGGTCGAAGTTTGAATCGATTCAACAGCGTGCTACTTGACTACGTACTATGTCCATTAAAGCCGCATGCATACTGATCACCAGATAGCCAAGGACTGGACGGGAATGGACCTCAAATACTTGCTCAGTCAAGTACGAATCGAGAGGTACAGTTGAAATAAAAACTGGGGTGAGATCCCCAGTTTGGACCCACGGCCTTTGACCCTGAATGTGACATTTGCTCAGACCTGAACTCTAGGGTAGCTCATCTTCAAGAAACTAAGCATACAGAAAAAGAAGGAGAAAGGAAGAATCTGTGTGTGAGCTCGCTACAGCCCTTTGTAAGCGCGTATGGCCTCGTCGGTGCCTAAATAGGAAGTCATAACAACAAAGGGATATCCCGTTGTACGGCCAGCTAGGGCTTAGGGCTCAACGAGACCACGGAGCGGCACTACAAAGGACCGAGCTTACACGACAGCGATTCTTGCAGCCGTCACACTGAACCTTGGGACTGGCGATGTGGCTGAGACGAGATAAGATTACTTCTCCTGACGTTATTAATTCAGATGAGTCTCTGGATATGTGGACAGACGTCTTGTCAAGATGTTTGACAAGGCAGTTTTCATTGGTGAATGTTGTATGTTCTCTTCCATTCGCTTTTATCCTTTCCATCTCTCTAACTGCTTCGGTCCTCTAAAGACCCGAACCGCAAGTTCATGTGGACGACACAATCAATCAACAAAATCCGACTTATCAACCCCTTACAACAAGCCATCTCTCCCAGGATACGAAACGTAATCCCACCGTGATCCACCATAGAGCAATGCCCTCTTCCATCAAATCGGTGTGATTTTTATCGAAGAATGACGGTATCAAGTCTTAATCTCGGCGCCAGTCCGGTGGATATCCAGTACCCCAGTCAGGATTAACATCGTTCGTATTGGCTTTGGCGTCACGCAGATAGACTGCAGGTGCGGCGGCAGCAATACCAGCCAGGAAGAGGAGAAAAAGACGCATTTCTTGAGGAAGCTTCGAGAGTCTAGGCAATATGATTCTTTGAGAGGTATGATACAGCCAGACTTGAATCCCGGGCAAGTACCAGTATTTATATGTCCGTACCTATCATGAGGTTGCATCAACGAGCGGTTTTATTACTACCTATCTGAGCAATCACTCTTCATACAGGCTAAGGAAGGTTTGGAGGCGCGAATATACGTAAGTATAATTGGATATGGATGTAACAGTAAGTGGAAATGATCAGTAATCACAGATTCTTCTACATAGAAGTCAAGGAACGTGCGTGAATTTCTGAGCTCAAACAAGCTATCTACCCATGCCATGATTAGGTTGAGAATGGAAAGGATCCATTTCTTTACAAATTTATATTTTAACGCACGTGCCGAGGAAGCTTCTAGTACGGACAGATTAGACCCAGATAATCTCATAACCAATATCAGGATTGATGCACCGTAATAGAGGGTACTCACCGGTTATCTTGAATGGAAAGAAGCAGATTTGTTGGAGGAGGTCGAATGGAATCATAGGATTGATCCAGGAGGTTTCGCTCCGCTATATCGTAAACCAGGATCCAAGATCACCAAAGACAATAGGACTAGCGCCCCAGATGGAGAAAAGGATGAAGACAACAGTGACATGACCGGCAATGACAGTCATCACGGTCATGTGATTGGCTTAACCCTCAAACTCTTTACAGAAAGACAGCCAGACTTGCTGAGATGTCGGTGGAAATGTCGCCCTAATTTTGATGGCAGTCGTTCTCAGTGAAGGTTTCATGGTTCCTCATGTTCTTGTACTTTGATGTATGTCGCTATCCATTTGGAGTGCCTACATGAGGAGGTCTGATCAATTTCACGAGGGTCATCAGGTACCTTGGTAATTGCGGGCAAACAGTCATCATTCCTATACTTCCACGCAGCTAGTTACGACGATTTGACTTAACAAAATATTGACATAGTTACTGCTGTTATAAATTTGAACACCTAGGTAATATCTAGACAACAACTCTGGCAAAAGACTTGACGTATCCACGTCACTATCCTCTCAATGGAAGCACCAACAAACACCCCATCAAATCTATCCAACCCCCGCATCAGACCCTTCAAAATCTCCATCCCAGATTCTCAAATCACTGCTCTCCATCAAAAACTCGAGCTGGCATCCTTTCCTGATGAACTCGAACTGGACAAATTTCAAGAATGGGATATGGGCGCCCCCCTGGAGGATATCAAACGGCTCACAGCACATTGGAAGGGTCCCTTTGATTGGCGCAAAGCGGAGCAAGATTTAAATGATATTTTGCCGCAGTATATGACTACTGTATCTGTTGAAGGCGGGTTTGGGATGTTGATGTACATTTTGTGTATCAGCGGAGTCGGATTCGAGAAGGGAGAAAGGCTGTTCCGTTATTGTTTCTGCATGGGTGTATGGTATATCTCTTTCATTTCGTCTCCATGCTTAAAGTGAATTTACGATAGATGCTGATATACTTGCATAGGGCCCGGTAGCTTCATCGAACTGAAAAAAGTGCTTCCTCTCTTAACCCAAGGAGACGATGATCAACCAACGTTCGATGTCGTTGCACCTTCACTACCGAATTTTGGTTTTTCCCCAGGTATATCAAAGGTGTGATTCTCATCCTACTCTGTTTGCATTTAACTAATATCAAGGATCAGAAAGGATTTGGAATGGCCCAATACGCCGAATCAATGCATGCACTGATGCGCATACTAGGATACTCAGAATACGGTCCGTATATCCCTACTTCCTACCTGAGAACACTAACACAATACAGTCATCCAAGGCGGCGATTGGGGCTCCTTCCATCGCCCGTACAATGGCAATTCGATATCCCAAAACCATTAAAGCCTTACACCTCAACTTCATCCCTTCACCACCACCATACCCTTGGCGAAACCCGCTTTTATTTCTACAAGGCCTGTTAGGATTCATAATACCACCTTTCTCAGCTTCCAATCGACAAAAGATAGCCATAACTCAAACCTATCTGGAGCGGGAGAATGCCTACGCAAGACAACAGGATACATACCCGCAAACACTGGGATATGCATTAAACGACAGTCCCGTGGGACTGTTGGCATGGATATACGACAAATTACATCGATGGACGGAAGGGTATCCCTGGACAGATGAGGAAGTACTCCAGTGGGTTTCCATATATGCCTTTTCAAAAGCAGGACCTGCGGCTTCGTTACGTATATATCACGAATCGGTTACGAAGCCGGATTTGACTGCTTATGAGGAAGGGGTTACGTGGTTATCGCGTGACCAAGTTGTGTCGACTCGTATACCGAGTTGTGTCAAGATAGCTGTTGCTAGTTTCCCTGGGGAGATAATGTAGATTCCGAGTACGTGGTTGAGAGCAATTGGGAATATCGTGCAGGAGACTGAGATTGAGAAAGGGGGGCATTTTGCTGCGTGGGAGACACCAGAGATATTGGTGCAGGATTTGAGGGATTTTATGGGGAAGTCTTGAAAAGGTTATGGTGTTGTTCGGAGCTCCAAGTAAGGATGGGTTCTAGTCCACATATCAGGGAGTTGCTGTATGTTTAAACAGAGTGCCAATGTATGAAAAGTGGTGAGAAACGGTTAAATTGGATAAACGACCTGTCTAATCTTGTCGTCCTTTCAGTAATCTCTTTGTGACCTTGTCCTTCTCTATAATATAGACATTAGCACCCCAGCCGGAGAGTGCGTCTCTGTCGACAGCATTCAAAAGTGCCTGAGAAATAGTCTCGAAAAGATCCTCGGGGCCCTAATCACTAATTAGTATGTGCCGGTAACAAGGGATACAAGATAACACACCAAATCAGGCTCCCACAGTCCCTCACAAGTACCAAATAACTGATCACTAGCTGTGCCACTGACAATAAAGTCCTTGGCAAAGTCGATACATCCGATACTATCAAACCCGCAAATGAATGGCTTCCCAGTTGTATGATTGATTCCCGCAATGACAGGAGACACGAAATAAGGACCGAATCGTCGCTCGTACAGACTTGAGCTGACGAGATTTGCAAGCGTCTGTGGGGAAATGTGTCGTTCTTCACGAAGTCGGTACATGTTGACCTTGTAGCGGAACAGATCGGAGACGGTGGTTACGTCAGTTGCGAGGCCCGTTAGACCGAGATAAGTGGACGGGGCGTAGTTGAAGATTTTGGGGAAGTTGTTGGATACCGTCAGGGCTTGCATACCCAGTCGAAGATCACAGGCGATTGCGACACAGTCTTTTCCCACCATGGCCACGCAGGCACCACCATCTTTCAATGAGTTAGTATTTGTGAAATAAACAACGAAGAGTCGGGATCATACTGATGTCGAAGGGTGAGCTCTAGATGAAGAAGTCAGTTAGCTATTCATTAGGAGAGGACTGGGAGCTCCAGAGCATACCATGATGAACTATTTTATCAACCAAAGACCGATATATCGTGCAAATACAGCTGATACTAAAGACGACAATCGTAGAGCAGGAATACAGGCGACAACAGCAGAAGAAAGGTGGTGATGGGAAGTGTGTTTGCTTAAGATGAAGCTGTAGGCGGCCAACAACGCGAGTCTGAAAGGGAGCTCGGGCCAGGCGGTAACCCGATTGGGATGTCCGTCCAGAATGACGCTCAGCGGGCGCCTGTCTTTGCCAGAATCTCATCGAACTTCAGCTTAGCAAGCTTACTTCTGCATCGGATTATTTGTCTTTGCTTATTCTGATACTATATGCTCATCTCTGAAGTCCTTCTCGGATTAGTTTCATCATCACGCCGTTATCATCGGCGTTGGATAGCATCAAAGTAAAGCTGCCCCGCTTTACAATCCGGGGTCGCTTCGTCATTCAGAGAATCTCTACACAAATACTTCGTGCCACCAATAACCATGAGCTCCCATGTTGTGGTGATCGATTCTACAGCTAGACGAGCCACTATCAAGACAGCCCCATCGAAACCCTTGGCAGATGTACTGCAAGAAGCTTGCACTAAGCTAGGACTGAATGCCAGTCAATATGGCCTCAAGTGAGTAGTCTCTATCAGTCTGGCAACTCAGATACTAATTTCTACAGACACCAAAGTAAACAACTTGATTTGTCACTTCTCTTCCGACTGTCCGGTCTAAGCTCCGGCGCAAAACTCGAACTCGTACAACTTTCAAAATCACCGTCCGTTGTGACAGTTGCCCTTCAACTTCCAGAGTCCGAATCACAGGGTGTCCCGAACGGGCGACTTCTTGACAAATTTCCTAGTACAACAACGCTATGGCTGGTACTGAGGAAATTCGAAGCTGGTGTTGCCGGGAATGGATCTACAAGAAATTTGACTGCCCGAGCTGCGCCTGCTACAGATAGTGGAAATAACGGGACTGGGAGGTTATATTATCAGACACCGGTATTACAAGTAATGGGTCGAGAGTTGGCAGAATTTTCGGATTTGCAAAAGTCATTGGCACAGTTGGGTTTTAATAGTGGCAATGTGCTTTTTCGATTATCGTTCCGGACGACACAACAACCGTTCGAAGAAGCAGTGGCGATGATTGATAAATATTTTGAGGCACATGGTGAGAAAGCTAAGGTCAGCTCTACAGCCGAGACGATAACAGCTGCCACAGGATTAAATGAGCCAGCGCAATTATTAGAACCTGCCGCAACGACTGGCCTGACTGAAGCAGAACCTATGGATACACAAGAGGATATAACACAACCAGCTGCCGGGGTCCCTGTATCAGATCCGCAACGAACAGAAGCAGTCGCTCCTCCGCTTGTGTCTGATCGACCAGTCACTGTCTATAAACCACCCACAAATACAACTCCTCATTCAGCTTTAACATCCTACAACGAAGAAGATTATGTCCCTAGCATTGAACATGCCAAATCACATCAAGGACGACTCAACCAGCTATCCCGGAATGTTCGCCTTCCAAGTGATAAAGAAATTGCCGAAAAGGAAGCCGCCGAGCAGGAAAAGTTAGCAGCAATCACAGAAATAGACGTCAAAATTCGATTCCCGGAGCAGAGTCAGGTTGTTGCCAAATTCAAGCAGACGGACACTGGATCACATCTCTATTCGTTTGTACGAGGATGCTTGAACCCAACATTCGCCAACGAGAAGTTCCAACTAGTAGTATTCGGGGCAGCAGTAAAGCAGTCACGGACCGGTCCCGGTGGTTCGAGTCAGGCAATCCCAGATTCAGATCAACAGTATCTGATCAAAGACCAGGGTCTACGAGGAAGGGTCCTTGTAAATTTCACATGGATTGATAATAAGCAAGCATCTGCCATGACGGCAGCGACGCGGATGACGAGTCTCTTAAAACCGGAACTCAGCAGACAGGCGCAAGACATCCAGATCCCTAGTGTGCCTGGAGTTGTCGAAGGAGATAATAAGGATAAACCATCACTCATAAATAGACTTGGGACGAAAGGTGAAGGAGAAGGTGGAAGTCAGTCTCATGGACCCAAAAAGGGAGGAGTGCCGAAATGGCTGAAACTTCCTGGGAAGAAATGAGTGTATCATGATGGGTAAATTTTGTATATTTTATGACTAGCAGAATGCGTTGTCTATTTTTCTGAAATCTGTTACGAAACGAAAGACAGTACGTGGTTGATTGTACAATATATACAAACTACGTTATGTAAACAGTCAGGTTGTCCGACATCTCATCTTCATATTTCATCTAATTGTGTTATTGTGTGTAATGAGAACGTGATCGGTCAGGAAAAATCTGGATATCACAACCATCAAATCATCGACACACCCGCCTCATCCATCCATCTGTTCAATCATCCCCTTCCGTTATTCCAACCTGCCACATCATCTGAGAGACCCATGAGTTCGGTAATAAAGAAAAAAAACATGAAAATCACCCTCATATCGTAATCGATTATCTCATGAGGGGTTTTCGGAGAAGAAAGGGTCGGACTCGGCCAAACAGTTTGACATGATCAATGTGAGAAGAATAAAAATGCGATCGATCATTGCATTTGCGCCATGTTTTTTATATTCCGGAAGCACATTAAACGAAACTGAACACATGAAGAAAAGGAAAAAAGAAATAAAATTTTTGATTTCCTTTAGTGACCAGCTCGTCGGGCTTCAGCGATGACCTTCTGCATTTCGTCGACCTTGGCCTTGGCGCGGCCCATTGTACCGAGCTGTAGAAGATAAATATGTTAGCAAGACTTCCCTTTATGAAGCCGATTTCTCGTGAAGAAAGGATGTTACGAACTCTCTTCTTCGCAAGCTTCCTGGCACGCTTGTCCTGGGAGTTCCTCAACAATTCGACAACGCGGCGCTCATAAGGGGCAAGACCGGCGACTTCCTTGACGATTTCGCGGACAAAGGCGGTGCGGTTGGAAATGCGGCCTTTGCTGCGGCTGATGCGGGCCTTGGTCTCGATAGGGGTGGTTTTCTGTTTAAAGTAGTGGGTTAGTTTATGCTTGATGTTATTGTCATGTCTGGTCCATTGTCAAGTGTTTGTCGTTGTGATTGGGGCTCAGTCTCAGTTTGATTCTGGGCATCGGTTATGTGTCGTATCGCGTCGTCCAAGTCGCTTCGTTCGATAAATATCGTACTGACTTCCATCTCTGCCAGTGTCGCGCTATATACGCATAAGACCGAAATTCCATGTTTGCACCATCCGAGTGAACGATCATAAAACTGTCGTATAGGCTGATTGAATCCTTTTAAGCGAGTATATTTCCTCTTTCCCAATGTACACACTATCCCATCCGTATCCTCTCGACTCGCCTAATCCCTTCAACGCGCAATATCGCCAAATAACCAGGAACACCCAACCGCAATCAAAGCATCGAACCGTCGAAAAACCGCCGAACTGAGAATGAGAATCTCCCAAACACCAACAACATCCACCATCCAAAATCACCAAGAAAAAAAGAAAGATAACATACGTGACCCTTATTCAAACCAACAATGAGACCAGAACGTTCCTTCGCCATTTTTAACTGGATTTTATCGAGTATGTTTGGCGAGAAAAAAGAATGTCGATTGTCGAATTGTCGAGAGGTTTCTCGTCGTTCGCTTCGAGGAAGAAACAAATCTTGGTCGGATTTTGCGCTGGGTCTTTTGGCCGAAAGTAGTTTGGCTTGGGAGTTGGATTTGTTAGCGTTAGTTGAGGGTGGTGTCCGTAGGCGAGTGGGTAGGGTTTAGGGCTTAGGGCTGGCGGAGGGGGCATTTTTGTTGCGGGTCACGTGGATCTGCTTCGTAAGAAGACTTGGACTACACTAGAGCTAAAATATCTGTGAGTAGTAGATAGAGTATGTATTTTGTATGTATATTTTTCAAAAAATATATCTACTACCACTACACCATGTCACCATCCTTCATTTGATTGATAATACCCCTCCAAGTGCCTCTTCCCAGCTTTCTAGGAGCTCTCCGCAAAAGACCTCCACAGCACTCGCATCCAGCGTTTGTTCTAGTTCATTTGCAAGCTCATTGTTGGTATCGTTCGACTCTTCGACTTGGCTCTGCTGAAATATCAGGTCGGTCAAAGCACCGAGCACCCCTGATCCTATGACACTGGACCTCAAAGTTCGCGTGTTGGATTTGATTTGCTCCTGAAGTTTATTTGCTGCTTCTTTGAGACCTTGCACTGCTTCCTTGGAGGGTTTGGTACCGGATTTCGGTAATTTCTTCGACGATGTCTCTAACAACGATATTGTGGATGACAATACCTTGAGAGTCTCTAGAAGCAAGATGCTAGTGTGAAGGTATTGCCAAAAAGGCAGCGGCCTCTTGCCGTTTCCTTCTGATGACACAGAGATCGTAGTGTTTGCAAATAGATCAGCCTCATCTGACACACTTTGAAGTGTCTTCGAAACCCATTCTTCCATCTGATTGAAAATCTTGTTAATATCTTGTCCAACGACTGATTTGGAATCGGACAGTAACAAGGTCGCTTTCAGTAGTAGACGATGGAATTCGGCATTGCTCCTCTCAGCTAATGTCATATCATCAACAACGTCAGACATGTCCAAAATCTCAATGTCAGGAAGCGCCGTGTCTGGTTTGATTGGCTTTTGTGACAAGAGTTGGTGATTCAAACCCCAGATTTTGTCGATTATGCCCGTCGCACTGATCCAGCGTTTCTATGAAGTCAAAGTATTAGCAAAGGCCATATATCTTTACTTATGGTTCCTACCTTTGGCAATGGCCCGAGCCGCAACCTTTCCTCGAGCGATGGCGCGCCCAATGGTTCACAGTTCATGAAAGCATCAAACGTCCGCTTGTCCACCACCTCGGACTCGTCTAAAACTATTAAGCAGCCAGTCAATAACTGATTTATTTTGAGACCTAAAAGTCTAAGCGGAACTTACTGATATCATCGAATCTAGAAAATCGATCTTTTCCTTGTAATCTATCAAGTCGGCGTGCTTCGAGAGCCCACATGCGTCTGCAGATACTATTCCTCAAGCTCTGTTGAAGCTCAATCGTACCTTCAACATTGGCATAGCTTCCAAGATTCAATCCCATTGTTCGCTGCCTCGTTGCCGTTCGGTCAGCATGGTCGTAAAAGTTGATTGCGTGAGAAAGAGCGACTTCAGGGATGAAATCTTTGAATTCGGCTTCGATAGGTGGCGCTCCGAGTGGATGAATTGTGGCAATGCGAGTATATAGATTGTGTGCCACGGTTTCGTTTTGAATCTGTTTCACAGAGAGCTTGCTAAAGGTTTTCATGGCAATTGAGCCTGCACCGAGAAGGAGGTATACTCTCACGAGAAGAAGCAGGATTTGATAATTGTGTGGCGAGTTTTGACAGAGATATTCTAATATCGCTGCGGAACGAATCAGTTCCGCAGTAGGAGGCTTTTCCTGACTAGGCTGCCCTTGACTGTCATTTAATCGGATAAGGGCCGTGACCGCAAGTAGTCCAAGATCGTCTCTTGGCTGATTTTCGATTGTCTTGTCTGTGGCTTCTTCTTTCTTCATAGCACGGTACATTGTGAGACAACGTGATACGAAGGCCTCAACTCTTTTCCTGGACGACAAGGGGCCAGAGAAAACTTTGAAGCAGTAATCGAGCTTATAGGCGTTAATGATTGTGATCTGTTGAGCAGTGACAGACACCTAAAGAGTATTAGCTAGTAGATAGCGAAAGTTATTAGTGCATATACGTACATCTTTCTGACCAGCAGCTTTCTCCAAGGCATAATCGACTAACTCCAAGATTTGAGTCGGGTCTAAGCGTGAGGCGTATTTCCGGATATCATCAAAGCAGTACATCTTGGTACTATTTGAATCATAAAAGTTGCGGAGATCAGCAAGGTAGTCAGATTGTGCAAGTTCACCGCTTTTCAATCTCCATGTTGAAACCTCCAAACGGGCAAGGTGAGCATTCCTTGATTTCGGAAAACGTTGGGCGAATTTCTGAACGAACGATACTGTATCTTCGCAAGTCCTGACCATTTCCAGGTTAATGATGAGACATAATATCCAAGGTACAAAAGCAACCTACTTTTTGTCATCCATCTTCTTGGTTGAGTCTAACAGAAGGCTCCAAACTCCCCAGTCATCTCTTTCTTGTAGAAGCTTCTTTGCCGATTCGTCTTCGTCTGGCATAGTCAAAAGCTCTTTGGCATAGCCAAGGCCATCCATCCACTTCTCTGCTCTTTCTAGAGCGAGTAACTTCTCTCGAATGAAGGACCAGTCGTTCTGAACCAATCGTGAGTTCAGCCCCAGGTTATCGCTATTAAGGATTTTTAAAGCCTCATCATCTCGACCTTGCGACTGGAAGATCTTGATCAGGAGAATCAACTCCTCGGCGGTCTGGATAGCTCTTGGGGGACTCAACAATTCTTTCTATAAACGTTAAGTTGTAAGTCATCGAGGCCTCGGTATAGAGGATAGTCTCCGTCGTTGTAGGCACATACAGGATCAGCTGGCACATTTTCCGCAGCCTTGGATATCATGCGATATGCTAGAGTCCCAAAGAGTTTGCGTTCAGACTCGGAAGAATTCGAATTCACAGCCAAGAGATGGCACAGAAAGATTGCCCAAAGATAGTACTTTCGTTGCTTGGGGAAGTTTGCATTCAGACTCATAGCAGCCTACAATCGTCATTCAGTAACTCGGCCTAGTTATCCTTCGAGAGTATCCACAAACCTTCTGCGCAGACTTCCAGTCTTCCCCTTCGAACGACCTGATAAACCATTGAGACTGAATTTCATGATCCTGAGGCTTTGTTTTGGCTGCTTTCTCCCAGAGACCTCTTGCTGTATCCTCATGACCTTTTATCGAGTTCAGAGTTGAGTTCAATAAGTCTATGGTGTCCAAGTCTGTGGTAGGAGGGTCAAGTTTGCATATCTCGAGCGTTGCGGCGATTCCTTGCCGTGAATGTGTTTGATCGGGGTGTAGGAAGAGAATGTGCGCTTTCCAAGCCTATGGCCACGGACAGATTAGCTGACCATCCAACCCTCGTCGTATATATGGATACATCACAAATAGATAGAAGATAAGTGTAGGTCAATTGTTCAGAGTGAAATAAAAGAAATACCCTGACCAACGAAGTCATATGGTTTAATGCTCTAACTCACTCACTCTTAGAAACCTCGTATCCTCGCCCTTTTTGATCCTCTTATCAATAAGCTGTAAAGCCTGCTTCAGGTTATGAGAGTCAATGGCCTCTTGTATCTGTTTGTTGCGTCGCTGGAACACTGGATCTGCTGTTGCAGACATGGTTGTTGTCTTCCCCGCACCGCGTTGACAGGATTTCTTGTTCTCTTGCTCTCTGTTCTCGTTGCTGTTTGTTTCGACCAATGCACTCAACCGTATCAAATTTCAAATTGCCTCTCCGAAGTTTTGTGAGGCCGTATGTACTCGGGAAGTGCAAGAAGCTATGATCTAGCAAGCAGCGTTGTCACAGTCCAGCTCCAGCCGGCACAACAATCTTTTTTTGCAAATGCGGGGAACCACCGCCTTCCTCCTGTGACAACTTTCAACTATGTATTTGTTTACATTTATTCCTTTTTGACAATTTCCTAACATTCTTGCTCGCTACTCTGCAGGTTCGAATTGTCATCACAAAGCTTCCTATTGAGTTGTTTGAACTCGCCATTATCAAAATATATCAACTCCGGGAGATAACTTGTACAGAGAGAACAAATGGTAACTAATCTTGACGAAAAGTGAGACCAGTACACTATTCCCTAGGTAGAGTATATGTTGAACCTGTAATGTCTTACATATATCATGCCTAGATAGGAATTAAGACGCTTGTGTCGGAACTAAAACGTAATACCATTTCACCAAAAAGGACGCCCTTGAAGGGAATTTGGTATTTTTGAGGTATTTGCGAACCGTTCCGTAGTTCGACTTCTGTATCCTGCTAGTCACGTGATTTTATTTCCAACAGCTTGGTCCGTCACCTGACCGGATATAGGCAAGCGGATCTCCATCCAAAAGGCCTACAAAACAGTGATCGGGAGGTCTGATTTCGCACCTCCATCCTTGAGATCGGAGCTTGTCCGCAAATACGTCCAATAGCAAGATCTAAACTTGGAAGGTGCAGTACTATCACTACGTAGTCTTTCAAGTCTGTAGTATCACCTGCCTAGTCGATAAACCGAGAAGACGGACATACAGCATATTCACACAAAGATCCTATTCCTATATTGTAAAAGTACATAATTCCTATAAACTCGAAACAAAACGCCTATTTTACCAAACATGCAAGTGTTGATAGAAAATTTGAGATATTCATGATAGCACATGATTGCTGAATCGGGAATGGGAATCCCCCAGGCGATCGTCCTGTCCCGGGCATGCCGGGAGATGGGGATAGAGATAAGGGATGAGAAAAACGAAGAAACCCGGTCTGGGAGTCGATGATGGAGATGGAATTGGTACATGATCAAGTCTGGCCATTGATCGGATCCGAGATACTTGCATTATCAGGGTGAATGCGTATCCTCGAAGATCGATAGAGATATTATGCTTGTTGTTGCTGTGGTTGTTGCGCTTGTTGTGCTTGTTGTTCTGAAAATGCTTTGACTCTGGTGAGTTTTCGCGAATTCAACTGGATACATCAATCAGTATAAAACCATAGAGTAGGTGAAGAAGAAATCGTCACATACCCACTCCTTCTTACAATCTCGATATGCCCTATACTCCGAGATTCAGCATGAGAATTGAACATGAAAAACAAACAGTACAATTCACGACACATCGAGAGCTATGACTTCGATACATAGCAACTCGAACAAAAACATATACACAAGAGGAAAGGAAAAAACTCAGACGAAGCTATTACTCACTGAAAATAGTCACCACACATCTCTCGGTCACCTGCATTTCGGCGCATGCACCTGATACTCCGGTCCGCAAACGCTTGACACGGGTCGTAATATTCACTTGCGCTTTTACTATACGTAGTAGAAAGTTTACTGTTAGTATTGTCAAAAGAAAAGGAGAGGGAAGAAGAGGGTCTGTATGGATTTGAACATGTGATCAGAGGGAATGAGTCAAGAGGTGCATTCAAACCCAAGAAAGAGGAAAAAAAGAGAACCAAGAAAAAAAAAAGCCGAAAATGCCAATATAACTGCATAGTAGCATGCCGTGTCCATTAAGGATTGGACGCCTCTTTCGGGACTATGTGGTTCCTTGCTGGGCGGCAAAGATCCTTCACCGGCCAAAATGGAAGTATACTCAAAGACGAACAGGATGGGGCAGACATCGAACTTTCACAGAATATGAAGGTAGTGTATACCAACATGGGAGTAGCTGGTGTAGCTGGTGTAGTTGCATCTCGCTAACTCAAGTGGTAGCGCAAACTCACTTTTCGAATTTCTTCTCGGCTTTCGACCATGAGGATGTTTCCTCTTCTTTTGTTGTTGACGCCATATTGTCTTCCTTTCTCTTTGATCCCCTTTTTTATGCACAGATCAGGTTTATGGACAAATCGCAGACAAATTAAGGATGCTCTGTCGTTGAGAATCTCCAAGTGGGTCTCTCCATCAGCCGAGCTAGAGACAACACGTGATAATAAGCGCCTGCGCTAAACCTAATATGAAATTAAGGTATTTTAGCTGTTTTGATTGGTTGATTGTAGTATTCGTATTCTGTGGATGTGATTGGTTGGTTATAGTACGTCTCTATACATTGACGAAGAACATACTGATTCAGCAGCATTCAATTGGTTTAAATACAATTTATTCTTATTGCTTTGGGATGCATCCAGTCTATTTAGTAGTACGTACTGCATTCCAGTATTAGCGCTAGTGTGCGTTTCGGCTTTGTCCATATGATTTTAGGTTCTAGACTCTGTATTCCCACGTAGTACTGCCCCAGCGTCCATTCAAATAGCCATAGTACTCAAGAATAATCACAGCCTGTTAACATTAATATCCTTCCTATTTCGGAATGCTTTCAGAAAACATGTCAATTTCAAGTGTCTGATATATGCGCATGGGTCGACGGGATTCACTTTCCGCAAACTAGAACCACTCAACCCCGCTCAAGCCCAGATTCTCGTTGTTAAACTGCTAGCTTATGGGAGTTGGGTTTTATCTTATACTTTATATGTATAAACGATGGAATGGTCACATCGTCGTAGTGCAGCTTCAATCTGGACCCTGCACGGGCGAGTTCCCACCACTCTGTATGGGAGATAACGTAACTAATATCCCGGATTCTCCGAGTATGTAAGTCTTCACGCTGTATCTGGATAGTCAGTTCTCAGAACAATCTAGTAGGAGTGTTACCATCCTCATCGTCATAATGATGATCGTTAAAATCCTTTATCATGATCATAAATCCAAATCCAGAGTGTTGACCACAGAAAATGCCGATAACGGATATAGTTAGGGTAACGACTAACTACGGATAATCAGATATCGCCCGCTTTGACGATCCAGATCCCATATCCCAAAACGAGTCAAAAAGTCCATTCAAAACCCACTAAGCCGAAACGTTGTCGCAAACTGCCCCTCCACACCTCGCGTGGGCCCTGATCCGGCTCGTTTCTGCTTTCTTTTTTCTTTTTCTTGTCTGTACGTCGATCAGACCTTCATGATTTATCGTTTGCATTCCGGACAAGTTTTCTTTCCTTCTTCCAAGGCCAAAGTTTTTGTTCGGTCCAGTTCCAGATGACTAGATGGATAGTCGTAAAATCGTAATTCGCTTATCATCGAGTCTGTCTCCACCGATACAAGTCGAAAAACCAATCTTTGGTGTCCAAGGTGGTGGTCGGTGCCAAACCAAACATAGGCACAATTTCCATACACGAACAAGGAGTAGGCCGGAAAGTGGATTCATCACTAATCGCGCTAGGGTTTGTGATGTGTCATAGTCTTGTCGAATAACGATTGACCCGGGTCACGATGTGACTATCATGGTTGCTATTTGCGCGAAAGAAAACCGAACTGCCAGTACACAAGTCACCGGAGCATGTTTTGTTTGATGTGGAATATTGCTTCTGGACGCCACACAGGTGTCTGCCGGGTCATCGTAACCAACTCGGTTTAGTCGGATGGCGGGTCGACAGTAAGTTTGATGGTCCAGAATCGTAGTCCTGCTGGAGCTTGCACCGACAACGGGCGAGGAACGGTCAAAGGCCGCTTCAGTCCAATCTTCTAGAGACGTAGAGTAAGGGATGACGATGGTATAAGTAAGGCCATCGTCTTCTGGTCCAACCCTAGATATCAACTGAGTAAACTTTGTATCAAGCATATCATTATCTTGATATCTGTCATTGTCTGTTATCAGTGATCTTCTCGGTGAGTGGTGCTCAAACCATTCCCTCTTTCTATTGCACCGCGCTGCTTATGACCATTCTAACATCCATTAGAACATGGCTGCCACGAATGTCATGACTGCTCCTGCCCTTCCTGACCCCCCCATCATGAACGAGACGCCCGAAACGTACCACTATGTTCCTCAAGATCTTTCATCCAAGATTCCTCAAACAGCCTCATTAGAAGTTTCACAAGAAATCCCTCAAGAGGAACAGTCACAAGAATCTTCTCATGTGGTAGAACCAGAAATTCCTGAGACTATCCAAGAGTTGCCCAAAGAAGTTGCTCAAGAACTTTCTACTGAAGAAGTCAAAGTGACTCGACAGAAACCTTCAACCAGAGAAGGAAAACCTATCATTCCCGTCAAAGATGACCTGCCACCCTCCGAGCGCGTCACTTTTGATCCAGCTAAACATATCAAGTTCACACCTCCTTCAAAAGTATGGACGATGCAAGAGCTCGACTACGCCGAAGGCCAAGGTATCTCTCCCGTAGGTGTGTCAGAGCCGTTCCCTCTCTTCAGCGAGGAAGCAGTCAAGCAGATGCGAGCGGAAATTCTTAGCGAAAAGGTTTGGGACAAGTACAAATACTCCAGTAACCTTTCCCAATGCCAGCTGCGTGGATATGCTCCAGAGTATGTTGTCGGCCCCTTCCCAAAGTGTTCCGTACTCATGAATCTGTCAGATGCGCTCCGTTTATTTATGACGCGTGGAAGAGTCCTGAAGTCCTGGAGATCATCTCCAAGATTGCCGGCATTGACCTGGTCCCCGTCATGGACTGGGAAATTGCTCACATTAACATTGCTGTAAAGAGTGAGGAAGAGAAAGCCAAGGAGCTGGAGATCGTACATCGCAATGCTGACGAGGGGGTTGCTGACTGTGCGTTGGAGGAAGATGATCAACCAGTCGTCGACTGGCACACTGACAGTTATCCTTTTGTCTGCGTGACCATGCTCTCTGACTGCACCACTATGGTTGGCGGAGAAACCATGTTGCGGAAGGGTAACGGCGGTACTGTCAAAGTTCGCGGTCCTCAAATGGTGCGCTTACTCCTTGTTAGCTATCAAGAATGCCATGCTAATGTCAATAGGGCTCTGCTGTCATTCTTCAAGGTCGCTATATCGAGCATCAAGCTCTTCGTGCCTTGGGCGCCGCCGAACGTATTACTTCCGTGACCTCCTTCCGTCCCCGATCAGCCGCCGTCAAGGACGACACTGTCCTCACCACAGTGCGCGGCATCTCCGACCTCAAAGAACTCTACCACCAATACGCCGAATACCGTTTTGAGATTTTGCAAGATCGTTTCCAGGCCATGGGTCGCAAATTGAGGGATCGCAAGCGGGCAAGTCGACCATTTGATACAGCTGCAACAAAGAGATTTATTCGGGAGCAGATTGAGTTCCTTGAAGCTATGGACCGGGAGATGGTAAGCGACGAATTGGTGCAAAAGGGATATATTGGTGATGGTCATCTGGTTTCTGAAGAAACTCGACAAACTGCCAAGAGGAGAGGTCTTTACGTTGAGGAGACTGTTGCCGCGTAGGGGATCAATCCGCTTATGAAAATTTGATAAATTTCCTTTGTGGTTCTGGATACAATCGTTTTGCATGAAGTCGTACTTTTCAGATAGCTTGGTTTAATTGGTTGCTTGGGATCTTTTTCATTTCGCTTGGGGTTTCTCTGACATATGATTGTCGCTTGGAGTGATATAAGTCGCTCTCGGCTGATGTTTGTTCGTATCTATTTTGAAGCGTTTTTGTCTATATTTTTCGATTCGGGAGACTTCGATTTCTGCTTCAATAAGACTGCGTTGGTGTTTGTCGCTGATTGAAATCTATCAGAACCGGTAATTTCCCTGACTTCAAATTGTTAAGATTGGACGTAGAAGTTTCCAACAAATTGAGTTGATTTCTCCTTCTATATCTCGAGAATTCACATAAATATAGCCTGGACGTAGTCCATTCAGCTTGCGTTAGGATATGCCTACCCTGGTGTCCAAGGCGAGCTTCCCAAGCTGGAGTTGCCTCAGCCAGTCCATGTGGACGAAATGAGAAGTCGGCATTGTCAAGTGCAACATGGTGAGTCCTTTGGCCAAGCTACTAACATCGGCTTCATCATCTGATTTGGATCCTTCGCACCATATCAATGGAGATGTCAATGGCAAATGGGGTCGAGACAGAAGAAGTAGAAGAGAAGAATGGGTATTGATCGGTATTTAAGTAGGCGTACCCACTTCGTAATGTAATTCTGGTTTTGGGTTGGTTATCCTGAGCACGCCATACATACAGGATACATGTATCAATACCGTATCAATTCATGTAACAATCCCTTTTTGTGACTATACATACTACGTACGTGGTAGAAACTGTGTCAAAGTGTATTGAGAGCGCCAATGAGAATCACTCGAGTACAATCACTCACAAGTATATTTTCTACAAGCTATTGTCTGTTGAAAGTAAGCGCCGACGCACGCTAGTCACGTGATATCGATGAGCCTCGATTTGGCAGCTCCACCAACGCCCCGCCACACACTCCATCGCGATTGGCTGGTCATTGCCGCTTTTCTCACGTGACGCAACGTGCCGCGGCGTTAGGCAATATCAGGCGGTAAGGCTCATATCCTTTTTGGAGGGCGTTTGATGGCGTTGGAGAGAGCACGAATCAAGCCATCCCCCATACTTATCGCATCCTCTCCCCACGACTTTCGCCTGACTCTCGCTGCTGTTGACCTGTCTGTGCGAGCTGTTGTCGCGATCTCTCATCATATCAAGGTGAAGTTGTGAGAGAGTATCGACCATCATGAGCTGAACCAATAACCATCTCCATCGATCGACTTTGGTGGTCTTTGTACCTACAAGGACAGATTTTTTTTCTCTTGTTCGACATCCACGACTTTTTCGGGCCCACGATTTCGCGAAACCACGGTTATTTTACACTCTCGTGTCGGGCTGTTTAAGCCTTCAGATTCCCCTCGACCTCCACTCACATCTCATCTCAGTTTCCAACCTCTTGCAGTGTTATGGCTGTGAAGGAAAAGAAGAAAACAAAAGTCGCTATGGGTTCTACATCGGCTACATCACATAAAACATGCGAGAGTTCTGTCATGGTTGACTCGTCAGGAGTGAGTTTGCCTCCATCCATGCTGTTCTCGCAGGACCCTTGCTAACGTTGAGAAAGCTTTTGCAAACACTTCAAGGGCACGTTGAAGAAGTTCGTGCACTGATACAATGTGGTATCTGTGTTCGGCCCTTGTACGAGCCGTATACATTGGCGTGTGGCCATACTTTCTGCTATGGAGTAAGTTATCCTACTGGCGCGTCAAGACTGAACGATGGACTAACTATAACAGTGCCTCACATCATGGTTCAGTAGCGGGAGATCTCACAAAACTTGTCCAGACTGTAGAGCTCAAGTCAAGATTCAACCGGCTCCTGCATACTTGGTAAGTTATTCCAATCAACCTTCCAAAAATTAAAATTCATGCAGAAACCACAGGTCCGAGCCATCGTCCAAATGTTTACCAGTAACGCGGAACTCTTAGAAAAAGGCGAAACGACGGCAGAACATTCAAAGAATCAACGCGAGGAAGCGGAAAAACTCGAAAAGGACAAAACAAACGACAACCCCACTACCGGTGGTCTATTTCAAGGTTGCTTCAAGCCTAAACCCCATCCCATGGGTCCCATTTTCGATGCCGAAGACGGCGTAGCGAGGTGTCCGAATTGTGCTTGGGAGCTCGAAGATGACGGCTGTCTAAATTGTGGATATCATGTTGAGGACGGTACGATCGACTCCGACGATTACTCCGAAATGACGGACGAAGATGACGAGGACGAAGACGAAGACGAGGATGAAGATGAAGACGATGATGATGTAGATGATGATCATTCTACCGACTATGAAGGTGGATGGGGGGACTACGCGCCTGATATACCATTTGATGTTGCCCGGCAGGTATACGATGTAGTCGATATGGGTGAGCACCCTATTTTTGGGCATCACCATTACCAAGTTCACAATCATCAATTCATGCCACCTCTCTGGTTAGGAGAAGGTAGTTACAGCAATATGGATCAAACAGACGTTTCTTCAATGACCCATACGAGTGATGGTGAATCTGATGATTCCGACAACTCGGAAGAAGACGACGAGGATGAGGAGATGGACTCATTCATCGACGACGGTTCTATGCACTATGAGAACAGTGAAGACGGATACAACACAGATCGGTCTACGGTAGTAGGTGATCGAAGCGATGAAATCGATCCGGGAACAGATCCCGAGAGCCCAGAAAGCTATGGAGGTCGCTGTCCTGATTTCCATCATAGATCGGATCCCGAGGACGAGGGCGACGAAGATGAGGAGGACGAACCAATTCGACCAGCACCCATTCGAAGAGCGGGCCAGAATCCATCGTACCGAAGTAATCCCATCTCTAGAATGGGCTTGAGCAGAAATTACAGGGGGCCTGCACCAACCTCCCCGGTTCAAAACCGCCCAGCTAGCGGGACATTATTCGGTAGAGGAGTAGGAGGAGGAGCTTTCAGAATGCCTCGGAGAATCTCAATAAACAGTTCACCTCGCGCTTCTGGCGCCGGGACATCAGCCACTAATGCGATCAACGTCGAAGATGACTCTGAAGACGAAATGCCAGTCCCCGCAACAAGGAGATCGAGAAACAATAGACGATGAAAGAGCCGCATACACCAAAAATAAATTGGGATAAGCAGCCTCAACACGAGCGCAGTGGCTAATCGGATAGGGATAATGCCATTCTGTTTGGAAGGGAGAATATCATTAATCATCATCAGTAACAGAACACCCATGAATATCCACAACATATTGCCATATGACCGTCATGATCAACACAATAGCATTAGAGCAGGAGTAATAGCCAATTGATGAAATTACTTTCGTGCCAGGAGAGGGACAATATATTATTTTATTTGATTTTTCCAGCGTCGACTAATGAAGTCCTCCTCTTACTTCCTTCTATTCTCAAGCCTCGCCGTTTTGTTTCAACCAATACATCCACTTCTTCTTTCTCTTTCAGTTTTACTTATAGTATGTCTTAATTGTTATTTGTCTTGCTACATCATACTATTTTCGGTTCCCCTTCATCTACGAATCCATTTCAGCCAGCCGTTTTCATTGTGGTGGTGTTAGCCTGAATATCATAGCTTTTTTTCTAATGATGGATTTATTATAACAAACAAAAAAGGATTCCTCTTTAATTTATGAACTTGCCCTTTCTCTCCTTATGTAGATTGCATCCATAGGTAGAAAGGTCGATGATTCTATACTTCCAGAATGCTCATAGCGGGAGAAGTGAAGAGTGAAAGCAGAAAACTTTTTGTATTTGACCCCAATCATCCATGCCGCTTGATGATATAATAAAAGTATGTACAATGTATGAAGAGAAAAAGAAAAATGATGCACAGCCAGTCAATGCTACATGTTGTATAATTTCTCTATAGACACAAAATCACTTAGCCCTGCGACTAAACTATTCAGCAGTCTCAGCAGCCTCCAATTCAATCTGCTCATGATCCACATTATCGAAAAACGGAACCTCAAAGACCACAGCTCCATTCCGGCCTTCGGTACTGGGGCCCTTGTAATGATTATTTGCGAAACAGTTAAAGCGACTGAAGCGGTGCTCTTTGCCTAGGGCAGCTACAACACATAGTCCGCGAATCGGCGCCTTTTCTGATTGTGCTGCTGCTGCTAACTTGGAAGAAGATTTCTTCTTTTTGGACTTTGTTGTTATTGTGCCGGATTTGTTGGCTTCGGGTCGTCGTTCAAAGACTGCTATGCTGTTTACCACGCCTTTTAGGAGTGGTAGTGATTCCATTTCTTCTTCTGGTTTTTGATCGATTTCCATGTTACTTGTGGGTTGTTGTTGTTGTTGTTGTTGTTGTTGTTGTTCAACGTCGCCGTTTTTGAAGAATGTGTGTTTTGGTTGCGGGGTTCGAGTAGACCCTAACGGTCCAAGAGAGATAAGTGTCTTCTTGTCGTCTGAGACTTTCCAGGCCCGGATCCAACCGTCCCAACTCCCGCTGAGAACGACGTCTGTACCGGGTACTGTGGTCAATGCTGTAATCCATCGTGGCATGGGACGCAAGAAGCGGGTATTGTGAGCTGCAGTTTCAGGATTCGTCTCTGATGATACTTTTTCGGGGGGAGGTATTGGATCGACGCCATGTGCAAGTTGGATGGTATGTAAAGGCTTTTTCTTATGGATGGACCAGAGCGATAAGGAGCCCGAATCGGATCCCGTAACGAAGTGTGTAGGTGGTATGACAGCCACACAGTCAATAGTGTTGTTCTGGTATTGTTCCTTTTTGGAGGATTCCCCGCGAAACACGAGCTGGGTTTCGTCAATCACTTTCCAGAGACGTGCTGTTCGGTCACGGGCTCCAACGCTTACGCATTGGTCTGTCATCATTGATGCCACTGAGGAGACATGATCTTGGTGTCCGAATAGTGTTTCCACGTACGCGTGACCTCCAGAGCTGAGTGACCATGTCTTGATTGTGCGATCAAAAGAGCCGGAAAACAATTGTTCTCCTGAGCTGTGTGAAGAAATATGTCGTGTAAACGAGAGACTGCTGACAGTGTCCCGATGTTGTGTAAATGTCTTCATGGGAGTGAGCGTTTCAGCGTCCCAGATTATTAATTTCTTATCTTCACCTCCTGTGGCAAGATATTTACCAGACGGTGATACCGCAAGAGCCAATATATTCCCAGTATGTCCCTGAGGATCCTTACTACCGCGAATTTTCTTTAGACCCTTGACGAATTTTAATTTGATGGGTTTCTTCTTTCCGGGATGATCGGGCCTTTTTCTCTCGCTATTGTTCTTTGTATTTTGCGAACCTTTGGGTGTTATCAACTCCCATTTAATCAAAGTTCGGTCTTTCGAGACGGTGTATGCGAACGGAGGGTGGATAGCAACGCTAGTAGTTGTCTGCGTATCGGCTCGGAAGAAGGAATGTGAAGCGCCAGAGAAATTGAGTTGAGAAGCAATCTTTCGAAATATGCGACCTTTTGCTTCGTCCTATGAGTAAACTAATTAGGCCGCTGAATCAATAAGCATTACTTCCAACATCAACATACCACATCCTCTTTTAATCGTTCAGCGATCAGATCACGGTCAATCTCAGCTGCATCAAACCCAGCCTCATCGACCTCCTCACGGATGTTCTCCAGATATCTTTCTGCAAGCTTCAGTCTTCGTTCTGCTGCTGTTTCGCCCTCGTCCGAGTCCTCTGAAGTCGCATCGTCCGAAAGACCAGATTGAGATACATCTTCGGCGTCGGCGTCCTCAAGATCGCTCCCTGATATAGACTCGTCGTCATCACGCTCTTGTCTCCTTCGTGAGACATCTTCTCGGGCATTTCCTTTTGCTGCAATTCCCCGCTTCTTCGACCCAGGTGCGGCCACACGATCGTCTCTCTTCCGCTTGCGCTGAGACGCTGGCAGTGTGAAAAAAGATGACATAATGTCTTTGCCTAGAAGCAAGCACTAAAGTCTGATCCTATGTAAGAACAGCCTTTAGTATCCTTCTAGACCTAGGTTGACCGACAATGTCGTTTCGTGACTTGGCTTTTGGTAGCTATAACTTTTTTCTTCCGCATACAAATCTTTTTTTTTTTGGCACCATTGGTCCGTGCTGCGAAATCTTGGCGGGCCGACCACCGGACAAATAATAACGCCTAAATCAAGGTCTATGTTTGCTCTGTTTGTCTGCTTGTCCCCAGCTCTCTCCGACGTAGCTCTGCTAGGCGTCAAGCTCACGCGGTAACTCTCATTCCATCAGCTTCTCATTCAACCCATTTCACAGATTCTATCTTGCCAATTTCTGCGGATAATTTGATCTCGGTTACTCCGCTTATTCAGGAATAAAGCGATCCGGCCCTGTTTGTATCTCGACCAAGCTGTTAGAACGTCAAGAACCGAATTACAATCCCAATGTAAGGAGCTTCATCATTCGTTACAAATCGTTATCATGGTAGCTTACATTATTTCGTTCAATAGGGAGGTCTTACTCGGAATCACGGGAAAAGACTTTGTCATCATCGCAGCTTCCAAAGCTGCCATGAGAGGCCCAACTGTCCTCAAGGCTACAGATGACAAAACCCGAAACCTGAGCCAGCACACCCTAATGGCGTTTTCCGGCGAGCCCGGTGATGGAGGTAATAACCAGCCTCAAGGAGTTATTGCTGGCAGAGAAAAGCTGATGAGAATGCCTTTTAGTGCAATTTGCCGAATACATTCAGGCCAACGTACAGCTATATTCGATGCGCAACGACTCGGAACTCAGCCCAGCTGCCGTCGGAAACTTTGTGCGAGGGGAGCTTGCACGGGCTTTGCGCTCCCGAAACCCATATACTGTCAACTTGCTGCTCGGTGGTGTTGATGCTATTACCAACACTCCCAGTCTTTACTGGGTAGACTACCTGGCATCCCTCGCCCAGGTTCCATATGCCGCACATGGATATGCCCAGTACGTCTGCACACCAAACCGGAGGACTGCTTTCCTGTTTGTATACATGATGTGGATGATACTGACTATCGAACTCAGATATTACTGCCTATCAATTCTTGATAAACACCATCACCCAGATATCGAGTTAGAGCAAGGCTTGAAACTCTTGAACCTTTGCACGGACGAATTGAAGCGAAGATTACCCATTGATTTCAAAGGAGTACGTGCTTTTCATTAGCTCTCTGAACTTATCGTCGCGATAAGCTAACTTTTCACCAGGTTCTAGTCAAGGTTGTCACGAAGGATGGAATTCAGGAAATCGATTACGATAATGAAAGGAAAGTGGCGATTGCATAATGATTATCAATCCTGCCTGGTGCAGCGTTGTATCATAGCATTACACTGTTCTTAGGATACAAAGTTAGAGATAATCTTTTCCTTGTTATGACGAACTACTTGAAGTTTCTATATCACTCCAGACATTCTTATACATACGAATCTGCCCGGCGTAAGGCGCTTTATCTCTTGAAAAAAGTCTTAACTATCTCCATGAATGTAGTTTTGATGCGCGTTGACCATATACCAGGTTCATATGGTGGCTCAGTGGATAAAGTTGTAGTTTTGGAGAGTTGTAAATCAGATTTGTATTGCTTTCAAGCCCAGATAATTCTCCAAATAATCTCCAATAATGAATAATATGTGCCATTTAGTATGTCCTTTTATTTTGAAGATGAAGCAAAGACGACGAGGTCAGATCCGAAATGTGTTTGAATTGTTTGCACTGACGGGAGCTTTTTTTTGTTTCACCCAATCCCAGTCGCATTGGGTTCTCGCCCTTCGAATATCAACAACATCCAAGATATTCCAAAACAAAACAAACTAATATGGCTAAACGTCAAGCCGATACCGAACTTGAACGAGAGCTTAGCGTGAACTCACCCGCCTCCAAAAAGCCGCGATTTGCTGAAACTGATTCCCAAAATGGCCATCTGAATGGTCGCGAATGGGAGCAAGATGAACGCAATGGACAAGACATCCTCGCTGCGGCCGATCTAGAAGCAGCCGAACTGCAAGAAGCTGAACAATCTCGACCGGAATCTCCAGAAGCTGATGATGACGACGAAACGCTACTCGCAGCTCCTCAACGTCAGTCGCAACCCGTTGAAGGATACGGTGACTTGTATCTGGACACAATCAATCGCGCCGTTCTAGATTTCGATTTCGAAAAACTTTGCTCGGTGTCGTTATCCAATATTAATGTTTATGCTTGTTTGGTGTGCGGTAAATATTTCCAAGGGCGAGGCAATAAGTCTTATGCGTATTTCCATGCGCTCGAAATCGGACATCATGTGTTTGTGAACATGGAGACGAAGAAAGTCTACGTTCTACCCGAGGGCTACGAAGTGAAGAGCAAAAGTCTGGATGATATCAAATACGTGGTGGACCCGACGTTCACAAAGAATGATGTCTTGAAGCTCGATAAGGAGGTTCGTGATGCATGGGATCTACAGGGCAAGAAATACCGGCCCGGTAAGTCAACTACTCTGCCGCAAGCCATCTTGGTTGGTTACTAAATCAATTTTGATGCATAGGATACGTTGGAATGAATAACATCAAAGCGAATGATTATTTGAATGTCGTTGTCCAAGTACTCGCCCACGTCACGCCGATCCGCAATTTTTTCCTCCTTCAAAACTTCCCGGTCCCAGGATCCCCTCAACTATCGGTCAGATTCAGTACTTTGGTGCGGAAATTATGGAATCCAAAGGCATTCAAATCACATGTGTCTCCCCACGAACTGCTTCAAGAGATTGCGTTACGTTCTTCGAAGCGGTTTACCCTAACTCATCAGTCAGACCCTGTCGAGTTTCTTTCGTGGTTTCTGAATAACCTCCATCTCAGCCTTGGAGGGTCAAAAAAACCATCGAAAACACCCACAAGTGTCATTCAACAAGCGTTTCAGGGCCATTTACGTATCGAAAGTCAAGCTATCACAGCGCATTCTGATACCACAAATTCTCGACTAGTATTCACTGAATCAAGTCAGACAAACACACAAACATCTCCCTTTTTAATTCTCACTCTTGACCTCCCACCTACGCCTCTCTTTCAATCCGCGAACCGAGAATCCATCATCCCCCAAGTACCATTGACGACCCTCCTCAATAAGTACAACGGTATAACAGCATCCGAAAAACTATCCCACCGTGTCCGCCATCGCCTTCTGCACCCTTTACCCCCCTATCTCCTCTTCCACATCAAACGCTTCAGCAAAAATAAATTCGTCTCTGAACGAAACCCAACCATTGTCACTTTCCCCTCCCCTCGATCCCTGGATATGTCACCGTATGTCGAACCAAATCCCGAACTCTGGCCTCCTGGTGAGCCCATCATATACGACCTCGTCTCAAATATCATCCTAGACGCAAACGCGCCAACCCCGGGCGCAGGAGAAGATACCGCCGCAGTAGATAAAGGCCTAGCAGCTGCCGGCGACAAATCTACTACCACAGCAACAGCAACAGCCACCGGTGCTGGTGCTGGTGCTGGTAGTGAGAAGGTCTCGTGGCTAGTACAGTTACATGATAAGGCCATGACTGCTGAGAATGCGAAACTTCAGCAGCAGCAGCAGCAGCAGCAGCAGCAGCAGGCTCAACAACGGGGCCCGGAGTGGTTGGAGATTCAGGATCTTTATGTTCAGCGGACGGAGAGTGAGACGTTGTTTACTAGGGAGTCATATTTGATGGTTTGGGAGAGGAGGAAAACGCCGGGGATGCAGAAAGGGAAAGGGAAATGATCTTTATAGTTTGGAAGGTGGGTATACGTCGGCTACTTAGCATTGTACGTACTTACGTATTTGTAAAATAAACCATGGTCGGTTATCATGAAGAAATATATCCAAATGGATTAAGTTAATACAATCCCAAATAAGCTCGTGTCTTCATGGAGAAATCGCCTCTAGCAGACCATGTTCAACGCCAGGTAAAACTGACCAATTATAAATACATTTTTAGTGTTACAAATTTCCCCAATCAAACACTCTCTTTCCAATCCCAACCGCAGTAGCCGAACATACCCCGAGAATAGCACCACTCACACCAGCCTGAATGCCCTGTATCAGGGTGAGTTTGCATATGTATGCAATCATATCTCGTCTACTACCCCCACCAGCGAGTGCATTAAGCGGACGAATGTCGGAAACTGGGATGAGACTGTTGCTACCATAGACAGAGGGAAGCCGTGACGATAAGTAGGATCTAGCCAAGGATCGGTAGAAGAACGACTCAAACGGAATGAATATAAAACCGCTGATAAATGAGGCTAGATGGTGCGCCAAAGCATCGGCAGGGTATGACGAGAGGACGGTGACACGCTGCTTGTTCAAATCGGAGCGGTCTTGACTTAGGGACCTCCACGGAGGTAGATAGGAGGGTACTCGTGAGGCTGATGCTTCAGTGCCAGGATCGGACAATGCATCCATATCAGGTTGGTGAGTAGGACTGTGCATGGGTTCCTCGATCATATGCGGTAAGACTGGCGGTATGTCCATTGTTGCTAGCTCTCTATTCAGCAACTCCAGCAGGCCGTCGTTTTCTGTCGGATTCGACATGATACTCGCAGGTCCCGCATCAGCCGCCGTGTTAAGTTGCTCTAATACTGCATCGTTCGCGTTTGGGTTCATTTGATCCAGGACTAACTCGGTGGCTTCAAGCGGAGGCTGATCAAGAGTAACCGGCCAGTTACCTAGTGCAGTGTCGCCGCGCTCAATTTCAACAACGGGCTCAAGCTCATCTTGTCTATTCGTAATTCGGCTGCTTTGAAGCGAGAGTTCCATTGTCGTCGTAAACGAATTCTGGTGAGTTAATGATGCGCGAATGCGAGGAGAAGTTAGTGGTGATTCAGGGGTTTGAGGCCGCGAGAACAATGTGTCGGATCGCGAGTCTTGATCATAGTTCTGAAATGGAACCCAAGAGCTCTCTGGTGATTGGTCTTGGACGATTTCGCCTCTTTCAGCAGGGCGTACTTCAATGGCATTCGGAGTAATTTCGCCAGGTGAATGAGTCAATTGCCCTTCTGTTAATCTCTGATCACGGTCAAGAGAAACTGGTCTAGTAGCGAATGCAGCTTCGCCTAACTGATTCGGTATTTGATGGGAACTATTCTGGTTAGAAGGCTCCGCTTGGATATTCTCACGAACGGTGTCAATATCGTTGTGGCTGAGACAGATGCTGATCTTCTCGTCAGAAAAATCATCGTGATTATAGCCGAAACGGCTAAATAACCATTTTTGTAATCTGCGCAACTCTTCTCTCATATCTTCAAGTAGACTCATATTGCTCCGACGAGTCTCCTCCTCCGTTCGCCGACCGGCTGTCGGCAACGTCCATTCTAGAAGATCATTCTCCATAGCAACCTGAATGGAAATTTCATCAGGGCGATCTTGCTTAGGCAAATGCCTTCTGATCAATCGATATATCTTATCTTCAACAATAGGCCTAATAAGAACATAAACGAAAGCAAAGGCGAAGGGACTCATCGCTAATTTCGAGGCAAAGCATCCGAGAGAAACAAGTGAGAAGTCAGATGGGAGGGATGGACTCTGAACTAAAGAAAATTTCGTAAACGGGATTAAAAATGCGGGCCGTGGGAAGACATTATGAGGGATGAGGTGAAGAGTCTGCAGAATGCAGAACATATGGACCTGCTCGAAGAATACGAATGAAGCAAGTCGCGCCCTGTGAGCCATCGTTAGTTTCGATAGGTTTTACTCAAAACAGGTGGTGCTTACGAGGATCGAATCATAGAGAAGCATCCATCAACAAGTCGAGTACAGGACTGGTTAAGGTATGGAGTGAGCTTGTTTTGAACGTAGCTCAAAAGCGGCTCAAATAACTGTGTCCTGCATAGAGGTAAAATGATTCTGGCAGCCCAGAGAGGTATACCTGCGAAACATTCGGCTGCCCATCCGAATCTTTGACGTTCAGACTTGAACAAGCGGATCAGTGGAATATTGGTATAGCTTCTGAAGGTCTAGTATTGTGATCAGAGATCAAGTCGACGGCAAACGGCATTTTCCAAACCCGGTAAGGGTGGAATATTGTCCTTACCTGAACGCGCCTGCTCAATGAGCTTACCCACCACGATCCAAAGAAGTGCATAGCATGGTCGAAGGCCACTATGACGAGGCCATAATCATTTTCGGCCGTGATAGCATTGACGGCCTTCTTGTCTTTCAAGATGCTTGAGCGACCAGCTTCGCCACTGACAACAACCCCCATGGTTGACAAAACATCATTTTTGGCTCGTCGAAGTTCACGAGCCAGAGCTTTTGACTCGGGGAAGATAGGATGCCCACGTTCATCATACTGTTGGACATATCCATCTGCATTGTGATTACGACTGCGATATGCCTGGTATTGTGCACTTGCATTCCTAGGTGGCTCATATGGAGAGCGGCCCTACACTCTTGTTAGAGATGTCTGGGCCATACGTAAACTTAATGCTGGAATGATGGTTTGAGCTTTGAATTTTGTAGCGCGAATTGTTTGATTGCAATTATGGAGAGCAGGTTGAATGAAGATAGGGTGCTGGAAACGATGGATAGACAGGACTTACCAGAGCCAGCCGAGTTATGTATGGTTGGCGTCCCATGCCTACCCGATCACTGGCTGATATATGTGAAGATACTGGGTGGGCATATCATATATGTTGGTAAAGACTCTTCTCAGATCTCCAAGTTGTTAACAGACACATGAAGGAGGTGCATGTATTGGTCGATGAGGTAAAGTTCGGATGTCGAGCAGATTGACTAAGCGAGACGGCGCATTCCCAGACCGAGAAGGGGCTGTGCACGGACCACACCTTATTTTGTCCCCCCGCGAGGTGCAAACAGTGCAAACAAAGCAAAGCCTTTAAAATGTTCTCAAAAAAAAAAAGTCGGCCGCGATAGAAGAAATCGCATCTCAGCAAAACAGCCCAGGAGGCCATATTTCAGCAAGAGACGAGTATTAACTTTTTTCAAAATTTGACTGCATTTCTGGTTATCCTGTCTATTTTCATTTGGTTCGAAAGTGGGTAATGCGAACATAATTGAGTTGGGATCGACTTGTCAGGCGCCTGACCCAGTCCAATATGTCGAGAATCAGTGCGAAAACCACATTCGAGGCGTCGCGAACGCTGCATCCTATTTACACAGGAGGAAGCACATCGCTAGATGCCAGTGGTCGCATACTTGCATCATGTGTCGGAGAAGATGCACTTATTGTCGATCTCACTACAGGCGACCAGTTGGCCAGCTTGGAAGGTGTAAGTTGACAACCTATTGGATCTTCACTACAATTAGACTTACCGATAGTTGTGTAGGATGGAGAACTCATTACTAGCCTAGCAAGTAAGTCAATAGCTTCTCTACGGGTTTGCTGTAACTAACATCTTGCTCTCTCTACTTTAGTTACACCATCGGCGTCTCACGTTGTCGTTTGTTCAAGATCGATGTCCATGCGCTTTTACTCCCTGACACCTTTCAATATTGACGAAAAAGGACCCATAGAAACAACTCTACTAAGAACCGTCAAAGCACATACCTCTCCCGTGGTCACCACGGCTATCGATCCCACCGGAACTCTTTTAGCCACCGGAGGTGCCGACGGATCTATCAAAGTATGGGATATCAGGGGTGGGTTCATTACGCATACATTTCATGGACACGGGGGAGTGGTAACCGCACTCAATTTCTTCGAGGCTATTACAAACGTGGGCGAGCGCAATGGATCGAAGCGAACCAACAAGAAGCAAAATGATGACGACGGAGAGGCAGAAAGGTCAAGGACAATCCGGCTAGCGTCTGGTGATGAAGAGGGAAAAATGCGAGTCTGGGACTTGCACAAGAAAAAACCGATTGCTTCTTTGGAGTCGCATGTCTCCGTGGTGCGCAGTTTGTCCTACTCTCCAGTCGAAAATACTCTGCTTTCGGCTTCCCGCGACAAAACGGTTATAATTTGGGATGCGAAGACATGGAAAAGTCGTCGCATAATTCCTGTGTTAGAAAGTATAGAGTCCGCTGGATTTATTTCTGATACTAGTCTATGCTTCACTGGTGGCGAGAGAGGTGTTTTACGCATCTGGGATACCAATAGGGGAGGAGAAATAATCCAACAACAAGAAGAAGGCTCTGAAACCGACGCTATTATCACGACCCAGTACTCTTCCGAGTTGTCGTTTGTGGTTACTGTCCACGCAGATCAGACACTTCGACTCCACTCTATCGAGTCTTTGACCGATTATAAACCAGGCTCGTCATTAGAACCTTTGCCAGTTATCAGAAGGATTTCCGGAAACGATGATGAGGTCATCGACTTGGCTTATGTTGGTCCAGAGAGGTCTCTTCTAGCAATGGCGACGAATACTGAAAGCATTCGTGTTGTATCTATCACAGTTCCTGATAAAGACACGCAAAGTAACGGCAAAGGTGATAGCTACTTTGGAGCAGATGTCACATACTTGGAGGGTCACGACGATATCATTGTCTGCCTGGACGTCGACCCCCCCCGGTTATTGGCTGGCTACCGGCGCCAAAGATAACACAGCTCGTCTTTGGCGTCTTGATCCTGAAACTTCATCCTATACATGTGCAGCAATTCTTACAGGCCACGCTGAATCGCTGGGAGCAATTGCACTTCCCAGAACTCCACCTCCAGCTGGGTCAAAAGCTTATCTTGATCCATTGAACCATCCTCCAGCATTTCTCTTCACAGGCTCTCAAGATCGGACAATCAAGAAATGGGACACTAGCAAGTTGGGTATCTCCCAATCAACTCCCAAAGCAGCATATACCAGAAAAGCACACGAGAAAGATATCAACTCCTTGGACGTAAATTACACGGCAACCCTATTTGCTTCAGCTTCTCAGGATCGAACTGTGAAGATCTGGTCCGCAGAAGACGGATCAGTGGTTGGTATTCTTCGTGGTCACAAGCGAGGAGTATGGTCTGTCCGATTTTCACCCCGTGACATGCCAATCATTAGCTCAAATGCAGGCACCAGCACCAGCCGCGGATTGGTTGCAACAGGTTCAGGTGACAAAACCGTGAAAATCTGGAATTTGGCCGATTTTAGTTGCCTTCTCACATTTGAGGGTCACACAAACAGCGTCTTAAAGGTGATATGGCTGCCGCCTTCGCAGTTATCAACGGAAAATGATGCAGAAGATGGAGTTGACCCCAAGACACAGGACCGCACAGCAACTCGTCCACTCCTCGCCTCTTCTGCCGCAGATGGTTTGGTGAAGATCTGGTCCCCTTATAGTGGTGAGTCAGAGGCTAGTCTTGACAATCACACGGACAGAGTCTGGGCTCTCGCTTCTCCAACCCCTTCAGGATCGAGATCCGATGTCAAGTCACCATCAAGTTGTCCATACTCGCTGATTTCAGGAGCTGCTGATTCCACTGTCACGTTCTGGACGGACACGACATCCGCCACACTGACTGCTGCGGTCTCAGCTAATTCTGCTCGCATTGAGCAAGACCAGCAATTACAAAACTATATCCGTACTGGCGCATACAGAGAGGCCATCACACTCGCCCTTCAACTCAACCATCCTGCTCGACTACTTTCATTATTTACCGCTGCTATTGACGAAGTCGATGGAAAGAAGAGCGAAAATGATGGAAATGACAAGGACGCGGACTCTGCTGCATTAACAGGCAACAGCGCTGTGGACACAGTCCTACAGTCTCTCGATCAAGATAATCTATACCTTTTACTTCTCCGTCTCCGTGCCTGGAACACGAACGTGCGTACCGCCAAAGTCGCGCAACGCATCCTCTACACTCTAGTCCGGTCATACCCAGCATCAACATTCATTGAACTAGCCAACCGTCCGCCTCCAGCTGCGGTGACTCAAGGCCAAAGAAGTCGAAAGGATGTTAGTGGTCTGTCCTTGAAAGAGGTATTTAACGCCCTGTCGTCGTACACTGATCGACATTACCGACGGGTTGAAGAACTTGTCGATGAGAGCTATCTTGTGGAATGGATTCTTGATGAGATGGAGGGTGGTATGGGCTTAGTGTCTGGTCTATCTGCAGATAAGAATGGTGATAGTAGGTCTGGGCGTGAAGAGGATGTTATTATGCTCGAAGCATGAACAGCCAAAAAGTTCTTCCGGCGTTGCTTGATATGTTAAAAGGAGTTTTATGTGTATAGATACAGCTCATGGGCAATTGTATTGGATAATCAGTTACTAGTTAGGTATATATCGCGTTTGTATTATGCTTTTAGCATATTCATTGACATCCTCGCATGTTCTTTCACCTCACGGTCCGACAGGAACCTCACTACTTGATTTATTAAGTGTCTACTAGTCTTCCTGTAATGTTTCTTCCTGTGAGATACATGTAATCGAAATTCCAGGTTGTCATTAGTGGCTAGTTGTAGATGTCTTACTACTACCTTGTCACCGCTATACCTGTTCTAGATTATGTCGGGTGAGGTTACAACGATTAGGGAGTGGCGCAAAGACAGAAATATATTGTGCTCGAAAGTACGTAATATGGATAGTAGTGCTCCTGGTCTAAACTGCCACTTTTCAGAGTCTTATTTAGTAGCTCAGTAAAGGATACCTAGGTAGGAACTGACGATTGAAAGCTCTCCTGACTCTACCCCATGGATATCCACTAGATAGTGATGGATGAGATATCCGCGAAAGAGATACAGCTCCGGCATGATATTAATACTAGTTAGTACTATTACTTGGATTAGTCAACACAGGTATTGTATGTTATATTGGGGTTTTTTTGCTGCATTGTGAGCCCACGTGGTTTAATGTTATGGCTAAATGATTCATTTCGTACGGATTCATCGGATGAGATTTCCCTCTGCAATAATGTTCAGGTGGTGGGTAAGTAAAAGGATTTGTTGGAAATTGGGACTTCATAATAGATAGGTCCTTCGATCAGGCTACAGTATAAATACCCTTCGATTGACTGTCACAAGCATTGCAAGTTGTTCAGGATATGAGTTGTACATCAACAGATATTCAGCCATCATGAAAGCTGCCACAGCTTTCCTCACCTCCTTGGCCGCTCTTGCGAGTGCCCAACTGATTGATCTGGAAACAGGCAAGAAAGTATCAATGTAGGGAATCGAACTCTATCCTATTCTAAACCCATCAGGGTGAGTCCGTCGAGGACAGAAAGCTTACATTACTCTCGACAATGAATAGTGCAGATTATTCCTTGCTTATGCCCGTGGCCGTTCGCGAACCTGAGGACAATTCCACCGGTTTAGAACCTCGAGACTGGTACGGCGTCAAAGGCTACTTTTACTCCCCCAACTGTGGCAAGGATGGAAGTTGGGATGGGTATACCTGGACAAACATTGGAAGCGGATGCTACGGCTCTTGGGAGAACAATCAAGTCAAGGACCTATGGTCTGTTGAATGGGGAGTATTAGATGATCTGAAGAAAAAGGTCTATTGCACGGATCCTTATTTCAAGCTCTATCTACAACTGTTCCACGGCTGTACTAATTGCAATTGTGGTTTTGAACCAAACAATAATGAGATGGATGGCAACTATGGCTGCGCAAAGTTGGGGGAGAGCATCAAATCCTGGAGGCTGGCTTGTGCGCCGCCATAGAGGAGATAAAGCAAAGAATTTGGATGGATATTGAGATCATGTAAACTATTCAAGTGATACCTATAGAGGTTACGAGTAAAGCGAGCAGAGACGATGGCCAGGGATGTGGAAAACTACAGGTATCCTCAGCATTCACCTTACTGTATGAACTTTGGGAATTTGCCTATTCTACAGGAACCTATTCCACATATGTTTAAGTCAAGTCTGAATCGATTCCTTTATTTTATATTTCAAGTTATATCAAAACATCCAGGGATATAACCATAACCGGAACTCAACAACATCACGTCAAAACCCCGTAGGTTTTACCCTGCTCTTCAAGTTCCTCATCCTTGTCAATATAGTCCTCAAGCTTCTGTTCGTCTTTCTTCAAATCGCCTTCAAGCTTGTGTATTTCGCTCTCTTTCTTTGCTTGTGGCGGTGCTGGCTTTCCATCCTGCTCACTATGATGTCTATGATGAAAGACCTTATCGAAAGCGCTGGTATGATGTGGTTCTGAGAGATATTAGAATAGCTTAGAGATTGAGATATGTAATTGAAGTGCATCAGAATGTGTTTTTACCTGCAGACATGATTATGAATTGTCCAAAGCTCAAATATATGTGATCAGATATTTTCAGTCTTGGGAGCAGTTTGAAATGATACTTTATCTGGAGCAATTTGATTCTACCTTTGATTATTTATATGGAAAATAACAGATGTAGAGCGCAGTATTACTATTACCATATAGGGCTGTGGCCTACAATGAGAAGTGGCCATCTCACGGAACCTAAAACAGATTCTTCTCAGCCGCAGAAACTTTCTCGTCTTCCTGGACATTGCATTGCTGCGTTTCAATCTCTGCTAGAATGCCGCTTCATTGCGATCTATAACTGCTAAAAGTGTATAACCATCTCTGAGTGTGAGTTTAGGAATTGGGAGTACCCCACGAGGCTGTTGTATATGCCATGCCATTCATGTATATAGCACTGTGACTAATCTTTTTTGTGGTATCCTGCCTATCTTGATTCTAACAACGAAAAAAGCTCTGTCGCAGCATCATGTTCTGCGAAACAATGTCAAATGCAATTTTTACAATCATCTGTGGCGATCCGTATCCCTATCTCTACGGTCAGAATCACGATCTCGGTCTCTAGTGCGATGATAATCTTGACCCCGTCTCGAGTGACCGGAATCACGATGACTTCGTTCTCTCGATCGAGGTCTGCTCTTATAATCACTATCAGCTCTATCGCGGTACCGTCGATGATCTCGGGAAGACCTCTTATCATCGTCATCATCATCATAGCGACGGCTTCGACGGTCATGAGCTCCAGAGGATAGACTTCGATCTTGTCGTGAGGTAGACGACTTTCCGTGCCGCCTGCTTCGATCGCGGTCTGAATCACTCTCGTCGTCATAACGGCGTGTCCGGCCTTTATCCCGGCCGTTAATAGTAGATGGACGAGATGAGTGACCATCCGATCTCCCATTTGCTTTTCTTTCACTAGCCTCCTTTTGACGGAGTTTGAACTCTTCCTCAGTTAAATGTTCACCTGTCATCTTACTTTTCATGACGACCGGCATGTAGACCCCTTCCGTATTTCCACTACCATCGCCACCCTTCCTAGAACCTTTGCGCATTGCGGCTTTTCCCCATGCACCAATTTCAACTTCGGCACCTTTGGCACCTCCAATATCTTTAGCGCCAATTCCTAGAAACCCGGGCCGCCGCTGAGGAACACGAGCCTCGTTCGCAGCGCTGGTATTTCCATAATTTCCTCGTCCAATAGCCTGACCTTCCTTCCAGCCCATACCTCTTAATAAGGCTGCGCCAAACTCTTCAACCGGGACCGCATCGTAGGCATCCAGGCTCGCCTGATCAGGACGTGTAGCAACATCTGCCCGAAAAGAGCTCGTTTCGTCGTAGCGGCTTCCTGCTGTGGTTGATGCGATGACTATATCGGACCGCCTTACCTTATCGCCGCCTTCACTCTCACGAATGAGTGCCTGCAGCGCAATCTCATCTTGAGTAAGAGGTGCACGAGGATCGTTTTCAGACGTAGGTACAGCGTCTTCCATAGGCACGTCCGCTTCCTTCTCATCAGTGACATTCCCGGCAGTCGCAGTTTTTGCCGGGGCAAGACTAAGACCGTAGGACATACTGGGCGTCTCGGTTTCTACAACAGCCACATTTCCAGCAGCCTGCACCTCCTGTGGGAGTAGATTTTTACCCCTGCGATTGGTTCCCGGTCGATCGCGCCAATTATTCTTGCTTTCTACTTTGATGACAAGAGGTTCTTTCTTTGATGCCGTATTCTTGCTGATTGCCCCACCCATGGCGAAACCCGTTACCTCCTCGGCAACAGGTACTTCTTCTTCCTCTTCGGAATCGTCATGACTTATATGTTGGCGATGTCTCAGCGATGAGCTAACACGTGGTCTTGCATTTTGCGGGATGTTGGGCGGCTTTCTAGACGCGTTTGAGAACGATACGGAGAAAGGCTTCCCTGGCGTACCAAAGCTACCTTGTTTCGACGGAAGCATGTTGTCGGATGCGCTCAATGCAAAACGATATGATTTATTTAGTGAGATGTTATGCCGATATTCGCGTCAGCTGTTATAGCTCCAGGTCCCGTCCACAGGAAGAGTGAAGGCGTATCTAATGATCGTAATCCAGAGCTTTTCCGCAACAGTGGCGATCCCGGCCAAGTTCTAACCACATACCGTGAATTGATAGTAACTTAGTTTGCCATATGCCGCATGTAGATTCGCATCAACGGATTTTGTACACAAAATGTGAAAATCAAAACCAGATCGTGGTCTTGGATGTCTGTATGGCAAAAGTGTTCAAAATGAATCCGCAAACTTATTGGGCTTCAGTTTATCTTATCGCAGGTCACGGGACTCTGCCCGATAACTAGTGGTTAATGATGTCAGGTCTGCTTACGTAATATGGATATAGTAAGTTAACATAGTTAATTAACAAGCGAGTTGGCCACTTTTCCCGAAATCGCCGCGCTCTATTGATTTCAAACCTCAATTTCTAACCCACATACAAATTATATACAAAAAATTAACTACTAGTACGATTAGGACATCTAGTTATTTTATGTCCTTCAATACCGCAACCACTGCAGCAAAATTGACGTCGTACAGGTGGACGAGAGACTGGAAGCTCAGGCTCGGCCGGACCGGTAGTAACAGCTTGAGATACTTCAATCTGACCTTGTACAAGCGCCTGGGCTTCCTCTCTAGTAATTCCTTGCTCATGAGATATTTGCTTCGCCTTCTCATGTGCAGCCCGCAGATCATGGAGTTCCTTCTGTGCAATTGTAAGCTTATTAATACTCATCTCATAAGCATTTGACGCCCGTGTAAACACTTCATCAATAACCTCAGATGAACTTCTTGTATGCCGGCTTATTCGCTTCTTAATTGTAGTCATTTGGCGCTTGAATTGATGTGGATTTTGAGGGGTTTGTAAGCAGGATGATTGTGTATCACTTGATCGACTTGGAGGGGGTGTTGGAGTCTTCAATTGGATAGTAAGCTGTTGATAAACTCGATCTGTATTGAATGGTACTAATCCAGTTGCTGCAAAGCTATTCCGAACACTTTGAGCTTTATATGCCATCGTACGAGCTGCTGGAAATGTAGTGAGAAAGTCGATTTTGTCAATGTGATTGAATCCAAGCCTCATTCGCTGCTCAACAAGCTGTCCATAATGTCGCTTTAAAACAGCAAAACAGCCAACATCAAGAGGCTGTAAAAGATGTGAAGAATGAGGAGGCATACAGACTGGAATAATATTATTCTCAGTGCATGTACGGTCAAATTCAGCAGTTAAATGGCTTCCGTGACCATCAAGAATCAACATTCGATATTTTCCCAATGTACGGTCATTAGTAAGAGGAATAAAATGAGTTTTAAGCCATTCTAATCCAATCTTATCCGTTGTCCATCCATTATCACTGATATTGATTCTCCAGTCATCTGGAAGATCCTCAAACCAGCCTAATCGAGCATATTTCTTTGCCTTAAAAATAATATATGAAGGCAAGGCCCATCCAATTGAATTAACTGCCTCAATTGCAGTTACCCATTCTCGATTACCAGGCTGTAATAGCTTTGGCCGAGCATATCGATCACTTCCTGTTATAACCTTTGCAGTAGCGCAGAGTCCCATTGCAAAGCCAGTCTCATCAAAGTTATAGATATCTTCTTGTAAGATTCCATACTCTAATATAACCTCTCGTACGCGATCAAAATATTCTTGGATTATCTTTGGATCTTCACATTTGGCGCGCTCATAGTTATAGTTCCGTGAGAATTTTGATTCAATCTCTGGGCGACGTTTGACAAGATTGTATACCCAATTTTCTCCAACATATTGGTTTCCGCGTTGTGAAAGAAGATAATCAGCCATCTCTCGTACAAGAGAGGGTCGAGTAGGTAATCCACGTTTATCTAGATCCAAGATCCATCTAACAAGCGATTCCTCCTCAGATTGAGTTAATTTATGGCCATTGGCGCGTATTTCAGCTCGATATGTCATGCCATTTAGTCTGTTTTGAAGTGTTGACCGTGAGACATTATAGATCTCTGCTGCTTTTCGTATAGAGTGTATTTTTTCATTTTTCAAATCGGAAATAGCTAACAAGATTCGTCCCTCTTGTTCAGCTGAATTTTTTGAATTTTTATTGCGAATTGGTGGCATATTGACGTGTTGAATTATGTAGAATCAATATAGAGTGCGTTTTCGGGAAAAGTGGCCAACTCGCTTGTTGATTACGTTAACGTAATCGGACACTGAGTGGATCGCTGCTCCAGGCCACATCAAAATATTCCAAACATTTCTATACACCAATCTTCAACGCGTCAATATGCCACCAATTCGTACAGGAAGTACACAAAGTTCGAGCAATCAATAGGGCAGGATACTACTTGCTATATCCGATTCAAAAAATGGAAGAATTCGATCTATTCGTCAAACTGTACAGATATATGATGTTCAATTTACAACTCTTCAACGTTGACTTACCGACACTCAATATAGAGGTGAAAAACGCGCTAATGGACATATATTGACTCAATATGAAGAGGAATTTCTTCTAAAATGGATCCTTGATCTTGATAAACGTGGATTACCTCCCCGACCATCTCTTGGACAAGATGTTGCTGATCTTCTTCTTTCCCAACATGGAAATAAACACGTTAGTGAGAGATGGGTTTATCGATTTGTTGACCGGCATCCGGAAGTCAAACTACGATTTTCACGAAGATATAACTACGAGCGGGCAAAATTTGAGAGTTTTAAGATAATCCGAGAGCATTTTTAACCGCATACGAGAGGTCATACAGGAATAAGGGATCTTATCAGAAGATATATACAATTTTGATGAGACTGGCTTTGCTATGGGCCTCTGTGCTTCTGCGAAGGTCATTACAATCGATATAGAGGGCCTAATCTATTAAAGCAACCGGATTAGTGTCATTTAATCCGGATCATGTTTATCAAAAGCTTACAGTTCAGCTTCGGACCCCAACACCGCCTAGTCGATCAAGCAATTCACAATCTTCCTACCTACAGACACTTCAAAATCCACGTCAATTTAAGCACCAAATAACAACAATGAAGAAGCTAATCAAGAGGCGTACGGCAAGCCCATTAGAGACAATTAATCCGGCGATAAACCGGATATCCAAAACGTACGAAATGAGTATCAATAAGCTTCTAATTGTACGGAAAGACGTGCATGATTTACAGACTACAAATGAGAAATAGAAGAAAAACATAAAAGACTCAGAGCTCAGTTATCTCACAAAGGATCTCTTACAGCGCAGGAAGCCCAGGAACTAATAACTAGTCAAGATGAGGCATCTCAACCTATTCCGGCTACACCAGTCGAATCCAAACCTCAGGCCTCTCAATCACGCGTACGAGTGCCACCAAAGTGCAGTAGATGTGGGATTATCTGGCATAAAATCAATAGATACCCAAATTGTACTACTAGTTAAAACAATTATATTTATTTTATATGTGGGTTAGAAATTTAGGCTTGAAAATTCGTATAACGCGGTTTTTCCGGAGAAAGTGATCGGGTGGGTGTCCGATTACGTTAACCCTAAACATAACCTCAAAAGTTTCCCCTTAATCTTGCACTTATCCAAAATGCTCATTTGGTTATCCTAAAGTCAACACTTTCTACCCGAGGGCTGTTGCTTCGCATACTTAATTCCAGTCATCATCTGCCGACACGAAAAAGCATTCCTTTATCAACTGTTGGAATCCTCGTCGACAGGACTTTCTTGAGGTAAAAAAGAGAGCACAGCAGGAAGGAAAGCGGTTTCAAGGCTGGATGCAGCGATATGCCGGGTGCTTTCGTTGTTATAATCCGCAAGTCATTTACACCTCTCCTATTTAGTCTACATATTTGCTATCGGCAGATCGCCTTCAGGATGACCAGTCCATCTCATAGCCCTCGAACGCAAGGAGGTAGTTAACGCCATAGCTCACTTTGAGATTTTTGGGAGCAAACTTCATTATGGACTATATGACTGACTGAGCTACATGATAAACCTCTAACGCACATAATCACCGATCAAGGGTCTCTACCCCATTGTCCGAGGAACGACATGCTTCAAAAAGTAATCCTCCTTAGCCATCTTGACCGCGACAGCTGTCCACTCATCGAGATTTTCCTCTGGCAAACCCAAAGCGGCATTGTCGACACGCGGGTGTTGACCTGCCTCATCTGGGTAGAAAACTCGTGAATACAACAGCAGGCCAAAGCCTGTTCGATCACCGGCTTCAAGCATTACCTTTCCCTTCTCATAGCGCTCCTTGGCTGATTCCGTGGTGACTTTCCAATCATCACGACTGGTTCCAGTGACTCTTAGAAGAGACTCAAATATCTGTTGCTGACTGACCTTGAAAGACGAGATGCAGACAAAATCATTCTTGAACTGCGACAAATGCGGACTCTTATCGTTCTCATCATCCGGTAGAACCTTGAGTCCCAACAGATTGGCTACTCCACGACCAACTTGTGGCCAAGTAGTGGTATTGATCTGCTTAGCGCCGTCATCAAAGAAAGTGACAGCACGATTCTTAATATCAAACCCATAACTCCACGGACCGACAGACAAGCTATACTCATACCAAAAGCCAGTCGCCACACCAATCCACGAGCTCACTCCCAACTCCTCAATGAGTTTTCGATCTTTTGCCTTCACGACTCCAATCATAATGTCCCGATCGATTTGCTCATTGTTTTTGGAATTGCCAAACTCATTAGGCAGTATCCATTTCACGCCAGCTTCAGCAGCGGCTCTGCTGAGTTTTTCTGCTTCATCGGTTGCCCGGATGGACAAGGTGCAAATCAATGCATCTTGACCCTTGAGGGCTTCGACGATGGTACTAGGTTGGGAGTAATCAATCTTTTGAATAGAGTGTACGCCTGCTGGAACGGTATTGGTGCTCCCCTCACGGGTGAGGGCAGTGATTTTGTGTTTTCCATTTGCAACGAGAGCCTGGACGATGAATTTGCCGACTTGGCCTCCGGCCTATATACGATTGTGAGCGATTTAACATGGAACACACTGATAAGCGGTCGAAATAAGAGAAGTAGCAGGACTTACACCAACAATAGCGATATTTTCAAGATAGTTCTTGAAACCTGTTGGTTGGTCTTTGGCGTATCCGATGGCCATTGTTCTTAGACACAACCTCTATATCCGAGAAAGAAGTATCAAGTATTATAATCTCATTGTTCGGTAGCTGCTTTGCTATTTCATACAGAGGGAAACATCAGACCTTTATATACATTTGTCAACTCACTACAAAGACTAATATTGTTCTATCTAGCTATACTAGACTCTGATTATCAGCGGAACCTCTCCAGCGAAATCCGTAGGAATCTTGCAAGAAATCCGTTCGAAAACGCCCAAAAGCCACATGGGCCTCTCAGCTCCGATTTCATTCTCAAGCCCTAACTACACTAAGTACGACATCGAGCACGTATATTTAGCAAATTCTGCTACCTACTGAATCGGGTTTCGGAGATAAATGCCACTGTTGAGATGGTTAACGACGCTATTTCCGCGAAAAAGGGAATGGATGGTCGGGATTCGGTGATGTATATAAGTGGGAAATTCATTTTCGAAATCCTTTTCTCTGGCTCAGGAAAGTTTCTTCACAGCTCGGACATGTAACTAGCTATGGAAAGCAATCTTGGAATACTTAGGTAGGACTGAATATAATAATTGCGGCCTCCTTTCAACTGACTCAATTGTATCATGTTCTAGTACCCGCCATAGCCAGACTATATAAGTTATTTCAACACGACTAATCATACAGATAAAATAAACGGACTTTTCCCCTTGTGGAGGGAAAAAGAGAATGATACTGGGACCAAGGCCAACCCAAGAAATACCACCCACACATTAAAACGCCAGAAACCAATTGGTCGACAGAGACCAATATACATCTAGTCCGTAACAGGTGAAGAAAGGGCAGGGTTATTGTAAACGCATAAAGGGAGGTATAAAAAAGGGGATGAAAGAAGAATGATTAAACTCGTGGTTCGGGGGAAGAAATCAGGAGGAATTTGCTAAGAGGAGTCCGGGTGTTAAGCATGAGGAATCGTAGGTGACATAAATCGTATAGGGAAGTAAAAGGAACTGATACCGGGGAACGACATGCGAGGATACATGGTTTGTTCCCGGGCGTTGATGAAAGACAGCTTAGTTGGTGGCCATCTGTGCTGCAGGAGGATGAGGGCTTTGATTTGCCCCTGGAATGGGTGTCTGAAGGCTTCCACTGCGTTGAGTCTGAGGCGTAGCGCTTCGGCTTTGCTGTGGGAGAACACTCCCATTCATAGACGGCGAGCTTGTAACTGGTACCCGGTTCTGCTGATTGGGTTGGGCCACTCTCATCATCGGCGAAAACTGGGCTTGAGAATTTTGCATCCCAACGTTACCATTTGCTTGCGGAGAGCCTTGGAAATTGGGATCCGGGGTCATATGGAAGTTAGCTGGAATGGAGCCCACGTTTCCCACGGCAGCATTCATTGCAGCTTGCGTCATGCGCTGTTGCTGTTGCTGGTATACATGAAGCCTCTCGGTTGCGAGCTTGGCGACCTGCTCGGGGGACAAATTAGGATGAGACCTTTGTATTTGGTTTTGAATGTTTGTTATTGTAGGAACAACGCCACTCGAGAGATGATTTGGCTGGCCCATACGCGGTGATGCTGTGGGTACGCCTTGTGCATTGTTGTACGGCGAAGAGCTGCCCATCCCTCCAGCTGCTTGCATAGCTGCAAGCATGGCCGCATTATTAGGATTTCCATTGATTCCTTGGACGCTAATATTTGGCGAACCTTGTTGGCCGAACTGCTGTGGGTTATGGAATTGTTGTTGGCCAGCCTGCGGCACCTGTTGGTTCTGCTGCTGTCGAGATTGTAGAAGACGTTGTTGTTCCTGAAGCCGACTAGCCTCACGAATTACCCTTGCATTATCGGGAGAACCTTGTATGGGTATTCCCGACCGAGCTACCATTTGCTGAGGCATGCCTTGCTGTGGAACTATCTTCACACTCATTGCATTTGGCGGCATAGGGCTACTCATAGGTCTTCCATTCGGCAAACTTTGCATTGGCATGGCATTACCGTGATTTATGTTTGCATTTGGAGGCATGCCATTGACCACAGCATTCTGTGCAGCTCCAGGTACGGGTTGGGAACCAGCAGGCTGTACGCCATTCGGTGTTCGAGCAACAACGCCAGCCATCGTAGCTGCTTGTTGATTCGGCAGTTGTCCAGCACGTTGTGCGGCCAGATTAGCCTGAAGGAGAGGATTAACGAATGACACCGGAATATAGAGGAATATAAGTTCTTACCCTCTGTTGTGCAATCATCTGTTGGCGGTACTGTTCCTGTCTCTCCTGGAGCTTTTGCTCACGCTCATATTTCAGCTTGCTAAAATCGGCTGGGTTAGTGATCGGAGGCTTCGGTTGATTTGCCTCATTCACTTTCCGTAAAGAGGCAAGGTGAGAAGCTTGTATCATGTTAGTCTCCTTCTGTATCCATATAACAACACTTGATCTTACCTTGTTGCTGCTTCTGAAGCATCGTCTCTCTCTTCTTCGCCAACTTCCGCATGGCATCCAGAAGAGCAAGATGGCGGGAAGCTCGACGGCGGTCAACACGTACGGGTTGGGTTGTTCTTCGGCGAACCAAAGGCTGGGCTGGGCCGGGAATACCTTGCTGCGCTTGTTGCTGTTGCTGCTGCTGTTGAGCGGCTTGCTGTTGAGCGATTATCGTACGTTGGGCGGCTTCCAACCGTTGGTGATATGCTCGGAAATATTGAGTCTTCGACATATCAGCAGGCAAGCCTTCAAGACCGACCCATCGCTCGAAGCATTCCCACGGTGTCCTACGCTCGGCACCAGAAGAGAACAGAGACGGAGATGATAAACAACTTGCTATGAGAGACCAATTGTAAGAGTAATCTTTAACAAGACGGCGGAGTTCATCATCCTCATTCAGCGTCCACTGAGATGACTGTCTCGACTCAAAGAATCCAACGGATGGCATCGGATACTCAGTGGGAGGTCGGAATGAATGGCCAGGGTGAATGCGATCGCGAATATGCTTATTCTCCGGACGGAAAAGAGCGACATCCGTTTGCTCCGGGGTGATATCTACAGTAGGAGTCTCCATGTGATCATCTTCGAGTGCGTAGTCGTATCTCGACTTTTTCCTTGCAGGCCCAACATCCCGAAAAGTGATTCGACCAGTCGAGAATTTTGAAACTGGCAAAACCTCGGTTTTCCAATCCGTATCAGCCTGAAACCTGAAGATTGGTAGTTGATTATCTGGCGAGATGCCAATAGGAGCATAAATTGGTAGTTCACCTAGTAATTTCTCTGATACAGGAGTGAAGTCGATGGAGAAGTTGAACTCTTCAGACCCAAGGGAAAATATAGCTGCTGGTGCAACGGTATCTCTAAAATCGGGCCGTGGTTCATCAAGGAAGCCCTCACTAGAAGATTCTTCCTCTGTAGAATGAATGAGATCAGGAGTAGGCTGAGAAACAGGACAAGAAATGTCCACAGGATTATCAACCATCATAGGATCACTATTCGTGTTGGTTGCATCGGAACGCCCAACCGATTTTGGTGACGGAGTCTTCGTGCGCACTCGGAGCTGAGCTCTGTGCTCTGGTTCACTCTGCACATATTCAGCACACCATTCGGCACAACTCTTCGCAGCTGCAATCTTCCACTTGCGCTCTTCCCTGAAATCTGTGCGCATCCATTTCATATGGTCGAGCAAGACATCCCAATGAGTGCCCTGTCGCAAAGGCTCCGCAGAGCGCTGCATTTGACGTAGTGGCCATCGATTAGAGTTCTGTAGAGCGTATATTCGACGAAGGGTGCGACAATCCATCTGCTCTTGGTATTCAAGAAGATGGTTAGCTGTACTCAGTGTCTTGTGGGCCGTGGCTAGGAGCGTTGAGATGTTCGAAGTACGAGGCGGTGAATAGGCCTTATTCTGGAATAACGTAAACAAATAATCTTGCTGCTCATTCAGTCCAGCTATCAAATCACCGGCCTGCTGGCGGATCAAAACAAGAGAATCATTCTTCTCGATTTGTTTCTTCGGAAAGACTACAGTAGAAAGTTTTGTTCGTTCCTTCTCTTGGTCTTTCTTCTGTTTGACTCTTGCTACAGAGGCAGGGCTTCCTTGAGATATGGGGGATCTGGGAGCGGAGGAATCGCGGGCGGCACCAGATAGCTGCCTTTCCAGTTGCCCAGATTTCGGAATTTCTCCCAGAATTTCGGAAACGGACTTGTGTCGAATGGCACCAGACGATACTCGAGTTGTCATTCTCTCCGGAATTGGTTGGACAACGACGTTTGTTGTGGAGGTAGAGGATAATCGCTTAGTAGCGGCTGCAGTCTCTTGTTCCATCTTTAGTTCTGTAGGAGCTGGTCCTGAAGGCATTCCGCGAGCTGCTTGACTCTCTGGAACAGCGGAAGATGTTGGTGAAAGCTTCTCCTCCTGTCCGGTCCTAGAAGGTTGAGCATCTTGTGTTTTGGGCTGATCGGTAGGGGGTGGAACCAATTGAGAAGGCGTGACATCTTCTTTGACAATCTGATTTGAGACGGGGTTGGGGCCCGGCTCCCCATGATCCCCAATCGCTTTACTCGCAGCTAATAACTGTGCGTTTCGCCTCAGTGACTGTGCTTCTTCAAACCGTAGCTGTTCATCAGGGGTCAAAGATGTCGTCACATCTAGAGCTTTGTCGGACGGCGTTGCATGCGCATTAACAACCGGCTTGGCTGATAGGGTTGCATGATCCTCAATCTCTCCAGACTCATCCGGACTCGTATCCGGAGATGCGGCGGGAGGTGCGGGGGTATTGGTGGAGTACGGCTCAATAGAAGAAGCAGGAGAAAGTGGTTGGTCTAAGTGAGCAGTGGTGCCTACTGCCAAAGATAATCTGCGACCTTGTTTGCTCTGAAGACTTGCTTCTGTGTGTTGTGGCGGTGCTGAAATGACTGTTTCTGAAGAAGGCTCGATAGCTTTGTCCTTGGGGCTCGGCCGAGTATGAGATGGGGAGGTGAAGGTGCTTGACACAGCATTTTCGTGCGTGCTTACTGGAGTTCCAGGTGTCGAAAAATGTGGTTTCGTGCTAATGGATGATGTCGAGGGCGCAGGAATATTGCTTCTTTGAGTGATGAGCGGCTTCGAGGTTGTTGACTCAACAATAGGCTGCTCGATCTCTGCGCGCGCATCCGGTTTTTGTACCTCGATCGATTTATCTTGCACATGTCCTTTTTCCTTGACAACACCCGGAATGGAGGATTCTGGTATCCGCTCTTGTTCCTCACTAGACACATCTAAAGTAGCAACCTCGCCGGCTCCAGGTGGAGCATGCGCTTGTACTCTTGTGACAATGTCGGCATAGTTTGGGAAAGGAGGGAGTGTAGCTTCATTGTAAAATCGACCCCTACCATTGCGGGTCAGTACGCAACCATGAAAAATAATTAAAATAAAGTCACGATAGACATCTATCATGTACGAGTAAAAAAAGGAAAGATAACGGAACATACTTGGAGAGATCGTTGGCGTCGAGGAACGCTTGCTTCTTTTGCTCGTAGAGGGTATCCGTGATAGCCCCGTCAATCGCGCCTAAGCATCCGACGGTCGCAAAATAGAGCTCACTCAGTTTTCGCTTTCGTGACTGCAAACATCGCCTGAAATTCACAGTTAGCGATATATGAACGTCGCATGCTGTATATTTTCAAGAAAATCGCTCGGAAAAATTTTTAACTTACGCTATCTCGTCGTTCTTGGAGCGAAGGAGCTCGTCGCGGAGCATCGAGTCTATCTCGACCACGCGTCATCCGATTAACGCGTGGTAAAAAATTAAGATCAGTAGAGCGATGTCATTCAGACCGAAAAAATCGCTCGGAAATGATAAAATCGACGTATTTTGAGGTGGTTTGATGGGTGACTTTTTACAGACGCGAGAAATTGCCCTGGCGGTGTTGCTCGATTTTGCTTGGGGGGTGTTACGGCGGTATGCGGATGACTGGACAAATCGTCCTGCTTTAGGGGGTTCAGCCAAGACTAGGAAAAGTGTGAGAGTTCGTTCCAAGGAACGTGAGTGAAGTTGGTGCCTTAGACTTTGGTGGCTGAATGCAGCGATATCATGACTGCTGCCTCAAAAATGTGGCATCAGAACGGATACTGGAATATTATTCTTCCATAACCGGCGGTATGGGCCGGCAGTATCACAAGGCCCGAAAAAAAGTTATTGTTTATCACAGCAGAAGTGATAAGCAGCACTCCTCGTCAGTCATACAATTAGACATCATGGCCAAGAGAAAGAGAGTAGAAGCTGCTGCCAACGGCCAATCTGGCCAGGATCAGCCTCGCAAGGCTGTCAAGTCTGCAGCAGTGCCCGCCGAATTTCCGGAGAATGATCCAGGTGCTGTAACCATCCAAATCGTTACAGGATCTTACCAGAGCGTTTTGCATGGATTTACTGTTACTCTACCTGCCAATCCTCCCAACGACAAGGAAGCACAGAAAGAAGACGGGACATCCAAGCTGCACTTTGCGGACACTTTTCTATTCCAAGCGCATACATCTGCAATTCGAACACTTGCCCTGTCGCCGCCGACCAGTACAGATGCTTCTCAGCCTCAAACAGCAATTCTGGCCAGTGGTGGTTCAGATGAGCGGATAAATTTATACTCTCTTTCCATGGCACCGCCAATTGTCAGCGAACGATTTCCTTCAGTTGCGACTCTAGCAGGAAACAAAATTCTAGAAAATCCGAAAAACCGAGAACTCGGGACTCTTCTTCACCATTCTTCCAGTATTACGACGCTCTACTTTCCATCCAAGTCCAAATTGATATCAGCAGCTGAAGACAATACGATATCTGTAACCAGAATTCGCGACTGGAACGTCGTCTCTACAGTGAAAGCACCCCAACCCAAAGCACAAGGCAGACCCAGTGGGGATACAGCTCCTCCGGGAAGCGTGCCATGCGGTATCAATGACTTTGCGGTACATCCGAGTATGAAGTTGATGATAAGTGTTGGTCGAGGCGAAAGATGCATGAGACTTTGGAATTTAATGACGGGTAAAAAGGCTGGCGTGCTAAATTTCGACAAAGAATTGCTACAGAGTGTCAAGGAGAATAAAAGATCTACCGGAGAAGGACGCGGGATCGTCTGGGATACTGCTGGGGAAGAATTCGCTATTGCTTTCGAGTGGGGGGTAGCGATATTTGGAATAGTAGGTCTCGCATCGTCGCATAGGTCAGTACTGATCAATAGCTAACTCTTCGCCCAGGACTCAACGCCCAAATGCAAAGCAGTACCATCTCCGTCAACCAAGGTGCAGAAAGTGAAATATATCGATTTTAGCGAAGACAAAGACGGCTCAAAAGAACTACTTACGGTATCCACGGACGACGGCAGTGTGCTCTTCTACTCTACCAAAGAAGCTTCCACCTCATCTGATTCATCCTCAATACCTGATGCCCAACTTTTCGGCCAATTGGGTGGCAGGACAGGCGGTCTTTCAGGGCGTATCAAAGGGTTTGAAATCCTTAATTTGTCTAGTTTTGACAAATGGAAAGGAAATTATTTGCTAGTGACGTCCGGCAGCGACGGAGTGATTCGCATATGGACTCTCAAGATTAAAGAAGCCGCTAGTGGTGGACTGTCGTCTACGCTGCTCGATTCATACGAGACTGGTAATAGAATCACCTGTATGGTCGCATTTGCCATGCAGAAGCCCCAACACCCGGAAGCCATTAACGAGTCTGACCTGGACTCGGACGAAGAGAAAGAGGCAACAGAGGAATCCAGCAGCGATAGCGATCAGAATTGATCATAAATGTATAATATATATCATAAAAGTCCTTTGCATGAATATACAGTGATGTGTCAATGAAAACAAAGCAAAAAATCAGTGTAACAGAAACTCATAACCTGACTGACTCACTGTAAACGCCCAAGGATCGACGCCACTCGCATCCCGCTAGATGGGTCGATGAAGAAAGAGATTGCCTACAATGACTCGGAAATGCAAATTGAAGCAGATGGGCAATCCCAATGATATCGAACAAGGTGTAAGTCCTAGGCAATGTAGGGCTAATATGGTTGCTCAACGAGGTTGAGTCACACTTGAAATGGGCAGCGCTAGTATAAATTAGGCTTAGCCCCCCGCCATCGATAAATTATCCCATTCCCCACTACACAATTTTATCATAGTGAGCCCGTCAGTATCCAGCACTTACAACAAGCAAAACCGACCTCATACCAGCCAGTTCTCGCTGTTAATATCGCGCAAGAAGCAGATTCGAAACTCACTACTGACGGACGGCTTTCGCCATTTGCAATCATGGCTACCAACGGCGATTTCTCCGACGAGGACTCGCAGCCCGGCTCGCCCCTCATGGGCCACGAGCATGAAGACGATATTGAGGAGCAGGAACCTCTTGACCATGAAGATGATGTCCAAGAGAAGCCCTTGAAGTCTGCCCTCAAGAACAAGGATGCCGAACCCCTAGTATACGAGCACAAGCGCCCAGAGCTGCCTGAGCAACCCGACCCGAATACCGTGGACTTCTCGACATTCACTCCCCTTACACCTGAGATTATCGCCCGTCAGGCTACGATCAATATTGGAACCATCGGCCACGTCGCTCACGGTAAATCGACTGTGGTCAAGGCTATTTCGGAAGTTCACACAATTCGTTTCAAGAACGAGCAGGAGCGAAATATTACCATCAAGTTGGGTTACGCCAACGCAAAGATTTACAAGTGTGACAACCCCGAGTGTCCCAGACCGACCTGCTACAAGAGTTACAAGAGTGAAAAGGAAATCGATCCTCCATGTGAGCGTGAAGGGTGCAGTGGCACATACCGCTTGTTGCGTCATGTCTCGTAAGTTTTCTGTTTCATGCTTGGAATTTTCATGTTGGCTAATAGATACCCGAAAGCTTCGTTGACTGCCCCGGTCACGACATTCTCATGAGCACTATGTTATCTGGTGCCGCTGTCATGGACGCAGCTCTCCTTCTCATTGCTGGAAATGAAACATGCCCACAACCTCAGACTTCAGAGCACTTGGCTGCTATTGAAATTATGAAATTGAATCACATTATCATTTTGCAAAATAAGGTCGACTTGATGCGTGAGGAAGGTGCTCTATCGCACTACCAATCAATCCTGAAGTTCATTCGAGGAACTGTAGCGGACGGCTCGCCAATTATCCCGATTTCGGCTCAGTTGAAATACAACATTGATGCTGTGAACGAGCATCTTGTGTCTCACATCCCTGTTCCTGTTCGTGACTTTACTGCCGCTCCACACATGATTATCATCCGTTCTTTTGACGTCAATAAACCCGGTGCTGGAATCGAAGAACTCAAGGGTGGTGTTGCTGGTGGTTCTATCTTGACCGGTGTTCTAAAATTGGACGATGAGATTGAGATCAGGCCTGGTATCGTCACCAGGGATGAGAATGGCAAGGTCCAGTGCCGCCCTATTTTCTCAAAGGTTGTTTCACTTTTCGCCGAGCACAACGATCTCAAGTTTGCTGTTCCTGGTGGTTTGATCGGCGTCGGTACTCGTGTTGACCCTACTCTTTGCCGTGCCGATCGTTTGCTTGGTTTCGTCCTCGGCCTGCGTGGCAGACTGCCTGCTATTTACACTGAGCTCGAAGTCAACTACTTCTTGCTCCGTCGTCTGCTTGGTGTCAAGTCCGCCGACGGCAAGCAAGCCAAGGTCGCTAAGCTCTCCAAGAACGAAGTTCTCATGGTTAACATTGGTTCTACTGCCACCGGTGCCAAGGTCGTGGGTGTCAAGGCCGATGCTGCTAAGCTTGTCCTTACAAACCCCGCTTGTACCGAAATTGGTGAGAAAATTGCCATCAGTCGTCGTATTGAAAAGCACTGGCGATTGATCGGTTGGGCCAACATTGTTGCGTAAGTTACCATCCTACTCTGCAGTTATTCTCTCCAGTATATAACTAACTTTCTATTAGCGGAAACACCCTCGAGCCAGTCCAAGACTAAGTATATCATTTCATATCGATATGAGTATAATTCTAAAATTCTAGCATGTATTTAGTCGAACATGGGACAAGGCGTCCACCAAAATACGAACAAAACACGAGCGACGGCGATCAAATCGATAGATCAATACTTGCTCATATTTTCCATCACTTTTATGAAGAGATATAAAAGCATGGTCAGGAAAGCCATGACCGTGTTTCAGTCTTTTCTTGATATCCTCTTGCATTTCTCATTCTTATTTCTTTAATCTCTGGTGGAAGAGTCGCTCCTTCGGGACTCTTGTAACCTAGAGATTCCGGTTTTTTGTTCTCCCTACTGGTTTGCATTGGGATAGAAGCATGATTCGAGATTGTTCTGGGGTTTGTTTCTCATGTGTTTAGATGTTTCGTGGATGCAAGAGATGATGACAATGAAATAGTATTCAAAAGTTGCTAATGTGCCTTTAAATGTGACAGCATACAATCACATCTGATTCGATACACTTAGAAGGACTATCAATTCAATATCGACAGAGTTATAGTTGACAGTTGAACAATCATTCTAATCCCTGAGTATTAGGTATAATGCCCTACCTTCATACCCTAAAACCTCATCCTGTTATCAAACTACCAGATAGGCCCATTGATGTTCCCCCAGAGCAATCTTCATAAACAATAAGCGAACAAAATTCCTTATATAAGACAAAACAACACCATGAACATTTTATAAATCTGTATAATACACTCGAATAGAAAAAAAGAGCAGCATGCTCTTACAAATGGCTATCCCCTCGTCTCCTAGACAGAATCTACCAACTCAAATCCTTCCTCCCCTTCAACCGTCTCCTCATCAAAATCTTCCGTCCAGTACGCGTCCTCAATCTAGCTAGAAATCCATGTCGACGTTTCTGAACCAATCTCGAGGGGCGGTATGTAGCTCGCTTACCGGCGAGAGACGCAGATGCCGAAAAGGTTCGGATCTGGTTAAGTAGCGACTGCATCATGGGGTTTGCCGGTGTGTTTATAGCAGTAGTAAAATTATTTGATGATAGGACTGGTCGTGTTGTTGAGATTGAGGAGAAGAGGGAGCTGCGAGATGAGGAGTATGTTCGAGAAGAGGATGTTGAGGGGAGGATCCATGATGTTGGACGTATTTGTGGTCTGGTTGGTGGTGGATATGTTAGTGGATTTCTATTCGTAGCGGATTTAATCATTAATGAAGAGGCATCGTACCGGATATTGTGTGTCATTCGTGAAGTCAATGTCGGCATGGCCGTCTTCCAGGATTGAAGGGCTTGCATGATTGCAAGCAGGTTGTGATGACTCGGGGATTGGGATGGCTAGGCCGTGAGATTAGCAAATTCAGCTCATTGCTCTTTTCGTTTGCCGGAAGAAGCTACCGGATAAAAAACATACAGAACAGAGTATCCCAGTCGGATCTTGATAAATGAAGTCGTGATGTTCTGCTCGCCGCGGGAATGAAATGATTGGTTTCTGGTGATAGAACATTTCAAAGTTCCTCCGCTCGCCGCCCGGCAGAAAAAGTTTCGAGATACGACGGTTTTTAGGGTTTGATTTGGATAATTTCAATCTCATAATTCAAATTTCAGTGCAAATTGTAAGGCAATTGCGACAGGGGTTCGGAGGCCTTCGCATGGTTTCTACTTAATCTAGTCAACATTTTGCGCATACTCAACTTGACATCTACGTACAATTTCACTCAAACCAGTCCTCATTTGTATAACCGCAGACCAAGAAAGACAATAGCCATAGAGGACCAGAAAAGATGTCTCACGCAAATCCCACACCCGTCCCACCAACACAGATCCTTTCGTCACGTCCCATCTCTCAATCCGCCGCCCTCGACTTCCTAAAAGCCTACCTCGACCGTGCCGCCAATGACCCTTCTCTTCAACCAAGTGCCATGATCACCGAACATGGCCCAGCCTCACGCACAACAGCCGCCGCTCCAAATCTGACGCTACACAACCTCAAACGAATCCAGGCAGGTCTTGCGGGCGAAATCTTGGGCCGCGATTTATCATTGAGTACCACAGCCGCCGAGACAACGCAATCACGAACACCAAAGAAATCAAAGGGCGATAAAACTGGTGCTGGCGATGAGAGAAAACAAGAAGAGCAATGGGAAGATAGAGAGAAATGGGAGTTGGAACAAGGGCAGGGTCTTGGTGGTGAGGAGGATGGCACGGAGTTGCTTAATACTACGACTGGGGAGGAGATTGAAGTTGATGAGGATGGGATGCCGGTTACAGGTGTGATTGATAAAGAGGAGCGAAAGCGTAGGAAGAAAGAGAGGAGACAGGCTGAGAAGAAGGCTAGAAAGCAGCAGGCAAGGGAAGCTGGTGAGGAAGAGATGGAGATGAGTGAATAGATCAATAGAGAAAGAAAAAGTTTGGGTGGTGTTTGGCTACTTTTTGGAAATGCATGGGTTGGATTTGGCGTTGAAATGTATCTGCATATGATTATTAGGGCATATATGTTGGACAGCAAATTTCTTGATTTCAAATTCATTCACGTATGTTCCAGGTTCAGAATACAGATAAATCCATTATAATGGAACAATCATATGGCTAAGACATAAATTGAAGAAACAAAAGCATTGCCAGTCTCTAGAGTTACAATTCCCTATCCGCCGCCTTGACAGGCTTCTCGCTGTCCTCTGACTTCTCCGATCCCTTACCCTTCCATCCCAGAGCAGCCAACCGCTCCGTAAGAATGGGGTGCGAGTAGTGGTAGCTAGCATACATCCAATCGGCATCCATGGTGCTGAGATTCTGTATTTGGAGCTTAAGGAGCGATTGTGCAAGAAGCTTCGACTGTCCGAGATTGGCTGCAAAGGCATCTAAATAGAAACAATTAGTATAAAATTTCAAACAGCCATTAAACGAGCGCTTGAGGCGACGAACCTGCTTCGAACTCAAACTTGCGGCTGAGAATGTTCATCAAGAACTTCACAACAGCGTCCATAGGTGCCAAAGCATCCGAGAAGAGCAAAAAGCCAATCATGATAGGCTGTTCATTGTGGAAACCGAATGATTGGAATAAGGACTTATTGTTGACAAATGCGGTAAACAACGCAAAGATGTAGAACATGTGGGCCTATTGACCTGTTAGTATTTCATATAACCTTTAGCAAATTAAAGTCTTACCTGAGCGATTGTGAACAATTTAGTGGTATGACCAAGCTTCCAGTGGCCCAATTCGTGGCTAAGGACAGCTACAACCTCTTCAGGCTCACTCTTCTCCATGAGAGTATCGTATATCACAATGTGCTTCTTCCAGGGGAATCCAAAGAAATAGGCATTGCTATGGGCACTTCGCTTACTGCCATCAATGGAGTAGATGTCATGCAAGGGAAACTTGAGCTTTTGAGCCAGCTCTTCAACGCCAGTTTTGATGGGGCCAGCTTCCAAAGGTGAGAGCTTGTTGAACATGGGCAAGATGACAATAGGGTAAATCGTGATGGCGAAGACCTGAACAAGTATGCTGAAGATCCACAGGTAGTAAAAGAATTCGTTACCAGTCTTTTGGATGATCTTGAGCACGGCAGCCATGATAGGACCACCCAAAACAATACCGAGAGCCTGACCCTTCAACATATCGGTGATCCAGAGCCCCACCGTTTGCTTGTTGAAACCGAACTTTTCCTCAAGGACAAAAGTGCTGTAGTACGAGATTGGAAGCGATAGAATAGTGGTCAGAATGTTGAAAGCAAAGAAAAAGAGTAGCGTATGTCCAATTTCACCCTGTGACCAGGCCGGAAAGTAACGAACAAGGCACACGCCAGTCAAAGCCCATATTTTCGGCAAGAAGTCGTAGTAGATGAAAACCAAGTTCTGAAGCTGACCATAGATACCGGAGAAGAAACCGAATTTTGCTTTTGCGCGACCATATGTCTAGATGGGTAGATGTTAGCTGTTTGAACTAGTCCCAAGTAGATGACGTATGGCCTGGAAGGTATTACCTGACTATCCTCAAAGACCTTGTTTGTGATTTCACCTTCTAGGACTTTGGGAGGCTTGGTGCGTTGGAGAACCCGATATTGTCTTAATGAGAGGAAGCTCTCAAAGACATATTGGCCTAAGGAGAAGCCAACCAGCACCGTCTTCCATGGGAAAAGTGGGCGATCCAGAAACCGGGCGAGCGCCTGAATTTGTTCATCAGCCAAACCATCTCCTTGCTCTGAAGAATCCTGAATGTAGTACCTGTAATAGATTGTTGATCATGATTCCCACAGATACCAAAATGCACTATATGTTACCTGTGTTTTGAAAAGGACTTCGTGTCAAGTTGAGCAGGAACATACCAGTATGCGGGCTGACCGATACTGCCACGGATTTCCGCCTTTATTTGTCTCAACATATGCAAACTATACAAACAATACAAAATCTTTGGAAATCCAAAAGTCAGCCCTAACCCTAGTTCATTGCCAGTGATATACGCCGTTTCGGAGAACTTCAGCATTGATATGAATATAGGGCTTGTTTTCCTGCTGATCCTAACCATGTATTCTTGTCTATTGATTATTGTAGGTCGTAAGTACACGTCTACCAACGTATCGTGGATTCTTCAATCATTTTTCTTTTTCATCATCATCATCATCATCATCGTCGTCGTCGTCTTCAGAGTCTTCAGAGTCTTCATCTTCGTCCTCTTCTTCTTCGTCATCATTGTCATTGTCATCATCTCCATCAACCTTGAGGCCATAGTCGTCCTCGAAATCCTTCAAAGGTTTCACTGTGGGATTGAAGCCTGCGGACTCGAATCCGGTTTTAATTGTCTGCAAGAGGAAAAAAGTCAGTATTTGCTGATAAAAAGCTGAATCAATTTGCTACAACTTACGTCTTCCAGCACTGGAGCACATGTGACAACAAGGTTCGAGGTTTCCGGCTTGAAAAGGGGTAGGATGTGATCTTTGAGAGCCAGTTTGATATCATCGACGGAAATCTCTCTGACTTTCTTCAAGATTTTCTCCTTGTAGTCGCTGGGCAGAAGGCGAACCACCTGGCGGATAAAACTTCCTGAAGCAGCGCTGATCATAGTTGCCTGCTCATTTGCAAAACTAACCACGATACTACTGATTGCGCCTTCCAACATCAGGGGGTCAAACTCGACGATGTCGTTGAGATATTCTTCAACGATCTTCTTGCTGGAATCAAACGCCTTGTAGGCATTCGGAGACCGATAGACATCAAAGTTGACTGTCCCAAGATCGATATTATAACCAAAGTTGGTGCCGTAGGCAAGCCCTGTTCCACGAACAGCTACCCAAAGTGGACCTTCGACAGAATTCATATATGCAATAGCTACCAGTAATGCTGGCAGTTTTGGATGATCGTACGAGTCAAGTCCTTTAGCAGTAGCGTAAGCAAATGAAGAATCGATCGTAGACATAGGAACCACATAGGATAGGTTGCCTAGATTTTTCCCGGCTTCACTAAGTAGAGCTCTCCGGTTTGTGATCGGTCGGAGATCCTTCTTGGTATCGAGGCCCTCAACGAAATGTTTCCATGAAGAAACGGGTGCATGCAATCTCTTTAGGTCGGCAATGACAAGGACTCTAAAATTGGAAAATTGGAACATGCGATTTCGAAGCTCCTCCATCTGTGAAATGACAACCTCGGGTTGAGTTTCTAACAGTCTCTTGATGCGCTTCAAGTAGCGAGCTTTCACCAGCGTACTGCGTGCTCGAACAATAGATTCCGGTGCAAAATGAGTCATGAAAAACACGGCAGCTAGCATATCATCACCGCTGCGCTTCGCGTCTGGGACGTCGGCGAGTAGTCTCGTCGTAATAGCTTTCAGTCTTTCCACATCAAATATGGAGTTCCACGTCAGTTCCTTTAACCACGCAATTGCAGTGGCATATTTTTCCACCTCAACTTGGAAGATAACTCGAAGCATTTCCGAATTGCCCAAATCTCGTGCACCTTCCATGGAATATCCAACCGTATCTCTTTCAAGCTCAACGATGACTTGCTCAAAGGAGATCGTCTCTCCATTTCGCTTGATGGGGCTGTTGAAGTACGCATCTGTATATACTACCAACAACGGACGAAGTTGGACAGGTACCGTCTCAGCAGAAATGAGAAGGGATAATTGAACGAAGTTGCTTTCAATATGTTCGAAGTGGATGAAAAGAGGAGAATCCAGTTTATCAGCGTCGACGAGCGATTGTAGCTCATTATCTGGCCGGCCAGATTTAAGTGCAGATCCAGACTTCGCTGTAGTTGTCGTGACAAAGTGAATCGAATCCGTTGCTGGGACTTTGAAACGATTCAGCAACTCCTTTGGAATCGGTTTATCGTTTTCGGCCATCGCAGACTCTAGTTTTTCTTGGAGTGTCTTGAGCCCCTTTTCACCAAGCTCTTTTCGTCGTGCTGCCAGTCTTGCTTTTTCATCGGCCTTTAGCTTTTTGGCAAGCTTCGCTGACGGGATACCCAAGATGGACACATGGTTGGCGTCAGCTATCCATTTTCTGATAAACGCCTTCCACTGCTCTTCAGTCCATTTTTCCAACGCGTCGTACTCTTTCAGACTAGCAATGTCTAACAATGTTGACCCATCCTTCTTACCGTACAAGAAGTCCGATATAACGTATTCGGCAAATGATATCGCAGATCCTTCCGTAGCGAACTTCCAGCTACGTTTCTGACGTTGGATACATTCAGACATGTACTTCATATCTAAAGGTCGCTCCATCGCTTCATGTAAGATCTCGAAAAATCTTCTTTCAACTTGTTTGAGTTTCGCAGTTGCTACGCTGGTTAGAGTGAATTTGATCTCAATATCAGGCCGGTCTTCCGTTGAAAAGTAGACTGCACTTGCAACCTGTTCCTTCTCGACCAGCGTGTTTTCGAGAATCGTAGCTGACGAGCCAGCCAGATACAAAAGCACCACGTTCAGCGCGCCACCTGCGAAGAGTAAGTCCTGTGCTCATGAGCTGAATGTGTATACTGCTTACCTTGAATTGAGTCTGTGCAATCTGGTCCCAAAAATCTGATTTCAATCTCTCCAGATGATTCGTCCTCCTCTGGAAACTCTACTTCTTTCACAATTGATTCTTTTATGGGCGGCGTCCTTTTTGACTCGACCCAAGGACGCTTGAATGGGGCATCCGGTCGGGGAATGATATCCAGAATTGTGTCCTCAAACGCATCCAGCTTCTTCAACAAATCATCGTGGTCAACCTCTCCTGTGATTATTAAACAAAGATTTTTAGGTTGATACATCTCGCGATGAAACTCCCGTATCCTATCAGCTGTGAGTGATCTTAGCTGTTCCATCATACCACCAGTTTCATAGCGAAAGCCAACGCCGTCAGGATAGATCAAGCGTCGAGCTTGAAGGTCGATTAACTCCCCTTGATTATTTTGTATGGCTTGCATTTCCGAATACACGACACCTGCATCATTTCCTGCCCCATCAATATGATGCACTTCTGTGTAGCATCCAGCATCGGTCAGTGTCGGAGCAATGACATGTTCAAGGTAAATGGGAAGGATATCGGAAAACCCAGCCCATCCGGCCGTGTCAAGTGTATAAGCAGTGTGATCTGTAGCAGTCCAAGCATTGGTATTGGAATATAATCTTGTAGCCAGTTTATCAAGGAAGCCTTTGTAGCGGTAGTTTCGAGAGCCCATAAAACACAGATGCTCTAACGTATGCGGAGAGCCCGAATCATCATGAATCTCGGTTGCGAGAACGAAATATCCAGCTACCTTAGGACCTTTGTGGTCAATGGTCACCACCCTCATTCCCGTTTTTTGGGATTCATATTGTGTGAACTCGTTGACCGAGTAGTCGGGTTTGAATTTTTGAAGCTGCCGGAAATGGCTTTTTTGTCCTAGTGCCGCCATATCGAGGGGAGTCTGCCAAGGTAAAGCTTGGAAGTAGCTCCAGAAAAGCGCGAACTTGAAAAATGATCTTCTGTTGATTTAAAAACAATGTCAGTCTTTTGGTTATACTCCTGAAGAGATTGAGAGAACGTGTAACGAGAGCACATACCTGTAAAGCACCGCCAGAATTGCTGGCAGACAGCATCAAAAAGTATATTCCTCCAAGGGCTAGAAAAGGGATGTATTCTAGTTTTCTAGTGTATCAATAGGTATAGTTGGAAAGCTAAGAGGAGTTTGATCAGCTCAGATCGATCAACATAGCCAGGTACCTCGTATGGACTAACATCAAAAAATATATCTTTCCGAAGGTCACCCCGCACCGATCGAATGAATGACCTGCAATTCAAAGTCCAGGAACTGTATCAATAAATATAATCTTCCAAGCTTCTTGTCCTTCTTGGGTAATGTCCGGTGTAAGAGTTAAGCTTTTGTCTGCTGTTGAGGAGAGAATGACTTTTAAATTGTGGGGGAAAGTGATGCCAAGTCACATGGCAACATCGCGGGCAGATCATAGCTGTTCAAGTTGTCCTCTCCACCAACAATCTGAATGGCTTCTCATCAATTGCGATACTTGCAAGATATATCAGTCTTAAAATGCCCATCATAAACACTTGATTGAATCCATGTCTCTGGGCTCGTCATTGGCCGAATACTACGAACTTCCTCAATGTTGCTTTCGCCTTACTTCTGGAGCTCTCTATCAATTCGGTGACACTGTAAACAATGTCTTCCACCGTGGATCAAGATGGCCTCAGCGAATCTTTGCTTGCATTTGTCGCGAGCGGCAAGTACCCCGAGTCCGAAAATGTTGTATCTGCCAATATTGCCCTTGATTTCCTACCAAAGGGATTACAGGGTATTTCGGTGGCCCGGGCACAGGTAGAGGTACGTCGCGACAGCGCTAAGCATTTACCTACAACTAACAGCTAGTTTTTGTAGGATGAAATCAATTCCCTCAGCCGAGCTACAGCTTCAGACGTTGATGGATGGATGTCTCAAGCTCGCCAGCTGCGTGCAGATATTGAGCGATCTCGAGAAACTGCACGTAATATTGTCGCCGAACACGAGCGAACCCTACCTCTGCGAGCCCGAGTTACAGACGCTGCCGCGAAAGTTCTGCTTATGAATACCGAACTTGCTTTTAATGAAGGGGTTACACATGTTTTGGAAGAAATACAGAAGTTTTCTGCCCATATCTCCAATGGTCGGAAAGCTGTCAAAGAGGAACAGATCAATGAATCTATCACATCTCTTGAAGCAGCGGAGAATTCCTTTAAAATCTCCAATTTGTCGAGATATAGCAACGTTGAAGGTTTGTTGAAAGGAAGGTTATCATCTCTGCGGGATTCCATTTCAAATTTGCTCCTCTCATGCTGGGATCGTCAGGTGCGCCTAAGCAAGAATGCGCTGGAAATCCGTCCACACTATGAGAAAGGTAAGTTTATGGAGTACAATATTCATACATACCAAATAACGATTCTAACAAACATACCAGGGCAAGCAAACCTATCAACTCTAATAACGTCGTTATCACGTCTTGGCATGCTTAACTCTGTAACTACTTCGTTTCAGCATGGGCTTCTGGAAAACATAATCCAGCCAATCCTCATGCCGCATAGTCATGGACAGAGCAGTGGTGTTTCCGTGGAAAGCAATGGCGTCCGTGTAGGAGAGACTTCATCATCCTCATCAATATCCGAAGTGATCGACAGGCTCCTTTCCGTCTTTCGATATCTGCAAGAAAAGTTACCAGAATCAATGTCAGCATCGGTGGCCGAGACGATTATGCCAAAAACATCAACCATGCTGAGTGAGTATTGGCTCACCCCTAATATACCCCTGAACCTGGAGGGTATAGCAGATTTCGAGAACACTTTGATTCACGTGAGTGGATTTTCTAAGGCAATTGAGAGCCTTGGGTGGCATGGTCATGAAGAGCTCACTTCGTGGGTCAATCAATTTCCTCGACTATGGCTCACCCGCCGGAGAGTGGATTCCTTGGACCAAGTCCGTAGGATTCTTGTTCAAAGTAAGGGTACTACAAAGGAGGCCGAGAGAGTCGAGAAAGAGGTTGTCACAAACAAAGATGATGTCTTATTAGACACCGGTGTGACGGATGACTGGGACGCTAATTGGAGCAATGAAAGTGAAGAAGAAGCTGAGCAGCCCGCTCAAGCTGCAGTCGCAAGCGAAGTTAAAGCGGAAGATGATGATGATGATGTAGATGCTTGGGGACTAGGAGACAAGGAGGATGTTATAAAGGCAAATGAGGATGAACACGACGAGGATGCTTGGGGTTGGGGTGACGAAGGCGAGGAAGAGAATGGCACTGAACTCCTGAAACCTATCAGCGAACAAAAGCACCACCAAAAGCAAGATGAGGCTCCAGCAATGGAAAAGCGCCCGGGGGCTAAGGAGATCATATTGACGGAGCATTATACGATTACTGACATCCCGGACTCGGTAATTGCTCTGGTCCAACAACAAGTTACAGATTCTTCATTACTAACAACTCCAGAGTAAGTCATTGCAGAATAGAGTATAGAATGAGTACAGAGCTAACAATCGATTCCAGGTTCTCCTCCAGCCGAGTTTCAGCTTCAGGAAATGGCCTATTAGCGTTACCAACCTTGATAATAGCCATGTTCAAAGCTATTGCCTCATCATTCTACTCACTAAAACTGAATGCGGGCAACATCTACCTATACAACGACAGCTTATATCTTGCCGAACAAGTCCACAACCTGGTCGAGAAGCATCAGCTCACCAGACTTACAGCAGATGTAGAAGGACTGGAACGATTTGGGAAACTTTCTTATAGCAGGGAAATGCAGACACAGCGGACTATTGTCACCGACTTGCTAGATGGAAGCCAAGGCTTCGTCCATTGTTCAGAGCAGCCCTTTTTACGAGAATGCGAAAATGCCATCGAGGGAACAGTCGATCGAATACGCAGCGTTTTCAAGGAGTGGCATCCAATCTTGTCTCATTCAGCACTTCTCCAAGCGATGGGGTCTCTGCTGTCATCAGTTATCAACAAAGTGATTATAGACGTCGAGGACCTTTCCGATATTTCCGAAACAGAATCTCAAGCTTTAGTCACTTTTTGCAACAAACTCTCGACGTTGGAAGACATATTCATTCCCGAGTCGGGTGTTGGCGCAACTTCTATGGCAGCGGTATATGTTCGAAACTGGTTGAAATTTCAGTATCTGATAAATATACTGGAGAGTTCGTTAGCCGACATCAAGTTTCTATGGACTGAAGGAGAGCTCCATTTGGAATTTTCTGCCGAGGAGGTTGTTGAGTTGATAACGGCGCTGTTTGCAGAATCTGATCATCGACGAAGGACTATTTCCGAGATTAGGCGGACACACCGATGACACGGATTTACTTGAAGCCAAATGAGCCTCGTCACTGGATGATAATGAATGATAATATAGAAACAAGATTTCCACATGCATTCGGGCTCCAGGAAGTAGATAATCAAGCAATCAACTCAACAGGCTTTAAGAACCTGTCACCGCCAAGAAGCGTCACACCTCGCCTCATATCATGCGGTCATCTTTGAGCAACAGAGTCGCAAATTGAGTAATTCTCCATGCTTAAATTGAAGTCTTACTGGTGCAGAAGTCTATATCGCTGCACATTTACTCACTGTTTAATCTGACAGGAGCCAGCCCTTTACATGCCTCGAAAGATTCACTTTAGGAGATAATTTCAATCTTCGGTGATAAGAGCCTCAACATCCCTAGGAGATAATCCGGTGATAAGAGAATATAACGTCAACGATTCATAAAAAAAAGGGAGTAGACCGAGTATAGTTAGGTATGCCCAGAAAGCCCCCACCATCGAATAGATACATAAGTTAGGCTTGCCCCTCTTTCCTTTGATTGTACTCCATTGTGGAATACATTATCGATACGCATTGTAAACAAATGGCGACAGAGTCCCCAGTGTGGTGTATCACTGGTGCCAGCTCTGGCTTCGGGCGAGAGATTGCACTTCAAGCCGTTCAGCGCGGCCATCGAGTCATCGCGACTGCTCGCGATGTATCGAAAATATCAGATATAAGGCAAAAAGGAGCCCTCACGCTCGCTCTCGACGTCTCGGATGCCTTTGATAAACTTGCCGAAATCGCCAAGTCTGCAATCCAGGAGTATCAGCGAGTTGACTACCTAATCAACGCAGCCGGATATATCCTCGAAGGAGCAGTGGAGGAAGCCGGCTCCGAGGAAGTGCAACGACAATTTGCCGTGAGCCGTGAATGTCTTCGGCACGACTAATGTGATTCGGGCTTTCCTTCCTCATTTACGTGCTCAACCAGTGCTGCAAAATGGTGATCATCGCGCCACGATTGCTGTCTTCGGTAGTCTTGGGTCCTGGATTGGAGGAGCGAGTTATGCGTTCTATGCCATGACCAAAGCGTCCATGTCATCCCTTGCGGAGTCGTTGAAGGAGGAGCTTGCTCCATTTGATATTCGAGCAACTGTGATTGAGCCGGGGTATTTCAGAACAGGGTTCCTCAATCCTGGTGCTAAGGCTTCTACGGCCGAGAGGATTCCAGCGTATGAGGATGAGTCGACACCTTCGGGGCAGGTGCGGAAAGGATTGGAAGCTCATGATGGAAAGCAGCTAGGTGATGTGAAGAAGGGGGTATCGGTATGCGTGGATATTCTTACTTCTTCGGGTATTGCGGAGGGAAGAGAGCTACCTCTCCGAGTCATCATTGGGAGTGACTGTGTGGATGTTATCAGGAAAAAGTGCCAGAGCACCCTTGAACTCTTGGATTCTTGGGAGGAGGTCTCTGTCACGACGGATCACGCTTGAGATGGGCAAGGAATCTCAATCTTATTTAGATTAAAATAATGCATGCCTTACGAACATATTACACAAATGATGCCCTACTGGCGGTGTAGCATCAGTACCGAAGTCATTGAATATGATGATCTTGATAAGATCGATGCAATCATTCGCGCGATGAATTAGGCTTGCTTCGCTGGCTCCCTTCCAAGATACTCCACTCATGTCTGGGGCCATAAGGCTGTCAACTGCGAGCGGATGTCATCAATGTAAATAGGATGCGAAAACCAGCCCTGGCACAGCCCTGGCACTCCGCCAGGGATCTGTTCTGGCAACTGAGGACTAGAAACGGGGTGTTGGAAGATCCACAGGACTGGTTGGCTCGCTGATAGATGTTGACTAGCATTGATTTCTCGACTTCAGGCTACCTTGATGCCACCATGAATGAGGCAGTAGAGGTATCCCAAGGAACTTTTGGTTGGTACAGCAGTATTTGAGAAGTTCAATTAAATCTTTAATCGGCTGCTGGATCAGTTTGATATGCCGCTAACTAAGTTAGGGCACAAATAGTGGGGCTTAGCGCAAGGTACCGTTCGGGCTGCCGTAATTTTTTTGATTCTTACTTCAAGCTTTTGTATGCGCCGTCTCGCTAGGATTTTTCGTCTAGCACAATTTAAACATACCAAAAATGGATGTGGAGGCCTCTTCTTTATCGCAGGCTAATCAAAGACAGGTGCGCTTGCACCTTACGACCAGAGATGGCGATATCGCTCTGCCAGAGAGTACTGGGCCAATTCTCGTCCCAACTGGTAAGTATTTCGAGCATTGATTTTCTATTTCGAGGAACAAGATATGGGTTTCTGACGTTTCCTCTTTCTCTTTTATAATACAGGCCTACGAAGATATGCGCTGTCGACTTTGGTAAATAATCTTCTCGGAAATGACAAACCAATTCCACTCGAATTTCTTGTGAATGGCACATATCTACGAACATCCATTGATGAGTACCTAACGGCAAATGGCATATCTGCAGAAACAACACTTGAAGTGGAGTATGTGCGAGCTCTTATACCGCCACTTCATATCGCATCTTTCCTGCATGACGATTGGGTTAGTTCGGTCGATGTTTTGTCGGCTACATCTGTTACTGGCGAGAGTGTGGCGGCAGGACAAGAAAGGATTCTGTCAGGTAGTTATGACGGCCTTTTACGGATGTGGAATATGTCTTCACAGACTATTGCTGTTTCACCGGATGCTTCTGAAGGGGGACATACGGCGTCAATCAAAGCGGCAAAATTCATATCCCCTACACAGCTTGCTTCGGCAGGCCTTGATCGAACTGTTCGAGTATGGAAATACGCCGAAGAGGAAGACGGATCGATGACTCGTATCACACCACAACTTGAACTCTATGGACACAAGTCCGGCATAAACTCTCTCTCCGTACATGCGCCTTCGAACAGAATGCTTTCTGCTTCATCAGATCACAGTGTCGGTTTCTGGTCAACTCGCAAATCAGATGCTCCCACTGCTTTAGCAGAGTTACTTCCTTCAAACACTGCAAGAAGCTCCAAACGGAGGAAATTGAACTCGTCGGTGAGCACTCCACAACGGGGTCCGCTCGTACTTTTGTCGTCACATACCAGCCCAGTCTCCGCTGCCATCTTTGACGCAAAGGATTCGACAGTCGGCTACTCCGCATCCTGGGATCACTCAGTTCGTACCTGGGATCTCGTCACATCGGCTCTTGTTGATACTCGCTCTACTTCCCATCCATTGTTATCTCTCGAACACCTCCCTGAACTCCATCTTTTGGCAGCTGGGACATCTGCTCGACATATCACACTTATAGATCCGCGAGCCTCTGCCACTTCTGTTTCGGTAATGACTTTACGTGGTCATACTAATGCTGTTGTGACACTTGCCCGTGATCCGAATAGCACTTATGGGCTTATCAGTGGAAGTCACGACGGCACATGTCGCATCTGGGACGTCAGGTCTACCAAGACCGATAAAGAGGGTGTTGTTGGAAAGGATATCTACTCCATAAGTCGCAAAAGTTTGGAAGAATCGGGACGGGAAGGCTCGAAACGAATAGGCGGAGATGGTATTAAGGTGTTTGGTGTATGCTGGGATCGTTCCGTTGGCATTGTGAGTGCTGGTGAAGACAAGAGATTACAAATCAATCGTGGAGAGGGTGTTTTACAGAAAGACTCCTCGAAACGAGGAATGTAGGATTTCTTTGTTATTTGGCATAGCGGAAGATGAGGGTGTTTAGAAAAGTTTTATGTTGATAATATCTGCCATCTGCTTTCTACGGTTCGATGTCGGATATGAGAAGTATGATAGGTATTTCCCTTCTAGTAGGTACTTATATGAACTAATGTACAAATGTCGATTAAAGTAATAAACGCCTTTCCCGTGCTGTACATACATGAAATAATGTCCCGAAAACTGGGATCATATTCATAGCCTTCTCTCAGCGGAATTGAGCTTGTACGCCGTTTTGATCTAGTCACACACGTCAATCCAAAGCCCAACACCCATCTTCAAGGAAGTCATTTTAAAATAAAAGGGAGACGTACCTGACTGCGAGTATTCTGTCCTCTAACCGGCAAACCCAGCGCATGCCTTCTACCACGATATGTACCCGTATCCCTCAACCGTTTGATATCGTCCAGAATCTGTCGTCGCAAATCATTCTCAATCTTCATTTCGGACAATGCAGCTGTGATATCGAGGACCTGTTGGTTCTGTAAATCGCCAATTTTGGCGGTTGGGTGGATGTGGAAGCGGGCGAGGAGGCGGGAGGAGACATTGTTGCCGATGCCGAAGAACGTTTCGAGGGATTTCTGCGAAGGAAATGTTAGGATCGAGACTATTGATCTCGTTCGGGCTAAATATGCGAAGTTGTGAATGAAGGGTGATGTGTTTGGCTTGCCTTGACGAGGTTCCGCTCAGGGAAGTTTACACCCAGAATGAAGACCTAATGCATTGATATCCCGTTAGTAAAATTGTTTACCAGTATCTTATTTCCCATAGGGGCAAGAGAGGCTCACCATGTTGTTTGTTCACGCAAAATGAATCCGATTATTCGCATTGAACCATTCCTCCAGTTTTTGATATCTTTGATCCGCGATGATTTGCGATGCTGGAACAACTTATTTCCGTTAATGTAGCATGGTTGGACAGTATTGTCCAATGAGATATCCAAATTGACACTTGAGTGGGTCAGACCTTCCCTATTCGGAACTACTCTGTATGTAAGCTGGCCTTTTGAAACAGACAAAGTCACCCTTCAACTTCATCCTTTTTGTCTCCTACGAAATCACGAATTGAGTACAACTTAGTATATCAATTCGTATATATTCGGATTCAAAATGCAGCTCAAAAGCTTTCTATTCTCTTTCCTCTTGGTCTTGACCTTTGGGTTTACCTTGTTCACCCAGGCCCAAGCTGCGGACACTCCCCGCGGGCCCAAGATCACCAACAAGGTAAGAGGCATTGACTGATGCTGATGGTTTACTGTCTCTCCTAAGATACAGTCTTGCTGAAACATCCAAAAGGTTTACTTCGATATTGAGCAGGATGGTAAACCTCTCGGCAGAATCGTGTTTGGTCTGTACGGAAAGACTGTCCCCAAGGTAAGTCGGAACGTTCTACTGGCCACGACTTGGATATGTGCTAATGGATTCTGTCATAGACCGCCGAGAACTTCCGGTATGCTCCGCTTATAGACTTGTGAATCAATATATCCTGACAAAGACCATTTAGTGCCCTTGCTACTGGCGAGAAGGGCTTCGGATATGAGGGCTCGGGCTTCCACCGTGTTATCAAGAACTTCATGATCCAGGGTGGTGACTTTACCAATCACGATGGTATGGTGTCTCAATATCGATGTTCTTCTGGATGAATTACTCAAACCTCCTAGGCACTGGTGGCAAGTCCATTTATGGTCAAAAGTTCCCCGATGAGAACTTCAAGCTCCGTCACACCAAGAAGGGCCTTCTCAGTAAGCTATCACTTCTCCGTTTTCCTTGTGCTGTTAATACTAATCTATGTAGGTATGGCCAACGCTGGAAAGGATACCAACGGATCCCAGTTCTTCATCACTACTGTCGTCACAAGGTTTGACTAAATCTTCTGTCATATACGAAAATTGAAACTAACTATAATGTCTTAATAGCTGGCTTGATGGTCGTCACGTTGTCTTCGGTGAAGTCTTGGAGGGCTACGAGGTCGTGGAGAAAATCGAGAACACTCCTACCAAGCAGGGCGTTGACCGACCTCTTTCACCGGTCACTATCGCTAAAAGCGGCGAGCTTCCTATGGATGAAGGTAGCAATGACGCCCATTCGGAGCTTTAATCCCTGTGATTTCAAAGCTTCTTTCTCTTTTTCCCTGTGTTTAATGCGGTTACTGCGTAGGAGTCGCTGATTACTTGCCCTTCGATGACGATCGCGAAACTGCTGAACTCGCCCCAGAATCGACGCCATCACCCATGTCCCCACAGCAGCTTCTTCAAGGAATAAGCCAGAATGGATCGGTTACAGGCTTCTCCGGTATGGCAGTTATCGCTGTGATTGTGCTTGTTGTCTTGTATATGGCGAAGAGAAAGCGAATCTCTGCCCAATTAGATGAGAAACATTTGCCATAGAATAGACTAGGCATTTTTCTCATATACCTATATGTGCACTATTTACGTCTTGTAACGTTGGACCTGGTGACTGGTTCGACTTCCCGCTTTCTAGACTGTGTATCCATAGGCAATGATCTATGTAGATCGATCACATGTGGAGAAGAACAGTATCGTGTGACGACTCTGAGCCTCTTTTGAGCATCACTCAGGACTATCAAATTCTTCATATGTACATAGTATGTAAAGTCGAGATCGATTGTCGATACGCCTGAGATAAGCTAAGCTTATTAAGCTTATGTGAGTGGACACTGGAGGAAAGAGTGGGCACAAATGGCAGCAGCGATTGGCTGTCGCGTCGTTTGCCATCCAGTCCCCCGCCCTTTCCCTTTTTGAAATTTTTTTTTGCCCGCGCTGTTTGGGTCAGTGCCTTCCTTCCCTGCACCAAACGAGTTTAGCCTGCCCTGTCTCTTGCCACACTCCTTTTCTGCCCTTCCTTATTTCATCCTTCCTCCCCCTTCACAGTATCTCTGGAGCCAAAAAATAAAAATTATCTGACATCTCTCCTCTCAAAACATTTTCTCTCTTGTTTTGACATACCAATAATTCCTTTTTTTCTTTCTAATTTCTTTGTTTTCAATAGCATAGACTTTTTAGACCTCCCGTTTTTTCCAGAGAGATTTTCGTCTTGCATTTTCTCTCTCAGGGTCTTTTCGTGTCTTGTGTTATCCGATCGCCAGACCTGACTTACAAGCAACAAGACGTTTAGACTGATTGTCGCTCCCTTCTTCGATTTACACGACTATTTCAGATTTTCGATTCTTTATTCCATTCGTTGTAGTTTCACTGAGACTATTGACGAATTCGCTCCAAGCGCACGAATAGGAACGAGAAAACAGCGCAACAGATTCTTCATCGAACTCGTCTTTCTGACTGTACGACTATCCATCCGTGATACTCGCGTCTATTCCGAGATTCAGACTAATTAATTTTGTGTTCTTGTTTAGCTCGAAAGTTATCATCCAACATGGCCGACAGCTTGAAGATTCAGAACCTTTCCCTCAATGACTCCCAGCACGCTCCCAATGGACCTCCTGCGGCAAACGGACGTTCTGCTTACATCCCGCCACACCTTCGTGGACGTAACGTGAGTGCTGGACCCAGCCCCAGCCCTATGGATGGTGCTGGTGCTGGTGCTGGCGCTGGCCCTGGTGGTCCCCCAGGCCCTACCCCTGCCGGTGCTTGGGGAAACGGGTATGATCAATCTTTTGTTACAAAATTTCGTCCAATCTAGCTAACACGTGTCAGACCTCGTGCCCCCCCTCGCAATTATCGTGAGAACAATGCAAATGGTACCCAAGAACCCAAACGACCTGTGTTCGACCCAAATGCTTACGGTAACCCAGGACATGGACCCTCAGGAAGCTACAGCGGTGGCGGCGGTGCCAGTGGCGGTCATGCTCGCGGCTCCGGCGATGGACAGTGGCGCGATGGAAAACACATTCCTGGACCTGCTAATCCTCGCTTGGAGCGTGAACTGTTCGGCGTCCCTAACGACCCTTCAAAGCAACAGACTGGTATTAACTTCGCCAACTACGATGATATTCCCGTCGAGGCCTCTGGTCAGAATGTTCCCGAACCCGTCAACACATTCACCAACCCACCTTTGGACGACCACTTGATCGCCAACATCGCTTTGGCTCGCTACACCACTCCCACTCCCGTCCAGAAATACTCCATTCCCATTGTCATGAACGGCCGTGATTTGATGGCTTGTGCCCAGACTGGTTCTGGAAAGACTGGTGGTTTCCTCTTCCCCATCCTTTCTCAGGCATTTCAGACCGGCCCTTCTGCTGCTCCTGCTCCCGCAGCTGGCGGAAACTTCTACGGCCGTCAGCGCAAGGCTTACCCTACCTCCCTCATCTTGGCTCCTACTCGTGAGTTGGTCTCTCAGATCTACGATGAGGCTCGCAAATTCGCCTACCGCTCCTGGGTTCGCCCTTGCGTGGTCTATGGTGGTGCGGATATCGGCTCTCAGCTTCGTCAGATCGAGCGTGGCTGTGATTTGCTCGTTGCCACTCCTGGCCGTCTTGTCGACTTGATCGAACGCGGCCGCATTTCCCTCGTCAATATCAAGTACCTTGTTCTTGATGAAGCCGATCGCATGTTGGACATGGGTTTCGAGCCTCAAATCCGTCGTATCGTTGAAGGTGAAGATATGCCTCAAGTTAACGACCGCCAAACACTCATGTTTTCTGCCACTTTCCCTCGTGACATCCAGATGCTTGCTCGCGACTTCTTAAAAGATTACGTTTTCCTTTCCGTCGGTCGTGTCGGTTCCACCTCCGAGAACATCACTCAACGTATTGAGTACGTTGAAGACCATGACAAGCGCTCCGTGCTTTTGGACATTCTTCACACCCACGGTACCACTGGTCTGACCCTTATCTTCGTCGAGACCAAGCGTATGGCCGACTCTCTGTGCGACTTCCTCATCAACCAGAACTTCCCCGCCACTGCCATTCACGGTGATCGTACTCAACGTGAGCGTGAGAGGGCTTTGGAAATGTTCCGTAACGGACGTTGCCCCATCTTGGTTGCCACTGCTGTCGCAGCTCGTGGTCTTGATATTCCAAATGTCACCCACGTTGTCAATTACGACCTTCCCACTGACATTGACGACTATGTCCACCGTATCGGTCGTACCGGTCGTGCTGGTAACACCGGTATTGCAACCGCTTTCTTCAATCGTGGTAACCGTGGTGTTGTCCGTGATCTCATTGACCTTCTCAAGGAAGCTCACCAGGATGTGCCTTCTTTCTTGGAAAACATCGCACGGGAAGGTAGTGGATACGGTGGCCGTGGCGGTCGTGGTGGTCGCGGCCGTGGTAGCAACGCTACTCGTGATGTGCGTCGCATGGGTGGTAGCATGGGTGGACCTCCATCTTACGGTGGCAGTGGTGGATTTGGCGGCAACGCTAGTTATGGCGGTGGTGGTGCTGCTGCTAACTGGGGTGCAAGCAGCGGTAAGTACACTCATATCTCGATTGATCGATGTTCAAATGCTTATACTCTATGTTTATAGGAGGCTATGGCGGCAGTGCTCCCTACAGCGGTGGTTACGGTGGTGGTGGTTATGGAAACCCCTCTGGTGGCCCAACCGGTCCATCTTCCTGGTGGTAAATTTACTGTGGTCTCTCGACGAGGCTATTACGGTCTACGAGTCTTTCCCGTGTCCTTCTCATCGGCGGATATCGTCAGATCATCATTTCCCTTGAGCTTTTCTTTCCTCTTGGGACCGGCTTTGTCATGACTGCAACGAATTTTGCCAACTTTTTTTTTTCACGTTAAAACACCTTTACCACGTTTGATCCGATTCTATTTGCGATTTCGTTTTTTTTTTTTTTTGTTTTTCAATATCGCTTCACTACAAGTGCGCATGCGATGCGTCTCGATGCTATTCATGAGCTCACTCAAAGTGCTCGTCAGCATCAATCAGCATTGCATGGTCATTATAGATAGCGTTGTTTTTGTTTTATTTTCCCGCTTTATATCAGATACCCAGGATTGCTCGGCTTTTTTAGGCAGGAGGCAAACAGTGTGCGATGCGTTGAAAAAGAGTCCTCTTTTCATTATTCGACAGATCGTGCATTACAAGATAGATCTCTTGTGTTCGGTATCTAAGGGCGGGATTCACTGGATTTGTGTCCCATTTCATGAACGCTCTTTCTCGAAGCTCTGCAGCCCATTTATTGTTTTCTCCATACTATCGAGGACCTTTTTTTTTTCTGGATCTCATCTGGTATCGCTGTCTGATATACGTGATTCTGGAAATGAAAGGTTTAATGTGCCATGTTCGGTCAATCAAAGATCATTCTGCTCTGTGCAGATGGAGTTGCTATTAGACGGGCTTTTCCTTGCATTGAATATGGCGTTGGCTGAGCTTCTGCTTTTAGGAGATAGGTTCTCTACAGCGAGCCCAAGAGGAGGTTAATAACGTCTGGACTTTTCCCTATGTTAGCATTTTCTCTTACTCTCTTCTACGGCTTTGTGGGGAATGGGGCTTCGGGCAGGTTTGGCTGGCGCTTTCTGTTTTCACGCTGTGGAAGCATGGATGTCATTATCATCATTCTGTTCCTCTTGCAAGCTCCGTTTTACTTGCAGGGTATGACCAGAGACAGCGCTGCTCCAGTCTTGTATTAGCAGGGCTTGGAATGAGCTCTTCAAATAGTTCAAAAAAGTTATTCGCGTTCAATTTCATTGTGCTTTAATTTCTGTAGTTGTAGGTGATTCCAATACTAGGGCTGTCAGGCTTGGTCGTGGCCTTGTCGAAAAACTTGGTCCATTGTTCCAAGTCTTTTTGAAGCTGATAGCCAAATATCTGTTCTTTGTAGCAGGGTGCTTCCAGGGGTAATAAGACCACCGAGGTAGTAGCTACACGCATAATTCATATTACAATTGGATGGTTCATCATGCAGGCGAATGAGTGAGTGAGATGCTTAAAAAAATAACGGTTATTTTCGTACAGTTTGTAGTAAAATAAAAGAGTGGACTGTATCCAGGGAAATTTATGTGAATATTAGCTGATTATCAAAAGCTTAAGAAAGTCAAAGCGGCAGGTCGATAATCGGATAAGCTGGGTTGGAACTCCAAGCCCTTGGACTGGAACAAGAACTTGTTTCCACCTTTCATCCTCGACTCTCAACAATCCTTTTTCCTCCGCCGTTCTATCGATCTTATTTTCAGTTTATCTCGACTTTATCCCGCTATGGACAAGATGCGTACCACTTAACTCGTGTCTATAAGGATTTGATGCTTCAGACAGAATAACCACAGCTGGTCGCCCCTGTCGGACAGAGTGTTGTGTCTCCAAGTTCATTTCCTGAGACATACCACACTGCGATCGTGACTTTCTCCATCCCAGCAAAATTATTTCATACCCCTTTGGTCCCCTGCGCTATCATAGAGGGATCACGACAAAATGGCGGACGTCGACACAACGACCGTGGACAATTCCTTCGCTGCCTCTGAAGCCGGAGACGACCAGACATCACACAACAACACAGCCAGCGCGACCGTCGGCACTCGACGCCAGGCCAATGGTACCATCGGATCTGTATACTCAGGCAATAAAATCAAGCATCTGAAGAAAGACGATGGTATACCACTCTGGCGCAAAGATATCCAGTATCAGTTTCTGAAGCTGGTCTTTGAAGACCAGACTCGAGTATTTACTCGATACTCGGACGGAGCTAAGAATCTCGATTTTGCCGATGTGTATATCGACTGTATGGCTAGGAGCAGCAAGACGAGTAAGATTCTCAAGGATAAGCTGCAGAGTGATAAGAAAGCTGCTATTAGTATGGCGATGGTTTGTCTCTTGGTTAATTTTGGTCGGATGAATACTACTCTTAATTGTATAAATTATCCTCTATCTGTCCCAGGATACTACTGACTTTATCTACCTGACAGTCTTCCCCGAAATGCGCGCGCAGCTGAGAACCTACCATTCCATTCCATCTCTCCAAGCCGACCAAGATCCCAATGCATACAAGCAACTACAAGATGCTCCGCGTCTCAAATCAATCTTGAAAGGTGCCTCTGAAGACGTGGAACAACCACCAACAATAGAGAGAGTCAGAGAGTCGCGTAAACCTCGCACCAACCCGGTCCACCTCATTTTCCTTCTTGCGCAGTATGCCCCCAAGATTTCTGAGATCCATTTCTTCCAGCCTCGTGACTTTTTCGATCTGGTTATGCGAAGTACGCTTAGCAGTAGAAGCAGAGCACGAGCTTTTCTATGGCTGATGTGGTGGTATCTCGAAAGCGACTTTACTCGAGAAGATGCTCTGAACAACCCATTTGGGCCGGGCTTAGACGGTGAAGGCACAGGTGGCCTACCTATCAAGGTCCCCGCATTTGAGATTTTGACTGAGGAGCAAGCGGAAGAAGAGAACAGAGATACTCCAGAGGAAATCCGCTTCGGAGAGGAGAAACAACGGGAGCGAAAGCGTATCTTAGAGGAAGACGAACCTCTTCCTAGGATCCCAAAGCGTGTGAAGAAGCACGATTCTGGGCTTGACGATGAATTGCTATCAGCCAATTCAACTCCTCTACATCCATCAGCTCGTCGCATTGCGCTGAATGAAGAAGAGGAGGACTGGTCCACACCGGGATCCTCTGCTCATCTGAAGAGCAAAAAGCCGAATTATGATTCTTCCGTCAACCGGTCAACCGGTCAACGCCTTGTGCTGAAAACGAGGATGGATCCTACTTCTGACGCGGCGTCTCCTGCGCCACCGGGGTCCGGTCATCCTATCCTCAATCAATACGCTACCGATTCCATGACTCCAAACCACAACCATTCCAGTCGACGGCCACGTCCTCTGACACAACATCAGTTAGCTGTGGAACAGAACCGTCGCCACCGTATAGAGTATTTGTTAGCTCAACGCAAGACTCAGGCCTACAAGGTTCTTAGGGCGCGTCGCGAGAACGAACCCACTTTTAATGGCTGGATGCGTCTTTTACCCCATTTACCAGAGCCTAGAGCTTCCTTGGACGGCGATGATATCCCACCTGAAATTTCACAGTTGATGGATGCTTCTACTGATTATGAAGACTTCGGCGAAACGGCACATTACTACTTATCTGTAACTCGCAAAGCGATCAGGAGATTGGACCGCTGGGATTGGGAGAAAATCAATGGACCCAGCAAAGACCGCAAGAAGGCTAGAGAAGAGCGTCAAAAGGCATTTCAGAATGGTACTGCACTTATGGGTGGTGGAGGTCGAGGTGGTCAATCATCGCGCTCGGCACGTTCTCGACCCCGGCCTCCACGACGCAAACCTGCTCCGACCACATCGACTCCTTCAAGTGCACAGAAGCCTATCGCTCCCAAGGATGAAGCTCAAGATAGCAAGTTCCTGTCTGACGCAGTTGACAAGAGTGGTTCTGCGGTTATCTCATCTTCCCGGGATAATGAGCCTTTTGACGATGCTGAGAAGGACGTACTCGGAGAAGGAAGTGGTCATGATGAGGACGATTCAGAGTTGTCGTATCCTGAAGACGATGAGCATGACGATGACGATGACTTGGAGGACGTGGAAGGAGAGCATGATTATTCTATTATGGAGAGCCGTAATGACTATGACACGGACTCGGAGGATGAAGTCAACGGGGATGGTGAGCAGGGGGGAGACGAGGACGAGGTTATGGAGGATCAGTAATTCGATCCACTTTCTTTCTTTCTTTCCTTATAATGCTTTAGTTTGATCGACTATATTCCCTGGTACAATATGTTCATGTTGTTCGCGTTATCGAGGTTGCCTGGTGTATGACCATTTTCTTATTCTGGTGTTCTATGCTCCTGTTGTACAACACACGGTGATAAAAGCTGCTTTTCTGATCTCTTTCTACTATGTCATTATACACACTCTCGGCGATGTCCGCTAGATTTTTCCTATTTCCTTTTTTCCTCATATCGAGCCCTTAAGAAGTGTCACATGTTAAGCAGAAGACTTCTACACCACGCCACCACGTATCCCACATATGATGGGTTGTATGCATCCTGCGTATTCAAAGATGAGATATACATTGTAGCCTGCAGTACTCCGTATCTCCTCATCTTTCTTGCTGAAGGTCATACAAGATCGACTAATATCTCGCCTGTGATTGGCCGATTGACTGATTACCGGGGTAGTTACTAGTTAGACCTTAAAGCTAAGGCAGCCACCCAAGTCAGCGAAACATTCAACAAAAACTGAAGAAAGTCCTCCATGCACCGACTCGCCTGTTTTTCTTTTCGCATGTGAATCGACGCTGAGACATTCCCAATCCTCCCCCACTGTCTCTTTTCATTTATTTATCGTTGCTTCAGGTTAAAGACTCTTTATGTCTATTTTACACATTTCGGACTGGTCGGGCCAAACCTATATTTTTGATTGATTGATTGATTGATCGATTAGAGTCCGTTCCGTAACCGTCCAACTAGTTACTCGGTACTCGCTCATCCCTACCTCCGAATTGTTTACGTTTATCCATACGACGAGCTGCTCAAGATTTGCCCAAGTCTTTTACGTACGCAGTACTTTGAATCCGAATTCACCGAATTGTGGAACCGGGTCTTTCTCTTCTTCAGGCAGCTCAGTTAGCTAGCTAGCTCTGTAACGGATTTTCAGGCCTACCTGTCATTCCACCAAAGGGATAACGACCGGGTTGAATTTTCACTCATTTCAAAACATCCTCTACGGTTATTGTTTATATGTATAGCAAATCACAATGAGCGACTCTCCGCATATTCTCCGGCCAACGCCTAGACGACCCTTTGAACTTCCCTCCGCCGACTCCTCTACACCTTCAACTCCCTCCGGCGAGACACAAGTCACCGAGGGTATTGATCTATTAGATCCTAAAAACAGCGACCTTGCATCGAAACGATCCGGTTCACTGCTCAACCTCACCTCGTCAACTCTACTAGGCATCTTTCAACCGACCGCATTCGAGGATTCGCGCGAAGAGGACAGTCCCTGGGATACTCAGGCGCATACACCAATTGAGACTCGCAGCAATTCAGTCTTTGCGACTCAGCAACAGAATGGTAGACGCTTCTCGACGGATGCACAGGGACAAGTGAGGAGACATGTTCCCCGGACGGGCAGTGTGTATTATATCCCGCTGGTGTTGAAGACATCGCTACTATTTGCCTGCGGTGTTGCCTACGGTACCATCATAGCTCATCTACATGAGAATAATTGGATTACGCCGGTGAAACTTGAGTATATCGATCGAAACTCGTATGTTTATTTGCTTTCTTGGGGGGTTGCGGGTGTGGCATTTGCGTTTGTGTTACCTTGGCTAGATAATCTTTGGGATAATGGCACTACGGATCGAAGCAAGGATGTTGGGAAGAAGCAGAGTAATAGAACTCTTGCAATTCGCAGTATTGGTGCTTTTGTCGGTATTGCTTTTGCTATGGTTGGTTTTCTTTTTCACGTTACCAAAGGAGATCTTGTTTGCTAACATCATCGAAAGCGTCGAGTTCCATGGGAGTCTACCACGCAGGAATCCCTTACCCTCGCCCTCGTGAACCCTCTGTTATGGTACCTCATCGACCGCACACAGACCGGATTCTGGCTATCAACCGTCGTGGCCTTGACCGGCATGGGAATCACACTCCGTATGCACCCGGAATTGATACCCTCTTCCTCGGCAGTCGGCGTGGGACTCCGTAACTGGCGTCTCGAATATGACGTTGAAGGGGGGATATCCAAGGATGCGACCGCCGTGGCCGTTTGGCTTGCGAGCGTATTTTATAGCGCCTGCGTCTGTTTTGGGAATATAGGACGTCAGCTCGCTCTAGACGGCAGTGAAGTTCAACACGTGCAATTCTCGGAGAAGAGATGATGGGAAAACACCACAGCTTGGAACCGAGATGGAAATACTAAAAACGCTTTCGCTGCAGCGGTTTTGACTTTCGGCAATTCTTTTTGCATTCTTTATTTTTATGCCATTTTAATGACGATCAAGTTGGAGAGAAACTTTTGGCAACTGGATCGAAACAAACGAGATGTTTATTCTTAATTACTACAATGAAGGATAGAAGGGAAAACAAAATTCGTCAATAATAGGTATGTTGCAATATAATCAGCACTATTTATTCAGAGCCAAGCAAACAAATTATATTAGCAAGGGAGAAAAGATCTGTAGAATCGATCATTGCAATCCCTCCCATAATAAAAAACTGGAAGACACTGCACCCAAGACCAACACTTTCTTCTCAAGGAAAAATTCTTCTCCATTCCCATAGACGATTTCTATACTTCATGGTATACACACTCCCCCTCATAAGAAGGGAAGGAGATACTCGCAAGAATGCTTTTAGAGAGAATGTTAGTTTTTTGCGTTGTTCATATGGAGAAGAAGAGAAGAAAAGAAAAGGAAAAGAAAACAGAAATTCGAAGATTTTTATTTGCTCCGCGGGAATTAGCTGCATCACGTGAGGGATAGCCAGGCTAGGCTGTTTTGGGATTGGGGCGGGGAAATGGACGAGATCGGAGCCTAAGGCGTGCTAAATCGAAGTGGGATGAAGTAAAAAAAAAGTTAGCAGTTACAGATTGTCGACTTCTTTCAATCAATTGATTCTTCAAGGTATTGGAGAGAGATTGGAATCATGGCGCCTCAAAAGTCAGGTATGTGTATTTTCTCGTTGATTGATTCGTGGTTGCAATAGAGTGCTTGAATTTATTTCGATTGTTGCGTCGTCATCAAGTATAGCAAGTCAACTGTTACTATTCGTGTTACCAATTGGCGTTTGGCTGTTAAGGGCTGTACTGACCAAATGAAGCTATTTTGTCTGTCTATGACAAGACCGGTCTTCTCGACCTGGCAAAAGGTCTTTCTCAACACAATGTCCGTATACTTGCGTCCGGTGGCACGGCCAAGATGATTCGGGAAGCTGGCTTCCCTGTCGAGTGAGTCTGACTCATATACTGTGGATGAACGTAAACTAATGGAGAACGCAGAGATGTCTCAGCCATCACCAACGCCCCCGAAATGCTCGGCGGCCGTGTCAAGACCCTCCACCCTGCTGTTCACGGTGGTATTCTCGCCCGCAACATCGAATCCGACGAGAAGGATCTCGCCGCTCAGAAAATCAACAAGGTCGACTTTGTCGTCTGCAACCTTTACCCTTTCAAGGATACCATCGCAAAGCCCAATGTGACTATCGCCGAGGCTGTGGAGGAAGTTGATATTGGTGGCGTGACTCTTCTTCGTGCTGCGGCCAAGAACCACGCTCGAGTCACTATTCTATCTGACCCGAAGGACTATCCCGAATTCCTCAAGGAACTCGAGACTGGCGAAATCTCAGAACAGACTCGCAAGATTTATGCTCTCAAGGCTTTTGAGCATACTGCAGACTACGACACTGCTATCTCGGGATACTTCCGTAAGCAATATGCCGGTGACGGTGTGCAGCACTTGTCTCTTCGTTACGGTACAAACCCACACCAGAAGCCCGCAGCTGCCTACGTCACTCAGGGCAAGCTTCCATTCAAAGTGCTCGGTGGCTCTCCCGGATACGTCAACCTTCTTGACTCGTTGAATGCCTGGCCACTTGTCAAGGAATTGAAGCAAGCTCTTGGTCTACCTGCTGCAGCCAGCTTCAAGCACGTTTCCCCCGCTGGTGCGGCCATTGGAGTCCCTCTTAATGAGAAGGAACGGAAGGTGTACTTTGTCGATGACATTGCTGGCATTGAGTCTTCTGGTCTTGCTCAAGCATATGCTCGTGCCCGTGGAGCCGACCGCATGTCAAGCTTCGGAGATATCATCGCACTCAGTGACAAGGTTGATGTTCCCACTGCAAAGATCATTTCACGTGAAGTTTCCGACGGTGTCATTGCTCCCGACTACGAGCCCGAAGCTCTTGAAATTCTGAAGAAGAAAAAGGGTGGAAAGTACCTTGTTCTCCAGATCGACGAGACCTACACCCCTCCCTCAACTGAAACTCGTACCTTGTACGGCGTCCAGCTTGAACAAGGCCGCAACGATTTCACCGTCACATCCAAGACTTTCAGCAGCATCATCACACCCAAGGATACCAAGACGCTTCCCGAAGCCGCCCTCCGCGACTTGACCGTAGCCACCATCGCACTCAAATACACGCAATCCAACTCCGTCTGCTACGCTCTCAACGGACAAGTCATTGGTCTCGGCGCCGGTCAACAAAGCCGTATCCACTGCACCCGTCTCGCCGGTGACAAGGCCGATAACTGGTGGATGCGCTTCCACGAACGCACACTCAACATTAAATGGAAAGCAGGCGTCAAGCGCGCCGATAAGAGCAATGCCATCGACATGCTCACATCAGGCCAAGTCCCGCCCCGCAATGAGGTTGAAAAGGCCGAATACGAGCGCGTCTTTGAGGAAGTCCCCGCTCCATTTACGGCGGAGGAAAGAGAGGCCTGGTTAAAACAGTTGACCAACGTTGCTGTTTCGTCGGATGCTTTCTTCCCGTTCATTGATAATGTGTTCCGTGCTGCGAGATCGGGAGCCAAGTATATTGCTGCTCCTAGTGGAAGTCAGAATGATGGACCGGTGTTTGAGACGGCGGAGAAGTTGGGGATTACTTTTATTGAGCAGAGTACTCGTTTGTTCCATCATTAGTTCTTCCTTATGATGAGCTTTTTAATCTCGGGAGAGGAAGAGATGTTCTAATGCTAGATCCATGTTATATGAAAAGTTAATGTAAATTCAGCTGCTTAACGATCACCCTGCTTCGATATCTCACCGAGTATATGGCGGACACTTACATATGTAAGCGACTAGGTCATATCAAAACTGTACATTCACCCAATAACTTCTCAGCTAATCATCAAAAGGCTAATCTAATATACAAGAAATCAAATACTATAATATCATAACCCATAAACATCCCCAAAACACTCCGGATACGCCTCAAAGAACTCATTCCCCATCGTATACCTCTGAATCTCATCAGTAGCATCCCTAAACGTCATGGTTAATCGATACTTCCCAGTGTCGGGCTCTATATCTATCGTATCTGCAGGAGAAAGATTCCATTCGAATTGTACGTTCCGGGTGAAGTAGAGCCAGAATCGGTTTGTGAGGGATGGGTTGTTGGATGTTATTAGTCGTTCGCGGAAACGGGGCCTGTATGTATGATTAGATGGGGGTGGGTTGGGTGTTCCATTATGGAATGAGGAGGATGTACCAGGCAAAGTAGTCGTTAACTACGTTTTCGGAACTTGGAGAATCGAATTTGCTGTGGTATACCTATTAGAAGCATGAATTGTCGAAAGATATGGGAGAGGATACCTTGGTCTAAACCAGGATGGAAGAGGAGGTGGTCTATCACAGAGCCTCCGTCCCTGCTGCAGTTAATACTACCTAAATAGTAGACAGCATACAAGACAACTTGGATAATATACATACCAAAAGCATCGAATTCAACCCACGCAATAGTGCCAATCTAGTAGGAACCGCAGCATGCATCATAAGAAGCGCATCAAGACGCCTCAAAATACTCCATATGGGACAAATAAGACTCTCTCGCTGCAGGACATGCCATCCCAAGATAACCCCACGAATCACAGCATCCTGATTGAATTGATCATTTGTGCAGACCTGACGAGGGTTGATGTGATATATACTACCAAGTATATCATTTAAAAGATCTCGAAGACTGGTCCCTTCGTTTCCCGTGGCACTTATGCAATCGTTGAATGTATACTCCACCCCAGCAGCAGGATTAGATAAGAATGTTAGACATCGTTGCTCAATCTGGAATAGACGCGTTTCCATGGACTTTAATGTGGTTTTTAGATTCTTGCGTCGTCTGGATTGAGAGGCTCGGTTCATTTGACGTTTGCGCTCTCTTTGGGCTCGGCTGAGGACTCGGCCGGTGGACCATGGTTTTATGGGGTGGGTGAACTCGGACTGGTCCTCTGCACTGCTGGATGGTGGCATTGTGACATGGTCTTCTGCTATGTATGTGTATTGGGCTTGATAGAGGATGTTGCAGGCCTACATCGAACCGTTCGAGACTTTGAGACGGGGTTATGCCTTTTTGGGAAGTGGATACTTCCTCTATTTTGCGCTAGCTTAGAAGTGATATAGCTTATATTTTCTAGGCCAATCGGAGCCGTTTTAGTCGCACAACGTGGAGTAGTCTTTAGAGTCAAATTTGACCAATCGGAGGAGCCATAATCGCACCTTAGCCCTAAGGCTCCCGAGTCATCGCTCACTGTCTGACAGCGCGCTTCCTTTATGAACTGTTGTATATAGAGCCAATCTGTCCTCTAGATATATATTGAGTGTCGGTTAGCTATTTTGAAACGCTCAAGACACTCGAAACTCAAGACTGCCATAGGCAGCCATGTCTACCACAAAGCTACGGCTAGCCAGTAAGTATCTTCTGCATCCCTTATCAACTAGAGAGCTTCCAACTAACTTATATCAGGCAAAGTCGAAAAACGCTTCGTTGTCCGTCATGCACTGGACTGGTACCGAGCCTTAATAATAACAGGCTTATATACCGTGAACCAGAACAATGCTTTCGACACTCGTAACATTACATCTTATATACCTGCTCTAAAAGCATGCATAGAGGCCCACCCATTCCTCAGCGCGACTATACAGGAACTGCAGACAGAAAATCCTGTTTTTACTCGACCAGCTACACTGGATCTTCGAAATCATATTCAGACTATCGATACGGAATCAAGTCGGTATAAATCTGTGGATGATGAACTTGAGTTATTGAGAAAAGTTACTCTGGAAACACATGATAGGCCATGGGAAAATGCAGAGACCATTCCACCTTGGAAAATTGTGGTGTTACCGCTACCTGATCGAGCGGACAGCACACAGAAACGAGTATATATCATTTTCGCGTACTCACATGCCCATGGTGATGGGAAATCTGGACTGGCGTTTCACAGATCGTTTCTTCAGGGACTCCGGCGTCAGACTTCAGATCACAATGAGAGCCGAGGATTTATCTATAAACCTCCTTCCTCACCACTGCCATTACCACTAGAAGAAGTCTGCAATCTAAAGATATCATGGTCCTTTCTGCTCTCTCCCCTTCTCGCACAATATTTACCACATTTTGTATGTCGTTTACTACGACTACATGCTGGTGGAACTCAACTATCAACAGACCAAGTATACACAGGCGACATCATACGCTACGACCGCGAAAATTTCCACACCACTTCTCAAATCCTGGTCGTGAAAGCAGATGTACTCGCAGATGTATTAAAAGTCTGCAGATCACATGGCTCAAAGCTAACCGGCCTACTCAATCAACTAATCGTTCATGCGTTGAGTGAAAACCTCGCTCCCGGAACTGCGAATGAGTTTATTTGCCAGTTTGCGCTTGATCTTCGGTCACTGATACCCGCATACTCTGACGGTATGACGATGGGGAACTACGTCTCTGGCGCGTACGAGACGTCACCCGCGTCAACGAATCCAGAATACGACGACGCATTCTGGGGCGCCGTGCGGAAGACGACAGGACTACTAGCAGCAGCAGCAAACACGCTCGATGACCAACCCATTGGACTACTGAAATATCTTGGTAATTTCCGGTCATGGTTCCTCGGTCATCTAGGAAAGAAACGTGACGGGTCCTTTGAAATCAGTAACATTGGCGTCTTTGATCCTTCGCTGCCTAACGGATCTACTTCATCGCAAGGGTGGAGTATTGAGAGAATGGTATTTTCTCAACCTGCGAATGTTACTGCTTCGCCTTTGAATTTTCAAGTCGTTACGATGAAGGGGTCGGATATGGTTATTACGTTAAATTGGCAGGTTGGTGCTCTGGGGGTGGTGGATGAGGACGCTTTTGCTAAGGCAGTTTTGAGGCATATCAATAATGGGTTCGGTAAGGTTGCCTTGGGATCATAAAATTTCATTGGCCCTGTTGGAAAGAAGTATAATATGAAATTCAGGGGTCCAGCATGAGTATCCTACCTTAGGGTTCGCAACGCATCAGAAAACTTGATTCAATTTTCAATACATAGTCTTCAATGAATAGTGCATCGAAAACAAATCAATTCATCTGTAGTCTGACGCTGATTTACTCCATGAGCGTATCATATCTTGTATCGCACTCCATTTCTTTTCAAACCTTGTATTTCTATGTTGATATCCGTCAATGTCATGATAGGTTCTCCTTGGAAGATCGCCCTTTTGCATCAACAACTTTATATTCACCTTGTATACAGTTAAGTCAAGAGCTATTTTCCGATCTTTGGTTTCTGCCTCAATAATAGCACCTTTTTCCAAAATCAATTGCACAAGTTCTGGCCTTTCCATCGCTGCAAGATGTAGAGGTCTTTCTCCTTTAGCATCCTCTGCCTCGATATTGGCATTTCGACATCTGCACCTTTTTCCAGAAGTAGGGCCACAACCTCCTCGTTGCCTTTGGAGACAGCCAAATGTAGCAGAGGCCCATAGACAACTCCCCAGATTGATGAGTCTGTAACACTCCAGAGATCATTCTCATCATCGCCTAACAACATCCTTGCTAGCAGTTGATCATCTAGCTCAATGGCTCGGGCAATCCTTGCCACTTTCAACCACGGTTTATACTCCTCACTGCTGTTCTGTCTATCCCCTAGTATACGCACTATTTCATCATGTCCACGAACCGCAGCGAGAACAATGGCTGTTTCCCCACGAATGTTCTTTGATTCCATGCATGCCCCATACTCCATAAGCAAGCGCACTTGTTCAATATGACCATGTCGAGCAGCCATGTGTAGTGCTGTGTCTCCTTTTTCAATTTTCGCATCGATTTCTATCTCGTATTGAAGTATTAAACCGGTTGTTTCTTTATCCCCATAGTTGACGACAAGGTGTAACGCGTTGGATCCCGCAAAAGCGTGATCATAGAATCCAGAAATATCAGTTTCTCGCATCCTCTCTATCGTCTTTATGCAACTTGCATCATTGTCCAGCAAAAGCCGCACTATATCAGTTTGGTGGTACTGTATTGATATACGTAACGCCGTACAGCAATCCGTGCTAGTCGCATCGACATTCGCACCATTTTCAATAAGGAACTTGGCAATATCTAGATGACCGTATCTGCTTGCAAGCATATACCTGTATATCCATGAGCATTTCGTTGCTCTATGTTCAATGTAGTTTTCCATGACGCTCTTAAGACCTCAGGGAAGCCCCATATACTCGCAAGACCCTGGTGTACTTGAGTGATATCATTATGCAGCACATATGCCAAACAAATTCTCGCAGCTTGCGCATGCGCTTCAGAATCGGAGTAATCTTGCCGACTTGTGAGATACTCTCGCACCGAAAGATGAGCAAATTGAATGGCACCTGCAGTACCCGTAACAAGAAAGTTGTTACATATTAGCAGGAGATACGCCTTGTCGACTTCGGTATCAAGGATTATGTCTGTCTATAGAGACAGCCTCAACAAGTTCGGCTATGGTCAACGGCCTTTGAGAGCACATAGCCCAATTCAATGCCATGGGTGCATATATTCGGTCTTGCGGATGTTGAGCATTCATTTCGTATATTTCGTCATACGTCGGCATTCATCTGACTAGAGAAGAAGAACTTGATACCTGATTTGGCAGAAATAGAAATGTCGTTCAAACTGGACAGAAGCTCCAGTGGATCTGAGTACTCATCTAACGCGTCAATTATGATTGTAGTGCTTTAACGAGTTGACACGAGCTTTGTGGGCAGCGAGACGCAAGCTGTGACTGGAAGTCTGCTTTCTTCGCATTCATGAGATAGCTGGCTTTCGTCATATATATCCTTGACAGGCTTTGATATTGATTGATTGTCTGCCGACCAAGCTAGTTGTCGCACCAAGCTTCGCAAAATCGTCTTCGGGTCGCTCCCATGCACTTCCCCTTGCTTTTTAGTGCAGTAAAAGTATGCTATTTGCTCTTTATCGGCGTCGATAGACTGTTTATACTTCAGACTGTGTTCAATCACGAGAACGCCTTTGCGAGAAATGCCTATGGTCAGAACGATCTCAACTTGAGACAAGTGGGAGGTGTACTTTACTTACACGAAAGGACTTTTGCCTGGGCCAACTTCATGCATATAGACAGCACTTAGTAATGCATAAATTGCTATTATGAGTCTCTACTTACCAGGACCACAAAGCCACAATGTTGCCGTGTCTTTATTTTCGTGTGCAGACCAGCTTTCAAATTCCGGATCATGAAACAGCCATTGGCCAGCGTTCGCATATTTCCTTTCCAGCTTGCCATCCTCCAACAATCTTATATGCTCCTGGCGGGGAACAACGGTGGATATCCAGTTGAGAATGTCTAGATTGAATGTGCGCAAATATCGTCCGTAAGGCATAATCCTCTCCGCTCAGCAATTTGTTGATTGGAGGTCTTTATTACCTTTCAGCTCGTTCAGGTTGGTTAGCCTCCGATGGTGCTCGTGTAATTCATTCGTCTGGCGAGTAATTGCGTCCATTCGAGTATTCAGTTGACCAAACATTTCTTGAATGCCTCGGTGAACTAGGTATTCTTTCTGGGCTTAATATATAGCCCTTCGATCTCTGTATACCGAGCTATCACCGGAGAAATCTGAGCGAACCCTTCAAGGGCAGCTGTATTCTGCTCGGCTCCATTCAGCACTACCTAGTCGTCAAAATCATTCGTGAGTGAATCTTTCTATTTCGTCTAGTCTTCACTTGCTCTCAAAATTATACCAACGCCAATCCAAGCTACGCCTACATGTAGAGGGTCGATGTTAGCTGCCAGATTACCCACGGACTTTCTGGTCTGTACAGCTTTTTAGATAATGTCCAATGCCGCAGCCCTTTGAATCCTAGCTTTGGTGTCGTCATTGCGAACGCTCGACGGCAGTGGTAATTCGGGATTCTTGATTGCGCTTATCTTAGCATCAATAACTGCAAGCAACTCGTCCGCTAGGCCATCATGGCTCGCGGGTTGGTGAGATTGCTTTGAGCGGATTTGCTCGAGGCGTTTGTATAACTTTGGGTGCTCAGACTTGAATTTAACGAGGGCCTCCGCCCAACATGACATATCAGCTGGGATGTCAGCAGACATTGTTGCTCTTGTATCGATGATAGAGACGGGCTTCCTGGATGCTGCGAGGATTAAGCGGAGATACATATAAATGTTCTGGTGGGAAAGAGGACAGAAAGTTCGTGAAAGTGCTATCTGACAGTCAGGTAAATGCCGTCGACAGACCAGATGAAGCAACAACGACAGATAAGAGAGAAAGGGCCACGATCGCATCAATTGATGCGAGTATGCCTGGTATTAGAGCGTACCAGAAGACTCGATGCGGAATTCGTTTCAAGCTAGATTTCCAAGTTAGTAGTTATATTCCAAAAGCGCATCTCACCTTCATATCACAATGATTGCCAGAACTGGAATATTGTTAGGGTTCGAGGAAGCCCTCGGTTGGTAATAAGTATGTCCTACTGAATATCGAAAAGCCTCACATTATGTATCTCAAAATACACCGCAGAAAGAGAAAGAGAAATAGAAAAATAGAATTGATCAAACATGAGAAAGAAAAAGACAGGACCCAACCCCCGACCTCCTGCGACACAAGGCTTTTCCCTTTTTAAGAACAGTCATGTGACACAACATCCCTAAAACCATTTTTGAATATTGTTTTCACTCATGAAGAAAAGGAAAGAAAAAAGAAACCTGAGCGGCATTATTCCATAGCTAGCTAGATTACAATGTCATTGAATGTCTGATTGATTACACATGAAGAATTAGGGAGAAAAATGCTCAACAATTGCCAGTTTCCGGTTGGCCACCACTTCCTTAGAATGCGCGATATCCTGTGACTTGAGGTGTAATACCGTTGGCCTGGAAAGGAACAGGTCCAGGTCCGGAGGCGGGACCCTGGGTGAGCATCAGGCGGGATCCAAGGATTGGGCCTGTATCTTCGTCCTTCTGGTGGGTGGTTTCCTTGGCTTTGCGTTCCTCGTTATCCTTCTTTAGTTGCTCGATGGTAATCGTTTGCTGAGCCATCATGTTGATGAGGTATGGCATCGTGAAGTCGTTCAAGCCGTGGCGCCACGAGATCTCCAAGATGACATCTGGGCGAATAATATCGTAACATGCGTACAGCATGCCGACGTAGCATTCACGGCTACCGATATCAACAAACTGTATGAAGTATTAGTAAATGTGATCACATGTAAAGTAGTAGCAATATCAAAACTTACATAGCGAAGTAATTCCTCAACAACATCTGGTTTTCCTGACATTGCCGCAGTCTCAATAGCATCCTTGAAGAGCTTATCTTGCTTCGACAGAGCAATCGATTTCTCCCAACGCTTGTTCTTGCGGTAGATGCTGGAGGCAATTTGGCGGAAGAAGACCAGGTCATGCTTCTCCAAACGCTGAGCCAACTCTACAGGATCGTAGTTGTCGTAGTTTTCTACTGAATCGCGCAGGGTCTTGTAATCCTCTTCCTCAATGAGCAAGTCATTGATAGCATCGTTAACAGCACGCTTGTTCTGGCCCTGGACACTGAGCAAGAACGGCTTGATGAGGGGAATGTTGTCTGATGACTGGAAAATGCGGACAACACGGCTGACGTCAATACGTGGAGTCAAAACTTGTAGGAGATCAGTGAGCAACAAAGGCTGTTCCTGAAGATAGAAGTTGAGGGAGCGGTAGTAGATCTCAAGATTGGCAACCTTGACAATAATATCCTTGAAAGAGTGGTGCTCCCAGGCTTCCGCAGCGCGTTCCATCATGGCAAGTGCAGCGTTATCCCATTCATCGTAGTGGCAGTAAAGGAACACGAGTTCAGGCCACAAGTTGGCCTCCTCAGTAGCACGGATCATCTTAGGGATGTTGATACGAGACCAGAACAGCTTGAGATGCTCCATGACCCGGTCGGGGTGGTACTTGGAGAGAGCAATACCCAACTCGGTGAACATGCCCATGTGAGCACGCTCCAATCCCAAGCCGGCTTCAAGGAGGGAAATGAGCTCGTCGAAATATCCGTGGCGCTCGTATTGTTTGACGAGGTCACTGAGCTCTTCAGCGTGGACGATAAGGTTCAAACCGCAAATTTGAGCGAGACGAAATTCCTTCTTGTTGACACATGCTTCATTGACTTGCTTCCAGACCTTAACACTGTTGGCCTTGCGAGCACATTCAACTGCAGCCTGGTAGTCTTCAAGATGCACAAGAGTAGTTGCCAGCTTAGCCCAGTTAGAGATGCTTGTGTAGAAGATCTTAGCAGCTTCATGGAAGCCTTCCTCATATGCTTTGTCACCAGATGCCTCAATATCAGCAACGTTGGAAGCACGCAAGAAATCTTCAAGCTCGGACAGCTGGTCCAGACGAGCAAAACAAAATGCGAGAGCGGTATCAATAGCAGGCTCGCGCAGTGTCTTGCGGGCCATTCTAAGATATTTGACAAGGTCTTCGTCCTTTCCGGCATGAGTGGCGGTCTCAATAACTTCGTTGTAGTTTGAAGGGTCATTGGCTCGGATGTATGACTCGATAGAATCGGTAACTCGCAAACCATCCAATTGTGCCTTTGCAACCTTGCTCCAAACTTCAGGAAGCTCGACACGTTCGGCATACTCCTGGGCACGGTCAATGCTGACAATATTCTCAACCAAGACATCGGTGGCGGCAGTGTGATTGTTAACTTTCTTGTAGATCTCGAAAGCTTCCTCGTATAGACCGACAGAAATACACATTTGAGCAATCTCATCAGCATTGAACTCATTGAGCTTGTGAATGTAGTCAATCAAGCGGCCCTTATCGGCCTTGGCGGCAGTAAGCATAAGCAAGTTCTGCAGACTGCTGTTGTCACTGAAAGGTGAGGGCTCCAAAATGATCTTTTCAAGCAACTCAATAAGTTCAGCAGGCATATCAGCGTCAAGGAACGACTTGACTGCAACAGACACTTTGTCAGGTTCTGTAGATTCAGGCACAGCTGTAGCTGTAACCTGGTCAACGACAGAACGGCGATGAATGTTGTTCTCATTGAGAACGAAAGACCAGATCTCGGGATCTGCGCGGTCCAAGAGGTAGCGAGCCTGAGCACGGTACATTGCGTTCTCGTTCGTGATGTTGATAAGCTCCAAGTCATTTTGTCCTTTACTGTATGCGATATATGCCAGATTGGGATCGCGCTTCTCGCAGTATTTACCGACAATCAAGGTGTCATACATATCGTTCTCCTTCAGGAACTTCTCGGGGTTGTTGTTGCTATCAATGTAGATCTTGGCAAGCGCATTGTACACTGCCTGCTGCTGGTTTCCAGTTGCCAGAGTGCTCTCCAAGAATGGTAGCAAGAGCTTGAGACGGTTTCGGGACTCCACTTCTTGAACAAGCTCATCGATTGGGATCTGAGAAGGATCAACTGTAGCAAGCAAGTTCTTGATAATAGCTTCATCACAGTCGACATCCAAAAGACCTCCAATCACAGCAGGAGAACGTGAAGGATTCACCCGTTGGACATAAACTTCAATCGACTTGTACTGCTGGTTGCGGTAGAGATACAAGACCAGGTCATGAATGAAATTGAATCGATCGCAGACAATGATCAATGGGAGCTGCTCCGTAAGGTTTGCCTCCTTTAAGAAGTTCTTCACTTTCTCGGGGTTGTAGTAGTTGCTCTCACGGCAAATGCGCTCGACTTCGGTCAGTTGACCCATTGCAGTTGCTGCTTCAATGTACTTGAAGTGCACTTCCGGGTCTTCACTGAGGTTGACAATGCTTCCCAAGTAATAGTAAAGACCTTCGGCTGTACGGTACTTTTCGAAGAGGTCAATGAGACGGTTGTTGCCCAAAAGATCGGAGAACTTAGTTGCAATCTGGACAACAGCCTGCAAGTTTTGACGAATGTTTGAATGAAGCATTTCATCTAGACCCTCAAGAGCCTGCTCTTGGGAGAGACGGCCAAAGTACTTGATCAGCCACTCAGGGTTCAACTTGTCAGTTCGGACCAAGTTGCGCTTAATAGCGACTGGATCATCTGTGTTCTCGAGTGCTCGCTGAATGAGACCCGCGTTCTCGCATAGTTGCGCAATTCTAGCCTTGTCATAATGGGTAAACATTTCATTTCCAAGAATCGCATCTGCGACCTGAGGAGCATTTATGAGGTTCATCTCAAGCAAGCGAGTCTGAAGATGTCCCTGCTCAGGCTTGTTGTCTTTCAATGCATCCAACAAGAATGATGTTGCCTGCTGAATCATGTTCTGAGAAAGAAAAACATCTACAACACGATCAAGGTCAACGAGAGCACCAGTCTCCTCATTGGCGAGTTGTGCCGCAAATTCGGCTCCCTTCTCAGGGTTCAAACGCACAATATGTTGGAGCAATTGGGTGAAGTCAGGCTGATAGCCAGATTGCTTTGCGTATGGCAGGATCTTATCAAACTGGCCTGTTTCAGCGAATCCGGCCACGACCTTGGGGGGAACATTTGCTTGCAAGTAGATTTGCAGAGCCAAGCCCATGTCATGTGGTCGGACAAGGTCACCGAGCTCCTCTGAAGCCTCTAGCTTATTCTCACGCATCCACTTCTCCAACAAGTGTTTCCGGTTCTGCTGGAGAACAGGTCGCACGAGCTCCAAACTTTCGTAACGGTTGAGACTGCCCTTGTCGAGGAGCATACCGAAATACTGCAGAATAACGGACATTTGTTGGCCACCTTGGGGAGCATTCTTGAAGCGGTTGATTGTTTCCGGGGTACGCAGGAAGCCACGTGGTGAGTTGGCTGCAATCTTGGCTGCTTCGGAATAGTTGCCTTGAGCCAGTAAATTGTCGAACTGCTGCTGGTAAAGGTGGTCGGCACCGGGTAAGCCGGCCTTAGAAGCCAGCTTAACAGCAAGGCCAGACATGGCCGGGTTCTCCATCAAATATGGGATGACTGTGCTCTCATCCAGGCTCACGGATAATACCTGACCCTTGCGGTTAACACCAACAAGGCCCGTCGAATCGGAGTCGGGAGCTGTTGTGAAGATCGTCTCGCTGGAGATTCGGTTCATGAAAATGCAAGTGCCGGTCTCCAGATCGTACAAGTGAATGAAACCGTACTTAGTGACAAGGTAGACAATGTCGTACTTCTTGGAGACTTGCATGGCAACCGGGAAATCGTTCGTGGCTTCGGGAGGGAAGAACACTTCTACTGCCTTCTTCTGGAAGCGCGGGTTTGGTTCCTGGTGGTCAATCTCCGCAATTTGCAGCTTGGCGCCCGTTTGTGTGCGAACAGCGAAGGTGAAGAGCTTATGTTCTAAAGGAGAACCCTCAACTCTTATCGAGGCGAAAGCTGCGGCATGACCCTCAATGGACTGGGAGATACCCCGTTCGCGGGAGTATAGTTGCATTGATCCAACAACGCGTCCTTGTTGCTGGCTAATGCCAACCACTACACTCCACTTCTCCTCATCGTTCACTCGGTAGTTGATAATTTGACATCCCTATTACAAGCGCGTTAGAAGAACCACGAAAGGAACAAGACGTAGATAGCGACTTACGCTGAGATTGGGAAGTCGGTCAAACTGCTTCACTGGATTGGGCTGGTTAGGGTCGAAGACGTCCCAATGCCAGACAGAGGTGTCCGTGACTAAACCCAAGCTGGTCTCGCTGAACCATTTCCAGTATACGACATCCTCGTTCATCAAAGCGGATTTGAGCTTCTGCTTTGCCGACAGGTCGAAGATCTGAATTGTTCTCGACTGTGCCTTCAACGCAATAACATTTCGAGACCAGTGCATGATGGCACTGTCTGCATTAATCGGACGCTTGATAATCTCATTGTTGTTTTTGAGGTTGATGATGATAACCTGAGGTTTGTCGGTCTCGCTGACCTTCTGTCGCACGCAAATGTAGTGGTCGGACTCTAAGGTCTAAATAGGCGGACGAATATCAGTGCATGTCATTTTCAACCTCAAATGCGATTGGTACTTACACATGAGTTGAAACCGATTGACGATGGCTGTATGAGCGGAAGCAAGTTAGTATCAAGTTATAGATCGATGATAATAGGATGAAGATGTTTTTGCGACAAGGCGACTATTACTCGCACAGTAACACGGAAAGGACGGAAGTTGGCAGAGCGCCTCCATACCTCAATCTCTGCGTTCGTCAACTAGTCAAAGTGAAGCCAAGGTCAGTTTCATCTATAGTCACCATAAGATTCGCATCGTGGAAGGCAAGTACCTGTAGCAGCTCCGTAAACTTGATGGGGAGAGGAGCCATGTTTATGTTATTAGGCCGCAGTACGACCACATCCAAACGCCGAAAGATCAATCAAGGAGCGAATCTGAAATACAAGAAAAACAGAATCAGGAATCAAATTGGCCTCCTGTGGGAGAATTGTAAGGAAGAAATAAGGGGAATAAATGAGAGGATCGAAGGGGAGGTGAGGAGGATTTGTTGTTGCGGAAGGAGCTTCAGGGGACCTGCCAGTTGCTTAGGTGGTCGCTTACTCAAAGTCACGTGCTGTCCGCCCAGCTGGGGAGACAATGAGGGCTGGAACACGTGTGGGTAAATATAGCATCAATTTCTATGTCGTCATTGTTTGGCAGAACATGGAAACATTTGTAACAAAATAAATACCAAACAAATAAAGGCGTCACATTATAATAGTCTGAACTGATAATAGATGAACTAAAACTACCAAGCCTATTTACACCCAATGATTCACACTGACTTGGTTTAGTTGGCTATACTTTTATAGTCTGAACCTACCTTTGTGCATGGCCTAGTAGATACCCATAGTAACAAACCTTTATAAGATAATATCTCATGCATATAGAGACCATCCCAATCTTGACAACCTGAGTAGTGGTCCCTTATAAGGTCTCAACGATGGAAGTAGTGAGCAGGGTTACGGCAGGTCATGTCGAAGTCGTTCATATCTAATCATCGATATCGATTGTCGAACAACTGGCAGGTATTGCTTGAGCTCTCGCAGGCCGTGTACCCATAGATGCTAAGCAAGTCCCTTGCGTATGTGACAGCATCTGTCTTTCGTTGTGCGGCTCATCGATCGGCGTGGAATCGGGCTGGTGGCTTTCGTGACCAAGGGAGTCCTCTAGTCTCCCAGTTCATCTTCAAGGGAAGAGTCGCGAACTCATACATGCGTCTTGCTGGGGCGGTAGCTGACCTATCGTCATTCCGACCTTGTGCATGAGTCAATGACGCGGACGCAACTGCCATATATAGTCTCTTGTATAAAGATGTAAGTCAACTTTTGCGCTGTTGTTAGTGTGTAACTGCGTGAGTCACTAATGGCCTGGTCAGCAGCCTTCATGGTCATGCAGGTTATGGTTGCGTGATTTGCAGGGAAGCCGGTTAAGGGACTAATTCCGTATAGCACATGTATTTTGAGCGGCCCTCCTTGTCGGCAAGACTGAGGCATTGTTGCAGCCGTCCATTTCTTGCTCCCTGGCCCTTTCAGCTCTCGTGCTAATATGCCAGTCGAACACGGCAGAGAGTCAACTAATGTACTGATAAGCCTCGGCCATACATGGTCTTAAGCCGGAAGACATCGGGATGGCATGTACAGATTCAGGGATTCTCGAGACATGCTAGGGTCGACAGAGTCGGTCAGATGTGTTTCACGCGGAAAAGTATAGAGTAATGATATTTGTAAAGCGAGCTTGCAGCGAAGTCGACCGGAAACCCGAGGTTAAGGTGTGAGGTTGATCGCGTTGTTGATGGATGTTTAGGAGTGTCGTGACGGAGTAATGGAAAGCGGCTCGGATATTTGTGGAGCCAGGGAGGCAGTGGATGCCTCGGGCAACAAACCGCTGTGTTAGCAATTCGATTACCCAAGGGCTATCTGGATGCTCCGCTATCTTTTTATCAACCCTAACTCTATGACACCATGCTCAGCAACTACGGCTATGCGGATTCTGGACCGTCTCGGTGGTTGATCTCCATCCCAGAGGATACATGTGATTGGACATCTTGATGCTTCCTATCAGGTCGCTTCCAGACTTCTAGTCAGTCCGCGGGCTATCAGAACGCCAATGGGACAGTCCCCATCTCGCCAAACCGTACGTAGGTGGAAGATCTACTACCTACATCATCACTCGTGTCCCGCCTACCCACATACCCACTGGATATGTTACGTATTGGCATTATTGGTGCAGCTGGTCAGCATCGTCAGGATCGAGGAGATTTGATCACGTTCTCCGGAGTCTGTACTACTACTCCATACTCTCAGTCACTAGGAAATCTTAAAATAATTGGCTAGACATATCCCTCTGCCGAAATTCGCGCCTACGTTGTCCGCTGGTCGGAGCACGAGAATACATAGGCTCTCTGATTCCAAGCTCGGAGTTGATTGAGCATATAAGGAGACGACCAAGCCGTGCTTGGCCTGCCGAGCATCTTCAAGGGTCAATTGATTTTCCTGGGCATTTCCCCGTCTTCTCCAAAGGGAATTCTGCAGTTGTGGCAGTGAGCTCTTCTGTCCTCTACCACACCAAGCTCCCTTGATACGACGACATAAAATTCGCTATCTCGGGCAGTTCTTTCCTCGAGCGCACTGCTATCTTCTGTAAGTAAGTATCTCTGTACTACTGCACTTCGTAGTCGTACTACGCAGTGGTAGTATTTGGATGAAAGCCTTTTTGCTTTGGCTGTCTGTTATTTTTTTTTTTTGGTTTATGTTAAAAACACCATTACACCATCGCGTACCCATATTTATCCGCAGCGACCCACGAATCGAGTCACCGGCTCACCGTGATACATGGCCCCAAACTTCCAGTCATGCGGCATGGCAGAAAAATCAAAAAATTGCAAAAGATGATCATCTTCATGGTTGCAGGATGCATCTTTACTGAATTAACCGTGCGGTGAGCTTGGGGAGTCTCGGCGGGTGGTGGCTATTGGCAAAGCTATTTGATAAGATCGGTTGATTATCGATAAAGCCTCCTTTTCCAAGCTTCGCGATTGGCTTTTAGGGGCCGATACGGTGTATTGCATAATACAATTACACGGGAAAATTACAGCGAGCAGCACCTTCCCTGTCTGCCTGCACTCCTTCCCCCTCCCCCGCATGAATAGCTTCCTTCTGTCCTTGACTGAGACTCATCAATAAATCTTAAAGCGCAAACTTCCCAAGCAGTTCTTTTCTTCAACATCCTCCCTCTTCACTCTTTCACACACTCCTGTTCTGTCTGCATCCTCTCCGAACGCTCAATTGATTCAATTGATTCAATTGATAGTCTTACCAGCGGTACTGTCTCCGCCCCGCTGTCGTGCCCTCCGAGATCTCCGCCGTCATCTATCTCCCTGTGCAACCCGCCGCGCCCATTTTGTTTATTTGACATTTCTTATTTGCAAAAGAAACCTATACGAGACTAACGATCGACTACTCACAGACCCTTCTACATATAGTCCACACGCTACGATTCCCAAGTTCCTTAAATCGGGGACCTCGGTTCTGTCTCCGGTCACGGCGTCCGCCCCGCTGAAGCACCTTGGTTGAGTCAACCCAGCCAGAGTCAGAATCGCCAAGATTCTCGACTAACCTCACATCCATCCCCAGCCATTACCAAACTTCTTTTAAAAAATCCTGGACAGACCCTTTTTTTTTCCCTCCCTTTCCTGCTTTCTTCCTCTTCAAGTCCTTTAAGTCTTCTGCACTCCGCAATTCCCGTTAGGAAGGGGTTCATCTAGTTAAACCCTTCCGGCTCGTGTTCTTGTGAACAGAGCACAGCTACCTTCACATTTCGTCATGGCGAGCGATACCAAATACCTCCGTGAGGAGGCTATTGATGACTCGGACGTCGTCGATGATAACCCTCACGCCGATTCCGTCCATCACCGTCTACGGGCCAATTCTACCATCATGCACTTTGACAAGATCTTGGTGGCTAACCGAGGCGAAATCCCTATTCGTATTTTCCGTACCGCACACGAACTTTCTCTCCAGACTGTCGCTGTCTACTCGTGGGAGGACCGTCTGTCAATGCACCGTCAGAAGGCTGACGAGGCCTACATCATCGGTAAGCGAGGTCAGTACACCCCCGTGGGTGCCTACCTAGCTGGCGACGAGATTATCAAGATTGCTCTTGAGCACGGTGTTCAGTTGATCCACCCTGGTTACGGTTTCCTGTCCGAGAACGCCGAGTTCGCGCGCAATGTTGAGAAAGCTGGTCTCGTCTTCGTTGGGCCTACCCCCGATACCATTGATGCTCTCGGTGACAAGGTCTCTGCTCGTAAACTTGCCGTCAAGTGCAACGTTCCCGTTGTCCCCGGTACCGAAGGCCCCGTCGAGAAGTTCGAAGATGCCAAAGCCTTTACTGATCAATACGGCTTCCCCATCATTATTAAGGCTGCCTTTGGAGGCGGTGGTCGTGGTATGCGTGTCGTTCGTGAGCAGGAATCACTGAAGGATGCATTTGAACGTGCCACGTCCGAGGCCCGCTCTGCCTTCGGTAACGGTACCGTCTTCATTGAGCGTTTCCTCGACAAGCCTAAGCATATTGAAGTGCAGTTGCTTGGAGACAACCTAGGAAACGTCGTTCACTTGTATGAGCGTGACTGCTCTGTTCAACGTCGTCACCAAAAGGTCGTCGAGTTGGCACCTGCCAAAGATTTGCCTGTTGATGTGCGCGATAAGATTCTCAGTGATGCTGTCAAGCTCGCCCAGTCTGTGAACTATCGCAATGCCGGCACAGCTGAGTTCTTGGTTGACCAACAGAACCGTTACTACTTCATTGAAATCAACCCTCGTATCCAAGTCGAACACACCATCACAGAGGAAATTACCGGTATCGATATCGTCGCTGCTCAAATCCAGATTGCCGCCGGCGCCACACTTGAACAGCTTGGTCTGACTCAGGACCGCATTTCTCCTCGCGGGTTCGCCATTCAATGCCGTATCACCACTGAAGACCCCGCCAAGGGTTTCTCTCCCGACACGGGCAAGATCGAGGTTTACCGGTCGGCCGGTGGTAATGGTGTCCGTCTTGACGGCGGTAACGGTTTCGCTGGAGCCCTTATCACACCCCACTATGACTCCATGTTGGTCAAGTGTACTTGCTTGGGATCGACTTATGAGATTGCTCGTCGTAAGATGATTCGAGCTCTCATTGAGTTCCGTATTCGCGGTGTCAAGACCAACATTCCTTTCTTGACCTCGCTTCTTTCCCACCCTACCTTTATCGATGGCAATTGCTGGACAACGTTCATCGATGATACCCCTGAACTTTTCTCTCTTATTGGTGGACAGAACCGTGCCCAGAAGTTGTTGGCATACCTCGGTGATGTTGCTGTTAACGGAAGCAGCATCAAGGGACAGATTGGCGAGCCCAAGCTCAAGGGCGACATCATTAAGCCGGTCTTGCTTGACGAAGCCGGCAAGCCTCTTGATATTTCCAAGCCCGCCAGTCAGGGGTGGAAGCAGATCTTGGATTCACAGGGTCCAGAGGCTTTTGCCAAGGCTATCCGCGCCAACCAGGGCTGTCTCATTATGGACACTACTTGGCGAGATGCTCACCAGTCATTGCTTGCCACTCGAGTGCGTACTATTGATTTCTTGAACATTGCTCGCGAGACCAGCTACGCCCTCAGTAATGCCTATAGTTTGGAGTGCTGGGGTGGCGCAACTTTCGACGTCGCCATGCGCTTCCTTTACGAAGACCCCTGGGACCGTCTGCGCAAATTGCGCAAGGCTGTTCCTAACATTCCTTTCCAGATGCTCTTGCGTGGCGCCAACGGTGTCGCCTATTCTTCGTAAGTGAACACGTCCTCTGTATTTTTTATTTTTATTTTTTTTACCAGCATCTAACCATTGATAGCCTCCCTGATAATGCCATCTATCACTTCTGTAAACAGGCCAAGAGGAACGGTGTCGACATTTTCCGTGTCTTTGATGCTCTGAATGACATTGACCAACTCGAGGTTGGCATCAAGGCCGTCCAGGCTGCTGGTGGTGTTGTTGAGGCCACTGTCTGTTACTCTGGAGATATGCTCAACCCCCACAAGAAATACAACCTCGAGTACTACCTTAGCTTGGTCGACAAGATTGTGGCTTTGGGAACTCATGTCTTGGGTATCAAGGATATGGCCGGTGTTCTCAAGCCTCAGGCTGCTACCCTTCTCATTGGTTCCATCCGCAAGAAATACCCCGATCTTCCCATCCATGTCCACACCCACGACTCTGCAGGAACTGGTGTCGCATCTATGGTTGCCTGCGCCCAGGCTGGTGCTGACGCCGTTGACGCAGCTACTGACAGCATGTCTGGCATGACTTCTCAGCCCAGCATTGGTGCTCTTTTGGCCTCGTTGGAAGGAACTGAATGGGACCCTAAGCTCAACATCCGCCATGTCCGCGCACTCGATGGATACTGGCAACAGTTGCGTCTTCTTTACTCTCCTTTCGAGGCCGGTTTGACTGGTCCCGATCCAGAGGTCTATGAGCACGAAATCCCTGGTGGTCAGCTCACCAACCTTCTCTTCCAGGCCACCCAGCTGGGTCTCGGAACACAATGGGCAGAAACCAAGAAGGCCTACGAGGCCGCCAATGACCTTCTTGGAGACATTGTCAAGGTCACTCCTACCTCCAAGGTTGTCGGTGACTTGGCTCAATTCATGGTGTCTAATAAGCTTTCTGCCCAGGACGTCATTGACCGGGCTGATCAGCTCGACTTCCCTGGATCCGTCTTGGAATTCCTTGAGGGTCTTATGGGTCAACCTTATGGTGGATTCCCTGAGCCTTTGCGTTCGAAGGCTTTGCGCAACCGCCGCAAGCTTGACAAGCGTCCTGGTCTGTACCTTGAGCCTCTTGATCTTGCTAAGATCAAGAACGAAATCAAGGAGAAGTTCGGTACTGCCACTGAAACCGACGTTGCCAGTTACGCCATGTATCCTAAGGTTTTCGAGGACTACCGCAAGTTTGTTTCCAAGTATGGGGACTTGTCTGTCCTTCCCACACGATACTTCCTTGCCCGCCCTGAAATCGGTGAAGAGTTCCACGTTGAGCTTGAGCAGGGTAAGGTGCTCATCTTGAAGCTGCTCGCCATCGGTCCTCTGTCCGAGCAGAAGGGTCAGCGCGAGGTCTTTTATGAGATGAACGGTGAAGTCCGTCAAGTCACAGTCGACGACAACAAGGCGGCCGTTGACAACACGGCGCGTGTCAAGGCCGATCCTCTCGACAGCAGCCAAGTCGGAGCTCCCATGAGCGGTGTCGTTGTCGAAGTCCGTGTTCACGAAGGTTCTGAAGTCAAGAAGGGTGATCCAATTGCTGTTCTTAGCGCCATGAAAATGGTAAGTCTCTTTTCCTAGACCCAAATGCCACAGCAGATACTAACAAGTCGCAGGAAATGGTTATCTCCGCCCCTCACCATGGAAAGGTCTCAGGCCTTGCAGTCAAGGAGGGCGATTCTGTTGATGGTCAGGATCTTGTGTGCAAGATTGCCAAGTAATGATTGAGCGGATATTGTGTTTATTAAGTTTCCTCTGTTCATGATGACTTATAGTACCTTGTAAAGGTTCCCTAAATCACGGTGATGAGTAATGGTTAGAAATGATATTTTTATTTATTCCAGCTATTCATAGTGGTTGATTAATCTATTTAGTAATCTATGTAATCTAATTTTGAGTAAGACATTTGAAAAATGTTTTATTTAAGACAGAAGTCGGTAAGTTACATTGAAGTTATTTTGTGCCTTATGCCTGATATGTAAGGCATAACATAAAATTGTGGAACTCATAACTTCCAACCAATCATCTTCCGCCAAACTTGTCATCAATTTGAAGACTTGCATCAGATCCATTAGATCAATCTAATGTGAAGCAGGACATATAACGATATAAAAACCTTCTGAAGGGACGTGTCAGTCGCGATGCCTAAACTAACAACTGTATCATAACCTTGACTTATCCGCGCCGGTATTAAGAGAGACATGGAAGACTCCCGCTGTCTGAAGTATTGGTTGTTACTATTTGCAGTTTCTGTACAAATCTTTGGCATCGTTTCGATCCTGCTTGTTTGGAATATAAACAGACAGAAGAAGAGAAGAACCAGTCCGGCGTGGACGACAGATGAGAAACCCTCATTCCGAGAAGCAGCGGACGCAATGAGCCAAGAAGCAAACGAGGCAATCCTGCTCAATCTAGGAGAGCACGGGTACATTCAAGGCAGGACAATCGGCGACGACGATGTTGTCTTAGTGCATTATTTCGGCGGCGTTCGCTATGCGTTTCCGCCGTCAAAGCGATGGGGAATGGCAGAGAGATTACCGATTGATTATTCGTATGGTAGTAAGACCAACCCTGGGATGTGTGACGGAAGAGCGGTGCATTGTCCGCAGCCGTTTATGGGGGACCAGGGGAGCGAGGATTGTTTTGAGTGTAATGTTTGGATGCCTGTGGGAGAGAGGCCGGACGGAGGTACGTTTTCATTAACGATCGGATTGGGAATGTATACTGATAGAGGTGCAGGATGGCCGGTTATATTCTACATTCGTAAGTATTCCTACACCTGATCGATTCTTGCTTGCTCCTAACAGTAATGATCAGACGGCGGATTCCTACAGACAGGTAGCCCCAACGACATAAACCCATCCCGTCTCATAGGCGAAACAGACCTAAAATGCGTCATTATCGCTCCAGTCTACCGTCTAGCCGTCCTCGGGTTCCTGAGCTCTAACGAACTTGCGCAGGAAGCTGCCTTACGGCACGAACCATCCGGTAACCAGGGATTCTGGGATCAACGGATAGCGCTTGAATGGGCTTATGAGTATGCTCGTTATTTCGGTGGAAATGGAGGAAATATTACTGTAGCTGGGTATTCTGCTGGTTTGTTACTCTTATATTCGTCTAGGAAAAGGGAGCTGTAGTTGACAGTTGACAGGATCATACTCGGTTTTTCACCAACTCGCGCACGATCTATACCTCCCGCAAGAAAAGAGTCTTATCCGACGAGTCATCATGCTCTCCAATGGACCGGGAGTACAACCAAAACCAGCACCAGAAGTCCAGAAACAATTCAATCACCTCCTCATCGCACTAAACATACCGCTAACCCTCTCATCAGCCAAAAAACTTGCGCGATTACGCAACGTGCCAACAACACAACTCATCACTACAAGCATCAAGACACAATACCACCAATATAGACCATGGCATGACGGCAAGTTTGTGCCTAGCTCATTGTTTCCGGATATTGATAATGGAGAGTTTGCGCGGAGGATGGTTGAGCGGAATATTCGGTTGATGAATGGGGAATGTCGTGATGAGCATTTCCTGTACGGGACGTGGTATACGCCTAACAATTCACTCGGATCGTTACGACGACGGCTGGAAGCTGATTATCCATCAGCCGTTTGTGACGCGTTAACTAATCTCTACTATCCCGACAGCAACCTACCTCCCGGGGTCGAGAATTGGCAAGATGCCTTTGGCAGAATATACGCCGATGTACAAGTGCACATGCTCGAACGCGGCTTCATGAACGCACTCGCCCAAACCGGTGCAGCGCATCTTCTCTATCGATATCGAATCGAGTATCGCGCGAAATGCGTCACGCTTCCACCTGAGTGGGGGGTCACGCATTCGAGTGATATGGCGATGTGGTTCTGGGGCAACGGGGCAAGATTGGAGATGGATGAGGAGAGGGTTGTGGGTGAAGCGTTGATTGAGCCGTTGGTTGAGTTTGTGAATGGGAGGGAAGTTGAGGGGTGGGTTGACGATGGGCCATCAAGAGTGCAGAGGGTGAGGAGGTTAAGGGCGGATGGGGGAGTGGATGTTTGGGTTGATGAGGGCGAGATGTGGAGGAAGGGATTGAGGATTTGGGGTGCGTTGGCACCGGCGAGGAGAGATGTTGCGAAGTTGTAGATTATTAATAGTTTACTATTGTATAGAGAGGAATGTCAATCGATCCTCAACAGAGTGATGGCGTATGTCTATTCGATGAGTTGAACATATATAGAGAATATTCTGTTCAATATATCTCCCCTCTCGGTCCGTGAGAAACTAACGTCCCCGCATGTCAGCTTCCAAGCACCCCGCAAACCTGATACTTAACAGCCATCAAGTATTGGATAACCCTTTGCTACAAAACCCCAATCAGAAACTCATCCCATCCACCCTGCTACCTCATCCAGTCTAGCTCATAGGATCTATGACCACATTGACCAGCAATGATGATGTTGAGACTCAATATCATAGGTAGACCAGATCCGTAACCCAATGGGAAGCCCTAGATGAACAGTTTGATCCATGGAGAAGTATATCCCGTCGTGTGTCGTATGACAATTAGTGGTACAGATTAATAATTAAATATTAATAATTCAGTGTCTGATTGATTTACTCCTCTCGAAGACTTATATCGAGGCACCCATTACACATAATCTGAATAGCCATCAACCACAAAATCCATAATAAAACATAACATGTCGGACAATACCAGCACATCCCCCCGTCGTCACTGGAACGGTCAACCCGGTGCCCGCCACGAACATCAAAACGTCTGGCTGAACGGCGGTATCCGATCAACCGCTCCCTCAGCACCATGGGCTGGCTGGGATGCTCACAAGAAGCGTCGTGTACGCCCCCTTCTTCCTGTCTCTTCATCTTTATGCTAACTTTGAGGGGGAGGAATCCGAATCATCGTCATCCACAAAATCAACTGAGAGTAGACGCTCCAGCGGCACGGGAAAATCACTGTTTGATACTCTGCACACACAGAAGAGAGGAAGTTACTCCGATCCGAGTCATGAGCAGAGGAGGAAGAGTTATGCAGAGATGATGCCTGAGAAGGGATTTTTTGGGAAGTTGTGGCATGGGTATACGTCTGGGTCGAAGTGATTTGTATTGCAAATCTGCTTGTGCAATGTTTGAATTCAGTTTTGCTTTCTCACCAATGTCTCTGTTGAACGAGTATCGAAATCTAAGTCGAGGTTATGAATTGAGTGAATCGTCCTTCATTGATCATAGACTGACATGGCTATGCTAAAGGTTCCATTTCCATAATGGACTGTGTGATATCGCCCCCTAGACTCTAGTGCAGCCCTCATCGGTAAGCCCGGCAAAGTGTCTACTCATCTATCGATGAACAGACTGCCTTGTATTTGTTAGAGCACATGGTTTTAAAAAAAAAAAGAAAAGATGTTATTTCTCTTTTCTTCCTTCCTTGAGGATAAAAAAAAAACAGCGCCAATTATATCACCATTTTTTGAAACCATTTCGAATAAACACAAGACACATGAACATAAAAAGTACCCCCCGCACCGAGAATTTCTTCAAGTTTTTGCTATGCATTTATCGGACAATTCCCTCGAAGCGGTTCTTGAACCACTTGATGGTCTCGGCTTGGGTGATACGGTGGCTGGAACCGATATGAGCTTTGGCGCGTCTACGCTTGGCGATACGCTCTCCAGGACGGGTCCTATTCTCGTCAGCTGGAAAATTCATTTACAGTTGCATATGGTGTCACTCACATGCAGCAGTAAAAGTCCATTCCGTAGATACCAATACCAGGGTCGTACTTGATACCCAAGTCAATGTGTTCGCTGATACCGAAGCCAAAGTTGCCAGTCTCGGAGAAGTTGCGCTTCCTCAACTCGTATTCCTTGACCTTGAGACCGCGCTCGAGAATCTCCTCAGCCTTGGGGCCGCGGACGGTAACGTGGACGGCAATCTTTTCGTTACGACGGATACCAAAGGTACGGACGGTGTAGCGAGCCTTGCCTATACGAATATCAGCATCTACCTATTCCCTTGTGTGCGTGGTGTTGTCTCGTTGTATCGTCTTCTTCCGATCGAAATCAGGGCCCTTACTGTAAACAGGAGTTTGACCGCTCAACTGCTCAAGCACCTTAGCAGCACGGGTGAGTCTGTCACCAGATTCGCCGACCGAAATGTTGAGCACGAGCTTTTGGATGCGCAGCTCGCGCATGGGGTTGGCGCTCTTGTCCTTTCCTTCCGACTGTAATTGTTAGATCTCATCTCGTATCGTATATATGTTAATGCTTCAATGGAAAACATACCATGGCGACGGTGTTGTACTGGTCGACTGGTTGGATGGAAGAAATCAATCAATCTTTAAAATCAAGACTCCAACTTTCTTCCCGTTGTGCAAAAGATCGTTGTGGGCGAGGAGGAAGCGAGAAGCCCTAGCGTCTTGGCAGCGGTCGGCTACTATAAGCGCCAGCCGCCATAACGCTATACTACATATGGATAGATTAGCCGCCGACCCAAGCTCTTTGACTTTCAACTTTGCGGTCGAGCTTGACAATTCGTCCATAACGTCAGATTCTGACGGCGTCCTGGTTCTGATTTCTTTCTACGTCGAGACGCAGAGTACGACCAAAGGGACAAGTGACCATTTTTTGAGAGATAACTCAAGTCGCATTCGTGCGCATATATTTCCCAATGGCGGCGAACAAGCAGGGTAAAATGGTAAGTCGGGAGAGAGACTGACTATGTGAGGAGTATGGCTGACCATTTATTAGCAAAATCTGGTATGTCTAGGGCATATTTTTGATGTTCTCATCGTCGTTCTAATACCACGTTAGATCAACTATCGCATGCGCGTTACGTTAAATGATGGCCGACAAATGACAGGCCAGATGCTGGCATTCGACAAGGTATATACCCTCGTATCACTGTTACAGAGGTTCTATGTTAACTGTTACCAGCATATGAACCTGGTCCTCGCCGATACAGAAGAATTCCGTCGCGTCAAACGGAAAGCCACCAAACAAGCCCCCGGCGCTGCACCCGCGCCTCTCGTCGAAGCAGAGGAAAAGCGAACCCTCGGTCTCACAATCGTTCGAGGCACAAATGTTGTCTCGTGCTCGGTAGATGGTCCTCCTCCTGCAGATCCCTCAGCTCGTCTGGGTACCAGTGTACCGAACGTTCCTTCAGGAGCTGCTACACTCTCAGCTGGTCCTGGTATTAGTAGACCTGCTGGACGAGGTCTCCCTGTTGGACTTGGAGGTCCGGCTGCTGGTGTTGGTGGTCCTGCTCCTGCTGGATTTGGGGGTTTTCCTCCTGCGCCGGGATTTCCTGGTGCTCCCCCACCAGGATTTGGTGGACGTGGTGGTCCTGGAGGTCCTCGTATGTATTCCTTTTCGAGTGCTATAAGTTTATTCTAATTGGATTTTCACAGCTGGCTTTGCTTCTCCTGGATTCCCTCAAGGCGCTCCTGGTGGTCCTCGTAAGTCTTTTCTTTCATGTTGTGTCTGAAACTATACTAAAATATTGGCTACCACAGCTGGCTTCCAACCACCTCCCGGTTTCCAACCCCCCGGTCAAGGTCGCGGTTACCCACCTCCAGGATTCGGTGGCCGATGAGTTTAGATATATCCCAATTGCAACAAAATACTTTACTCGCAATAGCTATGAGTGTTTCGTTGATATTCAACAACGGTTTTCACGATCACGGTCGATTTCGAATCCCTTTTCATACCCACCGAAGACAACCTATCGAACCAAATCTCGACAAGACATGCTCTCAACTTATAAAGGAGCTATTCTATCTATCTATCAAACAAAATCACTGGCAAGGCGTTGTGGCGTATGTGGATGTAGGTTGGCGGTATCAACAGTCCAGCGATGAAGAACAGAGGTACCAAGACTAGTTCATCACATAAAAGAATATACAAAATACCAAACAAATAATACCACCGACTTCTTTTTCCATAACTACACTCAACTCCTCAACTACGTCCGTAGTTAAGAATTAATATCAGTAATCATCCACGTGACCTACTCTATATCGGGAGAACCATCGGAGGTTACGGCGGTCGCAGCCGACCCCGGTGAAGCCCCCGGAATCTTGAACTACCTCGCGTAGCTCAACGTTTCTCCCTTTCATACACTCCACGAAATCAAAAGAGATATAGAGATAGAGGCGTCTTCTGAGAAATAGAAGTCACCATGGCAGCTGCTATCAAAGCTATCAATGCGAAGATTCGCTCTAACAAGGTGTTGGATTACTTCTTCTCTACACGTATGTATCAGCTTTCTTCTAGCTATCTCGATGAGATTATTTGCGTTCGTGGATTGGATGTTTATCCGATATCATATCGCATGTAGTAATGGAGAAGTCACTGACTGATTCACTTCTATACAGATTTCTGGGGCCCAGCTTCGAATTTCGGTATCCCCATCGCCGCTGTAATGGACATTCAGAAAGATCCTGAAATGTGAGCTCCATGCCCTCTATCACTATCCGCCCTCGTCGAGATATCTAAAAATACACAGCCGACAACAAGCATCCAAAGCCCAGCGCTGATTGATACGTGTGTATAGTATATCCGGACCCATGACAGCCTCCCTAGTCGTCTACTCTGCAACATTCATGCGCTACTCCCTCGCCGTCACGCCCAAGAATTACCTCCTTTTCGCCTGTCATGCGATCAATTTCACCTCTCAGAGTATACAGGGATATAGGTATTTGAATTATTGGAAGTACGTCTCCCAACCAAAATCATCATAGTCATCTCTTTCTGGTAGAAGGGAAAGTGCTAATTATTTGTTGAATAGCTGGGGAGGTCGTGAGAAAGCACTTGCTGAAAAAGGTGTATCAGAAGGGGCGGTTGCTAATGCTCAATAAATAATATAATTTCTTTTTTTTTCGTTTTCGTTTTCGGGTAATTGAGGTTTTGAGGTTTTGATATATACCTAATATTAGACATTCATTCTTAGACAGCCATCTAGGGATAGCATTGTATTAGAGACTATTGGTAGAAGCGTAAGTAATTCTGCAGAACTTTGAGTATTTCCAACTCCGAAAGATTCAATCATCTAAACCGTCCTATACACACAGGGTCGCTCTTCTGTACTTCTATGCAGGTCACCATCTTTCAATCAAACCTCAAACACAATGAGAATAGCAAAAACAACATGCTTTATAAACTTTCAAATAGAGAAACCGAATCAACGAGGAATGAACGACATCAGAACAGTATATGCGAGGGAAAAACAGGGGGTAGATATCCCAGACAAAATGAATGAACCATGTTCATTGCAGAGGTATTATCAACTATACATCACAATACCCCGGAGCTTCTGGAGCCGGTGGGACGCCGACCCAGTTATAGATCGTTAGTGTTGTAGTGTAGATACAACATATCACGCCAATAACGGCCAAACCGATATCAGCGGAGCGCTGGAATCTGGTTGTTGCACATGCCTTGAGATGAAGCAAAGGCTGTAATTTTGTGTTAGTAGTTATACCAGGAAAAGAAAAGAATCAACTTACAGGATAGACATAGACAAGCGGTACGCAGGCAAAACTGCCAACAAGTGAAACAAACTTGTCAAGATCTCCAGCACCACCCCAAGCCACAAACGCGCAAAACATGACAAGCATGAAGCGGAAGAAATTCTTCTTCCATTTGATGCCTGGATTATACTTGCCGCTGCGAGTAAACAGCTCGTTCTCGCAGATACGAATCGCCGGGAAGAGTTGTAGTGGTGTACTCAATAAGATGGCCAATGAGTAAAGGAATTGCACTGCATTCACAAACTTGTCGTCTTGCGGAAGGTTGAGAAGAACAACTGTCTTCGTAGCGGATCCATACGCAGCATAGCTGACAGCACCAGCTGATAAGAAGATAACGGTGATAATAATCATGACTGCTGCCAAAACTCCTGGAAACTTTTTTGGCTGCTTCATGGACTCTTGGATGGGGATAATGAGTCCCACACCTTCGTAGGTGAAAATTGCCGTACCAATGAATAGAGTCCAAGAATTGGGGTTGAAGGCGATAATATCGGAAACACCATTTTGGTCAATAATTGTAGAGATGTCGTAATAATAAAGATAGATCAATCCAAGCATGATGAAAACATCGGCAACGAGCGCGGTAAAGCCCAGCTTGCTGATATCGCGGATCAATGACAGCGGAAGGAAAATGATCAGTTGCATGAGCACCATGAACTTGATATCAATGTACGTCAAACATTTGCTGACAGCTAGAATGAAGGCTTGCAAATTCTGAGACGTAAAGACGATGTATGCAGCAACGAAACCCAGCTGGCTGAGCACGATTGAGCCAAGAATGATTCGTCGCATCCATTTCCCGTACAGGATACCACCGATATCACCAAAGGATCCCTCAATCTTTAGTCGCGAGTTAACCAGCAGTATGAAACAATAGAAACTGACTAGAGAGACCACCAAAAGGACAATGGAGCTAAATAGCATTCCTCCGTTCAAGAAAGCACGAGGTAGGAAAAGAACACCAGTACCGACAAACGATTTGAGAAGAAGCAGCGCAGCACCCATGGACGTATTTGTCCCTTTAGGAGCCCGTTCTTTATGTTTGCGTCTTTTCATTCCAGGAGTGTCTGGGCGCAGCAAAGAAGTACTTTCTCCAGGATGTGCTTCATCGCCCTCCTCCCATACATCAGATGAAAAATATTCGCCAGGCCCTAGAACTTCGTCATCTTCCTCAAGCTCTTCACCAGCAAAATGACCATACAAAGTCAAAAACTCGAGGAAGTTGCTTGTCAAGAATCGTGGTTGGTTTGGCGCTGGATGTTGACCGTCTTCTGATCCATGTGGACCAGGGCTGCCCAAATTCCTCCGTATGTAATCTCGCCGGAATCCACCAGGAACTCGAATCGAGTTTATATTCATCGTTTCGCTCTCCGGTTCTGGTCTCTGGACTGAAAAACTGCGGCTCCTCGTCGGCCTCCTCAGCCCAGAAGCCTGAGCTTCAGCGTCTTCTGTCCAGCGATATACCTGTCTAGTCACATCACCACCTTGTAGTTGTAAACTCGAAAATTCATCATCATAACCGCCCGCGTCGCTCGAGGGCTGAGATACCCAAATGTCGAGGTCCGGCGGTCGCACCAAATGTCTCTTCACAACTTCCGGGTCTTCAGCTCCTCGTACGCTTTCAGAGCCGTCGTCGGTCGACTTGGGATCAAATGACCCATAATTTGAGCGCACAGGTTTGTCCACGGAGGGGTACTCGCGTAGACCTGGCAATGGTGGTTGTCTCGGAGGTGTACCAGACGGTCCAGCACCAGAGATCGAGCCGTTCGAGTCTTGAAGAGCAGACGCTAGAGCCGATGTACCAGGTCCTGGAAGCGAAGCTTTATTGTTTATCGTTGCAAGACTCTCATTTTGTGCGACCGGAGTGGCTATTCTTTTCCCCGATCTTACGGACGATGGCGTTCCTGTGTACGAGTTTGCAGGAAGCGGAGAAGCCAACCTGGCTATTGATGTTTCTCGACTCGAAGCTTCTGCTCTGGGTGAAGAGGAACGAAAGGAGCGAGGGATTGAACTTGGAATCTGTACCGAGCTTGATTTGACAGAGGACGCTACCTCCTCATTGCTGTCCATGACTTCGGCTGTTGTACCACACTTAGCGAGGTGGGGATAAGTCGCTCGAGCTCGAGGTCTTTAATAACGATTCATAGATGCTGAAGGGTTGGTATTCAATATTGGTGGCAATGGCAGATATCAAAGGAGTCAAGGTGATCTTATATTTTATCAGGTGGACAACTGCGACCCGCTGGCTGGCGCTGATTAGGCAGGTGCGCCATTCCGTCATATTGGTAAGTACAAACGGTAAATTACCGGTATTACCGAGCTTATCAGCAGTTTGCTCTGTTTGTCTGTAATGGCGATCATATCAACGGTTTCATGTGCGATCATTACGTATCTTTCAACTTCACAACAAAAGAGAAGAGACGACATATTTCATGCTTCAGACTGTTTACTGACTCATAATGACTTGCGGTCCTTTCAACTAGCAGTGGTAGTGTCTACCCACTTGTCCAAACGATTGGAGATTGTGTTTTTGACCATTGGTCGGGGAAACATATCGTGCAGAGTAGTCTGCGTTATGCATTGAAGAGAGCCGTCGGCTAGAGAATTTCAGGACTGGGTGGAAAAATGGCCTCCGGAAATTCAGGGCCATCTAACAGATCGACCCATTCTCGTCAACGGCCTGTATTCTCAGCACGTTCGGCGGAGGAGGACGCAGGTAGACTAGCTCCTAGTGAGACATCCCCAGAGACTGTTCGACGACTGCCTTCTCCTTCGGAGAATCCGTATCAGCCTATGACGGCAGCTACAAGATTGTCTCCCAGAAACTTCACACGGACTTCAACCTTTTTCGATGGTGTTTCACAGTGGTTCTCCCGTCCAGACACCGCTCCGGTCCAACGGGATCTCCATACGGCCTCTACGCAGTCGACCGACGCAAATGATGCGTTTGTGGAAGTAAACTCCGACCAGAAGAAGGATCGTGCACGGACGCACGACCTTCGTGCAAGCATGGCTGCTCAATCGAGCAAATTAGGCACCTTCTCTGGTGTCTTTGTACCCACCACGTTGAACGTGCTTAGTATTCTTATGTTCCTTCGTTTTGGGTTCGTCCTTGGGCAGAGTGGTGTTCTTGGAATGATGGGTAAGTTATCCATCTGCTGGTTGAGCGCACTTGACGCTGACGACTATAGGAATGCTTGTCGCATCGTATATCATTGACCTGTTGACAACAATGTCCATCTCAGCCATTGCAACCAACGGTACAGTACGTGGAGGAGGTGCTTACTATCTTATATCCCGCTCTCTGGGCCCAGAGTTCGGTGGCTCCATTGGTATAGTGTTCTATATGGGACTCATCTTCAATACCGGAATGAATGCACTCGGTTTAGTTGACTGCATGGTTGAGAATTTCGGAGTGGAATCAGGTTCGTGGTCGAGGTTTCTGCTAGAAGGGTTTTGGTGGAACTATCTCTGGGGGTCAATTGTCCTGCTTGTCTGCACCGCAATCTGCTTTGCTGGTAGTTCCATCTTTGCCCGAGCTAGTAACGGTTTGCTTGCAATTCTCTTGATTTCGACTTTTAGCATACCGCTCTCAGGGCTGATCCAGCAACCATTCAAATCAACCGAGCTGGGAGTTGAATTCACCGGATTCCGCACGAGAACATTTTTAGAGAACTTGAAACCTCATCTTACCAAAGGCGCTGCTGGAAGTCAACTACCGCATCGGGAGAACTTCCAGGATCTGTTTGGTATACTGTTTCCCGCGACTAGTGGAATATTTGCGTATGTTTTGATCCTTGATCTGGATGAGCTTTGCTAATTGCAATCAGTGGAGCCAACATGTCCGGAGATTTAAAGAATCCTAGCAGGTCCATTCCAACAGGCACACTATCTGGATTGCTTCTGACCTTCTTCACGTATACCGCTGTGATCTTATCGATGGCTGCTTCGATTACTAGACAGTCATTTTACAACAATGTCAATGTCATTCAAGTCGTAAGTGTCACTCTCTGCCGGATATGTACCTAAACTAAGTTATACAGACGAATGTGTCTGAGACCATGGTGTTGCTGGGAGAATTTGCCGCATCCTTCTTCTCGTCATTGTCTGGCCTCATTGGTGCAGCTAAACTACTTCAAGCCATCTCGCGAGACAATTTAGTACCGGGGTTGTCATTATTTGGCAAAGCCAGCACAAAAAGCGACGATCCGATATTAGCCATCATCTTCTCGTATGTCGTTGCACAAATCACCATGCTTTTTGACATCAACAAAATTGCTTCCTTCACGGCTATGACATATCTCATGACCTTCTTGGCTATCAACCTTGCTTGTTTTCTTTTGAAGATTGGCTCCGCGCCAAACTTCCGACCATCTTTCCACTATTTCAACTGGGTAACGGCGGCATTGGGTGCTGTGTTCAGTCTTGCCAGCATGTTTTTCGTCGATGGGGTCTACGCCACTGGGTGCATCATCGTACTAGTCTTTTTGTTTGTGCTAATTCATTATACATCTCCTCCAAAATCATGGGGAGACGTGAGTCAAAGTCTGATCTATCACCAGGTGAGGAAATATCTGCTCCGGCTCAAGCAGGAGCACGTCAAGTTCTGGCGGCCTCAGATCCTCCTGTTCGTGAACGACATGGACGCTCAGTATAAAATGGTTCATTTCTGCAACTCTCTAAAGAAAGGAGCGCTTTTTGTACTGGGCCATGTCATTGTGACCGATGATTTCACCAACGCAGTCCCAGAGGCACGCCGTCGGCAAGTGGTATGGACCAAGTTTATTGAGTACTCGAAAGTAAAGGCCTTTACGAATATCACAGTGGCACCGACAGCAGAGTGGGGAGTCCGCAATATTGTTCTGAACTCTGGACTTGGTGGTATGAGGCCAAATATCGTGATCATTGATCAGTACCGGCCCAACCAGAGTATAGGAGATATATTTCAACGCAGACCACGACGAAGGCACTCAAAGTCTGTTGGGGTTACGTTAACTCGGCAGGAATCAGATCCAAGTGCCGACGAAACAGATTTGACACCCTCCAACAGCGCACAAACATACATCACAATCCTTGAAGATCTGTTGTTCAAGCTACGCATCAACGTCGCTGTTGCAAAAGGCTTTGAGAATCTGGAGCTACCTAATCCCCGTGGTAGAAATGAGAAGACTTTCATTGATCTGTGGCCTATTCAGATGTCGGCAGAACTTGCTGCGGATCGACAGAGTAAGCAAAATGTCTTGACAACGAATTTCGATACATACACACTGATTCTACAGCTTGGCTGTATCTTGAACACGGTGCCTTCATGGAAGAAGAGCTACAAACTACGTGTGGCGGTATTTGTGGAGTATGAGAGCGATGTTGAAGAAGAACGCGGTAGGGTGTCGGCTCTTTTGGAGAAGCTCCGAATTGAAGCCAAGGTGCTTGTATACTGCCTGGCTGGGGGTGAATTACAGACCTATCAGATCATTGTCAATGGTGATACATCTTCTGCGAGTGAAGATGTATTGGAGGATGTAAACACTGTCCTCAAGGACGAGAGTTGGTGGCATGACATTCAGGATTTCCGCGACAAGACCAGCGGCAGTGCTCAACGGCCCGGCCAGTCATCTCGCGCGGCTGATCTACTAGGCGGTCTATCTCACTGGCCTGTTGCCTCATTCCAGCAGGGAGCACAGCGACAAGCAACGCCGAGGTTTGGGGGTATCAAGAACTTTGTACGATCCAACCGACAACAACGGAGGAGATCAATCTCTAGTTTCCGAGGATTGAGCGTGAATATGGGTATGCAGACGAGCAGACTGCTTGATGCTATGGTGAATTACCAGTCCGATGATAGTGAGGATTCAAGCACCACCGAAGACGAAGAGCAGGAGCCGTATGTGAGCGATAGCGATGATGGATCTACGACACCGCGTACTGGGGCGGCAACTCCAGTGATCAGGACTGTTACAGATACGCCAGAAAATATGTCACCTAGCCATACATCTGTCATGGAAACACTCTCGGCACAGGACGAAGCTGCAGAGGAAGAGGCAGGCAATCCAACCGACACCTTAGCAGCAAGACCGCAGATATCATCTCTCTCACGACCAATGTTCAGTCGCGCAGCGTCCGGAAACAGATTCTCCTCGTCGCCCATCCCAGAAACAAGAGTTAACCAAACCGAAGACACGGGCCCATCAATCATGTTCTCCGACTCACCACCACCACGACGAACAATCGACCTAGCCTCTGCCGATCCCCCTTCCCAAACCCACGAATCAATCTACACCCACCACCACCGCCAACGACCCGAATCCTCTACTCCAGCATCCTCAACTGCAGCATCAGGATTCCCCAACCAAGCTGCCATGCCCCTCTCATTCAACGACCTTCCCTGCCGCGCCCAACACCTAATTCTCAACGAACTCATAACGCGCCACAGCCACGAAACAGCGGTAATGTTCACAACGCTCCCATCCCCGATTGAGGGGACATGTCTCGATAATGCGGCTAGTGAAGCGTACGTTAGTGATATGGAAATCTTGTGTAGGGGGTTACCGCCTTGTTTGTTGGTGCATAGTAATAGTATGACTGTTACTATGAATTTGTAGTTCTTTTTTTTTCTCCTTCCTTTCGTTGTTCTTATTTACTCTTGTCTTTACGAAGAGCGTGTTTGTTTCAATGTTGTTTGTTTCGAGTTTGACTAGATTGACGCGGCATGGCGATGCGTATACGATTGATTGTTCAGAAATATAGTTGCATATATGATACCAGGAGGAGTTTATCATATCTAAACAAGTTTGAGAATGTCTCCCAACGCATTTACCTAGCTAGGTATAATATACCTAGGTTCCATCGTTCAATTAAAACATGCTATAGTCCAGAAATCAACGAATATAAATATATCCACGTTAAACCCAAATATACCGACGATCGAACAAGACAACCAAACACTCCCGTCTTCTTGCAACGAGAGAATTATTTAGTCCACCCCCCAGCTCTCTTCCAAAACTTCCATCCTTCCCTCCTCTCATTCCCAGATGCATGAACACCAACTAGTCTCTCAATCCCCTCCATACCGACCGCATTCTCAAATTTCTGCTGATCAATTTCCTCCCCACCTTCTTCATCAGTGACTCCATTCCTCAATACAGCGGGATACAAAACTCCCACCCCGTCACCGCCAAGTGTAGTTTCGAATTTCTCGAAATTCTCAGAGGTGAGTTTCTCTTCGAGATCTTGTAAGGTTTGTTGGGATGTGTTGGGTTTGATTAAAGTGATGGCGCAGCCGCCACCACCAGCGCCAGTGAGTTTTGTCCAGCCTATATTTACATAGTCGACTAATTCACGGATGCGTTCGAGACGCGGGTGGGAGACTCCCAGGGATACTAAGAGGCCGTGATTAATTCGGAAAAGGGCGCCGAATTGTTCTAGATCCTCATCGTCGTCGGCTTCGAAATCGTTCTCCTTGATCATTTCGCTGGCTGACATGGTTACTTTATCGATTGCGTCGAGCATTGCCTCTGTGACTTCGGGATGGGTTTCGCGCAGTCTGCCCACTTTGGCGACTTCGACGGCTGTAGAGCGCGATTGGCGCGTGTTAACGAGGAGTAATGGTAATTCGGGGAACTTGTTCAATGGTGTAACGGTGGGTGGTTTGCTGTAATCACTTCGTCGGAAGAGCACTGCTTTACCTCCGGCGGAGACTGTATTGTCGACTCCGCTGGGATTGCCGTGAATACACATTTCGCCGACAAAGGCCCATCGGTTGATACGCTCAATCTGCACTTCGGCCTCTTCGGGGGGTTGATCCGGGTGCGGTCCAGCCAGGGTTCGAATTTGAAGTAATAAAGCCGCGCTGAGACAGACGCTCACGCTTGCGCTACTTCCCAGACCAGCGCTGATAGGGATCGTAGACCGTAGGGTATAAATCGCGGCATGGGATTCGGGTGACCCCAGCGACAGGAACAGGTAAAGGAATTGCGCCGCGGAACCCTGATGGATTTTGCGAATATCATCCGGTTTATCAGTCGATACAGCGGCGGCATGAGGTTGTACAGCTTCCACCAAGTCAGGATCTAGCTCCGTGACGAGGTCGTAGTACATTTTCTTCTTGGAAGGGTGTTTGAACACATTCCACGGCAACGAGTCAATATCCCATGTATGATCCAGCCCAATGTCGCGGAAATTCAACGTCACGGTGCGATGCGATTTAGAGAGTGTCGTGACGAGGAGATATGATCGTAAAGAAATCGCAGCGGCCATGGCTGCTTTTCCGTGAACGACGGCATGTTCACCAAAGACGATGACTTTCCCGGGTGCTGAGACCATAAAGGCCGGCGCCATGGGCGAGGATTGTTTGCGCTTCATTTGTGTTCGAGACATATTCGCGTTTGTCGCAGTCGAAGTAGGAGTAATCTGCGCGTTCGAGACTGAATCTGGGGTGGAAGTGGAGGAAGGTGTAAGAACGGTACCGTCCGCACCACTACTACTACTGCTGCTGCTGTCAGTGCTCTCAATCTCACCGGAGATCGAATTCTGACTCTCGAAGCGACTTTGCAATTCGCTGAGGGTCAATTGTTGTCTTTTGGTATTGGAATGGGATCTTTTCACGCTGCCGTGTTTCTTGCGACCTTTGCCATTGTTCATATCGCGAGGGGGGAGAAAGAAAGAAGAAAAGGAAAAAAAGGAGTGACGGGATCAAGGATTCATTGGTTACGCTAGAGAATGAAAGACCACTCTGGCCCAGATTTCTGTTGCACAACGATCGTATTCTTTAGATGTATTTCCTAAAAAGCAAATGAAAATAAAAGAGCGCTGTTGAGGTCTGCTTAAGGAGTTCGGAGAAGACGGAGCGGGCTGCCTGAAGACTCAGGAACCAATCGCTCTCTCGATCGGAGATTCCAATGCGGGAATGACCGAGGCTTAGCTGAGCAATCCTTAACGGCGCGTTTGCTATAGGCTCGTCGGACATACAAACAGCTCGGAATATGTGCATAACCCAATGGCATTCGAGCTCGTCAGTCACTTGACTCAATATCACTATACAATCCCGGTATCTTTGGAAATATTTACTTTGTACAAAAAGAATAAGAGCCAGTCAACCCATGGTGGTCTCCCATCCGTTGTCTATCATAACGTCCATCCAGTATACGTCTGCCTCACTGGCATCCATTCTTCGCCATACTTCTTGCACCAGATCTACGCAGATATGGATGGGTTTGGGCGGGAGGACATGCAGAAATGAAGTCAAGCGGCCGAGAATGAACTTGCGTGTTCGAGAGACTTCAATAGCATGCGCGGACAGGTTTAGCGAGTAGTCATCGCCACTAGGATCCATGACTGGTAGGTCCGTGGCCGGCAATCGAAGTTCGCTTGATGATGCTACCAGTAAGAAAGGCTGTAGACATCTTGTTCGTGACTCTAGCGGAACGGTCTTGAGGCGAGACATGGCCGTCAGGGCGATGGTAGTCAGCCATTCCGATTTCACCTCCTCTGGCAGGTCGCCCCCATTACTCTCCGCGCCGTTATCTCTTTGTGGATCGTCCAAGTTGCTGAAGATATCAAAAGAAAAAGTAGTACTGTTTGCTGCGTCCTCTGACGGATAAAGTAAGTTTGGATCAAGCGTACTCGGCATATCGCCTCGAGATATGCTCTCAGCCTGTAATCGACCGCGTAGAAGATCCGGGAAAACTCGATATAGTTGAAGAAGTCCCGTATGTCGGTAAACTTCAGCCATGGTAATCAGATGCCATACAGGGGTATCGTCGTCTCCAGGATTCACGACCTCCGTCTCTGCCGGATGTGCCAGACTTAGCAGTCTTTCTTCCAGCTCCTGTGCTTCTCGAATTGCTTGCTGCGCCTGTGCAATATCTCTCTGCGATGTAAAGCGTTTTGCGCGAATACGCTTGCGTTCTCGTCGAACAAGTCGGCCAACTTTGTTCACGATAAATTGTGTATCGCGCGCGATCCCCGTCCATGGATGGGGTACTTTCTGCGTCAAGAGTTGTTGATCACTTCCTGATTGAGGATCCATCCTTGCAGATGAAGTTAATGTGCTGTTGTCTGCTACATACGATAGCAGCATCTCCCAGTATATCAGCGCCTCTTCGAAGAATTGATAGTTGTTGCGATTAGTCAGAAGTGATCCACTGTTAATCCCGCTCGTAAGAGAATTCAGATGGTTGCGCAGAGTGTTGAAATAGGATATACCAAGATCCTTTGGATTATGCCAGCTTGCCGTCTGACCGAGCATCAGCATGGCAAGTAGCGATTTGTCGTCATGAGTCTCTTGACTCTCTAGTAGTGAGATAGCTTCCCTGCGCATCTTGAGTCCTATGGGACCAAACTGCGGGAAATCATCTACCAGCGTTGCGGCTGCCATGCTCTGTAATGTTCGGCACATAGCCGGCGAGGATGCCCACAGACGGGATACCGTCGTTCGAAACGGGTTCATGTGACTGTCATAACTTGAGAATAGTCCGGCGACTTCTTTGAAATAGTACTCGACCAGAGTCGACGACGGGTCTTCCAACGTTTTGCGGGGGAGTGGGAGAATATTGAACTGACCGCCGGCTTGCGACTGCAAGTCGATGGGGAACTGGCGTCTGAAAAATGAAGATGAAGGACGGCCGTAGGGCGATAAATTATCGCTGCGCATTAATTGATTGTATTCAGTCGGTGTACTCGGTCTCCGTCGAGTGATATTGGAGCTTGACGGATGATGAAATTCCTCCAGACCGACAGTCGACCTTGTCGCGACTGACGGCGCGTCTAGATGTTCCAGTTCTGGCAGAGTCGTGCTGAATTGATGGTCCAAATGCTCAATATCCAGCGATTGATCCCACGCATCCAGCGATGTTGCCGCACTTCCTGCGTATGCCGAGGTCGGCGGTGACCCAGCGTTGGTATTCGGCACGCTGGCTGAGATATCTCCAGGACTAGCAGCCAGCGCATCATCTTGGGGACTCGAAGCGCCATCTTTGGATGGTGTTCTGGTATTTGCGGCTTCAAAGACTTCATGTTTCGTGACCCAGCGGAACGGCTGCGTATAGCCGGGACACTTGATTCTTAGCCGGGTACAGCGTCCACAGGCTGGCCGGGACTCGTCGCATTTCAACTACCATAGTCAGTCAGATTGGTATTCTCAAATAAAACGCTTCCGAAGCAGAACAACATGTGTTAGTTACCCTTTTACTCTTGCAGGTTGCACAGCCGTGACGTGATTTCTTGATGCCACGCATTGTTGTTGCTTTATCTTGGGTGGTTCCGGCAGCGCCGCCATGCCATGGAGCAGCGGGTGTAACGGTGTACGGATGAATCCAACGATAATCGCGATTTGCAGGGATGAGATCCACTCGCGCTGGCGATGAAACAGAGAAGAGCGAGTCTCAGATGACTTCAGGGCCCAGGATAAGATGGGGCACATTCTGATCGTCTCGCAGAGTTTGGGCTATCAGTGGTCGGAAGGCGGGGGATGCCTGTATTATGTAATCGCAAATCGAAACGCCCCGCTGATTGGATGCAGCTCAATAAGCCACAGTGGGGCATGTCTTAGAGCCGCTCCCGCCGTGCAACCACTAAGATCGGCCAGATCTGGCTGAGTCAGCGACAAAAGCTTGTCCGACAAACCGCAAAAGAAACGAAAATCTCCCCCTTGATGCCAAGTCACCAGCTTGCCCAACTATGCAATGCTTTTGTCTCTCCACGCCACGACCTCCACTACAGCCGCCACTAAGACCGGATGGAGTACAAAGAAGAATGCTCAATTTACGTAAGTGCGTAGCGCTTGTCAGGCGTGGTAGACGTGGTAGACGTGTAACCATGTAGTAAACTACCCCGTATCGAATCGCATGCGCCGTTTGCAGGTGCGGCGCTGAGGCTGAATAGTGGGCGCACAGGCTAGACGGCCTGGGAAATACTTCACGCTGACACTTTCCTAGATCGGTCGTCTCCTATGCAGGTCGACAAAAATAACCCGTCAAACGGGACGGAATCTACGGAGTCCAAAGAGGCGGCGTCCAAGGCTGGGGGGGTTAATTTTAGCCATCTCCGTACATACTACTATGTATACAGTATGGTACGTATGGAGTACCCACGCTGGATGTGCCCACTTATTCGCGCGCCCTTGAGACCTGAACGTCAAAGCTAAGTTACAGCCTAGCCTGGAAAATGTCTGAGCCTCCTCCTTCCTGTCTCGTGTCTCGTTTCCCCCTACGTCCCTTTTCGTCATATCGCGTGACCCCCGACGCTCCTTCTTCGTCTTTGATCTGACCTAATCTGATCTGATCATATCATTATTGTTACTACGTACATTTTTACTATCATCTTGTTCCACACGCTCCTTGACATCTTGACATCTTGACATCTTGACTTGAGGAGGACAGATGACGTGCCTTCAACAAGTTGTCAAGCTTGTCCTCACATACTGATTTGTATATATGTTCTCATAATGAGACTCTTCCCCTGTCGTTTCCCCGGCCTGAGGCCGTTCCTTCTTTCCGTCATCGTTGTATTCACATTTGCTTCCAAAATTTTGCATCTTTTTCAGCATCGTCGCAATGTTCGAAGTCCATCCTTTTTGCTGTATCTACCCACTTTTTTTCTCACTGATTTCCTTGTTTCAATCTTTGCATGGCTGGCGTTGTCGAAGCTTCCTGGGTCTTGGGGTATTGCTGGTTTGGCCATTGTTGCTTTCGTAGGGTAAGTCTTTTTTTTTCTCCTCTCTTCTCTTCTCTTCTGCAATACCATCTAACCAGCGCAAATGCCAGTGCCGTTGACATTGGTGCTGTCTCGTCACAATTTGGGTTTTTCTATGTCACCGGTGCTGAGGTGCGATGGAATGCTGCATCAACCCTCGCCTCAGATAAAGCAGGATTCAACCTGCTGCTGAGCGGGTTGATGCCCGTCTTTGCTTTTGGCACGCTTCTTTTTACTCTCAGCTGGATATTGGCACCGCTAATCACGTTCATCCTCGATTCATGGCTCAATGCAGTTGGCAATGCTTTCGCCGGGCTCTCCTTCCGCTCTCGCCAATACCTCCCTCTCACCAATGAGCCCAAGGAACCTAGACGGCGGAAATATTTGGCGCTGTCTATTACCCTGATTGCTTTGTTCATCATTTTAGGCATCGACATATACCGACCACAAGTGCCGTACGACCACATCTCCGGGACAGTACCGTTCACACTTGCCGCCGCCTTTCAAAATCAGAACGCGACCTGCCTTTCAGACCAACAACCCTTCCCGTTGTCCGATTTGGTGGCTCCTAACTTGTGGGAACCCGAGAACGGTCGATACAAGGGTTGGAAACCCGGTTCTCAATCGTCTGCAGCCGACTTGGCCACCGTAATGGCACCATCATGGGCTCCCGAAAGCTGGCCTGCCGGTTTTGGAAGGTGGGCGCGAAAAGGTCAGAACTCAACACAGGAGGATGCCTTACTAGCCATGAGCGATGCTGTATGTCCCGGCGGTAACTCTAGGTATAACATATACAACCCGACACTAGATCCCATGCGGATCACCAACCTGGATCTCGATGTGCTGGCCCCGGTCCAAGAAGCGTTGAAAGATCACGCAGTTCCAATCAAACACGTTTTTCTGATCGAGATGGAAAGCGCACGAAAGGATATATTCCCCCTGAAAGCGGGTTCGCACCTGTACCAGCAAATCATAGATGCTCACGAATCGGCGAGCGAGGAGGATCTTTACGAACTCAATTCGAGACTAGCTGCCATGACACCGGTTGCCGAGCAAATCACCGGGGAATCTGGAAACTTCAACCTGAAATCGGACGAACTGCGAAACAATCTTACCGCTGATTCATGGAAGGATCCGTCAGCGCCAGGAATGGGCGGCATAAACGTCATTGGCGCCCTGACTGGAAGCAGTCTCTCTTTCAAGAGCCTTGTCGGTAGTCATTGTGGCGTAGGGCCTATTCCGGTGGATTTCATGTTTGAAACCGAAGCCGAGGTCTATCAGCCATGCATTATGCATATCCTAAAGCTATTCAACCAACTCAAAAACGAAGGCCAGAAGGAGGCGACAGATATGCGCTCACAGAGATGGAAGTCGGTCTTTCTGCAATCGGTCACTGGAGAGTTTGATAATCAGGTTCAGTTGAGCCTGCAGATAGGATTTGAAGAATCCATTTTCAAAGAGAATATCAGCACTGCATCCGCGAAGCACTGGCATAAAGGCATGAAAGAGATCAATTACTTTGGGTAAGTGTTTTTTTTTCCTCGTGTTTTTATCGACACCGGGCTAATATTAGGATCAGGTATGAGGAGCCGGAGATTTATCCTTATCTCAAAGACACCATAGAAGACGCCAAGGCAAATGGAGAAAGACTGTTTCTGACACACTTTACGAGCACTACACACCATCCCTGGGGACTTCCGGCAGGCGTTGAAGTTGAGGATTACTGGCCTCGCAACGGTTTTGCGTCGGAACACCAGCCCATGAATAAATATCTCAATTCCGTGCGTTATGTCGACGAATGGCTGGGTAATGTCCTTGAGCTCATTGAAGAGACTGGAATCGCAAACGAGACGTTGATAGTTTTCGTGGGTGATCAGTAAGTTTAGTTTTCTGGGAGTCTTTTTTTTGTCCTTTCCAAGTTGCTAAGATAAAACAGTGGACAAGCCTTTGAGGAAGATCACCATGTTACCGGTACTTTTGAGAACGGCCATATCAGCAATTTTCGAGTTCCTATTGTGTTCCGTCATCCACAGCTTCCCCGTCTTGACGTGCACGCCAATGCAACGTCGATATCTATCCTACCTACAATCCTGGATCTGCTGATCACCACAAATTCCCTGAACGATATTGATAGGGATGTTGCGTCTGATATAATCCAGGAATACGAAGGTCAATCCTTATTAAGGCCTTACAAGAACAGCCACAACGGTCGACAAGCGTGGAATATGGGTATCATCAATACCGGAGGGACGATGTTAAGCGTGGCGTCAGCAGCTGCGCCCTACCGACTTGTTCTCCCCTTAACCCGAGACTTTACGTTTGTCTTTTCAGATCTGTCGAAAGATCCATACGAGATTGATCTCGTAGAAGACTGGGATTTTTATTCCCTGGTTCATACCGTTAAGAGAAAGCATGGCCATGATGCCGCGCACTGGCTGAAGGATGCTGAGAAAGTGGCGAGATGGTGGGTAAATGAAAGAAAGCGACTTTGGAATTATCATGAGGGATGAGTCGCATATATTATGTACAGTACGAATATAAAAGTTATGATTGAAATTGTCTTATCTTCATTATCATTAGAAAGTACGTACTATCTAGGTAGTAGATTGATGCCTGAGGCTTACCCCACCTGATTCTTTGTTTGGCGGTCTGGGCCAAAAGAACAATCGGACGCAGACTTTGGATGAAAGAGAACAATACTCTCTCTCTCTTCACCTGGGCAATGCGATTGTCGAAGCAGAGTTGTATAAATACTCGACAACTCTTACCTCGCACCCACCAAACTTGTAACCTTACATACAACCTCTAATTGAAAGCACTCAAAATGGAACAAGGCAAATACAACACATCCCCCGACTGGACCGACATCAACCCCATCCCTCTCGACGATGGCTCTCAAGAAGAAGAGGGAATTACTTCTCTAGCAGCAATAGCCTACAAACCGGAGTATTTGGAAGCGACATCTTATCTTCGCGCAGTCATGGCTGCGAATGAGATGTCGGAGAGGGTGTTGCAGTTAACTGAGGATGTGATTATGATGAATCCTGCGCATTATACTGTTTGGTTTGTCTATCCCAAAGAATTCATCAATAAACGGTGGACTGATTAGACAGGCTATACCGAGCAAAGATATTATTTGCGCTGAAGAAGGATCTGACGCAGGAATTGGTTTGGTTGAATAAAGTTTCGTTGAAGTATCTCAAGAATTATCAGATATGGTACTCCCCCTTTCCTTTTTCTATATGGATTATAGCTAATCTGGCCAGGCACCACCGTCAACAACTCCTCTCATCAAAAGAGCACTTCCCAACTCTACCAGAAGGCGAACAAGACTTTCTAATGCAAATGTTTGACGCAGACTCCAAAAACTATCACGTCTGGTCCTACCGCCAATGGCTCGTACGACAATTCAATCTCTGGGATGATCCGCGCGAAATGTCCGATGTTGAATTGCTGATCAGTGAAGACGTGCGTAATAATTCGGCGTGGAATCATCGTTATTTACTACGATTTGCGCCGAGACAAGGGGCTGAAGCCGCCATGTCTGTTGCCTCTGATGCATCGGAAAAGGGGTGTTTGAATGTTGTGGATGAGGATGTTGTGGATGCTGAATTGGAGTATGCGCAGAAAAAGATTTTGAGGGCGCCGGAGAATAGGTCTCCCTGGCTTTATGCGCGGGGGGTGTTGAGGGCGGCGGGGAGGTCATTGGCTGAATGGAAGGGGTTTGCGAGTCGGTTTTTTACTGAGGAGATTTCTGATGCCGCTACTCCAATTGTGCATGTCAAGAGTAGTCTCGCTTTGGAATGGTTGGCGGATGTGTTTTGTCAAGAGGCGAGGGAACAACAACAGAAAGAAAAAGTTGATGAGGCAGTCAAGATGTTGACGTTGTTGAAGGAGAGGTATGATCCTATTCGAAAGAATTATTGGGATTATAAGATTGGGCAACTTTCTGTTTCTGTTTGAATCGTGTACTTGATTGAACCAAAAATGCTTCTATGAACTGAGTTAGTCAAACCCAACCATTAGCAAGTCTCTCTCTCCATTCATTCGCCATGGCTGTCGTGACGTTACTCCCACCACAGACGATAATCACCACACGACTCTGTGGCGTGAGGTCAGGTATCATCCTTTTCAAGTATGATGTCGTCAATTGCTCGGATAGGAGTATATCACTCTCGGTGTCAGACGAAGAAGACGACGCAACTCCACTATCCGAAGCACACAATGACGCTCTCCTCTTAGCCTCAGGCTGATCTTCATACCCTTCATCTTCACCTTCCCTGCCCCTCTTCCTCCCTGTCTCTTGCACATCCCCAACAGCAGCCTCAACACAGACACCACAAGCCAATTCAACAAGTATTCGTTCCTCATCCGCCAACCTCAAACAACCCCTCGCGGCATCTGCATCCGACAACACCGCAGAATGAATCCTGATCCCCTCCGGCGGAGACACGCAACAATACTCGAACGTCCTTTGCGACACGCGTACGCAAGCCAACGAGACAGCCATAGAGGTTACTTTTGGTAATGTGGCGAGTGTCCCGGATGAGATGGCAAGGTTCATGGATTGAGTTCCATCCGTTTCGACTGCTAGAATATGCACGTCTTTTTTGTTGTGTTGGTGGCGTCGATGGCGTTGGATTCCTTGTATCAAGCCATTCATGAGTCCGCCACCACCAACGCTACAAATCAATGCGTCGAGCGGAAGCTCTTCATCGGCAGGCGGTAATTGATCCGCCAATTCATCGACAATAGAACTATTCCCTTCCCAAATCGCCTCGTGGTCAAAGGGATGTAACGCGATCTTCTTCACCCCTTCTTCTTCTTCTTCTTTCTCGCTTTCTTGGTTATTACCGATCAGAACATCTCTCATATACTCCCCCGCCGCCGCAATCGTGTCCCCGTATTGAATCACCTCCGTTGCTCCCGCAGCACATAATTTCTCAACCATGAGTCGAGACGTGGAAAGCGGCAGGACCACTGTACACGGATACGATAGGGATCTCGCGGCACAGACAGCCGCTAGTCCGGCGTTACCGCCTGAATTTATGAAGAAGTGTAATTTTTTGTTGGCGTTGAGAGGATCGTTGATGTGGTATAGGATTAGGGAGCCTATTGCTCTGTTTTTGTCAGTTCCCACCACCTGGGCAAGTCTAGTAAGCGAAAAGGAGGAGGGGGGTTGTTATGGAAATACCGTGATTTGAATGATCCGCTAGGTTGGAGGTTTTCTAGTTTTAGAAATATTCTGCTATTCTTCTGTTGGTCTTTTTTTATCATTTCGGATGATAGAGATAGACATACCAACCAGCCTTCTTAGACAAGATTGCAGACTCTATAAGTGGAGTCTCAATCCATGGTTTTCCCGCTTTATACTCTGTTCTGCTTGTTGTCTTTATTCTTGTAGTCTCTGGAGATAGGGGCGTAAGACTGAGATTGAGATTGTGGGAAGTCATTGTTTCAGTCATTGTGTTGTTTACCAAGATTGAGGGCGAATATAGATGACAGGGAGAGAGAGATTGATTCTAACGATATTATTAAATAATTGATATATAAAAAGGGGAATAAATCTTTTAGTAAGTGCAAGCAAATCTTTCACATTAAACAACCTTGGAATCCAGAGATCTACTGTATATATACTCCATGAGTCCATCCTCCCTATCAACCTATATCGAAAGATCTAGATCAACGATAATATCCATAAACCCTAACCTGGAACCATTACTCCAACGGAAAACCACCCATCTGATTCCTTATCATTGGAGTGTAATTCCTCTCCAACGGTATTATGTACCACCCTACCTTGAAATATATGGCATGGTACAAGAGATAGGGCTTTTGTGTAATGTAGATAGATATCAGCGGGAAACTTGGTTGTCCGCGGGAAGCTAACCCTAATCTTTTCGCAAAGTTTTCCGGGGGAAATTCTTCGTCTTTTTTATGATATATTTATGGTATCATTTGGTGGATTCTATGGGGTAATGGATTCTGTGGTTGGATGTACTACGTCCACCTAGGTAGGCGTCTCCGGTGGTAGCCGTGATGATATTTGTAGTATGATATTTGTAGTATACAGTGATAATTGCATGTATTATACAAGAGAAGTCAGGATCAATCCTCAACCATAAGAGGCGGAAAAAGAAGCTCACGCTTATCAACCTTGGGCGCATGGCCATACTCATAATCCGCCCCGTACTGTGCTGCCCCAAACCCACGTGCAACAGCGTCCTGTCTCACACCTATCCGGTCCAGAACTTCCGACGCCTTTTGCGGCACAAATGGTTGTAGCAGAATACCCGCGATACGGAGGTATTCGCTTACATTGTAGAAGACGCGATAACACCGGCTGAGATCGTCTTTGTGTTGCCAGGGGGCGGAGTGGTGGAAATAGTTTTGTGCCTGTGCCCTCGCCGGATTAGTCGTGGATTAGTCATGGTGTTTTAGGGGGTGATGAGGAGAATACCTTCATGGTCGCATCTACAATCTCACGAAGAGCGGCCTTGGAGTGGAATGCTTCCATGTTTCGTTCGACGATTTTCGGGAATGTATGTAGATATTGCTCGAATTCGATATCATACTCGTTCGGCTCCGTCGTGAAGCCCGAACGTGCCGCCTCTATACTTGGCCTTAACTGCATTTTCGTGAGACCCATTAGACGTTGGTATACATTGCCCACACCGTACTGCAGATACTTCTTATAGTCGTTAACGATGTTGCTATTATCATAGTTCGAGTCGTCACCCAGCGGGCCGCGAAGAGTAAGAAAGAAACGCATAATATCGACCGAAAACCGATCAATGGCGAAGAAGGGGTTGACAACGTTGCCGGTAGATTTGGACATTTTGGCTTTGTTCATTGTCCAGTGGCCGTGAACAAGGACGTGTCGCGGAAGGGGCAGGTCGAGTGCCATGAGGAATGCAGGCCAGTATATGCAGTGGAAGCTGGCCTTGTAAGTTATTGTTCTTCTTCCAAGGAAAAGGGTACCTACCGAATGATATCCTTGCCTACGATGTGAAGATCGGCCGGCCAGCCCAAATCAGACTCCTTTCCAGGAGTAAATGGGTAACCGGCTTTGGTCAGGTAATTGATAAGCGCATCCAGCCAGACATATATCGTTTGAGAATCATCTCCGGGAACTCTGACGCCCCAGGTCAGACGCTCAACAGGTCTTGAAACTGACAGATCCTGCAGTCCTTCTTCGACCGCTTGTTTGACGTTCATCATATGACTCTTTGATAGAATAAACTTGGGATTCAGCTCATAAAACTCAAGAAGTCGATCTCGAAAAGCGGATAGCCGGAAATGATAATTCGTCTCTGACGACCATTCAACTTCCTTGCCGGTCTCAGTAGAAACCTTCACACATTAGCCTAGCCCGTAACCTTCAGAAAGAAAGGCAAAATACCATCCGTTTCCTCCCCGTCGCCGGATCTAAAGAAGGCTCCACCTGCGACTGAGGATAAAACGCCTCATCGCTCACAGAATACCATCCCTCATGTTTCTTTGTATATATATAACCCCGATGTTGTAACATTTCCCAAAAATATCGTACCGCGTCCTTGTGCGCTTCATCCGTAGTGCGTATGAAATGATCATTGCTGATATTTGCTGCTCTCGCCAGATCCTTGAATGTTTTACAGTTCATGTCGCAGAAAGCCTGTGTATCCATACCGGCCTCTTGGGCGGCTTGCTGTATTTTGATTCCGTGCTCGTCGGTGCCGGTTAGGAAGATGGCGTCTTTGTTACCTTTTAGTTGCTCCCATCGTTTGATTACGTCGCCGAGGACCATGGAATATAGATGGCCGACATGGGGTGCTGTTTATAATATCAGTATTAGACTGAGAACAAGGAGATGCTTGATTCACCGGCATTCACATAAAAAATTGGAGTCGTAACATAGAACGGCTTCTGTGAATTGGCTTGCGTCGAATACCCTGCCGCATGTCGACATTGACGCGAAATCGATTGTCTCAACGAGGTTGAAAGAGTTATAATACGTCTCGAAAGAAGCGGACGTAAAGTCACCGCACAACGAAATGATCTCGGTAACGTCGCCATTGGCCGCGTTGAATGGCTCATGATCGCATCCTAGCTCTTTATTTGGCTGAACAACAAAAGTTGCGGCGAAAGCATGAACCTCCGAGGTGGTCCAAGCTCGGGCTTATTTAAGCTCAATGGTCCGGTGCTTTTTCTCCGCCTCGTCTCTTCGATGACTATTCCCAGGCGTCTTCATTCTCAAAACATTTTCTTCCAAAGGTTTTACAAAAGTAGTGAGATAAACTCACAGAATGGCAACCCCAAAAGAAGACTTGCTCACCAAGGTGTCTACAGAAGGTGAGCCGCATCCCACTTTACATGAATACAGTCTAATAAAATTAGGAGCAACCGACTTCGTCCAACTCTATCATTCGGCACTCTCCTCCAACAAACGCTCAATAGCCTCCTTCTACAGCTCCGCGCCAACAAACATCCTCTTCAACGGAAACGTTATCGCAGACGGTGCCGCGGTCGAAGACATCTTTACCAACCAACTACCCACAACACGTCATGATATACAGTCTGTCGATTGTCAAATTATAAACAAAACCTATCCTACAACCACCCCCGGTAAAACAGCTAGAGAGAACGCCAAAAATATTTCCATGCTGGTGATTGTGAGTGGATCGGTGCAGTACGGAGGCAAGGACTCCCCGCAACATGGATTCAGTGAGACGTTTGTTTTGATACCGAATGTCGAAAACAAGGAGAAGAATCGAAAGGATTGGCTTATTCAGAGTCAGAATTTTCGATTGGTCGTTTGATTGGATTATGGTCACCGGGCATCTCACCCTTCCGCGGATGCACCAAAATAGGCGATTCTCAATGTCATACGGGGTACCACAACAGCAAACATACAAATACATCGGTTAATTTGTTGTCTATGGTACTGGGACGTTTTAACTCCTCGTTGGCCGCAAGTTCGCTTTGACTCGTTCTATGAGTACTTCTCGGGATGCCTTATCTGACGCCATAAGATTTCTCTGCAGACAGTTAGTGTTGTCCATAAACGATGATGGGCAGTCTGCTTACTGCTCGAAGCCACCTCTTCAGCTCTTCTGTCGTCCATTCTTCGGGTTCTACAAAGTCAGCATAGGCTATCAGCAATGCTGTGACCAAAACATACCTCCTTTAGGATCTGGTTCTGCGGGAAACATGTCGCTGCCCCATATCGACCAAGCCGATACGGCTGTGACGATTCCGGCGAATCCTGTTGTCATTAGTACATTTGTCATGTATCCTGAATTGCGAAGAATATATACCCAGAAGAAGGTTCTACACGTGTTAGTTAGATGTTGCCAGAACTTGGAGTGGTTCGCACCTTGGAAGATAGAGCTTTGTCTAATTGAGTTGGCATTACGACGGTCGTCTCAGTCGATAGTCAATAAGAATACTAGACAGTAAGGAATAAGATGGAAGCTGCAGAGGATGAAGAAGGCAGCTCTATTTATCTTATCAGTCCCCGCATAATCAGCACACAGCCTCAGGCAATAACACACACCGCCACAAATCAGTCAAGCCATAGCCTAGCCCCAGTTAGGGCTTGTCACGCAGAAACCCTAATTTCCGGATCGGATCCCACATTCGAACTCCATCAACAAGTCTGGCCAACGACGTCAAGCTTGTTGTTGACTTTTTGTTCCGGAGATTTTGAACTACACATCCATTTCTCGAACCACCCACACATTCCCATCAAGATGCCTTCCGAAGTCTCTGATATCAAGCAGTTCATTGAGATCTGCCGCCGGAAGGATGCTTCCTGTACGTTCTGCCGTCTTAGAGAGTGATGGAGGTGGTAGTCTAATGGACATTCGATGGGTACAATTACCTCTTCGTTTTGCATCTGGACTACAATTCTCATCTCATCTCAGCCCTCAGTCTGAAATAGTATACTAATCAGATTCATTTGCATAGCCGCCCGGATCAAGCGCAACCGCAAGACCAGCCAGACCAAGTTCAAGGTCCGTTGCAACCGATTTTTGTACACTCTTGTCCTCAAGGACTCCGACAAGGCCGACAAGCTCAAGCAGAGCCTTCCTCCTGGTACGACGAACAACCTACTTGACTCAGATTTAGGGGACGTAGGCTAATGAATAAACAGCTTTGAAAATTGTCGATGTCTCCAAGGGTTCCAAGAAGAAGTCCACCTAAACAAACGCCATAACGACACGATGCTGCAGTTGATTTAGGATGAGAAGTGGAGGGAGTGAAAGGAATGCGCACGATACCAATTGAGTCAATGATGTCCGTCATGACGAGACACCAGACATGCAAATTACAAATGTCATACACCGGTGAAATCGACCTTTCATACTATACCTAGGTGTATATATGAAAATCCATCGGTTGTCTCTACAATCCAGAGGCAGGAGCTTTTCGAGTATCAAGTTTCCACTACAAGACAAATAAAAAAAAGTTCAAGAAACAGTCCTATGACCAGTATATCTATTCATTGTACTGCACCTCCCTATACCCCTTCAAACCATACACATCCGCCAACCTCCCAACAGCATCAACATCCAACCCATAACGTCTCAACTCAAACTCCCCAAAATAATTCGTTTCCGAAGCCCTCTTCTCGAACCCCAAGGACTCAAACAGCGCCAAACTCCGCGTATTGTCTTTCCCAATTTTGACGCTCAGGCACTTCAACCTTTTGTTGCTGTTTGTTGCCGTCGATCGTAGAAACTCGTCTAATATCTCCCTTTCGTGAGTTACGACATACCACAAAAACGTCAATAAAGCAGCTCGCCCGTATCCTTTTCCTTGATTCCGGGTTTCGGCTATCATTAATTCGAGTTCTCCTATTACTGATTTCTCTTCTTCGTCGTTGTTATCATCATCATTGTCATTGTCATTGTCATCGTCATCGTCAAGTCGTAGGAATAGATTAGTATCGCCAATCATCCGATCTGGCGCATCATCTTGATCTGATAACGCCACCGTCTCAGACGACGAGGTAGAAGAAGATAATGGCAAACAAGCAATAAAGGTTAGTTTATCAGCGTCTTGGCGCCAGCTTTGTTGCATGGAGTATTCTTCTTCAAGGGTTAAGGGTTCGGAGGCTGTTGCTTGTTGGATTTCCTATATATATACCGTTTAGTTTAATCTGTATGTATCCGGGATGGTGAGCAATAGGAGAATGGTACCTCGTCTTTCATCCATTCATGATATTTGAGGACGTGTCGTTTGGAGTATGGGACTAGGAGGATGGTTGATGTTGAGATTGCTGTGATTTCGGATACATGAGTTGGTTTTCCGACGGTGAGGGTATCTATGGGAAAATTTACCTGTAGTGGCGTTTAGAAGCATCTTGACAGGGGCGCGTTAGAGTATGCTTTAGATTTATGTATCTGGTTGAATCTATCCCGTATTGTAAAGTACCAGATCAAGGAAATGATGTTGAATTGAAGAGTGGAGTCATAAGTCAACTTATTGGACGATCCATTAATCACCCATTGGATGAATCTTTCCGTCGGTGATGTTATTATTGAGTTGAAGTGTATATCTGAGCAGTCTATTATTAATTTATTATCGATAAGTTCAAGGTCTCTCCTGCACAATACTATCTATGGCTGACTTGATAAAGTCGGTGACGATATTCGCGGTGTGGAATACGATGCTCAGAATGCATGTATTATCTTGAAAGAGGGTCCAGGCTAGATGCATGAAGCTGCTAGCAGTGCTGGTGGTGTAATCTACAGGAGACTCTTTGGCGAGTTAGAAGATAGGTTGAGTGCTGGTACTGGCCCCCTTTACTTCTTAACTGGCCGTAGAAGTAAGTATAATCTTACACCTATCTAGTACTTATCTTCACAACAAATTAACCATAATCCTAGATGGTATATATATATGGGCTGCCAAATTCAGCCGCTCTTCAAAACAAGCAGATGCATCTCTTATGAATTCCAAATCTAAATGGCCTGTTGTGGTTCTTGAAATTGGCATTAGTGAGACCACAAGAAAGCTCTATAAAGATGCGGAACGATGGTTGGAAGGTAGCAATAGTCAAACCAAACTTGTGATACTTGCTGATGTTCAAGAGACACCGAAATGGGAAACTTCGAATAACAAGTGGGAGCTATCTGAGGTTGACTTTCGTGAAACCAGTCACGACAGGCTCTCTGATCATATACTCCATCCTAGACGAGGCCCCGTTTTCATTAGGCAACTCCTCCCGGATTATCAGTACTGTGCCCAGCTGACGATCCCCCCGGCCACACCTACTGACTACAACCACAATCTCATCCACGACAGCCAATGGACAAGCAACCAGCGCGGGGTCGAATGGCGAACCCTCCCCGTTGCCAATTCAGGTGTGCATTCATCATCCATATATATGTGCATATGCTAATTTCTTCAGACCGGAATGACCTCTAACTGCGACGCTTTCTATCTCATCCAGCCCGATGACGGCTGCTACGAGTCTACGACATTGTCACAATAAACAATATTGCCCTTGCAGATTTTTATACCTGGAACCCAGCGCTGAATGATGACTGTCCCAGTCTATACCCGGGTTACTATGTTTGCGTGGGCATCATCACCATCACTACCACCACTATTAGTACTACAAGTGCAGGACAAACACCCACCCCAGCCCAAACCGGGATGGTCTCCGGTTGTACGGACTTCTACTTGGTGAATACAAATGACGGATGCTATGATATTGCCGCTGCAGAGGAATCACCCTGGCCCGAGTTGTATGCCTGGAATCCAGCCCTAAATGGGGACTGTTCTGGTCTCTGGTTGAACTATTATACATCTATATGGAACAGTACTCTGAGTCAATAATGATATATTCTCACTCTACTACCCTGTACTGTTACCTATATTACCCAGAGTAGAGTTATTTCTAGGTAACTACATACGCCGGGCTCGTGACGGCAAAATGCCGCCCGGCTCCCCCTGGTTATTCCGCGAGTGTCGCGCCGCTGTCCCTGTTTCTGTCGCCTTCTCTGTATCTGGTCCTGGTCCAAGGCTAGGCATAGGCTCGCCTAACCAGAGGTATGGTCTGGTCGAGCGTAGACCCTCCACATCCATATACAAGAAACAATCCGAACGCAGGCTGACAGGGAACTCGTGATTGGCGAGCATGGTCTGGAATCTGCTCCGCAGTGCACTCAATTTGATTGTATTATTATCATTAGAATCTAAAGCTGGAACCTCCGCCCAATATAGAGTGAACCTGGAAATGGCCTTGTCATTCATGGACATCGGTTCATAATGCAATCCATCGCAAACTGCTTTTTCAATCAGACTTTTTTACCCCGCTGACCGTTCAGGATCGTAAAACACCAGCAGACCAGAGATAGAAGGAGAACCGTCTGTAGAGGTAGATTGAATAACCCGCTCCTGCCACGGCACTCGCATCGCAAAGACAATATTCCGAACATCATCGTCATCCAGGTTCTCGATTGCCGCGTGCTGTGCAGTCCTCCATCGCCGCTGAATCGCCTGCACCGTCTCTCGCGCGACTTTCATTTCCTTAGTCAGAGCGGCGGCAGCAGCTCTATGTGTCAGATCGCGATCCGCCGCGCTAAGTCGAGCCCGTTCAGACAGGAGACGCTGTATATAGTTTATAAATACAATAGAATGTCATCAAGGACCGGACGATACAACATCCTAAGGCAAAGTATGTTATTGGTATAGGGCTCAGTTTCGAGTAACGTACGTCTCTGGAGGAAAAGTTCATTAGTATCAGTTAATCCAGTTGAAAGGTATAGACTTTTTAAAAGCAAGGTCACTATTGTAACGGTGCTCAAGCCTAACAGATATATTGAGAGGGTAGCTGTGTCGACGGAGATATCTACAATGGATTTCCTAACCGGGAAACCACATGGCTCGTGCCGAGCCTGCGGAAGCTAGGGCTAAGCCGTCAGGCTTAAACTCCGAAATTCAGTACATGGACTTCTCAATGCTCGAAACGCTATAAGCCGCCTCTAATTAACAGGGCCTGGCGCTGTCCAAGCCCTTACGCTCCAGCCCATAGAGCAGTACGTACTAACGGTACAAACGGTACAGTGGGTTCCAGGCCACTCAGGGGTCGAAAGGAAACGAACAGGCAGACCAAATGTGCAGCTGACTCTAGCTTATGTTACATCGGCTTGCGCTGAAGCTAGGCATGCTGCAGCGGTTGAATGGGCCCGCTTCAACGCTCTACAAGGAAAAGAGAGAGCTCCAAGGGCTTATTAAAATCCGTATGACTGGAATCTTGGTGAAGTGTGAATTACTTTCACCTTTCCCCCTTTTCACTTCATAATTCATGATACTTAAGCAATTGACTATTGCAACTAAAACCAATAGGTTAGAACCAATGTTATTCTTATACAATTTAAATGCCACATTGCACAGTATCACTACAAATCCATCGGCATGCAAGAACCCTCAACACAGGCACAGATGGTGAAGGTACTAATTACTAACGACATCAAAAAGAAACCAACCACACACCATCAATTGAGCAGAGTACTGTAGTCTGATTATAATTTACAGTCTAAATCCCCTGGCAAAAGCCAGTCACGTAGGACACAAGCCGGCTATGGTCAAATTGCTAGATTGCCTAACAGTGGCGAGGTGCGACATTTCTCTCGAGTTGATCGGCGTGCTCAGTGAGTTCTGTTAGTATATCGCGAGATCTACCACATGGAAAACAGGGCCATTTGAACAAACCCGGAGACAAGTCATTCCCCTATTTTCAGCTAATCAGAGGCCTCCGAACACTATGCCTCACTTTTCATGAAACGCCATATATGATATATATCATATTGTGGACCACACAGAATGTACAGGGAATTGAGCTCAATTCCCCTGCCGAAGCACATATAAGAAAGCCATTTTTGTAGCATGGAAAACGGAGAACCGGGGGAGAAAGGGTAATACAGACAATCTTGCTAGTCAACTGTTCTTACTAGTTCATATTAATGTTCACATTAACCATCTCATATCACTTAGGTCTAATTGTTAGGTTATGTCACCTACAATCGGACAAGTCCAGTGAGCAGAGCCCAGTGATCGCTCACCATGTGTAAAGCGGCATGCCGCTTGGCAGACAAATCTTTTACCTAGGTATTCAAGCTGAAGACAAATATTCATTGACTCGAGCCGTTATTCATATTGTAAGACTCTATATAGCTATCGACACATTCATTTTGACTCCTCTTTCCCCGAAAATATCTGGAATTTTACTACGTCCACTTCCAACGTCTCCGAATCCACCAGAATCAACTCTCCCGTCTCATGGAACTTGGGTATCGAAACCAAGCGTACATGCGTGGCTAGAGGCTCATCTGCAGAATTGCTCATCTCTGTATCTGGACCATCTAATCGAAAAGCTGGCTCGCTTACCACAACGACAGTTTTGAAGTGAGACTGGTTTCCTATGAAGAAGAGATGGGGGCAGGCTTGGAGGATGAATGGGTCATGTGTTTGGAAGGGATAGCACCCTACTTCTATTAGTACACTATACTTCTGTACATAGAAAGAGAACTCACATAGAGTGTCAGGAGCTGTCGGAACTGCACATCTCCATCGAAGCATGGCTTCCATAATCTGTACACTGGTCTCCCCGTCGCCATCACTGTTTGTTGCATTCCCATCCTCATCTGCAAAGTCTAAATATCGAAGGACATCATCGACATTTTGACCGCTGCATCCCCAGAATCGCCAGCCATCAACATAACCTTCCCACGGATTCGTGACGTTGTCGAACCAGCCGGGTTCGACGCTTGTGTCTCCTGGTAGGCCGTCAGAAGAGTATGCTTTCGCCCGAGGCAACATTGCTCGATGGATTCCTTGTTGCGGTAACGAGAAATTTGCAGGATCATTTTCACCCGGCATCAATGTCACGGGTAAACTTGGTAGTAGTTCCGAAAGAAAATTGTCAAGTTGTGTAATAGGCGAAGCATTATAGGATGATGCATCATAACCGTATTTCTTTGGCACCTTCTTCTTAGCAGTTCCGTCTCCGTTCATAGCAGCAGCAGCAGTTGCAGTTTCCAGATTACCCAACGAGTTGCCCGCAATGATCAATCGAGATATCCTTGCAGGAGATTCATCTTCACCACCAGGTCCTGTATACCCTAACAGATAGTCTGTCAATAACTCCAATGCTAGAGTATCGCTTGATGAACCTGTAATTCCCAATCCGCTAATGAATGCTATCTTCGATGATTTACCGGTTGTGTTCTCGACTCGTTTTATCGTGCTCTCTGTTTTGTCTGTGGATGCCAGTTCCCATCTCGGCGGTTGTACTGGGAAATCGGGGACTTTAATATCAATGACTTCGAAATCGCCATTCGAGTTCTCGGTGCCTAACACTGCGATAATAACACCAGTCACCAAATGTGTCGTTCGAAGCATAGTGCCTGTCATTCTGAGACGACCTGATTCATCTTCTAGCATCACTTGCGTTTTGTCTGGATTCAAGGGATCGATATAAGTCGTTCGGGGAGGGGGTGCAGCGGCATAGTTCTATAAATGTCAATCAGTCTGTGCTTGTATAGGTCCATCAGTTCGTTAACTCACGTCCTTTGCAACATCGTCGAGAATGTTAGGTTTTAGCGGTAGGTCCATATAGACTGTACCAGTTACCCAACACAACGCTCCCTGTCGCACATCCAGCACTCTATCCACTTTCCGTGCCTTCTCTCCGGCAATCTGCTGATTGTGAATAATCTGACCGTCGAATCTTTGCCCGCGTTGGAATTGCCTACTGTGAATCCATCCCATGCCTCCCGTCCAACTTTCTCTGCGGCCGGCTTCAGCTTGGCCAAGCGTAAGAAATACAGATCGCCATATTGTTGTTGATACTTTCGCGAATCGGCTTTGGGTAATTGGAAGGTGTGGAGAGGTGTATAAGCTGAAGGAGCGCGGAATTCTGGTTGATATTCTTCGCCGCTACGAACTTGTTAGCGTGATTCGATCTGTCAGTATAAGGGAATGGAAGGGCCGATTACCTCGGCGGCTGCAGAAACTTGTCACTTGAAGATTCAAAGGTCATATTGAAAGTGTCATCATCTGAAGTGGTGTTCTCGTGGAGTTTTGAAGTCTTGTTGATATATAAGTTAAAGTGAAGTATGCGGATGTGGAGTACTTGGGCACTTAACGCGGCAGGAAACGCGTTTTTTTTTTTGGCGTTTCTTCCCATCCGTCTTCCCTACATAGTACACCACTCTATCACCAAGACAGCTTCACTTAATCCTCTTTTCTTCTTCTTGAGGCCCTTACGGTTGATTTTAATTCTCTTATGGCATTACCTGGGTAATTAACATGGCTTTCGGGTTACAAATCGTACGGTTCAGGACTGCCATAGACATGAAAGCTGCCAAGAGACATCTCAGCACCGATGGACAAACAGCTTGATGACATTCCGAAGTCCATCTCGAGTCATGCAGTTATGCTCCTCATTTATCGGCGGGAGTAATTAGGAACACTCTTAGGATAACAGCTGTGATGTGGTGCCTCGGCTCGACATTAGCTTCTTGAACGGTGAGGGGAACATCTAGCTAACCACGTAGACGACTCCACATATTTCTATAACAATCATTCTGTTGCTCTTGATGTTCTAAGCTTCAGAGATACCCTTGCATTTACTTTTTGTTTTACCAATTATTGCTTATCATCATCTACCTCCTGCATCCTTTACAGCGTGACTGGGGTTTCGCCGGCTAACCACAAAGCAATACACCACCGGTTCTCCGCAACACAGCATCTTCAAAATGTCTGTACATACACCACTATGCGACTTGCTGAACATCAAGCATCCCATCCTTCTGGCCGGTATGGCCAAAGCATCCGGCGCCGCCCTTGCAGCCGCAGTATCTAATGCCGGCGGTCTCGGAAACATAGGTGGCTTGGGCTACACTCCAGCGCAACTCGAAGAAATGCTCGTCGAGCTCAAATCACTACTGCGTGACCCCAACCTACCATTTGGCGTCGACCTGGCACTTCCACAGATCGGTGGAGGAGCACGTGCTACAAACCATGACTATACACACGGTCAACTCGATGAATTGATCGAATTAATCATCAAGTATGGCGCAAAATTGTTCATTTCTGCTGTTGGTATACCTCCCGAGCATACTGTCAAGCGTCTCCACGAAGCTGGGATATTGGTTATGAACATGGTTGGTACCCCAAAACACGCCGAAAAGGCCCTGCAGCGTGGTGTGGATATCATCTGTGCCCAAGGCGGAGAAGGAGGTGGTCATACCGGTGACGTCCCATTCTCTGTCCTGATTCCTGCTGTCGTCGACACTGTGCAAAAGTACAAGAGTCCCCTTACGGGCAAGATGCCCCTTGTTGTTGCTGCAGGTGGTGTAAACGACGGCCGGAGTCTAGCAGCTTCACTTATGTTGGGCGCCTCTGGTGTATGGGTCGGTACACGATTCGTGGCTACCGTTGAAAGTGGCGCTAGTAAAATCCACAAGGATGCCGTTGTCTCAGCCGGATTTGGCGAGACGATTCGTACCCTGGTTGTTTCCGGTAGACCACTTCGCGTCTTACCGAATGACTATATCAAAGAATGGGAAAGTAGACCGCAGGATATTCAGAAATTGACGGCACAGGGTATCATTCCCATGATGCATGATATTGAGAATGAGAAGGAGGATGTCGATTTTCCGTATTTGATGGGGAGTGTGTCTGCGGTTGTCAAGGAGATTAAGCCGGCTGGTGACGTTGTTGAGGAGATTGCAAGGGAGGCTACTGAAGTGCTTCGACGGAGTCAGACGTTCATCAAGGGTGGCAATAGCAAAATATGACTTATACTGTAGGTTAGACTACAACGATCTATATATGCTTTTTTTTTTAAAAAAAAAGGGGTCTTGTATAGCGGCGTCCTGTGAGTCCCTTTTTGCAGCAGATTACCGCTATAGACCAAGTTCTTAAGCATTGTTTCAATGTTCCTAGCAACTGAGACGAGACCTCTACACGTACCACTCGTAAGAATAAGAGCGGGTGTGATCGATCTTACCCAACTTATAATCTTCAGTCTGGCAAAAATAGACAGTTAGAACTAACACGCAAGTTGGACCTAGACCTACTGAATCCTTGACAGAATAGTCCATCATCTCAACCTGTTTCTTGTCCCATTTCTCTTGTTTCGGCGAGAGCGAAAGATCCTCTGGAAAAGTCTGAGCATAATCAAAATCGATCCAAAGTTCCTATCTTGTACTATCATCATATTCCTCGGGTATGGATCACCACTTAGAACCCTAGCGTTGTGGATGTCCTTCAGAATACGAGAAAACTATGCTAGGCGACGTTCTGAGAGAAATTCGATACACTAATTGGCTCCATATTTGCAATATATTCGGTCAGAATGGCGATGGGAGGTACTGTGTCTCCGATAAACATATATAAGTTTGACCAGAGGTTGAATATTTGTAATTGTGCTGTAGAAATTAGGACGACCCCTCGCTTGCAGAGACCTTATACTTTCATCCGTTGGTAAGCTGTATCTTTGCAGGTGTAAAGGTCAACCTCAAGATCTGGAGAACTAGCATCTGATCGGGTTCTGGTATGGTACTTGTAAGATTTAGCGATGCCTCGATTAGGAGGCTAATAGGAGTCTTCTACCACTTTCATCACACATATGCTTCCATGGCAAGCCACCTTGAAGACAACAGTATTCTTAGACTTTTTGAGCTTCTCAAGGAATGTCACGTTCGGAAGGCTTTACTTCGTCAAGGTCACCAGCCATGCTTGTAGTATGATAACGTAGTATGTCAGCTAGCTGGCCATGAAAATCATTCCTTCTATCAGCGACTGGCTATATGGGCCTATTGCACAGGTGCCTGCAGCACTCGATGCTTTTTGGGGCGAGTTCCGGGTTAATGTACTATGTTTCGTCTGTGAATGGTTTGAGAATCTGGAATTCGACACAGACTTTGAGTTTGAGACACATTATCTATTGCTGCATGGTACCAGCATCACTATCTAGTTATCACTAGTAACGATGCACTAGTTGGCTAACGAGACGATTGCACTGGTTATACAAAACTTTCCTGTCCTAATTGACAGAGAGACGGAAAAGTCGAGCACATGCAACAGAGGGAACACGAACTGACAAAGCACCGCTGTCTGAGTGCCATTGTGCGTGAGTCTCAAAGATCTCTGGATACAGAAGCTTGACTACAACTTCCCGGTCTTTAAGTACTGGAATATGCAGGGAGACTGTGTCCGAGCCAGATCGACGCCATACAGCAACGTAACGGACTCCACCACTTGCAGCGATACCTAGAGCTACCCAGTCATCGTGCCATTTAGGCAGACCTAACGGCCAGAATGGCAGGCCCGTTTTGAGATCGGAACGAATCTGCTTGTAGACTTGCATACCGCTCGCAACAAGCTCCAATTGCTGAGAGCTCAGGAGATCAATTCTACCACTTAGATGAACACGACCCAGAAGACTATTGACAACCGTCATGGCGTTCTTCTCATTGTCCCATTTGGGCTGCGGGTACGCCCAGCTAGCGCTCTGTTCCGGTGTAACTGCCGTCGGCACTGCAGCTGCAATGGCCGAATATCGCACTGGATCTTGCTGGTCGCTGGTCGATTGCAGCGAGTGAATAGCTAGGAGGGCATAATCCATGCGTTGACCTCCGCTAGAACAACTCTCGATAATTAGGTCCGGGAACCGATCGTACAGTTTACCGACCCATTCGAGATAGGCACGATTATGGCCCAGTTGTCCATCAGCGGGACTGAAGGAGCTTGCGTCAGTGCCTTGGACTACTTCGATATTGTAGTCGAACTTGAAGTATCCAACTCCATAATTTCGGACGAGATTGTCAATCACTTTGTCCATGCGTTTGATGACTTCAGGGTGCCGATAATCTAGTTGGTACCGGCCTTTTTCTACGATTCGTCGGCTGTTCTCTTGGAAGAAAGCATCTGCAGGTAACATATTGGCGACTACGCTTCGAACGCCAATCACTTCCGGCTCAATCCATAGTCCTGGGATGAGTCCCTTGGCCCGGATATCATCTAACAGCGCTTTGAGACCGCCGGGAAACCGTTTTGTTGAAGGCTCCCATAGGCCAACGTCGTCCCACCAGCCATTGTCGTCCGCATACCAGCCGCAGTCAATGACAAAAAACTTTGCGCCTGCTTTGACAGCAGGATCGACGAGAGCCATGACCTTTTCCGTGGTGGGATCGCCCATGAGACAGTTCATGTAATCGTTAAAGATTATAGCGAGCTCATCATTGTCCTTGTGAGGTCTTCGAATGCGTCGACGGTATTCAGTCAAAGCAGCGAAGGCGCTGTCCGGATGACCCAAGACGTGACAGATCGCTACCGGTACGCTGGTGAACGACTGACTAGGAGCCAGACAGTGTTTCCATCCATGATCCTTGTTCGTCGGCCCACCCAGAGCCAGATAGACATTCTCCTGGAAATCTCCAAGCTCCCAACGCCACGACCCGTTGGTCTCAATCTGCCACAGCCAGGTTTCGCTAGAGTCATACTTCTTCAGCAAGCCGAGAGGCAGATATGTCCCCGTTGAGAACGTTCCACGATTAGAAACGGCATGAACTGCCAATGACGCGTCATGGCTTTCAGGCAGTTCGGAGAGACCGATATCGTCTAATCCGACGTTGGGAAGGGACTCGTCACGCCACTGCGCTTCTCTGAACCAGGTGTTGGTCGGTGTGGATAAGGTGTAGTCCAGCCAACAATTAATCGGCTTTCCGCCTAAAGCACCGACAACGAAGGACGACAGCTGGTCGACTACAATGTCTTTTTGAGACTCATTGTGAATTGTCATTGTCGATCTAATCACGGGAATTCCTGAATAGACCGACAAGTGGGCAGTAACTGAAATCTGGGATGTCTCGTCAAACGCAGTGACATCGAGAGACTTCACTCGATCGTTACCGTACTCCTGATGACCCTGATATTTCAGTCTGCTTGAGACGTAACTGCCAATGAGTGCCTTGGCCGACTTCTGCGACGGATTTCCATCGCCATTCAGTCGAACCCCGAATAGGGGGACGGCACCTTGCTTGGGAGATGAGGGATCTTGTTCCTTTACTGGTGCATCATGTGGCAGAATACTCACAATGCGAACCATTTCGTCGCTTCCAACGACCAGCTGGACCGTGAGAGTGCTTGTTTGCCAGACAATACTGCTTGGTTGAGCCATTGTCGCGATGTTCAACAAACAGACGGACTGAGCGATTGCTAGTCAGAATTTGCGGCCATCTGCCTGCTATATAATTGCACTCGGCTACCTGATGCTATGGATCTGATGGCATGGCGGCATTGCAAGTACTAGGCGTGGAAGGAGTAGCTTTTAGACTGTCGTAGGCGGATATGGGCATCACAGACTGGACCCTAATCCGACGTAGGAGTTGCGGGGAGGCGGAAAACCGGCGGGCTTGACAATTAATCATTGGACATAACCAGGCATAAAGTAAATGTTTTCTGTCAGGATTTGTTGATGACAATTATCCGAAGCCATTTAGCCGGCATTCTCTGGCCATTTGACTCGATATCTTCGTTTTTGTAGCACGAGAAAATAATTAGACTATTCATGTACCCCGGATTTCTTTCCAAACCTTCCCCGTTGGGCGTCCGGCTAATCAGGAAAAGAATACGCCTACAAAAGGAGGTGTCAAACACCCAGGACAAAGGCAAGACATTTACATTGCAACATGGTGTAACTCGGCTGTCAATGGCCAGTGTTTTATTGTTCTTCGCTATGCGTTCTTCTGTGGAGACCGAGCATGCTCTGGGGACTATAAAAGGATCACTTTCTCCCCCATTCCCACGACCAAGGATGATATCAATTCATGACCTATGATCTTCTACTCCTTTGCATGTATGCAAAGGCATCCCTGTCACTGGCTGTGACATTCAAGCAGCATCGTGGGTACAGAAATCGATCATGTCCAGCAAATACGAGCATTTCGAGAACAAAGTGGAAGAACAACTCAGATCAACAACTGACGACCACCCCCTCGGCGAGAAAGGAGGATGGCACGCTTCAGTCGCAGATGCCCATCTAGCCAACATCAATGAGCACGAGACAACAGTCCGCAAGGCACTTCGAGCATATCCCTATGCTGCAATATGGTCAGTCGTGGTGTCCATGTCCATCATCATGGAAGGATACGATACAAGCCTCGTTGGTAATTTTTACGGCTACCCGGAATTCGCAAAACAGTTTGGCTCGTATGACAAGGCCACGGATAGTTATCAAGTGGCTGGGCAATGGCAGCAGGCTCTTGGATCTAGTCCGACTGCTAGTGCGCTAGTCAGTGCTACGCTGAATGGATATCTCCTACAGCGGTTCGAGTTTCGAAGTGTCTTTATGGGCGGACTTGTGTGCATGAATGCTTTTATTTTTATCTGTTTCTTTGGGACAACGGTGGAACTGCAGATTGCAGGGCAATTCTTGTGTGGGTGAGTTTTTCGTATTGCCAGACAACTGATCTCACCAATGATCGACTGCTGGCATGTGTTAATGGGATCTATAGGCTAACAGAACAGAATCCCATGGGGCATCTTCGCGACAATCGGATCTGCCTAGGCCTCAGAGGTCAGCCCAATGGCCTTCCGCCCCTACCTCACAGCCTACACCAACATGCGCCTCGCTATAGGCCAATTCATCATTGCCGGCGTGCTGCAAAGTCTGCTCGGACGTCCAGACCAATGGTCCTACCGGATCCCGTACGCTATACAATGGCTTTGGCCCGCCCCCTTGATGGTTGCAGCATTCTTCATGCCCGAATCACCATGGTGGCTTGTCCGACATAACCGCTACGAAGAAGCCGAACATAGCGGCAAACGTTTAATGGCGCGTGCCGAGAAACCTAACGCTAGAAAGGTTGTAGCCATGATGATCCATACGAACATGATTGAGAAAGAGATTACAGCCGGCCATTCCTACTGGGATTGCTTCCGCGGCACTGATCTGCGTCGAACGGAGATTGCATGTGTCATTTTCGCTGGTCAGGTTTTGGCTGGAACTTCCTTCGCGTTTAGCGGCACTTATTTCTTCGAACAAGCTGGTCTGAATAACGACGATGCCTATAAGCTTGGCTTGGGAGAAACTGCTATTGCCTTTGTCGGCACCCTAATCTCCTGGGTCCTCATGAGGATCGCCGGCCGTCGAACAATCTACCTATGGGGTATGGCAGGAATGTGCGCTTGTCTCATAATAATCGGCTTCCTGACTCTGGCCCACGGTAACGCCGGCATAAAATGGGCCCAATCCGTTCTATGCGTCATCTGGCTCTTCTTCTTTTCTCTTTCCGCCGGTCCTATTGGATGGGATATCCCAGCGGAAGTCTCCAGCACTCGCCTCCGGTCCAAAACCATCTGTCTAGCCCGAAACTCGTATTACATCACTCAAATCGTGGGCAACGTCGTTGAGCCGTATATGTTGAATTCGATTGAATGGAACTGGAGAGGAAAGACGGGATTCTTTTGGTTTGGTACTGCTTTTCTAACTTTTGTTTGGGCCTGTTTTCGTCTGCCAGAGACCAAGGGTCGGACTTATGAAGAGTTGGACTTGATGTTTGCTGCGAAGGTGCCGACGAGGAAGTTTAGGAAGTTTCAGGTGGATGCGTATGATGAGAATGTCAATATCATCGATCGGGTTAAAGAGACGCAGTAAAGGATTTCAACTTGGGGACAGCCTGGGTACCTGGGTACTGGGTACCTGAAGCAGAAATTTTATCGATATTAGTCCGCGAGATGCTGACTCAAGCGTTGTTGTCGATAGAAATAGCAAATTACCAATGGAGAAGTGACGTCCTTACTTCCAAAGATGTTGGTATTAGGTTCAAAACGCTCGATACCCGTGGACGGTGCTCCGTGGCTGAAGCAATCGTAAGAATTAGCTGAATGTATCCCGCTATGAAGGTGCTCCAAGGTAGAATGGTAAACTCCTGATCTTTGCAGTTGCAAAGGCCCCATGTTTGACCCGATGTATCGCAGATTTATTTCTGAATATAGGTTTAGAATAAGTTATAAATGACAAAGTGCAAGAAAGGATCAACCCACCATCAGCTGAGATAATTCGAAAAATCCGACGGGCTTGCGACGATATTCTCCACTCTCCACGAACTTGAATCACTATCTTCTGAATACCTATCACCTACTGGCTGCGCAAACTCCGACAAAAACCGCAACATCCACTGATCCAACCTAAACGAAGTCTCCATAGAGACCCGACAAGCCTTATGAAACGCTCTCAGCCGAGAAAAGCACACATCTAGTGTAGGCCAAAATGTTCGAAGACACTGCAAGATCTCAAAATTGCGTTCTAGACGTGTTCGCGCAATTCTGATTTCTTCGTCGTCGATGCCGAAGAGTAGGATATACAGTTGGACAGTCGACGAAATTACTAAAATGTGACCGACCATGGTGTATAGTACTTCACAGTCTGGAGTAGCTTTCGCGGTGTAGAGGAGCTCACAAAGACGGGCAGCGTTGACTTTGCACTTGTTTGCGTAGAATCGGGTGCTCGGGACTGAGGCATGGCAGTCCTGGTGGAGAAATTGATAGAATAGCAGTTGTCCGTAATGGTAGTAACCCACATACAGAGCGACAAAGGTTCGCCCGAGCCCTTCGGAGGCGTATCGAGCCATGTTTGTTGGTGTATCGCGCATGTAATCGGGCAGAGCGGCCTGCCATTCATCCAGGCGATGAGATATGTCTCGAATAGCCGTTTCTAGTGCGGCGCCGTCAGATCTTCCTGTGGCTGCCATGTCATTGATCTCGTATATCTGTGCTAAGATTAGATTCAGTTTGATCATCTGCGCAATCAGAGATGTTTCTGGTCGAGGTGGATTCTCGACTGGAATCGTGTCTTCTCTCTTCAATTGGAGGAACTTTCTTTCGTTCATAGGTAATGGCACGTCATCCCGATGTATCATATATCGAGGAAGACCAATACCTGTCGCTGACCAGACATCGATCAGGCAGAGTGTCCACCAGACTAATCACACTTTAATCATTGGCATTCGCCATCCGAGACAGGGGAGGGAGACGGACCTCGAATGTTAACCTCCTTCTCAATAGCACTCACAGTCGACCGGCGGGGTAGATCGAGGAGCTGAGCTATACGAAAAGCGACAGCATAGTAGACTGACTCTGCAGCCGGCTTCACATCAGCGACGGCCGTTGCACCGAGCAAAACGCATGCTTGGACCGTGACCAGGGAGACATCTTCAAGGTCCAAAAGCCGCTTGCACTCAGCACTATACTGCCGATGTCGTTCACGAGCTTCACAGCCTTCGAAAAAGGGGTTCTTTGAGAACCTGAAATTCATGTTAGAGGGGTTTCACTATGCCGGAAAGCGATTTGAGATCAAACCTTGCAGATAGGGCCAGTATCCCGTAGACAAGGATCGGGGGAGCTCGGTCGTCCAGTACATCTTGGATCATGCTCGGTTTGTGGAATAAAGAATGGAATTGGTCGTGTATCAAGTCAAAGTACAGTCGAGTCAGCTCCACGCAGATGGGTTTTGGGGGAAGGTTGCATGTCGTCTGTTTGACGGGCGCAGCATGGCCGTTGAGCGCTGAGGGAGCTTGTGGAACCACCTGGGACAAGGAGCATTCAATTCCCTTGGTCACACAGTATGTGCATCCATCGCCTTTTACCGGGATGTTGCATTTTCGCCTCCGGAGACTGGAATCGGAAGTCAGAATGGATGAAGGCTGGGGGAAAAGGGGCACTCACCGGCAGGTGTGGCACGCTTTTGCAGGTCTCATGTTAGTTCAAGCATCGATATTTCTAGATAGCACGTTTTAATGCCAATCATCTGTCCTACAACGTGCGGTGATCGTTGAAGCATAGACTGGAGACGGCATGAACAAGGCGTGGGGTAAGCAGGTTGTAAAAGTACTATCTATACCAAGCAACTTTAAGCAACAGGAGATAGTTGCGACTAACGGCCCACGCTACACTTAGTGCTATTCGCATAATCCGGTTTGGAACGACACTATAAGGTTGTGAACAATCAAATTCAAAAACAGATAATACAGTACAGGTGAGGACGTGCGTCTAGGGAGTCCTGGTTGCGAGCTCTAGCCCTATCTAGTACTTACAGCACGGCGCATTCAACGCCCAGTTATTGATCCAAAAATCAGGTGCGCAATGAATCTAAACACCTATCGGGCATGTCGAAACAAATGCACCCAACCGGCAAAGAAGTAATGGCTAGAGAGAGTTGCCACCAGTCGATACTATGGACTGGGCTCCCGCCTAATCCTCTATCTAATAGCTTATTCTATTTCCGTTGGTGCGTGCTTCTGCCAATGCTGGGGGAGGCGGTGGTCCAAAAACAGGTTTCTCCATAGTGGCTTGCTCTGGAAAACGCTGGCGTAGAGCTTCGTATTCCTCTTCATCGCTCATCACACCATCTTCATCCTCGTCCTCATCCTCATAGTCATCGTCCTCGTCATCGTAGTCACTTTGTGTGCCTTCTTCGTCACCTTCGAGATGGCCGGAAAGGGCATGATCACCGACGTGATTCGCATCGCCGCTCGTGAACCCGTGCCCTCGACCTTGCTCTTGCATACGGCGACACAGCGCCTCGAGATGGTGACATTTTTTCTGGTACTTCTCTAGCTCCTGCTGGTTTCTATTGCGTTCCTCTGCCATTTCTAGAATATTGCGATTTGTCTGGTCATGTTTGCGGGTCAGAGTGAGGTTTTCCTTTTCCAGTCGCTTTGTCTTTTTCGACATCTCCTCCATTTCCTTTCGGAAAGTCAGAAACAGCTCATTGCTGTTATTTAGCGTATCCTCAACCTAGATAACATAAGCAGTAGGTCTTACATGTCAATCAATAACACATACCTGTTTGAACTTTTCGACATATATATTGAGCTGACTACGGAGTTCAACCTCTGTGTGGGAGAAAGTCGAAACTTGCGCAGTGAGAGCACGGCACCTGGACGCTTCACTTTCGGCAGCCCGTTTCTGCTCTTCATATTTCGCAACAAGGCTTTGAATTTCCGCATCCTTGCTGCGTAGAAGGGCTTTGAAATGGAATTCCCGCAACTCGAACTTTTCTCCAATTGTCTTGATCTTGGCACGAATCCTATGCTCAATCAGCACTGACACTTAAAAAGTGAAAGAAATGTAGTGCTTACGCATCATCCATATCAATATCCATCTTCTCATACTTCCGAGTCTCTTTGGGGGCCATCACATCTTGAATGTCGACAAGGAGAGAGTTCAGACGTTCATTGACAATCATGCGAGCTCGCTTTTCCGTTTCCTCGAGCTTCTTATTTTCGTCCTACAGGCCACAATCAGCTCAGCACATTCCATTAACAAGGCGGTGCTCTAGTACCTTCACTTTCTTGTTCTCCTTTGTAAGTTCTCGGCAAAGCTTCTCCAACTTGTCCTTCATAGTAGCTGTCTTGTTCAGTTCCGACTTGCCCTTATCCTGTTCTTTCTGCAGCTGATCCGCTCGTTTCTTGCTCTTGGTATAGTCACGGTCCAGCTTTTTCATCTCGGCTAGCAACTCGGTGTACTTCTTATGGACTGTCTCAAGGCGAGTCATTGGCGATTCGATATTGCTGAGCAGTTGGTTCAGGTCTCTTGTAGCTTTTTTCACCTCGCGTTCTACACCATGTTAGAAAGTCCGAATGACTTGCAGCATGAAAAACTTTTCCGTCACGTATAAAACGACAGCACGGATTGAAAACAAGGATATATGAAGTAAACCATAGGGTACACACCTATTTCGGCTTCTTGATCTTTCTCCCCGGCCGCATCTTGCTCCAGTTGCGAAATCTTGGCTGCGAGCAACTTGGAGGTCTCATTGGGATCAGCCATTTTCTTTCCCTTGGCCTTCTTGGACATGGTGGTGGATGCCATTGCTAATTTTGACTTTCAAAAGACCGGAAGAGTTGCGCAATACTCGAAAGAAAATTGTCTGGCCTGTTCGCGTGACCGATCACTGCAAAAACGATGTACTCGATAGATCTGTTTTCAAGATCGCAACTGCCATGCCTTGACCGCAACGGTATGAATGCAATCAAGGCAAGTCTTATGATGAAACCTCAAAATACGTTCTGAATATCGAAGCGTCGGTTTGCGCCGGCAAAAGACTCGCTGAGGTCGCTTGTTTCGGATCGTTCGTACCTGGCCTGTCCGCGAGGTAATCCATATGAATGGAAAAAGCGAACAGGAACTCGGCAAGCTGCTGTAACCGCTGCTAGTAGCCGTTAACCGCAGCTGATGGTCGTAGTTGTGCGTCAGAGTAGGGAACAGCGTAGGTACATCGAAGACTCTGCCGGGATTTCCTGCTCTTGGGGTGTTCAGTGTGGTTTGAGGACGAGTAATTGCAAGAGGGGAGACCGAGAGACCGCCTTGGCCAATCCGAGCTTAGCGCAAAATTTCTCGCAGTTTCCCTTGGCGGCTCCGATCCATTACTAACCATGTGTCTTCTCTAGTATTTTCATTTGCTTATTCTGTTGTATATAATCCTCTAACAGATCATACGAAAAGTGGATATCCATATGAGTGTGAACTGTGGCCGTCTCCGTGAATAGCGAGTTCGTGGACAAAGCATTAGATGAAGCTGCCGCAATAGCCTCTGATCGATTCACCTTTTAGCAGCTCCACGGAGCTATTGCAATCGCGATGCTTCGCCTAGCCACCGGCATACGTCGAAATGGTCTTGTGGCCTCCGGGGGGATATTGTCGCAGAGACCGGGGTCCCTAGGGCCCGTGGGATTGCGGCGGTTGGCTTCGACTGTGACAGATCTCAGCAGCTATCCCTCAGTGGGCGAACGGCTTCACGGCTTTACAGTTAAAGAAAGGAAGCATGTGCCAGAGCTGCATCTTTCGGCTGTTCTCCTCAAGCACGACAAGACAGATGCAGATTACCTTCATATTGCCAGAGACGACAAGAACAATGTCTTTGGTATTGGGTTCAAGACCAATCCTCCAGATGCCACGGGAGTTCCTCATATCCTTGAACACACCACATTATGCGGAAGTGAAAAGTGAGTCTTCATCATTTTCGAGATCAGCCAGAACCACGCTAATTTTCAAAAGATATCCAGTCCGCGATCCCTTTTTTAAAATGCTCCCTCGATCACTGTCCAATTTCATGAATGCGTTTACCTCTTCCGACCACACCACATACCCCTTTGCAACGACAAACAAGCAGGACTTTCAGAATCTGTTATCCGTCTATCTCGATGCCACGCTGCATCCGTTGTTGAAGAAGGACGATTTTAAGCAAGAGGGGTGGAGACTTGGACCGGAGAATCCACGAGCTGCAGAGCAATCGGATGCAAAGAACAAAGAATTGGATGAAATTGTCTTCAAGGGTGTTGTCTACAACGAAATGAAGGGACAGATGTCTGATGCCAACTATCTCTATTACATCCGGTTCAAAGAGAGCATTTTCCCGGCAATTCATAATTCTGGTGGCGACCCTCAGTATATCACGGATCTGACGCATGAACAATTGGTCCAATTCTCGAAGAAGAATTATCACCCAAGCAACGCCAAGATAGTGACCTATGGCGATATGCCTTTAGCTGATCACTTGAAACAGATTGGAGATGTCTTGAATGGGTTCGAGAGGAAAGAGGCGGACAAAGACATAAAGCTACCGCTTGATCTCAGCAGTGGGCCTACAGAGGTCACTCTCCCCGGTCCGATCGATTCATTTACCAGTGAAGATCGACAGTACAAAACGTCAAGTTCATGGCTTATGGGTGATGCAACAGACATTGTGGAAACCTTTTCGACTGGTATATTGTCTTCACTGTTGCTCGACGGTTATGGATCTCCCATGTATAGAGCTCTGATTGAAAGCGAGCTTGGCTCATCTTTCACCCCGAACACCGGGCTCGATACATCAGCCAAAAAGCCAATCTTCTCTATTGGCGTAAATGGCGTCCGCGAAGAAGATGTAGGCAAAGTCCACGAGGTGATTCGTGGTGTCTACGAAGAAGTCATTGCTACCGGATTCAACGATGAAAAGGTTCAAGGGTTCCTTCATCAACTAGAACTTGCATTAAGACACAAGACCGCCAACTTTGGTATTGGAGTCATGGAAAAAACATTGTCGTCCTGGTTCAATGGTAGCGATCCTCTTAAAGAGCTTGCTTGGAACGATGTCATCAATGAGTTCAAGAGAAGATATGCCGAGGGCGGATATCTGGAGTCTCTTGTGCAAAAGTACCTGCTCAACGACAACTACATGAAATTTACAATGGTTGGGTCACCAACTTATAATTCAGATCTCGACGAGCAAGAAAGGGTTCGCAAGGATACCAAGCTCTCCGATCTGATATCGAAACACGGCTCTGTAGAGAAGGTCATTACAGAGTTGGAGAAATCCGAACTTGATCTTCTCAAAGTGCAAGAAGACGCACAGCTTGCGGATGTAAGCTGCTTGCCAACACTCCGCGTCTCAGATATCTCAAGACAGAAAGAACGCAAACCTATTCGGGAGTCCAAGGTTGGTAACGTTGAAGTCGTGTGGCGTGAAGCTCCTACCAATGGTTTGACCTATTTCCAAGCATTGAGCCCATTTGAAGGTCTGCCAAATGAGCTCCGTTTGTTGATGCCTCTGTTTCACGACTGCATTATGCGTCTTGGCACACCTGGGAGAAGCATGGAGCAATGGGAAGATTTGATCAAACTCAAGACCGGAGGAGTTTCTACTTCGTCTTATTTGGTTTCATCGCCGACTGAGCTAGGAAAATACAAAGAGGGTCTACAGATTAGCGGTTTTGCCATTGATAAAAATATTCCTACTATGCTGGATATCATCCGGACCCTTATCACAGAGACAGACTTTACGAGCCACGAGGCTCCACGGATGATACTAGAATTACTTCGTTCTACAACCAATGGTGCCTTGGACGCAGTTGCGGGTACCGGTCATCGTTTCGCAGTTAATGCCGCTGCAGCTACATTGAACAAAAGTTTCTGGATTCAGGAACAACAATCTGGTTTGGCTCAGTTACAGGCGACAGCCAATCTTTTGAATGATGCCACTACATCACCGGAGAAACTCAATGCAATTATTGAGAAACTTCGTTTGATCCAGAGTTTTGCCATTTCCCAGTCGTCTAATCTTCGTGTGCGCATGGTTTGCGAAGCAGATAGTGCTGCAGACAATGAGGCGTCGCTACAAAAATGGCTAGCAGCTCTTCCCAAATCAGGGACGATGCCTGCTGTGTCTAAGCATGAGTCAGACATACCCATTACCCCTACGAGCAACGTCCTCTACGATATGCCATATAAGGTGTACTATTCAGGTCTTGCCATGGAGACCGTCCCCTTCATTGATCCCAGCAGTGCATCGTTGAGCGTTCTATCCCAACTCCTAACCCACAAATACCTCCACCCCGAAATCCGTGAAAAGGGCGGTGCCTACGGAGCCGGAGCCAGCAACGGTCCCATCAAGGGCATCTTCACATTATCGAGCTACCGGGATCCAAATCCCCTCAATACCCTGAACGTATTCAAAAAGACCGGCATCTTCGCCCGCGACCGTTCGTGGACCGAGCAAGAACTCGAAGAGGCGAAATTGAGTATTTTCCAAGGTCTCGATGCGCCCACCAGTGTGGACGAGGAAGGATCGCGATATTTCACGAGTGGTGTTACGCATGAAATGGATCAACGATGGAGAGAGCAGGTACTAGACGTCACGGCCAAGGATGTCAATGAAGTCGCTGCTCGGTTTCTGGTTGGTGGCAGCGAGAATGCGCTACTTCGTCAGGCGCTTTGCGTATTAGGTGAGAAGAAGGGGGACCTTACCGCTAGTGGCGAGTGGACTGTGAAGAAGCTCTCACTGCAGTCTCAGGAAGCCGAGGTGGATGGGTTTGAGGGTGTTGATGCTGCTTTAGCATAGAACACTTATAAAATAGCATCTTCACTCTGGAGTTTTGTCGATTCTTTCATGTTTTGATATATAACATCATCTTTTGATATACCCTTACTCTGTACGATATGATAATGGGTTGACTTGCATATCACTGTTTTGCAATGTACAAATATTTGCTCTGGCTTTTACCCAGATCTTTCTCAACCATGCATACTCTCAACCCGTGAGAATGAGAATATACGCGCTGCTTTGAACAGAGCAGACTCATCTCCAGCCCTACCTACCAATTTCCACTACGAATAATGGGAAGCAGGATACAATGGCTGTCGAGATTCCAGAGTCACCTTGACATGTTCTATGTTCAAGGTAATCCAGGCGCAACATCAGACCAAGGAAACCCACGAATCTCAAGCCAACCCAATCCTGCAGGATTCTTTGCATCTTGCTGAAGGAGATCTACTTATTTATCGTAAACCGTTATCCTTCAGGGACAATGTGTTTGTGAAAATAGTAACCTTCTTTCTAAAGATGTAGAAGACTCATCCTATAGGATGGGAATGAGATTCCGATTTCCACTCCGTTTATCAGACCTGCCCTATCTCGTGAGATTGTGGGGGGCGGACTAAGAACGTGAGGACATTTATTCTTATTACTATCATGACGGTGTAAACTACTACCACGGTAACTCCAACGGCGTCGATAGATTTTTACCAAGGACAGGCTCAGCAGTTCCGATATCCCTGATATCATCAGTCTCGAGTCAGAAAATAGATAGATAGATAGTTAAGAGACTCACCGTGGCCCCCTAGGAGCCCAATACGTTCCCGTCTTCTCAATATCGAAATCCTTCTCTACAAATTCTGCCAATGACTTTGCAGCTTCATCCGGCGTAACAGCTATCCATAATCAGCACCCAAAAGCCCTGCCCCAATCTCAATCTAAAGGGGGGACGGGAAAGACATACCACCCCCATCCTCCCAAAACCGATCAAATCCAACACCCCTCGTCATCTCTGTCCTCATAAACCCCGGATGCATCATCCCTATCGCAATACCTATCTCCTTAAGGTCCAAGGATAACAATTTCCCCACCATATTTAGCGCTGCTTTACTAGCGTGATGCCCATAATTCCCGCCTCCTTCAGATTCGTGCCGTAAAGTTATACTGCCTGCTTCGGAGGAGATGAATATCACTTTTCCCCCTTTTCCATTTCGACCTTCTGCGATCAGACCGGATTTGACGAGTGCCTGAATAGCGAATACAGGCCCAATTGCGGATGTAGTATACATCCTAACCTCCTTCTCCCAGTCGGGATTATCGAATGATTCCGAGCCAAAGTAGCCTGCATTCACGATTATGATGTCTAGTTTCTTGTTGTTGTGGGGAATGATTTGGGCGGTTAGGTTGTGGCCTACATCGGGCTTTGAGATGTCCACGTTCAGGAGCCAGTGGATTTTAGTTTTGTTGTTGTGATCCGGAAAGTTTGAGGGGGGCTTGTTGGAACGGGTTGTTGCGTAGATGGTTGATGTGCTTGGGAGGGAGGCGTAGTAGGTTGTGAGTGAGGCGCCGAGGCCGCGGGTTGCGCCGATTATGAGGATAGTTGACATTTTTTTCTCCCTTTACCTTTTGTATAATTCTTTTGATGGAGTGTTGAGGCTGAGGTGGAAGTGAAGCTATCTAGGGAGTGGGATGATGACATGACGTACAGTAAGCATGAGACTATATCCGGCCAATCACGAAAACTACCCTCATACTGGCATAAAATTATCGTAAATCATGAATATTATACATATAGAAGTCGTCAGCAAGACATGTCTACCTGCTATTAGAAATAGAATGTAAACAATGTAGTCATCTCTGAATGCGCTTGGGATCAACCTAAATCGCCTTGGTTCTCGCTAGCTGTGTTTTGGGTATCCAGGTCTTTTATCGACAGCGACGTGGTAGACCTTTGTGATGTCGGTGTTACTGGGTAGGAAGGAAAAGGTTCCGTTGGTTTATCATCCTCTTGTATAGAAGCCGGATTGCTGGGTTTAGTCGTTGGAGAATCTGAACTCCAAAAGTTTGTAGGAGCCGCTTGAGATGACTATCGTGTATTAGTAGAAATCTTCCGTTAATCATTCTTCAACTGGCTTACCGTATCCCTAGCTAATCCCTGGTTAACAGCCAACTGCTGGGCTGCACTCCGTTTGCGCACAATTTCCAACTCCTCTTCGGCTTCCGCTTCCTGTTCCTCCTTTGACAGTTCCGCCATGGACGCAATCTCAGAGTTACGAGTGGCATCAATCTCCAACCGAGACTCTTTCCGATCTCTCGTCTTCCCGCTCCGCGACGACTGTCCGGACGTTGTCCGTCTAGATCGCCCTCCGCTTCCGGACAGATGCTCATCTGAAGTCAGACCTGTATTTCGCCGCGCAAGCACAACGGCAAATTCGTCGTCTAGAGGTACTGCATCTTCATCCTCGTCGTCGAATATAAGATCGCCTCTTGAACTTAGTGAATTACTCGTTTCCTGTGACGATTGTGTTGTACTGCGATCTCGTCTCTGTCTCTTGCCTTTCCTCATCGTTGCCGTAAGATCATCTTCATCCTCCTCTTCTATTAACGGCTGCGCCTCCGAACTTCCAGGCTGAATATAATCATCATGCGGCAACCGACCCGGTCTTTCCTGTAAATCCGCCGCCGAGGGACGATATTTCACTCCGCGAGGACCAATTTTCCAGGGTAATCGTTCCAAAAACCCAATAAACGACGACTTTGGTATCACCGTCGGATCATCTCTCTGATCCGGTAAAATAGAACTTTGCCGCCTCGTTCGCGCAGCCCCATAACTCATCTTGCGCTGTCGTCGGGGCTGCTCACCACCCCGTGCAACACCGACACTGCCACTACCAGCCAATAACCGATCTAATTCATCATTTCCCCAACCCAATATCCCCTCATTAGCAACCTCATTGTCCCAATCATCGTAAAAATCGAAATTGAGTTCGGCGCGATTCCGTCGACGACGCCGTAGTTGGTGTTCGCGGTTTGGTAGACATGGAGCGGTGCATTGTGCGAGACAGCTGCCGATAGAAGCCAAGCAAGGTGCTAGGTATTGTTGGCCGAAGCGGTAGAAGCCTTCTTGAGCGCTTTCGTTTGCGGATTCGATGTTGTGGGAGATTTGGTTGAGTGTTTGTCGGATCCGAGGGTCGTTTGTGCGCATCATTTTGTTGTTGGTAGAAGGTATACAGGATGTATGAAGTCAACGAGGGTTGAGATAGTTGAGGTCGGAGATAGTACCGGTGACGGCTGTATGCCCTGTGGGCGCAGTCTAGGTGGTTTCTGTGCTGGTCATGAGAGTAATAAGTCTGCCATACATGGGTGACAGTGTCTGTAAAATGATAATTCCTGGCATGAGTGTGATATTGGTTTGGTTGGTGAGTTCCATTGGACATGCCACACAATGATGGACTTACTAACCCTCGATGCACGTGAGATGAAAGACATCCACCAATCATGTTTATCAATCTTTTACACCAGACGATTCTCCAAAAAAAAAAATAAAATAAAATAAAATAAAATCATAGTATATGCTCAGCAAAATTGAATATGGTGTACTACATACGATTCTTGAAAACACCTCGGACGCAAATAGTCAAACCTGGGCTCGTTTCAGTCTCGACATTAATCTCCATCACAACTGACCTCGGAGACGCATTCCTTGCTGAAGACGTCGTATTGCAAGCACAATTAATCGACGGTACTGACATCAACACAAAATCAAACGTCTTGCAAGAAAGTATATTCAATTGGGAGGCCGGCAAACGAGAATTATCAATATCCATCGGCCCAGTTCGAGTCGGCTCAAAGATCTCAAAGGTTGTACTGGCGATTGGACCAAAGACTTCGTCTGCGACTTTATATACAGATCTGAGCAATTCGAGAAACGTGCCGTTGGTGATTTCAGGATGGAGTGCGCCTTTCAGTATTGCTCAGAACGCTCCGGCCGAAAAATTGATTGAAAGAAGATTCATACTGCAAGATACCCGACTAAGAATATGGGAAGAGACAGGGAACAATATTGCGCGGCATATATGGTTAGTTCTTAGACATACTTACCCGATGGTCACTGACGATGCTAGGGATGCCGCTCTGGCAGCTATTATATGCCTACAGGATACTATCAACAGCTCTGGCGAGTGCAGTATGCCGCGCCTTCAATCCCGGCTTCGGACCAAGGGGAAGCTACAGGTCATTGAACTAGGGTCAGGCTGTGGCGTGGTTGGGATCGCTCTTGCACAGATACTGTCTAACTGCTCAGTTACGCTCACCGACCTCGCAGAAGTAGACGATATCATGACCCGTAATCTTCAGCTATCCGCACCTGGCTCATCGACTCGATTCAAAGTCCTTGATTGGGAGGAAGAGCTAGACGCGGATATCCTACAGGAGCCAATCGACCTCGTGCTGGTATCGGATTGCACTTATAATGCTGACAGCCTGCCAGCGTTAGTCAAGACCCTGGATCGACTGGTGCAATCGTCTCCCGAGGCGGTTGTTCTGGTGTCGTTGAAGAGACGGCATGAGAGCGAGGCTGTGTTTTTTGATTTGATGCGACAATCCGCGCTTGTTGTGATGGAAGAAGCGGTTCATACACTCCCGGCGCCGTACTTGGATGAGGATCGAATTGAGATGTATATTTTTGCGCGAAATAAGTCATCTCAGAGCAACTGAAGAGGGGCGTCCTAGCGGGACTGCCGTATTTCTCAGGCAGAAATAAGGCAGCAATCATATATCAGATATCTTATCTGCCTTGATTCAATATTTATATCAAAAGTAATATAAATATAAATAAAAAAATAAAAATAAAAATAAAAAAGCGAGTTGCACGATCCAGGGACGGGTATTCTGCATATGTAGTGTGACTATTCGGCTGCATGTAATGGTCCTCTCGTCCAGTTTGATTGAATATTTTACTGTTGTCCAGCGCTCAAGCCTCGAGCATGCTTCAATCGCACAAGGAAATACTCAGACTGAGTCGAGGTGAGAGGTGATAAGCACCTGGGATGTGGTAGCTGCCTGCATCAGCTTGGACATTCCTCGCAAAATGGTGTTTAGATACTCATTGACCAGTGATAGGATAGATTATTTCGCTCATGAGTCAGAATGAGCTGAAAATATACGGAGAGAGAATAATCACTCATATGAAACAGACATACAGAGTTACTACAGAGTATATAAAAATTAATAATAATAATATGCGCCATGGGAAGAAAAATGGCCGGAGCCATTGTGGTCCCCTGCTGGCCAGACGCCAGACCAGAAAATTGTGAGTCCCCGCAGTCCGCCTCCCACTTTGGGCTCTTCCGCCAACTTCTTCTCTTCTACCCATCACCTCCCTTTCTGACATCTACTGATTCTTTCTTCATCCATTGCCTCAAGCAGTCTATAGCTTGCGGCCGTATCCTGTAAGTACAATCTGTCCTCCTTGTCACCCAGTCAAAGCAAGCACAGACCACTCGTCAATGGATTTCCAATGCCCGTGCCCTAAGAGCACACATAACATCAAGCATGTCAAAATTCTCTCCAACACCAGCATCTCCCGGCCAAGCCCAACAGAACCCATTGTTTTTCCCTTTCTTTTACCGGCTGTATCTAACATTTAAGTATTTCCAGACTTCCAACTCTTTTTGTATTAACCGCCTTTGGCATACCAAAGGCGCCCATCAACACGGCTTCCGCCGCAAACTCGCGATTCTTTCAAATTGTCGCCTTGTACCGACTTCGTCAGACTCTTAACAACATTCCACCTCCTGCTGACTGCTAATTCCCCCCCATCTACCTCCGGCGCGCCATTTCCCCTCCAATCTCCGTCCGCTGGTCTTCCCATTTTCTTTGAGCTGCCGCATAGGGTTACTCTGACGGTTCTTCCTCTTCTGGGGGAAGAGTCGAGGAGGCTTAGCCCACTTTATAACAGCTGCGAATCTTTTCGCCCTCCTTAACATCAACACACACACACAATTTACTTGACTTTCATATTCGCCCGTCAAAAACCTTACTATTCGCATGGTTATGGCACCTTCGGTTCTTACTCCTGATGATGCATACGTTTTTAACAACTATCATCCTCATACGAAAGATCCAACTGTCTTGACCCATTTGGATATTGGCCATGGAGTGAACGATGCTCTTGTCTTGCGGGGTCACTCCTCTCCCAAGGAGATGATACTCAGCGAGCTGAAGAAACGCGTGTCTCGTATCGACATTGCAGGCTGCGAGCCTGGCGAGGAAGATGCTTTCTATGTCGCGGACATGGGCGAGGTCTATCGTCAGCATATGCGGTGGAAGTTGAACCTAGGACGCGTCAAACCGTTTTACGGTATGTCTCTATTTCCTGCTAAAAGATTACTGAGTGCTAATTTCCATAGCCGTCAAGTGCAACCCCGACCCAGAAGTTCTGCGCCTGATGGCCCAGCTAGGCAACGGCTTTGACTGTGCTTCCAAGACCGAGATCGACCTGGCGCTCAAGACGGGTATTGACCCAAGCCGTATCATCTACGCTCAGCCGTGCAAGACCAGGTCGTACCTTCGCTACGCCCGCCAGAAAGGTGTCAAACAAATGACCTTTGACAATGCAGACGAGCTGTACAAGATCAAGAACGACTTTCCGGACGCCGAGCTCTATCTGCGTATCTTGACCGATGATTCCACCAGTCTATGCCGACTCAGCATGAAATTTGGCGCCTCTTTGGATACTGCTCGCCCGTTGTTGGATTTGGCCAAGAAGTTGGAACTTAATGTCGTGGGTGTCAGCTTTCACGTCGGTTCTGGTGCTGAAGATCCCGGCGCTTTCCTCAAGGCCGCTCAGGATGCACGTTGGGTGTTTGATCAAGCTGCCGAGGTTGGATACGAACTGCACACGCTTGACGTTGGCGGTGGCTTCTGCGACGAGACCTTTGAGAAGTTTGCAGCTATTCTGAGCAAGGCAGTCGATGATCTATTCCCGCCAAACATTCGTATCATTGCCGAGCCCGGTCGTTACTACGTTGCAGCAGCTTTTACACTTGCAGCCAACGTCATTGCTCGTCGTGATGTGCTTGATCCCCAGGCTTCATCGGGCAGCTACATGATTTATCTGAACGATGGTGTTTACGGCAACTTCTCCAACATCATCTTCGATCATCAACACCCCGTCGCTCAGATTCTGACGTGTGCCAACGGCAGCATCCCTCCTACTCCTGGACTGACTGCTTCGGGCTCATCCACCCCCGGTTCAGCTACACCGTGTTCCGCAGATGGTTCCCCATGCGCATCTCCCGCAGGAATCGAATACAGCATCTGGGGACCAACCTGTGACGGGATTGACGTGATTAGCCAGCGTATCGTTCTACCGGGCTTGGTCGATGTAGGCGATTGGTTGTATTTTGAGGACATGGGCGCATACACTCGTTGCAGCGCCACCCGTTTCAACGGGTTCCCTGACAACCATGATGTTATTTACGTCTCTAGTGAGAGCGGAGCATCCGCTTTGTTGGAGTATTGAGTTTTTTTCCCCTCATTTTTTCCCTCTTTTTTTTCTCTTTTTTTTTATTTTTAGTTTTTATTCATTTTTTTTACCTGGTTTTGTTTTGTTTCTTTTCTTCTTGCTTATGCAAATAGATTAGAATAATTGTGGGTTATTACCCCCTAAAAGTTCATGTTGATAATTACCACTTGTTTATATTAGTTGAATGCGATAGAGTACTTTATACATCTTTGACACATTAGATCTATTCTATGTCTATGTTTATATCAACTTCTCAACCTTGGCCTTATTATCCGCTGAACCCTCAACAGCGACATATTCACCCGTCTCAAGTTTTCTCTTCCACTTCACCGACTCATACCGCGCAAGTATAAACGTCAACCTGGCAACAACATCCGTCCCGCCCTCTGCAGAAGTAGGCGTGAATGTCCACCTACCAAATGCCCAATTCAGAATGTACATCCTCTTCGTTTTCGATTCTGATGTGTATGTGCCAGTAAAAGATGTAGTGAGAAAAGTCGGATCAGAGTTTTGCGGAATCTGTGACGAGGAGCAGAGGATTGTACCTTTGATACGGTAGACTTCTTCCTTTGAGGTTGATTTGAGCAGGGACGTGAATTTGGGCAGATCTAGGACTGCGCTGTCGTCGTGGGATGGGAGGGTGAGGGAGAGGACTTCGACTTCAGACTGATGGTCATGATCATGCTCATGTTCAATATGACCACCCTCCTTGGCTAACAAGGCTCCATCAATACCCAGCAACACATCCCTCTCTACCCTCCCCCTATCCGACTTAACCCAGGGCGTCGGCGAATCAAGCTCCAAATCCCCCAGCCGATCCAAACACACATCAAACCGTCTCTCATCCACCAATTCCCATTTATTAAACACAATCAAATCCGTGTATCGCGCTTGCATCTTTGCCGTATAACTCGTATCTTCATACCCTTGCCAATTCTCCACGTCGATTACACTTATAACCCCATCCAGCACGAAATGGCCCTTTGTAGATTCGTTCTCGGTCGCGAGACGGGTTATTTCCATGGCCAATGTCGCGGGGAACGCGCTCCCGCTTGTTTCGATTATGATTCTGTCCGGTTTGATTTCGGTACGTAGTTGGGTCAGGGCGGAGTCGAGTTGGCCCACGAGATTGCAGCAGATGCATCCGTTCAATAACTCGCGGACACCAGAAATGGATTGTTCGGAGGCGAGTTGTGAGTCGATTGCGATGTCGCCGAATTCGTTTTTGAGGAGCGCGAGACGATAGTCTGAAGGCAATTGGGGGAGGAGGTTTAGCAGGAGAGTGGTTTTGCCAGAGCCTAGGAAGCCGGTTAGGATTGTTATTGGGGTGGGAGGTTCTATTGCCATTGTCTCTCGTCTAGAGGATCGAGGGGTGGCGGGGTAGGAATGGAGGGATACGAGTTGAGAGGTCAGGATGAGATCAGGATGAGACTGGCTGAATGCGAATGTGAAAACAATTGATCTAGAGACGAAGTCTAGTCTATCGACTGAATGTGTGTAGGTAGGTATAAGAAGTGAAGTTGAAAAAGATCGACTGATACGGGTCCCTTTCTCTTCTTTTTATCTCCGCGCCCCGCTTCGTTCTTCGGTCAGCCTGTTCAGTATACAACTACAACATATGACATGCAGGACATGCAGTCAGTTCTCTTATAGACCTTCATCTCAAGTGTCTATTTGATGCGTCTTGTATAGGGCATACATCCATCCCCCCTCTGTAAATATAATATAATGGTTAGGTGGGACTGCCCAGAGAAACGACGTCATACAAGGACGAGCTGAATTTATATTCGGGGAACTTGATTGAAACCTCAAACATCAACTCTCATCAATCTGCTACCTGGGTATAACGATAACGACTAGAGAAAATGACTGAAAACGAGCAAGTCGCACCCTCCGAGAACGCATCCGCCAACGCTGCCAGCTCAACAACCTCAAATGTTCTCGAAACGGCGGAGAATGTATTAAACACCGTGGGTGACAAGGTCGTCAATGTGGCCGGACAGAATGAGACAGTTCAGAAGAGTGAGTTTTGTACCGCAGGCTGCTAGAAGCTGCAAAGCTGCTAATTGCGTATAGCTACTACGTTCGTTGAAGAGAATGTGTTAAAGGCCAATAAACAACAAGACGGCCCTGCAACGGACGATAAAGCAGTGGATAATGTGCCCGACGAACAGATCGAGGAGTTTATGAGGCATCAGAACCGGAGTTATCAGGGGTAGTTTTTCATTATGAAGGTAGATATGGCAGATGGCATTCGCTCCTTCCGTGGACAGAAGACGTCTCAACTTCTTCACTATCCAATACTCCGTCTCCTGTATAAACAGCATCATTTTGTCTTCAAAGCCAATGCTTATGACTGTATCATAAACAGTATCTGCCATGTTTCAACAGAACTTTCCCCGGCGATATAGCTTTGGCTCCATCCCATCCAGCAAGTATACCGAAAACGATGTAAGATCCCTATGCCAGAAGATCATTACAGCTCACTCATGACTGCAGTTCACCTGCAACCGTCTAAACTGCCACTGCGAATCCGCCAATCTCGAAGCCGACGACTCCATCTCCTCCAGAAGTGTATCCTCTCGCAGACATGCAGAATACTTCTACCGTCCTCCTATCCTGAGCATACACCGCGAGCAACTCATATCCAACGGATCACCATACTCTTACTTTGAGTATGATCACAACCCCAATGCCGAAGCCGAGTATTGCGAGCAATGCCAATTCTGTTCTGTCGGGGCGAAGTGGTGTGGAAGATATCCGAGTAATGATCAGACAGTCGTCAAAATGCCCAGGTCGTTTCTGGATAGTACGCCATCCGATTACGAGGGGTTGTATGGTTTGCCAGAGTTGAAAGTGCAGTTGCCCCATGCTACTTGGGTGCAGGACCCTTTTGTCGTCAATGCAGCTCAGGTTGTGAATGGGGGTGCGGTGCCGAGAGAACAAGAACAACAATTTCAGCCTGCTGTTTTTGTGAGTCTTCTTTCTCTCTTGTTTATGTCTCCTTTTTAGTTGTATCTTTTAGTTGTTATTCCTTCACAGCTTCCATCACTTACTCATTTATCATCACTGATACAGTCACACTCCATCGGCCAGCCATCAGGGGCAAAGATGGACCGTAATCCCTCTATTGACGAGGTTCTTTACGCGAGCCACCAAAACCCCTCGATGGATAGCCTGCAACAGATGAGGACAATCAACCAGGTGCCCGCCAAAGAATCTACCTACCTCAAGTCCTGTCGCGATGTCAGAACCACTCAGGAAGAACGCTGCGCCATCGAGGAAGGCTCGCTCGTCATCTCAATCCCGCCAAGTTTCACCAACCTGTCGCAACAACTAATCGCACCAGACGAGTTTGAGCTGCGCCTTGGAGAGGCATTTGTCGTCTGTCGCATGTATGCTGATATGTGGGCTCTATGTGCTCGTATCAGAAACTCAGAGTGCATTGCCGAACTGGATCAGGACGAATTGCAGAATTCTCCCAATCTCAAATTCATACCCCTCTGCGCGGTTACCTTGGCTTCCAATTATGCTGCGTTTACGAGACGTTGTACCATCTATCGACAGCAGCATCCTCATTCGGCTCTGTTTCCTACTGGTGGACATTTGATTACGCCCCCTGATCGTGTTGAGTCGTTGGAAGCGAGCCGCAGGTATTTTTCGAGATGTGATCGCAGCCTGATTCCTTTGCCTCCAATGGTACAGCATCTTTGCAAGGCGCCCGTTAAGCTGTCACCTGGGTTTGATTACGTACCCATGACAGAAGAGTCAGAAGCGCAAGAGAATATCCAAGATGAGGCACCTGCTCCAACGCATCAGGGCACCTTAAGTCGATTCTGGAAGAAATGGTCATCCAAAGACACGTCCTCGCCCGCAGAACAACGCCAGACTGAAGCACAGGTGCATACGGGTCTTACTCCAGATGGAAAGTCGTCTTATCCTCGTCATACCAAACAAGAGATATCTGACGGAGAAGATGGACAGGAAGTACAGGACACTGAACATGGAAACGGAAACAAGATTGGTAAACGCAAGAGTGTCCGCAACTTTTTCTCTCGATCTGTGCGAGTCAAGAATGGGGATGTCGTTCAGGTCTGATCTTTCAAGAACCTATCAGACGTTCCTCAACTCTTACTCTGGCCTGTATGTGACCACGAGGATATTGTTTTTACTCTTGGCTGGTTCTATTTTTGATTGCATTCGGGGTTGCTGTAGCCCCTTTAGTCCTATACCATGATAAATTCAAGCTTGGACCTTGCCTGAAGTCTACTTGGTTAGTTATGTCATTGGAAGTTAGATTCTATCCATAGTCAATAACATTACTTCCATTACCTCCTTAATGTTCAAAAAGTATGACAGCTAATGACTAGCTTCCACAGCACGTAGAACCTGGCTGTAACGAAAGGAAGCTCTCTACCGATCTCAGCTTTGATTGCTCTAAATATGCAACTGAAAGGCATTCTAGTTATTATGTCTAAGATAGATTAATATTTTGGAGTGCCCTTTATGCCTAGTTCCTTAGTATTTAACTTAGATCCTGAGAGGCTTTCAGTTCGTTATAGCCAGGTTCTACTATACCCATTAGGAAATCCTTTATTGTACAGGGATGTCCGTCAAGAAGCATGATTGATATTGTTCTTTGTTGTATATAGGATATGATACCGACTGTTGTCACATGATTTGCTGTGGGATATAAATATGGCCATGTCTTGATTCCCTTGTAGTTTTCTTCATCAACCCTCCTAATTTATCATTCTATTATTTTGTTTGTCAAAGACAACAAATTTATCTCCCTTTTCTTCCATCATCTTCGATCAGTCTCTCTCATGATTCTCTTTTCTTATTCTCTTCCCCCATTCCTTCTTGATTGACCATCTTCACCTCTTCTGCAGTCATCAACTTCGTCCACAACCTTGCAAAGTTCAGAAGTGGAAATTAGACAAAACGCAGCCCCATTTTGGAGTTGGCAATTTGACTGGTTTATGAAGGGTATATTTTCTAGCTGACAAAAGTACTGTCATCAATCACATCCCATCTTCATGTTTGAAGTCTTTCAGCCTCTGAAAACATCATTGGCGATGTTATTCTAGCAGATGGCTTCTTTCTAGAGGCATTGCTTAGAGCCTACCTTATAGATACTCGAGACTATCATGCAGACCTATCACATCAAGCTGAAAGTCTGATGGTCGATATGTTCAAAGAACCCAAAAAGCACTTTGAAAAAGGTCCTCATCTTTGCTCTATGACGTGGATGCTGTGGGACTGAACTTGCATAAAACATGCAATCGGGTTTTAATATCCGGCATTCCACGAAGTAGGAACCAAGAGAGCCATTTCGCTGGCCGAGCCCTCCGAGTGAGTTTCCCTTTCCCATCCTTCCTTTCACAAGTTTTACGAATGTACTTCCACCCTTCTCGGTGTGAGAAGTGCTAGTCTGACAATATTATCTGAAAAAGTGACTAACTTACAGACAGAGCACGTCAGAATTCCCCCTGACGGTCGTGAGGAGCTACACCGTCAATGGATGAGGATACACCTGAACAACCGGACGTCGTCAATGCCAAGTCCCCAGTAAAGCGACCATTCAATTGGCAGCAAACGCTCACGACCAGTCAGTCAAACGTCTCATAGTCTCTCTTCTCCAAAGACTGCAGCCCGAGGTGGACGCATGTCACACAGTGCGGCTGACCAGGACCTTATATCGGGGTTCTCACTCCGGAACTACGCCTCATACCACCTGATCCTTGCTTCTAGCTATATACTACCATACTAGACCATCTAGTATGCGCGCAGATTTTTGGTCTAGTTAGTTGAATCCAACAACTTATGACAACGGTTTCATGGCCAACCTGATGACGAAACCCGCCACCAACTTGGTCTCTTTCAATTACCACCTAAAAAGTGTGGTCAGAGAAGGATTTGGACAATGAGCTATACATTAGGATTGGTTTACACTTGCTCTATAATAAGATTCATGGAGGCTCGTGGCTACACCTTAAGCGCTCGATTGGCATCGCATACTTGCAATTCCCACAATCGAGTAGATGCAAGGCAGGACTGACGGTCTCAGAAAAGCAAAAGAAAGAAGACAGTCATGTCCTTGTAACTACCTAGCTATAAGGAAAGAGAGGCCGCTCCATATTTCTATTAGTATTAGCTTGGATGAGTTTAATATGCAACTGAAGAGCATCTTATCTGTTAATACTAAAATAGGTCAATATATTGGACGAGCCCTTCATCTCTAGACGAACTCACTTCTGGACATATTGATTGATTTAGGCCCTAAGAGGCCTTCTATTCGTTATGGCCAGGGTCTACTATAGTTGCCACGATTTTTGTCGAAAAGCTATCAATGTTTTGGTTTAGAGGGTTCCCTCTCTTTCTCCCACTGTTGATATCAGTCTCACTAAAAATGCAAATTACTGATCAGTTGACAGAGAAATAAACTGTTGATGATTATCTGTAGAACGTCTCGGCTAGTGTACTGTTTAACTATCTCATTCCAATAACCAAAGACTCTGGCTAGATCATCTTGCAAAAAGGTAGTCACTACCAGCCACATGAATACTCTACAGTGACTGAACAAAATAAACATATTTTTTAAAAGGTCATTCTCGACCAAGCAGATATCACATTGATGGGTATAAAACTCGCTATAGACGACATCCAGCCAAACAGGAAGTCAAATATTAAAAAATATACACTTAAAAATACAATCATTAAAATTAAATATCATCACCAAAAAGATCAAAAGAAAAGAAGAAAGAGAAAAGAAAAAGTTACACCCACAAAATCCACCTAACCCCCTTAACAACCCCCTTCCCAATCCCCCTCAAAACGTTAAACACCATCACAATCAACCACAGCCACCACATAACACCCACAAGCGTCCACTCGAGCAGCGAGAACCCGATCCGTCTGATTGAGCGTAGACGACGATTCCGTCGTCGTAATCCTTTGTCGAGCGTATCGCTTAATTGTTTGATTTCGAGGGTACTTGTTGTATTGAGTCGGGTACTTAGTGTTTCTGCCTCGAGGGCGGCGGAGCGGACTCGGGGGGTGAGGTGGTTGGTTATGAAGTCTTCGAGGATGTCGATTTCTTTTTCCAAAGGTAAGAGGGTGGTTTTTGAGAAGAGGTAGATTGATTTGTTGAGGCCGGTTTTTGTGTTCTCGAGGCGTTCGAGGAGGTTGCGGGCGGCGTAGTTGAATTCGTCGATTCGGGGTAGGGAGTGTGGAATTGGTGCTTTGGGGTCTACTAGAGACTTGATGAGGAAGGTTGGTGGTGAGGAGGAGGAATGTTCGCGAGGAGTTTCGTATCGTTGAACGATTTCGTTTGCTTTTACCCCCGAGGAAAGCAACAGAGCTTGACAGCGGAGGATTTCTCGTTTGTGGAGGAGATTGGTGTCGTTCATGGTTGGGATGCTGCGATCTGAAAGACTCCAGCCTCGACTTCCTGTGCTGAGGGTTGGTCGGACACGGTTGCTGTTACGGTTGTCGTCGGGTTTGGATGTTTCTGCGTTTGCTAATCCTGTAACTGGAGGTCGAAGGGGTACGTCACCTCCTGGCAGTGCGGCGCTAGGGGTGATTTCATCGTCTCGTTCTTTATATGTTCTTCTGGCAGGATGAGGAGCAGATCCGAACCCGTAACTGTCTCGTCGGTCGATGTAGGGTGTTGTATCTACAGATGATGGCGGTGCAAGATCTGGATGCGCCCGGACAAAGTGTACATCACTGACACGGCTGCTCTCTGGGTGAAGACGATCGAAATAGGCAGGTTCGTCTTGATAGTTGCCGCGGAATGATGATCCGATCGAAGGTAGATTAGAAAAGAACGTCTTTGTAGATGTTCGTCCATTCGTCTTGCGTGATGACAGTCCAGACTCATTATCAGAGAATGTACTTCCCCTACGCATCTGATTCCGCTTGCTAGGCGTCAATTCCCCCTCGCTCCGATCCTCGTCTGAATCACGAAGATCAGACTCAATGCTCGACGCATAAGACGATTGTCGCGAATGCCCACCCCCGTCTTTACGACGAATCATATCCCCGACTTTGGATACCTCGCTGCCCACGATTTCGGCTATTCGACTATTCTTCAAGAAACCCTTGAGTCTCGACTCGTTATTTGCATACGGCTTGAAGGAGCCAAGACTCTCACTCCGATGGAAGGTATCGAGTGACATTTCATCTTGTCCGAGCGGTGTTTCTGGCATGAGACTCGGTTCAAGTGCTCGAGGGCTTATGCTACCTCTAGTATTACTGGAATCGGCTGTTAATCTCTTGCGGAGTTGAGGATCAGCAGAGGGACTTTCGTCCAATCTTTCTCCATGATCTGAATGACCGTGTCGTCGAGGTTTTGCTTTCTCATGTAATGTCTCCATGATACGCGGGAGTCGTTTCTGAGGTGATGGCGATCGACTAGAAGGTGGTGATAAATTGGCCGTGATACTTGGAAATATAGGGCCTTGAGCCGGTGAATTCGGCGCAGTACTGTCCATTTCATCAAGAGACATCCGATGCTCTTCCCTGCCTGTAACGCTTCCCGCTGGAGAAGCCAGCATGTGAGTCTTGTCGACGACATCACCAGCCTTGACGGAGGATGTTCGGGACATGGTTTTGGATCGCCTTGAACCCGCATTTGATGAGTCGGAATGTCCATGTAACACTCTATGCAGTTTCTCGGCTTGCATTGCTGCTTCAGCTTTCATTTTAGCCTTTCTGCTTATCCGCCGCGCTCTGCCGCGTGAAATCATGTCATCACTGCTTGAGTCGTCGGAAACACTACTTGAGCGTGTCCATTTGGGAGCATAGTCGCCCTGACCGCCGAAAGCAAGTCCATTGGATGGTTTCAACTGATGCATATGGCTGGCGCGTGCTTCACGTTTGTTAGCGAAGTTCGGCAGGTTACTAGGCTCTGTCGGTATAGCTCTGTTTTCCGTAGCCTCAACGTTTTGAATAGCAGGAGATCCAGCAAATTTGAGCTTTGAAGGATCCGGGTACAATTTCTCGCCATCTCTGTCATATATTTTCGACTTATTAGTGCCGCTTTCAACCCAGACTGCGTCCGCTAGTAGCTCTGCTGGAGAGATGACCCATTCCAGCCGTGGTCTTTGCATCTTTGTCGTATTAGATCGGTTCAGCCCCCTGATGCTAGACGACGGTGATGACGCCGTTTGCAATGATTCCTGCTGCTCCACCAATCCCCCATCCCGATCATCTTGAAAAGGTGGAAGTGCTATACACTGATATGGATCATTGTTATTCTGCGGCTTGGCTGCCTTTACTGACGCAAGCCAGTCTTCCACTTTCGACACATCTTGCCATCCTTCCGGGTCGATATTTGGATTCTTCTCTCTCATGCGTATTTTTCTGTTTCGGATAGCTTGAAGAGGGTTATATGCCCTACCAGAAGTAGATCGTACGCTATCCGACGGCTGGAGCGGAGGTAGATAAGACAACAACTCCAAATATTTCGAGAATAGTTCGAAATGTTGCTTCGCCTTTTCTATCCTCGCCAACGTCGCTTGTGAGCAGGCAATATCCACATCCTGCAAGTCGGAAATCGGTAACATTCCAGCAACTCCATGATTATTCGATATTGATCCGTGCGGTAGTGACTGCGGTAAAGGACCAATATTGCGAGAGAGTCTATTATCCTGGGGATATAAACTAGAGTGTCGTAGTCCTTGATTACTTGTCACATTTCGAGGAATACCTGGCAATGGACTGGACGGCACTCGACCCGCATTGGCTGTTGCTCTCCTCCTCGATTCACTTAGATTCAATGCAAGATTGACGATTTGTACCTGATCCGTATCCAGTCCAACGGTCGAAGAAGCATATGAGTTGCGAGAGGCATGTCTCGAAGTCGCAGATTCGTTTTGACTAGAGTCATGACCTTCGGAGTTCGATACGTTCGTCACCGCGGCCAAGGGAGACGTTCTCAATGACCTTCTTCTTTGTGGTTGAATCCCACGGTCAGGTGTTGCCCTCCTCTTCGAAACTATGATTTCATCGTCAACCTGTCGACGTTTCTCGCTATCCGTCGCATGCGCTCGATGCGTATGCTGTTGTTGGCCATGTCGTAGATTCGTGGGATGTACAGAATCAAGCAAAAACCCGCCGCCACTGGATGTTCGCTGATTTCGGTTTGCCCTGATGTTCTGCTGACTTGTATCCCTGGAATTGCGGCCAATTGTTGTACCCTCCGATTCTGGCGCTGGTCTGGGACTGCTTTCCATTTGTATACCCTTGATAACCCCCTAGACTCGACTCCAAAAATACCTCAAATGGCTGTATTAGTATTACTAGGTAAAGCGTCTCAATCCATTTCGATGTTCGGTTGACACAAAAGGTCGCCGCAGGTGGTTGCAATGAGAGAAAGTGGTTAGTATCCTGCGACGTAGGGAGAGTGCACAAGTGTATTTAGTTATAATGCATGCGCAAAAGTAGATTTGTCAAGATAGTCGAAATTTGCAGATGACATGCAACTTCTGCTGGGATCATGACTTCGGACTTTCATGTGTATCGGACTATGACAGCACTGCGGAGCGGAGGCAAACAGTGCAAACTAAACATCGGATTCCTCCTGATCTACAGACTGAACTACGTACTCATCTCAACTTCTATAATTAAATAGTATGCACCTTCTATTACTATATAGTAGACGCGACGCCTCAACAAAGGAAATAAAATCATATTGAGTCTACATGTGGCGTATGTTTTACACTTTTAATCACAAAATGAAATCAATTCAAGACTCGACTCTTAGACATTGCAGGCGAGCTTCGGTCTCCATCACCTAATCTTTGTTAGAATTTATAGCAAGAAACAATAAGATAATAGACGTACCTCTAAAGCTTGCTTCACTTCAAGCACTCGTCGCACATCCGCAAGCCAATCCTTGCTCAGTATCTTGGCCCAGCCCTGAAGTGTGTTCATTTCCCGAGCAGCCGCATCAAGGTTCCCTTCCTCCAACAAGTTCTCCGTTCTTACAAGTACGCTCTCAACGTCGTTACCATCTGTCACAGCATCGCGCTTGAACATGACTTTGCTCAAAACGAAACTGGCAGCATGGCTGGCAATACCCGCATCTTCAGGAAGAAGACTGGCCTTTCGCACTTCGCCGGCCACGCGACGGAATCGGTCGATGATCTGTGAAGTCGTAGGGATACCGCGCTGGTAAGCAGTGGGGTTGATGGATGCAATAGCCGCGGCAACAACTGGGTCGTCGGCAGCAAGCTCTTTCACGGCGACAAGTTCGCGAACGAAAGGTTTGGCAGATGCGGCATTTTCAAGGACTGAGCGGACAGCGTCAACGGCGACCTGGAGTTGTTGTGTCTTGAGGTTGGTTTCAATGACATCACTCCAGTCTGTGGTGAGTTTCTCAAGCTGGTTAACGTTGGCAGTCAACTCGCTGATCTTGCTGAGGCGACCATCACGCTCCCGCTCAACCAACTCTTTCACGTCGTTCAAGTATTTACGATTCAACTCGATTGCTTGTTCGACGAGCTCATTCTTCAGGCGTTGCTCAGCCAGTTCCTGCGCTCTTGCAAGCTCGGTCTGAATCTTATCCTGGTATGCACGTGAAAGCTTTTCCCTCTCAGCTTCGAACTCTTCGCGGAACTGGGCAGCTTCAGCAGCACGAGCGGTTTCGATCTGTTGCATGAGCTTCTTGGCGGATTCGTCGAAAAGTGCGTGTGCCTTTTCAATTTCTTCCTTAGCAGCTTTTTGGGCCTCGGCGCGGAGAGACACAATCTTTTCGCCGATGCTTTCCAGTTCAGTGCGGACTCGGGAGATAGGGGCTGCGTATTTTGAAGCAGCACCTTCATCAGCACTGATAACTGTAATTATGTCGTTGAATATCCTAACAACTTCCTGGACCACTGGCTCGTCGGCATGTTCAACCTTGACTAGCTCAAGGGTGGTTGGGGGAGTGATAGCTGGAGTCCTGGTCTCTTCTTGTGGTGCTGGGGCTGGGGCTTCTTTCTTAGCTGGAGCCTTCTTTTCAGCACGCTCTTCCTTTGCTTTGGTTACAGCCTTGGCGCCAGTAGTATCCTTGGACGCGCTGACAGCGCTGTTATGGGGTCCCTTTTGAGTCAAACTGCCGCTGTCGCTTTCTTCTTCTGCAACCTTCCAAGACAATCCACTCTTGCTGGGAATAGTGACTCTTTGCGATTCCTCCTTGTGGATGGGAGGGAGACGGTTGCTGTGTCTTGTGGCATTGGGGAAACGACGGTAGAAGTCGCGTTCCTCGAAGTAAAGAACAGCTTCCTCACCGTAGGGAACGTATTCCGTGAAGAAGTCGTGGAAATTATCGGACTTCAACGCAGCAAACACACCACCACCATAAGCTATACCTGATGTAAGGATGAGGTAGAGGAGGAATCGTCTAAAACGACCTTTTCTCTTAGGTGGAGGTGGCGGAACTGAACCGGTGCTAGGGTTTTCTACTGGCGGTTGAGGGGGTTGTATAGACGACGGAGGGGAAGTTTGAACCTGCGTAGTGGGTGTCGTAGTAACCGAATTAACAGTCTCAGGAGGGATTACCGACTTCGATTCGGGCGAGACCGGTGTTGGGCTCGTCGGCTGAACATTCTTGGGGTCTGCATAATACCTCTATAATGACGGACAAAGAATTAGTCAATCCACTGGATATGTCAATGGGGTCGAATGCCTGGTACCTTGCCGGTAGTGATGCGGTTGCTTGCAAGCAATTGCGTCGCGGTTCGCTGTCTGCTCACAGACAGCAGCCGAGTCTGGCTTGACAGTACCGAGTAGCGCAGCATGGCGGGCTGCCCTCCCTGTTGTCGGCTGAGTGGTGGTAGATGGGGAGGAGTTGTTGTAGAGGTAAAGATGCAAAGTGACGGAAGAAGATGTTGCATTTTACGATCTGCTCCGAGACGGCTGCGATTGGTGCCGTCTGGTTGGCGGCGGGTACCTGGGTCGTCAGACCGGTTGTCCCGAGCTAAGAAATGACCTCAACGTGTGTCTCCCTGGACGATGGGCAAAATTTAGAATATTAGAGGTTAAATGATTGAGTGTTGGCACGGAATGCTGAAAAATTATGGTGTTATTTAATTCGCAATAAGTACAGCTACCCAAGAAAACTGCCTAAGCAGTTCAATAACGACCGACAGATCTAGATAGAGATGAAGAGGATTTGAAAAGCATTGTATGAAATAAGAGAAATAAGAGATAGCTTGAGCAGCTTGACAAACAAAGAAATCTGACCAACAACAGGTATAACGACGCCCTCGGAAAATTAACAGTAGACATGTAAAAATAAGTTGAAATACAGCAAAAAAAAAAGACTATCAGTCCTTCCAGCAGTAATCCTCTCGTGGGATATTCTGGGAATAGAACAGACTTAGTCGAAGATTATTAGATAAACTAACAAGCGCAACCATTAGCCCCTTGGGTACCGGCAGCCTCCGGTCGGAGATCGACACCAGGTCTCGTGTTTGTTCGCAGGTTTCGTGGTCCGGCTTGATCGAGCGGCAACTTCTTTGCGATGGCAGTGAACAGTTCCTTGACGTTGGTGGTGGTCTTAGCTGAGGTCTCGAAGAAGAGCAATCCAGCCTCCTTAGCATATGCCTCCGCATCGGCAGTCGCAATAGCACGCTTATCGGGGTTTTCGGTAACCAAATCCAATTTATTTCCAGCTAGGGCGATGATGATATTCTCGTTCGCTTGACGTTGCAATTCCTTGACCCACGACTTCGCCTTATCGAGCGATGCCTAGAACGGAATAGAATTAGTTCACGACCTCAACAGTTATGGATCGAGAAAGACAAACCGATTGTGTAATATCATAAACGACAACAGCGCAGTTCGCATTTCTATAGTACATGGGTGCCAATGACTTGTATCGTTCTTGGCCTGCTGTGTCCCAGATTTCGAACTTGACTGTCGTGTTCTCATCCAAAGAGATTGTTTGTGTTAGGAAGGCTGCGCCGATCGTCGACTCTCTGTAATCATCAAATTGGTCCTGCAGACTGTTAGCTCTCTATCATACAATCAATCGTTACAGGTCGTACCGACCTTGACAAACCGCAGAACCAACGAACTCTACAAATGATGGTTAGTATAAAATAGCCGCCGATCGAGTCAGGACACATGGCTTTACCTTTCCAACAGCAGATTCTCCTATAGACAGAATCAAGTTAGCTAGGAGACTTCAAATATGAATGTACAGCAAAACCAACCGAGTAAGACAAGCTTGAACTGGGCGAACCTCGCACCGGGGCGACCGCCAACGGGTGCTCTCGCAGCCATGTCTTCGGGATCTGGATGGGTATTTTATATTCAAGAAAACGACAGTGATGAGTCCTTCGGCTGCGTAGAATAGAAAGGTTCGCGTAGTACCGATGGATGACTGTGCGGGTATAGAAGAGTGAGATTGTTGAACTGGGGCCTGGTCTGTATGTTGAGGGCCCGCGGGATGACGGAGGCAACTGGACAGAGAGATCATGCTGATGCACCAGCCACAGGGCTTATCTGCCACTGTGGCACAGACCACTAGTTAACCAATTTATCGCAATAGGCTTAGTCAGTCAGTTCCTGGCCCAGACCTAGGTAACTACATAACGCTCACTTGTTTGCATCTCTCTCTTATTGTTCCCTTACAGCCGATGAAGCTGTCGACACTCGCTTGATCTTCTCTTAGTTCGCACTCTTCGATTCTATTGACCCATCCTTGCTGGAATCCACATTATCCGCTGGTGCTGCCGTCTCGATTCTAATTTCTATCGCCGTTTCGTTCCCTTACCGAGCCGACTTGGTGGCCATCATGGCTCTCCCAGTGCTTCCCTTCAAGGATATCAACCTCCATTCCTCTCCTTCTCACTACGCATTCACTTCGCCCTCGACACCAAATGCTCCGACTCTAGTGGTGGAACGACCGAACGGAGATTTGCGCCTGAATGATGGCACTCTCCTCGGTACAAAACGAGTGTCTAGCATTGCTGGAATACTCGGCATTATCAAGTTGAAACTAGGTACGAGGTGCCTTCGTGCATTTCGCGCGATCTGTTTGCTGATTATATTCTTTATAGATAAGTATATTATCATCATCACCAAGGCACAACCTATGGGCCGTCTCCAAGGCCATATGGTTTATAAAGTCGTCGCGACCGAGTTCCTGCCCCTCCGCGAGCGCCCACTGCACGACAAGGATGAAGATACCTATCTTACTCTCCTAAAGGATCTGATCCGAACAGGTCCCATGTACTTTTCTTATTCCATCGATCTCACAAATAGCTTCCAGCGACAGTCGCAGAGTGACCCGGCTGCCCCGCTATGGAAACGAGCCGACGACCGCTTCTTCTGGAATCGCTTCGTGCAGTCGGATCTCATTGACTTCCGTGTTGGTGCGAGTGATACGACCGGGACACGATATAGTCAGCAACCTGGCGTCGACCCCTATATACTGCCTGTCATATTCGGAATGCTCCGCATCACGCCTGCTAGGGTCAAGAATACCTCCTTCACTTTTGCTTTAATTACGCGACGGTCAAGACATAGAGGTGGCACTCGTTACTTTTCCCGTGGAATCGACGAGAACGGAAATGTATCCAACTACAATGAAACGGAACAGATTGCGATCCTAAACGATACCACTGGTAGCCTGACTGGCTTTGCTGGTGGCCAGGGCCTACCAAGCGGAAAGTCCGACCATCTTGGGCGGGACTTGCAGGTCTTCTCATTTGTCCAAACCAGAGGAAGTGTCCCCATTTTCTGGTCGGAGGTCAACAACCTTCGTTACACTCCGAAGCTCCAAGTCCGGAGTGTGGAGACAGCCATTGAGGCTGCACGGAAACACTTTGCTCAGCAGATCGAATATTATGGTGAGAATTACCTGGTGAATTTGGTGAACCACAAAGGTAGAGAAGAACGAGTCAAGAAGGCCTACGAGCAGTTGGTTCGCGCTCTGGTATCCTCACCAGGCGAAACGTCCGAAGAAGATCAGCCACACACCGATGAGAAGATACACATTGTGGAAGCTAGTCAGAGAAAGGAGCTTCTGGATCAAATCCACTATATTTACTTTGATTTCCATAATGAGACTAAAGGTCTACAATGGCACCGGGCACAACTCCTTTTAGATCGGCTTACAGATGGGCTCATGCGCGGACAATACTTCCGGGGTGTTGAGAGCCCCGGTGATGCCAATGGACGCTTAGAAGTTCGTACTCAGCAGACATGTGTTGTACGAACTAACTGCATGGATTGCCTCGATCGCACAAACGTCGTACAGAGTATGCTAGGTCGCTGGACGATAACCCGGCAATTAATAGACGCCGGCGTTCTGCAACCCGGGGAGTCAGCAAGTGACGACCCTGAATTTGAGAATATCTTCCGCAATATGTGGGCTGACAATGCCGACGTTGTTTCAAAGACATATTCTGGCACTGGAGCTTTGAAGACCGACTTTACACGCACAGGCGAACGCACGCGGGCTGGAATGTTGCAAGATTTTTCAAATTCAGTCACCCGTTACATTCGCAATAATTTCATGGACGGTCCTCGGCAAGATGGGTTTGATCTGTTCCTTGGTGCTTATTTGCCGCAAGACTCGGCATTGGGAAGTCTGTTGCTCTTCATCGACCGCCGACCTGTCATTATTCAGTCTATTCCCTACCTACTAGCAGCAAGTGTGTTCATGGTGCTGGTTGCCATGTTCACCCGCCGTTTGCCTGATGCTGCTGTTTGGCCATTAAGGATATTCACATTTGTGTGGATTATAATTGGTGTATGGGCATTTCATTTCATCCTCACCCATGGAATGTTATATGTAAGTCTTCAATCTAGCCTTTTGGGTCCTATTTCAATCTAACAATATCACAGGTCAACTGGCCCAAGCTTAATACACCAAGTGCAGCCTCAGAAGGATATCAAGATGCTCTCAACCACGCTCGCTCTGATCAACTCGTTGGTCGTTTCCTGGTCAATAAACGACATCAACGTGGTTTCAGCAATGCCCGGTTGGGTTACCTGGAAGAGGGCAAAAAGAGGCTTGAATAGTTCTCTGCCTGTATGCCACCATTCATCTGACTTGACCGTCGACGCATTCTTTTTTTCTTCGTCCTTGAACTTCGATTCTAAGCTATAGCCTTTATTTGCATATCGCTTTTACCTATGAGTATTTTAGACTATTAAAGTCCTCCCGTATATGACTATGGAATAACATATTGGGGATATCATATTTTAGATGAAAATGTATTGAAGCATTGATACATATCGGCATTGAACCTTATCGTTATCGGGAAGACCTCCATCGGCGAGCGAGCTACTGGCCGAACTCCGGAGCTCCCATGGAAAAATTACCTCGTCATGCACCTCGATGATTGACCGACACCAACCCATTCTGTACACTCCTTTTCAATAATTTATATATCTCCGAATGCTTCTATTGCACCGATTCTGGAGATCTCAAAACTCTTCACTAATATCCCAATTTCGCTCCATTACTTCTTTTAAGCCATTCAAAATGGTGGGGCGGACATATGAGGTGAACCACTTTTCCGGTTGTACTGATGAGCGATTCTTGACTGACATTAGTTTGGACTTGATAGGAAGCAATCACGGCGTTGAATACGTTACAGTCGAATTTCGCGATTGTCAATGCGATTAGACAGTCTGGGGGTGCTAAGAATCAATATGCGATTCCGGAAATGGTTGAGTGGTGTAGGAAGATTGGATATGAGGTATGGCTGCCGCATTTCACAAAGAAGGAGGGGTTCTATGTTTGCTGACTGCTTGTGTGGTTCTGTATAGCCCTCCGACTTCAACCGTTTGAATCTTATCCATATCGCCGGCACTAAAGGCAAAGGCTCAACATCTGCGTTCGTCTCTTCCATTCTGACACAATACATCCCATCGACGACGAGCGACCAAGCAACCGTCCACAAAATTGGTCTTTACACATCACCCCATTTACGATTTGCGCGAGAACGAATAAAAATAAACGACGAGCCCTTAACGGAGGACCAATTCGCACGATACTTTTTCGAAATCTGGGATCGTCTAGAACAATCCGCAAAAGCCGCGGGGCAAGACCCCTCGGGACCAGAGACGAAACCTGTTTATTTCCGTTATTTGACCCTCATGGCATTCCATGCTTACTTGAGTGAAGGTGTTGACGCTGCTGTCATTGAGTGCGGTATTGGTGGTGAATATGACTCGACGAATATTATCGATCAACCGGTCGTGTCTGGTATAACGAGTCTGGGTATTGATCATGTTGCTTTACTGGGAACTACAATTGAGGAGATTGCATGGCATAAGGGTGGTATAATCAAGACAGGCGCAAAGGCCTTTACGGGTCCTCAACCGGAGGCCGCTTTGGAGGTTTTGCGCAAAAGAGCCGAAGAAAAAAAGACGGAGCTTATTGTTGCTCGGGGTCAACCAGAATTGAAAAAGGGAAGCTCATTGAAGTTGGGCTTGGATGGTGATTTTCAATACACAAATGCGAATATAGCTGTTGGCGTCGCTGCTGAGTTTTTGAGATGTCGTGGTGAGCGGAATATTCCTGACGATATATTCAGCTCATCACTACCTGAAAAGTTTCGGGCTGGTTTGGAGAAAGCCAGGTTGGGCGGTAGGTGCGAAACTCGCCGAGAAAAGACAGTCTCTTGGTATATTGACGGCGGGCACACGCTTGAGAGTATACGCGTTGCGGGAGAATGGTTTGCTTCGAAATTGGTCAATGACGCTGAGAGTCAACGACCTCGGGTCCTCATCTTCAATCAACAGACTCGAGACAGTGTCGCATTAGCACGAGCGCTACATCAGACTCTGGCCGAAGTACTCGGATCAGCACGACCTTTCACACACGCCATATTCTGTTCAAATGTCACATACAAGAATGCAGGCTATCGACCCGATCTTGTCAGCGTCAATGCCAACGCATCTGAAGTCGAGAAGCTAAGCGTTCAGCACACACTAGCCGAGTCCTGGAAGGAGATTGACCCTAAAGCGCAGACTTTAGTCTTTTCTACGATTGAAGAGGCGGTCGACTTTGTGCGCGACCTTTCAAAGCAGAAGGCCGACGAAACCCCAGTCAAGACTTTGGTGACTGGTAGCTTGCATCTTGTTGGAGGTTTCCTTGATGTTATTGAGAGCAAGCCTGGAGAGACATTAGCTTGAACGGATAGTAGATACCCATGTAATCTTTAACGGTAACGTAATAATGCTATTGTACAGACTCTCGCAGTCAAGTGCCCAAGAATTGGATGTTTCTAGACCTCGGTAAATTCAGAATTCAACCATGCATGAATGAATGATGTTTATTACGCCCGGAGGGACTAATCCTAACCACTAGATAGTTAACTAACTAGTTAGGGCACTAGTGCTCTAATTACATAAACTTTCTCACATTTCTGGCCTGAACTCGTAGAATTCAAGCAGCATGGAGAGTGATTGACATCAAACTTGTTGTCAGTGATACGAAAACTCACCGCTTTCCTTTCTGGTCAGTAATGCGGGGTTGCAAATTGTGGTTTCATCAGAAACAATCTTAGTGAATCCTACATTTCTTTCCTGTATAGCACACTTGTCAGACTTCTGTCATCATTGCCACCTGCAAAAATGGCAGATTCACAAGATTCCAAGGGCAAAGGTCGTGCCCAAGAACCTACAGACGAAAATGTGCAAGACAGCCCAGCTGTTGACAGTGCGGAGAAGACTTCGGAGACAACGGCGACAATCGAAGGTTCGTCAGAGCTGTCAAAGGAGAAGAAACCCGTGACAGAAAACATCAAGGAGAAAATTGGGAAGAAGCTTGGTCGATCTTCCGATGAAGAGAAGAATATCACACCTCAGATGCTCGAAGCATTACTTTCGATGAACCCCGCGCTAGCTAATGAACTTGCGCATATGCCTCACGACAAGGCTGTCGAGACACTGAGCAAACTGGATGTTGCTGACATCCTTACTGGATTGTCTTTGGGCAAGAAAAACCAAAAAGATATGGCTTCTTACAAGTTCTGGCAAACTCAGCCTGTACCGCGTTTCGATGACCAGGAAGATCTCGCCGAAGGTCCTATCAAGATTATCAATCCGGAAGAAGTTTCAAAGGAGCCACCACAACTTATCGAGGGATTTGAGTGGGTGACTTTGGATGTTACGGATGACAAGGAGGTTGCTGAGTTGTATGATTTGTTGTCGAATCATTATGTTGAGGATGACAATGCTATGTTCCGCTTCAATTACTCGAGAGCATTCCTTAACTGGTGCGTTCAAATCTCTTTCTTTGCGTACGATTCTCGCCATTTCTAATACAATGGTCGTCTAGGGCTTTGACATCACCCGGTTGGAAAAAGGATTGGCATGTAGGAGTGCGTGCATCCAAGAGCGGCAAACTTGTTGCCTCCATCTGTGGTGTGCCGACATACATTCGAGTTCGCGAGCAGCGACTCAAAGTCATCGAGATTAACTTTCTTTGCGTGCACAAAAAGTTACGTTCCAAACGTCTCGCACCAGTCTTGATCAAGGAAGTGACACGCCGCTGCTACCTGCAAGGCATCTACCAAGCCATTTACACCGTTGGTATCGTCCTTCCTAAACCCGTTACATCATGTCGGTACTATCATCGACCCTTGGACTGGTTAAAGTTGTATGAGGTTGGATTTTCTCCCTTGCCTGCAGGCTCCACCAAAGCGCGCCAGATTACGAAAAACCACCTTCCAAGCAGTACTGCAACCCCGGGTCTGCGAAAAATGCAAAAGAAAGATCTTGATTCAACGTATGATTTGCTCGAGCGATTCCAGAGACGTTATCAGATTAACCCTGCGTTCACCAAAGAAGAAATAGAGCACTGGTTACTTCATACCGAGACGAGAGGCGAGCAAGTTGTCTGGTCTTATGTGGTGGAAGATCCACAGACGAAGAAGATTACGGACTTTGTCTCTTTCTATAGCTTGGAGTCCTCCGTCATTGGGAACCAGAAACACAAGGAAGTCCGTGCTGCATACTTGTACTACTACGCCACGGAAACTGCATTCAACGAGAAAGAGAAGGGTTTCAAGGACAGATTGCTCTTATTGATCAACGATGCTCTTATCGAAGCTAAGAAGGTACGTATTGTTCATTCCACATATGATTTGAGAAGCTATCTGACAACTCGATGCAGGCTCGTTTCGATGTCTTCAATGCTCTAACCCTTCAGGATAACCCACTTTTCCTTGAGCAGCTCAAATTCGGTGCCGGTGACGGTCAATTACACTACTACCTGTACAATTACCGTACCGCTCCTGTTCTCGGTGGTGTCAATGACAAGAATTTTCCAGATGAGAAGAAGCGAGGTGGAATGGGCGTGGTTCTTTTGTAATTGGCCTGTGTTTGTATCCTGAACATATATAACAAACATAACCGGGGAAGCTTTGTTATTACCCGAGCATTTTGGCTGGTCTGACCTTGAAAGAAAAAGCCATGTGCTTCTTATTGATTCAAGGAATAACTGAATGAGAATATTAACATCCTTGCTACCAATCAAGGAACAGTTTTAAATATGTGCGTCGTCCCGTCCAGACGAAGGGTAGTAACTATCTTTGGGATAATAGATACGCTGAAGCTTATAAACTGAGATAGTCCCAGGGAATAAAAATACCATTGCTAAATTGTAATCTAAACAACTCAGTATGACTTATATTTGAAAATATCAAGATGTGACAAAGTCTAGATCGTCAGCCTTAAGAAGAGCCCCACCGCCTTGTAGATGAAGTCATTGGCCGGGGAATATCAACCTTAATCCAACCTCTTCTTCTACCTCTTCCTTTCTATTGTCATATTGTAAACTTTCTGTAATCCTATGCAAGATTGATCTGATTCAAAATGATATATTTACAACAGCCTAGCCTGTGAGAACGAAAGTTTTTTGGCAGGAGACCGGTCATATATTCGGATCCCGGGATCAGTATTGCCTGATCATCTACTTTTACAAGACTTACGTACTACTCCGCAGACATGGGTGCATCACAATCGACGAGTGGGATTGAGGGTGCTTCATCGCCTGGTATGTTCCATTTGCAAGTCAACTGAGTAATTGAAAGCTCATCTATATTCAACGGCAGAACAGCTCAGCGTCCTCCTTGCTGAACGCTTTGCCACCAAATGCTTCACACCTCTAGAACTTACCCATTTCAAAGACAATTTCTACTCTCGTGCCCTCGACCAGGCGGGCTTTCGGTATTGGAATGAGAAAATACTCTCCGATTTCCTCTCTGTACCTGATGGAATTTACACCAATGAAAAGGATGGTGGACACGATGGACGCCTTGATGCGGGACCAGTCGTTTTTCGAATGGTTTCATATCTCGGCGCATTCCCATTCCAGAAGACGCTTGCTCCTAGTGTTTTGACTTTCGATTCTATGGTTAAAGTTGTTGTGTTATTGACGGAGAGGTACGGTAAGGTTCTGAGGAGGGGTCGTAAGGATCGTGTCAAGTTGTTGTTTGGAAGTCTTGCGGATGTAGGTAGATCATTGGAGCAGGATACGAAAAAACAGAACGATAGCGCTGAGTCCGCTTCTAAGTCGGAAGATTCGAAACAGTCTTCTCACGTTCATGGGTTTTCAGTTGATGAACCTACAAATGACGATTATGAGGAGCATGAAGACGATGATGACCTGGCACTGGCTGCATTGGAATCTCTCGATGCTATTGAAGTTTTCAAACATGACCAACAAATTGATCGAGCAGTTTGTGAAGCGCGTATATCTATCGACACATTTCGACGTTTGCTTATGTTGTTGCTCGCAATTGCGCCTTTGAGACCACTTGAATCCGTCAACAAGTATACTTTCAATCTCAGCTCGGAGGAACAAGCTGCCGTCAAACGTGAGGCCGATACTATTATAGCTAGCTTTACGGAGGAAGAGATCCGTGACGGCATTGGGTATAAGACCTTTGCGAAGACGGTTACGCTCAGTCTACCTCATCTCTTTGATCCGTTGACACCACTATTTGAGCATTTGCTATTCAGTGAGAATCTGGATCTGTCTCGAAAACAGACTGGTCAATCTGAACCATCACCTGAATCTCCGCCTTCAGAGGCTCCGACTGACGCTAACATTGACGAGAAGCCTACCACTATTATGCTTCCAGGGAGCTTTGAATCGGCTATACTGACTCCAAGCATGGTATCACACCTCTCGTTCTTCCTACCTGCTTCATCAGGTCAGAATCTCTACAGGAGTGACATACGTTTACATCCCGTCTTTTCGACCGTCGCCCATGGGGAATCTCTAACATCATTCCAACACAATGTCTTCACATGGCAGGCTCCATCACTTCTCATTGTACAAGGTGCACTACCCGGAAGCTCTGGTTCCCCGGACGAACTGATAACGTTGGGGGCATACATCCCCCAGCCATGGAAACCATCTTCATCGTCATCTTACGAAAGCCCTCAAAATCTAAATAACCGATCGCGACTTCCTTACCTATTTCAACTCCATCCCAAACATTCCGTCCTACCAGGTAATTCGTCGCTATTACAGACCAAAGAGCAACCGTCTACAACACCAATAGTCTACTTCTCCACAACGACGGGAATCGCAATTGGCTGCGAAGTACCAGCATCCGCTCAGCAACACAGAACCAGTTACGGACCCGGTGTCCCCTCGCCGCATCAGCAACCGCATCGTCGTCAGAGCAGTACTAATCACAAACAACAACAAGGTCCCCTCCCACATGGAGCAGGTAGTCTAATCATAGACGCTGCTCTAGAAACAGCCCAACTACACATCTCCTATCTAGCCGCTCATACAGGCGTTTTCACGCCAGCCGTGCCACCCACCCTACCCACAATAACCCACATCGATATCTACAACCTGGAAATATGGGGCATCATTGAACCACCGTCACTGTCATTGTTGCCTGATAGTGCTGGCATTGCGAAGGATGCAATTTCTCGACAACGCGAGGCATGGCAGTTCGATGCTCGGGAGGCGGAGCGTAGAAAGGGGATAAATGTTAAGTTGGGTAGTGGGAATGATAGTAATTATCAGAATGCGAAGGCGTTGTTGGAAATGGCGGGGATTATAGGTGATCAGGCTCAGCAGCGGAGTGGGGGGAGTGTTTGATATTGCACTTGCGAAGGCAGGATGTCTTTGATTCACTTTCAGGGATTTATAATGCTGGTAAGTAGCTGCTGTCTTACACGTAATAGAATAATGGAACTAAATGAAAAATTGAATCTCTTCTCAAAATTTGATATATCGTAGACGTATCTTACACAAATCAGTACTCGCCCACTATCAAACCCGTATAGGTACAAGTCCACTAGGCGGATCATAATGATCCTTCAACAAGAACTCTAAATCACCCGGTTCTACATCATCAACATCCCCATCACCAAAATCATCATCTCTAGGAGTAGCGACTGCAATACTTCCATCTCTCGTTCTAGATTTGACATCCTCAGCAGCAGTGAAATCGCCTTTATCACCCTCATCGACAATCTCAAGAGGCTTCTCGCGAGGTAAACGAAACGGCAAAAATCCAGCAGGAGCACGTTCCGCACGTTCCATGACTTCTTCCATGTATTTACGAACTTCTGCGGCAGGTTTGACGATTCGAGATAGTGGTTCTAGAGTTGCAGGTTTGCTGCTGTAGAACCGCATTGTAATGGGTTGGTAGTATTCTTTGAGGTTTGATGGCCCTTTCTCTTTGGGCTGTTCATTGGTTGTCCCTGGTTCGTTGTCGACGCTGTTTTCTGATTGCTTCTTTTCGCCTGCTGTATCGGCAGTAGCATCCGCAGCATTGGTTTCGCTGCTTTCCTTGTTATCAGGAGCAGGCGTTGATGGTCCACTCTGTTCTGCAGCTTTCCCTTTATCTTTCTTCTTGGATTTGGATGCCTTACTCTTAGTCTTGGGTGCAATATCAGCTGTCAATTCAAGTGGAAATTTCGTATTGGGATCCACTTTGCGTATAAGCAAGAAAGAAGCAAGTAGCACTGTTCCTCCAGCTTGATACTCCAAGATTGTGTACTCTGGGAACAAATAGCGATCGCCTGACCCAGCGTGACCAGATGTACTACTTCCGTAAGGAGTCAACGGAGAGGTAAACTCAAAAACAACGGCCTTGATAGGAGGCTTAGGAGCTGGAGGAGTGGGCAATGATTGGTAATAAGTATTTGATGGGCCGTAATTTGGGAGAGCACCGCGCGCTTTGATAGGAGGCGGTCCAGGAGCATAAGGAGAAGCATGGTATTGCGGGTACTGAGACGGACCTGGGGGATACGGTGAAAGTGGTTGCGGTGGTGGGTTTGTCGGAACATAATTAGGCGCCGGCGAAGCTTTGGGGGTGCTGTGGGGGGCCGGCGAAGGAGCTGCTGGAGTGGGCACAGGTGCCACACCCGTTGGTGGTACAGAAGCTGGGACGTTTGAAGCCGTGTTTGTTGGCGCAGTAGTACGTGGTGTAGAAATGGGAGGTGATGACGCTGTAGGAGCAGGAGTGGGAGCTAAAGATGTAGTGGTTCCAGGTTCTGTCTTGATGTTGGGAGTGGCACTAGGTGTGAAGTTGCCGGAATTAGAGCCGCTAGACTGAACAGCATTAGGAGAAGGTTCTGGCTGTGGTTTAGCGGAATCACCACCTTGAAGCGGGATTTGTGTGTCCGACGGTGACATTGGTGACTGTGGCTTCACGGTATTGGTTGGTGGTGCCGGTGTAGATGATGTAGGAGTAGAGGATGGCGCAGGTGCAGGAGTCGATGAGGAAGTAGGCACAGTCTGCGACTGTTGCGGATTCTGCTGTGGAGGGGGAGCTGGAGAATTTTGCGGGTTCGGAGTGGATTGAGGGCGCGGTGAATGTTGGTTTTGAGGATAGTATTGCTGCTGCTGTTGTTGTTGCTGCCTTTCTCTTTGTCGAATAATGGCATTGAGCTCATCAATATGACCCTGGAAAATCCGCAATTGCTCCTGGGTCGCTTTACTTGACGCCACAATCTTCATCAATGCTTTTAACTCAGGATCCGAAGCTGCTCTTGTTGCAAGCATCTGAATGACAGGGTCCGGGCTCGGTTTCGGAGGCTGAGGCGAGGTACCATGTGCTTGTGCCGGCGGTTGGCGTGGGACTGGCTGTGGCTGTGGAGGTCGAGGAGCATACTGCGCATTCGGTGGTTGATTATAGGGATACGGAGGGGGTCGCATCTGCTGGGGAGGGGCATAATGTTGATATTGGTATCCGGTCTGCGGCGGCGGCGGTCCGTAGTGAATAATGTGTCGTTGGGGTGGAGTTATTTGTACAGTCGGTTTCGCATTGGGGTCCTTAACTGTGTAAATCATTCCATCGAAATGATGGGGCTCAATGATGATTTTACAAGGTCCGATTTTGGTCATTGAATCCTTAGGGGGATTTTTCCCTTCAAGCTGCTCCCTCTTCGTTTTCTTCGGCTTTGTCCAATACCTTTCGAAAATGCCATCGCTGAGCCACTTTTTCTTGGAACGTTCGAGGGATATGCTTAAAACAGCACTGCGATAAAAAACATGTCAGATAAACTGCGAGAAAACTTTGAGACAAGAGAAGAATACCTTTCAGCAAAAGATTGGTATTCTTTGTTGGACAAAGTAAGTGATCGCTGAGCTTTAGTGCTCGTTGGTAGGGGATCTCCATCTTTGATTTTAGTAGGCAGTGGCTCTTCGATCGGCTCCGGAGTAGCTTGACGCTCAGCTTCATGTTCAGCAACAGGTGTAGAAGCCTGAGCTGCCGAAGGTGTTGACTTCTTCCTCCGGCTTGAGCTTTCAGAAATCGCTTCGGAGACTCGTCGCTTGGCTGCCGGTTCTCGACGTTCGCGCGCAGGGAGCTTACGCTTCTCAGCCATGGTCGTCTTTGGCCGTTTATGTCACCTGTCGGAGCTGCCTAGTATGTTTTGGCCAAGATGAGCATCCTCAAGTCGACTATCGTGATGAGCAGGGAATTTCCAAAGGCGACGCGCAAACTGCTAGGACTTTGCGGAAATATTTGCGCGTGTTAATTCTTCGCGGAACAGATCATTATTATTGCCAATCGCCGGAACATGTGATCACCTGTACCCACAGTTGTGGCCTGAAATTACAGGCATCAACTAAGAGCTCCCTCTTACGGAAGGTGGAAGGTTGTGCCATTCATCTTTTTCAGATTTTACTGAAAGGACAAGTTCATGATTGATTCCAATACGCTGGGTGAAATATACCTAAATTACGTCTAATTTTCTTCAACGGCTTCCAGGAATTCATATCCGATTCTCAAATAACGTCCCATATTCCCTCTCGGAGCCTCAAAGCATGGTTGAGCTTCAAGCGATTTTCAAGAAAGCCCACTGGGCCTTGGTAGTCGGGGGTTTCGTATATCTATCATGGGTATACGCAATGACATATCCATCCATTCAACGAGCGTATGTCTTGGTCCCGTTATATGAACGTTATGCGCGCTAACCTATCTCAAGGGCATTGTATATGAACCTCGCCAATCCAGCTATATGGCAAGATGTAAACGACGTGGAAAACTTTGGGTTCCTCAGTATGTCGAAGGCATTGTTATTATCATCTCTATCAACTTTGTTAATTTTCCAGTAAAGAGACTCAAGTACAGCCATTCTATTTGAGAACTCCAGATAACGAGACCCTCTACGGATGGCATATTCTTCCATTGCACCTCTGCAGAGAACACGAGGAGCTCCTGAACGATAACTGGTCATACGGTCCAGCAGAAGATTACACCAACACAGTGGCATATAAGCTACTTTCCGAGAATCCCAATTCTCGGGCTGTTGTAAGCTGTAAGTTTGTGGACATTCAACTATACTTGCGGAGGGACTCCTTCTTTCAGTCGTTCTCACATCTGTCACAGTCCACGGTAATGCAGGGCATCTCGGCTCTGTCATTCGCCCAGACATGTACCGGATGGCATTAGGGGTCTCTACTCCGGAAAACCCTTTGCATGTCTTTGCCCTTGATTATCGAGGATATGGCATTTCCACGGGCACTCCTACAGAAGAAGGACTCATCACCGATGGCGTAACACTCTTGAACTTTCTCACGTCTGACCCCCTCAATATCTCTCCTTCACGTATCGTCATCTCGGGACTCAGTTTAGGAACGGCAGTGACCTCCGGAGTCGCTGAACGCTTCGCTTTTGGTGCCTCTAAGTCAGGAACTGTTCAGCCAGCGTTAAAAGACCCTGAACCATTCGCTGGTATTGTCCTCTTGGCGTCTTTCAGCAATATTCCTGGTCTTATAGAATCATATAGCCTTAAAGGTCTAACACCACCAATGCTATCGCCATTGAATAGCTTTCCTCAAGCTAAGCAATGGGTCAAGTCTCGGATTGTTGATACTTGGCAATCTAATGCCCGTCTAGAACGACTTACGGGCATGAAACCTCGACAAGGTGACGAAGCTGATATACGACATGCTCAAAAGGCGGTAGATATCACTATCATCCATGCTCGCAATGACGCTGAAATCCCATGGACAGAAGGACTCACAAACTGGAAGTGGGCTACCACTGGTAGCGATGATATTAGTAAGCGAATAGGTTCCAATAAACCTCAAAGCGGCAAAATTGTCTATGAACGAATCGAAGAGAATGGTAGAACGGAGACCAGAGTCTGGGAGCGCGAAGTTTCATCGCCGATTATGAGTAATGTAAACAGTACCAAGAAACCAGTGAAGCGCGTGAGATGGGAAAAGGTTGGCTATGGCGGGCATAATCAAGTCGGTGCTTACTCGGTTGCTGCTCTGGCTATTTTGCGTTCGTTTGAAGAATAAACCACAATGATTTTCTAGAATCATTGATCCTACACTTGGAAGAGTGAATGGGAAAAGATAATCGACTCTAAAGGTCGAGTTTAGTTATAGATAGATGTAAAGCGCCATAACTTTTATGCTATAACAGTAATGACATTAATATTTAATTCCCATCCATTTTGAATTCCATCCGTTATTGCACCGCGCTCCTTTTTGTCATGCCCATTTCTCATGACGGCGACCTAAACCATGCCAATTCAAAAGTCTTGGAACATTAGCTCAGGCGATATCGTACAACGAAGAGAAGAGATTATATGAAAATAGTACAAACAGGCCAAGCGCAAATAGAATAAGGACTCGATCTTAACAAAGGTATTTTATTCAGACAATACATGTTCCGAGAATAGAAAAGAAATTGACAGACCAAACGCACCCTGAATACCACCAGCAGCCGTTCGAAGGTGTATATAAAAATCTAATGGTTGTAGTTATAAGACAAGTGATACGAAGGTAGATATTGCTGTTGGGTTTTGGTCGCTCGAACAGTCGTCAAATTCTGGAAGTCGTTAGGGGTAAAGTCAAAATTACTTCTTGTGTCGGTCTGCTTGCGCCTTGAGGTATTTCTGCACAAGCTCCTTTTGCAGTTGACCAGGCGCCTTCTCATAATGGCTGAATTCCATTGTATATTCACCTTTACCCTGCGTTGCGGCACGGAGATGGCTGCTGAAGCCAAACATACCGTTCAAACTGCAGTCCGCATAAACCGTGAACTCATCGACGCCGATTTCACTGTCGTTGATGGTAGCGTTGCGCTTGTTCAGGAGGCCGATAACGTCACCTTGGAACTCGATGGGTGCTGTAACGACAGTTTTCATTAATGGTTCTAGGACATGAGGCTGACTTTCCATGAATGCTTTGCGGAAGGCTTGTTGAGTGGCATTCTTGAAGGACATTTCGGATGAATCAGTCATGTGGGTTGCACCGTCGTTGATGACCATTTTCGTTCCAAGGACTTTGTGTCCGATAAGGGGACCCTTTTCGCAGGCAAGGTTGAAACCCTTTTCACAAGCAAACAAGAACTTCTCAGAGATGGCACCGCCGACAATCTGTTCTTCGAATTTGTTCTCTTCGAGGGATTCGGAAGGTTCCATCCATCCGACGACCCGGGCGTAGTCACCAGGACCTCCACTCTGCTTCTTCAACAGGTGGTCGAACTCAACCCGACGGCCAATAGTTTCTCGGTAAGCGACCTGGGGCTGTCCGGTTTCGCAGTCGACTTTGTATTCACGACGCATACGTTCGACGTAGATATCAAGATGTAATTCTCCCATTCCTGAGATAATAGTCTGTTCACTTTCGGTGTCGTACGAAACACGGAACGTCGGGTCCTCACGCTGGAATCGAGCCATGGCTTTCGAGAAGTTGGCAGAATCCTTGTTGTTCTTGGGTTTAATAGAAAGAGAAATAACCGGTTCGGGTACGAACATGGACGACATAGTGTAAGCAAGTTGGCCATCCGTGAACGTATCTCCTGAAGCGCAATCGACACCGAACACAGCACAAATCTCACCGGCACCGATCTCTTGCACTTCCTCCATCTCGTTGGAGTGCATACGGACAATACGCGGGACCTTGACTTTCTTATCATTTCGGGCATTGAAGACGTTGGCACCCTTGCGAAGAGTACCCTGATAGACACGGATATAAGTAAGTTGACCGAAATTGCTTTCTTCCAGCTTGAAAGCAAGACCGACGAACGGCTGTGATCCATATGGAAGTAATTTGACCTGAGCTTCTTTGCGCTTTTGGTCGAGAGCCAAGTTGGTCACTTCAGAGGGGTTAGGGAGATAGTCGCAAACACCATCTAGCATAGGTTGGATCGACTTGTCAGCCAACGCGGAACCCATAAACACTGGTGTAAATTTCAAGGCGATAGTAGCGCGGCGAATAGCGGCTTTTATTTGTTCAATGGTGGGTTCCCTTTCATCCAAGAAGATCTCTGCGATTTCGTCGTCGACATCAGCCAATGTTTCAATGAGAATCCTCCTTCTCTCTTCCGCAAGGGGCTTGATATGCTCAGGGATTTCATCCTTTTCGACGATAGTTTCTCCTCGCGGGCCCTCGTTATAGATGGCTTTCATTCGGATCAAATCAACCACACCCTGGAACTCATCTTCAGCTCCGATGGGTACTTGCACCGCAGCGGCGGGTAATTTCAGTTTGTTGTTTATCTGATCAATAGCCTTGAAAGGATTTGCGCCCATACGGTCCATCTTATTCACAAAAGAAATTCGAGGAACATTGTATCGCTTCATTTGTCGATCGACGGTAATAGTCTGCGACTGCACACCAGACACAGCACAGAGAATCATAACTGCACCATCAAGAACACGAAGAGCTCTCTCAACCTCAATGGTAAAGTCAATGTGTCCGGGTGTATCAATCAAGTTGAAATGGTATTTCTCCTCTTTGCCGTTCTCCTTCTTGACCCAGTCACAGAAAGTAGCCGCAGACTGGATGGTAATACCCTTTTCACGCTCCAAGTCCATAGAATCCATCTTTGCGCCGACGCTGTCTCGACCACGGACTTCGTGAATGGCGTTGATACGACCGGTGTAGAAGAGGACTCGTTCAGTTGCAGTGGTTTTACCGCTGTCGATGTGTGCCTATTCAAATACATCAGTCATGCGCTGATGAGGAAATGGACGCGTCACAGGTCTTCCACATACAGCTATACCAATATTTCGGACCTTGGATATACGTTTCCATTCCTCGGCGTCTATATTTGAGATGATTTCTGCTTGTGAGAGTCCTTCAGGATCAGCGGCGGCTTGCTCGGCTCTAAAAAATTCCCAAGTCAGCATTTCCTAAACCTTTTCCAGTCGGAGAAAACCCATACAAACTGGCCGTTGCTGTCGCCGAAGAATTCCTAATCTGATGCCATTGCCTCAATGGAGCCGATGTAATCTGTGTAGTGGCCCTCAAAGGTAGAGCGCCGAGCCTAGAAACAGGCAAAGAAGCGCATCTCAACGCATTCTGGCTCTGCGACGGCAGTAATCGGACAAAAGTCGCTGATCTTGCGAGGCCAGAAAGGGCCCGCACTTGTGCCGGTCGCACCATATCTATCTCTTATATGAACAGATATCTCGAATAACAGATATCCCTCAGACAAATTGAAATGAATCAATTGACTGTTAGTGAGACAAACACGTTGTTTCGGTGTGAATCCTGCGGAAAAGAAAAAAGCTCGGAGATAGGGATCTTTCCACGTGATGTGGAGACAGGGGTCAGCCAATGATATCGCTCGTATTCGGAAGCCAAAAAGTTGTCGAGACGACGAGAACTAGGATAACTTGGTGGTGTGAAGAGTAGATTACTTGATCAATGGCGGGAAATCATTAAGAGGGGGTATTTGAGATTCTGAAATGTCTTTCCTGGCCTTAATATAATACATGGATCGTTGCTGGCAAACTGCTAGAAATCAGGACCCAATTCCTCCAACTCCGACAATAATACAAAATGCGAAAATCTATCAAGTCCTGTACCTGCCACCTGATAACGAGAAGCGGGATCTGTTATGCCTACCTCAAACGATTGATCTGCTTGTCTGCATCGCGTGGCCGATAAATGTCTTCATCACGAGTATATGCTAGAGAAATCGGAACACCGCATACTTCGGATTGAATTGGGCTGGACCATAACTGCTGTTTATTTGCCTTGACGCTGCTTATGTTTTGGATTCTTCGAACTAATGATGGAGAAGCGGTTAGTCGTTTCCTATCAACGTGCATACATCGAGCAGAAAACGTACCAGATAATGTAGACTCTGTTCTTCCGTCGCACAGGCTATACCACAAGTCAGAAACATTAATTATCCAGAGATAACCACAGATCTGCCTGAGCTGGCAACTCACCTTGCACCCATCGCAAAGTCTCTTCACAGACGATCTGGTCTTCATCCCACTCTTCTGAGAGAAAAGATATGTAGAAACAGACGCTGGAAGTTGTTTCCCTATCTTTGACCGCAAGAGACCACCCCATCGGCTCTCAGTTATCAACGTAGATGACAGTTTTCGTAATTGCGAAAATGAATTTGACGCATGATTATAGATGGATTTGTTTTGGCGGAAGGATGTGAGAGCAAATTGGTGAGCGGAGAGTAGGGACCGGGAGGCCGTGGAGAGAGCTGCACGAAACGGAGACATAATTATGATCGTAATGGAACCCGATTTTTTTCCAGATATGCCGTGTTAATGCGGCTGGAGCGTAGGCGCAGGATTGTACTGCGGTGGATGTTCAGCGTTTGACGAACAAGAAACGGATCATCCGATAATACGGAACAACCTTGGTGGTGATTTTTGTAGATCACGTGATCGTACCGTCAGTTACAAGCCATTCAAGTATTTCCAAAGTTGTCGTGGTACTATAGAGTTTGAAATAGAAAGGCGAAAATATAATGGTTATTATGAATGCTTAAGCCAATGACTTGCGTCAATTATAGGTATATCTACTGACCAACGCCATCCAAAACAAAACACCTCGAATCAATATGGAAAATCCCACCCAACATTCTAGCATGATATACAAATTGAGATAATTCTACATAAAGATAAAGCCCTCACTTCAGTCATGTCGGAGAAACATCTTGTATGCCGGAGAGTTAGTGCACTCTTCATAGGGATATCCAAGCTCATTTAAGAAGCGAGTCAACTCAGCATTCTCGGATGAGGAGCATTGAATACCAGCTAGAACTCTACCGACATCTCCACCGTGGTTTCGGTAATGGAACAAGGTTATATTGTCGGTTGGACGTAAATGACCGAGGAATCGTTGTAGTGCGCCTGGCCGTTCGGGGAATTGGAACATAAAGAGACGCTCGTCCTGGACGCCGCTGGGTCCACCGACGAAATACCGGATATGTGTCTTGACAAGCTCATCCTCGCTGAGATCTGATGCCATCATGCCGGCTTTCTTAAGCTCAGACGTTATACGCTGAAGCTCAGAGGTCCGTGATGATGCAGGCAAAGAAATACCCATGAGAACGTTGGCGATATCTTCGCGACCATAACGGTAGTTGAAAGCTGTGATCGAATGAGGAGTGACGATGTCGATAAGCGTAGCATATGCACCGGGCTTCTCGGGAATGGTGACGCCAAGCAAAACTTCCTTCTTCTCTCCTAGTGCAGCCCGCTCGGCGACAAATCGAAGACGGTCAAAATCCATATTAGCGCCCGAAGTAACGGCGACAAGCTCTCGCTGTGGGTTGGGATCAGGGTTTGCCGCAACATATTTCTTCAAGCCAGCCAAGGCAAGGGCTCCAGCTGGTTCGAGGATTGAACGGGTATCCTCAAAGACATCCTTTATAGCGGCGCAAATTTCGTCGGTTGAAACTTGAATAATGTCATCAACAACGTCTTGACAGATGCGGAAAGTCTCCTCGCCGACTAACTTGACCGCAGCACCATCCGCAAAGAGGCCGACTTCTTTCAGCATCACCCGTTCGCCCTTCTTTAACGATTGTACCATTGCATTGGCGTCATATGTCTCGACTCCAATGATCTTCACGTGAGGAGCAATGCGCTTGATATAAGCCCCGACACCAGCAATGAGTCCACCGCCACCGATGCAACAGAACACTGCTTCCAAGTTGTGCAGCTTGGCCTGGCGCACGATTTCCATACCAATAGTTCCTTGACCGGCAATAACGTAAGGGTCATCGAAAGGTGGGATGTTTGTTAAATTGTGTACCTTCTCCAACCGATGAGCTTCGGCTTTGGCGGCATCAAAGTCGCTCCCATGTAGGACAACACTGCCGCCGAGACGGGAAACGTTAAGGTGCTTGATTGCCGGGGTACCGGAAGGCATAACGATGGTGGCAGGTATTTTGAGCTTGCGAGCAGAATAAGCCACGCCTTGCGCATGGTTTCCTATGCACCAAGTTAGCGCTGGATTCCACCATATGTTCTCGACTACTCTTTTAGAAAGTAATATACCTGCAGAGCATGCAATAACTCCCTTCCATCGCTGGTCCTGGCTAAGATGCGCCATCTTGTTATATGCCCCTCGCAATTTGAAGCTGAACACAGGTAATAAGTCCTCTCGTTTTAATAGCACATTGCACTCTAAACGGTTGCTAAGGTTGGTGGCATGTTGCAAGGGCGTCTCTTCGACGACATCGTACACGCGTGATGTGAGGATCAATCGCACATACTATAATTGAACAGTCAACCTATGAATCTTTTTATCGGGGAACATATGACTCAACCTACATCAGGATAGCCTGTAGGAAGAATATAATCATCGGGAACTGAACTTGTGGCATCCCTAGCTATGCTTCCTGCTCCCTCTGTCTTTGGAGTCGGACTTGCCGAATACTCGGTCATAGATAAGCCATTGACATGAGGTCGCCGTGGGGGAGTCACCGGGTCGTTAGCCATGATCTGAATTCCGTTCTGCGAAATCTTCAACGTGAAAGTTAAAGATTGTCCTTCAGGAGGGAATATGAACGAGGAAAAGAGCAATTGCTCAATTTAAAATGTTTGCTCGGCGAAAGACAACCACAGTCGATTGGCGGTGTGTACCATATGATTTACTTAGACTCCCCGTTTTTTTCCCTCGTTGGGAGAGGTTGCCCGCGGACATGGCCTGCAGATTCTTTTCCCGTTATGTCAGCAACCCTAACTTCCAGCCCTAACTCCATATCCATTTCTGGTGAAGTCATCGCAACCTGTTGTTTTGCTGAGATTACTCAGGAGTAGCACTGAAGCTAACACGCGGGTCCTTAGCTTAATGCTATTTGTTAATATGCTCATACACAGAGACATCTCACAACCTTTTACTCATGCATTCTCCCAGCCAATGTCTCCATATGTAATCCCCGACTGTTAGAAGTCATAGTCTTAGTTGCGGCCTGAAATCTCTGTCCATATGAAATGCTCGAATGGCTGAGGATGAAGTTAGTTGAGGCATTTCGCCTGCATCACCCAGCTCCAATTTGCGGATAATCATATCGTCCTTGGAATAGTATGTGGTTGCAGGTGGCAACCTCAGCCAAGTACCTAGATAGTCATCCGTAGATAAGTGGGACAAATCTACCAGTAACCTGAGTAAGTCCTTGTCAGATCTACAATGTTCCTCTCAGCGTTGAGCAATGAGGAAGAGTGAGCTGTCACTAGAGGAATGGGTGAGGAGACTCTCCAAGTCGCCTCAGAGTCAGTGGCTCAGTGCAGTTGCAGAGATGAGAACACATAACACCCCAGTGCGTTTAAGGCACAATACTATTTTATCCGGGGCAAGTGTTTAACTATAGGCTATGTATTCTCATACAACACTAATAGCCAATCTGTGATGTGGAATTGTCTAGTCTATCACCCGATCACACTCTGGGGGGCGCTAAATTTATGCTAATTAGAACGTCCGAAAATTGAGACGATCAGCAGTTCTAGTCTTTTTACCAGCATCTGCGCATATCCAGAAACTTACCTACTATGTGCTCCATGAGCGAATCAGCATGCAGCCGAGGTATTCTGTGCAATTTCTGACTGCATATTGGTAGTCCCGTCCGAATAAGCATTAAAAAACGGTGCAGTGAGCTCAACAACTCTCTAATTTTGTTCGAGACGTCTGAGAGTACTGTAATTTCCACTGCATTGTGTAGAATCATATGATATCCCATTCATATACACGGTAGAAGATCGAAGAATGCCCAGCATATTAACAAAACAGCTCACTGAACCTTCTCGGCAGTGGAAACAAAACGGGCCAAATATCAATTTATCCCTGCATTCCCCTCGCCATCTCGCTGTCTCTCGGGGTATGGGATCGACTTTTGGATAGGCAGGGTTGCATTTACCGACATAATGCATGAATTATATTTGGAATTGTCGGGAAATTGAGAGGCGCCTCTGATGAGAAGTGCCGAAGTGACCAGGTTGCTGTTCATCCCCGCTTGGAGGAATAGGAAAATACTCCCAGGCTCATGACTTTCTTCAAGCACTTCGCATGTCAGCAGCCAGACGTTTCACCCCTGGCATATTAATTTCTGCACGACGTATCAGGCGGCTCCGTGTGATTTGCCCCATACCCCATACCCTGTTCTGCTCCGGTCAACCAGCCATAATCACTTGCTTAGCAGGGTCCTTATTACTGAGGCCTCTGGCTGTTGGCGGATATTCTCGACCAATCCCGATGGTTTTCCGTGGACTCTCAAGCCTCGAAACAAATGTTAACTGCGTAAAATAAAACCTCCAATGCCGGCCAAGACGGCGAAAAAGAGAAATGAAAGGACCCATCATCCGGTCAACTCCATTTTGCAATTCTTCCGCCGAGCCGTCGCTTTACTGATTGAAGCAAAGCGTGTGAGGACGGTAGACTTCGGTAGTTGGGTGATTAGTGAAAGAAGACTAAGAGTGCAGAATGAGGGTTAAGTAAGAACGGGCCACTGGAAGGTCCGAGTCAAATATTTTACCCACGTTTTCCCCAGATTTTCTCCCGCTCTCCGCAACTCAATAAACGACACAAGGAACTCAACGACACCGACACCATGCTTATCGAATGAATCACGCATTGCAAGCCATGGTCAGCTACTGACTAATCTTATCTGAGCTACTGCCCGACGACGTACATTCTTGCGCTTCGTGTACTCGACCTTGTTCTGCTAGTACTATCACCAGAATGCCCCCACCCCGATATTCCGCACTCGACCTGATTGTGCAGTAAATCGTGTACGGACTAGTCACTTTACACTTGTTGCGCATAATATTATTCATATTCCAGGGGACAGGCCATGATGAACGACTCTTTACAACACTTACTTGATGCCGGGGAGACAGAATTCCCCCCACAAAATGGTATCATTCTTTCAACTGCAACTGTGGGATCAGGTTCCGATAGCCCTGCAGAAGGCAATCATAGCAAACTTGAAGCTGCCATGTCCCGACGGCGTCCAGCTCCAAGAGGTACAGCAGCATATCCGCGCAAGCGGGCAAATCGGGCATGTCAGGTTTGCAGAGCCCGGAGAACGAAATGTGATAATAAGAAGCCGTCATGTTCGTTTTGCGAGAAAGTGGGTGCAAAATGTATCACCAGTCCGACAGATCTGTCATCGTATGACCCCTTTTAATTTTCCCCTTGTATCTATGGATGTCTACCAAGACGAGTAGGCTGGTCGTGCTGACGATGAAACCCGAAAAGCTTCGATCCGGCAAGCCTGGCGATTCTAGACCGCTTGGAGCAGTTGGAAAAGCTGATCCGGGAGAAGCCATTAGAAGTAAGCGTGCATCCACCACCATCGGTCGAACCATCAGCTCTCAGTTATGGATCTCCTCCCCAGGATCTACAATTCGGACCTGATCTTAGTACAGTCACCATCGAGACTGTACTTGCTTGGGATGTATTCCAAGGCCGATTCGACGCGCAGTTGGACATCAAATCAGTTCTCAAGAATTATGAGATGCCGCCTTCTCCGATTACTTCTCCTGTTGGTGAAGCTATCCCGTTGATTAACAGCTTAGAGCTGGGATCATGCAACAGATTGCTCGACAGCTTTCTGAGCCGTGTGCATATCGCCAATCCAATCTTAGATGTCGAGTTGATTCGTAGTTATGTAAACCATGCCTGTTTGAATGGAATCGGTTGGGATGCACAGTCATGTCTAGTGGTGAGTGCTACACTCCTACAGTTCCAACTCCCATCTTGCTACCTGAGCTCATATTATCCTATAGCTTCTCGTTTGCGCTCTAGGATCCATTGCCGAAGCATTTCATGACGTTCACCCTCACACATCTCTCATGACGAGAAACTTACCCAGCTTCGGATTAGCAAAAGTCTTCTTCGAAGCTTCACAGAAACGCATTGGATTACTAATGCGCGGCAGCGGAGTTCTTGAAGCCCAATGTTTCTTCTACTCTGGTGTCTATCTAATGACGATACAACAGCCCATGGATGCATGGAGACATTTTGTCCAAGCTGCTGCTATTTCGCAAGGATTTGACTTTTTGAAGCGATCTCTCACTACAGACATGTTGCTTGCCAACGGTATGCACCGAGAGCGAGCTTCTCAAGAGTGCATATATTGGACATGCTTTAAATCAGAACTGTAAGTCTTCCTCTTAGTCCTCTTTGGAAGTGGCTTGTAGAGTCATGATTGTTAATAATTTCCAGCGAGGTTCGTATGGAGCTGTCTCTACCAGGATTCGGATTACAGGATCTATCTTATCCCAGTTCATTTCCTAGTCCACCACTAGACGACCTGGGAGATGATTCTGCACGAGCGTGGTATTACTATCTCGCGGAGATTGCATTGCGTCGACTAGCCAACCGCATCTTGTACAATTTATTCCGTCATCAGGACAAAGGTCGATTTCCACGGATCGTGGATATGGTAGAAATGACTGCCGCATTTGAATCACAAGCACTTGACTGGTAAGTAAATTGCCCTACCGGCGGCATGAAGAAATGACCTAACTGTTGAAGGATGGTCTCATTACCGCCAATATTCTCCCTCCAAACCCCCGAAGAACAAGATGATGTTCTCAAATTCGTCCTCCGTGGCCACCTCCTTGACTGCTACGAATGGATGTACTTCCCCTTCATGGCCGAAACTATCAACTACGGACGCCGTGACCCAGTTCTCGACGAATACACCCGAAAAGGCCTACAAATGTGTGCCGAACGAATCCGTAAAAACGAGCCTGGCTTTCAGCACCGACATCACGGTGCTTGGCTCATGCTCCGGACCTGCACAAGAAGTGCATTGATCCTATTGGCTGCTTGCCACAGTCAAATGGTGCAAGACTTGATGCCACAAGGATGGAAGGAAGCAGTCCTCAGCGCGATGAATATGTTGAGATTCTGGGAAGATGAGGTCGGTGATGCGCAGGATCGTCTTCAGATATTGACGGCTCTGATATCGGAGGTGAGCTGGTAGGTAATTTTCGTGACATGATCTGATATTTTCTTATCGTGCTCTTTCTTTTTTCACTCTTTCAAATCTCAGAAAAGGCAAAATAAGAAAATTATAATCTATTTACGAGGAAGTGATGATGATGAAAGTTTCATGTCTCGTGGTTTTGAATGTCTTTTCCCTGCAGGACAGGTTACTACTTGGTGTGTCTATATGTTGGATGGAAATATGTACATATTCTTTATTTCTTCTCTGTAATAAGTCTTGAAAATCAACAAAAAGTCTAGGTCAACTGGTGCAGCAAAGGCACTCCTGTATTAAAATACAGTCTCCGTTTCATGATGTTTTTGATACAGTAACGTATTGTGTATTTCGGTATTCGACGTCATGATCACCCAACCTTCGGCATCTCAGTTGGCGGGAAGACGGAGCTCGAAAAACTACTACATACGCATTCCTCACGACGATTCAATACAAAGTCGCAGAAATTGAGTTATTGAGAATTAAGCACACCACTTTCTGGTTTTTTCAAGTACTTCGGACATATACCTTGGGTGGAGGACATAAAAGACTCTGAAGCTCCGGGGGTGCCGGCATTTCATCTGACGATTTGACCTCACACGACCTTTCCGGCTTGCAACGATTCAATCCGATCGCAATAGGACAGATAAGACAATATGGCTGACCAGGCAGATTTGCTCGAGTCTCCGTATGTTATATACCATCATCACCAATTAAATTTGCACATATTAACAGCAAAATTATACAGTCAATTCGAAGAGGAGACATCCATGCAAAAGTTCAAACGCCGTCTCAAGGAAGAACCATTAATCCCACTAGGTACACTCCTTACTCCCTTATCAGATATCATCTTCCAAACATTGAAACCAATCTAACAATATCAAGGCTGCGCCGCAACATGCTACGCCCTCTACCGCGCCTACCGCTCCGGCAAAGCCAAAGACTCCGTCGAAATGAACCGCATGTTCCGTGCACGTATCTACGCGCAATTCTTCACTTTACTAGCCGTCGTCGCGGGTGGGATGTACTACAAAACCGAACGTAAACAACGCCGCGAATTTGAGCGCAAAGTCGAGGAACGGAAGGCGCAGGAGAAGAGGGATGCGTGGTTACGTGAATTGGAGGCTAGAGAAAAGGAGGATAAGGGGTGGAGGGAGAGACATGCTGCTGTTTCGGAGGCGGCTAATAACCCTGTTGGTGTTAGTGCTGTTGTTGCGGGGAAGAAGGAGGAGGAGGAGAAGGGGGTGGATGGGAATGTGAATCAGGCGCCGCAGGAGGAAGGGGGTGTGAAGAGGGGGACGGGGATACTTGATGCGGTGAAGGCGTTGGTTCGGGGGAAGAAGGATTGATTTTGGATTTCTTTGATGGTGTGACTATGTGGTGATAAGATGGAAGACTGTATGACTCCGCTCTGTATTCAATATTGTACATAAAAGAATCGATTCAACGTTTCAATGCGACTGTTGCTTCCCGGGAACAGAAGTATCATAGTCGACTATGGACCTGATTTGATGACATATATTGCAACCACCAAAACAAGGTTATCGATTAGAAGCAAGTTCATCAATATACCTCCTCATCGTATCAAACTCCGTCTTCCCAGCAGACAAGAGATATCTAATATGTATCTACTACAGGTCAGAATATATATATAAACTTGGAGGGGGAAATATACATACACTATCCTCAACGCCTCTATTCCGGTTGAATTCACTTCTGGCATAATCTCTTAATTCTGTCCGTGTCGATGATGGGGGGATTCCTATCAAGACGTCAGTGACCATATGAGAGCATGTCAATGCTGAAGCATTATTTGCATATGACATACTATAAACAGCACGCATTATCTCGCGCCAGAATGAGAGAACTCTTTGCCTTTGAATGAACTATACATATTCCCGAATCAGCATTTACCTTTCATACACCGCACTTGAAGGATGGGTGTAGCATACCTGATCAAGACTCAAAGCAGGCTTTTTTAATCTTGAGCTTCTCTTGGTCGTTGTGGATGATTGGTTAGATGATGTTGATGCACTTGCTACCGGTTGGGTATTTGGAGCAACTGATGCGAAGAGTCGCGGAGATGGTTTTATGTTTAAGGGTCGGAGCATGTTGATTTATATTTGTCAAGATAATGGTGATACCATGAAGGAGTAGCTTGCAAGTGATATTAGATGTAAAGTTGTAGAGAGTTAATGATTTATCTGATGTCTTTGCGCGGGCGGTGAGGGAGTTGTACGGTGATTGATATGGTATTGTATTGTAATATATTACAAACAGGAGTGCAATACAAATACAGAACGATCTATGTGTAATATATTCAGAATCCTTCCTATTTGGATATTATCATTCAGTGACACAAATAGAGTAGGATCATGAAGATAGGAAATATAATCTAATCTTTAGTAGAGGTACTAAACTATCCGTTATTATTATATGAGAGACAGAGCTTTTTGCTTGATAGACTTCATAGCGTGATGCCTACCTAAGGCACTGAGTTCACAGTTGCCCTTGTCCTAAAAGCGTCCCATTTGTGGTTTGCATGTGACGCAATATCAAAATGTTCACACTTGACAAGTATTTTTTGTTTGAAAATTTTCTACGTTCCTTCGTTCTTTCAAGTCTTCCTCGTTCTGTCGGACTTGACATCGAATACCTTCAATCCATCGTCAGCCTCCTGCGCTGCAGATTAGCCATTATGACGAGTCTGAGCAGTGAGTCCAATAAATCAAGGTACTCTGATGCTTTGGAATCCCATATCCTTGATGTATCATCCAGCAATTCTAGCGAGATCATCGTCTCAGACAACTACTCTGAGGAGCCACCCTTCAGCACCTTCTCATCCAGCCAGGCCAGCCTCAACGACGACTCAAACGATACATCAAGGACCATCCCAGACAGTCAAGAAAGCCGAAACAACACCAACCCAGAAGATGAGCCCATCAGCATTACCTACAAAAACCATATCTTAGTCCAACTCTCAAAGGACCTTTCACGCCTTCCAGCAGAGAACTTCAATCGTCTCCAGCAAGTCCAAGAGACATCCTCTTTCTGGATCAAACTCTTTCACCACCTATCAACTCTCGACTCCCAGACACCGCCTCTAAAAAGTCGAGAATGGGCTGAGTACACCGTCGAATCTAGTCGGGTCTTATTCCAAGCCGGCCTATCAACTAAAAAGATAGTCTCCATACTCAATCACACAATTCGCTACATAGCGAATTGTATCCTGAATACGGATAATAAGGAGACTATCTTTTTCGAGAATGGGCTCAATGTGTTTTATGAGCCGGAGTGTTGTGGGATACCGGACGAGATGAAGGTGAAGTATATGGAGACTTTGGAGCATTTGAGGGATCTTGTTGTTCGTGGGGGTAATGGGGTTATTGCGCAGCCAGAGGATGAAGATAGCGATGACTCTGTAGTCTCTGCTGCGAGTACTGTGTCTGTGATGCCTTCTATTGAGCTGGGAGAAAGGATTTTTCAGTCGATTGAGCTGCAGGAAAATTCTCACAGCCGGGTAAAGGGTATCCAAGGACGACAGAAGAAGAATCGAGGACACTTACGCAAGATCGGGCGATTTACGAAGGGAATAGTGAAGATGCAGAATAGGGAGAAAATGAAGAAAAGGTTGAAGAAGAACAGGAAGGCAAGAAGAAGATCTCATAAAAACAAACATAGGGTCGCTAGAGGTGCAAATTGAGCAGGATTCACTCGGTCGTGCAATTCGATGTTATGCAGTCAGGAGATTGATACCGAGTGTAAGTAGAGCCCAACAAGTCTCTAAAGCAGAGAAAAGTCATTCCCAATCACAACAACATACAGATAACAACTTTTCATAGCCCAATACTCAGCCATAATCAATCCCAGTCATTCATCCTTTTATACACTGTCCAGCCTCATATATCTCACAAAAAATCCCCTCCTTCACCATCAACTCATTCAACCTCGTAATCTCCATCTTATAATAAGGCTGCGGCGGCAAATAAATCCTCCACTTCCTCTGCGGCCAACCCCTCAAATGCAATTCTCTCAATGGATCCAAGAACACGGGAACTTTCTCAATTGGTTCCCCGAACCAATTCCCGGTTAAATGCAACGTAAACTCTTCTAAATCCTTAAGGAGTAAGATGGCTTTACAAGTTTCGATCCATTGCTGACGACCAGCCCAGACGTAGACGGACTTTACAGAGTCCTTGCTGGGGAGCCAGTGTCCCGGGAATGCCCATTTGAGGTCGACTTTGCGGATTGCGGTCCATTGGTTTGCGGGAATTGTTGGGCGGAGGTAGGCTAGGGACCAGGTATTGCTGAATTCGAATGTGTTTGAGGAGTAGAGGAGGTGTATGCTTTCGCGATAACTATATCAAACCGATGAGGGTGGGAATCTCCATATATATATAAAAGCATAGACTCACATTTGCTTACAAGCAACCAACAACGATATCAAATTCACATTTTTCGAGCATGTCTCTGCATTCTTAACTGGCTGTTGCAGCACACCCCGGCAAATATCGCATGTATCCTTTTGAGGGCAAACGACGCATCCCAACCGTTTCTTAGATCGCTGAATAATGTGCAGTCGCAATCCTCCCAGGACTATTTCCCAAACCAATAGGCGCAATTCTGGCGGAAGTTTAGTCAGTAAAAGGGATTGAGGTTGCTGGTCTGGCTTCTGGCTTATATCGAGTCCTCGAGGGGCTGGGCCGCGGATGTTGCCTTTGCGGCGTCTATATCGTGGTAACGAGGATGGTTTGTCATCTGTAAAAAGTCGGTATCTATTTCTATTTTTCTTGCCAAAGGATAGACTTCTGTAGACGAACTTTGATACCGTTGGGCAAGGACATCTTCCCAAGAATGAACGCCTTTTTTCAATCTTGCCATTACAGCAAGACAGAAGTACAGAGCCGGAAGTAAATCGATCAAAAACAAGCGATCCGAGAATGTATACAACAGCTCCCGGGTAAAAGTCCAAATTAGGCACGACTGTATAAAGAGTCCATGATACCCACGCCGATTATCAGCTGAGGAAAGCCAAGTACCAAAACATAGATTCAATGCAGAACCAAATTATTGAGGAAAAAGAGGTCATCTCATCTTGAAAGAGAAAAGAATAATTTGCGAAAAGAAAAGCACCGAGGTCGGCGTTGGTCTGGCAGGTTTCCGGTGGGGTAAACACCATCTGCTTATGATCATTGTTATCGGCCCCCAACAGCTGGAGACTTATATGGGTTACGGTATAGAAGTAATAGGATGAAGGAACTATTGGAGGACTAATCACGCCGAACTGACTCACCGCATATTTTCATGCAATTCAGATCTTCCGGTGATCTGTTGACTGATTGATAAGAAGATAAGGGATTATTCATTACTATGAAAGAGCTATCTGGGTCAATTTAAAAATGCGCATCATTTGTTCGAGAAAAACACCCTGCAAGTTGGTTTAATCCTCATCATTCCAAGCGCCGATTACTTATATTAAACCACCGCTACAGCAGACACATAGCTCACCGAACTCTCCGAGACAACATCAGGATCCGAGCTTCTCTCGTATCTGATAAAGTGAAACTTTCCGACCTCCTCACCTGCAACCGAAGCATATTCTTCCAAAGCAGCCATAATAACGCCTATGGGATGGCGACCACAGACTGTGTTTCCCGTAGTCCTGAGCGATTTCAGAAACTGGCTTGCGTTTCCCGTTGTGATTGCTTTCATAGTCGCAATATCTACTGCTGAGATACTATCATAAATCTCTGCGTGAAGCTCGCTGTTCCTGCGTAACGAACGGCCTGGCACCTTTTGCAGGGTGTCCTCGGCTGCGGAGACGGTGGTCGGTGGTTGCGGCAGGCTATCGAACGACAACGGCAACGGCGGCTTTTGTTGTGGTGCATCACGCACATAATACGTATACCCGAATCGCTGACCCCAGTGACAGAAATCGGAGCTGATAACAAATGCATTTGACGGATCGGCCAGATAGGTAGCAAGTAATGCGCCAACAGCACGCTCCGTCTCGGCATTGGTGCTTCCTACCATAATCGGAACGAGGGGCGGATACTCCGAGGCTGGTCGTCCCGGGAAAGTAAGTTGTAGTTTACGATGTATGTACGGCAGATGTAGCTCCATGCTGTGCTCTCGCTCATCGACGCGGCGGGACATGGTTTCAAATGCGGATGAGGCAGTGCGGATTTTATTGATTATTTCGGTGTCGAGAGGTAACGGTTCGTCTGATAGTGGTGTCGCGTATGAGGTGACTTCGGGGAGAGCGATTGTTGCAAGAGGGTGGTGATGAGAGGGGCCGAGCAAGAAGATGCGCTTGCTGTTGTCAAGTGAGAGAAATCGATGAGTACATTACCACTGCATAAGACATGAACATATCGTCGTATCAATTGCTAGCTTACGCTTTGGATAAGTCGAGAGCTTTATAAGCCCAGGCAGCACATGGTCCTGAATATGCATAGCCCGCGTGACTTTTCACTATCAGCTTCAGATGAAGAAACAGGTATGGCAGAGAATAACTAACGGTCCAATAATGATTCTTGCTCCTGGTATGGGCAGAGCACCCAGCTTGTCGATCTCGTTAGGGACAGCATCGAGCCAGCCATCTAGCTCGGCCTTTAGCGTGGTACTATCATCTTCGTACCAGGAACCGGCGTGTGTAGGTCTTCGAGTCGACATTTGCCTTGTACGTAGAAACAAAAGCGTGCAATGTTGAAGCGTAGATAAAATCCAGAGTTAGTATGTAACTAAGTTCGCGATAGTTGGAGATTGCGGGGGAGGGGTGGCTGTCGTCATAGCGCTCGGCATGCCGAGACGCGCTACAGCCAAGCGGCTTGCCGGGTACGGACCCATTGTTGAAAGATACAATCAATAATTAATACCGATATAAGAAGTATATAGTATATGAATATATGAGTATATGAGTATATGAGACTTTGAATGTTTAATCCTCGTGTTTATGAGGTTACCGCTCCGGAATGCATTTAACCTGGGAGAGCGGAAGCGTATTGATGTATCATCAATACGGTAATAATACACGTAGCTGTTATACTCGTGATATGACAGTTCTCACTCGGCCTTGGAAGAATATTCCCTTCTATATTCTCAAAAATTGCTGAAGCTGAGTCTCTTTATTTGATAACCCCCTTTTCTTCACACTCAAATCGATCGAGAATTCCCTTCTCACGCTGCTTCACGCTTAGAAATGTAACAATATAGCCCTTTTGGGTTAGTGCTGTGTATCCGGCGCGGCGTCGCGCGTCTGCCCGCGCCTTCGCTTTTAAGCAGCAGCTCCCAGGTCTTCTTTCTCACATTTGGAATGTGAAGATTAATACAGCATCTAACTGTCCTCAAACTAATCAGTCCTATCAATTGCATCTTTCTTTTACATTCATCATCTCCCTCCGCAGATAATTGCATTGAATACAAAGGCTTATAGCAAACCGATCCCAGCTACCCATTGCCACAATGTTTCTCAAACGCAAAGCTTCCTGCTCGAGCGAAACCCTCCACGGCCGAAGCTTTACAACAGATGTACCCCATCATTTGAATAGTCGAACGAGGAAGAGAGTCCGTGACAATCGGCCCGACCAGCAGACAGTATATGGTGAGCCGAACACTCCGAGGTTAGTGACACCAGAGACTAATATCGAACAGCAAATACCTTGAGAATACTCTATCAAGCTCAGAAAGAGCCAACTCTATCGTATCCGTCCGACGAACCATCACCATCTAGCCAACCACCCTCAGAACCCGAGGCTTTGGATCCGCGTCAACAGACCCTGCTCAAATTCTTCCGACCTGCACCCGCTCCTTCTTCGTCTATGCAAGCCGACACGGGACATCAGATCAATAACAGCAAAGCTTCAAAAGTTGATTCCCGGCCGGTTCACTCTGTTCCGAGAAATGTCGACTATGATCTAACCAGTTGGAACAGTGGTTCGTCGACCCCTTCATCAACTAGGAACATGGATATGGATATGGATTCGGAGTCGAGTTCAGGTTATACCCCGGAGAAGAGATGGGACGGTTGGATATGATTCTGCTTCCAATCTATGCCAATGCATACATCTCATTTCCTTTGATACCAGGGGTCGGCTGTGATCCCTTTGGTTATTTTTCGGTGGCGCTCGTGAAGCGAGTCACTTTTTTTTATTCCCGGTACATTTCTAACTTTTACATGCTTATTATGCCCGAGTTTGGTGTGAAATACCTTGGACATGTTCATGTGTCTTATGTGTTCTGGAGTTATCCGGTATGGTTATGGTTATGGTTATGTTATGCTATTTAGTTTGGTATGAATATATTGGTAGTAAACGATGCTGGCGATATAGCTGAGCCTTGAAAATAATTATCCTAGTTATTGTTATATTCTTTCCCTAAGATCAGATTAGAATTGTTGTTCCTCCAGCTTTGAACAGAATTTCGATTGCCGTGGGGAGCCCGCCGGATAATTATTACCACTTCTTAACCATTTCTCCTCCAACACCACCCCTTCAAACTTCATTATAAGCGATTGGCGACCACCCGAACTACATATACGACATACTAGCTAACATGGACAACTCAGTCCATATCAATTATCTTCAGTCCCTTTTAGGACGCAATTTGCGCATCCACACAACCGATACTCGCATGTTTGTGGGCATCTTCAAATGCACCGACATGGTACGCTTACCACTTTATCTTCTCTCAGCGCAATACAATTTGACTGGTAGCCGAGAAACAGGATCGCAACGTCATCCTCGCAAACACATTCGAATATCGTCTTCCAAGCCAGACCGCCGTCCAGGCCGCCGCCGCGGCAGAAACCGTGTCTACACCCGACGCAACAGGCAAGTTCAAAATGGACATGACCAGTCGCTTTATTGGATTGGTTGTTGTGCCGGGTCAGTATATTACCAAGATTGAGTTGGAGGAGAATCCTTATCAGATTCGAGCCCAGCCGACGGTGCCAGTGATGCACTGAATGGTTATTACGGGGATAATGACGGGGAAAGGCGCTGATACTGGCGATGGCCTGTCCAATGGCAATGTGTCAGAGTGCTGATTGTGCGCATCGATAATCTCGAGAAGCACAGATGCATGCGTATCGGAACTATCCATCCATTGATTATCGTGGCTCGATAACCGAGCAAGTGGCATGGCAGAGCTACTTCAGCAAGCCCAATCTTGATCAAGGAGGACTATGTACGAGAGCCTCACTCTCGGATCACGCATGCATGACAGGTCCATGAATGTCATTGAATGATGCACCTCATTCATGTGGAAAGAACCGGAACGCACGATAAGTGGCCTGTTGACCACATACGCATTGACAGACATACCTCTACATGTATACAGTATCAGCGCTTCCTGTCTTCTTATGCAGCTAGAGTCCGGGTCATGGAATAAGCGAGACTCGCGGTCAAGGGCTTGGCTGTAAGACTGATGTTTAATTTACTCTGTATTCTAGACTCCTGGGCATCTGGGGAAGACACGAATTCGCAAACTCACATGTTCCCATTCAGCTTCTTGGCCGCGCAGCGATACGTAGCAATACGAAGCGCGCATGAGATAGATGTCCCTGAATAGCTAAATACACGATAGTTTATAGATACAGACGGTAATATATGTAAAATACCCGGTAACGCATGCGTATGGCATAGATTATTGGCGCAGCTGACGTATCAACACAGACAGGTCACGGGACGCAATCCAGCCAATCACAGGGTTGCCCAGCGAGTTCCAGACCGGGCTAGTCCTTACATAAGCAAATCTTGGACCGAAACGGCAATCGATTACTCGTTCGTGAGATCCAATCCATCTCAACCTCTTCCTTCCTAACTCAACTTATATCTTTCCTCACCAAGCCCATATCTACTGCTGCGCCAGCATCCAAGGATTGAAATCTCCTCATCATCCGGCATTCTGTTTTGCCCTGTGCGACGAACCCCATTGCATTGGAAAAAGTGCTTATCTCGAGGTTCGTGTTACAAAATCTCTGCCATGACGCACATTCTTTTTAAGACACATTTTGTACTCTTGTATTTCCATTCCAACCTCCCTCGCGCATGGCTGACAATCTCCACATGTTTATTTGTGTATCCCTTCTGTCGGATATTCATTTTCTTTTCTTTTTCTGTCCTGTCCTCATTCTTGGCCTCCTGTTTCAGTAAGCTTTCATGTGACGAGCGGTTATCAATCTGCATGCCCACATGTTCGTTGCAATTGAAGCTTCACAGGCAAAGTCTCTTACACTATTTGCCCCCTCCAATTCAATCAACCTTCTCTTCAGCTCCTGTGCACTGAGTCTTTTTGCGCCATTATCCTTTTGACTATATTAATTCTTACTGCCATCATGCTCAACCTTATTTATATGATGTTCCGATTGTTCCAGGCTGACACTTTAATTGATGGTCCTGTAGCTAGTTCACCTTCAGCTATCATTGCCGGAAGCAGCCAGCTCATGCTTCGATCCTATCAGAACCTTCCTTCGAACTTTCAACACGAATCAATTTTCTGCGACCTGAAACTCCTCTGACCTTATCTAGCCGCTGCCCGATTGTCCCATCATCGCCGACCGGGGAAATCTCTCTTACCAGGTTGATTTACGCTGGATTGAAGACTAGATTTACACAACTCTGCGTGACTGTGTATCATCTCATTTGAGGTGACTACCTCTACGTGCTTATCTGACGATCGCGTCTCGTCAAACCTGAGCTGTCCGTAATGGGCCAGTCTCAGTCCAAAGGCGGAGACCGCTCCGGCGACCCCCTACAATCATATCCGTCGTTTTCACGCACCGATACCAAAGAATCCATCCGATCCCTAAAAGGTTCGATCAGGTCCAAGATTCCGGGGTCCCGGGGGAGCGACAAGAACAATGACAGTCCGAGGAGTTCTATGGCAGGTTTGGCCGATGATAAATCTGATGCAGCTTCCGTGAGGTCGACCAGCAGTTTGAAGCAACAACCAGTTGCCCAACAGTCTACTGTCTCGAACGACCCTATCCCTTCTCGCACCGGAACTCCCGAACCCCCTCCATCTCCCTCGCAATCTACCTCTTTGAATCGTGGCCACAAGGATGTGGATGCCGCCCAGCAAAGTGGCGAAGTTGATCTGGTATCGGATGCACCACCATCTGTCCCGCCTGTGACACCGCAGGCTCCTGGAGAGTCGATCTTAGTGAGACCTGATAATCAGATCAACCCCGTTCTTCTAGATATTCTCGCCTCTGCAGCTTCTGATACGAGCAGCACCTCACCTGGTATGGGAATGGGCGCTCTCAAGACAATTGATCTGGACGACATGATTTCCCGCCTTTTAGATGCTGGCTACTCGACTAAGATTACAAAAGCTGTTTGTTTGAAGAATGCCGAAATTATTGCGATTTGTTCCGCAGCACGCGAGTTACTCCTGTCTCAACCGGCTTTGCTGGAATTGTCGGCGCCGGTGAAGATTGTCGGCGATGTTCATGGTCAATATACCGATCTCATCCGACTTTTTGAGATGTGCGGGTTTCCTCCGGCAGCAAACTATCTCTTTCTAGGCGATTACGTTGATCGAGGGAAACAGAGTCTTGAAACGATTCTTCTGTTACTATGCTATAAGCTGAAGTACCCCGAGAATTTCTTCCTTCTCCGTGGCAACCATGAATGTGCGAACGTGACTCGTGTATACGGATTTTACGATGAATGTAAACGCCGATGTAATATCAAGATCTGGAAGACGTTTGTTGACACATTCAACTGTTTACCCATTGCTTCAATTGTTGCAGGAAAGATATTCTGTGTTCATGGCGGTCTCTCACCCAGTCTTTCTCACATGGACGATATTCGAGGCATTGCACGACCGACTGACGTGCCAGACTATGGTCTCTTGAACGATTTGTTATGGAGTGATCCAGCAGATATGGAGGAAGACTGGGAACCCAACGAGCGGGGAGTGAGTTATTGTTTCGGTAAAAAGGTCATTATGGACTTTTTGCAACGACACGATTTCGATCTTGTCTGCCGAGCGCATATGGTTGTGGAGGACGGGTATGAGTTCTTTCAAGATCGGATTTTGGTTACTGTTTTTTCTGCTCCGAATGTAAGTTCTCCGGATGGTTCGCTCGTTTTGATACTAATGGATGGCATAGTATTGCGGCGAATTTGATAACTGGGGTGCCATCATGTCAGTATCTGCGGAATTGCTTTGCAGTTTCGAACTACTCAAGCCGCTGGACTCGAGTGCATTGAAGAATCACATCAAGAAGGGACGGAACAAACGCAACAGCATGCTCAACAGTCCTGTAAGTTTACCCCCTATAGTAATTGGACACTGCTAATGATTTCATAGCCTGCTGTCGTTTCTGCACAGAGCTATTAATTCGACACGTCAACAGATTATCGACAATGGCACGGTATTTAGCATTTCAGATGATATGTCATCGGCGTGACATCTGCATACGTCGGTTTATCGTTTTCTTAACGATCACCAAAGATCACGGAGATGTGGTCGTCTGGTCAACTCAGACACGGGCATCAGTACTAGCTCCGGAGCATGTCAGCGGCGTCCATGAAGACCAAGAGACTTTACTTATTGAATAAATGGTCTAGCCGTACCTCTCGTATATTCGGAGAGATCTTGAAAGAGACCCTCTTCGCCCAAATAACGAGTCAACACGCGACGAGAGCACGAACTGAGTACAATGCCCTACCGAAAGCAGACGACATACAACAGCAGCAAATCATTATCACTTTCCATGTATGGGTATGATGAGTGAGGTTATTATTTACAAGCTCGACGAGCCTACGATTGAGATTATCGCATAACAACGTAATAGCATAGTGCGAGTGGATTGAAACTGTGTGTTTGGGTATGTAACGGATACTGTGAATGGTTCTATCATGTTTGTTTTTCTTTTCATGGATGTGAGAATTGGATAGGGCAGGAGTTGGTATAGGATAGAATGATGAACATTACTCGCGTCATACCATTTTCGTATCTCGTAGGTCAATGCCGGGTTTTAAGAAGTAGAAGAATCAATCGAACTTTTTATAAATGCTATACGCAACTATCTAGATAAAAGTATAACGAATGCCCTGCATAACCATCAACAGGACGAAACCAACATCAAGAAATAGTATGTAAGAAGAAACGCTTGACAATGAACCATGATATCTCATTAGACACCAACATAACATACAAAAACACCACCTCCCACCTCCCATTTCTTGGAAAGAGGTAAAAGATTACTCATAATCCTTGACATATCGCTCACCCAACTCCATATCCCACATCGGTCTTTCGACAACAGCTAATTCCACGGCATCCTTTGCTGTCATCGTAGACTGAGAAGAATGTCCGAGCGGTAACATGCCTAGAATATCGCGGAATTTGTATGAATGCCAGAATATCGTCGCTGTTTTTGTCTCTGGTTCATGTGCGGGTTGTTGAGGGGTAGATTTTTGAGGGGTTTTTTGGTTTATGACGACTGCGAATGAGGCACCGTCTGTTGGTTTTTGCGGTGTTCCGGCTTGTGGTTCTTCTTCGTTGATGGTATGATTGTTAGCGATTTGACGACGTAGACGTGCGAAATCTGGTTCTCCATTAGCGAAAAATGGGTGAGAATCTTCGTCATCTTCATTGTCGCCATTGTGATGGATCCGATGTTTCTCAACGTCAATCCATTGCGACTGCTTGTTATTATTCTTATTGTCACCACCCATGATTTTGCGCATTTTCGTGCCCATAGAAACCGTTGCCTGAGATTTGGGGATTAGGTCTCCAGCTCCACTGTTATATCTTCTTCGCAAGTGTTCGTTCTCATCGCCGTGGGCATCTTCCAAGTCTTCATTGTCGTTGGTCTCACGCTTACGTTTTGCTGTTTGGACGAGGTCTACTGCTGAAGTGCCGAATCCCTTCCTGATATCATCGACATCAGCAGATTGTGATGGGAAATCATGCGTCAAATCAAACATCCACATCCATGACGGTCCGTAAAGGAGTAGCTTTGGCGAACGCTGGAACAAACCGCAAACACCACCAGTAGCGCGATCTTTGAGACCGATGAATTCCTCGGGTAGGCACGATTTGGGGTTTCGTTGAGACCATTCGGAGAATTTGCCGGCGAGGACTTCATATTCTGTTAGTTGGTGTTTGCTGGTGAGAACTAGGAGACGGTCTTCGATGGATTTTGATGTTTTGATGGATGGGCGGAAGGACATGAATATTATGCCAGAGTGGAGGCAAGGCATTAATGAGAGGGGTCTCCAGTATTGGTCGTCGATGATCTCTTCAACGTTGTCTTCATCGTCGGAGGAGTCATCGTCTGACAACGTGGTTCCATTGGGTGTTTTCTTATTCGACTGCTCATTGACGTGTTCAAGAATCCAAGAATCGACATAACCAGCCAGATCGCCAGTTGCAAAGAGTTTACTATCGCTCGAAAACGTAACTGCGCGAATGGTCCGGTCGTATTCTCCAAGGGTACCTTGATTGATTCCACGTAACGACTGTGTCCGGCCAGATGATCGTTGCAGGCGTACAAGTTTCGAATGGACTTGCACGTCCTTATCTGAGTTGGTGTCTATAACGGACAGTTTTGCGAGGTATATCTCATTACCCGGCCGAATAATTGAGAGCCATCGAGAATCGGGCGACAAAAATATTGTGCGGGCTCCATCGTCTGTTACCTGGCGAGGGAGTTTGAGATCTTTGATTTGCAGTATATTTTCTTCGTCGTGGCCTTCGCTTTCGGAAAGACTGAACATTCTGATCGTGGTCATTGTAGACAACACGAGAAGACTTCCATCGGTGGATAACGTAGCTGATGTGATATTTTCGTCTCCCTATCCATCGTCAGCATATCTCAATCAAATTGATGGTCACGATATGGCGGTATCTTACTGGGATCAACACTCTACCAACAAACTGATTCCTCTGGCTTTCCGCATCTGCTCCACTCTCAGGCGCGATCTTCCATATTCTAACTTCTCTCTCCCAAAAACTCATCATGAACCGGGACGATGAGCCGGATGCAAGTTGACAAATCTGAGGGAGACTGGAAAGTGTCCTGTGATGCTCTTTTCCAGATTCACGCAAGGGTAGAACGACGAGGGATGCATCGGGTCCTGGCCAGCATTTCATTAGCTCAGAACACTTGAAAGATATTGGGGGAATGACAAACCTCCAGAAACCGCAATACTCATATCCTTAGACTCATAAACAGCAAACTTCTTTACATCATGCGTATGATATCGCCGATGCATAACTTCCGCCCATCGACGCGATTTATCATTCTTCTTACCAGGTTTCAAGCGATACAGCACCGTCCTTCGATCCGCTCCACCACTCACGACGGTTTCCCCGTCAATACTAACCGCAACATCTAGGACATCCGCCTGATGGCCCCTTAGTCTTTGAACAAGGGAATAATTCTTTGCATCCCAGAATCGAATTTCACCAGTTGAATCACCTGACACCAGGGTGCCGTCAGGTAAGGACTTGACGCTCCAAACCAAAATATCCTTCGGTCCACCAACGGGTCCGCGACCCAGCGATACAGTTCGCAAAAGACGTCCGTTTCGAATATCAAACAGTCGAATTGAACTATCCGCATAACCCGCAGCGAGCACATGTCGATTTTGGAACGTGATACTGAGTACGCGCACATTCTTGGTAACAGAGGCATTCAACCTCCTGACAAATCTCAAATCATTATCGGCCGTAGACAAAATCACAATCGACCCATCCGCACATCCAATAGCAAGATGTTGACCTGTATACTCTCCGTCCGCAGGACCAGTAGTACTACTCTTCTCAGCTGTCCATCTCGGCTGAGCAGTAAGACACCAAATCTCGCCATAACTACCACTCGAATGTCTAGCCGGTTTCCCTTTTTCCAAATCCCATTCCGTCACTGTATTTGTATATCCGATACTGAATAGACGTAGATGACCCGGTAATCTCATTCCACTCCCATCAGGCGCATCTTCAGACGGGTCCAATGTCCATGCAAGTCCCTCGATACTCCGACCTTTACCGCCACGGATGATTGTCTCCTGAAACCAGGCGCCGCGTAATGGGTTCCAGATCTCAATGTCACCGTTTGCTCGACCGACGGCGAGACGAAGAGTTTGCGCGCCTTGACCGGCGGCTTTGGAGGACGGGGGGTGCGAGAATTCGAGTGCGTTGATTGCTGAAGGGTTATAAGGGACGAAGCGACAGCGATGTAGCTCCATTTTGACGTTTTCTTTTCTGTTGACCGGTTTGTGTCGTATTATTCTTATCCGATCTCGTCGAGGAACAGAACAAACACAATCTCCCTGCTCTATTGAGCTGAGAGAAGACTCAAATGCAAAAACTTAAACTATGACAGCCATTTGACAAGAATCCTAAAATATCAAATGAATGACGCCGGAATAAAAGAGAATGCACTATGCGATGCGATTCAGCAAAGACGACAACATGAATATAAAATTCAATTTGAAGCGGATAAATCAATTTTATTTTTCTTTCCAAGGGAAGTTTTTCGCGGGCCTTATCAGTCACGTGGACACGGCTATACTTTCCGTTTTTAAGGCAAAGATTCGAGCTTGAAAATTCGGCCAATCAGAGAAGGGGTTGTATATCCATCTAATGTGCCCTAATTATCGTCTGTCACGTTGAGCAGCCGATTGTATACGATGCAACATCAGTTTTATATTGTAGATAGCTAATCTGAGCAGCAGTTTATTTATGTGTGAGCTACGAATAACCTCGATACTGAGCTTGGAAATCAGGTTGAATGGTATATGCAACTGGGCCATTCTGATTTCCATCTCCATTGATGGAGAGCAGAGATTATTCCAGATAAACCTCGGAAGAGCATGAAAACCTTGAAATGTACCTATGTATCTATGTATTTTGTTCAATGTCGGCTTTTCCTTGTCAGTACTGCCGATGTACCTGCATTAGTGAAGTCCCTACTATCTAAAGTCGATTCCATTGATATATATCAATGGATCAATTGATTCATTCCTCGGCGTCAAAGCTCCTTGACATTCTTCTCAATCTTCCACATCGATCTAAGCGGTTGACTGGCATGCATCTAAATATTCCAAAATGCACATCGCAATTCTACCACCTGGGGAACCTTGGCAAGCTCCGAAGGGATACATATTTCCCCCAGGACGGAAAATTTAGCCAGAAGATATATATCCCCGGGTCCAAAAAACTCGGTCAAGTAACTACACAGGCAACTAGGTACCTGATGAAGGTTAAAATAGATTCGAAACCTTCAAACCCTGGCCAGATGTCCAATGGCTGGAAATCGTTCCTACCTAGCTAGCCATACAACCTATGTATCACCACTATCAAGTTACACAATACCTACCAATTACCATTTTGGCATTTATCTTAACTCTTAAGATGTTGATTGGACAATGCATCCATGCAAACAGGGTTTAGATCCTTCCTCAAGCCTAGTACCTACTCCTAGTACGCATTTCTTTGCACGCCTTATCCGATCTCAACTCCGCACCAAAAGCAGAACTGATCGTTACCCAAAATCCCAATCAAAACTCGGAGGAATGTGGAACCTAGTATGTACCACTAGTTACTTATCACACTCAGAGTAACTACATATGGTACCCCGTATCAAAAAAGGGTTTCCGATGAAACGTTAAAGGTGCTAAATAAGTCTGCACTTATCTTAGTAACTATGTAATGATAAAAGGGAGTCTCCGTCAAGCTCCTTAAGGCTAAACGAGGAGGCCAGCACCCTAAAAGACTTCAATTCTTAGGGGCTTTTTCATTGTTCAACTGCCCAGAAATGCGCCGAGTAACAGCCAATTGGCACCAGTGCCCAAATCGAAGTCGGACAGGCTAAATACTAGGCACTCCCAGCCCCCTAGGAGGTAATCCCCGTTGCAATAAAGCCTATAAGGACGAAGACGAATGCACCAATACCGACACCGACACCGGCATACACAACTAACATACAAAGGAGTTAAAGAAGTCAAGACCAATCCTACAACTGTACTATACGCCCGAAAAGGGGAAGGAATGTGATTCACTATTCTCCTCACTCTCATACGTCTTCCCATCTTTCTCTCCGTGTTCAGCAAGGGGGCACCCATCCATCCCTCGCCAGAGACAAGAATACCTAGCCAGTTGAAAAAATAATGAGAAGGAGAAGTCTTTTTAGGTAGCAAGAGAAAAAACAAAACTCAAAAAAGTGAAGGTGAATGATAAAATCAATTGGAAGGGTTCCTTGAACTCCGTTGATTTTTCAATTTTGGTAATGCTCGATATTGATGACAGTGTAGACAACTTCCTATATTATTGTAGAATAGGGAAGGTCTGAATTGGTGAGAATGACTCAACGCGGAACGCTAGCAAGATAATATGAAGAATTGTCAAGAAGTAAAGGAAAGTATGATAAGAGAAATGAATTTTTTTTGTATCAAACGACTCGCGCTCGCAATGCCAGATCTAAAAACACACACAGCAGATGATGAAATGGATGATGATGATGATTGATAGTGAAAGGGGTATGTTGATAATCTAGGATAAAATGAAAAAATGCAACCCATTCCGGCCCTCGTATGATGATGAAAGAAAAGGAAAAAAGACAAATGGCTCGCTCTCGTGCAGAAGATACTTATGTCACGGTTTGAATAAAGTATGGCACAGGGATCGTGGCGAATATGCACGTCCGAATATTAGGAGTTGGGAAGGTTCCAGTCACTGATGATGGCCGGCCGGTATTAGAGTTATTGATGCCCATTAATGATAGACATTCCTCGAGCAGCGCCCTTAGAAAGCAGTAGAATATCCCACGTGAGCCACAGGATATTGTGCAGACTGAGCGTACACCGGTTCAGCGTCGTACATCTGAGTGTCGTTGAACGAGACATTTGGAGGTGGAGTGGGTGAAGATGGACAGACAGTAATCGACGCTTGCTTGTTTGCGTTGGCAGCAGAATGGGGATTGAGGAAACCTTCGTTCTCAGGGGTGATGGGAGGAGTCAGATAACCGTGAGGTTGCATACCAGGTTTCTGCGGGGTAGCAAGACCAATTTGACCGTTGTATTGAGATTTTGGCTCGCCTGCAGCCTCCTCCGGTGGAGAGGGAGGAGCATAAGCACCGCTTGCAATAGCAGCCTGGTGAGCGAGAAAGTTGTCCAGAAGCTTCGAGATCCTTGAGTAATGAGCAGAGGAATACTTGCGGTACAACACCTGAGAGGGCGAATGCAATTGGTTAGATAGACCGACCAAGGTGTTACCGTCGTAACTGGCAGCCCATTCCGAGGTACTAGGTTGAGGGCGGTTCAAGATACACCTCGATAGAGCGAGAGCAGCCTTGGCAAGATCAGCCGACGGCTTTGAGACGAATTCTCGATGAAAGAGTGCAATTTCAAGGATGTAGAGGGCAAGATGCTCGAGTTCTGGGTCGTATTGTCTGTCAACCAGTGCGATGTTTAAGAAACTGTCCACGGTTGGGTGACCAATGGTCCAGCCGAGAGTTTGTAGAACGTGCCACTCCATTTGAAGAAACATGTCGTCATCGTAGAGCGAGCAACACATTGACTTCAATTCTCTGATCGTTGGGACGTGTTCCTTCTTATCACCGTACTTGGCGGCAATCAAAAGGGCGGAACAGCCGACAAGTTGATAATGACGTTTGTAGACAACACGCTTAGAGCAGTAACGATCAAGAAGGTTGATAGCCAGAAATAGTGTGGACGGTTGCAACTGGAACGCTGCATGAGCTTCGATGAGAAAGTCAAGCAGGTAAGGCCGCATGAACCATTGGATTTCTGTCTGAATGTCAATGGACTCGACGTCGGGAAGTGTTGCGGTCTACATCATCAGTTAGCAACAGCGAGAGCAAAGACAAATATTACCCAACATACATCCATATCGAGCATGTGTGACAGGCTGTCCTCCAGATACTCCTCTCTTGCCAGAGCAGATAACTGATCCGCCATTGCGTATTGTCTTTCTCGAGCAATAATCTTTGCCTGTTCTCGAGGGTCGAGGCGAGGACGGACCTCATCGGTCTCGACGAAAAAGGAGTCACACACTTGATGTTGTTGGATAGAAGCCATGATTACGGATTGTTATTGAAGAGTAAAGTTGGTTGCTGACCGGCAGGGAGAGGATTTTCTTTCGATGAGGGAATGGTAAGGAAGCAAATGTATCCTGATGATAACAGACCGGTGTATCACTGTAGGCGACGAAGGAAGGAGAGAGTGACAGTCGTAGGATTAACAATTAATGATTGTAGACAGTTGGAAAGCCAATTAAAAGAGTGTGGTGGCCTAGATAATAATCTAAGCAGAGCGAACAAGCAAGAACAAAGTATGGATTAGAAAGGACTTTTCCGGCGTAGCTAGAATGAGGTAAAAAAAAAATTAGTAGAAGATTAATACCAGTGTGAATTCAACAAGAAAATATCATGATTATAAAGAAACTGGCTAAGGTTGGGCAATGAGGAGTAGAGATGAAAAGCGGGAGGAAGAGAACATAAATGATTTTTTAACGGGAAAGGGCGAAGAATTGCACGTACCCAGGATGAGGACTGCCCTTATTGGATAAGCAGCGCTGGCATCTAGGCTGACCAAAGTGGTAGGAATGAAGTCCTATCTGGCGGAAGCTGTTGGGCAAAGAGGTGAAGTACGAGTCAACGTCTCCACCCTTGTCAACGAACAATTTGAGAGGTTGCTAGTAAGTGTTCCTCGTGTTCCGGAATGTGGAGCGATCAAGGCGGCACGAAACCCTAGGTGAGTGCAAGGGGTAGTCAGCGAACGTCGGTCCTAGGATAGGTATAGAAGCTAGCTCACAGGATTATTTAGGAGGTATTGTAGGCCCGTGTCGTTCTGAAGAATGATTAACGGGTGACCAGTAACCTTGAATAAGGGTTGAAAATTCGGTCTCGTGAGAACACGATGACAGAATGACAACCAATTTCTATCACAATCGTCAGCGCGTGTTCGATAATTGAAGAGACATTCATCCATCGACTATGAAAGGGACATGGGGGAGAGGAAGGTGTCATTCTTTCTAAGGTTGCAAGCTGGGATGTATGTGGTGAGAGCTCCATTCTTTCCGCCCCAAGAAAGGCTGTTAGGGTGATGATCTTCATGCTACTGAGACCGACCAACGCGCACAACATGAGCTTGTTGCAAGCGACAAGTATTGATGATGTATAGATGAACGGCCACAGAACTATCCTCTTATCAACTGGTATATCTTCCCCTGACTCTTCCATTGACGGGAAGCCAGAGAATGCACCAAGACGAGGCAACGACAGACAGCGTATCAACCACCAAAGCCACTGCTTAAACTGGATGGAAGATATATTGGCATGATTCCATTCTGCAACAGGAGAATTCGAATCGTTATCACGAAATACGACAGCCGCTCGCTTATACACCAAACACGACCACAGGCATGATCGTACGGCGTCGCAGATTTCGAAGACATCCTTCCAAAAAGATATATCTCATCATCGACCGCCTTATGGGAAGAATGGAGCTCTCTGCTTCGACCTCGAAAGATACGATGGTTCGATAGTTCGATGCACGTGACTTCAACCTCAAGCCACACCACCAACTAATGTCCAACCCCAGCTGAGGCACCCACACTCGAATATAATATATTCACTCGACAAAAAAGATAGGCTCGATAATAGAGGAAGGAAAAGGGTGTCTCACCGTCGGTTAGAGGAGGGGAGAGGTTGTTGGAGGAGCGGCTCTGTACAAAGGACAGAACAACGTCGAGACGGTTGAGCTGCAATGGGTACAGCTTAACCAGGAGGATTAATCGCTGAACCGAGTCTAAAGGAGGATCAAGAATTGATCTTTGTCTGCTGACTGTTGATTAAGTATCTCTTGCAAGATCCTTTCTCTCTAGTCAAATCCCAAAGCCAAATCTCGAAGACCACGAACAAGGTGATCGATCCCAGACTCTCCGAGCAGAGTAAGGGAGGAAGCAGAAAGAGAAAAGGAAAAAAAACTAAAAGCGGAAACGAAGAAGAAAAAAGGAAGAGTCGGATATAGAGGAGAAGGAGGAGAAGAGAAAAAAGAGGATGTTGAAGGGGTTTTTTTCTTCTCTCTCCAGGTGGGTGTGGTAGAAAGGAAAGAAGAGAGGTTGAACGAGAGGTGAGCGACGAGGAAGCAGCAGCCGGTGGTTTACTTTACGCGTAATTTTGGTATTGCGGAGACAGCTCCAGAGACTTAGAGAGCGTAATACAGCGCCAATGGAGGCGTATGTTACGGTACGGGCGACCACTTTCCTGCTAGCCCGGGCGTGTACGACAGGGGATGGCCTAGTGCGTTTGGAGCATTACGACGGCCAGTTGTTTGTTCCCTATTGACCGGATGATTGGCTGTTCTCAGACGATATTTATATTGAGTGACAATTACAAAGGTATCGATCTATCGACTACTATTGAGTCTGAAAGTGAACTGTAGTTTGAATGGTTTACTTACCTCCGTACGAAGGTAAGATAAATCAGATCAAGCTAGACGGCAAGTCGCAGGTTCGACCAGTAGGAAGCGCCAGAATCGTAAGACAACCTGTTTTTGAGGCTCGTATGGTGTGGTTCCTGAGCCACTTGGAACGTATTAGTGATACGACGCGTGCCGACAGCTTACATTAACAAAGGCTTAGTGATAGCTTCGGACGGTCATACAGGTTGCTTCTATTGTCGTCTGATATTGAATATCAGATGATTATATTCTCAATAATAACGTATGTAGTTGTTTATATTCGTCTGATTGAATAGCCTAGTGAATACAGATTACACTTACAGATACGGCTACACCTTACCGAATACAGCATAATAGATACAGTCTGAGCACAATACTTACATACTCGTTCCTTACTACATGCATACAGCCACCAGCCAATCACAGCCAGTGGATTCCCCTGACTCTTGGCGCAGCTCCAGCTCGACGCGTGGAGTTGTCCAGTAATATTACAGAATACGGTGTATCCGCCTTTCTAGTCCGTATGGCGAGTTCCCCGCTTTTTCGTAAGGTTTTGTCTTTATTCGTTAGAGACTACGCGGACTGGATTGTGATGATTGGATAGTAATTTCGATATTGATTGATACAGTCTATTGTGATGTTGTAAGCTAATAAATACATTCAGAAAGAGTCGATTGTGAGTTGTTTCAAACAGAAAGATTCATGGATTTAATCATTATTTGCTCAGAAAAGGATTATCTCCGCTCCCTTTTCGCCAATACGAACGACGTCATTTCAACCCATAGACACTAACCCTAATAAAGACTAGTGCTTCCCAGACACTAATTCCAAACGGGAAACAGACCTATCCACACTAGTCTGTAAACAAACTAGCGTTGATGCCTATGTTCCAAGGCCGTCGTCCTCGGTACAGCTTAGCCTTACAGAGTGGCTGACTGATCTGACCCCTGTGCAGGCATGTTCCTGGTACCTCCTGAATCTGCCCCGAATACTCCGTTGAATAGACGATACCACTAAGTCCTTAGTACTCTTGTCTAACAGCATTCAAGCATGCCATGTATCCGCTCAAATCAAGATCTTAGCTTAACTACCTCCTTAGTTGTACAGTCTGGACTGGAGTCAATGTATCATCAACGCAACATAGCGCCATGCAACGCGCTTAGGCGCGCACAGTTTACGTACCACTTCAAATCAACCAAGGCTGTTGAAAGCTTGGAACGTATGGGCTAGATGGGATAACGTTTATGCTCGTTGACTTACTTTACCGATTAGAGTGTAGAAACGTGTTATTTCTTGGATACGATGCGATTAAATCGGAGTCCCTCTGAATTAGGCTTAATAGTCTGAGTTATCTATCGACATTTTCATGCTCTACTTTGGCCTGTCTTCTGATAAGATTTCAATAGGTTGATTTGATCCATGTTTCTTTAATCGCTCTAACTTTTTACTGGATTTGTCCCGAGACACTCTTCCGGGATGGTACTGAACATGAATCAATGGACATCATCTCAAATTGTATTCCAATTCGTCCTGACAGGCGACCACAAATTCAGCTACGTACCCATCATCAAGTCAAGATTTCCGATCTGACACTCCAAGTCAAGTTTATCTGCATTAGTCTGCGACATCTTGATGAGTTGTCCATGTCGAGACCAAGACTAAGGCTAAACTAAGCTAGGCACGGGTCTTATCTAGAACTCTGGCAACAAATCATCTTTGATCTTGTGCGCATAGAATAGATTAGATCATTGGCCAATCAGGTTGGAAAGACAGGGATTCGTAGGTATTGCACGAGTCGTGAGTGTCTCCTTGCAAGGATGGTGAGTTTTGATCAGCCCTAATCTCGTCGCTTGATTTATCAAGTTTATCAAGTACATATCTACGTAGTACCTAGGCTTTAGAATTGGTCAATTAGTTGAATATAAACTACGCCGGATTATTATCCATTCAATCAGAATAAGAGATTCTTCCAAACTATGAAGTATGTACAACTCTACAATATTAAACACCACGCTGATACATGTAGTCACCTCATCATGGATAGACATAAAAACTGGAGATAGAAGCCGATCTACCCCTCCTCCAACCTTGGAACACATACTACACTAAGTTAATTGACTTTAGCGACTTAGTCAGAAATGTCCGCATCAGCCCAGCCCAACATGTTCAGCTCGCCTCCGGCAACTTTGACCTCTACGGATTATGTATGTACCAACGTTGGTGTCGTGTCGGAAATCAATTTCCCAAAACCTTACCCACTGCTTCAATTGAACGATTCATTGTTCGTTCACCACACAAGTGGCTACATATGTAGTGACCAATGAAGTAGTAATTCTGGCTAGATCAACGAACCCCAAATGGATCAATGCGGTGGCTGGTGTGGTTCTACGTACTCCGTACTTGCAAAGTGCACGAAATCTCGATTGATCTGCAAAAGATAACGAGACTCGATACATTCTATCCAATGAATTTCTCAAGATGCATGTTTGACGCAAATACGTGGTTATCGTTTAGTAGTTGCATTTTATCCTATGTGCACAGTACGTACGTAGTCACGTACATTTACTTCATGTAGGTGATTTAGAACCGAGGTCCTGGGACGAAGTTCCATTTGTCAACAGCCCTGGGAATTGCGACGAGTCATATTTTCAGCGACACCGATTGTTCTTCTGCCACTACTCTAACTTAGCTAAGCAGGTGGTAGATGATCGGAAGAGGTCTATCACGTGTCTTGTCTTCTCTGCTTCGCCTTACTTGTAGTCCAGTTCGTATACCTAGGTACATGCAAGCAACCTTGGAAGCAAGCGAGGAACTTGAGATTCGCATTGAATAGAATATCATATGATATATCTACATGCAAATGCGAAGTTACTTCATATAAAAGGCATCCTTATATGCATTCAATTCTATGTGTACGACCATTTCCTTAACTCGGCGTACCCAACTTAACCCTAAATGCCCCTTGCATCTCCGTAGCCATGGTTCTAGATTTCAACCATCTAGACAATTTCCTCGTATCGAGATAAATCGAGTAAATAAGGCTATAAATCTAGCACGTGATCAATCACTTCATCATGTATATAATATTATATTTTGCAGAATACTATTAGTAGCAGTATGTATATGTACTCCGGTAAGCTATTGAGAGCTTCCCTCGCAGATGTTAGATGTATCTGACGCTTAACCCTAACCCAGTACATACAGAGTTGAACGTCACGTAAGGAGATGCAGAATTATTAAAGATACAGTGTTGTTTTTTTTATTCTCCTCTTCCACATTCGTATGCGTCATACACTTACTCATACATCTATACAAAGATATCTCCATAGAGACGAAAATCTGTAAATACAAAAAAGGAATCTTTCTAGAACCCATACAGGAATTTAATGCCGTATCATTTCGGGCTCTCGTATACCGGTGGATATGTTTCTCTCTAATCAGTTATGTAACGAAACTACATCTCTTCTTTTTCTTTTCTTTCAGATACTCAAATTAAGTAACGGCATGACAGAGTTTCTGAGGCGACCGGGTAATAAAATAGTACGTTATTTCTTTGATGATTTATTACGATGATCCAGTTTTATGGTCATGATCCATTTGAGAGTGGAGCATGCAGCTTTTTTTTTTCCTGCGAACTCTCTCGTTGAGAGCATTATGTAGAAAGCCGTTGAGATATGAATATTTGAGTCCAAGTATCAAGAAGCATGCTAGCGTGTATTAAGGACTAACTGAGTAAAGAACTACCTGCATGAAATGAATATTCCCAACATTCAAAAAAGCCTCAACTTACTCAATACATACATACAAAAGATCCACCATCGCCCACATCAAGGACGCTTTATTCGGAAGTACGGCCCTACGGGCGTTCGGATAACTCCATATAATGGAGTCATCTAGAAAATTTTTCGATGTAAAACTACTCCGTGGAAAAAATTTTTCTTCGCGATTGTATTCAGAGACGTGAGCGTTTGGTTTTTGTTATTCCTGAGAGGCCGTTTACGTGGTTGGTGACGAGGTGGGATGTTTTTGTGATACGTACGAGAATCAAGTATACATGGTATGTATTGGGATGAGATGTATTTGGGTATTTAATGGTGTAGGCAGGAGAATGTGCTTCGTAGTTGTTGTAGTTATAGGACCGGATAAGATCGTTAAATAAGGTGCCCTAACTCGTTAAGTAGGTATCTTGATACATATTTAGACATTTCCAAGGTTCTTCCGCTGTCAATCCATGTCATATCTCCAAGTCATACCATTAAAGTAAGATCATGACAGGTTGATGTCGCGCGACAGACTTCAAGATACACCTGAAGCTCCGGGTGTGAGATACATGTCTTGGAGACTGTATCTTACTCCACGAGTATGTTCACTTACTGAATACCTGTTAAATACTGATACAATCCACAGGACCACGCGACGTACAATAAGCGTCGGGATGGTAATCATGCCGCCAGAACCCCGGTTCATATCAAAGCCTGAAGTTGAAGCTCAAGCTCAAACTTCAGACTGATATCCCTAATCTTCATACTTAAAGTGAGCTGTAGCCGTAGTCGAAGGGACTACATACAGAGCAAGACAGTCATTTTAGAGGAATGTCAATGACAATCCAACAGAAACTTCAGCTCAAATGAGTGCCATAAAAACCAAATAATTACTAATATAACTCTATTGAGCAAGGTGAGGTCCACTATCCATTCGTCGATGGGACGAGCCCGACTGACATGGTTGTGTCTTTAACTTACCGTATTAACTTCTGCCCCTTTAACATGCATGGTTAATACCTATACATTGCATGAATTACGCGGGCTTCTATGAATAGTAGTACTATATCCAAGGGCGAAAATAGGGATTCTTGAAGCTTCCACAGACGAATTACTATTGTACTGACAATACGGAAGCTTCGCTGTACAGTATGAAAGTACATAGGGTGGATAGTAATTACATACAGTAATACATCACCAACTCCACTGTCAATATTCATGAACAGTATCGAAAGCCTGCTGTAAACAGAAGTTTCTTAATGTATAGGATACGAAATGAGGAAAAGAAATAAAAAAGGATATTCGAAGCTGTAGTCACATCTTCAATTGACTGTGCATCTGAACATCATAACCCTAATTTGTGTTAATGAATATGGAAAGATACCTGTAATTCAAGCTTCAGCCGTATACTGTCATTTTCTTTCCAGTTCTTGTGCAACAATAAATCACGTATTGATAACCCAAGAATCGCCCTGCAATATGGAATTTTCATCCGAAGCTCAAACCACAGCCTTGGTATTTCCGCCTCGCGCGTCTTGTCTCAGCAGAAGCACGCGAGCGCGTTGAATTAAAGTCTTGGGATTACACACACATACGGCACTACGGAGGATTCGCCGGTTTGGATTTAGCATTCAGCTCGTAACTTATGGATAATGTAGCGCGTCTCTGGTTTACGTATGTAATCTGATTCGCGTTCTATCTTCAAGTTTGATTCTCTCAACTCAATACATGTAGTTAATTGTTTCCCTCCATGCTGTACAGTACACCAAAATTTCTCAAAGTCATATCTACCATGTCCTTAGAACTATAGTAATCTACGGCAGAATTCAATGATACCATACCGTAAATCCTTGCCCAGCTCTACAAGCTATCCGAGTTCAAACCTTTTTGTTCGACTCCACACGGTGACACCGGCGCTTGTAAAGTGCAGCGCGCGCACACGAGTATGTAACATCAACACGAGTCTTCTTTGTGGACTGCATGCACGAAACCTGCAATTAGGAAGTTTATTCGAAATCATGTATATTGTTCGAGGTGGGTTGCGAATTCAGCTTCTCGCTAGCCTCGCCTAGAGCGATTGGTGTTGTACGGATGATCGCTTCGAGCGAAGACAAACGCGTTTGAGCGTGTCTGGAGTTTGAATATGCATAGGGTGCAGAAATGTGTGTTTGATAGTCGCATTTTGATTTATACGAAATAGGACCTATGTATATCACTGGTTGAGGTATGTAAATCTTAGGCACATTTTCAATTCAGTGATTATGTCAACTGACAATCTGAGAGCATGATCAATTCATAATCATCAACGCAGCAACCACTTAAGTCCCTCCTCGAAATCCTTCTTCGCTTTCCTTCCCTGCGTCAACATCCCAAATGTATTATAAAATATATGCGGCATGCCGGGATAGATATCCAGCCTCGTTTCATTTCCATGCTCCCTTAGGGTTTGTTCATAAATCAAGACCTCATCGCGCAGAATGTCCATACCACATACCTGAAGATATGTCCGCGGTAAATTTGCATGACCAGTCGGCCATATATAGGGAACAAACATCGGTGACTGGGTATCTCCCGCTGCAGACTCGCGGAAGATCTTGTCAAGCTCAGGGGTCAGGATAGGATCTTGCTTGCAAGCTTCTTGCGTGCGTGAGAGGTACGAATCCTTATGCTTCCAATCCTCTGGAAAATTTTGCAGCGTTTCAGGCGGTAAGGTCATCGGCGCAAGGAGAAAACAACCCGTAATCGGTTTAGCGAGACCTTCATCACGAGCCAAATGAGCCAAAATAGCAGCCATCGAAGCCCCCGCCGAAGAACCACCAATCACAAACCCACTCGACAACGACACCGCAGCAACAGATATCTTAGATTCTGCATGTAATGCAATCCATTGCAATCCATCCCACGCATCATTAATCCCAGCTGGAAACGGGTCCTCAGGACCCTGTCGATACGACGGCGCAAGACAGACTACGCCGAGCGTTTGCACGAGGTTTCGACATGCTGGTGCCGTATCTTCTGGGAATCCGATTGTCCATCCACCACCGTGGTAATATACTACAAGCGGAGAAGCCTTATCCTGCGGATTTGCCGGTCGAAATACTCGTGCACGTAGTTGATGACCGTCTCGAGCTGGGTAGAAAATGTCATATTCGACAACGCCACTGTCTGGGTCCGCGGGTTTGTGTTGGCTTTTCATGTATTCGCGTATTCCGGCTATAATTTTTGCAGGGTCAACTCTAGGGTCTGGTTTTGGGATAATGATGTTCTTCAGTGTCTAATCAATAGTACGTCAATGGGTTTGTCCTAAGCAGAAGCATGTAACGTACGTACTTCGGCGAGTTCGGGATCAATATCCGCCAACTTGAGTCTTTCTTCACGGGTGAATTCCATGTTGCTTTTATTGTGATCAGGCACAGACTAAGAGTCTAAAATAGTTTTTCGTCAGGGATGATGCTAGCGACTATAGCCCTAGAATAACCCTTTTCAGTCGCATCGGAGAATGTCGTTCATCAAAATATACATCTCAGCATTTATACATCATTGTCGCTCATTTATATTCACCGGAGCTCATATACTTCTACATCGTCATGCCTTAATACGGTCAACAACTATGGTGTTTGAACGGATTTCGGAACAACTCAAAGACTTTCCTAAGCGGGAAGTAATTTCCTAATTAGGTAATTTTGCTTCGGCCAACGGTTTTAGTCCCGTTTGAGGCTTCGAACGGATGAATTTGTGTGTCCGATTGTTGGGTTTTTTCTGAATGAGTTGGAGGGATGCTGGCTATAGATGTTCTTGGTTTATTCATGGAGTCTTGGGCGTTTATTGACTGGCTTACCGGTAGGTATGTATCCTAGAGTATCATGTGAGAGTTATTCTTTTACCAAAACTTTAGATTTGAGACTTACGGCCGTGAATTCGTTGAAGTCGACTGACTTGATAGGCCAATTACTACGAGTACATCCTCAGAATCCGACTTGTCTATAACCCTGGAGAGGGAGGTCTGGTGTTCCCGACGAGTTCCCAGATACGCCGTATAGTCATCAATGTCCTCCAAACACGACGCCTGTTCTCTTCCTGATAGCCTTTAGTCGTTAATTCATTTTGCGAATATTCTCTCCGTATGCCTCTACTTAGTTGGGAGAGCTGACTCAAAACAGAAAGTAGAATAGGAACCTGGAAAGAGAGGACCACTATTCTTATTCCTAGGCAGAACTAGATACGCAGAATGAACTCCTGATAACTTTCATTCAGTATCTCGTAGTGGCCTAAAAGAAATAGTATATTATTATTATAATAAGTCTTCCGAAATGATCAATTTTTACCTATACAAGAATGCAAACAACAGTTGCAAGAATAAAACATCAACTACCCCAAGACGTCGAGAATTGTAGGCCTAGAGCAAGAGCAAGTCATAGCACACAGGTAGTAAGATCGTCCGGTGTGGAAGGAAGTCAATCAGCCGTAGTGTAGTCTTCTCAATAAAATATATTGTCGTCTCAAGCGATTGAGGTCCCTAAAATCTAATCTTACTCCCATAATTTTGCGAGTGAGTATCCCAAGTACATGGTTTGTGCGCCGTTTCTGAATATCCTGTCTAATAATCCTTGCATGATCCTTTCTAGGACGAGAAATAGGGAGCGAAGACTGCACAGCATTAATATCTGATACTGAAGTTCGCTTGCAAACTTGGCACCTCGATCCTCCAACGTTAATCGTCTCTAGCGGGATATCATCCCATCCAAACGCGTAGTCTTCCCTACTGAGGTTGTAACTCCTGCTTTGTGCCAGATGAGAGATGGACCGTCTGCTTGTTTTTGTTCCGTGTTTGATCTCTCACATATGAAGAGCCTGTGCCGTCTGTCTTCACTCCGCGCGTTACAGTCAAAGGCCACAAGGTCACCTTGGGGACGGAGTCCATTGGTGGCTACAACTGTTAAGAAGGATATTTGTGTCGTAGGACATCGAACACGAATAAGGTACCCAACGCTGAAATTCAAAGTATCCATGACACATCGTGATAGTAGTTGCATGAAATCAGGCCATATGAGCCTGTGCCGCTCCGATTGAAGAATAGGATAAAACTTGTGTTCGATATGTTGTTTAATAAATCGTAATGCTCGCCCGTAATTGATTTTGAGGACCTGCGCAATTAGAATAAGCTGTCTGTTGCTGTACCGTCCCGCTCCGAATGCGACTGCTATATCGACAGCTGAGGACCAAACACCCCTTGCATACACAATGAGATTCAGGTGTTGATGAACCTATCCTCTATTGCATTGATGTACAGGACTAAGCTTACGAAGAATAGTGCAAGGCCCGACTTGTCTTGCGGTGAGAGATACTGTATGCTTAGAAGCAACCACAGGACCATAAGGTGTCACAGCTTCTAACCCTGGTGCAGATGAAAGCTCATGCCGTTTTGAGCAAAGCACACCTTCGCATGTTAGTCTTACTGCCTCCTCAGTCAAGAGCATCCCGGGCGGAAGCATCAGCCATCGTAAATGTCCAGCAGTCAATGCTGCCTCCAACCACCTCTTCCATGCGCTTTCTCTTGATTCTTTTGGCTGCACAATAATCTCCACCGTCGACGCGGCCATTATACCGTAAACCTCGTCAACAAGTAGAAATGCCTGTCGATTACCGAGCATCTCCAGCACTCGTGTCTGATCTCGTTCGCTATTGCGAGAAGTTGCTGCCGTACGGAAAGCCGCCATACCAGAGAAATGAGAGAAAAGAAGTTCGTACTCGTTAACCAATGATTCTCCTCGAACTGTGCGCTCAATAATGCCAAACTGGTCTCAAAGCCCCGGTATAGTGGTGAAAAGCTCGTCCTTGATCGATATTGGCTCCAAGTCGGAACCAATCCACAGAACGTTCGTGGCGAGGATGTATTCTTGTAGTGTCCACACCCGTGTTCCCCAGGCGGCTTTTGTGAATCGAGACAATATATCCATCGCCCGTACGAGTTTGGTCCGCCCTTCCCCAAATTCCCAGTACTCTCTTGCTTCAGCATTTGTCCATGCTTCCTCCCTCCAAACAGTGAGTGCCTCGTCAAGCTGAATTGTACCATAATCAACTTCTTTTTGCTTTAGATTCAATTCGGTAGTGAGAATAATTAGGACGGCTTTAGCATTGCCAAAGATCTGACTCATAAGCGGGATCTGCTCGTTCATGTCATCGTCGGAGTCTTGGATGATGCAGTAACGATCGACCCAGCTATATTTCACTGGAGTCAACCCTCTTTTTTGGATTGTTTGTGCAAAGGCGTCACCGCCGAATGACCCATTGAGAGGCAATTTCTCCGGAAAGATATTATCTGACCAGGCGTAAGAGATGGCGAGATACGGCGGTGATTTTCCGATTTGGAAAGTTTCAACTGTCCAACTGATCGTATTAATGAGCCTGAATGTCTTCATTCTGCCTTGTAAATATCTACGAAACTAGTGTCGATATCAGAGGTTGCATGTAACTCAGCCTCGTGCCCAGGCGCAGTCAGAGTTCAGCATGAGGCTGAAGCAACCTATCCTATCAATTCGTATTTGGGGGCGGGGCACCCACAACATAATAACACTTATATAAAAGCAGCCTCTTTAATTTTAAAATCTCCATTCTTCATGATCAAGACAAAGTTTCAGAAGCAATGGATCCCCTCTCGCTCACAGCAAGTATTATCGTCGTTCTCGGCCTTGCGTCTGAAACATCAAAAGCACTGCGTACTCTGTACGATTTGCGTCATGCGCCTCGAGAAATTCTGGAGTTGACAAACGAAGTAAATAGAGCAACCTGCATTTCTGTATGATGCTGATGTATCCTAGGTCAGCGAGCTCCAGGCTCTCCTTTGCCTGGTACAGAAAGCCACCGACAGCGCCGTTCAGAATCATCTCTCTGCAGAAGACCAGGTTCTCATCCAACGGCTTATTGAGACTGCTCAAGATCCACTGAAGAAGCTGGAGGGACTGATCGACATGTGCTCTAGCAAGAAAGAGATGTCGAGCGGTTCAGTGGAGAAGAGCAGTTTGCGCTTGAGTGTGTCGTGGTTGAAATTGAAGAACTCAATCAGTAATATACGGAAAAGGTTCCTTAGAGCTCACCGGAATATAGACACAGCTTTGGCTGCGCTGAATAACATTAATAGGTTCGTTCTTGAAGACTGCGTAGATGAATAGTCGCAATTACTAACGTATTTGCAGACAAGCGGACTACAAGGTCATTCTGAACATACATGACCTGGTTTTAACTCAAGCTCAAGCCAGTGAGCATGGTATATCACCAGCCTCTCCGGAAACTGTTCAGAATCTGGAGCAGAAATTCAACGGGATCATATGTGATGTGAACGAAGAGAAAACCGGAGAACTCTTCAAAGAATCAATTCTTCCAGTTCCAGCCGCCAGAAATACGATGACTCGAGAAATCGCCGAAAAGAAATTCGACTCATACTACTCACATGAAGATGAGCCTGGACTATTTGAGAATCATGCTACTATTCGGGCCTCAATAGGTAGAAGGACATGCCAGCGCAGCTGTCTATGCCAATGCCATCTTCGAAAAAACATAGAAAGCCCGCGATGGCTAGTTGATGTGCTTGGTAACCTCTTCTACAGCTACACCGGAACACCTCTACTTCAACTTCGACCATGCAATCACCGAGGATGCCAACAACAAAAGACCGTCTCATGCCAGCTCACATACCATTTTCCGCAGTGGTTGATGAAGAGGACGTTCGCATTCACGGCGAGTGTGCGAAATCTTACAGGATGGTCTGGTTCGTGGTCAATTGGGTTTCCGCGGACGATATCTGCGTCCCATAACGCTTGGAAATGTATTGAGCAAGGGCGACATGAGGAATTCTTACAGATACTAAGGGGTGCAACGATAATGGTTAATGATATGGCTGATGATGATGGAACTTCCTTACTGCTCGTAAGTATATTAGAATTCAGTATAAAGTTGAGACAAGCTAGGATTATTTCAACTATAGTTCGCTCTAAAATTCTGAAGAGACGATGTAGTGGAATTGCTACTAGACCATGGTGCAAATCCACATCTCGTGGACCCCCGAGGAGTGTAAGTTAACAACTCCTCCAAAGCAACAGAATACTCACAAAGCCACTAAGATCGGCATGCGCGTATGCACAATCAAGTTTATTAATAGACCAACCGCCCCAAAAGCCATCCTGGTCTGCCAAAATGGACGATTTAATGACAGAGACAAGCGTCACGGACGACCTCTGCTTCACACCATTGCATCACGTCGTCATTGGGCTCGAAAAAGCCGATGTATATCAGCAATTGAGACTGAACAACAATTGCATCAACATCCCCGACTCATTAGGCAGGTCGCCTCTGCATTGGGCAGTTATTCAGGGAAACACGAGCATTATTGCAGCGCTTCTCGAACATGGAGCGTTCCCAGGTTCTAGGGACAAGGAACAAATGACTCCCTTGCATGAAGTGTGTCGGGCACCGCAATCAAGCCAGGCGGCTTGTGCTCGGCTTCTTATTGATTCTGGAGCTGATGTTGATGCGAGGGATTCTTGGGGGAGAACGGCGCTTCGAATTGCGGTTGGATTTACCAATACTAGCCCCGATCTCATCGAAATTCTGCTGGAAGAAGGAGCGGATGTTAACGACAGCGATATCTACGGCCAGACGCCGTTATTAAAGTCCATTCGTGCACAATCATGCATCATGGAACTGCTATTGAAACATGGAGCTAGTACTGAAGCAACAGATATATATGGCAATACGCCTCTCTCAGAAGCCATATACAGAAATAGTGCCGAGCAACTGAATCTACTTATGAAATACGGCTCAAAGACAAACCAGCTTTTAGATCTTCAACCGGGGCGTCGTGCTCGTGAGGGCCGTATCAATATCCTGCATTTTACCGCTTGGTATGGAGGAATTGAGGTTATGCGAGCTCTCGAGAGTAGTGAGCAGTACCTGTGTCGGTCTCCGGATCCTATAGATGACTTTGTGCAATACAAAGAGGTTAGATTGGCTCACGGCCTAGGTGTTGGGAAGGAAGAATACGAGGCGTTTGTTCACTTGTTGTCTACTGTGAAGTACTCGTGTGAAGGTGGTGACGAAGACGAAAAGGATGACCCTGAAGGAAGCGTCGGTAGTAGTTGCTTTTAGTCTTAACTCTAGGTCGCCATGCATAGGCTTTCTATGTATAGACTCGTCTGTGTATAGCTAAATCCACAGGTAGTCTTCATCAATACCCTAATCGTTTCATAGATCAAGATCCTAACCCTAACCCTTACAAGTCTCTAATTGGCTGGATCGACATCATGCGGCTGACTCTTTGTCGATTCGGACGTGGGTAAGCTTAGCCGATCTCCACAGTAGTATTTTTGGCTGCCAAGAGCCTCTTTGGCCCCATCTTATGATTGATCCTGGGGTGCGGGAAATAGGAGAAGCTTGTCGAGTTTTAACTAGGAGACTTAGAACACCACATGGTCTGCTTACTGTAAAAGCAGTTCTCTCATTTAACGATATAATATTCTGGACGAATACGGAGTGTGGGTGGACAGATCGGACCAGAAAAAAAAGAAAGTGGGTCGATTCAAGAAAGTCACGTGAAGCGCTAGCTCTCTTCTTGAACAACCAACCAGACGACGTGGCTGATGGCTTGGCAGTCGTAAGGTGAAACAACATGCCAGCATGCAGAGACCATCAAGCTCAAACATTATTCATGATTTCTTTGGCTAGATATCAGAGTAACACAGTATCGAAAAAGTGCGACAGTATTAGAAAACTACGACATATCGCTGATGGAGATTCGTCGAGGCATGTGTGACTTGACAATAGCTTGAACAATCGATCGACGAACATCTTTGTTCAGCCGCCCGCAAGGCTGCGCTGAAGGAAAACAGCTTGGGATTCCAAACAATATGCCACAGGGATTCACCAGACGAGCGATTGGCGCTTTATTAACCGCTACTGCTCTGTTATTAATATGGAGGATATCAAATTATGATGTTGTGACTTCTTTATCTCCATCGTCGTCGTCGTCGTCGTCGGCGAATAATCAGCTCAGCAAATCCGGCGGAAACCCGCGACGAATCGCCAAAGTGTCGATGTTATACGGAAATCCGAATCCATTATATGAACGCGCACTTCGAAGTCATGAGCGGCACGCGCAACGATGGGGGTATCCCATGTATGTGTTAGAGGAGGATATCTCAGAAGGGTTTTGGAATAAGCCGAGTTATGTGTTGTCGCTTGTTATCCAGGAGCTTGCGAAACCTCCTACAAAACGGTGTGAATGGCTGATGTGAGTTTCCAGAGCCCCTCTTGTCTTGCTCTACAGACCTTTACAGGTGCACTATACTAACGATGATATAGGTGGGTTGACGCCGACTCGATAATAATCAATCCTGCAATCCCCGCCGATATTTTTCTCCCTCCTTCCGACCTCTCCGAGATCCACTTCGTAGCCTCAAAAGACCAGAACGGTCTGAATACTGGCATTGTTTTCTTTCATGTCCACCCCTGGACGGTCAGCATGCTAGTTGAAACCCTCGCACACCCTCTCTACCTCCCTGATATCGACCTCGGCCGTTCCGCGGACCAAGAAGCAATGGCTCGCATAATGGCCAAACAAACCGGTGGCCCCGAAGGTCAAGGATATGCTGCTGGCATGGCGTACCTCCCACGACCATGGATCAACACCTACGAATGGCACCACGCCTACGAAGGGAAGAAAGGAGACATGCTCGTCCATTTCCCGGGTTTGGAGGACGATCGCTGGCCTCATATGGCGAATTGGTTAGATATTGTAGAAAAGACACCGCTTGAATGGGAGGTACCCTTGAAAGAATCCGGATACGACGAGCTCACTCGGGTGTTTTGGGCTAAGTTCCGTGCCGCCCGAGATCTGGCCAATAGTGTCCAGGAAGATATCTGGCTCGAGCCGGCCGGCTCGTCGACGTCCATGCGGCAGGCAGCCGTGAATAATGTGCGACTGGCACTACAGCAACACGCCGATGAGCCGGAGGTTCTTCAGCAGCAGGTTGCTGAGCTTAAGGCGGCGGTTAAAGAAGAAACATCTGGGCGTTCATGATCAGCAGTCATTCTCTAGGAGTTTTCTTTTTGTCGTCTTATTTCTTGGGTTTGGTATCTTCAACATCGGATTCATTTATTAAAGGCTAATATTATACCAATATATCTCTCTGCATGGAATTGATGAGAGCCCACTGGCATATATCCGACTATTATATGGCAAATCTCACTCTCACCACCATGTAACTTTCTGAACAAGGATCTTGCCTGCTCCAGGTAACAGTAGCACGTAAGCTATACGACAACTCAATTATAAAGGATTGGGTTGCAATTCGTTCGCTACAAATTTACCAGTTAAGCCTAGCCAGATCTGGCCGACGTCGGAGCTGTTGTTTGCCTTGTTGCCTGGACTTCAGTGAGCCGATAAGATAAGGCCCCAACTTTTCTTTCAGTTTATCACAGCATAGCTCACTGAAACGGCTTCAACATGTTGGAGGTATGATTCAATAGTGATCTCTGTAGAGCGACTGTAAGTTAGTGCTGACATAGTAGTATATGCTAAGTAGCATCAAACGACGATCGATTTGAATGAATGCTTGATCTCAACTTTGCGCATTGACACATGATTCTCGTATGTCCCGGACTTTAGGGTCTACTCCGGATATCATGACTTTTGATAGTTTTTGACCAATCACACTCTCCAGATGGTATCAGATCAGATGTAACATGTGACGGCAACGTCACTTGCTGATCGGATCTGCTTGGAAGCTACAACGTATTCGTCGTTTAACGTATCTTTCCGAGAGAGGAAGGAGAACAACGTTGACCTGTTCTATAATACAGAAAGGATGTTGCTGCCTGAGTCACGAAGGAAACGGATGGATCCGAGAACGGCTGGACTGTGCACAGCCCTAGACCAGAACAGGAAGGAGCTTAACAGCGTCCGACAGTCCAGACTCAAACAGGCAGCTGACTTTTGTGCCTCTTCAACTTTCTTGTTCGAGTATTTCCTCCGGCCGCTCACTCTTCACTGCGAAACCGGTACGCATCCTTCTTCTCCAGCTCTCTCTTTTTCTTGCTCTCCTGGTTGCCGTGTGATTTGGTTCTCTCTTTTGCGAGTGACTCACTCTCGAAGGAAGGATGTTCGGTTTGTCCAGTCGGAGACCGCTTTTCCTTTTTCTATCATGCAGCCATGAGTTCCGATGAAAGGGGATGATTTATTGATTATAACACAACCTTCCTTCCTGTCATACCTCCTACGTCTTTCCAGGCAACAGTCGAAATACTTTGATACACCCCATCGTCCATACCTTTCGACAATGACTTGATGGTTGGATCGCAGTCCGTGTGATACGTATATCCATTGCATCCAAACACAGACATAAATATTCTCAGCCACGAGGTTTGCAACCATGTTTGCCAACGGTCACGTCCACAGCCATCACAAACACCTCAAATGGTCCAACAGACAACCCCCCGTCCTGACTGTCTCGTCCGGCGATGTCGTCACCTTTGACCTGATCGACAGCAGCAACGGCCAAATCACGATTGACTCCGATACTTCTTCACTCAATTCCTTCCAGTTAGAGCTTGCCGATCCCGCTGTCGGTCCTGTGTACGTCCGCGATGCCGAACCAGGCGACGCGCTCAAAGTCGAGGTCTTGTTCTTGGAAATGGGGAACTGGGGATGGACAGCCGTCGTTCCGGGGTTCGGTCTTTTGGCGGATGATTATACGCAGCCTGATTTGAAGATATGGAAATTCGACCCGGAGGCTGGTTACGCCGAGTTGAAACCCGGGGTGCGTGTGCCTTTGCGACCGTTTCTAGGGATAATGGGTCTTGCGCCGGGTGCGGATGGGGAGTTCTCTACCATTCCGCCCACGGTAGTTGGAGGAAATATCGACTGTCGTGATATGGTGGCTGGTTCGGCACTTTATCTACCTGTTCAGGTACCAGGGGCATTGTTCAGTTGTGGCGATGGCCATGCGGCACAAGGCCATGGAGAAGTCTGCGGAACAGCCATTGAGACGAATATGAAGGCAAAGATACGACTGACGGTGTGCAAAAACTACCCTTGGGTTCAGTCACCACACTTGCAGCTCCCTCCTCAACCGCCTGCACCGTCCGCATTTCCTGATAAAGGACATTATGCAACTATGGGATTGGACGCAGATATGTTGCAAGCCACTCGTAAAGCAACGCGTGCCATGGTTGAATGGTTGGTAGCTACCAAAGGACTTACTCGGACGGAAGCATATATCTTGGCTAGTGTTGCTGGGGATCTCAAACTTGCAGAGGTGGTTGATATGCCTAACTTTGCAGTTACCATGAGCATGCCGGTGAACATTTTTTCTTAGTCTATCTCTCGAGACGATATATGTCGCGCGAGAGGATTTTTATACTTGTTTGGTGTTGGTGGAAGTTTCACGCATTATTCATATCTGGTGTTTATTTGACTGTTTCTCGCCTGGAAGGTTCTTTGCATTTCCCGTCTGCTTTCAAGCGAATGTACATATCTATTTCTGGTGGCAATATCTATTTCATGACACTCAATTCATACTCTTAATCACTTATCTTAGCCCTGAATCTCCAATGCATTCATAGCAACGTTCTCATCTGGCAATATGACCCCAGCAAGTCAGTGACTTCCGGTTCCAAAGTTGGATGTTTCTTAGCTGTTTTGATATGAGAGAGTACTGCTAGTTGTTGAAATTTTTCTGGGAATGTCGTGAAAACACGGGTTTGGTCGACTCCCGAAATCCGATGTTGGTAGCGAAGTACTGCAGTGACTCTGTTAACTCGTTAATTAGAACTTGTTTGTCACCGTCCATTTTAGCCTGTCTCTTCACATTTTACTGTTGAAGCTTACTGGTTATTGACCCCTGTAGGAATTGGGGATCACTTTTAAGTCTTTATACTCACGCTGAGGCCAAAGAAATGTCCGATTTAGACACCCTTCTTGCCGAATATACAAATAAAGAGAACCTCGAAAGTTCACGGCGTGATATGCAAAGTCGTGGATAGAGGTTCATCCTTCTTCCAAATTAGTTGCTTATCAAACTAACTGCTCGAATTAAAGGAAACGACATAAACAGCAAAGTATCGAAAAAGGGGCTTATCGAAAATCTCGATGAGCCGCTCACCGATATTCTGCCGGAGTTTGATGGGATACAGATCTTGATAGATGTATGTGATTGAGTCGGAACCGCTAGAGTTTGTATATAAGCAGAGTAAGGAAGCGATTACGGCAAGGCATTTACTTACACATATCTCTGGTATGGGGTATCGGTTTACGCGTCGATTACTAGCCAAAAGAGCGGAGTATCAAGACAAGTTTCGCGGTGGACGGACGTTCCGTGTTATATAATCTGCCCCTTATCTTCCAGCATGGGAATGGTTGGTGGTACGGGTGTAGTCTTGACTGGGCCGGTGTTGTTATCAGTCGTTTACGCCATGGGACGTCATTGGAAGATTACTTCGTTGAGTACATATGGAAGAAGCTCGGGCTTTCTGCCCCGTTTCCCAGATTCAATATTTCGCGGTATCCGGAGTATAAGGCGAGGACATTACATGGTGTTCGTCGTACGGTAGTCGATGACGGGATTAAGCTAGTTTCCTGCGATACGTGGGCATTTGATAATCCCGAAGATCGGGATGACGGCAGTGGACTGTCGTCAACAACAAGGGACTTTGTCGCTGTTCTCGCGGATTTGGTTTCGAGCCCACCTCGACTCCTGAAACTCGAGACCCTGACGGAGATGTTTACACCACAACTTTTTAGCGATGGACCTGGGGTACGAATGCTGCTAGATTTGAGAGTGGCATGGGATAACTTCGCTGGACCTATATCAGCGGAAAATGTCAATCACGGTCTAAGTGGTTTATTGTGTACGGGACCTGTACCTGAGATCAAGCAACCGGGAAATATGCTTGTATGGGGCAGAGCTACAAATGCTATTTGGTGGGCGAATAAGGGGTTGGGCGTTGCAGAGTTTTTGCGACTCAGCAAACGCCGTTTGGGAATGAGACGGTTAATACGTTGTTGAATGCTTGGAAGAAGGATTTTTGGAAGGGGTATGAAGCGGGCAGTAGATGAAGAGTTGGTTCATATATAGGGTTGTTTCTTTCTCTATAGAACTTGTTTAGCGTGCTTGATCGGGTTGTGTTCTGGAATAGAAGTTATCATGCCAGGAGGAAGCCCCTGGGGTTAGGGCTTATACCAACATTTAATGGGATGCGATTGGCGCATCCGAAGTACAACAAAGCATTTCAGCTTCAATGAGATACCCCACCTTCGTTGTCAAGCATCACCTTCATCACACTCTAAAAGAACGACACGTAGTATGATAATACGCTGTAGTGTTGAAACGCTACAAAGTTTGATGACCTTGCGTTCCTCACCCTTCGGTTCTTTCTCTTGACGGCATCTCTCACATGCTGAGCCTGAGGAACATATACCATTTTACCCGGTCCTATATTTGAATATGAATGGAGTCAGACATGGACTCCCTACCGAAATCTATGATCTTGTAAGATTCTTGACAACACCGGGGTATATCTATGACTGATTGCAATCCTGTACAGATCACATTCCACGTCGAGAATGAAGAAAATACCCAAAGACAGAATTGGCAAAATGATGCTGAGCATTACAGCCTGATAGGCACCAGGACTCGACAGAGACTGGCCAATTTACGCCTGGTCAGCAAGGTTTTCTACTATCGTGTCTCGCCACGGCTGTTTCGACATATTGATGTGAGGCTGAACCCGTCTCTAACCAGCTCACCGTTGTCTCGACTAGAAGAAATATCCAAAAGCCAATATGCCAAGCACGTGCGTCAAGTTGATTTTGGCTTCGATCACATTTCGCAAGGCATTGTCGATAAAGTGTATCTGCAAGAGCTCGCGAGACTGCTGACACCATGCTTGGCTCGATTCAATAACATCCTGGGAGCACTTGGATTCTTCGAGCCTCCCGCTTCTTTTCTATTTCCTCAAGCCAGGTTATACGTTAGTATCATCGCTCAACTGTTTCGAAACCTACCATTTCCGAGTCTCGAGGAACTCAAGCTTCATTTTCCGCTTGCTTACGATTTTGGAAAATTATTTCGTCCATCAAATCAACAGCCCATCATGAATATCCCACTCCATCGGCTTCGACATTTTGATCTGTCGGTCTGTGAATCTACAGATGGACAAAGATACCAGTATGAAGTTAGCCATATACAAGCTGTTCACAGCAATCGGCTATTTCAACCCTTTGTCTTCAGAATGATCCAGCCTGCAGCCAACCTACAAAGCCTGTCCATACGCAGCAAGGAAATATGAACCTTGACTCCAACGAATTATCTCCTTCTCTTCGACGCCTCCAATCCCTTAGTTTGTCTAATGTTTCTATTTCATCAGACAAGCTCTTTTCACTCCTCAGTGCGAATCAACCTGGAGAGTCAAATATAAGACATCTCAACTTTGACCACGTCATATTAACCTCGGGAACATGGTATCGCGCTCTCCTGGAAATGTGTAAATTACTGCCGTTCCTCATCGGCTTCAGGTTTAATTCTAGTGGCTATTTTCCCGGACCTCCAGGTACTGGGCTGATGCAGCAGGAATGGGTGATTATCACACGCAGTAATGAAATTGAGCAGCACTTGGATTTTGCCGCACTTGGTCACTTGCAACGGTTCGTGAATGAGAATAGGGTCAAAGCAGGACTGGTACCTTCTTCGGAGGAAGATTATGGGTATCTTGGAGCACGGCCCCTGGAAGATCATATACTAAATACCGGATCTTCACATTAATATATCTCTCGATCTTTACTATTGCCTACCATGCTTATCCTATCATAGCACCGTTTTCTAATATTGAGGCATGTAGTGGCTAAATTGAGGCTTCTATATTGGATACTCGTCGACGAGTTTTCTGTTATGCCACATTGCTTAGTACACCAATTTTGTCAAATATTGCGTCTATAGATCAAATTATCTGAAGACTTGTAGCTTAATCCACTGAGACTCTTATTATGGCAGTAGGCCTGCCTTTTGATATAGATATAGGGTTAGGGTTGATACAACAATCAAGCTCATGTGGGGCAGCACTTAACGCGGATCGCATCTGTTTACTTGCTCCACTACGATTTGAGATGCAACATCTACGACCATCAAACATCCTTCGACAGTTGTTTTGTCCAAATGGACATCGACCCAATCCTCAATGGACTAAACGCTGCCCAAAGAACAGCAGTCACAAGTCCAACCTCAGTTCTCCAGGTCCTTGCACCCCCCGGCTCCGGCAAAACCAAGACCCTAACCGCACGCGTCGCGTACTTGCTATCCTCAAAGCACCATGGATTCCGGCCTCAAGACGTCATATGTTGTACGTTCACGATTAAGGCGAGCCGTGAAATGCGCGAGAGACTGTCGCATTTGATAGGTGATCAGGTAGTTTCGAAACTCGTCCTAGGCACTTTCCACTCGATCTGTCGGCGATATCTGGTAGCGTATGGGCATTTGATTGGGCTGAAGAAGGGGTTTGGCATTGCGGATAGCAATGACAGTTTAACAATTATCAAAGTTTGTATCATTCTTGACCAGCGATTGTGAGAGTGAATGCTTACGGTGTTGTGATTAAGAGAATCATCAAACGCTTGAACCTCAATATACAGCCCAACCCAGCACGATCGCGAATATCGAGTCAAAAAGCACAGGGAATTTGTTGGCAGGACCTCGACAATGCACGCCACTCAAAAAATGTGGAACAACAAGAATTCGTACAGGTCTATCGCGAATATGAAGCTGCGTTGGCAAGCTCGAATCTGCTCGACTATGACGATCTCCTCTTACGTTGCGTTGATCTCTTACGAAAACATCCGCAGTGCGTGTCGAATGTGCAGGCTGTACTTGTTGATGAGTTTCAAGACACGAATGCCATTCAATACGAGCTGATGAATCTATTTGCTGCCCAGAATAGAAGGATAACCATCGTCGGCGATCCAGATCAAAGCATCTATGGATTCCGATCTGCAGAAACAAAAAACTTGGAGCGCATGCAGAGACGATATCCTAATACCTCTGTGGTCTTGCTGGAGAATAATTACCGATCTTCAGGTTCGATTCTGCGATCAGCTCAGCAGGTCATTGAGCAGGATGCAGCTCGACCGGTTAAGAAGCTCCATCCGACACATGGAATTGGCACTATGCCAGTTCTACGAAAATTACCCACAGCAGCTGCAGAAGCGCAATGGATGGTGGCGGAGATCAGAAGGTGTATTACATTGACGGGCCAGTTGTTGAAGCCGTCTGATTTTGCGATTTTACTCCGCTCAGCCGCTCTGTCGCGACAAATTGAGTCCGAGTTGGGGAAACAGGGAGTGCCCTATCGCATGGTTGGGGGATCCAGATTCTTCGATAGAGTTGAGATTCGACTTCTACTTGATTATCTTCGTGTGATCAGTCATCCTGAGAATAATGATGCCCTTGCTCGAATCATAAATGTTCCTACGAGAAAGATTGGGGATGAAACATTGAAAAATTTGACTGTGGGTGCCGAAAGTGCAAAACTATCGCTGTGGAGCTTTATCAAAGATGTGGTGCAAGGTCGTAGGTCTTGCCAGAAGAGTCTTTCCAGACCTGCCAATATCGGGCTGTCAACGTTGGTTGGTCTGATCGAGGCAGCAAGGCAAAAACTGCACGATTGCGTGGATGAATCTTCTCCCAGGACCTTGCTCGAGTTTGTCATTAGTAAACTGGGATTCCGGGAATACCTTACTGCTACTTATCCTTTAGACGAAGAGAACAGATGGGCGAATGTGGAAGAATTTTTAGCGCAAGCCGGCGATTCATCGGCGTCTTACTCTCAGCAGGACGACGTTCTTCCCGAAATCGAGGGCTTAGAACAGCATCAAGGCCATATAGGAGAGGAAGCACTGTCGCGATTTCTCGCCAATGTAGCGTTGTCAACAGAAGTCACGACGGAACAAGGTGATCAGCCACAGGAGAAAGTAACCATCTCCACAATCCATGCAGCTAAAGGATTAGAATGGCCTGTCGTGTTTGTCGCCGCTGTCTATGAAGGGATCATACCGCATTCCAGAGCTGAAGATAGTGACGAGGAGAGACGACTACTTTATGTAGCTATGACGAGAGCGCAGGCGCTTTTGTATCTTAGTCTCCCGCGTCGTGATTCTAAGAATGGTGAAGAGACGAGGCCCAGCTCGTTTTTGCCTCCTAGTATAGCTGAAACTAAGTTCCGTGCTGTCGGACCGAAGTTCGTTGACAAGACTATCTTCGGCATCGCTGATATTCTTGGCCGCGAGCATCCGTCTCAAGAGGCGATAATCACAGGTTTACAGTCCGGATTACCTAGTCTTAACGACGACCTCTGGACGCACAATGACGAGTATACCGGTGATAAAGCTATGAGATGGGATGGATCGCAAGTGTTGTCATCACTTGATGGCCGTGGTCAAGCACAAGAACATTCGGCCAAGCGTCGACGACTAAATGATCGGACTGTTACAGATTCTGCAGGTTCAACATCAGCATCAGGGTTTATTACAACGACGTCCTATACGATGAACAACGCTTCCGGGTATTCAGTATCGAGTAGCACAATGTCAATGGGATTTTCAACTGCAAGACAACATATGGAAACAGCGCCGCCTGCTCCTATTCACAACGACCCAGTCCGTCCTATACAGAAGAAGGCAATCACTTCTACGTCTCGCAAGAGTGCATCCGCACCTCCGGGGCAAGGGCTATTGCCCAGCTATTTCGGCATCAAAAATACGAAAGGGCAAACCACACTGGCTCATACTTTGAATGAGGATAAGAGGAACTCGCTCGTGCAAGTGAACTGTGAACCGCCCGCTATCATAAACTCCATTGCTATGGACACTCAAAAAATGAGCGCCGGAAACTATCGTATTCAACCCCAGCGATATAAACCACCACGCCCTGTCCCACTATCTGCCAAAGATACCAACCCTTATACGTGGTTACCACAATCGGACAAATCCTCGCCTCAATCAAAATCAACATCTGCATCTACATCAATAGGAGATACGAAAAATCCTAGCAATGCAATCAGTAACCGCCCAGCAACCACGTTCCATACGACAACAACAATGATGAAAACCACTATGAATCAACTTTTATCCAATGAAAATTCTGGTGGATATGGTGTTTCTATGGGACGGAAAACATTGGGTGTACGCCGGAGTCTAAACAATGGTTGGGCAGAGAGGATGAGTAGGGTTAATCAGCAGAATCATTCTAAGTAGATCCTATTAGGTTGGAGATAGGAATTCTGCGGAGTGAATTAACCATCACATGAGAAATGATAGTGGGTGCCTGAGGGATCAAGGCACGTGGTCATGTCAAACCCTAATTTCAGCCTCTTTGTGAAAAGTGAGTTATACAACAAAAAAACTTGGCGGGCACCTTCATTGTCAAATACATCAAGGTGTGCATCTGTTAGATAGTTCATTATTTGATCCGTATTTACAGATTATCTTGACATCGACTTTCAATATACTGCTGTTAAGAGTATTGCCACTGTGCTAGGAAGACGCCGTGGCCGAGTATGTCTCCATTATCGTTTCAGGATGCATTCCAACATGATATCAATAACTGAACTTCTTTCCATCTCCACCTGCAGTAAATTCAAAGAAACAGGAGCATTAAGTATAATAAACAAGTATTCCACTGTTTGTCTTCGTACTGAATCGCACTTTGCAAATTGCCACTCCTGAGACCTGCCAGAACGCCGATTTAACTAAGTAAAATTCCATGTAAGAGCGAATCTTCGAGAATATCGGACTTTCAGCTAAAGCCAGGCTGTGGTAGGCGCCATTCTATCTAGGTACCTGAGCGAGAGATTGGCAAAATGCATCCCACTTCCACTTCTCTCCCTGAGCATATATATTTCCACCGTAGAAGCTCCACTAAGTCCACTTTGTCCACACGTGGATCAGGGATAGCGTCCATACATTTGTTCTCCAAACATTGGCATACATACTGTCGCTCTCTATATTGATAATATGTGGATTAGCAATCAAGGGCAACTTAAATGTATTCCAATACCAATCTCACTCTCAGATATATAAGTTTGTTCCGTAAAGGAGAACCTGCAGCAAACCAATGACAAGATAAGGCGGCCGGTACTAGTTATCATAACACAACCACCTGACAGGTTACTGCCTCCTCCATGGTCAAGAAACACCTTAATCCCTCCACATTACAGTACACAACGAATATTAGCAATTTCTACCAAAACATATATTTATCAAGTAAGAAAAAAGGGGCTTTATTTTGATTGTCTGTCTCGATTGCCAGTAACCATCACTCTATAAGAATAAAGAATTTGTTAGATTGAGTTTGATCAATTCTGAGCTGTATTTATGCCTAACTCCATACACATTTGTCCTTTTTTGAATCGTTGTTTTCTTTTACACGGATAACTAGGTCCTCTCTAACACATAACCAGCGTGAGAAAAAAAACTCAAAAGTGAAACGAGAGTCCTTGCTATTAGGGATAGTTCAATGTGAAGTAATATAATGATGGTTGTGGACCAGGTTTTACTCATACCTAGACAAAGTTAGTAATATCTTGTTGAACCCATAGCTACACAATGACTTATATTCAGAATAGGAAACACAGAGAAAGAGAAAATGAAATACGTTTATTCAATATGGGAATGGCAAAGTGTCCTGAAACCACTCCTTATGTCAAAGAGCTTTCAGTAGAGAGTATGAATTACTGTTTGATGAAAAGCAAGTAGATGCCCTAGGCATAGTATATATAGTTAGGTGGAACTGCTTCTTTCCTAATCTCCTACTCTCAATCACCAATTTGCAACATTTTTTGATACTCTCAAGACACATACGGTCTCAGAGAACTTACAAATGGCACAAGTTCATCAGAATGGCACCCGTCCGACCGAGACAGGAGCTACATATGATCCTCAACGGGCTCTAACAGGGGATAATGAACACGGGAAGCTCTTCGATATTCAAGAGAATATCTTATTCGAGCGATTATCACGCGGAAAGGATAGAAACTTCACTGTTTGAGAGCGTGGGCTGAAAAAGTGTTAAATAGATACTACTCACCTCGAAATCATTATCGACATATGAATACCTTTTGATCGAACCAATAGAGATACCCAATCATTAGTCAATTTTGCAGAGGAATTCTCTGTGCAAGAATATCTCAAAATGCCGCAAGCGAACCAAATGATAGTTGGGAACGATGACGGTCTCAGGCCTCATAGATAGGTTACGAGCCATGGAGAGCCAGATCTCAGGTTGCAACAATCTCATTCCGATTTCCAGCAGTCTCATTCAAAACTGGAAAGGAAAATTGCATTACTGTACCGAGAAGAAATGCGATTACATGTAGCTGAATTGGAGAGATTAGGCCATACAGTGTTTGATGAACGCACCACTAGAAACCTCGCTGTTCATGGGGGAAATATAAGGTTACATGATGAAGTGCTTCGTTTTCTGGAAGAGCTGGAGCTGCACAGATTAGAGAATGCATCTGAATGTTTCACAGAACGATCCGGCATTTCCTGAAGCGACTATCATGATCTCCGGATTGCTACTGCCCCGGACGCAGTTATCGACCCAACGTGTTGACGAAATTATCAAAGAGATAACCGAGCCAAAACACAAGTCCTTTCTCAAACGCAAGCGTAATCTTTGCTCTTAGAGATGAAATAGACTGTACCGTTGATTATCAGCTCGAGACTTTTATATCAGTCAGTTCTTATGTTTGCTGGTAATGCATGTGGCACGTACCTAGCTACCAAGGAAAAACAAATCATGTTCCTCGTTCGAAATACCGTAAACTGCGTTATGTGATGATTGTGAATGGGGGATTCACGCTTCTGGAATAGACAAATTATACTTGAACCTTAGGTAGCGGACTACAGTAGAACCTGGCTATAACGAAAGGAAGGCCTCTCCACATCTATACTAATCTCAAATTGGATTAATTTAGTATGAAACTAAAAAGCACCTTAATCATTAATACTAAAATAGGATGAGATGCTAAAGTGGCCTTCATGTCCAAATCAAATTCGCTTCTAGATATTTCTTACTCTCCAACCACCTTGGCCAAAAGGTGCACCATTACTAGTTGATCTAAGAGCAAGAATCACGTGGTGTGAGGTGAGATTCCCAAGATATAATGACTTAGACCTGAGTCTCCTTCTGTTCGTTATAGCCAGTGCCTAGAGTGAGAACACTTCCATGAATCTTTTCATAATCCGATATTCCGCGAACCACAGTCTATCAAGCTTAGATTAACCTCGATAATTGCCCTGAGTACTTGAATCCTATTGCGTTTGAAGAAATTATTCAGAGAATTGACCTTAATCAAAACTGATCCCAGATAATTAGCCTACGGTTAGGAAATCTCCTTCTTCAGCGGTTCTATACCCTAGGGTACTACAAACTTGTTCCTAGTCAAATTAAGAGTTGAAGATTCGCTCCTCTGCCTGTATTCGGCATTTATAGCTTGGATTAGAAGTAAAAATCCGGCACTAGTCATACATGTACCTGCAGTGCGACATAACAGGGCCGTCACGAGGCTTTTCAATTCGCGGGGAATGTACTGTACTACAGCAGCATAGAAATTTCTTCGCATCCCACGATATCAACTTTATTCATTTTGATCTTCAGCGTAGTTGTTGTTCAACTTGATTTCCCCTCTCAGCCAAGAAACCATCCTCCACAATGTCCACAGCAAAGTCAGTATGACAGGTCTTCGGAACTGCGAGACGAGTCATCCGAAATTGATCACCGGCTGGACCTATATTCCCCGATAAATCATGGAATGGGGGTTACATTTTTGTTTGACGCAATCGGGGCAAACTTTGCTATAAAATGAGGCCTTTTACAGAAATTCTCCTTGCTCTTGTGATTGAATCGAGCTCGTCGACCTGAAATCGGAGCCCTAATTGTCATAGGCGTATTGCCCAGGCATCCGTGTGCAAGATAGAAGAAATGACGAACACCGCACTCATTCTACTGCTCGCCTCAGTCGCGCCTATAATCAACGCTCAGGTAATCTCCTGGTCTACCGCCCATAGCAAAGCTACGACTGCACTCGGCAAACTATCACAAAATGACAAAATCGGTATCGTGACAGGCATCGGATGGGGAAAAGGTCCATGTGTTGGTAACACCGCTGCACCATCAGGCATTTCATATCCATCCCTCTGTCTACAGGATAGCCCCTTGGGCGTTCGCTATGCCAACCCCGTCACAGCGTTCCCAGCGGGAACAAATGCTGGCCTCACATGGGACCGGATGTTGATGAATCAAAGAGGCGCGGCCCTGGGTGCTGAAGCTAAGGGGTTAGGTGTTAATGTTCAATTAGGCCCAGTCGCTGGTCCGTTGGGAAAGATTCCAGAGGGAGGTCGTGGTTGGGAAGGGTTTGCAACAGATCCGTACCTCAGTGGTGTTGCTATGATTGAGACTATCACGGGTATGCAAGATTCTGGCACTCAAGCATGCGCAAAGGTGTGTATATCAGTCCAAGCCAGATTCCTGCATGGTTTGACCTAATGAACTCTGCAGCACTATATAGGTAATGAGCAGGAGTTGAATAGGGAAAGTATGAGTGCTAATATTGACGATCGTACACTGCACGAACTTTACCTTTGGCCATTTGCTGATGCCGTCCGCGCAAATGTTGCCAGCGTAATGTGCTCTTATAACAAATTCAATGGATCTTACGCCTGTGAGAATGAGGCCTTAATGACAAATATATTGAAGACTGAGCTCGGCTTCCCAGGATACATCATGACTGACTGGAATGCACAGCACACTACAGCTAACAGTGCTAACTCTGGACTTGATATGACCATGCCCGGCAGTGATTTCAGTAACACGCCGAGCAGTGTTCTTTGGGGCCAAGCTCTAGCCAGCGCCATATCTAGTGGCCAAGTTGCTCAGTCGCGACTAGACGACATGGTGTCTCGAATTTTAGCTGCTTGGTATTTAGTTGGCCAGGACCAGGGCTTCCCTGCAGTAGCCTTCAACTCCTGGAATGGGGGGCAAGCAAGTGTCAATGTCACGTCAAATCACAACGAAGTTGCCCATGCAGTCGCCCGTGACTCGATCGTTCTCCTTAAAAATACAAACGGCACTCTGCCTCTGAATAAGCCCTCAAGTATCGCTATTATTGGTACTGATGCTCAGACAAACCCTTCTGGACCAAATGCCTGCACTGATCGTGGTTGCGATACTGGGACTTTGGCTATGGGTTGGGGCAGTGGAACCTGTCAATTTCCATACCTAACAGATCCTCTCACAGCTATCAAAAGTCAAGCTTCCAGTGACGGCACTACGATCACAACGAGCATCAGTGATGATGGCACTGCTGGTGCATCAGCGGCTAAAAACGCCGAGTATGCGATCGTCTTCATCAACTCTGATTCCGGTGAAGGGTAAGTTCATATTTTCTTGAAGTTCTATAGTTTTGCATAATACTAACCGGGGGCAGGTATATAACCGTCGAAGGCGTTGCTGGTGATCGCAACAATCTTGATCCATGGCACAATGGCAATCAACTGGTGCAATCCGTCGCTGCAGTGAACAAAAAGACCATCGTCGTCATTCACAGTGTCGGACCTGTGATTCTCGAAACCATACTGGCTCAACCAAACGTGGTGGCAGTAGTATGGGCCGGTATACCAGGACAAGAGAGTGGTCCTGCCCTCGCAGATATCCTCTACGGGCGCACAGCTCCAAGCGGAAAATTGACTTACACAATTGCCAAACAGACAGCTGATTATGGTACTGCGGTAGTCAGTGGAAATGACAATTATTCCGAGGGACTTTTCATTGATTATCGACGTTTCGACAAAAGCAACATTGAGCCTCGATACGAATTCGGTTATGGATTGTCATATACGACCTTCAAATACTCGGATTTGGCAGTTGATGTTAGTGTTTCTGCTGGCCCAACGACCGGTCAGACAGTTCCTGGTGGGCCTTCCGATCTTTTTGGGTCTGTTGGCACTGTCACGGTGCAAATCACAAATACGGGCAGCGTTGCAGGTTCAGAGGTTGCTCAGCTGTATATTGGTCTACCGTCGTCAGCACCGTCATCACCGCCAAAACAATTACGCGGTTTCGATAAGATTCCTCTTGATGCTGGCGCTAGCGGTAAAGCGACATTCGATTTGACACGAAGGGATCTGAGTTATTGGGATGTATCACAGCAGAAGTGGGTGGTTCCGAGCGGGGAGTTCACTGTGTATGTTGGAGCATCTAGTAGGGATATCAGGTTACAGGGGACATTTACGGTAGGTTAAACTATGATCAATTTCAGGCAATGGCCCATGGGATTCAGCTCAGATGAGCCGATGCTGATAGTAACAAGCCCGGAGGAAGCTCGACGACTTCTACTATAACTTCCAAAACATCTACCGCTACTACTACCACTCCTATTACAAGCAGCAGCACTTCCATTAAAACTACCACAACTAGCTCGGCCACATCACCTTCTGGGCCAACGCAGACCCCTTATGGACAATGTGGTGGACAAGGCTGGACAGGTCCTACAGTTTGTTCGGCTGGATACACATGTAAGGTGACGAATGAGTGGTATTCTCAATGTCTACAGTAGATGTTATATCCCAAAACAAAAAAAAAAAAAAAAAAACTAGCTAGTGGAGAGAGTTGACATCCGATGACCATGAATGAATAGACTTTACGGCGTAGTAGCATGATGCAAGGCCCATAATTAAAGATGAGGTTGCTACCAGCTACGACGAGTAAGTTAATTATTTTTGTTATCACGAAGAGTGCTTGATAGGTGTACATGGAAATGTCCTTGAATATGATACTGCGAGCTATTCCGGGATAAGCCTTGAGTTAGGTTTCCACCTAAGTAGCGTTCAATGTGAGATTCATGTATGAGTTTCACTCATGTCAGGTTGTATATGGAATGATGAAACACCTTGACAATCCAGTTCTTGGAAGTTGTCAAGATGGAATCTCAGTCTAGACCAAAGTCAAGCAGCGAAAGTCCTTTCAATCTGCTGTAACTACGAGACTGGGTCTGACTTGAGAAAAATAGGACATGCATGCAGAATAGCAAAGTGAATAGATACTAGATTAAGCCCTACACATCAAGGCTAAGCTATTCTTAGAATAAATACTCTTCCGTCTGTTAGTTATGATTGATCGTCAGAAGTAAGACTCGATCCTTGGGCAGTCTTAATGTGATCACAATTAATCCTCTCATACAAAAATACACGATGACGACAGACTCGCATTGCCTGACCTGATCATCGTCGTGTTAACGAGAAAACAAAAAGGATAATCGAAGCCGGTACACGGATACCCCTGAATCAAAAAAAGGAAGTCCCCGAAATAACTGAAACTTCGCCTTACCCTAACCTAAAAGCGCCTATTAGATTAGGCGCTGCGGGCGCCGGGGACTCCGGAAGAAACGCCCAAATGTCGTTTGCGCTGTAGGCGGCTTCCGGCGGTGACATTTCCGTGGCGGCAATGTTCTGTTGTGGCTTGTAGCTATTCGCTACGTAGTAGATAAACTGGATACGAGCGGCAAACTTGGCACAGTACTAGGTAGAATAATAATAGTGTTGAGAGCTCACACTTGGCTGTTTCAGGCACTCATGATATCTGGCTGTCTTATCCCGTGACGTAGTGAGGGATAAATTCGCGGAATTCCAGGTTAGGAGATTATCTGAAAGAGCTCATTTCGCTGCTTAATCAGCGAGACTACACGTGTTGATTAGCTGTTCATTTGTTCTAGAGCTGTTGACAAGTATTTCCCACGTACGAACCGCGTAGTCAATCCGGATTGCGGAGAGCTCATTTCTACGTAGAATTGTTCCTAATCGAAACAAGCTGCTTCTCCTGAATCTCAATCAACAAGAAACAACACGTAAATGGCGGTGATCAACACAGGCCAATCCCTATCCGGCCTGGGCTTTGACGCGAACAGATACGCGAGGCTCGACGAGGTCATGTGGTCAACTATTGAGTGTACTGGCGGTCGCTGACTCGCTGGTGAATTGAAGCTAATACAATTGTTGATTAGCAGGAGAAATAAATAGACCAGAAGCCAAAAAAAGTGATTGGCCGTGATACAGCCCCCAGGGGTATTTTTTTGATTGGCTAAATATGTATTAGATCATCTGATTCAGTCTCGTCCTCAGTTCTGTCACAGCTATGTTGTACTACGTACGTTGTTGGGCGTTTTGTATGGAGTCGACCTTGCAAGGTACACCCGGCAGACTCTACGTAGTACGTGGAGTGCCTTACCCAGGCACACCGTCACTCAATTCTAATGATCAGGCAGGCTCTTCTCATTTATTGGACGCTTGTCAGAACACTGTGGCGGAAACTGGCGGTCGGACAAATAATGGGGCTGAGGCCGAGGCATTTTGCGAGGCTGGACCCCGTCCCAATCCAGCAAAGTATCTCCAAGATTGCGTAGAAACAGCACTTTGTGTTTCGTCAGAGTGTGACTGAATGATCATCAGGTTGTTTGACAGGCTTCATTCAGCATGTGTATACTCTGCTGCCTGTCTTGGTGGCTCTTGATCCAAGGCTGCCGTTATCCCAGCTCCAATGGCTGTGAAGAACAGTGTAACTAACTGAGCATGGATGTATGACTTATCAAGCAAGCTCATTGGACGAATAGTTCCAATTTGTACTGTGTACACGGCAGATGTACATGTACGTAACCCCGTCTAGATCATGGAGTGCTTGACACTAAGGCGTCCCAAGTCTGGAGAAGCATTCCTGCCTGGGACCAGACCAGACCGGAAATGGAATCGATCTCAACTTACTTTCTACGAAGGCATAAATAAACCCTTGAATTCCTCTCTTGCTCATCATTCAATTCAATCAATTCAATCAATCCAAACATCTTGTCATTAACATCTACAAATCTTACCTTGTCTACGTCTTCGTTTCAACATCGAGCATCACCCCCCAGCTTGGTCATCTTCTATATACAGGCCCTTACTCTACTGCTTTCTTCTTACTCCATATCTGATCTCTTGCCTGGCTGCGCCACGTGACAATATCATCTCCATTTTCAAACTAGACGACCTCTATCACCATCACCATGCCTCACAAACTCAGCGACTACTCCGACTCCAATTCCACCAGCACAGTCAGCAGTACCGACAGAATACCTGTCGGCGAAATATCAGGTAAGCTGATTTCTTGAAAATCAATTGATGACGATCTCAAAGTCTCGAATTTACTCTCCACAAAGGACCACAAAGGACCACAACTAACCCCTGTCACCAAATCTAGATGCTTCCCGCAGATCCGGTCCTAAACTAGTCGTTGTACATAATGGCGGCGGACCCAGTTACGACGACAAAAGACCGGCCTCTTGGGACAAGAGTCGGTGGAAATAAATCACGAACAAAACTTGAAGTTGCGTGCGACTGTCTTACTGGTTAAGTCAGATAGTCGAAGCGGAGACAAAAATACCTCGATTGGCGGGTTTTCCTTTTTGTTTTTTGTTGAGATTGTTCAAGCGCACATACACGGATTCTGACTGGCTCGGTTTCCGCTTCCCGCGCGTCTTGAATAAAGAAAAAGGGAGAGAGGACAAGAAAAGTGAGGCGGACACTCATCGAGACATCAACCCTTGCGCCAATTTTGAGGCCATACTGGACATATACTAGTACGCTATGTACTATTCCTCTTTCTGCATCGTGCAAGAAAGTGAGGCTTACTAGTCTGTCTCTTCCGCATGTCTCCGACTCCCTTTTTTGCATCCCCTGATTGTTCCGATACTCTCTTTCCGTTTATCCTGGCATCTGGCATCCTGACCGGCCCGACAAATTATCCATTCTCATGAAGGCAGTGCGAGAAGCCTGCAATTCCTATTTCCGGATCGTCCATACCAGTCAGGGTGCGCCGTGCCTTTTCTCCCTTCAAGCTTTCTCACTCGCCCACGCTGCCCTTGCATTAGCCGCCTTTCGTTGCTTTCTGTTTCGCTGCACGCACCTGTACTACTACGTGTACAATCTTGTATGAGTGGACGACTTTGACTTTCTGTTTGCTCTGTTTGTTTGATTTATTCTTGCGGTCAGTGTGTTGTTGTTCGAGACTGCCAGCTCAGTCCAGCAGCATAGCATACATATACATATACATGTACTGTACAGTACATAGTATAGTGTGTTGCATGCTTTACTCTCTTTGTGCTGTTTTCTTTTATTATTGCATCGGACATGATATTGTCGTTTGTCTCGTCTGTTAATTGCTTCAAGTCTCACCGCTTGATCTCAAGTCCTGACAACACTCCACCTTATCATTGTCCGCTGCTTGTCTGTTATACTGGTGTTCTCTCAGATTGACATTAGCGTGCATTAGCTTGTTTTTACTTGCTTTTTCCATTTTCTGCTTTTGGCATCGCATACATTAACCTCGCCGAAGAAGCCATCGCTCTTGCGCGGTCAAATAGTCAACTTCAGCAGCGTTTGATTGTCATGCGATTGTCATGTACCATACTCATGCATCCATTGTGGCGTTTTTGTTCTCCTCTTTTTGGGCAGAGGTCAAGGTCAGATTGTACACTACTATCTATTTATTTCGGGTTACTTTATTTCGCTTTATGGGGTGTACGATACATCCATATCTATATCAGGTTGAATACAAATTGAAGCGCAAGCTTAATTCATGCATTATTTCTACATTTCTTCCTAACCGTGTCTGTATATGGTCCCAAGATAGAATTGCTATCTACCATACTGAAGCAACTCGCCGCTGTCTTCTGTCGGATTAATCGGAAGCGCTGCCATCATAAAACGATTTATATTAACATACACTTCGTTCTTAGATCTGTCGTCCGATTCTATTAAGAGTTTCATCTGGTCATAGAGACCTAGACTAACTCGTCCATTCAACATGGAAATGATACAGTCTCATCCGGTCCTTCTATGCTGAGACCATCTGGGTATGTTCGCCTATCTAAGGCCTTCCTAATCATATCATACTGTTAGTTCCTACAGTCCGACAGCAGTCTTTTCCGCGCTTGATGTCGTTACAGAATAAATGACAGAAAGAGTTAATGTTTCAGTAAATTTCCCAAACAGGAAACACAACCAAACACGCTTTCCCATTTTGAGTCTAGTCCCTTATCGTAATCCTCTACGTGGAGTTCCCGATAAGCAGACAGACCAGATGCCTTCACCCTCTCAAGAACAATCAATTCACCCAACCACAAACCCATACACAAGACAAAATGCATTTCCCAACCCTCCTCACAAACCTCTTCCTTGCCGCAACCCTCGCCGCCAGCGCAACAGCAGCCACAGACGCACCAACTGACCTCAAAATCGACGTCACGCACAGCGTCGAATGTAATCGTAAAACCACCAACGGCGACACCGTCAAAATGCATTACAGAGGTACACTGGCTGCTGACGGGAAACAATTCGATGCCTCGTATGATCGCGGAACGCCGTTGTCGTTTAAGTTGGGGACTGGTCGGGTCATTAAAGGGTTTGTTTACTTACCCCTCTTGCTAAACGAAAGATTGAATTGGGGCTAACTCGGGTGAAGATGGGATCAAGGATTGTTGGATATGTGCGTTGGAGAAAAGAGGACGTTGACGATTCCGCCTCATTTGGGGTATGGTGATAGAGCTATGGGACCGATTCCGAGTGGTTCGACGCTCGTGTTTGAGACGGAGTTGATGGAGATTGTTGGTGTGCCCAAGGATGAGTTGTAAACTACGTACTTGCAACGGAACGATACCTGTGTAATATCCTTGAATGGATTGAATTGTATATATAAAAACAATATATGGGTATCTTCTATCGACAGTACATGAACGACTAATCCATCGCATCTAATTCATTCGTCTCGTCGTCCCCCTTCTCATTCTCAGAGACTAATATCCCGACTAAACACTCCCCCAATATCCCATCCCAATTCACCCACGGATGCGTCTCGAGAAACAGTTTCCCCGAATCTTTACCCGCACCACGTAACAATTCCCCCTTTCCACCGGGATGGAACGAAACGTACGGCGTGATATTATACACTTTCCCATTATAGGATGTCCATGCATCTGTCCCCTTGCGACCGTTTTGTGACTTGAGCATGGAAGGTGTGACTTTGATCAGTGTCGGCGGAAGGTTTGCGCCACGCAGGTTGTTGCGTGGATCTTTGGTGAGTGCGGCCCAGTCGAGCGGCGAGTGGCCTGGTCCGAGGATTACTTTGCGTGATGCTCGTTGGGATGGTGCGAGAGTGCTGGTTGTTAGTCCGTTCGTCGTCGCGGGCGGAGCTCGTAGAGCTGATGCCGCGGAGAGCGATGTTGGGCGGAGAGAGGACGCTTTCAGTTTGGGAGGTGCGAGGAATGGTTGATTAACTGGTTTCAGGGTTGGCGGTCGCCGTTGTGTAGGCGCCGATGGAGGAAGCATGAGAGACGCATTGTTGGTGGTCGGTGTCGAGCTGGAGGTTATTGTAGGCGCATCTTGATCTGTCTGGTCGGAGGACTTGTCGGATTCTTGTAAATTCAGTTCCGGTACTTGTACCGTCGATACTATCGCCGAGGCTTTTGGTGTTGTCTGCGTTGAGTCTGTTTCCGAGTGTGCATTGTCTTGTTGGACGTCGTCTGATTTCGCTTGTGTGACTTCTGCTTGCTGCGCCGACCGCGTGAAGAGGCTGGTCAAACTCCACATACTAGTATGCTGGTATACAAATTCAACAGAATGGAGTCAGAAATAAGGAAAATATTTGTCGAGGCATAACTATATGTTGAGGAGTGGTGGGAGAAGGTAAATTAGTCAGGCTCTGAGACGAGACCGCGAAGATTTCTTATCTTATCGGCCCCGTCATGATCTATCATAGATCACAAACAACAATTGACAACATCTGTGCTACTTAGGACAATCAGATGCATAAGAAGAGCCTCATTGAGAGTGTCTTGGTTGATATTCTTTAACTACACACAGCAAAGCAATAACAGTGGAGTGACTACAGTCTACAGCGTGACAAGGTTGTCGTCTGCCGAGGCACACGACCATATATGTACTAGCAACTACGAAATGTCGTTTTACCCACAAATTAAATACTACTGTATTAAGCCAAGTTCCTGTCTATCAGAATCATAAATCAAAAGCGAAAAGACAGAGTGGCTGGATTCGCACGGAAATATCAGCCGGAGTCGAGCATGATGTCAGCCTACCATCATCTCGACGAAGCTCGAAACATCAGACTCAGTCTGATCATTCACTTCCACCCTACATTTACGCCCAAATTCGAAGATTTAGAGTGATATGAGAGCAAGGTCTCATGTTGCCGACACGAACCATGCATATCGAGGACGCCGTGCTCCTCTTCGACGCTGGAGCCGCCACGGTCAGTCTAGTACTTCGTCTTGAATACCTACTCGATGAATCTAACAGTCAATAGGTGCAAGGCGGACGAGTATCGCAAGAAGATCGCCATGTAATTCTACTACCGCACCAGTTCCCGCCGACAAAATCAACTGATAAATTCGCCTTGTTTGCGACGTACGACGGGCAGTATGTTTGCCTTAGTCTCTACTAGAAGGTAGCTACTGACGAAGATGGTAGTGGCTCTGCAGATGTATCCGAACACGTCCGTCAAAACCTGCCAAACCTCCTCATTAAACGCCCCGAATTCGAAAAGGGTGATTACGAAACTGCAATCATCAAGTCATTCGAGGATGAAGACGAGCTACTTCTCCAAATGGTGATGGAAGAGAATACGCAGGCCGTCATAGCCGGTTCAACGGTGGCGCTGTGTCTGGTCAATTTGACAAAGGGGTTGATGGTTGTTGGGAACGTGGGAGATTCGCATATCTTTCTTGCTAGACGCGATGAAGGGTCGGAGTTTATTACGTGGCAAGTATGTCTTACTTTAGTCTTTCTTCTTGCTGTGCACTTGTATTGATGGTTGTAGGAACGGTTGACTGTAGCTCACAAACCGCATGATCCGTCTGAAAAGAGTCGCATCGAACAGGCTGGTGGCGCAGTGCATACATATGGAGGAACCGCTCGACTCGGTGTGTACGCATGGAACTAACACACTTCCCCTCGACTGCATCCACTGATAATGATAAAAAGGAACTCTAAACATGTCCCGTGCCCTGGGTGACCTCCAATACAAAAACCCAATCAACAATCTCAACCTCACCAGGGGCACCAAAAAGGCGAAACGCGCCAATGCCAGCGGATCCACAATCCGAGGCAATATATTGTCCAACGAAGCGTATGTGCGAACCATTAAACTCGATCCAAACAGTCGATATACGCTCTTGGTTTGTACAGATGGTGTCACGGACGTCACGGATGAGAAACAACTCATGACGGAAGTGATGAGTGACTTTGTGGCGGGGAGAAGAGCAAGAGATATTGCGAAGATGGTTACAACTGCGACGGGGGAGCAGCCGCATAGTGATAATAGTACGTGCGTGATTGCGTTTTTGGATGGAGTCAGGGCGCTGAAGTAGATTTGCATATGTGAAAGTAGATATTGCATGGTGGTGTTGTCAGTGTATATTAGGCCATATTCTGGAATTGCATGTCGTTTATGATAGAACGCGCAACTTCTTCCCTATCAGATACTCCTTCATCACAGGCACGGCCATACCCAACGAGACAATAGTCGCGATCCCACCACAAGTCAATGACAAGGCATGACTAACTCGACATCCATTCAGATACGAAGTCACAACTTCCTGCAGCTCTTTCCCCGAGAACAACTGGCGCAACAGACTCGCTGCTCCGGCTGCAATCACAGCAGAAGAGTCAACGTTCTTGAAATCAGCTAAGCTGGATACAATGCTGCTGGTAAAGGCTGCTTCGGTAGCAGCATTAAACGCCGTCGTGCCCATATTCTCAAAAAACAATGTCAAGGCCGTCGCTTCAGGAATATCGTTTGCGACTACAAGGCTTTGGTTTGCAACCATTGGTAATTGCAACGCCAACCCGACACCGATGGCCGTCACAATCTCATACCCAATCCATCGTTTGGTCGACGCAGTCTCGTCAATACTGTATATCAACGCCACACCAATCGTACCCACAACGGCACCCAACACGGTCAACGGTAAATGTTTACGATACATCGATACCAACCCGTTTGAAATCATGGTGAAGATCGAAATACCCAAAACCAGCGGGATGAGTCGAACACCACTTTGTGATGCAGAGACGTCGTCGATGGACTGGAACTGGATTGGTAGGGAATATAGAAGCGGGAAATAGAGTCCTGCGAGGAAAAAGACGTAGATGAGGTTTGCTGTAAAGGTGGAGTTGCGCAGTAAGCGGCCTTGCACCATGGCGCGGTCACCCATTAGGCGTTCATTCACGACGAATAATCCTGCTAATACTACGCAGGAGACGAGACAGCCGATGACGGGGGCGCTGGACCAGGGCTTGATCACGCCGCCCCAATGCATGGCTGTAATGAAGCAGATCATGGAACCGCTTGCTAATAAACTGCCGCTGAAGTCCATTTGGAAGAGTTTCTCACGAATGCTCGCCGTACTGACTGCATGTTCAGCCTGGCCGCTGGACGTTCGCAGGCTGAAAAATATCCCTATCGCACCTGTTGCCCAGATAGGAAGACTTATCCTAGTCCAAATCAGTCTCGTACTTCATCCAAATATGTATAAGAGGCATACCAAAAACACCACCTCCACGAAGCACGATCCGTCAACACACCCCCCAACAACGGCCCTACAACCCCCGAACATCCAAACGTCACACCCACAATCCCCATATACGCCGCTCTATACTCCGGTTTCGCCGTAACAGCAATAATAATAAACGCACCACTCATAATCCCCGCACCACCCATACCACTAATTGCTCTCCCGACAATGACGGCCGTTGAACTAGCCGCGGTAGCACAGATAACATTCCCAATCTCAAATACGACGCCGGCAAGCAAGAAGCTGGTTTTGAGGGGGAAGTATTTATATGCTTTTCCCCATGAGGAGAGGAAGGCGAAGTTTGTGAGTGAGTAGGCGCTGGAGTACCAGACTATGTCGTTTAGATTGCCGAATTCGGCGGTTATGCTGGGGATGGCGGTTGAGATGATTGTGGAGTCTAGGGCGGAGAGGAAGATGGTGAAGATGATGGAGAGGGTGAGGAGGATGAATTTGATGCCTGTGGGGTATGAAGTGTTTTCATGGTGGATTGGTTCTTCTGCTGGTATGGTTTCGTGGCTGTTGGGTCTTTCTTGTAGTTCGATTGAGGTGATGGTTTCTAACATTTTGATTTTTGTCAATTACAACTCGATTTCGATATTGATAGAATATCAAAGTGTGCAATAACTCATGAGTCAGTGTTTATGAGACTGCTCAAATGGTTAGTGTGCACGATGTACACCTGCAAAACCGCTTAACTTACACAACTATCCGGTCGTACTGGTCTAGCGGCGAGATGTTTTACCCGACTTTCGTACGTATCTTGGGTAAAACGAGTTGTAACCTGTCAGATTGAAAAATCCGCCTATTGTTGGTTTCAAGTGTCTAGTTAGGATCCTACGCTTTTCCTATTTCGGAGACTTATACGATGTACGACCATTAACCAATGAAAGCTAACCTCAACGTTGGTTAGGGTAAAAGTTGGAGTTCTAAGGAGTCATGGCCATTGCTTCTGATATCGAGTAAGAATCTGTGGGTTTCGGTATAAGACAATTATGAGATATTCCCGAGTATCTTAAACTCCATGAATATAGCTAGATAAATGAGTATAAATAGATAGGAGAAGTACTCTTTTCGACATAGTCAAGCACAAAACGCTATATAAGCTCAAAATGCACTACTCATACATACTATCCACGGCACTATGCCTGTCATCGACTATCGGTCTCTCACACAGCTCATCCGCTCTACCCCCTTCGCAAGATCCCTGGTACACAGCACCAGACAACCTCCTCTCCTTCCCAGCAGGAAGCATCATTCGCATCCGACCCGATCCCCTCTCCATCTACGACTCAATAGGGGCAAACATTACTTCAGCAAGTTACAATATCCTCTATCGGACGACCGACGGCAACGATCTACCCAGTTTTGCAGTTGCTACTCTGTTCATTCCTACTCTGTTCATTCCTAGTCTCAAGATAGCAGGCAAGTCTAAGGGTTTGTTGTCGTATCAGATCCCGTATAACTCGCCCACAGTCGATGCAAGTCCCTCATGGACTCTTTTGACGTCCCTCAATTCGACGTTCCCTGACATTGTGGCTGCACTAGAGCAAGGATGGTACGTCAGCGCAACTGACTTTGAAGGTCCCAATGCCACTTTTGCCGCTGGCGTGGCGGAAGGTCATGCTGTTCTCGATGGTTTACGTGCCGTCACTAAGTCATCTTCCTCGCCTGTATCGGATGCCAAAGGTACGGACTGGAAAATAGGTCTCTGGGGCTACTCCGGTGGCTCTATTGCGAGTGAATTTGCAGCTGAACTTCGCGCTTCATATGCACCCGAGATTCAAATTGCCGGTGTCGCTATTGGCGGTTTACCGACTCCCGTTACCGCGGTATTGGATTCCGTGAATGAGACCCCTTATGCAGGGTTGATCGTTTCCGGATTATGGGGTTATGCGAATGCCTTTCCTATAGTGGAATCATACTTGCTGAGTCGATTGACGGACGAAGTCAAGTCGTCCGGTAACTTCACTGCAGGACGCAACATGAACATCCTCGAAATATTTGCCGTTTACGCTGATGTTGATGTGTTTTCTTATTTTGTCGGGGGCGAGGATGATATCTTTTCCAGCCCGCTATTGCAGTACTTTTGGAATACGCAGGGTGTCATGGGTGTTCATGGGCTACCGGATATGCCAATGTACATCTATAAAGCCGTTGAAGATCAATTGGCGCCGGTAGAATACACCGATTCTCTAGTTAACAGGTACTGTGACGAAAGTGAAGCGGCAGTTACACGAAAAGAAGCAGGTGTCAGGATCTTGTATGAGCGGAACATGATTGGTGGGCATGTTGCTGAGGAGACGAATGCAGATGCGAGTGCGGTTGAGTTTCTGAAAAATGCATTGAAGGGAGGATTGGGTGCCAGCTGGCCTAGTGGGAATGGATATGGATGTGTTGTGAGAAATGTGACTGTTGGAAACGATACATCGCCGGATTGGTAGCTTCAAAGCTCCAACACAATATTAGGTCAATGGGGGTGTATTGATAAAACTTGTCTCATCTGAATAGCGGCTATATTCCATTCTTTAAATAATCTCTCCGATTCAGAATCCACTTCTTCATGTACTTCGTCTTCTAGATATTTGTTACTATGCTTCCCAGGTCCTAGGCTAGGATTCAGAATACAAAGAAACCTATACAGATAGCCTGATAAATCAATATACTTCATCTCATAGCTGCTATCTGATCTTTGTTGATAATTTCATCTCTACTTTTAATCACTGCTCCCCCCAGTAACTAAAATATGCCTATCGTCTCTGCTCGAGTAGATGTTATTAATCAGCTTGTGGGAATACCAGTGTATGCAATGCATGCTTAGAGCAGACATTACACATGAGTTAGAAAAGTAATGTTTAGTCATATATTCAATGCTATCTAAATTCTAGCACATCTATACCCATTGACATGTCAGACAGACAGGCTTTCATGCAAGATAAACTCGAACCAGTAACCGGATCCGAACGACCCGAAGACGATATTTCCAACGCCGATACAAATGCATAAATCATAGATACATAACATAGCAAGAAGCAAAACTTTTACTTACAACCTGCTCTTTCTGCGACAAGTGACTAAGCCCATTTACCCAATAATGCCATCAACGCAGCACCAAGGCATATCAAAAAGAATGCCCATAGCACCGTACTTAACGGCGCCCGACGCATGGAAGAACTAAACATAAACTCATGAGCCATCAGTTCGACAAGGGCGGTATAAATCAGAACTCCGGCGGAGATAGAATCGAATACACCGTTGACAATCAACGTTGTTCGACCGCCGGGAGGATACGTGTGGCGCACACCAAGTCCGATTGCGATTGCAATTGGTGTTGAGATTGCGTATCCAATACCCAAAAGGTAAGGTGTGAAGCGTTTGGATTCAGGCCAGGGTAGGGTGGCTAATCGTGAACCCAGTCCGAGACCTTCAAAGGTTTGATGAAAGACTAACACGATGTACAGCGTTATAAAGTCGTTGCCTGATACGGCGAGTGTGAGGCCGATAAAGACGGAGTGGAAAATGATGCCAAATTCCAGAATGAATACAGCTGTGAGTTGGGCTGCGTATTCCTCGGCGGAAATCAAAGGGGATTTGGCGGACTCGAGGTCGCGGTGGTCCCGGGTATGGCTGAGATGGTTGTTGCCAGGGATATGTTCATGTTCTTTGTTGGCAGTATTGATCGGCAATCCAGTGGTAGCATCTATCTCTTGAGTCGGCAATTCCGCATGCAAATGCGAGTGATCGTGCGAGTGTTCTGCTTCGTCGCCGTGCGAATGTCCATGTCCGTGTCCGTCCGGAAAAGAATTCCGCATCACCATCAACTCGACAAAAAACATAACCACGATCGTCATCAACACAATTCCCTCCACCCAACTATACTCAGTAATCGGACCGGTCAGACAAGGATTAGTTAGAGCTTCCTCAGCAGGAGCAAGCAAATGAATAAAAGCCGTGGCAATAATAACCCCTGACCCAAAGTATTTGGCAATGAAAAAAGTCCATGAGGGGATTCCATTCCCACCAAGTCGTTTGGCGAGGACGGGGAAGACGGCGCCAAATAGTGAGCCTACTAAGATGACGAAGATGGATGATATGCGAAGTCCCATGCGACCATCGTAGCCATTGGAGGTGTCGCAGGTATCCATCCTGACCTGACTGCGTTGGCGTGGCGGATCCCCGGAGTTGATAGTACTGGCGAGCGAGACCGTTGAATACTATGATATGATATAGAATATATATATAGGACTCCGTCTATAGTGCTCAGATCGAGGGGTATTGTTTCCGTGCGGACTCAGACTAACCGAAAGCTAACCCCAAGCAAACCTCTTTTGGGAAACCGAGCATGAACTAACAATGACAGCAACGACGGATATGCAGGGAACACTTCTTATCAATTTCGGAAGCTCAATACATGCAGTAAGAACACAAAGAATTGAAAAGTATGGAAGAGAGAATTCGAGAAGAGTGAAAAATTGAGTCGAGGCAGAAAGTGGGCATGAGGACCTTGGGGATACCGTGACAGTGTGTAGGATGCCTCAGGCAGAAGTGGATGAGTGAGGACCTTGCGGACGATGACATCTTGGCTTTTTAAGGGATCTGATTGGTGGGCTTGTGGTCCCTGATGAGCAACTAAGCCTATCGCAGAAGGCGGCTTGCTTAGCTACTGGTGCCTGTCTAGCCGTTTACAGTTAGTCATTCGAACAGCTCTGATACATAGTACATCAGATAAACTATGGTACATTCACTCGCGATATCAGAACAACGTGAGATCAGACAAAGGAAAAAACGCCCGCTCGGTCTAGATATATGCAAAAAGTGAGAAGAAAAGATGGCGTACAGGTCAAAGAAAATAGAGGAAAAGAAGGAAGAGGTCAACCAAACAAACTCGCAACAGTGGGAGCAGTCATCTTATCTAAACTTTCCGGCTCATATGCTTCCTCATCTTCTTCCTCATAGTAATTGTCGCCGCCTAAATTGATGACCCCATTGTACGTCAAATATCCCACCATAGCTACCACTCCAGCAGCAGCCGATGCAATCGAGATATACAAATCCCGACGCTGTGCATTCGCATAATTCGAGACGGTTTTCGCTTCTCTATCGTCTAACCCGGCCGGCGATGATTTGGCAGCTTGCTGTAATCGACTGTTCATGCGAAAATCTTTTAAGATCGGAGTAGCGTCCGCGAGAGTTTTGAGTAGGGTGCTGCCAATCTTGACTGCGTTGATTCTCTCGGGTTGTTTCCACGGAAGAACAGATTTTGCTTTGACCTCGGCTGTTTCCGGGAATGCATCTTCAAGCATCACAACACCACCAAAACATTCAACGCGCATTCTTTCCACATACTTGGCCAGTCGAGGCGTCTTCGTTCGCAGCGACTCCCGAAGCCATGCAGCAGGTACTTCGGGAAACAAAACAAGCGACAAATAACCCAACACCAACATATCCAAACTTGACGGTCGTTGCCCATCAGCTAGCAAATACTTCTTCGCGCCTAACAGCTGGTCAAGTGGCTCAAACAACTCTGCTGTCAAAGCCTCAAGCCGGAACTGACTATATTGCGCCGTTTTACCCAATAACGTCGAAACAGTCTCGCGAGGTCGCGCAATCAGACTTTTCGGAATCTGTCCCGCTGAGACACCGGCTGATGCCCGTTCACGCTCCCTTTGTTGTTCCTCAGTCGCTTCGAGGTCCAGTGAAGAGAGACCCAGATGTTCTGTACGATGTTTGGCGGCATTACGCAACTTCGGAGGTAAGATCCATTGATTCGGCCAGGTGAGTATAGATCCGTAAGCGGGAGATGTACCGGCGTAGTAATTCTGGCTGGAAACGTAGAGCGAAAGATCAAGGAGGAGTTGACCATTGGACTCGAGGAAGGCGGAGAACCTATCCCTGAGAATTAGCAAGACCACTTGCAGGTAAAGTGGAAGAGAAGCATACGCTGTGATATCCGCTTTATCCAACCCATCCCAATCCGCATCAAGATCCCATTTCCCTTCCGAATACTGGCGTACATAATCGACTATATTCCGAAATTTGGAAACCCATATCTGTCCATCTTTCAATGCCGGTAACTCATCTATCACACCACGATGTTAATTCCATTATGACATCAACCCTTGCCGAGTCCGCGACGGTGAGAAAGAACGTACTTGTAGGCGACACAGAAGGATCACTCGACGCAACCACCACCCATTTGCCCTTGGGAACCGTCTTCACAAAATATGCGATTGTAGCAAGGCATTGGGCGTCAATTGATGGCAGGGAGAATGCCGGGCCCCAGATGTGAAGTTCCAGTACCATTTTTGCCTCTGCAAGCTGACAGATGATAGCTTGGGTATATTCTTGCGTGACCCTCGGAGCGTGAAGCGGGAGATTGTTTCGAATTGTTTGAGTTGGGCGGAGCGGAAACAATGCGGAGAAGTCACGTGATTTACTTCCCGCTTTGAGGTACGTAACATGGAGATATAACTTGATATTAGTTGTGAGTGAGAGGATGTATGTTATTGATGATGGATATTGAGATGCTAAATTAATTATAATAGCAAGAAATGAATTGTATGCACAAGGTAAAGTCATGGGTTGAGAATTTGGGTTGATGCGGGTTAAGCCCTAACCCTATCGATATATCGACCCTTGCCTACATACTCTTCAGGGTTCTTTTGCCTGCTATATGAACGCCTCTCGACATGCCTTGATTGTATAGAATTTCTCCGGCGCCCACGGCACCCCTTCGACCGTGATCTGAAACCCCTTCTCCTTCAACAACTGCTCAATTTCTCCGCGGATACAAGACTTCTCCATCGTCTCCAGGACAATATTCCGTACGAGAGCCCAATGATGATCATCTAAACCTCTCAGGACATCGAGTTCTGCCCCTTCAACGTCAATTTTGAGTAGATCAATAGTGTTTGCGCTTCTAACATGGCTGTTATTGTTTAGAAACTCCGACAGTCGTTGCAATTTCACATCCACCTCATACGAGCCTCCAAACCAGTGATCCGCGAGCTTCTGACCATATATTTTTGTAGCTTCAGCGTGTAAATGGATCTTCTCTTTTGGTTTTAGAGTTGAATTACTCGGTAGAGTTGGATAGATTGTTAATTTTGCTGAACACGTTTTTGTGGATAATCCTATTGGGAATACCTCCACACCATTATTGTCGGCAGCGCCACCGGCAAGGGGGATATTGTTCAGGGCAAGATTCCGACATAAAAGCTCATAGAGCTGTGGCGCAGGCTCAAAGGCGAGGATCTTAGAGGATCGGTATTTCTGTTTCATGTACAGAGTGAACAGGCCAATGTTTGCACCGGCGTCGATAATGAACGGGGATCTCGTTTCTGGTTCTGAAGACGGTGACTCTGTAGAGGAGAATGAAGGCTCTGGAAGGAGATTCGGAATCTCGTAGCAGTGATCTTCGAATATTTCCTTATACATGAACTGGGCTTCTTTTGCGTTGGGGGCGTAGCAGGATAGGGTTTTGGTTAGGGATACCAGTTCTTCTGTTGCCATGGTTGATCTTGCGTTACTCATGATTGTTCCTGTAAAGAGATTATTATTTCGATACTGCTATTAAGAAACTTAGGCAACGACATCAGAACATACGAAAGTACGACCATGCTCGATCCCTGCACCCAGTTATAGAACCCGGAACTATGACCTCACTGATGAGGTGAGACTTCAGATCAGCAAATACTCACAAGGCTGCCAAGGTGATAATGCATGGATTACTCTCCGAAAGTAACCTCGTGCTTACTCCTTCGTACTAAATGCTGATGCTCGACGCATGCGTTGCCCCTTTTAGAAACGGTTGCGGGGTGCTAGGGCTGGGGAATTGAGCTAAGCTTCAGCAGTCAACTATCGGAGTAAGATATTTAATGCCTAGAATCCTAAGATTTAACTACTGCTGGGAATAGAAATAGATAATAATATATTAACAATAGACGTACCAAACTTAGGGATATAGTATAGTTAAATCCAAATCAATCCGTAATGAAAACACAAGCAAAGGTATCACAATTCAGCTCAAACCCATGTTAACATCATCCCCTAATCCAAACTCCCTTTCCGCTCTTTCTGTGCCACCAGTTGCCCTAGCACCCCACCGATCAAGCCGATTTTGCGCATCCTCAATCTCGCGATCTCGGATACTCTTCTGACTGTCTGCGTCGCCGCCGTCACTTTCCCCGCCGAATGCCACGCGACCTAGAGAACTTGTGGTGCTCCGTTGGCCGGGGCTACTGCTATATGGATATCCAGGTTTAATTCCGTGGTCACTTGCGCGGGAACGATGTAGACTCACGGGTCGGGAATTAGTCCTCGCCGTGCTTGATGCGGAGGGTTTATCTTGCGAAGAAGTGGAATTGTCCGCGTCTTGGTTATTGAATGAGAATGTGGATGCATTTGATGGTGATGATAGGGTGCTTCGGTTCAGATCTTTCGAGCCATTGAACCATCGACGTTTTCGTACACTTCCTCGAGGCTCTGTCGATGCCATCGATTGAATACTTGCCGCGTCATCCTGCACTTTGTCCGTGCTTTCAGGAATCGACCCATTTTCATCAACTTCGACAAGTTCAGCATCTCTGTGCCACTTCCGACGGCGAGTGTACCGGCCCCAGCTGTCCCCTCGTCGGCCGTCTTGCCACTGTAAAAGTTAGAAATAATACTAGACCAAATATCTCACCATCGAGATTTACCTTGTTATCGTAATATATCCAGCCACCACCGTCACTGGTATTATCGCCGCCCTCAATGCGCCATTGGCTTCCTTCAACCCAACGCCATACGGCATTACCACCATTAGCTTCAGGAAGTTCGAAACTATCTTTTGGTGGCACAGGATTCAAATGTTCATCCGTCCAGGCTGCACGCTCGTGCGGGAACAGTGAATACGTCCATCCAATGCCCAACCACCGTCGCTGATTCTCATACACGATAAAAGTGAATCGCACACCAGCATTGCTATTGTTGGACGTTGCAATCGCCGTAGCATGAGTTTTTGATTGAGCAGTTTTTGACTTGTCGACTGCTTGATCTGCTGGCTTTTCCGTCGAGAAATTGAGTCCCGTAAGAAAAGCGCAGATACGCCGAATAGTCAATGACCGCCATAAAAGAACCCTGAAGACTCGCGCAGGGCTGGAATGGTATGTAAGGATAATGGTTCCAACACTTAGAACAACCCGTCGAGTAGTGATGATATAAAATGGGGGAAGGGTGAGAAGTATCCATATCGGCGTAATACAAATAATTCGAATCAAAAGCGAGGTCAAAGCAGGACGCGTAGTAGCGGATGTTGCGCTGCTTTGTGTCGAAAGAAAATCCGTCATTTCTCGCAGCGGTCCTAGCATGATATTGCATCTGGTAGTAAATTCTCTCATCGTCTCGACAATCTCGTCTAGGCTTTTCTGATGCCGACTAGACACTTCAGACGAGTGTCTCTTGTGTCCATGCTTTTCTCCCGTTACCCCGGTCGACGAGAGTGGCGAATATCGTCTCGAATACATTCCTAGAATCAACGAGACCACCACTAGTATTGGTCCCGCGTATAAAATAATGGCATCGGAATACAGAACAATAGCCCAAAATCCGGCCACCAGCAAGAAGCTTGCCCATGGATCTCCGCTAGACCATGTTAACAGACCGGCGAGTTTGTTTAATGGTAAGATGAATGGGTGAGAATGCGCCAAAGCACGTGTAATGGGCGGAGGTGTGGCGACTAAAAGAGGAGATTTGCGATTAACGATGACGCTCGAGCGCTGTCGTGATGTGAGTGACGAGCCGGCTGTAGTTGTGGGTGAGAATGCGGCCACGGTGAGTGGAGGGTCCCGGGGATTGCTGGACTGCGCGCCATTATCTGAAATAACAGACGGCGGCGACATGGAATCGGCCCAGGGGGTTTCTATTGAGAATCCAGGTCAAAAGGCATATTTCCAATAGAATACCAGCAGCGATGCTTACCAAAAGCTGCCATGCACAAGAGCTGTGGAATCCGTCAACTCCCTCCCAAGGTTCATTGCGGCTGTCGCAGATCACGATCAACTATCCGAGTCGAGAGTGTATCGATAGGTATGTATGCTGATGAGCGAATGTATGAAAGGAGAGAATGAATGAAAGTGCAGCGATGAGACTAAGTGAACTGGTATGAGAGTTGGATGATCGTCGGTTGCGGGGAGCCGAGAAAGGCAGAAGTTGGCACTGAAGCATGTGACCGCCTTCCCTGGCGGGTTTTGAGTACGAAACTCTTTTTACTTCTGCCTGCCAATACGAGGACGATATGAGACTTAATTTGTTATCGATCTATTTGTAGTGCATTTTTTCTCTATTCTGTAAAGCTTTGATGTTTGATCTTGACCGAAACAATGCTTGGAGTTCTCCACTCCCAACGAACCTAGGTTCATCAGAATGCCTAGTCCACGATAGACTTAGTGCTGCCTTAGGGTTGTATATGTCTATCAGGGTTACAGCAGGGTTATAAAGCTAGGTCGTATTTAGGGCTACGGATTAATAGCCCTAGTTTTCTACAACTGTTTTTCATCAGGACATTACCAGCCCGTTCCAAGTTCCAATATACAATGACAGGATATCACCTGACTCTCGTAGACGCCGGCCTGCTATGTTGGGACTAGCCCGTTTTAGGCGAGGTGTTGATATCAACCCTCGACCTCACCACTTAGCTAGAGCACATTCCAGATCCACCAACTAGCGAAAGACTACTCTGGAAGAACGCGCCTTGGGCGGAAATCAGTTCTAGAGTAGCTACAAGTCTACAGGTAGTTTCTTTGGTTTGGTCAGTGCAATAGCATACAGACCGCCTTATGACAGTGGTGACAAAGGCAGTCCTGGAGCTAACACTAAGAGCAAAGCCTTCCCCATATGCTAAACGGTGATGGACAACGGATCTAACACAGCTTCGCCGGATGTATACCCCCTGGAGAAATCAGGCTAGATCTTAATGCAGAAGCGGTTACGCGAGCCCGGAACTTGAACGAAAGGCCAAAGAAGCGGAAAAGGAATATCATGCTGCGATCCGCAAGCAGAAGGAGGTCCACTGGGAGGACTTTCTTGCAGATGATGCAAACATCTAGCAGGCAACTAAGTATCTAAAACCTAACAGTAGTCTATTCTAACAAAATACCACCTTTGGAGAAGCTAGATGGATCTATTACCAAAGATAAAATGGAACACGCTGAAGAGCTGCTTGCTACGTTCTTTCCATGTCTACTAAAAAGGATTAAAGATGAGGGAACCCAGCCACAAAGTGAGTCGATACACGTGCCTGATCTAACTATGGAGGAGATCAAAGGGAAAATCTAGTTATGCCATGGAAAACACCCGGAGAGGATGGTCTTCCAGCAATGGTGTGGACGCTCCAGGTTCCCATTAACTTGTAGTGGAATTCAATCTTTTCCTGAAATCTTGATGCCACATCCTGGTATTCAGGTATGAGTCACCATAGGTTCGGAGGGACTTTTGGCCTTAAAATCCTAATGTGATGTCCGAAATCGTCAAATACACACTTCCGGCTCGCGCGGGACTGGCGTAAATCTCAAAATGACGCCCTTTCAGTTCATCAACTTCCACTACATTATCTTCCGTGGATGTACCTTTAGGAGCGTGATACTTGATCCCTTTGCGCTCAAACTTAAGGTAAATAAGAAGGTAGTCATTCAAATTGAGATCCGGTTTTATGTTATCCTCTATACAGACAACATTTTCACATATGTTTTCGCCTATTGTCCTGGGGACCATGCTAACCACTTTTCCATCAGCGATGTAGGTAATCTCGACTAGTGCTTCTGGGGCCCAGGTTAAGGGCCGTAGCGTCCGGTCCAGGCAACGGTAGAGACTAAGTTCGAAGTTTAAAGTATATTGTTCATTATGTGGCTTCACGGTAGAGGTCAGCTGGATGGAGCCTGGGTGCATATCCCAAGATATACGCTGGTAGAAATATTCTTAACGAGTTTTGTACGACCCATGCCGAACTGTCTATTTTTTCTCGTTGACGTGTTATCTCTCTTAGCCAGTCGGTTTCGGAGAGCCCTCTCGATATGAGAGACATGTTGACGTAGGTTGTATGTGTTTTTCCCTATTAACGGGGGGTATTGAAGCATATATTCTTTAGTAATGATAAGGTAATAGTATAATTCAAGAGAGATTATGATTATTTTTAGAGGAGAATACGGCCATATTGTAGTTGAGTTCTTTTATATTTTATCTCCATGAGTCAAGATAAGTCACTTTTCTAAATACTGTCATATATTTGACGCGGTATACCTTGACACAGGTAATAAGAGTCCGCAAAGCAAAGAAGTGGTCCGGCGTTCACCACCAAAATGTATAACTTCAGACGAGATAGTGAGATGAACGAGGTCATACAACGACTAGTGCAGATCTATCACTCACTTTCCCGAATGCACCAAAATCAATTTTTCAGCTACCTCCTCTAGAAAACACGTGGATCTCTTGGTTCATCAATATCCTGTCAATTATTGTTGTGAAATATACGACAATCTATTAATCAACTACTTGATGAAGCACAAAAGTTGATAGTAGATATACTAGCAGGGCTTACGCTCTGCTAATTGGTTCTCGATAACCCTCTACCCAGGTATGAGCCAGATTGGCGCAGAGTAAAACCTGAACAATATAATCAAGACTCAAAGAAGCCTAATTTACATAATGCCAACCAAGTAAATATAAAGAGCCAGAGAGATGAGTCAAAGAAAAAAAGAAAGCTTGAATCTATCGATTGCAAAAACAGACAATACAATCGCACTTGCATCGAGTTTTTTCATCCGCAGGAGGCTCACTTGGACCGAATCGGGTGCGTGGTTGAATTTTACACGTACCACCAAGGATGTTATCCGGGTTATCCTTAATCAGGACATACGACGTTTGCGCAGATTCACAGGTTTGCTGTGCCGGGTCAGATTCGGGATCCTTGATGTATGTGATTGTGTCTTGGTCGAACTGGAGACCAGTGATAAGGACTTTCTACCATCGGATATCGTCAAATGTGTCTTTGAAGAAGGGTTTGCAAAAAATATCGCTACCTTTAAGCCAGGCGTTTCTCCACACTTCTTTCTCTTGCGAGTCTGACATGTAAAGTACTCGAACTTTTTGGTATGGTTTTGCCCCAATCCAGGTCTCGCCCGTCTTTCCCAATAAGGAGAATTTCGACTTTGTACAAACGGGGACCTTCAGGGTTCACGATTAACTCGCCGCTGATAGTGAAGTTAGCATTGGTTTGGTTCAGGCCGCCGTACATGTCTTCCAGTCCTTGGTATTCCCAATGGCCTGGTTTGGGAGTTGTCTCGTTCATCTTCGGTGTGAGAGGCATGTTGGACAGGTCAAGATCGTAACCTCAGATTCCCAGTCAATAAACAGGAGAACTCCTCAACAGAATCTTCCTCGATAAAGATGAGTCGAAGCGATACTTCTTTTCTTGTTAGATTCAGATATGTTGCAGCAACTTCTATATGTTGAAACTAGTTCTTTTTGCTGTGGTGGCGCGGTGTTGAACAATACAAATATTGTAACGAAACAATGAGACATTCGATACTCCATTTTGAAGTGTAAGCATATTAACGAGGCCCTACTCCGAGATTGAAAGCACACCGAGTAAGATCGAGTATGGAAACACGTACTTAGCACTTAGGCTCTCAGCAAAGCATGTTGACTTGATCTTGATTTGAGTATTTGGATTCACCTAGTAAAATTCACACAAAGGATGTGTTGATTAGGTTGGCAGGTACGCATCTCTATAATTTCCTGGACTGTTTCTTGTTCCGATACGTTATGGCTCGCATTGAAGTATTTCATTGTATTGCATTGAATTTGAGGCCAATAACAATGGACTTATCCCAGCGCAGGTTTGGTGTGTCTGTGAAATAGGTAGCTTCTTGATTGTCACTGTCGCCAATTTCCAAGCGAATGAGCTTCGATCTTTCCTCCGTTGAATCAGTGAAGTAGGTTATTTCGACTGCTCCTGGTGTAGCCCATGTCAGACACTGTTCCGTTCCGTTCACGAAATCGTAAACGCAAATTGTGAAGTTGTAAAATTCCTGTTCAATCTCCATGTCGCAGTCGATCTAGATTTCCTCTGGAGAGGGTTGGTTTGCATCCTGATAAAATTTTCGTAACGTCTCTCCCGCCACTAGCTCATGTGGAAGCCTCCCTGTTGAGTCTGCAGATACTGGAGACTGCGTCGAAGAGGTATTCTGCATGAGGGGCATATTGAAGTAGACGTGGTTCATAATACCCAGCTTTCCCGATTGGAAGTAATGCTTGACACATATTTTCTTCGGCAATGGTAGAGTAATAGATGCAATTGAGCCATTTTATATTTCATTTCGTGAGTCGGAATGGCCTTGACTCGGGTAATAAGAGTCAGCAGTATATAATCAGACTATTATCATGTATCTTGACTTAATAAACCTTGAAACAAGTCAGCGAGTCGTACAACTCATTGTTAGTTGTGAAGAGATGAACACCATTCTCTAAGGTAGATGGGACGATCCGAGTCATCAAGTAACACAAATTCGTCGATAAGTTTATGATTAATGTATATACGTGCCGGAGCACATCCAAACCGCTCTGCGGTGTTGGCACTTTTCCGCACGGATATACCCCATATACAGCGATATTACTCATTCCGTCCATACCACCGTATATGGTAGATTTTTTACGTCTGAACCCTGTAACATGGCAGAAGTGGGTATCTGATGATGATGGATTTGCTTATTCCATATTGTATGACTAGCACACCGACTGAGCAAATATATCGACAGCTCGTTTCATCTCTTAACAGCTGGCAAGTGAAATGGACATCCATCTCCGCCTTGCATGACTGTGTGTCGAATCCACGTTGTTCTACGGACTGTGGTCAAGTTAATAGATTAGTAGAAGTTCTATTCTTCAAGAAGCCATTTCTTAATTCACAGTAACAAGGGTAGGGCGTCGTCTGAGGTCAAAACAAAGTAAACCTACTTTGACCAATCATATTCGAGATATAAATAGATCACGTGAGTTGGCTTTGAGCTAGCCGCATTTGGTCAAAGATTTTTCTTCGACATTTCTCTTCCGAACAGTCGCCGCAAAGTCATCAATCGCATCACGCTGTCCTTACAATTATTCATACTCGTCTAGGGCCATCACAAATAAGCATCATGGTATGTTGATATAAGTTTTCAATATGTCTCGATCAATATGACTTACTACCGAGAATTCTTCCAGGCTCACCGCATCCTCACAACCCTTGTAGTAACTGGTACCCGAGTCTTCGGCCGCGCCTTCGCAGAAGCCTACAAGCAAGCGTCCGCCAGCTCTAAATATGCCGCCGAAATGAAAAAGGGGAATGTTACGGGCGCTAGCACATACGCCTCTAACGGACTCACGCTCGACGAAGCATGCAAAATTTTGAACGTGAAACCTCCCCAGGCCGGCGAGACACAGCTCGAGACCGTCATGGAACGATTCAAAAAATTGTTTGATTTGAATGATCCTCAGAAGGGTGGAAGCTTTTATTTGCAGAGCAAGATTCTGCGCGCGAGAGAACGAATTGAGATGGAGCTCCGCGAGACGGAGCGCAAGGCGAAAATGGATAAGGAGTTGAAAGAGGGCTGGAAGCCGAAGGTGTATAAGGATCGGTGATTTACCACCTATTAGCAATTTCGCCAATTACTCCATTTCATTCGAGTCGACTCTACTCGTCGACTAGAATCCGGGCATGATTCCTGCCGTCGGCCCGTCTTTTACTACGAGCTCGACACGTTTTATCATTTACCATCTCCATTCTTCGTTCGTCTATTCCGGCATCATAGAACTTGTACTATACAGTGGCGAAAGACGTCCGATCTGTTGTTTATTCGGTTGCGGCATAGCATGGCGTTTTGTTGGATTGTTTGATCGTATGACTGGTGCGCCGTACGGATCTAAATCATATGTGCAAATATATGGCCAGTCATCTCGACGAATTCTTGTACTTATATGATTATATACTTAATGGATACGGGCCCATAACGGTTAGATTACTATTTTTCTCTTCCTAAAACACTAACTAGTTGTCTTTGGCCGATGTTTACGTACACCCAACTGGCTCGCACGAGTGGACAGCTGACGGCTAACCGAGAATTGCAGATTTAAAAAGTGGCCAACATCATCAAGTGCATGACTAGAAATGTGCATATCAATTTTTTAATAAGTTACTCAGGCTACGAAGTAATACGTGAAAATAAAATACTCGGAAAGTTGGTCCCATTGATGCTCTAACTCTACATTCCACCAAGATCTAGAATCTGTTCCTGGGCTAAACGTATTGGGTCTGATGACACTGATATCAAGCCTACAACCCTTCTGAACGCCTAAAAGGTTTGACCATCGACGCCGCAGTCACACTTTATTAATACACATACAGATTGTCAGTACATATACACTAACAAAGCTGAAAAAGAATGTTGACAAGAAGCGTATGCGTCATATAGAAGCCTGCCTTATTGTGAATGACTGAAATAATGTGATTACTTCTCCTGGTATCGAGAGTTCCCAATGCTGAACAGTGTCACCTGTTAGTGAGTGTATTACTTGTCGAGACATCGGAACGCCGAGTTGGAGTTAGTATCTTCTGGTTGCTGACTTAATAAGCTAGGAAGTTAGTGATCAGTAAGTAGGCCTCTGATACGTCTTTATAGTGACTTAAGCAATCATTATCTGACGATATCTTCTGTGAGACGGCATCAGACCTCATATCTCTTTTATCGACATCTGATATCGGACAACTCATTCACAACACCTCAGAAGATGAGTGCAGAGCGTGGTTGAGCTGCATAACATGAAAGTTGAAAGGAATTCGGCAAGATCAGACTATGTTAGTGTCTTGATATATGGTGGCTCTGGTGAGATGTGACTTGTGAAGAACAAGATCCCCCAACTTGCCATTTTGAGCCTAGTGGTATCTCCACTCGGAGATCCGCTGGGGCCTGTTGGATTCTCCATTTAAATTAGGTTTAGCGTACCAACTAGCTACTTTCACTTTGGTGTTATTTCACACAAGCTGTCTTCTCTCGCTTCGCTCGAGAGACAGAGGGGGGAATTCAAAATCAAAAACTCCGTATAAATATAAATGTGTATAGACTTGGGAGAGCTCCAGCTAATTGGATATTGCCTAGCCTGTATGCACGTGATACGGCTGCTAAGTCAGATGTTCGCAAGCTGCTGTATTTCTTTATATAAAGGAGGGATTGTACCATAAAATACAGAGTATTAACTACTTAAGAATTAGGTACGTAGTCGCCAGTCGAGGAAATTTCTTAGATAGGAAAGTTAATTTAACTACATAGTTAACTATCATCAGGGTCAACCAGGGTGATAAATAGCGAACTATGACTAGAGACTCGACATGAATATAATACACTACTATATCTACGACCTCCTTAGCTTTTTGGGAAGTTGAACCCACTCTGGGCAACAGTGACATCGCGTCCTAAAGTTCAGCACGCCTAAAAGTAGTGGAGATGCATGCGCTGAGAGCTAGGCCCAACGAGCAGCCCCAACCGCTTTTGCAGGGTAGAGAAGGACGGTTCAGGAAATACAAATGTTGCAATGGCTTTTGTCGGAAGGCCCTACAAGGCAGATTTTTTACCTCCCAAAAATGTCGCTGAAGGGACTATATTTGGCCCATCCATGGCCATCTGCGGTGCCATGCTTACTGGTAAAGATTTGCCGGATAATATGGTGGATTCCCTTGCAGATTTGGGCAAAGGCGTATCCCAATGCAGATGCTCCTGTCATGTTGGATGAGAAAATATCGAAGGATGCAGCTATCTTCCATCAGCTCACCACCTCACGAGTCACGACGGACTATGTCAAAAACCAGTGGTAGAAGTAAAATGGCTCTGCTTCCCTTTCAGAAGAGAGGGACTGTACTTGCTAAACACAGAACTTGCAGATCCTTTGGACTTATGTATCCAACTCGCAGTTGAAGCGGACGACCAGCCCCAAAAAATAGTGCTAATAGCTACATGTTCTTTGCTTTAGCGGCCTGGTATTATTACAATTACCCCGAGACTATATAGCGACTTTTTACAAGAGGCAGCTCCGATGATACTCTCCGCATGACCGCGAATTCATGATATGAGTAAAATCGTGGAGGATTTGGGAAGCAGAGGAAAAGAGGCAAAGAGAGGTGGAAGACGATTGGGTTTGGGCTTGGTCTTGAGGGGACGTACTAGTATTGTAAAGGAAGAAGAAGTACATAGTTCATTTACTAGTATTAGACTAACTAACTTGCATGGTACTATATGACAAGAGCATGCGTGGGTACTTTTTGAGTAGTTGCCTAATCATCGGAGAATTTACCTTCGTTGTTAGGTTTCCTTCTATTTGCTTCGGCCACCCATTTCGGACCGCTGTTCGTTCGCACGAATACATATTTACCTACAGTAGGTTGATTCGGACGGTTGCTAATGCGTTGCGAAATAAGTATGCACACGTTCTGGGGACGTATGATCAAGCTTGTATGTTTCCCAACTGACTTTTTGAGAACAGCAGGATCTCGTGGATAGGCAGATACACTAGTCGTATTGATCATAATCTGCGAAATGGAGTTCGATCTAGGCGTGATTGCAGCATGCTGTCCTGCAATCGTCCCATTATTCAAACGGAGAGAATCACGCAGATAATATCATTACATGGACGCTACGCCTGCCGATGACTCTGAACGTGGTGGTGCTAGTAGTGGTGGTAATAGGGGAGCTTCTGGTCCCTATGCGCCGCATCAAAAATGATCAAGATGACGTACAACAGAGCACTGGAGAGTCCACGAAGACTCAATTCGGAATCGATAAAGAACCCTGTAGACACTCAAGCTGTTCAATGACGCACCTTGCCGACACCACCAGAAAGTGAGAGCACTTCAAGACTCCGTGACAACAAGCCACCTGGCTGGTCGTCTTAGGTTTCGTGCTTGCGACTGAAGATGTAAACTACTCACGCTACAACATTACGAGTCACGACATGAACATCACAGGCCAACTGGTGTAGCTAGTTTAATCGCAGCGAGGGATGGATCTGTACACTGGTTATAACTAAATGGATATAGGAACAAACGATATTTGACGAGCCACTAGAATATATTGAATGTCAGCACTATACCTACATCAAGCATAGCATGAAGCACGTCCCATAGTGGCGATATCAGTCATCTTACCATATTTCAAGCAAATTTATCCTTTTAGGCAAAATACTCCCCGCTATTGCTTTTTCGACGGATCGAAATGCTTACACTGTCACTTTTCTCATGGAGAAAAGAAACAAGGATCAATGATAGGTTAGGGATCCTAACTTAGATGCATAATTTCACATGCAAAAGGTATATGTAATATTAATAAGCCGCGATCGGGAGGGGCAACTTTTTTAATTTTTCCGCTTATCAGACGATCTTATCGATCTGGCTGTTCGATCGATATAACCTTCCTTTCTTTCCTCTACATCTCTTACAATTCATTCTTTTTGTATTTTGTCGCTCGTTATTTTCAAGTTTTTAGAGGAGAAATTTTATATACAAACGAATGGGTAAAATGACTACACGGCCGCCTCCATCCAAACACCTAACGCCGCTCATCCTCGGCACCGCAACCTTCAATACCCAATACAACGCCGACCCTTTCTCCCTCCCCTCTACAGCCATTGTCCACCGCGCCCTGAGCTCCGGGATCCGCGCCTTCGACACATCCCCCTATTACGGACCCTCCGAAGAAATTCTCGGCCAAGCTCTGGCCACTGAACAAGTATCCCAACAATTCCCCCGCAGTACATACCAACTCCTCACAAAAGTTGGCCGAGTCGCCGAATCCTCGTTTGATTATTCCCCGGCTTGGGTACGATATAGCATTAGACGCAGCCTGAAGAGGCTGCGCACTGATTATTTGGATGTGGTCTATTGCCATGACGTTGAATTCGTTTCCGCGCCTGAAGTGCTTGAGGCAGTTAAAGAGTTGAGGCGAATCCGGGAGGAGGATGGATCGATTCTTTATGTAGGTATTTCGGGATATCCGGTCGAGACTTTGTGTGAATTGGCGGAGTTGGTCCTCCAAGAGACTGGCGAACCGTTGGATGTGGTCATGTCGTATGCGAATTATAATCTTCAGAATATGCGATTAGCTACCGAGGGATTGGCGAGATTACGTGCTGCGGGTGTGGATGTTGTTCCGAATGCTTCGATATTGGGGATGGGTTTGTTAAGGGGTCAGCCAGTGTTTGATTGGCACCCCGCACCTAAAGGGTTGAGGGATGCGATACATAAGGCTAGTGAGTTGGTCAGCCAAAAACTTATGAAATTGGAAACGGTGGCTACGAGGTTTGGACTTGAGTCGTGGCTGCGGGAGGGTTCACCGGTGGGTGTGCTTGGTCATCCACTGGAGGCAGCAGATGCATCTACGTCAATATTCAGTAAAGGTCAACGACTGGGCGTTACTGTTGTAGGCGTTAGCAAGGTGAAGGAAGTTGATGAGTTGGTGGCAAGTTATCGCGAGGTTCTCGATGGTGGTGCCTTCTTAAGCGGAGAGACAGGACGAGCTTCTCAAGATATCGAATTGTATAATATGGTGCGAGCAGCCTTGGGAGATTGGGTTGGATATGCCTGGCCGAGTCCCGGGGAGGGCTACCTTAATACGTTACCTGAGGAGCATTATCAATTGTTACGAGAACAGGAGACAACCACGACAACGGCTACAGGAAGCAAGGGAGAAATTGCAGTGAGTACGACTGAAGTCGGTGATATTGCTGCCTAGATGTACATACACGACATTTTCACGGATTCTTACAAATATTCAAACTCAAATACATTCTTAACACCGATCTCCGAGCTCGGAGATGATGGGTGATACTGAGACATATGGTGTAGGCTTGGTGAAGTCATACAATGTAGCCATTCGTACTCCTTGAGAGAAAATAATTCCCATCTTGGGATGAAAGATCTTATCAGATGGTGGGGTGCTCGGTCTGCATATCCGTACTTGGTAAATCCGAGGTTGTCGGCACGTCCTCTCCTCGATCTGGCCAAAAGCCTTCAAGTAGTGCGGAGATGAACATCTCGGCCTAATATATCCTCTTAGGTGATACTTGGGTATAAATATGGTGCTACACCCTTGCCTTTTCGTGTCATTGCCATCGTCTCAACTTCCGCAGATTCTCTAATTGGATTTATCCTAGTGTAAAGTGCATACATTCTAACAGCCGACTCAACATGCCTCAACCAACTATTGAGAACATCGGAAGTTACGATGTATGTCTCTTTCCTCTATGCTCAGATACTGATACTAATGATAACAAGGACCTCCGTGAACTTCATCTTCTTCACTACATCTACTCTCTTCCAAACCTCTCCTCCTTACGCAACAACCCAGCCGCCATCATACGCGAAATCGACACCTTCTCTGAAAAGACAGGCAAGATACTTATGACTGTTGGCCCTGAAAAGGGTGCCTTTCTCACTAATATCATTGCTGCCCGTAAGCCATCCACAGTCATCGAATTGGGTGGATTCGTTGGCTACTCCGCCATTCTTTTGGGTGATGCCTTGAGAGCGAACGGTGGGAAACGGTATTTAAGTCTTGAGATCAATCCTGTGAATGCTGCTGTTGCAAATTTATTGATTGAGTTGGCTGGGTTGAGGGATGTTGTGACTATTCATGTTGCTCCGAGCCATAAGACTCTTGCCGAGTTTGTCAACGATAATGTTATTGACTATATTGAGGTGATGTTGGTTGATCACTGGAAGGATCGGTACCTACCTGATCTGTGGCTTATGGAGAATTTGGGCCTGTTCAAGGCTGGTGTTACGGTCCTGGCTGCTGATAATTGTCTGATGCCTGGTGCGCCGGACTTTTTGGAGTGGGTGAGAGCTAGCAAAGAGAAGAAAGGGGCGCTGTTGAAGACAAAGTATGGATTTTCTGAGGATGGAAGGTATGTGAAGGGGGAAGAACTAGTAAAGGCGATCAAGGACGGAAAGGAGGACGTGGAGTTGGAGAATGTTCCTGGAGATCCGAATTGGGTTTATGAGACTGAAATGACAGAGTTTGACTCGAATGGAAGACATGTGAGTTTATGCTCCCAAACACAGACAATGAGGCGTATGCTGATTTTAGATAGGATGGAATTGAGGTGGTCAAGGTGGTTGGTAAGCAGTGATTCGAAGCATGATGGAGATATTGCGATCTATTCGTATCGAGATAGTCGACAAGTCACAGCATAAATTTAAACCCTTTCTTTAGTTCTACCCTTTCAACAACAACTATCTTTCCCGTGGCCAAATATCGATTCATCTTTGCATAAACCATCCCCATCCCTAGACAAATAGCCACAAAAACAGTCTAGCAGACAAACACCCCGGTCTATACGTCGGCGCATCCTGCACCCTATAAACCCCTGACGACACAATGCCACTTAGATTCGTACAAATCGAGATGAAGCCCAAGGTCACCGCACGCGCAGACGTAGATTGCGTATTCGCGCCTACCCCAGTATAAGTAGCATAGGCAGGAATGGGCCAAACGTAAGCAATTAAGTAAGAAAATAACCCACTTTAATATGATGCACCAATTCCAATGCGCCAAGTAGAATCCAACCTATTATTGACACGATAATAACCACAATTGATACAAGCGTGCGTTGTTACATACGATCCGTTACCCAGCAACTCACATACATCATCATCAATGCGCCCGTTAAATTGGGGCCGATGGTGTATAGATTAACTCTCACGGTGTCTTGGGCACGCCGCTTGATCATAACAGGTAAAAAGTTGGATGTACTCGACGAGCCCACTCCATACAATAAACCTGAAAGGGCAAAAAGCCATATCTTCCAGCCTTTTAGCACGATGAAGCCCTCGTGGAAGATAAAGCCTTTCTTGTCGTGTTTGAGATATACAGAGGCGCATTTCTTCTGGAAAGGGGTGAAATAACGTGACCCTTGCACACTATGTGGTAGAGTCATGAGCGCGATGAAGGCAATGCTGACGATAATAGCACCTTCGATTAGAAACAGGTATTGCCAGACTTTAAAGTTTCGATGCCACTGAAATACACCCCAGGAGATAGGGCCGCTAATAGCGCTCTAAAAATGACAAGTCAGTCAATTTACACTTTCATCGAACTTTTGATGGCTGAGAAAGACATGCAGCAATAAACTCCATTAAAAAGAACACAGATAATCTCTTCGCCAACTACTCCCTGGTATAAAAATTTGACAAATAAACATTCGCCCAGGGCAAAAATCCGGCTTCCATCGTTCCAAAATGACTCTGGTAGCCATAATCCCACCGAAGTTCCTAGTTGCGGCTGTAATCACTGCCAGACTTCCCCTTCCCAGGACGAGAAGGGGAATAACCACTGCTGAGCTATATATTTTGGCGAGAATAGTTGCTGGGATACTGAATATCGAGTAGGGGATGTAGAACATCATCAGTAATAAAGAAGATCGGTTCCCTTTCGAGTTCAGATCTTGTTCTAGGATTGCAGATTTGGCATTTCTGAGATTGGCGCGCGGCCGAAGCTGTGAGTTAGGTAGACTAGAGCTATTTCAATACCAGCTCTATTTTCAGTACAGGAGCAATTGGTTGGTTACAAAGTGTTGGAAGTAATATCAAATCCCTCCGTCGGACAAGTGACTTCTGAACCGTAGAGTCGATTTCGGGGGTTGTCTCCGAGGAGAAATTTTCGTTTAATTCTATGTCTGCCTCATTGGAGACAAGTAGAGTCATTTTTGACTGTATCATGGTTATTACTAACTGCGTAAGTGAGATGCCGTGTGCATTTCTATCTTGTCAAATGTATATAGGTAGAACTAACACCTGGACATCTCTCAGAGTCTCGGTGGTAAGGAGGATCCACATCAATATAAATATCCTACGAAGTCTTCACCGGCCGAATCATGCCACTAATGAGAAATCCTCGCGGGTGATAATCGATTCAGTTCCACTGGCTGGAAACCTAGGTAATAGAGACTTATTATATAAAGGTGTGTAAGTGAAGAAACGGCAATCAAGTTCGGAATGGACCAAGATATAGGAAGCTAACGATTTAGATTGTCCCCTAGATACCTATGTATGCTCCTGCTCGCTAATTTGGTTGGTTGCAAAAGGGGATGATTACTGTGACAACCTCCACCCCAGCTTTAGCATTGAGAGCTCTTGCAGCTGGTTTCGAGGCATCTCGCGTAACAGCTAAAATCTCTAATCGCGAAAACAGAATTGGGTCACTGATAATTGCTTCAATGACGGAGCCGCCTTGATTATTAGTTGCACCAAAGACGATAATTATTTCAGACATAATTTAGCTAAATTCTAGTGTAACCGGCCAAATTTCGATGTTTGAAAATGATCTTGGATATGGTTTTGCGAAGCAGGAAACATACCCCTTTTATAGAACAGTAGTGTACTACTACAAGGATGAATTGGCCCGAACCAAGACATGCGTATGTAACAACAACATTCAGTTCCAAGTTCACGGTGCAGCATATTACTTCAATATTCAATTTTACCGGCCTCATGTTTAGCATGCTGCATACTGTCCAACAGTGGAACGATTGACCCGACCTGGAAATTAGGGCACATGCCCGGTTTCCGTACCGGTGCAATCATTCATCCGATCACACACATTTGACGTAGTCCACTTGCGCATGACTCAACACTTTCATAGAGATAGAGAATACGGATTGCTAATTAGAGTTATATTTAATTGCCTTTAATGCAAATATACACTAAGATCTCATGATAGCCAACTGGAGCTGGACGGGAATTCATTAGGTATATTGAGCGTGCTGTGCACAATAAAGCTTAGATGTATGTACACTGATGCTTCTAAAGCTACATAGTTATGTCTGTTGCATCTCTAATCAATATTGTTGCTGATGGCCGTGATTCCTCTCATCTCCAAGTTTCCGATTAAAGTAATCAATGCCCTGATTAATACTACCAGCAGCCCCTTCGTCATCCTGCAAGGGTAAGCCCCTCATATCAGTCGAGTTTAAAAACTCTAGCGTCAATTCGGATGTGGAAATCCATGTGTCATCCATATCCCAATCAAAATTCATTCCTGACTCAAGCAATGGATCATAAGACATTGTTGGATTGAAGTCTATCAGACTTGGCTGTTCAGGAGGAATGATGAATGGTGCCAGGTCGAGAGGGGAGCTATGTGTGGTTGATGGATCCTGCTGTGAGAATTGGGAACTATCGTTTTTAGTATGTTGTATAGCTTGTTTGCTGGCATTTGCATCTGACGACGATTTTACTGTCGAGGTTGTGTCTGGCTCCGAATACGTTTTTAGTGATTCGTACAGCGCCTGTAGATTGATATTGTCAGAGTTTGCCTTTACCTAAGATACAAAACGTAAGGTTATCAGAGTACTTACAAAAGATGTCATTGTTTGCGCGTTGGAGTCGGCGTATAGAGGCAGCCCACTAGTTGATGACGAGGAATAGTGTGCTTGCATGGTAGCAGGATCATCGCCTTCGGGCTGTCTCTTCATCTTCTGACTAGATCGTTGAGGTACCTTTGCGACAAGCCGCGTTGCAATACCGTAAAGTTCTTTAAAGACACTCAGAGTCGGGGTGTCGGCGAACGATGTCCCAGGTTGGACAGAGTGAGCGATGAACGAAGTAATGAGATTCATCAACTGAACATCGGAGGCAGCATTTTGATCTTGTGGGTTCGAAAGAATATTCGTGAAGAGCACAAGGCTTGCACTGAGTGGATAATAGAGCGCATACCTAGGTCCATATTAGCCAAGTAATATGAAGAGGCAGAAACGGAAGAACGAACCACATGAAATGCTGATTTTGCAGATTATTGCTGCTGATTGTATCTAATAGCTGGATTGACCTTCGTGCAGCAGCTAGACAAAGCAACTGGCTTGCATTGACTCTAGGATTCAATGGTCGCTGTCGCGAATCGTTGCTCTCAATATCTGTAGCCTTTCTATCTCTCAAATGCAGTGCTTGGTGATGGCCAGATATGCGGTGTAACAGTATCACCGCGTCCAAATACGTGAAATGCATCATAACCACTGAGACATACTGCTCGTCTGAGGAATTGATAGGATGCTCCGGGCGGATATCAATCGGCATCCCATCTCGCCAGCGCTGAAGATGGTTGTCCAATTTACCTAACATCTTCAAACGATGCTCTTCGGATTTGGTCTGCGAACTGGCCGAGTATAGTTCAGTGTATATGCGACTTCGAATGATAGCTAGGGTGATTTGATCCTGGAAAATGTCATAAATCTCTGCGCCGCTAGGTGACCGGAATAATCCAAGCTTCTTGGGTGGTAATTCTACAGCGATATCATCGTCGTTTATGACTGATGGCCGGCCCAATTTATGGCTTATCGCCTTCTCCAGCTGATAAAACACCCAAAAGACATTTCGACGTTGTTCAATCTCCTCTGGAGCAAGACCGCAGCCGTCCAGGCTTCGGTGGAGGCCTAGAGTGTATGCTAAATTCCTACCTGCAGAAGTTATTGTATAAGAAATTTGCGGATTTGGACTTGAAGTTGTGATGAACATCTTTTCACGCATTAGATTTTCTCTCTTCATCGAATTCGATAGGAGGTCGTACCATAAGAGTTATAGCTTGCATTGCCATTAAGTTTGCTTCGCTGAAGAACAAGTCGTGGAAACAACTACTTGCGTTGCGGAAATATCCAACACCAGTTTCATGCGCAATTGATGTATAATCGATGAGACGGCTACTTCTTACGTGCCTCTCTCGCTCGGCTGTTGTTCGAATGCTACCCAAACACAACACTGCATTTAGCAGTGCATACCATGCGCTACTTGGTGGGGGATTTATTGAATATTGTCTTTCAAAGTAGGAGTCGAATACGTCCCGATTAATGACAGGGTACACGTTGTTGAAAGTAGTAAAGTAGCCTATTATCGATATGAGTTGGATTTTCCTTTGTAAAGAATGGAGTTTCTACATTCCACGTACAATTAACGTATTCTGATGCGATTTCTTTCGTGGGAAGAGGTGAGTGCTGTGACCGTGACTTGGGAGCCCAGAGATTGGTATTGCCGGTGCCCCAAGATTCAAAGTCATGTTTCGCAAGTATGTGATACAGCTGTGCTAGCTCATCCTTGTCTCCCACCTTTTGTAAGATCCATTGAATACCTTGTGGGGAGAAAAGTGAGAAGCCAGATGCCGATCCTAGTAGCAATGTCAGCATAAACATGTGGCCAGGTAAACATGACACATACCGATAAAATTAGAAGACCCATTAGAGTCAATCACCAGGTTTGCGAGTTGGTTGGATAGCTTGGCCTGACTTTCGATTCTATCAGAGGAAGTTTTTTCCTCTTCCTCCTTTTCTTTTTCCTTCATGTTTACTAGGCCCGCTGGCCCCTGTAGCCCGGAAGCAATTATAGCTGACTCCATCCGCTTGATTCGCTCTTCCATGTCTTGATAGTATGACTCTTTCTTACTTTAATCAAAATTAGCAATGTAGTTATAGATCAGGAATATGAATCTTTTTTTAGCTGCGTACTTGGACGTTCTTGGTTTCTTCCTTTTTACCGGCGTCGTAGTACAGTAAAGTTTCCGAGCAATGCATCGCGCACAATTTTCAGTTTCATTTTTTCTTTGACATTTTATCTGGTTATGAACTGTTAGCAGCTGTATATACTCGGCTCTGAGGACTTGGCATGCCTTCATCTGTTTGCACAAGTCACATGATGTTCGGGGATTTCGCGACCATGACAGCATCTTTGGATTTGTCACCGACTCTCCGGTCAAAATCGCTGTTGGTTCGGTATCATCCATTTTTGATCGGCAGGAATGGGTTGAGAGTATGTACACTGACTGGTTAAGATGTGATAAGGTATCGAAGTGGGTGAGGCTGATCGTGATGATTATGCCATGTGGGCCATCGGAGCCATACTAACCAAGTTAGGTAAGAGCTGACTTTGTCAGATTTAGATGAGGTTGTTTTATTGAGGTTGCCTCACGTGACAATCATACTGCGTACTGCCCATCCCCCGTCCCCCTCGCTCTTCAAAAGCTTCGATTTCGAGTTGATAGACGAATTCCTTACAATTACCTATATCAAACAGTCAGAGGCTCAAACTACTCACCCCTCTCTACCACCTAGCCACCAGAAGTGCGGCCTCTGACGCGTCTCAACGCGTCCGGCAACACCATGGCGCGTAAAGGCCCTGGTACAGACGGCCCTCTACAGACAGCCCTTCTGGAATCCACGTCTGCAGCCACAACAAGAGCTTCTGAAGGACAGAAGATCTTCAGCCCCATAGCTGCATTCCTTGATAAACACCGCAGCCAAACCACCGGCCTTGCTCCTCACCTACTGAGAGCCCTCACCGCTCTAAGCGATGACCTCGCCTCGGTAGCTCAACAACATTTCAATGCCTATATCAGCGGTATCTCGACAACCTCCATCCTACCTGCTCTGTCTCCTTCCCCTTCCTCTTCCCCCACCCTAAATCCCTTACCCCCTTCACCCCCTCCCTCACGTCCCCCCTCAGGTCTTAACCAGTCAACTTATGCGACTATTACCCAATATGCCCCGGTCAAATTAACTCCCACCACTCACCCTAAAGCCTCCGTCAAAAAGCCTATGCCTCTGGTGAAACAACCCCTTCCTGACAACCGGCTCTTCATACGCCTCCCAGCTGACCATGCAGCTAGAAAAATGGAAGCCTACGCCATCTACTCTAGCCTACGGTCTCAACTAAACTCAAACAGTTCAGCACTAAAAGAAGTTCAAGCCACAAAGACTGGCTTTGCACTATGTCCCTCATCTCCAGAAGCCCTCCTAGCCCTTGAGGCCCAAAAAGAGATTATCTCTGCATTCTTTGTTAACTGCCAGATAGAACGCAGCTCCCGATGGGTCTCGTACCGAGTCACCAATGTGCCAAGGAAAATTGGCCAAATCTTGGATGGTTGATACTCTCTAATCCCTGTCAATCCTACACTACTATCCTTAGAAATCAGTGAAACTACAGGGCTCAAGCTTATATCTATCAGCGAGACCGCTACAAGTGCCGCCAACCCTGGTACTCTTTCCTCAAGCTGGTTTATCAACTTCCCAGAAGGCACGAAATCACTACTGCCTATCCAGCTACGTCTTTTTAGCACTATCACCAATGCTCGTCACCTCTCTAAGAGAACAACAGTTACCCAATGCACACAATGCTAGAAATGGCATAATGCACAATCCTGTGCCCGCCCCCCTCGATGCCGGCTCTGCGGCTCCTCAGAGCATACTGAACAGGAACATGTCAACCGCTGCACAGCCCTAGAGCCTCATCAGTGCCCTCCCAGATGCATACACTGCCATGGACCACATCCAGCTGATTTCCCAGAATGCCTCCTGCGCCCTAAAGGCAACTCTAAACATACTAAAGCTCAACAAGCAGAGATCCGGAAATCCTGTGCTATTAACCTCGCAAAAGCTCGAATTGAAGGAGGATGTAGCACTCAGCTCTCCATTGGCACACAAGAAACACCTATGGCACTAGACGAGATGCCAACCCAGCCTCTAACCCATGAGATTATCTCTCCTTTCCGTTCAGTAACCCCTCCACCTCGCGCCCTAACTGAAGATCCTCCAATTACAGCTCGCGCAGTCCGCTTTACAACCCCTCAAACACAAAATCGGTTCGCCTCTCTTCTTAAATGGGAGCTATGATCTATCACTATCCAACTCAAAAGGCGCCTCTTAAAATCCTACAGCTAAATGTAGGGCACGCACCAGATGCACATGAAATAGCTCTCACATTGGCATACACAAGCGATATTGATATTATCCTAATCCAAGAACCATATACATTCAAAGATCTTAGCCGACAGATCATAAAAAACACCCATCATATGAATGCTTCTCCCCAACTGACAGTTGGGCAATAAGTGGTCGACCACGAGTCCTCACCTATATTCGAAAAAAGAAGGGCATCCGGACCTCCCAGCTACGCCCCTTCACAACTGATACCAAAGAGGCCTCGGATCTCCTATTCCTACAGATTTTTTCGCCCACAGGAAAGTCTGCTCTGATAGTTAACATCTATAATGCCCCAGCAGGCTCCATCAGAGCAGGTGAAGCCGCGAAAGCTCTTACAACCCTGCCAGAGGCATATTTCCCTCAAGCAACGATACTCGCAGGCGATCTCAACCTACTACACAACAGATGGCAGCCCTCGCTACATCACAGCCCCACACCTTCTGCAGAGCCATTTATTAACTGGCTGGACCTCCAGGGTCTAGTACTCATCTCTGACATAGACTGTCCCACACATGAAAGAGATAACGTGTTAGACCTCAGCTTTGCCTCAAGCCCTCTGGCTCTCGCGGGAGCGAAAACTAGCATAGCGAGCCACTTAGATGCAACCTCAGATCATCAACCACTAATCACCACTGTACCATGGGATCAGAGATACAAGGAAACAGCTCAGAAACTGAGATTTGACACACTAGATCACACCTGCTTCCTCTCACTTCTCGCCTCTAATCTTGCTACTATCAAGTGCTCAGCCACGATAGAAGAAGACCTTGATGCCCTCGCTAAAAAACTAACATCTGCAATTCAAGGAGCATATAGAGGCTCTACTAAGAGGACCCTGACATAAGGCATAGAGCAACCATGGTAGAATGAAGACTGCAAGAAAGCTTTACATAATTACTACTTAGGCCTCTGCTCAAAGACAGACTTCCGCCAAATAACTAGATAGTCTCAATGATAATTTTGGCGAGATAAGCTCTCTATAGTAACACAAATAAAGGATGTCTTCAATATAAGTAAATAGTATAAGTCTACAGGCTTCTTCTAAAGCCCTCCACTAAAGGATCTGCTGAGACCCAACAGCTTCCCAGCAGTTACTATACATGAGAAACAAGACATACTAGTCCGCAATCTTCTCTAAAACTCGGCAGAGGCAGGAGATATATCTCTGGACTCCTTAACAGTCTCTACCACTAGTCTCTACTTCCCAGATATATCAATGATACAAGTGGAGGAGTTAGTACTTTAGGCAGGAAACATAGCCCCTGGCGCAGACGAAATCCTAACCTGCATACTTAAAGTGGTATGGCCTTTGATTAAAGATAAGGTACTAATGCTATACCAAGGGTGCCTAAAGACTGATTATCACCCTAAATGCTTTCAATATATAATCCTAGCAATTATCTAGAAACTAAAAAAGGCTAACTAGTCCTCACCTAGGTTATACAGACTGATTGCTCTCCTCTCAGTCCTAGGCAAAGGACTTGAACACCTGATGGCACAGAATATAGCATGGATCTCTATATACTATAAAGTACTAGCAAGGCAACAGTTTGGGGTTCTCCCACTAAGATCTGTAATTGATCTAACTACATGTCTAATGCATGACGTTAAGCAAGCACTAAATCAAGGCATGACTGCCTCGCTTCTTACTCTAGATGTCAAGGGCGCATTTGATGCCGTGCTCCCTAGCAGACTAATCCACAGACTACGCGAGCAGGGCTGGCTTACTAATCTTGTTCTCTGGATTGCCTCCTTTACTACTGGGAGATCAGTCCAGATCCGACTTGACAGAGAGACTGGCCCCTCAACCGATATTACCTGTAGTCTACCATAAGGATCTCCAGTATCTAGTATTCTCTTCATACTCTATATATCGCTCTTATTCCATCTGGGAAACCCAAGGAACAGATTTGGCTACGCGGACGACGCAGCTAATCTGGCAATCTCTTTATCTCTTACCACTAACTGCCAAGCCTTATTAAACTCTCTTTAAGAAGCTCTTGACTAGGGCGCCACAGAGAGTATTACATTTACACTAGATAAATATAAGCTCCTCCACTTCTCCCAACATAAAGTAGACTAGGATTCCACCTATATATCTTCAGTAAAAGCTAGACTCATTACAGTATCAGAAAATACTAAACAGTCATATCTACATTAGCTAGGAATTCTCTATGATAAAAACTAATCTTTAAATGGCATATTAGTAAAACAACATCTAAAGCCCTTACTATAGCTAATGCCCTTCGCTTCCTAGGGAATACTGTCTGAGGAGTCAAACCTCATTTACTATAGCGGGCTATGTCAGCCTGTGTACTCTATAAAGCTTATTATGGGGCTGAAACCTGGTGGCCAGGTCATACTTGCCCTGGGCCTTCCTAAATTTTAAATCAAGTTGGAGAACATCTTAAAAAACTAACCAAAGTAATACTAGCAGACATAAGAGTAGTTCTTCTAGTTTTTCGCACAACTCTAATACCCATCCTATACCGAGAGTCTGGATTCTCTCCACTAGAAATTGAACTAGATTGAATAGCCCTCCTTGCATCTGTCTACCTACCGCGTTTTGATCCTAATCACCCACTTCGAAGACGTGCAGAACAGGTTACTAGTAATGGCCAACAAACCAGCCGTTTCGCCCGCGATATACTGGCCCTTCCCAACTCTAAATAGATAAACCCTCTCTACTACACTCCCTGGCGCTTTCGCGAGTCTCGCGAGAATGTCTAAGCTTGAATAGGAGCTCCCATGGGTCGCACTAAGGAATAGATAGCGGCTAATTTCATAGTTTTCTAACATACTATCCCTAGCTCTAATATTATAATCTTTTCAGATGGATCCAGACTAGTAGATGGACGTGCAGGGGGTAGCTATATTAGATTTCAAGCACACCATTAGTTCCTCTACTTCTCACTCTTATATGGACATGGGAAAGAGGTCTTTAACGCAGAAGCAGAAGCAACCCTAGCTGGTGCTTAAATAGTAATAGTATACCTAACAGCTCAATTTGCTACCAGCCTATAGATCTGCCTTAACAACTTAGAAGTTGCCACGCGCCTTCTATCTCCCTCTACAGGATCTTCTCAAGAAGTCTTTAAATCCTTCCGCACCCTTGCAGCCGCCTGGCCACTACGCAATAGGCTTCTACACACTAAAAGTGGATTAATCCAAATCCAATAGGTCCCAGGACACACTAAAATCCCTAAGAATGAAGCAGCTGATCTCGCTACTAAAGAGGGAGCTGTCTCTATCCCCCCCTCTCTACACAAGTCCTTATATGCCTCGCTAAAGAGATATGTCAAGACTCAATTCCTTTCTGCTACTTAGTCACAGTGGCAGACCAAGCACCACAGACATACCAAGACCTAGAAATAACTACATCTCCTAAGCGCCCTAGAGAGCTTTAACTCAACTGACTTAACCTCAGCCATATTATAGTGGCCTGAATGGGACATGGAGACTTTGCAGACTACCATGAACATTTTAATTATAATGATGCTTATTTTCTCTGTCAGTGCAGGGCACGAAAAGCACCTCTACATTTCTTCTTCTGCCATATAGCTAAGAGATGAGCCCCTCGCCCTCCTGGACCCCCTTCTAAGGTCATCTCCCTTCTTTTAGGCATCACAAAAGAAGCGCAAAGGCTAGCCACATGGCTAGCAGAGACCCGTTTCTTTGAGGACATCTGTCCTCGCCAACCTCTCCTTAGCACCTAGCTAAGTCAGCCCTACTTTCCCTTTATATCTCTCTTTTCCTTCGTTTAATCCCTCCCCTATCTCTTTCTTTCTTTCTTTCTTTCTTATAAAACTCACTGCTTAATTACTATGGTGGTAGAATTACAGGTCATGGAGCGTAGGTAGACCATTACAGCTGGCAAATACCCAAAACCCACTCCAAGTGGACCTCCCTGTAAGACCACGGCAGCTGTGGAAACGCGCCAAAGAGTCCCTTATTTGTACATAAATCTGATAGGAGTCAGGCGTTCGCCTCCGCAAGTTGCTCGTCATCTCTCACGCAGTCAAGACTTGATTTTCCCACCCACCTCCCTATGTACATAGATTCATAGTGCCATTACAATACAAAGACACTTGCCTCCCCACGAGGGAGCGCGGACGGGGCCCTCTCTGACGCTGCGGTCAACGTGTTTACGCGTAAGACATCAGCGACAGGTGACCTGTTGCGGCCAAACTGTACACACATTTTCCATCTTGACTGCGTGAGGTCACCAATAAATTTCTAGTTTAACCTTAAATGCTCCAAGTAGCCAATAGTAAGGCAGAATACGGATTTAGACCTTTGCTAATATGGGGTTCTCGTAGATCCGCCAATTGGAAGCTGTTGTCCGATACTAACAGTATTCCAATCAAACCAATCATAAGACAGACAATAAAGATGAGGTCGATCGATCTGCTACTGCTATGAGGCTACACGTAGTATGAGCATCAAGCTTCAAATCATACTTTAAGCTGGCATAGAGTTAGAATGAAAAAGTCTCTGTGGAAAGTATAATAGAGATGAAGTGTTTTACTCGCGAAACCTGTTTTCTGCGTGACAGGCCCAGTGATCTATTATAGTCTTCGACTAGCCGGTGTTCCGATTTGAGATGAGTTAGGGTTACGGCGCAAAGAACTCAAGAGAAAACGCAAGCAGCAGAGCGAATATGGTTGAATTAGATTAGTAGAATAAGTCATGACGATATCATAAATACATAAAAAAGTCAATCATGATAGTATACATCCGTGGCCATGAAACGTTCATTGGAACTTGCTCTTTTCCTTAACGCCAACTCTCTTCCCCACGTATTCACTGTTTAGACCCTTTTCCAGATCAGCAGCTATCATGTCCACAATATTCTCCAATACAGCAAAATACTCCTGCGCCTGTGCCATAACATTTAGATAGCCTCCGATGAGTGGTATTTTGCAAAACTTATTACTCCAGGCTGGTGGAGAGTCAGCTTGGACCACGAGGTTATTAGCGGAACAGTCTGCGGGAGCAGGGTATTGAGGCGTGTCGTATTTTGGAATCAATTCGTTTGCACAAAAGAGCGACCAGGCGAGATCATCAGCGGCATATGATTTGATAAGTTGGTAGTTTGGCTTATGGGTTGGGAAGAGAGGGATACTAACGAAGACGCATGAGTTTGGAATTCACCAGAATTACACATGAATGATGAATTCAACAGGAAACTCACTAGTCAACGAACAAATGAGGCTTCTTTGGGTGGTCGAGTATGCCGAAACCGCTCATAAGCCAACACCTAATAGGGGCCTTTCGCTCTCGCCCCGCCTCCGTAGCGGCCTTTACGACCGCCGCAAAAATAGCGGGGAAGTCTCCAGCGGAATGGAAAGGCGTCTTTGCAGCGACACCCGCAGCATTGACGACGGCATCGCAGTTATGGATGAGGATAGCAGCCTTGATGGCGGCACTGTCTGTGGCAGACCCGACGACAATAGAATCGAGATTGGATTTGACTTGGGCAGAGAGTTTGTTAGGTGAGCGCACATAGCCGACGATTTGGTGCTTATGGGCGATGAGCGCGGGGAGCAGCCGAGAGCCAACGTTCCCAGTGACACCGAGCAAGAGGACCTTCATTTTGACCTGTTCTCGAGAATATGTTAATTAAAGATGATTTCCTGAACATTGATTGATGATTGATGATAGATATTTAAGTCATTAACAGCTAGAGACGTGAGCTGAACTTAGTCTTATATATTCTGTGACCATGATTGACTATACACGCTAGGTAGTTCGGACCTTTGCCAACCTCCGAACTTTTCTACCTATGCGATCCGAAGTTTTGAGAAATCGGTAGCAACGGTGCGAACGGCGCAAGAAACACGCCGATTTCTGAGAAATAGAATGGATTCAAATATGAATCTGTTTCTCCGAGGACAGTTGCTTTGTATTTTTATTAAGAGTTCGACAAAATGCAAAAAGGTTGGGCCCCTGTCCAGCGAAAATACTCCGTATAAATCTTAGGCAATTCATCTTGTCACGACATCTCCACCTGGGCATTTTTTTGAAGCTGGAGGTTTAACGACATCTGTCTTGTAACCAAATGCCTGGCACCATGACTGGCTCAACTCCTGTTAAACAACAACAATGGGCTGACGGTCCTTTCCCATTGATCGAGACACCGAAGCATAAGCAAGGACCGGTAAGTCAAACTTTCATTCCTACGAAGCTAACTCGTCACTCAGAACAACTGAATTTCTATAGACTAATAATACTGACCCGTACATGGAGACTGCAAGCACTATGTGTGTGGTACACAACACGCTCCTCCGTGGCCTCAACAGTATATATGTCCAAGGACCACACATTAAACCTGAGGATTATAAGGACTTTATTGGGTACAGTCTGTGTTGGCACTCTACATTACATGAACACCATACCAGCGAGGAAGAGCAGTTTTTCCCGGAGATTGAGGAAGCGGTTGGCGAGAAGGGGTTACTTGATGGAAGTGTCGAAGAACATAGTAAGCTGGCTGACTTTACTTTTTATGCGACCATGAACAACTGACATTGGCAAATTTTAGACTCCTTTCAAGCAGGATTGGATGAGTTCAGTAGCTACCTCGAAAGCCTAGCAGGGAAGGAATCGAAATTTGACGCCACACATCTCAACAAGATCATCGACTCATTCGTACCAGCGCTCAATAACCATCTCAAATCGGAGATTCAATGTCTACTGGCTCTCGCTCAATACAGAGAAAAGCTTCCCATAGCGCGCCTTTGGGATAGAGAAGGATTCCGGAGTGTGGTGAGTATCTAGAGACCTTCCAATTACGTCTTATAGGTCACTCGGCTGATTTTTGGACCTAATGAGCCAGACATCAATGACCAAGTTCGGCGCTCTTCCATTCTTCTTCCTCAATCTCGATCTTACCGCCGAAGGTGGTTTGTACAAGGATTGGCCAGCTATTCCTGCTCCAGTAAAATGGGCCATTACTCATGTCACAACTATACCACACCAAGGGTACTGGAAATTTGCTAGCTGTGATAGAAATGGCGTACCGAAGCCTCTCTATGCGCCGGGATAGGATCAGAGTTCTGGTCTACGCATGTGAAACTAGAATAGGGGGTATTCCTGCCTGCATTTTATGTGAACATGAGACCATTGTAAATTATTGCCATTTATTTCACTCCATTAATCTTTATTTAGAACCAGTCTGAAGGAATTGGAAACAATTTGTCATATATTTAGCCATGACTAGACACTCGTTTAGATCTGCCATATATCCAAGCCATGTGCATTACTAAATTGGTTAACTCCCGTCAGTTCCAGGAATCCATTGACCATAATGCAATGATCAGCGATACGCTAGTAGTATTTTATGACTTCAAACAGGAATTTATAGATGTATCAAAGTATAAGGGTCGCATGCTTGATAAGGCACCATAAATAGGAATGCATGAAGCTGTAATAAGAAGCAAAATAATTTACACAAGAAATCTCCAATAAACCTAACAAGAATAACATGCCTTAACTCCTAGCCAACATCTCTATCTTGATTCCTAATCCAAACACTCAAACACCCTCCATGCATGTCAATCTCAATATCACTCCCATTGACCAAACCCCTTCTTCGTAACTGAAGGATGCTCAGCCATAAACTCAAACACAGGAGTAAGATGCTGCGCAGCAGAATGTCCGAATAGTGACTGTCTCGAAATGGCAGCTGTTGCTGCACCTTGCGGACTCGTAAATTGAAAGTCCGAGCCTGTATAAGACGCCGACATTGACTGCACCGACGACCCAAAGCTGCTAGCTGTTGTTCCAGTACTGTTATTTCGAGTACCAGTACTGCCAAAGAGACTTGGTACTCCCGCCGAAGAAGGTGTTTTCCAAGTGTTCACTGCCTTGGCCTTGACCTCTCTCGCATCACGTAACTGGCCATACCATCTTCTCGCAATCTCAGCACCCTGTGGGAGTTTATCGCGATGCCAACGCGGACAAAGCATCCAATCAGCCAGTTCTCGTAGAGCATTTATTTCATAGAGAGTTGTGCAATCTCCGGGGTCAGGCGATTTCATCTTCGCTATACGTCTGGAAGCAGCGGATTTATCGGCGCTGGAAATCATACTTTGACCACAGCGTGTACCCCTTTTCGTGATCCCGATGCATGTGAAGTGGAATGAATTTAGATCCTCAGCGTATTGCATTAGATCAGAAGGAAGATTGACAGAATTATTCGGCAAGGAAGTAGGAGAGGAAATGTTTGAATTAGGAGTGGTTATTGCTGTTGTCCGTTGGTTTACCACTCGATGTTGTATCTTAAGTTCCTCTTGTTTGAGCTGCAGCTTTTGAACCTTATCCTCTGTCGCTTTTGCTTTTTTCTCTCGATCTTCGAGATTCTTCTGTTTTGCTTCTAGGTCTCGTTCCTCGTCTTCTATATCCTTCTCTCGTTCTTTCAGACTTTTCTGTCGTACTCGTAACTTTCGTTCGCTGTCTTCTAGTCTCTTTTGTAGTGCGTTTAGCGATTCTTCCCTAGCCTTGAGTTCTCTTTCCTTTCGGGATATTCCGTCCTCTCGAACTTTGAGCCGTTGCTCATCTTTGACTCGCTCGCTCTCCTGAAAATCCGCCAAATGCCCCGTAATCCTTGTTACAATGTCTTGTTGGTAATTGCGTCTTTTCATCTCTGCCTCGTGATCCAATTTGAGCTTCAGCTCTTGTCTTCTTTTATCCAGTAGTGAAATCATATTTTCTCCGACTGCCTCTGTGATATCAGCTATTTGCTTTCTTTGTCGACTTCGATCTTTCTCTGCTGCTGCTGCTAGTCTCGCAGTGTGCCGCTTTTTCAGGAATGAGGTATACGCCAACCACTGTGTTTGAAGCCATGATACCAGTGTCACTGATATAACCATAAATCGGAGTGTGCCTCCAACAATGGACAATACAAGTAGGAGTCCGCCCATATTTAGGACGTAGAAGGATGATGAGCGCGACTTTCTATCCATTGTCGTTTAGTATCCGGGTCGAAAAATATAAAAAATAGTCATCAAATACGATGCGCAATCCTCTCCGCTCGATGCCGACTTCGATATTTTATACCTTCAAAAATGAACGAAAAGTGGTCTGCACGAAGGAGGGGTTCATTACCCTAAAATAGCACAACGTTTATGCACTCACTCCTGTGGCGCAGCTTATCGGACTCGATTTAGTTCAATACATGCGACCGGGGATTTCTTAGTCCATAGGATATAGTTGCTGCAACTTGCTGTTGTTGTTCACACGGATGTGACACACCCTGCATAAGTCTGGTTCAGAACGTCGCTAGCCTTCAACCACAGCCTCGATTTCTGGAACATGGCACATGCAGGGCATTTTGAAATCTGTTTGTGCTTGGAATCTTCCAACTGGGATGAGAGGCTGAGGGTTTTCTGGATCTGGTAACGGCGTCTATTTCTGCATGAATTAGTAGACTACTATACCATGTCATCACGAGGCATACTTACGACCCGGTAGGCAACATTGTCTTCTCAATTTTCGTAAATTCGTGCATCTCTTATATTTATCTCCGACGACTATAACGTACTGACAGTAACGTCTTTTACTAGACGAAATTTGTGCAGGCATGATTGTTTGCTATGTAGTTTGCTATGTTGCCGACGCAGCATGACCACCGGAAGTCAGATATCTGCATGATCTTCCCTTTTAACTGGCAATGTAACCATATTGGACAAGTACATCGAGCCAACATTCAAAACACCTGATCTGTAAAATCAACAACTTGAACCTTTTCGGTAAGTTCAGCAAGATTTCTAATACATTCTTGGTGCGCAGGGTCCTTTTCCACGTAATAACCTCGATCTTTCTTGTTTGCAAATTCTACCACAAGAGCGTGTGTGATACCGTGCTTTCAACTTGAAGAAAATACAATGGGGTCGAGATGACGATAAAAGTCCTGAAGGAGTTTTTAGTATGGAAAACATATCTAGGATAACGCGTGCCTGAGAGAAAGAGTAGATATATGTGCTTTTATTGGGCAAAACCAACTTCAATTTTTAAGTCAATCAAAACTTGTGCAGTCAAGCTTTCCAATAGAATCGTGTCGGATTGGTGGGTTAACTCCAATCCAATCCTGAAAAATTGTTTACAAGGATGGTAAAATAAGAAGTGACTAGCAAGATTGTGTATATTTTCTCCTTCTCTGTCCTCTCCGAGTACATCAGGTTCCAAAGCCGGGTTTATATAGATATTTTGCCAAGATGTGTAACAACTAACAGACTTGGGGTTCTCACTGTTCCAAGGAATACGGCCATGACGTCTCAAGTCGAGTTTCAGGTGCACCAGGTGAAGTTTTATATGTTTGAGGATGGCCTTTGGATTCTATACCTCGTTGGAAATCCGGATTATCTGACAAATCGCGCGAGTATTACCCTGGTGCCTAGGGTTAGGGCTAACTGACATTCAACAGTGTCATTCCAATACACAACATGCTAACAGAGCACACTCATTATTCGTTGTACTGATCGCATTCCAGCAAATATATTCACAATTGATGTTTGCCATCTTCTATAGAACTGGAGGGAGGACGCATTCCGGATAACTAAACTCTTACCTCCATATTACGTAAGGTCCCAAAGAAACCATTTCTTTCAACGGCGATAGTAACCATATGTCTATGGCAAGTCACCCACTACTCTCCAGATATTCGCAAGTACCACAGGGCCCCATTTTGGATAGTAAGTACGCATTGGAGCGATACAAGAGTCTATTCCTCTTTTCAATGTGAGATATTACCTCTAGCTAGGAGTCATTCATTCCTAAACTGAGTAATCAGCGTTCCAATATGCGGTTCCAGCGAAACACGGAACTCGTCGCCTTCCTTGATGAACTGAGGTGGTCTCTTTGCTGCACCGACACCTGGCGGAGTGCCGGTTATGATTACTGTGCCTGGAAATAAGGTTGTTCCTTGAGAAAGGAAGCTGATGAGCTGCGGGACGGTGAAGATCATGTCTCTGTGACGATGGTCAAAAGATTATTCGAAAGTATTAGGAGCAAGTAGCTTACCCGAGACCGCAGTCCTGAACTACATTGCCGTTTAATGATCCTTTGATACGTAATTGTGATGGGTCCGGGATAAGTGAAGTCGAAACCACAACAGGTCCTAGCTCGAGAGTAAGCGGCATGAGTCACAGAAAAGGTGTTGAGAACATACCCAATGGGCAAGCTCCGTCAAATCCCTTCGAGAAACACCACTGACTTTGATTGTTCTGCGAGGTTCGGCTGGAAATGTCATTGGCAGCCGTATATCCAAGGATATAGTCAAACGCATCCTTCTCAGACACATTCTTTGCTGTCTTTCCAATGATGACTGCTAATTCAGACTCGTAGTCACCCGTGTTGTCCTTTTGAGTAATCTTGGGAAGAAGACATGGCTCCGGCCATGGGTTTCCCAGAGCTGTGGACGGTTTGAGGAAAATACTTGGTAAATCGGGAAGGTGGAGATTCATTTCTTTTGCGTGGGATACGTACTAGACTTCATATGAGCCGGCAGCTCTTGTAGGTTTGGTTGTCTACATTGGACTCCAGAGACGTACGTTCAATCCAACACATCGGATAGTGCCAACTTCGTCTTGTGCTAGTGGTGAAAGTACGGCCTTGATACTCTCAACATTCTCGGTACGCTGCCCAGGAGCAAGGATGGAAGACCCAGTAAACCGTTTTACTTGCACATCTTTACCATTATAGAGCGCCAGCCCAATATCAAGGTTTGCGTCCATGGGCTCCCCGATGAACGTTCTGGAAGGGTTGGATTTAGACACGAAGCGTACAAGACCTAGATTTCCTTTCAGATCAGGGTCAACTTACCGTTTGGGAATAAGACTTACGGGAGAATGAAGAAGCCATTGCATTCACTCTGCTGCTTGAGCGAAATTTTAGAAATGATACAAACACCTGATCAGTGACAATACGCTGGTGATGAGTATGCAAATGATAATGTGAACGTAAAATGTAGTCAGAATATGAGGAACAAGCAGGATACGAAAAGTAACGGGGGAATCAATGAAAAGGTGAATTTTCGTAGGCCCTAAATGTCCGAGCGAAGTCGTAGTCGTAGAGAGCGGGGGAGCACAGCCCGGGAAAAGGCTTACCCATCACGGATATCTCCATCTGGGGGTCCCAGCTATAAACGTATAACGGACCCATTACTACCGAAATATTTCAATTGAATTCTGAAAATAAATAATTGCGTTAAGGAACATCCACAATGGCAGAAACTCCACAGAAAGGCTTTTACAGAATTGTCACTGTCAACACTGCTCCTGAGCGAGCCAAGAGGCTGATTGGTCGAATGGTTGAAGCTCTCAAAGATCGCTATACAATCATTCACGTCGACAACTGCGAGAGTATGCTTCAATCTATGCTGCCTTCAGTCAGTCAGACTAACTTTCCAATTAGCAATTGAGGAAGTCGAGCCCAAAGTCAAGGAACATCAACCCGATGTGCTGGTACGCAGAGTTATGAGAACGCAAAATGATTGTAAAGGATTTTAGCTAACAGAACATAGTTCTGCGCATCAATGTGGACAGCCGAACAGTCCACTGCCGTCTTCGAAATAGCCAGAAAAATTCGCCCTGGCATCAAGACGCATGCTATTCCTCATGGATTACAGGTTGAGAGGGGTCCCGATGCGATTGTTGAATATTTGGTGGAGAATGTGCCCAAGTTGTTGGATGAAGAATAATTCGGACATAAAATGAAGATATATATTTACCATTAATCTGTATCCTAGTCTCTTTCAGTAATTTCTGTTTATGTTGCTAATGCTGAAAGAGTAAGAAAGGCGAAGAGCCCAGTAAGCAATATATGCGTTAAGACCTTATCACGTGTATGCTTATCTTATCAGCACCTTTATCTCTTGCGTCAGCGCCGATTGACTTTTGTTCTTCCTTTATATAAGCACACCAAAGCTGTCCACAGACACAGCCATAACATGTTTTTGCTGTCGACACGGCTCAAAACCGCCGCAAGGATCCGGAATGGCTACTCCAAATGTTTATTCTCCTCGTCCACCCCTTTCAGAATTGAATTGGCATATCAATTGATTGAGCCGCCAACGCAAGAGAAGAAACGTAATGGACAGCCCATTGTGTTTATGCATGGATTTATGGGGAATAAATTGAATAATCGGAGCATCAGCAAGTGCGTGCTACAGATTCTGTCATTCTCTAATTGGGACAAAGGAACGAGTTGTAACTAATTTGGTTTGATAGAGCTCTCGCACGAGACTTGAATCGGGATATCTATATCGTGGTAAGTCCGGATACCACAGATTATATAGATTGGGATTGACTTGGCTTAATTATAGGATCTCCGAAATCACGGCGATTCTCCGCATGTACCAGAACACACATACACACATCTCGCAAACGATGTATCCGACTTCATCAAGCTACATCGCCTCAGAAAGACGGTTCTAATAGGACATTCGATGTATGCACCACTTCTTTCTCCATCTCCTACAACATCTAATGACTCGTTTCAGGGGTGCCAAAGCGGCCATGGTACTTGCTCTGCAATCACCAGAAACCGTTACCGGTCTAATCCCTGTCGACAACGCGCCCGTATCCGCCATGCTAGGTTCTCCATTTAATGACTACGTCAAGGGCATGAAAGAGATTTCCGAAGCCCGCGTAACAAGACAGAGTGAAGCTGATCAGATCTTGGCGAAATACGAACCTGTACTGTCGGCCCCGTACATCCTCTCATCATTTTCCTCTGATGACTAACAGGCCATTGTGTAATGGAAAACAGTCCCTCGCAATCCGCCAATTCCTCCTAACAAACCTGATCCGAGACCCAGAAACAGACAACAAAACCCTGAAATTCCGCGTTCCCATTGACACCCTAGGCTCAAATCTTGACGAAATGGCCGACTTCCCCTGGAAATTCGACAGAGAGAACGACAGCAACAACGCAGACCTGCCAACGTACAATGGTCCAACACTCATTGTTCGCGGCTTGCAATCGAAATACGTCAGTGATAAGAGGTTACCAGCCGTCAAGCGTTTCTTTCCCAATGCCCAGATTGTAGGTATTGATGCTGGTCATTGGGTTATTTCGGAGAAGCCGGAGGAGTTTAGACAGGGTATGTATCATAATCTGCGGGCACTCTTACCATAAGGTTGCTAGTTAACTAACAAGATCGTGATATAGCGGTAGTAAAGTTCTTCCGTGAGAACGATATCGAGTAATATTGATCGATTCGGGTTGGTCCATATACGATAGATCTCCTTTTGAAATGCCCACTTCTTGCATTTGACTGTATTTCTTGAGGGGAGGGCATTTTTGTAATGTACATAGATTTATAGGTCGCATACATATGTGCACAATCAAGCCATGGGTTGATTGTTAAAAAGTGGGATTCATGGACGACGTTTCAATTGTGCGAATGCTTAACCAATGCCACCCTAGCAAGGTTAGCCCTAACTTCCCTACTAAGGTATCTGGCCCGATAGGTAGGACATCTTAGGACACAACGTGGACACATGAAGCAGAATTTTGGAGAATAGTACTATAAGAGGGAAGTGAGAGATATAATGGAACTTCTGGCTAATCGAGTTTTCGAGTAACATTGTGAAATGTAGAATTAGTCACAAGTGCAAAGCAAGTAGCGCTATACAATCCGATCTTCCCTCGATCCTAAAACACTGATATCCTTGTACTATCGTCACGAAAACAGCAGCCCCGCCGCATAAAAAGATAAGTGATTAGTTGCAAGCAGAAAACAAAAAATATTCAGGAAAACAAAGACTCCATTTCGTCTCTTCTCCGCCTGTTGCCCAGTGATGAACGCAGGGTATAACTCTCTATACAAGAATACAGTATATGCACGCTCCCATGGTATCTGCAAAATCGGAATAAACGCCTTATATCCGCGTCTCTTCAAAAAACATTTTTCGATGATGATAATGACGATGCCGCCGGAACGTAGAAGGGAAAAAATGGAAACAAAAAATTTGGACAGATACAGAACGGTAACGGGGAAATAATGCGTCTGCTAGGATGCCTGAGTTGAGGGTATGTAATGATCAATGGAGTGAGAGTCAATCGCCGTTGTTTACTAAATCCATCATAGATCTTTGCCGCTTTTTGTAAGGAGGCGGACCAGATCTTTCAATCATAGACGCTGGTCCACGAGGCGGGGCACTTCCAAATTTAGTCCTTGGTGACGAGAAAGGTAATGGACCCGAGAATTTCGTGAACTTTCGTTTATTCTTCTTCCTAGGGGGAAGACGATTGTCGTTGAATGGCCGTACATTCTCATCTTCATCGTCGTCCCTAGAGGGCTCACCAGACCAGTTGCTTGTCTGGGAAGGTGATCGGGATGGTTCTGACCTGGGTGATAAGGATTCACGGAATCGTCTTCCCAATGATGCTTTTGCTTGCTCCAGCTCATCGATCCTGAGTGCATGGTCCTCGAGAGTCATTTTCAAATGTTCATCCTCTGTAGCTCCCTGTTGGTCTTCCAGTCCTTTGATTGCCTTTTGGAGGTCCTCGATAGAACTGTAGGTGAATTTATCAAGTTGCTCATTGGCTCTTTGAAGATCCGACAACTCTAGTGTAGTCGCCTTGTGTTTATCCACTAGTTGTGTGAGCTGATAGTTCAAATTTTCAACGTGCTGTTGAAGCGCAACCTCCACATTCTCGATGCTCTGTTTGGTATCCTCCAAACCACTTGCAGTGAGTATATCACTGATTCTCTGCTCTATATTCTGTATTTGATCCTGGACTTCTTTCACCCGCGCAACCAGCTTCTGCTCAACAGTTTGTACTTTGCTTTCTGTTGACTGAGCTAGAGCTGTGTGATGATCCTTCTGCTGCCGTGTTTGAGCTTTCAATTCATCGACGTTGCCGGACATGGAAGCAAGTTCCCCGACCAGCCGATCCTTTTCCTTGGTCAGTTCACCCAAAGTCTGCAGTAGCTGCTCGTGTTTTTGCCGATTTTCTTCAACATATGAGGAGAGCTTTTGGTCCAATTTCTTGAGCTCAGCATAACTCTTCTGTAGTTCAGAGATTTTTTGGATAGCATCTTGCCAATTCTTTTGCATTTCAATCATTGCAGCTGAATTGGCACTGTCCGCTGTGTTTGGCTCGGCATTCGGGCGTATTTGCCTTGTTTGTGCTTGAAGAATGGTTAGTTGCTGCCTATGATTTTCAACGATATCGGGAAGCTCGCGAAGTCTTGAAATCTGCGCAAGATGCATCTCGATGACTTGAAATCTATCAACGACAGCACGTAACACAGGAGCGGGCGGAAATTGGTTTTGTATTAGAGGTATGGCCTGATGAGCGAGCGCCTCGGCAGTGATTGTACTGTAACGAGACTCAAGCGAGCGGACCGCAATCTCGACAGTTTCCATGCGTTGATTGTGTAGCTCTGCAGAATCTACCAAGCTGGCTACTGCTTCCAATTGCTTGAGTGGTCCATTGTCCTTCAACTGTGAAATCGCCTTCTCCAAATCAGAAGCTACTTCGGCTTTGATTTTACTAGTCGTTTCCTCCAGGTTTTTCTCCATCATCTTCTGCTTCTCCTCGATATCGTCGCACAAAATACGGTCTTTATATTCATTCAGTGCTTTCATGCCTTCTATCTCCTCTTTGATCTTAGCCACTTCCTTGTCAAGTAGCAACAACAACGTTTCGGTCTGGGCTGCAGTCCCGGATATGGGGCGATTTGCACCTTCGATTGCTTGAAGACGACTGACTATCTGGTTAACGCTCTTTGTCAAAACGTCATACCCGGGTGTAGGATTTGTTCCCTGAATTGACGATTCTAGAGTCTTAACACGCTCTTCTAACGCCTTCACAGTCGCTTGAGCGACGCCACTGGGTGTGCTCTGCCCCTCAACACTCTTGCGCGGAGAATCGTGGAATCTCGCAGGCGATCGCTCATTCGAGATAGCTTTTATGCGATCATGTATGCTGCCTATTTCTGAGAATATCTTGTCTATCCGCTCTCGAGTTCTTTTCACTGATTCAAAGTCATGATCCTGGTTTTGTTTGAGTTTTCGAAGAGTCTCGGCTTGAGATTCTAAAGCTCGATCCAGCTCCGTGGCCCGTTTGTCACTGGCTGCCCGAGAGTCTCTGGTAAACCTTAGCATTTCGTCTCTGACATTTTGAAGCGACTGCTTGGTGGACGTGCTTTCAGCTTGGATATCCTTCAGCACATCCGGGGATATGGTTTGGCCCTTTGATTCCATATCCACAAGCGCTGCAGCACGTTTAGTTAAATTTTTCTGATTTTCTTTGCGGGCAGTCAATTGTTCTTTGAGAGACTCAACATCCTTGCTCTGGGTTTCACGAATCCGACTAACGAGATCTCTCGCCGCTGGGAATTGGCTCAAGTTTCGAAGTTTTTCATAGTGTTGGTTAATGCCCAACTGAGCTTTCTTTGCCTTTGCATATTCGTTCTTAAGTGTAGTAGCAGTGGACACCTCTGAGGACAAGCTCGCTAGGCTTTCAATCAGCTTCTCTCCGTATGACTTGGGTTTCGCGGATGGTGTTGAGTCCGGGACATTGGGGACTGCAGAAGTAGCTGATGGGCCGGTTTCTGGTCTTGCGGCACGTCGCGGGTCGCGTGCCGGGAATTGTTTATTCGATTTTGCCGCGGGGGGGAAGGCTCTCGAGATCTCGGCCATATTGTATCACAGTTTGCCAGAGACTCTCAAGCCAGGATTGAAATTAGAAATCTATCTGATTATAAACATAATATTAGAAATCAAGTGCTTGCTCATGAGCAGGCACCAAAACTTCAAATGGGAGTGCAAAATGGCTCACCATGTGGAAGCCATAGTAAATGAAGAATATGTGAGTATCACAGGCTTCTTTTTATTTTGCTAAAAAAAAAAAAAATGAGCTTCAGCTTATACGGGAGATCGCCCTCCAATGTATAAGACAACAGACGAAGAGAATAGTAGGTGATAAGGGGATCAGACAGAGATGTGGTCAAGCTAAGAGATGATGAAATAACTTGACAAGCGTTCACCCTTTGTTTGGCGGCGCGAAGGATTTAGAAAATATTGGGATATCCAGTCTAGCCGGATTGGAAATAGTGGAGTAGAGGGCACCAATCAGGACGTGTCTGGTGGCTATCCGAGGAGTATGATTGGTGCATTACAGGAGTACATAAAGGCGGCCAGGAAGGCGGTGAGGAACAGGCTAAGGGCTCTGAGTTCTTGCCAGATTCTGGCGCGAGCTCATAATCAAATCAGACAGAGCTTCATCGACGAGAGCAATCAATTCATCCTTCTTTGCAAACGAACCCTTGAGTTAGAGCATCAAGCGATATTTTCGGTACACCTATTAGAGAGGAATTAAGGGGTGCAAAATTGTTCAAGGCTACTCGATAAGCCTCATTCAAGATGGCTGCTGTAAGTTCTTTTTCCAAAAAGCTCGCTCCGTCCGTGATGATCGTGATCGCTGACCTCAGGTTGTCCCAGCCTATTTCCACCATTGCCGAGAGCAAAGAGCTCCGCGGTCTCAATCTCATTGCAGCCCACTCGCACATTCGCGGCCTCGGTGTTGATCCGGATACATTACAGCCGAGGGCTTCCTCGCAGGGCCTTGTTGGTCAGGAGAAAGCGCGAAAAGCAGCGGCGGTTATCTTGCAGATGGTCAAGGCTGGGGATATTGCTGGACGTGCTGTATTAATTGCTGGACCTCCTAGCACGGGTAAAACCGCAATCGCCATGGGTATGGCTCAATCACTTGGCGCCGACGTGCCTTTTACCACCCTCGCAGCATCAGAAGTCTTCTCCCTGGGAATGTCGAAGACGGAAGCACTCACTCAGGCGTTTCGCAAATCTATCGGCGTGCGGATCAAGGAGGAAAGCGAAATTATTGAGGGTGAGGTGGTGGAAATCCAGATTGACCGAAGCGTTACAGGGGTATGTGAGATCAAACTTGTGTTGGTGTAAAGTGGGCGCGAAGTAAAAACAATGGTACTGACAAAATAAGGGCAATAAACAAGGAAAACTCACAATCAAGACCACCGATATGGAGACTATTTATGATATGGGTACCAAAATGATCGATTCAATGACTCGAGAACGTGTGATGGCCGGAGATGTCATCTCCATTGACAAGTCATCAGGCAAGATCACGAAACTGGGTCGATCTTATGCGCGCTCAAGAGACTACGACGCTATGGGCCCTGACGCCAAGTTTGTTCAGTGTCCGGAGGGCGAGCTTCAAGTCCGCAAAGAGATCGTACACACTGTCAGTCTTCATGAAATTGACGTTATCAATTCACGTTCACAAGGATTTCTTGCTCTTTTCTCGGGCGACACGGGTGAAATCAGAAGTGAGGTCCGAGATCAGATCAACACCAAAGTTGCTGAGTGGAAAGAAGAAGGTAAAGCCGAGATAATTCCCGGTGTTCTGTTTATTGATGAAGTTCACATGCTTGACATTGAGTGCTACTCTTATATCAACCGAGCTTTGGAAGCAGAGTTGGCCCCGATTGTTATCATGGCCAGCAACCGTGGCAACACACGTATTCGCGGGACCAACTACTCCTCACCACATGGTCTGCCCCTTGACTTACTAGACCGCGTGTCCATTATCAGCACCCAGCCTTACACAGCCGATGAAATCAGACAAATATTGGCCATTCGAGCTCAAGAGGAGGAGGTCGACTTGTCTCCTGACGCCCTTGCTCTGCTCACCAAGATAGGGCAGGAGTCTGGATTACGCTATGCCAGCAATATCATCACCACCTCACAGCTGCTGAGCGAGAAGCGAAAAGCCAAGGAAGTTAGCGTTGACGATATTCAACGCAGTTACCGACTGTTCTATGACCCTGCTCGAAGCGTCAAGTTCGTAAGCGAGTTCGAGAAGCGTTTCATCAATGAAACCGGCGACGTCAACCTTGCATACACGAATGGTGACGCAATGGAAATTTCGTAGAGCTACATCCTTTCATCTCTTTTGTTTTGATTTGAGTTTTATGTCCACAATTCTTGTGACGGCGTACCTAGAGTGGCGATCTTTTGACGGTGGTTTGGATTTCAAAAGCAGCCCTTGTTTCTTTTCGTATGGACGGGGACTCTTCTCTACGAAGCATTTCTGATGTTTATTAAAATGTATGATATGACCATTTAAGCGCATTAATGGTATCTGGAGCTATATCCTGGCATTTTGAACAGTATAATATCGTACAAGCTCAATATGACAAATCCACATCATAAGAACGTAGTAACACCGCTCCAGTCATCCTCCGCACCCCCTACTCGGCGAAATTCTACTCCCTCCCCAAAATATCCCGCGTCATTCCATGACTGCATCATAGCACTATCGTAGGGGCCATGCGTCTCACCCCCGTCCCGCGCGTCAGACCATCTATACTCCCATAGTGTGCCTGAATCTGCAGCTTTGTTGCCGTCTGCAACCTGAGTGTCATCCACTTCAGGTGGATCAACCCAATCTTCGCCCGTTTCACGCTTAAACTGTCGAGTAAGCATCTCCCTCTCTTGATCGTATATCTCTGTTTGGCCTCTCGTTAAGAGCAGGTCGGCTGCGCCTGTTACGTCGTCAATAGCCTTCTTTCGCGCTGTTTCTTCGGGATTCTCTTCTGTCATTTCGACATCTTCATCTCCGTTGCTTTCTGCTTTTGACTTCTTATTTTTACTCTTGTTCTTTAGCTGCCATTTCGGTTTCTTGCGAAGACCTTTGCCTAATCGCGCAAGCGCTTCCAGGACCGTCTCCCCGCGTTGCATGTGCGTGATAAGTGTCCGTAAAAGATCGGCCGCAAGTATACTATCATTCTTCTTGTCGCGTTCTCTTCGTTCATTCTCCCTCTTGTCGGCCGCTTCTTTGGCGCGACGAATATCCTTCTTCGAAACACCATCCAGCCATGTATCGTGAATCGCGTCGGGATCTGCAGCTTTCCGGACGTAATTCCCTTGCTCATCGAACCGACCTTCTTCTTGTTCCGCGCGCATGTTGAATGCATCTATCAACGGCGCATGTGTCTTTTTTCCACCTGCTCCAACCTCCTCATCCATGCCCTCATCGACTCGCGCTCGCTCCGTTTCATCAACTTCGCTTTCACTCTCACTCTCCACATCTTCTGCCCCTCGCACATCAAGTGGTCTCGACAGGTCGACATGAACAGCACGACCACCTCGCGATTTATTTGCTTGCCCTTCTATTTCATCATCCCTTAAAAAGCGCACGTTTTTCTTGTTTTTCCTATAAGCTTCATCTTCTCCCATCTCCTCTTCGACCTCTTCTTCCATATCATCTGCAAACATATCATCGTCGTCATCGCCACCAGCTTGTTGTTTCTGTTGTCGCCGCTTAGCTCTAGCTTTAGCTTCTACTCGCGCATCGAATCCCTCGTTTTCGCTGTCTGATTGATACCCATCTAGATTAACTGCATTGCGACGAACGCCTTGGCCTCGACGACCGATTTCGTCTGCGTCTAGGACGGCGTCATCCTCGAGCTCGTCTGGTGCTAGTGCGGATGGGTTGCGTAGATCGAAGCGTGGTTTCTTGGTATTTGAGGGCCCGTCAAGTTCGTCTTCCGCTTGGTGGGTGCGAGCGTAATCCTCGCCGGCGCGTTTCGGCCGTACTGATCTGGACATGGTGTTACGTATTTTTAAATAACTTTTCAAGGTCGCAAAAATATTGGTGAAGCTGTTGTGACAAGAGAAAATTAAATGTTCATTGAACCGAGCTATCGTTAAGTCCGGGGTCGGAGCGGAAAATCATCCTTCCCATTTGCGTCACCAACAGCTTTTGGATTATCGATATTCGGAGTTCATCCTAGGCTACTATTTCTGTTCTGCTTTCTTCTTCATCTCAACCATTTTTCTTAGAATATTACATCTGTCATACACATATATTCTGATCAATCTTATTTGAACGCCATTTGTGTTGCCACTCTGAGCCTCCACCAGCTTCCCCGCACCGCGCTTCTGAACTGCTTGCTGAGCAAGTAACACCCAATGGTACTCATCTAATCTTCACACAGTCATTAACTACGTACTAATACTTGTCAACAGTATCGCTCAGGCTTCCTTGACCCAGACGCCATGGACGGTATCCTAAGCGGTGCCATTCGTTACGGAGCACCCACCCGTCGATTCGATGAATACTACAGATGTTATCCAGTGGCCATGCTGCCCGGCCCTGTGCGAGAGAATGTCAATCACGGAGGCAAGGTGATCATGCCGCCTAGTGCTTTGGACAAGTTGACACGACTACACATTACATATCCGATGTTGTTTGAGTTGCATAACGGAGCCAAGGAACGGATGACACATGCTGGTGTTTTGGAGTTTATTGCAGAGGAGGGAAAGATATATCTACCTTTCTGGGTATGTCTCATTCGTTTGTTATCGGATTATACTTATACTGACTGCTATCAGTTGATGCAAACTCTACTTCTAGAGCCAGGCGACTTGATCCAGGTCAAATCAACCGACCTCCCACCTGGCCGATTCATCAAACTTCAGCCCCAGTCAACCTCCTTCCTGGACATAAGCGACCCGAAAGCAGTGCTAGAAAATGCATTCCGAAACTTCTCTTGCCTTACCAAAGGAGACGTGTTCACATTCGCCTACAACGACCAAATATATGAAATTGCAGTTTTGGACGTCAAGCCAGACGGTGACAAGAAAGCTATTTCAGTGCTAGAAACGGATCTAGAAGTCGACTTTGCGCCTCCCGTGGGATATGAAGAACCGACTCGTACGAGCGGCACAAGCACACCACGCAGTGGTCAGATTCCTGCGCTTCATGGCGGTCTGGTTCATTCTCATGGAAGCATGGCTCAAGCCATCAACTACGCCGCTATTGCCCCCGAGTCAAGCGACGTGACAAAGGGTGCCAAAGCAGTATCATCGAACTTTCTTTCTGGTGGACACCGACTGAATGCCAAGAAGAGCAGCAAAACGCCTACCCCACAACCCAATACACCCGTTGCAGGTAGCTCAACGAACCCTAAACATCCGCCTCCTACACGAAAGACGAATGGTCCACAACCACTACGCCTTGGGCCCAACAAACTCTTCTTTGGCTATGCTATCAAGCCAGTTCCAAAGCGTGACGAAGAGGGCAAGATCATCACAGAGGCTGACGACAAGCCCAAGTTTCAGGGACAAGGGCAGACGCTGCGAGCGCGGAAGAAGGGAACTGGGGGTGATTCAGCAACACCAACATCTGGAAGTGATGTCGAAGGTCGAAAGCGATAAACCTTTGCAATCTACGTCTATCAAAGCTAGATCATAGTATCCTTTCTTCTTATGTTTGAGCATGGGAGGTGAAACGGCGTTCAGGCAGTCATACATGTCATCTAAATTCGAGTCTTGAATATCATTCATATAAGATGGTCCATGCTCTCTCTCCTAGGATCGAACTGGTAAACAACCATGTCGTCATCAACCTACGCCCGGCCGGCCACAAACCTTAGGCATCTCTTTACGCCCAGCTTCCATTTACCTCCCTTTTTTCCCCTCTTTTTTTTCTCCCTTTCAGTACCTAACACCCAATGGCCTAGCGCCCAAAACGCCGGATTGGTCCGTAGCATAACTTCTGCTATGGGGACGCGCATAGTTAAAGCTGGCTCCCGCTCATTGGTCCTGATTCTTTGTCTCTTTGAGACACCCTGTATAAGATCAGACTAAATCCGGGCTAAACCAGCCTAGAAAGCATAGATATAAGACGATATATGAAGATTTCTAGCTGCTCATTGTGGACTTAGGCACTCGATACAGTATCGGAATTTTTGAAGCAAACCATACAAACAATACTTCTTTTTTTTTCTTGCCTACCTTACATTCAAGCGGATTTCGCCGGGTCAGGGATCGATTCCCTCTCAGTCCCGTTTTTTTTTTTTCTCTTCTTCTTTTCATTTTGTACTTCTTTGCTTACCATCGTTCTACTTTCTTTCCCACGAGCTTTTCGACAAATCAGGACAGGCTGAGGACGATTTCATCTACTATGATCAGAGATTCAGGGGTAATGCGACGAAGAGTCGATAATGTGGGTGACAAGACAGGAGCTATCGTTGGCTGTCGAGCTGTATACATCACAGAGACTAGGCATAGTAACTGGCTAGGTAGTTTTCAGCATCTCCAAATGGCATTCACCATTCACAGTGTATCAGACTACGATATGAGTAACTCTTTCCAATGTACAAACGTGGTAAGCGGTATATATTACACAATGCCTCACAACGCAACGTCCCGCCACGATATTCCTACATGGTGAGCTCATAGACCACGGTTATGGGTGATATAGTACCTATGACCCGATGACCTAGCGGTCAAACGCTCAGTTGTTACGGCCACTTGTTGCCATGGACGCGTGGCGTTTGCTCCTGGTATCAGGGAGATATTCTGATACTGTCAGATCTCGCTGGCATAAATAAAACGGCTATTAGAATTCTGTTTTGTTTTTGCCGACCAGCGAAAAGAAAGGTTTCTGGTGTGACTGGCCTAAAGTGTGAGACTGTCTAGTAACCATCTACAGTCATAGGTATGGATACGTATCGCCCAATCTTTCTAACCACAAGCACAAGATCGAGTCCTGGACTCCCCTTTCCTTTTTCTTTCTTTACTTTTTCTTGTTCCCCCTTTCTTCAGATCTTTCACATATGATAAGATGTCATGAGTCTTCTGACATCGACCTACTCGTAAATGCGATGACTTTCAGTACTAGACCCAGCGCTTGTCGTTAAATGTGCGTACGGTGGCTGAGGAAGGGAGGCCATAGAGTAGGCACTCTTGGTTTATATAAGCAGACCAATCCCTCGAACAGAGATACGATGACATACTAGGAAGGAAGCTCCAGACTCCCCAGGCCAGCCACACTCTTCCAAGCCACGGGATATCCACAGCAGTTATGACAAACACTTCTCAGCCTCCCCTTCCTGGACATGAGAACCAGATATCTTCCATCCCTAGCACCTAGGTCCAATTAGTGCAGTAGTTAAGAGCTCTGAGAACAATCCTAAAAAGATTCCCATGCATTGTCGTTTCAAAACACTGACTGAAAACTAATTGATCCGTTCAAACGATCCATTGAATAATTCGTCCATGCTGCTTGGGTACTCTAGTCTTTAGCACTTTCACTCTTCGAGTCCATGGACTCTCTTTTTCTTTTTTACTCCTTTTTTTTTCTTTTTCTTATTTTTACTGCTGTTGCGGTTGTGCCTTGAAATTTTGGCCTAGGAATTGAAGTAATGTTCTGATAGGAGTCTCGGTATCAATGTCTATTCAGCGGAGCATCTCCATTGTTGGCTCAAATATGACGGAGTCGATTACCAGATGCCTCTCAATACAGGTATATAGCCAATTTTAGAAGCATCAAAGAAGCTGCAGTAGTTCAATTCCGATACATATCAATGGGCTTGGACTCTGAAGATAACTGTGGAACTGGAAACTCTCGACCACTCTACCGCTAACATAACCTGGAAATATGTAGAACTTGCCCATCAATAGTGCAGCACATCATCTCGCTCCGGTTGAGCCGCCCTCGCCCTCCCCCCCCCCCTTCTCTTCCTCGTATGACCTCTCGGACTACCCGCGTCGGATAACTGTTGAAACAACCTCCTTTTAACCATAAAGATATTGAGATGAAGGTCAAATCAACCTTTAAGCGAAGTGGATATGTAAGTTTATATAGTGGATATGGTCCGCTGTAGACCTCGGGATTTGAAGTGGATATACCCTAACATAGCGGACACGGAGATAGTGGGTATGTATATCCTTAATGTCGTCAATATATAAACATGTAGACCTACATTCGATTTATCACAAATCACAAAATACGGCCAAATAACCTGGAGACTAAGAAGGGTACATGTTACCTGTCAGAGAATCTAGCCGGGTCATCGATCGTCTCGCCAAGCTAGGGGATCAGCAGTCAAGATTATCCTTTTGCTCCTTTCTCTTCCTTTTTTGATGTACCGCCATTTATAGACTGTCTATACCCTTTACAATCGGATTTAGCTACATATTTAGGAATATGTAAGTTGGGTCATTTGAAAAGGGGCTACGCGAAACAATTATTATGTCATCTGCTCTTGGGGTAACGTTAGTTGGCGCTAGGCAGCATATAACCCAGGACGTCCTTTCTCTGTTCAAGAAAGAGCCAAAGTGGTTGAGCGGTTGGCGTGGTCACGATAGGCCTGACGCAGGCCTGCATGCATCGTCAGCTATATCGTTACCCTTACCCACCTGGTTTCGAACCGGCTTTTGATTCTTCCTCTTCTTTTTCTCTCCTGGTCTCTCTCTACTTTTCCTTCCCTCCCTCCCCCTTTGCTTTTATTTCTTGATATGGTATTCTACATTATTTGTGCAGGATAATTTATTCAAAGCAGTCGCGTTCGTGGATTTGTAACCCCTGAATTACAATACAAACATGTATGTAGACGACCCCTTTCCACTCATGCTGTCTCTTGTAACTCCATGTATCTTAGCAAGGCCTTCATCTAAGGTGTTTTGTTATCATTGATGGTACAACTAGAGAAGCTATATTGTAGTATTCGTGTACAGACATATCTGGCCTTTTTTCCCTCTTCACCTTTCATGTTTTGTAAATTCAGGTCGTATCGAGGCTTTCCTGAAAACCATGCCAAGAGACATTCTTATCATCCAGTTTAATAGAGCCACTGTATTGTAGCATGCTTGTACTGCTGTCTATGGCCTCGATAGTTATACAGTCGTGCATCCGGACAAGTGCAACCTTCCCTCCATAACAAAAGACCAAGCTCCCCTTTTGCCCGTTCTGTGCCAAGTATCGTATAATGGTCACGTTCGTAATATCTTGAGAATTGTTCTTGTTCTGGTTGATATGGAGCATCTGGGTAGCAATGCAGTTGATTTGACGATTCAATAGGTGCGTATAAGCCGTTGGTTTTCTCGTTCGTGACCAAATGGGTATATGCTGACTTGATACCTCGAATGCTCCTTGTTTTTGTCAGTGTGTAATTGAGTCCAAGTGAATTCAGAAAAGAAATGTGTGCGGGTAATATGGTACAGTGATGGATAGCTAGATGATGTGACGGTTCGGTGTAAGGTTATTCAGAAGCAGGGAAGTTGTTCTAGTCATGGACAGGAAGGGTTGCTCTGATCACGTGGTCACGCCACGTCATATGGAAGTTGTGGAATAGCTTCATGTTCCTACCCTTTTCTTTTCCTTTCCTCATGCTTAGTTTTCTAGTCTTTTAGCTTCTAATGCAATATTGCTTGAGCCCTTACAGGTGAATGGTATCACTACTTGCCTGTGAGATGTAATGATTTGTAATCTCAATATAGAGCGCGCTACCAGTCTGTAGGACAATGTAACAAAGTCATTAACGCACAAGACAAAAGTATATGTGTGTCGTAAACCTTGGTTGACAGGTAAGTCAGATCAGAGTAGACTTCTCACTTAACTAAGTTTCGGTGGTATTCTGCTAACGAGAGTGTCACAGAGACGAGGATCGAGTTACATCAAAGAGACAATGAGAGAGAAGTAACTGTGTTGACTAGCTTAAAGTGATCCGTGTACAGTATGTACTCTTATACCCTAGGTTGTACAGTTAATAAAAGATAGTGGAGTATAACTAAATACATGGTAAATGACTGTCCTTATAAATCCATTCCTTAACGAATCCCTGTAGTAAATCACTAATTCATTATTTTGAATCACTGATTAGTCCCTAACCCTAACTTGTCCTGGTTTGGTTTGGTTCAGTTCTTAGCTTCACGTTATCCTATGATAGGTAAAGCCCTAGTTAAGCTACACTGTCTTAAGTAAGTGAGATAAATCTAGTTATTGGCTGTGACGTGCTAACTCTCTGACAATGTGGCCAATAGTAGAAAGATGAAGTGATTCGACAAGAATGACTTGAGTTCTTCCTGCTGAGAGTCTTGTTAGATGGCCTAAGGCTACCAAAAGCTCGTTTATAGCCCACTGTATTCTTTTCTCTCCCATCCATACAGAGCCCAAGAGAACAGTGGTAAGCCCTCTCTCAGCCCTGGGGGCCTATGCCACATATTGCCAAAACGGATCTGTTCGTAGATCGACTCGCCCAGGGCTCCCTGTCTGGCCTTGGCCGTTCCTTTTTTTTTTTTTTCCCCTTCATTCTTTACTTTTTGGCTCATCATCTTTTTTATATATCATCTTTGTCAACTTGATACGATACGCAGTTATACGTATTATTGCATACAACTAAGCTCAGATAGGCTAGCGCAAAGATCTGGCTTGTAGAAGTGGACCGTACCGGGATTTGATCCAAGGTACGAAACTCTATCTCAACGCACTCTCTGAGCCTCGGCACAGAACTGGAAGATTTGGGGTGTATTTTTATCATAGAGTAAGTACTCTCGAGCTGTTATTCAGCTCATTCTAGTCTAAGTGCGCAACCATCGTGGGGTTATTCTATACCTCCGTTCATGACTCCCGACCCAAGCTTTCAGAAGATTCCGGAATGTCACCAAATATGGAGAAATTCGATCCACTCTCGCCATTCAATCGTCTTGCACCCTCAATTTATGTCATGGAACCACGAAGAGAACCCACAAAAGACGACAAGAGCCCTTCGACAATTCTCCTACCGTTCTGGATGAATGCACCTCCACGCGCAGCAGTTAAATACGTCGTTAAATATGCCGAGCTCGTTCCCTCAGCACGCATCATCTTCTTACTTACCGACACACGAGATTTCTACATCTCACGAGCTGCTCATGAGCTTCGATTGAAGCCTGTAATCGATATTCTCGCTGCTGCCCTGGCTGACAAGGAGGAAACATCAGAAAACGCATGTGATAATGCAGTATACATCCATCTTTTCTCCAACGGCGGCGTATTCGCAACAGCTCAGTTGTTACAAGCATACAAAACTGCTACGGGTAGGCCATTACGAGTGTCAAACATGATCTTGGATAGTGCACCCGGTCGACCGACACCGTCATTATCTATCAAGGCATTATCATTCGGTCTCCCGCAGACGATTATCCTCCGACAGCTCAGTTACGCGCTATTGACTGCCATGATATGGAGCACATACCTAAGCCGAAAATTCTTGAGCATGATGTGGAGATTATTCTGGAAACAACCTGACAAAAATGATGGTGTCGTTTACGGCGATGATCCATTAACATATACGCGAAAGACGATTTTGGATCCTGAGTTTGTTGTCGCGAGAACCTCAGCAGAGAGGACTAGGATGTGTTATATATATTCGGATTCGGATGAGTTGGTACCTTGGAAGGATGTCGAGGAACATGCGGCTCTGGCGTCGAACAGTAAGAATGGGGCTAAGGTTGTGGAAATGGAGCGGTTCAGTGGGACGCCGCATGTTGGGCATATGAGAAGTGATCCAGAGAGGTACTGGCGAATTATTGAGAAATATTTGACATAATCTTGGAAGTAGATACATTTAATATTAAATACAACAGACTTGGTTATAACCATCAGACTACTCTGCGTCTACCTAAGATTATCGCAGCAGGTATGGAAGGATTAGACAGCGCACTAACATGCCCTCTGATTTGACTTTGATAACTGTAAGCACTTCTTGGTACCAAAATAGAAGTGATGATTTGGATATGGAGAGGTCTTCCGCTGTCCAAAGCCGGAATTTATCTCTTAACCGTGAAGTATAGCAGAGCGCGGGCGCCCCCATAACGATTACAAATAAATAAGATCTACTGTAAGCACATGGGTGGACTTCAGAAATTCACGTAATAAATTGCCTTCTAGTCTTCACTCTGACTACTCATCTCCTCCCTCTCAATAGCCTTCTGAAACATAGTCATCGCATCTTCAATGAGCTTTTTGACAACAGAAATCTGTTCCTCTTTATGTGCTGCGTGTGCAGCCTGAAGAGCCGTAGGATAAGTAGGATAATTTCCATGGTCGAGTCTGAGGCTGATAATTGCTCCGGCCTTTAACAGAACACTTACTACCTGTATACGACCCATGGATGCTACCACAGCTAAGGGACTGCCATACTTTCCCGTCTTGGATCGCAGATTCACATCGACTACTTTTGTGATCAGCTCTTCGACCAATTCCCAATCACCCCTCCATGTGGCTGCTTCCAAGGCACTGCCATACAATCCAGCTTTGAGACTTTGTTCACTTTCGCTTCTTTTTTAATAAGCAAGGTAATAGTCTCAACCGAACAAAGTCCTCAAAGCCGGGTACTTTGGAACTGCACTGATTGCTGCTACTGCTAGCGCGCTAACATAATATCCGCTGTTGGCCTCCAAGTCCACAACCGCACCCTGTTCAATACGTAATTTGACAGCATCAACGTTTTTGGATTTAGGAGCAGCAGCAATCAGTGCGGTTCCATGGCGCCCAGCTTTGAGAACTTTATTCACCTCCGCGCCTTTTTTCAAAAGTATGTTGATAGCATCAATCTCTCCCGCAAATGGTGCTGTTGGTAGCACGCTACCATATCTTCCGCTAGTAATTTTCGGGCCCATAAGCATACCGGATGTTAATATTCCAGTATATATGCCCCTCTATTGGGCTGAAAGTTCACGTCCGCCCCTTTTTCAATGAGAAGCCTGACAAGATCCATGTTTCCTTCAGGCGCTGCTATTGTCAGAGGTCCAACTACCGCAGCTGGTGATCTGGCTTCCATACCCCGTCTTATAAGAGTCTCGCAAATTGATTGCTTCCCCCTTTGGTCGCAATCTCTAGGAGATTTTCACCAGCGTCGTTGACTACCGATAGCGAAATTTCAATTTCTTCGTCATTCCACCAGGGCATATGATGAAAAACGGCACATCGTTAAGACATGAAATTTGGCTGGATAAATCCCTGGTTTAAAGGCAGCGTCCAAGCCGAATCCGTTTATCCATATATCCACATAACCAGGCGAGTCAGTATGCCAGCTTCGATACTGCACACTTCTCTCCTTTGGAGAGCCAAGGAACGTCTTCAGCAAGTGGGACAATTCATGATCTCCTTTCGATTTGATTTGCGTATAGGCGGGATATACCCAGCATCCACTGGAGTAGTTCTCTAACCGATGGGGGAAACTCAACGTCGTGGTAGACTGATTACTCCGTTTATCTGACTCTCCATCTGACTCCTCATCTGATTGTTGAGGGATGTGGCTGACATCTTCCTTGTATGTCTCAATTAGGTATTGAAGGCAAACTTCAGCGGCATAGGGATGAGCTTGTTTGAGACTGAAATGTTTCTCCTCAAGATGTTCAACTAACGAAAGATGGGAAAACTTCCACACTTTTCTCTGTGAATCGTGAACGAGCAGATGGTTACAGAGTTATAAAAAAGATGTCTCCGCGATTTCTGCGACCATACCTCCTGTCAGTCCAAACGGATTATTATAGAAGTGTTTCGCTGTTCAAAAGTTCGCGGGCACACATTACCCACTCGAATGCTCGAGCCGCCAACTCCTTGTCATGTGGGTGTCCATTTCGTATCTTGCCGTAGATCTCATTGTAGGTGACTCTCAGATTCTTTGGGAGTTTTCCAAGCCTGTCTCTAATGGCGTCCATGGCGGTGAGTTCAAGGAGCTGTTTTACCTGCAGATTCGCCCATTGGAATCTGTATCAGGAACAACCACTTGTATCAGGGGGCTTTGCCTACTTACATTCCGTCGCTGCTGCGGGAAAGAGCCTGTTTAATCTCTTCTTGCAATGAGTTAGGCATCTCTCCCCAGTTCTCATGCTTGATAATCTCCTTGCTGATAAATGCATGGATATCCCTTTCGTTATGTTTTGCTTGGATTTCGACGTTGGGTAAATTCTGAAATGCAGTCTGAATGTCTCCGTCACGTCGCCTAGAAAGGAAAAACTTGACGGGCTTCTCAGACTGCGAAATTAGAAACTTCATCGTCTCGATTATATCTCTGCGTGGATGCGGCTCACACTCATCCAGAGCATCCAGTACAAAAGTTGTTGCATTGTACAAATTGACTACTTCCAGTAGGTGCTCTCTACAAGTGTCGAATGTAAGCTCTGATCCACTTTGGACACGCGTATGGTATAGATCTCGAGGCGCATTACGAACTACTTCCGATCCTCCCGAGCTCTTTGACGGCTAACGTACATAGCTTCCCAGGACCGAAAGTGGCTTCTGACGCTCTGTTTCATATTTAATGCGGTAAAAGAATGCAAAACCTTGATTGGAAGCATTGTCGAATTGAGCCCGGGTGATATGAACAACCTTGGATGCTAGAAAAGCTTTACCGGCACCAGCTGTAACAATTAGATAAAAGCTTGCAAACAAAAGGGAATAAACTTACGAGAACCATGAAGTCACAACACAACCGACGAGTCACTCTTCTGCCAGTTGATAAAATTCTGCTTTCTAGCAACGACTCACATGTTCCCCCGGTCCGTGCCTCCTTGACAGTGTCGTGGTATTTACCGTAAGGTAGAGAGGAGATTCAATTCAGAATCGTCATGCGTTCGTCGAATTCAGTTCTTTGAAAGCGTGAGTGGAAAATCACACTAAACATTACTGTCAGCTAAAGTCTTTCCACAGGTGAGGATGAAGTCTTGTAAAACCATGGAGACTGATGTAAGAAGTAGGAGGGGAACAGAAAGATATAAACAACAACTACTTACGCTTGATCGACATTAAGAGCACGAGACAGTCTTTTTGGAAGCTTTTAAGCCTTTTAATATCATCGGTGATACTTTTTTTTCTCATGGGCCATAGCATTACCCTTTTAACATGGTCTTTCGACCTTGGTGTCAACTTTTTCCTTAATTTGATTCTCAGTACTTCGATACGAGACCTTTGGGTCTTCAGTTCAGTTGCGACTTCTTTTGCGGTCTTGTATTTGTCTCTATTCGGGCCCTCGAGCATCTCGCTCGCATTTCTTAGAATGGCATCCACCTCAGTGAGTTTATCTGTAGGTCTTCAATATCACGCTTGGACTGTCTCGCGTCTTTGACGTACTTGATACAGCCAATGCCGAATCCTTTGGTAGAGGCGATGAACGTAATGTAAGCTGAAGCTGCTGACACTGCAGCCATCGTTGAAGCAGTCTAGATTCGATGTAGTGTAAGTTTTTAGGTATCAAAAAATGGCGCATGAAGAGAATTTTTGATTTTGGGTTGTGTAGATGAGGAGAATGTATGGAAATACTGGCCTCCTACCCTGTTAAATACTTCTCAGAAGGAGATAGATTCTACTCTGAGTGATTCCAGGTACTATGATAATTAAGCTTAGCTCTTTGAGCTCAATACGATGCCTAGGAGCCTATGCATATATTCTCTACATGAATTGGATGAACCCCAATGAGGTTAATAACAATTAAGTTACAAAGAAACTGAATCTAATAATATAGACTTCACTACTATTTAATTAATTACTTAGGCAGCATATACAAATTTCATTCTTATGTGCTTGTGAATGAAAGACGATAAGCACATTCCTCCGTACTATTGTTTAATCTGTAAGTAGGGCTTTTAGCATTATCCCTCAACCGTACTACCTGGTCACTAGCAAACCAATCAAAGTAGCTTATAGAACAATACACTCTTTCTTGCTAGATTTCGAAAAATTTTGACTAACTGTTTCTATGAATATATCAGTTAGAACCATGCTACCTTTCATGTTAATGACATTGTCACAACTCACAAGAATCAAGAAGCCACAGCCAATAGATTAGCTTACCTTGGATAGACTACCACGGATACAATCCAGGGCAGATATATAAGGACACTCATTTACCATGTATTTAATTCTACTCCATTGTCTTTTATTAACTGTACAACCTAGGATATAAGAGTACATACTGTACACGGATCACTCTAAGCTAATCAACACAGTTACTTCTCTTCATTGTCTCTTTGATATAACTCGATACTTGTTTTTGTGGCACTCTCATTAGCAGAATACCACCAAAACTCAGTTCAGTGAGGAGTCTACTCTGATCTGACCTACCTGTCAACCAAGGTTTTCGACAGACATTTGTGTTGATAATAATACTGGCCCGGTCCACAAGGTAGTTAGCATCCACAAGTGTACCTAACTCACTAAGATTTGAATATTGTAGAATATGGCTATAACATTAGAAAGGCCTCTACCTATTTGTACGATGTCAGCTTGAATGAATTAAAAATAGAAGTGAAGAGCATCTCAGTATCTGTCGGGACATATCCTCCTGTCAGGACAAACTAGCGGTGACTTACTGCTAGCGCCTGATGGATAACGTCCCTTGCTTGGTATATGCATTCTTGTGCTGGGCTATGGCTCCGGTGTTGTGACTGCCGAGTGCTGGCGTGTGGGATCCAGGGGTGTGGTTTGAAACTAGACTGAGTATCTACATCTATATACATGAATCAATCAACTTTTGCCTTAGAAGCATAAAGACTGTTCACTTCAGTATGTACATGTTACCTAGCTGGTGATACCAACGGTATTAAAACGCCAAAATAGGTTAATAGTACATTGGAGTGTCCTTTACGCCTGAATCCAGCTCACTTCTGGATAAATGACTCAGATCCTGAGAGACTTCTGTTTACTATAGCCAGGCTCTACCATTCCATTATAGGTATTGTGCAAAACAGGTAGGTGATCCATTAATATTCATTATTCATATCAATGGTTTCCATGTCTCCCTTACTGTAGCTAGTCAATGCAAATATCGAGACTTACTGATGTGTAGTTACACCTCGACTAAGTAGCAGCTGGTGCCAGCACCAAACTTGAGTAAAAGCCCTAGGGTTGTCTTTTATTAGCACAGGCAAATGGAATTGGATTCCTGGACGCCTAGCTCGGTCTGCTCTTAATACTTCCGTAAAGAGATGTATCTCCTGAGATCCTTGGACATGTTCAATCGACTGGAAACCTTTTATTCATGACTGTAAAGCCGTGTAATTGAACTAACATTCATTCTATTGTTTTTCTAAGCAAGTCAATATAAGTCCATAGATTTCCAAGATACAAGGAAGGAAAATCACAGTATAACGTCCTTCGAATGAAAAGATACATCCTGATAGTGATTAAACTTGGACCGTTCCTCCTTAATCTCCATCAAAATCTTGCGCGCATCCTGCAACAGCCATGGATAATCGCCTTCTCTGGGCAAAATTTTCAGTTGTTCCTCCAAGGGAAGTTTCGTCACGTTCATACCCCGCTTCCATGCTTCTTCCGCCTCCGGTCTCCAGTCCAATCGCTGAGGAGGAACGTTGGCCGTCGATATGATCCGGATATTGGGATCAATCAGCATGAATTGTACGGCATGAGCGTGTCCCACTTCCGAACTATCCTTAATTGTGAGGTCGGCATTGTGTTGAAGAGTGTTTGGCCAAACAATCATTTTCCCTTGGTTGATATCAATGTAACCCGCGTCTTGAACAGTAGAGCCGTTCTGCTTCATGCCGAAGATCTCTTCGAGCCAGACGGTGTCCCCACGCTCATAGTTAAGGTCTTGAAAGGCTCGGGTGTCGGATACTTGGCGGAAATTAAACCGGAGATTATCGATATTTTGTGTTTGGAAGACATAAACTGCAGAAGCACAGATGTGTTCGTTCTGAAAAGGAAGGTGTATTGTCAGCCAAAATAACATAACAAAACGGAAGAAATGTGAGCGTACAATTTGCCCTTCCACATGCCAGGGAACTTTGAATTCGGGTTGGTCAGGAGTCACAGCAATATCCATTATTCTCACGATGACTTGTAGACCACGTTGGCCATAGAGTTTCTTCAGATTCATTATATTCAACATGCGGTGTTTGTTTTGCTCCTCAGGTGGCAAATGCTCCATGATCTCTGGCGGGACACCAACTGGATTAAACTCTCCAGGTTCAGGATGCACGGCCTTGAACCACTTTCTTCTCCAAGCGCGTAATCTCTCTTCATAAACCCCTCTTTCCTCTAGTGTGGATTCTACTGGTTTCGGCTCTGTCTTACCTGGATATTTCTCCACATATTCGATGTTCTGCAACTCGATCCGGGCCTGAGCATGAACCGTACTCATGAACGGGGTGAGGACCATATTGAACATCGGAATAACTTTATCCAGCAGTTTCTCCAAAATCGGATAGAGGTTGCGATCTCTGGTGGGGTGAATATTGTTGATATAACCCGCAAAATAAGCAGTCCCATCAGGTCGGAAAAACACATCACTGGGAAGCCATTGAAACCGGGAGCTATAAGGACGCGACATGATATCTGCGCGTGAGGCGATATTCCAACTCAACTCCTGGCGCGAAGGGCCAGGATCTTCAGGGATTGGAAGAACCACGCCCTGTCCCATGCTTTCTATTGCATCATCAAGACCTATCACACGATCTGGGAGAACCCTGGTTTTGCCAAACTCCACTGGGAAGAATGATGGATGCACGTAGTCCCATTCTCTTTCCTCAGTGGCCATTTGGTACTCCTGTGATGTTCCCAATCCCTGTTCGAGAGTCCTGATAGCATTACACAACTCAACCCGAAACTTGTCGTGTTGGAAGAAATCTGCACATGATTTGACAACATCTCCGTGGAAGATGTTAATGAAGCCAAGCACTTCGGCAATCTGGGCCTTGAATTTGAGTTCATCCCTTAACCACCTGATCATTCTATCAGTAACTTCTGGGTCGTCCTTTAACTCAATCTCCCAGCTCTGCATGTAGCATTCGTCAAAGACCTGCAAATATGTCGTATCGTCAATGTTGGGGGGTTGCCTGTCAGCACAAACATTAAGGTCTCTCTTACCTTCCTAAACCAATCCTTTTTATCAGTGAATTCGTTCATCAATCGAAGCATTTTCTTCTCCCTGATTGTTATAACAGGCTGACTGGAAACGTAGTTAGCAATTATTGAGGACAACCACATTTGTGCTCTTTCAGAGGTTCAGCGTTGTGGGGATCTACTTACTCAATAAATCCTGCCTCGATATCTCTATCATCCAGTACGGACGGAAACAATGAACGAGTCCTGACTCCATATCCATTCATCGCCTCTGGAGTAAAATCCAATGGAAGACAAACTCCTGGTAGAGTCAGACGATCGTTGGGCTGTTGACCCTTGACAGTGGGAGTAGTCCTTGGAGGGCATAGCATATCGATGGTAATTGAATTGATTATTGAATTGAGATAAATAAATTGAAATGTCCGAGAAATTGACGAAGAGACTTGTTTCTGTGTATGTCTATCCCGTTCGAAGTGTATGAAAAGATAGAAGATGAAAGGGCGATAAAAGATATTGCCTCGTCTCAAATGGACCAGATAGACTTTCCTCGCGGATCTGCTCGGTAACTCTGGAAAAAGAGAAGCAAAGATATTAGAGACACGCTGACTCTATTCTGACCGGCTTTTTGGCATGTAACTCGGCGTGATATTCCGACGTCAACATTGCGGCAGAAGGAGAACTTGGTCCGGAACTCCATTGCGTGGCCATTGAGAGGGACGAGCTGCTTTGTACTTGGTGACTAGTGATGGCTTATGTGTATAGTTGAGATATTAATCGTTTAAATATCATGAAAGGTTTAGTTCATTTGATCAGAGGTCGGTTGGTTGAGGATGGAAGTTGGAGCTGGATGGGGAAAGGATCCGTAATAGCCCTAACCCTACAACAAAATACGTAGTATTCCTCACCGCAGTTCGTAGGCTGCTCATCGATTTTTATAGAATTCATATTTCTCCCAAGTACTCTATGAATATAAATATATTTTTGTCTAGGACTAACAGCCACGCTATGCAAATATGCCACAGATAAGGAATAACGTTACATACAAGTCATCACGCTCCGAGTTTCAGGTCCATCAGCAGTAACAAGAAAGGGAGAATGAGAATATAGCAATGCAATGATAGGCTACATGCCCCGATCCTCCGGAAACTCGTCCTCCAACTTCAGTCTGGCAGTAACATTCATACTCAACAGTTCCTGTATCAACAATTTAGCTGCATAGGGAATTGTCATTTTGACGACCCCTCTCGATGAACGACAACGTTGACACCAGTTCTGATAACCCATGAATCCACACTTCTCGCAGATGTCGACTTCATGTTTGTCAGACGACAACATGAGACGCTCAAGAAGAAGTTGACTTGTTCCGTAGGCGATAAGACAGTCTCGTTCCATTTCTCCGAGACGTAGCCCACCATCTCGGGAACGACCTTCGGTTGGTTGGCGGGTTAGAGTTGCGCGTGGGCCGGTGGATCGAGAATGCATTTTGTCTTGGACCATGTGTTTGAGTTTTTGGTAGTATATAGGGCCTGTGAAAACGTAGAATGGGAGAGGATCGCCGGTTATTCCAGACGTTAGGTAATCCTTGCCACCGTAACTAAAGCCCTTGTCTACCAAGATTGCCGACATTTCCTCGACGGGGCTACCACCAAAGGCTGTCCCGTAGCCATGCTGACCTGACAGAACACCGGCTTTGCCTGCAACAAGCTCTAACAATTTACCGACTGTCATTCGCGATGGGAAACCGTGAGGGTTCATGATAATGTCAGGTACAATACCCTGATCCGTGAACGGCATATCTGCCTGTTCCGCGATGATGCCAACGACACCTTTCTGTCCGTGGCGAGAGGAAAATTTATCTCCAACTTCAGGCCTGCGCGTCTGACGTGTCTGGACCTTGTAAATCTTACTCTCGCCTTCAGTAACTGAAACCATGACTTTGTCAATGTAACTTGGGTCCGGCAGTTTGTACGTCATGGGTGCTGGGTTATAGTCTGTTGGTCTGCCCGCATCAGAGCCCGTAATGCCAGCCGAAAAGGCGGCGGCCGGGACTTCCTTGTTGATATAAACTTGACCTTGACTAACCACCTCGCCGACTGCGGCTAGTCCGTCGCTATCAAGAAGAGCATGCTTCGCAATTGGGACATTGTTTTCACCGATTTCGGGTCCTCGAAGTCTATCTTCTGAACCGTTTGGATAGCTCTTTAAATTAGCCACGTACTTGCGGAACACCTGGCAACGTCCGAATCCTCTATCAACAGAGCCCTTGTTCAACACGAGAGCATCCTCAATATCATAACCCGAGTAACTCATGACGGCAACTGTGGCATTTTGGCCAGCAGGGAGATGATCATATTTGATGAGTTCGATGGTGCGTGTCTTGACCATAGGCTTCTGAGGGTACACCATGAGGTACAGAAGAGAATCTATCCGTAGGAATTGGTTGGAAGCAATGGCACCAATGGCTTGTTTACCCATAGCACATTGGTAGGTGTTACGCGGTGACTGGTTGTGATGTGGGTATGGAATGAGGCCAGCAACAGCTCCAAGGATAGTAAAGGGCTCAATTTCAAGATGGGTGGTGATATCGACAACATCTTTTTCATAAATAGCAATGTTTGAATCGTTCTCCTCGTTGACGTCCAAGTACTCAACTAAGCCTTGAGCGAGGAAATCGTCGAATTGCATCGAGCCATCGCGAAGTTTTCCTAGATGCCTAGAGTTGACCAAGGGTTTGCCATTCTCAACAACGATTAAAGGCCGACAAATTCGTCCATCATCGGTAGCGATATGCACTGCGCGTTGATGATGGTTGATATAGATGCTCACAAACTCAGAAACCCGACCCATACGTCGCAATCTCCGAAAGGAATTCAAAAAGTGTTTGGGTCGTCTAGTCATAGCTATTGGAGTTCCGTTCATCGAAATGATATAAGCTCCAAGACCATAGATTTCTTTTCCACTTAGTGTCGTTATATCTTCAGCTCCTAGCATGAACACCAATTTTGACACCGGGCCTTCTTCATCGTTGGTTGTGATGTGTGTCATCAGCGCCAAATTCTTGACGAGACCACACGCCTCTCCTTCCGGAGTGTCAGACGGACAAAGCATGCCGAACTGCGAAGGTTGTAGAGCTCGAGGGCCACTCACTTTTCGTGTCTTCTCGAACTGACTGGAGATTCGGGTCATCATACCCAGAGCAGCAATGTAACTGAGCCTACTCAAGACATGAGTCACACCAGCACGTTCCATTCTGAAACGCTTAAGACTCCAATTTCCGGTCGAAATAGCCCTGTTCATACCGTGTGTGATGTGATTTCCATGGAGCGCAACCACACTCATGGCATCAAAAATCTCGCGACGCCTCTTGCCCAGTACTTTTGTAATGTTCATTTTGATATCGAAACAGAATTTTTTGAACAAATCTTCGAACAAAAGTGCGAGAAGCTGACCTGCAAGTTCCAATCGCTTGTTTCCCACGTAGTCTCGATCGTCAACCATAGAAGGATCATGCTTCGCCATCAGAACGCGCCTTGCCATGTTAGCAACATAGATGGCTTTAGGCCTGAAATCCATATTGGTGACCTCAACGTGGGATATAACGACGGACGAAATGGCCTCGATAGCTTCCTCGATGTGGGTTTTCTTGTACCCGCCAACCTTGCCTCGATTGATTTTGATTTTAGATCCGATCCAATCAAGAGCTTGCTGCTGCGTAAAGACGTTCTGCTTGATGGCTTCCTCGAAATTGATGGCGAAGTCTTCTTGGTAGACATCGTCAATACCGGCAACAAGAAGCATCATCTCCTTGTCTGAGTGAACACCCATGGCCTTGAGGACAATGACCAACGGCACATCTTCGCTCAGAACGTTGTGTCTAAGGTAGAGGCGGTCCTTTTTGAGAATAATGTAACTCTTCGATTTCCGCTCATTAGACGAACTGGTGACGGAGGCTTGCACAATCTCTTTCTTCGGATCCGTTTCAACAATGATACGATTCTTGCTAAGTTGTTCCTGGACCAGAATCACCTTCTCTGTACCATTGACAATAAAATAGCCACCCGGGTCGAGAGGGCATTCATTGAGCAGGTGCAACTCGTTTGGCTTTTTGTTCGACAAGACACATTTGGAACTCCTCAGCATAATAGGCATGCGACCAATGGGTACACGGCGTTGTGTGACATTATCCTTTCCACGCTTGTATGTAAAATCCACGAAGATCGGGGCCGCATAGGTCATATCGCGTAATCGACACTCGTTCGGGGTGACGGTAGAGTCAGACTCCACGCTATCCTTGGGTTCATCGCTTCTGCGAGGACTTCCCACGTAGATATCGGTAAACCTATTAATCGTAGGTTAGATCAGATATCCGGAAATTCACAGAACAAAAGGGAGGCAAAAGCTTACTTAAGGAAAAAATGTGAATCTGCATCGCTGTATATCGTCGAACTTGCCTCCACGATCTTCTTGAGTTGAACCTCAATAAAGTAGTTATACGAATCAATGTGCTGCTTCACTAGACCCTTGACTTTCAAAAATGCCGGTAGAAGATTCCATTTGTCTCGCGCAGTATTGATGGGATCCGTCAAGGATTTGTTATAGTAAAATGGTTCCAGCAACGCATCGAACGGGTCGACTTTGCGATTTTTGGTGGCGGAGCGGTAGTGCTCCTCTTCGTGGCCGTCTTTCGCATGGCTTTGAATTTTCGTAGCAGATGAATTTGACTGCTCGGCGACGTTATTCACGGTGGTTTCCGATGCCTGCGCAGGTCTCTGCGGGTAGGAAGAATGTTGTCAGTTACTTTGACACGATAGAGGTGACTCAAAATATCAAGCTTTTGCTCTTACCACAGTCGATCTTGCAGCCGACCTCACAGTAGGCTGTGGCCGCTTGCGCGGAGGCATATTGTCAACAATCTTACTCTCAAGTCAAAGCTTCTCGTGTGAATAAGAGTCGTAAAATATATCACAAATTTTTTTTGAATTATTCTTCTTTTTTTACTTTAGAGAGGGGCCAGTCATCGGAGATGAAATTTACGGGATGATTAGATAATCACTTGATCTCGGAACTTGCGAAGTTAGTTAAGTTAACGTTAACTAGCGTGGATCATCTTATCGCTATTGATGCCTGAGGCTTTTATACGTATATGCCTAAGGCTGCTATCTATGCCTGAGGTTGATATTTCGAGGAACATGAGACATAGTCTCGACGAGAGCACTCGTCTGCAATGGGCAGAGCTACATCCGTGCGCTGATACCAAATAGGACCTTGAACACTTCATCATCGTCGTGTCTGCTTTTGACAGGCTGCTTTAGAATTTATGGATGATTACTGAGGCTGAAATGGGTTGCTAACTCTGTGTCTCCTTTACGCTGTCTGGGATTTAGCTTCAGTCTTAGGACCAAAGTTGAGTCCATGCACGTCAATTGATATCATTCGGGAATTAAGGAAATAATCCCAAAAGTGTTCGCTGGCGGACGCAGTGAAACGTAGGTAGATGAGGGGTACAATCTGGCGCCCAATGGAACCAATCAAGAGTATCGGCCAACTAGCCAGACTGAAGAGATACTACAACTTCACTCGGGATGGTGCAGTCTTGGCGTCCGTATAAGCGCTGAGCCGGGGAACCATCGTCTTGCATGAATCATTGGGCGGTTGACTACTTGCTATATCGAGTAAAACCGGCATCGGGATTTGTCAGTATGGATGGACACACACTGCTCACTCAGGCTGTGGTGATAGATAAGACAATAGCATTGTTGCAGGGTCAGAGAACCAGTCTCAAATTTTGAGTCTTCTGTCAGTCTGTCAGATCGATTGTGGGGAAGATCACATTCTTTTCATCTGTGCGGTGGATCATGGCGCGGCGAAAGCGCAACTAAGAAATAAAGTGGCAAGACTGAGATGCTGAAGAAAACATCCTGATCATAACAGTAGGATGGACTCGATGAACATATATTCAAGTGTATAATCGACCGAGGAATGCTCGATCAAGACCGTGTCTCTGTTCACAAAGAATTTTGAGGAGGAAATAACCAAAAAGAGAGAGAGAGAGATTTGTACCAAAAGGGTACTTCTACACCGCTTCCCCTCGGCACGGGCCAATGGCATCTGACATGCATAGTGGAGCGTGCTACTGCAGCCAATCAAATTCACCAATTCTTGATGATAACCCTAAGTCACATGATTGAGATGAACACTAGGTACTGGCAGAAGACAGATCATACACAACAAAAGGAACAAATTATTAACTGACAACACCATACTGTTCGATGGACGTGGCAAGCCGTAGTGGAGCGAGAAATAGGCACGGTTAGTTGTGGATATGGCCGAGTGCTACTGTACCAGTGGTGGTTGGAGCCTAGAAGTACCAATAGTTTAAGCACAAGGTTAAGGCCCGCTACCCGCCACTGATTCCGTCCATGGTACTTAATACTGTTACTTATGCCAGCAGGGAGTGCATGCAGCAATCTGGGTCCTGCAAGACGGCTGCGGCCAAAGAGCTCCCTGCTTCTAGAAAGAATTCGATATCTTCATACCCGGCCGGTTCGACCCAATCTCATCAACAGCTCTTCTGTTTCTCATTGATTAACTATCTAGAATCCTAGACTACGATGTAGGCACCTCGGAAGTCGCTTAGCCAGACCCTAGAATAGGCCACCCGCTCCAGCGCAGTAGTACGGACGGAGTACAGGCACAAATATGGAAACTAGTTTCAACATGCTCAACAGTGTTAGTAGATATAGTTAACCTGAAACACGTTGTCAATGTCCGGTCGTCGGATTGCATTATTCCATCGCTGTATTAGTCTAGTGACATAGTATTGCTATAAACAGGCATATTATGCTTCTCTTCAGCCAGTTCGGCGAGGCAAAGGTCGATTGGGCCTCCCCGCCTCGCTGGAGAGTTACCGCCATTAGTTAACATCTTACTAACAGCTGACTAGTAAAATTAGACTGTAGTTAGTAGTACGTGGTACTAGGCCGGACTACGAGTGATTCGATGGTGGGATTAGTGAGATTAGATTAGCAATTGCTCTCGCTACGGTACTTAGTCTCTCCGCTCCGTCCCTCTCTTTCTTACTCCTCCTCTCCTCCTACTTTTTGTCGCACTTTTTGTACATTACCCTGTAACAATTTTTCTTATTTATTTTTTTTTTCTCTCGACCGGCGACCTCTATTTGTACATCTCTTCTTTTTCTTCTCAACCGTTACGAAGTCAAACCGTCGCCGTTGTTGATGTTGATCGCCGAACAACTCCTCCGTACCCAATTCCCGTTATCCCAGCTCGAAAAAGACACCGGTATTGCTTCCTCGACGGTCCTCGTATCTGTCCACGACGAAGCGCTCCAGGGCAGAACTGAGTATCGTTGGTCTGTCCATTTTCGGAGCATTTCCGATATGCAATTTTCGTCCTCCGCCGTTGTCGAGTTCGTTATAGGGTGATCCTGTAGTTCCTGGCGGCCATAGTCAGCCATCTTTATGTAAGTCTCATTGTACTGTTTTCTTTAGCCGGGCAAGATCAGAAAAGCGCAGAATCAAGAACACCGAGAAATACATAAACAAAACTACCCAAAAAAAAGCGAAGCACACAATGTGAAGCCGAAAATAATATGATTATTTGCTGGATTTGGCCCCTCATCCCCTCCTCCCCTCCTTCCTTGCGTGGTAACTGCTCCTGCCCCAGAAGCCCAAGGACACACCGCCAACCGATAGCGCCTCCCGCCCCTCCCCAGCCATTGCTTTTGCTTCTTTTGAGAAAGCACCCTCAGTCACACAGGTCTCGTCGCTCGTTTTGACGTTCGCTCGCTTATCAACTCTCTTTTTGCTTTGCCTGTTCATTTTGTATATTTTTTTGGTTCATTTTCAGTTCCATCTTTTCTTGATCCCCGCTCTTCAGCTCCTGTCATTGGAGCGATTGATCTGTTGTCCCTCCTGCTTTGCTGACATGTCCGCTGTATAGCTTCCTGCTTTGCTCTCTGTACGATTACCAGCTCTCGACCATGGCTTTCAAGTCTGGCTTCAGCGAGCGGCTAGACGAGCTGCGTTTTCCATCTCCTCGTTCTCCTCCAGTCGATGCCCCGTTCTCTCATACCCCCCTCTCTCCCCCAGCTAGCATGATGTCGGCCTTTTCGCGTCCCACCACCGACGTTCGCGCCAACCTCCAGCGCCGATTCACTACTGACGCCAGCAAATTATCGTCCTGGAGCTTCTTGAACCAGCAGCCCATAACTTCGGCTGAATCTTTGGATTTGCTATCTTCGGTAAGCATTCCGTCCGTTTGCTTGCAATTTCTGTTCCATACCGTGTCTGGTCATTTCGCTGTTGGTGGTGGTGGTGGTGGTTGGGGGATGATAACTGGCGTTTGCTTTGATCAACATGGCTTCGAGAAGAAATGCCACTGCCGTTTGGGAGCTTTAAATAAATGATTCGATTTGTGTCGTCGATATGAGGAGAACGTTGGACTAACAATGTGGCTTTTAGGCAACACATATTCACAAATCCCAGTTGGTACGTCTATCGCGGGAGTAGTTCAGTTGCTTTATACTAAATCGCATGTCAGATCGAAAAGAAGCGACAGCATATAGAATATATGCGCGAGCAGAGGAAGCGGTTCGAGGCTGATATGAAGTTGCTAGACTTGCAACACGAAAGGGAGAGACAAGAGATCGACCAATTGGCTCGCGATCTTGCGCAGGCTGGTCTGACTGGCCCAGTCAGTGAGCCAACGACACCACCAGAATATCGAGACAGCGGCTTTCCTTCAGCGTTTGCTCGTCCAACTCGTTTCTCAACCTCTAGTGTGACCTCGTCTCCAGGTATCTTCAACATTTTCTCACCCTCACAGGTGACTTCGCCTCCGCCAGCCCCCCAGACAAGGAATGGTGCTACTGCAACCTCAAACAACCATCGCTTCTCTGTCCATTCAGTACCTGGATCCAGACGTAATTCTGAAGAAGAAGAATACTTCCCAGACTCAGTAGCCACTTATAGGCAAGGTCCATCGTGAGTTGCTCCCCCCTTCAATGCCTTCTTCCCATTCACACGATCACCTCCTGTCTTTGTATACCGTTCCACGACGACATCACTGTTCACATGGTCACCCTGAGTCTCTTAAAGAAGACATAACAGGATTGCCGACTGCCATTGTGAATTTGCAATTAATCGCAGAGGCTGGTCAGACTTGACTATAAATACGTCCTCGATCACCCTCACCCCTCAACTTTCTTCCTCTTTCTTTGTCTTCAACCCCAAATCATCAACACACTCGGTTTATCATGCCCTTTTCTCTTTTATTCTCCAGACACTCGTTACGTTGACTTGACTAATACCTCTCATTGCAATTATCAGCATACATCGTTATTCTATGCCTACAACGAGCCTGGCTGCTCAGTTGAAATCTGTCACAGCAAGCTACAACAGTCCAGCAATGGAGCCGTTTAATGCTGCTCGACTTCTCTTTGGTGATGAGAAAAACGATCCTAAAGACGAGGACCGTTTGCCTACACCTGACATTAAGAGTTATCTGAAGATGACGGACCCTGATGACAAGTTTCCAACACTGTCTCATAACTCAGGTATTGTAAGTAATTTAATACTCGAACTCTTGCGAAAGCTCAGACTAATCTGGAGTTCCAGCTTTCTGCCAATTCTGACGCGTTGGATTTGGCCAATTCTCGTGCCCCAGAGCCGTGGAGTTCTCACCACAGTCGCTACCGATCGATGCCACAGGGGGATTTGAACATGTTTCGTCCTGAGAACCAGTTTGGAAAACAACTGGGAAGCGACTCAGCGTCTACATCTCGCCATGTCGCTCGCCATTCTGTGGAGCTGAATATGTATCTTGGGAAGCAGGAACCGACCACTCCAACCGCTGGTTCCTCTGCTCGCCCAGGTTCTCTGCAGTCATCTTATTCCACGAATGACCTACCAACTGTGAAAGGAAACGGCTTTACCAGTACTGCTATCACGCCTCCCAGAAACCATGCTGAACAGTTTCATCAGCATAATGCCAGTCTAGGTCGTATCCCTGCTGGCGTTGCGAACCCTCGCTCGGCCAAACAATCCCCTGAACGCGAGGATTCGACTCTTGTTTCCAATGGCGGCCCACAGTCAGGACTTCAGGCAACTGCGACTCCTTTTGGACCCCAATTAGCTTCTGTAGCAAGTCCTTCTCTTGCGGGACAGAACGGTTCCTCTGGTCTTGCCAATTTTCAACAAGCGCAATTCTATCCATACACTGTTCAACCCTACGCAAACAATGGCGTCGGTGTCAATGGTGGAGCAAACCAAAATTTCACCGGTCAAGTTCCCTACTCTGGATTCAGTCAAAACGGCATGTATCAGCTACCTAGGGCTTCAGCACGCCCCAATAATGCTGCTCTTAACCGCGGCGGTGAGAGCGAAGCGCAGCAGATTTCGCGTTTCAACAATCTTCCCTTGGAGCAATACAAGGGCGAACTTTACGGTCTGTGCAAAGATCAGCATGGTTGTCGCTATCTCCAGCGCAAACTCGAGGAACGCAACCCCGAGCATGTGCAGATGATTTTCGCTGAGACGCATATGCACGTGGTTGAGTTAATGACTGGTTCGTGTCTCCCTTTCCATTTGATCTGGAGTTTGTATACTAACTTATCTGGCTCTCTGCAGATCCTTTTGGCAACTACTTGTGTCAAAAGCTCCTTGAATACTCGAATGACGATCAGCGCACTCGCCTCATTCACAATGCAGCACCTCAGTTGGTTCCTATCGCCCTCAATCAACACGGCACTCGAGCGCTCCAGAAGATGATCGAATTTGTTTCCACCCCACAACAGATTCAGATGGTCATCGACGCTTTACGTGGCCATGTTGTAGATCTGGTGCAAGACCTGAATGGAAACCACGTTATACAAAAGTGTCTTAATCGATTGTCTGCTGAAGACGCTCAGTTCATCTATGACGCCGTTGGTGCTCACTGTGTAATTGTTGGCACTCATCGCCATGGCTGTTGCGTGTTGCAGCGATGCATTGATCATGCCTCTGGAGAGCAACGTGCTCGTCTTATCGCGCAGATTACTTCCAACGCTTTCTCACTGGTCCAGGACCCCTTTGGAAACTATGTCGTCCAGTATATACTTGACCTCTCTGAGCCGCACTTCACCGAGCCACTATGCCAGAGCTTTTTGGGCAATATTCCTCCATTGTCGAAGCAGAAGTTCAGCTCCAACGTCATCGAGAAATGCTTGCGTACCGCTGAATATCCCATGCGCCGCCGCATGATCGACGAAATCCTGGTGCCGCGTGAGCTTGATGCAATGCTGCGTGACTCTTACGCAAACTACGTGGTTCAAACTGCGATGGATTTCGCTGATGCTGACAACCGTAACCGTATCATTGAGGCCGTTCGTCCTATTTTGCCCTCAATCCGTCAGACTCCTCATGGACGCCGCATTGCTGGCAAGATCGCGGGAGCTGAGTCGTCCGGTCGTACCAGCGGTAACCCAAGTGGTCAAGCTACACCCAATGACTTGACTTCTGGTCAACTTCCTGTCTCCATGCAGGTACCACCGAAGCCTTTCATGCAGTCACCACAAGGTGGATCATTCAATGGCAATGGATCTGCGACCCAGCCGTTCAATTCTCAGCAGCCACTTGTCTCATCAGCTAACAATTTCAACGTTGGACCTGCTACAGCTGGTCCGTCTGAGGTTTCAAACTTCGCCCATACATCCAATCAAGCCCTTCCTCAGAGTCAGGCTTATGGCAACGTTGGCAATGGTTTTTACTAAGTTGATTTTCTTTTCGAATCAATGCATCATCTACTCACTTTCCGTGCAGTACACGGACTTTGTATTTTACCTGAGACGATGCCACGATCTTATGAACTTACGGCCCCACACATGAACATGCGTCGACGCTATGGTTTTGGATAGGAAAGATGTTCGTTATTTGGACGCAGTCAACACGATTATCTCTGCGATATGATTGTCGATGCAATTCCAAGATCTTTTACCATACATTTCCTGTTTACAGACGTATATCATGATGGAATTGTACAACCCTTCTTATTTTATTCTCACTCATTCTGCATGCACATGAGGTATCTCTGAAAGTGAAATTAAGACTCGTTCCGATCTTCTTTCATTGATGCTTCATGCGATGTGCTTTGTTTTAACTGATTCGCTTTTTCCTCTCCTTCTCTTTCTTATGTTTGTGTATTTGCTTTATGTTATCTATGATTCGTGCTTTTTTTTCTCATTTCCTATTCAAATGGCACCTGAGAAATTATTCATTTCACAATGGACATCTCCCAAGGCCTATGTACACATGTTTTCCATTTCAACTCATTGACTATCTTTCTTCGTCTCCCCTGGTCTAGATTCTTCGAACAGTGTGCGGCGGGTGTTCACGTTTGACCATCGTCGAGCTAGCAACGAGGGGAGATCGACTGTATTGTCATTAGGCTGTTTGTTTCTTTCGGCTTAGCTCTAGATGAATGTACCCATACCTTTTAATTTTGTTCAGTACAGTAGTTTGTAGAGTCGCAAATAATGTAGACTTTTATCGAGAGAGATGATAAGGGTCGATAAGCATGTCGTGCACGGACCAAAGATGCCTTCTCTCTGCAGTAAATATTTACGACGCGCAGTCCATCCGAACTCCAAATTGACCTTGGATTCGAATTCTCCATCACCTATTTTAATTCTCGACAAAATACTCTCGAATAATTGCGCAAGGTGAATTCAGTTCATGGCACACACGCTATGGTTTCCCAGCCCCATCAATTAAGCCAGAGCTTGAGTCAGCAATGGCCCTGTCGAGAGACGCAAATCCGTCAACTCGCTGCTCTTCTTCATGTAAACATCTACTCCACCCAATTCCGCCGCAGAAAACAAGAATACTTTCTAACCATCCATTTAACAGCCTCGAATACCTTCTCCACCAACCATAGTCCTCTACGGTATCAGCGCAACATGCAAATCAACACTTGTTTCCGAAGTCCTTGACTCCCTTCCCACGCGACACGCAATTATCCGATGCGTTGAATGTATTACATCACGCCATTTGCTTCAGAAAATATTGATAGAAACATTGTCTGCGTTTGGGATGGCGGAGGAATGGGAGAAATTCGGCAAGGGAAGATGCGAGCATGTTAGCACGCTTTTGATTCTCTTAGGGGATATTATTTCGGCTGCTAAAAGCCGCAAAAATGTAGACGATCTGAACGGGGATAAGTTTGTGCTTGTGCTGGATGGGATCGATAGGCAGAGGGAGGCTTCGCAGATGCTTCTTGCGGCGTTGGCGAGGTTAGGGGAGATGGTGAGCTTTACTCCGGTCCTTTTGGGGGTACATCAGCTAACAATGGTAGATACCTTCATTGATTGTGGTTCTTATCATGAATACGACGCCTCGTCCACTATTTCTTCAGTCTTCGGGTGTGGCTCACATCAACTTTCCACCATACACACGCAAAGAAGCAATCACCATAGTTACAGCAGCCGGCCTCCCGAGGCTGGACGGGTTATCCGATGAGGATAATGACAAACTATCCACTACTTCAATGTTGGGTATCTATACCCAATTCGTTGTAACGGTCTATGACTCGTTGGTCGGTCCGACGGCAGGCACAATTCCATCCTTCCGGTCCATTTGTGAGAGATTGTGGCCTCGCTTTCTTCAACCTATGACAAGCGGTGAAGATCCTGGTGTTGGTTGGGACTTTACCAGGCTCCTACTACGGAATCGAGCCATGTTCAAGATGCAGGGTGAATCGATGCTGGTACATCATATTGTCTCTGTTCCGGAGGAAACCAGCAAAGAACAACAACAACACAAGACCAAGAAGAGAAAATTAAACTCCATATCGACGTCGACGACGCCAAAGCTCCCATCATTACCATACTTCCCAACCTTAGTCCTGACATCAGCATATGTTGCATCTCATACCCCACAACGCCTAGATACAATCTTCTTCTCTAAATTCTCATCTTCCTCCTTATCAGCACGCAACAAACGATCCCACCATAGACGACGACTGAAATTACTCTCCCAAACCCAGGCGGATGACGAGAATGGCCACAATAGCACGCCTAAAAAGGGCAAAAGAGTGAAAACAAAAATCACAAAATCAATGCTCAATTCAGCCTTTGCGACTACGTCAGCGACCACATCTGCTATCACCGGTGACAACGCCGCTAGCGGAGGCGCAGGCGGAGGAGGAGCAACACAGTTGACCGGCTCATCAACACTTTTGACAGCTCGACCCTTCACTCTGGAACGATTGATAGCTATATACCACGCTATCGATCCCAACCCACCGGCAAATGCTCTACATACCGCCCCTATAGCAGATGCGGTATATAATGAACTTGCGACTTTGCGTCGATTGAGACTTGTTGTTCCTGCCTCTGGAGGTAGTACCCAGACTGTCGGAGGAGGTGCGACGGCCGTGATGACGGCGGATGTAGGTGAGAAATGGTGTATAAATGTGTCTGGGGATTGGGTTGGGGAACTCGCCAAGGGGATTGGGGTTGAGGTTGGGGAGTGGTTGGCTGGAGGTTTGGATTGATGATTTCCTTTCATTAACTGGGCTCATTCATAGATTTATGATAATTGTAATATACAAATACAAGTGATGATCACCACGCTAACTCAATAATATTTGCCCCTTGAGAATATAACAGACGCGGCGCCTGTCGCTGGTGCATAGGATACTGATACTCTTCGAAGCGGATTTGGGTGATATTCCCATGAGTATCAGGGGTTGGTCCACGCAATGAGGTAGGTGATGGGACTATAGATCCATCCGCAAGAGAGTAGAAGCCAATATTTTGTCGGTCCTGGGTGGCTATACATGTCACTCAATGTCAGTGTCATAAAAGCTGTAAACCTCCAAAGATAGACTCACCACTGGCAAGTAGACCCAACTCTTTATTAATGTCTATCGTGTGGTGTATTTGAGGGGCATAGTTATCAAAGACCAGATAGGGTTTCGTCGAAGGCACATCACGGCCACGATGGTGCTTTTTGCGGTTATTCTTGGTTTCGCGTTTGGCATAGCGTAAGTCGTACATTTGAAGCTTTTTGAAAATGTAAGTAAGTCTGCCGTGGCAACCTTCAGGGAAGTGGAATAAACTTCACTGAGCGATTTCCTGCCACTACCAGTCGATAATCATCAACCTTTTTGATTTGTCCAATCATTCCCGGATGCTTGATACGCTGAACGCTGTCATTGCTGCGCAAGTCACTCAAAAACAATAATGAGTCCCGAAATCCAGACGCTATGATAGTCTGACTGAGCCATTCAACGGCCAGTATATCCTTTGACTGTCTCTCGAGAACGGTATATGTATTCATTCCACCGGTAGCGTTGACCCGAGTCGTCTGTAATCCATCGGATGTTCCGACAGCAAAGATGGGTTCAGAAGGATCATGTGGTCGGGCTGCAGAACACCAAAGCGTTATATCGTATAACGATGTAGCGGCGACTGGCATACCTATAACATGGTTCGTCATTGGGATTTGACTATTCCATTTGTAAGAAAAGAGAGTATACATTGCCACCTATCCTTCCAAGATTGAGAATTTAGGTCCGGAAGTAGCCAAATTCGTGCCACTGCGTCTGCCATCCCACCGCCGTAATGTGTACCTCTGTGGTGCATGTTAGTGAAGGAATGCTCGCAATCCATGTTATGAGGAGTCTTACAGAAGAAACCCGGAATCGCACATCGACATTGATGATAGCTGTATTCATTATCAACAAAGGACTGTCTTCGTTTAGAAGATGTCACAACTGACCTCATAGTTTACCAAGGAGTTGGACACGTTCTTGTCTGCGTCGTACGCCCACGTGTCTGCACTTGTTGACTCTGATAGCAGGGGACACAACCTTTCAAAAGGGGGAAGGTACTAGTCAGTCATTTTCCTGATCGACATGTATGCGAAAACAGACTCACGTCATCTTGGTAAAGCCTGGCATGCATGCACCTATTTAATAGTCAGCTAGACACCTGACAGTCCATGTCGACTTTATGCCATACCAGCAACAAGAGCTCCGGAAGGGCCGTGGCGAACAAAGTCAACCACATTCATGTAGCTCAAATTGCATATGCATTGCCTCTGAAGTTGACTGACATAAGCCCTTCCATAATGAGATTTCCTCACGAACGCCGGTAACGGGGTACTGCCGACTTCATAGGAGAGCCCAGTGGCTGCATAGTCCCTACATCGTGATGTTTTCACCCGTTCCCGTCGCACACGGCGATCAATGGCATCTTGACGATGGCGTTGCTGGATTGAGAGTAGCTGTGAGCCTCAAATTGCTTACTTTATATTCATGCGATCAACTATGGTAGATATACCTGGTTATCAAGCTTTCTTTTCTTGACAGCCTCTCTAGAATACTGAGAGCCAGCCGGAGCAACATGATTTGCCTGAATACGGTAGTACTTCTTCTTTTCGGTGTCTGTATTCTGCTCAGATCTGTGTAATGCAATGGGAACTATGATCCTACTCACCGAAATAGAACCCCGGAATCATTCGACCGTTCATCGTTTCTTGGCGTCTCGCGGTATGGGTGCTATGGTGGTGAAACAGCGGCGGGAAAAGGCACCTAGCGTATCTCTTTTACAGCATCGAAAAATGAAAGCTCAAGGTAAGAATTTGTGGACGTAAATAGTCAATCGCTGCGCTCCGAATTTCCGAAATACAAAACGTTTTGCTCCTTATCTTATCGGAAATGACGTCTGGCTGCTTACCTAATCATGTTTTTCTCAACAAAGTTTTTGGTCCAATCAATCAAAAATCAAATGTTCTTTGCTTTTGCGTCCTGTCGAAGCCGCAGTGGACAAATGAGGTTAATGGCTTGGATTTTGGTAGCTGAACTCATTTGCTAACAAAAGCCATATTTCCCACAGTGCATTCAAAAAGTACAGCGATGACGCTGGCGAAGACTGTCATGGCTCGAGGCCAGAAACGAGGATCAAAACGTTGCTCTTACCTTACTGCGACGGCCATTATGCTCCTCGAGATCAATATAGGTGGCCTGAATAGTAGACGAAAGCTCAAGCTGCATGGGACTGATTCGGCAAACTTGATCTCGACTGGATACACCTAATTGAGAACAGCGACAATGTCTATAGAAGAGACTCACTATGCTGAGGAGATTGGCATGCAAGAACGAGAAACCAGAGCGAAGCAATTTCGAGTATTTCAACGTGCTCTTCTGGGCTACCAAATACAATGGACGGTTTCCTTCCATTACGGAATCAGTGTCTTAGGAAGGGAAAGAGGCCGGGGATGGAGGGGGGGGGTGCGCTCCTTCCCTTTAAGCTATCCTAGCACCTTCCCTTTGTAATCGCTTGAACTCCTTCTAGTTTTGAGATGCTTCTTCTTCTCTCAACTCACCACTTCAACTTTCAGTTTAGTTAGCATATAGTATACTATACGCTGTCTTCATCGATATACTTTCGTCGACTTTTCATTCTCACTTCTCAGTATACTTCAAATCATTGACTCTGGGCTCATACTTTAGCTTGCAGCGTCTATCTCTATATACGATTTGCTCGTCGTCAGCGCTCTGAAGACCATCAACGCCGTTGATCAAAGCAATTCTAGGCATCATGGAGGGTCATGATACCACACGAGACATCACTGGCTCGACCTCAGTCCTTCCGGTTAAGACGAACGAATGGCAAGGGCTTCCTCAAGGATTCAGAGAACATAATTCATCTCTCGCAGAAGCGGAATTCGACGAAGATATTGATACACTCATCGAAGAGCTGGAATCACAGAATGATCACATGGAGGAAGAACTAGATGCAGCCGAAGAGTCGAACAGCTGTTGTCATATTCCTGTCGAGATGTTACAGACCAACACGAGCACAGGCCTGACTGATACAGAGGTGACTACACGAAGGAAAAAGTATGGCTTGAATCAAATGAGAAAGGAGGAAAAGCAACACCCGATAGTTAAATTTCTTATGTTCTTCGTCGGTCCTATTCAATTTGTGATGGAAGTAAGTTCTGGCCATCGCTTAGACAAAGGCTACATTACTAACGATGGTATGATATCCAGGCTGCTGCAGTTCTAGCAGCTGGTCTCCGGGACTGGGTCGACCTAGGTGTTATCTGTGGGTTGTTACTGCTGAATGCCGTTGTCGGCTTCGTGCAAGAGTATCAAGCTGGCTCGATCGTCGACGAACTCAAGAAAACTCTGGCTTTGAAGGCGACGGTATTGAGGAATGGAGAGCTACTAGAAGTCGCGGCGTCGGAAGTTGTTCCAGGCGATATCATACATATAGAAGAGGTACGATAGGTCATTCACTATTTCCCAAGCCACATTTCTAATTTTCTAGGGTACCATTGTCCCAGCTGATGGTAAAATCCTGACTGAAGGGGCCTTCTTACAAATCGACCAATCTTCAATCACTGGAGAATCATTTGCTGTTGACAAATATGTCGGGGATACATGTTATGCTTCTTCTGCTGTCAAGCGTGGTGAAACCTTCTTGATCATTACGGCCACTGGAGATAGCACGTTTGTAGGCCGTGCCGCTGCGCTGGTTAACTCTGCCTCTTCGGGCAGTGGCCACTTTACAGAAGTGCTAAATGGAATTGGTGGGACACTCCTTGCATCTGTTATTTGGACTATTATGTCAGTTTGGGTCGCTTCCTTCTTCAGATCAGTTGAGATTGTAAGAATTCTTGAGTTCACCCTTGGGATCACAATCATCGGTGTTCCTGTCGGTCTTCCTGCAGTCGTTACTACCACAATGGCAGTCGGGGCTGCATACTTGGCAAAGAGGAAGGCCATTGTACAGAAACTTTCGGCTATCGAATCGCTTGCAGGGGTCGAGATACTCTGCTCGGACAAGACGGGAACTTTAACAAAGAACAAGCTGTCCTTGGAAGAACCGTATACTGTCCCTGGTATCGACCGGGAGGAACTCATGCTGGCAGCCTGTTTAGCGGCTGGTCGAAAAAAGAAGGGAATCGATGCCATTGACAAGGCATTTTTGAAAAGCCTCCACCAATATCCCTACGCTAAGGACCTTTTGCCTCGATACCGTGTATTACAATTCCATCCATTTGATTCTGTCTCCAAGAAGGTCACTGCGGTTGTCGAGTCTCCTGAAGGTTATCGGATCACCTGTGTCAAAGGCGCGCCTCTATTCGTCCTGAAGACAGTCGAGGAAGATCATCCCGTTCCGGAAGCCATAGATTCTGCATATAAGAGCAAGGTTGCTGAGTTTGCTGCACGCGGTTTTCGTTCTCTGGGAATCGCTCGAAAGTTCGAAGGCCACCCTTGGGAAATACTTGGTATCATGCCCTGTTCGGACCCTCCTCGATATGATACATTTAAGACCATCAGTGAAGCCAAAACTCTTGGTCTTTCGATTAAAATGTTGACAGGTGACGCAGTGGGCATTGCGCGTGAAACCTCAAGACAACTCGGCTTAGGAACTAATGTCTACAATGCAGAAAAGCTGGGTCTCTGTGGTGGCGGAGATATGCCTGGCTCTGAGGTCTACGACTTTGTCGAAGCGGCTGATGGGTTTGCTGAAGTCTTCCCACAACACAAGTATGCAGTTGTTGATATCTTACAAAAGAGAGGCTATCTTGTTGCCATGACAGGTGACGGTGTCAATGATGCGCCATCTTTGAAGAAAGCAGACACGGGAATTGCAGTGGAAGGGTCATCAGATGCTGCTCGTTCGGCTGCGGATATCGTCTTCCTCGCCCCTGGCCTATCAGCAATCATTGATGCATTGAAGATCTCACGTCAGATCTTCCATCGCATGTACGCGTACGTGGTCTATCGAATTGCCTTGTCGCTGCATCTTGAATTCTTCCTTGGTGCTTGGATTGCCATTTACAACGACAGTCTCAACCTTCAGTTGATTGTCTTCATTGCCATTTTTGCGGATATTGCGACACTAGCAATCGCGTATGACAATGCGCCTTATTCAAGAACCCCAGTTAAATGGAACCTACCAAGGCTGTGGGGAATGTCTATCATTCTTGGGCTAGTTTTGTTTGCTGGAACGTGGATCACATTGAGCACAATGCTTATTGGAGGAGAGAAGGGAGGCATCATTCAGGGGCATGGTGAACGTGATTCTATCTTGTTTCTCGAAATTGCTTTGACGGAAAATTGGTTAATCTTCATTACACGGGCAAATGGGCCTTTCTGGTCGTCGCTGCCATCTTGGCAACTGATTCTGGCGGTATTATTTGTTGACATCATTGCCACCCTCTTCTGTCTATATGGTTTATTTGTGGCTGCACCAACATCGATACTCTCTGTGGTTCGCGTATGGGTGTTTTCTTTTGGCGTTTTTTGCGTGATGGGTGGCGTTTTCTATATTCTTCAAGGCTCTACTGGCTTTGACAATTTGATGCATGGGAGAAGCCCGCGAACAAGTCCAAGGCAACGGTCTTTGGAAGACTTCGGTAAGTCCGCTCTATACTGATTTCTGATATTCAACTTCTGACTGGGTTATAGTTGTTTCGTTGCAACGAGTCTCGACCATACACGAGAAGAATCCATGATTGTCCATCCGTACAACATATACACAATACTGGAACCTGTTCTTCTGTGTTATACACACAACTTGGATGATTCGACCTGTTTGATTCATATTGCATTTTTATGTTTTGGCGTCTTGTATTGAAGCAAAAATTCTGTAGACCTATGTCTGTATAATACTTATACTTTTTATTGAACGTTATTGCAAGTGTTACTTTCTGGCTTCCTGAACAACAATCACAGTCCTAACGCCTATTATGCTTAGAAGTCATAATCATAGTACTTTTGGACGCTTGTTGATAAAAAATGGAATGCGGAGAAAGCATGTCTATGAATTATGTACTCATTAACCAAGGACTTGAATTAGATATACACTACCATCGATAAAACACAAAGAAAAGGCAAGACGGGATAGATACTAAGATCAGACAAAACAAAATGATCTTAAAACAAGATAACACGCAAAGAAAGATGACATCAGTTGAGTAAACAGAAAACAAAATGGGCAAGGGAAATAGAGGATAATGTAGACCGGGGTTGTGTAGACAAATGAGATAGGATAGTATATACAACGTTTTGTTTTATTCTTGTTTCGCTCTCTGTTCGATCAAGACCTGGATGTGAGATAATCGGCGGCCTAACACACAGTGTTAGTTATTCATGTCATGATTCTAACGAGTCGAAAATATTGGTAGGAATAACATACCTTATCAATGTTATAGTCGAACTTCTCCAACGCAGCTAGTGACTCGTCGCGCGGAAAGCCCATACCTGTTAATCGTTGTAAAATCAGGTCGTCTCCCGTATCATTGTCGAGGGCCCACCCTGGTTTTCGGGGTTCGGGCGCAGCAGTAGTACTAGTAGCAGCAGGAGCAGGAGCACTGCCGTTGCTAGGTGATGCGGGCTTAGCGTTATCTAGAGGTGCAAAGAGAGCGTTCCAATCGTGATCACCCGCAGCTGACGTGGATGGCTGATCGTGCCCTGCTTGCGAAGTCGTCGATGTAGCTACGTTGCTATCAAAGTTGAAGAAATCTGCAGCAGCTGTATTCGGCATAGCAGACTTGGCTGCTGGAGCGGCGGCAGGAGTGTCAAATGAGAAATCAAAGTCATTCTGTGGTCGAGATTGAGCTCCTGCTTCGTCTTCTGACTCGTCTTCTGAATCATCTTCCTTTGCAGGGGCCAGGTTAAGATCGGCAAACGCGGCGTCAAAATCGGCTGGTCCTGCCTTTCTCTGCGGCTCTCCGGTGACGATCGGTGCGCCGGTGCTCGATTCAACGGCATGGGGGGCATCAGGTGCCGCAGTTGGGTCGCTTCGACTTGGTAACAGACCTTGGAATGCAGGAGGGAAGTCATCCGGTTTCCTATCAGCGGTAGACGTATCATAGCTAGGTGGAGATCGCTGAGCGTCAGGTGGTGGAGGCTGCGAAGTGGTCACACTACTGCCTGGAATTGGGAACGCTTGTAGTTGTGTTGAATCAATGGATTCGTTTTTAGAGTGCTCCTCATTGCGGAGTGGAGATGCTGGAGTAAAGTTGTCGTCAAATCCCATGGGTGCTTCACTGTCCGTGCTATCGTCATCATCGTCATTATCTAATTCCCTGATGGGAGGGAATTCACCAGTTCCGTTTGCTGCTGCTGCTGGTTCCGTACTATGAGTGCTTCGTGGCTTCATTCCAGCAAAGGCTTCATCAAAGTCGCTCGCCTTTTGTGACTGAGAGCGTTCACGAGCGAAGTTTCCAAACAGCTCATCAAAACTCTGTTCTTTTTTCTGCTCCGGCGAAGTTTCAGATGACTGATGACTCTCGCCAGCAGCCTCTGGGAAGGCTCCTGGTACTGAAGAGATAGGCGGAGCCGCTTGTTCATTTGACGCAGCAGGTGAAGCTACACGCGGCTCAAACTCATCAAAAGGAGATCGTGCCACAGGGAGCTCATTTCCCGCATTGTGTACTGACGGAACTGCCGAACCAGTCCGTGAAGGCGGCTCGTCTGGTGCACCGAAACGACTAGCAGGTGGAGATACAGCAGTTGAAGTGTTGTTGGATGGTGATTCAAGGTTATGTTCTAGTGGGAGGAAGATAGGGGTTATCTGTTGTGATTGAGAAGGGGCAGGTGGTTCAATTGTAGTTTGGGATGGTGGAGGCGAGACAGATGGAGTTGGGATTCCAGAGTTGGGGGAACTTGCAGAAGTTTCGTGTGCTCGTGTTGCAAGAGGTGATGCCGCTCCAAATGAAGTCGGCGGCGGTGGAGTGGATGATGCCGACGGCTGGGTGAATGAAGGCCCAAAAAGACTATCAAAGGCGGCATGGGTAGAAGGTGGAGCAGAAGAAACAGTTCTGTCAGACGTTTCTGTTGCTGTCCGTCTAAAGAAAGGATTTGTTTGCTGGCTGGTAGTAGACAACGCCGGACTTCCTACGCCGGTCGGGCTAGAAACCTGGCGACTCGACTCAGCAGCCTCCTGAGCTTCTTTAGCTAGCGTATCAATCTCACCCTGAATCTTGTCCCTTTCGCCCTCAACTGTAGCCAATTGCTTTTTGTTGATAGCAACTAGACCTTTTTGTTGACGAGCATCGGAGCGCGCTTTCTCTAACGCTGGCTTTAGCTGACTGACTGCGGCATTGGCCTGGCGTATCTTTTCTTTCAGAGAGGCATTCTCAGTTTGGTCAGCAACAAGTGCAGCTGAAATCTGCTCATATTGGTTTTGCAGATCCTGACGGCTACCTTCAATGAGAGCATAGTCCTGTTGAAGCTTTTTGGTCTCAGTTCGAGAAACATTTAGCCGCTCCTCTAACGCTTTGTAGTCCTTCACCTCCTTTTCATACATGGATCGAGCCTGGGCTAGACGTGCTTCAAAGTCACGCTTCTGCTGCGATGACTGCGTGAACTCTTGCTCGATTGTGGCACGCTTCGTCTGCACATTTTGCATTTCCTTAGATAGCGATCCAATCTGGTTTGACAAGTTTGCCAGCTCCGTCGTTTCGTTGGTCAATTTCTTTGTTTCTTCTGGGTCGTTATCACCCAAGAGATCGTCAGAAGGAGGGGGAGGCGACCTTGTCGCAGAGGCAGCACCGGTCAATTGTGGACCGAGGCTTTGACCAAACTGGGATGAAGGTACAAATGGCTTGAATAGTGAGGCAGCGGGGCCCTGTTGAGAGGTACGCGATGAAGGTGACCCAGGGGATTGGAACATTGGCGCATTTGAGCCTCCAGTAGACTGCGGGATTTGAGCAGGGGTTGCTGGTGTTGGTGCGGTAAATGCATCCAGGCCAAAGAGATCGTCAGCCGCCGAGCGTGGAAGTGGCGCTGGCGCTGGCGCTGGTGCCGGTGCCGGTGCCGGTGCTGGTACGACTGATGGAGGGACGGCTGTACCAGGTCGGCGCATACTTGGAGGAATCAAAGCGGAAGGTAATGTTGCGGGTAATGGCTCCTTCTTACTTCGTTGCTGTCGTACAAGATACATCGCCACGGCGAACTCATCTCTGGTTAGTTGTCCGTCGGCATCGATATCAGCAAGATCCCAAATCTGAGCAAGGACATCTTCAGGTAGTTGAGCATTCGTGAAAAATGCAACTGCCTGGTCGCCACTTATGATTCCGGCTTTTGCCGTGTCCACAGTAGCGAATATATTGTCAAATTGCGCCTTCTCTTGCGGGCTGATCAACCACTCGGCACCCGTGGATTGTGCGGAAAGGGGAGTGAAGGGCTGTCTATTCAACGGGCTCTGGGTCCGCTGAGATCCAGTAAACTGTGTAGGAATAGCCGGCACTGGCGGCACATCGGGAGTGATGCGAGATCCAGTCGAAGTACGGACAGCACCTCGTCTTGCTGCTGCTTCATACAGACCAGCAGGGAGGGTCGATGGGATACCCCGCATTGCGCCAGTTTTGAAAGAAGTCAACAGATGCATAGCAATTATGAAGTCAGTAGCATCAAGTTGGCCGCGCTGTTTAGTATCAGAGAGGTTCCATATCCTGCCTAGGACCTCATTCGGTAGCCGCGCACGCTCAAAGATCTGCTTTGCAGTTTCCCCTACACGTGCACAGGTGAGCAAGGTATTCGATAATCAGATCCGGATCATCACATACCTGACATGAATCCACCCGGTGTATCTGATTTCTCAAACAGAGAATTAAACTTATTTGCATCTTCCGGGTTCAAAGGAGGAACTCGGACGGGAGCTCCGGAGGCAGCGGGAGGGCCACCTGGGGGTGGGCTTGTCGTCGAAGGACGAGAGGGTGTACTTGTAGCAACTTGAATTCCTTCAAAGCGAGGTAAAGGGCCGGCTAATAATGATGATTAGCTTGACCAATGTCGCTGTACTTCATCTCCAGGGTGTACTCACGCTGTAAAGCCAATTCATCTGTCGGAGCACGGCCAGCTTGCGCGTGACCAATAAGCCTCAACACCATCGAGAATCCCGAAGGCGTGAGTAGGCCGCGATTCTCCTTGTCTGCTATCTGCCATATCTATATCAAGAGAAACACTGATTAGTACATCCCGCAACGTCGTTGAAACTGGGGTAGGAAAGTCAAGCATACCAGACCCAAAGTATCAGGAGGAAGCTTCGTCTTCTCAAAGAAAGGAACCGCATGTTCGCCAGTAACAACTCCCAGATTCGTTGTATCGGCCGCTTGGAACAATTGGAAGAATACCCGCTTTTCCTCCGCAGTGAGGTTCAGGTTGGGAGGAGCTATGAAGGAGTATCAAAGTTAGCTCCAATGCATTCCCTGAATGTGGAACCTTCGTAGGTAATTACGCACCTGCTTCCGCCATCCTCTCTTTGCTCAGCCGCAGAACGTGATTCCTTGGTCGTCTCCTATACCGCGCAATCCTCAAAGCTAAAAGTAATCACCTGCCAGAGACAGACCGAGTAACGATGAGAACCGAGCAACCAATATTCCCAACTTCAGTTAAGATGCGTTAAATACCATATGTGTCGTCACAGTCGAAAATAATGCGTGGATTATGTAGAGCACTGCGATCCGAGTCGGCTTGTTGTCAACTTCGTTTGCGGGATCGTCGAAAGAGGGCAGCCTAGGTAGTGATCGCGCCAGAAGACTATGGTCTCCACAGACAAAACCAAATCCGATGAATATTCGAGACTGAGCTTCTTATTCAACTGTACAAGAAATAGGTAAGCTCAGGAGCAACAAAGCTCTGATCAATGAGGGGGGATGGAGTTCGAATATGGACAGGATTGAGATATTGGAGGTTGGGAGGAAGATGAGGTGCTTAGCGCAAGCTAACTACATCCCCCGGGCTCCTCGGCGGTTTACCGTATTGTAATTGAATTACCATACGTCATCGCCTGCGGTTGATATTAGGCCATCACATGGAGTACGGTACTGTAACTGTTTGTATTGAGTGTCTATTTACAAAAAGGTCTATGATTGGTCGTTCTCCCTTCTCGTCGATGATATATCAACAGCAATTGGCTTGGAAATCCTATATAATAGCTAATATTTTAGGACATTTCAATTCAGACGCTACTACCAAGATACCTCGCAGTAAGGGATCTCGAGCGGAAGTTCCAAGGCTGTTGTCTCACTTAATGTGAAGTCAATGGTAACGGTATGAGATATATCACCACATTGGTTGCTACATACGGAGACAGACTCAAGATACCACCGTTTTCGAGCCTATTTCAGTACTTTTTCTACTATCTCTATTGTTGCAAAGCCTTCATCCGAGAACAATCGTAATAGACAATTCTGTTCAACTAGCTGCCACCAACAGGAAGTGATTCGAGGAATAGGTGCTACTACAATCATTTTAGGTTCGATTTGAACAACATCAAGGAAATTTTTGGGATCGAGAAATTGAGTTGCATGAGAAGACGCGACAAAGTATAAAAGGGAAACAATCTGTAGGAGGAAAACAAAGAGACTATTAAAAAGCTTGAACAGCTAAGATTATGGATTGGGTATATAACGAAGCATTACACAACCCTCTTTCGAAGAAAATTTCCGTCTGTTAGTATGTGTACGTTCGGGAGAGACGGACTTAGTATTCAGCCTCAACTTCCTCATCTTCCTCGAGCGAGTCGCTGGCAACCTCCTCGTAATCGCGCTCAAGAGCGGCCAAATCCTCACGAGCCTCAGAGAATTCACCCTCCTCCATACCCTCACCAACGTACCAGTGAACAAAAGCACGCTTGGAGTACATGAGATCGAACTTGTGGTCGAGAGCAGACCAGGCTTCGGCGATAGCGGTGGTGTTGGAAAGCATGCAACTAAATATATTGTCAGTATCCAGTCCTCCAAATATTGAATAAGTCTCATAACGTACACTGCGCGGTTGACCTTGGCGAGATCGCCGTTGGGCACCATCTGAGGGGGTTGATAGCAGATACCAATCTTGAAACCAGTAGGGCACCAGTCGACAAATTGGATGGTACGCTTGGTCTTAAGGGTGGCGACAGCAGCGTGCGTCTCCTTGGGAACGACATCACCGCGGTACAACAAGCAAGTGGCCATGTATTTGCCGTTGCGGGGGTCACACTTGACCATCTGGTTGTTGGGCTCGAAGCAAGACATAGTAATCTCGTTAACGGAGTTGGCCTCGTGAAGGGACTTGGCGGCAGAGATGACAGGAGCATATGCAACCAAGGGGAAGTGGATACGGGGGTATGGCACAAGGTTGGTCTGGAATTCATTCAAGTCGACGTTGAGAGAACCATCAAAGCGGAGGGAAGCAGTGATGGAAGAAACGACTACAGAGAAAATTAGCCAACTCGAATCGCAAAGCATGCAAAGTTAGAACATACCCTGAGCGATAAGACGGTTGAGGTTCTCGTATCCAGGACGCTCAATACCGAGGTTGCGGCGGCAAATATCATAAATGGCCTCATTGTCAACCATGAAGCTGCAGTCAGAGTGCTCCAGGGTGGTGTGGGTGGTGAGAATGGAGTTGTAGGGCTCGACAACGGAGGTACCATTCTGAGGAGCAGGGTAAACACAGAATTCGAGCTTAGACTTCTTGCCGTAGTCGACAGAAAGACGCTCCATCAAGAGAGCACCGAAACCAGAACCGGTACCACCACCGAAGGAATGGAAAACCAGGAAACCTTGAAGACCAGCGCAGTTATCGGCAACGCGGCGGACCTGGTCCAAGACACGGTCAATCATCTCCTTTCCAACGGTGTAGTGACCACGAGCGTAGTTGTTGGAGGCATCCTCCTTGCCAGTCACCATCTGTTCGGGGTGGAAAAGGCTTCGGTAGGTGCCGGTGCGGACCTCGTCGACCACATTGGGCTCCAAATCACAGTAGATAGTACGGGGAACATATTTTCCTTGGCCTTTATCCGCCAAAACTCATTAGAATGGGATGTTTATGGTTCGTCGATTGGAACGTTTTTAATTCCTTCACATACCGGTCTCGGAGAAGAAGGTGCTGAAACCCTCATCGGGCTCTTGGGCCTTGCGTTCTTCAGTCAAGTATCCATCGGGCTGGATATCAGAAAATTTGTCAGCCATGTTTCGCCGATGTAAACAGTGTTTATTGGGCAGCAGAATCGTGCATACCTGGATACCATGTTCAAGGCAGTAAAGCTGTGTAGATGTTAGTCCAATATATTTTTGTATTTTTGATATTTGGATCGTTTCTCGAGATGTCGTACCTCCCAACAAGAGTTGGCGATTTGGCAACCGGCCTGACCGACTATTTTGAAAAAAGTCAACAACGCGTCTCAACCATAACAAAGAAAACAACACGAGACGAGATGAGTAAAGAGTGTAGGATCAATACATACCGTTCAAACTAATAACTTCTCTCATCTTGCCGTCCTTTTGAGATACTACAACACAGATTAGCGATGTGATGTTCGATGATAATCACAGCAGTCATGCCACGGGGGAAAAAGGGGGACGGCAGACTTCCCGCATTCCAACGGAGGGGTAACCACGGTATACGTACCAAATAACCGAGCAAGACAACGATAATATGGAAACGGAGAATGAAAGAGAAAGGAAGAAAGGGGAGATTTCGAAGAAAGAAACTTGGGGTTATAGAAGTCAATTAAGAGTTAGACAGAACACAGACCACAGACCCAGAACTGAGCGTGACGAGACAGCAAAAAAGGACCCAACGTTTTGTTGTGGACAGGGAAAAGCAACGTAGCGCGGAAGCAGGGGCGTCCACCGCCTTTGCCAGCGCGCATTGCGGGCCCCCCTGGCGGTCAACTCAGTAGAGGGCTCCATACTAAACTGCATATTAAACACTACTAGAGGTACTAGTCCAGTAAAGCTAGGCAGTAAACAACCTTAGTTCTCGGTTCGCGTTGACGCTATTCTGTTTTTGGCGAGCAACATAATAAATGGGCTAACGTGATTGGCCCGTTTGTAGGCCGAACCAGCGGGGCGGCTAGTATATATATTTTTATTGGGCAATAGCTGTGGCCCACTTTGTATCTCGCGTTGATTGGCCGATCGTTTGATCAGACTCAATGACGCTTTGTCAGACTCTCCAGCAACTAAGTTAGTTGCAGAGTAACTAACTTAGTTAAATAAGTTACAGAAGATCGATCAGAAGAACAGTGCGTAGCATTGCAATCTGTTCTAATCACACATTGCCACTGTCATCCCGGCAGGCTGCAGATTGCTACATATAGGAATTACTGACGAGTCATCCCTTGGTCGTCCAAGTGAAGCACCTCCTTTATTCACCCACGTCTCCGCATGACGCCTTCAAACTTGCTCGTATATATTCCGCCAGCCAGCACAAATGTTCAGAATCAATTGCTCGTGTATGCCTAGACGAGCAAAGAACCACCCTGAGAAGTCCAGTGGATCAATTGACAACAGGCCACGCAGGTCATAACCCACATCTAATATCAAGCAGATCATGCATACTCCTATTCAAAATGGCTTCTACTTCTACCTCCGACTAAGCTCAATTCTCCTCTTCACTCAATTCGCAGCCGCCAATGTCGAAAAGACAGTCTTCGTTGCACCTCTACCATGGAGTATGCCCACAGAGAACTCGGCCATTGATGATCTAGGTCTGGACCGTCTGTCGCCGACTGATTTCATGCTCCGGACAAATCTAAATGCATCGTTTCCAACGGACGACAGACCATACGGAACTGAATCATGGTTTTATTTAGAGGAACTCAATCCGGGACAGAGGTATGAGGTGCGGATATGTTGGATGGCGACTGTAAGCTTCTCCTCCTTCCTAATCCAAACAATGACAATCCCTCCTGACTCGAAGAATGGCAGCAACCAACCTTCTTCTCCCTCACAACCTACCCCCTTCAAGAAGTAATACCTTCCCAATCCCTTCTGCCGTCGCTGCTCAATTTCTCCGACGCTCGTCTCGCCGGCACATCACTACCATCCTCCTCGCGCCCCTCAATCGACAGAGAAGACCATCTAGTCCCGCACGCCGCGGAATCATCAGACTCATACCTAGCCCTAAAACCCGCAAAAGCACGACACCAACACACCTCCCGTCTCCGCCGGAGTCGAAGCAGTCTCGAGAGAGAGCAAGACCCTCTCGCGCTAAGCTCCCACGCCGAATCAGTCCTATTCCTACGCATCTGGGCCGCTGCCGATTACTACACTACGAACGCAACACTAATGGCAAATGTGCCTCCCGTCATGGTTGATATTATACTAGATCCGTTTTTGTGGAATGTGTTTCCGCGTTCTTTGATTCCGACGGCATCGTATACGGTTGTTATTGCGGTGATTGCGTATTTTGTGGGTGGGGTTTTAGCGACATTCTTGAGTGATGCCGTGACGACTGCTACGAGAAAGGGTGAGGCAGCCCGTAACGATGTTGGCGTCGAAGAGGTTGAAAATAAGAAGAGACTGTAGATTTGGCTGGTTCACTCTACAGGCTCTGACGGAAAATGTACTTTTTATATGTACGAACATTGTACGATATCTAACTGTTGAACAGATACCATCAGTCACCTATATATCATTCATCTTGCCACGGAAACTATTTTATGCCCCAGCAGAATCATAGATGCCATGACGGAATGAATACACATGTTGGATAAATCAGCAACTCCCAATGAGCGAAAATCTCGCCTATAAATACAGCCACGCTATGCATCAAGAGTTTTTGGACTTTTGGAGGAATACACGCCATAACGTGAAGGAGCGAAGAAGAGGATTTTTTTCTAAAAAGGGAATGCTGGTTAGAAATCCCGAAAAACAGCAACGAGATCGTCCAGCCGAGATATCTCTCCAAGCATCAGAGCTTCCTTTTCGCGCCACTGTCGCAAAGTCTCTAGTTCTGCTTCAGTGAGATATTCTTCTTCATTTCCTCTCACGTCAATACGCTCTGTCTTGTCAAGGAAATCCTTCAACCGGTTCCGTTCAAAGCGTAGGCGTTGCAGACACCGTGACATTGCTTTGTAGATGTCATGGAGTACGTTTCGACCAACTCGGTCCGGATCATAGAACCACAGATAAACTGTTCGATTAGGAATGCGTTGTGCATCTTTAGGGATTTCTTGCAGGTCCACAAATCCATTTTCCTGCATTTGAGCAAGGACTTGGCGCAGATCCTTCTGCGCTATGAGGCTGACCTCCTGTAAGCGCTTCTCATCCAGTTTTCCCACCGAGAGCAAAATCCGAATCACTCGAAGCGCCAATTTCCCAAATCTTATCCCTACTATGCGTTCAATCTCAAAGTGGCGTAGTTGACGGGCAAGGCGTCGGTATTCCACGTACCATGCTGGTACGGAGCCCTGACCGCCACGCCGCGTGGATAGACTGTACGGTGGCAGGGCCAGGATATTGAGATGCTGATCGACATCATGGGTTCGTGTCGTTTCTGTGTCATCTTCGTCAAGGTCCCCGTGATGATTTCCGTTTACACCGTTTGCTAACGTTCGTTTGTTGTTCTTGGTTGTTTGTGGGTTCGCTAGCGGTCCAAGAGTCCCCTTAAGATCGAGACGAGGATCAATCTCGTTTGCAAGTCGCTGTAATGTAATTGCTACCGAACCTGTTTCACTTTCCTCACCTTCACGAGGAATTTCGATACCTTCTCGGCAACAAGACGTTTTGTATTCAATAAGACGCAGTAGAGTTTCATACACTTCGGCCGTAGCTGGTGACGTTCCCTGTAGGGCTAGTTCGACGAGACGACGGTTTCTGAGAACCACGTCTAATTTTTGATAATTTACACGAACCACAAGAGTCGGCTGCACTTTCCTTAGTATTGATGCTCAGTTTAGAAAAACCAACGTCCGTTGCTTACCCGTAATGTCTCCTTGTCCTCGACATCGTCCTCCTCCCAAGAGTTCTCGTTGTCCGATTCGTCGTCTGACTCTACACGACGTCGTTTGTGGGGGTTTTCGGAATGTCCACTTTCCTGTCGTCGTTTGTTGACGGGCGGGCGGGCATAAGCCGTCAGCCCGGCACTCAGATCAGCATCCATACGGTCGTTAAGGATTTCTCTCTTTTTCTCATCAATCTCCGCGCTTTTCTTCTTGCCTTTTGAGTCCAAATTGGCAGCCCAGCCAATAGCTTCTCGTTCGGCTTCCAGGGCATTATCTGTAAGACTGTGAAAATGGACATCTTTGACGCGACAAATATAGCCGTGTCCAGCTAAATAATTCAGCGTCGAATGTAATCGAGAATTAGATGCGGTATGATCGTCCCCATCCCCATTGGTAAGGCCGTTACCCTCGACACCATTCTCAGTGTTTTCGCTCTCATTATCTTCGTTTTTCATTTCTCCATCAGCGTTGCCATCTGCATCGTCCTGAAGTTCTTGAAGAGCTTCAAGATCGCTTATCATGATATGTCCGTGATATGCAATAGCAGACATGACCCGCGCGGCATATGAGCCCAGCCTGTCTTCCACCACTTCTAGGATTTTCCCCATCCGTATCAGATAATACGCGCCGTCCACGTTGGCTTCATAGTAGGTGAATCCATCATCAATAGAGGTAAAATGGTGCACCAGGTGCATCTGCACGAGCGCGGCAAGAGCATGGAGCAGTTGTTTGTGTGTGACTTTTGAATGTTCTCGAAGTCGTAGGAGCGAAAGACGACCGTATTGGACAAGAGTCGAATATATCCGCTGTGCGACGACGGTGAGTCAGAACATGGAAATTATAAAAGAATTGACCAAGTTCTCAACGATCAATGTGGATTTCAATCAAACACAGACAATACATACTCCGAATAAATCTCCAAAATTATCTTCAACTAGGAGCGTGCACAACTCCGCGGCATACTGAGAAGAATGTTAGTTATCGGAGCTCAACTAGAAATGTGTAGACAAAGCTTTTAGCTCACTTACTTGGGACATTTTGGCGCTTCTAGAGGAATGCCAACCTCTCTAGAAGGGGTAGAGGGTGTCACCGAGATAGTAGCATGAGCAATGGGCACGGCCAGAATAAGGTGAGTCAAAGAGAGAGACGTAGCCTTCGAGGTATCGAATTGACAAAATTATTGTTGCAGGCCACAGAAGCTGCCACTTGCTTTTTTTGGCACTAGCGCAACGAGTCCCGCGATTATTCAGAGTGCAAACAAGCCAAACAGAGAAAAAGTTGAATCATGTCCATGACCGCAGAGCACGTGACACATCACATGACGCGCATAGCTTAAGTAAAAAATCCGGTTCCGCCCGCAGTGACCCGCTTAGCCAATCAGCGCGCGGCTAACGGTCGGTCATCCAGGGTCGGCTCGGATCTTGAAGCTTTTCAAACGTCGGTTTGGCAGACCTAAACAGCAGCTTGTCGTCTCTACGCCACCCCAGGGTCGCTCAATTGCTCCCCAATTGCCGGCCATTTCTTTCTCCTGTCCCAATTCTTGCTTCCATCAAAAGCAACCATGATGTCGAAGTCTTCTTTCGGTCGTACGGCGCAGCGTGCGCTCCGGACACATCGTCGGGCCTTTGCCTCTGCCGCTTCTCCCAGCACTCTGTATGAGACCACCGAGGCTGCAGGCATTAAGGTCGCCAACAGAGAGCTAGCAGGTGCTACTTCTTTGTTGGCAGTTGTTTCCAAGGCTGGCTCTCGCTACCAGCCCGTCCCCGGCTTCTCTGATGCTCTTGCTCGATATGCTTTCCAGGTGTGTTGCTCAGTTATCCAATTCATCGAAGACGTCGTTCCAAAAGTCTTGTGGTCAATTACTCATACGTATCTTATCTTCTAGTCCACATACAAACGATCGGGCTTGCGTATCACTCGTGAGGCAGAGCTTCTAGGTAGCAACCTCACAGCCAAGAACACGCGCGAAAATGTCGTCCTCCAAGCCAAGTTCCTATCTGCAGACCTTCCCTACTTTGCCGAGCTTCTCGCAGAGGTTACCTCTCAGACCAAATACAGTGGTGAGTGTATTCTACTGAAAGGAAGAAAAAACTGTGCGCTGACATTGAATAGGTTATGAGTGGGCCGAATTGGTCCTTCCCACCATCAAGCTCCGCCAGCAGGTCCTCTTCTCCAACCCAGAGACTTTAGCCTTGGAATCAGCCCACGCATCTGCTTTTCACCGTGGTCTTGGTGAAAATACATTCGCTACTGCTTCTACCCCATTCGAATCTTACTTCACCGAAGACGGTCTCGCCGAATTCGCCCAGAGCGCCTATGCTAAGCCCAACATCTCCCTCGTCTCTGTGGGACCCAACTCCAGTGAAGTGTCCAAGTGGGTGAATCAATTCTTCGCTGGACACTCTGCTTCCCCCGTCGCTGGCCAGTTCAAGGTCAAGGACACCGTTCCATCCAAGTTCTATGGTGGCGAACAACGCACATCCAGCAAGGCCGGTAACGCCGTTGTCATCAGCTTCCCTGGTTCTGCTCAGTACGGTGCTTCTGGGTTCAAGGCTGAGGCTGATGTCCTCGCTGCCCTCCTCGGTGGTGAGTCCACCATCAAGTGGTCTCCAGGTTTCTCTCTCCTCGCCAAGGCCGTGGAGGGTGAGACTGGTGTTAGCGTTTCGACCAAGAACTACGCTTACTCTGACGCTGGACTCTTCGCCATCACCATCTCTGGAAAGGCCGATGGTGTTGCTACCGTTTCCAAGCGCGCTGCTGAGACTATTAAGCAGGTTGCTGCTGGTGAGGTTCCTGCCGAGGTTATCAAGAAAGCTAGTGCATTGGCCAAGTTCCGTGCCTTGGAAGCTTCCCAGGTTGCCGAGACTGGTGTTGAGCTCACTGGCTCTGCTTTGATTAACGGCGGCAAGCCATACCAGATCAGCGAGCTTGCTTCAAGCTTTGAGAAGGTTTCCCCTCAACAAGTTCAAGATGTAAGCCTTTACACGTTCCATTCTTTTTAATGTATACTGACATCTATTCAGTTGGCCAAATCGTTCGTCTCTGGAAAGGCCTCCATCGCCGCCGTGGGAGATTTGCACAAACTTCCTTTCGCCGAAGACCTCGGTCTCACCATCTAAGTGCAATCTTGTACAACCCGGTTCCGATATAAGCGTAAGAAGAAACACCAGGGACAAAAGAGAAGAAACTACAAAATAGAAAGATGATGAAAAATATGTACTAGATTTCCCCCTTTCCTCCCTTTTTCTTCTTACCAGCCTGTGAAATTATATGAAGCCTAAAATTTCATCATTGCGAGTCTACATCATAAATATCTATCTAGACCTGCTTTTTTTTTGCTGCTACTCAACCTTTTCTTTTGTCTTTGCTATTGCTGATGTACTTGTATCATTGGAATTGAGATATCTTTTCTTTCAATTTTTATCATCTACCTAAATATCAAACATTCGTAGGACGTTTCCCTTCCGTCCGAGGAATTTTGACATTTGTCATCAAGCTCACAGTTTTGCTCTTGTCTTTATAGCAGCAGAGTTGATCGGTATGAACACGTTTTTCGTTTTCTGTGGCATTTATTTTTGTTTCTACGTCACTTTCTAGACTGGTACCAGAGACGCGATGGATGACGATGTATATCATGGAATAGCTTCCAGGCTGACTGATAGTGAAGCTATAAACGGAATGATTCCATCATTCGTGTCGAGCACTTCAAAGACCGGACAAACGTCCACCGGTCCTAGCCAGGTCGGCCCCTTGGAGCTTGCTCTCTTATATATCTATCCATGGATACCTACGTACCGGATTTCCTTTGACGCTTTTCGGCTTTCCCATTCCGTTTTGATGCTCACCCTCACCGCTTTTACTCGCTGAGTAGAGCTGAGCACACCCCTGGATCTATCTGAGCCGTTCGTTATACAGAGATGTGTCAGGATACGTTGAAAAGGGTTGAACCACACAGGCTCCACTTATCACGAGTAAACAATGGTAAGGGGAGTATGAAGTATCACCACCAGAGAAGATATCCTTAACAGAAGTAGACACAACAAAGGTGGAAGAGATCCCCCATATGGCCGGGTGCCCGTACAAAGACACTTGCCTCCCCACAAGGGAGCGCGGACAGGGCCCTCTGACGCCACGGTCTAACGCGTTTACGCGTAAGTCCTCAGCGACAGGTGACCCGTTGCGGCCAAACTATACACACATTCTCCATCCTGACTGCGTGAGGTCACCAACAAAAGTGGATTTATGCGCTGACAGCTCCATATCCGGGATAGCCGTATAATAATCCTGTCAATTAGTTAAGTTACGATCCTCCTACACAATTAGTCATAGAATGGCCCCGTAACCTTCGCTTTCCAGCTCCGAATTTTGTTCAGCGCCAGCTCGCGACGGTGAACCACTTCTGCATCACTCGTAGTTCGTCTACCAAACAGAAACAAAATAGTCCGATCTTCTTGGCTTTTGTAAGTCAGTGCCAAAGCTACCCTCTGAGGAATATCGGCTGAAGTTAGACCAGACTTGGCAAAGCAAGCAGCAAGAAAGCTAATCGGCTTGGTCCAGGAAGCTGAGGCAAGAGCATATCGAAGATCACAACTTGGTTTGTCCACTAGCTGTTTGGTAGCCAACAGCCGCCAGGTGATAGAATAAATTTTCTCTTCCTCTGGAGACCTTGGCCAGTGCTGATCGTATGAAAATGCGTCCAAAAATTGGTTGTTGACACTCATAACTATTGCAAGTTTATTAGCTTGATCAAGGGCATCAATGCGATATTTCACTTCTTCAAGCATTCCAGAGATATCCTCATCACTAAACTTTTCTTCGTCTCTGAGAAAGCGGTTCAATGCCCCATGTAATCCAATATTGCTAGCCAAACTACTCTCGCCAGGTTTCGCGGAGAGATACTGTCGGGCTGCACAGTCCAATTTGCGACGTTTTCTCATCAGTCCAAAGCGCATGCTTCTTGTTCTCAAGAATTCTTGGTCTTCTTCTCGATAATAGTCACCCGATGGAATCATGCGTAAAGATTCCCAGCGTGCTTTTAATCGTGACAACGGCAGTCCACTTCGGCTTATAAAATGATCCCCCCACCTATCATCTTGGGCCGAAAAATGGATTTGACGTTCTCCGGCGAAAGCGTCCAACTTCTTGTATGTTTCATGAACTGAATTTGCAAATGCAATGTACGTAGGGTCTTCACGGATCTCACTCATTTCTTGTGATTCTTCAACGGCAAGGGCGGATCTCAGAATTCCAGTCGCAAGCCTACCTCCACATGCTCGTCCTAGGCTAGCACTAAGTGGCCCACCGAGGCTTACTGCTTGTGGTCCTGCCGCTGTTATGCCTGTTGCATTGATATGCTGAGATGTATTGGCGATTGTCTGGGCAAGCCAGCCTCCGGAGAAGCACGATGTCATAAAGAGAGTTGTTGGTACATCTCGCTGTAGAACGAGTTTGACATCATCCATCTTCAGCTTTGACAAAACATCTGAAACACGGCCACCGATAAACACACCAAACGTATCGATATCTCCGTGGCTAAAAAGAGATGCTCATCATTCTCTTTAGCTAGCCGCGATTGCTCTTTCAAGGTGCTTATGAAACGTTGTAAAAGGTTATGCCGTGGAACAACGCGTAAAGTACCAGATTGCTGGATAGCTGGTAGCATGTCCTTATCAAGGACAATTCTTCGCTCTCCTCTTAGGTCTCCGTGTTCATATTCTTTGTACTTGAGCACAAGATCGTCAGGTGGCTCGCTGGTCATCCAAATCTGTTTGGGGGTCGGACCGTCAACATGAGAAAATAGATGACGGAAAAGATAAAAGTCTGAAAGAAACCAACCGTCATCCTCAGGACTAGCGGCGCCGGCTTCATCTGTGATGCCGCAAATTGCGACGAGTCGAGTTCTTGGGCCTACGTCCGGAGGGCAGGCTGTCTGGAATGAAAGGCCCTTCAAGTCATCTGTCGTTCCCGTGGTACGCCCAACGGCGTTGAACCCTGGAATTGATTCTGGCGTGGTCGTAGACATGACGGGAGGACCTTTGTCTAATGCTTTCGTCAGAATGGTATTCCTGGTGCTCAGAGGTAAGCGCAGGAACTATGTCAAAGCACCATTGGAAGTGAAATGGGAGAGGTAAGAGAGCTTATTGCGAGACAGGTGAGAGTTGAGTGCCAACAGACAGGTGATGGTCGAGTGTCAGAGGGAAAGTACGAGATATATGTAGAGTATGACTGCCTAGAAATGAATGACGGCACACAAGACCAACGGAAAAGGAAGAACAAAAAAGAAATGAGCAAAATCTGTAGGCTGTAGTACTACTATTATTTCTCGTATATGAAGACTTTTATTTTAAAACGTCGGAGACGCCTCCACTCAGCGCGCTGAGTGGAAGTGGAAATGGAAGTTCTTGTCTCTACTCTTCCTCAAACGCTAACAGCATTTCCAAGAAGAGCATCTGAGTGAGATAGAACTCAATGTAGCATATTCAACATAAGTTTTTGAGAGGTAACTTGATAAGAAAAAGGTGAATAAGTAGCGCTGGACGAGGATGGTCGCTCGATGGGAAATTGAATCCATGTCACGTGACACAACTTAGTTAGTTATCGGAGACGTAGATAGAGACGAATCATATTCATCATCTCTCCACGATAGTGCGCCCGTTATAGTCAGCGTGCTACGCCCGTGGATCTCCCTCCGGCGCGGATTAACTATGTTTCAAGAGTCATGTGACCTACGTAAAGGGGTCAGCGTTGCTGTGGCTTTGCTGTAGTTAGCTTAGATAACCAATAACAACAACCAACACATCAACATGTTGGAAAAAATCACGTGCAATACGAGCGAATACGGAACGTTCGCGATAGGATACAAATCATTACCAGAAACCCCCATTAAGGGGATCCTCTTTTTGGTAAAGTGGTAAAAAATGTTCCAAATTACATGGGGGCAGATTTACCCGTACGAGCCTTACTAGTAACGCAGGATTCTGCCAGTTTTATTGGAGGCTTATATCAGGCAGACAGGGAGGACTCCAAATTATTACTTTATTTGATGAGCATGAGGGTTTGCCATAGCTTAGGTGACTAGGCCACAGGGACGACGTGATCGGTGACTCAGACGTATATGTACAAACAGCTTCAATTTCTCTATTTACAGAATCAAGCCCTAAGTTTTCCCTTTTAACATCTTTTGACAGCTTATCCAAAGAGCAATTAGCACTGGATAGACAAGCCCGACAGCATCGACAGCTTCAGATAGAGAAAGGCCGCTTTTCGTACGAGAGTAGATCTTATCGATAATAACCTTTCTCCTTGAAAACATCATATGATCCTTAGAATCTGTTCTCCATCTAGCACCCCATTGATTCTCGATAGATTGAACTGATGGATTGCCGTGTAAGCCATAATACCACTCCTCCCAAACCTCTCGTACAGTTTTGATTGTACAAGATAGTTGGTAAGTAGGCATAGTTGTCATTGATCCAGCCCTAGCCCTAGATATTGATTGAAGCTGGGATAGGGCTGCAAAATAACTTGTCCACAGCCACACTCTCAGTGTCCGCTCAGTGGGCACAGCTCAGACTGAAATTTACTCAGCGAGGCTGACTACGAGCGCAGCTGAAAATGGAAACCACTCAGCAAAGGAAATCTGGGTACGTATAGTCACCTAGGTACGACTTCTCGAGGCCGCACGCCTATTTCCAGATGTCGGGAGGTGATCAATCTGTGTATGTCTATAATTGGCTATCTATGTATACAACTAACTCTCGTCATGCAATTGACGAGCTCTCTCATTTATAATATAAATAACCTATTCTATAACCCTACCCAAGTAATGACACATCACCAGTATAGTTGACAGTAAGTGACAGGGGTATTCGAAGAATTGAAACAAAAAGTGAATATCTTTAAGAAAGGAAAGATCTAGTCATAGCAATGCATGTCGTTGGGTGAGGGGTATTTCAAACCCTCCTAGTGCTTTGCAGTGACTTTCTCACCGGTAAGCTTTTCTACGGCATCTTTGGCACTGTTATTTGTTAGCTAGGCGACCAGACTTGAGGGTCATGGAGGAGACTTACAGATCACCGAGAGCCACCATGCACACAGTCTGCCACATTCCTAGACCGATACGAGGAGCGACTCCTCGGTACAGACCCTTGATACCATTAGTCTCGTAAATGTACTTGAAGGTCTTGCCAACAGTCAAGTTCTTAGGTCGGTTGGGATCATCAGTCTTGCTCTGCATCTCAACACGGATAACTTCAATAGGCTGATTCCACGCGGACAAACCACCACCCATTCCAGAGGCAATAATCTTTTCACCCGCGCTCAATTTCTGACTATCATCCTTGCCGGTCACGCTGCGGATGGCGTTCTCTGTCAATCGGGAAAGACCAAATCGAGAACCCCAGTTGGTTGTCTGGCGGATTGCGACGGCATTGACACCCTTGTTGATACCGCGGATACCTTCCTTGCGGTAAATATCCATGAAGGTTTGCCAGGTGCTAGGGGGTTTGACACCGCTAGCAGACATCTTGTGCCGGGTGATCTCGACGGTTTTCATGCATGTACAGAATCCGACGGTTGCGTAGGCCTGAGCAACACCACCCGTCATACCAGCAAGGATACCGGCGCCAAAGTCAGATGCGCCGAGGCGTTTGGTATAAAATTCGGCTTCGGAGGCGACGAAAAGCAGCACGGCACCTTTGGTAGAAGCCTCAATCCAGGCCCAGGGAATGAGACCTTGGTAGTCTAGACAACGATTAGTTGGTATGTCTTTAGACATCCGCGAAAGAGATCTTACAGCCGAGAATTCCACCACGGCCCCAGATCCGTCTCATGGCGCCCGCGAAAGAGTCGGTACGGTTGGCAGCCATGGTTGTCTTGATCACTTCCAGCGGCTGGTAAAGTCAACATCTGTATGGTGGTCAATTCATTCGGATGTTTCATACCTGTCCCAACGTCGTGACTCTATGTAACAGTCAGATGAAACAATTCCAACACATGGAAATGGCAGATACTTACTCGAACATATTCAATCCCGCGCCAACTATCAACATCACTTAGTCGCGTATTCCACAGTCTTTTGTCATCCAGAGCAACTTACGTAGCAAATTGCTAAACTTGACGGGCTTCTTCTCGAGCGGAGCAGGAGTAGGAGCGGACATCTCTAAACGTTGGTAGTGCTGAAAGGGGCCCTGACCAAGGGATATTCGGGGGCTTCGTCGCCTGGAGAGAGAGGAAGAGAGGATGAATCGTCAGAAGTTCAACTGAACTGTACGGAGTAGACAAAAATCCGATCGAGGAGAAGAGAGACTGATAAGTTCTTTGTGCCGATCGGGATCTGTTTAGATTCCCGGTAAAGCTGTTGATTGAACGATCGGTCAGCTACAGACAAACCGAGCAAACAAATAAACACGTATCGGGAAAAGGCAAGGCGAAGGACAAGGATGCTCGGATAGGTGTGATACTTACTAAGAGTAGACTTGACAGAGTGCAGGCAGGAGGGAAAAGAAAAAGAGACCGAGAGAAGGGTCACGTCGGGTCGTTGAGGTCAGATATCACGAGCCGAGGGAGTAACACTCAACGGAGACCGGAGCGTCACACAGGCTACGCTAGTCTGGATTGGGGGAACAGTGAGGCTACGGTGAACTTTTTGATCGATTGAGCTTGTAACTAGTTTCATGTATGGACCTGGACGTAGGTATATTTCTTCTTGTTATTCTTGGGGGTTGTGATGCGACAGTATGAGGTTTACTATGTAGACCTAAGAACAATCGGGGCGGGTCGGCTTCGCATCGCATACTTATCTGTCAGCTAGCTCGGAGTTGCTTGGGCGGGCTTTTCTGCATGGAGACAGTTACCATAGCAGAGACTCGAACACTATAACTACAAAACCCATACGGAAACACTGACTGGCTTTATATCCAGTACCAATTCGATATACCACGGCCTGAATCGACCCTCGGAGTATTTCCCTCCGCATATTGACTGTTTCGGGTGATTCCCATAATTATTATCCCCGGTGTGGGCACTCCCCGCTTAACCGAATCAGGCCTAGTGTTCTGTCGGCCCCAACGGAAAAAGAGAAACAGAAGAAAAAAAGTCCCCAAGCTCTCTCCAAGGGGTTTGTTGAGTGTATTCCTTTTTCTACGATTCTGCAAAGTACTGTGTAGATTCGGGTCTTGTGGACTACATGCCAAACAGTTTAGGTTGTTGATTATTTACCTAAAAGAGAATCGCCGTAACAATTTACTACTACCAATCACATGTCAGACTTGGTGCAGTTGCATGTGTCAGGAACGAAGTTTCATTATCATGCCCGAAAACCATCAAGAGGGGAGATGCTAGAATAGTAATATAATGGGAAAAAATAAAAAAAAATAAAAAAAAATAAAAACCACTAATGTCACAAAAGAAATGAATTATCATAAAAGGGCCTGCTAGTGAACCAATCCCAAGCCTCCAGTCTTTTCTCGTCCCAGTCTAGTAAAATAAAATTGTACACGGGTCATCCAAGACCGTAGTTCAGATGAACAGTCTAATCTGGCCATCGTCTAAACTTTCAGATTTAAAGCTTAGCACCGACAAGCTTGGCATAAGCCTCAGTGCTGAAAGACTTGGGACGCTCGATAGGAGCGCCGAGAGCACGGTCAATGATGAGTTGAGGAAGAACACCAAGGGCACGAGAAACGCCAAAGAGAACGGTGTAGTAGTTGGCCTCGGTAAGACCGTAGTATTGGAGGAGAACACCGGAGTGCTGCAAATAAATTAGCATAGAAAATTACTACAGATAGAAGAGAAAACTTACAGCGTCAACGTTGGGGTAAGGATTCTTTGTCTTGCCGTGTTCGGTCAAGACGCCTGGGGCAATCTTGTAGACCTGGCTGACGAGCTTGAACATAGGGTCATCAGGGAGATGGCGGAGGGCGAATTCACGTTGAGAAACGTAACGAGGATCGGTCTTACGGAGCACAGCGTGTCCGTATCCGGGAACAACCTGGCCAGCGTTCAAGGTGGACCAGAGGTAGCCCTTGATAGCCTCGTCGCTAAGATCGTTGCCAATGGCTTTCTTCATCTTCTGAAGCCAAACCAGAACTTCCTGGTTGGCCCTGTTTAGTAGATAGGTTAGCAATGGTATTTCTGCCAGAACCAGCAAGGAAAACGTACAATCCGTGAAGAGGACCAGCAAGACCGTTCAAACCGGCGGCCAAAGACAAGTAAGGAGAGCTGAGGGCACTTCCAACAAGGTGGGTGGTGTGGGCGCTGACGTTACCACCCTCGTGGTCGGAGTGGATGGTCAAGTAGAGGCGCATCAACTCGACAAAGTCCTTGTTGTCACCGAATCCGAGCTGGTTAGCCAAGTTGAAGGCATAGTCCTTGTCCTTCTGGACAGCAGCGACCTTGCCATCCTTGAAGACGTTGCGGTAGATACGGGCAGCGATGGTGGGGAGCTTGGCAATGAGGTCCATGGAATCCTCGAAGGTATACTGCCAGTATTCCTTCTTGTTCAAACCCTTGGCATAGGCCTTGGCAAAAGAGGATTCGTGCTCAAGAGCAGTCACGGCAAGGGAGAACTGAGCCATGGGGTGGAGGTCATTGGGGCAGCGGTCGATGAGCTCCTCGACGAACTTGGGGACGTCAGAGCGAGCAGCCCATTCAGCAGACAGATCGCGGACTTGCTGTTCGCTGGGGACCTCGCCAGTGAGCAAGAGCCAGAAGAGACCTGTACAACATGAGCCGCTGTCCTAACACACTGTCAAATGCGCGCAATAAATCTACCTTCAGGAAGAGGTTCTTCACCACCGGGGGCCTTGGGAAGGACTTCCTGGCATTCTGGGATCTATGAATCCATCAGCTATGTTCCGCTGCTCGCAATATGGGTGATACTAACGGTGCGGCCACGGAAGCGGATACCCTCCTCAGAGTCCAAGACGGAGCCCTATGATGGAAAGATTATTAGTATGCGTAGTCTATACTTGACGGAAGTGCCGGATAAAATCTTTTCTTACCTCCCAGACAAGGGACTTGATTCCACGAGCACCACCATAAACCTGGTCTAGAGTGACTTCTCCAACGACCTTCGATCCATACTCCCTGAAAGATTATCAATGTATTAGTCGGGTTTATTGTTGTGCTAAAGCATAGTGTAGCTAAAAACCAATTAAAAAATGACGTACTTGCGGAGCTTCTTCACTTTTTCAATCTCACCAGGGAGCTTCTCGGCGAAAGTCTCCTTGAGGGACTGCACAACAAAGCTATTGTTAGTGAAAGCTTTTCTTGATCAATAAATGAATAGATCTATTAAACATACCTTAGCTTTACCAGCAGAGTAGCAGCGCACACCATTGAAGGCAGCAGTCTGTACAGCCGGCTTAGAGACCAGAGTAGAGCGGAAAGCAGAGCTTCCCAGGCGCAATGAAAAAGCCATTGTGCTATACTAATTAAATAATAAAAAACTCAGAGACTTCCTTGTAATAGTGATAAAATACAATTGTGGGTGAATGTACAACAACCACCAAGAAGAGAGGAGCGGAGAGTATGTAAATAAGAAGAGAGAGATCGGAAATGGAAGGAAAGATGAAAGCTGGATGGAATAATTTGGGGGCTCCATTTCTGCTCACGCTAAGCTGGATATGGTGTAGCAACCATGCCGAATGCCGCTGACGCTGCCGTGCATTTGGCCTCGGTGCCTTGATGCCTTGCCGCCTGCTGCCCGGACAGACGGATTCGTCCTCGGTCAAGCTCTACACTACGACAAACCAAATGTCAATCATTAATGCTACAAGAATTTTCCAATTAACATAATTAGCATATTGAGAATAGCTCTACAGAAGAGCGTATAGATCAGTGCAATACTTGGCTGATTCTATTTCTTCCTATTCTCCGGCAGTGCCCCAGATGGATGGCAAGCAGTCGCAGAGTCGCCATTGAGATAGGCATTACGTATTGACTGATGGAGTCCTGATTTCTCAGGCATCAATCTGATAATTTTTATTGCAGGTGTAGTCATGTGACTCTGGTCTACCATAAACGGGTTAGTCGATCGAGGTCCAACCTCCCCTTCTTTTTTTCTCTCCCTTCCTTCCCAGTACCATCCATCGTCTTTTCATCTCTCAACAACCTCATCGCTCATCCTTGTTGTTTCATCCCCAACCACCACCGTCGTTGTAACTGAAGGCATTATCAACTTTTCAACTACTTCGCAGCAATCCGGCCTGCGTGAAACCGTATTCGTACGTACTCAAGTATCGACACTGTACGGGCTAGCATAGATTTACTGCCAGCTCTCATAACACGCGGTTGTGCGAATCTAGCGACGCGATCGCCTGAGCCACACATAGGGTTTTCTCTTTTTATCCTGCGACACGCAGAGTAAATACTTGTTCTTACACTTGAAAATTCTCATTTCTGGTTCTTACTCTACGCGCCACTCCGCCAGTCGTCAGTAGACGAGGCGTCCTTTCATACTAGAGTGGCAGCCATGTCGTCTGCCGTAGCAGAGCTCGATGGCTACCTTCAGTCTATGCAAAGTCTAAAACCTCCAGGTGTATCAGGTTCCAAGATCGGCAGCATCACACAGCTTTGTGTAGCCAACATTCAGGTAAGCATACTTCTACTATCTCTCCTACAATCTAGCTGCTAACTTTTTGGTTCGTTATAGTCAGAATCCGTTCTAGTCCAGAAGCTATACACACACTTCAAGAAAACTCCCGCGACACACAAGTTGGGCGTCCTATATGTCGTAGACTCTGTAACTCGACAATGGGTAGATGCGGCTCGCAAGGCTGGCCAACCGCTTGGAAGCGCCGCTCCTGATGGCACATTCGCTGCTGGAGTCAACAGAGTAACTGAACTTCTTCCGGTTCTGATGACCGATATCATAAACAATGCACCTGAGGATCAAAAGGTACGCTCTAGAGAATTACAAGAATATCCACATAACATTCCCTTTGTTTTATCGCCTACTAGCAACCACCGGTCCATAGCGGACTCTGGATTCGAATAAAATTGGCGACGTGGACGCTGTATGCATCGCATCTGTCGCTAGTCGCCCGTTCGTATTCACCCGCTATCACCACGCACTAAGATGGCGAGTATCCGCCTCAGACCTAAAAACAACTTGCAATATTATTTTACCTGCTTGGATAGATGAACTTACGTATCGCTCTTGTGCTATTATAGGAAAAAATCAGAAAATTGGTTGATATCTGGGAGCGTGGCCAGACATTCCCTTTGCCCATGCTCGCCTCGATCAAAGAGAAGCTGAACGCTCCACCGACTAAAAGTAAGCCAACTCCCGCCAACTATCATACCACGACTATATGCAGATATATTACGACTGCGAGTACGTCTAGCTTGTATGCGACTCTAATTATTAACTTTTAATTTTATAGATGTGGAATCTACGACACCAGATGGCTCACCCGCTCCTGGTGTTAACCCTCTTGCAGGGCTTCAGACACAACCACAGGCTGCAGCTGGTGCCACTGCAACTCCCGATACATCTAGTATCTTGAAAGCTTTGGCCGATATGGCTAAACAGAATCCTTCAGCTCCAGCAGCACCGGGGGCCCCTGCACAGGCTAATCCTTTGAGTGTGCTGAACCCACAGAGTGCTACACCTCTCCCTGCGTCAACGTCTGTAGACCAGGTAGCGACCGGAGCCAACGTAAGCCCGTATGGAAATCCCTTCGCAGCGCTAGGTAACCTTGCGCCCACGCCGGTTCCTAATACGCTCCCTGCTGCTCAGCCCAACCCTCTAGCTGCATTGCTTCCGCAAGCCGCTGCTGGAGCTCAGCAACCCGCAGCACCTGTTACGCCGGATGTATTCCAGCAGGTGCAATTGCTTCAACTTCTCGCAGCACAAGGTATCCCTCAAGATCAATGGGCAACCGCTCTACAAATTCTTAGTCTATCAAACAACGCCAATCCGGCTGCTGCTGCTGCCGCTGCTGGATTGCCTAATATGGGGGCCGCACCAGGCGGCTATAACATGCCAGATATGAGCGGTCAGCAAGGCTGGGGTGGTCATGGCGATCGGGATGGTGACCGGGATCGTGGTAGAGACCGAAACTACATGCGTTCACCTCCGAACCAGTACCGTCGCCGTTCGGGCTCTCCAGGCTGGGACCGTCGTCGTGAAGCATCGCCCCCACGCCGTCGCGACAGCCCCGTGTATGGTGAATACGGTGGAGATTCTCCTGGTCGTCGAGGTGGACGACGCAATGACTATCGCCAACGCAGTCCACCAGGCCGCAGACGGCGCTCACCATCACCTCCTCACAAAGATGTCTCGCTGCCTCCCCCTGGGCCTAAGTTGGTTGAATGGGATTACTCTATCGGACAGGGCAACATCAAAGTCTTGAGTCGGACACTCTTCGTGGGTGGAGTCACGTAGGTCTTGAATCTATCGCAATCAAATAACTGATCGCTAATGTTCTTATAGTGCACCTGAGTCACATCTACGGGCTCTGTTTAATCAATTTGGTGTCGTGCAAACGTGCATTGTCAACGTCGACAAGCGACATGCATTTATCAAGATGATCAACCGTCGCGATGCCATGAATGCCCGAGAGGGTATGGAGACATACAAATCCGGGGATATGCAGTTGAGGGTAAGCCGTTTGTCTCCGTTGTTCCATAGCAAAAGACACTAATATTTTATGACTAGACTCGCTGGGGTGTCGGTTTCGGACCTCGTGACTGCAGTGATTACCAGACCGGAATCAGTATCATTCCAATTGAACGACTTACAGAAGCTGATCGCAAGTGGATGTTGACGGCTGAGTATGGAGGTACCGGTGGTAAACCAATTGAGAGTGGTATGGTTGTTGAAGAGCCTGATATTGAAATCGGTGCCGGAGTTTCGTCCAAAGGTATGTCTCGCAGCTGAAACATATAATATGTAATTGCTAACGTATACTTCTATTTACAGCCATCAGCCGACGCATGGCAACAGATCAAGGCGGTAAACGCGGACCTCAATCATCCCGAACCCAAAACGATCGATATCGTCGACCAGACCGCGGCATGGACATGAATGGAGGTGGTATGTATGGCGGCGGTGGAGATCACGACTACTCCAACCCCCCGAACCCAGGCGTCCCACCAGCTGTTCCAGGCTTTGGTTTCCAACTCCCTGGTATGCCCATGTTTCCTCCTGGGTTTATGCTTGGTAGTGCGCAGCCCGGATCTGCTCCTCCACCGCCACCGGGTCAATAAACGAGTCGCCATCTCCGATATCGACAATCTTCTTTTCTGCCTTCTTGTGTTTTCATACCTCTTTATTTCTTCCACCGATGTAACAAGTTCGGTCTCATTTTTTCTTGGTCATAGGCTATTTCATAACTTTGTTTCCCGGAGGAGAGGACGTACTCATTGGGCGTTATCTCGTTTCATTATGATTGATTCCCTAAGATTTTCTTTCGATTGTTTCTATTATGCTGGTGCGAAAGGATAGCAGAAAAGCATTCTCTAATTTCAGCTTGTATTCAATATGACTTCTTTATCTACTTAGTATCCTGATAGTATATGTGTTCGGCAATAAGGAAGAGGCATCTGGAGTAACCCCCACATCAACACCCAATAAGACGCAATACCAAAAAACCTTAGGATGATTCTCCAGATCCAGCTTCGATCACGCCATTTGGCTAGTCTGAGGGGTATTTTCTTTATATATTCATCTCAGCTCCCTTCTTTGATTGTTTACTTTATTATACCCTACTACTGCTTGTAAATACTGGCAATTGCCTCACTAAATCATGGCTGGCCAACGCTTTGAGACTCTGCAGCTTCATGCTGGGTAGGTTTCTTTTTACTCAAACTATGTAGTGGTATAAGTATTGATCATGTATAGTCAGGAACCTGACCCCGCTACCAATTCGCGTGCGGTGCCTATCTATGCCACGACTGTGAGTTATTCTTGTGTCAAACATACGATTGCATATACTAATTGCAGCTAGTCCTACGTCTTCAATGACTCTGCTCATGGCGCCAGACTCTTTGGTCTGAAGGAATTCGGTAATATCTATTCGCGGATCATGAACGTATGTCATATAGGCCCCCCCCCCATGTGCGAAAACCAGTAACTAATGGTTAGTAGCCTACTGTCGATGTCTTTGAGAAACGCATTGCAGCTCTTGAAGGTGGTGTTGCCGCCGTCGCCGCTTCGTCCGGTCAAGCAGCTCAGTTCATGGCCATCTCTGCTCTGGCCCATGCCGGCGACAACATTGTCGCTACCAGCAACCTCTACGGTGGTACTTACAATCAGCTCAAGGTCTTCCTGCCGCGATTGGGAATTCAGACCAAGTTTGTCAATGGCGATAATGCAGATGATATTGCTGCTGCTATTGATGATCGCACCAAGGCTGTTTATGTGGAGACTATTGGAAACCCGAGATATAACGTGCCTGATTTCGAGGCTATTGCCAAGGTTGCCCATGAGAAGGGCGTGCCTCTTGTTGTATGTTCCCTGTCGATCGTGATTGACACACTTATGTACTGACCAAAGCAGGTTGACAATACATTCGGTGCCGGTGGTTACTTTGCACGCCCAATCGACCACGGCGCAGATATCGTCGTGCACAGCGCGACCAAATGGATTGGCGGCCACGGCACCACCATCGGCGGCGTGGTGATTGACAGCGGAAAGTTCGACTGGGGTAAGAACGCCGCTCGTTTCCCTCAATTCGTCGAACCTGCCGAGGGATACCACGGCCTCAAGTTCTGGGAAACCTTCGGTCCCATCACATTTGCCATTCGTACTCGAGTTGAGATTCTGCGCGATTTGGGTTCAGCGTTGAACCCCTTTGCTGCCCAGCAGTTGTTGTTGGGATTGGAGACTTTGTCTCTGCGCGCCGAACGACATGCCAGTAATGCGTTGACTTTGGCGCGGTGGTTGGAGAAGAATGAGAATGTTGCTTGGGTGTCTTATCCTGGTCTAGAAAGCCATGCAAGCCATGAGACTGCGAAGAAGTATCTCCCTCGTGGATTCGGTGGTGTCTTGTCGTTTGGTGTTAAGGGCGGTGCCGCTGCCGGAAGTCAGGTTGTTGATGGCTTCAAGCTGATTTCCAACCTTGCCAAGTATGTCTCTTCTCCCTCCATTGGGGCTTTGGTACTAATGGACACAGTGTTGGCGACTCGAAAACTCTTGCTATTCACCCCTGGTCAACCACCCACGAACAACTTTCCGAAAAAGAGCGCATTGCCTCTGGTGTCACCGAAGATGCAATTCGCATCTCAGTCGGAACAGAGCATATCGATGATATTATCGCAGATTTTGAGCAGTCCTTCAAAGCAGCCAGTGCTGCTGGCGCGGATAAGACTGCATTGCCGGATCGGGCTTCAGGAGGAGCTGCGACGGAGCATGAAACTGGATTGCAGGGGTCTGTTTAATCAGTCTTCGTAGTAGAGTAGATTAATTGATGAGGAATGAATTTACGGCATGGACAGAATATTAAAAGCAGCGCTAATTTAATAATAAGTGGATTTTTCCCCGGATTATGATATCATCGTACTCCTCATAATCAGCCAAATATCAACATGGATAAATAGAAAATAATTAAGATAGACAAATAATATTTATACAAGAGAATAATAAGCTTAGGTAATGTGCAGCTCATTACCTCAAGCCACGGTCAGGCGTCCACATAAACTGCCTGCAACGTCAGGCATGAAACCGTTGGAGCCTCAGCCACGTTCGTCATTGCATCACTTACCTAGAATGTTCTTGCCTGCTGTCTCTTATTTATCTTCCTTCCTCTCTTCTGTCTTCAACTTCATACACAACTCTATCCTCCCAGTCGAGTATCACATTTTAACTGTCTATATTTGAGCACATCATGCCTCAACACAGTCTCCACCATTTGAACTGGGTGCTCCCCGTTCGTATAATCCAGGCCGTCTTCGCAATCATCATCCTCGGTCTGACCGCATATGGTAAGCTATCCCCAATAACCCAACGCAAGAATAGCAAACTAACGAACAAAGTTATCAACGTCGAACTAAGCTGGTCATGGTACTCCTCCGACACCGTCAACTTCAACCTCTTCAACTCCGTCTGGACCCTCGTCGTCGCCCTGCCGTATCTTTCATTGGTGCCTATTTTCTTCTCGAATCTATCGCACCACTACGCTGTTCTGGCGATTGAGATTGTTACCATGATCTTCTGGTTTGCTGGATTTATTGCCTTAGGCGCTTTGTTGCCGCCTGCTAGGGCGTGTCATGGAAGTGTCTGTGATTCGTTGCAGGCTGCTACTGTTTTTGGGGCTTTTGAATGGTAATTTCCCCCCAAATCTTTCTTTTCTTTTCTTTTTTCTTTTTCGGACGAGCCGTGGCTGATTTGGTGTTAGGCTGCTTTTTGCCATCACGACTGCATTCACCATCCGTCTTGCGCTTCAGTCGTCGAGGAATGACGCCGGCGCGGTCCATGCAAAGACTTCGGGAGTTCAGACTGCTCAAGTCTAGCCAGAAACTTATATGAGCATGTGGAATGATGAATCACAGACGAGGAATGTTGGCTTTTGGCTTCTTTTGTTTTGCTTCTAATATTCGAATACCCTCTAGTTTAGGTTTTATATCCCCTGATCATTGCTTTATCTGCGTTATTTGCGTTACTGACTTATGATGATTACGATGATGACTGTATGCTTATACCGTTGTTTTGAATGCTGAATTACTGGATTATGCTTCAAGCTATATCACACATCGATGTGACAATATATGTTTCAGTTGCCTTTACTAATATCAACTTGTACCAATGACTCGATGAAGCAATTTGATTAATCGCTGGCGGGAAGTAGAATCTGATATCGACATAATTAATATAAATCAGGGTATTTTCTGTACTTTGTTATTATACTATGATTCACGATCTTTCTATGCTCATGCCCTAGCCCTAGCCCTAACCCAATCACGTCCGTTTCGAATAATTACGAGTCTCAGCACCAAACAATCGACTGTGACCACTTTCCTTTGTCTTGTACAGGCATTTTGGTGAATTTAGCATTCTTGTAGCAGAGAGATCCGATTCCAATATGTCTTAAAAGATTTCACTTATGAGTCATACAAACAAATGCCACGACAAGTATGAGAGCACGCTCATACCACAACTCAAGCCCTGGAAGAAGTTTCGTTCCTTATAGTCGAAATAATCGCCGAACCATGACTAGACTGATATCGCGTCCCAATTTCATGAATCGATTGCCTACTAACCGGGCTTGTTATCTCCTTGTGGGTACTCCCAAGAGACTGTAGAATAATGCTCAGTTCGACGTCGATGAATCCGTTGGCTCTGCCATTTACCTTTGTACTTGACCATTGTGACAAGTAGACAGTGAAGAAATGCTGCTGTACTATGTCCTGAGTCCGTAATGATCTCTCTGTGTATTTTTATGTCAGGAATATTGAATCGCCGCTGCAATGAAAACAATCATCTAGTTTGTCTGTTTCCAAGCGTACAAACAATATGAGAGGAAACTAAGGATTTGTATCGAGTCTGGGATTCTCTCAGCAGAGCACATATCAGTGACTAAATACTTTCACTAAGGAATTTCCTACTCTCATGGTCATAGGCTCGGAGCATCGAGATAGGATTAGGGTTAATCCACGCGACGGCGAGCTCCGCTGTAGCTGAGATGAAAGACCCACGTTACATTCTCTTGTCTTAGCTCTGAATTAAGCCTAAGTGTTTGTTTTCGGTGTATGTAATGCTTCAATGTGGAATATATCCGAATGGCTGGAGAGATCTTGAATATTTAACAAGCCATAGGGCTTTTATTTGGATGAGACGAAATCTCAAAACGAGCTTTGTACATGAAGTGTAAGATATGTATACAGTGTTGCTCAAGAAGAGGGCAGCCGATCAGCCGTTAGGGCTAAATCCATTCCGGGAAGAGGTACCCGTCGATCCTGTTTCTTCCAGGCTTCAGATGACTCAAAGCATAACCAACACGGTTAATACAACACAAACATACGACTGGCTGGGTTGTATTCTTGATATCGTGCCTCTAGCTCAGAAAATTCTCCGCTGGTCGCGTGTCTATCACTGCCTTGACCTGGATGGAGTAACGTTGAAAATTTGCCAGAGGCAAAAAATGGAGTGGACCCCCGGACCCTTGCGAACCAGAGGACACAGACAATTTTGTATGAGAATTTTTCCCTGTGCGATTGACTCAGATTGGGTAATAGAAATATATTTACCTTCTGCTTTTGTTCCTGATTCTCTTTCCTTTTTGCTTCTTTCAGATCCATTGAGTAATACATTGTATTGAGGACTGGGGTTCTGTCACCTGCAGCTGGTGTGGACGAACGCATACAACTCTTCTATAACCTGAAATTATATTATTGACCTCCCAGAAAAAAAAAAAAAAAAACGCTGGGATGGCTTTCGACGAAATTGCTCCCACCAACAGCAAGCCAGACTACCATAATGATAAGTTCGTCACTGAACCCAACGTGACCGAGCCTCAGTCCGACTCGACAAGTAACAGCCAAGATGGAGGCATGCACGATGTCGAGAAACATGGCGCCGGTAGAAATTCTCTACCGGTGCCTGATTTGAAGCGCAAGCTCAAGAGTAGACACTTGCAGATGATTGCCATTGGTTTGTCTTCTTCCTATCTTCTCGCTGCACAGACACGTACTTATAACTTATATTCATAGGCGGCACAATTGGAACCGGTCTCTTCATCGGTAGTGGAACTGCTATCGCCAATGCCGGACCTGCAGGCGCCCTCATCGCATACCTCTTCGTCGGAACTATTGTCTACTCAGTCATGACCTCACTTGGAGAAATGGCCACCTACATCCCCATCCCCGGTGCATTCACATCTTACGCCGCTCGATTCGTCGACCCCAGTCTGGGTTTTGCTATGGGTTGGATTTACTGGTTTTCATGGGCTATTACCTTTGCTTTGGAATTGACGGCGACTGGATTGATCATTCAATACTGGGATCAATCCATCTCGATCGGTGTTTTTATTGCCGTCTTCTGGGTCGTCATTACCGCCGTCAATCTGCTCCCTGTCAGCTTTTATGGTGAACTCGAGTTTTGGCTTTCGACCGTCAAGATTATTACGATTGTCGGATTCATGCTTTTCGCCATTTGTATTGACGCCGGCGCCGGTCATCGCCCTTACCTTGGTTTCCATACTTGGGGCAACCCAGGTGCCTTTGCACCTTACCTACTCAACTCCGATGGCGCGAAGGCGAAGTTCGTGGGCTTCTGGGCTGTATTGGTGCAAGCTGGTTTCTCGTACCAGGGTACGGAATTGGTCGGTATTGCCGTTGGTGAATGTGAAAACCCACGCAAGACCATGCCGTCGGCTATTCGAAAGACCTTCTACCGTATTCTGCTCTTTTTTGTCCTCACGATATTCTTCATTGGCTTGTTGGTCCCTTATACGAATAAGCGGCTGGCTGCGGGCGGCTCAGACGCTTCTGCTTCACCCTTTGTCATTGCCGCGGATCTTGCTGGCGTCAAAGTCTTGCCTGGGATTATCAACGGTGTCTTGTTGACCGTGGTTCTGTCCGCAGCCAACTCCAACGTGTACAGTGGAAGTCGTATTCTCATCGGTCTGGCACAGGAAGGCTTCGCGCCCAGATTCCTCAAGATGACTTCCGCCAACGGTGTTCCCTACTTTGGAGTAGCTGTGACTTCAGCGATTGGTCTGTTGGCCTTTTTGAATCTATCCAACAATGGCGCCACCGTTTTCAACTGGTTCGTCAATATTTCCAGTGTTGCTGGATTTATCAGCTGGTCCGTTCTCAACGGCTGCCATATCGCGTTTATGCGCGCCTTGGCTGCGCGCAACATCTCGCGAGACTTACTCCCCTATAAGGCCATGTGGCAGCCATACTTTGCCTGGTACGGTCTATTCTTCAACGTGCTGATTATTCTCACGCAGGGATTCACTGCATGGATCCCCACATTCGACGTTTCGAGTTTCTTCGTCGCCTATATCAGTCTAATCCTCTTTGCGGTGCTGTATCTCGGCCACAAGATTATCTTCCGTACCAAGTTTGTGCGGCCGATTGATGCAGATCTTGACACCGGCCGGACTGAACCGGATAACGCAGTGTATGAATCGCAGGAGCCGACATCGATCTGGCAGAGGATTTTCAACTGAGGAGATCACATGTACAGAGTGTTTAGATAGTATATGTTAGCTTGTATGTTATGTTAATAATGTTCAAATGAAATGACGTTGCCGGAATGGATCAGATGAACGTTGAAGCAGGATTCAGCCAATCATATTGCTGGGTTACTGTACGCTAACCCTTTTACAGATAAAGCCGAGGCATGTTACGCTCTTCTAGCTTGCCACCAATCAGAACGCGCGGTCGGAGGTACCAAGTCGGCGCGGCACATGCTTTGCTCCTTCCTTCTTTGCTGAAACAGGCAGGCTCTCCGCCAGGCCATCCCATCCTTGAATGTCTTCTTCATCCTTTCTTTCTCTTGCATATAGACATATCTCCTCTCTATATACGTAGCATTGTTTATATACCATCTGCCGTGTCTTATTCTTTCTTTTCTTTTTTCCGTGAGCTGCGTCGCTCGTTGTACAACTTGTCTATAAGTTGACTAGGTTAGTACCGGCCAACTAGTCGTCTTGACGAATCTGACTTGTAAACAGAGATTACTCAACATGCTCTTCTCTAAACCTGTTCACATCGCAAAAGCGGAGGAACTCCGCAAAGCGCCTCCCAAGGGTTCTCCATACTCGGTCCCTCTTCCAGGCTCGGCGAAGCCTGGAAGGAGTCCAGTCTATCGGGCATGGAATATGCCGAATGAGCTTCTAACTACGTTAGATCCCGCGGTATGTTTAGCATGCCGAGTGGGATATCGCGGAAGTAGCTGATGTAATGGCATAGGTTACAACTATACATGAAATGTTCGAGTCAACCGGTAACTTTACCCTGCTCACTATTTTTACTATCTCCTCTAATGCGTGATTTACAGCCATACGGACACCCAAAAGTCGATGCTTAGGTTTCCGTCCATATGATTCTAAAACCAAGTCGTTCGGCCCCTACCAATGGCTCGACTACCAAACCGTTCAACGACGACGAGCAAACTTAGGAGTCGGTCTTGTCGAGTTGCATAAGAAACACGGCCATCCAGGAGGTAAACATGGTGTTGGACTCTGGTGTCAGAATAGGCCGGAGTGGCAGATTACAGGTACGAAGGTGGCTCACAGAGCGGGGCCAGTTTCGGAGCTGATAAACATACAGATTTGGCGTGCTCTTCCCAGTCACTATTCTCCGTATCGCTCTACGATGTCCTAGGTGCCGATACCACCGAATATATCATCAACCACGCCGAGCTCGCCTGCGTCGTTGCATCCCTTCCACATATTCCTACTTTGATCAAACTGAAACCGAAACTACCGGGTCTCAAATTTATCGTCTGTCTAGACCCGCTGGATGGTGCTGAGCAACCAGGCTTGTCGAAGCGTACTCTCTTGGATAACATGGCTAGTGATCTGGATTTATCGATCTACTCCATGGATGAAGTGGAGGAACTCGGCGCATCTCTCAGCCGCCCCTACAACCCGCCTTCTCCCGAGGACATTGTCACCATCAATTACACTTCCGGCACTACAGGGCCTCCTAAAGGTGTGGTTCTGACTCACAAGAATGCTGTTACTGCCGTTTCTGTCAGCGTAATTGTTACGAAATGGGGTACTGGAGATGTCTCCCTTTCGTACCTCCCGCTAGCGCACATTATGGAACGTATGTGTGAGCAAGCTGCTTTATGGGCTGGTGGCGCTCTTGGTTACTACCACGGCGAGATTTTAGAGCTGGTCGATGATTTGAAGACGTTACGCCCAACGGCTTTTGTTTCCGTGCCCCGGCTCTTCACCCGGTTTGCTGGTGCAATTCGTACGGCTACTGTGGATGCCCCTGGCTTCAGGGGCGCATTGTCGCGACATGTCTTGGACGCGAAATTGGCAAATCTTGCCAATCCAGATACGAGTAATGCTACTGAGAAACATGCTCTCTATGACCGCATCTGGACTCGCAAAGTTGCTAGTGCCCTAGGTATGGACCGAGTTAAGACTATGGCGTCCGGCTCGGCGCCTTTGGATGCGTCAATTCATAACTTTATGCGAGCTGTTACGGGAGCTTCCTTCGTGCAGGGTTATGGCCTCACAGAGTCATATGCCATGGCTATAGTGCAGAATATCGAAGATCGCTCTACAAACAATTGTGGTGCTATTTCACCTGGTCTTGAGGCTTGTTTAGTGTCTATCCCAGATATGGAGTACTCCGTGGATGACAAACCATATCCTCGCGGAGAGCTACTGCTACGTGGCAACCATATGTTCCGGGAGTACCTCAAGAATCCTGAAGAAACGGCATCCGCATTCACCGAAGATGGCTGGTTCCATACCGGTGATGTCTGCGCTATTGATGAGCTTGGCCGTTTCAAGATTATTGATCGTCGCAAGAACGTTTTGAAGTTGGCACAGGGTGAATATATCTCTCCTGAACGTCTGGAAAATATTCTCCTGGCAGAGCACACGTACCTAGCTCAAGCCTATGTACACGGAGACAGCTTGCAGACTGCGTTGATTGGTATTTTCGGAATTCAACCCGATACATTCGCTGCATTTGCCAGCAAGGTTCTACAGCAGGACATCAGTCCTACCGATTTGGAAAGGATCAAGTCAGTCTTGGATGATGACAGGATCAAAAAAGCGGTGTTGAAGGATTTTGACCGCACTGCGAAGAAGCATAAGCTCGCTGGTTATGAGCGCGTACGCAAGTTTACATTGATGATTGAGCCATTCAGCATTGAGAATGACCTCTTGACGCCAACGTAAGTTCCCTGCGTATCATCACTACATGTCTTGAGCTAACTAACTCTATGCAGATTAAAAATGAAGCGTCCTCCTATTGTCAAGAAATTCCGTGCGTTACTTGACGACATGTACGCACAACTTGCTGAAGAGCAATCTGCTCCAAAGGCCAAGCTTTGAGCCTTTGCATATCTGAGTATATAGCATTACATCGAGACTGCATGTCTCAAGTCTTGTACATTTCAGTGTAGATATTGCACTATTTAAAATGATATTGTGTAACTACATCATCAGCCACATCATATCCTATGTAGATAACTTTGTTAGTGGTTGGCGAGTGTTGCTCCGTTAGGGTTATTCCAGAAGCTTGGCGCTAACCACTTAGCTGCGTTAGCTCCGTCGGCCCAAAAGACGTCTTTCAACCTCATCCGATCAACGACCTCGCGCAATAAACCTCCAGCGCATTAACACCTTCAACATGAAGAGCCCTCTTCTTCACCTGATAGCACTGCTATCAACAGGCCTAATTCTCGAATCAGCAGCATCCTCACTCACAATCCAGATTCCTCCAAACAGCATCCTCCCGAATCCACATGCCCTCCCACCAAACACACACGCAACCCTGACAACATTACCTTCGTCATCAGCGCAGGATAAGAAACATATACTCTCCGCACCGATAACTCATACTGCCGAATTCCATTTCACGGATTTACCATCCTCGTCAGGTACGGAGTCATACTTGCTCGATATCAGGTCGAAAGAATACATTTTCGCGCCGTATAGAGTCGACATTGCCGCCGATGGAACAGTGTTGGGTATTTGGGAGACGTTCCGGGGTAATCAGTGGGAGAATCGTGGATTGGAGCGATATACGAAGTTGAAGAGTCATGATGGACGGCAGGATGTTGATGCTGTTGTGCAAGCCAAGGTTTTAGCTAGACGGGGTTTCTATGAGGAGAGGCCGAAATGTATGTTTCTTTTTGATGGAGCTTTGGGGAAGAAAAATTAACGATTGCAGTTTCGCCATTGACTTTGTTCAAGAATCCTATGATTCTGATGTCTGTGTTTGCTCTCGTGGCGACATTCGGTATTCCCAAATTGCTTGAAAACAGTATGTGACTCCTCTCGGTTCTTGGTCCTGTTATACTAACATTCGTCAAGTGGACCCTGAAATGCGTGAAGAATTCGAAAAACAGTCTCGCACTGGCCCGCTTTCGTCGGCTACTCGAGCAGCCGCTGCCGGTGCTAATCCCGGTGCTGGCGCTGGTGCTCCTGGATTCGATATTGCGGGTTGGATGGCTGGTGCGACTTCTTCGCCGATGAGTGCCGCTGGTAGTGGTTCCGGAGCGGCTACAGGACGAGAATCAGGTGCTGGGGCCAGGAGGAGATAAGCTATGATGCGACAGTGTTGGTGTAGGATATACGGGATTAACAAAGCTAGTATATATTTCAACTATATGCATATTCTCTACGTCCATTCTGCATGATAACTAATATCCAACTGTCAAAATCTGTTCAGAAAAAACGTCAAAATCCCCATCAGGATCACAGAGATGAATCTACGCTCAGCCAACGTATTAGCGAATTAGGAAATATTCGTTGGGGAACTTTTCCACCTCATCAAAAACTCGTTGCGAGGTTAAGAGCTGTGATAGAAGACTTACCTAGGCACGTGAGCTTGATGTGGTAAGGTTTCATTCAAGAGAAATCTTTTTAAAGGGGAAAAGGGAAAAGTATGTCAAGTCAAGGTTCTGATGCATCATTGTCTACGTATTTGAGTCCTTCCTTCTCTTGTGTATACTAATGTCCAATGTTTGTGAATGGAGAGTTCCATTTACTTTTCTGCTTCGCTTGCCGCTACCATCTAGACTTCTAGACTTCGAAGTTGGCCATTCAAATCATATTTCCGGGGAGTACATTTCTTCATGCAATCGATGCTGTATCATGAGATTCAAGCCGAGGCAGACGAGAGACCGATAGCGAGTCTCTAAAGGAATCATAAACATCGACGACACTAACCCTAACATAGCGGAAGCGACATACCCTCGAACCATAAGACTGTTATCAGACGAAGGAGAAGCAGTGGTTAGGTTATTCTGCGCCATGAACTATTCCATAACCACGTCAGTTGCTACAGACAGTTGAGCACATGGAAGATATGACCAACAATCTGCATGTCGATGCTCCGTTCATATGGTTTGAGCTTGATCAGCAGGCCGGGGATATTGGTATCGTTCTCATTGAAATTCTCAGTAGTCGGAACGTGACGCAGTTCATGTTGTGGTAAGAGATCTGTAACCAGAGAAAGGAGGTTAATCCTTGTATTCAGTATTCGGCCAAGCATGTAGAGAGATAGACCTTTTTCAGACTCTCTCTTCCGGAGCTTTCCCTTCACATAGGACCATATCATTATCAGAGGGAAACAAGTCACAAGGAGGGTGACTAGGGCAATGATGGTGTCTGCTGGCCAAGCCATTGGGGATTTACTCTGGAATGCAACGACATATTTTCAACAAGAGGGAACACTTCCTGGGCGATATGGCTTGTCTTATATATTTTTGGTAGAGGGTATGCCATTAAAAAAGCTCAACACCATTGTAGCAACCTCGGAAGTCACTAATAGGTAAGAAAGATTGGTAAAAAAGTGTCGCAGCTGTCCAGATGAGAGCGTCTGACACAGAATATATTGATTTGGCCCGAATTAGTATTTTGTACACAATGACGCGAATATTTTTGAATCATCCAATGAGGCCCGAATATTCGAGTGTTGATTGATCCCTTGTCTTGTCGAAATCTATCTAATAACTCAGCCAACTCTGCGTATGGGATTTTGCAATCGTCCAATGAGCGAGTCAGCCCCCGGCTGAGCCTCGCGGTAATAGGGCCATATAGTTACTTCGCCATTCTGTTGACAAATAGGGCTGGCTTGTGATTCGCGTAAACCGAAATACGAATGCTTACATTACTTTTTTCCCTTGAGCAACATGAGTGATTCGTTGGGACCAGAAACTCGTTCTTCTTCTCTGATCTGATCGCGCCATCCAGGCTACCAGCTCAGACGCAGCAGACTTTGGTTCAACCGACGTCGAGCAGATTGTGGAATAGCCAAGTAATACTGTGAATATTGACAACTTACCACTGCTTGGGTTACAAAAGGAGTTCCAAGCACTGATCGGTAGGTATTACTGAACTGAACATCTGAGTCAAGTGTACTGTCTAATAGCGGCGATCAGGTTCAAAACTTTAGAAGCACATATCCCTGTCACCCATCTACAACATGTTAGACTATCCTAGAAGCCGATGGGATATTCTACGTAACCCAGAGTTTGGAGTCAAATTACTACAAATGGCTCTCGGAGATGCTGTGCAGTCTGAGCGCTCAAACACGATACAATGCTTTGGGAGCCTAAGATAAGCAAGGGACTACGTCGATACCTGGCTTCTTACTTTCTACCTAGTGGCATTGAGACTGATCCTTCTTCCTCTCCATCCAAGTCTCTGGATCATGGTATGCCATCTCAACTTGCCGCTGTACAGAGATTCTTACAATAGTTCATCTGCTTAGTGAACAATGACGAACTCGAAGTTACGCAATTATATGATGCAGTCAACTGTCTCTTGAAGAGCTTCAACATATATATTTTCGCCTACATCTTCAGCTTGCGTACTATTACGAGCAAAATACTCACGAGAAAGATCTTCCCGGCCGCCGTGAACCGAGCTGAACAACATCCCGCTAGTCGAGCTGCTAATAGCCCATGGAGCGCTTGCCGGTATCTTAGCAGTCTCCCAAATAGGGACTGTCGATATGTATTGTGACTACATTCTTTCTTTCTTTCTTTTTTCTTCCAAACGATTGTTCTCCGGGTTTCAGCAATGTCGGTTACCATACGGCGCTCCAATACAGTGAAAATGCTCAAGTCGAAATGCGAACGTGAATGCCCCCGCATAGTATGCGCGAGAGAGCTGACTGCGCTATAAGCTGCCATGAAAAACGGTCATTCTGAGATTGTAAAACTACTGTTAATGTTGAATGCTGGTGTAGTTGATGTCCCCTCCCCAGCTATTGATCCGCCAACTATCGAGGCTGCAATATTACCAGAGAAATTACAAATGCTCGGATACCTATTACAACATAGGCTGGAAGACGGAAATACTATGCCCGTTATTTGTGCAGCAGCAGAGCACTGCTGGCTCGATGGAGCTTGTTACCTCCTCCTGCTTAATGGAAGTGATGTTAACTCATCCTACTATGGCTGGCTCGTCTACTGTGGGGAATCTCGACATTAGGATGAGAAAAGGCGCTATATCAGACCCTTGGCATGGTCCATTGTCAACCAAGATTTTGATATGGTGAAATTGCTTTTGGAATCTGATGCAAAAGTTAGACTCCAACTCAATGAAACAGAAGATGGAATCAACGATGCTCTTTGCCTCGCATTAGGACACCGACGCTGCACCGAGCTTATCCTTTCACTGTGCCTTCAGTATACTGAACTGGGCCCGAATTACCTCCATAAAGAGACTCTGACTTTGGCAGCGACATATACACATGCCAAACGAGAGAGCCATATGATATTGAAATCGATACTCAGCATTATATCCTGCCTTTCTGAGACATCGTACCCAAATCAGGTTGTAAATGCATGGAATCATCTTTCACGTCATATGAGTAAACTCTCTAGTGTGACATTCGCTCAAACCTAAGCTCTAGGGCAGCCTATCTTCAAGAAACTAAGCATACAGAAGAAGAAGAAGAAGAGAAGACTCCAACGCGCTCGCTCGCTACAGCTTCATATAGTGTGCAGGCCCCGCGGCGGTGCCTAATTGGGAAGCCGTGAGGATCAAAGGAAAATCCCGTTGCTAGGGCTTAGGGCACCGACATGAGACCTGGAGCCGCACTATATGAAGCCGAGCAGCAAGGTACGTACGACCGTCACATCTAGCAGTGACATCAACGAAGATAAGATGGAAGTGATATTCAAATTCTTGTTGCAAATTGGAGCTAATCAACATAAAAGCACGTGCAAAATATGGTGAAAATGCGACCATTTTACAGCTAGCAATGAAAAGCGGGAAATTGAAATTGGCCAGATTCTTACTTGAAGAAGGTGCTGATATACATGTTCCAGCAGTTGCATTGTCAGGCACACCTCTCCAAGAGGCAATCGATAAAGGGGAACTCGAATTCGCACGCTCTGTCCTGGACGGAGCTGCTGATGTGAACGCCGTCCCAGCGCTTTATAACTTCACTGCTCCTGAAGCAGCCGCTCGAACAGGTATACATCGCAATAGAGCTTCTTCGACGCGGAGCGCATGCTGCCAGTGCTGCATCAGCATTCGGTAAGACGGCAATCGATCTCGCAGCAGAATTTGGACGATAAGGATCTTCACCATGCTTGTCAAGAAGCAGCTGACTGTGCGGACCGCTGAGGTCACCCAGAGATTGCTGACTAGCTTCGACACTATGAAATTCCCAGGTATGACGGCTGTAATTCACATCCAGAGTCGCCAGATCCCTGTGCCAACGGATTTCTTAGAGTACAAGATTTGGACGACATCGATTCCCCTACCCCTGAGCACTGAGGTATTTTTCTACTCAAAATCATAAAATATCCTTATCTGTCACTTCGTTGAAATTTGTACTTTTCATAGAGAAGAATATTTTGGGTATTCTCTATACCTCTATCTTTTAATATGCTTCTCTAACTTGACTTCTTTGGATCGTTCCTTTGTGCTACTACCTAAGTAGAATATACCTATGTAATCAGCAGCAGGTATCTCAGAGAAGGCAGTAAGAAGTTGATGTGAGAGAGGGTCTTCATACTTCCCAGGTTTCACGGTACAATGTACACTGCTCTTTTTTGCAACCCCCATGGCCTTTCCTAATGTCCAGTGGACTCGTTAGAAAGATACATACATCCATACATCCATATATATATCTCCGAATCCGGCAAATCTATGTTTACCCCTGGTCTGTCGACATGCGAATCTCACAACGCTCCCAGGTCTTAGCTCCTGTTTCACATGTCTAGAATATCTTTATTAATTTGTAGGGCTGCAGACAATACTGAAAGTACGATAGGACCTCAGGCAAAAAAGCGGGAATACTTCTCTGAGGTACATCTAACGTTGGAAGCAAGCATCATCTATTCATTGGGTTACCTAGGTAGTCGACACAAATCCCTATATTCGAGTCCTACAAGCTTGTTCTCTGCTCCTCGAAATCGATGTACGACATCAGGTGGTGTCATCGCGCTTATATCTCTTGTATGCTCATTACAAGTCATCGTATCCCATTGTAGTATAGACTCATGCATTGTCATCGCTCATGAAAGCAAACTTAAAGAATATGAACTGAATCAGAGAACACGAGTAAAGGTATTGGTCAAACAATCGTTACAGAAACTTCATGCATGAAAAAGACGAGAGAGATCCATAAAAAGAGAAAGATGCTTAAACATCAATCAAGGCAAAAAACTAGAAATCACCACCACCGAAATCATCACCATTATCAAAACCCTGATCGTAGCCCTGATCGTATCCCTGCTGATACTCGGCCTGATCATGATCCTCAATAGCATCCGTAATCAGCGCACCAGCAAGCAAACCGCCGCCAACACCCAACGCAGCGGCACCGGCCGTACCCATACCTCCTGATTTCTTAGGTGGTTGTTGTGCGTATCCCTGTTGGGGGTAATATCCCTGTTGAGGAGGTGGATAATACCCCTGTTGAGGAGGGTAGTATCCCTGTGGAGGATATCCGCCATATCCCTGGGGAGGAGGAGGTGGTGAACCATAACCACCATATCCGCCCTGCTGAGGAGGATAATGTCCATGTGGAGGAGTAGGAGTTGCATATTGTCGATTGGGGGATTTACCCAGCAATTTCCCTAAGAACCCACGACTTCCCTTTGACGAGGACTGTTGCTGTTGATCATAGCCACTAGATGAGGTAGGTCGAGGCGGAAGAGGCGGTTGCGATAGATTATTATTAGACGAAGAAGTATCGTTATAATACGCTGAGTTCTCGCCTCGATCCCGGTTTCTGCCAGCTGCTCGCGCATCTTCTTCGGCTTGTAATTGAGCAGCGAGTTTTGCGTCGTCTTCCACGCTGTGGTGGCTAGATGAGGGATCACCAGCGCTGCTATAAGGATTGTTGGATGCTAGATGAGAGGTCTTTTTCTCTTCGCGAGCAGCTTCTGCTGCGACGGCAGGATTCGCTGGGCCAGACTCATGGTATGATGGTGGTGGAGCGCTGTCTGGCGGGGCAGCGTCGGATTCTTCCGGGGGGGTCCATTGAGATACGCCGGTTTTGAGGTTTACGAAGAACCTATTCAAGTCAGTAAGCAAGTAAATTATTTTGAGATTGGAATTGTTACGTACCATGATTTGTAGCGATCGTCGAATTGGGCCTTCCAACCTGGAGGTACGGGTGGAGGCGGAGGACCTGGTGGAGGGGCAAACGACATGGCTGACAGTTAACAGCTTGTAGCTGACAAGACTGAATGATGATGAACTGCAAGACGATGAGGTTAAGGTATTTATGTAGAGAGAAACTGGTGCCTGGTTGTGGCGATGCGCGTTGGGATAGGTGGTTGGAGGGGAGTAAGTTAAGCAATAGAACATGACGGAATCGCTCGGTGGCTGCAAGCTTAACGGCACAGCCACATATCGTTATTTGTCATGTAACGCCGTTACACATTTTTTGTCATTGGTGTAATCAATGTATTTCACTTGTTAACGTCTGAATAATTCTTTTCCCTGGAATATCATGATGTATCGAATACAAAGTAAGGACTCAGTCACATAATATCGACCAAATGTAGACAGTCGTAGTCCGCTAACCCCACTGATGACATCGTTTGGCCAACACCTAACGCATCGATCAGTCCGAATAACGAATATTGGGATCAATTTCGCCGCTATCCGGAAACCAATAATCTTCTGCATCAACTTCCGAGTCCCAATCCCTCCTCACCTGCTGGTCTACGGCCGCAATCTTGCAGCCTTCATCCTCACTATCGCCGGTGAGGTCAATCCAAATTGGAGCCTTGCTTGACTTGCGGACTGGTTTGATTGGCTTGATATATTCCTTGTCACTAGATAAATCAATAACAGGCGTGACACGATGTTTCTTCTTCGGGCGGTGATGAGGGCTGTCCTTCCGCTTGAGGAGGCTCGGATCTCGATTGCGAATTACTGCGGTTTTTCTATATTCGGCAACAGAATGATCTCCGGCTGGAGTAGCGGCTTGATCAAGTTGCAAAGCTTGTATCTCCTCGAGTAGTGGAGTGGTTGATAGCATGTCTTTTGGTGTCTCCTCTGGACGAGCCCAAGCTGCATATGGTCCTCTATACGCTGGTCCTTGGCCCGCCCCATATCGCGGGTGCTGAATGAGTTGACCAGTCTCCAAGAGTGACTTTCCAATAGCTCTCCCAGACTCGGAAGATGCCGAGAACTCAGTCTCTCCTGTATGCTCATAGTGGAGTTCTTCTACTGGATCTGAGCTAGAGCCTGGTTGGAGAATATGGATGCCTCCAGCAGCATCTCCAACGAGTAAGGTTGACTTATCTGGAGAAAACGCCCCCGACATAACCTCGTCTTGAATAGCTGCAATATCTCTAACATGAGCATCCTCAGGTGCGCGAAGTATATTCCACGACCGAAGCACACCGTCAGAGCCGCCTGTGATAAACTCATCCGGGCCCTTCCCCCACAACGCAACACGAACACCGACATCAGCTTGTTCTCTCGTAAGCTCCTCATCGAGCTGATTAATAGCGTCTCCGTGGCACAATTTATGTAAAATTTGCGACGGGTTGCGGAAGTCCCACACATAGGTAACACCGTCAGTACAACTAGCTGATATATGGAAACGGTCCATAGGGCAAAAAGAAACGTCATTGATATCAAGAGCTGGACAGTCAAACTCTATAGCGCATCGCGGCTTTGTCGTCGGCTCGTAAATTCGCACTAACGATCGTATATCCCTCCCTGTTCCATTCGTGCCTATGCTAGACACGGAGCTACCAGTGGCAAACCAAGTAAGAAAGGGATGGGATTTCACATCAAAGATATTTTGCGCGTTTGGCTGCAATTGTATAGCCACCAGAGAGCTCTCAGCTACTTTCCACGCTGCCAGCAAACCTTCCCTGCACGCATCTCCCTCATGGTAGCTTTTACCAGAAAACCCGGTAACAAACAAATCCCGTGTCAAAGGAGACAATCCCCACGCTAACGATGAGGGTGTAAAGCCGGCTTCTTTGGTAGCACGAGGATTTCTGCTTAAGCGCTGTGACATGTAATCCAGATCGTAGCATGTCTGACCGATGTCATCCAAATGCCACAAATGCAATGTTGATTCCGTTCCTGTAGTCAGTATATTGGCGATTGAAGGTGATCTTGCCATTACTTGGACTTTGTGGCTGTGCCGAAGAGTGCGATCGCACGTTGCATTGGCATACGAAGAAACATTCCAGATTTTGACTGTCTTGTCATAACTAGCCGTGTATAGAGTGTCCTCAAACCACTGGACAGCCGTAACACTCATGTATAAATGAGCATTATTATGATTTGCGACTGGATACGGGACACGGTGATCTGGTAGCTCCTTGATGGTCTGGTGTTGATAATCACCCAGGATCAGATTATTCGACCGATTATATTGCATGTTGTGTTCGTCACACTGCGCGGCTGCACCGATAGCAAATTTCGACCCATCTGGGGACCAAGCAAGATTTAAGACGTCATTCGAAGCACCTTTCCATGTATGACTTCTTCGCAGACTAAATTCTTCAGAGAGCTGCTTGGGGTGTTTGTCTAGTATAGAGGCTCGATGTTCACTCTTTGAGATGCACGCATCTTCCCGACTGGCAGTAATGAAAAATGGACGGGTTGGTATATTACCCCGTCTTGCGTCCTTCAGAAACGCTCGTATATCTGACCTGGAACGCTTGGCAAGGGCAGCTGCCATGACGAGGGACTGCGAAGCTTGGGCGGGGGTGTCTTTCTCAGACAATGTCTCGTTGCAGAGATTATCAATCAAAGGATCTGCAGAGTCAGCAGCTTGATGGTATGCAATGAGGTTATCAAAGCCCTGACTATTGAGAAGTTTCTGAAGGTGGATCATCTGAGGTAACTTTTCTAAAAACCCCTGCTCGAGACGATTCATGTTTACCGCTCGAACAATGTCCGTGACTTGGTCTGCTGGGCTCATTTCAGACAGACCTCCGTCAACGCCGTAAGGAGCTAGTAGGGTAATGATGGCCTGTATTTCATCTTCGCTGAAAGACACATGAAGCAGTGGATGTTGTGGTTTGCTTCTGAATTGGCGTGCATAACGCACAGGTTTGGTCTGGGGAGAATAGGGAGCCGTACGAGGAAGGTCAGGGATGTCTTGTAGTTTAGAAAATACATGTCGAGAAACACGGATTCCTTGAGAATCGTAAATGACACGAAATCTTCTTCGCTCCGGTTTCTTGGGTGTGAATGGCACTACTGAACGTGAAGAGTGAGTAGGCCTTGGTTGTGTTTGTGTTTCGGGTCTTGTTTCTTGCTCGCCTTCAGACACGTAAAAGTATCCTGAGTAGTTGGCATTTGAATAATAATTCTTAACTTGAGCCCTGCATCGTCTCGAGCGAGGGCCAGCATTGCCACGTCTTACGGCTTGTGAGTTCTCAGAGTCTGACGACTCTACTCGTAGTACGGGATTTTTCTTTGGCTGCTTCCTTGGTCTCCTCGGTGTCTCCTGCTGTGGCGATGAGCCTTCCGAATCCACCAAGTCAATTATGACGGCCACTTTCGGTGGCCTGCTCCTTCGTTTCGGTGGGGTGGGTTGGTGGTCGACGGTTGTAAAGGGAGTTGAAGAAGGAACATCGTTTGTTGGTGGGAGAGGATGTGATTGGAATGTAGAGAGCAGATGCTCTGCGTCTTGATCTTCGTCCGAGCTGCTCATATCATCGCCTGTTCATGACTTTCTAGAGGTCGATAAACCGTAGACAGTTTGTGTATGCGCAAAGTGACCTGTACTTCAAATTTGGGTGTGATTTGAGCAGAAGATGCATACGAAAGTGAGGAATAAGTCGCAGGAATTGAAGAATATTATAAATAGACGTCCAACTCGTAATAGATATCACGAAAATCAAGGGGAGGTGAGAGTATCAAGTTTCGCAAGTCTGTAATGATTAACGTGACAAAAAGACAGACACCACAGATAAAGGGGGAAAATAAAGGATAAATTGTTAGTTGAGAAAGAGACAAGTCGCGAGCGGAAGAGTAATAATAAGACAGTAAAGAAGGAGTATGAGAGTAAGTAAGAATGTGGTGAGAGAGTAAATCAGGAAGCGGCGCGTCCACAAGGCGCTTCCTGGGCGTAATTGACTGTCGAACGCACGTGCCACCACGCCCTTCCCGTTTGGGATAAATGGTTTCCTCTGCAGTCTGAGTGATGAAGGAAGTAAAATCATTGAAATATTCATATTACCCAGTCACAAGGACAAACAACTATACTATTGATACATTGCGCCAACTTATGCGCCTCGTGGTATATGGTAGAACGATCTCTTCTAAAATATTGGGATACAAGCGCAACCAATTCTTTGGGAAAGGTCACACAGCTCACAATTTGTGACTGTGGAATTTTGAGAATTGGCCAGCTCATCTCAAGGTCAAGAACTACCCCATTCTCGACTTGAAGCAAACATGCACGCCTCAAATAGCGTTTGCTTTCAGCTCGCATTGACCTTACTTGCCAATAGAACGGCGTCGGCGAGCAGCTACCATGACATCGTAAAGCACATCCTTGAAAGCAAAGAGAAATGCAGCAGTAATAGCACTTTGGGTCACTTTGGGGGTGATACCTACAGAGAAAGTCAGGATAAAGTAAAAGAATGGCAAAGGATTCTTGAATCATACCTTTGTAGAGACCAGTGTATCCCTCCTCTTTGATAATCTTCTTCAAGCTTCCGTTAAGAGTCTGGCGCTCATCGCTCTTTCCAGCAACGTGCATACGACTCTTAACAGTGATATATGGGTAGGTGATACTCGTAGCAAGAATCTTGCCTACAGCGCCGAGATAGAACGCATCCTTAGGAGTGATCCGTCGTCGTCGCTCCAAAACATTCTTCAATTGCTCAAAGATAGTATATTGAAGAATTGGATTGATCACCAGAACCAATGCTGGAAGCACGCCAGAGAACAAGGCACTAGGCCCCTCATTCCTGAGCAGATCCAAAAGAGTCTGAATCGTAGATTTAGACTTCTTCGATTTCTCACCACCGGGTAGTTCCTGCTCGTCCGCGCTGTTCCGACGGGCCGTCATCCGGGTATTGACGACCCAAATCGGGTTTGTGAGGAGCACCGTTGCGCTGCCGGCAATAGCGCCTGCGATGATGGATTCAACGGTAGTGAGCTTTTTCGAGGCACGGCCAGCCTTCTCTGCGGCTTTCTCGAAAGCTGCACGAGTCCATTCGTACCAGTAATAGTATACGAAGTTTGTCACACTAATTCCGAACAGAGCTGAGTTCAGGCCGGCGTAGAGTCCGCTGATTCCTTCGCGCTGGATGATATGTCGCACGGCATCTAGGGTTGAGGACTGAGCGCGCTTCGATTCGACTTGCGCGCGGGTAGAGAGTGTTATAAGAGGATAACTGAGACATTCCATGTATTAGTACGATAATATAGTCAATGGTTGCCAGCTATGGAATTGCATACGTGAGAACCATTGACAGGATGCCTCCTCCTGCACCTGCCAAAGCGTGCGCAACGTTGTCAGATTGCTGCGCGGCAGCCGATGCTGCCACGGCTCTTTTCTGTTCCTCTAATGGCGCTTGAGACATTCTGATTGATGGAGAATACCTGTGAAGTGAAAGATACAAATGAAGATTCAGCAACGGCGTGGAATGGTAGAAATTATACCTTCCAACGAGGGGAGCGGGTGATGCCGGAGGGTCAGCCTGTATATAGGAAGTAGCAGTCCTGAAGAACAACCCTTTTCACAAGGGCATGCAGGGTATATCAATCACTTTCAAGGGCGCAAATGTGAAGATCCACCTAGATAATAATTTTTCAGAAAGTCGCCGAGGAATAATAACCGGCGGTCTTATCGAATGATCATGGCGACAACGTATTAGCCTTGGTTATCAATGACGTTGTCGACTGTTTGCCTCGGCAGACTAGGATGTATCCGCACTAGCTACTTCAGGCGCTTTGCGGTCCAGACGATGACAGGGCATGTGATTTAAGAAGTACTTCATGTTCAGTCTGAAAGTCACGTAATATATACTCTAAATTCAGTGTTCTTGCAAATCATTATTTCTTATTGGAAGAAAAGACAAGAGTAACAATCTCAACCTACACAAACAATCTCACATTACAAAGATCAAGAAAAAGAAAAGGTGAGAGGAAGGAGAAAAACAAAGAAAACGAACCGATGGTAGACAAGTAGTGGCCTGAAGACGAGAGACATGATACGTAACTGACTAAGCAAAGGGTAGAACGATTGATGATGGACGTCGAGAGGTGTTTCGGTTGAGAATAATTGCGAAGCACGACATGATCTCGACATAGCCTGTCAAGAAGTCATAATAGGAGCTGACATCATGTCAAGAAATGTGATTTGAGGCCACCAGGCACAATACGGAGACAGTCGATCATGGTCTATAAATATGATGAAATAGATGCAGATATGTTCTTCCGTTCCCAGCGGCCAGAAAGACAAGTCCTCGATACCGTCGCACAAACATTCACAATGCAATCACCTCTGGAAGTATAACTGCCAGATATAATCGTCCCAGGAGAGAATCAAGATCCCAATTAACAGCAACCGCCCGCGGAGCCAGATTGAACGCCTTGACCCTGGCCGACCTGGACGGTGGGCTTGTTGTTGACGGTAGCAGTACCCATGCGCTCCTTAATCTGTCGTGCCATGGTCAAGAATGCTTGCTCGACGTTGGATGCGCTCTTAGCGGATGTTTCCAAGAATGGGATTCCCAAGCTGTCTGCGAATTCCTATTGAATAAATCATGATTAGCACGCTATACCCCTTCCTTCCCTTGCCGATATAAACCAACCTTAGCCACAGTGTATTCGACAACCTTCTTGTCCTCCATATCACTCTTGTTGCCGACCAAAAGCTTGTTGACTCCCTCAGTAGCATAACGATCAATCTCCTGCAACCACTGCTTGACGTTGTTGAAAGAGTCCATATCGGTCACATCGTAGACGACGCAGATACCGTGTGCTCCTCGGTAGTAAGAAGATGTGATTGTTCGGAATCGTTCCTGGCCGGCAGTGTCCCACTATAGAAGGTCAGTGATCTATAAATAGACCTAGGCAGAGACATGGCATCAACACGTACGATTTGCAACTTGACGGTCTTTCCATCTAATTCAATAGTGCGAATTTTCTGTTCAGGACACGAATATCAGTAATTTGTTTTTCATCAAGCAGGCGGCCTGATAAAGTCACGTACGAAGTCGACTCCGATCGTGGAGATGTAGCTTTCAGTGTATGTATCATCTGCAAAACGGAGCAAGAGACAAGACTTTCCAACACCAGAGTCTCCGATAAGGAGAAGCTTGAAGAGATAATCGTATCTGTAATACGTTAGACATAAGTGTTTCGGAAATGATACGGAAGAGGCGAGGTTCATCAGAGCGCAACCGTCACGAAAAAGCGGAGGGATAACTCTATAATATTAAATAATGTTAGCGGGATATACAAGTGCAATAGCTGCATATTTGCAATCAGTAAGATCGTCCACGTACCACTCTGGGTTCATGATGGGCGAAAGATGTGGGTGTTTGTGTATGTCTATGGAGTAAACGGTAAGGCGGCGGAGTTGTCGTGAGAGAAAAGGAGACGTAAGACGTAAAGTTAAAGCAGTTATTTGAGTCTGACTCTGCCGGGCGAAGCAAACGAGTTACAAAGAGGGCGTTACGGAGGAGACACTGGATAATGAGATGAGAGATAGAAGCAAGATACGGAGCAGAGAATAATAAGTAGTTCCAAGTGAGGTTGAGTTGTCAGCAGCAGGTGGTGGACGACCCGCCCAAACAGGCTTAGCGCGAGCCACCTGCAGGACCCAGCTGAGCGACTGGCGGTCCCGTGCCGTAGTCCAATGATACAACATTAAACACTTCCAATGTCTCACTCTCTTGAATAATAAATAATCTTCTAACTTCCTACACTTATAACCTTAAGCATACCCGTGAGCCTGCATCCATTCCAGCAACAGCTTCTCGTCTCTTTCCTTGTACCGAGCATTGGTGCGAATGCTGTCGGAGAGAATCACCAAAGTCCGCTCAAATGCACCAGTGTCTTTGTCCTCGAAGAATTTGGCAATGTCGTCGGCGATGGCAACCTCCGAGAACTTGGACAGTCCTAGTCGCACGAAACGGTCGTAGACAATATTGTTGGCAGACAGCCGTGTCGAGACTGCGGTCCAGTTGGACTTCATATACTCCCAGAGTGCGTAGCGGCCAATGGGGTTGTTGGCTAACGATGCAGCACCGGTGTGCACGTCTTGAATAGAGACTTTGTCTGAAAATATAAAATTCAAGTACTCCTGTATCAGTTCAGGATTCTTTGCGCGACCAAGGGCGCTAAGGCATATCTCTTTGCCATCTACAGAGTCAGTCTGGACGAATTCTTCCTTGATCCGCTCAAACTCCGCTCGGTCACCTTCTGCGACATTGATCGAGAAGATTGTGGATCGCAGGTTAGAATGGATAGCATTCGGGTCTTGGCCAGAAGCCCAAAGCTGGAAGCGGCGCTTTGCTTCAGCAACAATTCTAGTGCGCCGTCTCTTAGCTTTCGTGAGATATATTACGGGAGTTTTTGGGCTTACCCTTCGTGACCGGCTTCTCCTGCCATCGCGATGAGCAGTTTGCGAAGTTGTCCGGTCAAGTAATCCTCATCGGAGCGGAACTCCCAGCCAATCTTCTCGACAGCTGGAGTAACTAGCTTCAGCTTGAATTTCTTTATAGCAGCAGCGGCAGACTCGTTCGATGAGAATGTGGTTCGCAAACTAGCGAGAGATGACGAAGTCTGGGACCACACTCTGAGAGACTGTCAGTATCAGATCTACAAACCATCACCACAGATGACTTACAGATAGTTTGCCTCTTGAGCGAATCCTTCGATCAATGCGAGCAACGCAGGAGTAGTGCTTTCGCCTGAAACGGCAAGAGCAGCAGCATCGCCAACAAGGCCAATCTTGTCCTCTGTGCTGAGCAAATGAAGGCTTTGGCCGAGTTTTGCCAACCGTTGCGGTGGGTAGTTCGTCCGATAGAAACCAGAATGGTCTTTGTTGATCTTGTAAAACTCTTCATTAATACCGCGGAAAGTATCAGACTTGGAGGTAAGAGCATCCAGCTTAACCTGGGTTGGCTGGGCCCCAGACTTGATGCCGAGTGGAATCCACCAAACAGTCTCGTCCTCCTCTGGCTTAACATCGCCAGATGAAAGGAACCTGTTTTGGCGCAAAGATATTTGACCAGGTTCCTCGGCAACGGTGACTACTGGATAACCAATCTTGCGAATCCACGGGTTCTATAATCTCTTAGTGGAGGTGACCCAGGTTGTAAATATCCAGCTTACCATAAGAGCATTGACATCAAGGTTGGACGCTTTGCTGAGTGCTAACCACAAATCATTTGTCGTGGCGTTACCTGAAACCTATCAGCCATCAATTATCAGTCATGGGATAGAGGCTAGTATCTACCGTAGGCGTGAGTTTTAAGGTAGTTGGACACCCCATTGATGAAGACGTCTTGGCCGAGATGACTGCTGAGCATACGGATGACGGAACTGCCCTTCAGGTAGCTGATATGATCGAAAATCTGGTCCACTTCAAGAGCATTCTTCACGGGGACTTCAATAGGGTGCGAAGCGCGCAGTGAGTCAAGTTGGGAAGCTTGTTGAACACCTTCAGCCTGGTGGATTTATCAATATAAATTATCTTCAAAATACCTCGTGCATTGCGTACCACAAATTGAGACCAAACATTCCAATCTACCTCCCTGATTAGCATCTATTGTCTTACAAGACTAGGAAAACGTGTTACCTGGATGAAAGTGATCAACTGCGAGCCAGCCGACCCATGTTGCAAATCCTTCGTTCAGCCAGAGCTCGCTCCACCAGTCCATTGTAACCAAGTTACCGAACCATTGATGCGCAAGTTCTAAGGTTTCGTTAGTGTTCGTCTCAGACGTCGTACCTGTTAAAGTGGGACATACCGTGAGCGACCACATAAGCAATCCGGTTCTTATAGCGCGAATCGGACTTGCCTTCATCGAAAAGAACGGCAGTGGTACGGTATGTGACCAAACCCCAATTCTCCATAGCTCCAGCTGCCTTCATCGGTATGTTAGTATTTCATATTCTGCAAATGGGCCGGTTCCACTTACAAATGCATGGACACAGAGAAGGTCGGACTTTGGAAGAGGATACTCAATTCCGAAAAGTTCTGAGAAGTAATCGACCGTCTTGTGGGCACATTCTAAAGCGTATCGAGCTTGATCTTCAAGACCCCTGGTAGTATAAACTCGAACAGGGATACTAGCCCCGTTATACTTGCGCTCTGTCTTTGCCTCGACATATCCGAAGTCACCGACTGCCCAAGCTAGGAGCTACGCAAGTGATCATTAGCCAGATAAATCGCGAATTGAAAGATGAACTCACATAAGTACTCATGATCGGGGTTCGTTCAAAGGAGACAACTTTCCAGCCCTCTTTGCTATCACGCTCCGATTTGACTGGCATGTTACTCAAGGCGACTAGATCCTTCGGGACCTCAATCTCAAAGTCAAACTCGGCCTTCAGATTCGGTTCATCAAAGCATGGAAAGGCTCTTCTAGCATCACAAGCCTCAAATTGGGTGCTCATCATGTAATGATACCCATCTGATTCTGGAGTGGCGGCGGATGGTGTCACGGGAGCTTTGTACTTGCAACGAGAGAATCCAGCCATAGCTTCGTTAATAGTCGCCGTAAAATCTATTTTCAATAGAGCTTCTCCGGAAGGTATTTCCTGGTCAAAAGCCAGTGTAACTCTTTCTGACACCTTGTCGTAGGAAATGCCAACAGCCTTGACGGAGGTTGAGCCTGTTGTCAAACAACGCAGATTAGCCAATTATTTTCCATGGATATAAGAACAAATCGAAATATACCGGCTTGAACCTCTGCCTTTTCAACGCTGACCTCCTTGGTGTTCAAGACAATCTCCTTGGTGGGCTTGGATGCCTTGACGTCAATCTTGACAGTGCCATTGTAGCCCCAAGAACCTCCAAGCTGTAGATTATAAAGAGAAATATCATAACGTTTCGGCTTCACTCTGTAGAATATCATCAGATCAGCACAAGTCCAAGTAAAGCTTCAATATCAATATCCAAGCTGTAGGGTTTGCGTATCAGTGAGATCAACATACACATCAGGAAGCGTATCACGGTCTGAGCGAGCCATGGTGTGCGCTTCAAATGAACAATATCTCACAGAAGGTATCCTAATTCCAGATCTAAAGTCGAAGAGCGAAGACCTTCGAGTGAGCACCGTGTTATTGGAGGTGGATAAAAGTCGAGAAGCAGATGAGGGGAACGTCGCATAGGAGCGGCGAACAATTGCGGGTGGGACATTGCTCTGGGTTGTAATTGCGTTTACCGTCGGCCGAGCATACGACAGCGTCCTAAGACTTGCCCTACAACACTTCCAAACGGTAGTTTCCAGCATTTACGTTGCATTGTTTTCCTCCAGGTGTGCAGTTTGATCAGAATGAGTCGTAGTCCCTTGTGGAGAAAAATATTTAACTTGAAGCTTGGATCATTTTTTGGAGCTTCCGCCGGGAATCGCTGATCAGACAATCAAGCTTCGAAAGCAACCTTTGCAACGCCGTTTCCCACAAACCCTACACCGGAAAATATGGCCGATTCTGACGAGGAGTATGTTGGATCCGGATCTGAGGATGAGATCGATGCGCACATGGTAACGAGTGGAGCTCGAACACGCTCAGGTCGGAAGAAACAGCGCGGAGGTGCCAACTGGGAGGTCTCGAGAACTTGGGAATCTGTCGTTGAGGGCGCAGATGGCACAATTAGTTCGACAGTTGAAGGGTTATTAGAAGCTGGAAAGAGAAAGAGGTATATACATCTATTTTCACAGCCGCTGTGGATCTCGAGGCCAGATACTGTTCAGAAGCTAACAACATACCTTTCGGCAGATTACTTCGAGATACTACACCCTTACAGCGAGGCATCATTCGCCATCTCATCCTGGTGCTCGACCTTTCCCAGTCGATGGCGGAGAAGGATATCCGGCCCACGCGATATCTACTAGCTTTGCGATACGCTCAAGAGTTCGTCATTGAATTTTTCGAACAAAATCCCATATCGCAACTCGGAGTCATTGGCATGAGGGATGGTCTGGCTGTACGAATAAGCGACATGAGTGGGAATCCTACAGATCACATCACTGCAATCCATGCTTTAAGGTCAGACGACCCGAAGGGACTTCCGAGCTTACAAAACGCTTTGGAGATGGCGAGAGGTGCACTTTTGTACGTCCCATTTCTCATGAAAGCTTGCAGGTTGGACCTTTTCAGCTGACGTTCACAGTCATACGCCCAGTCACGGTACACGAGAAGTACTCATAGTCTTTGGATCTCTTCTCTCTTCGGACCCTGGAGACATTCACCAAACTTTGAAATCCCTCGTTGCGGACAAGATTCGTGTGGGTATCGTTGGGTTGGCTGCACAGGTCGCAATCTGTCGCGAACTCTGCGCAAAAACGAACGGCGGAGATGACACTGTATATGGAGTAGCTCTCAATGAGCAGCATTTCAGAGAATTGATGATGGAAGTCACAATCCCACCAGCAGTATATTCGTACAAAACAGCCAGTAGTGCGCTATTGATGATGGGATTCCCGTCACGAACAGTGGAATCCTTTCCATCTTTATGTGCCTGCCACTCGAAACCATCTTGTGGCGGATATCTGTGCTCGCGATGCGGGAACAAAGTCTGCGGTCTGCCAGCGGAATGTCCTTCTTGTGGCCTCACCTTAATTCTTTCGACACATTTGGCCCGATCTTACCATCATCTATTTCCTCTCATTAACTGGGTTGAAGTACCGTGGAAACAAGCACTACGCAGTACCCATTGTTTTGCCTGCGGTAACCCATTTCCGTCTGTACCTCCGGCAGATCAGTGGGGAGCTTCGGAAAACCAAGCCAAGGGCATGAGTGTGAGCAGTCGCTATGAGTGTTCAGCTTGCCAGAACCATTTCTGTATAGACTGTGATCTCTTCGCCCATGAGGTAGTTCATAACTGCCCTGGCTGTCAGAGCACTAATCTGATGATGCCTCATCATAATCGGGATGTGTCTCCAGTGGTGGAGAGGATGGAAGGAATTACAAGCTGAGAGTGGGGAATGCTACCTCATTTTATAATTCCACAATGGTACCTCAAATACCACTTCATCTCTTCGTGGTGGACAGAGACGACTTGTAAGCGGCAAGCATTCAGAATGCGATGCTCATAGCGCTATCGCATGGGTACTGAACCACACAGTATACGCCACATGATCTAGACCGACATGAACTGGCAAGTTGGATTATTGATCACAGACTTGCTACCGAAATATGCATGACAACTTGCAAGCAGTAGTCTCTAAAAGGGATCTGTTGTATAAATGCTCCAGTTTGAAGAGACCAAGCTGATAACATCAATGTAGCCGCGTGCTTCAAGATAGTACAGAACATAGTTACCACCCTTTATGAAGTTCAGCCTTCTGACAATATCCACCATATATTTCAATCTCGTAGATAGCTATGTATATGTCTGACTGTTTGTAATGTAGATTTAAAGATCGCCCAATATCATTTCCGACAATCACATGCTTCAGTTGTCTTCCAAGGTTTCTTCCCCACACATGCAGATCTCCACTCAAGTTAAACTCAACATCAACTTCAACAAGAGGACTTCTACACATTACAGACTTACCAACAATTGGATAGTCAAAAAAAAGCACTTATAACTATCTGTACTGACCGTAGTCCTCTCACCAATTACGATCATACCAATACATCGGTTTCATCAAAATGACTACTCCGCAATCCACAGAAACCAATACCGATTCCACCCACACAACATCTACCACAACCACAACCGACATCTACAACCTCATATCGACGTATGATTTCTCCTCAGATCTAGAATTCCGCAAAGGCCTAGGCACAATCCTGGGCCATCCGGCGCAACCAGCTTCAGATGCGGAGGTTGTCAGTGGTGATGATGTTGTGTTCCAGGCAAAATGTTACTATATTTCCAGGTTCGTCTTACCTAGTTACATGAGCTGGCGTGCGCTCGGTGACTTACGTTATGTATTGGGGCTATAGAAAACGGAATATAAACCCATCTATAGATTTCAAGAGCTATAAGAATTGGCTTGTAGAGCATGGGGTCAACTTGGAAGCTGCTACAACAAACCCACCGGTCCAAAACAACGAAAAATGCGATGCCGAAGATTCCAATGCAGCAATAGCAACCACATCAACACAATCGATATTAGCACCCTCCTCTCAAGAAGAGAAGAAAAAGAGCAAGAATGGTGAACCAGCTTATCCATCTTCTTTTGCTCACATCGTGGAATTAATTACCAATAATCAACCCATACCTGGAATCGAGGATATTCCAGACACGGTCTTGTCTGGACACGACGAACCTAGTAAAGCGGCAAAGAGGCGGAAGCCTTGGGAAAAGAATGTTGATGTCGAGACTGTTGGTGGTGAAAATCAGGTCTAACGAGATTCTATGTGAACCACTACTTCAGATCTGATCGATTTCATTGACTATACGTCTGTTCGTATCATACATATGCGCAATAAACTGCACTAAGTGTCACTCTCACACTAATGAAAAGCCAAGCAATACCCAGGCGGATACCAGAAAAAGTTGCTTTAGGCTGACGAAACCAACGACGACTGCTTCAGCTGACGCATTCCTGTCGGCCCGCTCTGAGACACTGGACACATCTGATAAGATAATACATATGAAAGATATTTTTTGAAAGAAAGACAGGAAACAAGAACAGAAATTCCACGGTAAACCAAAGCCTCGATATGCTCGCGAAGTTGAATGACATCCTGGCTGGACATCGGAAACTTATGTATCTTTGGATATGTGCTGGTCTAAGAGATGACGATTTCGCCCAATACAAAAATCGTAAGATAAAGTCTTTGATGCTGGACATAAACGATCGCTCTCCCTGGAATCCAACAGAAAGATGGCACACTAAAGGTTGACAAGTTGAAAGAACATCTTCCGTGCGTCAAACCAAATGAACGAAGAGGATTCGCATAAGAATCTGGTCATTAATCATGCATATCGATAAATCTGGCTGCTCTCATCCCGACAAGACGTATCAGAAGTGAACGGTGTCGAGAACTCAACGAAACGGGGGGTAGTTCTGAGTCCAGTGATTACCACGACTGAATCTGTTACCAGAATTACCAGCAACCTGCAAGCGATCGTCGTTTGTCGGTCCAAAACGGTTCACCTGGACGCCTGCACCGGGGCCGGGTCGAGTCGCGAGGGAAGGGTTGCAGCACAACATTGCAACTCGAGAACCAAACTTTGAGCCACGCAAAGACACCATATGCTTCCTGAAAACGAGTTCTTTAGCTGGCCTTTCAAATATGGCTATATATATATATATATATATATATATATGTGTAAGCATTCTTACCTGATATGGGTTGCCACCAGCTCACGCTGATGCGGCGCAGCATTGCCCAGGATCCATTGTATCAGGTAGTTACCATACTGATCACCGGCAACTATGTAAATGTTAGCCAAATCGTCGTCAAGGCGCTGGTTGGGCTCTTTCTGCTTACTGTCGATCAGAGGCATACGAGGGCGATCTGCACGTCCAGTGCAGACGCGAGCCAAATAACGATCCAGAAACTCCGATCCTCCAATCTTCAAGCACTTTTCGACGACTTTCGACGCGAACTGGTCCATGCTATAGTCCGCACACCACTGGAGTATATGCTCGATTGCACGATTCTTGTCACGGGGGGCACCATGTTCACAGATGTGTTGGATGCACCAATTTCCAAATTGGCCATGGGACAGAAGGTCGATATTTGCTAGGACCTCTTCAATGGCGGGCCTCTGTGGAGTGATCAGTCGGATCCTGCGGACTTTCATTGGAGCAGTTTCATACCTTTTCTTCCTCGACGCAATTCTCAAAGATGTTCTGAACCACAAGGCTTCCGGTTTCCCCTAAAGCTACCTCGTGCCACATTCCACGAAGCGCCTCGTTGACCTTGGTCATAATCTGAGGTGGTTCGTTGTTCCATCTCAACTCGAAGAGCTTTTGCCAAACGTGGCATGCGTAGCGATGGATGACGGTCTCGGGTATGCGTCGCAGTAGTTCGTGAACCATCATAGCCTTGTACTCTTCGGGAACACAATCGAATGCTTTCTGAATAACATGGCATCCGAAAGCGTCCATGCTAAGACTCAGGGTATTGCCTTTGATAGAATTGGCGATTGCAATGACCTGCTCCGGAGTTCCATGCTCAAAGCAGCGCTGAACCAAGAAGTTTCCAAAACGGTTGACCATCAACGGATAAGCCTGGCTCACAATGGCCTCAATGATGTCGTACTTTTGCTCGGCTGTTCCTACCTTGAGCTTTTGCTGGAGGAATATGGAAGCCTGTTGGTCGCTGTTGCTAACAATTTTATCCACGATGTACTTCCAGTCGCAAGAAACATTCTTGTCAAGCAAGCGTCGATAGTTGATCGGCTCCATTGGCATGACATATGTTGGAGACGAGACCCCTCCAGTCTATGAACAGTTAGTAATCAACAATGGTACTCAAATGGTATACAACTCACAGATGTTCCATGCCAGGGGGCCGGGCCTGAGCTACTAGAGGTGAACTCGGCAGCTGTCGGAGAAAGAGGAGTGCCTATAGGTCGGGGCTGGTATTGAGGGATCGGAACAAGTCCAACTTGCTGATAGGCATTGAAGGTAGGACTAAGCGGAGCCTTAGTAGCGGCGTTGTTTGTCACTGCGGTGTTGAACGCTGCCCACGCTGACGGCATTGGTTGGAAATAGGCTGGTGCTCGATTCATCTGTGAAACGGAGCGTCGCGGACCAAGGCTAATGCCACCCACATAAGATTGTTCGGGCGCAAATCTTCCATCTAGAGCAGCAGAAGGGCCTGAAAAGATTCGCTGCTGTGGAGGGACAGCCGATCCAGTCATGCCTGTGTTAGTGGCCGAAGCTGCCCAGGGACTAGAGACAGGGTCTTGAACACTTTGCACTACTGGGGAGGGACCATGATAGGCCTTTTCGGCGCCTTGAATTCCAAACGCTGTTTGGGAGGGAAACCCCCACAAGTGTCGGTTTGCATTGTACGCCCCAGCCGAGAAAGATTCAGACATTTCCGAAGTGGCATCTTCTTGCATCCAAGGATCATGTTCTTGGTTAAAGCCCTTTGCAGACGTATGGAAAACAGCCTGAACGTCTCGGACGTTCTGCTGACTTGTTTCGCGGTCAACGAATTCAGCTTCAGATGGTGGCCCAAGAGCTTGATCCAAAGTATGTTTGATGACTCGGGTCTCTGCCAATTCCTGCTCTTGCTGTGCAATACGTGAATTGGCTGCAATCAGTTCTCGCTGCAAACGAAGCATTTCATCAGCATCAACCCCGTTATTCCCAGGGGTCACATTGTTGTTGTTGTTGTTGTTCATGCTGGGACCTTGAGTAGACATCATCGTGGCTTGATTTGCAGTAACCCTGGTAAAGATTGACTGATCCTGGTTGCCGCTTTGGATAGGGCTACTAACAGAGCGGGCTTCACGAATCAGATCCATGGGCTGCAGAGGCTGCTTATCGTCAACCTTTCCAGCTGTCCCTCTAGGTAACGACGTCTTTTTTCCAGCGGACTGCGCATTGGATGCAAGCTTTGCGAGTATCTTATCCATACCGGCCTGAACAGCGGCAGACGAGGGGTCCATGTTCTGTGACTAAATGCGTTAGTCGTGTGTGCAGCACAAATAAATTTGAAGACATTGACAAACCATGGTTGGAGACTCATCGTCTACACCGATCGAGGGCTGCTTGTTTCCGAGTTTTGAGGACATGAGAGGTGCGTGAGCAGAACCGAGATGCTTGCTTCCCTGAGGACACACAGCATGGTGAGTATGATATGATGATGATGATGATGATGAAAGAAGATAGCTGGGACAAACACTAGTGACTTACTGCTGTTTCTTCTCCAAATGATGGATGGCTCATATCGACACCACTCTCCGACAATTCATGAGACTGATCGTTGCCAGGCTGCAAAGGTGACCAGACTGAGAAAGTATTTGCAGACGACTTTGGCATTTTAGAAGGCTGAGATGACTTCCAAAGAAGCTGTTTTGGAACGAGATTGCGTAAGTAAGACAGAAATCAACGACTGTCCAACAACAATAAAAAAAATGAATGACTGATGTAGACAGAGCAGATGGTCCTTCAAAATAGACGATGATGGCAATAACAGAGAGAGTTTATGACAGAAGGGATCAAAGAGAAGATAGATGACAGAGAGTAGATTTCGAAAAGAAACAGCTCATAAGTGGGAGCAAAATGGTTGATTTGACAGAAAGAGAAGGAACGCGGTGCAAAAACAACAACGAGAGAAGGTGGGAGATGTCCAAGCGAGGGTCAACACAGCAATCTCTCCAAGCACACGGTTTTGATAAGGAGGAAGGCCGATGAAGGGAGATAGTGGAGGAGAGGAAGAGAGAGGAAGGAAGTGAACGAACGACTCGAGGTGAGATGGCGAGAAAGTGAGGAGGAGAAGAGAGAGGGAAGAGGAAGAAGGAGAAAAATTATACGAGGGGAAGAGAAGGAAAGAGGCGTGACAGGCAGGTGCTTGGCCAAAGAGGGGAGGCACGCACCACCCAGACAAACATACACATTCACTTTACAATACAAGATGGATTCTTGTATCTCTGGTAACAATCCTATATTGTAGGGTCATCTGTTTGGCTATAGATACTCATGTATAGACAAGATGAGCCCTTGTGGACTCCATTCATATGGTTCTCGAGCCTATAGGGTTGGTTCACAGTGCATAGTTCGGGATAGTTGTTTTGAGGTCAAATCTATCTATCAATAGTCCCTCTATCATGGCAATACTATCTCTATAAAAGCTGACCGGTAACTGCCGTAGAACTCAAATGCACTACAAGAACAAAGAGGGATGCTAGGATTGATTGTCCCAATAGGGGGGTCCACGAGTGAATTGTTTGTAGGGTGAGTCCTGCAAAATAGGTCAATTTGATATAAAATCTACTCTAGCAACAACATTTTTGATACCACATCTGCCGCCCCATGTCTTTTCCCTGCAAAACGCGTATGCAGGTGTGGTCATTCAAGGCTCTTCTAACTTCAAGAAAGTTGCTGATATAATTGCAGAATGAAAGAGCTCGCCCTCCTTTCCACGCTCACTTTCGAGTCCGTACCTATACCCGTGGAGCCCAGCTGCATCGAGCCTTGTATCCAGCAGTAAGCCTACCATCCGGTTATACATAATCTGGTGTGTCGTTCCTGGTAACCACTACACTAGTTAACTAGCTAGTTAGTGATCATGGTATCTATCTACTCTGGCTGGCTGTGTATGGTATTGTAATTACGCCTCAACGTCTCATTGAAAATAATACACGCTAGACCTATATTGGCTAGACCAGTCAACAAATCAGCGAATCCGGATGCGGCGCGGTGAACTCCGTAACCCCCGGCCAGTCTCATTTCAATCCATTACATGCGAACTGATGCTCGTCCAACCCATTATCTACATCCTCTTATGATGTTTCACTTGCAGCCTGTCTCGATCGCTTCAATTCTGGAATACAATCACTCGTTTCAACAAACCGATAGTTGTCTGTTTCAATAGTGGGCTGGACACTCCCTCATATGATCGTCGTCGTCATCTCCGTTTGCTAGCTGAGGCGCCCCATTCCGTTGAACAACTTTTCGTCGAACACACGGCCTTCACAGCGCTACCTGGCGAATTCATCGCAATTGTGCGGACTACCACTATATAAAGGATATTAGCCTAGATAACCCGTCTTGGACACAGTATCATGAGCACGACTACTCTAACGGGCATCGGACGCCATCCGTCGATTCGGCATCCTTCCACATGGTCCCAACCGCAAAGGGATTCTAGTCCGCAAGCGCAGAACAGTCCGATAGACGCCTTCCCAGCGTTTGTCGATGAGACACCCGAGGCCGCTACAAATGGAAAACCGCAGGAGGAGCAGAATGGCCACGACCATACATGGGAACCACGGAAAGCGGGATATGTGAGCTGGGATCATCACAGGCCAGCCTCGAAGCATCGGCCACGCAAAAGCATCAGCGAAACAATTACCACGATCAGGAAAAGGAACGCTAGTATGAGCGCGAATGCGCATGATATAGCGGAAGCCTTGAAAGCTCCAGTGTCTTATAAGCTGATTGTAAGCAACCCCCAATAGGTCTCTCATGCACGAGCACACGCTTACTGGCACTCAGGGCCTCTGCCTCATTTGGTATATGACGTCGGCCGTCACCAACACATCGTCCAAATCTATATTGACTGCACTTCCCAAACCGGTCACTCTCACCGTCGTACAATTTGCCTTCGTATCGTTTTGGTGTCTATTCCTCACCTATTGTTCGACCCTTTTCCCAGCATTGAAGACGGCTATACCTGCACTCCGTAATGGTATATTGCAACCATCACGGGAAGTGATTCTTACCGCCTTACCTCTGGCAGGATTTCAACTTCTCGGACATATATTGAGCTCAATGGCAACATCGCAAATCCCGGTCTCGCTCGTTCATACTATCAAGGGCCTTTCACCGTTGTTTACTGTTCTGGCGTATCGGGTTCTCTTCCGGATTAGATATGCAAGAGCGACATACTTATCGCTGGTTCCTCTCACAATGGGGGTAATGCTGGCTTGCGCCACAGGCTTTTCCACAAACTTCTTTGGGATAATCTGCGCGTTACTTGCGGCGTTGGTTTTTGTGTCCCAAAATATCTTCTCGAAGAAGCTTTTCAACGAAGCCTCACGCGCAGAAGCCGACCCGTCATTAGGTGGACGACGCAAACTCGACAAGCTGAACCTGTTGTACTACTGCTCAGCACTTGCCTTCCTTCTCACTTTACCCATATGGTTATTCACGGAAGGGTTCTCTCTGATGTCCGACTTTTTCAGCAATGGGACAATCAGCCTCACTGAAAAGAAAGGCTCGTTAGATCACGGGGCTTTATTCCTAGAGTTTGTCTTCAACGGCGTGTCCCACTTCGCGCAGAACATTCTGGCGTTCGTTATTCTATCGATGGTCTCTCCAGTTTCCTACTCGGTGGCATCGTTAATCAAACGCGTGTTCGTGATCGTCGTGGCAATTATCTGGTTCGGCAGCTCGACGACATCAACTCAAGCAGTCGGCATAGCTCTGACTTTCCTTGGGCTATATCTCTACGATCGAAACAGCCATGACGACGTTGCTGACCAACGAGCCAACGCTGACCACTTCCGTAATCGCGATTCACTCTTGCCTCTGAATACGGCGATTCCCAAAACTCGAGATGCCAAGCCATATCATTTTCCCCCTATTTCTGGAGACCACGCCGAGGCTAGGGCTTCTATAGATGATAAGAGGGACGACCGGTCAACCTCTATCCGGCCGCGAGGGGCCAGCGTCTCTCGAAACTGGCTTCCCCCGGGCACCAAGCAAGAGACGACTTGGCAGCGCGGTGATAATTAGACTTTTTGTGAGAGACTTTTCTTCTCCCTTTGCGATGACTTATTTCATGCCCGCCTGACGGCTACATTGTGAGATGTTAGGATATTTCTGGCGTTTGGATACACATATATGTGGTTTTAATGGTCCTCCCTTTCCATCGTTGAGCATCTTTGCTCTTCCCTTCCCATGCATACATACTTTGACCTATCTTTTTGAGTTTGCATTCCTGCCATGCAAGGCATGTAGTTATATCTGAACGAAGTTTACAACATTTATAGATATTAGAGTCGGGGTAATGAACATCTAAACTAGGGAGATATTTTTGACTAAGTGGATCCTGATACCCGCGTTAGGAAATGCACTAACCATAAATGGACGGATCCACCATTAGCTTAGAGTTAGGGCCTTAGGGCCTGAGGCAGGCTGAAGAGAGTCTGGAGTCTCTCTTTCCCCGTCGGGACAATTTCAAGACAATCCAATAATCCGATCTCGACACCTGTCCGAACAGCCCATCATCTTGCTACAGACTAAGTACTCTGTCCTCTGCAGTAGACATTATTCGGATACACGATTCCTCCGCCGTACTTCCCGTCACTATCCTCGTACGAGTCCGTCCAAGTGCCCACCCCCCGCTGCGCGCCGCCATTTGGAGACCGGCCGACCTAGGTTCCGCTGTCCGGGCTCCTGGTCAATCAATCAGTCAATCAATCGATAAACCGCCTGGTGTTGGTATCAATATCGCCTCAACGTGAGCTTTCTGACAACAATACCACCTAACACACGATTGTCGGAATCGTCAATTTATTGTTTGTTTGGGCAGTGAGCTAGCTCTCCATGGCCGCTGCCATTTCACCTCAATCTCGGCTGCGCCTGGCCCTTCGCATGCTTTATTAATTAATTGACTCGAAACGAACAATAACAAAGGACTTTTTTACCTGACGACATACTCAGTCACGAGCGACAAAGCGTTTGTTTCAAGATCGCGGTCTACAGGCTGGGTCATACACCTATTGGGATATTCAGTGATCATAACAACAATCGCCAGTCTTATCGCAGAGATCATCTGTACCGTCAATTTCTTGCGACTCGCGCATACGCCTGAGGGTTAGCTTTCGAAACATCTCTTTATGCATTTACCAAATACTAGCGACGAAGAAGCAAGGCCATGTTCAACTAGAGCCACGCGCACAATCGAGGTCGGTTCGCAATTCACTTGTCTTCGTGCTTTTCGGCAATGTCAGCGAATTCGTTAGGCCAGCGACAAGCAGATCTCTCTGGATCCTCAAAGACACAAGAACAACCACCCACTGTGCCCGCAGAACTCGAATCGGTCAACACACGCCTTGGTCGTCTGAAAGACGACGTCCTTCCCTCTGCGCCGTACCTCCTCACTGTTCCAACAGACGTACCTTTTCGCCTTGGGAATAGGTTCGTCAACAATTGGGCAGTGGGGAAGAAAGGCCCGTTTGCGATTGAGGAACAGCAACTTCAGTACATGACTTTTTTGATGCACAACGACACGGACTCTCTACTTGTTGCTGTCGGAGATTGGTCAGATAACGAGGGAAGGGTCATGGCAAAAAAAGACGATGAAGGCTCTCGGGTTGCTACACCTACTACACCTGCAGCGCCACAGAGTGGTGCAGCAAAGAAGAAAATCAGTCTGAGCGACTACAAGACCAGGGCGAAGGGAGATTCAGCTAGGGAGCAAACGACCAGTAACAGAACGTCTCCTCATCACGACACCAAAAAAGATACCCTACAAGTCCCTTCTCCTCGTACAGGGAAGGAACGAACATCGCATGATCGACCCAATCAAAGCCCGATTACGGCCTCTTCAAATTCTAAACGACCGCTGAAAGATTCTTCGAAGCCAGTCAGCGACGCTCCATCCCAAAAGCGTGCACGATTGACTCCTCCGGAGTCTGCAGAAGGAAAAGTGCTTGCAGAAAAGAAGGCAAACGGCATTCCCGCTCTCCTATCTCCTACACTCCCGCCAACCTCCTCCAGCCCGCGTCTACCCGAACTATTATCCCCTACCCTACCACCGGGGTTGGAGGAAGAACTCGCTAACATAGAAGATGAGGCTCCTCTTACCTCAAAGCGAGAAACAACCTCTACCTCAAAAGTCGACAACAAGAACGGAACACAAGGCCTCAAAGCTCCAGCCCATGATCGAATACGTATTGAAACAAAGTCGACTATTAATAAAACACAACCAAAAGAGGCCAGCAAAACCACTTCATTCTTTACTAGTGGGAAGACCAGCACTAGCAATCGAGACGCGGGCATGAGGTCTGCGTCTCCATATGCACAAAAATCACCATTATCAAGTACCGCTGCCAAAACCAAGGGGCCTTCATCTACTACAACAGCGTCCACAACAGCATCTACAACAGCCAAGAAGCTTATAGTCAAACTAAAATATGGTCGAGCAAACAGGAAAAGGGTAGGTGCTCTTCTCAAGTTCGGCGGCAAACGCACATTATCCGACAGTGTGCCTTCTAAAACATCCAAAGAATCGTTTTCTGGGGATGAAGATGAGACGAAGATGCGAGGAAGAAAACGTGAACGCTCGCCAGATGACGATCACACAGAAGAGCGCCCACCAAGAGACACTTTCAGTGGTGGCAAGACTGTACCTTCTGATAAGGTTAAGACCTCAAACGCCACTTCATTTAAATCACCAGCAAGTAAACGACCTGCTGTCTCGAAAACAGATTCTGCTGCTCCCACGCCAGTCAAAGACAGTCGTTCCAAGCATCAACGTCTTGCGGACGCAGATCCTCCGACGGAGGTGAAGACACCTTTAGGGGGTAAATCCCTACCTACGAAGCCAGATAAGGCCGTACAAATGTCACCTTCAAACGACGCGACAAGTGCCCGAGACCAAGAGAGAAAGACATGGCGCGATGAGTACACTAAGTATTCAGGTCTAGGCCGGGAATTAAAGCACCTTGCAGACCGGTATTCAAGGACCAAAGCCACCAACAGCGAGAACTCAACCTTGGATGGAAAACTGGCGGCGGCACACGGCATTGAATCAATACTTTGCTTCATCATTGCATTCATTGTGAATGATCGCCACAGATCGCTAGTTCGACAAAGTGGTGATTCAGAGACCTGGCGGTCCATTATCGCGTATTGGCGTGTAGTGGAAAGGACTACGTCTGCTTACCCTCACTTACATGGATTATGTCTCGTACTTGGTGCCGTCTCTCACGATACCATCAATACTTTGGATCTGGAGCGACTCGCAGTCTGTCCTCTCCCCGGCGAACAGAGCCCCGTTCCTACACCAGGCAGTGACGGGAACACAGTGACCTCGTCTGATCGCAACAACAGCAATAAAAGCCAGAACAAAAAGGAGTTCCTCGATCTTCGGAGTCGCCTTCCCGAGAATCACAAGGAAGCCAATCGTCTGTGGCTGGAGGGCTGTCGACAACTCGCAGACGACGTCCTCATCAAGGAATATCCCGAGACGTGGTCAAGTCGATCCCGCAATTACGCCGAACGAGGTCACGACAGTTTCAAAATTGGTCATTATGCTGGTGGATTCTACCTACCGTTTGGCCGCACAACTACGCCTATGGAAACAGTTCGATTTGGAGTTTCGTTGTTACGTGAATGGTGCAAGAAGGAGAACATAGAATTCAAGGCTCGGTTGAAACTTTGATTATTGAGTCATACAATGTATTTTTTCGATTCATTTTCTGCTTGAGCGATTTTTTTTAACGAGACAATTGTGCATAAACTACCACTGTTGAATGCTTTTCTCGTTTTTCTCATCTTTTTTTAACATGGAAGTATTGATATCCATTCCTGGCCTGGTTGTTTTGCGCTTTTTGTTTTGTTTTTCATTTCTTTTACTTGTATGATTCTCTTACTTTTTCCCCTTTTACATGATACCATTCTGGCGGGTTCCAAGTCTCTTCATTAAGAATGTGATTGATGAATGTAATTTGGAGTCTGGATGCGCACAAGCAACAACCCCTTGAAATTTTTCTCCTAATGCAGGCTAACAATAGGATTCCCTTTTTAATGGGATATGGGAGATATGCAATTATGATTCGTACCGTTTTATCATTATGATCGTCGTAAGTTCTGTCTATTCAGGCAGACATCTTCGGATTAAGATTTGCAATCTACCTGACCAGGTTGAAATGAATGTATGTTGTATTTCGTTCTCATAAGTCAATTTCATCGAGATGACATGGCTGATAATAAATAATCTGATTTGACCTTATTATTCTCCGTCCATCTTCGTACATGCATGCAAATGGACCATTTTATCTAGGAGACTCCAACTATGAAATGAAATAAAAAAGAAAAAATAGAAATTTGTCGGTAATACGTTAATGATAGCTCAAACCCTATTCCATCGATTCTCACCCGAAATAGCGGTAAAGATATCATCTCTAAACAGCCACTCTGCCTCACGACAATACGTAGCCTCACGTCCCGAATTACCTACTTCGCTTGCCCAGCAGACCAGTGCAGAATCCACGACGCATGCTAGCACATTCTCCATTGATCCCAAAACGCCCCAGCCGATTGTGCCTGCAATCAGACCGATGATGTAGGCGTACAAACTGCCGCGGATGGTGCTGTTGCTGCCGGTTACGTCGAGATTGCGGGCTGCCGTGACCCAGCCGCCGAATCCGAGGGCTAGTGACATTGCGAATCGACAGGCGTGAAGTATCATTTTGGAAAGTCGGTAGGAAAGAAGGGAATTGCCATTGGATCCGCCACGGGGTATTGATGATGGAGCGTATAAGCCGCCCGATGTGCTGAATGTCGAGAATACTGCCATTTGTGTGAACCCACGGGCTGATTGTGCAAGAGGCTGGGAGTGAATTGCAGCGTAGGTCAGAGTCAGAGGGTTGACCAGAGCTGCGATAGGGGAAGGGATAAGGGAATAAGCAAATAACGCAATGACTGAAGCAATGCGTCTATGCAAAACCAAGAGAGGAAGTTTGAGGAGTAAAACTATGAGAGAGAATAATGATATCGATCCGAAGAGGGTAGTCAGAGCATGTGACATTGCAGCTTTCACAATCTGTGCAGATGTAGGTGCTGGAAGGGTCAAACGATGAAAGTACCATTGGCTCACCGTAGCTGCTGTCACAGCCCGTTGAATGCCTGCAATGACACCAAGAGACCATAGATAGACTATGATGAAGTAAGCTCCGAGCCACCAGCTACTGAAGCTTATGACAAAGGAGTTGTCTGAGCGGATTGATCCACCAAGAAAAATTCGCGTAAACATAATCATCCACAGCCAAGTCCACGAAACGGTTACGACGAGGATAACCAGTCCGAGGACGAGAAGAGCTGGATTCGAAGCCAGTACTCGACATGCAAACTCCAGTATGCTGATGGCTTTCCCAGTGGAATGCCGATTTCGCACAATGGCATATATCCAGAGTGTGGACATAACAAAGGGGATAATCGATCCCCACCGCATGACATGATCCTGGAAAGTTTTGCCGTGCCAGGAACCACGGAAACTGGAGATGAATGGATATAATGAAAAGGAGTATAGAATCACCGGGACAGCGATGATCATTCCATGGACAAGGAATCGTATATAAGATCGCAAGAGTGCGAGCCATAGAAGGGACACGAGGATGGAGACAAGTGTGTAGATACCGAGTAGGAAGTAGGATTTGTGGATCGTAGTATAAATTGTGTCCACCAATTTCCATCTACCATCTGACGGAGGTGCCGTGTGCAGCCATACGAGGAATGCCGTTGCGAATAAGCCGATTAGACATATAATGAAAAGATGACCCCAGAATGCATCGTGAGTAGGGCGTTCCGATGCCGGTGTTTGGTCCATGGTATTGTGAAAGGACGAAGCGCCTGAACTGGTTGGGCGTTCTTGCTGCAGTAAACCTAGCTTATCACCATCTCGAGTTATCGAATCGCTGGGACCTTCTATATAGTCACTGTCAGCTTGGGGTTGCCTGCGGAATTTTTGTATTGGGGCATTATCATCATCCGCAGCGTTGGAAGTACTGGTGAACGAAGCTGTAGAGCTTGTCGGATTATCAAGTCCAACATCCACCATCTTCCCCTTTCCGAACGGACCTCCATGACTCTCATCGTCTTCGTCCCGCTCGTTCAGATCCGAAGTCGACGGTGAGACATTTCGTGTTCGCCTTTGAGAATGTAGTAGCTTGTCATCTCTCCATGAGCTCTTGATACCCTTTTGCGCATACGGCCCGTCTTTCCCACTCCTGCTCTGGAAGGGTTGAGATTCATTATCATCGTCAAGCTCGGAGGATTCTTCTAAAGGTATATTTCCAAAATTCCGGCGCGACCTCTGCAAAGCATAGTAGTCTGCTATCTCACGCTCACGCTCATGTTCGTCGTCTTCCAGAAACTCGTCCGTGGCGCTGAAGAAGAGAGGTGCGGGTTGTGTGGAGGGTCTTGATGCGAAGGGAAGATGCGGTAACTGAGAAGAACCGGACTGGTACGGATGTCCATTTCGGCTTAGGTAGGAACGTGAGACATTGTTATATCTGGGGAAGTTGAAGTTCGGCCTCCGATCACGCTCATTCGTACGGTTCTCTTCCGGGCGTGTGGTGAGTCGTGACTGAGACTGAGCTAGGAAGCGGGATGCATCTGGAAATTTGTTAGGTTTTACTGTAACTGTCTACAATTAGAGGATCATAAACGCACATTCAGAGAACATGGTCCCACGGGAATATTGAGATGGGAATAAGTCGTGTGCTCGCGGAGATAAGGTTGCGGTGTAGCTTGAAACTGCATGGACGAGTAAGCGCCAGTTAAGGGAGTACTTTCAAATGTGAAAGTAGTCAGTAAGAGAGACTGAAGTCAACCCTTATGAGAAGAATAGAAAGGATGATAAAGCATCGGAGATGCTGTTGCAGTGGAAGTCAGTCTGAAAGGTAGTGTGAGTAAGACGGAGGATGACATGCGTCATGTGAGAGGCCGATAACTAATCCAGAGATAACGCTAGACTCTTTTTCCGGAAACATCGACACTCAATCTACTTCTTGATCATGCTGGTTTTTCGACAGTTTGTACAGCGAATGAATTGTATGTTTGAGGGGTGAGAGATAAGCATGTGCATATGTTAAGCTACTTCCTACTCTTATTGATAGGGATGTATTTCGACACCTCCCCGCATAGCGAGTGTAGATCAATGATTGTCACCAAACCACGTACCTCGCTGCAAGCCCAGAAAGAAACGCCAGATACACAATCATCACCAACCAAAGAGGATACAATTAAAACAAGGCGCCGAATTATTTGGAGGACTGCCGCTAATAGCGAATAACAAGCCTGTGGAGTATGAAAGTCGCAATATCATCACGTGAGGGCATCGGCATCTGCATGTAGAGCTGCCTACCTTCTTCGTCCAGTCTGTAATTCTCAACAAAATCCCCTATCTCAACTTTGGTCCGCAAAGAGTTCTTGATATAAGTACATCGTTTGAGGCTGTCAATCGAAGCATTGTCTCCATCAAAGCTTCCTTCAAATTGGCCATCAGAAGCTCCCGAGACATCTTTCCAACATTCTTCTATCGACGTCACTTTGCCGCTCTATGCTACAAAAGACCCTCAAATATATTATTATGACTTTCTGAGAACGACTTCAACAGCGACGTACTTTGAAAGCCATAATCCCCATTGTAAAAATACTTCAATTTATTATCATCATCAATGTCACAACCATGGGACTACATCGCAAAGCTCGTTTGCATCGGTGATTCGGGGACGGGCAAGTCCAGCGTAAGCAGCACTTCCTTGTCGACTCGTGGACCTGACTAATATGACTTCTTTAATGGCGACAGCTATCCATACGACTTTGCGAAGGACGATTCTCTCCAACTCACGATGTGACCATCGGCGTCGAATTCGGATCGCGCGTTGTCCCAGTCGGTCCTCCAGCATCTCTAAGTCTCGATATCGGACCAGATAATACAGCGGACAGCTCATCGCATTCACAAGTCACTCCTAATAACCCCGCGGAAAAGAATGGATCAACACAGAAGAAGATGAAATTATCACTCTGGGACACCGCCGGTCAAGAAACTTATAAGTCCGTCACACGATCATATTTCCGAGGAGCGTCCGGTGCCCTCTTGGTATTCGACATCACTCGTCCTTCGACATTTGCTTCAGTGACCAGCTGGCTCCATGATCTCCGTCAAATAGCCGAGGAAGGGATCGTCGTTGTTCTAGTAGGGAACAAATGCGATCTCGCTAATGACGAGAAACCCGCCGATAACGTTCAGGAGGAAGGCCAACAGAACAAAAATCAGAGGAGAGTCACTCGTCAAGAAGCTGAAGAATGGTGTCGTTTAAACAACGTCACCCGTTACATTGAAACGAGTGCAAAATCAGGCGAAGGCGTCGAACGTGCATTTCTTGAAGTTGCGGAGAGAATATATCGAAATATTGAAGCCGGGAAGTATGATTTGAATGATCGCCGAAGTGGTGTTAAGGGATACGGTGCCTCCAATAGTGGAATGAGTACCATGCCCCCAAGGACAATCACGTTGGGATTGAATGATGCTATGGATCGGGGTGGGAAGGGTTGGAGTGGTGGGTGTTGCTAAACACTTGCTAGTCGTTTTGATCTTTATTCATTCGTGTGTGTATTACTTGATACCCTTTATCCTCCTTCTATAACCTGCGAGGAGCCGCTTTGCTTATTGATTCTCAGATGTATTGTACTTAGGATGTAATCATAATTCCAATCTATACGAGGCTGATCAACCATACAATGATCATATTATACCTAGCTTCACAAAAAAAGAAAAATACTTTTATATAGGCGAACTTATAAAGCAAGCCAAAAAGACCATCCATTTTTTATTCTACATGTACAAAAATTCAGCTCAAGCAGATGATATGCTCAACCAATTAGCCAATAGCTTCCAAATGTCGAGTCATGACAACTAACACGGCATAAAGCTTTCTAAAATACAAAACAAGAATTACCTCAGCTTAAGAGAAGAGAGAGGGAGAGCGTGTGTGGGTGTGTGTGGAGGATACGTGTGGGCGTAGAGCGATAGACAACCTCTAGACTTGCAGTCAGAAATCAGCCTAGTCGCTGATGCGCCATGTGCTCAGCCACTTCAAGTATGCCCACTGGCGGTTTGGTCCCTCCATACCGAACACAATATCTTTGAACACAAAGAACAAAGAGATCACAGCAATGTAAAGAGGGATATAGATGACCCATTGTACCTTGGTGCTGAGTCTTCGCGTAAACCAGTCAACGCAGAATCCGGCAGTCAAGATGGCGAAATAAAGAGCAGGGTAGTAGTGATGAACATAGGTAACACGAGCCATGACGACGAATGGGAGATAGTGGAGAACCCAACCGATCACAGGATAGACTCCAGCGTAGTGAATTTGATCGATTTCACTGGGACTAAGATCTACATAGCCACGCTGCCATCGGATAAGGTACCAGGCGAAGATCAGACCGAATCCCACAAGGCTGGCAGTACTTCCCCAGTAGACCAGGGGATTTCCCAACAGGAAGTACTTGACAACATTGTCATCCCAGGAGCACATTCTTAAACCGACATGTAAAATTGGCCATTGCCAGAACTTGGAAGCTAAATCATCCTGTTTGTCGGGATCAGGGACAAGTGCATTGTTCGATGTCATCATAGCAACATTTAAGTGAATGAAGTCCTTGAGGAATGGCGACTTGTACGAGCCGGGATCTCCAGGGGGCACTAAGACAGTAAGTCAGTAACCGTATAATCTCGTCTTAGGCCAGTCACTTACGTCTCTCATTGACATGTGTTTCAACGTTCCAGTGGGTGTAAACATCGCGGGGCTTGTTCTCCTTCACGCATGTTGTTTCAATCTGCTTGAAACCCCACTGAGGGAGATTCACAGTTCCGGCTCTCAGATAACATCCAAGAGATTCATGGCGGAGTCGGAAAGCAGTTGTAAGAGTACGGATTTTGCTCTTGTCTCTGGATGCAGCGTCGCTGACAACTTCAATCTTCCAGTGATCCTTCTCATCTCCAACAGTGGTATTGCCATAGCAGGACACTTCCCAATCAGCCTTGGTAATAGGGGCTGCAACACTATGCGAGTGCAAGTTCCGGCCAGTCTGAGCGTGAATCAAACGGATAACATCCCCATCGCCGATGAACCTCAATGGTGTTTCAGGATCGTATTCCGGCTGATACCTATTCGGATACATGAACCAATCATTGTTTGCATCCTTGTGATGGTAACAGGTCACTTGCTGCTGAGTCGATCCTTCGGGATATGTTTGCACATGAGAGTGAAGGAGTCCTCCACCATAACCCATGTTCTTCAAAGTGACCCTAGAGCCAATTGCTACTTCAAGAGGGCTATCCCGGCCAACCTCGGTTCCCTTTAGATTGGCTTGGAAGAGAGAACTCATCTGGGCATCTCCAGGACCGGTATTCTCAAGAATCAAGAAATGAAGATAGAAAGAGAACATATAAACGAGCAGTGGCACAATAATCAAACAAACAACTCTCGCAGCTACATGGCGAGCTAGCGTCGTCTTAAAGAGAAAGTTAGCCTAGTCTACCTTAAACTAATCGATTGGGAGTCTTACCATAGGCATCTTGACGTCACCAAACTTATTCCAAAGATCTTCAGCGGTGTGAAGCCCGACAAGAGCAGTACAGAACAAGCCCACGAGCTTGATACTGCAGACACAACCGATACTAACACCTGTGAGGAAAAGCCATACAAACCACTCAACAGAGAAACTCTGGTTTCGTAGCCGATGGAATCGGGCCCAGCAAAGAACAGTTGTAAAAGTAAAGCAAAGGAGCATGGAATCCAGGAGAATAAATCTTGAGATGGTAGCGTAGGAGTTCTCGAATAGGACCATCAGGGTGACCAGCCAGACAGTTGGTCGACGGAAGTTCAATTCACGGGCTGTGTAGTATGCGAGAGGGACGCAGATGGCACCGAAGAAGGCATTGAAGACTCGCATAAAAGTATAGTTGACATCTTCTGGGTAGTGCTCTCCTGACTTGAACTCGAACGAGCCGTTATATCCCGCCAGGTAACCTGACAGGCCAACGAGGATCTTACCGAGGGGCGGGTGCACATCGAAGTAGAATTCACGCTTGAGGTAATGGGAACCGAATTTTCCGAAGCTATAACAATCTACAGTCAGAACGAAACATAGTGGCTACCATACAGCGATGGTATACATACTGAGCCTCATCCCACGTAACAATATTGGACAACCCAATACGGTACATACGAGTGAAGAATGAAAAGGCCGTGAAGATTATTGGAGCAATCACAAATTCCCACTCGTCAAGGACATCCAGAATAGAATTACCCTATCGCAGAACCGTTAACTTCCCATACCACAGGTGAATCCGAAAACTGATACGAACCTTCGCGACTCCCTTAGTATCCGAAATGGAAATAGTTGGGACATTGTTGTCTCCCTTCGTGGTTTCGCCAATGTTCCTACGTCGGATCTCCGATTTCTGATCCCTTCCGGACGCAAATGCCGAATGCGAAGCCATCGTTGGCGTTACTTCTCGATCGAGAAGTGGAGAGATCACCGTTGATAAGGACCTTTATTTTGATGTCACGATCTGAGTCCGCAGGACACGGTTGTCAAAGTCAAAGAATTAATATATTGTATCAACCACAAGAACCATCACTGCCACAAGTAGGCAAAATAATTGCAAGTAATATATGATGTTGTTGATCCAGACGTCGCCAATACCGCTTATGGAAAGAAGGAAACAGGAGAAGAGTTGTTCAATCGATCAATAGATCGCGAGTTAAGCGAAGTAAAAAAGAAGAGAACAAGATAGCAAAATAAAGTTAACGAAAGAAGAATAAAACAATCAGCTTCACGGCCAAGAAGAAAGAATTGAAGACGAGTGTAACAGCAGCGAAGAAGAAATTGGAGGAATGAAACAAGAAGGAAGAGTCTCGATCATCGCCAGTTGTCCACTTCCCAAAATCCTTAGCTCCGACCGGGAGCTATTTTAAGCGGTGGACCCTTATCGGGTTACGTACGCAAACTAGAACTCCCTAACTTATATGCGATGTTTTATTATACAGACCTCAATTAACGCAAGGAAATCTGGCACCAAGCTTGTAGATGAACCTTCTATTGGGTATACCGCTGAAATTACACCTACACCTACACACATATATACAACATGAGGGGTATCCAACTTCACGCAGGACGACAAGTATGAAGCCAGATGAGAGTGAACATGGCTTGAATGTAACACGAAGAGATTGGCCATGTTCGAGAGGACAGTAGGTAGGTGCACAGGAAGGGCCTCGCGTGGATTGCGAGTCAATAAATATGTGAGATCCTGGTTGAGATGATCCGAAATGTACGGCGAAAAAGGAGGCAAGGAAGAAAAAAGAATGAACAAGAAACTCAAAAGCAAGAAACCACAAGGGAAAAGATAAGGACCTAGAATGAACAGAAAGACAGAGCTCCAGCAAAATGTCTCTTTTATAGCCACTAGGGAATATACAAAAAGTTATTGAAAGCACATAGATGAGCCTTTCAGCTCTCTTCATCCTGATCAACACGGCGATATTGACTCCTCTTTGCCGGTTCTTTGCTTCGGCTGAGCATGTTTGAAATCCAGCCGCCAAAGCCTTGGGACTCTCCGCTTTGATCGCCGCTACTAGGCTTTCCGTTGTTATTTTGGCCAATGGCAGGAGGATCAATATTGAGACCTGGAATTGCATTGTCAGCAGTCAAGTGCGACGGCTGGCGATGAAGATCGAACGATGGAACAGGTGAATTGATGCCAATTAAAGAATCACGTTCTCCTTGTGTTACAGGCGTAGGCATCGTGGTTGTTGCATCCCCGAAGAGTTCGTTCATATCCTCCAGGCGAACACCGCTGGTTTCCGGATACAAGAAATAAACTGCTATAGGTCAGTACATGTCTCACAAACGGTTTTCGCAGCTTGGAACTCAGGGCCATACCGAGAACAAAACTGCAAGCACAGAAGAAAGCGTGGATGAGATACAAGCGCCATTTAATCAATTCTTGTAGAACAGGAGTGACCTCGCCGACCAAGAAATTGAACGCCCAGTTAGCAGCCGTGCTCAAACTAGCTCCTTTAGCACGAATGCTCAGCGGCAGAATTTCTGGGGGATAGAGCCAGGGAATGGGTCCCCAGGAGGCTCCGAAAGCAGCGTTATAGACCATAACGCAGATGACGGTCAGGTTTGGTGTGGCAGGTACATCAATCAGAAGAAAATAGGACATGAGACTCAACGATATCATCATAGCTACAGCTCCAGACAAAAGAATCGGGCGTCGGCCCCAGCCATCAACAAGATACCAGGGAGGGATCGTGGATGCCAAGTATGTGAGACCATTGATACCAGTCATGAGAATAGCCGACCGGCCTGGCCACCCAGCGGACTCAAAGACAAGTGGTGCATAATATGATATAACGTTGATGCCGTTTAGTTGAGCCATAGCTTGGGCAGACATTGCAATAAAAACTCGCTTATAATATCGTCGGAACATATCCACGTATGACCTTTCCCCTTCCTGTCGCTGAGTAAGAACGTTGAATTTGATGTCCCGGTACTCTTGGCGAGCAAGTTCGTTGTGGATGTCTCCACCACCGTATAGATTAGCGATGACAATGAGACCTTCTTCATCATGATCATTGTCTAACAGCCACCTAGATTATTAAGGCAAAAAAGTGTCAGATTTTGTTCCCAGCCCGCTGAAGAAAGTGAACAGTGAATACCTGGGAGATTCGGGAATGAGAAGACTGCCAGCTCCAAGAAGACCACCCATTATGCACTGAAGGAGTAATGGAAGCCGCCATGAATAGTTGCTTTCAATGTAACTGCAGAAGTAGTCGACCCATACACTTGCAGCATATCCGAAAATGTTGCCTGTGAATTCAATACAGGCGAGTTTTCCGCGGTTGTGGGGAGGACCTATTCCTGATAAGTAACTCCATGTAGAACGACCGTCAAGGAAACGACGTACTGATCTCGGACTGGAACACTGGGACGATGGTTGAAAGAGCACCAACTCCCAGCCCAGCAATAATTCGACCCAGCATCATGATAGCAAGACTTGTAGCGAACGTCTGAAAAGCTCCTCCAATGAGAAAAATTATAGACCCATACAAAATTGTCCGTCTGCGTCCTATTATGTCTCCGATTTTGCCGACTAATAACGATGCAATGAGAGCACCAATTTCAAGAATCGCGACGACTGTGCCGATTTCCGCCTTCGAGGGTTGATTAAAATAATCTCTAAAATACCAGCCTCTTGGAGAAGCATTAGCCGAGGACCTTTCATAGAGTCAAGTTTCAAGGACTTACGTTATAATACCAGACATCACACCTTGATCATAACCAAACAGAAACACGCCGAGCGATACAAATACACTGGTGAAATACCTATGTGAGAAACTGTTAGCGGATCCAAGCTCGAAAAATCTTGCAATTGATGCAACATACAAGAGCGGTTTGCCAACCAGCCCCTTGGTACGGGCCGTTGATATGTCGTTTGGCGACATGATGACAGCTAGGATGCACTGTGCCCGGGACACACGTCGATGGGTAATATGTGGTATGTCGATAGCTTCCTTATCTATATTGCTTTTCAATAACGTCTCATCGCCGTAATGGACTCTCCTCGTTCGCGACTGGGGCTCCTGTCCCCTGCCGTCCTCAGACTTCCGGAGCCTGATCCGAAGAGGATCCTCTTCGCTGGCGAGCTGCTCTGCTAAGTCGCCAGTATCGCTCCAGATCGAAAAGTCGGAGGCTTGGGAATTGGAAGAAAGGGATCGTCGGCTACTGCCACGGTGTCTGATTTTTTCCGACTCTAGGTCCAGTCCCGAGACTGAATACTCGCTGGAGTGTCTAGAACGTGAATGGAGTGATTGAAGAGGTACGGCCGGAGTAGAGGACCCCTTTTCCTTTGGCGAAGGAATGATGGCGGTTAAACAGCGGGCTGAGTCGATATCAGCCCTTGCTAGGAGTAGGAAGGAGGGGGAGAAAAGAAGGACAGTAAACTAGGCACGTAGTGTACCCAGAAAAAGCCACGAGGGAACCCCGGGAGAGTTTGAAGACTCGGAAGGCACTTTTGTGTCGTCACAGGGGACTGGTGGAGCAGTCGCTAATTCCACGGTTCGTCTTCCGATGAGGAATGCCAGACCGCTGGTGCAGGAGTTAGTGGTGGTAGTAAGATGTAAAGAGCGTAGTTTCACAGTTTCAGGCACTTGTGATACCAGCAGATGCAAGGAGCAGGTGACCAGATTTGCAGTAAGTGTGTGTATGTCTCCGTACGTACTCCAGAGCGGATCGAGAGAAATGCCACAATATCCAGTTGATCCACTAGCTAATCCCAATAAATAGGACGAGTGAGCGCGGATTGGGGGGAATGGCGGTTAGGGTGGATATGGTGACTGCTTGCTGATAGGACGCAGCCTAAGACACGTAGAGTTGTTGACTGAGCGGGGGTTGAATACTCTACTCCGAAAGACGGGACGATATCAAAGACGTGTTAACGCAATGAAATAGCACCTAGTGACTCGACAGATGAGGCTGTACAGATTTCCCCAGAATGAATGAAACGGAGAGAAAGAGACAAAGTCACGTTCTCAGATCAACCCCAGCTTTCTCCAGATGGGGAACAGCGCGTCGAACTAGGCCGCCGAATTAGGACTAGTCTCTGTCTGATCAGAAAAAGCGCAGTAAGCCACTTGGTCATTGTACATCGTTAGGTGAACTCGTACTTCTCCATGCATTTTGTTACTCGCGGTACTTCTGTTGACTCGACGATGCTTCAATTGTCGATGACCAGCAACGTGACATCATGGCCGAGCACTCAGTCTGCGCGTCGCTTCTTGGGGAAAGATTGGTCGTTAGTCAACGCTGATCCTGTGATGAAGTTGTTTTCAGAAAGTTTATATATCTATCTAGCATTTTATGATACATGTGTTGTTTGTAGTCGTGGAGGACATCACGATGTCAAATAGACCTGTCCAGAAAAAATATATGCAGACGATGCTGTTCCGAATACTTATAGTCAGTCCTGGCCCTAATTGGTCAGGAGGATATCAAAACCATCCTTCTCAATAAGGACCGTGTCAGCCGCAGTGGCATACTTTCTTCGCATAAGCTCAAAAATCACAAGACCCGCACTGGTACTGGGCACCTGACGAATGCTGTTGCGTAAAAACCCTTTGTATAGCCATCGCATCCAACCTCCGCTTCTGCTGGCTCTCTTCTGACAGCGCTTGAAAGTCTCTTGGTAGGCGTGATAGTAGTGTTTCAACATTTGAGGGCGCGGGTGACGCAGTCTAGCTTGGTGATCCAAGTATTCCAAACGGCCGTAATGCAAATCCTGGATGATGCCGATAGGATATTGAATGATTTGCTGCGAGAGAGACGCAGCAATCCCTGCGCCTAAAAGGAAGCAGGGCTCAAGGGCATAGTGCGGCTTGATGGTTGTCTTCTCGTATTCTTGAAGAGCTGCCATCTTCGAAGGGTCTTTCCGTTGTAGACTTCCATAATACCAAATGATATAGGAGTAGTATGCCTGCGATTTAACATATTCAAAAGAGGTGAAGAAGGCGGCATACCCGAAAGAGTCGCGCAGCAGGGAGAGCGACCACCCTGCAAATATGCCACGGACCCCTATCTCTCTTAATTTCTTCCAGCCATATTCCCACATACTCTGATATTGTCCTTCCAGTACACCGCTTGTATGTAACCGAACTTGTAGAGCATCCAGAGGGGCCGCAATTAGTGACTGTATAACACCCGCTAAAAATCCTGCTGCAAAGGTGCTTGTAGGAGGTGGCGGTGGATAGATCCTTCCTTTTCCTTCCTTCGCTGGGGGATGTAGGGCTCCTAAAGCTTGTAGATAGGAAACGTAGAGGATAGCGCCGACGCTGGAATTTTCGAATCAGTCACCATAAACGTGAAGTAAAAAGGAGCTAGAGAACTAACGTAGTGTTGGCAAGTAGAGGTGGAAGTACTTGATTCGGCAAGAACGACCAGCCATGAACACGCACAGCATGTGCGATTAATCCGGGCGTAGTTGTATGAAACGACCACTTCTTTTCTTGAATTCGAGGGTTTATTGCTCGGGGAAACGCCTGCGGATACGATAATTCGTGAGCCAAACGGTAGGCATGAGAGGAGATGTAGTGAAGTTATAGTACCATATAGCTATCGAGATATGTTAATGACTACTATAAACACTAATAATTCCAACAACCTTACTCAACACGAGTGCGAAAAAACGCTTTGACAGGTGCTCGAAAGTAAAATGCTATAAGCTGTGCACTGAGAGCACGAGTACCTGCCGCAGACGCTCCAGTAGCAGCATTAGAACGCGGATTTTGGCGGTAACCGTCATTATCTGAATCGGTAGCCTCAGCAACTCTCGGGTTGAGCAACGAAGCCATCTTATTCAAGATCCGGTCGAGTTCGTATTAAAGGAGATTCGGGCTTTTCGTATACTCGCTGCATATTTGTACACCGGCGATAATATTGGCTTGCATAGTGAGAGAAGTGCGCTACAAGATGTCAGAATGACATAGCGCTTGAAACGAGTAAGGAAGCAACGTATATACTAGAAAGAATGTTCGCAGTTTGTAGTCAGTTGACATGAGCAGATGAAAGTGAGAGTTCGTTCTCATCTTCAAGCAAAGCAAGTGAATGTTTGCAGTGTTTGTTTCTCAGGTGCGCTAAACCGGACTAGGTATGATTGAACGCGAGGCGCGTCTCACTTCGTTCTCTCTTCTTTCCAATTTCCAACCTCAAAAAGTTGATTACTCGCATACCCATCGTTCCTGACATCTCACTTCGTCTTCAAACCCTGAGGGGCCATTTTCATCAGGTCGATCGCCAGCTTCTACAAAGAGTCCACAACCAATCATACGTCCGTCGATCTAGTCTTTCGTTTCATCACTTTCGCCCAAAATGGCGGAGGATATCGTCATTGACAAGACGCTCTTCTTCGATCGCTTGTCGACTTTTTACAATGCATGGAAGGCAGATAAGCGATCTGGAGCTGGAGTCTTCGGGGGAGTGGGATCCATCGTCATTTTGATGGGAAAGACTGACGAGGCAAATGCATTTCAGAAAGCTAATGCGATGCATGTAAGCTTTCAAAACCGTTCATCTCGCCTCTTAATACGAAACTGATGTTCATCCAAATAGTTCTGGCTACTCGGTTACGAATTTCCCGCCACTCTTTTTGTCTTCACTGTGGACACAATGTACATCGTGACAACTGCGAAAAAGGGTACGAAAAGTCTTAGCTAACACTTCTACTCATCTACTCGATGCTGACCTACAAAACCTAGCGAAACATTTGGAACCACTCAAGGGAGGCAAAGTACCGGTCGAGATTTTAGTCACATCGAAAGACCCTGCAGACAAGGCCAAGGCGTTCTCCAAATGCATAGAGATCATCAAGGTCGCTGGGGTAAGAAGCTCTACTCCCCACGTTTATTTATTGAACTTCGAATACTAATCTTTCTTCATCAGAAAAAAGTAGGAACTTTACCTAAAGATAACGCCCAGGGCCCCTTTGCCGATGAATGGAAACGTGCTTTTGCGGACGAATTGAAAGACATGGAGGAAGTTGATATATCTCCCGCTCTTTCTGCAGCGGCGTTTTCTATCAAAGGACAGGAAGAATTGGTATTTTTCTACTTGGTCTCTTGTGAAGTCAAGGTCACCTCTAATCGATTTTTTGACTAGGTGTCGATGCGCAACGCAGCCAGAGCCTGCAGTGGTCTCATGTCCGAATATTTCGTCGATGATATGTCACAACTCCTGGATGAAGGAAAAAAGATAACTCACAAAGCTTTAGCAGCAAGAATCGATGCCAAGATCGACGATTCCAAATTCTTCAACAAGTTGGCAAAGCTCCCACCAGGGTTCGATCCTCAACAGATTGACTGGGCATATGGACCAGTGGTTCAGAGTGGAGGAAACTATGACTTGCGCTTGACTGCCACTGCCAATTCAGATGAGCTCCATCCCGGTATCATCATTGCGGGATTTGGCATAAGATACAAAACATACAGTGCCATCATTGCACGTACATATCTCGTCGACCCAACAAAGGCTCAGGAGACGAATTACGGATTTCTTTTGAACGTCTACGATGCGGTCATCAAAGATATTCGGGATGGCGTGGCAGCCAAAGACTTATACAACAAGGCTATTGGAATGGTGCGCGCTAAGCGCCCTGATCTAGAGAATCATTTCGTAAAGAACGTCGGCGCTGGCATCGGAATCGAATTGAGGGACTCGAATATGATTCTCAACGGGAAGAATGCTCGAACTCTAAAGAGTGGCATGACTCTCTATATCTCTATTGGCTTGACAGATGTTCGGGACAGTGACTCAAAGGACAAGAAGTCCGTTTACTCTATGGTTATAACTGACACCGTGCGTGTTGGCGAGACCGGCGCCCACGTCTTCACTAAAGATGCAGGTATTGATATGGACTCGGTTTCCTTCTACTTTGGTGACGAAGAGGAACCTCAGAAGGCTACAAAGGAGAAGACGGACGTGCGTTCCAGTGCCATTGCTAGCAAAAACATCACGAAGACCAAGCTGCGTGCTGAGAGGCCAACTCAAATCAACGAAGGTGCCGAAGCACGTCGCCGAGAGCATCAAAAAGAGCTCGCCGCGAAGAAGATGAAGGAGGGTCTTGAGAGATTTGCCGGTACAACCGGCGACGGTAACGGCGAAGCCCAAAAGAAATTCAAGCGTTTCGAGTCTTACAAACGTGACAACCAGCTGCCTTCAAGTGTGAAGGATCTTACTGTATATGTTGATCATAAAGCTTCGACGGTCATTGTGCCGATTATGGGCCGACCTGTGCCATTCCACATCAACAGTATCAAGAACGCCAGCAAAAGCGACGAAGGCGAGTATGCATATCTGCGAATTAACTTCCTTTCACCTGGGCAAGGTGTTGGACGAAAAGATGACCAGCCATTTGAAGACCCGTCGGCCAATTTCGTTCGTAATTTGACACTCCGATCAAAAGACAATGATAGATTCGCCCGGATCGCTCAAGACATCACGGAGCTTCGCAAAAACGCATTACGCAAGGAGCAGGAGCGCAAAGAGATGGAAGACGTGGTGGAACAAGATAAGCTTGTGGAAATTCGCAGTATGTATATGTACTACCTTTTACATTTCGAATAGTTTGGGCGTACTAACCAAGAGAATAGATCGTCGGCCAGTGAAGCTCCCAGATGTCTACCTTCGCCCGCCCTTGGATGGAAAACGAGTTCCTGGGGAGGTCGAGATTCATCAGAATGGTTTGCGATATCAGTCACCGCTGCGAAATGAACATGTTGATGTTTTATTCAGCAACGTCAAACATTTGTTTTTCCAGCCATGTGCCCATGAATTGATTGTAATCATTCACGTGCACCTCAAGACCCCAATCTTGATTGGTAAAAGAAAGACAAAGGACGTCCAGTTCATCCGTGAGGCCACTGAAATGCAGTTCGACGAGACCGGCAATCGTCGCCGCAAACATCGCTATGGAGACGAAGAAGAATTCGAGGCAGAACAGGAAGAAAGACGACGCCGAGCAGCTTTGGATAGAGAGTTCAAGGCTTTCGCAGAAAAGATTTCAGATGCCGGTAAAGACGAGGGTGTTGACGTGGACATTCCATTCCGAGAAATTGGATTCAGCGGTGTACCGAATAGATCGAATGTTTTGATTCAACCAACTACAGATGCTATCGTTCAATTGACTGAGCCACCATTTTTGGTCGTTACTTTGAACGAGATCGAAGTTGCTCATCTTGAGCGTGTACAGGTAAGTCATGGTATTCTTCCTAGGTCTAAGATAAGTACTGATTTTATTTCGTTTAGTTCGGGCTGAAAAACTTTGATCTTGTTTTTGTCTTGAAGGACTTCAACCGGCCACCAATCCATATCAATACCATTCCAGTTGAATCACTGGAAGGAGTCAAGGATTGGCTTGACTCGGTGGATATCCCATTCACGGAAGGACCTCTCAACCTCAACTGGGGCACCATCATGAAGACAGTTGCTGCGGATCCCTACGGCTTCTTCGCCGAAGGAGGTTGGTCATTCTTGGCCGCTGAATCTGATTCTGAAGACTCCGAATCTGAGGAGGAGTCTGCTTTTGAACTTTCTGAATCCGAGTTGAACGCCACGGATGAGAGTTCAGAGGATGATAGCGACTTCGATGATGATGCTAGTGCTGAGGCTACTGACGAGGATCTCAGTGTCGACGAAGAGAGCGGTGAGGACTGGGATGAGTTGGAGAAACAGGCCAAGAAGAAGGATAGAGAGAGCGGACTGGATGACGAACGAAACAAGAAGCGTAAGCGTTAGTCACGTCTTGGGATAATGACTTAGTGACTCTAGTCAATGTTGTCACCGGTTCTAATTTTACTTTTCTCGAAATGTCTTAAAATCGGTTAGTTTGTGACGGTATGTGACGTTCTCATCATTCACTGCAATGTAATTCGAAAATTGGTCATGGGCAAAAAAGATTCATGGTATCTCATTCAGCTTTTCGACTGTGGTATAACTATCTAATTAAACCGTAAATATCGACAGCACATGCTTGCCGTATGATAAGACTATCTGCAGCGACCCAAGCTGTAGATGATTACTTCCCCTCCCTCATTGTCGCCCACATACTCCTCATCCTCGAGGCCTGCTCAACCGTAAAACTCCGATAACAATCATCCGACGAATAATCCATAAAGTTCCATATGGCATCCATCCCCGGCAGATCCGAGCACGAATCTTTCGAAGCAGGACAACCTTCCGTCGGAACCGATTGCTGCGGCGTATCAGAAATGTAATCCCCATTCGCACCCGGAGCACATGTCTGATCTTGAAAAGTGTGTAGTAAACCGTGCCAGTGACCTACTTCATGAACAGTAGTACCGCCGCGATTGTAGTGCTCGATTGAACCACCAGGCATCGTGGAGGCGAGGATATTGCAGCCGTCATTGAAATAGTCGTCGATGGAGCTGGAGCTGGTGATTTCAGGGTTCGGAAGTGTACAGAAGCCAAGGAGATTTTGCGATGATAATACGTCTCTTTTGTCAAGGTTCTGGATATGATGATGATGATGACCGTTTCTTCGAGAACTGGCGCCTGAAGCATCCGATACTTCAAGGTCTGTCTGGAAGTAAACGTTGAGGGCACTATATGAACCCTTGCGAAGGGTCCGTTTCATAGCTGCAGAGTCCCCATTTCTTGCCCAAGTATCATTGATACTGCGATCTACACCTATGAGATTGTAATGTATACTCGAGTTCTGGTATGCTTGTTGAAGATACAGAAACTGTTCCTTTCGATCAGCTATGAAGATCCTTGATTTTTGGTGTAGACGATATGACATACCTGAGAAGCAATCATTGTATTCGTCACTAAACCGACCTTTTCACTTGTACTAACAACATGAAACCACGTATCAACTTCTATGCGAGGGAGTGAGTCGGCAGTAGCACGGCTGGCGTTACCATCAATACTTCCTTCTGCATGTCGATATTCTCTCAGTGATAACCGTTTATGTGCATCTTTTAGCTGCGTAGTCGGTTCTTCTGTCCCGCAAACTCCGCGTTGGGAAGAGGCCAATTGTCGCTGCTGAACTTTTTCTGAGTTTAAATTTGAGCTTCGACTGCTGCTCTCCCTAGTGTTGTGGGTAAAAGCTGAGACTGGGGCTGTAAAGGAAGTGATGGAAACTATCGCGAAAATGAGCGTGTGGCGAAGAATCCGCTGCATAGTGAGTGTACAAAGAGAATGGGTTATCAAGACATCGAAACCCCGTGTGCATGTATGTATATGTTCGAGGACACTTATATGTATGTATACAAGAGTATACACCTGTTAAGTGAGTGGCTGTGGCTGCATGGAGAACTACGCTCAGAGTGAGAATAATCCCTGGAAAATCTCCAAAAAGCAAAGAAAAGAATGTTTACACCGAGTCATGTTCAAGGAACAGGTACAATCCTGCACGGCAGATGGACGATGATGCAATTGGAATGTGTGGCTGGTCGCGAAGAATGTCAATGTAGTCTTTTGTTTCTGACTAAACCTGCAGTATGTGTGTATCTCATAAAAAGAGTCTAAGTCGCGTACCAAATCGAAATCCAACAGTACCAATATCCTCAGCCAATAATATATAAATACAAAAAAGATACAAAAGAAACCAAGTGCTGAAATCATGTAAGCAGACGGGAAAGGATACGTCGATGAATTTTCCGGGCAACGAGGAAAACGAAGCTATGCACGAACACCCCTAGAATGGCTGAGAATAATTAAAAATCACCCAACAAGTTCTCATCGAGTGCGTAACTGGAAGTCGGGTAAAAGGGAATAGGCGAATCGAGAATCAAGAAGGTATGGACTATTATCTAGATCAACGTTGATCATGTCCGGTCGCAGTACCTGTCGAGGGTTCATTGTTCCATGTGAGATAGGTGTGATCACCGAGTTTCCTATTGACCATCAGCATATGTATAGCGAAGAAAAAGAAAGGCGTGTTGAGGTCATACCTTGGTCTGATCAGATTTGCGGCGGTGAAAAGTACACCAATAACCACACAAATACCCCCGACCACAACGTAGGCAATCCCCATAAATGAGTTCTTTCCACCCATAACAGTTCTGGTGGAGATCATAATTGATTTGGTGCCACCATACTGTGTGACATTGAAACCTGGGGAATCGGATCAGTATACATTACTATATCTGGAAATTTGATCTACTCACTGCTTTGAATGTCCAACCTGTACTGGCCAGCTGGCATGGCAGTAGTATCATTCCTACGGGCCAACTTGCTGAAGGTAGGAAGACCCGCGGTTCTCATCCAAACCATAAATGCCTCGTCATTGCCAAGGTCGGGGAAGTTGTCGGCGGTGTATTCAGGGTATTTGATGCGCCAGTTCGGAGGTGGAACGACCTGCCAAGGTTCATACTTGGTAGTCTTGATGATCTTCTTATCACTAGACCAGGCGATGCCTCTGTCTGTCATATCGTAGGTTTCCTCATTTACCAACACCGGGCTGGAAATGGTATCATTGAATATCGAGTTTGCGATCAAGCCACAAGGATAGTACGCTTTACCAGTTGCCGAATCTGTAGTCAAAGGATCGCAAGTGCTGCCGTGAATAGTGGAATTATCGACTGCTACGCCCTTCAACTGATCGGTATCGAGCGACTGCACGTATTTTCTGTGGTTTTGATAGAAATCCGTCAATTTGTAATATAGGAATACCGGGGGTCCAAGTGGTTCGGGAATGTCGAAAAACAAGGAGCAACCAGTTGTCTTCGTCGCCGTATCTGTCTCATTGCGCTGCCAGGTGGTAACGGAAGTCTGCGCCGATGATTTGAATGAGCTGCTCACTCTACCTGCTGGAAGGGCTGCAGTGCTCGATATAGGCGCAAGGGTGTCACAGTCTGTATAGTCGATGATGATTTCTTGGACCTGTTAACACTGTTTAGTAAGGGGAAGAGGCTCAACGAGAGCATTCCATACCTGCTCACTAGCCCATAATAACACACCTCCGAGGGGCGCAAAGATGGCTCCAATCACGAAGAAAATGGGGAGAACTGATCTGGGTGTAAGAATTGGTCTATAATAATTATCAGCCTCTTCTTGGTCGAATCGATCGAGGGTTTCCAGATGAGCTTACTGCCATGCTCTGAGACGTTGCTGGCGGAAAGCAGTATCTAAAGAGAAATTATCAGTTACGAATATCCAACCCCCTCCTCTGTATAATTGTGCTTCTCGCAGTCGTGATAGATGCGTGGATAATACGCACTTGCTGGCCTTCTATTCTTCTTCTTGTCAGCATCATCGCTTCCGTGGTGATCCGGATCATCCTGAAATTCGTTCCGAGTCGCTGCTGCTTGCGACATGATGGTATGTATTCTTCCCCTGTACTTCCAAGCTAATCTTTGGTGAGAATATTGAACAGTGACAATTCTGTCCTGTTTTGGACAGGATGGCGGCGGATAAGTTGAAGTAGACCAGCGCAGTTTCCCCATGGTTTGGCAAGTGCGTGAATGGTCTATGTCGTCTACCGGACCAAAGGCTGAGTAAGGGAGGCGATTGTTACAGGAGTTTGTATGTAAGCATGAATGTATGTAACGTTACAAGACGCTCTGTACGGTATTACAGACGATCTGCCGGCTGTCAATCTGAACCAGACAAAATGGAATATGAAAAGCGTTTCGGCTGTGGGCCGCGCCACACCCTTTTTACTTTGCTATCTTTAGTAATTTATGACGCAGGATGAGTTACTCAACCTTAAAACTTATTGATTAGCGATGATTATGCAGTATGATTCAAGAGTGGATATTGCGATAATGCGAGATCTTCAATTGTCGAATAGTGTAAGAGACTAACGATAATAATTTCTGTTTATAGCAAAGGAAGGGCAAGGGAGTGATATATATGTCAATCTGGGTTATATTCTATTTCAGCTACAACGGGCCAGCTAATCTGTTACGAAACAAAAGAAGTAGGAGTAATATGGATCAAATTGGTATGCAAAAACTCCAAAACAAGCCAGAGTCTCAGGCAGGGAAAGCCATAAGAACAATGCAACAAGAATGCCGTATCACATGAGGTGGTATAAACGCTCGATGAGTGAAAAATCCCACGAATCAAACTCCGGAAACAAGCCAGATACATGCCAAATAATCATCAATCATATGCAAAGCAAAACAAATCATATAAAAGGGGAGTGACCTTTGGATGCAAATTGTCTAGAGATGCTGATAGTCAAAAAGAAAAGAGTAAGAAGGATATCTGCACAGTCCAGCTGTACCATTGAAATGAAGGGGCACAAATTTATGCCTTCAAAAACTTGATGAAATGCTCGGGTTTGAACCAACCAACTCGGTCATAAGCCGTCCACAGCTTGCTAGCCTTGTTGACATCGATTTTGCAGGCTTGCTGGGCGTCTGTCTTTCGGAATTCTTTGCCAATACTAAGAGCTTTGACACGAGCCTCAAAGATCCTCCTCTTGCTGCAGAGGTAAGTTGCACATGAGAGTCGTAGAGTGGCGGCGAGACTGATTTCGGCGGGGTCCAGCAAGCTGCGGTCTGGGTCGTTGCTGAGATCAAGCATTTGACCCTTCCAGTCTGCCTTGAGCCCCTTGGTGTTTCCTCCGAGAGTCTCTAGTGGTGGAGAGTAATCCTTAAGTGAATTGTAATCGGTATCATCTCTGTTGGTTCCAATGGTTCGCAGCGGCTTCGTTGACGGCGAATATTCAATGTCGAAAGTGTCAAGCACACGTTGTTGCGGTGTCGACTTGGGCGTCCGACGAGGCCGTGAGACCTTGGTAGGACGCGGTTGGGAGTTGCTGGTGGTCTTCTTTGATGGAGCAGGCGCCAGACGCTTCAAGTTACTAGGTCGGTATTCCACACGATCCATCATTGCCATTTGTCTTTCCAGCGTCTCCCTTTCTTCCCTCGCCCAAGCTATTGGGTTGCGATTGTATTGTGTTGATACAATAGGTACACAGGATAAGGCGAGCATATATTCATCGCGAGTCGGCTTGTTGACCTTGTTGTGAAATCGCTCCATGTGGGAGTTCATGTGCTGGTCAATCAATGCTTCAGCAGCAGAAGCAAGGACTGGGCCAAAGAGAGGCTCATCACTGTGGACATCGGAAGCTGGCTCATTGCGAGGAAAGAGTACTGGATCCCGATTGTTGTTACCACCAATCTCAGCCTCCAATTGTTCTGCACTTGACCTCCTTTTCTTATTTCCTGCATATGGAGTGACTGGTGGCGAGGGCAAGTCGATGTCGGACCGACTGCGTTTTCGATCGTCTGAGATGGGTGGCAACTTGACAACATTTTCTGAGGACATCGTCAGCGATGGATATCCAGAGTTGAAGCTGTCAAACGGCTTTGGTTCGGGAGGAGACATGAGGCTGGACACGGAGGGTAAGCGATTCATCCCGAAGGAGTCTTTGTAGTGTTGATTATGAAGCGGAGGTAGCGTTGTCATGCCTGATCTGGTGACTTTACTATTTGTTTTGACACGAATAAAGAGTAAGTCAAGATTTCGAAAGGAAAAAAAAAAAGGTCGAAGGGAATCAATAAAGAAAGGAGAGAGAGAAAGAGAGGGCGATTTTAATGACGAAGTCTGAGGCCAAAGGCGATGTGGAAGATAATGGAAGATGAGTGCACGTGAAAGAAGGCTGAGTTGATTTGTCAGGTCAGGCTGCCACTCTTTGTCGCTTTTCTTAGAGGCTGGTGGCGATTCGGCGTTTAGAGGCTTTTTCCGGCGATAAGCGCTGACCGACTTTGTTCGTCGGAGGAAAGGACACGGGACAGCGAGTTCTTTGGATGGATGAATCCTGAGTGTTGTAAGACGAGAAGCAATCCCTTTGACGTGTTGAGTCAGGGTAGGGGCCTGATTCTTATACTTCTGCAGTGATTTGCGGGGGGGCGATGTAATGGGGCGCAATTGGGGTGGGGTATCCACGCCCGGAGATAAGATGACCGAGTTATTGGGCAGTTGCCTAAAGCCACACAACAATTGATTCGGCCTGGACAGGATAGAAAGGCAAGATTGGGAAAAAGCTGAGCAAGAACTAGCTCGCAAGAGCAGGGAGCAGGGACTGGTTTAAATAATGTTTCAATTCGATGTGTCGACAAAGCGCGTCCGCATTGTTATCGTAGCAGATGACAAGATACGCGATATCGATAGCGTGTGCATATTCCTTTCTAGTGTTTGGAGGTGTGAGGCTAAAGCGATCACTCGATCAGTGCGAATCAAGGCTGATTGGGCTGTAACTGTAGTGTCAGGCTGCCAGATTGACTCGTCATGCCAGGCATCCATCGTAATTGGCGGTCGGGATTGGCTGAACCTGCATTAACCGTGAAAGATGCGAATGACTAAACCAGGGTTCAGGCGACGAATTGAATGGCCATTACTTGTCAATGCCTGGTGCATGACCGCGCGGGATGATCTGAGGATTGATAGGATGGTGCCACACTGGCCAATCAGCGCCTGTGGCTCGACGATGGGTTCCTGCTGACCAGTCGCTAGCAGACCCACTGTTACTCACCCCCGTGACTCACCCTTCTAAATGTTTGGAGGGGCAGATGACAGGCTCAATTGTTGTGCGGACTCGAGAACTTCATATGCAATTGAGTCCATTGTCGAGATCCCGGACTCAATTGACTGAATTGGTAGACAATAGTTGATGATGTTGTGAATTGTATGGTAATTACAAATACACATCAATAGACTTCTATCTGCAGCGCTAGGCAGCATCGGTACGGACCCACCACGGAAGCCTAATTCAATACGGACAGGGATCATAAATACGTACTTCATACTCCGCACATATGTATCGTATCGAAGCATGTGAATTTATGCTCTGCATAACTAACCCTAATGTTCTTATCTGATCGTTATCACTATCGTACCTATTCAGTCAGATTATTCGTAATAACTTCTTTCACTCCATTAGCCTGTCGATCATGCGCAGCCTTGGCCTCTGCCACCTGATCAATCAATGGCCTATTTTCAAGCGCTTTATGGGCAGCCTCGTCCCCCGCAATTGCCTTGTTGAGCCCACTTCCAGATCCTAGATGCTGGTCTTGCCAGCCCCAGCCCGTCAGATATACTCCTATGTAGAATGTCTGCATCCCGCCCTCTAGTTGTTTCGCAGGCTGTTCTTCGACATATCGAAGTTTGATGCCCTTGCCCATAATCCTCTTCGCTAATTGTTCCTTGTGTTTGAGCGCCGTCTGTGCCGGTGGCACATGCAATAGCCTTGGTAACCACAGCTCTCTTAGCCATTTCTCAACTATGTCAAATCCATGGAGAGGATTGGACAGAATGACTGCCGCAACGTACGCTTCGAAAACATCCCCTCGTATCTTGAGCCATCTTTTAGTTTGCGCTCTCTGATCTTCTAGCGCCGAGACAGATACTCTCTTATCAAAGCCGTATTGCGTCGCAAATCCAGCAAGAGTTTCATTTTTAACGAGATCTTCACGGACTTGCGACATGCGCCCCGCAGGCATATCCTTGAATTGCTCCCATATCAGCCTTGTTGCAATTACCTCCACGTAAGCGTCTCCGAGAACTTCCAGTCGGTCGTAATTTTGTTCCATGCCTTCCGCTGCAACGTTTACAGGCGCGCCCGGATGCGTGAAAACGGCTCGCTCTAACGAAGCATTGTGAATGGAGGGAAGATCGGGTAAGGATACAGACTCCGGCGGAGGTTTCTTCATCTCCTCGGGTTTTCTGTGGGTTGTACCTCGCTTACTTGCAGCACTCAAAATGGCGTGTAGTCGGGTAGTCACTTGAAGAATTTCTGAGCTTTTTGGTAGGTTGTTTAATACTTGTGGACGGTGAACTACCTGATCAACCACGTCTCGCAACTGTTGAACAAGCATACTCTCATCGATGTTCAATTTGTACTCATATCTCGTGTGGTCACAGTCGCTGCCTGCGCGATTAGTCTAAGACGTCATGGTAAACATCAGTGATCGAGAGTAATGCTAGTGTCTTTTAGGAACAGTGCCCACCTTGTGTCTTTTGTGTAAATTGGAAAATGTCGCACAGTTCTTGTCATCCTTGAATGATCTCTTCGTCGCCATTATGAATATGTTCAAGTTAAGAATAATATTTGGCGTTGAATACTGGGGAGATAAATTGAGATTGCCAAACTTCCATAACCTTTAGTTAGCGCGGAGGCACGTGACTTAGTTCCGAACTTCTCCCGCTGGAGCCAATTCAATCAACTTTTATGAGGACGTCTCGCTTCTTTCGAACGATACTCAGGAGTTCATAAGAGGCTCCAAGATGGCCGTGCCCCGGAGTCGGATTCTGGATCTTGTGAAGGCATGTACAACAGGTTGATTGCTGGATTTGTCTAGAATTGATGGTGGCTAATGACTGCTTATGATCAGACCCAATGTCGAATCTTCGCAACAACATTTAACCCGCAGCGATTGCGACTGGGAAACAAAGTTTTACGGCAGCGTTTGAGAGGTCCTGCTCTTGCGGCATACTATCCCCGTAAAACCGTGTCTTTCCGCGACTTACAAGATACATACAAGCCTCTGGATCTGGAGACATTTGATGAGGGACAAGACGACCGAGAAGAAGCTATTCAGATGTATGTTGCCACGCCATGGTTCCCGGGTTGGAATTGACAATGGGCCGAAATATAGTGCGAAATTACGTGGCAAAGGACGACCGAAGAAGAAGAGAACAGCTGCAGGTGAGGCGGTCCCTCGGAGACAAGCTAGGCTTTCATTTGCAATTGGAGCCATACTGACTCTTCGACTTTCTTAAGAATCACGTTCCGCCAAAAAGAAGAAATAAACCATTGTACGCTATCTATATGGTGACCCTGTGGAGTTTTATTTTTCGATGCACAACATATACAACACTGTATTTTTATTGCTGGCGATTTTATCCCGAGGCATGACACCTACCACACCAAAGGTTTTTGGTTCGTATCAGACCCTCATATGTATATTATCAGGTCTTATCTAAAGATGGAATAGAGATTCTTGGTGAACCCTAAGAGTTTGCCTACAATCACATAACAGTATATGTGACGGACTTGGTGGCTGGCGGCAGAGGTCTCAGCGGTGCTGTGACGGAGCCCTAAACCCTAGGTGCACTACCATAACGGGTAGTCTCTCTTTGTCCTCAGGATTTCCCAATTAGGCACCGCTGAAGCTTTTGGTGCACATATAAAAAGTCCTCTAGCGAGCGGTTGAGCGAGTTCTTCCTTTTTCCCCTCTCATGCTTAGTTATTCAGTTGACAGGTTACCCTTAGTTAACGTAATCGGTAAGCGATCCGGCCACGTAAGCGATCCGGCCACCTCTCCGGAAAGTAACTCTCTATATTGATTTCAAATCACAATTTCTCAACCATATACAAATTATATACAAAAAATTAATTACTAGTACGATTAGGACATTGGTTAATCCTGTGCCCTTCAACGTTACAGCCACTGCAGCGAAATTGGCGGCGTACGACTGCTTGAGAAGTTGGGAGCTCCGGCTCAGCTGGAGTAGTAGTAACAGCTTGAGATGCTTCAACCTGACCTTGTACGAGCGCTTGAGCTTCTTCTCTAGTAATCCCTTGCTCAATAGATATCTGTTTATTAGATCTTTTGCGCTTTTGCTTCTCTTTTTCATGCGCAGCTCGTAAATCACGGTTTTCTTTCCGTACGAGTAAAGCATCATTCGCTAATATTTCGTAGGCTTTTGACAACCGTATAACCGCTTGATTGATTTCTTGATTCTGATTCAGGCTTCCTGTACGCTCATTTATACGTTTATTGATTGTAGTTGACTGGCGTACAAATTGGCGTATATTTTGAGGTGTTTGTAAGCAGGATGATTGTGTATTGCTTGATCGACTTGGAGGGGGGGTTGGAGTCTTCAATTGAATATTAAGATGTTGAAGAACTCGATCTGGATTGAAAGGCACTAATCCGGTGGCTGCGAAGCTATTCCGAATAGTTTGAGCTTTATATGCCACTGTACGAGCCTGTGGAAATGCCGTTAAGAAGTCGATTTTGTCGATATGATTAAAACCAAGCCTCATTCGTTGTTCAACCAGCTGCCCATAATGTCGCTTTAGAACTGCAAAACAGCCAACATCAAGAGGCTGTAAGAGATGTGAAGAATGAGGAGGCATACAGACTGGAATAATCTTATGATCCGTACATGTACGGTCAAATTCTGCAGTCAAATGGCTTCCATGGCCATCAAGAATCAACATACTATATGTTCCCAATGTACGACCACTAATAAGAGGAATAAAATGGGTTTTAAGCCATTCTAATCCTATCTGATCTGTAGTCCAGCCATTATCGCTGATATTGATTCTCCAATCATCCGGAAGCTCATCAAACCAGCCTAATCGTACGTTTTTCTTTGCTTTGAAAATCACGTACGAAGGCAGAGCCCATCCGGTTGAATTTGTTGCCTCAATTGCAGTCACCCATTCTCGATTTCCAGGCTGTAGAAGCTTTGGCTGAGCATATCGATCGCTTCCAGTAATAACCTTTGCAGCTGTGCAGAGTCCCATAGCAAAGCCCGTCTCATCAAAATTATAGATATCTTCTGGTAAGACGCCGTACTCAGATATTATATCTCGTACGCGGTCAAAATGGCCTTGTATAATCTTTGGATCTTCACATTTGGCACGTTCGTAGTTGTATTTTTGTGAGAATTTGGATTCAATCTCTGGGCGACGTTGAACAAGATTATATACCCATTTATCTCCAACCCGTTGATCTCCACGTTGTGAGAGAAAATAATTAGCCATATCTCGTACAAGAAAGTGCCGGGGTGGTAATCCACGTCTAGTTAAATCAAGCACCCATTTGACAAGTGATTCCTCCTCAAATTGGGCTAATTTATGGTTGCTAGCACGTATCGCATGTTGAAATGGTACTCCATGTAGTCGATCTTGGAGAGTTGTACGAGGGATTGTATAGATTCTTGCAGCTTCACGAATACTGCGAATTCTTCCATTTTTTAAATCGGAAATAGCTAATTCGATCTTCCCCTCATTCTGAGCTGATTTTAGAGGGTCTTTTTTTCGAATTGGTGGCATTTTAACGCGTTGTAATGTTGTAAATCAATATAGAGAGTTATTTTCCGGAGAGGTGGCCGGATCGCTTACGTGGCCGGACCGCTTACCGATTACGTTAGCTAGGAATGAACATAGTCACATATAACTAAGCATCCTCTTTTCTTCTTTTATTCTATTTTTATTATCATCACCCTTTTCGGCAAAGTCAGAAGTCCTGTTGCCGTCGTATACGACGCGCGAGGTTTGAATAATCGACCTTTTTTATCTGTCATTCATCTCTTTTTATCCAATCTCATCGAGAACGAAAATCAAGATGGCTAGACCAACCACTCTTGACAGTTAGAAAGACAACGGTGCCGAGCAGGAACCTACTAATGAACAGTATAAGCCTGTTGAGAGCAGTCAGGGAGGCGAACGTCAGGAGCGGCGTCTTACGTTCGACCCTGAAGACCTGGCACAGTTGGAAGACTTGGAGATTGATGATCTAGCGGAAAACCTTAACCTACAAGACTTTGTCGAGTTAGTGGGACGAGATCTTAAGATGCTATTTAAGACTATGGCTGAGAGATGGAACAATGAGCTTAACAGTTTCAAGCAGTCTATCGACAGAATGAAGAAAGCTTGCGAGCGCAAGTTAGAGACCAAAGACGACGCGTTAACCCTCCTCAACGATGAGCGCGACGAACTCCGACAGGCTCTAGAATAGATGACTATTCGTTATACCTCTCTTACCGACCCCGGAACAGCACCGTCGAGCAGCAAAGGACTAAAGATTCCTGACGGGAAGAAGTTGACAGATGGTAACAAGACTTATTATGAGTCATGGAACATCGACGTGCAAGGAAAGTTACGCGCTTTAGTACATCAGTATAACACCCCTGAGTCACGCATCCTTTATGTCAAATCAATGTGCGAAGGGGACACAGCAGATCAACTCATGGCGCGTATGCGCGACGACGCACTGGATCCGTACCTAGATGCAACTGACATGTTCGAACATCTTGATACTATTTATCTGGATGCCAACCGCGAGATTAACGCCAAGGCAGAGTTCTGTCAGCTGGCGCAGAAGATGCTACGTTTCCAAACCTTTCTAAGTTCAACCAACTCGCAATGGATGCCAAGAAGTCACGCACCGAATGGAAGGAGGAGTTGTATCACAAGTTGAATTCTGAAATAAAGCGCGCTATGATTCGTGAAGCCAACGATTCAACTGTGTCATACTCGGACTTTGTTAAGGAATGTACAATGGTAGTGAATCGTCTTGAGCAGATCGCTCGTGAAGAAAAGAGCGTGTCGAAGGATTTCAAGGACGCGAAGGATAATAAGGATTCCAAGCTAAAGGGCACTGACAGCGGGAAAGGCGCCGGCAAGGCACCGCGCGTTAACCTTAGCGACAAGGAGTTTGAGGAATTAAAGGAAGCTCGGCTTTGCTTTAACTGCAAGCAACCAGGACATGTTAACTTTAACTATCCACTACGCAAAAAGAATGCCACTGAGATCAAAGAAGTGGAAGTCGCGGAGGACACAGTCGAATTAGCAAAAGACAAGGCCTAGGAGAAGTCTCCAGCCTGGGCTATAAGAGTGTCGACTGCTGGGCTTTAGATTTATCTAGACTATTAGGAAATGACAAGGAAAGTTTTACAATACCCATCTATCTAGTAAAGAATTCATTATCTATTACTACTAGAGCACTAGTCGACATAGGAGCAAATGGATTAGCCTTTACAGATTGGCATTTGGCCGAGCTATTGGCGAAGCATTTTCAAACTACGTTTATGACTTTGGACGAGTCTTTGCGAGTGAAGAGCTTCGATGGGTCCGAAGCAGAATCAATCCGATATGCTATCGTAGTTCATCTGTTGATGGATGGTAGGCAGAGAATGGATCTTCCATTCTTAATCACAGGATTAGGAAAACATGAGGTTATATTAGAAAGGAAGTGGCTGGCAGAGAATCGTGTGTTACTGGACTGCTACCGTTGACGTTTCATATGGCTGGAAGAATGTTCTCCAAAGGAAGAATTAGTGGGAAAGCACTTTATGAACTTACCAAGATCAATATTGAAGAGACCTATGGTTAGCAAGGTTCACCAAGAGGACGCAACCCAAAGAGATAAGTTATTGGAGAGTAAGGAACCGATTCAGAGCCAACCCTATACCCAGGAAGTAACATTGAAGCCAATCCTGGTAGTGCATGGACGCAAATATGAGAAGAGCCATGAGGCGTCTTTGATTTATATATGTAAATAAATCGGTGAATAGATCGTATAGACTCAGAGGATTAATATCGTTCAGTAATAGTGATCAATGATCAGTTGCTTGTAAGTATTAATAAGGAGATGATTCGATGCGTTGAATCTCTGTGTATTGCTTGTCTGTCTTCTAGTTACCTACAACTCAGGGGTTGAAGCTATAGCTAGTCTCGGAACGACTAGTGTCACGTGACCTTACGGTCAGATTCTTTACACTCCCCTTCGTTCAATATCCGCAGAGTCAACCATTTCAAATCCAAAGGAAAACATGAAAATCAAAAACAATATAACTCGGAGGGTGTTGAACGCTCAATTCACAATCTGTAGATCTTGGTGTTGCGACCCAGAGATCTATATTCCCACTAACCTGTTCCATAACCATATCACCATTTCATGTTCAGGGATTCAGTAAATTTTCCAAGTATCTCTGATGAAGATGCCTTAGTTAGGCTGTCCGCAAGCATGTCGGTGGTAGGGATATATATTAGCTTTATCTCCCGGTGGTTTACGAAGTCACGTATAGCATGATATCGAATCAGGATGTGCTTGCTTCGAGAATACAGCACTGGATTGTCGGATAGCTTCATTGCGGACTGATTATCCATATAGAATGGAGTCGGTCCCTTAGATCCTTTCTGAATCGAATGCAAGAAATGTCTAAGCCATACTGCCTGCTTAGCTCCGTCTGACGCAGCAATATACTCAGCTTCTGACGACGAAGTCGCAGTAATTGGTTGCTTTCGGCTTGACCAACTTACAGGGCCACCAGCCAGTATAAAAATATACCCACTAGTTGAACGTCCCTTTGTAGCATTGGCATATGACGCATCCGTATAACCGACTAATATCTTACCACTCCCCTTTTCATCTAACGCTCGGTAGATGATAGCATATTTGATTGTACCGCGGACATATCGGAGTATTCGCTTGACCGCTTCTAAATGGACTTTTGTGGGTTCGGCGAGGTGTTGGCTGAGACGATTGACAGGAAACTGGATATCTGGCCGCGTTCCACCAGCTAAATATGTTAGTCGTCCAATGATTCTTCGGAACTTTGAGTGCAGATCTTTTGGAAGGCGTTGAGAATCTGCTGAAAGGTTCGTACTAGGTCCGAGAGGTAGGATACGATCCTTCGAATGATTCATGCCAAATTCTTTAAGCATCTGAGTAGCATAGAATTCTTGATCCAGTCGTATACCTCCATTTGGAAGCCAGGTGATTCGGATTCTAATATCTTCTTTGCAAGTCCAGGATCTTCATTGGATGAAATTTCTTGAGTTTCCTCTTTGTCCAGTCAATGTCTTTAGTTGCTTTACCGAACACTAAGATATCATCCACGTATAGCGCAATGATGACTCCTCGTTCATTGATAAAGACACTTGAATCAGCTGTTGAAGGCTTAAAACCAATAGTGTTAACGAATGACTTGACTTTCTGATTCCAGAGGTTGGCAGATTGCCGTAAGCCATACAGCGATTGTAAGATCTCACAGACCTGATCTGGTTCAGTTGGTCCGACACCATGGTCCTCTAAGCCCTGGGGAATTTCCATGAACATTTCCTTGTCGATTCTTGAGCCTACGAAGGCGTTTGTAGCGTCAAGTAGATGAGCAACCATCCCGTATGAAGCTGCAATAGCGAACAGCACACGGAGGCTTTCCAGTCGGATTACTGGTGCAAATGTGTCTTCAAAGTCTAAACCTTCCTGTTGAGAGAATCCTCTGGCAACTAGTCGTGCTTTGAATCGTTCTAGACGCCCATCTGCGCCATATTTCAGATCAAAGACCCATTTACATGATATGACTGATCGTCCGATTGATCGTTTAACAAATTTCCATGTGCCGAAGCGTATCAGATTTCGAATCTCAAGACCAATGGCTTCACGCCATCTAGGTCCATAAATTGGATGATTGACAGCTTCCTCATAAGTCTTGGGTATAGGAATTTGCTCCCCTTCAAGCCGCTTGTCAACTCGTAAAGCAAACTCGTCGTCTTCGCCTAGTAGGAGTTCTATTGCAACTGCCAAATTGGCTGTTTCTCGTAGACGTGTCTCCTCATGAGAGACTTGGGAAGAACTATCCGTTATTGATACTTTACTCGCTTCCCTTTCTTCCCGACGTCTTTCTTGACGACTTTTCCGGCCGTATATTTGCTCTGTTTGCTGTGATTCAATTAACGCCTGGGTTGGTTGTCGTATACGCTCAGATCGTCGCTTTGGTGAAGCATCTTGCTGAGATGTCTTTGGTAATGAAGGTGTAGTGGACGGGTTTGGATCAGCTAGATCCAGTGTAGTCGACGTAGTGGATTCTTGACTATGTGACTCGTCGACTGCGGTAGTTGCATCAACATCATCCTTGTGGTTAAGCACGGTAGGACTCATAGCGGTAGTTGATGCAGAATTGATAACTGGATTGACAGTGTGGTTAAACACACTAGGATTCTCAATGAGGCTGTTATATGCCTCATCATTCGTAAACTCTCGATCACCTGCTTCATCAGAAATGAAGCCTCGTTGATCCTCCAAAAAGATTGGATTGGTGACCTTCCGTACTCGCCCTTGTCTATCAAGTACGAGATATTGACTGCTGCTCTTGGTATAACCCACAAAAACACCTTCTTGAGCCCTCGGATCAAGCTTATCCTTTGTCTCAATGTGAAACCAGACTTTGCAAAAAGGAACTTTGAGCTTTGCAAGGTTATACTTCTTCTTATAAATCATCTCATATGCAGACTTCCGTTTCTCCCCTTCCCTTGGTGAAAACATGGTTCGGTTTCGAAGAAAGTTGGCCATCCTAACTGCATATCGCCAATACTTCTTCGGAACATTCATCTGCTGCATCATCGCTCTCTCGATCTCAAGTATGAAACGATTCAGACGCTCTGCTGGTCCATTCTGTGGTGGTGTATATGGCTCTGTAAACTCCAGGTCGATTCCCTTCTTCTCAGCCCATGATCCTAATGCGGCAAACTCCTTCGCATTATCCAATCTAATATTGATCAAGGCCTTCCCTAGAATACGTTCTTCTTTAGCCATCCACTTCTCCAAGATCTCAATCACGGTCTCAGTACGTCGATTGTCCGTGATGTAAAGCCATGAGAACCTAGTCGCATCATCAACTATTGCCAAATAGTACTGGCCTTGATACGGTCCCCAAAAATCAATATAAACTCGTTTCAACGGTTCCTTCTCCTTTGGAACCTCTCCTCGATTCTGGCGCTTCACACTCTTCGCCTGAATACACATCTCACATGTGAAATCATACGATTCTGGAAGCTTCAAACCCATTCGCTTCACTAATCGTTTCATCCTTGGCTTCCCTGGGTGTCCAAATCGCTTATGAAGCAGATCCCAATCTGGTTCTCTGGACACTATTCGAGCCTCTTCATCCTTATTCATTCGCCTTGATCTTGTCATGAGTGTATCCTGGGACTCCACTGAGCCTAGATAACTCGTTCGACCGATATTGTAGCCTGTAGCCAGAGTCTTTCGATCCTTTCTGTAGAATCGATATCCATCCTTCTCATGAGCATTGTAGATTCCATCTCGATACAACACTTGTGTCGAGAGAAGGTTTTCTTCCATGTCTGGCACATATAAAACATTATTCAACCTTGCCACTCCTCCATCCATAAGAGGAACTCTAGCAATCCCTTTTCCCATAATCTTAAGGTTTCCTCCTGCAGTCTTTAGGACGCCTCTGTATCTTGTGTCAAGTTTTTCTAGGCATTAAATATCACCAGTGCAGTGACTCGTTGCACCTCCATCAATAGTCCACTTCTTGACCTTTTGCTCACTTTGGTCTGGGTCTATGCTTGTAGCTCGATCTGCATAATGAACTCCAATCCACACCTTATATGCACTTTCTTCGCTGCTTTCCTCGCTGACACTCTCATCCTCAGTATCAGATTCTTTAGAAGCATTCCTAGCCTTTCCCTTAAACCTAACTTTCTTACTTCTCTTCTCGTGTGCTTTCTTTCTAGAGCTTCGCGTCTTTGAGCTCTCTTGAGAGTCATCTCTAGACTCTTCTTTCAACTTCTTTCGTTTGTCTGGTTTTGGACAATTCCTCGCAAAATGACCCATCTCGTTACAGTTGAAGCACTTAATATCAGATGCGCGGTTGGCCGATTCATTGGCTCCGATGGTCTTATTGGTACTGCCACCTTGCATGCGCTCTTGCTGTTGTAATCGTGATAGTACAAGCCCTCTCGATAGGTCCCCAGCTCCCAGTATTGAGAACTTCATAGAATCGTACTCTGACGGTAATCCTTCCAGAAAAATAACCATAATCGTCTTCTCTGGCAATTTCACTTCTCCGCCACTCACGTCAACTAGCTCTGTATGCCTCTGTTCCAACTGCTGTAGTCCTGCCTCTACTGTCGTTGTAGAGCTCATTTTCCATGTTATTACATCGCGAATCGCATACGCAACGTCTACTTCCGTGCGCCTTTCATATTTCTCCATAAGGTACGCCCATATCTCTCCTGATGACCTCATATGTTGGACCGCGGATTCATCACTTTCGGTAAGGTTCTGTAGGATGTACAATTTCGACAAGGAGTCTGCTGCACTCCATTTATCGTCCTTAAGAAGCTCATCTATCTTCTCAGATTGCTTCCTCCACTTATATGTATAATCCAACACTTTCCAGCACCCTTGTGACTTTAGGAATAACTCATACTTATTTTTCCAACTTCGAACGTTTGTCCGATCGAGTTTCGCTATCTCGAATGTCATAAACTTTCTCCCATTGACCTCCTCAAACGTAGGAATCGTTTCGTCGTCTGGCATTCTCGCTAACTTGTCCACAAGTTGTCGGTCCGGTGTAAACTCTCGTATGGGTACCTCGACTCTAACCACAGTATTCTGCCAACCACTGTGTACGGTGTTGTCTCTTTCTCGTTCGACGATCTCGTTCTCGGTGGCTTCGTCACGTTGACCTAAGGCTGTCTCGTTGCCTTGTTCGAATGAACCAGGAATTCTACCCTCTAGCTCAGGAGTCGTGGAAATAAACCGTCCTCTCTCGTCTCGTTGTCTCCGAGACATCAACTAGCCTTGAGCTGTAACACTTCTTCCTTCCAAACTTTCGAAGCGCGGTCGTATGCCCGAATTCGTCGTAACAATAGGTTGGCCGGCCTATCTTTACTAAGAGGATCGAGGATACAACAGACTAATCACGATACTATTACCTGCTTACACCCAGCGGTGATTCCGGGTGGTTCGCCCTAAGGTGCAAGACTCGCTTCCACGAACGCTGTTATGCTATCCTGCAGCTTAGCCCCAAGGACATGCTACCATGTAAATAAATCGGTGAATAGATCGTATAGACTCAGAGGATTAATATCGTTCAGTAATAGTGATCAATGATCAGTTGCTTGTAAGTATTAATAAGGAGATGATTCGATGCGTTGAATCTCTGTGTATTGCTTGTCTGTCTTCTAGTTACCTACAACTCAGGGGTTGAAGCTATAGCTAGTCTCGGAACGACTAGTGTCACGTGACCTTACGGTCAGATTCTTTACAATATAAATTGAATGTTACATAAAGCTCAGGAAGAACTGTGACGGTGCCAATCTGCTTGGTTTGAGTACGCTATTCTAGCTAACTATATCGTACAAGAGGTGCTTGTCGACAGGTAATATTAAGCATAAAGGGGAAAAAAGAAAAAATGAAGTAAAGGCCTGGTTCTCGCTTCTCATGTAAATCTCTGTGCAAGGCGCCTTTCCCTATCCAGTTCCGACGTCTGATGTTGATATCACTTCCCAATACGGCGCGGATAGGGTTACACGGCTCCTAGCCCTATCCGTGAACTGAGACGGGAACGCAGAGCCATGCCCAGCCGTCACAGGACTTGGCGACAGCCAGGAACAGTCCAACGAACCAACTCTGGATAACCGCGACACCATACACGCGATACAACAGGCTGGAGAATCCCAACAGGCTCCAGGAATAACCATCGAGAAAAGGAAGGCCTCTAGGCTGAGTACGGGACCTAGGACTCCTATAGCTAGGTCTGGATTGAGCGTGTAAAGAATTCGGTGAATGGATCGTATAGACTCAAAGGAATAATATCATTCAGTAATAATGATTAATGATCAGTTGCTTGTTAGTATTGATAAGGAGTTGATTCGATGCGTTGAATCTCTGTGTGTTACTTATCTCTCGTTACATACAACTCAGGGGTTGAGACTATAATTAGCCTCGGAATTGTCGGATTAGTCGGTTTATTCCAGGCCAATGCTGAAGAGTGTTTTACTAGGATCAAAGAAAAGAAGTGACTAGCAAGATTGTATGTATTGAGTTCTGTATCTCCCTCTCCATCAGGTTTCAAAGCCGGGTCTTTTATAGACACTTTTGGCGGGGTGATTTGTGAGTCATCAAGAGGGGTAAATTTTGGGGGCTATAAGATAGGGCTTCTGATTGTTCACTTCCTTTTACTGCCTCCGGATATCCGAATTATCTGACACTGTCTTGCTGGATATCCGGTTTATCTAACAGGAATCACTAGTCATCACGTGACCTGTGATCATATTCTTTACAGAGCGCGGCTCCAAAGAGGAAGATTACACTTGCTGCAATGCGTGCAGTGAGCGCTCCTGCAGAGGATAGCCTCGTGATGAGCCTAATCGAGGACCTGAGGAGCTAGATGCAAGAGGCGGTCCACCAGCTCTCTGTCAAACTTACAACCGCTAAGAATGTGATCAACACGCAGTAGGGCCTTATTACAACCCTCAATACGAGGCTAGAGAGGCTAGAGACCTACGTTAACGCCATACAAAGCCGTCAAATCCTACCACTTGACCCCTTCGCTGCAACGCGTGAGATTGCGGCGCACGGGCCACCACCAGAGCTGCGTCCACGGGAGGCTTAGCGCCCACCCCAATGCAGTCAGACACCGCGCCTAAGAGCCGCGCGATAAACTTAACCGCACCTCAGCCTCCACCGCGATATCAGAATCCAACAAAGGTTACGAAACAAGCCGTACAGCCACCTGAGGGCCCTAAAAAAGTACCTGGAACCACCGCGAAGACCACCAAACAGCCTGAAACTACCACTAAGCTACTGACCAAGCCCGCACCTATGAAATGGGCCACTATTGCCACAAATAACACCCAATCTGGAGGATGGAAAACCGTCCAGTATAAGAAACAGGCCTTGGCACCCTCGAAGGCTCTGTCGACAACTGATTTGAAGCCCATAAGTACCCGGAGTAAAGAGGAGAGGCGCCTGATCTTCAGACGACAATATCCTAAGGATGCTCCTACCGCATTGAAAGCTGATATCCTCTTAGCCCTTAACCGTGCCCTTGCTAAGGCAGGCTTTCCTGACTTTGTAAGAGCGATCGATTCTGGATACGCAGCCTCAGGGGCCTTAACAGTGCTCCTAGAGCGAGGCACTCGCAGCAGCACCCTCGTGCCTGTCTACAACGATACTCTACTAGCTGCTGTAAGGCAAACAGACCCAGCAGTTATTTCCGTGGAGATTAGCGAACAGTGGCACTGTGTTAAGGTACAGGCAGTACCTGTGGACCGCTACATGTATAACGACCAAGGCCTAGCACTAGCCCAAGAAGAGATTGAGCTGGGAACACCATATAGGCTTAAACGAGAGCCAACGGGACAATCCCCTCTTCTGAAGGCTGACGTCCCAACAGCATAATAAATAGTCTGCGTTTCCCATCTGCGCTGGACCAGGAAAAAACAGCGAGATCCTGATTTGACGACGAACCACGCTTATTGAGCTTTCCAAGGGCCTTTGCAGCTTCTTAGCATCGAAAAACCCTCATGGAAAGTCCAGAGAGGCCTCCAGGGGCCACTGGAGATCCAGAAATCATAGGACCTGGATCTGGGGTTGATTCATCGACACCCTCCCAGGAAACGTCACAGCTACCTCCAACTACCCGTGCACTGTTTGCAGGACTTGGAGACTGTCAGAAACAGTCTAATGAACCTACTTTGAGCAACAGCGACACTCTACAAGCGCCACGACAGACTGGAGAAACCCAACAAGCCCCAGGAATGATCCTCGAGAAAAGGAAGGCCTCAAGGCTGACTATAGGATCTCGGACTCCTATAACTAGGTCTGGATTGAGCGTGGCTCCGAAGAGGAAGATTACACTTACCGCAATGCGTGCAGCGAGTGCTCCTGCAGAGGATAGCCTCGTGATGGGCCTGATCGAGGACCTCAACGGCCATCTGCAAGAAGCGGTCCACCAGCTCTCCGCGGAGCTGACAACTGCCAGAAACGTGATCAATACCCAACAGGGCCTCATTACTACTCTCAACGCTAGGCTAGAGAGCCTTGAAACCTACGTGAACGCGCTACAAAGCCGTCAGATCCTACCACTCGAC